TCTTCTATAATCCTACTGCTAGGATTTTTATAGTAACCTATGTTGACGATTGCCTCCTTATAGGGCCTGATATTAAGAAAGTATAGGCCTTTAAACGTTGTTTTAACAAGGTCTATACTATAGAAGATAGAGGCCTAGCAGCCTTTTTCCTGGGAGTTCAAATAGAGAGGGTTAGAGAAAAGAGAATACTATATATCCATTAAAAACAGTATATCGAAGAAGCTTTAAAGATATTTAGGTTGGATTCTAGTCGATCAATCTCTATACCCCTATAACCAGGAATTACTAGTTATAAATCCAATATATCTAGTAAAGGCAGCCCTATAAATAGGTCTAACCATAAACTGTTCTAGAAGATAGTGGGTACTATAATATACCTAATGCTCCTAATAAGGCTAGATATAGCCTTTACGGTATAGTAGCTCTTACAAGCTATATAGGGCCCTACTATAGAGTATCTTAATACCGTTAAAAACCTACTCCGGTATCTAAACAGTAGTAAGGATTTAGCTATTTGTTATAGTTCTACTAAAAAGGATATAGTAAATACTCTTTTAGAGGGGGCAAAGAGCCTACAATTAGTGGGCTTTTCAGATAGCAACTATATAGGCGATAAAGAAACGTCTAAATCCACTTACGGCTATTTATTTAAATTGGCCGGTGGACCTATAACCTGGAAATCGAAACGGGCTTCTACTATAGCTCTTTCAACAATTGAGGCCGAAACCGATGTACTTATAGAGGCTATACGGGAGTCTCAGTAGCTAATAGATTTCTTTAAGGAATTAGAGCACCCAATTATAGGCCCAATACCTATATTTAAGGATAATACTGGCTCTATAACTATAGCCTATAACCTAGCTCTATATAGTAGAACTAAGTATATACTGCTGAAATTCCACTATGTGTGTGAGAAGGTTAGAGGGGGCTTAGTTTCTATTAGTTTTCTTAATACTAAATGTATACCGGCCGATAGGCTTATAAAGGCTTTAGCGAGCTAACTCTTTAGGGCGTTTATAGACCTACTAGGTCTAAAGAAGCCGAGGCATTTATAGTGGTTATTAGATTAGACTGCCTACTATAATAGCCTATCCATTCCCTACTATTTCTTCTTTTTATAAATAGTTCTAAAATTAGTCCTATAATTTAGTCCTTTTTATATAGCTTTAATAGCTAGAAAAGCCTATAAATAGTATCTAATTACTATAGTTCTTTAGTTTAGTTAGTTAGTCTTTTCTTTTATTCTCTTTGCTAGTATAGCTAAGGTTTAAACCTTCTATACTCTACTAAGTATATAGGCCTATAAAGAGGGGGTATTAAACCCTAGAGTTTAGATTACTAGTGCTATAGCTATCTAGGGGGCTCTATAGTACTGTAATTAAATTTGTATAGCCTGTAGCTATATACTGGTATTTTGGTTATAGCGGTACGATTACTAGGTAGCTAGTTATCTTAGTTTAAAGAAGATTAGTTCTTCTTTTCACTAAATACTAGTTTCTCCCGAATCGAGCTACCCTACACCTACCCTACACCTAGGTTTCCCAAACAAGCTACCCTACACCCAGTTATTCCCAACCAGCCTACCCTACACCTCTTAGCATCCTAAGCAACCTACCCTATACCGGTAGTTGGCTCCCAAGCGGCCTACCCTACACCGCTTAGCCCTAACCGGCCTACCCTATACCGGTTTTTAAGGTAGTAGTATAAGTAGGCCCAGGCACTTCTGGGTGCGGCTGCGAGCAGGTAAGCCCATTTTTAGTCAAACCTATATAAATGAGTTTTGCGGGATTCAGTTTTTTACTATTAAGACTGCTGGGCTGAATTCGGCACTGTACCCCGGTCGGTGGGTATATGAGAAGGAAGTAGTAAATCCAACTCTAGTAGTTAAGATAGCAAATATAGAGGTATTCCCAAAATAATAGTGGTCTACCTACTAAATTAACCACTGTTATAGGGCCTAGGCCCTGTAATTACTGCTGGTAGCTAAGTAATAGTACTGTATATTGCTTCCTCAAAGTGTATTGTAAGCCCTGTTAGTGTGTGTACTATAGGGCCTTACCTACCTAAACTTTAATAAGAGGACTCTATAATACTAGATACCTTTAAGGTAGAATAGAGGGATATATATATAAACGATAGACTGGTTATAAATTAGAAGAGGTAAAGGAAATAAGTTTTATTTAACTAGACTATAATATATAATAAAAATAGTATATAGAAAGCTATAGTAGAGGTAGTCCGAGCCTATAGTAGAAGTAGCTAGGAGCTGGTAAACTTATTCCTCGGTAACGAATTTATAGTTATTCTTATCCTTATACTCCTCCTTCTCCTTAGTAAACTTAACCCTAGCGGACTTATAGTATAGTAGGGAGGGGGTAATAGACGGTAGGGCGGGTACGGTATATAGTAGGGAGGAACTAAGAGGCTCTAGGGTAGGTATAGTATATAGTAGAACGGGAGAAAAGACCTCTATTATATAGAAGGTCTGCTTATAGTAGTTATAAGTATAGGTAGAGGTATACTCGGTAGGAGATATAAAGCAATACTCTTAATAGGGGGTATATAGGGTGGAACGGGGGGTATATAGGCCCGAGATAGATATACTATAGATATAGTATATAGTAGGAGAGAGAGTCTAAGAATAGCCGAGAAAGTAATTAATAAGGGCTATATTAATATTAACTATTATTGATATATTATTATTCTACTAGCTAACTTTATATATAAAGATACTAGTATAGTTATTAGCTATAACTAAATAATAAGAGAGTATATTCCCTATAGTACTAATAATAGTATTATTAGGACTAGGTATAGAAGTAAAACCTATATAATAAGAGAGAGAGGTAGAAACTAAAGTACTATAACTAGTATATATAGGAGTAGAAGGTAATATAGGGGAGGTAATAGACTGCTATATAGAAGTAGGTAAAAAGGCGGTATAACTAGATAAGCGATTCTCTTAGATAAGCTCGAAAAGATAGTAGAAGTTCTATACTAGGATAGTAAATATACCTATTAGGATAGAGTATTTAGAAGGCTTATTAGGGGTATAGGTACAGTTAAGCTCGAATAGAGCGGTATTATTTAAATATAACTTTTTAATCTTCTTAAAACTAATATATAGATAGGGATTATTTATCTATAGCTATATATCCTAGATATAGGCTAAATAAATAGAATAACACTCCTTATAGAATCTATAGATATTAATAGTATATATAGTAGGCTTCCTATTTAGGAGCCTATTAATATATAGCATATAGTATTAATACTCTTTAGAGAGTAGGTTAAATTCCTTATTAGAAGAGTTACCCTTTATAGCAAAGCTACTAAACAAGGTATTTATATACTTATCTCTCTATATCATTTACAGTTAGCCTCTATAATATAGATAGAAGAAGCTTACTTATATTATAATCCTTATTAGAATTGCTACTAGAATAGTATCTACTACTACTACTACCTATAGAGCTAACTATAGTTAATATTCTATATAGTTCTATATTATATATAGAAAGAGAGAGATTAGTAAGTAGGATATATATAAAAAAAGAGGTTAAGATATCCTAAAAGGAAGAGAGCCAATATAGAAAGGTTAACTATAGTATAAGGAAAAGAAGAGAAGAGAGAGTAGAATAAAGGAGGGGGGAAGGAAAATTTATAGACTTATATATAGGGTAGGGTTACCTAGGAAATACAGATAGATAGTACAATATAGGCTCGCAGGAGGAAGGCATACAGTAGGGAGGGCAAAATATAGTAGTTTACATTAAGTAATAGAAAGATATATATATATAGTTTATATAGTAGAGAGCCTATCTATATCCGATATATATATAGCCCAGAGCCGGTATAAGTAACAGCCCTCCCAGAAGCGGTAGAGGAGGGGGGTATATTAAGGGCCGGGCTATACCCGGCTAACAAGAGGTTAGGAGCTTTGTCCTAACTGTACCGTATCCGGTATAGCTCCGGAACGGACCTGTACCGGGTCTACCTAGGTTATATACCGGAGGTTATATAAGAAGGAAATCCCGTATTAGGGGTATGTAAAATATCTTTTCCCTCCTTAAGCTTTCAGAATAGAATATTGTGCGCCTATCTGTAGTTGCTATAGGGCCAGCACCTTACACTTAGTTTTCTTTAAGTAAACTTATTTTAAAAAAAAGATTCTCTAACTTTAATTTTTATTTAAAGAAAACTAGAAGATAGTTTTAGAATATTAAAATATCTATATATTAAAAGTTATTATTTATTTATTATAGTTTTATTACTTTAAAATTATAATATAGTAAAATAAACTTTACTAAAAGTTTATTTCTTTAATATAGAATAATTTTAAAGCTTTAAAATTATATTAATTTTTGAAAATAATTTTATATAAAATTAACTTTTATTATATTTTAATAATAGTATTTATTTTCTATATTTAAAATTATTTTAAAGATTGAAAATTATTTTTTATCCAAAATAATCTTTCGAGTTTTTATCATTTTTATTACAGGCTAGTCGTGGTATTCGTTTTCCATTTTGAAGTTCATTTTCAGACGAAAAAATCATTTTGGCACCAAAAAACGTCGGTGGTCATCATTTTGCAACCCCCCCCCGGCGCGCTATGGTAGGTATGTACATACATTTCCGGCGGGGCCGATATACTTGTTGAGGTTCACTGGACGGGGAAAAAAGAACCGTCGGAAAGAAAATAGTGAATATAAATACAGTCTCAGGGCTGGGCAAACGAAACATGCTGCGCATGGCAACCATTTTGTGGTAATGGATGCCTGGAGTCAGCCGGTCAACACTCCGGCCAAAGTTTTGTAGAGTACCTTTTATCAATGGCCATTTTGGCTCGCCTGTGCTGCCATCCTGCCATGCGTGGCCACTCGATGTCTTCCGTCGCATATCCATGACCCAGATGTGGCTTCCCCTCCTATAGGTTCAGGCCATTATACGTGTGCTTGGTCAGGTCTTAACATTTTTATTGCCCCTTTTACCCTCTGCCCTTTGATTAGTTGACCCGCCGATAATTGAAGCTGTTACCTTTCCTCAGGTACCCGGATTCTGGTTACACGTGCTCTCTACATTTTGGAGCTTACACACAATGAGATGACTCCGGGAACGTGAGGTACGTCGCCTGGACTGGCGCAACCACCACATCATAGAACTGCTGTCGGAATCGCGAAAATTCAAAGTCCTTGTACATATCCCTCCCCTCAAATGAACACTTAACACATCGCTCTGTCGCATATCCGTAAGAGTCACCGGCTAGTCTGTACACTTCGTCTAGCCTGCTTAACGCGGACTGGTAGTCATCGATGAGCGAGGTCGCTCCCGCGTTATCTCCATCCGGTTTCGAGACGGGCTCGCTGACGCAGAGCTCGATGAGTAGGACGCCCAGGGCGAATATGGTTCTGTTTGGGACCAGACTGTTGACGGGGTTGTCGAAGTCAGGGGGAACGTCCTCCTGGTAAGTTCGTCGAGCAAAAATATAAGAGGCACATGGATGGCGTGAGAACGTCTTGCGGCCATTCGGGGTATTCTCAATGAAGATGGCCATTTGCTTTTGGTCCCACTCGCGTTCGTCGAGCCATGGACTGCAGGACAAATGGAGAACGGACCACGCGATAGTGGCGGCGATACCGAAACGCTGTTTTGCGGTGAGGGCCAGGTAGGGGCTGCGCTTCTGGGTTTGCTGCCCTCGCGACGAAAGCAATGACTTCACAGGCACGGCCTTGATGATGTTCGGTGAGTCTACAGGATGGTGATAGAGGGAGTAATGTCGGGCCTGTTCTGAATCCGGGTCCTTGAGAAAGCGCTTTAAGGGCCACGGGCAAGTCTCCGTGCGTAGCGCGGCGCAAAGGCTTGCTATCCCGGAGCGTTGTGGAGACGGTACAGCGGGTGCTGTGTCGAGTGTTCTTAGATTTGGTAATGAAGCTATCATTGTTAGCTTCGCAAAATATGCCTTTTAGGCACGAGTTACTTACCCGTCGTGGACGGCGGAGTTGGTGGCGGTGGAGGTGTTCGCGAAAACGTCCGGCTGTGCTTGAAATGTGCCACCTTGGACCGAAACGACGAACTCGGGGAGGGAGATCGGTAACCGGTAGGAAGTGACGGGACCAATAAAGCAGGAGCCCTAACAGGCGCCGGAAATCGTATACTCGGCAACTCAGGAACAGACTCGACCGTTTCCGTGGCGGTCTCGGAGGTAATGTCCAGTTTGCACCAGGAGCCGACCCCTTGAGACTGTGCGCTCGTCTCGTACGACACGGCTACTTTGAAAGTTATCCCTGAATCAGACTCATAGGACGCCCAGTCGAGATCAATCGCGGCTGCGTGCGGTGTGGGACAGGAACAGCGGAATCCAAGCTCGAGGGCTCTGTGGAGCGAGGCCAGGCACTGTCGAATCGCGTTGCTACGCGTGATGTTGAAACGACGTTTCAGGTCTTGGACCTTGCAGCTGTCGTCTTGGGCGGGCACCTCTGGCTTCTCGAGAGATCTCCTGAGGTCGTCGTTCCAATGCCTGAGATCGTCAACCACTTTGGCACGTTTCTTGGTGCTGAGACTATTCTTCACTCTGCGCCATTCCCAATGGACCTTTCCGAGCAGAACATCCGGCTATTTGACACAAGATGTAAGCTTCGACAATGTAGATACACGGTATACCCTTTCGATGAGCCTAGAAGTGCTCTGAGGTTAAATACCTTTCCGTTCACGTCGATCTCGAGACTCTTAAGCAACGACGCCGTTGTTTCGTCCATCCGTCGAATGATAGACATCAACTCTGGAGATATATCCGGAAACTTCTCCTCGAAGAATTCCCGTACCTCCTCAGTCGTCGGGTTATCGTGTAGCCCGATGTTTAAGAGCGAGGTCTGGAGTTGTCGCTTCTGCAGGATCAGGTCGGCCCGGAAGGCCTGGATCGTAGTGTGGTAGCGGTGATATGTCTCCCAGGGTTCCGCGTATTTCTCGAGTGCCCATATCGCTATGGGAAACCCGCCCACGACGAGGCCTACGATCTCCGCCATGGTTTCGGTCGAAGCTGGCGGAGGAAGCTCAGGAGCTCACAAACGTTTAGCGACCATGGGGGCGTTTGAGCGGGGTCACGCCCTCTCTCTGCTCTCTCCAGCTCTGGAAGCGGCTGAATAACTTGAGCAGGCGGCTGCGCGTTGTGACTGCGGGGCGTGGCACAGCCCGATTGGACGCTCTTACACCCGCAGCCGCTCGCCTTTCTCGAACCATGGTCCCTCAAAGGTGTGGGGAATCATCCTGCTGTCCACCTCGACACCTCTCCGTCTTTAGTAGCGCACGACCTCCGGAACTCGAGTCTCGCTGGAACTGGGACATACTCGAGGTACATAGGCCGAGATACTAGTCGGACTGGCTGTCATGAAGGGCTCTTCCACTCCTGCGGACCCCGCATCCCTCTGCGAATCCTTCCTGGAATGCGTGGAGGCCTTCAAGAAACTCATCCTGGCTCTCAACAGAGAGGACTGCCGCGTCATACATCTCGAACAGGTCAGTCTCACAGAAATTCTCGAGCACTACGGAAGGGTCAAGCTTTGGGGTCACCAGTCGAAAGCAGATCTCCCAGCAGGAGCTCGCGGCTCTCTGGACGATGTTATGCGGCACGATGACGATCTCAAGGAACTCACCCGGGGCTTCTTCATGCGAATGAGGGGACACCTGGCCGAAGGTAGGTTCTATTACTCGCAACCTGGGAACTCCAAGACTACCATCTCATCGTTATTCAGCCATGCTTATCGCTGAGAAGAAACACGATCCTGAAGCTGGGTCTGACTACGATTCGGTCAGCAGCGTTAGTTCGGACGCTGATTCCGATTCGGGCGCCGGCGAAGGCGTGAGTCGTAGTACGCCGAGGATCTGTTTTTTGGTTCGGGGGATAGCGGGCGTGATTCGATCACTGTACGATCTATCATCCTTGCTCCGACGGCCAAAGATCACAGAAAAATACGTCCGCTCCGTCAACTCGAAGCTCGATAAGCTTACATCGAGAGATTCGGACACCTTGCCACTCAGTGTCGGTTTCCGTGCTTCTGACGAGGACCACGTTATTGAGAAAGTGCTACAATGGCGAGGTCTGACGAAAGCCGAGAAGAGATTCGATTTTGAAGAGGAAGAGGCCGCGCCTACTGAGAATGCACCGATAAGTGACGGTGTGGAAGACATCCTGTGGTTCTGTCAACGGCTTGCGAGAGCGAATACGAGGCGACGCGAGCAGCTCCAGTACTGGGCCGCACATCCCTATGACGCTTCCAAAGACCTGGCGCAGGCTCCTGTCGAACAAGTCAGAGAAGCGCAAGAATCGCGAAGCCAAACGTCAACCCTCAAGCCGCCAGACCCAAATCTTCCGCGTCCGGGGCCAAGGTCTGCAGTGTCAAAGCAGAGCTTCTCCACCGCCCCAGTCTCACTTATTCACGACACGAAAACAAACGTTCGACCGAGGACGGTATACTCCCCCACAGCGGTCGGAAAGAGCCGTTCCAATTCTGTCCCTGATCCTCCGAAGGCCAGTAATGACTCGGGCACTTTTCCCTGCCCGTACTGTGGGATGCCGCTCGAGTATAAAGAAATGGAGAACAGGCAAACGTGGCAGTAAGTGAACTCCCCGTGAGATCCTTACACCGCATTCGGATATACTGAACGGTTGAATTTAGGCGCCATGTCTTCCACGACCTCCGCCCCTACGTCTGCACTTTCGAAGACTGCCAGAACGCCGGGAAGCTGTACGTCAGTCGCCACGACTGGATGTATCATGAACTGCAGGTCCATCGGCGTGAATATGTCTGCAAGGAGTGCGATAAGAAGTTTCAGAAAAGACAGGAAGCATCGGAACATCACAGAGAACATTATGGCGAGTCGATCCCAGCGCCCCGGCTTAACGTCATCGTGGATCTCTCCGAACGGCAAGCCGATATCTCACTTGGTGAGAAAGAGCCGTGTATTATTTGTGGAGAAGAGCTCTCGCCTATGGCATTGCAAGGCCATGTTGCGAGTCACATGGAGGATGTGGCCCTTTTTGTCCTACCTAACAGCGATGAAGACAAGGAGGCTGGAGGCTCGGAAGCCTCGGTGCAGGTAGCGAAACTCGAATCTAGGGGCAACACCACCGATCTGACCGCAGATTCCGGGAGCCTCGGATTTTCTGCAGCTGGAGACAACGAACCAAATCCCCTCGACTTTGCTAGGATCCTAGTAGATGACGAGATGGGATATGCCTCCAAGATTTCGTCTTGGGAAGCGAAGAAAGACCAATCGCCGATCTCGAATGCTCGGTGTATGACCGTGGAGGTTGACTATTTGAACAGAGAAACATCTAGCGGCATTAGCAGTGACCGTGATTATCAAGTCCCCGGCTCGCCGCCCTTCGAGGTACTCGACCGCCACATCAAGCCTGAGCGCGACTACCGCTACCCGCCCCCGCCGCAGGCCCCCTCCTACGACCCCGCAACCCTGTACCCAGAGCCCACCTACGGCCGCTCCTCGCCCTCTGCCCCCGTGGACGAGCGCCCTTCTAACCTCTCGTCCGCACCCGCCGTCTCCTCCGCCGTGGGCTTGCCGCAGTCTAACCACGACCAGCTGGCTCAATTCCCCGGCTGGGCGGCGCCCCAGACCATGAACGTATCGCCCAACATCGTGGGCCACGCCGAGTACCTAGGCGCCACCGAGTACGGCACGGCCTTCCCCGGCATGGAGGAGTACGGTGCGTTTGACTTCGGCGGCGGGAAGCCGCCCCGCTTCGTGGGTGAGTTGGAGAGCGTCTCTACTCGTGTGCCTGTTTTCCCTCAGCGTGCTTCCCTCTCGTCGGCTTCCGGGGTCCTCTTCTTGTCGCCATCCACACCCAACGCTTCTCATTCCCCGCCCCTCACCTCCGCGGCGGAGTGGGACGTCTCGCCCCAGACGCCACAGAGCTTCTCAAAGGGCTTTGTCCCTCAAAACGGCACCAGCTTTGCGGCGCCCCTACAATCTTCTTGTTCGCTTTCTTTAAGTCGAGCTGTCACCTCCAGTCTACCAAAAGCCCCAGAAACAAGACTAACAGGGCCAACAGACACCTCCCTCATCCACCCCGACATCAGCCGCCCAGTTCCGACCCCCTTCGACAACGGCTTCCAGCCGCAGCTCTTCAACCCCTACCCAGCTCCCCTTGATGCCTCCTCGCGGCGGCCCAGTCACCCCTTCGAGGCCTCCCCCTCCTATGGCGACGCCGCGACGGCCTTCAGCGGCGATGAGGCAAAGGAGAAGTCGCGCTGTCCTTACCCGGACTGCGGCAAGTCGTTCAAGGACCTCAAGGCCCACATGCTCACGCACCAGACCGGGCGCCCCGAGAAGTGCCCCATCGCCACGTGCGAGTACCACGTCAAGGGCTTCGCGCGCGAGTACGACCGCAAACGCCACACCCTGACGCACTACAAGGGCACCATGGTCTGCGGTTTCTGCCCCGGTTCCTTGTCGGCGGCCGAGAAGAGCTACAACCGTGCGGACGTGTTTAAGCGCCACCTAACGGCCGTACACGGCGTCGACCTGACACCGCCCAACAGCCGCAAGGAGCCGCCCGCGGGCATCCGCAAGAGGCTGCCGGGTAGGTACGCTGCCGACGCGACTGGAAAGTGCAGCATCTGCTCGCAGACCTTCGCTAACGCGCAGGGCTTCTACGAGCATCTTGACGACTGTGTGCTGCGCATCGTGCTGCAGGAGGACCCCGCCGAGGCAATCAACGCGCGGAACCTCAGCAGTATGGAGAACGATATTGATGTGCGGCGCACACTGGAGAAGAACAACGTGGCCGAGGACGACATTATGCTCTCTACGGAACACGAGGTGCGCGTGACCCTTGGTGACGACGGCGCGTACGTTGGCGGGAGCAAAGAGGAGAAGGGGGCGTCGGTGTCGGATGACCCCACGGAGGAGGAAGTGCGAGCCATGCGGGAGACGTTAGAGAAGGATGCGTGAAATGTTTTTTTTTTGGTTGAGTGCTTTGGTGTGAAGGCACCCCCTTTTTTTTCTTTTCTATCTCTACTTTCTGGATGAGAAGGGGTTTAGGATTACACGTGGCTATCGAACTAAGGGAAGCTCAGCAATTCGATAAAAGAGATATCAAGGAGCTGAAGGGGCTAAAATCGGGGCTTGAAGAGGGCTTGAGGAGCGTTGACCGTGGGACCTTATCGAGCCTCATGAGATGATATGAGGAATAGGGCCGGGATTGGGGCTGCGTCCCTGTCCTTCTGTACGCGATGCGGCTGCTGGAGGGTTATCTCCCAGTTCCGCCTCAATCCTAAAGGCGTTCCCGAGTCCGTACAAGACCTGTACAGCCTGTAGGGACCAGTCACGATCCCGTCCCGTTCTTGGGGAGACGACTGGAAATGCCCGTCGCCTACGGAGCCGGAGCGTCACGGCCGAGCCCTCCCACCGACCGCCAAAGCGCCGCCGCGTATATCGTCGTACGTTCCTTTCCGATTTATATACGGTAAAATATTAATAGTTACAAATGTCCCTCCGGGTTCTCCCCTACCTACGATTACCGGTTCCCAGTCTTCCTAGCCTGTCGCTACCGTCCACGACCATCCTCCGATTCTTACTGCCCTCCCTGAACCCCCACGCCTACGGCTCCTGCAACACCCGGAAATGAATACTCTGTGGTGGGACCATCAGTATCGATCAAGATCCGTTGACATGTTGCACTGAGGTGAAGGTACGCGATGACCGCCCCCGACAGCGACACACGGATTTCATCAAAAGGAGAGGGGGCACCTTTAAAGCCCCCTGTCGCTGGGCACCAATCACACCCGGGCAACCCTGCACACCCTGCAACTCGCATTCCGTCACCAAAACCTCCATCAGCTCCTTTCCCGACTTCGCCGACCGCATCAAAAGGCAGTTAAACCACCACCACCACCACCAACGCAAGTCACCACCCGCGCTCTCCACGCGCCCAACCCAACCGACAATGCATCTCAACACCCTCCTCCTCCCCCTCCTGGGGAGCCTAACAACCCTCACCACCGCCTCCCAACAACCACCCGACCAACAACAACAAGAACCCACCACCGGCACCGGCACCACGACACTCACCCTCCGCATCCCCGCCTCCGGCCCCTCCCTCCCCAACCCGCACCTCCTCCCGGCCTCGACGCGCGCCACGCTCACCACCCTCGGCGGCGCGCTCTCGGCACCTCTGTCCGTCGCCAACACCTTCGTCTTCCGCAACGTCAGCGCCGGCTCCTACCTCGCCGACGTCCACTGCGCGACCCACGCGTTCGCGCCGCTGCGCGTGGATGTGGTTGGTGCTTCCGGGGAGGGTGGGAAGGGGAAGGGTAAAGGGGGGGTGCGGGCGTGGGAGACGTTTCGCGGGAATGACTGGGCGAATACGGGGGAGGGGGCGCCCGTGGGGGAGGTTGATGGGGGCGTGCTGGTGGAGGTGCGGGTTCTGGGGGGGAAGGGGTATTTTATGGAGAGGAGTAGCTGTGAGTTTATTTTTGATTTTATGGAGGACTTTTGGGTGGTTGTTCTGGGGAGTGATTTGCTAACTGGGGCGGTGAACAACAGTCTCGGTGTTGACCATCTTCAAGAACCCGATGATCTTACTCGGGTTGGTGAGCATGGCGCTGTTCTTTGGCATGCCGAAGCTGGTGGAGAACAGTAAGTGCCCCTGTTGGGCGAAGACAGAAGGACTGCAGCTGACAACCGCACAGTGGACCCCGAGATGCGCGCCGAGTGGGAGGAGCGGCAGAAGGAGAACCCGATGAACAGCATCATGGGCGCCGCCTCCGGGCAGAACGCGAATCCGATGGGCAATTTTGATATGGCCGCTTTCTTGGCAGGGTCGGGATCGGGGTCGAATACGGCGGAGGAGGAGGGTGCGAAGGGCAAGAGCGAGGGCAAGAAGAAGAGGTAGTTGTGTTGATACAGGAGTTGTAGGAATACGAAGGGGTCAGTGGGCACATACAATAGAGTGTCTATTTCTGAGTCTACGGACTATCCAAAGGCAACCCTTGTATGTGAGCCGCCAACGCGGCCGCCGGAAAGGGGGGATTCAAAGCTACCTTGCCTACCGCACCCCCTTACACCAACGTCCGCACATATCCTCAACTTTTTGCTCGACGATTTTGCTCCATACGCCACAAAGATGACTGGTATTATCGTGATGTATTAATCATGTACGTGCCTTGCCATCATCAGAGCCAGCAGTCAACAAGTGAACAGAGTGCCCACCAGCCAGAGCTCGGCCAAATCCATGATACAGGAACAGCAGAATCAAACAAACTGGCATCGAAGTAAAACACCCAATGCCCACCCGGCCACACCACGACGTAAGCAACCCGTCGGTCTCCTTCCTACCCTCCACTCTCAAACCACCCCATGCACTACCCCCTAGAAATCGCCGCCACCATCATCGAAACCACCACCATCCTCTGTACCCACGCGTTAGCCATCACAATCATCACCGCATCTCTCAAGGGAAGGGGGAATGCACTCACCAAACCCCTCCTGGTACGCATCCTCATTCGAGTCATTGATCGCATCCGCCACCAACACACCACCCAGCACACCGGCACCCACACCCAGCGCCGCGCCGCCCGCCATCATGCCCATGCCGCTGCCGCCGCCAGACTTCTTATACCCGCCATGCGACCCCCCATAGCCATGCTGCTGCGGGTAGTAACCCCCCTGCTGCGGATACCCACCACCGCCATACCCGTGCTGCTGCGGCGGATAATACCCACCACCCGGCGGGTACTGCTGCTGATGGGGCTGCCCATAACCACCACCACCGCCACCACCAAACGGCAGGCCATGCCCACCACCACCACCATGGCTCCCACCCCCACGACCAGCCATGATCCCACTCAGCGCGCCCCCCAACCCACCACCACCACCACTACTATGCCCACCACCACCGCCACCACCAAACGGCAGCCCATGCCCACCACCACCACCACCACCCATCATCGGCTTCTTACCACTCCCACCAAAGATCTTACCCAGCAGCCCGCCGCCGCCCGAGCGCGCCTTATCGTCCGGCCGCGGCGGCAGCTGGCCCGGGAACTGCTGCCCCTGCTGCCCCTGCTGGTAGGGGGACTCACCCCGCGCGCGTGCGTCCTCCTCGGCCTGCAGCTGGCGCGCCAGGCGGGCGTCCTCGTCCTCGTTGTTGTTGGTGCTGCCGCTGTAGCCGGGGGCGCTGTTGAGGTAGGAGGCTAAGGCGCCGGCTTGGTTGGGGTTATTGTCGTAGGGGTTGTTGTTGTTGTTGTTGTGGGTGTCGTAGGGGTTGACTTTGGTGTCGGAGGGCGCGGGCGTCGAGCCGGGCGTGTAGCCTGGCGGCGCGCCCAGGTCGTCTTGGGGCGGCGGCTGGGCGGGCTCGGTGGGTTTTTCCCATTGGGACTTTTTGGTGTAGGTGTTTACGTAGAACCTGCCGGGCGGGGGAGGAGTTGGTTAGGATGGGATGGTAAGGAGGGGGGAGGTGTGCTTGTGCTTACCATTCTTTGTACTGCTCGTTGAAGCGGGCTACCCAGCCCTCGGGCACCAGGGGCGGGAGAGGGCCCGGAGGCGCATTGAAATCGGCCATGTTGTGTCGGTGTTTTTTCAATAAGAGGGCGGCTTCTTTTTTAGGGAGATGATGCCGAGAAGAAAGTGATCGACAAAGTGCAGATGAGGTCGCGCTCGCGAAGTGGGGGAGTACTTGAGTCGGAGCCGGAATGGCGGGGTAGTTGAAGTGGTCGTCGCAGGCCGGAAAAGGGTTTCAACACGACAAAGTTACGGAGGCCTCCGTTTCAGCTGGGCAGTGAGAGAATAAAACAACGACCTCGGAAGTAAAGCGGTTCCGGAACGGCGACTCCATTTATGTGCGTATCACAGGTAAAGTGGCCATTGTAAGTGAGGGGCAACATCGCCTAACTACGAGGCCCATTCAGCACAGCCCCCCTCCTGACCGATGGGGGCGGAGGAGCGGGAAGAAGCAGGAACCGACTGTCCGATGGGGTGACAGGGATGCTGGTTGTTTGTAGTTTGGAATCACTTGCTCGCACAGTTATGGAGAAAGTGGATTATCTGCTTCAAGGAGAAAACGGGATACGCCCGTGTATGAAGGTTGCGCCACCCGACCTATGCTTGGCGGCAATCACGCACCTTGTGGGGTCAACTATCACTCAAGCAATGAATGCCTTCAATGTGGGCGTGGCAGGCACGTTTCCGCGTCCGCTGCCTGGAACGCGTGGCCAGGGGCTGTGTCTGTTAACAGCATGACCTCGAGATACGCACTCGTACCCGCTCACACACACACACCACGCCACCGTCGCCGCCGAGACATGGACGCTTCCCGAGGCTGCGGAGCATGGCCCAAAAAGGAAACCGATTCAATGCAGAGGCCGTCTGTTACTCGCCAAGATGTCTCGCTTTTTGCTATTGAGCTGCTGCCACACTATGAGATATGTCCAAGCCAACTCTAATTCGCAAAAGATATGCAGGTATTCAAGTACCGTTAATGATACTACTTCAGTCCAATGCACCCACCACCTCTTTCTCTTATCTAGCAAGTCCCTAACTGTGTAAGTCCCCTGGATGCTGTAGCCCCCGGCCGGTGGCCAGACCACCTCAAACTCCATCCATTCCCAATAAAAATACCGTGATAACGCCACGCTGTAAAGAATCAGTAAATATCCTCCCTCTCGCGTTCCATTCTCCGGTCCCCAAAAAGATACGCTGCTTCCATGCAGTATCCGCCGGGGCCCGTGGCCATGCGCTTCTCGCTGCCGTAGCAGATAACGACGGCGTCGACAATCCCGCTCAGGATACCCTCCATCGCGCCGAGGATGCCCCAGCCGATGAAGCTGGCAATCAGGCCCACCACATACGCATAAGCGCTGCCCCGCACACCGAGTCCATTCGCCTGTTCGATTTTCAGCTGCCGGGCCGTCATGACCCAGCCCGCGAAGCCGAGAGCGATAGCCATGATAAAGCGCGTCGCGTGTAGGATCAGCTTTGCAAGCCGATACGGCAGTAGCGGGGAGTGCCTGTTGTTCTTGGGGAGCGCTGCCGGTGTGAGTGTCGTGGTCGGCCGTTGTGGTGAGAGAAAATCCATTTGGCTGAGCCCCTTGGCCGACATGGCCAGCGGCTGTGAGTGGATAGCAGCGTAGGTCAACGTCAGCGGGTTCGTGAGGGCAGCAATGGACGTCGGGATGAACGAGAAGACGAACATGCTGAGAATGTTCGCCAACCGCCGAGGCAACACCAGCAAGGGAAGTCGGATGGCGAGGGCCAAGAGCGTCGACATGCTAATGGTACCGAAGATGGTCGTCAGCGCATGGCCGAGGGCGGCCGATACGACTTCCTTAGAGGACGGAGCCGGCACCGCGTTGCGATGGAAGTACCACTGAGATACCGTCGCCGCCGTAGTGCTCCGCTGCACCCCCGAGATGATGGACAGAGTCCAAAGATACATGAGGACGAAGTAGACCCCAAGCCACCAGCTTGACGTGCTGATGATAAATTTGGCGAGCCTGCTCGAGAAGCTCCCTCCCAGGAAGACCCTTGTGAACATGAACAGCCACACCCAGGTCCAGACTACCACCACGGCGAGGCATGCCATGCCAACCAGGACGAGGGCCGAGTTCGCAGCCAAAATACGGCTCGAAAATTCGAGGATACCAACCGCCGATTGGATTGCGTGCCGTCCCTTATACACTAGGTAGATCCAAACCACGGCAGAGATAGCAGGAACGCTAGCCGCCCACCGCATGACGGTATCCTGGAGGCGCGTGCTGCCATCGGTCGACTGGTAGCTGGAGATGAAGGGGTACAGCGAGAAAGAGATCAAAATCACCGGCACCGCAATCATGACCAGGGCCACTAGCGGTTTGACGAACGAGCGCAGTGCCGCAAGCCAAACGAAGGAGACAATGATGGACACCAGAGTATCAACGGCCAGCAGGTGGAAGGAAGCCCGCAAGGTAGTGTAGATGGTATCCCCAAGCGGCCCGTCCCCGCGGTCTGTGTGCAGCACGACCAGCACGAAGGTCGAGAACAGGGATGCTTGTGCAATCAAATAGAGCCAAGCGAAGAAGGCGTCATGCTTAAAGATCTCGCCCTCCATGATAGGCGAGGCCGGCGAGCCATTCAAATTTGTGTCCAACGAGCTAGGAGGGCGGGCAAGACCGAGTTCCGAATCGGCGGCCGAGTCTCTCCTTGGTAATCGCGCTGGCGTAGTTGTAGACTGGAATTTCTGGAAGGCTGGCGGGTCGTTATCCCCCACAGTTTCTACCAGGAGGTCCTCTGGCGGTTCGCTGCCGGCGATCGTAGATTGGAGGGCGACGTCCTCCATTCCCCTGTCTTCGTCACTCTCTCCTGATGTTCGCCGGTGGCCCCTCTTGTTGTCTTGGCCAATCCCTTGTCCCGGCGCCTGGCGCGAATGGCCCTTTGCACCATTCCAACTACTCTTGATACCCAGAAGCCGTTCCCCTAGCGCCGAGCGCTCGCCATCGTGACTCCGCTCTAGCGAGCCACGGCTCTCGTCATTGTCTGTCTCGACACTCTCCTCGAGCCGACTGGCAGCAAAGACGCGCCGCGACCGTTGAAGCGCAAACAAATCCGCTGCCTCCTCTTCATCGTCGTCGTCATGCTCAAGGGTGGCCTGGAATAACGGTGCGTCGTTGGTAGCGTACCGGGAGCCGAAGGTGGCGAGGTTGCTAAACCGCGAGCCGCTGGGCTGGTACGGATTCCCGCCACCCCTACCCAAGAAAGCCCGACCTCCCAGCCGCGACCCTCTACTTTGCCAGTCTGTCGGTCGAGATGTCCTGTCTCCGTTTTCTGTCCCGGCGAAGTTGGAAAGCCGTGATTGTGATTGCGCGAGGAACTTGGAGGCGTCTTCGAGCGGGAGATTAGCGAAGCACAGACTCACCAGACAAAGGCACAGACTCACATTCGGAAAACATGTTTGCGTATTCCCGTCACCCCCGTGGCGAGAGCGCTGACTTCCACGCACAGTCTTCGAGTTGGCGAGAACTCAGTGGTGCGGAGTTTCGGGGGGGACGTCGGACTTGGGGGGACCGGTTTGCGGGGTGACGGGTCGGGTCGCGTGGTGTTGGCCAATATGTTGGGCCGCCGATGTAATGATGATCCGGTTTGGGTGTCAGCGCCTCAGGGAATGCTTCGGGCTCGCAAAACTGCGGCAAAGAAAATGGTGGTATATTGAATATATCTCCCTGGAACCGATAGGTTCATGACCTTGGACGAAGTGGTTTTGTTGGAAACGATGGAAAAAAGCATTTGCAGCGCGAGAACGGAGATAGGCAGCCACTGGCTGGGGGTTTGCTCACGAGGCGGAAGTCACCACTTGGGTGTGACTGGAGTCGGTGACCAGGCTGGGGACCCACTGACCAGTTCCGATGTGGGGAGAACACCCTTGTGGATATGCAGCTAGAGAAATTCTGCGTCTGGGGAAACACTGATTAAATGCATACCCACTAAGTATGAAACTGTCGTCGCACTAGGATAACGACATTCATTTGACCTAGAATCTTTGCTGTGAGGTAACGAAAGTCATAGACAAAACGGACATACGCTACATCACCTCTCATCGAGGAGTTCACCCCCTATTTTCTCTTTGTCGTAAAATATGGGCACCATACAAAGACCGGAATGCGCCCCATAGATCATGCAGCTCGCGGTGTCCGCTTTCCGGGCTAATGCCGGCCCCAGAGTCGTTATCGCGCGGTTGCGTCACTGATAGCCGACCCTGTCAGCTGCTGATCCAGGCCTGCTGATCGCTGCTTGGTGGAACATCGGAGCTCCAGGCCTCTGCTGTCTCTCATGGATTGGTTGGAGCTCCTGTAGCTGCGCTGCAACTCAACGGCCGCGCTCAGCCTAAGTGTAACTTCTGGAGCCTGCCCGAAAACTTGCGATTCTCTTCTTGTTTATAACCAATTCTAAGTCTAGCCTTATCTTGCGATTGTTGAGACTGCCATCTTTGTGTTTTCGGCTGAAGGAACTTCTGGCTGGCTTCAACGGAACAAGAACTCTCGCCATTGCCCTGAATTGCGAAGCGCAAGTCTGGGAAAGCGAGCAAACTCCGACCTACAACTACGGCCTCAACTCATGATACAACGTATCACGCGCGCAAACGCAACTTAGTCGTCAATTAACTCAGCATCCGACTCGCCATAGCCAGTCACAGCAGCGCTCATCGCCAGCCAACCCCCCCGCCTCCAACCCCGCCGTCAAGCGCCTCGCCCTCCCACATCCGTCTTCATGTCCTCCGCTCCGTGGGATTACATCGCAAAGCTAGTATGCATCGGCGATTCAGGCTGCGGTAAATCCTCCCTGACGATCCGGCTCTGCGAGGGGCGCTTCGTCCCGCATCACGATGTAACAATCGGCGTGGAATTCGGTTCGCGCATCGTCCCGGTCGGGCCGCCCTACTCCAGCAAGCTCACACCCGCCACCTCCTCCCGATCACCCTCCTCCCCAGCAGACGGCACCGGCGACGGCGACGGCACAACAACAGAAAACGCAAGCGAAGCAGGGGGACTGCCCACACCACCAACCATCCCCGTCGAGCAGCAGCAGGCCAAGCAGCAGCCACCGCAGCCACAAAAACACATGAAGCTCTCGCTGTGGGACACGGCGGGGCAGGAGACGTACAAGTCGGTGACGCGGTCGTACTTCCGCGGCGCGTCGGGCGCGCTGCTGGTCTTTGACCTCACCCGCCGCTCCACCTTCCAGCACGTCACCGACTGGCTCAACGACCTGCGGCAGATCGCCGAACCAGACATCGTAGTAGTACTAGTCGGCAACAAGGCCGACCTCGCCTCCCCGGACGCCCCTGACGACGATGACGACAACGACACAACCCCAAACACAACAAACACAACAAACACAACAACAAACACACCCGGCACCGGGACAGTGGCGGCGGGAAAGGGGAACAACAAGCGCGAAGTGACGCGGCAGGAGGCAGAGGAGTGGGCGCGGCGCAACGGGGTGCTCGAGTACGTGGAGACGAGCGCCAAGAGCGGCGCCAACGTCGAGATGGCCTTCATGCGGGTGGCCGAGCGCATCTTCCAGAACATCCAGGCGGGCAAGTACGACCTGAACGACCGGCGCTCCGGCGTCAAGGGCCCGAGCGCGGGGGGCGCGGGTGCGGCGGCCGCGAAAGCGGTCCGGTTGACGAGCGATGCGGGGAAGGGGTTGGGTGGGGGGTGCTGTTGAAGGTGAAGGGGGGTTGATGCTGATGGATTATCCTCGATGTAGGTATCATGTGTGAGGATGGGTCGGTGGGGTGGTAGTTAGCATGAAGCTGGGAGGAGGGAGGAGGGGCTGCATTGTATTAATAGTAATAAGTACTAGGAAGCGGGAAGCAAAATACCGCTGGGTTGAAAGGTACAAACATACGGTTATGCCCGCGAGGGAAGTGAAACAAACCACTGAGCATATAAACAGTACCATGTCAGAGGGCATTGAGCATACAAGGAGGCAGTGCATCAATTTCATATGCGTGGCAACAATAGTGGCATCATCATGGAGTAGTTCGTTCTACTGTAGAAAGATATAGATCTAGCAAGCCCCGTCTAACAAAAAAGACCAAATCCAGAGTTGAGTGTCCGGACGTATTAGAGTGCAGTGCGGGAGGCAGAAACAGCAAGACAGCCCCCGGCCCCCTTCACTCCTCCCCTGCCGTAAGTTGCACAGCATGTAGCCATAACTCCCCCCTTGCGTCCCGAACCCCATCCCTCCATGTAATGCATTGTTTGCGCTTGGATGCATTCCTCCCTAGCCGATAGACTCCGCCCAGCCCAGTCCAGCCAGCGCAGCTAGACGATAAGAAAACACCGATGAGAGACGAGATAGCATAGTCGGTTCAATCATGCTGTCGGATTTCTGTTCCGCTTTATCCCACTCTAGACAGACATCGTACACGCCAAATGACATTAGATTCCTCGACCCTTCTTCCTCCTTCACCTCCTCATTTTCGCCCTTGAGCCCTTGTACATGGTGACCCGCTCATGCATCCGACATCCGCCAGGTGCTGAACCACTTCATGTAGCCGTACTGCTTGTTCGACCCGGTCATGCCCCAGCAGATGGGGATGAAGTAGACGTACAGACCGATGACGGTCACGTCGAGCAGGGCGTACACGCCCCACTGCACGGCAGCCTTGCGGTTCCGGACGAACCAGTCGGTTAGGAAGCCAAAGGTGAGGATGGCAAAGTACAGCGCCGGGTAGTAGTGATGGACGTAGGTAACGCGGGCCATGATGACGAAGGGGAGGTAGTGCAGGAACCAGCCGATGACCGGGTACAGACCGGCGTAGTGGATCTGGTCGATCTCAGACTGCGACAACTCGCGGTAGCCGCGCTGCCAGCGCAGCGTGTACCAGACAACGAGCAGGGCGAAGATTCCAAGGCCGGCCGTCGAGCCCCAGTAGACGAGAGGGTTGCCGAGCAGGAAGTACTTGACAATCTTATCGTCCCAGCCGCACATGCGCAGGCCAACGTGCAGGATCGGCCACTGCCACCACTGCGAGGCCAGATCGTCTTGCTTATCGGGATCGGGGACCAGGGCGTTGTTGGAGGTCATCATGGCAACGTTCTGATAGTGTTAGCTAATGTACTACGTGGACGGCCTAGACAGGGGGCTTACCAGATGGATGAAGTCCTTCAGGAAGGGGGACTTGTACTGGCCAGGGTCACCAGGGGGCACTGGTCGCTGTTAGTATCACTAGCCAAACTGTCACCAAGACCAGTGCTTACGCTTCTCGTTGATGTGCGATTCAATGTTCCAGTGCGTGTAGGTGTCGCGGGGGTTGTTCTCCTTGGTGCAGGTAACCTCGATTTGCTTAAAACCCCACTGCGGCAGGTTGGTGTTGCCTGCGCGGAGATAGCAGCCCATAACATCGTGTTTTAGGCGGAAACCGGTCGTAAGAGTGCGGACCTTGCTCCGGTCCCAAGACGCGGCGTCGCTGACAACCTCAATCTTCCAGTGATCCTTCGCGTCGCCGATAGTGGCATTACCATACGACGAAACCTCCCAGGCAGACTTGCTGATAGGGGCAGCGATCTGGTGCGAGTGCAGGTTGCGGCCGGTCTGGGCATGGAGAAGACGGATTACCTCGCCATCAGCGATGAAACGAGGGTCGGCGGCGGCGTCATAGGGTGTGTCGCCACGGTTGGGGTAGAAAAACCAGTTGTTGTTAGCATCCTTGTGGTGATAGCACGTCACCTGCTGCTGGCCGGAGCCTTCAGGGTACGTCTGGACGTGGGAGTGGAGGAGACCGCCACCGTAGCCCATGTTCTTGATCGTGACCATAGAGCCGTAAGCAACCTCCAATGGGCTGTCTCTGCCGACCTCGGTGCCCCGGAGGTTGGCTTGGAAAAGTGAAGACATCTGAGCGTCGCCGGGGCCGCTGTTAGTGAGCACGGCAAAGTGGATGGCGAAGCTGAGCAGATAGACGAGAAGCGGCAGGACAATGAGGCCGACGACGCGGGCTGCAACGTGAGCAGCCAATTCGGTCTGTATCGAATTAGCTTTGAGGTCCAGATAGGGGTTATGCAGTTTTTACGTACCACAGGCATCTTGGTGTCTCCGAACTTGTTCCACAGGTCCTCGATAGTGTACAGGCCAACGAGAGCAGTGACGAAGAGTCCCACCAGCTTGATGCTAGTAACGAAGCCAATGCTCAATCCAGTCATGAACAGCCAGAAGAACCACTCGGGCTCGAAGCTGTTCCTACGCTGGCCGTGGAACTTGGCCCAGCAGAGTGTGGTCGCAACAGTGCCGAAAAGAAGCATCGAGTCGAGGAGGATGAAGCGGCTGATTGTGGTGTACGAGTTCTCGCAGAGAACCATGAGGGTAACAAGCCAGACGGCGGCGCGCTTGAGGTTCAGCTCCTTCGCGGTCCAGTAGGCCATTGGCACGCAGATGGCGCCCCAGAAGGCGTTGAACTGGCGCATGAAGGTGTAGTTGATCTCGGGAGGGTAGGTTTCACCGGACTTGAACTCGAATGATCCATTGTAACCGGCGAGATATCCGCTGAGGCCGACGAGGAGCTTCCCGGCAGGAGGCTGAGTTTGGGTTAGTCGAGGTTTAAAGTGTTATGCGTCGAGGGCAAACTTGCATGAACGTCAAAGTAGAATTCGCGCTTCAGGTAGTGGCTGCCGAACTTTCCGAAGCTGTTGGGAGATAGGTTAGCGAGGGTTTGCACCGGAGGGATGGAGGATCAACTAACTGAGCTTCGTCCCACGTAACGATGGGAGAGAGGCCGATCTTGTAGAGGCGGGTGAAGAAGGCGAGAGCAGTGAAGACGATCGGGGCAATGATCCATTCCCATTGATCAAGGACCTCGAGGAATGATGGCTGCTTCTTCGCCTTCTTCTTGTCGTCAACAGGCTGGACCTGCGGAACGCCCACCTGCTGCGGCGTGCCCGGGACATTGCGTCTCTTGGCCGCATCGCCCAGGTCGGCGCCGGAGACGACAGCGGCCCTGTCGTATCCAGAAGCCATGGTGTTGGTGTTGGTGCTGTCGATATTCCGAGGTTGGTTGTTTTGCGCAGATCGGGACGGATTGAGATGTTGCGTCTCAGGGGGTCGCGACGGGCCGCGGTCGTGATATGCGCTGTGGATAATAAAACGGGGTTAAAACGAGCGTGTCGAAGCAATCGAATTCAAAACGGTAAAAGCCGTTAAGAGCGAAGCTACCAATGGTAGATTCGCAGCCCAACAGACTGTGTCCCCTAAAATTCAAGGAAACACGATGAAATGATGAAAGGATGAAAAGTGAAGAATTAAAATCGCTGCCTCCTCGCTGTCGAGTCGAGCTTGCAAGAGCTGAGCTGAGAAAAAAAGGGGATACGATGCATGCAACTTCGTGGCCTTTTTCGCCCGTTAGGGAGCCTCCCGCTCGGACTTGGCACGACCTTCCCTGTCTCTCTGCCTCAGCCCAAGTCTCTTTCGGGAACGCCCCACCCCTGTCAACAAGGCCACGGATCGTCAAGCCACTCTGCCCCGAACAACGTTTCATTGCACATGGCGGGAGTTCTATTTTAAAATATTTGATTGAACGAATATATTGCGCTCAAGTTGGTTATCGAGATTGCAACAAATGGTCTTCAAGAATAGTGAATTCTCTCCTCGAATCTACAAAGTAGCCCGTTTCGCTTTACTTCCTCACTCTGCCTTCACAGATTCGGGCTTCAAGAAGACGGATAGGGAACTTGATCTCCATATTCTTAGAGAAAGATAAACGGCGCGGATTATTCCCCGTGTATGGAGCCTCTTTCTCTGATGAGAGTCGTGGGTAGCTCTTAGACCCCGGGTGTTAATTCAAGACATCAGACAGCCTCAAAAAGCGCTGGAAACAAAATCCTAGTTTACACATTACGCAAAAATGAGTCTCTCCAGTAGGTATTCAACAAGCATTGCGTAATTGAGTTGCCACAACCAAAAACCTCTACATGTCCAAGTCGTCAGCAAACGCAGGGTATCAGGGTCATGTTAAGGACCGCACAAGCCCTTCTCGTTAACGCGAGATAATGTACAAGTGATATACACGCAAAACTCCTTTATCTCCGGGCAGGTGTTCGTCACACCAATTCAGCCGGGCTCTTAGAGAGCCGCCTTGATAGCAGCCGCCTCGGAATGTGCCTGTGCAATCATCTGTTTCTCCCTCTTCACCGCCTCGTTTTCTTGCCTGATCCGCTCCCGATCGATGGCACCGGTCGCCTTCCGGTCCTCGACCTCGCGCAAGAGGGCCTCGTCCTGCGGCGTGGTCTTGACTGGTACGGCACCGCTCTTATCCATAAACTCCTTCAGAATTGCCTCGGACCGTCGCTCCTTCATGTCGATGGTGAGCACGCGCTCACCAGCGGCCGGCGCGGGCGCTTTTGCAAATCCCTCGGCTGAAGAACTGGGCATTGGGACGTCTGAGGCGAGTGTTGCGCCCGGTTCACGGAAGTAAATTGACAGCGTAGCGGGGCCGTCTTGATTGTCGCTGCGGTTGACAACCATGGGTATGGTCGGGTTCCAGTACTTCAACCGCGGTAGGCTGTCACGCCAGACTTTCCTATCACAATGTGTGAGCCTTGGTGGGTGAGGTGCGCGACAACAGGGCGGAATCGTTCGTACCTCGGTCCCATATGCCCCCCGTTGATTTTGTGGGCGAAGTCCATGTGTATCCGTGTCACATCCTGTGGGAGGATCGCCGCTCCGGGGCCATTTCTTATCCGGACGAGCTGGAACGTGTCAGTACTGCCGACTTGCGGGGTCGGGGGTGAGGTCGTCGGTAACGAGGGGCGGAGTCACTGTACCTTCTACAACACACCAAGTTAGCCAATTGGTCGCAAACCAAAGAGCCTAGGGTAACTTACTTCTGTCAGATGGTTCATGCGACGGATGACACCCACCATTTTGAAATTCTGGGAGCCGGCGAGCTCAAGACAAACAGATTAGGTGCGTGTGGACGTTTCGTATCCCGCGCCGAGGTGGACGGAGCCGCCGCTGCTTGGAACCCCCGTAAATTTTTGGGCCGAACTTCTGGAATCTTTGCATTCACCGCTTTCAGTTGCCTGCCGGAGCCCATCCAAAAGCCAAGAACAGGGGTCCAACCTTTGATGTGGGGCAATGATTCTCTGTGCCTGCCGCAACCCCTGCTAGAAGTTTCGAGGTCCAAGAAATTTCTATGGGAGAGGCTCTTGCTTGAACTGACCGAACGCCCCTCAGACTTAATGTTCCTCGGCGTGGGCAAGTCAGTCTCCTCCCGAACGACTCTATTCGCTATGGCGCCTGCGCGTGCGCTGCCCTCGAGATTGCTGGGAAGGGTCTTCAACATTGAGCGCAGAACTGCGCCATCAGAGGTCCCCTTATATCTCTGCCCTGCATTCCGGTCACTTTCCACTGAGCACGCGACACTCCGCCGACCATGTCGAGTACCCACGAGCTCCGTTCGAGTGCGACGATTACATACGGAAACTATCGCGTCGGTCAACGTAGAACCGCCCTCTTTGAGCAACCAACCCACCAAGACACTGCCTCTACAATGCCACGGGTGCGGGGCTTTGTCGCAAACTACCGTCCCCGACGAGGCTGGCTACTACGATCTATCACGCAAGGCGGTCAAAAAATACCTAGGCTTAGTGGAGGAAACGGGCGAGGAGAAGCCGGTGGAAACCGATCAGATCGTGCAGCAAGCGCTGCAGTCAGTTGATGTCGAAGCCCTAGAACGACAAGGCATCGACCTCAAGTCGCTATTGCCGGAGCGGGCCCCCGTGGCCGAAGCCGCACCAGCACCAGACAAGCATCCCCTCTGCGACCGCTGCCATCACTTGATCCACCACTCTGCCGGCAAATCGATCTATCACCCAAGCATCGAGTCCCTACGTGACACCATCGACGAGTCACCTTACAAGCACAACCACGTGTACCACGTCCTAGATGCCGCCGACTTCCCAATGTCCTTGCTTTCAAAGCTCCACGGTCTGCTGGATGTCACGTTGCGTACCCAGAACCGCCGCTCGAAGTCAGTCAAATACCAACACGGGAGGCGGATAGAAATGAGCTTTATCATCAGCAGGTCCGATCTCCTGGCGCCCCGGAAGGAGCAGGTCGACTCGTTGATGCCATACCTCAAGGAGACGCTACGGGAGGCACTGGGCAGGGTCGGTGGACGTATCAGGCTTGGGAATGTACACTGCGTCAGCGCGAAGAGGGGATGGTGGACTAAGGACCTCAAGGAAGAGATCTGGAAGCGCGGCGGTGCCGGGTGGATGGTGGGCAAAGCCAATGTGGGCAAAAGCCAGCTCTTTGAGGCCGTCTTCCCTAAGGGTAGGATGGACTGGGAAGCTCCCAAGCACAAAATTTCGATCAATGTCTACCCCAAAACACAACCGCAACCTACGTCGGAACCACAACCTACGCCGGAACCACAACCTACGCCGGACACAAACCCAGAAGCCGAAGTAAGCGCCGAGGCCACGGCTGAAACCGACCCCTCCGAGGACACCGATTCGCACCCGACCTACGCCATGTCCGACGTATCCCTCCTCCCGCCCTCCCAACCCGAAACCAACTACCCCCCCATGCCCGTCGTCTCCCCCCTCCCGGGCACGACCGCCTCCCCGATCCGCGTCCCCTTCGGCTCCGGCCGCGGCGAGCTGATCGACCTCCCAGGTCTAGCACGAAGCGACCTCGAATACCACATCACGCCCGAGAAGCGGCCCTCCCTCATCATGAAATCCCGGGTCCTCCCCGAGCAACAAGTCCTCAAGCCCGGCCAATCCCTCCTCCTCGGCGGCTTCCTGCGGCTGACCCCGCGCAACACGGCCGCGGAGGGCGACGACGAGCTCGTCTTCCTCGCGTACGCCTTCACGCCGCTCGAGGCGCACGCCACAGCCACCGACAAGGCCGTCGCCGTGCAGACCCAGACTCCCGACGCGCCACGCGTCGAGAACGTCGCTCTCCCGGGAACGGGCGCAAAGATCCGCCATGCTGGTGCGTTCCAGCTCCGCTATGATGTTACGAAGGCCCGCACTGGGCCGATTACCCGCAAGGAGGCTCTTGGTTTGAAAGTTGATCGCCTGCCGTACCGTGTGCTGGCGCTGGATATCCTGGTGGAGGGGTGTGGGTGGGTCGAGGTGGTGGTGCAGGTGCGCACGCGGCAGCTGTTCCCCGGCGGGGAGGGGAAGGGTGATTGGGGGGTGGAGGGGAATATGCAGACGCTGGATCTGAGGCCGGAGCCGGTGAATGCGAGGAAGGAGAAGACGAGGGAGGAGGAGGAGCGGGGGGTGGAGGCCAAGTGGCCCGTCATTGACGTGTATAGTCCGGACGGGGCGTTTATTGGGTATCGGGCGCCGATGAATGCGTGGATGCTGAACAAGCCCAGGGCGGAGACCAGGGCGCGGCCGAGGAAGAGTATGAAGGGGGCGAAGAAGATGGAGAAGAGGGTGAGGAGGGCGAGGGAGGCGGGTGGACGGGAGGAGTGAGTGAGGGGTGCGGTGCGGTGGTTTTGGATAGCTTGGCTGTATGATGACTATGACTGTACAATATTGTAAACATGTCTTGATATCCCATGAAGCAATCGGATCGAGTAAGATACCCGGTGGATACCGGAGAGGTGGGTATAATCTCTATTTGCCAACCATGGCTGGCTTTTTCAGCCGACCCTTGCCATCTACCCAGGCCATCTTTTATGTAGTACATGTCATCATACACTGTATCTCACATGCCGTCCTGGAGCGCCTCCTCCGCTAATTCCTCAGAACCCCGGCGCCCCTTGGAACTTCCCCTTATCATCATATCTCGCCTCTGCTCAGGGTCAGCAACCGGCCATCTACTTTCCAATGAGAACAAATGAAACGGAGAAACTTACTAAAAAACGTATAATTCAACGTCACGGTATGCACATTCCGCATATTCAAATCCTTCAACAGATCCGGATCCAGATAGAAAAACACGGGCATATCCACCGTCTCACCCGCCGCCAGCCGCTGCTCCTCAAAGCAAAAACACTGGATCTTGCTGAAGTAGGGAGCGGTCTGGGCCGGGGTGACGGAGTAGGTGGCGACGCCGATGATGTCCTTGTCCGAGTGGTTGGTGGCCGTGTAGAAGGCGAGGGCGGTCTCCCCCGGCAGCACGCGCACCTCGCGCTGCTGCGGCGTGAACTTCCACGGCAGAACGTCCGACACCGACGACGAGAACGTCACCCGGATCCGCCGCGCGTCCGTCACCGGCTCCAGCCGCGCCGCGAGGTCCTCGGGTGTCCCGTCACCCCCGCCGCTCCCGCCCCCGTGTGCGCGCACTGGCTGTCCGCCGTAGCCGGTGGTTTGGCAGATCTGTGTACGATATGGGGTATCAGTAATTGGGACGGGGTGGGTGACCACGGTGTAAGTCAGAGAGAGAGGGGGGGGTGAAGGGTGACAGACCATCTTGTACATGGGCACGGAGCCATACGAGAACGCGACGGTCCCCAGAATGATGCTAAGGGTGTAGTACCTGCGACAGAAGCACACCAGTCAACAACCCCTTCCATGCAACACCACCATCACCACCACCACCATGCAACCAATCAACCACCCACCGACCACACCAGACGGAGAAGGGAGAAGAAAGCCCCTACGCAGTCGACCGATTCCGCCTCTTATAAACCTCGTTCATCTTATCCATTCCCGGCGCCGCCCCATCCGCTGCTCTCCTCTGATATTGCTGCGCATGTTGTTGCTGTTGCTGGCGTCTGGGACAGCTCCGCGAAAAGAAACGGCTCGAGCCGAATCTAACCGCAGCGGGCTGCTGCCATTGGGTTTGGGCACCTGCGCGGCGGCAAAAGAGGCAGGACCAGCTGGACGAGACCTCGGCGGCGACGCGCTGGGCGAGGCGCGGTATTGGATTCATTGTCGGGGTGGGCTGTGAGCTCGGGCGAGGGAGCGAGCTCGTGGGGTGGGTGGAGGTGGTGGGGAGGTTTTGTTTGGCCGTTGAATTGAAGTTCCAGGCCTTGCGCATGGTCAACCCTAACCCTATTTACCGACTCAGTCCGGACATAGACTTACACCTCTCCAAGCCCAACTCCATAACGTCCACCGGAAGGCGGGACTGGTTTTGTAGGGCTCCTCATTCTGTGTCCCGGGGACTAGTCAGAAGTAGTCTTCGGACAATCGGTTTGCCTTGAGCAAGGTGCCCATATACCTAGGGTCAGCTGGCATCTCTCTCGAAGTGTCCCGTAGCGAGTACTACTTGAAGTCCAGACAAACTCACAATGCAGAGCCAACAACGTTCACCAAACTTGTGGACTTTGCCATCGCTTTCTACTTGCCCGTGTTGTTTATCTTCACTGTTTTGTCTAACCCACTGGTTGTCTGTCATATACAGTATCTCTCTCCACCTCCATCCTCATAATATCTTCGGCTCCCAGGACCATCACTAGCTAGGTGCAATACACTCGTTGGGCCCGTTACATTAAGCGCGATACAGACTGCTAGTTATTCCTCCGAGTAGTCTATGTGGTCATCGCCACCGCTCACGATAAACTTCAAGATTCGTTCCAGGGCTTGCAGATCCCCGTCCACTGTCCCTGCCTTGCTGGAATCAACCCATCCTTTCGTTCGGCCGCCTCCAAAGTCAATTATCCATGCATCGCCATGAATATCGACGAGAATATTGTCGGGCTTGGCATCTCCCCAAGTAATGCCAGCCTGGTGGAGGGCAGCTATGGTATCTTGGATCTGCTGCGCCCACCTATCCTTCAAAGCATCAGGGGTCTCAGGTCCCACAGCAAATGTCAGAAGGGTATCCTCCTCGATGTGATACAACAATAAGCCGACCAGCTGTTTCATCTCGTTCTGAACAACGCCGTGGAGGCGGGATATACGAACGCCGGGTCCTAAGTTAGCGGCGGCAATCCTTTCGTATGTCTCGACTTCCTTCTTTGTGACCACATCATCCAGGTCCATACTCTCTTTAAAATAGAACTGTTGCTGGCCGATACGGACTTGTGATGGGTTCGAGTCAAGGGGGTGATCCGGATCGTCACAGATAACTGCAATATCCGCAGGGCTGAAGGACGGAAAGGAAGTTGTCCATGGGTCCGTAGAACTTGGAGCTAAGGCATCCGTAGAACCCAGGGAGGAGGACCAGCAATCTTCGTACGTTTCAACGCGCTCTATCTCCCCAGGAGCCAGCACCTCGTCGGTTGCAGTGAGATCGCACTCAAAAGAAGTAGCGGCAAGAAAGTGACTTAGAGTGAGCTGTCCGCTCTCGGCTGGTGGTGGAGCAGGCGAGAGGTACTCAAAATCAGCAAGACATGGGGTGACTGCCCAGTCGAAGCAGTCGTCTATGGTGGTTTGGCTAGGTTCGTCCCCTTCAAGTTGTTCTTCATCCATATCCTCAGAGGAATCATTGTCGCCGTTGTTTTCGGAGAGCAGAAATGCAAAATACTTTTGGAACTCGTCGGACCGAACGGCCGAGTTGCGAAAGTTTGATGGCGAAACCGATATTCTGTAGCGGCTGGTGTGAAGTTGGATCTCAAGAGTGAACCATTGAGGCTTGTCGCACTCGTTGGAAGTTGTGAAGCTGAGGATGCGATACCTTGGGCTCCGGTTCTCCATAGTCGCTAGAGTCGAGCAAGTTGGGAGCTTTCATGGAGGCGGAGCACAATGCGAGTAACTAGGTAGCTTAGGTGGTGCACCAGCAGGGTATTTGCTAGGGGACAATCATCTGATTTACTAAGACAGAGTTTAAAGGGAATAAATTCATGAACTTCGGACGAGGAATGGAATCTGCGGGGTGTTGTTGCCTGGCGGTGGGGCTTGGCTCGCTCACTTACACCGAGTTCGAGTTGCCCAAAGGGGAAGGGAAAAGGTACTTCATTCATAATCATAATCATTCAGTTACATGTATCTGGGAATATCCAACATCCTGTCCAATCCATCCATCCATCCATCCATCCAATACAATTTAATGCTCCTTCTCATGCAGCCGACCGTTGATCCCCCCCGAGCTACCGACCCTCGACGCCAACCTCCGAGTCGTCGTCGCCCTGCTTGCCACATTCAATATCCCATCCAAGATCTCGATGATAAACATCTGCACAAGTGCGATCAGCAACCTGAGAAGATAGTCCACGAGCGTCAGCCTGGGCTTCTCCCCGCGGCTGCAGGTCGAGTCCTTGAACTCGAACGGGATGGTCGCGCCGAGGTGCTCGACCGCCACGCGCAGCCCGCTGCTGAAGCCGTCCTCGTGGAAGCCGTACTTGGTCCACGCGCCGGCGTAGCTGATGCCGCGCGTGTTCTGGATCGTGTCGAGGTGCTGCTGCGCGCGGACGGTGCCCGGGTTGTAGAGGGCGTGCCGGTAGCTGTACCACCCCTGGACCGTCTTCGGGTCCGGCTCGTGGAGCGGGTTGAGCGTCACCAGGACGTTGCCGAACGCGTCGCGCGGGATGTGCTGCAGCCTGTTCATGTTGTACGTCAGGCACACCTGGTTGATGTTGCCCTTGCCGCTGGGTGATGCCGACTTGGTCAGGTAGTTCCAGCTTGACCAGGCGTTCTTCGACTTGGGCATCAGGGAGGTGTCTGAATGCAGGACCGCCACGTTCTGCGAGGTGCGGAAGTTGCTCAGAATGGACCTCTCTTCCTCGGTTGCCGAGTCGCGGATGATGGAGTACGCCTGGTCGCCATGGGTTGCCAGGATGACGTGGTCGAACACCTCGGAATTGCCGCCCTCGGTATGCAGCCGCACACGCCCGTCGGCCTCGTTGGTAAGTGCCGTCACAGTCGTGTTGAGCCGCAGGTGGTTCGGGGGGAAGCCCCTCATGACCTTGTCGACGTACGTCTTAGCCCCCGCGGAAATGGTCAGCCACTCGGGCCGGGCGGCAAAGGTCGAAAGCAGGTGATGGTTCCAACTGCAAGTTGTGTCAGCATACCCGAACCATTACCATGTTAGGTATCTGGTTACTCACAGGAAACGGACTAGTGTTACTGCCGGGAAGTCGAGCGCACACTTGTCCGGGCTTGTGCTCCAGACAGCGGCCGCCATGGGGATGAGGTAGTTGTCACGGAACGCATTCGAATAGCCTTCCCGGTCCAGGTACTCCCCAATCGTCTCCTCGGTCGGCTCCTTCGCCTTCAAAACATCCAGGGCAAACTGATTGAACCGGAAAATGTCGAAAAGCATGCGCCACATTCTCGGCGAGAGGAAGTTCTCGCGCTGGCAGAACAGGGCATCTAAGCTCGAGCCTGCCCACTCAAAGCGACCTTGATCCCTCGATACGGAGAAGCTCATCTCAGTGGGGTCCGTCTTGACACCAATCCTCTTGAGGAAATTGAGAAAGTTTGCTATTCAGGGGTCAGCACGGGTTCATGACCAGCTGGATGGGGCAACGTACGGTACGTCGCCGAGTTCATGACGATGAAGCCAGTGTCGACCATCGTTTTGTATTTCCCGTTTGTGAACTCCACCGTTTGGGTGTGCCCACCCAGGCGCCCACTGGCCTCATACATGTAAACATCGTGAGGGCTGCGGTTCAGTGCCCACAGGGCCGCGATTCCAGCGCAGCCACTGCCGACAATGGCAACCTTCTTTCTGGGATACGGGTCAGCCCGGTTCGTCATGGTGGTGCCAGGGCATGAATTCGAGGTGTGGAGAGAAAAGTTTGAGCGGGGCGGGATGGAAGGGGTGTATAAGTCTGTAGAAGGGGACCTCAATGGACTCAATGACCGCGGCGGGGGTACTGAGACATATGAAGTCGGGCTACCCGGCTCAAGCGGATCGTCAGTGGGCTGTTCTGGAAAGCATGGCACCAAGCAGCTGTTGGGCATCGAATCGGGGCCGCGTTTTGGGCGCAACGTAGCTGGCAAAGCCGGATCCAGTCATGTTCAGCTTGCTCGGGCCCAGCCCCAAGAACAGCGAAGCGCAGATCTCGATGCAGCCCGCATGCGGGTCGCAACCCATGCGTCCAGCTGCTTGCCGAGGCGTGTCTTCCATTCCAGCCACTGACGTTTCGAGAACTGGTGGATTGGCGCTCCTCAGAGTTGCCTCGGATTCCGACTTACATGGGCTCTTCGTCTCGAGACATCTTGGCGGCTAATGGATGATCTCAAAAAATGGCAAATAGGGGCGCAAACAAGGGAGGAGTACGATATCGTGTTTGCAACATATCGGTAAACAGAGCAAGCCACAATGTTGGTGTCTTATATAAACCCGTAACCCAATGCGTCATACTTCGTACATAGTTGTGATAAAACGAACCTTCCAGGTTGTTGATGGTCGTGTGATGCAAACAGTCCAGCGCGTGAGCATTGGGAGTCAGAGCCGGGGTGGAATATTTGGTGAATGCCGGCCTGCGTGTAAGCCGGAAAGTTCATGTAGGAAAGAGTCCCTCACTAAATTGAAGAAGGCAAATGCAAGACACCGGCAGCTTGGAATAGCAGAGCTGATGCTGATGCGCAGCACTGCAAACCCTGGGGCCCGCCATCAGCACCAGGGAAAGTTCTGTGGTTCGGTTAGAATCGAAACAGGGCGCAAAAACGCCTTGGTCCAATGGCACTTGCCCACATTGCTGCCGGCCCCATCGAGTCGTGGCTCCTCCTGCAAGTGGGACGCCACAAATCACGCACTGACGCGGAGGTTTTTGCAACGTCTCAAGATGAAGCTTGCTTGAACGTTTTGTATTAGCGAGTAAACCGTGATCTGTCCAGAAGGAAGGAAAAGTTGTAGTGTCCGGTCGGCAACAACGGTGGATCCAAATCGCTGTATGTAAAGAAGGGAAGGATAAGAATTTATACCATCAAGTCACTTTGGCGGAGTGGTTAACGCGCTGCCCTGCTAATTCACAGTTAGCTGCTAGGCAGTTCCTTCGGGAGCGTAGGTTCGAATCCTACAGGTGACGTTTTTTTGTTTCAATCGTGAACAACTCTCACTTTTCTCGCTTCGCATTCATTTTTGATGCGGTGGAAAGCATTTTAGGTACGGAAATTGGCAGAGAAACATGCTGAAAAGTCTAATGGAAGTCTAGGAGGGTAGTTGGTGTTTGGCCAACACGTCTCACGTACTAAAGTTGCCCCAGAACGAGACCGACCCCCGGTGTTGTTCAATATCGGGCAGTCATCGCATGCTCAGAAACGGCTCGGGGAGCAGGAGCGGGCGCCGGCCCTTACACAACATGAAGGTGCCACACTACACTGCATGCCAAACGGGCAAGCAGGCAAGCAGACAAACAGGCATTGGGACTTCCTGTGCAATGCTTGTCGTATCACACACGCGAACTCAAATCACAGGTCTGGAAATGTCGAGGCCAAACGGAATCGCTCACTCATCGCAAGGCCCAAAAGGACCAGCATAGCAGCAATTCTTGGGACGCCGGTTTCTCTACCCGGTTAATACAACCCGATGTACACACAAAGTCCAGGAAAATCCAGTCCTCTGAAACATCGGGCCTAAATTCTGCGTCTCCGGGGGTAAACTTTCTGAAGAAAAAAAAGAGAAAGAAAAAGGTGGGGTGCGGACACTGGCCGAGAACTTTTATTTCGTGAAGCCACCGTGCGTATCACAGTGCGTCTGAATACTGTTACGGACTTCTTGGCGAATGAGTTGTTGAAGGAACTTGAAACCCCCAACTGTTATAACCAACTCTTGAATCCACAACTGCTTGACCTCGGCTGCCGTCGCCTGAACCAGATCACTGGGTTCAAGTCCAGACCCGAGAGCACCCGTACACAACATACCACCAAAACCAGCTGGCAGTATTCAAGTTACGGTCTTGTTGGGATCGAGTTGCCATGGAAACTGCAGAGTTGGGCACCGGGAGAGGTGGCGGCGATGGGACGGTCTACAATTGACTGGGCATGATGATATCTGACATGGAAGTTTTTGATTCACAAGGAAAGTACATCATATCATCTAACGTCATTTTGTTTACTCGGTGAAGTAATATCTTCACGAGCACATCATCCGCATTGTTTATTTCCCCTTTTCCCCTTTTCGCCCCACAGAATCCGTTTATCTAGAGACCACTGTCAGTCGTTGCTTTCGAAAACACAAGCAGATGAGGCGAGAAAATGAGAAGACGCACATACCTAAAGCTACCTAAATCACCTCGTCGGGTTATTTTGCGTTCCGGTGCTCCCCCTGGCCTTCGCTGCGACACCCGCTACGTTGTTTGGTCTGGTCATCGTCGGTGGAGCGCTGGTATGCCCCTTTTGCCCGGGCGGTTGCTCCTTCTCCTCGACAAGAACCGGCATCCTGTGAACTGTTTTCTCCGTGAGAGACGGATTCCGTACCGCTGAGTTCGGTGAGTCGGGCCGCAATTGGTGGCCCGCTACCCTTTTCTGTGCGAGGACAGGCTGCTCGGTCCGTCGTGTGTTCGTGGGCCTGAGCTGCGGAAGAACGCCGGCGCCCTTTTTTTCCGGGGCATGCTGCCCAGCTGTGGCCGAAGTGTTGTTGGGACGTTGCGGGGCGCTGGGACCCTGCTGTTCCATGTGATTCCGTACCTTGGTACGGGGTAACTTGGGCAACGGTGCTTCCAGCGAGTTGGACCGTGGGAGAGCGTCAGTACCTCGTTTCTGGGTGGAATTCCGTACCGGAAGTGTCGTATCCACAGCAGCTGCGGCGGCAGCTCGGAATCTTGACGTCTGGAAATATCTCTCTTCAAGTTCTCGAATCTCAGACGGTCGGACCGTCCGGCTGCTAGACTGGCCATCCTGGTTCTGGTTCTGGATTGATGAAGGCGTTGGAGCCGCCGCCGGGACTGCTGTCTGGGATGAGCGCAGAGAGTCGAGTAACTCGTTCGCGTCCTCGATGCACTCGGCTGCCGGGAGTCGATCGTGACGATCTTGAGCCAGCATCTTCCTAACGTTGCCTACAAGCCGATCCTTGGGATCCCGGTCAAACATGACCTGTATCTCGTCGAAAACAAATTGGAAATAGATGCGATAGCGGCTTTTTGGCAAGGCCGGCAGCCCATTCTTAATAAGCGCGAACCCAACAACACCGAGGGCCCAGATATCCACGGCATTGGTGTAATTCTCACATTCCCACATCTCGGGAGCCATGTAAGCCAGGGTGCCGCACATTGTCTTCATGTAAGAGTCGCCCCCTTTTCTTTTGGCGAGGCCAAAGTCAGTTAGGGCGAGGGCGAGAGGGTTCTTGCTGCGTAGGAGGATGTTGTCAGGCTTGAGATCTCGGTGTGTGACGCCTCGGCCGTGGATGTAAAGCAATCCTTCAGCCGTCTGCTTTAGAATCTCGGCGATTTCAGACTTCTTGAAGGGCTTTTTTTGATCCCTGATCATCTGTTGGAGGTTGCCGTGCGGGTAATATTCCATGACGAGAATCCAGCGGCCTGGTATGTCTTCGTACCAATCCACATACCCGACGATGCGTTCGTGCCTGAGGGATTGCAGTGACTCCATCTCCCTTCTCAGGCCTCTTCTGTCGGTTTCAGAGCCACTTGACTGTCTGGTCGCAGGCCCAAGGTTGGATTTGGACATGGAATGGGATTCAGAGTTGAATTCGATAATCTGCTTCGCGGCGAAGACAGCCCAGTCCTGCAAACGGCGAACCATATACACGGTGCCGAACGAACCCCGCCCCAGCTCCTTCCCAAACCAGTACATATGTTGCCGCTTCTTGGGTGCCGGGCGCGAGGGGGTTGCGACTGCTGTTGGTACCTGAGAGGCGATGCTCAAAGCTCCAAGGTCAGAACAGTTGGCGAGGAACGCGTCGCGCCTTTTGCGAAATCCATCAAGTTCAGGGCCACTGCAGGGAGGAACTCGGACCCGGAATACCAAGCTATCCCCAAGTTCAAGGGTGATGGCGCAACCCCGAGGTAGGATGCACTTGTACGGAGTGCCGGGCCTTGGCCATGTCCGCTGCCCTCCGCGGTCACCCAGAGCCAGGCTGCTTCCCCGCGAGGAGACATCGTACAAGACGACGTGATCTCCTTCGACGGCAAACTTGATATGTTGGTTGCTGACCGCAGGAGAAGTGCAAACGACGTCACAGCACTTGGGGTCACGGCCGATGACGAAGTGGGATCGCGATTGGCCTGGGGGGTTGGAGAAGGACAGGACGATAGTGAAGGACAAGTCGCGTTCTTCAGTTCTGCCTCGTTCGCGGCGGTCGGGCAACGCGGGACGCGAATTCCCGCTGATACGGGAACGGTTGGCCTCGACGAAGGGACCGCAGCCTTCGAAGGCCGGTACCGTTAGTGTGAGGATCAGGTCGGACGCAAGAACCTTGCGCCCGCCCACGATGTATTCGTCAAGACCCATCTAATGTAGTACAGTGGAGGAGGTGCAATAATAGTGAGATGAAAGGATGCGATGAGATAAAGGTCCGCAAGATGCACAATCCTCTGGGTTGCCCGAGGTTTTAAGCCCGCAGGCATGAGTACATAAAGGGGGTTCCATGATGGGCCGGTCACACAGCGAGATGGTTGCTGAGGACTGCTGTAACGGATGGAGGTAGGCCCGCGACCAAACAACCTGGAGAGTGAGGTGTTGTCGTTGCCTGGTGGGCGGCCGCGAGGGGGAGGAAGGGGAGAAAGGGAGGGCATGAAGAAGAGGGCTGAACCGCGAGGAAGAAGGGGAAGCCACGATACCGAGTGAGACGGGGGCGATGAGATAGTCGTTATGGGGGGGTCACGAAGGAGGTTGCAGGTTTTACGTGTGCGTGAGATCAATAGAGGCCGGTTTATGGAGTTTCATCACTCAGCTGAACAGTGGAAGGCAATAAAATGAGACCAGAGTTACACAGCACCTTCCAACAATTGGCGAGGCGTTGATGAATCCCGATTTGGCAAGTGCCATTTTGGCCTCAACAAATAGGGTAGGTACGAATAGGGCGCACCTTGCGTTCTCAGATAGGTACTTCTTACATCTCCCATTCAGACTCGTCTTTCTAACATCCTAGATGCCTTATAAGCTACGTGACCTAATTGATGCTGGCCCAAGCACCACCGTCCTATTTAAGTTTTAGGGATTTTGTGTATTGGATTGATCTGATTAAGTATTTTGCCGAGTAGGTTGCGGGCTGTCCCGCCCGGCCGCTTGTTGAGTGCAACATTTCGTTTTATCTCAACCAACCACTTAAACAACCGGCCAGCCAAGTGACCGACCAACCACCCGGGCTGTCGGGGGCGGCATGGGCTCATGCAATTCCAGGCCTGCCATCAGACAAACACCGCAACAGCTTCGTTCTCGTAGCCATTTCACTCGTCGAACTTGAGTCCTCGAGGCATCCGTAGCTCATCTCATCTTGTGTTTTGTTTTGTTTTTCGATTATCAGCGACATTAATTTTGATATGGCATCACCTTTGGCCAGCGGCGACGAATCAGACTCCCCTGCAGTCCGCTTCTTCTCTGCCAGTCGGCCTCCCTCTCCCTCGCTTGTTCCTGGCTTCCTAAATCTTGAGGTTGTGAATGAAAAACTCAGGTTCGCATTGCCATTCGCGTCGCCCCATTGAACTCGCATCAAACTAACATCGGACACAGGCAACGCACCCTGTCTCCAGAGACCCCGAGCGCTGAAAAGGGGAGTCTGGATGCTCGCAAACCCTTTGACGAGCTCGTTGAGCTGGGAGGCATACCTTTGCGGCCTTGGGTTGACTACCGACCTGAAGATCTCACCGATGCTCAACGGGGTGACGACAATGGGGAGGAGTACATGATGTGTCGCTATATGGACGAAAAGATGTATTGGCAGGCCCAGCTGAGGCTTTGGAAACGATTCGCAAAACGCCGCAGTCAAGACTCTGAATCTGACCTCCACAGCCTAGAACCAATCGCCGCTGTCACTGCCTTTACAACCTACTTGCGAGGCCATTTACAGCGGGATATGGAGGACCGTGTTGGGCCCGGGCGCGAGATCTGGCCCGACTATATTGACATGGAGTGGCACAGAGAGTTTATAGAGGACATCGTGAAGAACCTTCCCACTGCGGAGTCCCTTCTTAAGGAACTGAGAAAAGAGAACTGCGACGAAAGCACACCCGAGGCACCGAAGGTCACTCGCGAGGGGCTCATTGAAGAATACAATATCCCCCATCGCCAGCTCTGGATGAAACTCTGGGGGCACAGTCAGGAGTCCTTGGCCGAGCAGGAAAGGTTGCTTCCTGCAAAACGGCGGAGAAATGACCCCGACAAAGATGGAAGCGAAGGAGACGCAAGGCCTTCAAAGCGCTTAGCATCTAGTGCGAAGCCAAGCGCAGAGACCGCTAGTGCCTCACCACAGGAGAGCCAAAAGGAGCAGTATCCAGACTCACAACAGGACGCCGAGTCGAAGACTCTCGACTCGAGCGGGGATCTAACAACATCAATTCCCAAGAAACTAAGCCAGACGAACACCAAGCGAGGCAAGCTGAGCCCCAGTAAGGAATCTACGGCTGTAGACGACCGTACATGTCGGCAGCCATCGGACACGGGTGAAGGTAAAACGGCGCCGACGACAAATACGGCGAAGCGTAAACAAGAGCTCAGGGGTGGGGATTCCGCACTAGATGTCCCGGGTTTGAGGAGGAGCATTCGAATTGCTGTTCGAGACCCGTTAAGCAAATGACCGTAGCAAATGACAGGATATTCTGCCGTCCGGGACTTCCGGAAAGGGGGGGGGGGGGGGTTCATCACATGCGGTTATAATGAGGTTACTAGCCAAGTGACCGCCTTCCACTCAGCCTACGGCTCGTCGACAGATAATAGTACCGGGGTGTCTCACTTGAGTTAAGGGAAACGCAGAGATTAGGGATAGGAAAAATGATAGTGATAGGGAAAATTACAATTCTATCTTTACAAAGCTCTGCTTATTAGTCATAGTATGAGAGCGCTGCCAACAGCGTGTGGCTCGTTCAGATTAATGATGCCCGGAAAGTCCCTGGTGTGCGTGCCGTTGCCCCGTCCTACCCCATTCCAAGCACGTTCCCATCTGCCTACTGGTCTTGTTGTTAGTTGACGTCCATTAAGAGGTCTGAAGAACGAGAAAGTGAGGATAGGGCGTGAGACGGAACAAAAGGGGGACAACTTACGTATCCAGCGTATCTATTTAGTTCCACGGGGCGGCGTGACCGGGACGAGGGCACATCATCATCTATGTCTCTCCTTCGCGAGGTAGACCGTATGGTAGAGCCCGAATAATAGATGGGTTGTTCCGGAGAGGACCCGCGATAATCAGAGCTCCTCGGCACGCCCAGCGCAGTATCGGCAGGCCGTACCGTGACGCCTGCGCCCGGAACGAAATAGCGCCTCTGTCCCGGAGAAGGGTCGTAATCGTTAGATCTCGGCGACATAGCTCGCCCGGCCGGGCCCGGCCGGTCAAGCCTCTGCAGCTGGTCCAGGTCGTCGACGCACTCGGCCGCAGAGGGTCGGCGCGAGTCCCTCCACGTCAACATGTTGTTCACGATCTGCAGGATCGGCCATGAACTCCTCTCATACATGGCCTGCGCTCGAGCGGAGATCTCCCCAGGGATTTCCGTAAGAACGTTGACCGTCATATCCATCAACGTCGTATCAAGCAACTCAACCCCTATCACACCCATGGACCAGATATCAACCACCTCGGTGTAGGGTAGGCCCCCAAGCAATTCGGGGGCGCCGTAGAATAGCGTCCCATATGCCCCACGCATTGGTGACGAATCGCGCTTGGACTTTATCTTAGCCAAGCCGAAGTCGCTGAGAGCGAGGGAGAGAGGATTCGTCTGTCGCACGAGGATGTTGGCGGGCTTCAGGTCGCGGTGGGTGACGCGGTGCTCGTGGAGGTAGACCAGGCCCTCGGCCACCTGCCGAAGGATCAAAGTTGCCGTTCCGTGCGAGAACGGGGCCGCCGACGCGGAGATCATGTTGTCGAGGCTGCCTCCCGCGCAGTATTCCATCACAAGCATGTTCTTCTCGGGGCCATCCTGGTACCAATCCTTGTATCGGATGACGCGCTCGTGCCGGAGACGCTGCAGCGCCCGCATCTCTTGGATGAGACTGTCATCTACCCGTGGCGGGGTTTTGGGAACTCGCCGTGAGGACCTGCCATCGTCGTGGTCCCGACCCTCGGCAGTTTTGTTGAGCTCCTTCACGGCGAGGACCGTCCAGTCGTGTAGGCGATGTACGCGGGATACCGTCCCGAAAGCCCCCTTCCCTAGCGGCGACTCGAACCAGTACATGGGCCGCCAGTCAGCACCCCCACGGTACTGGGATGGATCGGGTGAACCAACGGGTGAAAGCTCGCTCCCTGAACATTTTGAGAGGAACGCGTCGCGGTTCTGGTCGAAATCGTCCATCTCCCACAAGTTGCGGCGCGGGAGCCGGATTATGAACTCGTGACCCGGGATGATGAGGGTGATCTTGCATTCCTGGGGCAAGATGCATCGGTACGGCGCCCCCGGCCTCGGGGAGGTTTGGTGGGAGCCTCGGTCGTCCAGGGCGATATGGCTACCGGTAGAAGAGACGTCGTATAGGACGATGTGGTCGCCTTCGATGCTCAGCTTGATATGCACGTCATCGACGGCAGGATCAGTGCAGACAACATCGCATGAAGCCGGGTCGTAGCCAATGGTGAAGTAGGGGCGTGACTGGGCCGGGGGGTCGGAGAAGGTCAGGACGACGGTGGGTTGGATAAGAGGCAATGTACGCGTGCGGTCGGTACGGTTGAAGGCCCTGAGGATCTTGTCCTTGACACCGCCAGTCTCGTCGATACGGGATAAATTTGTTTTGATAAAGGAATCTGCAAATTGTAGTCCATGGGGAGAAAGGGCCAACTCCAGAATGACGTCCGACTTGGGGACATCACGTCCGTTGAGGGTGTAATTACTAAGAGCCATTGCGTTTGGGTTTGGCTTCGCAGTAGTATGGTTCTTGAGCCGGTAAGGTTCCAAACCCGTCTACCCTCTCCCTTTATAAGTCCACGAAGAGCGTATATTCGAAGAGAATAGGGGTTAATCAAGGCGCGCGGCTACGATAGTTCCCTCATCAGCCCACAGGCCAAGAGATAGACCTAGAAAGAAGCCATGAACTCGTGGGGCATCACCAACAATAAGTAAGCGTTGAACCTCGTGTCTCGCTAGCAGTTTCGTGGTCGATGTGAGGAAGCGAGTATGTAAGGCAGCGAGCCTTGGGTCGTGGAGACGCCATATCTCACATCTCTCCCGCCCAATAGGGGTACATGTTCATGCATAAGCATGTCCACTTAAGGAACGAGACTCGCTCACCCAGGCGTGCGCAAAGATGGGAGGCGAGGCGTTTGGAGGCCCAATCAGTGAACCCCGGGCGGGCCGTCTCCGTCTTTACCCTATAGAAGCTTTAGGGGTAAGTGAATGATTCGGGGGGAGGGCTCTTCCATTCCTACAAGCGGGGTTGAAATGGCATCAACACAAGTTCCTTGCACCACACCCAAGATCGAGAGCGTGCGGCGTCCAGTCACCAAACAGCACAAATGGTGAGAGTATACTTAGGGAAATACAGTTCTTTCTGTCGGCTCCTAGCCTCGTAGTATATCGTTACATTAATCACCTCGGACAACCTCATCGCAACCATACCCATCCACACCACCTAACAGCCATCCCTAATCCAACTTTCACGATGGGATCCCAAAATATCCTGGCCACACCGCCAACCCCAAGCGCCATCCTCGATCCCCTGCTCGAAAGAGTCCGGGCCTTCAACACGCAACCCCCTGTCGGCCTGTGCCAGTTCAACCTCGACGCGGAAATGCCCCTACTCCTCAACCCGCCCGACGAGCCCGTCCCATGCAGCGAGCCGCTGGCTCTATTCGAGGCCGTCAACGCGCACTTCTCCGCCCAAATCCACGCCTTCTTCCACGCCCTCCACTCCCTCGAGCAACTAGCAGTCAACGAACCAGACCTCATCCGCCCCACCTCCGGCCTCCAGCCCGAAATCCAAATCACCAACCAGTCCTACGACATCTACCCCGACTGCCTGCACCGCCTCCACCCCAGCCGCCGCCTGACCGTCCAAAACGCCGACACCCTGCCCCTCCTCCACCGCGTCACCCAGCTCCGCGTCCACCCCGAAACCAACTACCATTGCGAGCCCGGCCTCGACTCCGCGCACCAGCGACCCCTCTCCCCGCGCGTGCCCTTCCAGCTGGCCGCCCGCCTCCCCAACCTCCGCGCGCTGCACTGCCGCTGGCTGTGGGAGCGCCTGCCCGTGGCCTTTTGGTCGCGCGCGCTGCGCGTGTTCGCCCGCGTCTGGGAAGGGCCGTGGCGCGACGCCCGCGCCGAGTTCGCGCGGGGCGTGCGCGACTTTGTGCCCGTGATGCCGGCCGGCCTGGCCAAGGTGCGGTTGTGGTTCTGGAAGCCGATATGGGGTACCGAGATGGATGAGGCGGTGCGGATGCCGGATCTTGTTATGGGGGCGTCGTCGAACGCTGAGGAGTTTGGGGGGGTGGATCCGGTGTCGTGCGGGTTGAGGGAGCTGGGGGGTTGGCTGGAGGAGTTGGATGTTCGCGCGCTTGTTACCCCGGATCTTTTTCCTTGTAGCGGTGGTGGTGGTGGTGGTGATGGGTCAGAGGCGGGCGATGCCGCCTCGTCGTCGTGGCCGCGCATGCGGCACCTCAAGGTGGAATTCCATCCGTGCGCGCCCACCGGCAGCTGGTACTTCTCTGGCCCCCGGGGTGAAGACCCTTTTCCGACAGGGTTCGCTGTTACGAAAGAGGACCACTACCCGCCGGGCCGGGAAGACATCGAGGAGACGCACGACTTGTGGTGGCGGGATGAGGATGAATGGGATGACATGGGCAAGGACGAGAACATTTTCCAGCCCCGTCGGCCGGACATGTTCCGCATACGGCCCATCCAGGAGCGTGTCAACCCTCTGCTCCTGGCGTTCGCGTCGTCGCTTGGACGGGAAACAATGCCGTCCCTCCAAGACGCTGAGCTCTTCACGTGGCTTACGTGGCTGCCTTCTGAGGAGCGGAGGAAAGAGTATGAAGGGGGCGTTGGGGCGCCTGGGGCTTCTTGGGTTCCGCAAGTAGATGGCGACTGTCAGGTTATGTTTCGATGGGGGGTGAAATACGAAGCGCCGAAGGGAGACGAGAAAGGGAAAGTGACGTGGCAGGTCGGGGAGAGCTGGATGCCGGGGACCGAGATCATGCGGGCGTTTGAACATCTTTTGGGCGAGGACAGGGACAATGTGGAGTGGCAATCGTTTGACTTTGTAGAGGATCGGGACTCGTATATGGCTGACTATGATTGAACGACACAGTACGCCTCAGCCAGCGGGTGACTTTGTACTACATGCTGCGGCTCTTGGATCCCTACCTCCGAACAAACAAGTTTCGGAACCCCTGGGTCAGATTCCTCACGTTCTCGGCAACGGTTTCTGACGTCGACCGCTGAAATAACAGGTCGATTTCCTCGAGCGTCTTGTCCTTCGTCTCGGGCATGAAGAGAAGCTGGTAGATCCAGCCCACGGCCGCAATGCCGCCGTAGAAGCCCAGCGTCATGCCCGTCCGCGTCATGGCCTCCTGCATCGCCGAGAAGTTGTACGTGACGACGAACGAGGCCAGGAAGAGCAGAGCGGTCGAGGTGGTCATGCCGTAGGACCGCAGGTACGTCGGGTACACCTCGGACGGCACCACCCACGTCAGACAGGCGTAACACCCGAAAAAGCCCATGTACAGGATGAGGCCGATGAGATAGGTGGCCTCGGCGGCTTCGAGGTTGGTCTCGATGTTGATCTGGTAGCTCGCGCCGATGACGACCAAGCCGACCACGAAGCCGGGCAGCATGGTGTTGGCCCAGAAGCGGCGGCCGTACCGCTCCATGAAGAGGACGGCGGGGATGGTACCCAGCAGCAGGGAGCCGCCGCCGACGAGCGACATGTAGTTGGCCTGTTCCTTGTCGAACCCGATCTGGTTCATGAGCACCGACATGTAGTACATGATGGCGTTGACGCCCGTCAGCTGGCCGAGCAAGATCATGACGTTGGCGTAGATGAGCGCGCGGCGGGCGCGCGGCACCGTGAAGAAGTCGAGCCAGGGGAAGCGCTTGTTGACGGCGCTCTCGGCGGCGACGCGCGCCTCGTCGCGGACGGATGCATTCATGACGAAGAACTCGCGGCGTGATTCGCGGTTGCTGACGCCACGGATGCGCTTCCATACGCGGTAGGCGTCCAGGGTACGGCCCTTGTGCACGAGGAAGCGCGGCGACTCGGGCAGGAAGAGCATACCCACGAGCATGATGGTCGAAAACACCAGAGACGAGCCCAGCATGTAGCGCCAGTTGCCGGGCACGCGCAGGAACATGGCCGCCACGGCGTAACCGAGGACCTCGCCGAGGGCAATGTTGAGCTGGTACAGCGACACGAGGTTGCCGCGCACCTTGCGCTCGGCTGTCTCAGCCACATAGACGGGAACCGTGCCTCCCTCCAAACCCACGCCCATGCCGAGAAGCACCCGTCCGGCGATAATCATAGCTATAGGCGGTGGACGGCCGAGTCAGTGCCTAGGACAACCAACAAGCGGTGATAGAAAGGGTCGTGCATACCATAGTTGATGGCTCCGGCCTCCAGCGCCGCGCCGATGGTGTACAAGATACACGAGATAATGATGGACCATCGCCGACCGGTCCACTCGTTGCAGGGTGACAGAATCAAGGCGCCGCCAACAGCGCCGAGGGGCATAGCCGCGTTGACGAGACTGTTCTGCCTCGTGTCTAACCCCAAGTCGACGGGTAGGAACAGATTGGCGCCCGAGATGGTCGACTGGTCCAGGCCGGAGAGCAGCCCGCCCATGGACGCGAAGGCGACAATGACCCAGGTAAAGTACTTTGGGTTCTTGAACTCGAGGTCCAGCAGCCCCTTGCGCAGCCCGCCCTCGGCCTCGAGCTGGGCTTCCATGTCGTCGATGAAGGCGTCGACTTCCTCATCGTTGGGCTCCCCCGGCGCGAGAGCATCGCCTTTCTCGTCCCACACCGCGTCGGCCTTCTCGATCTGGGCGTCATTAGGCTTGGCCGCCATGATGTGTAAAAGAACGAAGCTACTATTGCTGGTGGGTTGAGAGCTAAACACCGGCAGGACTTGAATAGGAGGCAGAGAGGGGATAGGAAGACCACATGCAGCAGGCTGCTATAGAAGAGTTATAACCGCAGCAGAAAAGGTACAAACCGAAGTTCCCGTGTTCCAACTTCCAACTTCCAACTAAGACAGTTTTCAACCCCTTATTTTCAACAAGAGTGAATCACTCGCTGGCAAACTCCCACATTGCAAGGAAAGTTGGTCCGAAATAGCAGCGATGCTATACCCTTCTCAAGCCTTCTCCCCGCCAAAGCCCCTGAGAGCCCCCAGATAGGACCCCATAGTCTCCCCACACATCCCCAACTTCTCCAGTCTCATCCCCGGCTTGCTGTGTTGTTGCTCCGGATTCGGGCTCACTGCATCTGGAGGAGGTGGGCCCCCATAGGGGGCTGTCAAGGATGAGGCTCGTTGACACCGGACCCGGCCCGAATGGACGTGGGTCCTACATGTAGGGTGCGGCTTTTTTTCATACACAATAAGGCGATCGGCACTTTCGCCGCGCCGGTAGTTGAACACGCCGGACTCCTGGTTGGGTAGTAGCCGTAGCGGAAGGTGCCGTTGCCAAGATGACAGCGTTCCTGTCATTCATCGGTACCAAGGCGTGAATGTTGTCGGCTATCCCGGACCTAGCGGACCCAGGTCTCACGTTTTTACACTACAACGTCGTCATCCGGGAATCGTCCGGATAGGAATAACCCGCCGAGCATTGCCCTTTCTAGCCTTGTGGGGTTGGTTTGAAATCGCTTCTTCTTGCAGTCGATCGAGTGGGACCGGCATCGCCGAGAGGTCCATATATAACTGCCCTAGGCCTAAGAAAGTACTAGCAACGGTAAAAGAAGGATGGACGAAGGAGGGGCGGGGAACACTGAGGATTCGTTAAGCTGTCAAGATAGTAAAGGTTGTAAAACATTTGATTTGTAGGAGGAGATGCTTGTAAGAGAAAGGGGCTGGTTGTAAATCGACGTGCTGATTCTTTTGTACACATACTGTCTAATACTCTCGTTATCCTAGTGAATAAAACTAGGTTAGGATTATGTCGCAAGGGTAGGGATAGAGGAAAAGAAAAATACTAGATCTAGAAAGCAGCGAACCGCGAAGTGTAGGTTCGAGATTACCTTGGTCGAATTTCACATAGGAATAGTACCGATCCTATCCAAATATCTAATTCTTCCATGCTAGATTAGCCGGGCGCTCGCTAAGTAGACTGCTCGTTTTATTTACGGTCTGAGTAGCTGAGTCCTTTCAAACCGTGACACATCCGAAAACGGGGGCATAAGCCCACCACGTATCCCTTCACTCATTACTGATATCGCTACCTGGCGACATTTCAGATGCCATGTGCATGAACACAATCCAGAGGCTGCACCGTTTCCCCTTCTTGAAAACACCCGGGACCTTCCTCGCCAGGGCGCTCGTGACATCTAACTGATACTACTTAAGCTTTCATCTCCCGGTATATCTTGACCATCCTGTAGGAGCTCATCTGAGGCGTTTCGCCCACTTTCTTTGGACGTCTCAAACAAATCGACCTTCGTATCCTTCGCCTTTTTCTCAAGCTCCTCTTTTGTATGGAGTCCCCCAAGTATACTCTCGAGAGCGGCGCCCCTGGCAAAAACAGCGAGCTCACTCGCTCACTTATTCAATATCCACGTCTAGTGGGGGCGGGATTATAATCGTAGCTGAATTACTTGGAGAGTCTTACTGTAAGTTTTCTTAGTTGATTAGCTTGCTAGTTGTTGCTATTGGTTGGGGTATTAAGTGTAAAAACGAAAAAAGAGAGAGTTCTCGTAGCGGTAGACCCAACACCGAAGTTCATCAATAAATATAAAAAAACAAACTACAAGAGCACTTCAATGCCTACAACCACAAGGGAGTTACAGCAAGTAGGTTAAAGAGTTAGCAAAAGAAAGACTTGGATACGTTCGACTTTGGATAGGGAAAGTAGAGCCTAGAGAGATAAGTATATAAGTAGATACTCTAGACAATTGAAGATTGTTTCCAAATTACAGTAATACATCAATCCTCGGCAGAAACGAGAAGGCCCAACGGAACAGGTCAACCATTCTCTCATTATCGTAGCTTTGAGAGGACTTGCTATCCCTTGTAACCTCTAGACTAACAGAAATGTCTGAAGAGCGGCATCTCCGGCCTTGTACCGCTCCTTCATCTCGCCGTGCATGATGCCGTGGACATATGCCGTCCCTATAACTTGCCATGCCGGATCGTACACCTCGTCTTCAATACCAACCACTTTTGTCGGTGTCTTGAATCGTGCCGTGAACCCCAACGTGGTCTCTCCTGTCTCATCGGGGTGTAGCGTCTGTTCGACGAGCAAGGGCGAATCTGGGCTCCTCGACGTTCCAGCATACTTGGGACCATTCATCTCATGCCAAACTTCCGCCGTGGCGAGCTCGATCTCATTACTAGTATCCGAGGGGGTTGTGTTCTTCGAATCAGTATTCCCCGTTGCCGAGGCGCCGCTCGGGCTAGCATTGACCTGGTTATTCTCTCCCGAGGTGTTTGGTAGTACCTTCTTCCTGAGCACAAAGGGGACCGCCCCGCCAACCAGCACGGCAATGATATCGCCTGGAGCGGCCTGGATAGGCACGAGTGCAAAAAAGCCGGTCTGGGTTACGGCAAACCGCCGCTTGCGCAGCAACCCTTTGAGACGCTCGTTGATCTTGGAATTCGGATTTGTGTGCATGAGCTGCTCGTCGATATGAGAACCTGAATTCATCATGGCTTCGCTCAGAGGATTATTCTTGGCATCCTTGTACATGAGCGCCCGGTATTTCTGCACGAATTCGACGAATCCCTCGTCGTCGTATGAAGAGTAGCCGGCGGTAAGGGTTTGTAAGAAAGCGATAAACCTTGTCTCTCCGGTTGCCGGGTACGGAGCGTCGTCGAGATCAGGCGGCTCCATGGTGGAAAAGATCTGCGTCCATGGCCTGAGCGAGGTGTGCACGTGGTCCCATACTTCCCGTTTTTGTTGTATGACGTCCAAGATGGATATTTCTTCGTCCGAGTCCGGTTCCTCTTCTGGCTCACACTCCGGTTTCAAGAAGGGATCAGCCAGCACCTTGAGAGCGTCCAAGGTCTCGTGCTTTTGGTCGAATGCTTCCGAGATTGTGTCGACCAAGCACCCGTCCAGAGCCAAGAACTTGCTGTAATGGGGATGCTGAACAATCGATTGCTCGTCATCTCCCCCCTCTTCGGGCTGGGCTCGGTCGATGTACCAACGTTGGTTTGCGCCGTCCCTCAGTGACGTCTCGAGTATGTCATCCGTCCGCTGGCGACCTGCCCACGCTGTGAAGCTATCCCATTCGAAGGGAGACGTTGACGCAGTGTTCAAAAGATCGACGGCGCTTCTGCCACTGAAATCCGGAATCCAGGAGGGAAGATCGAGAAGACGTCTTTCCTGCCGCTCCAAAAACACCGTGATGATATCCAGTTGAAGATAGCGGTTGATCCATCGCTTGACAAGATTCGCATAGACTTGCTGTACCGAAAGTTGGTATGAGATGACGATGTCGAGTACACCCACCTGCTCGGCGAGTCCGACAAAGGCGAAGACGTTGTCTCTCGGGTCCGTTGCTTGCGCATCGGAATGCCTCTCGAAAACGTAAGGAAACGGACAGCCCAAGGCCTCGCCGAGATGTGTCGCCCTTCGGGTCCTCATGTGTCGAGACAGCCTGTAGAAGTAGTCGGGGTGCTTGGATCTCATTTTCCCTTCCCCTTCCGCTATGACCTCGTCAGCCTTGATCATGCTCCGCTCCAATACGTCCAGGTCGAGGGTGCTGTCGCCGCAGATGAAGGTACCCTTCTTGGGCAAGGCCATCTCCTGCACTATCCAAACACGATCGAACCAGGGGCGTTCGAGAAGATGGCGCATTGCCTTTTCGGTAAACCCGCCTGGCAGGACCATCGTGTAGAAGAGGGCGAGGTCGGCCAATCCACCCAGGGCCCGGCCGCTTTCCTGGGCAGCTTCCCCAAGCCATATGAGCACCCTGGTGCAAGTGCTGTAAATGGTTCCCATGAGTGCGACTTGCACCGTCTTCTCGTCGACATCTTCTTGGTTGATGCAAATTGCATCCACCCATAGCACGCGGTTTTCTGAGACGTGGCGGAGGTGCTGAAGCGCAGAAAAGAGGTTTGCGGTGATGTGCATCGCAGCGCAGCCAACAAAGATCTGTCGTCTGTCCCGCGAATCTCCCCAGCAATACGAGAGTGCCTCGAAAGAGACATCGGGGTCGGACAAGCAGGCAGAGACCAGCGCGCACGCAATGTCGTCTCCCCGGTTCCCCGGTTCAAGTATTAGCAGACGGATTTCCTGTCGTTCCCAAACCAAGTCTTCATACTGATACCCCTCGGCCATTTTTTCATGTGAGACACAGACAGATGGTTGGGAAAAGATTTGAGATCTGGAAATTGAAGACAATGAAAGATGGTTCAGAGTTGCGGGGTTGCACGGCTCGTAGCCCTTCAATCGATGCGTTCTCTTTGATTTCATGTCTAATGCCCCAAGCAGTTCTTTTCTTGGACGGAAGAATGCGGGGTAAGTTTATCTTATTGCCAAAGGCCCGCTGCTAACAGGAGGCCAACGGGCGGGCAGTCGCAACCCAACCGCACTGCTTGATCGGCCACGTCGTTAGCCGATTAGAAAGGGGTGAGTCGTCACACCTCTGTCTGGCTGTGCTGTAATCAAACCGCAGGCCTCACTTTCCCTTTGCAACCTCCGGTAGGTAAGGTAGGTAAGTCGGGACCCCTACTTTCGGACACCCTCACTTTCGGACACTTACATCGCCAAATTGGGAAATCGACTACACCATTTCATTACTACGATTTCCTACTTTTCGTGGCTACAACTAGTGTATACCTTAGTTGTAGCGGCGACCCGCGCTAGATGCGTAGGCGATAGTGCGTTGGTAGGACTTGCTCGCTGATATATCTGCTCCGTGAGCTGCAGAGAGGATAGTGGCGAGGAAGACGAAGCGAGCGTTGGGTACGACCCGAGTCTGTCTGTATAGATAGAGATGTGTTCGATTTGCGTTCCTGCGCCGATGGAAATCTCAGAAGCTGATACTTGGGTCGCCAAGGTACTTCCAATGTCGCCTCCATCTGCGCTGCTGTACTGCCCGGACATTTCGGAAGTCTCGGCATATCGCCTTGCATTGCTATAGTATTGTTTAACCTCAATATTGCGGCCGTTGGATCGGGTCTCGCCCTCTTTACCCTGACCGTGTAGGACCGAATTTCGGACCTGAGTTGTCGCCTTTGCGGTGATTTGGTACGGTGGTTGGGATGGAAAGGACCCCTTGCCTGGAATCCAAAACCGTTGTTCCGTACACCGGGGCTGTTGGGGGCAGAAACGGCCACTGCTGGATGCTGAGGGAAGGCTGGGAAGCCACTATCTCCTCAATTCAGGTCTGACACTTGGCTGCATTTTACGTCCGAGACCCCTAGTCTCCCAGTCCGACCGAACCATACTGAGCGGCGCGGGAAACAATGTGCTTAACGAAGGGCTCCTACACGACGTTTCCGAGCTCGACCTCCCTGGGGTTGACGCTCCCGCTGCCTCCCGTGTGGGAAGCCTGGCCTTCGGGGAGCTCGTGCCTACAAGTAAAGAATAGCTCGGTGCCGTTTAGTTCCCGCTTATCTAAGGGGTAAAGCAAACAACATCGAACTTCCCTCTCACTCATGCGCAAACTTACAGTAGGAACACAACTAAACAATTTTCAGCCCTAACTCAGAACCGTTTTAGCCGACCTCAACACCGAAAGAAAGATAGAACACAAGGTTAGGTAACAAACAAAACCTCCCGACTCATGACCGCCTGTTACCGCCCTTATTAACCCGACTCCCATGCGTAGCAGACCCCCTCTGCCGTTCCTGCCCCAAGCCCCTCCGCCCGGAAGCAGCCGCAATCCCCCCCTTTCCACCGCGTCCGCCTCCCCTCCCTCCACCGCCACCACCACCACCTCTCCCCCTCCCAAACCCACCAAACCCACCACCACCACCACCGCCGCCTCTCCCCCTTCCTCCACCGCTACCTCCCCTACGGTCACCCCCACGCTTGTTATCCCTGAACGCCTTCGCCGCAGCACCCTCATCGACATCCATCCCACCACCATCATCGCTCTCATCATCATCATCCCCACCCTTCCGCCCGCGGCTCCACTTGAGCTTCCCGCGCTGCCCGCGACGCGGCGCATCCTTGCCCCGTAGCGCAGCCACGTAGGCACCGACCCCGCTCTCCTCCTCACCAGCAACACCACCGGCCGCACCAGCAGGCGCGTCGATATCCATCGCACCACCGGCGTCCTCGTCCCCACCGAGGATCAGCTTCCCGTCGACGTCGGTCTTGGCCTTCATGCGCTTCCCCGTGCCGTCTTTGCGCAGGCGGCCGGGCTTGGTGGTGGAGATGTTGGCGAGGGCGTTGCGGTCGAGCAGGTCGAGCGGCTCGGCCTCGTCCTCGAGGATGTAGGCGTTGGCGCCCTTGTGGGCGGCGCCGCCGCGGCCACGGTTCTGCCGGTGGCGGCCCGTCATCTCGGCGTCCGAGTCGTCCGACTGGTCCGACTCGTTGCCGCCGCCGTCCTCGTCCTCACTGCTGTATAGGGCTTGGTCGTACTCGTTCTCGAACCGGCTCTTGCGCCTGCCCTCGCCGTCCGAGTCGTCGCCGCCGCCGCCACCCTCCTTGGCCGCTTCCTTCTTGCGCTTGCTGCGCTCCTTGGTCTTGCGGATGTTGGTGATGAGTTTGCGGTCGGCCTCCGGGCAGTGCTTGTTGACCGTGTCCACACCGAAGCGGCGGACCATGCGCTCGAGGATGTGCTTAACTTTGGAGCGGAAGTGGCCCTTGTGCTCGTGGCTCCAGACCATGACGTTGGGAATCAGGGTCGGGAGGCGCGGGAGCATGAGCTCGGCCGGCAGGCTGATGACGCACACCTTGACGAAGCCCAGTACGCTCTTGACGATCTCGCGATTGTTGGAGGTGAGGAAGAGGTCCATTGTCTGCACCAAGTCTGACATGGTCTCTTTGCTCAGCAGCTCCCGGAACTCGTAGAGGACGCGGGTGATGGCGGTGATGGATGCTGAGATCATGTGGGGCGTGCTGCCTGCGAGACCGGCACTGACCATGGTGAAGTACTCCTCGACCGAGGCTTTGGCCGTCGGCGCATCCTTAGGCATGTTCGGTACCTTGCTGTTGTCGATTAGTGCTCCGTCCGCGGCAACCATGGTTTGGCCCATTAGAACAAGAAGGTCGAAGGCCGTTGTCCGAGCCTTCTCATTGTTCTCCTTGCAGCTGATGACGACTTCGGAGAGGACAGCGGGAATGAAGTGGAGTGACGTGTGAGGGATGAAGGGGATCAGCGCCGTAATCGCGGCAAGACGCTCTCGCCTGGCGGGCGCAGACACCTTCTCGGCACTCGACAGGATGAGGCTCTGGAGCTCGGGGTGCCTTTGCTCAAGAGCAGCCTTGCCAATCTCCGAATCTGCTAGCCGCGGAATCATCTTGTAGGCTTTCTTCTGAAGTTGCGGGTCGTCGTCCTTGAAGACCACGAGTGACGCGATCCTGAATAGAGCCTCAAAGCTCTCCCTTGGTAGATAGATGGACATGGTGACGACAAGGTCCATCAGCGTGTGGGCGGTAGAAGGCACCTGTTCGCCGCCCTGCTGGTTCTTGGGCTTCTCGACAGGTTCTTGGAGAGCCGCAGCCAGCTTCTCGCACACGAGGTCGAACGTCTCCATGAGCCGCGCCGGCGGGATGACGCTGAGGTAGGCATTGATGGTTTGCAGAACCGGGCCCCGCTTCTGGGGCAGGGTCGTGCTGTAAACGTTGAAGAGAACCGCAAGGAAGTCGGCAGAGAATGCAGTCCCGAGGTACTCAAGGTTCTTCTGCGCCGCCTCCTTGGTGACCCTGCTGTGCAGGACAGGGTCTTCTTCCTCCGTCTCCAAGGCAACAACAGCCTGGTTAGACTCCACGAGCGCCTTGAGGGCACGGCAGACATCCAGACGCAGCTCGACTTGTTCATAGAGCAGACTTGTCAACATCTCGGCAAACTCCTTGTCGAACGCCTCCACGAGGTCCAGCGGCAAATCGCAGAATCCCGGGAGAATGGACCAAATTTGTTGCACAACTGTCTCGAAGATCTTTATCTCCATCGTCTTCGCAGCGTCACCGTGGTCTAGCACACGTTGGAACATGGCCGCGCTCAACGGTACAAATTCGGTCTTGAAGTAGGCGAGGTTGGTATTTGACGTGTAGTCGCGCAAGAGTGGCAGCATCCACGCCCTCCCCGGCTGGCCTCTCGCCGGCTTGGTCAAGTTTAGGGGCAACACTCCCAAAACCGCCTCCGGGCCCATGGCTCGAATTGCCTTCCCAAGCACTTCGTCGGCCTCCTGTTTTCCGGCAAACGAATCGTTGCCGCGCATCTCGCCGATGCTCTTCGTTATGGCAAGGAGATAGGGTGCCGCTCTCCAGCGCAGGGCGTCAAACATGGCACCGATGACGTTGAAAGTCTCGAGCCACGCTGCTTGGTACTTCACAGTGAGAAGGCCCTCCACCGTGTTCACCAGTTGTTGAATGACCTTCTCGTCGTATATTGATGGGTCCACCAACACCTGTCTCGGGACACAGTTCGCCATAAACGACACCAAGCACTCCGAGGCCGAGATCCGGATGTTCTTGACCTCGGACTCGAGATACCCCGCCGCCATGTTAAACGGCTCTAGAAGTTCCTGGAACGTCTCCTCAGGCGAAATCTGTGCCGAAACATCGTAGGCTCTGGATACGATCGCGATCCAAGGGGGAAGTAGTTGGGTATCGTTGGGAGCCGGGCGCAGCTCCTTGATGATCTCGAGTAGCCTCGGCAGCTTGGCCGAAGCAACGTCGTCTGCCATGCCCTCAAAAATCATCTCGAAAATATCGAACACCGACATGCTCATGTGCTCGTTTCCGGACCGGGCAATGCCAAGGAGAAGCTCGCAAAGCGACTCAATCTTCTTGCTCGGCCATCCGCCGCTGGCCGACGCAACGGTCTTGACCAGCTGCAGCGCGTGGATCAGCTCCGGGTCGTGCACGGCCTCGGAGCCCTTCTTCTCCTTCCTCAGCTGGGCGGCCTTCTCTGCCACTGCGTTCAGGCTCATGATGGCGGTCTCGGCGCACATGGCGGCGGCGGGGTGGTCGAGGGAGGGGCTCGGCGGGGGGCTCTTGAGGATATTCCTCAGGGCTTCCTGCGCCCTCTTGCGCACCTTCGGGCGGGGGTCGAGGGAAAAACTCAACAGGCCGCCTACCGCACGGCGGGGGCCGATCACGGCAGCGCTCATCTCCCATGCTGCCGCATCCTGGGCCAGCAACAAGCCCTCCAGGCAACCAATTGACGATCTAATCAGGGGCGCATCGGCGTCGGGCTGGGACAATACTGGCGCAAGTAGGGTGAGGATCTGGGTGAACTTGGCACGTAGGAGGGGTTCGGGTGCGAAAGGTGTGATGACATCGAGGAGATAGACGACGGGGTGTGCGAGTGTCTTGTTGTCGAGGAGGCTGAGGAGTGCGGCAAAATAGGCGGTAGGGGTGGGCTCGGTGTTGCGTTCCTTGAGGGCAGACTCGACACCCTCGAGAATACTGGCGGTCTATATAATGCGATAAGTCAGCGCTCGGGGATCGGGAAGGGGAAGAAGGGAAGAAGGAAAATAATTGAAGAGACAAATAGAAACATAAACCCACCTGCTTTTGGCTCTGCAGATTTGGAGACCGGATTTTGTCCAGCTTCTCTTTCAATGAAGGAGAAGCCATCTTGGCAGTCTGTATCTGAGGTCCGGTGTGCAAGACGAAGCACCTCTCGGTCTGGAAATCGAGAAATTTCAAGAGCAAGAATCAAAAAGTTGGGTATTATCGCTTATCGGGGCCAACCCCACCTTGCTGCAGGGTCCGATAAGGGTTGGCGGCGGGCAGTTGAAGTTCAGGGTTAGCTGAGGTGAGTTCAAAGTTTAACGAACAAACCTGTTCATCCATGAAGAGGGAAGTACATGCGAGTGTTGATGTTTTATTTTTAGTAATGCACACTTTATTCCACATTTTACTCGTTAAGTTTCGCCAATGGCTCTCCAGTCACTTTATCTGCATACAGTGACCAAACCCCTTCTAGGACCTGTGTTAAACAGAGGAGGCTTCCTAGGCACGCTAGGCTATTACAAACTAGTCGTTCATCAACTGGGGGCTTCAAATAGTATACGAGAAGACGGTACACTTGCGGGGCGGCGGCTGGCACGGTGTTGGTTGGGACGGCTGTTGGCTCAGGCCTTGATATGGTCCATTGGCCGAGTTAGGTACTTCCTCTATCCCACAATCGTCGAATCTGCCCATCAATTATGCTCTCTAACCCCAAACGCCAAAACCATCCAGGTGGTATTTCAAGCAAATTCGTTGTCCGCATCCTCGATCTGGTTCTTGATCCTGAGCAGGATCTCCGTCTTCCACTTGTCCAGTGGGCTCATCTGGTTGTAATGGTACAGCTTGTCGGTGAACACCTCCTGGTCCCCAGCGTCGATAGCGTCGACTAGATCCGAGAGCAGCTGGTACTCCCGCTGGCTCGCAAACGACGGGTCCTTCTCTCTGTACCTATCCAGGTTACGGCGAGCGCTGACGAGATCCTTGGTCGCCAGGATGCAGATCCCCGCCTTCATCCAGTAGTCCTTGACCGAGTATTTCATCAGGTGGTTGTCCAGCGACGAGTCGGCCACCTTCTCGTAATTTTCCACGGCCTTGAAGTAATCACCCTCGAGCCCCGCCATGTCGGCCACCTTGAGCCAGTTCTTGTTCGCCAGACTATCCCAATCGCGTTAGCAACGAAACATGGGACCGAACCGGTGCATGACTACTCACGCCTTTGCCCCGTCCTCTTCGTAAAAGCGCGCCGCGTCGGTATAGAGCGGCATGGCGCCCTTGCGGTCACCGACCTCGTCGAGCAGCTCGGCCGCATTCTCCAAATGCGATGCCGCGCGCCGGAAGTTGCCCTTCGCCTGGTATCGCTGGATGGCCACCTGGATGCAGCGGATGGCGTCCTGGGGGTATTCTTTCCGGTAGACCTTGAATGCGTCCACCATTTGGTTCGCCGCATCGTCCGGCTCGTTCAGCTTGTCCTTGTGAATACCCGCCGCCGCCTCAAAACACTGTCCTGCCTCTTTGTCTATCTGGGGTCAGCGCGTGCCGGGCAGGGGACTGGCTGGGCGCAAGCGGCGTACTCATCCGCTCCAACCGGTAGGCGTTGGCTGCCTGGATGTAAAAATCGGCGGCATTTTGGTATTTGTCTTCTTTGTTGCTGAAGAAGCTGAACCCTCCGGAAGCGCCCTGGAGGGCCTTCTTCGCCTGTGTACCTGATCGTTAGCAGCGGTTCGGAGGGGTGTGGCGGGGCTGGAGAGTAAGCGCACCTTATCCTCAAGTGCGCGCGGGTCGAGAGCCATGGTGTTATTTCGATGGTATTCGGGTGCGGTTTCAGAATGGACACGAATCGAGAGCGAGGCTATGATCGGGTAGTGTCGCGTTGCAGTCTTATACCGGGCTCAGCGGGCTGGTTGGGGGCTTTGGTAAGGCGGGGCAGTGGGCCAACACAGTCTCATGTCTGCAGCGGAAGCTATGACGCCAGCTGTTACGAGTCCAAGCATTCCCCCTTTGGGTTCTAGCGTTTGCTAAACAGGTTAGCCTGTGCAAATTGATCAAGCCAAAAATAAATATTTCCAATTCAACACCAACACCAACCCCAGCTTCATTCAGCTCGTCTCATCCCAGCCTCAAACCACGCCCAACAACCCGACTAGGCCAACAAGATGGCCAGCCCGCGCCTCCCCCTCTCCCGTCTCACCGGGGGACTCCGTCTCAGCCAAATCCAGACCCGCAAATCCTCAACCGCACCACCCACCGGACCACAACCGCAACAACACGACCCTCACGCGCTGCTCTCCAAACCAACCTGGTCAATCCGCGCCCTCCTCCCACCATCATCCCCCTCCAGCACCACAACCACCACCCCTTCACAACCCCCCCAAATAACCCCCCCGCAACTCACCCACCTCCTCCGCCTCTCCGCCCTCCCCCAACCCACCACCCCCACCGAAACCAGCCACATGCTCGCCACCCTCCACGCCCAACTACACTTCGTGCGCGACATGCAACAGGTCAACACCGACGGCGTGGAACCCCTCGCCGCAATCCGCGACGAGACGGTAGCAGGGCAGCGCGAGGCGACGGTCGGGGTGGCGACGGTGCGGGCGGCGCTGGAGGCGGAGGAGACGCACGGGCGGTGCCGGCGGCCGAGGCGGAGGCGGGGCGCCGCCGCCGCCGCGCACGAGAAGAAGGAGGATGATGCGGGTGGTGGGGGGATAGAAGGGGTGGAGGATTGGGATGTGCTCGGGGGTGCGGGGGAGAGGGTGGGGAGGTATTTCGTTGTACGGAGCAGGAAGGGGGATGTGAAAACACACTGATAAGATTGCTTGTTTCTTCTAAGTTCTAATGGATCCACGCGTAATCCTTTTATCCATAGGACACTGCTTAGTAATCCACTCCACTAAAAAGTGGGCCTTCTGTCCATATATCATCCATCCCTTCTTCAATCCCCCGGTCAATATAATCGATGCCCCCATCGTACAATACCAATAGCTACAAAATCGTAATAATACTATCCTCTATCAATGCCCACTTAAGTCAAAGTCCTTTCCCGTTAACTCCTCCTCCCAACTATACGTACTCAGCTCCTCCAATCCCCTGCCTGTAATGATCTCATCGTCCTTCTATCCTATATATACCCCGTACTCCATCCAATCTTTATACCCGCAATATCCCTTGAGATGATCTATATAGACTTTCCTCATTTTCCCTGGTCGGTTGACAGATTAAACGATATATATATAGGGTGATTTATAACGTATAATACGATATAGTCTAGCCTACTGTAGATGAAACTTAGATTTGTCTGTACCCTCCTTATCTCTTACTTCCTATACCTATAATCTAACTTTAAATTACCGAATTAGTTTAGTATCTAGGTAACGGTCTGCCCTATTAGCGAGCCTGGATCCTATATTATACTATATATCGTTGTATATATCGATATAAGCTATAATATAGTTATATACCGCTAAACTATCGTTAAAAGTAGCGGGCTTTATACCTAATCCTATAATATTATCCGGAGCGGGTATATATACCGGGTTAAATCCTAGGAATACCGATACCGGTAAGGTTCCTAATAATCGAAACCACTGTATATTAATATCTACTGTAATATATAGTAAGACTGTTGGCTACTACTATAGGTCTTTTCCAACCTTAGTACCGGTCTACTTTATAAACTAAGCCTTTACTAACCGTATATACCATTTAGCCAGTCCAACACTTTATAGGTATATTATCGGTATATAGGTTATCTCGGTACTATATTAAATAAAGATTATATTGAATACCGTATTCTTAAAATGAGAACTATTGTTAGTATATGTTTACTATAGCTATCTAATGACTGGCGACTATTGGTATATAAAGGTATAGGCTATTGAATATGCTGTTGCCTCTATTAGGAATATAGTAAAGATGAATCTAGTAAAGTAGTTAATACTAATCAGTATATACTTCTTCTCTCCTACTCTAACCGGGGTAATTAGGCCGATAAAGTCTATACTAAAGAGAACTATAGACTAAAAGACTACCAAATACTATAGGGTTCTATATTTTAGTTATAGGCTAACTTATTAATATACCTTATATACCTTACAGTATTTATCGACATTGCTTACCCGGTTAGGCTACTAGAACCGCCCTTACAGATATTACAATATAGTTACCTCTATATAATAGCTATAGTAGTTATATACCCAGACTATAATCTCTGCCCTCCGATTAGGGTTAATATATAAAGCTAAGCTATCGTTATTCTCTACCTATAACAATATAATACTGTCCAGTTAGTAGTTTAAGGCCCTCCTCTTTACTAGTTGTTACTAGGCCTTCAGCAGATACTGAATCTCCTTATTACCTCTAATCAGCTATATCGTAATGTCCCTATACCAATCGAGATTATATATATACTATATTTTCGGTTTTACCGAAGCAATCATCCCTACTAAGGGTAAACCCCCTTCTAAAGATATATCAGTAATCGGGGTATTATAGTCTAAAGTTATAATAGACTCCAAGCTCTAGGATATATCTTTCCTCTACCCAACCTTATAGCTTAATCTATCCTAGAGGTTGTTATACAATCTTAATATACTATCTATAATACCGATTACCTTATTAGTATTTGGCTAGTAATAAAAGATAATATTAAACTCGGTAATTATATTAATCTATTATACTACCTTAGAGTAAACCTTACCTAGGTTTATTATCGATTATACTACTAAAAGGTAGTTGCTATAAATATAAACTGGGAAGTCTAATACCTATATAATCTATTAGGTTTCCTTTAGTACTTATACTATAGCTAATATCTCCTTTTCCAGAATAGTATATCGAAGCTCCCTATCCTAGAGTGTAAATAATATAAACATATTAATATTAATTATCTTAAAATATCGTTTCTCCCGGTATTTGTCTAGTAGAGTCGGGTCTTCGGCATTACCTAGTTGGAACATTACAGCTCCTAACCTAGTAACACTAGCATTGTATATAATATAAAATACTTTAGCCGGGTCAGTTCTATAAATAGCATTTTACTAAATAGAGTTATAGATCTTCACTACCGCTTCGTCATACTCTATAGTCTATTGTAGTAACGGGTGAGCGACCTATTCGGTAATAGTTAACTTTTTCCCAGTTAGTATAACTTTCCCGGCCTTATAGAAGAAAGCTATCTTCAGTTTATAAACTAAGTTGGCCCTGCCTAGAATGTACCGTCTTAAAAATGGTATTAAAAACACTAACTATTATACCTTATCCTATAACCCCGGTAGTAATTGTACCTACTAATGTTACTATCTCTCGAACTTTGTAATATACTTTACTGCTGGAATAATTTTCCTATCTATTAGGTGAAATCCTACTACCTCTAGTTTATCTATAAACAATTATATCTTATCTAGTGCTAATAGGATTGGGCTAAATACTATCTAAGGAAAGTAAACTTTGTAAAGGAATACTAAATATATCTAGAAATTATATCCCGATATAATATAGTTATCTATATAAATAATAAATGAATTCCCGGTAGCCTAATAGTATCCTAAGATAGATAGAAGTACTGGCAATATTGTCTGTAATAGTCTAGGAGGTTCCTATATAACCTACTACTCTCCTATTTTATTACTTACACGGCTATATATTGGATATCCCTCTAGTAGTATCGGTTGTTCTGGGAATACCCCAAATACTATATCTCCAAATCTTGCGTATGTTATTGGTACGTATTTCAGGCCCTAAGCTATATATCTATAATAGAACCAGCTAGATAGTGAAATAAATCCGGTTAACCATTTATCTCTAGATCTAATCGGAACTACCTAGTACCTATTCTTAGTATCTAGCTTAGAGTAATATATCGGTTTACTTAGATATAAGTTATTTAAGTCCACCTCTATGTTATAGTATAGATAAGCTGATTTAATAGTATTGTTATTAACTAGGCGAAAATCATAGATAACTCGATATACTCGGTCCCCCGGTAGTTTAGCTAACTCTCTAGGCTTATCGATAAAGATAGTCCATACTCTATATAGACTTTCGCCTTATAAGATAATACCGGCTAATTCCATTTTGGTAAAAACCCTCTCGCTAAATTTCCGGTAACCCGGTATATATCTAAATAGCTTCCTAATATCTAGGTTCATATTAGGCTTAGTAATAATAGGATATTCAATTATATTAGTAGGCAGTAGATTATCCAATATATAAGAAAAGACTTTATACTATATAAAATATAATCGTTTAGCTAAGTTAATCTTCTCCTAAGTATCGGTAAGTAGCCTGATAGTAATATTAGAAGTTTCGAACTAAGAGTTGACTGTACTCTAGGAATCTGGTACTATTTGTAGATTTAGCAGGGATTGCTGTATCTTAAAGGGGTCCCCCTTAGTATTTCGATTTCCCTACTAAAACGGTATCTACTAGCCTGGATAGTACCTCTTACTTATAGCTTGGAGCTTGTCCTAATATTATTATAATATTTCTGGTAGTTTACTAGGGAATATCTAGTATAATTCTTAATAATACTACTAGGGGTATTACATTACCCGTTCTTACCCTGTTATTTCAACTAGAGAAACTTCCTAAATATCTAGAGCAATTTCCTATACTATCGGTCTAGTATTGTAAGCTAAGTTTCCTAGGTATCCTATAGCTATGCCGGCCATTTCGAGTTTTGGTGGGAAATTCGGATTTATAGGCTAACCTCTTTAAGTTTCGGTTTTCCTACCAAATAGCAGTTATACCCTATCTTCACCTACTTTCTAATACCTATAGCCTTCCTACCTATCCGGTACTTCTACTCCGGTATATCTATCTTTAGCTACCCTTACTGCCCCTCCCCATCTATTCTATATCCCTATAGTTTGCTAGTATTGTAAGGAATGTAGCTCCTCCTATCTGGTAGTATTGATAATAGTAATGGGTTTAGGTATAGTATATATAGTCTAGAAAACTTTTGATATAGTATCTAAATATCGCTGAGGTTTTACATTACAGTAGTTAAGGTAATAGTAATTGGTTTTATTGCTAATCCTACTATAGTCTAAATAGGGATGGTAATAGTATAATATACTTAATCTTATAATAGAGATATTGGTATAATCGGCTCTGGGATCCTTATATACCTAATCTTGTAAGTCCGTTAAGATTGGGCTAGTACTTTTCCTAAAGCTGTTAAACGCTTATATATTGAAGTTAACTAGAAGGTTGCTAGGACTTCCCTTATCTGATCCTCTATTACTGGAAGAGGAACTGTCGGTTCTATACTAACAATACGATTGTAATCCACTTCCTGGATAATAGTAAATAGAATCGTCTCCGGTAATCTATCTTAAGTATAAACTGTAATGGATTAGGTTCCCCAATCCTGAATAGCCCTGACTCTTATAAGCTATAAGTTGGATAATATAACGTTAAAACTGCTGTTGCTATAAATAAAGGCAACTATTCCAGTACTAATACTACCTATAACTAGGTTAATAACGATATATTTGGTAAGAGTATTAACAGAATTATTGGCTAATATAACCTCCTATAGAATTTCGAGGTTAGATAGTACTACCTTTATCTCCTTATAAAACTATAGTAATATATACTCTAGGGTTGCTCTGCTATCAATTATAAAGTAGTTTAACAATATACTCTAAATATAACCTTTAATATAGTATGATAAGATAGTGCCGACTTTATCTCGGCCAATTCCCCGATCCTAAATGATAAATATATTACTATACTGGTTAATTCTGTAAGTAGAGTAGGGTAAGAAGCTTAAACTTTTAAGTATTAGGATTGGGGGTATTACCGTTAACGATGCTGCTATCTTCTTCCTGTTACTATAGGCCTTAGCGGTAACCAGCTTTGATAATTCGGTTCGGAGTTTGGGAGTAGTATCCAATAATTAAAGTAAACCGATATTAAGGTAGACCCCGGTTAAGGTATCTCTAATATTAAAGGGGTTCTAACCTAACCTAGCTAGACTAACGATATATAATTTAGAACGAGTTATATTACTATCCGGTATAGTCGCTTCCTAACTATCTGAGGTATTGTAATTAGAGGGTACCGGTATTATAGGTAGTAGTACTAACTATATTACCTCTCTTAGTTTCTTATTAAACTTATTAATAACTTAATCAACTATCTAGTAATCGATAGCTGTTGGGCCAGTTGGTATAGACCGGTATATATTCCTGTTGTTTAACTTATTACTGTCCTGTTCTTAGTTTAGAGAGTTACCCCTATTAGTATTGTCTAATAAGGCTGCCTCCGGTAGGTTCTAGTAAGTTGGGATCTATTCTGGATATAGAATTATATTAGCTACTTCCGGTATCTCTATAATCGGAGGTAATATACTTGGTATAACCGGGTTATCCCCTTCGCTGGGAGCTGGGTAGTCTGTATCATTATGCAGATATCTGCTAATAGAGTCTTCGTTGATGTAGACCTTTTTCGGCTTGACTGGTTTGTGAACTTTGTCCTTTGGTTTGGTGGTGGTTGGTGTTATTATTGGCTTCGGCTCTAGCTTTCTAATAGCTATAATTGAGTATATTGTATTGTTATTCTTAATAGCCTTAATCTTCCGTTCTATCTAGGTAAACTCTACCTAGTATACCCTTATATTATATAGACTAAAGGTACTGATGAAATTAGTAAAGGATATCGATATTAAATTTAAGATCTGAGGATTACCTTACTGCTAGTTCTGTTAGAGTTGGGTCTATTATATCTATATATTCCTTATAGCTTCCTATCTAGCCTAGTATCTATATATATTACTATATTTTACATTTGGATCTATAGTATTCTAGTAAGGATATCTCTATATTAGGTATTTACATTTGTCTAGGCTATACTAATTGTAGTACTAGAGTTATCTATTTGGTTATTGTTGGAAACCGGTACTACTTAATGCTCTAGGCTGGGTTTACTGTAATCTGTATAAGTCTGGGTTATATAGTTATCGATTATTAGGGTTCCGATTTAGGAATAAAGGTTGCGGCTAAGGTAGTGCTTGGTTTACTAGGACTTATATAACGATGTTGGTGAATTTCTCTGTAATAGTAGTAACAATTTTCTCTAGTAACTTTATATCGTTAGTACCTTCGTTACTGTTATCCTTATTGGTATCGCCGGTACCAAACTGCTGGGTATATACTATAATAGTATTATAAATATCTTTAAATATAGTGGTTAACGCTAGGCAATCTATACCTCCGGTAATAACCACTTTCCCTTAGGTATATAATCTGTCGATAACTCTAACTTATAGGGCTGAGTCTTTCTCTCCGTTATATATGCTCTTCAACAGCCGGCTAGCTAATACCTCCTGAATCTCCGGTAATATAATTTTATAATATAGTCTATCGGCTCGTTTAAGGTAATCTTCTAAGGGTTTACTACTGTAACGCTTAAAGGATATAGCTTACTGTATTACCGCTGCCGAGTTTGTTATAGTTGTATAGGGAAATCGTTCTCAAAAGGCGGCTTAAATATAGTTGTAGTCCTCCCGATTACCAATATATTCCGTATACTACCAATCCTTGGCTTCACTATATAGGCCGGTACGAAATTTACTGTAGGCGATACGTTCTACTGTCTCTGTAGTAATATCTAATAGATCGATATTAACTTAAATATCTTCTAAGTATTCTATAGCTAATTCTCCCTTCCAACTATAAAAGGTTGGCTATTACAATGTTATATTAATATAGTGTTTCTTAATAAGTAATACCGGTAGATAAAAAGTAGATTATAAAGTATGAAATGGAGGAGGTATTGGTAATGGTAACAATGGTTTAGGGACTAACTTAGATAGTAATTGTAATAGTATTGTTAAATGGAAGTTATCTAATAATTCCTCCCAACCTCGGGATTCTCAGATATATAGTAATAATATCGATACTTGTCTATTAGCCGGTTGTATCGGACTAATATAAAGGTACTAAATATATTCTTATAATTCCAAAACCAGGGATAAAACTAGTAATGATAATAGTATAAGTTGCCTACTATATAACTCTAACGAAGAAGATAATAATTATCTAATATATTCGCCTAATCTTCGCCCTTAAGAAGATAACTCCTACCTTATCTTTATTACTATAAGGAAGGAGTATAGTAACTCTCTATTATAAAAAAGGAAGTAATAAGGTCCTTAAGGATAGAAGTAACAGTATAGGTAAGTAGTTTGCTCCTACCCGGTATAGTATATAGGGGTTTCCTTATTAAGAGTATATCGTACTATTCAATCCCCTAGTAACTAAACTCTCTAAAAATTTTAAAGTTATCTAACAGCTCGGAGCTAGCTAAATTGTTTAGGAAAAGTACCTTTATAATTATTATAAACCGTTTCTTTCTGGTATTATAGAAAGATTTCTTTTAATTATTATAGCTTCCGATCAGCCTCCGGTAGGTAAGAATAGAGCAAATTCTTAAAATCTCAGAGTAATTTCCAGATTCTTCAGAGGAGTATCGTAGGCTAAACTATTACCAGCTATCTAGCTTATCGTTCCAATATATATACTGACTGTCTTTACGAATTCGATCGAAATTTTTGTAAGTAGTACTTTGTATTATCGCCTGCTCTTCCTAGCCTAGGTATCTCAACAAGCTAGGCCAAAAGCTTCCGGCACATCTATCTTCACATCCCCTCAGGCTTTCTCTCACTTATTCGATTATACTATCGGACTATAATACTCGTCGGCCGTTTATAATAGGTACTTGGTAGTGGTTCGTTATATCGGTAATGTAATGTCGTAGGTATTGTAGGTAAACTGCTTGCCAACACTAGGCGGAAAAACTTAATAGTCTCTGGACTATACCAGGCAAAATCTCATATTATCAATACAGCAACAAAACAAATAAAAATTCCAGTCGGGAGCGGTTGATACACTTCACCTCCTATTATTAGGTACTATGAAAACACACTAATAAGATTGCTTGTTTCTTCTAAGTTCTAATGGATCCACGCGTGATCCTTTTGTCCATAGGACACTGCTTAGTAATCCACTCCACCAAAAAGTGGGCCTTCTATCCACATATCATCCATCCCTTCTTCAGATGGCGTTGCTGTGGGGAATGTGGATGTGGAGGGGAGAGGGGTAAAGGGGGGAGAGTGATATTTAGTACTCGACGTTTGGAAGGTTGCCACGGGCTAGTTACAGCCTGCAACCGCAGGGGAACGGGGAGTTACGAAGGACAGGACAGACACGTCCATCAAGCCGCAGATGGAAGGGTCAGAAGTACCACCATGCTGATTGTTATGTGGTTTGTCTCCTCAGATAACGCAAACTACCAAGTAGGCTAAAACCCCGGGTGCTAATAACATACAAATAGATAACATGACGCCGCCAACCTCTCCTCCCGCCAAAGACGACGTCTCCAAAACATACTGCTCGAGCCTCCCCGGCGACTGTAGCCTGACCCACCAGGCAGTTCATTTCTTATTCTTCTTGCGCATCCTGGTCCGGATAATCCCCTGGTCGTTCTCTTTCTTGGCCTCCACCTTGCCCAGTTCCACGGCGTCCCGCCGCTCCTCATGTTTTCGGTTGCGATCCTCATAAAACGACATCTCGGCCTCGTCCCGGGTGATGCGTGTCGTGTCTGTGTCCTCCCAGCCGATGTGCCGCAGGATACTGCCCACGAGGTATTGGTATCTCGGGTGGATACTGACCTTAGCAGTAACATCCACGTTCTCGACACCGTCAACCCCGATGACGCGCTGCAGCCCGGCGAGACCGAACTCGATGCTGCTGGTCCTGTAGAGGAATCCCAGCATGTAATCGTTCTCCGAGTACACGTTGACCAGTCGGCCCGACACCACGCTCTTCATGGCGCACCACGCCATGGGATCGGACGGCGCGGGTGTCCCGATCATGATGGCGTTCTCAACGAGTCCGAAAGCGCGCTTCTCGGTCAGACACATCAAACAAGCGTAGATGGCTCGGGCCCCTAAACTGTATCCGATCAGCGAAACACTGCGCTCACCCTGCGCTTTGCTTATGATGACGTCGGCAAGGGTGGATCCGAGTTTGTCGGCGCGGACCATGCCGTTGTTCCAGTTGTTATCGATGATCTTGCTAATCTTGAGAAGGCTGGCGGGCCACCGGCCGTCGGCCAGGTTGGAAAAAACTGGCCCATGCTTGTTAGCTATCATCATTGCAGAGCGGTTGGAGGGCCCGGAACGGTGCTCACTGGTCCGAGCAACGATCTCCTTCTTGGCCATGGACCACGCAGCGCTTCGCACAAGCGTATCGAACGACGCGCCCAATTTGGATAACGCATCCAGCTCCCAGCGGACGGCATACACCTCGCTCTGCTCCCCAAGACATTGCCAGGGACTCGCAGCGTCATCCTTGTTCATCGTCCATCCGCTGATGCCTAGGACAACTCGGAGCCGACGGCTCTCCGGGTCAACCTTGCCCATCTCTAGATACTGGCTAGGCGAACCGCGAAGCGGCAGGAAAGCAAAATCGCCGACATCCTTGAGGTAGTGCTCCATCATCTTGCCAGTATTTCTGCTGCCGTATATGCCGAACAAGGCGCCCACAGCTAGGCTATTTTCGCCCATAATACCAAGAAGACCTGCTGCGGCTGGGCCTGGGATCCCGGCGATCCCAAAAACGGACCCGATACGTGCTGCTTCGAACGCTGTCGGGAGGCCACCAGCCCCAGGAATAGCACCGGCAGAGATACCCGCCAACCCAGCCCTCCACCTTCTAATGGGCTTGCCATCTTCATTCTTCTTCGGCATCAGAAGCTCAGGCGGGATACCCTTGGCGATCTGGGCCAGGGCATCGCACACCCTAACCTCATCCTCGGTCAGGACACGAAGAGGCAGCTGGAGAGCCGAGGCCATGTTTTGGAGAAGGACGCGGGTATAAGCGCCATAGTTCTCGATAGAGAGCAGCAGAAGGAGCAGCGCGTGGAGCAACAGGCACCTCTTCTCCACGGGTGAAGAAGAGAGCGTCGTCGATGTGGGCGGGTAAAGCTGCGTCAACACAGGGTCGGCTTCTAAGCTGAGGGATGGGGTGACCGGAGACTTGGGAACTGTTGTGTTGTCAGCAAGCCTGAAGGGCGGGTACCCGGTCGTGGGATCCTACCGGTTGATTTGCCTCTTTTGTTAGAGGGGAGACGCTTTTTCGGTCCAGCAGGCGCAGGGCTAGGTTGGAAATCTGGTCCTTTCTTGACCGAGATCTCGCCAACTCTCCGGTGGACAGCCGTCTGCCACTTCTTGAAGTGCAGCAGAGCCTCCTTCTTCAGCTCCTGAAGCCGTGGGGTGGCGTCGCTCTCCTCTTGGCTAGAAGCGTCGGCGGTGCTCGGAGCAGCACCGCGTTTGTCTCGGGCCCGACCCGCCTTCTTGGAGCGGGGAGGTTTGACGTTCTCCTTGGGGCCCAATCGGGTCTCGTTCAAGGGGTTATGCAGGCTCACATCCCTAAGGTGATAGGGCAGCTTGCTCCATACGGTGTTGCGGGATGCCTCGGCCTTGGCGCCGCCGGGGACGGGGTCAAAGAGCAGAGCGACATGTTTAAGCATCGACTCGGTCACTCGGGTGACCAACGCCGTCAACTCGGTTTTCTCGGCGGGGTTTAGCAGCGAGCTCAGGTCAGCTTCACGCCGAACAGTGTTCGATCGTGGCTTGCCGTTGGGAGGCATTTCCGTGGTACCGTCGTCAGACGTTGGCTGTTGTTCTGCCGCCTCGAGGGCCTGGGTAGTAGTTGATTGACCATTTCCCTTGATCGACTGTGGCTCATCTTTAATGGTAGCCATGTTGTCAGGAACGGAAGGGACCCGCTCACCCCTAGCGACTTCCGTTAAAGTGACGAGATACCTAGGTAGGCTGCAGCGGGCACTGCCGAGTGTCAGTGTTGTACTGTGGAGTGTTGGGCTAGAACGTTTCGCTGACTCGGAAGTTGGTGTCGATGAGGGAGGGCAGTCGCATCCGGCTTTCACTAGCCTGCCTGCAGAGGTGGATGTGGATCGTGACTGCTCTTTGGGCGATCGAGAGCGACTCAATTCTCCAGAATGGAAGCAGGAGCCCAGTGCTGGCCAAATGTTAACTGTTTGCGTGTCGGGACGCTGCTTTCCTTCCGCCTGCTTCCTGCAGTGAGACCCAACCTCTAGTTTAATGTCACCCGCAAAGCCATCAAACTACAGCGGATATGTGATCAAATGCCGTTTGAGAGACGACGTGTTTGAAAGCCACGATGCCGAGAAAAAGGAAAACAAACTTGGGCGGGAAGGTGGAAGGTGCAAGCTGGTAGGTGAGGTGGTTATGGTTGTGGCTGCGGGAAAGTGCGAAGCTGGTCGAGTAACCAGGCGACTGGTCATGGTGGTCCACAGGTTAGCACTGGTAACACATTCACAGGCACTTCGTATATCACGAGGAAACACACAAGTATCAGTTCAGTGTGAATTCATCCGAAGAGCTTCACGGTCACAAGCTTGTTGACAGTTGCTTAATCCAAGCGTACAAGCCCAAACACAGCCCATCTCCACACACGCCACGGAAAGCAGCAGGCCAACACGATGTTCACACTGCATACAGGGCAGTCATTGGAGGATGACCGGATAAGAAATGCATACTTTTAAAACAGTAAACTGAGCAAACAGGACTTATTATGAGGGCATGGGCTTGGTATAATGAAATCCGATTTTCCTAGCTCAACAACCCCAACACAGTGTATTTCACGTCTTTTGACGACTGTTCAAGATATATGGCAATCGAGAAACAAATGGAACTCTATTAGACAGTATCTACCTAGGTATTTCTAGACTTGCTGGGTCTTCCTCCTCTTTGCGTTTCCCCTTGTTTCCCTTCTCCCCCCTCTTTCCCACTTACACCTTGCTGTTTCCATCCTACATGTTCTCGAAGACAGCCGCTACCAATAGACGTCACTGCCTCATAAATAAACAGCGGTCCAATCATAGGTCTAATATCCGGTACCATCATAGAGGCATCGCTTTCGTTCAGATCCCGGGCCGTTGACAATCGACGTCCGTTTGCCTTGATGGCTTTGTCATGCAGGTCCCCTGTGTGTCAGGGGCCAGGGACAAGAATGCCAGGGTCTTCACCCCACAACAATGTCTGTGCGCTGCTGCATGTGACGTGGGGCAACTGACGTGACCAAGCACCAAGTCGCCCAAATCTTGGGCGAGTCTCGACTACGCACACTTCGCAACACAAAGCATTCACACAACCTTGGGACACCATGTCGTCAGCCGCCCCCCGATCCCGGCAGCAGCAGCAGCAGCGACAACAGCCACGTCCTGCCCCCAGCCAAACCGAAACCACCCCATCCACAACACCACAAACCCATACCCAACCACAAGCCATCCTCCGTCTGCGAGGCGCACATGCCCCCACGGGGAGGTCGGTACAATGGCGATCAGACGTGGTCGACAATGAAGGGATGGGGAGGAAGAAATCCAAAGGTAAACCTTCCTACCTACCTAAGTACCCCCCCACTCACAAAGACAAAGCCACTGACATGTAACCGAAAACAGTCTGCTGCATCTACCACCGCCCCCGGGGCGTCGACGAATCGAGCGATTCCTCCTCGTCCGACTCGTCCTCATCCGACTCCGATTCCGATTCCGAGTCCGAGCGCGGGAGCGGGAGCGGGAAGAAAGTGGGGGGCGGCAACGGCGACGGCGATCACAAGCACGGGCACGGACACGACTGCGACGGGCACCACGGCCACTCCCACTCGCATCGGGGGCGGGGTGGGGGGAAGCGGCGGCAGAAGCGCCAGCCGAGTCCGAATGCGTACGAGAAGATGCCGCGGTACGATAAACCGGTCAAGGATGGGGATGGGGATGGCGATGGTGGGGAGGGGAAGGGGAAGGGTACGCCCGGGCAGGGGCCGCAGGGGCCGCAAGGGGCATGAGCGCTGGTTATTGAATACATGGATATTGCCTGGGTACGGTATAGAACGGTTTGGGTTACCGAGGGTTGGGGCGTTTACACGGGGGGGAATGGCATGGATGGAAAGCGCAGGGTGAAGCGACTTGGTAGTCGCAATGTACTAGAGGCTTCGGTTTAGGTTCTTCCTAGACAAGTTGGTGGCCCATGGCATTTGGAAGTAATAGTCACATTCCCGAGGACTACACATAGATTACTGTTGTACTCACCGGCCGGTCCTTATGGAAAAGGCGGTAGTAAAGATGGTATTCAAGACACGGCAGTCTAGAACGACAGGGTTCAAAAGATGATACTCCACGAATCGACCTAGCATGCACGTCGTAGGCATTGACAACACGCACACGTTACTACATGAAACCGGCCACGACCTTGGATGATTTGTGTTGTATTTTTTCGTTCTTTTTTTGTTCCCACGCCAACTCAAGGCTGGTGCTATGCGAGTTATGCTTCTAAATATACTACTATCCACCACCCTCACCAACAAGCGAGTAGGTGTCTCCTCCTGTTCTCGACACCCCCCTTCCAAAACCCAAACCAAACAACCCTAAATCAATGCTAATACTCAGCAAGCAGCAAACTATCCTTTTGTGTTTATGACCTCCCATCCATCCACCCACCCAATCCAGGCCCCTTCCCCATCCCATCCAATGCTGTCTTTCCGCCCGAGACGGAAAAGGGCCAAAATAGAGATTACAATGCCTTATCGTACAAACACATATTACACTGCCCGCTCGCTCTCCAGGCCGTTTGAAAAGAACGAACGGACGAACCGGCCATCCGCCAAGAAAACAAACCACATACATCCCAAGGCTGGCCGGCCATAATAACAAAGCCAGATGCGTGGATCGGAACTCTCCACCACCCTCAACAACCCACCCCGTTCCAATCACCACCAACCGCCCTCACCCCATCACCAACCACACCACAAACACACTCACTCAGGCGCCTTGAACCCCGCCGGCGCGCCGAGCATACTAGCCACCTGCTTCCTGACCAGCTTCTTGACCTTCCCCTGCTCCGTCGGCCTGGGCACACCCTGAATGGCGCGGGGCTGCCTCATCAGCGCCGAGTCCAGGCGCAGCGGCACGCGGGTGACGACGCTCCTGTAGTCGCCCTGGAACTTGGCGGACGGCACGGGGACGGACGCGGTGCGCCAGATGTGGTCGCCCGTGTCGGAGAGGTAGCCAGGGACCTTGGCGGCGCGCCCCGCGGCGGCGGCGGCTGCGGCCGTGGGCGCCGTGAAGCCGCCGCCGCCGCGCAGGGTGGAGAGGCGCGAGAGGCCGGACGAGAAGACCGGGCGGCCGCGGGCTTTCTTGGCGAGGATGATCTCGTCGAAGAGGCGGATGGATGGGTCGCTGGCGGCATTCCGTTCGCGCTCGTGGATGAACTCGTTGAAGGCTGGGCGAGGGGAGTTAGTTGTTGTAGTTTAGATAGGGAGGGGAAGGGTTGAAACGCGCGTACCTTGGGTGTCCCGCATCATGGTGGCGTACTCTTGCTGGTCATAGGGAAGGCTACGGATGAAGGCATCCATGTCGAAGGCGTACAGTTGGCCGTTGGACTTTTGCTCCCTGGTTGGCCGGCCGAGGTGCTTGCGGTAGGTATACAGGAGACTGGCCATGCAACGCACGAATGCTGCACGCACGCGGTCGGCGTGGAACGCCTCGGGACATACTAGGGAGACAAACCCGAGACACCGGTTGTGGGCGATGCAGTTACATCCGCTGCACTTGTAGAGACCGTCTCCTTCTGACCTGTCCTCGCAGATCGTGCAGGTTGAGTTGAGCTCCGAGGCTGTCCACTTGAAGCAGTGACCTTCCACCCAGACGGTGTTCTCCGTGTTCCGCACCGGCTGAACCGTCATGTTGGGCATGATGGTTGACGCGGCAATCGTGGACTGTGCGTACGTTGAAGGCGCATAGCCTCCGAATGACGACTGCGAATCGACCGAGATGGCCGATATCGATAGGTTCTGGCTGTGTCCGTTCAGGAAGGGAAGGCTTGGCCGGTGCATTGACGGGTGGTGTCTATCCACCCCGAACGACGAGCTGCGCCTAGACTTGTCGTCGAAGTGCCCCGATCGCTTTTCCCTAAGCGTCTGGGCGAAACCCGAGTCGCTGCGCGACACCGGCGTCGTGGGCATCGGCGGGAAGTGCATCGAAACGGGAGATACAGACGAAGGAGGGCTGCCCTTGCTCGACTTGGATGTCGTCGGCCTCTCCATCTTACTCGGGTCGACCTTCGCTTTGGCGAAGGCGTTGAAGAGAGGTGTACGATTCGAGCCCGGGGGTTCTGGTTCGCCGAATGTGGACGAATTCTGTGTTACCCATTTGCCTAGAGAACTCTTGACTGTACTCGGATTGAAGATTGTCTCGCCCTCGGCCGAAAACGCATCATATGGGAAGGCTTCGACAGCATACGGCGGGGGGCCGGCGGTAACTCCATACCGTAAGCGGTGAGGAGCAGCAACCTGTAGCAAGGAGAGAAGCTTCCGTCGGTGCTGTCGGGGTAAGCTGACCGGATGCGCCGTGGTATCGATGGAATCCCTGTCGAGGTCCACCAACACATAATCATCATCGGGGAGCTCGATCCTCTCGTACCGTCTCTCCACTCCGACAATGTAGGGGCATGGTGCCTCAAGGGCAGATATGAGCCGGGCGGGCAACACCGGAATGAAGATGCTCGCCCATTTCAGAGGATAAAGGAGGTTTGCGAGGGCATGGCACGCGAGATGCAGCATGCCGGTGTGAGACGAGAGGAAGATGATGCGGGCTTCGGACATGGCGCATTCGAGGAGAAGCACGATGTTCTCCAGCGACAGGCACCTGAAGAGGGCGTAGATATCGATGGTTCTCGAACCCGGGATCTCGTTGGTCGCCTCCTTCCGTGCATACAGCCGCAACTCCCGCACGCCCAACTCCACTTGGGTCAGTGAACTCAGGGGGCTGAAAGCTTCTGTGCAGAGGTTGATGACGTAGCGCTCCAGCGGCTGCCAACGCCCAACCTTGGGAGAGCTCGGCGAGATCCGCAACACGGCGCCGTCGGTCATGGGCACGACAACTGCCCTGAGCCACTCCTTCCAGAAGCCCATCTTGGCGGGGTCCCTACCAAGAATGCCGAACGCTCGTGGTGTCCAGAGACCAGTCTCACCGGCCGTAAGACCGTCGATCTTGGATGCCGCGCCGTGCCTTAGCGGCCTCAGCATCTCTGTCATGAGCGCAATTTTCTCTTCCACGGCGCTGATTTCTTCGTCGATAGTGTCTCTCGCCGCAGAGCCGGAGGGCACGGTACCCAGTTGTGCCAGAAGCTGAGAGAGATGCGCACGATCGGCAGCGAGGCGGCCCCCCAGACTGGCAGCGAGCTCCCTTTCCTCGTTGCTCATGTGCCGTTGCCGCCACAGCTCGCACCGCTTCTCAACCTCTTCGGCTACCTCCGCGTTCAGCGCCGCCCAAACAATGATGGTGATTCCGTATATTTTGGAGTTGTCGTCCGAGGTCATGGTAAACCCGTGCCATGTCGTGCGAGGGCGCTCGTCTGAGGACACAATCTGGATGTCGTTGGGGAAGGCGAACATGGGCACATAGTCTGGGAACTTGCCCCTCCTGGCCAACTCGTCTGGTGAGGCGTCTCGTTGGGGATACCTGTCGAGCAAGACCGGCTCGAACCGTCTCTTAAGCGGGTGCATGTCGGGGTCTAGGTTCAATGGCTCGGGAGGTGGTATAACGGAGTTGTAGTTGCTTAGGCGCTTCGCCGTGCGAACGGAGGCTGGGAAAAGTTATGGATTAGCATGAATAGCCAACAAACCCAAGTCACATCTCGCGTATTACATACCCGCTCTTGGGGGCATGGGCTGCTTCCTCACGCTGCTCATATCCCTAAAACTCATCTTGCGGCGGATGCTGCCACCGATGCTCCTAAGAGGGCTCTTTCTCCCACTGGCGTCGGCGTCCTCGGCCCTGAGCTTATCGGCTCTCGGGTTAACCATCGGGGGTCTTGTGTGGATTTTTGCGCCGGCGGTGAAGCTGAGGTCGTCGAGGAAGTTCTCCCGCTCCGCAGCGAACTTGAGGAGAGCCTCGTCAAAGTCGAAGCCGGCTGGGAAGCCGTCAAATCCGATCCCCGCCCCTCCGCCAAAGCCGTTCAGGTCGGCAAAGGTGGTTCCGTTCGTGTTCCCACCGGTGAAGTTCGGCGGGGCTATAGGCCGGATGGTCGCGCTGCTGCGGTTGCTCCTAGTGTTGCCATCAATGTCCTCTAGCACTCGACCATCGCCGCCAGAGAGGGAGGGCGACAGGGAGAGCTTGGACATGGTGGAGAGGCGGTTGGCCGAGCTCTGGCGGGAATGCCGGGCCGTCGCACGCGACGGGGTCGCTGCCGAGCTGTCGGTATCCTCTCCCTCGCCATCTTCGGCGATGGTGTCGTCTAGCTGCTGGGGTTGCTGGGGTGTCGAGCCATCATCGTAGGTGACGTGCTCTATCCCGGCAATCCAGAAGTAGTCGGCGAGCGGTGCGGAAGAGTTGTCCATGATACATCACTTTTCCAGCCGTCTTTGTTTTTGGTTCCTTCTCGCTATGTCCTCAATGTTCTATTCAGCCGGGTTGCTGTGACCGGTCGGTTCGAATCGGTGCTCGGTTTCGTGAGGGCCGAGGATTTTGTTGTCGGTCTGCAAAGTTTCGAAACCTGTGTCGGACCACAACGGAGTCGGTGACGGCAAAGTTTGTGTGCAACCTACGCATGCAACTGTACCGCGGTGCGTTTCCCCCGATTTCAACGGCGGCGGCCAGAGACAGCGGCCCCCGCCTGCTCAACGTGTAACCTTGACGGCACAGTACCAACACGAGCTTTCTAGCCGGTAACGAATATTGGACGAAAAGTGACCAAAAGGTGAGGTGATGCGGGCTGATGCGGGCTGATGTGAGTTGCTTCGAGGTAGGGATCCGAAACAGGAACAGGCCAGAGATGAGCGATCGGATAGGTCCGAATCTAGAAGATTGCGGCCACGGTTGCGCAGCTGAGGTCGGTGTTTTTTTCTCAAGAGTTCAGACCCAGTCACGAGTTGAACAACAAACTACTGTAGGAGAGGCGGAGCCGGAGTGCTGCACCTGTTGATGTCGTCGTGGGTTCTCACTTTTTTTCTGGTTCCAGGTTCCTTGGATTCCTGCCGTTCTGCATCTGCATTTAGGCCTAACAGTAACCCCTGTAATTGAGCTGCAGGAGGTGCGGCACCCTTCTCAAGCCCCTGCGTCCTTAGCCTCCTTGCTGGCCCCAGCGGTTCCTGGGTCGTCTTTATGCACGCAAACCAATGTGGTAAGGGGATCGCAGCACACGCTAGGCCGACTCGCAGAATCGGGCAGTCCAGACCACTTTTGCCAGACACTCGAAAAACATTCACCCAGTAGAAAACACGGGCTCTTGCCACTTTTCCTCTCGACTCACTTAGGCTGGGAAGGCACGTAACGTCCATGCCCCTCCCGTTTCCAGATTCCATGTTAGGGAGTGGGCGGTCCCCTAGCTAGCGCGTCGGGTCCGACTCTCTCAGTGGAGTTAATGTTCCAGGTTATCCCATCCATCTTCCAGAATCGATGTGGAGGCAACTGCGCAGGTGCCGGAGTCGGACGCTTTCCGAACTCAGATCCATTGGGGCCCATCGCCCGCCTCGCAAGCTTCCCCACCATAGGCTGGTCCATGCTGCATATCATGTCAACTCGTGATGCTCTCGGCCATTGGTTGTTTCTCGGGGTTTCAACTCCAGCTCGTTTCCTAAGTTGGGTGTTGGGGAAATCAACAGCCGTGTTCCCGACATTTTCATGCAGGCCCCTAATCTCCCTGTATTTCAGGCGGTTTTCCTCCCCAACACGAGGCACTTTCGGACTGGGTCCAACTTCAAAGTGGAGGGGGTCTGGGGGAGGATCCAGGGTGACCCCAAGAGTCCGAAACGGGGACCACATTTGTCGATCGAATGCCACACTCCATCCAGCACCAGATGTGGAAATCGGGGGTGCCGACAAGCGCCTTCCAAACCTCGCCGGCCTTCCAGATTCGTCTCCTCCATGTCAACTCCGCCATCTTCCTTCTCGGTTCTTGAGTTAGGGTTGTAGTTGTTAGAAATAGCGATACATTCGACTTAGCGCCCATCACCAGCAATTTGACCCGCCGTTCGATTGCATTGTTCCTGAAGGAAGACAACGTTCGAACCCGCCATTGGATGGCTGCATCCGTGCAGCTGGTTAATGGGATGGATGGCCCTCCTCCAGGGCCGCGCCAGCCTCGACGCCGCGCAGGCGCCTCCTCCTGCAGCCGAGAAGCTGTCCGAGGTGGGACAAGAGTGGTCGAACCCGAGTCGGCCCCTGGGGAGCTGCAGGAGGCTGTTGTTTTCTTTTTCCCCCAGCATCGGGGCGCCACATGGCAGCTTGGTGCCGTTCGATTTCAGAACAGATGACGGCATCTCGTCTGTGACCCCCTGACGCATTCGGTACCCCATACGGTCAGATTTCCCGTCGTTGCCGTAGACCGACCTACTGTGTAGTTAGTGTACAAGTAATCTGCACATACATGAAGCATTCCCCGACCGTCATTGCTCCTTTTGTTGAGCCGGAGCAATTTACACAGTATGCAGCCCCATCTCAGCGGCAGCACGCAGAGCGAATCCGATGGTGATAGGCGTCGAGATGCTGCCTGTACCCTTGTTGATGCCCCCAACCCTCAGACAAAGGCTTGCTGCATCTCAGCTCCGTCGGAGACGTCAGATAAAATGGCCGATAACGCCCGGTTGACTGTGGCATCTTGCAGTCGCATCGCAGTGTCCCGTCGACGATCAGTCCCGATACGGACTCGTGTGGATGCAACCACCCTCGGCAAAACCAGGGGTTCTCGAGGCTGCGGCATGTGGGGGAGGAGCTTCAGATCTTGACCCTGGGATTTCCATGATTGTTGATCGACTTCCAAGTTGTCTTCTCCACTAGTCCCTTCACGGCAGATATCTTCTGCTACCGGAACTCTACGGAACTGATGAGAGAACAGACAGGAGCCACATGACTAGCGATTAACCGTCCCCTGACATCGGGCCTGTATCCGGCTGATCGGTGGCGAACCAACCATCCGGGCGGGAGGTGTCCCGAACAGGCAACTCTCTACTTGAAGTTGTTAGTGGACTCGGATCCATCAGCAAACGCCAGACTGCAACTCCCCAACCCGCGACAGTCTCACCATCCCTAACCGGTGGTCAAAGGTGTGATATTTTTTATCCAGGGTTGGGTCTCGAAAACCAGCATCAAAGGGCTCGAACGAGGCCCATCAGTGGCACTTATTGTGTAGCAGAACACACAAGACGTGCCTAGTTAGACGTCACACAAGGCTAGCACCCGCTGTCGCGTTTGATCACGGACACGGGAGGGGTCTTCCGAAAACCTGGTTTGCCTGTCATCCTGGCCCTGTCTTAGCAAGTCCTGTTATAAGCTAAAAAGCACAAACCGACTTTAAATCTTGGGTCAAACTCAAAGTCTATCTTCCCTGCTTAGCAGAACCTTCATCATGGCACAGCGCGGGTGATCTTCGACGGGACCCAAACTCCACTCTGCACGACACGGATCCGGAGGTAGCGAGTCATGGCCACGCTGAACACGACATCAGGGCTATGAAACAGTCTGGGTTTGCAAAGCCTGCGTCTTGAGGTCTCGGGTGGCGCCGACTATGGCAGCCGTGCCTGTGTTTGCCTTCAAGGTATACATGGGAGCAATGTCTGGGTCCGAAATTCGTGCAATTATACTTGTACTACGTACACTAAATATCAAACGCCGAACCGTCGGCTAAGATGCGTCCCAAACTCTCGGGATGCCGGGCTGTGACCCCAGAAACGCCTAAATCTGTGCGTCAAAAACCGATTGAGCCCTCATCGGGGACCACCTTTTTACGTCTGCATGGATATAAAAATGTTTAGGGACGGACCGGGCGTGGCCCCTGCTCGAAGAATTCCTCTGGAGCTAGTTCGAGTCTACCTACACAGTAGACTAGCTTTGATGGGACTCATCTTTGTTAACGCTTGTTAGCCAAGCAATAAAATACCACTACAGTGGTTTGAACTCGGGAGAGGAAGACTACGTGACCCCTGCTATGTGACAGTTTCCGGATTTGATCCAGTGCTTTATGGGCGGGCATGAATCATTGCTCATTGCCTGGGTCTATTGATGCTCCTCGATCATGTCTTCACATGCAACAATACATCAGTTCTGTGGCCCTGGCACGGCTGCTACCAATCCAATCCATGGGACTGATGCCAAATCCTTTACTCGCCCAACACCTTTATCCCCAAGGTCTCTATTTCGGCTTCACAAACCGCGTCCCCAACTTCCCCGTCGACAAGAACCCCCTATTGCCCATCTCACTCCGCCACCCAATCTGCAATATCCCAAACGCCACCCGACCCTCCACCTCTTCCACACCCCCCGCCTCCTCCTCCTCAATCACAAAACAAACCTGCTCCGTCTCCCCCGGCAACAACACCGGCCTCTTCCTCCCCACCCCCCCATCACCACCACCACCACCACCACCACCACCACCCTCCCAATTACAATCCTCATACCCCAACCCCCGCTCCAGCTCCAAACCCACCTTCTCCAGCATGACCCCCTCCTCCCCACAATTCTCCAGCTGCGCCTCCAGCACCCACCTCCGCCGGCCCCCCGGGGCCGTAGGCAGCGCGCCCGGCTTGGTGCGCACGATCAGCGAGGGCTTGCAGACGAACTGGTACAGCTTGCGGAAGGTGCGGGTGCGGCCCGACAGCTCGCTCGCCTCGTAGTAGGAGACCGTCACCGCCAGCACGTGGTTGCCCTCCTCTTTCAGGTCGAAGGACAGGATCTTTTGGAGGGATTCGTGCGGGGCGAGGTCGGTGCCGGCTTCGTTGGCTTCGTTGTTTTCCGTTGTAGTGGGGGAGGGCGGGGCGAGGGCGAGCTTGAGGGCCGTTGCGGAGGAGGGCGTCTTCATTTCTGCCTCGATGCGCACATCGCGGATGGTTTTGCCTGCCGCTGCTGGCGGGGCGTCGTCGGGGATGTCGTGGTTGGCGCAGAGCGTGCAGCTGAATGTTTCGCCGACGTAGGCTGAGCCGAAGGATGGGGGGAGGTTGAGGATGGGGCTTAGGACGAAGGGCGTCGGGTTTGTCGGGGGGTTGTTGGTGCCATTGGGGCTATAGGCGAGGGAGGCGGGAATGGGCTGTTGGTGGGAGAGGGAGCCGTCGGAGGAGGAGGGAAAAGGTGGTTGGAAGGGATATTGGGCGACGAGGGATGGGCGGGAGAGGCTATAATTGTTTCGTTTGAGTGACTGAGCTTTCAAATCCAATATAGATGGGGACTTACCGCAGCACCTTCAAAGATACCGAGTGCGGTTCCTTGACCGCATCATGGGACGGGTATCGTTGGTGGCTCATGGTGGGTGAACATGGCGATGCACCGAGACATGGCGGGGTGGAGTTGGAGAGTTGGGGAGTTGGAGCGCGCTGGGTGCCCCACGTAGATTTTGGGGGTGCTGGGGTGCTTGCTTGGTCTCGGTCACGGACTTGGCCAGCCACTCGGTGCTTCACTAACACCGATGCCCAACCGGTCACAATGTCAACATCCATATTCCTACACCGAGAGGCTTCCAGAAAAAAGGGTTTATTCAGCGACTAGGGGAACCTGACGGTTCAATGGCTGGATACATGAGCGAGACCGGGGCCAAATGTAGGCCACCTAAATCACCAAGAACAAAACAATTCCGCGAGGAGATATTGATAGATCCTCGTCAAACTACGACACCCACAACACCTTACGCCCTATATTAGCAGAGGTGGCAGCTTTGAATCCTTGAGACTAAAAGCAGACTCAGAACCAAAGCCAAAGAAAGCCCGAACAGATAAATCACCACGAGATGCAGGGCCAGGTTGGGAAAAGTACAGCCCGGGTTATGAACCATATCTCTTGTCTCCTCTTACTTGATACTTCCTCACCGCGAGGAAATAGCGCCGCTAGGCGGAGACGGCCCCAAATTGGGAACGTACTTGTTCCAGATTCGAACGCTAAGAAGCGGGACTTAAAGCCCGGGCGGGGGAGGTACCTAGGCGACGTTAGCGGCGAGACTCGAACTATCCAGGGGTGAGACATACCGCGCTGTATCCAGCCGCACCTGGCGGCCCCGACGGAGGCGGGGGGGGCGGCGCCGCAGAAGGAGGGGGTGGGGGTGGGGCAGCCTCGCTCGGGGGCGGGGGCGGCGGGGATGCCGAGGCACCGGGAGCACCGGGAGCAGCGCTTGCCTGGCCGGTTTGGCCGGCCTGAGCAGCCGCCCACTGCTGGTACATCTGGACATATGCCTGGTAACCACCATAAGCTGCATATGGGTCAGCAGTGCCGTAATACTGGGCATACTGAGCGGCGTAATCGGCGGCCGACGTCGGAGTGCCAGTCGAGGCGGGCGGCGTGGCCGAAGCACCAGCCCCGGGCGCAGGGGAGTTGCTGTAGCTGTGGCTGCTGTTCTGATGGTGGCTATCCCGATTGTAGCCTTGGTAAGAGTCACCACCGCCCCGGCCGCCGTAGCCACCACCATTTCCACCACCACCACCACCGTAGTTGCGAGGCGGCCGGCTCTTGAACTCTTCGTACTGTTCCTTCACATTGCTAAGGAGGTCTTCACAGAGCTCCTTGGCTTTCTGCACCATGTTCGGATCCGGGCCCCTGTACCATGTTAGTTCAGTCTAGACTAGCCAGACAGGCCCAACTTACGCAACATGCAAGAACATGTCCTCGTCACTCTCTCTGCCGGTCGAGGCTTCCATATAGCCAGAGCCGCGGCCTTTTATCTGTACGCGGCAAGCGGTCTCCTGCTGGATATGCTTGACATAGGCACCGCCATGCCCCACAACCTGGGCGCGGAGGTTGAACCCCGGCACTGACTCGAGGTTAATTGGGATCTTCTCCTCGGGCCATTTGCGCTATTCACGGTCAGCTAGGGAGTGGCACGAGGAGCAAACACCTTCACATACCCGGCCGAACTCGTCGCGCTCAACTGGTGCCTGTTCCTGGTCCCGGCGGCGGAACCGACGCTCATCGACAAGCTGGGGCAATTCCTGCTTCATCATCTCCTCGATCTTGGCAACAGCCTTGTCCAGGCCTTCCTTCGACGTGCTAGTGACATGGAGGTACAGCGGGGGGTTCTGCGAATCTGTGTTAGCTCGAGGTTGAAATAGCGAGCGGGCAACATACTGCCGGGGTAGCCATGTTCTTGTCGGGGTAATAGTTTCCACGGGTGGTGACATCTTGAATAAACTAGTTAATCCGTGTCCTCTAACAACAGCTGAAGGTTCAAGGTCGGCGTACCAGCACCAGTTTCTTCTTTAATCTAAATCAAGCAGCCGAGGTCAGCAGATGCAAAAGAGGGTGTGCCTGTGCGAGCTATCGTGCTTCGAGTAAGCAAGACTGTCCCGCACAAAACCGTCATGGAGGCCATGACAAGGAGCTGAGGATGGATCAGTTTGACAACCAAGGAGTAATTACCATTTTCTGAGTCGATCCCTTCGTCAGGAGATATCTGTTGCGCAAGTCGTTGACCTCGATATCCTTAATGTAATCGCCGTCGGAAATGTAAACCTCCCCATTGATAGGAGCGGCGCCAGGGGCTGGCGAGGCATTGTTGCTTGTGACGGAGCTCGACCGAACGGGGGGAACATCGACATGCTGGATGCCTTTGCGTGCCTGGAGCTGTGCATTGATTCGGGCAGCGGCAGCGGCTGTGACATAGGTTAGTAACACGCGACCATGAAGAATCGCGTGGAAAGGGGGTTTACCAGCGGCAGCAGCGGGGTCTACGGGAGGTGACTTGGAGTCGGCAGGTACATCGCGAGGTCTCGAAAGGGGGCTACGTTCGCGATCACGGCCGGAGTCGGGCTTTCTCGGTGGGGGGGAACGGGAGCGACGGTCGAACCGGGATCGTCGAGGTTCGGGCTCGGTCCGGTCAAACCGAGAGCGCTTCGCACTGCGTCCATCGGTGTCGTCCATGTGTGCAATCCCTCGGTGGAATGCAATTATTGCTAGGTTGGTCGAGGACGTGAAGTGGAGGGAAAATGCTGATAAGAAGCTGCACACACGCGTTGCGCAATCGTTCGTTGTTGGAGCACGAATAAAAGTGCTGCTAACTCAAAAGGTCATGAAGCTGGAAACTTTCTGTGACGGCCTGGAAAAGTCCCATGCTCACAAGGCTGTTGGGCATGGCGCCTGGCCCATACCGTGTGATGTTTCAATCTGCTATATGATCGCACTGTGGGTACCTTGTTCACGGGGCATGCACAGTGGACCTCTTTCTGTGAACCGATGGACCTCCCTCACAAACCCGGAAGCGGCAGATGGTTTCTCCATCCTCCTGCCCATGGCCCGAGGGTCCCTCTCAAGGATGCCCCACCCATGCACCGGACTCGGAGCTGGGCCTGGACTTGAAGCTTGCGGAATTGGCCAATGCAAGTTTGCCTCTCCACAAACCGGCGCTGCTTCCCGCGGTGTGACGAGATCGTTCCAGCGGTCGGAAACTTTTTATTCCTTCCCTTCGTCCCCGGTGACGTTCAAGGTGACTCACTGAGTGACCATCTCCATTGATATTGAAACAGCGAATCGATTCCAAACGGAGCTCGGGATATCACTTCCCCCCACCAAACGGCCCTCCGGCCTGTATTCAATCTGCGAAGATGGCATCTCGTAGCCTCTTTGCCTCCTCGCCGGCATGGCGCAGGTTAGCGACCCAAGCTCGAGATGTCCCCCGCGTGGCACCTTCTATCGCCACCCGGAACAGCAGCTCAACCTCAGCCATTGCGTACAAGGCCATCCGTCGCCGGCAAGCGCCCCTCCCGATCGATCAGCCACCAGCGTGGTCCGCTCAAGCGGCCGTCTCCAATATCCTCTACGAAACCCCGACCCCGTCCGCCGCCCCTCCCAAGCGGCACGTACTCAACTGTCTCGTACAAAACGAGCCCGGTGTGCTCTCGCGCGTCTCCGGTATCTTGGCCGCCCGCGGCTTCAATATCGACTCGCTCGTGGTCTGCAGCACCGAGGTGGTGGATCTCTCCCGCATGACCATCGTGCTCACGGGCCAGGATGGCGTCGTTGAGCAGGCGCGTCGACAGTTGGAGGACCTCGTCCCTGTGTGGGCCGTGTTGGACTACACAGGAGCCCCCCTCGTACAGCGCGAGCTCATCCTGGCCAAGATCAACATTCTCGGCCCCGAGTACTTCGAGGAGCTGCTCGCCCATCACCGTGAGATGACGGCCGAGAGCCCCGACGCCGAAGGCAACGGTCAGGAGGTCACCGACTCGAGCCTTGTGGAGGCGGCTAAGGACTTCCACCCAAGCAAACTCGTTGCCAGCGAGGCGCTCCGCCACAAGCACGAGCACCTAAAAAGCATTACCTACTTCGCGCACCAATTTGGCGGCAAGGTTCTCGATATTAGCACTAACAGCTGCATTGTTGAGGTGTAAGTAGAGTCATATCTCTTGCCAAGCCTTTTTGACTCATTCTAATCGCTGTCTGTTCCAGGTCTGCGAAGCCATCCAGGATAGACTCGTTCCTGAAGCTTATTGCTCCCTTTGGCATCCTGGAGTCGGCGCGCACCGGTCTCATGGCCCTGCCTCGCTCTCCTCTGTACGGGCCTGACGAGGATACGCACGTGAAGGAGGCGGACGATGTTGTCGATTACAGCCAGCTCCCCCCTGGCTAAGTATTATAGTGTGGCGTAGGTTGGGAAAATGTATTGGTCATGTATCAGTGGGCAACTGTTTTCATGTGACTCAAAATAATTGATCAATATGAAACTTATTTTGGTATTGTGAACTTTTTAGTCCCCAGCGCCGAAAGCCACGCCTGCTTTGACTTGGAAGTAGTAATGTGTAACTGAAAATCAGACCCGGATCGCCTCGTTTATAGGATCTTGCCCTTGTTGACGACAAAGGCTTCCAAGGCAGCTGCAATAGTCAGTTAGCAAGACTTCGCGGGTGAGAATCTCAAAGTAGCACATACCGGCAGCAGCCCAGAGCCTGTTCTCGGCCTCCGGGAAGACAAGCGACCTGGAACCGTAAAAGACCTCGTCATCGACCTCCTCGGGGTGCCTCGGTAGGCAGTGCATGAACTTCCAGTCGGGCTTCGCGCCGCCGCGCTTGGCGAGCTCGTTGGTGATCTGGTACCCGGCAAACGCCTTCAGCCTCTTCTGGCTCTCCTCCTCCTGGCCCATCGACACCCACGTGTCGGTCACGAGGATGTCGGCGTCCTTGATCGCCTCCTCGGGCACGTGCGTCTCGGCCAGCTGGCCGGGACTCGCCACGCCCTCGCCCGCCGCCAGGATCACCTGCTTCATCGCCGCGGGGATCCCGTACCCGGCCGGCGACGCCACCGCGATGTCCAGCCCCATCTTGACGCACCCGATCGCCAGGTCGAAGAGCACGTTGTTGGAGTCGCCCACCCACGCCACCTTGAGGCCCTCCAGCCCCAGGCTCGCGCCGGTCGGCGTGCGCGCGGGGAAGCTCTCGTGAATGGTCTGGAAGTCGGCGATCGTCTGCAGCGGGTGGTAGTCGCTGGACAGCGCGTTGATCACGGGTACCGAGGAGTGCGCCGCGAGGTCCGCGACCTCCTTGTGCGCCCCTACGCGGGCTACCATGCACGAGGTCATGGAGGAGATCACCACCGATGTGTCGTAGAGGGATTCGTTTACCTGGATGGCTGGTTAGTGTCGGGAAGAGCGGAGGTGGTTCGAATGAGTGGTGGGGTTTGCACATACCCCGAGTTGGATGTCGTCCTTGCCCAAGAACATGGGATGGCCACTCATCATTTGCACGGCCGCTTCTGTCGAGACACGGGTTCTGGTGCTGCGCTTGTTGAACATCATAGCCACCGTCTTGCCAGTCAGGGCACCGTGCAGCGGTTTCGGGGGTTGCTGGCCGGCGGCGAAAGCAGCCTTGACGGCGGCCTTGTGAGATGACGCATTGAGGACGAGTTTTGTAAGCTCGGCCGGGCTGAGATCGCTAATAGACAAGAGATGCCTGGGCCCGGAGGCACTTGACAAAGATCGGGTCTGAGGATGAGCCATGGCAGATTTGAGGGTGCGGCAAGCAGCACGCGAAAACATAGACATGGCGGTGGAAACCCGGAAATTCGTAGAGATTCAGTTTTGGGGGGAGGTCCAAATTGCTGAATCTTTGGTGAGTTTAGCGGAGAAAAGTGAAGCTGAGATAGCCTCCTGTGATGGCAGGGGCTTGTTGTTTTATCCACAATCGACACGTCGCCGTGAGTCAATCAATACAAGGTCCAGAAAAAAGATGCCACAACCTCGATGACTCGCCGAAGTCGCTCGCCTGGGGATTCTGGACCCTGGATGTCTCACCAGTTAGGTTTTCCACGTTTCCATTCACAGCTTTATCCTCAATTAGAGGCCCGATCGAGATTAACTCCCAAATAACTTACAGTGATACTCTGGGCTCACCAGATATTTTGTGATTCTAATGGAGTGAAAGTGAAGCTGTCGACTCTTCAAAACAACCCTGATGGCAGTCTTGAAATTGTTGAATTGGCGTTTCTTGGTGTTGGATTGGCACTGTGGGCTGACGAATTAGCGGAGAACCATTGGACGTTGGCTCTCCACTCTGGGGTTGTGGCCGGGGTTGGGAAGCGGCCCCCTGGTCTGGTGTTGGAACGGCCAGCTGTGTCTCGTTCGAGCCAATGAGCATTGCTTTGCTGGACTGAAGCAGCGACAGCCTGACGAGGCGCGCCATGTTTCAGGCTTTCAGCCGCCTTGCCAGCGAAACATGCGCCACGAAGACATCCAACAACCAACCCCATCGCCATCTACACAGTACATACATCATCGCTATCGTGTCGTCATTGCACCCCGCTCATTCTCGCGGCAAACGCTAGTTACTTTCTTTACAAACAATCAATTGTCCCACGCAACTACTTCCCGAACTTGTCAAGTCGAGCCGTACAACCGCGATGTCCTCCATTTGAGCGAGCGATTGCATCATTACCTGTAGTCGTCCGCTGGCCTGAGGACAGCCCCGGGCAGCCTACGCTTCCGTTTCATCGCCTTTTCTGATACCACCTGTTATTGTCGGAGCCCGTCGAGATGGCCGACTCAGAACGGGCACCGCTCCTTTCTGTCGCGGACGGCAGCAAAGACTCCGAGTCTCGCGAACCCGAAGAGTCGATCGAGTCAACCCCGCTATTGACCAGCTCGGCTGCAACATTGCAACACGAGGACGAGCAGGATGACGACCATCACGACGACTCAGCGTCTATTGCTTCGCGTGCCACAAACACATCTTCCGTCAAGTCCGCGAAGAGCAAATCGATACGATGGCCATCCATCATCGCCATGATTGTCTTGGCATTCTCCGCGCTTGCCATCATGATCCTCGCGTTTATTGTTCCGACCGCCGTCGAGGAGTATGCGAAGCAAGCGGTCGTTCTCGAACCCACGAATCTGTCTCTCGAGTCCATCACAGCCAACGGTATCAAAGCCAGGGTGCAAGCCAACTTCCGGCTGGACGCACAGCGTGTTGTGAACGAGCACGTCAGGCGGATCGGCAGGGCGGCGACGTGGGTTGTAGGAGAGCTCGGGACAGAGGAGACCAAGATTAATGTCTACCTACCCGAGTATAACGACGTTCTGTTCGGTACTGCCGGTGTGCCTCCGCTGAAGGTCAGCATCGTGGACGGTCGCAACAACGCTGTGGATTTCGTGGCCGATCTTGCTCTGGGTGATGCCGAGGGCATTCGCTCGATTGCGAATAAGTGGCTGGAGGGGAAATTGGGTTCCGTCCGCGTCCGGGGGCAGGCCGATGTCCAACTCAGGGCGGGCATCATTCCGCTGGGAACACACTCCGTTGTGGAGTCACTGACGTTTGAAGGTCAATCTCTCTATCGTTCATTCGCTTCCCTGTACCTCGGAGAGAAATCTCTATTTTGAATTACTGACGGAATGCTACATGGTTACCATGGCCCTATTCTTGTGAACCGTTGCTGATGAGTTGTGCAGGCAGCAAATTGCCTCACATGCCGGAGTACAACATCACGAGGATGAATTTCAAGGAACAGCCTGTCCCTGGCGAGCGCAAAGCGATGGCGGCCGAAATTACGATCCAGTCTTTTAACAAGTACCCGATCTCTTTCGACATTCCGGAGCTCGGTTTCGATATCCTCGTCCCTGGATGCAGCCCTACCGACCCCTCCATCCTTGTGGCCGCCGCTACAACCAGCAGCATAGCCGTGCGGGCACACGCAGACGTAGTTGTGAATGCTCACGGCCTCATTAAAAAGCTGCCCGCTTCGCTCACCCAGATCTGCCCCAATTCGGACTCCTCGCCCCTTGACATGCTCTTCAAGAAGTATCTCGACGGCAAAGCAGCAACCGCTCTCGTTCGGGGTCAAAAGCATCCGGTTGGGGACACCCCAGGCTGGATTACGGACATCCTGTCCAGCGTTACCGTTCCTGTGCCGTTTCCTGGACGCTCGTTTGGTAACTTGATTCGAACCTTTTCCCTGACCGATGTCCACTTTACTATGCCGGACCCCGATGCGGAACCCGATGATCCCAGATCCAACCCACAAGTCTCTGGAACCATCTTGGTTCTCGCAGGTCTTCCTTCCGAGATGAATTTCTCGTTGAACGTCACCAACCTACGGGCGAACGCAGATGTTTTCTACAAGGGCAACAAACTGGGAGAGCTCAACCTGAAGAAGTGGCAAAAAGCGAGCTCGAGGCAGATACCAGCTAAGAAGAAGGGCAGTGAGGCCGGGCTGGAGATCCGGTCACGTATCAAGGACGCGCCTCTTAACGTGACCGACTCGGACGTCCTAACCGATGTTCTTCAGGCTCTCCTGTTTGGCGGGGAAGTCATGCTCAGCATCAAGGCTCTTGTGGATGTCAAAGTACAGACGATACTCGGCCAGCTGGTGGTGAAGGCGGTCCCTGCGGAGGGGAAGATCCCAGTAAAACGTCCGTCTCCTTTCTGATGATCTCGTCAGTCGCCCCGGTTCGGGTTTTGCTCTTCCGTCTGCGGATCGGGTTCGGTCGGCAAACTAACACGAGCCTCACGTAGCTCTCGGAAAGGACCTCCTGGGCGCTGCTGCACCCAAAGTCGGAAAAGTCGAGATCACCGACACAACTCCTACCTCTCTTTCACTACATGCATTAGTTAATATTACAAATCCAACGCCCTACTCGGCACGCATTCCTTTCATCAGCATACACGTCGAAAACAACGGCACGATCATCGGCGAGGCATTCGCAGAGAATATTGATATCAAGCCAGGCAATAACACAAACCTGCCCGTCTCGGCCGTATGGAATCCGTCAATGGGCGGGGAGGAGGGCCGCGAGCGTGGCCGCAATCTCCTCTCGGAGTACATATCCGGCTACAACACCTCGGTCACCGTCCGCACCCACCGCGGCAGCATCCCAGCCCTCCCACTCCTCGGCGAAGCCCTCTCCCGCCTCAACTTCACTCTCCCCGCACCCCGACTCCGCCTCCCCGGCGGCGATGACGACGACGACAACGACAACGAAAACTCCCAACCCCACTTCATCCGCGACGCGACCTTCCACGTCTTCTCCTCGACGGCCACCTTCACGCTCGTCTCCCCGCTGCTGCACAACACCATCTTCATCGACTCGGTCAACGCCACCGCGCTGTACAACCACACGGAGCCCATCGGCCACATCGAGTATGCCCTGCCCTTTGCCGCGCCCCCGGGCTACTCGCAGACCCCCAGGCTGCCCGTCGACTGGTCGCTCGACTCGGTCGGTTATGGCAAGCTCCGTGAGGCGTTGGGCGGGCGGATGAAGCTTGATGCGCATGCCGTGGTGGGGGTGAGGTTGGGGAGCTGGACGGAGAGGGTTTGGTATGTGGGCAGGGGGATTGGGGCGGGGGTGCGGTTGTGATTTCTGGTTGTTGTTTTTTCTGCGCGTGTTTCCTGCTGGTTGTTAGGGGGGGCTTTGTATGGCGTGGTACCTAAGTGAGGGTTTGATTTGTTTCCTTTAAGGGGATACGGAGTTTAGTGAGACGGAGGGATATATGGGACATGGGACTTGGGACTTTGGCAGTGACGGCGTGTGTTATAGAGGGCAGGGCTGAGGATTATAGGGCCTGTTATTGGGATGGTAGGCGCATGGTATACATACAGTACAGGTATTCAATATGCGTGAAATTCGTCAGTTACACCCACTAAAGGGTCCTTCAGCGAGGCATCACAGTCCCAATCAGTGTGCATATATTCAGATGTTTACATCAACCAGGGGTCAGCAACCCTCTCGCCTGGAACTCTCTCGATGTGATGCCAAGACCCAAATTCAAAGTTGGTGGGGTACCGCACGTCATAGGAGCCCTCCCAGGAGGTGCTGCAGTGGCTCAATTCTGTCGGCTGACGCGCTTGTGAGAGCTGCACGTGTAGAGTTAATAGGTTGCATAGGTAATGGAATTGCCTCTCAATGAGGGGTTAACTTGTATTCCCCGTATCTTCCAAAGCTGTGTTCTAACAAGTAGATTGTCGCTCGAGCTGGGGAAGCACTCAACGACGCGCGGCACCAGGGTCCTCTGAAGTTAGTGGGCCACTCCCTGTAAGACGAATCCGGCACAGGCAGCACGGCACGGCAAGCTGGTCCGTTCCGCAACCACCACGAGCTGAGCTTGCGACATCGCTACCTACACCTAAGTACTCAACACAGCTCATTGCTTTTCCTCGACGCTCGCAGCCGAACCACAGCACAAACCCCGAACCGAACCGAACCCGAAATGTCCTCGCAGGACACGCCCTACCGATAGAAACACAACCAGGATGCGCGCCATCCTGCCGGGCAAGCCCGAGTCGCGGCTCCAGGCGCTGGCGACGGGGTGCTGGGAGTCGAGGCGCATCACCGTGAGTCCTTTTTCCTTTTATAGCCCAATCCCATATCTCCCTTACGATACCGGCCAGCTGACCCCGACCCCGACCATGCTTCCAGGCCTACATCACCGGCAACGCCCTCGCCATCCTGGGCGACCCGGACAAGCTGCTCCAGACCGTCTACGACGACGACCCGGACCCGCTGCAGGCCGTGGCGCTCGACGAGGCCTCGGGCAAGATCGCCGTGTGCACGCGCCGCGTCGTCAGGGTGTACCGGCCGTTTGGCGTCGGCAGGGAGGCGGACGCGCTGCAGTGGGCGCTGCAGACCAGTTTTGCTGTTGCCGATGGGGAGGCGGGGGTTGGCGGAGGAGGGGAAAGGGGGGGAGGGGAAGGAGGAAATGGGGAGGACAACAATGGGCCCGCCGTGTCGCTGTCCTGGGGCGCGTCCGAGGAATTGCTCGTCGCCCATGCGAGCCTCGAGCTGTACCAGACGTCGGTTACCCTGCCGAAGCCTGAGTGTTCGTGGCGGAAGCGGCTCGCCAACCCTGTTCGGCTGGCGAGTCTGTCCTACGACTCGGCGTATATCGCGTCGGTGGGGGAGTATGATAGGCTGGTCAAGGTCTGGCGGCGGCTGAGCTACGGCACGGGGGAGGTCCGGTTCGATTTCATCTACCTGAGGCACCCGAAGCCGGTGACGGGGATCCAGTGGCGACGGCCGCATCACGTCGACCAGACGATCGAAAATGCGCTGTACACGTTCTGCGCGGATAATGTGCTGCGCGTGTGGGTGGGGTCGGATAGCCATGGGCATCAGCACCTGCATTTGTGGGGGAACCTCGATTTGGGACATGCGATTCCGAGACAGGAGCCTCCATCTTCCAAGGCGGAGGACAGTTCGCGCTGGGCGTTTGTCATGCACGGGGGGGATCTCGCTGCCGCGACTGAAAAGGCTGTTCAGGAGGGAACGCAAACGAAGGAGGGGGCCGCTGCGCTGGAGCATCTTATCAGCGTCGCGAATCGCAGCCCGGAGATTTGTGTCGTGCTAGATGGTCGGGGGCGCATGTCTGCGTGGGCTTTGGAGAACATTGGGTGTAAGACCAACAAGTCCAACGTATTCATCGTGGCCCATGTTACGTCTCCGGAGCTAGACTTCCTGAAGGGAAACCCGGTCGCAGCGAGCCCACATGTCGAGGCTTATAGTTATTGTCATTCTGGAGGGCACTTGCACATCCTGCTACACTTCTTTGATGGCAGGATCGAGGTCTACCGCGGCAATATCGCCGCCTTGTTCGACCAGAACCCGAAAAGGAGACGGTTAGTTCAACGGGCTCTCTGGACGGGGCATTCGCGGCCAATACGCAAGATTGTGCGAAACTTCAGCGGCAGGGCCATTGTCTCACGGACGGAGCATGGGCAAGGCGTAATATGGAAACACGAACTGGATGCTACGCGGACCGGTCTCGCCCGGCAGGCGGTGATTCCAGAGCAGGGGCATATCCACAGGATGTGCCTCCTCAGGAACGGTCGATTCGTCGTCTTCCTCCGCCACGAGAACATCTCGCTGTGGGACTGCCGCCAGTCGGAGCCGGCGATGCTGGCTGAGCAGAAATACGATGTGCCTGGGAAGCCGCTATGTCTCTTGGTTCTCCCGAGGCAAAAGGTTGAGGACTATACCACGGCGCATATCGCTACTATCACATCGGAGAAGAGGGGGGTGGTCTGGGAAGTCAAGTTCCCCTTTTATTCCCGTACCCACTCCACGACCCCTACTGTCAACGGAGCCAAACATCAACAACCCTCGGTGCACGAGTTCGCTCAGTTCAAGCTCGAAGACGCAGGCGACCTAGCCTACGTTCTGCCCGTCGACCCGGCCGGCACCACCCCGCACGTCTCGGGCTTCCTCGACGTCTTTGCCCGCGACGTCGCCATCTCATACACCCACTCGGGGCGAGTCGAGTTCTGGACCGCCCGCGTCGGCCACAGCAGCGACGGCGTCGAGTGGCTATCAACCTGTTCCATGGAGACCGGCGTCTCCAACCCCGCCCTCGTCAGCGGAAGCACGCGCAAAAAGGCGGCGCTCGTCAACGCGGCGCGGTCCGTCCTCACCATCTGGGACATCCGCGGCGCCCGCCTCGAATACACACAAGACTTTGAAAACACGCACACCATCCGCGACCTGGACTGGACCTCCACGCCCGACATGCAATCCATCCTCGCCGTCGGCTTCCCGCACCGCGTGCTGCTCCTCTCGCAGATGCGCTTCGACTACCTCAACGAAGGGCCCGCGTGGGCCGCCATCCGCGAGATCTCCATCCGCGACTTCACGCCCCACCCCATCGGCGACTCGGTCTGGCTGGGCGACGGCCACCTGGTCATCGGCGCTGGCAACCAGCTGTTTGTGCAGGACCGCCGTTTCGATGCCGGCAGCTCGCTGGTTACCAGCCTCCGCCTGCCGCAGCGCCGTGTTGGCCAGAAGCATTGGGATTTGTTTGAGGTGGTGCAGCGGCTGAATGGGCCGCTGCCCGTGTTCCATCCGCAGTTTTTGAGCCAGTGTATATTGGCCGGGAAGATCGTGTTGGTGCATGCTATTCTGATGGCGCTGTATCGGACGCTGAAGTTTTGGGCTGAGGGGGATGAGTTGGATGATTATTTGGGTTTGCAGCTGGAGGACTTTTATGAGGTCGATCATGTGCGTTTTCTTTTCTATTTCTTTGCTGACCTACCTATTTCGTGGTTAACGGTGGGGAGTTGACAGGCTGTTGGTGCTGACGGTTGGCAGACCACCAAGACGTCGTCGAACAAGGACGCGGGCCAGTACCTGGAGCGGCGCATGTCGTACGACGACGGCGGCGACGAGCCCTTCTCGGAGGAGGTGGCGGCCGAGATCAACGAGCGGCTCACGCGGGTCGACGTGGCGCAGCTGTCGGGCCACGAGCAGATCCAGCTGGTCGACATCATCGAGTGCGTCGGCCTGGTCGAGAAGCAGCGCCGCTCGCTCGACGAGAACGGCGCCCGCTTCGTGCTCTTCTTCCGCCAGCACGCCCTGCGCAAGGGCCGCACCAGCGAGATCCAGATGGGCTGGCGCGAGATCAACTGGGCGTACCACTCCACCAGCCAGGACGTGCTGGTGGACTTTGTGTCGAAGCAGAGTCATGGGAAGATGCTGTGGGAGAATGCGAGGGAGAGTGGGATTTTTATGTGGTTGGCCGATAACGCTGCGGTGGTGAGTTATGTTCTTGTCGCCCTAGGCACGCAAAAGGGGTTGCTGACAGGAGAGCAGAAAGCACAGTTCGAGGTGATCGCACGCAACGAGTACACGAAAGGCGATCTCAAGAACCCGATCGACTGCAGTCTGTTCTATCTGGCACTGAAAAAGAAGACGGTTTTGCAGGGCCTGTGGCGCATGGCGTCCTGGAATCGCGAACAAGGTGCCACGCAGCGGCTACTAGCGAACAACTTTGAGGATCCCAAATGGCGGAGGTCGGCGCTCAAGAACGCGTACGCCCTGATGAGCAAGAGACGTTTCGGTAGGCTTTCCCTTCCCGCCTCTCACCGCCTCAACTAACAGCAGCCAGAATATGCGGCCGCCTTCTTCCTCCTCGCCGACCACCTGCACGACGCAGTTAACGTCTGCCTCAACCAGCTCAAAGACCTGCAGCTGGCCATCGCGGTAGCGCGCGTGTACGAGGGCGACTCGGGCCCCGTGCTCCGGCGCCTCCTCGAGGAGGAAGTGCTCGCCATCGCGGCGCAGGAGGGCAACCGCTGGCTGGCGTCGTGGGCCTTTTGGATGCTGCACCGCCGCGACATGGCGGTGCGCGCTCTTATCGTGAGTGCCAACACCTAGAAGCTATCATCACAGCAAGGGAGCAGCGACGACAAGTCTCTCCCCCTCCCTCCCTTCACCACTATACCATAACAATAGCCACCACAAACACCCCCATCCCCAAGCCCAGTTAGCTAACCGCCCACACCACCCACAGACACCCGTGTACACGCTCCTCGAGACGCCCGGGTCGCCGGACCCGCGCTCGCGGCTGTTCCTGACCGACGACCCGGCGCTGGTCATCCTGTACAGCCAGCTGCGGCAGAAGACGCTGCAGACGCTGCGCGGCGCCAGCAAGGTCACGCCCAAGGTGGAGTGGGAGTTTGTGCTGCACAATGCGCGGTTGTATGACAGGATGGGGTGTGATTTGTTGGGGTTGGATTTGGGTATGTTGATCTCTTTCTTTTCAACTTACTGCTGTTTCGGTGGGGGTTCGGTGATGCTGACTTAATGGTGGTGGTAGTGCGGAACTGGGAGTTCCTCCAGCCTGCCGGTCCTGCCGCCGGCCTGGGTGGGGAGGTGAACCCGTTGAGATTGCTCAGGAGGAGGGAATCGCTGGTCGTGGCCGACTTGCCCGTGTCATCACAGCAGCAGCAGCAACAGCAGCAACAACAGCAACAACAAACTGTGCCGGCCGAGATGAAGTCGGGCGGACACTTGCCTAAGCAGCAGCCGGCACCGACGGCGTTTGAGGAGCCGGATGCGAATTCGTTGTTGGATAGTTTTGGGTTTTGATGGGGAGGGTTTATTGGGAGGAGTTCTATCTTATTTTGTTTGTTGGCTTGGCTTAGCTTACCGGTCTCGTTTTTGGTGTTGCATAGTTGGCGTCGAGTTATGGTGGGGTGAGGTGGGAGTGGGTTAAGTGTACTACTAGGCAGGTACCACAAATGTGTGTAAAAATGGGTACCGTGTCGTGTGTAAATAGCAAGAAACATAGTAAGGCAGAGCACCGGATAGCAGGTCTGGAGGAGTTGAACTGCGGTGAATTTAAGCTACTCTTTTATATCAATATTTACTCTTCGAGGCGGTCATCCGATGTGTACAAGTATGAGAGCGCTCAGCGGGAGTCCATCACTAATTGCCTATTTCGGTTAGTGCTTTATCACGACATTCCTACCTCGAACGTGATTGATGGACTCACTCGGCTCGCGGGCCAGAGCGGCTGTTTTACTGGCCCCGGTCTTGTGCAGATTGATCGTTCATCCCAACCACTCAGCACTCTCAGTCATCAACGTATTATTCATCAACCAAAACCCTCCCCCCATATCATCCCTCTCGAGTCCGCTTCACTCGGCCAACATCATCATCCATGTAGTAGCGAACAGTCCCATATTCTTTTTCCATTTCCTCCTCTCGGCGGATTCAACAACCGCAGTTAGTCACCACCATCAACCGCAACCATGACGAACCCCTCCAAAGCAACCACCACCACCAGCAGCACAACCACCACCGCCACCGACGATGCCACCACACCACTCCTCCCCCCACCACCGCCCTACTCCCCACCCCCCGACACCCCCCCAGCACCACCACCACCACCACCACCACCACCACCCCGCTCCTCCCCCCGGGTAATCGAAGGCCATTCCTTCACCTGGCGCGGCATCCTCGTCGGCCTGGCCGTCGGCCTGGTCATCTGCTTCTCCAACATGTACTTCGGCCTGCAGACCGGCTGGGTCAGCACCATGAGCATGCCGGCCTCGCTGATGGGCTTCGGGCTCTTCCGCCTGCTGCGCGCCCGCCTGGGGCCGCTGCCCTTCTCACCTGTGGAGAATGTGCTGGTGCAGACGGTGGCGGGCAGTATGGCCATCATGCCGCTGGGGTGTGGGTTTGTGGGGGTGCTGCCGGCGATGAATTATTTGTTGACGCCCGAGGAGCAGGGGCCGATCGTGCTGGGTTTGGGGAAGCTGGTGTTGTGGAGCTTGGGGCTGTGTTATTTTGGGGTGGTGTTTGCCGTGCCGTTAAGGAGGCAGGTGGTTATTAGGGAGAGGTTGAGGTTTCCGAGTGGGTTTAGTACCGCCGTGTTGATCAGTGTGTTGCATGGGAAGGCCAATGAGGGGGAGGGGAAGACGACGACCGAAGGGTTTGCGAGTCTTGCCGCGAGGGAGGGGGAGGGCCAGGTGCAGGCGGTGAGCAGCGCGGATGGGGAGGGCACCAAACATGCCGAGTCGTGGAGGCGCAATGTGCGGTTGCTGTTGATCTGCTTTTTTGTGTCGGGCGTGTTTACGCTCGCGACCTACTTCCTCCCGGTGTTGAGGAATATCCCCGTGTTTGGCTCTGTCGCTGCGAGCACGTGGTTGTGGACGCTCAACCCTAGCTTGGCCTATGTCGGCCAGGGCATCATCATGGGGCCGGCCACAACGCTACACATGCTGCTTGGTGCCGTCGTCGGGTGGGGGATCCTCTCGCCGGTGGCCAAAAGTCAAGGGTGGGCGCCAGCACCGGTGGGTGACTGGGAAAATGGCAGCAAGGGGTGGATTGTCTGGATCTCGCTGGCCATCATGTTGGCGGATGCCGTTGTCAGTTTGGGCTATCTTGCACTCCGGTCGACCATCCCATACTTCCCGGCGTTCCAGTCGGTACCTAGCCGGGTCAAGACGATGTTGGGTCGGAGGTCGCACGCAGGGTACACCTCTATCAGCACTAGCACCGATGCTGACGACACCACTTCATCACCTAATCCCAGGGACAGCACAGTCTCGGATAGAGACGACAACCCCCTGCTCGGCGAACGCCAACGCGAAGAGGAGGGAGAGGAAGATGACGCACCCGCCGACCAGCAAATCAGCGACCGTCTCGTCGCCATCGGCCTCATCCTTTCTATCATCTTCTGCGTTGTTTGCATCCACATCGTCTTCGGCGATCTCGTCCCTCTCTACGCTACCATCACCGCCGTCTTCATGGCCCTCGTGCTGAGCATCATGGGTGTCAGGGCCCTGGGCGAAACCGACCTAAACCCGGTCTCGGGCATCAGCAAGCTGGCCCAGCTATTCTTCGCCTTGATCATCCCCCAGTCCAACAAGTCGAGCGTTTTGATCAATTTGGTGGCCGGTGCGGTATCCGAGGCCGGTGCCCTGCAGGCGGGTGACATGATGCAGGATCTCAAGACGGGGCATCTGCTCGGGGCTGCGCCGAAGGCTCAGTTCTGGGGTCAAGTTATTGGAGCAACCGCCGGGGCTGTTGTCAGCGCATTCATCTACCGGATGTACACGTCGTAAGTGTTTTGTGTTCCCCCGGATCGTCCAGCTAGCTAACCCCCCATCAGCGTCTACCAAGTCCCGGGTGATCTCTTCCAAGTCCCCACCGGCTACGTCTGGATCTTCACCGCCCGCCTGGTCACAGGCAAAGGCCTTCCGCCCATGGCCAAGGAGTGGGCCATCGGGTCTGCTATCCTGTTTGCCCTCACCACCGCCGTGCGGACGCAGACGGCCGGCACACGCTGGCACCCCTTGATCCCGGGCGGAATTGCCGTCGCCGTGGGCATGTACAACGTCCCGTCTTTTACTCTGGCACGGACGATCGGGGGCCTGCTGGCCTGGTGGTGGCGGTCTACCATGGGGTGGAAGGATACGCCCTTGATTGTGCTTGCTTCAGTAAGTTGCCGGCTATTTTCCGTGGGAATAAAATGGTTTACTGACAGTGCCTAGGGCTTCATTCTCGGCGAGGGGTTCCTGAGCATTGTGTGTTTGATCATGGAAAGCGTTGGCGTCCCTCATCTTGGGAATTGATAGAGGGCGGATGTCTAGACTACATTGCGTGGCGTTTTGGATATACTGTCGACATCGATGATGACTTGGAAGCATGGGGGGTTGGATGATAGGGCAAGATACCTGAGTCTCAAGATACCCGCACATTTCCCATCTATTTTTATTGCAAGACTACCCATCATTTACTTGTACCTGACCCTCAGTTCAGCTGCCATGTTTGAGCCTGTTTGTCACCGCCTTCCAGCCCCCACGTTACCCTGATATCAAGACCACGAGCATGCCCTTCTTGGGTAGAGTAGCGAATCTCGCCCGCCAGCTTCTTCCCCGGGCCAACCTCGATCTCCTTGGCCTTCGTCTTGTCAATCAAGTACAGCCCTTGCCTCCAGTGCGTTGCGGTATCGAATGGCCCCGTAGTGAACGCCACGCGCTCCCTTCCTCCGGCAGCCCACTCCTTCGCCGTCAACCTCGCCTCGACCACCTCCTCCCGGCTCTCGCCAAAGAAGCAATCAAACCACACCAAGAACCCATCCAGCGCGTCCACCTTGTCCGACAGCGTCGTCTGCCACTTATCCTCAAACACCAGGTCCTCCACCTTGGCCGTGTGCAGATCCAGCATGCGGAACGCATGCGCCTCGCCGCACACGGCGTCCCCGGGCATGACGGTCATGCGGGCCTCGGCGTAGATGCCGGCCTGCATGGCGCGCATATCAAACCCATACACATCCCGCCACCAGTCGATATTCTCGGCCACGTACTCGCCATCCGACACGGGCGCGACCCACATGCTGGCGTGGCTGGGCACGAGCAGGCCGTCGGGCCTGAGGTAGCGGTCGCGCGCGAAGAAGACGCTCGGCAGCATGGCCTCGTACAGCAGGCAGTAGCCCATCCACTCGGACACGATGACGTCGACGGCGTCGACGGGCAGCACCACGTCCTCGATGCGCCCGCGCACGCACGTGATGACCCCGTCGAGCCCGTTGCGGAACACGTTCTCCCGCGCCTTGTCCAGGATCGCGCTGTTGTCCACCGCGATCACGCGTGCCGCCCCCGCCCGCGCGCAGAACATGGACAGGATCCCCGTGCCGCACCCGATGTCGAGGACGGTCTTGCCCGCGAACAGGTGCTTGTTGGCGTAGATGAAGTCGCGGTAGGCGTTGGTGCGCACCGCGTCTTTGATCATGGTCTCGTGGATGTCTTGAGTGGGGGTTAGTTGGGTGGTCGTTGTTGATAGGACCAGAGGAGAAATGGCTTACCGCTGTGGTCGTACGACTCAAAGTAATAGGCCGAGTCGTCCCTGACTGGCTCCTCGGCATCAGCAGGGGCAGCAACAGCACCCGGCTTAGAAGCCCCGGCCTTGTCGGCCTCCTCGTCCACGCCCCAGCGCTTGTCGAGCGTCTGCTCGACCGCCAGCCGGTAGTTGGTGAACTGCTTGGTGAGGTCCTCCAGCTCGGCCTGCATCTGGGCGTTCTTGTGCAAGAGCTCGTCCACGGCGGGGGCCTTGGTGCCCGCCAGCGCCTCCTTGCCCTCGGCCGCAGCACCGGCGTCCGCCTGGCCCTGCCCAAGCTCGGGCAGCTCGTCCAGGCAGAAAATCAGCGCGTCATCCTCCAGCACGGGGATGAGCAGCGAGTCGTCGGCTAGGTGGTCCGCCGTGATCTCCGTTGGCAGCGAAGTGCCCGACTTGACACCCTTCCGAACTAGATCGGTGTTAGCCCCTCATTCCTGACTTCTGTCTATCAAGATGTAGAATAGTATGAACTCACCCAGGTTGATAAGTTTCACACAGCCGTGGAAATCCAAGCCCAGCCGGTCCCGAACGGCGAGAAAGTCGAACCCGAACTTGTCCTTGCAGTACGCCAACATTGATGGCGCATCAGAAAAGACCTTGTCGTCGAGCAGGGAGACGATGGAAATCCGCTCCTGCTCCTCGTCGTCGTCCTCATCGCCGGGCTTGTTGAGCCAGTTGTCTTCTTCATTGTCCGATGACGAGACCGACCCCGAATCGGAGCGAGGGAATGCTTCCGTCATGTTGTCGTATAATTCCTTTTTTTTTCCCTCTTTTTGGCGGGGTTCTTTAAAAAAAGGAGGGGGGTGAACGGACTGGGGTGGTGAGAGTGGGATGTGAAGTGGGATGTGAAGTGGGATGGAAAGCGATTCTTTTTTTCCACATGTGGATCAGAAAACTTAAAAAAGTGTGCGGGGAGACGGCCTGCAGACTTTGCGGTGCAGCGCTACCTACCTCTCTGTGTGTGCCTGGTACCACAGGACGGTGTAATAGAGCTCGAGAAAATACAATCAAGGTAGAATATATATCCTATGGTTAACATAATATGTTTCCCTCTCGCAGAGCGGGTTTAATACTTTTTACTCCCCCAAGTCTACCCCTTTCTCCCCTTCCCCAGGAGACGGACTCCCTAGCAACAGCCGTAAACATGGGGGACCTCTCGTCCCATGTCCAACGCATCTAAATCTTGGTATTGTATTCTCATGTACCCGCTAAAAATGCACATCATAAGCCTCGCCTGCTTTTTAAGACCGGACAAGTTCAAAGACTGGCTAATGTCAAAGATATAACCCCCCTTATTTCCCACCTTTCTCCTCATCCTCATCCTCATCCTCGTCCTCGTCGTCGTCGTCGTCCTCATCATCGTCATCATCCCCATCCTCATCTTCACCATCCGACACCTCCTGTCCCAACGCCTTAAGCCGTTCCTGCAACCACCGTTAGCCCACCGACACCACCCACCCACGGCGCCAAAAACACGACAAGCACTCACCTTATACTTAGTAATCTTCTCCTCCAAATCCCCAAACACCTCCAACATATCATCCAGCTCGCCCTGCGCGCTCTTCCGCTCCTCCTCCTTCACTTTCACCAACCCCCTCGCCTCCCTAACCTCCCCCTCTGCCTTCCCAACCCTCGCCTTCAGCCCCTGCACCTCCCCCTCCGCCTTCCTCGCCCTCCCCTCCGCCTCCCTCGCCCTGACATCCGCCTCCCCCACCCTCCCCTCCACCTCCCCGACCCTCTCCCCCGCCCTCTTCACTTCGACCTCCTTCGCCCTCAACGCAGCCTCCAGCTCCGCCACCCTCGCCTCCCGCTTCCCAACCACCCCCTCCAGCACGCCCACCCGCTCCTCGGCCGCCGCCCGCCCCTTCTTCGCGTTCATCACATCCACCTCCAGCCGGCTGACCGTCGCCCGCAGATCGGCCATGTCGGCCTCCCACCGCCGGCGCGCGCGCTCGACCTCCTGCTCGGTTGCCCTTCTGGCGTCGCCCGCCTGGCGGAGGGCGTCCTCGCGGGAGCGCAGCTGCTCCTGTAGGGCGTGTAGGGCGGCGGTTTGCTGTGCGTGCTCGCGCTGTAGGGCTTCGCTGGTGGTTTTGAGACGTGCCGCGTCCGCGCGGCTGCGCTGGAGTTCCTGCTGTTCGTGCGCGAGCTGCCGGGTGAGGGCGGCGCCGGACTCCTGCGCGGTGCGGATGGCGGCGTCCTTGGCGGTGAGCTGCTGGCGGAGGGCGGTGGTCTGGTCGTGGGCGCGGGTGAGGTCCGTGGTGAGGGCGTCTTTGGTCTTGCGGTGGGCTGTTTGCTCCTGCGTGAGCTGCTCCGTGAGGGTGGCGGTTTGGGTGTGGGCTTCTTGTAGGGCGACGGACTTCTCGGTTGCCTCGGCGCGGAGGGCATCGACGAGTTTGCGGGAGACGCCCTTTTGGATGCCGTTGGTCACGACGGAGGTCTCTGAGTCAGGGTCGCGGTCGATGGCGCGCAGGATGCGGCTGTAGTGGTCTTTGAAGAACTCGACGAAGGTGTCGTCGAAGTAGACGTCGGGAAGTTTTTGGTCCGGGCCCAGCTCCAGCTTCTGGGACAGGACTTCGTGGTCTCGCATCAGTGGGTGGGAGCGCAGCCTTGATAGTTTGTCGACGTAGCGATCACGGCCCATGCGTGACATGATCATTTCCCTGACCTTCGTGCGCGGGACGGGAGAGTCCTTGGTCGAGAACTCGTAGACCACGCCGGCCAGCATCGCGCTCAGGCCTTGCACCATCGCGTCACCGTTGGGGTTTTCAATTGCCGCCTGTATCAGGCCCTGGAGATTGGTGAATTCGCCGAGGAAGTCGTTAACTCCCTCAAGGTCCTCAAACATCCAGCATAGCAACAGCATTAGATAGCCAATGCTGATGCGTGGGTCTTCCGACTTGGCGACGCTACTAAGCAGGTGAGCCGTCATGGTCTGGATGCTCGTGACGACTTCTTCGCCGCTTTCTTCGTCGCCCTCGGTGACGCTCATAGCCAGGGCTTTTGTCTCGGGGTTGTCATGCAAGAGGTGGAACATGAGCACCGCGGCGAACCAGTATCTGTACGGGTCTGCCGCGGCCACCTCCGGGTCTAGCTGCAGGAGGATTGTGAGGGCGTTGGTGAGGTCGTCGGCGTGCGCCTTGTGCGTCCGGACAGCATGGTCGAGGAAGTGCATACGGATCTCGGCGTGCTTGTAAAAGTACGCTTGGAGGCACGTGCAAGCAGCCATCCGTAGGTCGAACGCCGGAAGTGAATGCACGGCGAGGACGAGGTCCAAGAGGCCGTCGATGATGTAAACTTTGGGGGCGCCATTCACTTGGGCACCTTGTCCGTTGGCGACGGGGTCGGCGAGCGGCGACGGTACCTGAAACCCGGCAAACCTGGCCTGCACACCAGCGTTACCCCTGATCATATCCGCGCATGCGAGCAGCGCTTCTGATTTAATCGGCAGTTCGGCAACGTGGGAGAATGCGATCTGGAGAGTACTCTCGAGGACGGGGCCGCCTCGTACACGGGTCCGTCCGCCGGCTACTAAATCACCCACAAACGCCTCCTGGTTCAGGGGCGTCCCAGCCGCGCCGGGAACAAGGAGTAGCCGTATCACGGCGAGCATGGCGTACACATTTCTGTTGCGCTGGACTTCCACCCACTGCGCGATCTCCTGGCCGTCCTCGCCTTCTTGGTAGGCATCCCGCAGGAGTCGGCTGATTTCTGCAACATGCCCCATGTCCCGGAACATGGTCTGGTTCAAGGGGTTCAACCGTAGCAGGTTGGCCAACAAAATCAGGCAGTCCTCCGCCACCCTCGCGCCACCCGCGAGACCCCCCTCGTTGGCGATTATTTCAAATATTGGCGCAAACCCCTTTTCCAGGGTGACCAAATTCTGGACGACGTTGGAAGACGGCGTGAGATCTGTGAGCAGCCCGATTGCTTCGTTACGGACCGCGTCTCTCGCATCCTCGAGTACCGCCACGAGTCGGGGGATGCCGTCGCTCGTGTTGACGATGCATTCCTCGGTCCGTTCAGTCCGCGCCGACAAAATGGCTGACAGCAATTGCAGCGAGTAAAGCCGTGAGTAGAAATCCGTCCTCTCTTTCCCCAAGAACCCTAACAATAACGCGATGTTCTCATGCCGCTGTGTGAACTCGTCGGCCACCCACAGGGCGATTTCCTCCGAAGCTTCGGGACTGTCCGGATCTGGGCTGAAGAGCATCAGCAACGTCTCCAGGGCCACCTTGACCGTGTCCACATCCTCCCCATCGCGACTGAGGCTGCCAATGAGGCTGCGCAGGGCGCCTGATGCAACCGAAGCGGGGTACTGTTTTGCAAAACTGCGCAGGCCCAGGATGGCGGCGCGGCGGTCTTCGAGCAGTGTCGCTGTGCTCAGACGCCCGCTGAGCACCGGAATGGTCTCGCTCACCGACTGCTTGGCCGGGGCGGTGGTGATGGTCGAGAACATGGACATGGTGGTGGTGGTGATTGGGGTGGGCGAGCGAGAGGCCGTGCGTTGTTATTAGATGCCATGGAGGAGCATCGGCTCTAGTATAGTAGGTAGTTTATCCTGTGACAGCAACTCGAGAGTGTTCGTGGTTCGGTTGGCTTTTGTCTTGGTCAGGGACAATTTCGGTTTTCGAATTGGTCGAGTCGGGGGTGGGGGGGCCGCAGGATGTGGCTCTCGGGTTGAAGAGTACCAAGGGAGGTAATCTGTATTCGTACGATCTCGTTCCTGTTGATGCAAAATATTCCAGGATGGGTTCTGCATCTACCTTGGTTCCGCGCGGAAGGCCAAGGCCCTGGGGAGTGGACAGGTGTGCATAAGGTAGCTCGGTAGGCAACCCGCTGTCTTGGGTTGGAGCTTGGATGATTGGGAATGGGATCGGAACACGATGCGGTCGAGCTCCGTAACTAAAATAATGTGGGTCTAACCCTGATTCCTGTGTTACCGTCATGGTACTGACAGGGAGGCGTATTGTTCTCTCCTGCGAGTACTTGCAGTTAATTGACCCACTTCTTTCAGTGGCATTGAGTGACCAAAAACGGGAGGATTTTCGTGGAGCGGCTCTGAGCACGTTCTCTCAAACCATGAACGCGAATTCTTTGTCGCGCCTCACACTTTTCCCTTTTTTATACAATCGACTATACCCAACCAGTCTCGAAAGCTGGTGTCAAAGAGGTCGGGTTTTCCACCGGTATTGACTGCAGTTGTAGGAACAAGTCACCTTGGTCCGTCTTTGTTTCGCACGGCTGTATACTATCGCTTCGATTCGCATTCCGTTGCGAAGCCGACGCCGCTCCAAACCATCTCCAGATTATTTCGCCTCGTCGACCACTTTCGCATCGGGCTACCCCATGTGCACCGACGAAGCGACGTTTCGCATTAATACCCTACACCAAGCGCGACATCTTGCGAAAGCCAGTCCCGGCTAGTCGCTAGTCGTGACCACGAACCACTTCCCCGACCGACAAGGCAACGTCTGCCTGCTGACAATTTTACAAACCTTTCGCCATGGGTATTCCGGCTGCCTTCAGGTGGCTCTCCACCAAATATCCCAAAATCATCTCCCCCGTCGTCGAGGAGAAGGCTCTTGTTATGGAAGATGGCACTGTCGTCCCAGTTGATGCGACACAACCCAACCCAAATGGGGAGGAGTTCGACAACCTGTACCTGGACATGAACGGCATTGTTCATCCTTGCTCGCATCCCGAGGACCGCCCGGCGCCCAAGGATGAAGAGGAGATGATGATTGAGGTCTTCAAGTACACCGAGCGCGTCGTCAACATGGTCCGCCCGCGCAAGCTGCTCATGATCGCTGTCGGTAAGCTCTCTCCCCACCTTGCTACCCTTCTTGCTATGATTTCAATGCTAACACATAGCAGATGGTGTTGCACCACGAGCCAAAATGAATCAGCAGCGGTCCCGCCGATTCCGCGCCGCCCAAGATGCCAAGGAAAAGGAGGAAGACAAGCAGCAACTCCTCAAGATGCTTCAGAAAGAGAAGGGCAGTACTGCCAAGGAGGAACCTGTCGAAACTGTCGTCAAGAAGGCCTTTGACTCCAACTCCATCACCCCGGGCACACCGTTCATGGACATTTTGGCCGCAAGCCTGCGGTATTGGTGTGCTTACAAGCTCAACACGGACCCCGCGTGGGCCAAGATGAAGGTCATCATCTCCGATGCTACTGTTCCTGGCGAGGGTGAACACAAAATCATGGAATTTGTCCGCTCGCAGCGCAACTCGCCCGAGCATGACCCCAACACTCGCCACGTCATCTACGGCTTGGACGCCGATCTTATCATGCTGGGGCTTGCTACTCACGAGCCTCATTTCCGTGTCCTTCGTGAGGATGTCTTCTTCCAGCAGGGCAAAGCAAGGATGTGCAAACTCTGCGGCCAAAAGGGCCACGACGAGAGAAATTGCAGAGGTGAGGCAAAGGAGAAAGACGGCGAGTTTGACGAGAAGGACAAGGCGGAGCCCCTAAAGCCCTTCATTTGGCTCCATGTCTCGATCCTACGTGAGTACCTTGCCATTGAGCTGAACATTCCCGATCTCCCATTTCGCTGGGATCTCGAACGCGCCATCGACGACTGGGTCTTCATGTGCTTCTTTGTCGGAAATGATTTCCTGCCTCATTTGCCCGCCCTCGAAATCAGGGAGAACGGCATCGAGACCCTCATGGCTATTTGGAAGGACAACCTCGCCGTAATGGGTGGATACGTGACCAAGGACGGACATGTGGACCTCGACCGCGCACAGTACATCCTTAGCGGTCTCGCCAAGCAGGAGGACTCCATCTTCCGAAGGCGGAAGGAAACCGAAGACCGGCGGGAGGCGAGCTTCAAGAGACGCAAGCTCAACGACCGACAAGGTAATGGCAGAGGCGGAGCCCACGATTCGCCACTCAGTGGTAGGGGAGGGCGAAGGGGAGCGCCAGAGGCGAACGGGCCGCCGGCGGGGATGAATCTTTTCCCGGTCGCGAGCATTCCCAAGCCCGTCGGCATCACTCACGACATGGTGGTGAACCGCCGTGCGGTTGACCAGGCCAATGTGGCCAACAAGAGCGCCGCGAGCGTGCTCAAGAGCCAGATCCAGGGACTTGTGGCCCAGGTTCAGAAACCCGATGGTGACGAGCCCAAGGAGGAAAACCCGGCGGCGAAAACGCCACCTTCAGCCCTTGGGAAACGCAAGGCGGAGCTCATTGAGGAGGAGGCCACCACTGCCTCGGACACCACTTCGGATGCCGAGACCCCTGCTACCCCCTCGAGCGAGGAAGGCCCAACCGACACGGTCAGGCTCTGGGAAGAGGGTTACGCTGACCGGTATTACGAGCAAAAGTTCAAAGTGGACCCCAAAGACATCGCCTTCCGGCACAAGGTTGCCCGGGCATACGTCGAAGGTCTCGCCTGGGTGTTGATGTACTACTTCCAGGGCTGCCCCTCGTGGGAGTGGTTCTACCCATACCACTACGCTCCGTTTGCGGCTGATTTCGTCGACCTGGGAAAGATGAAGATCAGCTTCGAGAAGGGCAGGATATCGCGGCCTTTTGAGCAGCTCATGAGCGTCCTTCCGGCCGCCTCCCGCCATGCCATTCCGGAGGTATTCCATGACTTGATGACCCAGGAGGACAGCCCGATCCTCGATTTCTACCCGGAGGACTTTGAGATTGATTTGAACGGTAAGAAGATGTCTTGGCAGGGTATTGCTCTTCTTCCCTTCATCGAGATGCCCCGTCTGCTGGATGCGATGAAGACCAAGGCACATCTTCTGAGCGCCGAAGACCAAGCGCGAAACGCGCCGGGTCACGACGTCCTGCTCATCTCGGACGCGCATCCGGGCCTCTATGAGGATATCACAACCCACTTCTACTCCAAGAAGCAGGCCGTCCCAGAGTTCAAGCTGGACCCTAAGAGAAGCGACGGCCTCTCCGGCCAGGTCGAGAAGATTGAGGGCTACGTCCCGCATGGCTCGCTTGTGTACCCGCTCGAGCGCAACACCATGCCGGACGTCGACTACGACCGGTCAATGAGGTATGTACCCTTTTCCCCTGATAGCTTTATCAAAGAAACATGTTGCTAATACTATGTCAACAGCGTGAACTATGATATGCCAACCAGCTCTCACATTCACAAGTCGATGCTCCTTCGCGGCTTGAAAATGCCCACGCCTGCGCTTGACAGGAGTGATGTCGACTTTGTCAGGAGCAAGGGGCGAGGGGCCGGGAGAAGCTTCGGCGGCGTGCCGTTAAGGAATAATTACAACGGCGGTGGGCGAGGAGACAGGATCAATTATGCCGGTGGGCCTCCCCGTGGTGGAGGTGGACGTGGCCGCGGAGGTTATCAGCAACATGATCGCGGCTACGGAAACGGCTACGGTGGGGGTGGTGGTGGTGGTGGTGGATATGGCAACGGCTATGGTGGCCACCAGCAGCACGCCCCGCCCGCCCAGCAATCATGGCAGCCACCCCCGCCGCCCGGCTATCCTGGGTTCGGTATTGGTGTGCCACCTCCGCCGCCTCCAGGTCTCTCCGGTGGTGGTGGTCACAACCAAGGGTATGGCAACCAGGGATACGGCGGCCAGAACTATCGAAATGACCGTTACCCACCGGGGCCGCCACCGCACGGAGGCTACCAGGGAGGTGGCTACCAGGGAGGTGGCTACCAAGGGGGTGGCTACCAAGGGGGCGGCCACCAAGGGGGCCATCAGGGGCAGTACCGCCCGCCTCAAGGCCAGGGCCAAGATCGGCGCCAGGACAACAGGTACGACGGGGGTAATAGGAATCGCGATTCACGGGGGTACGGGAGGTGAGGATGCTTAGGGTCGACTGTAAGAGAGACGACTTGCAAGGGGTGGTATTGTCATGCTATATAGGCTCATGTTTTGCTCATTGCTGTTCGATCAATGCGGATAACGGAGGAACCTCTCAGGAATTGCTTATGTTTTTGTCAACCATTCGCTTCGGGGTTTACCCCATCACATTTTGTCCAGTGGCCCCTCATGGCAGTGATAAACAAGCTGCATCCATTTGAATGGCAACACGGCGACCACGGAAGGTTGCATCACATATGGGAGGTCTTTCAATTGGGTCCTGCGCATGCAATCCTTTGTGCTCAACACCTCAATCCCATGTATCCTATTGCCCCAAATATCTACCCGGAAAATCCGTCCATCATGTGCCAGATCAGTGAACCATTATTGATTATTTGTTTCCTACCTAGTTACTATGTGCCTACCTACTAAATATCTACTTCCATACTTCCTCAACAGTACGACTAAAAGTCATGATGCAAGTTGAACGAACACGACGTTTAAGATTACGCCTCCACAACCCCACAGAGGTGAGGATGGTGCTAATATCAATTCGCGGATGCAGGAACCGTTAACTCACGTTAGGGGCCGAGGGATTCGCGGGCGGTGTGCGGCGTCGATGCGCTTTCTTGCCGGGCCCCATCCCGAATTTGGACTGGGTTCACTGTGAGACTGTGGAGGCCCTCGATCGGGGCCCACAAGAGCTCTGCAACTGATAGCAGCAGGGGTCCCCGCTCCGGTTTGGCGCTGTCTCTCCCCCGCCTGCCGCAATCCGCAATCCGGCAAAGTGCGCCCCCGTTGTTGAATCTAAGCAAAAACCTCCGTTGTCCGTTTCCCGATCTTAATTTCGTCTCGTTCCCAGAGATTCTAGAGCCGAATCCCCCGACCCAAAACACACCTTCTCTCTCGCCACCTCCCGACGGCTGCCGCAGGACAGCACCGCCACCGTCCGGGTTGCGCGCGAACACCACGTCTCCGGAATAACTACCTTTACATAGGCAGTATTTCTCCCGGTCTCTGCTCTGGCAACGGTCCGCCGTGCGGCCCCGACGCCGTCGATCGGAAATAGGATAATAAATCAAAAAATAATACAAAGTTCAACCATGGGAAGGCGCCGACTCAACCCTGCTCTCGTCAACGCACAATGAACGGCGACGCGGGCCTAGTAGGCTGCCTTGTGGACAGGTTGACCACGAGAGTGCGTGCTCTATCTTTTTTTGGCGCTCCGTGACGCTCCCAGGCGCTTTTTGGGGTGCCTCTTATTCTACAAGATGGAATGGAATGGATCGACCGATGCTGACAATGTCGCACACAGCTTCCCCACCGCACCGGCACGCCAACCCAGGACCTCTCCCAGGATGACATCGTCTCCATCACCCGCGCCTCGCTGGTCAAGATCAGCGCCTCCTCCATCACCCTGATCCTCGATGCCCTCCTGACCCTGCTCGAGGAACTCGCCCGGCCATACAAGACCGTCCATTCGCACCCACCCCATGTGCTCCTCTCCGAACTCTACGTCGTCGAGCTCATCGCCGACTGCTGCGCCAGCAATTGGTATCGCAAAGGGTCTAGCGACAAACCGGCCCCTTCCCCCATACCCGATGACTCCTTATCTCCTTCACAGCGAGCCGCTTTCCCCAATCCTGAACCACTCAGCGATGTACAGCTCAGGCGCATGTTCGAGGCCACCAAGGTCCTCTTCGAACCCATCCCAGATAATTACTCGATCCCGCCCAAGGCGATACTAGACGATTCCTCCGCCAAGCACATAACGACCTCCGGTCTTGAAGAACCCACACGAACGCCGCTCTCGGCCTCGTCCAGTGAGGCTCCGGACACGCGAAACCTCCTCCAAGCCCATGCGGGCGCCGTCGAAGCAAACGTCAAGCTAATCGTCGAGTACGTAACGGCGTCGTCATGGCCCGCCGGTTTTGAATTCTTCCGGAACATCATGTACTTGGCCCGGAACGTACCCCCTCAGGGAGCTGCCGTAGCCCCGAGCCCTACCGCTGCCGATGACGAGCGAGCCGCGCTTATCATGCTGCGCCTCGTCTCGTTCTTTTGGGCCGACAGCCAGAAACTGAGTCTCGTCGTGCAAGAGCTCTGCTCCAGCTTCCTGCACTACCGCAAGTCCTTCCAGAACACCATCGCCGTCGTCATGCCCCAGATCATCACCCGCTGGTTGGACAGGTACCCAGACGAGTTTGTCCAACTGCACTCCATGAGCAGTCCTAAGCGCCGCGATAATTCACCAGATACCCTGTTCGACATGACGCTGACGATCGGCGATAACGGACGCCGAAAGGGCATGTTTCCGATGCAGATGACGCTGCTGTTTCTCCAACCCGATGTCTTTGAAGTGGCCAGCAACATGCGCGAGTCCAAGGGGGCCAGCATCGCCAAGAAGGTACAGTTTCTAGACGGGCTCAGAAAGGCGCTCAGGAACCGCAACGAACAAGCCGCGTTTTGTCTAGTGCTGCTTCTCAGGGCCGCGCGGCACTTTGATGCCGAGAGCGACTCGGCGCTGATGAGCTACGCCATGGATGTGCAGGACGAGGTGCGGGATGCCGTGTTCCGGCGGTTCACACCCGGCGCAGAGGCCGTGTTGTACGAGCAGGACATCATGACAGCCGCCTTCGTGTCGCTGTTGCATCTCAATTTTGAACACTCGGTCGAGTCGCTCGCAGTGTCCTGTCTCTCCTCCTCGGCGCCGCACAGCTTCAAGATTGCCGTCGTCCAGGCGTGTGCCCACTTTGCGCGCTTGGAGAACAACCAAAAGTACCAGCCCCTTTTCAGCACCGTGAGTGCCTTCATTCAGGGCAAATTGCAGGTAAGTTTTACTCTTCAGCAATCACACATCTGTTCGCCGGTCCCCTGACTTCCAACCCCCAAGGCCATGGCCTCCCTCCTCGCCGATGGGTACATCGAAGACCACAGCGCCCAGCGCAACGCTGTGGAGAGCCCCCCGTCTATCAGCATGGTGTGCAATATCCTCGGCTTCCTCGACGCCTCGCCCATGACCCTTTTTGAGGGCCCGCCCGCGGACAAGGATGAGCGCGACCAGTTCTACGAGGAGAACCTGGGCGCACTCATCTCGTGCATCATCGCCGCTGATGAATCCGTCAGGCGACTGGCGACGGGCGTCGCCAAACGCTTGTTTGCGAAGGAAAAGGTTCTTGCGAACTTGAGGTCGTCTGAGGGACTCGGGACGAAGGCGTTTAAAACAAAGTTTTGGAGGTTGACGTACGTGCTGTTCCCGACTTCACGGGAATGAGGAATAGGGGCTAACAGAGAGCAGGTCGCTTATTCTCATCTCCATCTGTGACAAGGCGAGACTGCCCTGCACCGCCGAAGCTCTCAAGTCTATCAATGGGTACCTTGAATCAAGGCTACTTTTGCTGACGTCGATCCCGGTACGTAAATATTCCCTTCAAACCCATGTGGCCAATTCGCTAACCTTGGGTAGGAGTTGGGCCAAACCTCCGACGACATATCCGAGCGTACTGCCGCATCTAGCAAGCTGGAGAAACTATTTCTCGTCTCGCTTTGTTCGGCGGACATGGAAGCCTGCCAAACCGTCATCTCCTGCATCAGCACCTTCCTCGACGAGTGCCGCCTCATCGACACCGCTCCAGCGACGGCAAAGTCATCACTAACTCTTCTCCGTAATGGCGAAATCTTCGGCGAGATCTCATCGCGTGACTTCAGGTTCACCGGGATTGTGGCATTCCAAAAGAGGGTTAGGGCTCTCCTCAGGCGCATGCAATACCCCAGCGCCGGCATACTCGACGCCTGGGAGTTCGTTTTCGACAAGTGGCTGCAACTGTCCATGGAGATTTCACAAGCAGGCGCTGGCCAAGCTGTCACAGAGAGGATGGTGGCCGAGTGGCGGAACTATTCGGGTTTCCTCGCCTCGCTTGGAGGCATCTGTACGGCCGAGCAGGCTACCAACCTCGAGGAGCCTGCTATCAGCGGGCTAAAATGGATCGACCGGCTGTCGTCCGGGAACCACGAAGAACCGCTCCTAACGCGCTATCTCAGGCTGAGCATCCAGCTGCTGGCGTGCGCCAACGTCCGGGTCCGCGAGACCATGAGGGAGGTCCTCTCCTCCGAGGTGCCGCCATCCCTATTCCAGCCCCTGTTCAAGGCGCTCGAGACGGAGCTCGACGTGCTCTTCGCCGGTGCCCTTGAGCCGAGCGTCAAGGGTCAGGACAACGATATCATTTTTGCGGAGCAGTCTTCCTCGCTCCTAAAGGTCCTCGTCGAGCGACTCGACACGCCGTCGGATTTGGGCGCCGCATCGACCCTCCACCTGGGCGCCCTCTGTCTCAACTTTGCCAAAAGTCTTGACGGCGTCGCCGAGACACCCAACAGCCTCCGCGTGAAGATCAAGATTTGCCAACTCGTCGAAGCAGTGACCAAACGCAAAGAGCAGCTCAACCTGCGCGACGACGTGCGTATCCGCAACCAGCTGCTCGAGTACATCTTCCGTTGGATCGCCCGGCCACGCTCGCCCCGCGATTCCGCGCCGCATGCCGGCGGCCGCCAGGACGAGATGCTCCGCGTCCAGCGCGATCTCGACAAAGCCTGTCTCCGCTCCCTTTCCACACTCACTTTCAGGTTGCCCCTCCAGCCGGGCGACGGGCAGACTGACGTCGGCACCAGCGAGCTCAAGTCCCAAATGTTCCACCAATACTTCAACCGTTTCCTGTCTCTCCTCAACATAGACTCCAATGGGCCAGATTTAGGCCGCGTGGGGGAGCACCATGGCTACCACGGCAATCATTATTTTGGTTCCACTGGCAGCGGGGGCACGGCCACGTCGGAGGCATCGACGTCGGATCTGGCCATCACGATCCTGTCCAATCTCCTCAGCGCTAATATCGATGTCGGCCTCAAACACTCGCTGAGCATAGGGTACCACGAGAATCCCGACATTCGGACCGCATTTGTCAGAGTGTTGTACAATATCCTTGTTCAAGGGACAGAGTTCAACAACCTGAGCGATGCGGCTGTGAACGAGAAGTATGATAAGCTGTTGGATGTTAGTTTTGATCTCCTGTTCTCCCTTGTTGACGGTTGAGGAAAATGACTAACCAGCTGGGCAGCTTCTTGCGAGTGATCCGAGCTTGGCCGCAGCCATGAGCGCCGTCTGTCCCAGTCATGAGGTGGATGAGCTCACCATCTCATTGCTGAATATCTATGAGGCGAGAGGATCAAGTTACGTGCTTCTTGAGGCTCTTATAAAACAGGAAATCGAGGAAACAGGTGGGTTGTTCCCGTCAGCAAAAGCATCCCCGCAGGTCTTTGAACTGACGGTGCGGTAGATAACGAGTCTGAGCTCCTCCGCCGAACGTGCGTGGCCACCAAGATGTTGACCATCTTTGCCAAGTGGAAGGGCGTCGGCTACCTCAAGGACACGCTGCAGAACGTCGTTGAGCGGCTTATGATGACGTCTAAAGACCTAAGTCTGGAGCTTGACCCGGCTAGGGTTAGCTCTCCTGAGGAACTGCAGACCAACGCGAACAATCTGCAAATAGTCGCGCGGGTATTTATCGACAATATCTGCGGCTCGTCGTCGAGCATCCCGGCCTCGTTTCGCCAGATTTGCAGTATCGTATGTCACAGCCTGGTTTCTCGGTTGGGGTACGTACATGCTAACAACCCGCAGATCTCAGAAGCGGTTGTGGAGAGGTTTCCTGACGCCAAATACACCGCCGTCGGGGCGTTCATCTTCCTGCGCTTCTTTTGCCCGGCGATTGTCGCCCCTGAGGCCGAAGGCCTGGTGGCAACGCCGCCTTCTAAAGAGATGCGCCGTGGGCTGCTGCTCATCGCCAAAGTCATCCAGAACCTGGCAAATAACGTTCTGTTTGGCGCCAAGGAGCCGTACATGTTTCCGTTGATTGACTTCCTGACTAATAATATCTACAAAGTCACGACATTCTTGCGGGAGATCTCGGTGAGTCCGCTCATGTAAAAGCCGTCGGTCTTGGGGATGCTGAACTGACACCCGTACAGGTTCCGCCAACTGCCGTGGATACGACTGATCGGGGCGAGTCGTTCGAATTTGGCTCTTGCGTGGCCCTCCACAGGTTTCTGTACGAGCATTGGGACCACGTGCGCCAGCGGCTGGCCTCCAAAGAGAAGAGAGAGTTTGTGCGATCGCCGGCCGAGTCGACGAGGAGTCGGACGCCCGCGATTGAGCCGCTAAGAAACCTCATCATGAACCTGGGGCCACCGCCTCTGGCCGTGACGTGGAACCGACCGCAGATCTCGGGTAACAGCCCGCCGTCTTACTCCAGGTTCCAGGACTTCATGCTTCGAAACGCTTTTCGGAGCGCCGAGTCGTTCCTCACCGCCCGCGCCGTTTACGACGGTGGTGAGAGCAAGGACGGACTGTCCATTATCTGCATCATTCTACGCAACATCGACGGCGAGTCTATCGACTATGACACTCTGATTTACTGCTACCTCAAGATTGCCAGCCGGCTGTGGCACAGGCCTTTTGGTCTTCTCATCGATTCAACGTACTACAGCGGGCAGAATGAGCCCAAGGACGAGTTGTTCCACAAGCTTGAACTACTCACGCCACGAGAACTCTCCAGGCAACTCACGCGCATATACGTCTACAACATGAATAGCGCGTCGAAGAAGTGCCTGAGGCGGATCCTCCGAGTTTCCGCCAAAAGCGAGACGAGCGTGTTCAGCCCGGCGAACGTGCAGTACAATCTCATTGGGAGCCTGCAAGACCTGCAGGCCCACTTCCATCTCAGCCAGTTGCATCTTCCTAAGGAGACCATCAGCGTGGTGACGGACACGCGCTACGTGTTCCATCCGATCACTAGGCTATCGAAGTCCAAGGGCAAGGTTGACGTTATCATTAAGGTTGGCAGTCAGTTTGTACAGGTCACCACGACTAAAAAACAGGAAGTACCCGGCTTGCGCATGAGCACGACGGTCAACGACATCTTCCGGCTCGGCGATGTCGACGAAGCGCCCACCTCAATCCAAACAGAGGATGACTCGGCGTTCGGTCTCAGGGCCGACAACGGCAAGATCGTCATGTACTTCACCAGCTCCAGAAAGGCCGATATCTTACAGGCCATCCGCGCCGCAAAGACCAAATACGCCAAGGACACGAGGGCGACAAAGTCGTTTGAGCGTCTGATCCGGCCGCAGGACGTCCCGGGGACACTGCTAAATCTGGCCCTGACAAATCTTGCCACTCCCGATCCCGTCTTGAGGCTGTCGTCGTATAACCTGCTCAGTGCGCTGTGCAAGGCGTTCAAGTTCACGGCCGCGTCCAAGCTCATGAGCACTAGGGAGATCTCCGTGCCGATGGACCCGTCGCAGTTCATCATCAAGATCAGCAAGAGCTTGGCCCAGACCGAACCGCAGCTGACGGCGGATTTTCTGAATGAGTTCTTCGTTGGGTGGGATAGCTTCTTGGACGAGCAAAAGCCCCTGAGCTTGGCGTACATGGCGCCCTGGATCCCTGGGCTGCGGACGTCTCTCCTGGCGGGCGAGGTCGAGAGCGACAAGGCGAGGGAAAAGATTGCCGCCTTGTTCAGGAAGCTGATTGATGTCGCACTGTCGGACTTGACGCTCACGTTTGCGCTGGAACAGTCGGTTTGGCCGGTCATTTACCAGGATGAAGTCCTGCTGGATATCTTCCTCGAGGAGATCATCAAAGCGGCCCTCGCCCACGGGTTCGAGGATGACCAGACCGAGACGTTGACTTCGATCGCCAACGCCATCGGCACGATCACCCTGAGGGGCAAGGTCATCTCACGTCTGCGGAAAGCGCTCAATCGGTCGTCGTTGCGGCCGACCAAGTCGCTGCCCGACAATGCGGTGTGGAACGAGATCTGCGTGCTGCTGCAGTTCTGTCTGGCGCTGTCGTTCGACAGCGGCGTGCAGGCCCAGACGTACATGCCGGAGATCTTCCACGCCGTCACGATGCTTGCGAACACGGGCATGCCGGACGTCAGAGTGGTCGTCCACCGGCTGCTCATCAACACGGTCCACTCGGCGTGCACCTCCTTTGCGCTCGACGAGGACAGGCTTACCAAGCTGAGAGCAACACTCGAGACGCTGTCGGACCCGAAGAATGACATCTTTGTCAACTCGGTCACCTTCATGCGCGATGGCGCATCCATCTCGACGAACCAGGAGGCCGGCCCGACGCTGGCCGCGACGGAGAACCTGGCTACGATTCTGTTCGAGACGTGCGCCGTTGCAGCGCCGTCGGTCGATATGGCCAACGTCTGGCGCTCGAGGTGGATGAGCCTGGTCGCGAGCACGGCCTTCCAGAACAACCCCGCCATCCAGCCCCGTGCGTTTACCGTCATGGGCTGCCTCGCGCGCGAGGAGGTTGACGATGACCTGCTGTACCAGGTTCTTGTTGCGCTGCGCAATAGTGTGGGCCGCTTCGGCGAGGACAGCAACAGCGACATGCTCGTCGCCATCGTCACCTCTCTATCCAAGATGATGGCCAAGTTGCCGTCGGCCTCCCGCTACGGTCTGCAACTCTTCTGGCTCGCCATCTCGCTGCTGCGGCTGGTGCCGTCCAACCTGTTCAACTGCACCGCCATGTTCCTCGAGGCGGTGCTCACCAACATCAGCACGACCGGCGACATGCGCGGCGGCGGCGACAAGGTGGTGCCGTACCTGCTGCAGGGCCGGAACCAGCTCGAGGATGCGGCTCTACCGTTGGATGACGCCTACGGGATCCACTTCAACAGCGAGAACTTCCACTACGCCGCGTGCGCGTGCCTCGTGAGGGGGCTGACGGATGGCGTCACCAAGACCACGGCGCTGCGGGTCCTGACCTCGTTCCTGGAAATGACCATCCCCATGAAGACCAACCCCGGCGGCGGCTCGACCAGCCGGGGCGAACGAGACATCCACGATCTCGCGGCGTCCCCGTACATGACGCTCGTCCTGGCGCGCACGGCGTCGATCGACGAGCTGCGCGAGCACCTGTGGGCGGCGGGCATCAACGTCAGCCTCTCGGGCGTGTCGGACCCGGCGGCGCTGCGCGCGGAGCAGGACCTGGCGCGGCTCAAGGACAAGGACCTGCTGCTCAACACGGCCGTCGAGCTCGTCGACTTCCAGTACCTCGAGGACGCGGTGCAGAACCGCAGCCTGCAGTGGCTGAACCGCATTGCGCTGAGCCGGCCGGCGGTCGCGATGCATCTGTATGTTTTACTTTCTCTTTCTATTTTGCTCCATTCTACCCACCCTATTTTATCCCCTCCCCCCCAAAAAAGAGAACCCCCCGACTAACCCACCCCACCCCACCACACAGCTGCGCCCCCATCATCTCCCTGCTCGACGACATCCTGCTGCACTGCCAGTCGTCGGCGACGCTCGAGTCGGCGCACGTGCTGCTGCAGACGCTCACGTCGAACCCACGCTTCTCGGCCTCGTCCCTCGACGCCTCGGCCGCCGCCCTCAACGACACGCTCGACGACCTCGGCTTCGCGGGCCTCTGGCGCAGCTGCTCCTTCAACCTGGCCCAGGAGCAGCAGGACCGTACGTGCTTTGGGTTGACGGAGAAGTTGATTGAGGTGAGTTCCTTTACTTTTTTTGGGAGTTTTCTTTTTATTGAAGGGTGGAGTGGGTGTTGCATTGGGCGATCGAACGTGTCTTTGGCTGACTTACTGGGTGTGTTGTAGCTCATCATTATTTGAGGGTGATTGATGGGCCGGCCGCGTTTGGCCGGCCTGGTGTCAGGCCTACGGGAGTGCGATGGAATGCGGGTGGTGTTTGTTCGAAAGGGGAAAGGAACGTGGGAACGCGGAACAGGGAAGGGGGGGTGTCAATCTCGTTGCTCTGTTGTTTGTTGGACGGCGTGGGGGTTGGTTGAATATACCAGTTTCTTTCGCTTTACACGATGCGATGGCCAGCGGGAGTCACCTATCTATGTTGCACGTCGAGGCATGGTGCTGGTGTTTTCTTCAAGCATGCGTTTTTCAGCGAGGAGACAAAAATTGGATGGGGTTTTTCATAGCGGAAGGTGGGGAGCATGGTTTGAGGAGTTGTGTGTTTGAGTGCTGGTGGGTTTGTGGTTCTACTACGAATTCAGGCTACGAAGCTATCTGTCTTCGGTCTTGAAAAACCGAGGTTGGGTTGGTGAAGGGCCGAAGATGAAAAAATGAAAATTGTTTTAGCCGTTGATCCTGTTTGATGCCGTGCTCGATGCGTGATTTTCGCTTCCTCGTTCCTACCACCACCATGTATTGCTTTCCTGCCTAGGATCTACATCTTCGTTGCAACAGATGCGAAAATCTAACGGCCTCCTAGATCGGCCTTCATCCTGCGGAAGAAGAAAAAAATTTACATACATCCTATGTGGTTAACGTTACACCCCACCCCCCTCCGGCCGTGCTCCTCGGCCAACAAACCGGGGATGTGGAGATTCTAGGCCCGTCCCCCCGGCCGGCCGGCCGTGTTCTAGCCTCTCTCCCACCACACACTCCGAGAATTGGGAAGTTTTCCAGCTGAGATTTACCGGTGCCTGATTTATCCTACTCCTATCTCGGCCCCAATCACATCGGCCGGCGCCGGCGCCGGCACCGGAGGCTTTCGGAGTGTAGACAAACTCGCAGATGGGTGTGTGCAGTTCCTGGTTCTAGACAAAAGCCATGTCTCGGCACATGCCATTTGGACGTCGGGCTCGAAAGTGGGCGAACGGCGGCAATCATGGCGTTAATCTCTCCTGCGCCGCTGACGTGCGTTTTTCCCCCTTCTCCTTGCTTCTCCTCCTGCAGTTCCATGCTGTCGGTGCTGGCCATGGCCAGGGTGCCATGCGAGACAGCTGAAAAAGGTAGGGGGGGGTTCAAGCACCTTGTGCCACTGCCCCGCTGCGCAGCTCACGCAGTGTCCCCCTCCATGCCGCGCGGGTTGGGCCGGGATGGGTCCGGCCGGGGTTTTGGCCGACCTGTTTGATTCGACGGTGATGGAAAGTGGGTTCGCAAGCCCAGATCGACGAGGCACAGTCCGGTCAGGCGGTCGTGGTCTCGTTTCTCTCATACCTCCATACGGTAAAAGGTGCTCGGTGAGCTGACGGATTACGGATTATGTACAAGAGCTTACCAAGAGTCCCTCCAGACATGCAAACACCTAAAATGGGATTTTAAACGGACGGGTAAAGCGAAGTATATACGGATACGACGTAACTCCTCCAAGGAGTCATTCGGGGTCATGCTGAGTAATCGAAATTTCGGAAAAGTGCGAAGTCCGTACGGTAACCCCGACCTGCCCGTGGCTTTCCAATCGTTCGTAATCATTGACCAAACTTGGTGGTATCTGGATTCAAATACCTGCTTCGGTATCGCTTAACGCAACAAGATACAATGCAGATCCGGCCCGACAAAACCGTACTCTGTAAGAGGGTACGGATAGTGATTGGTGATTAAACATGTCACCGGACACTTGTAAACGAGTTCGGTGCCATCTCGTAATGGGATCGATGCGGAGATGCACGACTTTGGGCCTTCTAGAAAAACTCTGTCGTGGGATGGGTGCATCGAAACACACATCCGGCACCGGAAAAGCAAAGAAAGAAAAAACTAGCACATGGTGTTGGGAAGTGATACATACCACATATGTCACAAAAAAAGAAAGGATTCGGCCGTTCGGTCGGGCATCGGGGTTGGAGGTCGCGCTGTGTGAGACGAATGAGCAAGAATCGGAGTCGAGACCGATTCCGTCCGGCGGCTTTCGAGGCGCTGTTCAACTGCATCGGCGTCTTCCGAAGGGCCTGTGCTCTCTTCCCGAAAGCCGTCTCCCACCCCTTTCTGGGGCTGGTGCACCCATTTTTAGCGTGGCCGGCAGCATGTCCTGCATTAGCTCGCTGCGATGCAACACAAGGAAAAGGGACATTTCCGCCGGCCCTTGCGCCCTCCCACCCGCATCGTCGGGAAGGATGGCATTTTTCATGCAACCATGGAAGAATTTTTCTTCCTGCTTTTTTGCGCCTGTTGTCGGCGGCAACGTGGTACGGGGAAAATTTTTCTTCTCGGCGGTGTGGCTGCCACATGCGGCAGCTAAGGATTTGTTGTCGGTCTCGCAATTTGTTAACCTCTTAGTTTTGGGCGCACCCCTATTTCTAGCCCGACATACAAAGTCTGCTGGTTGTGCCCTAGGTTTGCGTTGCAGCATGCCGAGTTTTGAGCGAAAGCGCGAGACAGCGAGCCGAAGCCATGCAACGAGCAGATGCCAAGGCCGCGGTCGGCAGGGCATCATCATCTTGACGACTGATGTGCCATCTCTTTCGACTTGGACTTGGTTGAAGGATGGGAGGATGGGTGATCGGGCTGTTCTCGCCGCGAATTGCACTCATCAGTTCAACGACTCGAAACCATCAACCGAATCGCCAGGTGCGGGCCTGTCTCCGGTGCCCCGAGCTTCAAGCTCGACAAACACACCATGTTTCAAGGCAGAGCTCCTTGGTCCCTGAAATCGCAAAGATCAGCGGAGCTCGACCCTGGCAAACCTGAAGATGTTGGTGGAGGTCTGAGTCTTCTGCAGCGCGGGCGCAACGAAAAACGTCAACGGTCTCCCCAGGAGTCTGGGACACTGCCGCTTGTGACCACCCGGGGGCGCCGACAGCAGACAAGCCACAAGGGAAAAAAAAGATCTGCATCTGCCGCTTGGGGTAGGGCGGCCTCAGTACCCCATTGGTCCACTTTCCTCGATGGGAGTGGGCACCAAGACCTGATCTGGCAGATGCGTGGCACAGCCCAGGTCTTCGTGCAACCCCAGATCATGATTGGTGTCTTTCCTGCTGCAGAGGTGAGGGCGATCTGGACGCTGCAGGCCGGGATTTGAGAATCGGCGATGCAACAGGCTCGAAGACGGCATCATCCAGAACGTCCTACCCATCAGGAGCTGAGGACATGTTTCCAAGAGGTGGGACTGGTGGTCGAGAGTCACCGAAGCGTTGTTGGACCGGCTGAACGCACCGCAACACGTGGAGCTTAGTGCGCCAGATCTCTCGTGTCTACCGCATCACTTGTGTGCCGCATCACTGTCTGCCGATGCGAGTCATGTACACAGGAACAGAGGCACGAGAGAGGCCGCACGCACCACGTTGCGCAGCGACACCTAGGACTAGTCGGTGCCGACTGAGCAATCAGACCGAAGAAGTGACAAGCCATGCTGAGCGATCCAGCCGGGCAAGTGCAGCGAAGCTCTTTTGCATCTGGGTGTGAGTTGTTGCGGGCTGTGTCATTGGTTACCGACCGCCAGAATAGGGTTCAAAGCCGTGCCGGACAGAAATGCCAGAAACAGCAGGGGGGCGGCCGAACGACGCATCAGTCCATTGGCACTTTTGCGAAGGCAGCAGCGGTAACCACATGAACCGAAGTTCCCGCCGGATATGTCACCGGCCGAATATCTCAAGTCGCCGAGTTTGCTGAGCCTCTGAGCCGTCCTCGTCATCCTCACTCATCGGTTTCGCATGGGCCGGCTGTCAAAGTTGTTAGTCATATGGAGGAAGCCGTTGGAAAAGCGCAGTCGAGGCTGGCTCCGAAACCCCCGGTCCCGGTCGGCGTCGATCCCCCCTCCCCGTTCCCCGCATCAAACCCTTGAACCAACCAGGAACCCCGGCGTCAATCCCCGACCGTTATTCAGTCAAATGAATACACAGGAGCTGATAGAATGGAAATTGCGTGCAGTTCACATCTCGACCTGCAGCGAAACCAGGTTTCGGGGACTCGGAGACGTCCTTGTTAACAGGGTAGCTACGTAATGAGGTCCCTTTTCTGGCGGACTGGGAGTGGAGGGGATGACGGAGCGGAGCGAATCAACAAGCCGCAAGGCCGGGCCGCTCCCACCTCAACTCCGATGCTGCCGCGCCAAGCAAAACATCCAAGTCGTGGTCAAAGTCGTCGTACGCAGGACGGAGGAAAAAAGAGGAGCCTAGGGACAGCTCCCATTGTTTCGACTGACTCACGCGGGGGCGAGACCACACTGGTAGAATAGCAACTAATCACACAATACACAATAGTCATGGGAGCGAGTTAATATCGAGAAGTCGCACCCGCTTCGACTGCCAAGGTCATGTGATGTCCGGTCACGAGACCTTATACAGACATCCTCCCTCCGGAGCGGCATCCTCTCACAAGCAGTAATCTAACCAATGGGATTTCCGCGGTATATTGACCAAGAAATAAAGATTTGAAATCTAGAGAATGCAAACGAAACCTGGGAACTTGAAAACGAAACAGGATTTTTCGGCTTCGTGTTGAGCCGGTGGTACGGTTTGCAAGCCACATACTGTGAGATACTGTCGGTACATGCCTTCAAGGTTGCGCCACATCAACCTCCCTACGCGAACCATGCTGCCATGTTGATTCGCAAGGGCGAAAGTCAGATCAGCAGGTCGAAAACAGGAGATCAGCAAGCGAGCGTACGTACGCACGTAGGTATACTCGTATAACTAAGCACGCTGAGGTATGCTCCAGCTGGCATCTTTTGTTGAGCAAGTGTCAAAAGTGAACAGCCACACTGGATGTGCTGGATGGATGGTTCGTCGCCAGCTCGCTTCTCGGAGATGTGGCTAGTGCCGCGCAAGCCCTATGGCCGGGGGTTAAGCCGAAGCCCGCAAGTGGGTCTCAAAGCTCCCTCCACGGGCTGTTATGCCGCGGAAAAGCGGAGTGGTCGGTTGGCGGCCGCCCACTGTGGGCCGTGGGGATCTCGCCCTGAACATCACGCTCCAACGAATGGTGATGATGAGGTCGTTGTGGCTCCTGATACACCGTCCATGGCGACCGTACCTGCGTACATAGCTGGGGTGGATGGCGCAGGGCCGTTCAGATTGTGCTGGATCCCGGGAAGGATCCGGCACCCGAAAGCGCGGCGGTCGGCTTAGTTGATTTGCTATTGGGAATGCCGAGTGGCAGTGCGAAATGCGATTTCGGATGGTCACACTGTCCAGAAATGTCAGCCATACGAATAACTCCACAGTACCTACAGAATATCCACCTATCTCGAGCCTATTTACCCATCCTGGCGTTCATTTTCTGTGATCACTTGGCGTGTGCTCGAACCCGAGACCCACTCCTCCTCGGAGGTTCAACCGGCAACCAGCCAAGCATCGATCTTGATCTAGACACTGCCAGACGACACACACACTGGTCAGCATTTGGTCAACACGTTCAGCTTTGGGTCGGGGTCGCATCCGTTTTCCGCACTGCATCTGGGTATCTCGTATTTTGACGACCTCGACGCGCATTGTATTAACAAACCCTTGATAGAAAAGTGTCTAGAACGCTTCTTACCGAGATCTAGACTGCCCGACGGATTACCATGCCATCGATCGATCTATTCAGCTAGGAAATGGCAGATGTTAGGGTTCGCTACCTGATAGGCTACGGAGAAAAGCCCTTGTCAAAGATGGTGAGGGAACATGCTGGATGAGCCGAGTTCGTTCTCGCATCAAACGGTTCGCGCGAGCGCTGCATCAGCTGCTGTTGGATTTTCATTCATCTGCAGGCTCGAGCAAAAGCCAAGGCGGCCAGGCCCCTCGGCCAACCAGAAAGACCGGACCGAACTCCTTCGTGGGGTCTGGACTGGACATGTATTTCGTACACTGTTCATCTACAAGCCGAGGTATCCCCCCTCCGGACACGACCGGGTACCCTGTCCCCTGTCCCCCATCAAATCGCATCGCCCACCCGCAGTCAACGGACCTGCGCCCACCCCTGCACGGTGTCTTGGCTTCGCGCCTTTCTGGCCCTGCCGACGTCATCACCCTGGTGTCTTCTCTGCAGTCACCCCATAACCTATTAGTCACGCACCCTCCCGAGGTCGAACATTGTCATTTAGTCACTTGAGTATAAAGGAATCCAGGTCGAACGTTTCCCACCATCAGGGCATATTTGCCACACACATCCATTCCCAATCAGCACGCAATCAGCTCCCGACAACATGACACAAAACCAGAGTCGGCCACTTTTCATCCAACACCACCACACACAAGACGCAGAACAATATCTTCAACCACCACCCATCGACTTCTGCGATAGTGCACGCTACGCCGACTTGCTCGATATCAATTTCGGCATCGATTCCAACAGTTTGAACAGTTTCCAACACGACAACAGCCTGTCGGCCTCTCCGGTTTCGACACAATCCTTGCTGTCGCAATACTCACCTTTATCCGCTTTCGAGGGTCTGCCCACTCCGCTTCTGGCAGAGCCCTCTTTGTTCCCATCTCCTCGACAAAGCGGCCAGGCCGCCCCATACTCATCCACCGATTTCCTATTAAAACCCAACGCGATGCAATCGGAATGGGCACGCAACGGTCGGATGACCCCCGGTGAGCTTTACCGCTTGCACATCCGCCATTCATCTCAGTCGTCCATGGGCTCAAATAGGCCCGCTTCGCCATTTCCCCAAGTCTCTCAAGTCGCCATGAACGCCTCGAATGGAGATCTTTTCCACGGCTCCGGGAGCGCAGACGACGTAAACCACTACCAGCTAGCACCGAAGTCCTTTTCCGGTGTAACCTACGATCGCTTCTACGCCCCCCCTCCCTCCGGGTCCGCCGACACCACCGGCGTCCCCGGTTACTCGTACCAGTCTACCGCGCCAGGACGCATGGACAACTCAAATTTCCTCCTCCCCGAGCATCCGGCTGGGGCGCCGAGGTCACAGCCCCCATCGGCAACCAGCTCAATCGCACCCGACTCACCCGCCACGCCGGCGGGGGGCGAGCTCGACGGGGACAGGAGTGGTGGTACTGGTGAGACCTGCCCGGAGTCTTTCGATTACTATGCAATTGCATGTTGCTCACCACCGCATGACGATGCAGTCCACCCTCCTGTCCCTAAGCTCGAACGCACCACAACGGATGCGTACGCAGACGAGCTCTACAACGAAAACTTCGCCGCCATGTCGCAGTCATCGGCCCAGACGTCGATATCACCCACGAGCGATCTCTTCAGCCAACGACTACAGGCCGCCAACAACCAGCGTTTCTCAGCGGCAACGAACTCGCCCGTCTCGTCGATATCCCGCGACCGGTCGCCGTTCCGCACCGGGTCGCCCATGGCTGCGATTCCCGTAAGTGACTACCGCTCTGCGATGGGGTTGCATACGCGTTTTGGGACGGCGCAGCAGTCGCGGGATCAGAGCAGAGCCATGCACAACGCCCAGGCAGTGCGTCAGCAAATCGGAATGGCCACGCCCCAGACCATCTCGCCCAAGGATGCCATGCTCGAGTACCGCGATACCGAGGGTGACAACAACTTCCCGCTGTTCCCTCAGCGGAATACCACCGGTTTTGACGCAAACGCAATCAACAAGGCGGCTGCCGCGCACAGCCAACAATTGTTCGGCAGCATGTCCATGGACCCGGTCAACGACTACCTCATCACGAGCGTACCAACACCGCAGTTTCCGTTTACGAACCAGCCGCAAAGCACGATGCATTCGACTGGCAACCCGTCAAGGGCGACGACGGTGGATACGGGGGCGAGCGAGCACGGCGTCGCCCCCCAACGACCGGCGGATACCCGCGCAGACGGCGGTACTTATACGTGCACGTACCACGGCTGCACGCAGCGCTTCAAGACGCCAGCAATCCTGCAAAAGCACAAGAGGGAAGGCCACCGGCAGGCTCACGGCCTCAGCGGTTCGGGCACGGCATTGGGCCTGGTCGACACGCAGGCCGGGCCGCACAAATGCGACCGCATCAACCCGAGCACCGGGAAGCCATGCAACACCGTCTTTTCAAGGCCGTACGATCTTACCAGGCACGAACACACAATCCACAATGCCGAAAAGCAGAAAGTCCGTTGCCATATCTGCTCCGACGAAAAGACATTCAGCAGGGCCGACGCACTCACTCGGCACTATCGCGTGACTCACGGCGACGTTGAGATCCCCGGCAAGCACCGCAAGCGTGGAGGCCAAGCCTAAAGCCGCTACGCTACCATGCTGGCTCCGACGCGAGTTTACACCAACATCCCAGCTCTGTGAGCGGCACGCAGCATGTCGCACCTGGGCCTGGCACTCCTTCGCGGTTTTTTGCACGCCGATGACGTCGACACACTTGGTCTCGTCTGAGGCTGCTGTGACAAATCGACAATTGCGCCTCTGCTATTGGTCAGGCATGCCCGAGGCAACCCCTCCTTACCGCACGGTCTTTCTGCAGGGACCCACTGCCGCTGGCTATTTCGAGCACATTCTGGGGCTGCCGCACAAGGACCCTGCTGATCTTTTGGGGGGGTTGCGCTGTCGACGTCTTCGCGATCAATCAACGAACGCGAATGACGTCATACCACGGCCGGTCGACATCACCAATCCGGCTTTCGGGGCATGCTTCAGGTCAATTGGCACCCAAAGCTCGACTCCGATGGTTACTTCATTTCATTCTCTCTGGGACGACTTCACAACGTCCCTACTCTACCATTCTCAATGTCACATTTTACCCGCCTAACATTTTTATTACCGCCACTATCGGACTTTCGAGGTCACTTTTTGGACACACTCGGTTTCTCCTTCTTTGGTTTTTTTCTTTTTCATGAGCGTTACGATGACACCGGTTTGAGCCGGGAACGATAGACTGTACAACAGCATGTACCATGGCAGCGTGTATAGCATGGGTCCGATCTTTTCCTGGTAGTTTTCTCATTATGGGACATGTCATGGCATCATCCGACCTACGCTATAGACTAAAAAAGACCCCCGGGGGCACTGGAGCGGGAAAACTTGGATTTCACGGTTAGCATTAGGGTTGCGAAGGAGCATTCAATCAAGCGTTTTTTTTTTTTTTGGAAGCAGATTCCATGAATTTTAAGTGCCACAACATGAAAGAGTGAAAATACCGATATCTTGTTCTGAACGGAGCGCCATCAGCCGTACACCCAAATCACCACAGCAATCCACGTCACTCCACTCCATACAAGTTAAATCCCATCCCCTCCTGCAAGCCCCAAAGTGAAAAAAAATATTACACAACAGCATACATGCACAGCCCTGCCGCAGAGCGCCGGCCGGCCCGCCATACGCTGTAAGTATGTACCAAGTAAACTCGCTACAGGCTAGCCGGCCCTGTCCCGTACGGGGCCCAATTCCAAGGATCAGCACCCAGGTTCCCGCTGCCCATTCCTGGCCGAACAGCGCGGGGCTTGTGACGTAGTATGGCCTGATGAGGGGTGCACTCCAGCACCTAACCCAAAGTGCTGTTGCGGGCATCACAAGCATCACGGGCATCAACGGGCGTCACTTTGCTGTCACTGCGTGCACTGCAATCTGGGAATGCCCCCCCCCCGTATTGGGAAATCTTCACTGTGGGTAGGGTTGGTGGGAACCACTCGTCATGAACATGCCCTCGCGGGGGACACGTATCTTCTTCTTTTTTTCTGCGCACCTTTTGGTGACGAATTGATTGCTGCCGCGACCAGGGATGGCCTGGCCTGGCGATGTGTCTCCATACGTAGCGTGCCAGAGTGTCTCGTGGCCCTGTCTGATGTACTGTGCAGTGTAGATGACTCGGACGTTTCTGACGTCGTTGAGGTGGGATAGGGACGGTTGACAAACGGGCAAGGGGGGGGGGTTCCCATCTCGTCCCATCTCGTCGCGCATCTCAGTTTTTTTGTTGTTGCCGGGCTTTGGGCATCGGGACTTGGGATGATATCGGCAGTGATCGGGCCCTACAGTCCTAGACAGCCCGACAGCGGTTGATGACGAGTCGACTCATATTTGATACACTGGACGTCAACGTAATCCAGGCCGCTCTCGACGCACATGGTGATGCAGTAACCGGCGGACATTACACAGTAGCTGCGATCCCCCAGAAACCGAGAAACGATTAACACCTACAGGATCTCGATCTGAACCGCTTGCTGCACGTAACCGACATCCATCTAAGCCCCAATCGAACTGCCTGCCCTGACATGCACCCGGGAAGAACTCCGACCCCCCACACCCCCCGATACCGTCGGCAAAGGCGTCATGAAGAAGCCACCGAAGGGACGGAACATACCACCTTCCCAAGGATGGACCCGGCGATCCCCAGGTTCCACCTCCCACCAAACTCCCCCGAAAACATCATACAGCTTGCCGGAACGGCCAACGTCCGGTTCTAACACGAGATCGTTGACGGTAAAAATGCACATCAACATGGCCCCAACCACGGTTGACATGAGGGATCCATGACGACGATCAGCGGACAACAAGTGGGAGAGATGACAAGTTGATGAGCCGGTGAGGTAAAGCCATGATGACTCGATGGCACTGTGCCCCTATGCAGCGCATGTAGTCCCGTATGTATGTAGGTACATACAGGAGCAGGTGCATACTGTGTGTTTACTCGACCCAAAGCCCTGAGCTTGGGAGCTTGGAACCCAAAACATGCCGAGGTCGCAGTGCAATCGGTTGCAACGATGACGTTGTTGTGCAGAAAAGAACCGATGGCGGGGGAACTCGTCAGAACTCTAATTGTTCCCGGGTTGACCCATGGCGGGTACGCTACCAGGCTGCAGACGGTGCAGGCCATACTCCCCTAGACACTCGCCTCCTCGGGGGTGGTAAACAAACATAGCCCATCAAATGGAATGTAGATGACCGGAAGAAGCACACACACACTCACAAAAACACCCTGCGAGAAATGGGAATGACACAAGAGTTTGGAAAACAAACCAAACCATGTTTCCTAAGAATGCAGAGAACTCTACAACAAAACCCCATGAAAACTACCACTGCTTCTGCTTCTATTCTATCCCAGCTTCCGGCACCCAGCCCCGAAGCCAAGTAGGTATCTATCTACCACGCCTTCCGCACCCAACACCCACCCCCAACCCCCTACGAAGACTCGCTGCCCAGAACAGCAGCCCGCGCATCAGCGTAGATGGGCGTAATCCCCGTCCAGAGTTGGAACTGCAAAACCTCGGTCAGCACCACTACACACACACACGCAAGATAGTTTAAGAAAAAAGACATGACATACCTGATACCACCCCTGTGCAGCAAGCACCTCCAACCCAGGAATAGTCGTCCACCCGGCATCCTCGGCCAGCTGCATGAGCGGCGTGTGCCGGGGCATGTAGGCCATCTCCAGCAGCACGCGCGGCTCGCCCTTGGTCTGGCCCGACGCGCCGCCGCTCTGCAGCGCGGCGACCAGCACCTCGCGCATGCCCGAGTCGATCGGCTTGTCGGCCGGGATCGTGCTGATGACCACGCCCGGGAGCGCGTCCCGCCCGGCCACGGCGGCCGCCTCCTCGGGCGTGGCCAGCCGCTGGATGTCGTACTCGGCGGGGAAGCCGTCCGAGAGCTCCTTGACCCGCTCCGGGGTGCGTGCGACCACGTAGATGGGCGCATAACCCAGGGAGTGGAGCGCGTAGATGGCCGCCCGAGTGGTGCCGCCCGAGCCGACCACCATGGCGGCCCCGGGGGACGCCGCGGTCCGCTGGACGAGACCGGCGGAGCGGAGCGAGAAGACCATGCCCATCCAGTCGGTGTTATCGCCGAGGAGGGTTGGCTTGTCCCCGGTCGCGGACGGTACGGGGATGATGGTGTTGATGGCACCGATGAAGCGCGCGGCATCCGAGATGTTGTCCAGGAGCGGCATGATGTCGAGCTTCAACGGGATGGTCACCGAGGCGCCGCCGAAGTGCGGGGAGCGGATGAGGTCCTGAACGTCCGAAGCGTTGTCTGTCTCAAAATTCGAGTAGCTGTGAGGCAAGCCGGTTGCGCCGAACAACGTGTTATGAAGTGCGGGCGAGCGCGATGAGCTGATGGGCTTCCCGAAGAGATAGAAAGACCTGGGCTCGAGTTCACCAATGAGGGCGAGTGCCTGCCGGATTTCCGTAGCCGAGAGCTGCCCGGGCGCGGCCTTGGCTGGCAGCGCCGGGTGAGAGACCGGCGTCATGAAGCCGTTGAGCACCCTACTGAGTTTGCCCGCGTGGCCCATGTTCAGCGCGATGATGGGGGTGTCGTGAGCAGCGAGCATCTTCGTCTTGAAGCTGGTGAGAGCAAAATTATCGCTGACCTCGCCGGCCATGCCCACGAGCTTGATGATATCGCCGTACTGCAACGCCTTGTTGTAGAACGGGACCCATGAGCCGTTCCTCCACGACAGCTTGGACTGGGGATCATGGTGGGACGCAATGATACGGGTGAACCCCTTCGATTCGCCCATGGCCTCGAGAACGTTAACGGGCATCGTCATCTCCAGGTCAAGGTACTCCACGCCGGTACGCAAGCCAACTTGATACAGCTGTAGGGCCAGGTCGTAGTCTTCGTCAGGGAACTTACCCCCTTGACTGACCGTGCGTACCGTGTAGACGATAGGAACCTTGGCCGCGGATCGGAGGAGGGAAACTTCGTGTGCGACGAACTCTGGGTCAAAGCTCTCCAGCAAGTCCACACGCAGCTCGACAGCGTCAGATCCCACAACGGCCCGAGGGATGATATCCAGTGCCGTGGAAACATTGGGGACAGTCAGCGAGACGAAAAAGCTGTGCTTCTTTTTGCGGGCGTCCTCCAAGTGCGTGGACTGACCACAGATGACGGAAAGAAATCGGCTGAAGTCAGACGGGGGCTCAAGCAGCGACTCGGAGCCATCCAGGTGTGGGCTGTGGTACTGGAAGTTGCTGCACTCCTCGAACCATGGCTTGCGGCGGTAGTAGACCTCCCGGATGTTCTCGGAGTAGGCCGGGCGGCTCTTGTCCCTCATCAGATACTCGACGACCTGGTCGGTATCGCGATGCACCATGAGGACGCACCCGCCGTTCTTCTGGTACGAGATGAGCATCTTGCGCGCCTCCTCGGTTTCGACGAGGCCGCCGCCGCAGGAGAAAATGTGGCCCTTGGATTGGTTCTTGATCACATCCTCGAGGAGATCGAGCTCGGCCTTCCTGAAGCCTTCCCAGCCACGCTCGCTACGGATGATATCCGGGATTGTCGTGGCCTCTCTCCTCTCCAGCTCAACATCCAGGTCGATCAGGGGCCGTTTCAGTATCTCGGACATCCACCGACCGGCCGTAGACTTGCCCGCGCCGCGCATCCCAATCACAAAGATGGATCGGTCTGTGCCCGAGCGTGCTGACTTGACGACGTGCTTCACGGTCGGGTCCTCCTCCCCCGCCAGTTGGACCTTGAAGGCTTGGGACATGATATCCCACCATCCCGGCCACGTCTTGGCGGTGCATTCTCGTTCGAGAATCAGCACGGGATGAGGGGAAATAGCTGACAGAACGCTGAAACTCATGGCCACGCGGTGGTCATCGTAACAGTAGATGCCATCGGCGGGGTTCTGCAGTTCTTGGTACGGTTTCCCGGTCACCTCAATACCATCTTCAAGCTCGTTGCAGATAACGCCGAACTTAGCAAGCTGGTCTTTCATGGCTGCAATCCGGTTACATTCTTTGACACGCTGGTTAGCGATACCGGTGATCTGGGTGGTCCCCGAAGCGACAGCGGCGAGAACGGAGGCAGTCAAGAAAGCGTCCGTCATGGTCTCCATGTCGACGTGCTCGATGGCCTTGAGCGTCCCAAGAGGCGGTCCGGTCACGGTAGTTGATATGTCGGTCTGTTCAACGGTACAGCCCATGGGGCGGAGTACCTCAACAGCAAAACGGGCATCGCCCTGGAGCGACGTAGAGCCAATGTTCGGAATAGTGCAAGTAGTGCCGGTGATGGCAGCGACGGCCAAGGGGTAAGTCGCCGAGCTAGCGTCGCTCTCTATGACGTAGTCGGCTGGATTTTCGTAGACACCCTGTGGAATATGGTAGGTGTTTGGATCCTCGGTTGACCTCTCTACTTTGATGCCGAAGGATGCCATCATGGCGATGGTCATGTCGATGTATGGCTGTGAGATCGGCTTGCCGCCAACCAGCCGGAGCGTGACAGGTTTGTGGGCGTAGGGGGCAGCCATCAGGATGGACGAGACATACTGCGACGAGACGGTAGCAGCCAGTTCGATAACGCCACCAGCGAATCCGGAATTAGCATCCACCTGAACCGGCAAGCTCTTCTCCTTTTCGAGGTACTTGACGCCAACGCCGTTGGCGCGCAGGGCATCGACAAGCGGGCCAATGGGCCTCACCTTCATGCGTGCATTGCCCGTCAAGACGGTGGAGGAGACGGCGGTGGGAGAGCAGAGCGCCACAACGGAGGTGAGAAAGCGCGAAGCGGTGCCGGCATTTCCAAGGTACAGTGACTCGCCGCTGGCCTGCAGTTTGCCGCCCTTGCCTTTGACAACAAGAACTTCCCCAGCATCCTCCCAAGAATAGGTGGCGCCCTGAAGCTGGGCGATGGCAGTAAGCATAAACTGCGTGTCATCCGAATGGAGGAGCCCGTGAATGCGGGTCGTGCCCTGTCCCAGAGCGGCCAAAACGAGTGCGCGGTTGGAGATACTCTTAGAGCCGGGCGGGGTCACGCTGACCGAGAGACCATTCGGGACACCTGGCGTGACGCGGACGGAAGGGGACAGAACGACCCGGATAGGGCGGTCGTCGACAACGGTAGCCTTGGGCTCGTGGGTCTTGCCAATGGCCGACAGAAGCACGATCTTCTTTTTCCGGCCCTCATTCTTCTTGTCGACGGCCATCTTCCGGAGCAGCACATCGACGGGGCACTCCTTGCCAGCTGATAGCCTGGCGATGCGCTTGTCGTGCACCGAGGTGGGCAGGTCATAGCTCGCGATGCATTTGGTTAGGCGGGCAACGGCACCGGGACGAAGGATGCCGAGGAAACGAGCGAGTTCGGCCTCCTTGACCATCCCGATGGCGACACACTCGCCATGCAGGACCTGGGGTGCAAGAATGGCCTCGTAGGCGTGGCCAATGGAGTGACCAAAGTTGAGCAGGTTACGGAGACCCCCCTCGCGTTCGTCAGCCGAGACCACCTCAGCCTTGACGCCGGCAGATCCCAACACAATGCGCTTGAGGATGTGGCGGATGGGGGCAAGGCGGGTGGAGGGGCTAACGCCCTTGGAGCGGATAGCCTCGAGAATGGCGGCGGCGTTCTCCTCGAGGGCTGTAAACTCGGTCTCGTTCCAGATGGCGGCCGTCTTGATGACCTCGGCCATGCCGTTGATGAACTCGCGTACGGGTAAGGTCTCGAGGAAGGCCAGGTCGATGTAGATGCGTCGAGGTTGCCAGAAGGCACCGATCAGGTTCTTGCCCATGGGGACGTCGATGGCTGTCTTGCCACCGATAGAGGAATCAACCATGGCGAGCAAGGTCGTGGGGACCTGCACAAAGCGGACACCACGCATGAAAGTGGCAGCAACATAGCCAATCATGTCTCCGATCACGCCGCCGCCGAGGGCGATGATGACGGTGTCGCGAGTGCATGTGTGCGAGAGCATCCAATCCTCGATGTCGGCTTTGGTGTCGCGGCCCTTGGAGTACTCGCCGGGGGGGATGGCGTAGGTGAGAAGGCGGGCATCTTTAGGAGCGGCCTTGTCGAAGACAGCCTGAAAGGGAGGAACGTAGGTTTGGTAGAGGTTCGTATCGGTGATGAGGACGTAGGTGGACGATTGTATGTTTTCGAGTAGGTCGTGAGTCACAAAGTTTAGCCAGATGCCGTGATCGACGACGATGTCTTCGTTGCCAAGAATGGCGATCCTCGTGGGACCTGAGCTGCCGGTGTCCGCCATGATGGTCAGACTATGCGTGCGGGCTCAATTGCGCCCAACATGCGCCTGCAGCAAGTGTGGTGATCAGGCAGTGCTGTCTGTTGGCTAGTAGTAGGTTGTGGTGGGGAGTGGGCAATTTGTGGATTTTGGGGGTTTGCTTGTGATATGTGATAATAAAGTTCGGAGCTCGAGGTTCTGCCGCGGGGAAAAAAACTTAAGCGGACCGACCCCCCCCCCCCATTCGGAGCTCGGGGGGCAACGACCATCAGCCACCTATAAAACATCGGACCAAGACAACTTGAAGACGCTGATTACACAGCGGCCTTGTCTGCGGCGTAAGAAAAAAAATGGCATTCGAAGAACACGTACAAGACACGGGGGCGACTTTGCCTGCACAAAGTCGAGATTTCATACCACCCGAATCTGTACTCGACCCAACCACGGCCCAGCCCAGTATCTACCACTTTCCGTAGCTAAAACGCAATGGGTCAGATCTCGTCAGCTAGACTAATATCTATTAAAGACCCTTCTAGAGAGCTTTTGGGCATTTCCGACCAAACTCCATTCCCGGGCCTTTGGAGGATTGGAGATGGGCTCTTGGGATGGTGATGACTGACAGTGACTAGGAGCCGCTTTCGGAGCTTCCGTGGTGGGGTTGCCGGAGCGGGGCATTTGTTATGCCACTGATGCTGACACTTCGATGCCCCACCTGGTCTGTGCTCCCCTCTTTGTCCAGCTCCTCACCGCTTACATAAGGTGTAATCTCTGGCTTTCATCTGTGGTTTGTTTTTGCTCTCCGCCCGGCTCAATAAAACAGTGCAAATAAAACAGCTTAGGCAAGATTACGTCGTAAAAAAGCAAGCCAGCCCTAACAGACGGAGGGAGAATCATCACTCTTCTGGTAAGCTGCGAGGCTGCGCAGGCTCGAAGAGCGCTCGACCCGCGCCTGCCCAAAAGAGAAAGTAAATAAAAAGTAAAAGTGGGGAATCTGCCGGTCGTTCGCAGCCCCACCGGCTGCTGCCTTCCCCAGATGCTTGGCACAACGCCAAACAAACTCTCGACGTGCAGCCAACGGCATAAAAAACAGGCATCAAGACGTTTCTTCAGGCATTGCTGCCATTGCTGCCCTGCGCGAGCCAGAGATCATGCATATTCTCCAGTATGATCGTCGTGTCCAAGGCGGGACCCCGTGGTCAATCTGCCTGGAGCTGAACCAGGGTCTCGAGCGCTCGCGACACGGTAAAAGTTGAAGATAAAGTCGACGCCGTCTCAACATTCGTCGTTTCTTGGATCTCACACCGTTTTTCTTTATACCCATCATCCGAGTTCTTTTCGCGGTGACCCCATCAAGAATCGTGATCCAGCTTCCGCCATGGCGACTCCCAAATCTGTCCTCTCAAAGACGCTGCAGAGCATCACCCTCAGCAAGATCCGCGAGCTAGAGTCCCGCCACAAGACTTACGAGGATCGCAAGCGTAGCTTTCTTGCTGAAGCTGATGCCGCTGTTGATTACCGCGACCGTCTCGCCTGCCTTCTCAAGGCCGTGAAAGCGATCTGCCCGTTCGCCTCGAGAGACGACAGCCTTGATAACATCCAGCGCTGGCTGGACCAGTCCCACTACGATGACTCTATTCCCATGTCCAAGCTAGACAGCTACAGCCACCAGCTTCGTGCCAAGCTCGATGTCCAGAGTCGCAAGCTGGACATGGCTCACCTGTACTCGCGCCTTTTGACTGGTAAGCTGCCTCTATGCCCGTCGCATGTCCTAGGCCCTATTCTGACATGCCCCTCTAGAGTGGATGGACCAACCAATTGTCGAGCCACTGCCGGCCTCGGCCGACGATCCGGACGGCGACTCGTTTGAGCTAGTTGAACGCCAACGCCAGCGGCTGAGCCAGCTCGTTGACAAGTTCGAACGAGTTGTCTTCGAGCCGCTCGAGACGGACGAGACTGAGATCCGCAGCTTCCTCGACCGCCTGTTCCCAGACGAAAGCAGCCGAAAGGAGCTGGAGAAGCTACGCAAGGAGATTGCCGACGAGACCAGCAGCCTCATGTCCGAGGCTACCCCCTTCACCCGGGATTCTCTCACCAGCTGTATCAAGGGCCTCCTGACCGAGGACATCCTTAGTGACGAGAAGCAGGCAATCCTGCGCGACTTCCTCGAGAGCAATGTCGCCAAGTCCGAGATTGCCGACGTCTTGAACATGCGCTTCTCTGACCTGAAGCAGTGGCACTGGGATACCGGGGAAGATGGCATTCGTGTCATGCCGCGCCGCGGCTTGAACGGCAAGTATCGGGTGTGGGCCGACGATGACATCTTGCAAATGATTTTCGTCCAACACATCGGCGTCAGGTTGTGCAATATTCTGAAACCAGCGCTGAAAGGTTTCATGGAAAGCGTGTGCTCACGAGACCTCGCTGGCCACAAGGCACCATCCGCCCGCGATATAGAGAGGCGCCGGTTCTACTATGACTATCACATTAGCGGCTCCGTCGAGTCGAAACGCAAGTCCGCCTACTTCGAAAAGTTCTTCCTCGCACAGCTGCCCGACACCGAGACTTCGCTTTTCGACGGCGGTAATCATTACAACGATGATTGCGACTACAGCGTCGATGACGAGTATGGGGACGGGACTTCCTCGCCAGAGAAACGGTCCGGCATCAAGCAGCAGCTCTTGCGCCACCTCACCGCCGAGCTGATTGTCCACCGGCTCCGAGATGTCACGTACGAAACGCGGGCAGGACCTGGACACGGCGTCGCCCTGGTCCAGACCGATCTGCAATGGTATGCCACAGGTCTCCCGCACAGCACCATCTTTGCCGTCATGCGCTACATCGGCTTTGGCCAGGATTGGATCGACTTCTTCAAAAAGTATCTCGAGTCCCCCTTGAACTTGGACGCGGCCTCCGATGACCGCCCGCAGCTCGGACCCCGCATCCGCAAGAGGGGTGTTCCCATGGCGCACGCCTCGGAGAAGTTCACCGGAGAGCTAGTGCTGTTCTTCATGGACCTCGCTGTCAACCGTAACACCGGCATCCTACTGTACCGATTGCACGATGATATCTGGTTCGTCGGTGAGCCCGAGAGAAGCGCGCAGGCCTGGGCTTGTATGCAGTCCTTTGCCAAAGTGTTCGGGCTCGACTTCAACAAGGCCAAGACCGGGTCTGTCTACCTTCCCGGGGTTTCCAAGCGAGACGACGTCGTTGCCAATATGTTGCCGGCTGGCCCGGTCAAGATTGGCTTCCTGTGCCTTGACCCGGAAACTGGGAAATGGGTTATTGACCAGAAGCTCGTCATGGCGCATGTCGACCAACTGAAGAAGCAGCTCGCCGAGTGCAAGAGCGTGCTGTCGTGGGTCCAGACATGGAACAGCTGCATCGGCCGCTTCTTCAGCCACACCTTTGGCGAGCCGGCCCACTGCTTCGGCCGGGAGCACGTGGATGAAATCCTGAACACGTACCAAACCATGCTGCGTCGGCTATTTCCAGGCTCGGATGGTAAGGAGGGGAGCGTAGTCGAACACGGTAAGTTGCCGATCCGGCCTTCATTCACCCCACAGCCTCGGCATGTACATTCCACTAATATACCAACTCCCACTAGTCAAACACATGATCCAGACTCGCTTCGGGGTTTCAAACCTGCCGGACTCCTTCGTCCATATGCCGGAGCAGCTGGGCGGCCTAGGTCTCCGAAACCCCTTCGTGGGCTTGTTCCTGGTCCGCAACAACATCGACGAGACGCCCGAGGAGATAATTGAGAAGTACTTCAAGGCGGAACGGGAGAAGTATCTAAAGGCGAAGAAAAATTTCGAGTCGTGCAGCGATGCGAGTCTGCGCCGCCGACTCCGTAACATCTATCCAGACGGGGAGTCCCTCAAGAGGGGAGCCATTCCGGAGTCGGGTATATCGACCTTCTATTCGTTCGATGAGTTCACCCGGTTCCGCGAACGGATGAGCGGCGATTTCTCGAGGACTTTCGAAAAGTTCATCAGCATCCCGGCGACGGAGGAAATCGCGATGAGTAGGGAGGTCGAGAGCGGGCTGTGGGTGTCCCTGCGCAACAGGGTCCGACTTGATCCGGAGAAGAAGTGGTTCCTACAACTCTACGCCGAAGAACTGCAGGAGGACTTCGGCGGCCTGAGCCTTGTCGACAAGCAGTTCCTACCCGTTGGTGTGTTGACCATGATGAGGGGCAAGAAGGTCAGCTGGAACATGATCCTCTGAGCGGGCGAGCAAAGCGGTGTCATCTAGTAAGCAACGATGGATTAAAACAGATAAGGGGTACTATCGCTATCATGCATGCCGTAATATCATACACTTTTTGGGGATTCTGCTCGCCGGCACCGTCATGTTTTTACACCGAGGCCGTATCCTCAAACCATTGCCTCGACCTCCTCGCCCGCTCTCGTACGTCGTGTACCCGCGAGGACACTGTCCCATTCATTCTCATACTCCGCCATCCGCAGCCGACCGCTCCTCGTTCAAGTCATACCTCCCACGGACGAGATCAGCCGTGGCCGGGTTGACGCTCGGCTGGCGGTGCCACAGCTTGTGGCCAGCCCACAGCACCACAAACAAAATCAGGCTGATGTAGGCGGCAAAGAAGTCGCTCACGTTCCAGTTGATGAAGACGGTGAAGCCCTGCGTCAGGGTGATCAGGACGTTGAAGAACAGGCCGTAGATGGCCGTGTAGGGCTGGAAGCGCGACACGTAGGGCAGGTCGGAGCGCGGGATCCCCTGGGCCTTGAGCGCGCGCATGAAGGCCAGGTGCGACAGGCAGGTGCTCGCCCAGGTCGTCAGCCCGGCCACGCCGCTGATGTTGAGCAGCCAGTTGAAGACCTTGCCGCCGTCGGACGACAGGTTGAGGAACCCCAGCAGCCCCAGCGACGCCGTGCCCGCCACCGCCATGACGGGGATGCCGTGCCGGTTCGTCTTCTTGAAGATGGCCGGCGCCTGGCCCTCCTCGGCCAGCGCCAGCAGCACGCGGCTGCCCGAGTAGACGTTGGAGTTGGCCGCCGAGAGCACCGCCGTCAGGAGCACGGCGTTGATGATGTCCGGGAGGACCTTGACGCCGGCGCGCTGGGCGGCGATGACGAGGGGCGACGCCGACGCGTTGGACGAGTCGTTGAGCAGGTTGGGGTCCGACGACGGCACCACCATGGTGATCAGCAGCATGGTGGCCACGAACAGGAACATGATGCCCCAGTACGTGACGCGGATCGCCTGCGGGACCGTCTTCCGTGGATCGCGCGCCTCGCCCGCGCCGACGCCGACCAGCTCCGCCCCCTGGTACGAGACGGAGGCTTGGATCAGGACGGCCCAGAACCCGACGAACTGGCCCACCCCGCCCGTCACGAGGTATTCGTTGAAGGCGCCCGGGTCGCTCCAGAATTTGAAGCCTAGCACACCCTCCTGGCCGGCGCCGGCGGCAATGCAGATGCCGAAGATGATGAAGCCGGCGATGGTGATGACCTTGAGACTCGACAACCACATCTCGAGTTCGCCATAGATGCCAACAGGGAGGTAGTTTATGAGGGTGAAGACGACCCAGAACACGGCGATCAGGATGCCGATGTTGACGTCGTGTTTCCAGTACTGGATGATGAGGCCGGCGGCGACGAGGGATAGAGCGTAAGTGATGGCCCCTGTTTCGAGAGTGTTAGCCTTCACGTGCTAGGTCCAACCCGAGGAAAGAGATGAACTCACAACCAAACCAGTATAACCACCCTACCGCAAAACCCAAACTTGGGTCAACGAACCGCGTGGCATACGAGGAAAAAGCCCCAGCGGTCGGGATATAGGTGGCCATCTCCCCCAAGCAAACCATCACCGACCATAAGACCGACCCGACAAAGATATATGAGATCAAGCACCCCGCCGGCCCAGCCTTGACCAGCGCCGTGCCGGTACCCAGGAAGAAACCGGTGCCGATGGTACCACCGATGGCGATGAAGTTGAGGTGCCTCCCGGATAGCTGACGCTGGAGTTCCCCCTGCTGTGCCGAGTCGGCATCGCTGCTGTTACCCTTCTCCTTGCCGCCCATCTCCTTGCCCTTCTCGCCCGTGACAGAAAAGATACGGGTCGTGCCCCCGACGACGCCGATGTCCTCCCCGGAGGATGAGAAGTCCACCGGGGTCCCGTTGGCCTTCATCGGCCTGGTTTGGCGCTCGTTGAGCGCTTTCGTCCCGGCTTTGGTGAGGCGTGGAAGGCGTATGTGGTGGGATTATGGTGAGGCCAACGTATGATGAGTGCGTGCGTAAAGGGGGGTCGGTCCGGCGCGTCTCAACCGCGACGCGATCTGATACCGCGCAACGATAGCCAACAGGAGCCGCCTAGTCCAAACCAGAGGGGAACCAGAAAGCCGTACAAGACGGGGAAACAGTGGAACAGGTCTGAGAATACCGCCGAGACAAAACCAAAAAGTCACAGAGCCCCCCTGAGGAGGGAGTCAGAACTCGAGAAAAATTCGATGGTGTGGATACGCCGTCTCCTCCAACCCAACACTTCGAGCTCCCAATCTTTCGGAGTACCCGACCAGAGACTCTCTCGATAACAGCAATACTGTGCAGTAAAGCTAATGACTGATGTGTGAGTAAGTGTGTGAGTGACTCCCAGACCAACTCGAATCCAACACAACCACAACAATGCAGAGTCAACTCCTACTATCCAACACCCGGCAGCAACTTCCGGCAAACGGAAAACCGATAAAAAGCGCGGGTAGGCACAACCCTGTCAGGTTGAACAAAGTTTGTCCTCGGTGTCGAAACCCGGGAGTGGATCGGGAGTGGATGGAGGCTGCCGGGATATGGATACTTCGCGGTTTGGACGGATGGGCCACTTCGGACGCAACAAGGATAGACAAGACGAACAGGAAGCAATTCAGGGGCACGAAGCTGACTTCACGCCGTGTATAAACAAACAAACCAGCCCTTCATCAGCCAAACCAGCACCACCGGAACTTATCTATACATACCAGCCATATCATCTACACCAGCCCATGCAACGTACCAAACCGCCGATGGCAGGCAGGCAGGCAGGCAGGCAAAAAATAAAAAAACCCATCTCAAATTTTCCAAACCCCATCCACCCGCCCCCAACTAACAACAACCTAGAAGCCCCGAACGCCGACCAGCTGAACCCAGCAGAGCACAGCACGCTGAAGAAACTCGTGAGGAGGTAGCCAAAACCGCCACCGAACGGAGCACCGCCCAGAAAAAAAAGTGAATCCCGTCGCCCCACCGGCCGGAGCCGAACACCTTGCCGTATGTAGGCTCGTAGGTACTTCGTAATAAACTCACAAACCTCTTATCTCCTGACCAAAACCTGGTCAAAACCCACCGTTCGTCACAACCCATTCAAATTCAAGAAGTGGGCAGAACCCACAAGCTCCCTCATGATGGATAGCAAACTCCCTCATAATAGATAGCATAACCCAGCATGCCCTACCTAAACACCACAATCGTAGCCTATCTGGTCCCAATAACTCAATTGAGTCAGAGTCAGAGTTGGTCGGGCAGGCCAGTCACTCCATCAGACCGTGTGCTCAGCCAAGGCGCCAGATGAGGACGATGAGAGACTAGACCAATGCACCCAATTTTCTTCCATAGTGAAAAAATAAAATAAAAAAAGACTCGCCCGGCCCGGCATTTGCCTCACTAGTTAAGGCCGAATACAACCCTATGAGGGTTGGCTGGCCTCGGAGATTTCTCTCTTTGGCCTATTCGACTGTTCTGCCGGGCCCACCGTCGATCGCTGCAGGCCGAACGGTGACACCGCAGTGTTGCCGAGTTGAGCCCAGAACCCACCGTGGCAGGGATTCCTCGGCGAGGGTGGCAACGTCAGGTCAGCGCAACGAAAGCAGGTTTTTCTTTCTTCCTTTGTCCGCGGAAGACGTGATCGGGCGACAGTACCAAAGTAAAAATTGTTAGGAAAGTTGTCGTGTCGTGGATAGCATCGATTGCCTCCTGGGCTGCTTACTGCATAGCGAACTAACCCTCCGACTGTAGCTATTGGTATCATACAGACTCACTGCCCAGAATAACCGGCATCAAATAGACAGACCGTGCTGTGAATGCCTCAATCCCAAAAGCCAACTAATAATACCACAAGCCCCAGTTGATGTGCCCGAGCAACACCTTTTAAACCCACAGATGCTCCAGGCCCAAGACCACAAGACTTGTATATGCTCCACCAAATGAGCTCCATGACGCCAGGCCTTCTATTTCAATATACCGCTTCCCAGACTGCGCTCCTTTAAGGTGTCTCGACGTGCTCCCCGTCGTGAGATGACTGTTGCCGTGATTGGCGGCCACTTGTATCAGTGCTCCCCGGCACGTGCTTATCGTCCCACTTGCTGCTGCTGATCGGGTTGACGTGTAGTAGGTACATGGTGTCGATCTCCTCCAGGCTCCTGTCCTTGCTCTCAATAAGGAAGAAGAACACGACGAGCACAAGGACCGCGCAGCAGCCCGCAAACACCAATCCGTAGAGATAATCGATGGCGTCCGTGATGAAGCGCGTGAAGAAGCTCATCAAAAAGTTCCACAACCAGTTGCTCGCAGTGGCCAGCGCCATGGCTGGCGCGCGATATTTGGCAGGGTAGAGCTCGGCGACGACGGCCCAGACGAGAGGACCCCAAGTCGTGGCAAAAGCAACGATGAACAGGCACGAGAAGACGATGAGAACGTTTCCGGCAGCCGGAGTGTTCGCGGGGTTCACCGGGTCGAGCTTGAAGTGGCCGACGAACGAATAAACCAGGAAGCACACCATCATCCAAAGTGCGCCGGCCATGAGCGCGTTTCTCCGACCGCACTTCTTGACCACATAGAGACCGCCAAAGGTGCAGAAAACGTTGACGGACCCCAGAATGATCTGAGTCACGTAGCTGTCGCTAAGGCCCGTGGCCCTGAAGATGGTGGTTCCGTAGTAGAAAAAAAAGTTGGCACCCGTGAGTTGTTGTCCAGCCTGCCAAACAGTTAGGGGCCTGCCAAACTAAGGGGGCAACTCGCGGGAAACTCACCTGAAGCGTGATACCCAACAATGTACGGTACAGCATGCGAGGACCCGTAAAGATCTCATACCAGCTGGTGGTCGCGCCGGCTTTCTCCTCATCCAGCTTGGCACGAATGTCATCGATCTGCTGATTGACAGACGGAGCATCGGTGTCAAGACCAGCAAGGCGCGCGATGGTGCGGCGGGCCTCTTCTTCGCGGCCCTTACGATACGCATAGCGAGGGGATTCGGGCAGAAGGAGAATGCCGCCGCCGAGGATCAGGGACCACAGGAACGACAGACCGTTCGGGATTCGCCACGACGACGAACCCGACATGTTGTGGGTACCGTAGTTGATCATCTCTGCAGTCCAGATACCCAAAGTGATAAAAAGCTGATAGGTAGAGATGAGGACGCCTCTAAGGATAGCAGGGCTCGACTCGGATTGGTACATGGGGACAGCCACCGAGAGGGAGCCGATACCGAGGCCGGTGACGAGACGACCGACCGCAAACTGAGCCCACGAAGTCTCGGACGAGATCTCGATGATGTTGCCGACAGAACAGAAGAGGGCCGACACCGAAATCGCCATGCGGCGGCCGAGAGAGTCGGCAATGTTTCCGGCGATCAGGGAACCGAAGAGACAGCCGGCAGGAAGGAGACCGACGATGGCGCCCTGGCGAGCAGCGCTGAAGTCATACCTCCCCGTGTCGGGGTTGTGTACTCCGAAGCGACTGCCGTAGTCCTCCATGTCGAAGAAACCCGAGATCTGACCGCTGGGGTCTGTGTAAGCGCTGAGATCACGGACTGGTGCCAGCAAGGGCAGAGCAGCTAGGTTGCTTACCTGACATAACCAAACATGAAGCCACCAATACTGGCGACCGCACCGAGGAAGATGGCAATAGCCGTAATCTTCTGCTCTGCAGCGATGGCTGCCGCCGATGGGCTCTCAGCTCTGGCGGGGCCATGCTCAGCCGACGCTTTCTGGAAGCGTGAGAACGCCATATTGTCGAATCAGTGGCCGAAAGGGTTTGGTGACGAGTCAACGGACAGAAAGGGGCTCCTTCATAAGATGGCGGCGTGGCAAGACGACCCAGACAGAAACGATGAAAGTTGGGACTCGCGCGATATTAAATTCGAAGCGGTGGAGAAGAAAGGAGAGGGTCCATGACGGCGGCCCTCGTCTGATAAAAATCCTGAATTTTGATCAGCTGGACAATGCGGGCTCCATGGAGAGGGAAAGCGCGAAGAGACGAGGGGCCCCATGGAGTCGAAGGGGCAGCGAGCAGGAGCGCTGGGGACGCTGGAGACCGGTCCTGCCGAAAGTGGAGGTTCCGAATTCATGGTTGCACCTTCCACTTGACTGCGCCGGACCCTGACTTTCTCAAGAGCCTCCATCGTCAAACCATCGACCCTGGATCTGCGCATCACGGCAGTTGCAGCTTGACACCGGAAGGATCCGTAAAGACGTGGATCTCAAGGTCGTTACCCAACGTCATCAACAGGGCTAGTGGAGTGACGTTATCGGGCCGTTCCCATCGGAACTGGCGGAGACCCTTTGCGGCTCCGTCGCGGTGGGACCACAGCGGAGTTTCCAAACATAGGTAGACAACCCGGAACCCTGTCGTTCGCATGCATCGTGCATGGCATGTTCCCCCTCTGTATTCATTCGCAAGCAGCCCGCAACGTGGTCGCGCGAATAGCAAGATACTCCAGGTCAAACGCCTCCGGGGAAACGACGTGGTCGGTATCCGGGGCCCCGAGTGTTTTCTCCCCTCAAATCGCGCATCCCACACACGGGGCCTCTAGCGTTTCCCGCAACCCCGAGTTCGTCATCCAAATCGAGACATCCCACCCGATGATGTGAAGTCGAGCCCCTTGTCCCACTTCGCCGGTAGATGACACCGGAATGAGCCCGGCGTGCCGGGCGTGCCAAGTCTCATTGGCCTGTTTTCGATGGAAATAGTGTTTGTCCGACCCTCATCAACCGACCGGCAGACGGTGTTGGCTCGGGGTTAAGCAGCGTCGTGTCCAAGATTCAACGCCACCGCCCGATGTATAGCCAAGCACAGCCCAAGAAACCCGGCACCCTGCTCCTTCAGATCTCGTTCGAACTTGTTGATCGGATAAACGGCTCGCAGGCTTTGAAAACGTGAGGCTCCATCGAACACTTGTTCGAATGTTTCGCGGGCCGAGGCGACCGACAGAATGGTTCGAGTGGCGTTGTGACGATCCAGGTTTTTTTTGTTGACGCTCCCTGAGCATTATCCTCGTCGTTCAAAGCCCGAGTGTCAAACACGCGACGGCTCCAGCTGTGAAACATCACTGGATGCACAGCAGCGGGTACCTCATGTTCCTGGGCGGCTCACCAGGGCAGTATGCAGCCTCCCGGAAGTGTGGCGAGTGCGGATACATTGAAGAGAAACCGCTTAATCTTGCGGGTTCGAGTCGTGCTTGCTGCGAAGCCGTTGCCTGCACAGGGAAACAGCGAGATGGTCAAACTCCAGAGGAAGGGAGGAGAATTGATCAGACAAACAGAGGCAGGAACGCGCCAACTGGAGGAAATCGCAGTCCCCTGTCTTTCCTGAAAAGGAAATCCCAGGCACCATCAGCCAATCGCTCCTTGGTCCACATGAATCGCCTTACCCCTGCCAACGCGACCAGCGCGCGCTCCAGCACGCGTTTCTCATTAAATCACCCCGAATTATTCACGCATTTAAGGGCCACCTCCTGCCCGGAGCTCTTTCTTTCTTTCTTTCTCTTTGGTCTTGTTTTTGATTCTCTTTTTCCCCCTTTTTCTCTTATCTTTTTTATTCTCCTTTCTCTTTCTTTCTTTCTTTGGCGGGGTAAGAGTTTCCTCCGCCTCCCACCTTCCGGCCTCGTCCGACCTGGAACTTCCTGCCCAGTGGCAGAAACTGAGTCGCCCAAATTGACGATCGAAAGGCTCCTGCGTGTTGTCTTTTCCGTAAACCCAACGAAACTTGAAACCGACACCGCCGTGCTTTTATTCACTCGCCGCTACTCTGTCGTTTCCAAGGCTGTGTCGAGTGGTGATGAACCCACTGGGGTTTGGCGTCAGGGGACCTGCTCGTTGATCGCGATCGAGTGATCCCGCAAGCGCAACAGGCACATCATGACAAACCGCACATCCTTGGATTCGGCACCGTCCGACAGTCCTGGGCAGCCTGTTCACGCGAAAGAGGCGCGTCTATATTGTCAGGCGCTCTCGTCATACGTGCCTGGCTAATCCGAGCAGAAGCACGTCTTCACTGCTACTTCCTAGTATCAAGGCTAGCAGAAAGGGTTCACCAACGGCTGCTTGGCCTTGCTTTCCCGCCGCCAATTCTGTTCATTCTGAATGGTCTGGCAAATAAACGGAAAGAGGACTCGAGTTCACGCAGTTTGTCCTGTCAGGGTTGGGCAAACAACGGTACGCCTCTGTGCATATCAGATGCCCCGACTCCTCCCATCAAAACCAACATCACTGGGTTCCCCCTGGGACAAATATAAAAACGGCCCTTGCCCCCAATACCCCCACCAGCCACGGGCATCAGCTCCCGCCCCGGCCCATTACATCCCGCAAGAACCTCTGCGAGCAGCCAGCCCCTAAGCCGCAGTCGGGGTCGCAGTCGCAGATGGTGGGCAGTTGGAGTCGGTAATGGTTGCAATACCCCAGCCGGTCGAGCACTGGAAGCAGTTGCCGCTCGCCGTAGGGCAGCGGCTGACGGTGGTTGGGCGAACGGCCGCCCTGTCGCATCCGCACGGCAGCACCACGTAGGCTGGTAAGTCGTCAGTCATGCGCTCGCTCACGCGTTCTCGAAGTCATGCGTTGGATGTGTTGGAAGGGGGTAGAGTGCGCTGCTTACCGTCCGCAATGCACCACGCCGACTGTGGCGGGCAGGTAAAGTCGCATCCGTCATTGGTGTATGTCGTTGCCTGCGGCCGGTACGTGCATGAGGCTGGCAGTGTCGAGGGGCCAGATGGGGCTGGCGTTGTTGAGGATCGGGCTGGGCAGGCAGGTGAGCCCATGGCCGGTTGCCTATTTTGTGATCGTCAAAGTCAGCTGCAATCCATGGCAGTCAGGGTGTCTCTGTGTAAGTCCACTGACATGAGGGTGGCAAGAGCCACCATAACGAGCGACGAGTATCTCAGAGCCATCTTGTCTAATGGTGTTTTCCGTGTTGTCCGGGTTAGCAAAACGGTGAGACAACGCCAGGTGAGACACGGGGTGGGGAGAAGGCCATGAATAAATATAAAATTGAGCTCAATGTCTTGCCCTGACATGGACATCAACGATTGGTACCACCGGAAGCGAGCGAGCCAGTCGATGTCACTGCGGGGAGCGGCTTGTTCAGCCCAGTCGAGCCACCAAGCTTCGAGCGTGACGGTGTGTTTGCTGGTACTCCAATCATGCCACTCCAGCTTTGTCTCGGTTAAGCGCGATATCGGCCAAGACCTGCAGCCACAAAGCTCTGTCCCTCGTATTCTCTCGGTGGCTGCGGGTGATGTCATGGGATTTTGGCAACACGAGTCCGCATTCAGAGCACTAGTTTTGTTGTCCGAAGGCTGAAGAGTCAATGCGAGTTCGGCGGCCATCTCCCTCGGGCTTGTCATTCCGTCGGCCCTGTTTAGACACCCGCCTTGAACTCTGGCACGACACTGGGTATAGAGTCGGTGTCGTCGATGTGCATGTATGCCCGATGTCCTGAAGCCCCCGGATGCATTATGATTACTGTTGGGCGAAGGTATTCGTTTGGGTCTAGGGCTTACTTATTCTCATCTGTTGGCGTTGAGGTAGGGGGCTAGGTGGGTGGAATTAAGACTGAGGGTCCAGGGCTTAGACAAAGCGCCGTAGTTACTCAGGTTGACAACCCGTCTAGTTAGGTTGTCAACGATATTAGCTGTCTTGCTGTGCTGCCTTGTTGTTGACGAACTAGCAACAGAGTGATGGTTGGTTGTCTCCTGGGTATGCTACGGTACCTCTATGAGTTGGTTCTGGTTAGAGAACACCCTCCTCCTCCCTTACGTCCTTCTTTCTCTCCTCGGCTGTGGCCGCGGCTTGGCTCATGGCGAGTCGATGGACGTGATGTACAGGGACAAGGGAGCTCAAGTATAAACGCCCTTGCAAGCATGCAGGTTATCATTCTCCCGAAGAATCGGTCCGGGTGTGTATTTCGTGCTTCTGGTCTTCACGTTGAGAAAGCTCGAGCGGTGCATAGGCTTGTGAAGTCCGGTCATCCATATTTTCGATGCCACCAGTTGACCTCTCATTGTTTGTCTCTGGTTGTGTGCTAAATCGGGATGATTCAAGTGATTCAAGCGAACATTGTTATTTTGTATTTCTTGTTGCTTAAACCACATAGAGGTTAAGTAACCTCGGATATCAACTCGAGTTATGTTGGTCACAGAATTTTCCTTTTAACTCGTCGTTCGAGCCCATGATAATCCTGCGTTATGATGCTTGTTGCAATGTCGCTGCTGCAAATCCGGGCTGCAAACAGTTTGGTGGTGTTCTCTTTTCAACAATTATGTCTAGGTTGTTAGTGACGATGAATATTTCAACCTCTCCCCATTTCCACATCGAGCCAGGAAGCAAACACACAAACATACAAAACCCATGACAGTGCATAATTGTGATACCCACCAATAGACTTTTTACACAGGATGGACATCATGGGTGATAAACAAAGTAATGGTTGGTTCCAATAGTCAACGGTGGTTTGGCTGAATCAAACTTGGTGCAGTAGGTAAGTTGAATTTGAGCGTGTCGAATACAGTTGTTTAAACAACCCGCGGTGGAAACAAACAGTCATCAAGAGTTGATTTGAACCTGTGATAAAGGACGAATGGTTTTGGGAGGGAGTGGTTGTATTAGGATATTTAAGAGTGTAGAAGGAAATCAATAATAAAAAAGTAACTTAATTATCAGATATAATCAAATACGAAAATCGTGATACTGATAAGATGTCTACCGCTCGAGATGGGTTGATTACTGGAGTTTTCTGGTTTGCTCGGCTACTTGCTGTTTATCATAAACTTGTTCCCAGTCACGCGGGTCGCTCGTGTTTAGATACCTATGTCGGAAGTCTTACACGCGTACCGTCCCTATTCTTCGTTCCTTTTCATCTGTACCTCGAAGAATGACAACGTCCTGCCATAGTCTACTCGAGTGGTTCATTGCACCAGGTAAGAGCCAGAAGTGGGCATGATGATCTGGGATACAAAAGTCTGCGCATGTTTCATGTGTCGAGACCCAAAACCTAACAACCCCGTATAATTGGAATCCAACATGATATCTTAGATGTAGACAACAAAACGCGAGACACGCGCTGGGGGTACCGAATAATGACTCGATTACATCGAAGATACTTTTTGGAATTAAGTTTGGTTACCCAATGTGTCTCGACAACAGCAGGTGGTTGACTTCCGACTAAATGTAACAACCTGAAGCTGAATAAAACAAACACAACTAGTACTAGGTATAGAGCCACCATGACACCGGAACAGTCACTTTGAGTCCTACACAACTCAGCTAGACATACATAGCCCGAGATGAAAGTGGTTCTGGCCAGAAGAGGTTTGCCTTCTCATTAAGCCCTGCCATGAAACGGTTGCAACACCTTGCCCGTGTTATGAGGTGACTCGGTCACCCACAAATTGGACCATGCCGACGCCGCTACATACGTATCAACTCGACGGAACTGTCTCGTTGCCACCAAAGGAGCGATGGACAGGCTCGAGTCCGCCTTGAATCAGTGCACACTGCGCAGGCCGGGTTGCGTTGTCACACAGCCGGCTCGAGATACTGAGACTCAAGCGCGAGTGCAAGGCTGGGCACTTGAAGCTAGGCAGCAACCTCAAGTTTGCGGAAGCAAAACAGAGATCCGAGTCACAACGGAGGCGAGTGATTAGACTCAGCGGAAGTTCAAGAGTATGGGGACGGGCTTGGGGAACCCATAGCCCAGCTGGGACGGCCCACACAAAGCGACACGCCCACCTGACACGCGTGATCCACAACTCAGATGTAAACACACGGCGACGCGTCACAGTTCACGAGCACAGCAAGCAGCCAGAGTTTTGATCAAGAATGCGCTCCGCGGCAAGCAGGAGATCGCATCGATTATGCCTTGGTATGTCCACCCGTGTAAAACACCCATTGTTGACCGCCCCCGTATGGTACACAGAACCCAGACAGACCGAAAGTGAAATAAACCCAGTTGCCCATAAAACTCATCGCAGCCCAACCATAACCGATGGAGAGTAAAAAGTGTGAAAAGCGCGCTGAAATGTCATCAAGAGTCGTCGCCACGGCGGCGGCCCGTTTAGCCACCGAAACCGTAGAGGGTGCGGCCTTGCCGCTTGAGGGCGTAGACGACGTCGAGCGACGTGACCGTCTTGCGCTTGGCGTGCTCGGTGTAGGTGACGGCGTCACGGATGACACCCTCGAGGAAGGACTTGAGGACGCCGCGGGTCTCCTCGTAGATCACTGTAACGGGACGCGTCAGAACGCGTTGAGGGGCAAAAGGTTGCTGCTGCACAAGAGCAGTGGGGGGGTGGAACATACTGGCTGAGATACGCTTGACACCGCCACGACGCGCCAGACGGCGGATAGCGGGCTTGGTGATACCCTGGATGTTGTCACGAAGAATCTTGCGGTGACGCTTGGCACCGCCCTTGCCGAGGCCCTTGCCGCCCTTTCCGCCTGGGTGAGAGTCAGTATGGTGTGACGACGAGGTGTAGATGTATCAGTCATGACTTACGTCCAGTCATGTTGATGGATGGTTGTTGGGTAAAAAGTGTGGTGGGAAAGTGAGGCTGAAGATGTGCAGCGTTTGTTGGATCGAGGTTGTGAGCGCGAAGGATGGGGGAAGGTTTGAGGTAAACGTGGGGAAGAGAAGCTGGCTTTAAATGCGGCAGTGCCAACGGCGGCACCTGCAGCCGCCCTGCAATCAGATCAGTCTGATTTGCTTGGCTCTATTTTTTCTGACCCCCCTGCGCTGATTTGGAACGCGTTTCTGGAGTACAGGGGAGGGGTGAGCTTTGTGGGGCAGTCTTTGATCGCGGCAAGCCCCCACCTCGAAATCAATCTGTGCTTTTTCAACGCGTGCCGATTTATGAGTGGTCAGAATATGGAGTAGTATTATTTCTTGGAGGAAGAAATTGCCGTTGGGACGGGTTCGTTACTTGGTCACGAGAATAGTCATGGCGTGTCTCCGGCTGCCCACACCTGCCCGGGTCCCATGGCGGCCTCCTCTCAGACACCCGCCGCCTTCATGTCACCTGTTCCCCGGGATTCGGATACCAGAATACCTATCCCACCCTGCCCTCTCCCTTTCCATCTCGACGCCCGGCACAGTCACATCCCGGCCGCTCGGTGCTCTTGACACGGTAGTTGAGTACGTACTCATGTGGATAGCCTCCTCCCCGGAAGACGCCGTCCTGGCCCTGCCCTCCCAGGCGATACGGGGATAGTAGATCTCGGTGCCGGTGGTTTCAGCTTCTCGCCTTGCCCCCCGGATACTGTACATAGACGCCCGGGACATCTACCCTGCTTTCAAGTTCGAGTGCTGCTCTCTGATCTCCCGTGTTCATGTTGTGTGCTGTGTCTTTCAGTGGCGGTAGATGCCCAGGTTTGCTCATTGCATATTCTTGGTGAGAAACATCGCCACCTTCGAGTCAGCTTCATAGGAGCTTGCCTCTCTGTGCGCTGCCCGCGTCATTAAGCGGGCTTTTCTCCGTGTATGCACACTTTGAGTGATGTCTATTGCCATAGTTTAGGTTGCCAGCTCGATATCTCCGCTCGAAACTTAGTGTAACCGAAATGCCAACCCGCGCTTCCTGTCCTGTGTATTGCATCACATTCCAAACCGTGGCTAACTGGGACGTTCGCACGGCATCGCCTTCCAGCCTCACAAGGTGCGGATCTCGAATCGAGGAATGGTCCCCGCCTGCGGTTGGTGGCAGCCGATCTCTTGTGTGGCACACATGTTCCATGCCGCATGAAGTTAAGTTTTTGGACCAATAGAAATTGAGACTGGTTTTTGGGACTTGTCAGATTTCCCGCCAAACCAAGCGCATTTCTCCTGGAAAAAGATGACCCATTATTCTTTGCAACAAACCCCGGTTCCTGACAACGCGCATTCGCAAAAAAACGAAGGCACAATCAGGGAAATAGGCCCACTTATTTGTTAATCAGCCTGCCGGCTGCACGCAACACCGCCCGCCTACTTAAGAACTCGTACCCCCCACTACATTCTTTTCCCTTTCAACTCACACACAACTCCACATCCAATCGTCAACCCCATCATTTGTCAACCACCATCACCATCTCAACGCCAAACATCCCGTCATACATTTAATCATTCATCACAATGGCCCGCACTAAGCAGACCGCTCGCAAGTCCACTGGTGGCAAGGCTCCCCGCAAGCAGCTCGCCTCCAAGGCTGCCCGCAAGTCCGCCCCCTCCACCGGCGGTGTCAAGAAGCCCCACCGTTACAAGCCCGGTACCGTCGCTCTCCGTGAGATTCGTCGCTACCAGAAGTCGACTGAGCTCCTCATCCGCAAGCTCCCCTTCCAGCGCCTGGTACGTTCCCATCCTGGTCGGTCGCGGCGACGCGACTTGGCAGTCGCGCATCATTTGACAACACACTAACGCGTCGCAATGCAGGTCCGTGAAATCGCCCAGGACTTCAAGTCCGACCTCCGCTTCCAGAGCTCCGCCATCGGCGCCCTCCAGGAGTCCGTCGAGTCTTACCTCGTCTCCCTCTTCGAGGACACCAACCTGTGCGCCATCCACGCCAAGCGTGTCACCATCCAGTCGGTAAGTCGCAACACAGCAGACAACACACCTTGCCATGCATCACATGCTAACAACCGTTGCAGAAGGACATCCAGCTTGCCCGCCGCCTCCGTGGCGAGCGCAACTAAGCATGTTTGCTTGAGTCTTTGCTAGTTTGGGGGTTTCGCAGGTCATGACTTTTTCATTTGGGACGCGAGCTGGATGAAGGGGCTCATTCATGGGACAAGGAACTGGCGTTTTGCGATGGGTTTTACTCTGGGGCTGTACATTACACGGCGGCAAACGGACTGCTGCGAATATTCGCGTTGACTTCATGATCACGATAATTTGCGCTGCACTCGATTTTCATTTCCTTGTCTGTGACATGGTGGCCCTGTCAGGGTAAATAAACCCGCGACGCGCCTGACGCGCGAGACCAAAACATGATCGCGACCGCGAACCCTGGTGGCAACGAGGATGTGGGTGGACCCGGGACAAGCACACTTCACGAAGCGACCCCCACAAGCCAGGCTTGGTTGGTACCATGTGTTCATGATCAACTATCCCCGGCCGACACTCCGACGCTGAACAATCACCGAACTCTTTCCAACCCGGTCGAATGAGTCACTGATAAACCTCCGCGCCACCAACGCACACCGAGACACACCGAACCCTAACCAGCCCACCCAACCACACCACCACCAAGTTCCCTCCCTCCCTCCCACCCTCCATACCCAAAAGTTAAAGCAGCGCCCTCCACCCCTTTCCACTCCCATCCCCCTCCCCCTCCCCTTCCTTCCCATTCCCAACCGGCCCAACAGGCCTCTCCAGCCCTAGAAACTGCGCCACCTGGCCCAGGTGGTCCACGCCGAAGAACCCTTCGCTCTCGCCCGCGCTGTTGGTGCAGTAGAGCCACGGCAGGCCGAACGCGCCGGCCGCGAAGGCCGCGTCGGTGTTGGTCGCGAGGGCGGTTTTGGCTGGGGGGGCGGTGGATGCTTGGAGAACTGTTTGTGTGTGTGTGTGTTAGCAGGTTGGTTGGGTTGACTTGGGGCTGGGGGGGGGAGTCTGTTGGGTGAGGTTGAGGGGGTGGGTGGGAGGGGTTTGGTTGGAAGGGGAAGGGAATTCGGATGGGTTGGGATGGGATGGGATGGGATGCGGCCTGGAGGTGATTATGCGGCAGCGTGCAAGTGTTGAGACGGGATGGCAAGGAGGAAACCGGTGACAGGCAGGGCGTGCGACAGGCACGGGAACAGGCGTCAAGCCAGCCCGGGCTAAACCCGCCCACGGAAAGGAGCACTCACTCTTCTCGGCCTCGGCCTCCCCAAACAAGCCCACCATCGTCTCCTTCAGCACCTCGGGCTTGTGCGTCGCGGCGGCGTGCTCCCAGTACTGCGAGTAGAAGGCGTCGAGCGCCTTGATTAGGCGCGGCTGCTGGCCGGATCCGTCGGTGGCATCGGACTCGGCGAGGCCGCAGAGCGCGCGCATGATGGGCAGCGTGTTCGCCGGAAAGTCGGGCGGCAGGCCGGTCGTCATGGGCACGGAGAAGTTCCGCGCCCAGCGGAGGCGTTCGACGTTGATCCATGTGTCCTTGTCTGCGTGTTGCATTAGTGCCTTGCTGTTCTGTGGGGGGTGGCAAGGTGGAACAAGACATACTCTTGATCTTGATGGGCGCGGTGTTGCCGCACTGCAGGACGGAAAGTGATTAGTTTCCAAGTTCAAATTGAGCCATGAATCGCCCAGGAGACAAGAAACACGCACCTTGTGCATCAAACCGCCGAGGAAGATGGGCACGTAGGTGATATCACACCCCTTGAAGACCTCATTGTGCTGTCCTTGCTGTCAGATTCAAGCCTTCCCTATTTACGTTCTGCTTAAACACACCCGGAGAATGTAATACGCCAGGTAGGCAAACGGGCTGACGGTGTCAACGTAAAGCGTGATCTTGGGCGGGGCCATGGTTGCGGTGGCGACTTGTAGGGTCTCGCAGAGATGACAAAGGCGTGGACGACGTGATTATAGATCAGATTTCGTCATAGATAGTGATTGTACAGACGGTATAAGTAGGCGGCGGAAGTTGTTGTGAACGATGCCACGGAACAAAGATGGTTGGGGATGAAGATGGATTTGATAACTAATCAACCTCGGTCCACGACCCGTAAAGCACTTGAACCTCGAACGCTGTACGCCCTTGGGGAGACAGGGATGTTGGACATGACAGTTCAACACCCTCAACACCTCAACAAAACAACAGAAACCACTGCCGAATGGGGGATACTGTCCGAGATGCACCTGTGTTCGTGCGTGCCGGCATCTATCCTGCAAACCAAACACCGAAGAAACGAGCCGAGGGACTGGGTCGACGGCGGTGCATGTTAACCCCGCATCCGGTTTGTGGGGTACATGAACATCTACTTGGCATAACCATGGAAGTCATGGATGGATACTACGAGTCGGATCCTGAATTCACTAACGTACTGCCCCGTACATATCATATCGTAGCCGTACATGCTTCAACACACAGCTGCCTCCGTGCCTACGCCACTACTCTTTCCCCACCAAATATTTATCTATCACACCTGTGCTTCTCAGCCTCTCACACCTTCCTCCCGCCCCCAAGAACCACCTAAAACGCAGCAATGCTGTGTTCTGTCGGCAACTTGGTGAGAACATCAAACGAGCCCGTGCCGACCGTGCCGAGCTTGCCAACGACCAGTCTGCTGGAAGGCGTGGCAAGGCTGTCCCAGTCGCCGTCGAGGACCGCATCTTTGAGGAAGCCGACCGTGGTTTCTATGTAGAGCGTTAGCATTGTTACATAATAACGTCCGGGAGGAACGAATCCCAGGCTTACCGTAGCTCATCTTGGTAAAGGGGCTGACGTTGCCCGTCAGGCCGATGCGGTTGAAGGCTGAGAAGCCGCCGTTCCTGCACGTGACAGTTAGCTATGAGCATTGCGAGAAGCGGAATATGGGAAACACTCACCTGGTCATGTAGTCGGCAATGAGGTTCAGATGGCGGGGATCGACCGCGATACCGTGACCGGCGAAAACGCCGCTGAGCTCCGCAACGATGTTGCTCCGGCACGCCTCGACACCGTACACCTCGAGCACTTGCGCGATATCGTTGGTTGATATCCTGTTAGGGTTGATGTAGTCACCATACTGCTGCATGGCGCGCAGGTTGGCACCGTCGGTATGCACGAGCATCTCGACCATGCGCTCCTCGCCCGTGGACTCGTCCTTCTTCTTCTTGGGCTCAAACGTTGCATTGCCGATGCGGTGGATCTGCTGGATGACCGACTTCTTGATGGCCTCCTGCACCAGGCTGAGCATGAGGATCTTGGGGATGGACGCGTCGAACTCGAGCGTGAACTCGACCCATTCGCCGCCCACCTCGTCGCAGCGGAACCGTGCCACGTGCTCGTTCTTGTTCTTGACGCGCGCCTCACGCGACCGCGACCGCTCCTCGTCCGTCTTGTCGCCAAGCTCGTCCTCGGGCTCGGGGCTGCCGCCGTACGCCTCGTCGACGAAGTCGAGCCTCTCCTCACCCTCCTCGGCGTCGTCCGTCTCCCGTTGGAGTTGGTTCTGGATCTCGTCGTCCTCGTCGTCGTTCGGGCCGTACGAGACCGCCTCGGACCGGTTGGCCCTCTGCTTGGCGCTCGTGGCGTCGTCACCACCTTCGTCATCATCGTCCTCATCATCTGCGGTTGTCACCCGTTCCGAAGCGGGGGGCGCCGTCTCCACAACACCGGACTTGACGCCGACCTCGGGCGTGGCTGCGCTCTTCGACTTTTGCTTCTTCTTGATCTCCTTCCTGGTGAGTAAGGAGAGCAGCGGGATGAACTTGCGCTCAACCGTGTTGAGTACGTCAGGGATGTCGATAGCATACATATCGGCGTACTCGTCCGCCTCGAAGAAGCGCAGCCGGATCTCGAACGACTTGGCCAGCGCGTATCCGATCCCGCGGCCGACGCGCTCGCGGACGACCGCCTCTTTAGTGACGTGCGCAAGCGGGAGGACGCTGATGGACTTGGCGAACTGCTCCCCGTCCAGTTCCGAGAGCTCCTCGTTGAGCACGAGGGTCATGGATGGCGTCGAGATCCTGGAGGAAGCCGTCATCAAGATTTCGCGGAGACGCGGAATACCCAACGTCACGTTCTTGGCCGAGTGACCTGCCAAATGGAACGTGTTCAGTGTCATCTGCGTGGACGGCTCTCCGACAGACTGGCCGGCCACAATACCGACCGCCTCGCCAGGCTCCACCAGTGACCGGATGTACTTGGCCGCCAGGATCTTCTCGGCAGTCTTGCGAGCGATTTGGCCCTGCTGGTTGTCTGACCCCTTCTTCTCCTTGATTAGCCCATCCTTGTTCGTCTTGACGTAATCCATCAACTTGCTGTAGAACTTCTCCGACGTGGCAAATGCAAACGCGGTGGGGTCAAGCTCCGATGATACCGGGTCGAGTGCGTTGCGGGTGCTGCTGGATCGGATGGCGCTCTTCATCCGCTTCATGACTTCATCCCTGTGTTCGAACAGAGCCTGGGTGCCGGGCTCGTGGTACCTGATCTGCGGCAACTGCGACTCGAGGTTGCGGAGGACAAACTCGAAATCGTTGAGATACTTTTGTTTCGCAATGTCGATGCCGTCCTCACCAAAGAGGAACTGCACAACAGTGCCATCCGAATCTCGGACCGACGAGTCGTACGAGACCCTCAAACCCTCCATGCCCTTGATCAAACACCTCTGGAGGTAACCGGAGCGGGATGTCTTGACGGCCGTATCAATCAGACCTTCGCGACCGGCCATGTGATGGAAGTAGTACTCCTGCGGGCGGATGCCCGTCAAGAAGCGGTTGACGATGTAACCACCCGCCCTCACATCGGTGTCGTAGGGTTTGAAGCTTGGTAGGGTCTTGCCGCTCACCATGACAGGGACGCGGCGACCTTCCAGGACTTGCTGGCCCAGGTTGCACGAGATAAGGTTGGCGTTGACGGGACTGCCCTTGGCACCGGAGGTCGTCATAGACTGCATGTGGTTCTTCGGGAACTGCTTCTCGAGACCGGCAGGCAGGCACAGCTTGGTAAGTTCGGTCGAGAGGCCGGCGCATCCCTGACTGGTAAGCAACTCGAGACCTTCCTGTTTCTTGTCGTCTCTGTGCACTTCCTCGAGACGCTCCAAGAGCAGAGAATCGTCCTTAGCCGGCTTCTGTTCCTCGAGCGAAACGTACTTGGCTGCTACCTCGAGACCAATATGTGCCGCGGCTTTGAGCGTTTCCTTGCGATTCTTCTCTCCCTGCGGGGTCATACGGAGATCGTCCATACCGCAAGTGAAGGCGACCATGGCCAAGTATCGGGTCAATAGCCGGCCTATGCTGCTGAGCAGCCTCCCTGCAACCGATGGGCCGTATACTTCATGAACCGCGTGAATGAATCCACCATCGCTTGGGCCCAGCTGGGATTTGTCGAGGATGCCGCTGATGAAGTCGCCGTCGCGGAACATCACCTGTCCCTCCTCGGAGTCCTCGCCCCAACTGCGGCTCTTGAGCTTGGCAGATCCATTCATCCACAGATCACCGCAGTCGGCGGGTCTGATGTTCTTCAAGATCGTTGTGATAACCTGCTTACCCGTCCAACGGGGCGCCGGCTTGATGATCGCTGGAGGCACGAGCTCAATCTTCTCGCCTGTAATGTGTCCGCTCTCTGGCCGGAGGGCGGCGTAGACGAGCTGATGGTAATCTCCTTGATCGAGGAATACGTCTTTGTTGCACAGCTCCACCGAAACGGACAAATGGTCCTGAATCAAACCACGTAGGGGGTTTCCGGCCGTCCCCGAGATGTACTGGTGATCCGTATCAGCGAGTTGAAGTGCTTCGGCACGCGCAACCTCGTTTTGTGGAAAGTGCATGTTCATCTCGTCTCCGTCGAAATCGGCATTGTAGGTGTTGCAGTTGGCGTAGTGCATGCGAATGGTCTTTTCTCCCGGAAGAACGCGGACTCTGTGACCCATGATGGAGGGCTTGTGGAGCGTCGGTTGTCGGTTCATCAAGACCACATCACCGTTGGTCAAATGACGGTGTACCTTCTTATTCCGCTGGCCACTGAAGTTGTTCCCGGTCGGGGCAAGAAGTTGGTTGGCGAGCGAGACACGGTCCTCAAGGGACTTTGCCCGCAGGTTAACAATCTGGCCGTTCTCATTCTCGATCGCCGCAGCACCGGGCCATTTGTCTGAGTTCGTTGTTAGCATCGCAGACCCCAAACGGCAGTCCGATGTGACTTACCAACACCGTTAATAACAGCTTGTCTGGTTGGTTTTGTTAGCGTGCCGAAGCACCACAAGACGCGCCGGGATGACTTACTGAAGGTCTTTGAAATTGTGGCTCGTCACTGGCTCAGGGTATGTGAGTTTCCTAGCGAAAACAGGGGGAACGCCGATTTCGTTGGTCTCGATATTAGGGTCCGGAGAGATGACACTCCTCGCAGCGAAGTTGACACGCTTGCCCATCATGTTCTTCCGGAAGAGGCCCTCCTTCTTCTCCAGCTTTTGCTTGATACCTTCCTCATTTCGCTTGGCGGCGGCGCCCTGGACCGGGTTCTTGTCCCGGTCAATGAGCGAATTGACAGCATCCTGCAGCTCTGTCCACGCCTGGTACAGAGAGCTCATATCCCTTGTCCTCCTCCCCTCGTCCTGAGCGACCTCCCCAGTTTGACCGCTAATTTCTCGCGAGATCTGTGCCACTAGAGAAGCGCTCCTAAGGATCAGCTTGTAAAGGCTATTTTGCTGGGCTTCAGAGATCTGCGAATCTCCCATACGAGCCTCTGGGCGATAGCGATTGGGGGGAACCAAAAGTGTCGACACAAAGAACATGTCGGCTGAGAGCGGTTTAGAGCTTCTAGGCCGGGGCTTCGAGTTATACAGAAGCGAGAGAATCTCCTGCTCCTGTTCGAAGAGCATCTCGAGGCGCTTGTGGACCTCCATAGTGCTGAGGTACCGCTGCGCGGGTCTGACCGACTTCGACTTTTTTCGTTGTGCCTTGGCCGGCCCATCCTTCATGATTACATCGCCGTTTTCGTCGAGCTCCTCGCCATCGCCTTCGCTCTCGCCCTCACTCTCGCTGCCACCCGCCCCGAACGACGCCTCGGATGCCGAGTCAACGTCGGCGATGCCCTCATCAGGGTTGGCATCATCGTGTTTCTTCGGCTTTCGGCCGAGGGCAAGTGCGTCCGTCCGCTTCCTTCCGGCTTGCGCCATGGCCGCCGTTTCCTTCTCGCTCAGGTCGCGCTCGAAAATTTTAACCCAGCGGTCCTTGCGGTAGACGGGTGAAATACCGTCGCAGCTTCTGCACCGCTTTTCCCTGATCATAATGGCAAGGAACTCTTTCACGAGGGCCCGCCTCAATTCCGCCGCACCTTCGTGTTTGCCTCTCCTGATGTCGCCGACGTTGACCTTGAGCCTGTGGTCCCGCAGGACTTGGCGCACATATGTCTCCCTGGCGCGCATGGTGCCGTCATGCAGGTTGCCTCCCTCCTCTTCCGCCTCATCCTGTTCGGGGTTCGGAACGTCGGATAACCTGAGATTCCTGAGTTGGTCCCCAAGATCGCTGACAGAAAACGACTCGATCATGTGCGCCTCGTGAATCAAGCCAACCTGCAACAGGCGAAACATGCAGGTGTACTTGTGGATTTCGTGGCGAGGCAGGCGGAATCGGTGGCAGTAAACACACTGGGCTCGGAGGAGACGGTAGGCCTGGTCCATGAAGACCGGGTGGTAGACGGGCACCGGGAGTTCGATGTGGCCCGGATGCCCCGGGCACTGGGCCTGGTTCAGGTTACATGTCCGGCACCTGCACACAATGTTGTTAGTCCCATTCTCCCGTTTGCGTCCCGTCCCGAGCCAGGAGAGCGCGTTTGGTGGCGGCCTTACAGAGCATCACCCCATGACCCAAGGGCGGGGTCGTAGAGACCACCAGGTACCGGATTGAGAAGGTTGTCAAAGGTGCTATCATTCTCGATTCGCTTGACAGAAATAGATCGGATCTCGTCGGCCGAGAGAAAGGTGAACTCGACGCTCTCCAGCGAGGAGGCCACAGGTTGTGCGATATTCATGCTGGCCAAGCTGGAGGAGAATCGGCTTAGTGATGTCGCATTGCAGTATGGCAGTCGTTACAGAAAGATTGCCGACTTTGAGGCAGGTTTTCGAGGTCGAAGTCGGCGGCAACAAACGGCTTCTCTCTCGAAATCGCAGCCTTCAAGTCGGTGATTGGTGGGGAATTGGAGACGAAGCTTCAGCGAGAATATTTTTTGGCGGTCGGACTAGGCAGAACCCCACCAGTATGCGTGCGGTGTGGGGCACCCAGCGGCCTGGTCCAGGAGGAGAGCTGGAGTCTGTGCTTCTCAACATCGGGCTTGGCACCGTCGCTAAGTAAAGCCAAGCTGCATCGTTACAGGCAGTTAATCTTGCATTCATTGCCTGACCTTGACCTGACGTTGTCGCGTCATCTCCCAACAGCAAACTGTTTTAACACCATCGAACCATTCTTGCCTCGACAAGCGTAGGAAGTACAGAAAACCCAACACCTGGTTTGACGATGGATCGAAACCAACAGCAGCAGGGCGGACTGGGCCCCCGCCATGACTCTGCTTCCAGAATCCAAAAGCCCGAATCGGCTGCCGACCGCATGGCTGCCCTTAAAGCCCGAGTCGCGGCAGCAGTTGGCGGTGCGAAGGCTAAGGGTGGTCTCAATACACCCCTACATCCCGCCCTCGCCGACCTTAATGCCCCGGTCAAGCCGAGCGACTCCCTCAGAGCATCCTTCGGTCAGCGCTCTACACCAGACGCGGGCAAGCCTGCGAGAGGGAAACCACTGGGTTTCTCGACGACAACACAAGATGGCCCCCGGACGAACCCATATCTTGATACGAGCAGTGCGCCGACGGGCAGGGCGAGGGAGCCGAGGCAGCTTGTTTTCAACCAAAAGGGCAAATACATCCATCAGGCCAACGCGCTGCGGAGGCAGGCTGCGCTGGAGGACATGAAGAGGAGGATCGCAGAGCAGGCTCGCAAGGCAGGGCTGGAGGAGGACCGGGCCGTTGAGAAGGCGTTTTTGGTTGAAGCGCCTCCCGAGCTGGAGTGGTGGGACGAGGGGCTCATCGACGGGAAAGATTACAGCAACATCCCCCAGTCTCTCAAGATCACGACGCCGGACAGCATCGTCACGCTATACATTCAGCACCCCGTCGCGATCGAGCCTCCGCAAGACAAGCTGGCGCCAGCGCCCAAGCCCATGTACCTGACACCCAAAGAGCAGCAAAAGCTACGGCGGCAACGGCGTATGATGGAACTCAAGGAGAAGCAAGCCAAGATTAGGCTAGGCCTCGAGCCAGCCCCCCCGCCGAAAGTCAAGAAATCCAACCTGATGCGTGTCCTGGGCGAAGAGGCGGTAAAGGATCCGACGGCCGTCGAGGCACGCGTCAACCGCGAAATCGCCGCGCGCTTCGACAAGCATATGGAGGCCAACGAGGAGCGCAAACTTACCAAGGAGGACCGACACGAGAAGCTGGCCGCGAACCAGGCCAAGGACGCAGCCAAGGGCATCCACGTGGTCGTGTTCAAGATCGGCAACCTCGCCAACGGGCAGCACCGCTACAAGATTAACATCAACGCTACGCAAAACGGCCTCAGCGGCGTGTGCATCATGCACCCCAAGTTCAATCTCGTAATTGTCGAGGGCGGCGAGCACAGCGTCAACAGCTACAAAAAGCTTATGCTCCGCCGCATCGATTGGACCGAGTCTCTACCCTCGCGTGAGAAGGATGCCGCCGCTGCTGCCGCGGCAGGAGGTGGTCAAGGTGCCGTGCGGGAGTGGCTCAAGGGGGAGGACGAGAACGGGCAGCTCAAGGACTTGTCGGCGAACAAGTGCGTGCTGGTTTTCGAGGGCGAGAGCAAGGCGCCCGCCTTCAAGAAGTGGGGGAGCAAGGTGTGCGAGACGGACGGGGAGGCGAGGGAGTTCCTCTCTCATCGGAAGATGGATAACTTCTGGACGCAGGCCAAGAATACCCCGATGTGAGGGCTGCGGGATAGACGATCGGTGGAGACAGCTGCAGGCTACACGCAGCCATATACTTGTTTCGACGGTACAGAACCCGGAGACATCTTACCAGCATATGCAACACCTACTTTACCTACTCACAGCCACTGCACAACAATCCCCCCCGCGCTGTTATGATGGTAGTTCTTGAGATAAATTCCACCCGTGTTACGCTCAGCGGTGATGGAGGAGGGGTGCGAGAAGCGAACCCTCCGTTCCCTCGTCCACCAGGCAGGAACAGCACGGCAGGAATCCCGCCGCCGATCCCTCCGTGTCACGTACAACACCACATCCCAACTCGATCTTTCCACGGCTCCAGGTACAGCCTCAGGCACGCCCCCTGCCTCCACCTTCGCCCGCCCCTCGGCCCGAACACACACACAAGATCCTCGCGTGACTCCTCGGGGGGTACACAACCCTTCTTCCCGCGAACCCGCCGGATCGTTCGGTGGCCAAACGAGTGAGTCCCTCTCTGACCTACCCGGCCTCACCTGCCTGCTAGTGCGGTGGGTCGCGTTTGGGGCGTGCTCGTTTGGGCCGCTTAGATATTCTTCATCGGGGCATAATTGCCGAAGGGATTCCTGACCGTGGTTGTGCGGATGTGGTGTGGTCGTGGTCGGTGTTTTGCTCGGTGGTGGTGTTGTATGTCGTGTACTCGAGATGCCCGGGCATGGGATGGGGTTGGGTTTGTTTGTTTGGTTGGCTTGTGGAACGGTAGTGCGGTCGGTTGGAAAGGATAAAAAGAAATATACTGGGTAGAAAGGGAACATCAGTATCTAGATGGCTTGGTTTGAGTTCCTACAATCTATTTTTCTTGCGTCCAGCGAAGCCCCTTTTGCGGTTACTACTACGTCTCATACTTTTCCAAGCCGTGTTGGCCGGGGGATAACCCCCCGGGGACTCATGCTCGGGGAAGACAACCAATGGGCTGGTGGTCGTGGGAGCCGGGATAAGAGAGGGGGTTGGAGTCGTTGTCACTGCCGCGGTATGACAAGAGAAGCCCATGGGTGTTTCCCTCCCTTACGGTCACAGCGAGGGCGTTCTCATCGTCTGCCGATATGGCCAAATACACAACAACCCCCTTCATTGCCACGATGAGCACATAACCAGTGAGTGTTAACCCAACCTTGCCACGTTCCAGCATGATTCGACCAGCGAGTATCCCGCTGAGGTAGTATGAACACCACAGAATGTATTCGTGCGCAGCGTCCAATAACCCATCAACGTTGATTTTAGCTAGCCCCTGCTGTTTGAGGCCCCTGATTGCAACCCCCCGTGACTCCCGTGATGTCTCGCCCTTCTCCCTCCACCTGACCCTGACCACAACCCCCCACTTAGGCATGCAGTCTTGCCTATCTCCATGCGGGGGATGCACCGCTAGGTCCGAAGAGACAAGGGCGTTTGACAATTGGTGGGGATAGAAAAGCGAATGCAAGTATGTACCATGCTCCCGAATAGGGAATTTGTCCGGGAAGATACGGGATCTCCCCAGCTGAGTCTGTCTGTTTACACAGTAACCACGCACCAGAGCGTATACCTGTCAACAAACGGTGTCAAATGACATCCTACCAGTGTCTGTTACACCAGATAACTGCAGATAAGAACTCTGCATAGCCGAGCCTGTCCAAGCCCTCCCAAGTCACGATAGCCTCACATATGTACCGCGAAGAAGCCATCCACAGTAGGACGAGTCCTTCAAATCAACCCTCCCCTAAGTGGCAAATGAAGGTCACACATTACCATCCCCCCTCCCACACCTTGAATCCTTCCAACCCCCGGCCCCAATTTGCGGGGAGGAGGACAAGGGGCCACAGATGACGGCACAGCAACGGGAGGGACCGCTGAGGGAATATCGCCTTCGCATCGCCATGCAATACAACGTGCTGTTTGATGTTGTTGTGACCCTGAGGCGCCATCCGCCCCGGCGAGGCCGTTTGACAATTGACACTGGGGTCCCGGACTTTACAAACATCCCCGATTACTCGATCGGGACCTCGCCTCGAGGCACCGCTGCTGCGGGATGAAGAACAAGCAGCCTGGTTCCCCAACCGATTGCTACTTAGCAATAGTCAGGCCATGCCCAATCTCCACCTTCTGGCATGGAGAGTGCAGCAACTGCAACGCGGAGTTGTACGTTGAGCACGGGGGGTGTGATTTGGAAACAAAAACGCAACGCAAAGGCCGCAGGAAATCCGGGGACAAGACCAACAAGGTGTAGACGCATAGGGCGGTGGGATCCAGAGGAACCCGATGACTTGGCAAGTCAAGTAACAACAAGATAGTGACAAATCCCAGGTAGAATGGGGAGGGAAGGAAACCGAGTGCTCGGGGGGGGATGACAACCGCGCTGCGGCAGAACGCCAAACTCACCCCCTCCGCCTCCCTGCGCAACAACCAACATCGACGGATGGATGAGACGCGCGTCTGATGACCACCAAACGAACAACACAACCGACATTTCCGTCGTAAAGTCCGCGTGGGAAACGGGAGATTTCGCGGGAGAACGGCCCCCAAGGTAGTAACTCGATCCTTCCCAGACAAACACAGAGGCGGCTAACCTGCACCTCAGGGAGGATGCCGACCTCCTGCATGATCCTTCCTACACACAGAGAGAGCAAGGAAAACAGGCAACGGTTCACCTGCTTCGGTTTCGCCATTTGCACCCCCCTCATCTTGGCACGCCACATGTATACATCTCCGGCATATCGAGAGTGATGAAGCGACGACACGTGCAGGGCGAGTGCTCGCAAGCAAAGCCAACTTCCAGCACCAGGTGCAGAGTTACTAGGAAATACTGACCATGCAGCCACGAAGGCACCGAGCGCGCTGACCACCCCGGCCAACTCGGACTTGATCCGCTCGTTCCGTAGCCCAGAACAATATCCAAAAGACCGAGCAGGGTCGGAACCGTTACCAATCCGGAGGGTATTGGGTCGCTCGCAACACGTGGGGAAATGTTTCACCCCGGGAACGGCCTCGTTGAGCAAGAAAGACTGACTGCCTGCCACACGTGCCGGGTCCATGGTTCTCGACCTCCGACAACGACAAGGAGGGGGGAATCTTCCAGGATCCAGCCACTCGACTGCCGGGCTGCGTCAGAACTTAAAAACCCTACTAGTGTATGGAGCGCATATCCTTAAACATATTGCATGGCAGGAAGGTGAGTGAGATTGGGGGCTGGAACTTTCTGCCGCGCTTCCAAAACCGACACACTTCGAGGGTCAGAAACGGGCAAGACGCGCCACCCTGCATGTGGGTTGCTTCCAACCATGGCTGCTGGGGGGCTGCGATCCTGGAAAAGTAGGATACTGGTATGTACTTGGAGAAAGTGTCGGACGTTGTCAATGCGTTCCCCGTCGATCTCATACCTTGCGTGTATGCGTGGTGCCCGGTCCGGTCCCGAGGGCATCGGAGCCGGCTCCGGAGCGGTGGCCAACTTCACCTCGTCCCATTTCATCACCTTAACGACGAAGCACCAAGGGTTACTTACCTAGTTAGGTCGTCAGTCATTTCCCTCAAATCCAACGTCGAATCCGAGAACCCCGAGCAAGCGCCCGTCGCGGTAGCGCTAGAAACAACCAACTGCATGCTCCCTCCAACCCACACAAATCACGAAGAACGAACAACTAGCCGCGACCTCGTGGTCGGCCGGCAAATATGCAGCCAGTCCGTCCCGCAAGGGCGGATGATCCGCTCTCGTCGCGTGGCGTGGCTTGGAAAGGATGCGCTTAGCCGCCGCCGCAACGCCGCCGGCTGCTGTGCCGCCTGCCGGTCCGCGGGGGCGAAGGGCGATGGGGAGCAGGAACACGGCACGCGGATTGCGGAGAGCATGGAACGTTTCTGGAACTACGACCTCCCCCTCCTATACCCGGTTGAGAGATTGTGTGGTGGAAGGGGGGCTCAGGGCAACCGTTGTGGTGTGCAATGCCAGCGTGGTATTGCGTCCAAGCGGGAGTCGTGGGAAAAGGGGTTCCTTCCCCGGCGGAGGATGGGGGGACTCGGAGCTTGGGTTGGGTGGTTGATGATCGGCTGCGATAGTGCTTCGTAATAATGTGCGCCCGGCAATCAAAGCGTTGTTCTTCGGCCACTCCCTTCTGTGTATGCACGATCCTTCGGTCCTGCCTCAGTCAGGCTAAATCCTGTATTGGGTCGGTCACGCCATGTTGTGCGCGAGCACCGACAGGCCGCAGATTTGTTCCGGCCTGATCCAGGGAATCCGCGTGCGGTGATGCTTCATGCGTTCGCCAACGAGTTGTGCTTTGGACTGAGCGCCGCCATGATGATGCACGTCCTAACCAGAAAGTGAGGAGTCTCTTGGATTGTGAATCCGTTGGGCTGGTTCTCGGGATCTCCAAGTAGCCGTGCGGTGCAACCTCGAGAGTGTCAGGCGGCTGTTGGGCCAATGGCGGTTCTGTTGCCTTTCTTTCTTGCGGGCCACACCTTATCCAAGCCGGGCCGCTGACGCTTGGCCCCCGAGAGAAAACGGGAAGAATGGCCAAGAATGGCCGAGAACGTCGAAGATCAGAGGTGTGTGCGCGGCAGCCCCTCCAGTTTGGCCAATGCCGCGTGCCGGTGACGAGAAGGTCTTCGGGTTGGGGGCCGCAGGAATCGCAATGGTCGCCGCTGTGTGACGCGGGCAGGCTGACGGTCGCCGCGGATACGACCGAAGGGGGCTCTCTGATGCGCAGCTGCATTGCACTTCATGGCCCGATTGTCCATGAGACCAACGACTCCACGATGTCATTCCTCGCCAATGTGTAACTATTTGGTAATGTAGGCAAATGGTGCGACCGGGAGGGCAAGATCTTCCCCCAGTTTCCTGATCTTTGGCTGGCTGTTCGGCCGTTGCATGGTCTGCTCGCCGTTGGGGTCTCGGGGAGACGAAGGAGAGGTCTCAATAAGGACCTCCAGCCCCTGGCGATTGCTAGGCTAATCTCGCAACCTGGGAGCCTTGAAATTTATTGATTGGACGAACAGACGGCAGTGACGTTCGCGTGCTCCCGTATGCTGGCCATTGGCCTCCTTCAAGCCGGGATGGCGGAGAGATCCGCCCGCTAGTTTGTTGCTCTGTGCACCAACACTGCACAGGCAAGCGACTTTCGGTTGCCTTTCTCGATGAGGATCATGAGCTCCTATCGGATAAAAGAAGTCAGTTCTTTCTCGCCTGCCGTGTAGTTAGTGGACAGGCACTGCAGGATGCCGTGTCTGTCTCGCCCCCACAGCCCTGCCGAGATTGCGGGATGCAGGTTTTTGATGGTTGGCCGACAAACTCAACCAAAGCAGTCCCACCATGGCCGGGCAGTCATTTGTCCACCGAGTCGCGTTGATTGACTCCGTGCAGGCCCCATAACTATGCGAGGGGCGTGACATCGTCTGGGGCCGAGAGCGAATTACACAGTCATCCTCTACGTCCAATAGGGTCTGGATTCTGCTGTGCGACGTCGGACCGTAGGGCTCAGCATGACTGCAGCTGATTGATTGATGAGTGGCCCCTAAACGCGACGTTGTGTCTTCATAGCCCTACGAAACGGGAAAGAAGGGCAGCATTTCTCGTTAATTTGAACGACGGGTCTCATGATCCAATCGCCTGGGTTTGTGTGAGGGTGGGATGGGATGGATGGATGCTGCGTGTCCCGGGTCAGCCGCTTTCCGAGCGTGCAGGTCCCTTCGGGGTATTCGGTCGGTCAGCAGAGAGAGGGTAGTGTAGACTCGTGGGGTTCTTTCTCGGCCCTGGAAGGAGCGCATGCAGTCAGAGTAATAACTTGCTGCAGTCGCAAGAGGAGGATCTTTAGGTGAGCGGACGGAAGGAGCCAGCCAAGCCATCTGCAGCCTTGTGTTCGTACGTCTTTCCCGATTCCTTCCCGCTCCGACCGCGACGAATCGGACGAGACGAAGGCATCGTGCCAGCCATACTTCGTAATCGAGCTTGATTGTTGGAGCGGATGCTGGTCAGACTCGGAGCAAGTTCTGTGCGTGCTGCACACGCAGGGTGCTCATTCGGCATTTGCACCGGCGCTGGCCTCTCCATACCCGACCCTCCCCAAAGATAGCGGCCCGGGGCCTTCGGGAACTCTTGGAGCAGGGAAGGAGCAAGGGAAGAGCAGCGAACGAGAACTCACTCAGCGAGTTGTTGGCGCGCTAATCTCTTGTCGTCGTTGGTGGAGTGTGATTGACGTTAGCGTCCAAGGGCCGGCCCATGCCAAGCGTGGAGTTGGGGGGAGATTAGCGTCGGGTGCTGGGCCGTTCGCCGCGAGGAGCGGAGCGGATGGTGCGGCACAGGACAGGCCAGCGTTGAACCCGATCGCTGAGGAAATCGGGCTCATCGTTGTTTTAGCGTCGTGGCAAATGCGGGTTGCGATTCGGGATCAAGATGCGAGAAATTGATGTGTCTTTCTCGAGAAAGCTAGCTAATACCGTCCTTTCCAGCCCGGTCTCTAGTAATGTACTGTAGTTGTAGCAGTAGGATACACCTAGGTGTACAACGGGGATATCCCCAAAAACAACAGAGAAAGTGAAAAAAAAAAGAAAGAAAGATAATGTTGCAGAAAGATCGAAGCCGCCCGTTGCCTCCAGTTTGAGGTCTTGATCCACCCAAAGCCTCCCAATGTATCGTACCGTTGCCCAAACACCACCTTCGTGCCCATGGTTTCCCCGTAGTTATCGCGTACATTATTCATACAGTGCGTGCAAAAGAAAAATAAACAGAAAAAGAGAAAGAAACAAAAGTGGAAATAAACTCAAAACCCGTCTTGTGCCCGAGACGCCTCCTTGGTATCTACCCAGAGAATGTGTGAAATATGTCCAATCAGAAAAAGTGTCGGTAGAGAATGAATGACTTTTTGGCGTCATTACCGCCCCCAGCTGTGGCCTTGGGAGTGGTCACCCCCTGCGAGGGATTCCCTGGGGCGCATTGAGGGGGGCATGGAGCCGAGCATGCCGGGGCCGCAGAGGGGAGGGATGCCAATGGGCGGAAGGCCGCCTGATGGCGCCATCATGTGGCCCATGGGAGCCATGGAGCGCGCGCTCGGGTGCATGTTGTCATACCCGGCCTCGGCGCGGAGGTCCATGGTCCCGATATCGAACCTCTTGGAGCAGCCATCTTCCATGTGCCTAAAGGGAGCAGGGTTAGCAAACCGATTCCTAGTTAGGCTTCGTGATGCGGGTGTTGAGCTTACCTCCTCAGAGTGTCCTTGCGCGCAAACATGCGAGTGCAGAAGTCGCACTTGTGCGTCCGCTCCCGGAGGTGCACGCTCTGGTGGTGGCGCTGGAGGTCCGTCTTGCGCACGAACTTCTTGCTGCAGTCGGGGACCTGGCACGGGAAGGGGTACTCGCGCTTCTCGTCGTGGGTCTCCATGTGCGCCTTGAAGTTGTAGCTGCGGCTGAACAACTTGCCGCAGCCCTTGACCTCGCACTGGAAGTTGGCCTCCTCCTTGGTCGTCAGGCGGCGCGGCGCCCGCTTCGGCCGCGTCACCCGGTACTGCCTCCGGGCGTCGTGCATGAAGGCCGACGGCGGCGGCGGCGGGGGACCCGGGTAGAAGTGCTCAGGCTCCATCGGCTGGTACTCGGGCTTGTGCCAGGCTGTCGACCCGCTGTCGGACAGGTACCCGGTTGAGGTGCTGCCGGTGTACGGGCCGTTGTCCGAAGTGTAAGAGGTGTGGATCGACCTCGGCGAAGGGTAGTGCGACGCATCCGTGCTCTGGCTGTAGTCCGAAGTGCCCTCCATCTTGACCCGCGGAGTCATGGGAGCGGGGACCGAGGTGGCGGGCGTGTATGGCGTCCTCATCGGCGCCGGAGACCTAGGGGCAGAGCCGGTCGGCGGAGGAGTGGAGGCGTGGATCGAGGGCGGGTGGCTCGTCGGGTGTGTCTGGTAGACATCATGGCTGTACTGGTAGCTCCCGAAGGTGTCGTAGTCCCCGGACAGGATGCTGGGCATGCTGGAGGCGGAGGAGATGGGGTGGATGACGGTCGTGGTGTTCCAATCCGGGTGGCCCATCGAGTCCAGGGGCGGGAGGGAGAGCTCAGGGTCCATGGGCGGGGTCACGCAGGACTGGTCTCCGTATATCGTAGAGATCTTGTATTGCTGTTCCACCAGGCCCGGCGAGGGGTAGTCAAGCGAGGACCTCTCGGAGGGGCAGTAAGTATTCGCTGGGGACGAGGGCGACCTGGTGAGGGCGGGCGGCGGGGTGTGCTCCATTGTGAATATTGTGGTGCTCGGGGAGGCCCGGCTTATTTATTTGGGCGAAGGGGCAAGTGGCCCGGTACAAGACAGGGGGGTAAGAAAGGCTGGCGGCGTAAGAGTGCCGTCGATGTTTGCTGGAGTCCGATTGATTGTCAACCGCGTCGAGGTAGGTCACCGGAGCAGGAAGGGGGGCAGGCCAGATATAGATGGCCGGCAGAGTGGTCGTTGGGAGCCTTTCAGTTGAATGCGAAGCACTAGTCAAGAGGAAGAACCTGGCGTCGCAACTTGAGATGATTGTGCGGCAAGCTGTTGGAGCGAAAGGATGGGTGTGTTTGACAAGGCAGACGGCCGGGGGTTTCTTATAAGATTTGTAAACGAACGAGATTTCTGCCTGGCTAATAATGGTATCTCCAGACGCGTTCCCGCTCTTCGAGAGCTGGGGGCTAGAGGAGATGCATCTTGGGAACTCAGTCCTGACCGGGAACAGGGGTGCGCAGCTAGCGAAGCAGGACGGCGACCAGGACCAGGGTTTGTGGTTGCCATGGGGGGTGCAACCGGTGGGACCTGGGTCAGCACCAACCCTGCTCTGGAGAAGTGATGCGGACAAGGCTGGCGGACACCAGCCCGATGGGGAAGGATATGGTCGAACAGGGCGCCGGCAGCCCCCGCGATGCGGTTAGTGCGAGATGTTGGGGGCTCAGAGAGGTGTGGCTGGGGCACCGGAAAGTCAAAGGGGGGGTGTGTTGAGAGAGGCCCCTCGGACAAAAAAGGTGATTTCAGGAAAATAGAAACGCTACACCATGTTGGGAGCAGTCTGTCTCAAGAGGAGCAGGGGTAGTCTAAAAGTAGCCAGGGTAGGGAAGTGAGCCCCTGCGCAGCACCCTTGCTCGTGCTGTTGGATCCCGTTTCCAGCTTTGGTGGGGCACTACCCCCCCAGCGAAGCCCCCTCCTGGGCAAGACTCTCAAAAGGTACAGATGTACATACCGTCGAGGTTTTGGTCAGTCTGCGGGGTCCGTTGGCAGGGGACCGCTGACCAGTCACACTGATGCCAGCTGCACCACCCAGGAGCGAACGCTGCAACTCCAGCGTAACGATGGGCTTTGGTTCGGGCTTCTGGCGGAGCATTTCGGCGACTGAGGGTGAGCATAGGAGCCCGCTGCAGGGCCCTCGGGAGCGCAGCGGCATTCAGACGGGCCTGAAGCTAAGGGACGGGCCCGTCGGCATCACAGGTCCTATGATGTGCCGAAAAACGGTTGAAGGGCAAAGCATAACGGCGGACGCTCCGTAGCCTGGAGTCTCAGTGTTGCTGCGCGCAGGTCGGCCCATGCTGGCCTGGCCTTCAACCGTCCCGGCGGTAGGCGTCCCAAGAATGAGGTCGAGAGAAGGGAACCAGGGCCACCTCTGCGGTTGGCTGCACCTGTCCAGGCGGCCGCGCAGCGCAGGCACACACCCGGTACGGACCCGGACATGTAATCGACGATGGGGTCCAGGGTACCGCTCCTGTACTATGTAGCATCGTCTCGAAAGGTGTGGGGGAGGCGAGCGCTTGCGCCTACCGGTCGCGCTTGTGAGTGGCTTCGCCGCCGGACTCGATCGGGGCGTTTTCTTCACTAGCGCGGATCGGGTTATTCTTCAGAGTCAAGGACTCAAGATCAAGATCCCCCATGGTGTCTCATGTGCGATTCCCTCACTGTGACTCGGAGGGAGCAAAGGACGCCATGATCCATCAATGCCGCCCGATGACTTCTAACAAGGAAGGGAAGTTCGGGAATCTCGGTAGTTACTGAAACCACGAAGGAGTTCCGGTGGGATGATGCGAACTGGTCTCCGTCAGGGATGAGAGCTCTTCCCAAGGAGGAGCGCGGCGGAGGACAAAGTGAGGGGGGACTTCTTGGGTACCAGAATATTTGCTCGCTAGCGGATGCATGGTGAGGTTGCCGGATTGTCCCTCCCTCTGTGGATTATTGGCCCCCACCATGGATTGGACCTTTCCTGCTTGGCCCCGATGGCCAGGGTGATCTTCGGTGGTAAAATTCCAGATTCCAAACGCGGGCAGCGGGTCGTCCCTGCCATCCATTGCGCAAAACTTTGCTGAGAGAGACTTTCTTCCCCTCACTAAAAGTAGCTTTTCCGTTTTTGGTTGATGCGATGGCCACCTCTCATCCTCATCACTGCGAGGAAGAGAGCTGACGGGAGCGGTGATGGATGATGGATGATTGTGGAATCTGGCAGGGACAGATCGGGCGGGGATGCGAGAACTGCCCCACCAGCCCATCACTCGCTCACTCCGCATTTGATTTGCTAGGTTTACGTTGGAGGTCGGTTGCTGCGTGTTGGGCCTGCTGCCATTTGTGGACTGCGGCCGCTTGTCGGATTGCAAGTGCTCATCATGCAATGCATGGTGCTTGGTTATCGGCTCTTTTTTTGCTATCAATTAATTGTAATTTTAGGTTGGCCCCAGCAATCCATTTGAGTTTCTTTACAATGGAACCGAACCTGGAAGGCTTGTCCACGGGTGCCCATTCTGCAGCACTGACCAGGCGTTGCCACTGCGCACATGGGCTCGCTGCAGTATCCACTGCGGAGACGCTAGGCCCTGCTTCGGTGCCGTTTGGCCCGCCGTTCCCGTCCGGCCCTGGCTTGTTCCTGGACAGAGCTCAGGAACGAACGCGCGCCGTTGGCCATCGGGACATGGGCCCCTCCCGCTCCTGAACACCATGTCGCTCGTTCGTTCCATTGTGCTCTCGCCGTCCGGCCACGCGGACTCGGCGCTGGGATGGGCGCTGATGGGCTTTCGGACCCAATTCCTTGTTGCGAAAGCATGGTGAGCCAATGACAACTCTCCATCCGCTCCAAATTGTGCGATGGGAGTAAGCCCCACCTGGGTAAGGGACCTCCACAGCCTCGAGATGGTCCAGCGCTCGCCCAGGCAGCGACTTTCCGAGCCCGCTACGTCAGATTGGCGAGCGCTATCTTACCACAATGCGAGCTCGAGCTGATGGCAGACGAATTTGCCGAGACGAGCTGTTCACAGACATTCCACAAATCGGAGAGTTCATTTGCACGACCTCACTAGTATGTCGACGTCTCCGCCATGGAAAATTGCAACCAACCTCAGGCTGGAAACCCACCGGCGGCCCTCTGCCACAGTCCTCACACCTGGCATCAGCTGCCCAGCTACCAAAAACAGAAAGACAGTCAGCCATGATCGTGATACGGGACTCTGGAGTCGGACGGATTCCCAAAAAAGCTGAATATATCGCTCTGAATCTGAAACACGGCATTTTCTGGCGTCCGCAGGGCTTTGTGCGGCACTGCACACTTAAAATCCTGGGGTGGAGCATGGCCTGCTGTGCCGGGCCCTGAACTGCCAAGCTGGAGGACCAGGTGTTGCTGGGCTGAACGGGAGAGTTGATCGATGGTGAGTGGCCGCCTTATCCAGCTCCGGGACCGGCTCCGACTCGGTTGATGTTGAAAGGAATCAGCGTTCGGCTGTGCGAGGGTGCTGAATCGACGAATTCCAAAAATGGGCAATCTTCATGCACGACACTCAAGCTTGAAACATTTGGAATCCCCCACGGTTCGATCACGAACTGCTTAATCAGGGACAAGCCACCTACACATTTTGAGGGGTGTCTGGAAAAAAGCCAGAGACGGGAGAACAGGCATCAGTGAAATTCGACCGTTGATACGGTAAGTGCATACATTCTAGCATCTAGTGTAGGGGGACACTGCCGCTGGTGGCTTGGTCAACTTTGTTGAAGTGACTTCCCGCTGGGAACCGCCATTCCCGCCGGAGGCATGCCTCCGGACGGCAGCGAGCGAGACTTGCACAACCCGAGCCACCGGGGCACTTTTCTTGGCAGGGCCGGAGGTGGTCAGTGCCTTCGGCCGATTCCCTTGGAGAATCTGCAGTTCGAAGTACCGATTTCTTTCTACCTTTAACACTGATAAAAATATCTACATAACAAGAGTCTCGATTCCTAGAACTGCTTCGTATCAAGATAGTATTTTTGCTCGTATACTTGAGGTACTGTATAAGCACATGTGCGTATCCCGTACCTCACGCCCGTTTCGACTGAACTCCCCACCATGCGAGGATCTTGAGCCCCCACTTTGATCGTGCTCGCCCCACTTCCCCGGTTCGGCGCACGAACCAAACGCCAAGCAGATGGAGGTTCGTTTCCACCCCCAGATCCCTGAGAGGGAAAAACCGAGTGCGACTTTGTGTTGTGTACATAAGAGTGCACCGAGGTCGAGACGCTCAATTAACAATCTTGCGTCATCTTTACTCGTTTTTTGGAAAGCAGGAGGATATCAATACTCTCTTGGATAGGTAGTCGCCCGTTAGTGTACATCAACAAGACTTCCCTTTCCAGTTCCCTATCGAGGTATCAATCAGTGCCTCGCTGCGCCTCAGCACCTTAAATCCTTCACCGCGCGCGGCATTCCATCGGCATGCAGTGTTTCCAGGAACGAGGGCCGGTTGGTCGATGCAACCCCAAGGGAGAGAGAAAGACGTTGCACCAAGAGGATTCTCCCAAAATTGGCCCAAGAAATACTGCGCGGAGACGCGAACAAGGGCACCTCACATGGTCGCAGCACTGCAACGGTTGGTGTCCAAAGCGACTCTCGAGATCCACCTCTTGCTGCTCCAGGATTCATCGGTGCCCGCTCACACGTGCAAAGCCTGCAGGTCCGCATCTGGTCACAAACGTGAGCAGCAAGCGATGATGTTTTCGGGAGCGCTCGCTTATCCGCGCCAACAATGCCCGAATTGGGACGGAAAATTACACCTGACTCAGGCGTCCGAGACATTATGACATTCTGACCACCCTTTTGGCAGTTCATCCCCTCAATTGGGCGAGCGCTGTTGGTGATGGGTGAGGTCAGCACTTGGCCCAACAATAGTTGGTATCTCCAACGAGATTGGACGCTTGGGACAGCCGGCGCGAGCCGTCGCAATTATCAAGCGGACTCATCACCAACAGCCTTCTCGGTGACAATTTTTCACCATGGATGTGATTTCGGCCCCCACGAAACGTACGAGACGAAAGACCCCTCCTTGCCACGCGCACATTGGAAAATACCGGAGAACCCAATTCCCCGACCATTCTGAAAAGACCGGCAAGCTGGTTTGATTAATCGGCGATGATACTGATGCCCACTGCCCGAGCATGCGAGCTGCAACTCTGCACTACCACACGACCCCACGTACCCAAGGCATCAATTTTGTGTCCTTGGATGGAGGCTTGTACTCAGGTATTTACCCCTCTTTGGAAGATCGAGCACAGCCACTTGGAAACGTCCTGAGGGGGGTGTGGGGGACCGATCGTCAGAAGCGAGTGAAGCGCAGCGCAGCATCTCATCAGGTTGGGCAAATATCCGCCGACTGCGCACACGGACCAGGCGGGAGCTAGGCTCGTAGCGTGAAGATGAAACAGCCGACCAAGAATCTGGATTGCGCCATCAAGAGTTGAAGCTCCTTCCCAGTTGGGACGGCTCCTCATCGCGTTTATCTCACGCTAAAACAGTCCCTATTCCCAAATCGGGGGAGGGGTGAAGGGCAAAATGGAGGAAAGGGTAACATCGGGATGCCAGGGGCCCACAGTGAGCGGATTTTGCCCAAATATAGATTTGAATGGTGATTGGAGGGCGGCTATCCAGGCCACTGCCAGATCCCCACCAGCACTCCCACCGATACCACCAACTTGGACAACCCAAAGCCCGAAGCTATTTCCGTTTTCCGTGCGAGTCAGCCAAGATGTGGCTGACGATGTGATGAACTCTCAGGTTGTTTCATGAAACATCGCGGACTCCAACCCCAAAGATACGGTTACACGTGAGGAATTAGCTTCTTCACTTTTTCCCTTCCTCGAATTGGCCATAACATGCAGTGCTGATCCGAGCCGATGGTGCTGATTGAGCCATACGATCTGGGATGGAGGGTGCTTGATGACGTGAACAACCAGTGCGAGCGACTCTCGGTTGTTTCCCTCTCTCGCTCGCTAGTTAGGTAGTGAGCAACTGACTGTGCAACTCACCACACACAGTGTTTGCGGCCGACGAACGCCCAGTCGGGAAGTTTAACCCATTCGCCTCGTCAAGCCACATGCGCACTGCAGCATCTGATCTCCACTACCCGTTCCCTCTCCGTCTCTCGGACAGACAGGGCCAGCCAGCCAGCCTCATGATCAGCACATGCACGCACGCTCGCTAAAGACCGGCGGCCCGCCAGCACGGCCCAACTCTTGTTGGTTCTGTTGGTGCCTGCCCCTGGGTGTCCGTTTCCCAGCACAGCACAGACATTCTGCCTCCGCACCCCCTCCCCCCCCCCGATCCAACCGTTCCCTTTTGCCCCCCCCGTCGACGAGGGTGGGTTGATGAATGAGACACGCAGCACCAAAACTCACGAGAATGGCCGGCAGCCTCGTGGGTACAGTCGGGATCTCTGTCAGCAACTCAAGCCATGTCAAGCCATGTGGCGTTTTTATTTTTCTTCATCGAGAAGGAGCCCTTCCCCTTGGCAATGTATCTTGGTTCGGCATTAGTTGCGGCCCCCGCCTCAGCCCCTCATGCAGTCATGTTGTTTTGAGTTTGGAGGTTGGTGATATGGTTTTTACGCTGTCCAGCTGAAGATCGTGAGACCGGGCAAGAGAAATCGAGACATTGTTGCTGCCAACACCGACAACCAAGCACCAACAACGCGGGGCGTGACCGGTGTCGCCGGTTCCGAGTGCAGTAGGGATGTTCACACACCTGACTAAAATCAAGCAGCGAGCCAAGGGCATGATGTCAAAACGAAACAGTGTGACGAGTCTATTTTTGTCCGCAGAATCAAGTCCCGGCCGCTACCATGTGCAGAAGCCGTCTCCGTCGGGAGATGGGCTCCCCAACGGCGCCGAGTATCGACCAACACCAGGTTTTACTCGGGCTGAATCGGGAGGGAGGGAAGTCGAGAGCAAGTGGTGGGGAAAATCTAGATCGGATCCGACTGCGCCGAGTTCCCCCGCATTCGGGATTGTTTCAGATATCGACAGAGCGCACAGCCCGATGCCAAAATCTGGCTGCCTGGTGTGGCTGCTCTCACCCACACTGCTCCAGAGGACCAAGGCTCGAGCAAGGGCGACAAGGGAAAAGGGCAGGTGGGGGCCGGCATTGAGGGCCAAAGTCCCCTGGCTCCGATCCTCGCGTGGCAGCGCCCGCAGCCGGGATGTGGTCGATCTCGCGCAACGGCCCAATGGGTGGGCGTATTTTGCCCACTTGTACCCGTTGCCCACCTTCGCAGTCGCCCCCTCCCCCCACCCCGCACCAAAGTTGGTTAACTCGGTGCCTGCGGCTAATCTGCAAAGAAGTGCAAGGGCACTGTGGCTTAAACAACCGCCAACAAGCGCAGCCTACCCGGGGAAGATGTGCCTGACGAATGGGAGGGCTCGGATTCCGGTGTGGAAGTGCGGGCTGTGTTGAGTGAGCTGAGGTGCAGCCTCTCGCCCCCAACCTCACAATATCGTATACTGAAAAAAGGTTAAAGTCTTATGCTCGTTCTCGTTTACCCTGAGCGGGAAGGACCTGTCCCTGCTTCTCCATGCCGGACGTGGGAGTGTCCCGCATCCGCTCAGCGTCGGATCTGAACAGTGAGTGTGATACTGCTTGATCGGTCGGTCTGCCCGTGGGAGCGTCGTAGTAGGATCGAGCCCTTCCTATCGCCCGACTCTCCCTTCCAAGGCTCGGGTGGAAAATGACGAAATATTGATCACGATGGGATATTGGGGCCGAGACAGGCAAGAGACCTATCGGATCCGCGGATCTTCCCCCTGACGCCACGGCAACGGGCGAGAATTACGTACCGATGAGTTATCAAGATGGGGAGCACGGGATCACCGAGCCAGCCAGATCTCGCCTCTCCAGCTTCTCAGCCGCACCCCTGCGTTTGTCCGTTGCGTCTGTCCGTTGCGTCTTGGGGAGAGTCTTCTGGAAACCTTCCATGCATGCTCCGCGCCGTCAGCCTGCTTGTCGCAACCCGCTGAAACCCCCTTCCGGCCAGTGATATCCCCGACCGGCAGGTCAGACTTCCAGTCTGACGCCCTCATACGAGGGGCTGGAAATGAAATGGACACCACCATCTCGAAGTGATTTGTGGTGTTTGAGGTAACACACCGTATGCAGGTCGGCGGCGTGGACATCGGCGGGCTGGCCAGTTGGAGAGGGGCGTGGGCGGGGGTGTGTGGGATTCGAGTCTTGCTGCCAGGAACGGGTAACGCCTTGCTCGGCATGTTTTGAAACAAGCGATCCTCGAAGGGAATCCGCCGTTGGCTGCGGAGACACACGCAAGACAGACTCCCGTCGGTGGAGATAGCTCAGCGAGGCGTGCTAAAAACAGATGCGTTTGAAACGAAACGAATCTGGGGAACACTCCGCCGGGGCCGTCATTCAGCTGTTGGCTAGCTGTTACTGCCGACGCGGTCAATGTAGCGTAGGTCGCCCCCCCAGGGGTCGTTGCCGCGGGGTCGGGACGCGGGCAGACAGGGCGACCGTTCAACCACGTGGGGGATCTGCCCCGGAACCGGACAACAGTCGACGGCGCAACGGGCGCAGGAGCGGATAGGTCGACGGGGTCGGTCTGGTGGGCATAGGGCCGGGGCACGACGGGCGCGATGCTACCCGCATATGATTAGGGTGTGGTCGGCATCCGGTATTGCCGCTGCTCGTCTCCCTCTCTCGCCGTCTTTTGGTTGCACATGCCCGCGACCCTCCCCCGCGACCCTGCCCGCGACCATTGCCCGCGCAAAAATGGCCCTTGGCCAGCCCGGATTTCGAGCGCTGGTGCAACGCGGGGCGGGATAATCAATGGGCCGTATGTCCTTCGTAATGGTGGATTGCATGGAACATCTAGAAGGTTTCCGCGGTCAGAAGCGAGACAACTTGCAGCAGGTCCCGCCGGTGTTGCAACACACCGTCCGGGGCGGGAAGCAAAGTATCGGAGCTGGAGCGTGGTTGGTCGACCAAGCCAAGAGGGGCGGATCGGAATTGCCGTCGACTTACCCACTGCATCGGCCATGTGTGATAGCAGAAGAGAAGCCCGAACGCGCTGTGATAGGCGACCGCGACTCTGTCTCAATTAGATAGTCGCCGACCAGAAGCACGCGTTGCATGAGAGCAAGCATCCTCGCGTCCCGCGTGCCATGGCTGCAGAGTAAGAACGCAACAAGACGCAACGAGACGCAACGAGACGCAACGGTTTGAACCGTTTGTTGATGGTTTTTGGTTGAGCACGAAAAGCCAATTTTAATGTTTGTTTTGAGAGAAAGAAGTCGGGGAGGAGCACAGAGCATTTGCCGGTGGTCTCTGCGAGCGCCAAGACTTGACGTTCGCTGCTCACCTCGGTGTTGACAGACCACCGAATTTCAACAAAGCTTGGACCCATCTTGGACCTCAAAGTCGCAATTGCAGGCAGCAACCTCCACGTGATCTCCAACTTCAACCATCGACCGTGATTATTGTTTTCGCGACTCATCAAGGCGATTTCTCATAACGTTTTATTTAACAGAGAGGTCGTAGTTGGGTAAAAAAGACCCACTGTGCAACCTACATTAAAATTCAAGTCTCGGGGCGGTAAAACAAAGGGAGGAACTATCTCACCGCAAAACGAGTGCGAATGACCAAGGTCGGGAAAAGACCGGATTAAGGCGCCCTGGTTCGGCGATAGAATATCGCTTGTGGCTTTTATCAAGTCGTTCGTTCATCAAATAGACGGCCAAAATGGAGTTCAACATCGAGTACGGCCATCCATCCCAAACAACATGAACGCGTTCCCTATGGTTAACATGGCGACAGCGACCTGCCCGTTCTTTTCCCCTACCCACGCATTTACCCAGGCAAGTTGCTCCATTAGACGGTCAAGCTAGGCTGTATTACCATGTCGTATTGCTGACACGGTGCTAGAACAATATGCGTACGTTTGAGCCCGGCCATGGTGTCGCCGTGGTGCTGTGAATTTGGCTGACCTTGATGTTGCTCTGTCCTAGCTACATGGTGGACTTGAAAAGTGAGCACCAAGAAAGAAAAATAAACAATTAGTGCCTGGTCAGTAGTTGACATGCTTTAGAAACTCTCGATGCCGGGGGAAACTGCGTGTTGGAGATGCCTTCGGGCACAGGCAAGACCGTCACCCTGCTGTCGCTCATCGTGGCATACCAGCAGTACTATCCGTCACACCGCAAGCTGATATACTGCTCTCGTATGCAACCGACACTTCGACAAATTATGAAATTCCCAGCCTATGACTAACTGCCTTCCTAGGAACAATGTCCGAGATCGAAAAGGCGCTGGTCGAGCTGAAGGCTTTGATGAAATTCCGTACTGAACGGCTTGGGCACGAAGAGGAGTTCCGAGGGCTAGGCCTCACCAGTCGCAAGAATCTTTGTCTACACCCGTCCGTAAGACGGGAGAAGAGTGGTAACGTCGTTGATGCACGGTGCCGCAGCCTCACGGCGGGCTTCGTCAAGGAGAAGAAGGAAAAGGGGGAGGATGTCGAGGTTTGCGTCTACCACGACGTGAGTACCTGTACATCTCGACCCATGACTTACCACATATGCTAACTTCCTCACTAGAATCTTGATCTCCTCGAATCTCACAACCTCGTACCCAATGGCGTCTGGACGTTGGACGGCCTCTTGCGATACGGCGAGGAACACAAGCAGTGCCCTTACTTCACTGCCCGACGGATGGTGTGTTTTGCTCCCGCTCCGGTTGACGCTACGTACTGATGGTATTGTAGATGCAATACTGTAACGTCATCATCTACTCGTACCACTATCTCCTCGATCCCAAGATTGCCGAGCGCGTCTCCAAGGACCTATCAAAAGACTGCATCGTCGTCTTTGACGAAGCCCACAATATCGACAACGTCTGCATCGAGTCTCTAAGCACAGACATCACGGACGACTCGCTAAGGAGAGCTACACGAGGCGCCCAAAACCTGGAAAATAAGATCAACGAGATGAGGGACTCGGATCAGCAAAAGTTACAGGATGAGTACGAGAAGCTCGTGGAAGGGCTCAGGGGCGCCGACGACGGTCACCAGGAAGACTCCTTCATGGCGAACCCTAGTAGGTCTCAACGTCACTTGTGGGCCAATTGCTTTACGCTGACTGCTTGACCTAGCTCTCCCCGATGACCTGCTCAAGGAGGCCGTGCCCGGCAATATCAGGAGGGCGGAGCACTTTGTCGCGTTTCTCAGGAGGTTCATCGAGTATCTCAAGGTCAGTGATTCTATGGAAGGTCGTCAGGTCCCCGGATGTGTTGTGTTGACTGTCCTAGACGAGGATGAAAGTCCGCCAGGTGATATCGGAAACACCGCCCTCCTTCCTGTCACATCTCCGAGAGCACACCTTCATTGAGAAGAAACCTCTGCGGTTTTGCGCGGAGCGGTTGACTTCGCTGGTAAGGACACTAGAGCTCACAAACATCGAAGATTATCAACCGCTACAAGAAGTCGCCACATTCGCGACCCTTGTGGCAACCTACGAGAAGGGCTTCCTTCTCATCCTAGAGCCGTTTGAGTCCGACACGGCAGAGGTGCCCAACCCGGTCCTCCATTTCACCTGCTTGGATGCCGCCATCGCCATCAAGCCCGTGTTTGACCGCTTCAGCTCCGTTGTCATAACCTCGGGGACAATGTCGCCGCTGGAGATGTACCCCAAGATGCTCGACTTCCCCACCGTCGTCCAGGAGTCGTATAGCATGACGCTAGCTAGGCGGTCCTTCTTGCCCATGATCGTCACTCGAGGAAGCGATCAGGCATCGATATCCACCAGCTTCCAGGTCCGCAACGAGCCCAGCGTCGTGCGGAACTACGGCAGCCTCCTGACCGAGTTCGCCAAGATCACGCCCGACGGCCTGGTCGTGTTCTTCCCCTCGTACCTCTACATGGAGTCCATCATCAGCATGTGGCAGGGCATGGGCATCCTGGACGAGGTCTGGAAATACAAGCTCATCCTGGTCGAGACGCCCGACGCGCAGGAGACGTCGCTCGCGCTCGAGACGTACCGCACGGCGTGCTGCAACGGGCGCGGCGCCGTGCTCCTCTGCGTCGCGCGCGGCAAGGTCTCGGAGGGCATCGACTTCGACCACCAGTACGGGCGCACGGTGCTGTGCATCGGGGTACCCTTCCAGTACACCGAGTCGCGGATCCTCAAGGCGCGGCTCGAGTTCCTGCGCGAGACGTACCGGATCCGCGAGAACGACTTCCTCTCCTTCGACGCCATGCGGCACGCCGCCCAGTGCCTGGGCCGCGTGCTCCGCGGCAAGGACGACTACGGGCTCATGGTGCTCGCCGACCGCCGCTTCCAGAAGAAGCGCGCCCAGCTGCCCAAGTGGATCAACCAGGCCCTGCTCGACGCCGACGTCAACCTGAGCACCGACATGGCCGTCAGCAGCGCCCGCCGCTTCCTCCGCACCATGGCCCAGCCCTTCCGCGCCAAGGACCAGGAGGGCATCAGCACCTGGAGCATGGACGACCTGGGCAAGCACCAGGAGAAGATGGACGAGGACCGCATCAAGGAGCTGCAGGCGCAGCAGGAGAGGGAGCTGAACCCCGTGCCGGCTGGCCGGGCGCTGATGCGGAACGGGCGGGACAGCGATTATGAGATGGATGATGATGACGAGGCCGAGTTGATGGCGCTGGATAACGATGGCTGAGGGTGGGGGGGTAGTCGACGTGCCGTGCAGTACCGGGATGGCGGCATCACACAACCGAATGAAAAAGGCCACGGAGATAGAAGCGGCTCCTTATGAATAGGACGTAGAAACCAAAAATACTCCTCGGCTATGATCTAGTCTTCTATCCCAAGGGTATCTATTAATAAAGAGGAGTCTAGTATGATAATCAATACGCCCGGCCGGAACATCGCCGCGGCAAAATCCTCCTCCCTAAACACCACTCCCAAAATCCGAACCCGTACCACACATAAATCCCAACGCCGTGCTAACAATAACTACCTACCAACTCCCACCAAGGCGACCAAGCCAAAACCAAACCACGCAACCAACCCACAACCCCACTCTCCCTCCCCAAGCCCACCCCACCACACAGCACCACACCCAACCCAACCCAACCCAACCCAACCCAACCAAACCCACTCAAAGCTGCCCCCCAAACCGCCCTTTCACTTTAACCGCCCGCATCGACGGCAGCGCATGCGCGCGCCCGGGCACGCGCCCAATCTCAACGCACAGCAGGCGGATCAGGTCCTGGTTGGTCCAGTAGCTGGTGTGGGCGGACAGCATGTTGAGGTACTGCATCTCGAGCGGGCCGCCGCCCGAGCGCAGGTAGTAGTCGAGCTGGCCGTTGTCGTTGAGCAAAAAGGCCTTGCGCTCGGCGACCTCCTCGCGCGTGAAGTCGTGCACCTCGAGCTCGAGCTGGGATGGTAGTCGCGCGAAGGGGGGCGGCTTCGCCACGTGGGGGTTGTTGCTGCCGTCGGTGGTGGTGGTGCTGGTTGTGCCGGTGGCGGTGCCTCCCGAGCCGGTTAGGCCGCGGAGGACGGCGCCGCCGACGGATTTGAAGAAGGAGGTGCTGATGCTGGGGACGTAGGCGACTTTGAGGCCGGCCGCGTAGACGGGGTCGATGGCGCCGTTGAGGAGGTAGGCGATGGGGTCTTCCTTGGCGAGGATGTTGTAGATGTTGTCGACGGCGACGCAGCCGAACACACCCACGTCGGCGACTACGTCCTTGGCCACCGTGTCGGCGACTTCGGCACCTGGTTTGAGGCGGCCACGCCGCGGCACTAGGCCGCCGCGGTCGAGGAGGAGGAAAAAGCCGGCCGGGCTGCCCAGCAGGAAGAGGTTGGTGGTGTCGAACTCGAAGAAGCGCGTGTCCGGGCCTGGGGTGGAGAGGTCCAGCGGTCGGGGAACACGGGTGGGTTGCTTGGAGAGGACTTCGATGGCCATGGCGCTGCCGAGGGAGTGCGCGATGAGGTGGACACGTCCCTTTTCAGAGAAGCCTGGGTTGTTGGTGCACCAGAGGCGATAGACGCGGTTGGCCTCGCCGACGAGAGCGGCTATCATCTTGGTTTTGAGGTGGGACATGTAGTACGGGATGTCGAACATGACGTCCGAAATCATACTCCGCACGGCGGGGATTGTGGGCGGCTCGATGTCTTTTAGGGTGAAGCCGTCGGGAGAGTAGGCTGATTTATCCTCTTCACTGGCGGGGTTGTTGCCATCGAAACTCAGGAGGTGGCGCCAGTTTACGGGCAACACCATTATCCCGTTTTGATCTGGCCGAAGGACAGATTTAACGCTCGGGGTGTCAAGTTCGATGTTGATATCTCTTCGGAAAGCGTTGACCGCATGTGTAAAGTGGAAGCTCTCGACACGCTCGGATAGCTTCTGGCCAATGCCGTGAGCAATAAGAACGAGGTCGGTAACCTGGCCCCGGTCTTTGTCCGCCTGGCATCCTGGACAACCGCCCGCTTCAGCAGTCTGGCGCAGCTCCGCCGCTGGGGTCACAGGCGACGTGCCCTTGTTGCGCGAAGCCGCCCCCTTGTCGTTCACCCGTTCCCAGGCCGCCCGGTCAAATCCACGAACGACAGGCAGCCCCACGGTTATGCCCTTCATGATCTTAGAAATAGGCTTTCGGCCGTAATAAGCCGACGGCTTTTGGCTAGGTTTTAGTAGAAACGCGGCCGATCCATCTTTGTAAACGACATAGGACCTCGAGTACATCCTGGACTCGGGAGGCGTGAGCGCGGTGTCTTCCTCGGAGTGGACTGGCTCTAGCGATCCCTCGGTGGCAGCCTCCCCACGGAAACACCTGGCAGCGCAAAACGGGTCGGTAGATATTGGCGGCTCCGGGGGTAGACCGTCTTTGCCCTTCTGCCGCTTGTCGGTAACCTCAGGCCACAAACGGTGGGAGACCTTCTCCTCCCCAAGGGGGCCGACGTCGAGCGCAGATCTCAGCTCATCGCTCCATGTCTCTGTCCACGGTCGAAGCTCGCGGTAACCAGCCTCTAGTTGGTTTGCAACGCTGGGCTCCACAGGAACCATGGTGTCTCTATGAAATAGATTAACCTGAGCATCTGAGGATTAGCCATTAACGTGCTTACCTGTAGAACCAAGTTGCTCTCAAGACAGTGGCGATATCATTGACAGGAGACCAGTAGATCGGTTTCATCTGGAGCACTGGGAGCGAGACCATGTGCAGCCTCGAGATGCCCACCGGCACCTCGACCGAGTCCTCCAGCCGTTCGGCGGTGGTTGGCCGTCCACGCGCAGATGCTCGGCTGTCGCCTCTGGCCCTACCCCGAAGCACGTTCCTCGCCGCCGCCTTATCATCCGGCGTGCCCACGCCAGACGACCGAGTGGACCTCGGTGTCGATTCCACCCGCACGAACGGCTTCCCCGAGATGCCATCATCCAATACCGGCGGTCGGGTAGGAATGAACCCCCCAGCCGGCAGACTGGACGCCAGCGGGGTACCATCGACGGGCGGTGTCGGCGACCTGGCCCCCAGACTCCCAACCTGCAGCGCCGGGCTGGAGCCCAGAGCCCACGCAACCTCGTGCGCAGCTGGCCTCGCCGAATCCGCGTCCATCCTCAACCTCGCCAACTGCGCCATCACGCCCTCCAACACACGATCATGATCCAACACCTGCTGCCTCCGCCTCGTAACCGCACAAAACTCCCGCCTCAACTCCGCCGACGCGTCAATCGCCAGCTCCCCACAGCAAACCGGCACCCCGCCACCCCCGGGCTCAACCCCCGCATCCCCGTCCCCACCACCCACAACAACAGCAGCCGCAACCGGCCCCGCGGCCTGCCCCTCGCGATCATGCTTCTCCCTATGCTTCACCGCCAGCCCCGCCACAATCGCACCGAGCTTCTCTGCATTCTCGCGCGACAGGGCCGGGCTGGGGCTGCGGTCGCCGTCGCGGTCGCGGCGACAGGCGTGGGCGTGGTTGCGGCGGTCGCGGTCGGAGGCGAGGCCGAGCCAGGCGCGCTCGAGCGCGGCGTTGTCGGCGGCGGCGAAGGGCCGCAGCGGGAGCTTGGAGGGCCGCGCGTCGGCCGAGCCCGCGATGGTCGCGGCTGAGAGGGGGTCGTCGATCGGGATGGGCGAGGCGTAGAAGAATTGGGCGTGCAGCGGGGGGATGCCTTCGAGGCCCGCGGTGGGTTGGGGTGAGGGGACTGGGGCGAGGCGGCAGGAGGGGGTGAGGAGGGTGTGGTGGGCGGTGGTGGTGGTGGTGGTGGTCATGGTGGTTGCACGGTGGCCTGTGGAGAGGCTCCTGGGGGGGTTAGTTGGATTGGGAGAGAGAGAAGGGGGTTGGATGTCTCGCGCATGACTGGTTGTTAAGAACGGAAGAAAGGAACGTGAATTCATTCGTGTTGCGGGGATGGACTTACAGATCTGTACTCTGTCTTGTGGCAACTGCTTCAGTACTTCGTACCTATCCCGGTACCGAGGTAACTACTTCGGTAGTCGCACCAACGATCAAGCACAGGCAGCTTCACACCGCCTGTCGGCTTTCGAGCTCTAGTAGCGACATAAGGGGTGTTAGGTTTTGGTGGCGGACAAGGTGTCGGGGATTGCTCCGAGACATGACGAGGAAGAAGCCGAATCGAGGGATTCTGCTGAGGAAGGAAAGCCTTATTGTCCGGTTGGACTGATGACGTGGTTAGCCGGGCGCCGGTAGTGGATGCCTGCCGCTAATTGCAACCTGTCTCATTCGCCGCCCTGCCGTCAAAAACGTGCTAAAATGACGGGGTAATCGGGCGCCAGTGGTTCGCAGTGCATGCTTCCATTTCTGGGCACTCAGGCACCTCAGGGCAGCCGTCTGGAGAATGGGCGATCACCCACTCAGACATTGAACCCGAACCCTGGACAGGTATCCAACTCTCGCTCAGCCCTGTTGATGAAGGGATCTCTCAACCCATCTACCCAAACCACCTCGGTGCTCTGCACAGTAACTAACCTCACCACCAACCCTCCCCTAATCATCATCATCAACCCTCCTCCCCATCCAAACCTCCACCCCCAAAAACCCCACATACCCCGCCAGCATCACCCACCCCATCCACCGCCTCCCCCCAAATACCACCACCCCCAAAACCACCACCGCACCCACCCACACCGCACCCACCTCAAACCCCGTCAACCCCCTCCCCAACACCTCCCCATCCCCACCCAAGAACAACACCCCCGCGCACAGCGTCACCAGGAAGATATTCGACCCGACCGTGTTGGCCACCAGGATCCCCGGCTGCCGGCGCACCCCGCCGAGCACGGCGACCACCTTCTCGGGCAGCGTCGTGGCCAGCGAGAGCACGGTGGCGCCGACGGCGGTTGACGAGAGGGACAGCGCGCGGCCGATGGCGGAGGCGCTGTGCGCGACGACGTAGCTGGAGAGGAGGAGCGCGGCGAGGCCGAGGAGGAGGTGCAGGAGGTGGTGGCGGAGGGGTTTGAGGGGTTTGGGTTTGGGTTTGGGTTTGGGTGGGTGGCGGCGTGTTTTGGGTCGGGAGAGGGGGAGGAGGGTGAGTTGGTGGCCTTGTTCGGGGTCGTCGTCGTCGTCGTCGGTTGGGGAGTGCTGGGGGGTTGTTAGGTGCGAACGGGAGCGGTGGCTTGATGAGCTGCTTCTTCGGCTGCTGCTGCCGCTCTCGTTCGCCTTGTCGCTGTCGCTGTCCTCATCTTCGACCTCGCTGTCGCTGTTGCTGTCGCTCTCGCTGTCCGAGTCACTCTCGGGGGCGGTGAGTGTACCCCGGTAGATGAAGTATGCCACTGATGCAATGTAAACGACAAAGAGGACGATCAACAGCGAGCCGGTAAGCCACTGGGGGACCGCCTTGATCGCAACAAGAAGGACTATAAACAGGGAGGTGGTCAGCAGTAAAATAGTGGTGTAGATCTTGGAACTGCGGTCGAACTCGACTTGGTTCATAAAGAGGAGGCCCAGAGAGAAGGAAGACAAAACATTGGCTATTGATGAGCCGATAATGTTTCCGAGGGCGAGATTCGAGTCCTTCTGGCTCAAAGCGACGGCAACAACAACAAGCTGGGACGGTCAGTAATATGGCTTGACTTTTGGCGTTCAGTCAACTTACCTCCTCCCACTCGGCGCCGCATGTAAGCAGCCCGATGAGGGTAGGGGACACATTGAGGCGCTCTGCTACGATGGCTGTGTGGTCAATGAACTTGTCGGCGCCATATTGGAGCAAGAATAAGCCGGCAACGAATGCTGAGATGTTGAACAAGAGGGTATCGCCGTCCGCCATGGTGGGTGGAAGCGGGGAACTCCCGGGTGGAAGATTCACGCGGGATCGTATGTGAGCCGAAGCATAGGAAGTTACATTGCACATGTGAGGGACTCAGCCGAACCGGATTTGGCAACATAGCGGCGATTATCCAACTCTTTCGTACCTATAGGACACTATAGCAATAGTTATTCCGAGACTTGTCTCAGAACTTGCTATCTCCCGCCTCAGGTGTCTTTACTTCCGTATTTATTATATTTTCTCATCTCTCTTTTGTTGTACCTAAGTTTTCCCGTAGCCAATACCTTATCCTCCCGTTTTCCTCAACCTCATAACGCTCTCTCAAGCTAACAGCGCTAACCCGAGTGGTCCTCGATCACTGTATTCGGCCATCCAAATCTTCATCACGAACATTACCTGAGACCATGATCGTCAAACCAAGCATCCATCATCCCAAAGACGTAGAGAGTAATACCTACCTATGCAGCACACCTAGGTAAATATACATGGTCCCCCTTTAGTTTCGGTCCCTCAGGCTTGCCCAGCCCGGCCTCCTTTCCTCCCATCTCAATCTCCCACGCCCGGTTCACCACGCTCCTTCCTGCCATCCCAACTCTGACCGTTCTGCACTAGACATAGAAGTTCCACATGATAAATTGTCACCCACCCCCAAGGTGCCGCCGCGGGCGCCGCAGCGGTTAACCTGGGGAGTTGTGCGGTCTACACTCCGGGTTCGAACCGCGCGTTCACCGGCCGATGTAAAATCCCGTGGGGGTTTTCGTAGCCATCTACCCCTCAGTTGCGTGGTAACTAGGGTTAGGTGGTGAGCCTTTTGTAATTCCTTTTTCTTCATTTGCGTTAATTAAACTGCTCGTCGCCGCCGCCGGGAGAAATATGAGGAGGTTGTGTCAGCCCAAGGGCTCTCTACCAACAACGGCTGGCAAGACGGGCTGGAACCCTGTGCTGTCTCCTCTATGCAGAGTGCAAACAGTGGCTATCACTAGCAGTCCTAGCCCGAGGTACTTCCTATTCAGCCCGAAATGACATCGGTTCACTTCTGGATACTCTCACCTCAGTTGCTTAACCTCTTGAATAGCTCCAGATACGAGCCATAAAATGACCTCTCAACTCGGCACTGACGAACCTTCACTACCTCAAGAATGGATGTTAACATCCTAAGCGCAGCACTCTGACACTTGATCATGTCTCACTACATAACTACGGTACCTCTAGCAGGCAGGAGCTGCCCCGAGATTTTGTCCCTTGCATCGCTCTTGCGGCAGCAGAACAGGAACGAAGGCGATGCTGAGAAAGGTGATTTGTATTAGTATACTGCGTAGGTGGGAAAGAGGCAAAGGGGGTTAGAGCATGGCTCCCGCCCGGCCGTACAATGGCAAAACCCCTTAGCAAAATGAGAGGCACACCCTGGGTGGATCACCAAAAAGTCAAAAACATACAACACCGAGGATTCGCTGGTCGTCACCGACCCAACTACTAGTTCGGCCCTTACTTGTTTGACTAGGGGAGAGCGGACGGGATCCCGTATTTTCAAGTAGGTATGGTCGTATGTGGTAGTGTCGAGCTTAAGTTGGATCTATATTGTATCGAACTATGGGAAGGAAAGCAAACAAAGTTATTCGAGCATCGTCTACCAACTCAGAAAACATAGGGGGTTACTAATGTACCAACATCTTTTAGCATTAGCTATTCGGCTATCATTCCCCAGTCTGTATTTAACTGCTCTTGGGATGGTTCACGGCCCCAAACGACTTAAGCGCTGGGCTATATCTGAGATGGCCGAGTCGTCCCTCGACCGGGTGAGCTAGGCGTATCTCTTCCATCTCTTCCTGGAACTAGATCGTGACCACCTCGCTGGCGGTGCGTGTAGCTAGGTCCATTTACCGGTCACAGGGAATTGTCGAGACCTAGATAGCCGGCTCGGGTTGACTCTGCGCGACCATCGTCGATAAGCAAGCCGGCGGCACAGACCGACCGCAGATGGCGGAAGTCTGGCGGAAGTCGCACAGTTGCTCGAAAGACTAGAACATGCCGTCGCTGTCCTGTATGACCGACCATGTCGAGGAGTCGGGTGCTAACGAGGCCTGGATGGACTGAATGGGCTCCGTGGTAGGTTCGGTAACTACGTGGACAGAAGATATGTTGACGTGATGAGGAGGGCTCGCCTTGCCAAACATAGCGTCAAGTTTGGAAGTCATAGCGTCGGCTACGCACGAGCACGAGCACCCGTCCGTGCTATATGTATTAGGTCCGTGTCTCTTATCTCCAACGGGGACCACCGCCCACTCGACGGTTGGCCAACTGGTAACCGGCGGTGGTCCTCCCGAGGGCAGCCCGGGTTCTCCCCCTCCCGACAGGGAGTTTGTGGGTTCGAATCCTGCCCTCGCAATTTCTGAGCAGGGACGCCTGCTCAGAACGGAGAAATCCCTAAGGGGTTTCGTAACCGGCCACCCCCCCTCCACCAGTGACGACTCGTCGAGGGGGGTTGGCCGGTGAGCTTTTGCTATTTTGACAACGCTGCCGCCATTTTCTTGCCAATTTTCTTTTGTGTTTGTATCCCATAATCCCAAATCGAAGGTATTCCCACAATCACATCATACTAGCAAATTAACTTACAATTAACAACAACGCACCCGTCAACGGCGCACGTAATACATTGATCATCCACACAATTAATTGGTAAGAGCGATTCACGACTAAATAGGTAGGTATTGTTGAGCCTAGAATTAAATCACCAAAAATACTTCTTCCTCCAAATATTCGACAGGAAGTCAAGAGTTAGATAGGAGTAGGCACGTCGAGGTACTACATGTGTTCGCGGACAAGTCTTCTTCCACACATACCTCCTTTTCTTTCACCCACTAACAACAATACAAATTCCTCGTCTCTCGAAACAGGGCGGGGCATAATATGTTCCCGGCGTGGTGTAACCATCCAACATGGCCATTTTAGGCATATGTCAGTCAAGCTGAAGCTGGGGTTGCATTGGATGGGTTGGAGAGCTGTGTGGCGTTTGCACTTGCAGCGGAGAGGGGGAGGGACTTGGAAGAAGCAATGCGATGAGGAGATAATCCAATATATTCAATAGTACTGAGAGATCTCGCCCGCCGCGGGGTCGTTGTCGTGTTCTTGACGGCTTGTGCTTTTCCTCGAGTTTCCTCCGGGTGCAAAGGTCGAGGGTTTCTCCCTTCAGAACGACCCGGGCATCGCCAATGTGAGCCCGTTTGGTTGTGAAGAGCGGCTTGCTGCACCGGGCACCCCCGGTAGAAGTTGCAATTCAACCTACCGGAGATCCTCCCGGTTGTGCTACCGGGCGGTACCGTTCCCGCCCGTGAAATGTACCCCCGAGCCGTCCCCCGCACCGGGTTGGACCATCGCCTTGATTCCTCGGGCTTTTAAAACACCGCCCTGAACCCCCAACTTGTTGTGACGCCCGGCGTGCCCGTTGTGCTTTATCTTCCAAGTTGAGCACCGCGGACTCCCTGTAATAGGCAAAAGCAGTGCCAGTGCCGCAGTCATGGGAGACGGCGCCCACATAACCCCCAGTCCGACACCGGCCCGCGACTTTGGATTAGAGAAGAAGGAAGCCCTTGATGTCGTGGACTCACTGCCCATCCATAGGGAGCCGCCCCGGAAGCCATGGCTTTCCATCCTCAAATCCTGGCTTGTCCTTGGGACTGAGAGCAGTGGCCGGTCTCCCGTCTATCAGAACCGCGCTCCACCGCCGCCGGCCGAGTCCGACTCGTTCTGGTCCAAGATATGGACCTTCTTCAAGTTCCTCGGGCCGGGTGCCATCATCAGCGTGGCCTATGTTGACCCGGACAACTACCAGACCGCGATTGCCTCTGGAAGCTCGTTCCAATACAGGCTGCTGTTCATGGTGTTGGTGTCCAACATCATTGCCATCTACATCCAGGTATGACCGCCGTTTGTAGTGACGCATCAGGAAGACCAGCTAACGATGCCAGTCCCTGTGCATCAAACTCGGCACCGTGACCGGAATGGACCTCGCCCAGCTGAACCACCTCTATCTCCCGCGCTGGCTCGAGCTCTTCATCTACGTGATCGCCGAGGCGAGCATCATCGCCACGGACCTCGGCCAGGTCATCGGCCAATCCATCGCGCTCAACATCCTCATCCCGGCCCTCCCGCTCTCCGCGGCATGCGTCATCTCGGTGGCCGACACGCTGCTCATCCTGCTCTTCTACACGCCCACGGGCGAGCTCCGCCGCGTGCGCGTGTTCGAGGTCTTCGTGGCCCTGCTGGTCGCGGCCGTCTTCGTCACGCTCTGCGTGGCGCTCTCCATGGTCTCGCCGCCCGCGGGGCCCGTCTTCCGCGGCTTCCTCCCCTCGCGCGAGGTCTTTGTCGACACGGGCCTGTACGAGATGTGCGCCATCCTGGGCGGCACCCTCATGCCGCACGCGCTATACGTCGGCACCGCCCTCTCGCGGTCGCGCCTGTACGACTACGACGCAAAGCAGCAGCAGCAGCACCATCACCACTACCACCCCACCACCACTACCGCCGCCACAACAACAAACCGCCCCGCATCCCCAACCTCAAGCTCATCCACCCTCGACCAAGACCACCCCCCCTACCGCCCCTCCCTCCGCGCCATCCGCGCCTGCCTCCGCTACTCCATCGCCGAGCTCTGCGTGACCCTCTTCACCGTCGCCGTCTTCGTCAACTCGGCCCTCCTCATCATAGCCGGCACCGCCTTCTACCACCCCCCCACCAACCCCTCCTCATCATCCTCCGAAGAAACCCCCTCCGACGACCTATACACGCTCCACCACCTCTTCCAGCACACCATCTCCCCCGCCTCCGCCACCCTCTTCGCCGTCTCCCTGCTCTTCTCGGGCGTCAGCGCGGGCGTGGTCTCCACCGTGGCCGGGCAGGTGGTGATGGAGGGGGCCTTCTCGCTGCGGCTCGCGCCCTTTGTGCGGCGGCTGGTCACGCGCTGCGTGGCGATCATCCCCGCGCTGGCGATCGCGCTCGCCGTGGGGCGGGATGGCCTGAGCCGGGCGCTGGTGGCGTGTAATTATTTGTTGGCGATCGCGCTCATTCCGATTACGTTTCCGCTGATCTGGTATACGGGGGGGAGGAGGTATATGGTGGTGCCGGTTGGCGGGGAGGGGGTTGGGGAGGGTGGGGGGAGGGATGTGGTGGATTTGAAGAATCATTGGGTTACGGCGGTGGTGGCGTGGTTGTTGTGGTTGTTGGTGGTGGTGATGGATGTGGCGACGGTAGTGTTGGTGGGGTTGGGGGTGACTGAGCCCGATGGGTGAGCTGAGGTTGTTGGGTAGAGTGTTGAGATATTGGTATCCTGGCGTACACGTAGACATACACGGGATGGTGTGACTTTTTCTTGGGTGTTTGCCTGGCCGTTTATTCATTATTAGTACGTTCCGTCACCGCCTGCCTTCGAGATGTATCATGTTCCTAGACCGGTGACAACCGCCATCAAGGGTAACGGGCAGGTTCTAACCCCATGACGGCCGGCGCGCCGCCGGAGATGCGCCGCCCAAAAATAGCAAAGCGAGTAAAATGGGTATCTGCAAGCAAATCTCGACGCCCGTCGTTCTCCCGTCCCTTCCTCCCAAAACGCTGCCAACCCTTTATAGCTTTACCCGCGACTTCAGTCCGGCTTCTTCAAACACTTCAGCAGCGGCGCAATCCGCGACCTCTTGCTCAAACCCACACGGTACTGCACCTTCTGGGGGCCAGACTTGACATCCTTGGCGGCCTGTTTCTCCTTCTCTGTTGACTTGTCCTTGGCCACTGCGTCTTTTACCACCGCCGGGTCGTTCTCCTTACTATCCTCAACGGCACCATCCTCAACATCTGCTGCGGGTACCTCTGGGCTGGGTTTGGAGTTGCGGTCCATTTCGGATAGCGGTTGTAGTGCCGTGTTGGCTTCGGCTTCAAGCCCGGCTTCCTCGTAGGGTTGTTGTTCTGGCTCGTTTTCCGGTTCGGGCTGGGGTTTGGGAACCTCGGATTTGCGCGGGCGCCCACGCTTTCGTTTTGCTGGCGGCTCTGTAACCTCCGCGGTTCCAGAGACAGATTCTGGTTCGGCTTCTGCTGCTTGTGTCGGTTCGTTGGGCTCGAGTGCGGGTTCCTGGGTTTTGACGCCCTTCTTCTTCCGTCCCCTTTTGTTCTTGGCGGTGGGTTTTGGAGTTGTTGCCGGTACCTCTGCCGGTACCTCCATCGCTTCGATATCGATTGGTTCGGCCTCGGGTAAGAATGCTGGAGCGACCATATCCGCAGCTGGTTGCGCTATACTGTAGTTGGTATCCCCAGCCTCGCTCTGAGCCTGTGCGTCTTGTTGCGGTGGGTCGTTGTTTTCTTGAGTACCTCCCAAAGGGTCCCGTTCCCAAGAGTCGTCCTCTACTTCTCGCACAACTTTCCTCTTCTTTGCCCTCCGCGTTGGCGCGGGCGACTCGAGTTCGAACGAATCCAGCCCCGCGGGAGACACAACCTTTGCCCTGCTCCTTTTCGACCTCGAACTAGCTGTGGCGGTCATATCAGTGAGCACATCGGGCGAAGACTGCTAGAGTACGTTTAGCCATCCGCATCCCTCTAGGCAGTGCATGGTAACGAACCTGGAACCCGACGTCGTAGCTGGGCAACGTCCCTGCAACGGCATCTTCACCCGCCTCTTCAGCCACCTCCGGCAGCCGCGCGGTTGACGCAACCCGGCTCGGCGTCGGATAAGCAACCGTGGTAGCGCTCGACTTGTACATTTCCCCTACATCCAGTGACTGGCCGGCAAAGGACGGCTCAGAAGCCTCCGGCGGCATGCCCTCCGAAGATGGGCAGATCGCCCGATACTGCTCCTTCTGGCTCGCCGTGAGAGTGCTTTGGGTGATGTACAACGACGGAACGGCGGTGTCTGGCATGGTGGACTCCGCATCAAAACTAGCTTTCTTCTTCCGGCTGCTTCGCGTCCGCCTGTCTGAGCTGGTTGGTGCCTCTGTTGGGATGAGCATCACAGGACTGGAGTCGTGCGCCTGCTGGGTTAAGCTAGACGACGACCCGCGCCTGTTGACCCTGGCCGGCGGCGTGGCGTCGGGGAAGGCGTACGGGTCTTGGGTATCCAGCAGCGTAAGGTGGGGTGCCTCCTCCTCCATACTAAGCTGTGCACCTTTGCGCTTCCCATAAGCCCTCGTGGATCTTTGCGACCTAGCCGAGGTCGGAACATCCCACACATCGCTAGTCTCTTTCCTCGGCGTGGTGATATTCGTCAGGTCAATCACCTCTGACTGACTAACTTCCCGGGCCCTCTTCGGCTTCCGACTTCCCGGCACCGGGTCAGTCAGAGGAGTGAGAGACGAATAGTCGTTGGCTAGCAGTTTCTGGCCCGGAGGCGGAGCCGATGAAATGTTGGTCCATGCCGAGGCAGCATGTTCAACCGGTGCTGTATCCGGGATCACATCCTGCATGTCGGTAGCGGCGTGCTGCTGGTCGTAGATGCGCTGAAAAAAGGACGGATCTGTCGAGTCGATGCTGGCGTCGACATTGTGTGATGCGCCAATGGTTTCATAGTGTTCCTTGCCGGATGCCAATTCGGCCTCAGGTGCATCGCCAAAATCGCTGCCGTCATCCTCCGAGTCAAGGATCTCACGCCGAGGCGCCATCGCTGCCGCCTTCAAGAAATTTGTCCTCTGTTATCGTGGTTGTGGAGTGGAAGTCGCGGGTGGTGGGGGGAAGTTGTGAAGTGGCGCGTCTCACTCGTGGGCACTTTACGCGCTTGGGAGCGACTATCATGGGCCGCCAAGGCCTATCAACGAAGGCAAGCTACCCTAACCCTCTTTCTCAAAAGGAGGCACTCTCTGGCCAAAAAAGCCGAAGTTGAAGGGAAAGCAGAAAGCAAGCAAAAAGAACAAATAAAGGAATTGAGCAAGTGGAGAAGAAGAAGAAGAAGAAAAAGAAGAAAACGGGGGTGGAATAAAGGTAAATGGAGTAAATCCAAGATTCCATAGTCGACATCTGCACTTGGAGTTCGGCCTTTTTTGCCCATTTATCTACTCGATCTCCTCAATACGAGGCTTCTTAGGTCGGGAGCTACCCTCACCCGGATCATCACTCCCCGGGTTACCATTCCCGGGATTGATATCCAACCCAGCCAGCTTGGTGAGCCCACCACCAAGAGCCTGATCCTGACCAGACCCGGTCGACAAGAACCTCACCAGCCTCCAGTTCTCCAAACTCTCCACCACATCCTTCGCATGCTGCACCACCAAGCCATCATTATCAGTCTCCGCCACATACCTCAACGTCCGCATGACGTCCTCCTGGGCCAGGTTACCGAAGCCAAACCCCAGGTCCCTCCCCTTCTCCCGCGCCTCGTCCAACGCCCTCACAAAACTCAGCACAAACACGACAGCAGCCCGCCTCAAGATCCCCTTCTCCACCTCCTTCTCCATCTGCAGCACCGACACACACAGATCCACCGCGCCCGCCACCACGTCGCGACCCAGCCCAGCGACATTGACCTCCACAGCCGCGCCGAGGATCGACAGCGCCGACGCGCGCACCCTGACATCCTCGGCGCCCTGCTTGCCATCCCACCCTTCCACGATCCGCCCAAGAACCTCATCCCGGAGCTTCTCCTCCGCCGTTATATCTTCCTCCTCCTCATCGTCCCCCATATCCGGCACCTCGCCATCCCACGCCTCGGCCGCCTCCCGATTCCTCTTCTCGCGCGCCTTGGCCGCGGCGAGCTGTCGCGCCTCCGTCTTGGGCCTGCGCGCGCGGCGGCCGGCGGCGGCGACCAGCGCGACGCCCGTCTCGTGCGCGAGCGCGCCGGCAAAGGTCTCGCCCAGGCGCTGGATGACCTGCAGCAGGGCCTCGCCGAAGCGCAGGCGCGCGTCGAGCGGGCGGGCCTCGTTCGTGTCGAAGAAGCCCTCGGTGATCTCGTGGACGACGGATTTGGGGTGGGCGTCGCAGAGTTGGGTGTATAGCTTGATGACGCGCAGGTAGATGTACTCGTCGGTGTCGGCGATGAGGGAGGAGAGGAGGACTAAGATGCCGGGGATGTCGAGGATGGAGGAGTGGGCGGTGATTAGGGTGGAGAGGAGGTTTAGGCCTTCGGAGCGCACCGGGGGTGGGGACTCGGGGTCGACGATGTACGAGATGGCGAGCTTGTAGGTTTTGCGGTCCTCGACTTGCCGGTCGGTAGGTGCCGTGGTGGTGGGGCCGGCTGGGTCGAGTTCGTCGCGGTAGCGGAGGAGTAGGCCAAGGTTGGAGGCGGTTTTAGAGAGGTCGGTGCTGGCTTTGGAGAGCCTATCGAGGGACGACTCGATTACGGTAAGAACCTCCGCATCGACTTGAGATTTTTGAAACCCAGAGGCGGTGATGACGGTGCTGAGGAGGCTGAGCGCCACGCCGGTTACCTTGTCGTCGCCGTCTGGGCTATCTCCCGGGGAACCTAGTATCTGGCTGACGAGAACAAGGACGTGCTTCGGCTGTGTAGCAAGCTTCTCGGGGAACCTCTGCATCATACCTTGGAGCACCTTGGTCTCGCCAAATCGAGCCCATGGATCCTCCTCCTCCTCTTCCTGCTTGACGGCGATACCGTCGACGTTTGAACGCCGTGCGGACTCGCTCCATCTCTTGAACAGTTCTAGGAAGCCCAAAGAGATCTTTTCGTCGGTAAGAGTCGATGAGATAATGTCCAAAAGCTTGGATACTTTGTCGTCCATACCCTCTAGTGTGAGCCGCGGTGTTGGCGGGCCGGTGTTCCCTAGAGGTTGATGTTTGGTGGCTACGATCTGAATCAAACCATCTCCTGTGGATTTGAATATCCATTCCGGGTTCCTCTTGTCGTGACCACCATTGTAGTCAAGGTTCCGAGCTAACAACAAGACGACGCCGGGGTCTCCAATCAACTTGGTCCGAATCTTTAGCAAGTCTAGCGCGGGTGTGCACACCTTGGCTGCAACGGGCGGCGACGGCGTGGGCCAGGATGCAAGAGCCCAGAGTGGGAGGGCCATATGAAAGAGGAGCCGCCGGCAAAGGCTTGGGTTGGGATGCCCGGACAACACGGCATGCAACCGGTGAAGCGCCGTAGCTAGGTTGTCGTACGAGACAACAGTCCTGTCTTTGCTCAGGTCGACGACTTCACCAGCGTCGATATCGGCCTCGTGGCAGAGTCGAGAAGGCGGCCTAAGGTAGTCTAGCATGGGCTCTGCAATAAATTTGTGGCCGGCGGTCCCTAAGCAACTTGTTAGCCTGGATGGTAGATGAGAACGGGGGAGGCGTCCGTACCTGGGCCCCCCGAAGGTCCTCTCCCCAAAATACCAAAACCGATAATGTAGGCGGCAGCCCTGACCAAGTCCGGCCCTTCGCCTCCATCAAGCAACACAAACAACTGGGGCGCGATGGCCGAGTACCACGCCTCGGGGGTTATGGATTGTGGTGGGTTAGAGATGGCCCAGGAGGCAAGTTTGAGCGTCTCGTGGGTGATGTTGGCTCCCTTCGCCTGCGGGACTGCAGCCTCGGACACGTTTACCGTGCTCGAGGGATGGACCGAGGCGACGAACTCCAGTGTAGCCCGAACGCCGTCTGAATGCTCGGCCGGAACTCGCGTTAACTTTTGCTTGAGCGGGCGGTGCAACCATTCTGGGACCACGCCTGGCTTTAGTAGGCTGTTGAGGGCGGCTATGGCGGTGGGGGTCCTGGTCCTATAAACTAGTTAGACATTTCATGCGGGTGCATCAAACATTACGCTCGGCTTGCCTATCGATCAGCTCGTCAAGTTCCTTGATGGCCTTGGTGTTCTTGGGCTGCTTGGGGTTGTAGGCCTTGGTGCCGGCCTCGAGAATGGATTTGACGACGGGTTTAAGGTTGGCGTCCATAATGTTGTTGTTTCAAGTTACCTATGTTGATGAATAGTCGTGAATATGCACAGAATGAAATGAAAGTGGGCAACTTTTTGGGGGCGAGGTACTTCGTATACCCAGGTATGGATGGCCGTGCCTTCCCACGGGGCCTCAGATGTGGCAAAAACCGGAAGCCTTGGATGGCACGGATGATGATGCGGCTCCCATGTGACTACCTAATTATTTTTTGAATTTGAGCCTCTGGGTAACTACCTACCTTACGTAGTGATGTCAGGAAGTCTGAATTATGGAAGTGACAGAAGACTGAAGACTCCGGAAGTGGTAAATTATGGGGCTGGATTTGTCAGGCATCAGGCAGGTTGGAGCTGCACCACACAGCTGGACAGGTGGAACCCCCCTGCTGCAAGTCCACTCGTGACCTCTTCCGTACACACTAAACGCGTCTTCTCAGTCGAACGCGTCTCCCGACCTTCAACTTCCTCAACCTTCAACCCAAACTGTTAAAACTGCCCTCACAATGTCCAACAGGAACCGCCCCAATTCAATGCACGCCAAACCCAGGAAACCCGCTCGAGATGCAGATTTCGTCAATTCACATCGAGATACACAACCACCGACAGCAATCCCAGCACCGACTCGCCCTCCCAGCCAACGTCTTTCGCCATGAGCAACTCTCACGCACCACGCCTTCCCCACAGTTCTCCGATTCCAATTTTCCGAAAGGAATGTCGTCTCGACCGCCTCATTGGGATCTGGACCCCCACAGTACGTCGCAGCTTCGATCCCGTATCGGGTGCCCTCAAGCTTGCCGCGCTCGGATCTACTGTGGTCAACCTCTTGTCCCCAGGGCAAGCCAGCCCAGTGAGGGTGAATTGGTTTCGGAACTTAACCCTAAGTATACATTTGGTTGAGCAAAGTCTTGCGCTTCTCATAGTCACTCGGACCCCTCCTTCTATTCCCGCGTTGCTCAACGGGTCGGGTCGCTGCTGGCCGCTGAAAAGCGGTGCAGCCTCGACCCCGGCGGCGACATGGGCGGACCGGCGGGGTCCGAACTCCAGTCACCCCTTCCCGGGTGGGCGACCGTCTCCTCCCATGAGTCCACACGGTAAGCGCCCCTGGCCCGGGGCCGCTCGTCGGGATGAGACACTGGAACTGGTACTCTGGTCACGATGGATTGTCTGTGGCGGTGTTGGCAAGACGACTGAGACCGGCGGATACACTCAGGCAGCCCCGTCTGCTTGCATGCTCTTTGTGGTTGTCTCCGTTCGGAGCAGCCTTCGGAATGAGAGGGAGAGCGCAGCCTCGGCTCCACACGGTCATCCAGCACATTTCATACCCCGCCTGCAGCTCACCTCGCAGGAATCACCTCCGGGTGAGCGAGGGCTGTCAGGCTGCCTACGGAAATGTCAACGGATGATACCCCCCCACCCGCCGTGCTGCCACGCTCTCGGTACCCTCGACTTCCAACCCCCCTTCTGCATGCGTATCCCCTCCTCACGACTCCGCCGACCCCCACGGACCGCGCCGGGCCAACACAACACGCCCGACGCGTCATGTGTCTTAAAACAACACCATGAGGTCCGACCAGGCGCATTAACTCGTCCTCGTAGGCTCCGTCCTACGTCCGGCGAGACGCCAAAAACCCCGCCATGTCTCCGACACGGCACCTTCCCCCCCTTCCTAGGCCCTGTTTACGGTCTCTGGTTAGGAGATGACAGCACGGTTTTTTTGAGGATGTCTTTTGTCCGTGCGGCACCCGCCCTTCCTTCGTTCCGCCCCGTCTTCGGACAGGGGTGGCGTTGGAAGAGGAAACAAAAACTAGTCCATGTTGGCAGTGCGATACACACGGAGAGACCTTGGCTGGGCTGGGGCTGCCGACTGCTGGGATTTGCGACTCTGGCTGCCGACTTTTGGCGAGATCTGCATCGACGACGGCCGGCCTTCGACTACGGGTTTGACGTTGCGGAGGATGGTGGCATTTTTGTGAGGGATCGGTGGGGTTGGGGGAGTGTTCGGTTGGCTGTCTGAGAACCAATGCTTCGAACTGGGTGCCCCGGAGGAAGGGCGGTTGGTTGGGGCGGACCAGGCACCGGGACCCATCTCGAGTTGGAGTCAAAGCTTTGTGCTTGTCTGGTGTCTGGAGCCCGCCTCCTCCGGCTGTCCGGATCCTGGGGTTCTTCGGCGAGGGCTTTGCTGTTTTGCAGTCGACTAGTTGGAAAAGGACGGGCCCACTGGGGGCGGTCCTGGCTGTCCTCTCTCCAGAAATGGCGGGAAGGCAGCCCCTCTTTTTGAGGATAAGTGCCCCCGTGGTTTGTTTTGGCGATGGTCCGGTGCTAACTTGTCAATAGGGAAGATGAAGATGCGGCCTTGGGCCGGGAGTCAGAGTCAGGTGGGTGAGTCGAGTCGTTGCAGAATTCAGTTATTGCGGTGCGCCCATCTAGTCCATGCCATGATCAAGAAAATGAAGCAGTCGTTATTCCCCTCACGCAGTGACCGTCCCTTCCGCACTCCGTTTGCCACTGAACCGAGCGCGCTCTAGACCTAGCAGCTAGCTGGGGTAACTCCCTCGACCACCACCACGTCGCTGTTTTAAAGAGACGACAACAAACATGCACAGTGCATGATACCCGCCCCACCACGACGCGACGACGAGGACGAACCATTCCCGAAACCACGTGGCCCGCCGTCAATCCTCCACGGACGGTCCGCCCATCCATCTCTCCGTCCATCCATCCTGACACCATCCTGGCACCATCCTTACCCCCTCCCCCATCATCCCATGTGATTTGGCATACACTACTAATACTAGTACTGTGCGATGAGCGGTTTCTTCGCGCAATCCCTTCACCTTGCGTCGGCCCCACTTTGCGTTTTGTTGCGTGTTTGCTTTCCACTCCTCCCCTCCCTCTCCCCCTGTATCTCCTACTTGGGAAATCCCCGTGTTGGGCCGCCGGCTTGCTTGTTTTGGAGGAAGCTTCCGTGTCTTGGCTGGGGGTTGCATTGGTGTTCCAGAAGGGGCTGTGGAAGCTGGCGATTGCGAGTTTGGCTCCCGAGCTCCCTTCCGTTCATGCATGCGGTGGGGTGGTTGGGGGTCATGGGCGGGGCGGGGGGTGAGAGGGTCTGTGGGTTGGTTGGGGGGTGTTTGTTTGCTTGTTTCGTTGTTTCGAAGAGAGTGTGGGTGAGGGGGTTAGGGGGGTGGTTTCTTGGTTATTTTGGGGTTGGTCATGGATATTGCTGTTTCTTTACACAGTGTAGTTTAGTTGATCACGCTTTTGGTGACTGATGTTTTTGTTCTGTTTGTTTGAATCGAGTTCGTCCGTACTTCTGCCAGGATGTGGTGACCGGAGTGGATCTCGACCGTTACGCTAGTCCCTCACCAACACTAGCGCAGATCAACGGTTTCGGACGGGGGGCGGTCGGGCCCTGCCGAACCCTGGCCATGAGGTTTCTCAATCCAGGCTGCTTCGAGAACCCTTCGAAGTGTGGGGCCATGTCCCTGAGCTTGTCACCTTGTGCCCTGGCTTACTGTGGGACGGTGGTGTTGATATTGGAAAGGAGTGGTGCATGATGCAAGGAGGGCACTTAGGCGACGGGTTGATTGTGTGACTTTGCTGCTGGCTGCAGTGCGTTTCGTGCCGTGGTGGGCACACGTTGACGGATGTTGCATTCCTGGAGATGGAGGCACCTTCGATGCACCTTGATGTTAGGTGCCAAGAGCCACTACTGTGTACGGAAATCAGGGTCACAGCGTTGACCCCACTCGTATCGGCATCATTTCTCTGTTTCTTTCTTTTCCTCTCTTCTGTTCTGTTTTCCTTCCTGTCGTTTCTCTGTTTCTTACACCGTATTCTTTTATACCACGCTAACAGCGTTAGCACCCTCGACACATCTACTTGTAGAAGAAACTTGGCTTACTGGGGACAGTGGTCGCCAGAAGTCGGTTGCTCCAGCTCGTCGTCCCGTCGAGCGAGGTTGAGCAGTTAGTTAAGCTCCACCAGCTTGTTACATTCAACGGCTACCCATGCGGCCCTTCTCTGGGCCCCATCTTGCAGCTCGATCCGTCCGATAAGGCACGCCCGGTTGCTCCGGAAGCGACTTGGCAGACGGCATGTGATGCTCGCGTCTTGTTTGTCCCTGCGCGGTTGGCAACGGTTGCTTTCGCCAACTGCTTGCTGCTTTTAAGAGGATAGATGGGTGTATGGTCTGGAGTCAGGGTTTCATACCGTGGTGGCCAGCTCATCTAGATCCCGTCCTTAGCCCCTCATTGTTTCCCACGGGGAAGCGGAGCAGGATTTAAACGTATGATGTATGTCCTGGAGGAAGAGTCACCATGTCTAGACCGGCCTGAAAGCGGGGCCGTCCACAAATCACAGCCGGAGGCCGAAGCTGTGCGACCAAGCTGACGTTGCTGATTTGCGACGGCGAACACGCCGGGTTGCCAAGAGCATGGTTCTATCCAGGCTCTCCTTGCTTCGGGACCAGCGCGATATCGGGTCTGGAGTCTCAACCCCCTGGTCTCGTACATACTTCGGACATGCATGGACACAGTAGAACATCCGCTAGGAGCGCGGCGGAGAAGGGTCAATGCGACGGGCGGATAAGAAAACCGCGGGGGGCCTGCATGGCGAGCCGTGGGTTGGAAATGGCGATGGCGGGATGTTTGTTCTAACCTTGACGCTCTCGAAACTCTCTACTGTGTAAGAGCCGGGTTGGCAGTGTCGTGATGGGCAGTCCCGCAATCTCAAGGTTGCTGTATCCTATTGGTTCGTGCCTGACTTTGAAGTGATTCGCTCATTCTACATAGTAGGACATACTGTGTCCTGTGGTACAGTCTGATGTTTTGATTCGATTGTGGCCGCACCCAATAAACCAAAGATAAACCCTCGTGAGGATGCTGCGCCGCGAAATGGCAGGGAGCAACGCCGAGCCGACCCACCCATGTAACCAAGACTCCCCATGTCCATCCAACCTGCAGATTAACACCCCACCGAAGATGGCACCATTACCCAACCTGTCAAGCATGGTATCAATCTTGCGTGTCCCAGCCTTTTTCCATCTATTCCGCCCCTCCCAAAATGAGACGGACTGGTTCCGGGGAGGAGAAAGGGGAGAATGAAAGGAAAGGAGAGAAAACCGGCTTGCTAGACCAAAGAAAACCCCCCACAGCGTTTCAGATCGTCGCACACCATCCGTTTTGCCCTGCTTTGTAGAAAGGGAGGGGACGTATGATACCTCAGCAGCTCCAGGCTACCGATAATTGTCCCCTCATCAAAATGCCATCTGCCCGGTAACACCCACAGACGTCAATACTGGCCGCGGCGTGTCGCTGGTTGTGAAGGAGTTGTAGGGGAGTGCCTGCGGTGCCATGGCTTTCTGCCGGAGGACCCAATATGCGCCCGAGCTCGGCTCATCGGCGGGGACGATCTCCATCACGGTGTATCGGAGGGTGCCATGTATGACTTGGGGAACGCAAATCTCAGTTGGTGCGGTGGGATTCTGGAACCGCTGGTTTTGTGGACGTTGCCATGCCATCGAGGAATGGGTCTGTGGTGGGTTTGCCGCCTCGGATTCCGCCACATCACGGCCATCGGCCTGTAGCCAGGTTAGTGAAGGCGAGAAATAGCAGTTTTGTGATTCCTTACTAGGCACATGGCGCAGGCGTGACCATTACAATAGACCCAGTTGTTGCAGTTATGGGAATAGAAGTACTTGCACCGGTACTTATAAAATCCGCCGCTGCCAGACATGGTGAGCGGTTGTAGGTATCAAACTTCCCGTAACCAAATATCTTAAACCTCGAGTAATGCAGCTAAACAAAGGGGTCGACTGTCCGCTGGCAGTCAAGCGATGAGAAGGAAAACGCTGTTGGAGTCTGGTAATCCAATTTGGCGACGAAGGGCTTGCCCGTACAAAGCAAGGGAAGTCGATAGCACGGAGGAGAATGGCGAGATGTTGCTTTATACACGGGATGGCCGGGACCCTGGGAGTTTATGGTGCATGGAACTGCACAGATCTCCCGGCCAAGCTTCCGGAGTGGTGGCGGCGGCTGGCATACCCAAAACCGGCAGGACAGGGGGTATGGCCGGGGTTGCGACATGCCGCAATTCGATCTGGCATGTTGTGGCATGGCCCGTTCGAGACTGTCGCCGGTTTCTATGTACTGCTACGGTGACGAAGGCCTAGAAGTTTCTGGGTACGGAAGCCGGGATGCTTGACAACAGCCATCTTGGAGATTTCTTTTCTCGAAGGTAAGCTCTCGAGGATGCACGGCCGCAATCTGGGAAGTTCCCTGGCACGGCTCGGTCGACCCAAGGTGGAAGAATGCGCAGCCCAATCGCGCGCCTTTCGAGGTCGGCGGCTCAAAGTGAGGTGCTTTCCTAGAGTTGTTGCTGACGGTGTCTGATCTGATAATGAATGGCGAATAGGGGCTTCCGGCATGTTTCCGGGCCTGCAATGTCGATGTACCCACTGCAACACAACTGCAGTGACAGGGCGGCGCTGAAAAGACCGGCCGGGAACCGTTCCCGTAGGCTGTGTAGCATCGGTCACCGTCGAAGGGATCGAAGGCACACATAAACGCGGCAGGAGCTGCACCTCAGACGGCCCGCGTCAGCTAGGCCCGGAGCCGAGGGTCACACAAAACCAGTTGACCACACCATGCTGTGCTCAGTCGACCCAATATTCGAGGTTGAGGAGGAAATAGTCCGGCTTCCACTGCCCGTGCGAAACACGAACGGCTTACCGTGGAATGAGCGAGCTAGGTAGGTCCGCTCGCGCGGCTTCAAATTGCGGTGGCAGCCTGGCTGGTGAGACCGTTGTTGTCGCATGGAAGGGAAGGAGCCCAAGGTGACAGTGGAGTCGGTGCCTTTGGTGGATAAAAACCGGAAGCCCACCTCAGGGTCCTTGAACGACCCATACAGTGCTTATTGGTATTATATCACACAGTACCTCTGTGCAAACATCATTTCCACTTTCCACCACTCCCGGACACTCAGCCTCAACCTCCCGGACACCACCATCTCAACACCCAAATCAACTTTTACCATCCAAAAGCGCGGCCGACAAACAAAGTTGTCAGCAATGACATTTGCAGCCCCAGACAGCACTTACGGATGCCGTGTAACCCCCTCATCGGCCGCTCGTCGACCCCGGATAAATAATCCCCGAACTCACATCCAACGACTCCATGGATATCCCGTCTTGACGTCTCACGTTATTGATCCTTGCTCCTTGCGGACACAGAATAAATGCATATTACTCGTTGTGGTATCTCCGGTCGTCCTGCAAGATTCTTGCTCAAATGGTAAAGTACCATCGCGTCAACACCACAACGGAACTGCCGTGTCGTGGGCCTCGTGGCATACATACGCTCCATCTACCGGCTTGACGCCCCCACTGGGACTACCCCCCTCATGTCGTGTTCCTGCAGCCCCAAACGCCATTCTAGGCGGAAGAAAAGCAAGCCGCCCGCAGACGCAGCAACATCCAGCTCAATGATGAACGCTCTGTCGTCTTGGAGGGGCCAATCACTAGTAACCGAGCTCGGTTCGGCATCACGAACGCCACTGATACTACCCCCCTCTCCGGGATATTACTCGCCAAACCTAAATGAACTTCGTCGATGGACGGGCTGGATGGGACCACTTTAGAGGGGTTCCATCAACAACACACTGCATGTGCTTGGGACACGGTGCAACCCGAATGCAGGATACTCCAGACTGCAACGCATGGCGTTCTGGCGATTGATTACAAGGCTCCAGCTAACGGGCACTCTATGACTCATGTCGAGCTAACAGTTTCTACTTCAGGACCGTGGGTTTCTCCCCCCGCGCTTCCGGCCCCAGTAGCAGACGCATTCGGCCAGCGTCGTACCGTTTCATCAGGGTCCCGTCCCTCTGCTGTAGATTGTGTCTATGACATGCGCTGGGCGTCAAGGATCGAGACCGGAACGATCCGCCCCGGCTGGGGCATCCATATTGCTTGCTATTCGCGCGCCAGTAGTTCTTGGAGACGAGAGGGGAAAACAGTGGGATGTCCGTTGGGCGCCTGCTACGGAGGTAGCCAACGGCCTTCAGTAGGATATCACCAAAGAACCCCGCCGATTAACACAACTCTTGTCCCTGTCCGTGTTTCACCGTTTCCCGATGGACCTTCTCGGCAGGTTGCGGCCACTCAAAACGAGTCAAGCCATGTCTTGCGGCCCAGTTGGGCAGTCAGGGGCTCCTTGGGAGTCGCGATTGCATGACCGGATTTGGTATCCGCTCACACGACTTGGGCATCATATATGTGGGTGAGATGTGCTGCAGGTATAAATCACTCTTGGTGGATTGTGTCTCATGTAGGGGCCAGGAGACGGGGACTCAACGCAATACTGCGTAAGTAAATCTCCCTTTGGTGGTGTGGAGCAATAGCCCACTCTCACATTGTGTAGGTTTATTCCCCAATCTTACGCCAAAGTTTAAGTAGGTCTAGTGGTACACACTTCCGTCTACGCAATCCGCGAAAATGATATAAAATGTCATCCCATTTTCCCTTTCCCTCCCCATACGCCCGGCACATAACATCAATCACGAGTCGGGAGATCTTCAACGGCCGGCCCTCGTGGCCTGACGGCGGCGAATCTTCTCGGTGATGCGAGTGAGAGCCGATTTGATCTCGCCCTTTTCGAAACTGTCGACGTCGTAGTAGTTAGGGGCGATTTCCTGAGCGTAGTTAGCATCATTACTTCCACACCGACTGGAGGATAGGGGGAGGGGAGAACTCACAAGAAGCCATTCGGCCCTAATATTCGTCACCGTTCTCACGTACTGCTTGGTTGTAAGTACGAACTCGTTGTACACGACCCAATCGTACGGGCTCGTGACGACGGTGCCCGGGTGGATCATGACAAGCTGGTCGTCCTTCACCGTCTTGTACACCTTCGACGTCGAACTCTCACGCATGGCGACCTGCATGAAGAAGCCCGCGAGCAGGGCCCGCCGGATGTTGGTGTAGTAATCTTTGTCCTGAAACGGCGTGCTCATCAGTTCGATCTCGTGTATTTCCATGATGCGCTTCAGCTGCGCGCGCACGTTGTCCGCGCTCGACAGATGCCGGAAGGACAGGAAGTGCTCGTGGCACCACTTCTTGACGTCCTCGCCTGACTGCTCGGCGCCCTTGTACGCGTGGTAGGCGTTGAGAAGAGTCAGGTGGTCACCGTCGGGGTGGGCGAACTGCTGCTTCATCTCGTCGGCGCGCTTTCGCGCGTTGTTGGGGCGTACCCATATTTGCGGGACGGAGAGGAGGGAAGTGATGGAGAGAATCTCGTTAGAGCAGTAGAACTCCGGAGAGGAGATCAGCATGACGGCCAGGGCCGGATCGAGCGGGAACTCGGATGCCATGCCGCCTAGGGTGGTCAGCTCGCCGTCGTCGTCGAGGCAGGCGAGATAGTTGAGCTCCTCGAGGGCGCGCATCATGGTCTCGGGGGCTGGCGGATCCATGAGGTCGAAGTGCACCAAGTCTTCGACACCAAGTTTCTTTAGCTCGAGAACCGTGTTGGCTAGGTTGGACCGTAGAATTTCGGGGTACGTTTGTTCGATGAGCTCCTTCTTGAACGCGTTTTCCGTGTATAGCCTGAAGCATTTACCGGGCCGTGTACGACCGGCACGACCGGCACGCTGTTGTGCGGACGCCTTAGAGATGGGAGAGACGAGTAGTGACTCCACCCTTGTGCGAGGGTTGTAGATCTTTTGCTTGCTGAACCCGGGGTCCACGACGTAGACGATGCCGTCGATTGTCAAACTGGTCTCAGCAATATTGGTCGATACGATACATTTCCGGCCTGGCCGACCACCCTTCCGGGTAGCTGCCGGGGCTTTGTCGAAGATGCGCTGTTGCTGGTGCGGCGGTAGGGTACCATAGAGGGGGTAGACTGCCATGGGCCCTGCGTCCGACTCCCGGATCATGTCGTCGACCTCGAGGCCGATGCGGCGACAGGCGTCCTCGATCTCCTCTTCTCCTGTCAGGAACAACAAAATGTCGCCCTCGGGTTCGCCCGCATGAATCTGCAACACCGTCCTGACAGCAGCCTCGACATAATCCCGCTCCGGCTCAGGGGTATAGAAAATCTCGACAGGGTGCGTCCGGCCCGGTACAGCGAGCAACGGCGCGTTGAAGAAGTAGGTCTGGAACTTTTGGGCATCGAGGGTAGCCGACATGACGATGATCTTCAGGTCTTTCCTCCGCTCCGCGATCTGCTTGAGCAGCGCCATGAGAATATCAGTGGCGAGGGTACGCTCGTGGGCTTCGTCGAGAATGATACAACCGTACCTCGACATGTCGTGGTCGTGCATCGCCTCGCGCAGTAGCTGACCGTCTGTCATGTATTTTAATAGCGTCTTGGGCCCCGTTCTGTTCTCGAAACGGATGCTGTAGCCAACCTCCTCGCCAAGATCCACGTCGAGCTCGTTGGCGACACGTTGGGCGACCGACATGGCCGCCACTCTCCTCGGCTGCGTGCAGGCGATGAGCTTGCCGGTCTGGTGTGGCAGCTCGTCGTAGAGGACGTACTGCGGGATCTGGGTCGTTTTACCGGAACCGGTTTCACCGACGAAGACAAGAATTTGGGTCTTATGGTACATGTCGAGGAACTCTTGACGCTGCTTCTGCACGGGCAAGTCGCGGCGGGTCTTGAGGATATTGAAGTACTGTTGCGAATGAGGGTTGCCAGTCCATGGGTTGTTGTCTTCGGACTCGGCATTTGCCGCCTGCAGCGCCGTCGTCTTGTGGCGCTCGAAGTCATCGAGAGGTGACCTAAAGCCCTCATTGTCGCGGTCTTCCTTGTAATGCGCCAGGTAGGGGTTCCATTTCGCTTCCATCTTCGCGTCGCCGTCCGTCTTCACCCGCTTGTGGTCTTGAGTTCCCTCTCTCTCGACACTTGACCGTTTGAGATTCTTGGCCGAATCAATCATCGTTGTGGTGGGTATTCCGCAGGGAGTGCTAGGTTGTGATGAGCAAGAGCGAGTGAGTGACGCGGTTGATGATTGCTGCTTCCCTTTGCGGTCGCGAGGCTGCAGCTTTTTTCTGTTTTGGAGAGGCGGCAGCTGCTAGATTGGGCCAAACTTTTAGGTGGGGTGTCTAGCGATAAGCACTTAGACGGGCGAGATGACGGTTGGGCAGCTGGCAGCGCGTATCTGGTAATTACATATCTTACGCGACAGTCTGCCTCGCGATGTCGGTTAGACGAGGGCAGCAAGACCCCGCACTCCACAATTAGAGCCACAGCAGGACCCCTAAGAATTGAAATCAACAGTGAGCGGGTTGGGTGAGGAGGAAATTGTGAAATCGGGGCCTAGAGTTAGCAATACTCTGCACTACACCGTACCAAGAGCAGGACCCTATCCAGATTCGACGGGTGTTTTCTCACGAGACAGGTTTCTTTCTTTTCTATATCCACCATGGGTATATTCTCGAGTTGAACTCTCCCGTTTTAGTTTTTCGATACCCCCCCCTGGACCCCCGCTTGTGTGCCCCGCCAGGCAAAGGGTCCTTCCCTCTTGGAGTAACATTATTTTTCTCGGCCGATAGTATTTTACTACTATTTTACTTGCGGGATCCAGTCGTCACCATGTCCTCAAACTCGAGCCTCGATCCCGAGTCGGACAGCTTCGAGAGCCGGCCCGTGTTTTATATTGGGCAGCATGACTCGACTCGGAAGGAGGCGCTCACGGACGACCAATACACGCAGGTCCTAAACAGTGGAGTAAGTCCAAGTGCAGCATTCAGTTACAAGCAGATGCATGGCGCAAGGCCGACACTGACCCAATACAGTTCCGCTTCGTTACCGCACCCATCACCAACCAACATTTCTATGACCGGGTTGTGGATCTGCATAGGGGGTACCTCAAGGAGCGAGAGCAGTGGACAGGAAGCCAGCAACCCAACCCGTCTCTGCCGGGACCGGTTGTGCCGACTCTGACTGACAAGGACACCGCCTTGTACCCCAGCAACTACCTCAGCTCCCTTGCCCTGTACTGTAGTCCTTGGATCGACCTGTGCTCCCCTGACCCGCACATCTCGAGCATCTCGCGCCAGGTGCTGAACCTCGAGGCCGCGTATGCCAACTTCTGCGGCGCCAGGACGATCGTTGTCCCTGGCCCAAGACAGGATGACAGTGGCCGTGGCATCGCCCAGTATGCTCGGGCAATCCGGGAGGCAATGCATGTGGCAAACCGGGCCAACATCATCATCCACATGCCCATGTACCGGGAGCCTGGTCTAGAGGAGAAGGTGGAGACGCTTTCGTCTATCTTCAACCCGGGAAGTGGTCCGAAAGGAGAGGGCAAGAAGGAGGTCGACCTGTTCAGTGCCTGGGACTCCTGGAACACCGTTAGAACTGTGTGCAGCTACTCGATGCGGTTGTTTGTTGGTAAGCTTCGCCAGCCCCGGTCAAGTACCAGCATACTGACCTGTCTGCAGCCATCCGAATCCCCCGACGAGTACCCGAAAAGACTCTCCAGGAGCGGTGGTTTGCCGAGCCGCTGCATTACTTGACTATCAGCCAAGACATCTTCCAGCTTAATCGTGCTGGGCATCCGTCCCTCAGCAGACACCACCAGGAATTAATCAACCGCTACATGCGCTTGAGAAGCATCCCATGGCTGATGCTTATCGATGTTGGGCCCCGCCCAGAGGAGATCGCAAGCCCCATGGACCAGGCCGCCGCCGAATTCCCATCGCTCGCCGAAGCCAACCAGGCTCTTAAGGGGAACCGGGTGCCACGCACACCGGCCATGAACCCGCACGTAGGGTACATGAGGTACCTTGAGCGCCAGCAGCCTCCCTTCTCAGCAATGGAGACACCAGCCCTCACAAGCTTCCAGGATTGGCTGCAGCCGCCTCTGCAGCCATTAGCTGACAACCTCGAGTCGGCAACCTACGAGGTGTTTGAGGGCGACCCGGTCAAGTACGACCAGTACGAGAAGGCCATAACTGAGGCCATGATCGAGTGGAGGGAGCTAAAGAAGCCAACATCAACGGCAACCCCGGAAAATCCTTCCAATCCCGAGCTCGTGGTTACCGTCGCTGGCGCTGGGCGTGGGCCTTTGGTGTCGCGTGCGTTGCGTGCTGCCAAGAGCACTGGCACGCCCATCCAGATCTGGGCGCTCGAGAAGAACCAGGACGCCTATGTTTACCTCCTGAGGAAGAACAAGGTGGAATGGGACAACAAGGTGACCCTCGTCAAAACGGACATGCGCGGCTGGGAGGGCCCGCGCCTCAAGGGCAGAGAGGACGTGATCGGGAAGGTCGACATCCTTGTGACGGAGCTTCTCGGCTCGTTTGGCGACAACGAGTTGTCGCCCGAGTGCCTCGACGGCATTCAGAACCATCTCGCACGCCCCCACGGCATCTCGATCCCGCACTCCTACACCGCCCACCTCAGCCCTATCTCCACGCCCCGGCTCTTTGCCGATATCAGCTCGCGCGTTGTCGGCGATCCCAACGCTTTCGAAACGCCCTGGGTCGTCCGCCTCTTCGCCCTCGATTTCGTCGCGCAGAAGGTCCCCGACCACCCGCGGTTCCAGCAGGCCTGGGAATTCGTGCACCCCATCGACGTCCTCCGCGCCGACGAGTTCGCGGCGGTGCACGGCAAGGCCGCCAAGTACGTCACGGGCGGCCTCGGCAGCATGTCCGGCACGAGCGGGACCAACGAGCACAACGCGCGGCACTGCCACCTGACGTTTGTGTGCCCCACGCGCGGCGTCATCCACGGCATGGCCGGCTATTTCGAGTCGGTGCTGTACGCGTCCCAGACGGGCGCGGGCAAGGAGCCCGTCGAGATCAGCATCCTGCCGGATCAGATCGATCGCAAGAGCAGGGACATGATCTCATGGTTCCCTATTTTCTTTCCGCTCAAGGTACGTGCTCGTTTCCCCGAAGTGTCAGGGCGGCGTTTGTATGCTAACGTGTCATGTCATGATAGAAACCGCTCTACTTCCCGCAAGATACCGAACTCGAGGTCAGCATGTGGCGGCAGACGGACGACACCAAGGTGTGGTACGAGTGGTTGGTGGAGGTATATGCTTGGGTGGGCCCGAACACGCGGATCAAGGTTGGGACGTCGGATCTGCATAGCAGCCGCAAGGTTGCCTGTTTGATGTAGAGGCTCAAATTTCAGGTCGGCCTAGTGAGGGTTGTTAGCGCCCCTGGATGCTTGATGGCTCGAAGGGACGCCAACCTCTTTGGACTGCGGCGTGGGAAAAGTAGCCCATGCCGCAACATTGCTGCTTTGCACACACATCTCTTTCTCTCCTCCCATGGCCTTCTTGAGTGTTCCTTTGACACCATGTCATCCATCGGAAATGTACGTCATCGGCTCCCGCTCGTATTCTCTCGCGAAGAGGCCCTGATAAACCCCCCCCCCCCCCCCCCCCCCCCCCCAAAGCTTCCTCCTCCCTCCAACGTTGCCGCGATATCCCTCCCCAGACTAACTTCTCACTTTCAGCCCTCCATCTTCGTATCCCGATCACCTTCCCCGCCCTTGTCGGTCGCCGCCGTCACGTACAGCACGTTGTTGCACCGTATCAGCACCTGCCCCAACGCCCCCGTGAACTTGCGGTCGATGAACTCCTCCGTGTTGCTCAGCTGGATGTTCATGTAGCTGTCGATGCTCTAAAGACGTTGCCCCCGTTAGTATCTAGAACCTCTATATCCTTTTATCTTTCCACACATCAAGGCAGAAAGTGCCGGGATAGGCTGCCTGTGTGTGGATGGATGGATATACGCACCACCAGTCTCCCCTTGTACTCGGTCTCGCCCCACTTCAGACGCACCACCACGTCCTTGTTGACCAGGTCCTGCAGGAAGGGCCGCGGGTTGACGGGGACGAAACTCATGTTGCGCAGGTGGTTCTTTTATGGCGGACCGAAGATGTATGGGTGGGTGGGGGTGGTTGTCGGCGGGGCGGGTTGGTCGTCAGTTAGAGGCCGGGTTTGATCTGCCGCCTGAGGATGAGAGATTGGGAATCTCTCGTGATGACCGCGCAAATTATATGGCGAGGCGGTCCTTGGTCTCGATGGCGTGGTCGTTGTCTTGGGTCTATCGGAGAGGTGAACGAGACGCGGCGCGCGGAGTTGTGGTGGATGGAGCTGGCAGTTGATGGGCTGGGAATTTTTGGCTTGGCAGATGCAACAGCGGGCAGGCAAGCTGGTTGAGCCTCACAGCTGGCGGCAAGTGATGACAGCTGTGGGGCCTCTTTCACAGCCAGCACCGGAGAACTCGAACCAGAAAACGGGAACCATTTTATTCACTATGCTTTCGACTGTTGTGAGTTGACTTTTATTTTTTTGTAATTATTGAAATGCAGGACTCTGCGTATTGTACAGTAAATAATGTAGCGAGCGTCATTACATGAAATATAAATCCCGACCGACAATAAGGTATAAAAGTCAAACACTCCTCCCACATCCGTCTATCCAAGCCAAAAGTACAAACCATAAAGATCCAAGAAACGTATCCTGCGAAGGGTATCTAGACCAGTGCCGAAGGCAAATCCATCCCTGCTGTCCTCCTCCTCGTGGGTTGGCTGTGTCTGGTGGTATAAATAAACAAATAAATATGTGAGCGTATGTGCAGGTAGGGGGGGTATCGTATGAAACCAGAGTCCAGGCTCGCCATCGACGCCAACCAGACTCATAAAATAAAGGATCAGGTTCGTCAATGGCGATTTGTTGCCGTCACCCCCGGCCACGCCTGGCCGCGCGCGGACAATCATACCTGCCCGGCCCGAAGATCGTGAAAAAAGTGAAACCCGCCACCGTGTGCCGGCAAACCAGGCAGGTTTCAATCAAGATCGACCCCTCTTCAACCATATATTAAATCCAAGGCATCGGCATAGTCGCGCCCCGAGCCTGCCTGTCAGTCCACCCGCTGCTCTCTGACTCGGGGGACGCTCTGTCCCGCAAGGACGCTTCACTGGGCGCCTCCAGCTCGACCACTTGACAGCCTGCCGGTACCACACTATCTCGAGACACTCCCATAGTCGGTGTCGTCTCGAAGGCGGGGGACATGGACAGGTGTCGTTTCGAAATAGACGTCGACGGTCGCCGCGGCGAGGCCGCCTCGTTCGAGAGCTCAAAGGGCGGTGGCACTGCGCGATAAGGGAGCGGTGACGCCGATAGTTCCTTTGGTGGGACTGGAGGCGGTATAGAGGATCGTTTCCTCGACCTACTTTTCCTCCGCCAGCGCAGAAAGAAAAAGAGTCCTATCGCGCCCGCGATGAGGAGGGCTGCTATAGCGGAACCGACGCCAATGCCAATCGCTGCGGGGGTGCTGACGCCGTCTGAGGACGAGGAAAATTGAGTCGGCGCAGCGAGGTGACTCGAGATGGTTAATGGAGGTGTGCGGCTTATGACCAAGAAGCCCTTTTGAGGTGAGTTAGATGAACAATCTCCCTCTCGGTTGCAGCGCACTCACAGGGTCATCGATTTTCGGCACCGGCGTGGGATCGGTTGATTTGAAGCGGACTTGGATGCCGTGGGCCGTGATGGTATTCGATGGTTCCGTAACCACCGTTGTGGTGCCGACCTCGCCGTCTGCCACGACCGTTACCCCGAGGACGGCCTGGGCGGCCGACCATGCTGTCGTGCATTCTATCAAAGATTGACCGGACGAGGTGGAAGCTTGGCAAGTGTAGTCGAAGTTACTGCAAGGCACCCAAACTTTAGCTCACTATTCACATGTTACGCAGACAGATTCGCGAGCGGCTTGACCCACGTCGGACAGCATATGACGGCCGTCTCCGTCACGGTGCCGGCGGATGCAAGGCTTGAGCAGCCAGTTGTGTATCCGTACGGACACCAGCCGGGCGAGTAGTAATTCGTTGGCGCAGGATCGTAGCCACTGGGGAAGCAACCAGAGTCCGAGGTGAAAAGGGGCCCCTCGACATAATGCGATTCGCTTTCAGACCAAACTTGATACAGTTGTGGAGTGGTAGTTGTGCAACTTGACGGGGCCCGAAATGTCGTTGTCAAGGCGCCGACGACCGTCATGGTTGAGTCGTCGTGTGCATCGGGCAATCGTCGTCGCTAAACCACCACTATCCAGCAGCTGTTGGCCTCGAGAGAATTGTTGGACGCGGCTGAGGATAATGGAATGGAACGGTGAAAGAAAACCGGAAAGATTGAAGTTCGAACCAACGGCGCAATCTCCGTAGGCTCGAGAAGCTGTGCAGTTTCCGGGGGTTTCCAGACTCAACAATACGCGCCTCACTCTTACTGTGCTTGATGCAGGCGAGGACCAGCCACTCCTTCAGGTTGGGGTCCGGAGGCGGCGCGGCGCTGTTCTCGAAACTTGTCCTGGTCTTCTGCAGGAACAAGCGACAGCCACTTCCCCCGGGGAGAAGCGTTCCCCCTCCAAAAAGCTAAGACATGTTTGCTGAGACAGTCCGCCGCCATTTCGGCAACTTCGTGGCCCTGTCATTCACCGCCCGCAGCCGCTTGAACTGAATTGGTCCCAAAGCGGCAATCGCACCAATAACGGGGGTTGGGGTCGGGCTGAGGTTGCTGCGACCGCGTTGCGCACTCAGCTTGATTTGATCCAGACGCCAACTGCCATTAGGGCGGTTTCAAGTGACGACGGAGACCATCACCGCCCGACTCGCCGGGACGGTGCCGTTGGCGGCGCGGCATGTCACCGGACGGTCCAGTCCTACGGCTGGGATGGATGTTGGATGTGTGTGGAGCGGGCTCAAGCTGCGCAGCGGATTTGAGCACAAAAAAGCACTCGGCAGCAATGCAGGAGTGCTCAACTTCGCCCCTTGCCTGCTGCTTCTGCCTGGTCGAGCTGAGAAACACCCTTTGCGAACGTATCCCATCAACATGGAACCGAGTCGCACCCGAATTACTTCGCGTTGGCAGTTCTCCTGACCAGGTTGGAGATCGGCATCGTCAAAGCCGTTTCGTTGCTCTCTCCGACGGGGATGCAATCGCGAGAACCAACAACGGCGAAAAAACTCCGGGGTGAGGTCCAACAGACTACACAGTCCACACAGACGGCTGCGCCGATCAATTAGTTGGTTTGGGGAATGATCTGAGAGTGTCTGCAGTCGCACAATACCCTTGGTATCATGTTAATAAGATCAAAGTTGAGTTGAGCTCAAAGGCTGGAGTTGCACAGACATGACAGGACGACTTTGGATTTACGGGAGCGAGAACGGAAATCCGATGCTCGAGCTCTTGGGGCAGGTCTGAGTGGCTCCACTTCATGATCCTTGTAGAGGGACCCACTTCCAGGTTTCTACCAACGGAGAATCGCTGATGAAGCAACGAAGCAACCTCCATCCCGTGGCGTTTAAGAGCAATTAGGTACATACATACATCCATATATGGTACCCATTTAGCGGTCTAATCATGAAATCCACAGCATTCGTATCCATGGGCGGTATCGTATCCCCGACCCTGCATGCCGCTTGGTAATAATCGCAGCTTTGGCCCACAATCGGGCCCCCCGAAGCGCCTTCCTGCTGCGAAGCTGAACTTGAGAATTCGAGGAATGCCTGCGTGAGTGCCCAGTAATCCCATTCCTGATCATTCGATGCCCTGCGAGAAGCTGGAAGGAGTGATCCGTAGAGGCAGGAGTGATAACAGGCACAGTAGTTTGTGAGTACCGAACCTGGGGTTGGGACTCTCTTCCAACCGAGTATCCAACATTGTTCAACCACCTCCGATCGCTTCCATCCCGAATCACATTCGTTAAACGTGTCTCTACATTCCATTCATCGGCTCGCTTTCATCCTCCGCTTCGGGGCCCTCTATAGCATTAATATAGCCCCCCACAGCCATGGCTGCCCTGTCGGCCGCCCTCGCGCTGCTGGCATCAACCGCCTTGGCCGGACCCAGCAATGAGCACGTGTGGTCATCGGCCACCTAGGTTATGTACGGTGACCACACACCGCTCGCCTTGCCAGATCCGGTCCTTACCCCCCTTGGGGCAAACCAGATGTACGAACAGGGCACCGCCTTTCGAGACCGATACATACGCCCCTCTCGCCATGACCGGCACGTTGGTATCGTGGGCATCACCTCCAAGACCCTCGACAGCCCGCAGCTCCATGTGGAGTCATCCACCGACCGCTGCTCGTCCGCAAGCGCCCTGGCTTTTATGCAGGGCCTCTACCCACCATTCCCACACGTGTCATGCGACTCGGACGTCCCTGGGCATAATTGGATGTCTAACGGCTCGGTCCTGAACTATCCCATGGGTGGGTACCAGTACCCTAACATCAGGACTGTCGCCCCTGACCGTGACCCGGACTCAATCTGGTGCGTGTAGGTTCTGGCCCTATTCTACGAATGCCGGTCACTGAATCTGTCACAGGACCCATGGTCATGATCTATGCCGCAAGCACGAGCAGTCGATGCTTATGTTTTCGGACAACAGCTTGGCTGGTTCGCTCCATCATGGTAGCAGGTTATTCTACGGCAGCCTCTGGGACAAAGTGTTTTGCGAAGCATTCCCCCGCTCGCAAGCCAACTTTTACAATGCCCACGAGCTATACGACTACGCCATGTATCGCTGGAACCACGAGAACTCACGATCAGCCATAACCTCGAATGACCTGAAGACATTGCGGCATCTTGCGTGGCAGGAGCAGGCACTCAGACATGGTCACTCGGCCAATAACACTCAGAACGACTTGACCTCGGCGATCGCCGGCCGCACGCTCGCCTCCAGGGTCGCGGCCCTGTTTGCCGAAAACATTGAGACCCGGGGTGAACGGAACAAGTTAAATCTCGCCTTCACTTCCCACGAACCTTTTCTGAGTTTTTTTGCCCTGGCAGACCTCAACACCGGAACCTCTAGTCACTTATTCTCGCAGCTCCCTGAACCCGGTGCGACGTTAACCTTTGAGTTGTTCTCGGTAGATGAGACGGTTGATTCGCACGAACCCGAACCTTCCACCATCTCTGATAACTATAACTCTGATTCCTCTAGCAACGACACATGCAGTCAGAGCAGCTCGTACGGCAAGACACCGGGACCCTGCAGTGCCAAAACCCGCCGTAGCTGTGACGACGACTGCACAACCACCTGCGACCAGGAAAGCACGGGGGCCTACTCCATTCAGTTACCTCCTCAAGAACCCCTATATGTCCCGCCCTCAGTCCACCACAACCCACCCTACCCCCCGACCGACAAGCTCTACGTCCGCTTCCTCTACCAAACTAACGACCGCAACAACAGCACCGCCGCGAACGAATACACCGCCTGTCCTCTCTTTGGCAACACCCACACTTTGATGCCCTTCAGGCACTTCAACGCGACCATGGCAGCCATCGGCATCGCCAACGCGACGAGCTGGTGTCATGTGTGTGAGAGCACCAACACGGTATTTTTCTGCAAGGGCGCTGTCGTGCCCCACGACGGGCACCACCATATACTTGCCGTGCTGCTCGGGTCGGCAGGCACGCTGCTCGCAGTGGCCGTCGTGTTGACAATTGTTGGGCTTCTGACATGAGTCTATGATGGGGGGAAGTGGGGGGTGGAGGTTGTGCTGGGTTTGGACGGGGCAGTTAATGGATGGTGATGACCATGCTGTGGTTGATGGACTCGACAAGGCTAGGGCTATGTTTGGGCTAGGGATACGGCATGACTGCTGGTTCTTGTCCTAGGCTTGTATGTATTATTATTCGGTTTCATGTCGTAGTGTACCTAGGTAGTATCCGTAAGAGAATATACGCTCTCATCGTTCGTAATAAGTATTTGATATAGCTGTGATAATTGGCCCCACGCCTATAGCTAATCGACATCGCTTACTGACTCGGACTCGCCGCCTCTATCTGCCACACCCGCCGGCGTCCTTGACCAGATAAGGTGTCACCCCCTTTCCCAAATTATGGTTTTGAGAGAAACATATAAATTAGATTGAAACGATACTCTTCTTTTGATCCGCCCACATAATTGGCCCCACGCCTATAGCTAATCGACATCGCTTACTGACTCGGACTCGCCGCCTCTATCTGCCACACCCGCCGGCGTCCTTGACCAGATAAGGTGTCACCCCCTTTCCCAAATTATGGTTTTGAGAGAAACATATAAATTAGATTGAAACGATACTCTTCTTTTGATCCGCCCACATGACGTGACGAAATAACTAGTCTGGTTTCCTCGCCGCACTGCCCCCGCTTTCCGATGAACACTCGGGGTGGTCTCGTGCTGCTGTGTGACGAGCACCGTGCCGCAAAGGAGGTGTCACGAAGGAGTGGCCGCGATGTTTCTGAAGCTGCTGTGTGGCACGGTCACGGCGAGGCCGATAGGTCGTGATATTGGTGCTTGGTGCTCTTGGTAGTTGGGGTAATTGGGGTAACTGGGAGGGGAATTGGGGGCGGTTGGGGTAGTGCAAAGTTGGGGTAGCTTCCGGGTTGGGACGGGGACAGAATGGGGGAGAACCTGAAGGGTTGGAGGACTGGAGGCTGAGTTGATCCAAGGCTCGGTTTTTTCCCTCTAGGGAGCTTACTGGCGTGGGTGACAACATGCGCCTTATGAAAGCTGCCTATTATGTATATGGATGTACTGTGTAAAATGTATGAACCATATTTACAACCATCAAAAGAATAGATGAAAAGCCAGGCGTTTGATCTGTTGCAGTAATTAACACGAACACCAACGCATGCCGAACAATGCCCCGTGATAACCAAGTAAACCAAACCCCAAACATTTCCAGTCTTTCAAACAGAACACAAGCCAATTCCAAAACGCCAGCCAATGCAGACGACACAACAATATGGAACCTAACATCCAATCTCTACCACGAACCAGCCCTCCCTCCCACCTATCTACACCACAATCCCCCTCTGCGCCCACCCATTCCTCCCCTTCCACGCCCACAGCACCAGCCCACAAGCGACCCACACACTCGCAGCCATAGCCCAGAAAGCCGGCGCGTAGCACTCCTCGCCGTAGCACAAATTATCCTGCTCACCACCACCACCACCGGGAGACGGCGCGGCGCGGTCGGCGGCGCCCTGGTAGACGGCCGAGTAGACCAGGCCCCAGAAGGTGGCGCCGAGGGCGGGGAACATGGCGACGATGCCCCAGTTGGTGGCGAAGTTCTCGACGCCCCAGATGACGGTGATGATGATCGGGGTCAGGCTGAAGACGGCGCCGTAGCCGGCGCCGACGAGGCCCGACACCACCCAGAAGCGGTCGCCGTGGTTCTGCACGATGCCCGATGCCAGGCCGGCCAGGCCGAGGGACAGCAGGGCGGCGAAGAAGAGGAGGAAGGAGACGCGCGAGATGGAGAAGCCGCGCGCGGAGAGGAGGCCGCCCCGCGGGGTGGTGGTGATCTGCACGTGCTGGGCCTTGGGGCTGGGCGCGAGCAGGTCGGTGAGGGTGCCGGTCAGCAGGCGGACCGCGGTGCTGGTGATGCCGACGATGGAGACGTGCGTCGCGGCCGAGGTGGGTTTGCCTTCGTAGTGGAGGGTTGGTGGGTAGAGGGTCTTGATGACGGTGCCCATGTTGTTGATGAAGGCTTCGCCGGGGCCGATCATGAGGAAGAAGCCGAGGGCGAAGCACCACATGGTGTGGTCGGTGAGGAAGCGGCGGGTTTCGGCGTTGAGAACCCATTGCTTCTTCAGCCGGGCTTCCTCCTCCGCGGGGTCCTTGACATCCTCGAGCTCGTCGAAGGGGTTGCCCCGCTCCACCGCGCCGTAGCCCTCTACCCTCCCAGGCGTAAACATGACGCTCCCATCCAGTATCCCACTCCGCTCCAGCTCCTCCACCGCCTCCTCAATCAGGTCCTTCTCGTCCACGATCCTGAGTCCAAACGCCCCGATCACACCCACAACCACCAGCAACACGGCGAGAAACACAAAAAGCTTCACCACATCCACCTCCCCATCCTCGGCGCTCGGGTCCCGGTTCAGAAACAAGTGACTCCCCAACTGGCTCATCCACATCCCACTCAGCCCAAACGCAGCAATCGGCAGCGCCACCGCCAAACCCCTATGCTTCCCGCGCCCAAAGTTCTTCGCGCACGTCGCCACAGCACCCATATACATCGCGCAAGTCCCCACCCCAATAGCCACGAACGCCAACACCATCAACCCATACCAGTCACCGGCCCCCCCACCCGCCGCCACCGCAGCCGCCGCGCGCCCGTACGCCGCCGCGGCGCCCGCATACCCGGCCCCAAACATGCCCGCCGCCAACACCGACAAGGGCGCGGGCCCGGCGCGGTCGCACAGGTAGCCGAGCAGGGGCACGGGCGCGTACATGGCGACGGACGCGGCCGAGGCCAGGCCGTTGACCTCGAACTGGGTGTAGCGCAGGCGGGCCTGGAAGATGTGGCCGTACAGCGAGAAGATGGTGATGGAGCCCGCGCAGAGGGAGGATAATAAGGCGGCGAAGAGGGACGTGCTGCGGATGAGCTGGGTTTTTTGGGCGAGCGTTCGGCGCGGGCTGGTGGTGCTGCTGGTGGTGCTGTTGTTGCTGCTGCTGTGGAGGGAGCTGAGGGTGGAGGCGCGGCTTGGGGTGGGGGATGCGGAGCGCGCGGCGCGGAGGAGGGGCGTGGTTTCGGGGCTGTTGCCGTCGGCGTCGGGGTCGTCGCCGGGGGTGGCGGGGCGGTTGGGGATGGAGGGCATCGCGGCGGCGGTGTGGTGGTTGTCGGGAAGGGAGATGGTTGAACGACGAGTCACTCGATGACTGCCAATGTGTCAGAGTCGAGGTAGGTTCGGGTTGATGGCCTATACGGCCGTTACGGATCGGGTTGGTTAGGGTAGGCTGGCTTGCATGTTCACCACAGTACGGCGGAATGCAACCATCGACCGACGCGGGTGGAAAGATGGCACGCGAGTTGGAGGATTGAAGAAGCGGTCGGTGCCCAGATGATGTCTGACCCGGGATTCCGGGGTGTTCGGATCCGAAACCGCAGGGTCCTGGGGACACTGCAGCCTCGCAGATGACCTCAGAGGTCCGTGCATAAATAGGCAGACTATGCGGCCTTGCCTATTTCGGTTCTGATTTGGATCTCGTTCACTTTGCCCATGTTTATTCCCAATGAAAACGGCAATCACAGGGCGGAAAATAGCCCGATGAACGGTACAAAATACATTATTGGATTCCATGGAATGAAAGCGTCGGTGGTGTTGAGGTTGTTGCCTTGGTTTCACCCTCTCAAGGTTAAAGTACCTACTGTGTCGATATGATTATTCTCGCCCGTCATCGGTTCACACTTCCAAAAGACAAAAATAACCAAAAGACAAGACTTTTCAAATAGGTATTTTAGATCGACATTAACAAGATGACCATCACCCCCGTCGTCGCCCGCGATTTCCCCCTCACCCACGCCATACCCTTCCTGAAATCATCACCAACCTTCTCCTTATTATCTCTCGCCTTCTCTAGCCCACCCATGCGCAAGCCGCCGGGCAGCAGCAGCCACATCAGCAGAATAAACAGCAAGATGGCCAACACGACCGGCTGCAGCACCTCGACGCCCTTGCTCTGCGCGATGGCGCCGACAGCAAACGGGAACAGCGCGGCACCACCACCGCCAAAGGCCGCCGCAAAACCGATGGCCGAGACGTGGTAGTCGCGCGGCAGCAGCTTGGTGGCGGCGACGACGGCGGCGGGGAAGAGGGGGCCGAGGAAGAAGCCGAGGAAGGTGACAAAGGTGGCCGAGGCAGCAAAGTTGGGCACCAGCCAGTACAGCAGCTGCAGGGCGACCGACAGCAACAAATAAACGGCGATGGCCAGCTTCTCGCCGATCTTGCCGGTCGCGAAGCCCAGCACGACGCGGCCGACCGTCAGCCCCAGCCAGAAGAAGGTGGACGTCAGGCCGGCCATGAAGGGCGCGGCGTGGCGCACGCGCAGCATGAAGGTGGTGATCCAACCGCCCAGCGACACCTCGGCGCCGACGTAGCCGAGCAGGAACAGGGCGACGAGCCAGACGACGGGCGACTTGAGCACGGTGCGCGTGGTGGTGCGCGCCGCGCCGTTGTTGGCCTCGAGCATGGCGGCGCGGTGGACCTTGGCGGTGGCGCGCCAGAAGGCCGGCACGGTCAGGAAGAAGGCCAGGCCGTCGGCGCCGATCATGACGTAGTAGAAGGCGTACCACGGCAGGCCGGCGCGGGTGACCATGGCCGTGGCGATGAGCGGGCCGATGGTGGCGCCCAGCCCGTACGCGCCGTGCAGGAACCCCAGCAGCTCGTTGGCCCGGTGCATGTTGCCGACCCAGGCGTTCCACGCCGAGTCCTGGATGCCGTTGCCGAAGCCGGTGAAGAGCAGGATGACGGGCAGCGCCGGGTACGGGGGGTGGAAGACCAGCGGGACGATGCCGATCAGGCGGGTGACGGGGCCCAGCACGGCGACGCCCAGCTGGCCGAAGTAGTGGTGGATCAGGTTGTTGAGGAGGGCCGCGAGGAGGTAGCCGACGAAGGGGGAGAGGAAGACGAGCGAGACGACGGTGTAGCTGATGGAGTAGTACTCTTCGATCTGTGGGGGCGGTTAGTTGGCATAAAAGGGGTCGGCAGGTTTGGTGAACGATGGCTAGGGCGAAACATACGTATGGGAGTAAGGCCTGGTGTGAGGGTCAGTCAAGGCTGCTGGTTGTTTATTTGGGTTGGGGGGGGGGGGGGGGGGGGGGGGTGGGTGAACATACGCCGAGTGCACCGTCTGTCATGCCCATCAGGACGAAAGTGTAGTTGGTCGCAACATAACGGAAAATATTGAGGGGTGAGTCGTTCCATCGCTGGAGTTTTATGGACGGCTGCGAAGAACCGGGCCCCGACTCCTCGTCTGTGGCATCCCCAAGGGGCACTACCTTTTCGGGGTCCTCACAACCATTCTGGGTAGTATCCGAGTTGATGGGTTGCTCGTGCTTGGTCGGGCCATCAGAGGCAGCGACGGCCATGATGAACTCGGCTGGGCTGGGCGTGCTGGGCGTGCTGGGCCTGGCGTGGAATGAATCCTAAAATCGGGCAGGTAGGCACTCAGACACGATTCAAGAAAAGTCTTCTCGGGTGAAGCTATCGCCAAGGGTGTGATCCCGTTTTATATAAGAGCAGTTGGCGCCCCACCCCGTTCCTCGCGCGGCGCGGTGCTCCCCGATCAAGACGTCCGAATCCTGGCGGCTGCCTCTCGACTACCGACATGCGAAGGGCGCAACAATTCCTCATCTGGGGGGTCCCGCAGGGCAGCAGAGCAAGTAGGGCATGCCACAAGCGGTCAAGCGGCGGGAAGGCATGTCCGGTACTCGTCGAAAGGCTAGACAAGGGCTAGGTGCAAGCAAGTACTTGGTATGTTTGAAGGGCATGGAGAGGGTCAGGGCAGGGCATGGAGGGCCAGACCGCGGGCTCCAGACTGCAGACCCGTGTGCCATTCCGCTGTTGGTTGTGGGTCGTTATTCCCGGCACCCATGATGCCAAAGTGGAACACTGGCCCCATTGCCGCGCCCGCACAAAGCTTCCTGCACTGATGAGGGGGCCGCGGCGGCGGCTTGGCGAGGTCCTCGGTGCTCTCTCCCCCACCCCGAAGATCAACCGCCGGGCCGCATCTACCGCCACCCGGGAACGGCAACTCCGCATCCCCTCCACACAACTCCGCCATTTCAACAACCATTTCAACGTCCACATGACCAGCTTCACTTTTCATCTGCAACCAACATGCTGCATCCCTATCTCACCGGGGACCATCACCAAAACGACGTAATTCGTATCGAGGCACCGGTCTGACTCTTCCTTCCTCAGGCCCACCCAAAATGAGATATCCGATGGCACCTCCTCCACTTCCTCTGCACCTACCGTTCCATTCATCACGGTGATGGCCTCGAGCTGTGACTCAACTCGCTCAACTCGCCGTGTGGGGAGTAATTGGGCATCTTTTACCCCGGCCGGATTACAAACAGAAAACGAGGAAAAGGACAAACCCCCGAATCTCGAGTCCGACTTGCGGTGTGTGGGGGACTCCACCGTGCGCTCCGTCTTCGACTGGAAACTCCGCTCCACTCCGCTCCGGTCCCGCTCCGTGGTCTCTTCCGACCCCCGGATCCGATCGCTCGAACGCCGGGTTCTTGACGTCAACTTCAACGAGGCCGCAGGCCGGTTAAGGCTGCTCCGGTGCGCTATCTCGCAGTTGACGATTACTGAGAAGATGTTCGTCTTGACATCACTGCTCTGAAGCAAGCCGATTTTGAAAAGGCTGCCTTTTGGGTAATTTCATCGAGCTTGTCTTGGGGTTGGTTGTTCTCTATTTCCTCCCGAAAAAGTGCTGTTTGACGTCAGCCGACGACGTTGTGTTACCCCCAGTCTTAATCGACCGAGGTAGCTTTGAGCCCACTGTGTCCCGGGCATATAGGTAGGTTCGGTTTTGGGGACCGACCTTCAAGTTAGCCTTTACCAGGGGCCGCCTGGTCGAGTGGAATTGCGCTGCGCTCAACGCAGTACGGTTACCTAGAACTGCCGGGTGCCCATGCGTGGTATGGCAGACAAGACGGTTTCGTAGGCGGCCTGGCGCTGGGTTTGAGTCGGACCCGGGGCAGCCAGGCCGCTGAGCTTTTGCCTTTTTTGCCCTCTTTTTTGTCAACACCGTTTCCGCACTGGACAGGATGGAGGACCGCTCATGGCCGGGTATGCGCATTTCGAGGCTTCGGGTAGGCTTCAAAGGCCTAGATTCCCTGAGGCCTATGGTACGGAGGTGTCTGGGCGGTGCCCGCCAATCTCACCTTCCGCATCGGCGATGATGGGGGAGTTGGTTAGTTTGCGCCCGTCCTCCACCACCCGGGTCCGATGCTAGCTTGTAGGTCTCTTGCTTGTTTGTGACTTTGACAAAACGAGAGTGTAGGGTGTGAAAAGAGTGTGATGTTGATGGCCTGAGTCCCTAGCCAAACCACGGGCTTGTGGAATTATGTGACCGTTTGTATTTTCGATGAACACACTGGATTCCTTATAGCCTGGAGAGGAAGGATAGGTGGTGAGAGAGCAGAGGATGACTATTACATTCCTCGACTAGCACTTAGAGATCACCTTCATGCTGACTTTCTTCACCACCGACCTTGTCAACTACAAAAGTCACCATAGGCTGACATCGAGAGTTCTGTGTTGGCGGGGGCAGTACCTCATTAGAGGACGAGACAACAGGTACTATCGCTAGCAGAACAACTTCCCGGCATATCATCCAACGTGTCAAGTGTGAGAAACTCTATGAGGATGCAATTTTGGACTATTATACAGCCAACCCTTTGGCAGGGCGCCCAATTGCCCAAGCGCTCTATGCTCTATGTGAAGCATTCTCGCCCGAGACCAAACAGAACCAGATCCCGCCCTAGAGTTCACAAACAAAAGAAAAAGGGACCAAGCCTTTTAACCCCCACAAGTCCGCGCGAAAAAAATGCCAGATGCACCCTCTGTCGTGTGATGTTTTGGTTTTGGCTTCAGCAAGCTACGCAAGGGGGGCTTGCACGGCATGTTGTCTCCACTGCCAGGCCCACTCTTTGCCGCTGCCCCCGACATCTCAAAACATACCCCTGTCCATCAGCCCCTCCATCCCTCCTCAGTACCAAATCCTAGATCATGATGGCGTTTATTTGCCGATCTCGACGCCGCCGGTAGCTGTAACCACACATAATTAGTTTATGAGTCCCAATAATGGGGGAAAGAACTGGAGAAGAGTAGAGAAGTACGTACCGCCGAGCATCTTCTTGACGTCGCCGTAGATGGCGAACTGGCCGGCAGTGAGGGTGCCGACCATGAAGAGACGGGCACCGATACCGGCGTAGGAGCCGCGGAGACCAAGCTCCTTGGCGATCTTGATCAGGCGGGAGGTGGTACCCTCACCAGGGGCACCCTTGGTCTTGTTGATCTTGCTGAGCATGGTGTCGGCGGGCTGCGAGACGATGGCGGCGGCGAAACCGGCCATCAGACCGGAACCAAGGTTGACGACGGTCTGCATGCCGTCGGACAGGTCCTTCTTGGGGAAGACGCGGAAGACGGCCTCGGCGACCTTCTCGTACACGACGAACTTGGTCATGGTGTAGGGGATCCTGAGTCCTGCGTAAGTACCTACGCGTGCGCAAGGCAAAAGAAGGCGGGGTCCCGGGTCCCCGGTGGAACTTACTGCTTGAACAGAATGGGGCCGAAACCGGCGTAGAAAGCGCCGATACCCTCCTGCTTCAGCATCTTGCCGAAACCGCTGACGAGACCGCTGGCGTAGGTGGGCTCGGAGACGAGACGGATACGGGTGGCCTCAAGAGGGCAGAGGGCAATGTCGGCGAAGAACTCGGCGAGGGCAGACGAGGCGAGGTAGACACCTGTCCGGTACTTGGAGGCGTTCTCGTAGCCGAGGTAGTTGATCGACTGCTGCTTGAAGAACTCGTAACCGCCGAACTTGAAGGCACCCTGCAGGAAGTAACCGGCGAAGGTAGGGCCGACACCAGTGAGAAGGGCACCGGCACCCTCGGCCTGGACGACCTTCTTGAAACCGCCAATCATGCCATTGTTGTAGGTGACAGGGTCGAGCTGGATACGAGTCTTGACGCTGTAGGGAGAGTTCACCAGTTAGTCGCGAGTGATTTTGAGTAAACACCGGGACTCTCGGCGCGTGCTACGACATTATGCGCGGAGCCCGTGAGGGATAGGCACATACACATCGACGGGGGTCATGCCACCGTGGGTGACGGAGCAGCAGATGGCGCCGGCGAGGGCGAATCTGGAGTAGAGCTGGACGCCGCTAAGCTGCGGTGCCGGAGTGTTGACCTTGGCAGCCATTTTGTCTGTTTAGATATTAAGGAGGTAAGAACTGAGTGGAGTTGTTCTTGACGCTCGGAGGATATCGAGGGTCGGGCGTGGGGGGTCAATTGGGGCCTGGTGAGAGGATTCCGGTGTGGTTGGCAGTGAGCCTTTTTGGAAAAAGTGAGGTACGGAAAGGGTGGCTTAAGTTCGGGAAAAGGGCCTTGAAAAAATTGACCGGTAAATCCCGGATACACGGGGAGGGCGATGCACGGGCCAACAGCCTGAAATCGCGGCTTGGCTCTCTTGGTTCGCTTGGCGGGGTTGGTCGACCGCAACTCGACAATCTTTCTGTTTTTTTTATCTCCGAAACTAAAACCCCGCCCTCCCATCGACTCAACGATCAGTCAACAGAGCACACAATATGCGATTTATTCTCCTTTGTATTGAGGGCCCTGGAAACATCGTCTCGACATCACACGGCAGACTTTTGTGCCTCTTCTGTGTGCTATTCCTGGCACAGGCATGAGGATGTTGTTTGCTGTGTTTTCAGTTGGTGACAATGCTGCGGTCGGGCGGAGGCTTGGCGGACCTGTCAGGGCAGTCCCTTGATGCATGTGCCTCGCTGACTCGACATGGTGCCTTCGCTCGTCATTGGGCGTTTCAGAGATCTGTGGCGCGGCAGCATCTCACTCATCGGGGACGTCCCGGAAGAGCGAGGCTGATAAGAAGCCTTATGTTCGACCTTTTTTATCAGCCGCATGCTCTGCCAGTGTCTGACTCGGTCGTCAACCACAACCTTGGAATCTGGAAGTCATGAAATACCGCCATGTTCGGGCAATCACGACGTTTTGACATCTCCGGCGTGCCCTGCTAGAGTTACCTAATATATAGGGTCTCCGTGGCTTGGCGGTCAAGCAGTCCCGAGCCCCGAATGGCGAGTGGCCCAAGGGAGCGGCGACTTTCCGGCGGCATGCCTCATCCGCTCGCCCTTGTGCGGAGTTCATCTGCCAGCCTCAAGAGATAGAACTCCCTTGCCTCGGCCGGTAACTTCTTGAAGCTACTTGCGATGCGGGCAACGTCTTGCCTCCCCTTCTCATAGGCAGCGAGATCCCGATTCCCATACACGTCCCGGCCAGAAGCATAATGGTTGCTCTCAAGGTCCTTGAAGAAGACGTTTACGGCAATACTTTTGTCCGAGGTTGGTGTTGCCGTGTGTAGCCAGAGCGGGGGTAGGAATAGGACGTCCCCGGGTGACAGGATAGCTTCGTGGGGATGGGTATGAGCGAGCCTGGGTGACTGTAGTGACGAGAAGACGTCTATGCTGGAGCTAGAGGCCCCGGGAGCAAAGGACAAGTGCTCAACATCCGACGGCGGGAAGAGAAGCAGCCGTTTGGAGCCGCCGACCTGGCAATAGATATTCGCCATAACCTACACGCTTACAGTCAGCATTTCATAGTCTCAGGTGAACAAAACATATGAGAAAAAAAGGGGCGAGTGTGGTATGTGGAAGCCAGATACCAGAAAAGAAACGAAGTGCCAATGGTAGAGCAGAAAACGAGCACCGGGCTCACTCACATCATAATGTAGCCACATGTTTACCAGGCCGGACAGTCTCAATACAGAGCTGAACAGGTTCTCCGCCACAAGTGAGAGCTGAGGGGGCAACACAAAATCGGGCGCCAAAGCTGGGAAGTCTTCCGCCAGCACGGCCGGTTGCTCAGACGGCTTCTCGTGTGACAGCGCCCTCAAGTACACCCTATCGCCTTGTTTTACCCTTTGGGCAAAGTCACCGAACTCAGCTGTGAGGTAGCGGAAGTTCTTGGCGGTAAAGTCCATCGCCTGGCTTGCAGCCTCATGAATAACGATCTACCCAGGTTAGCAAGGCACCAACTTGTGGAGAGTGATATCCTACCTTTCGATCAGCCCCGACTTTGTTGACAAGGCAATCTAGTGTCCAGGCCGATACACAGCTACCTAGATCCAAGCCTTCCAGTACTGCCGGCTTGCCGTCACGTACGATCTTGATAAAATCGTCCGCAGTTTCCAACTTCAATCTGGGAATCGCGGTAATTTGAGCCAGTTCGCCAATGTTCTCAAGCTTGGGAGTTACTGGCGGTTTCCGCTGGATCGGAACGATGTCGATCGTTTTCTCGTGCACCCATTGGGAGGCAGCGGGAGGGATACCCTTCTGTTCGCCTTCCAGTGCCGGGATTTGAAGGGTATACACCCCTTTATTCCAAAACGTACCCATGGAGAAGCATGTGGCCCCGCCCCCAACCGCCACAACGGAGCCGTCTGGCATCGGGACCATTGAATGCCCGACGAATAGCGGCCGTGGTCTTGACTGCCGTTCCTCTGATATCTTACCAATCAGTCCACTGGTGATGGTAATACCACCTTTGTTCAATGAGCATAACAAAACCTCGTCGCGATGGCAAAGTAGGTGATCCCTAGCTATGCCGCCTAGTAGGACAAACTCATCCCCTTGCTGGAGGCAAGTTGCGCCAAACCTTGTAAGAAGCCAAGAAGCGTCCTTTTGCATATTACCGGTAATCTCCAAGCGGTTGAATCGAACGGTGGGTTTCTATGGTCATGTCAGCGTCAACTTCCTGGTCATCAAGGGAAAGTCAGCAAGCAGGAACATACCTTGATATCCGAGACATCCGCTTCCCAGGATAGGATCTGGTCGGAAACCAGTGCATCTTCTAGACCACCAGCGTAGACACCGCTAAAGGTGCCTGTGACACTATCGCCACTGCAAGATAAAGCCGCACCGTACACCGAAGCCGGCTTTTCGCCGACCATCTCGCAGTTCACCCACCCCGTAACAGGATGATATAGAAGGCAGCCGCCAAAGGCCTCTGCCACCCCCCTACCACCGACAAGTAAGGCTGTACCCGATCGACCTAAGGCCACAACGGAATGCCGGTACAGAGCCGTCGGAAGACGGTGTGTCTGCTTCCAAGTCTTCGTGTTCTTATTAAATAACCAGCAATCGGCGAGCGGGGCTGAAGGTGAGCCCCGTCCTCCTGCCAACAGCACTTGACCACCCCCAAGGTCTGTCAAAGAATGGCACATCCTCGTTGTTGGACCTCCCTCTTGGAAGGTGATCGCCTCTTCACCGTCAACTGTACCCAACCGGAAGAGATCGCAAGACTGCAACCGGCTCTTGGTGCCCAGACCTAAAACATTGAGCACTGACTGCTCTGTCTTGTCTGTTTCGTCCTGAGATAATCGCATGGCCGCTGCGAAACGCCGCTGGCCTCTCACACCGGGGCACTCGTCGAACCGCATTTCCACCGACTGGGTCGGGAGTTGTTCGGCGTTAGAGGGCACTGACGGAGCTGGTACCGCGTCGGATTTGCTTCCTGCCCTAGCATGAACAACGCAGTAGTGACTCGCAAAGAGGGCAAACTCCTCCCACTCGTCGAACTGCTCTATCTCGTCCAGCTGGAGGCGTTCGGACTTGGACAGGAAGGTCTCATCGGCCCACGCTTGCCAGAGGGTCCAGACATTGACCGAGTCCCAACCACGGGATGAAAAGCGCGCATGTTGGTCCGTCACACCCGGGTAGGTGCTGACCGACTTGAGCTGTGTGTTGAGCTTGTCAAAATGCCCCAACATGGTCGAAGCGAAGGGGTGATCTTCGCTGTCGGGTAGAATCTGTTCCAGGAGGACAAACTCGGCTGGATGATGTCAGCAACGCAAGGTCAGGAGCCCGTGTAGTCGAGGATGCACTTACCACGCCCAACAGTGGATGCCCACCGGATAACCTCATCCGCACCCTCCCTCTCCATATACGTGATAGACACCTCAGCCACGAAAATAAACTCGCACTCCTCAAAATCCCCCACCGCTGCAGCCAACCCCTGCCGCAGCGTCCCGAGCTCCCTGAGATCACACCCGATCTGCACATACTGCTCACTCTCAAACACCACCGGCGCAGCCAACCCCGCGGCCTCTTTCACCCCCGTAAACATCCCCACCAGCTCAGGCGTGCCAATCACCGTCTGCCGCTTCCTCTCGATCAGGTCCGGGAAATCGACATCCACAAACTTGACACCACCACACTCCCCCGGATACCGGGTGAGACACTGCCACGGCAGGACATCACTGTCACCTCATCAGCACCAGTCCAACCCCACACCCAACACAACAGAAAAACAAAACCAAAAAAAGTACTAACCTGCCACACCCCAAATTGACAACCACCCCCCTCCGCCCGCGCTTCTGAACCCCACACAAAAAGTCGCGGACCAGCACGTCGATGGCGCGCAGGCGCAGCCAGTAGCCCCTGTTGATGAGCGGGGCGCGGCGCTGGAACTTTTTCACGAAGTAGCGGAAGAAGTGCGGCTCGTGCGGGTAGTAGAGCTTCTCGACGCTGCGCTTGGAGACGATGCTGCTGTTGTTGGTCGCCATGACCTGGTCGTCCTGGGCTTTGGCCTGGGCGGATTTACTCGCTGGCCCGGCGGCGGGGTTGTCCCCTCGGGGGGGCGGTTTGGGTTTCGGTGTCATTTTCCTCTCCTGCTTGGGTAAGTCGAGCCTCAAATTGTCGGTTGGGTTTTTGTATGGCTTCCAAGTTTGAGTTGAGTTTCGGGATGAGAGCGATAAACTGCTGCTTGAAATTCCACTTTTCCGTGCAGAATGCAGAATTCCTGCCCTGAATGACACATTCCGCACTGTGGGGTCCTTAACCCGCTCGGCATCAGGGCACTTATACACAGGTGAGAGTCACCTTGCCGGTGTCTCGCGATTTTGAGCAAATAAGACGTTTTACATACAAGCAGAGACACACCCCTCATTGGTATCACTACAGTGCCACCGACCTACGTGGTCTTCCGTCAAGCAAACAACCTCAAAACCGAAACGGGGTGATGTGAGTGAACGTCGGGTTAGGGTTAGCTATGACCGCTTGGTCGCTGGGCAACGAGCCCCTGAACTGCGAAGCTATGCTATCCTGCGAAGAAGGGGGTTGGCGGCCAGCTGTTGTGAGGCAAAAATGCAACTTCGCAACTAGGTCCCTCAACATCTGCGTTCTATAAGAAACGAGCTCCCTTATTCTCCCTCCTAAACCGGCCGCGTCCCTTCTGTTGAACGCCTCAGGTGCGTTGGCTAATGCCGTTTCTGTTCCTTGGCCCTCTGGTTGTTCTTCAGGGCATTCAGTCGAGCCTCTTTAAGGCGGCTCCGGGTTCTCTCGTCAATGTCCGTATTGTCACCACAAACATCTTCCTCTTCTTCCTCTTCTTCTTCCTCTTCCTCTTCCTCTTCCTCTTCCTTTTCCTCTACATCGACGAGCTGCTTCGTAAACTTATCCAGGCGAGCCTTGCTCTTCAGAACTGCCCGAGCCGTTTGAGCGTCGGCCCGAGCAGTATCGTCTTTGCTGCGCTGGGCCCAATAGTCTCGGAAGGCTGCGAAATCCAAAACGTCAACGAGCCATGGCCTCGAGAACATTAGAGAGAACAGAATATAACGGTACTCACTTTCAGCTTCTGACCCTTGCAACGGATCATGGGGATCGAACCGATCTTCATTAAGACCATCGAAAGGCTCTGAAAAATGAAAGAGGCGAGCCCGTGCTACCGAGCCTAGCGGGGAAAGGTCACGTCGCTGGCCAGGGGTGTCCATAAAGCTCCTTCGCGGCCTTCTCGGGCTTAGGGTTTCGGCAACGAGCTGGTCTGCCTTGACCACGGGTTTGGCGAGTTGCGATCCCATTGATTTCTGTGTTGAAGGATATTTCGAAGTAAACGGTCTCTGTTGACGAGTTCGATCAGATAAGGTGGCAGTCGACAATCTCAAGAGACTCCCGAGCTGCAAACAGAGGCCAAGAAGGCGAGTGTTGGTTTAATGGAGGAGAAAAGAACGGCAGTAGAAAATAAACAACGCAAGTGTGAACAGCAGCAGGAAGGAGCCCGGCAGTGGTTTTATGGGACGAAAGCCACTGGGAATGTCATCACAGTATCGCTACCTACGCCAGAATAAACGAGGGTAATTATTTAGCTTTCCAGGTTGAAGTCGAATCAACAATAATAATTCACTTGCTTCTCTCTCGCGGCTCTCGGTCTCTCTCTATCTTGCATAAGAGCACATAAGAGAGATGGGCATCCACATGCTAGGTACCTAATATTTACGGTGCGAGGCCACCAGGAGAGGCCGGCAAAATCAGGTGGGGTTAAACATAGAACTCGAGGGACACTTAGTCCCTAAGTTAGTATGTTAGCATGGTATAAGGAGCAAATATGTGTCCATTACCTAGCAGGGGCCCAGTTTACCGGGGCTGTTCTTGCAGTGGCAGCAAGTCTGAGATACGAATAACCGTGTGTCTGAAGCGCACATTAAGGCCATCCTCTATAACTTGACCTGTTGTTACCAAATACCTACTTGGGCCTTTGGCAGCCAATTCGGAGCTCTGGCCCATTGGCGCCTTTTGGTAAACCAAAAACACACACTTCGAACGATATCTCACCAACAACATATCGGCTGACAGACGGCAACCAAAATAGGATTTCAAACATCATCATATGACGACTTCCCTCTAAACGTAGCAGATTCTTGTCCGCGAACATAAGTTTCGCCTTTTTTTCATATACAACATGCAGTGTGAAATCGAAACCGAATGCCAAAGCCAGGAGAGATCGATCCGGGATAGAAAAAACGACACCGACATGCACAAAAGGAATAGTAGAGCATGAGTAAAGAAGCAGCGAGTTCCTTAAAGCTTCGAAGTGTCGGACACAGTATCTTAGGAGCGCCGGTTACTAGCAGCGCTCGTACAGCTGTAGCTCTTCCAAGTTCTAACCCTTGCCCACTTCAGCTCGAGGTCGAAAACGCCGTCTCACCTCTATCTGTGGCCATCCCCAACTATTTCCAGCATCACCCTGGCCCCACATAAACCCTGACGACGTGTAATAAGTCCTAACCTTAAGTTCTCGGTATCGCTGGGTGTTGGGCCGGATATGCGAATATAATTTCAAGCTAGGGAATGTTTAGGGCGTAGTTGATGAGAGTGTCAGGTAAAGTTAATCCGCTGGTAAGCCTTACCGTTATTCTACACCTACCTATTGTGTGCATCCAGTCACTTACACCCGACAGAGACAAGAGGTCGTTCAAATGACACGAGTTTGGACGGAGCCAACCACGTGCCGGTAACGTTGGTATTGGCCGGGATGCTGTTAGCGTTACAGTGGCGCCGCTGCATTTCGGTGGCGGGAGCGGGAAGCCGGAATGTCCAAGCTCCAAGCTTCCCCAGATCTGCAGAGCCGCAACACCAACTTCAATTGCCGTCGCGGTTGCGGGGCACCTTTGTTCGCTCTCCATCGCACCTCTTTCGCGCGCTTTCCGCGGGACGTGATTGAGATGAGAGCATCGCCCTTGCACCGACCCCGGTAGCTGCCACGGCAACGCTAACGATAAACCATGCGATCGCGATCTAGCGGCTCCACAACCGACAAGCCCACCGACCGACCGACCGCGAATTCCTACCTTTTCGCGTCAAGAAAAAAACCCTCCTTTTGCATCACAGCGGCTGCGATTCCCACCAGCACAATCGCGATTGCTGACACTGGGAGGAACATCCAAGCCGCTGCTATCCAACTGGCCTAGTTATCGGGTAAATACCCCTTTGACGCTTGGTTTCTTTCATCCTTTTGAGTTTTGTCGCGGCGTGCGAAAGGTAGAAACAAACTGTCGGTTTTTAAAGTACCTGTGGTGTTGATATAGGTTGTTTGCCATTGGGTTGGAAGTTTCCCATTGTGCGCGCAAGGAGCGCAAGGAGGTGGTTGCACCGTCGTCGCTCTTGCCCGCTTGGGCGGCATCGTGGCCGCACCTCTCTCACAACACCCACTGTCTTCCCTCTTCGCTTTTTTCTGCCCCGCGTTGTGCTTTCCTCTCTACTATCCCGCCGCGACTTGGTTTTCCCCTCCCCGCAGACTTTGCAAGGCAGTCGCGGCCCTTTCTTCTTCTTTCCTCAGACCTTCAACAAAGCACATCATCGCTCCCAGGAAACTGAGGAAGCAACAACTGACGATGCCTGCCCAAGCCCCAACGCCGCGCGCCACGCGCAATAGCCGTGGCCTGCGCCAAAGTCCCGGCGTCTCGTCGGTTGACTCGTGTCAGGGCGATTCTGCCCGAGTTTCTTGTCATCGTGACAACCGCAGCACTCCCACCACCTCCAATTTGTACGTTGCAACTAGTCTGCCCTGCACCAGAGTCCCCGGAGTCACCATGCTCCAGGGTCGCTGATTCCGCGCCCACATCCTCACGAAAGGGCCCCAAAAGATAACTTACCTATGGACCAACACTAACGCTATCATTAGCGCGCTTGCCCTCGAGGCCGCCGCCGACCCCGCGACTCCAACACCTCGTACGCGGTACGCCCAACCAACCCCCCACCCGGCCCACACTCTTGCCCTCGAGGCGATTCCCGTGGAGCAGTTACAACCTGTGACTCCCAACCCAAGGGCTCGTCTCGCGGCAGCCCGTCCGCCAATTTTCCCTCCGCCAGTCTCTCTTCCACCGACCACCCCATACGTTCCCACCCCGCCACCGAGATCATCATTATCCCTCGAGCACCCGTGGGTCACCGCGATCAAAAACACTCCCACGAGGATTCCGAGGAGGGCCGCCTCCCCAAGAACCCCGGTCCGGCACACCCGGTACCTCACAAAGTACATCGACATAACCCCACTGCTACCCACCGCGCCCGCGCCGAAAAGCCCCGGCAGTGAAAGTCTTACTTTTAGGCAACGGCGCGACGAAGAAGGCGAGGAGAAATTTGCGAGAGAGTTGTGGATTGCAATCCGGAACGACCATTACATGAAGGGTTGTTGGTGCGGCCCGCCCAATATTTACAACTCGCGGGAGGAGGCAGAAGTCGCGGCAGGCCACCTGCGCTTCTACGTCGTCGGTTCCGAGGAAAAGAATCTGCGCGTCCTCCAGAAGAAGGACGATTTCAGTTGGCACTGCATTTGTGGAAACAACAACTACCACGCAGTTTACAAGAACCTCCTCAATTCCAACGGAAAACGCCCAGCGGAAGACACTGAGATCGACCTGATCGCGCAAATCCAAAACTCAAACGGCAATAAAAGTGCCCGAAGCATCGACCGGGTTGTACCTACGCCGATCGACCCAGCTCGGCACGGGGAGGCGCACTCGCAGACCCTCAAACCCGCCCAAGCAGCGGCCCAAGTATCTTCCCGATCAATGTGGGACGAGGCCTGCGGCATATTGAGCCGTACCGTCGCGACAATGAGCAGCCCCGTCGCGGCCCTTTACGACACGCTCCAGAAACATTTTTGCGGCGATTCCTACGCGACTCTCGACACCCGCCGAACAGACGCCGACAGTGACGCCATTGTTGTCAAAAGGTTGAAGCGCCAGTCTCCAGCCTCACCCGTGGAACAGTCCCCTTCCAAGGATGGGGACGACGGGTTTGACGACCTTTTGTGGGCCGACTGCCCCACTCAACACATCGGTTCCGAGAACATCCAAGATGTCTACCTTTTCATCGGAACCCAGTTCCAAGATATCGAGACGGGCAAGCTTGTCTACGGCTCCTCAGTTGCGGATATCCAAAAGCAGGCCCCAGACAACACGGACTGCAGCGCCAGCATCGGGATTTTCAAGTACCAGGAACTGAGGCACGGGCCAGTGCTGCCCGAAGAACTCGACCGTAAGAAGAAGGAGAAGTGGATGGAAACGGTACGCGCGTACCATGACAACTTAAAAGGGTGTCTCCGCTTTATCCAGGAGATTTATTGCGTCGGCGGCATTCTTGAGGACGTCAAGAGGAGATATGCCGCGCCGCCGCGCCGCCTGCCATTGCGCGATATTCATTTCAGAAGAGAAGCATTGCTAGCGGCGAAGTTTTTGGATTTTCTGCGGTCACTTGACATCGTGCGGGACATATCCGCTGCCAGCTACCAGACGATTAGCCAGATGATTGTGGATATTAACGCCATCCACAAGTCAGAAATGCTGCCTAGCTTCGTCGAGTTGAGGGAGGACCCCATCGAAAACATGCCAGGGTGCTTTCCAGAGGATAAGGTTTCTGCCATGGAGGAGATCCCCGCCGACGAGTTCGAGTGCGAAGTTCTGTACGAACGCAGGTTTCCGGACCCAGCGCCATCCGATGAGGAAGCACGGGGCAAACTTGGCGACTACAAAATGGTGCTAGAGCCCAAGGGGATCCTCAAACCGCCGAAGGTGAGGGACGATGCTCCGGCCTCGCCCAAGTACGTGGCAACCCCCGAAAAGCACAGGAAGCTTTCCTTCATCAACCCGGTTTCCAAGTTTATCCCCCCCGCCCATATTCCAACCAAACTGATGGCACCACACGAGGCGGAGCGGTTTTTGAAGGCAAAGTTAAAGGCAGAAGTTCTCCGCGATAAGCACTCAACCCGCAAGTTCGAGGCTCTCCAAACTGTCTCTCGGCAGGATGATGATGGGTCCATTCGCCTCAAAGACAAGTGGAGCTTGGAGGCCCTTGAAAAGGACGACCAGGAGATGGGGCTCACCTACCACGCTCATAAATACGATGGCTTCCTCAATGACCTCCACGATGATTTGGAGAAGCGGGCCGAGGCAGAGGAGGAACAACGCGCGAAGCCGCCGACCAGGCTCGCTCCTCAACGACACATGGTGCAGATTCCGCTTCCGCCTCTACCATCCACCCCCGCGATGCGTCGACGGGCGGCCCATCTTCTTGAGAATGACACCAGTAGCCCGGCAAGTTCTAGTCCTAGAATCAACCCTCTGCGCACCAAAGCGGAGGTGCAGCGCCCCAAGCCTGCTGAGCAGAGGCGTGCTCCCCGTACCTTGGAGGAATTCTTTGCAGAAGATGACGATGACTTGGCCATCTCTGTCGCAAAATTTGAGCAGCTGCAGATTGATCGACAAATCCGAGACGAATTCGAGACTGGAATTCGGCGAGACGCTGAAGAGAAGCGGAAACGCGAGGAAGAGAAGGCTCGTCGTGAGGAGCAGCGCCGCCTCGAAGAGGAGCGTCGACGGCAAGAGGAGGAGCGCCGCCGTGAGCAAGAAGCCCGGAGACAGAAAGAAGCCGAGGAATTTGCTGCGCTCACCGGGTTGAGACAACCCACTCGCCCTCTTATCATCCCCTTGTCCGAGGATTGGAACTGCAAAGTCGTCAACGCCGCGAGAGCGAATCCCGCCGCTGAGCTCGTCAAAACCCTTGAGGGCCAACCGCTTACTAGGCGCGACTTTGTTGAAAAGCTTCTTCCGCCTACCGCGTGGCTAAATGACAACGTGATCATCGGCTCAATCCTGTACATCGCGGACTATATCAACAAAACGAAGCGCGCGACAGATCAGGAACCTAAGTGTGCCGCCTTCACATCTTACTTTTGGCCCCGCGTCCTCTCCCATGGCCCGAGTGCCTGCGGCCGCCTCCTACGAAAAGCTGGTGTCCGCAAAGCGAACTTCCTCGACATCGATACAGTCTTGATACCCATCTGTGCGCAGGCCCACTGGACCCTGGCCGTAATCCGCCCCGGCAAACGGACCGTTGCACACATTGACTCGATGCGCGGGGGTGGCGGCGACGGGGCCGTCAAGGCCAAACTACTCGAGCTAGTGCGCTTTATCCTCGAGGACCAGTTCGTCGAAGCCGAGTGGCGCGCAATCGACTACGAAGCCCCGCGTCAGACCAACGGCTGGGACTGCGGTGTTTTTACCATCACGAACGCTATGTGCATCGCGATGGGTCTGAATCCGAAATATTCGTACACAGAGGGCGAACTAACGCTGCAACGGAGACGGCTGGCGGCGATACTCCTCAACGAAGGGTTCAAGGGCGAGTTCAGCCTCGATGGGTTCTGAGCGGGGAATGGGAATGAGACTTTCCTCCCTGCCCCAGCCCTGTACAAGTCTTTTCTATCCACCCACCTTCGAATCTGAAATCGACAATGGGCGGCATCACACACCGAAACTCACTCACCTACACTTCTAATACCACATTTTGAAAACAATGTAAGGAGACGACGATTCCTTCCCACAAATCCGTATCCTCTACAACATTCACATTCCACGTTACGTTACACGGCTTCATGGCAACGGGCGAACGGCGTTTAGACATTGGGGCATCGGGATTTGCATTCTTGGCGGGCTTTCATATCAAAAAATCGGACATGGCCTTTCAACCGGAAAGAGAGAGGGAGACAAAACAGTGCGGGCGACGGGTTGGCTTCTTTGAGGACATTTCCATGGTGTTTTGGGGGCATACCACTTTAGGCATTACTTCTGTTGCTGGCTGGTCGGTTTGGATAGATGGATGGTATCCATGGCGGGCTTGGTGAGGGGGGAGCAAGGTGGGGGGTTTGGAGATGATGTTTGCCTACGGGCACGATCCGGCCGGCTTGACGGGAGGGGCAGGGACATGAATGAGTACCAGTCTCGTCATGTGCGTTTGGTTGACTTGGTTCTCTCACATGAGTCGGCTGGGTGGCTTTGTATCTTTGGCGTTTCTTTCTCCATGGCCTATTGTGGGCTTGTTGATACCCCTTGCGGCGAAACAGCGTTTGAGTTTTTTGGGGCTCTGAATGGGCTGGCTAGGCTGGTTGGATGGACGAAGCGGCTGCCCTTGGGATTCGGGTCTTTTTTGGGGACTTTACTGAGCTGAGGGATGGGTGAATACAGCGGGTTGACTGATGCCTATTTGTTACCGTGATTATGGGTGTTACTACGTGATGGGAGGGTACTTGTAGATGTGGGAGAGGTTAAGGGGGCGACATGAGAGACTTGGTCCTGCAGTTTAACAAAGCGACATCGACAATATCGCTGCCTGCCAAGGGCCGGTCGTCTTCTCACCTCCTCAACCACCTCGACAATGTATTTGACCGTTGGAATGGATGCCTAGACTTCACTGACTCATCTTCCCGACAGCGTTCACACCATTCTCTCTTCTCTAGCCATCATGACACTCCACACACCACCACTTGACATGCACAGTACATACAACAGACAGCATCCAACGAGGCCAAAACGGTTGCCATCGCACGTGGCCGCGTCTGATCCGATCCCCTCCCCGGCCAGCCACGATCGTCCGCTGCCGTCACGCAAAAGCTTGCCGATCTGTGGCGCGCGCCGAAGACAAAGAAAAAAACGTGGGATTTGACGAAGGCCGGACGCCTCGGCATGCGTGGCCGGAGAGGGGGTTCTTGGGTCGATGGAACATGGCCCGCTTTCGTTCATGTTCGAGGGCCGATCGACGCGGCGACTGCCCCTCGCGGCGAGGTGGCACGTCGTTTTGCTTGGTTCTGTGTACACGATCACACGATGAGTCCCCCCCCCCCCCCCCCCGAGTCCCCGTCTGCCATGCCATGCGGTTTGGGCCGCGTTGTGCATGGCTGACGTTTAAAACTGCTCGTCCCTGCGTCGGGTCTGGGTGCGGTCGCCTGGTTTTGGGTTGTATTCTGCAGACTGAGTCCCTGGGTGGGGTGTGGAAGGTGGAATTATTGGGGGATGGTGGACAAGTCAAGTCGAGAGGGCTGTGGCTACGGAGAGTACTTTGTTTTCGGGGTGGTGTATTCATCTGAGAATGGTAGAGAGTTAGACATGGCGCGTCAGTCCCTCTCGTCGTCGGAAGGAGGTCGGCTTGACTGCTCCCCGACTCCCGAGCATAACTGAAACTGACGACTGGGCTCGCTGCCGTCCCTATACGGTAAACTTGAACACCACGAGGGGTGTCGGCCGAGTCGGTTTCGCAGCGAGCATCAACGTCGGCTTGGTAATCTCAATTGGTGGAGAAACGGGAGGCAAGGGGTAGCAGAACCAAAGAAATGGGTTGAATGGTCCATGGTAGGGATCAAAACCCAGCTGGCCTCGAGTGAGTTTTTGGTTTGACCCTGTTAACGGGACATTCCGACGAAGAAACGCGGATTCGGCTTATACAGAAGAACCTCGAGGCGGAAAAGAAGCTCAGGGGTAACTTTCGAAGGAAGGTGTTGTACGAAGTCCCATGGGATGCGTGCCAATCAACAGTGCCTCTCTCGTTTACGAGTGGAAGATGAAAAAGGAGGTCAACAAGCCCCTGGACACCGCCTGGCGACGGAAGCTCTATTGCCCGGGTTTATGAGGCGGTGTGGTCAGCATTCAGCGAAATACGACGAGACGGTGAGACTGTTGATGCCAGCAGCCGATGTCGTGTCTTCCGCGTCGAGTCTCATCACTGAGGAAGACGGCGTTTCTCAACTCGACGGCGTCGTCATCAAGATAGGACAACCCCGGGCCCGTCATGATCGCTCGCATCTTACGGGGCTCAATAGCACCGTTTCATTCGCATGAAATGCCCTAGTTGGCACATCGCAGCTGTTAATCATGGAGTCATGATGGATCTCCATCCCCAGTGCCACAGGAACATGCCGAGAGGTAAGACCCATTCATGGTCAAAAGTCCATGTCACATCGTGCCCTGGCCGAGTCCGACGAAATTCCCTTCAGACCCTTCTCCAGGTCTCATGCTGGGTATACCGAGGCATCGTAGACCTTATCTCAGCTCCTCCGGAGTAACTGCTTAAGCATCGTGACCGCGTGATTTGTCACCAAACCCAAGTCTCGGAGAACGACAACCGGCACCGCGCAAACACGGTCCCCTCCCACGACATCGGGAACGACCCTGACCAATGCAATGTCACGGCGCCATTCGGGCATCCATTGACTGATTCAGACACTTGGTACGATGCAGACAGCCGTCCACAAGAGCAACCACCCACGTGTCGCATCGTTCCGCCCAACCCAACACACCCAACCCCTCGGTTACGGTGTCGTGGGTGTCACTAGGGAGTGGTCTGTTCGCGGCGGACACCGCTCCCCCACGAAGAGCCCCCCTTCTCCCCCACCCCCTAACCAAGAACAAGGAACGAAGGCGAAGAAGAAGAAGAACCTTGTTCCGGCCCCGGTCTCGGACGCGGCGAAACCCCGGATGTCGAAGACCACACCGTTCTGGAAAGATCAAGTCGCGTGTTCCCCTTGTTCAGTCGCTCCCGTTTTCATAGCGTCGCAGTCAACCGGCTCCCGGCGAAAAGAGGATGGACGGACAGACGGACGACACCACGCGCTCCCCGGATTGCCATCGGCGATGATGTTCCCCTGGGGTTGGGGTGAAATGTGAAATGACCCCCAACAAAAACACTCTGCGGTTGAATAAACTCCCATGTCTCTTGTCATCTGTCACCGCCCGGTCCGGCTCAAACCAAACATCCCCCCTGGCCAAGCCAGAGAGAGGGAGAGAAACGCAGAAGGAGGTCGTCTGGTCCAGCAACGGGCCCCCCACGTCCCGTCGGTCTCAGATTGACGAGCGCGGCGGTCGCGGATCCCACCCCAGCCATGGTTTCTCCGCCCTCGATCCCTCCCCTCCACACCCATGGATCCCCGTTTGGTTGTGGTGGAGTCGGCAAGGTCGCATTCAATTTCGTTCGCCTCGGCAAGTCCCATGGGGATCTTCTTTCTGGACGGAGACTTTGCCGGACGCTGTGAGTGGTCCGGATAGTGACATACAAAGAGCCTTCACAGACGATGGGCAGAGGTCAGTGCTTCCCATGTGGTGCTGGGAATGGAGCTCATTCACAACGAGCAAGCCACTCGTGACCCTTGTGGCCAAAGAAGTCGGACTCTTCGAGCAGCAAAGACTCGATCGAGCAAAAGAAAAACAGGCTCGAGGAAAATCAAGTCGAATCGAGTAAAATGAAACTAAAATCAAGCAAAACCAGGCGTACTTCGTAAAGCGAAACTGTAATTCTGTACGTATAATCTTCACACCCCGCCAGGGCTCCCGACGTTTGGGCGCTTTCTTGCGGCTCCTGGCGGATGACCTTCGTTTCCTTCCTATCCACATCTGGAGTCCGGCCTTCTTGGCCCACCCGCCGATGACCTGCCTGCCTGCTAGCCTCGTCCGGGGGGCAAAGGGCACGATCTTCACAAACGGCGGGGATAAGAGGGCATCGGACTCGGTGACAAGCACAGCCCCATGAGCCCCCCCCAGGTGCCCAGCTCCCCAGCCGCCAGGGCACCGCGGTTTGCCCCGGGTATTCTGGCTTGTTGTGCCCACATCGTCCTGTGGAGCGTCGTCACTCACTAATTAAGAGCGGTCTGATGAGAGAGAATGTTCTTCTGCTGCTCGGTGAGGACGAGGCTGCCGGACGCGGTCACCCAACAACCCCGGGCGCGCCGCGGTCTGTTTGCTCGCCTCGCTCGTGAAGTATGACCGGAAAAAGGAAAGAAGGTCACGGGCGGCCTTGAATAGCCGCATCACCAAGCCGAAGGGGCAAGATCTGATTGGGCCATCGGGCAATGGTTGTGCAACTTTGGAACCACGAAAGGGGGGCGTTTGGGTTTTGCGGGCTCCACCGCGTAGGTTGTTATCAAGTTAGCGGATGCACAAGCGTGGCAGGCTGAGCTGTTGTGTGGGCCAACAGAAATACTTTCTCGCCCGCCCACGGTTCCACGTGCTGTGCGGCTCAAGGGCGTTTGGCCAAGCTTGGGAAAATCCCATCAGGATCTTGGGAGAAGGGAGGGCACAAGGGGCACAAGGGGTGGTGGTGGTGGTGGGGTTGGCCAAGGGGATCTCCGTGAAGCTCGGCTTGAACCGAAAAGTCCAGGCCGTTGTCGGCTGCGTGTCCTTTTTTGACCAAACGCTCCGATGGCAAAGGACGGGGACGACCTTGGGGAAGGCTGTCTTCCGTCCTGCTTCCGAGCCAGCCTCCTCGGCTCGGAGCTGAGAAAGGAGAAGTCAACGGGCGCCAAAAGAAGGCAACGGGGCCGGATCCTTTCAGCTGGCGCGCCTTGTTTCGCGGTGGCGCGAAGTGGATAAAGTCAGTCAGCCCATTAATAACGAGGTGGTACTTTTCCCACCAACACCTTGAGTTCTAAAGCTTGGCGGTGGAGTTGACAGGTCATCTCGACGGAAAAATGTTGTGTGAGAGAGGGCATGTGCTGGCATCAATGGCGTGAAGAGGCTTTTCCAGACTTCTGATGCGGTCAGTTTTTGCGCGAGGCCCCTGAGAATCCCCGTTCGATGAGAGGAAAGGAAAACACGATTTGTGGGTCGAAACAAAGAAAAGCGCCTTTTTCTGTTGGTGGTTGTTCGCTGTCATCAGTAATATTCTAGAAAATCTGATGGAAGAAAAGGGTTTGGCGGACAGAACCACCACGGTTCGCGCTTTCGCGCCTCCTGCCCAGTCTGTCCCTCGGGCGCGGCGTCTCCGTTGCAAAGTTGCAACGTACCATGAGACGGAATCTTCCACAAGCCCATGCACGAGGATTCGCTGCATCGGTGCTGCCCTTGGAACCCGCCCTGCAGGACGGCACAACATGCAACCACACGGCTTCCCGTCTTTTTTCGCTTGGCTCACGCAACCACCCGCGGAGGGAAAGCTTCTAGAAGCCTTCTGCTGCAGATGAGAGCTTCTTCCGCCTTGCCCGATCTGGATGGTGACAGCGACGTCTCATGCAATGCCCAAGGGAGGCGGGTTGGAGGAAAATGCCCGGCAGGATCGATTTGTGATGATCGAAGACGGCATGCCGAAGCGAGACCCGCCTGCGCCGCTGTCTTTGGTTGCCCTGCAGTTGTGCCGCACGCTGGCAGTTGTGGCGAACCACACAACCGCGGTTCTGGGAGAGAGTTATGATGTGTGTTGTGTTCATAAGGGTATGTGTGGTGGCCGATCACCCATCATCGCGATCCCGTGGAGCCGTGGTCGTCATGGAATGTTCTCTGCAGATGCCCGATCGGGCTCACCATGTGCCGTTATCCGCGGTGGCTGCAATTCCACGCGCATACACGTGTACATAGTGTAGTATACGAATGCTGCGTGCAGTTGCCTGTTGCCATTTCCGACGAGGCATCGTCGCTTACCGGAGTAGCCGGCCCTGTGTGCCCTTTGAGCCCGCCCAACGGCGTGGCACAGGAGCAAACAGACGCGCCCGCGCTAGGATGTTACCGTCCCCGCGCAATTTTTAACTGTCGGTGGCGATTGTGATAGGTGCTGTGTCATGGTCTCTCTTTCAGTCAACAAGCATCACTCGCTGCTGACGTTGTACTTTGGTGCTGTGTGGCCGGAGCCCGCGTCGTGGACCCGGTCGTCGCCGCGATTGTTTGGACAGGAGGGGCGGCTTGTTTCCGCCCTCGGCTGCCTGACTTCAGTCAAGAACGTTACGGAATACCCGCCCGGTTTGTCGCCATTGGCACAATATCAACAATCTTTTGTTGGCCCGTTGTGATCAAAGAAACGGGCGGTGGTCTGATGACGTCCGGCCGGAGTGATATCTCCACCTCACGGGATGCACCAGCCAAGACATAACCTTATCTTTCTTTGTCTGATGCGCAAAATGACGCGAGATGGCCACTTGGCGCGGCTCGGGGTCTCGCTCCGAAGGCGGCCTTGGGCTGTCTCACTTGGGCCTCGAGGATATGTGTGTACATAATCTGTACATACACAGTAGAAGCCGTACTTGTAGGCGACTGCCCCGTGCGCTGAATCGATTTCCCAGCAGAAGCCCGAAAGAATGCGGGCCGGAGATTAAGTACGTAACAGATCCCTTGACCTGGAATGGTGGCGTTCCCGGGGGGTCATTCGCCCATACAGTTTCGACTGTGTCGACAGTGAATGGGAATGCTCAGCTTACTGTGATACGGTGTATTGTATTCATTTGTATGGGCGTCGTTTTTCGGCTGATGGCACAAACCGAGCCGAACGGAAGTGTCCAAATCGGAACTCGCCGGCTGAGTGGACGGTTGAAATGGGTGAGGAGGTGGTCCCTGTTAATCAGAGTGACAGAGTTCAACGGTATGTCCGTGATTCCGGGGTGCTCCCGGCGCCTCCTGGGGGCTTTGAAGATTGGCAACCACGGCGGCTCCGGTGTGGGTTACACAAAACACAAAACGGCCGAAACATGAAGAGTTAAAAAATAAAGCCGCAAAACGCCATGGAGGTGTTCCAATTACCTCTCACAGCCTCGTAGCCTCGGCCAAGGTCATCACTGTGTGGCCTCGGAGGTCAGCCGGAAGGGCGATCAGGGCGGCCTGATCATCGTCATGCCCGCGTTTCGCACCACAAGTTGCGACCGATGGCTGCGATCGATGGCCACGGCCCGGCCGGTCGGAGTGTGGAAACAACGGGGGCGTTCCGATCGATAACTCCCAAGTTAAGTTCGAATTATTGTTCTGGAACGTCGGAAGAAACTTCAAGACTCTGGAAATGACGCATTGCCATCCCACCCACCGCACTGGCACTGGCCGCCCATCGTTTATTCTTTATTGCATCGAAGGCCGTGTGGCAAAGGAAGAGAATAAACGGTCGAAGCTGTGGTCCCGTTCTTTCGGGTTCCGTTCCAACGACCCCGGTTTTTTTTGGGTGATTTGGTCCGTCTCGATCATGACCGTCGCCAAGGGCTGCTCTGATTGGCGGTCCAGGTTCGTGAGCAAACTGCCGAGGAGTTGGACTGCGACAAGGACTGTGACAGGGGACTGCACTGAAGTGGTGGTCCATGCGTTGCGTATCCGGAAACCTGAAAGTGGACAGTTTCGATGATTCCAGCTTTGCCTGTTCATGTCTGTTCATCCATATCGTCTGTTTGGCGTTTTTCCTCCGTTTTTTTTTGTTTTGTTTTGTTGTTTTTGGCTGCGTATTTTTCGCCGATGGTGGTGATGCGGCCGCCCACCACACGTGCTCACCATTCCAGCACTTGGCTTCTGGAATTTGCACCTTCAGAGCCGGATGCAACGAGTCGTGCTGCAGGGACGACAGAAGCAAATGTGGAGAAGGCGGATCCGAACCCTGCCGGTTCGGCGTGCTCGGCCAGGGTCCTTGCCAAGGGGGGCCCGAGCATCTCAAGCCATGTGGAGCGCACATATCCGTCAGCCGAAGCCAGCACCAAGACCAGTTTGGACAAGCTCAGACAAGTCGGTCGTGGCGGTTTTTGAAAAGAGCCGCGCCTTGCGGGCAGGCCGTGCTGCGCTTTCGCTTGGTAATCTTCGTAATCGATGGATCGATCGCCAGAACGAGCATGTCAGCGTCGCGCGAGGAACTTCGCGCTCAGTTGATGATGACGACCCGATGTGATAACAGAGCACGACAGACAAGGAGTCAGACACTCGGGCATCGGCCTCATCAGAACCATCGCAGACGGTGGAGAGAGAATGTTCAAGACCCCTTCAGCTTCTCCACCGCCATCGCCGTGTGACGCAAATTCGTACACAGCCGGTCGAACGACGTGTCATGCCATGCGCGCCGCCACCGCGGCCGACGGTGGAAATAAACAATCGATAAATTATCGTGATTATCTCAAAGCGCGTGCAGCAGATGGCTGCGTGCGCTGGTTTTCGATGGATTTCGGGGTCGGCTGGTGTCGAAGGAAAGAGCGAGGTTCGATAGGTAGTTTGCTGGGCCGCATTGCACTGCATTGGCTGTGGAAGTATTGATCAGAGCAGTCGTTCAGTGACACATCACCAATCAATTCCGTCGTGCGATCGCCGCGCGAAGGGACGTCGGACGATGACCGCAGCCAAGGCAGCACTGATTGGGCCGCACAACATGGGAAGCAATCCATCCATGGGATGGATGCATGCTCGCCCCTTCAGAAGGCTTCTAGAAGCCCTGCCCTGCGGTACTGGATGGTCAGGGCGCCCCACTCTCGGCGCACCTCCGTGTTCTTCATTTCCTCCGCCCGAAAACCACCCAGGGATGTGTGCCACCACGCGCGCCCGCCAGGGATGGCCAGGGATGGCCAGCAAGTTCAGCACCAGAGGATGCGCCAGAGGCTTTCTCACCGTCGCCAAATTTTCCTGTCCAGGACCTCCCCGTCGCGCTAACCCGCGCAGATGGCATGACAGGGCAAATCTGGATGATCAGTCTTTTCCCCTGTCAGTTTGCGGAGCCCGCCCACTCCGTTTTTTCTTCTTTTTTCCTGGTTGCCGCCTTGGCCACCTGGTGACCTGGACCGTGGCCGACTACCGCTGGTTTAGTTATCGTGAGCGGTCTGCTTGGATAGCTTGGCTGCTTGGGTGGGAATGGCGAGGCAATAGGCGGGAACTAGGGGACTGGGCGTTGAAGAGAGCTGCAGGTTATGGAACATTGATCAGTGAGTTTCGCCCAACAAGGAAGTGGAAGAGCCCCCCAGGAAAAAACGCTGGATCCAGCTTGGCCATGCCAATGGGTAAGGTTGTTCCGTTTTGCTCCCTGTCCAGGGTCTGGCAGAATCACCCGTGCTGGGTCGCTCTTACCTAGGATATTATTCCCGTACCTCCCCGGCACCTTCCCAACCCCTGTCCGCCCTGCCCCTCCCCCGGGCGTCCTGCTCCCTTCGCCGAACCTTCTAAAAGACAGGCTGCTGCGTGCCGTGCTTTGTCTGATTTCCCTTTTGATCTCCTTTCTCCTCAACCCCCCCCCCCTCAAACCACCAATCCTAAGCGCCCGACCTCCCGCTCCTCCATCTCGCCTCTCAACCGAACAACCGGGTCGACTCCTCTTCGACGGACCACTTGCTCCTTTTCGCCATCCGGAGCACACAACCAGCACCGACGCTACTATTGTTCGTCTGACGTCTTCGAAAGCTTCCAGTGCGTGGCCTTCCCGCATCGTAAATCGACAAATACCCGTCGCCCATCCCGCCCGGATTTTGCTGTCGCCGAGGCCTGATTACTCTCCGGCCCTTTGTGTGTGTTTTTTTTTTGTGAGACAGCAGGCTCCAGGAATTACACCGACTCGCCGTCGACATCATTGATTCTTCCCGCACCTCCATCCGAACCTACCCCACGCCCTTGGGTATTTCACCTCGAAGCCGATTCGATACCGGACGGGGTCCTGTTGTGTGCTGCGATCCTTCAAGGTCGTTTACTGTACGCCCTCCGGCTGTTTCAGAGAGGAGTACCACGATTCCCGACGACACGGCGACTGGGTCCTGACCGAAAACCACCTGGATTCCCCCACTACGCTCGCTGCACTTGCCCGGTAATCGGTCGAGGTAATTGGCTAGCCTGTGACCGGTATCTGCTGTAGCCCGAGCAAACGACATACTGGTGGCGTCCCCGCCATCATGCTGAGTCGGAAGGAATGAAGAGAAGGAAGATTCCGTCATATCAGTTCACACGCCATTACGTTTGTTGCTCCGGCAGCTAGGCCCAGTAGTTGCTCGCTGGCTTTTCAAAGAACCGCGGGCAGGATGCCCAGGGCGCAGCATCGAGGGTATTCACCAACCCGGATGCCCCCGAGACCGCTTTCAAGAGAATCATCAACACAGCCGTCATCCGTCCTCGAGGACGACGACTCAATCATGTCCACATCACGCCCCCCAAGCCTGGCGCTCATGCCTCCGTCTTCGGCATGTTCGAACCCGGCGTCGCCCCCATCGCTGAGGGACATACTCACCAATATCGCACCGCCGCCCTACACGCTCGGTGCCTTCACAGCCTTTCTATCACAAAATCACTGCATGGAGACGCTCGAGTTCACCATGGATGCCGATCGTTACAGCACGGCGTACTCTAACTTTCTGATGGAGCAGGCATCCGGCTTCGCAGATGGCAAGGACCATGTGTGCTCGCTCTGGCAGAAGATCATCAACGCTTACATATTACCCTACGGCCACCGGGAAGTCAACCTTCCGTCCCATGTCCGGGACCGTTTACTTTCGTTACGTTGCACGCCAATCCCTCCCGACCCGTCGGAGCTGGACGAAGCCGTGAGGATCGTGTATGAGCTCATGAACGACTCGGTGCTAGGCCCGTTCATCGCCTCGGTGACACCGCAGCAAGACTGGTCTGGGGAGCACGACCCGAGGCACGTGCGGTCGCGCCTCCGCATTCCCAAGGATTTGTCGTCGAGCCCGGAGGATTCGAGCCGATCGCCAAAGATAAGCTTCTTGCCCATGCTCAACATGCCATGGACCAGCGAGCCCAAGAGTTCCGCCTCGTCGTCCAGCGAGTACGCCGAGCGTGCGCTCACAGACGGCAGCGCAAACACGCCCTCCCCGGTTTCGGACGAGCCCATGACACCGCCTACCACACCGCCAGTCTCAGACTGGGAGTTCAACACCTCTCCTGGGGCTCTTCACAAGGCCACCAACTCGCATAGCAGTGGCTGGAAGAAGGTGGGCGCGAAGCTTGGCCTCAATAGGATGGGCCGCAGCAAGCGCGGCCACAGCTCGAGCGCCACTTCGGCCCCGGTTGACGTTGATGTTCCAATGCGCGACCCTGACCATGCCAGACGCAGGACCAACCCCTTATAGGGATTACAGGTCACGCCGATCCCTGACGACTCCGTCACAGCCTCCCCCGAATGTGCCCGGCCGGCGGCGCCCGAGACGCGCGCCGACAGCGACGAAGCACTGACCGAAAAGCAATCGCTCCGCACGTCGGGCGATTGGGAGGAACCGCACCCGGGGCAGCGCTACCCGATCACCGTCGTGGGGAGCGCGCGCCCGGGTGCTGCCAACACCAACGGAGTCGGCAAGGCCGGCGTGGCCGCAAAAGCCTATTCACCATATCCCACCCGCGGGTGGGCAACAAAAGACCGGCGGTTCGCGCCCACGAGAATGCGAACCCCGGCACTGCGCCCTCTTAAGATCCCTCAGGACAACGCGAGACTGTCCACCCACACGACGAACAGCATCAGCACGCCTACGAGCATGTCGCACATGCTCCCCCGTCCAGCCGCGACTCAAAAGGCACCGGCCTCCGGCCCGCTATGCTGCCCATTGCTGAAGATCAACAGCAACACCGCCACCCCCAGACCGACAACCCCTATCTCGCCGTCGCCAAGCTACGACCACGAGTCCATCCGCCTTTCCATGACGGATTTCTCGGGCTTCCTCGAGCCCAGCCTCACCAACGTCACCACCTCGAGCACCGATGCTTCCTCGCACATGTCGCTCGACCCCACGCCGACGACAGCGACGATGATGGAGAAACAGATGCAGCCCGAGGACATGGGCGGCAGACTGGACCCCGACCCGGACCCGTACGGCTGGGACGCGGAGCTCGACAAGCGCATCGTCGTGCCGCCTACCGGTCCTGTGGGCTTGGGCCTGGGCGCCATGGCCGTCGACGAGGATGGTGGTGGTACCGAGGAGTACTGTCCCGTGATCCAGTACCGCCGCGCAGGCGGTGCGAGGAGGACGCTGCTGCAGCGGGTGTTGAGTTTTGGGCCTGGCAGCCTGAATGGTAATCAATAATGACCACTTGTCTTCTTGCGTTTTCTATTCTGTTTTTCTATGTGTCTTTTTGATTCATGGCTGGCGGGTTGCTTGCTTGCTTGGTTGGGCGGTGCGCTGTGGTGGAAATACCCTGTCGTATGTCTATCTATCTTATGGTCTTGTCTTGTCTACTCGGGCTCTGGCACTGTTTGGTTTAGACCGGTTTGGTTTTTGGGGGGTTGGTCGGCGGGTGGTTGGGGAGCCCACGCCCTCCTTGCACTCTTTCTCTCTCCCTACTACGGATGATGATTTCTTTTTTGTTATGTGGCATGGCAAGCATGAGACGGCGGGTGGGCTGGTTGGCGGGCGGTGTAATGTGTTTTTTTGTTTGTTTTTTTCCCCCATTGGTTGGGTTCTTCTGTTCATGTGGTGGTGGTGTTGGACGCGGCTGTGGGTGTTGTCGCAGGTTGGTGTGTACATACATACGAAATGTGGTGAAAAGCAAAGCATGGCGTTCTTGGCGGCAGAGGGGGCCGGTTGGTTAAGGGGTTGGGAAGACGGCATGCATGCATACATACATACATCCACGAATACATACACTGAGAGCAATCAATGAATCGGTTACTCATACTCTACATTCTTGGGACTTGAATCGTGCTCAGTGTGGTTTGCCGGTGTCCTTGTCAGTGTGAAATAGAATACCTGCAGTGTTTGAGACATAATTGAGTAATCATTTACATTAACTATTATTTCCATCCATCAATGCAGTACTCCTGGTGATGTTTCTTGTTTGGTAGACGAAACAAATGGATGCAGAGGACCGCAAAGTAGTTGAGGTTTGGGTGGGCTGAGGACCCGAACTCAAGGAATGGCCGGGTGGTTAGGGTGGGTGTTTGGGAGTGGCCCTGATAAGATAAGGAACCGATAAGATAGGTCTTGGGTTTGGCAACGAGCAACCTCGTCTGCTATGTCTGTCATTGGCTCGGGTGATGGTTTGACTTACACATGCGAGGTAGGGACTGGGTTCATGAGTCTTTCTGGCGTTGAGACCTATGCTGGTGGTAAGTGGTTGTTTGTTACACTTCTCATTACCCCTTGACTGGGTGACTTGACAATCTCCGCAGCCATCTCAAGCACCACTACCCAGAAGAAACGGGGGACTAACCCGGCATGAGCCATCCCCTTCCGCTTTCTCAACCACCCTCATCAAAACGCCCCATTCGGTGGTCGATCGATCACTCTCCAATCCACCCTCCCACCGCCCTTCGCCTATTGCCAACCCATCCCCAAAAAGAAACCAAACCCCTCCCCAACCCACCATGCCCTCAGCCGCCCCCCACCATCACCATCCACCCCAGAACTTCTCCCGACCCAACCATACCAAGTAGAAAAAAACATCCTCTTTGTTCGTCAACAACAAGCCACCCGATTATCCCCAATAATTCCCCCCTTCGGCAACCACATGGAACTTCCGCTTTAGTAAGCCAGCCAACGCCACCACCTGCTCTGCCACCTACTCTCCCGTCTTTCTTTGTCCGCTCGCGGCCCTGGCCTGACCCGGTGAGATGGGAAGTCCTGTTCGGCTGTTGCCTCCCTCGCTTTGGCCTACCCGTCTCCCCCACCACCCACTTCCACTCCCGCTCCGTCTTTTGGGGGGGGGGGGGGGGCTGGGTTGCCACGTTGGGTTGGTGATGGTGGTGTGCGGGACGTTTCCGGGTTGGGGGGGGGGGGGGGGTCGTCGGTCGGTCGGCGGGTGGTGGCGGGGGTGGAGTTGGCGGGCTGGGTTTGTTTGTTCATTGTTGACGGGGGCAAAGTAGGTACCTAAGGGGTTGGATGGGATTGGCTGGGGTACGTACGTACGGGATGTGTTGGGGACGTTGCTGCCTGCTTGCCTGTTTGCCTGGCTGTCTTGGATGGTTACTCATCGCCGAGCCCGTTGTGTCGTCCGGTTAACGTAGTCATGGTGGTCTGCTTGTTAGGTGGCTCCCGGTGGCATCGGCTTTCGAGTCCTTTGAGTCTTGATGACCGGGGAGTGAGGCAGCCGTGGTTGATCTTACACGGAGCCTAAGCCAACCAGGTTGCGTAACTTCGAAGGGTGGGGTTGGTTTAGAGGTAAAGAAAACAGGAGTGGTATTGCGGCGTGTTGCTGCTGCCTTGCCGCTCACTCATCGTCTGCCGTCATCGGCAATATCAGGATGAGGGAAGTTGGATGACGGAGTAGTTGAGTGTCAATGAACTCTCAGGCAGTTCACCTAGACCGAGGGAGATGCCAATCGCTTGTATCCAATATCAAAGTACTCGTATACCCATCACAACTACGATATGAACGAAATGGCCCGCCCACAATGCTTACCGGCCCCTCGGCTTGCTTCGAATACCGTTATGTAGTTTATATTGTTGTATTATCAATGTGCTCGGCACTATCGACGGCAGTACAAGTTCCGAGTTCCCCTCCAAAGCTAGTTCGAAACACTGAATGAGTGAGTACAGTCTTGTGGCAAAGGAGATTATTGAATAGATCGGTTTCGGTTGGAGCTTTTGCAGGAGTCAATACGATATAGCTGCGGGAGGACGGAAAGCCATCCTGTTTAGGGATACCCTCGTTGGCGTCGTTGGCGTCGTCGGCGCCAGCACTTACTAATTAACACTTTCCGGTTTGACAGCCCTTCAGGGCCTATTTGTCAATTCCAAACAAGATAAGATCGAAGTTTGGTCAGCCGTCACTAACGGCAAAGGATCGAAGGCGTGTCCCGCTGGCAGCTGAAGGGCGGAATAACTAACCGGCCGTCACACCAAACTAGCACAGACCAGTTACCGCCTGCATTAACTGTTTCTCCAAACGGATAGGTGTTTGAAGATTAAGTCCAACAGCGCTTTCCTTCTCGGACCCCTCACTCCCTCACGGATCTCCCCTCGAGTCGTCATCGGCATCACATTCTCTCGCTGGCCTCTTGCGACTCAAAATGACCGGCATCGCCCAGTCCCCCGAGCGCGATGTCGCTAGTACGGTACGTGCTCTCCATCTACAACCCACAAAAGGTGTTGACTGAAAGTCGTGGCTAACAATGAACCAACAGCAAATGGCTGTCAACACTCCGATTGGCTTCCTCGACCTCCCCAGTGAACTTCGGAACATGATTTATGACCTGGCTTTGTTTCACGAGGAGTCCATCGACGCCTGCTACAATTGCTATGGACGAGAACGCCGCACAACTGGGCTGCTCCGCGCGAATCAGCTCATCTACAGAGAAGCCAGCTCGGTCCTCTATGGCCGGAACTGCTTTAACTTCGTCCTTGCCGAGCCCGATCAGTTGGCTTCTTTCTTCAAGCAAATCGGGCCCAACAATGCGAGCTACATTCAGCATGTCTCGATCCAGTTCCCGCAGTTCCTCTACCTTAACCCTGAGGATGTCGCCTTTCAAGACAGAACCATCAAAATTCTTGCAGACATACAGAAAAGCTGCGTTAACTTAAGAGCGCTTACGACATCCCTGGGTTACTCTCTGGCAGCCCTTACTCCTGACCTCCCGGGTTACCGCGGCGTCATCGTTAAGGCGCTAGAACTGGTCAACGCTTTCTTTAGAGCGAACCCATCTTTACGGGATATCAATGTGCATGTCTACAACGATGGCCCAAGCGACTACATTAAGACGGTCATGGAGAGGTGTGGCTGGACGGTTAGCATAACAGAACGCGAGGAAGGATGGGAGGAAGAATGGGAGGAAGAGATCCGTTATGTTGGGTATGACTATGGCGATCATTACTCTAGTGGTTACGAGTACGGTTTCGATGAAGACGACTATGACAGCGACTATTACCTAGGTAGGTAGCAAGGGCTTTGTTGCGCCCCCCGAAAACAGAATCTGGTGTTTCTCGCTGGTGACCCTGGCGCTTCCCGTAACATTCCTGGATGACTTAGCTGCTGATATCCGCATTACCTGGATGGGCTAAAGAAGCCGAACTCCAAGTGCGTATGTCGACCATGGAAACCCCGAGTCCCCGGCTGTAAGAACGGAGCGAAAGCCGTCCTCAAGCCTAAATAAACTAAATGTACTACATTTATTTATATTTTATCCCCTTTCTTTCTACTTGGCTTCTTTTGCATAGTTTGCTTTTATTTGTTGATCTGTTACTTTCCTTTTGCATTCGGCTTTTTTGGCCAGAAGGTACTAACCTACCTAAGGTAGGTCAAGTCTGTACGTTTACTGCCAGTACGTCGTAAGCCGGGGGGTCGTGTCTCGATCTGTGTTCATGCCGCTTTACGGAAGGGTTGAGAATCTGCGTGACTCTCTTCGGTTCGATCCTATATACAACTGGGGTAACAACTTCGAGACACACACAATCAACCATCACTACGTCAGTCAAATATCAAAGCATATCCATTACAACTATACCACTGCAATGATACAAGCACAACCAACGTAGTCCAATAATACAAAAAACACATGCAGCCAGCCATGCCGATCTAGACATACACAAAAACGCCGCAACCATGCCTGCCAACCGACTTTTCGACCCTTCCCCTCCCCTCCTCCCCTTACCCCCCCCCCCCCCCCAACCCTACCCAAACTCAAGCCTCCTCATCAACCGGCGGCTTATCGTGCCGCGAGTACATGCGGTACTCCAGCGACGACTTCCAGTCGATCTTGCCCTGCTCGATCTGCTTGCGGGTGACCGAGAGCATCGGCTGGGGCAGGCCCATGGATTCGAGGAACGTCACGGCTAGAGAGAGAGAAAGAATACCGTCAGCGATCACACCCCATCAAAACAGAAACAAAAAGAAGCTAAAAGGAAAACGGGCAAACCACATACTCTGCTTCCACTCGACATCCTGCCGCTTCCGATCCCACCCCAGCTCCTGCGCCATGATATCAATAACCCTCGGCAGGGCCTCCAGCGCGGCCTGGGCATTCAGAAACGCCAACCTGGTACGGCGCGCGAGCACATCCACCGCGGTCTGGGCATACTCATGACGGACGGCGTAGCGGACCTCGCCGTCGACGAAGGGGTAGAGCTGGGAGATGCGGTCGCCGCGGGCGGGGAAGCGCTTGTCGGTGGGGCGGCAGAGGGCGGCGACGGTCCAGGCGCGGTCGCCGTAGCTCTCGGTCAGGTGCTTGGCCACCTCGGTCTCGACGCCAAAGTGCTGGATCAGGTGGATGAAGAGCGTGCGGCTGAAGCCGTGCGCGCCGACGAGCCGCACCCGGTGCGTCTGGCACGAGCCGTCCAGGTCCGCCCCGTCGTCCACGTTCTCCGTGCCGCTGACGCGGGGCGCGTTGACGACCGGCTTGGTCTGGAGGTCGAAGGCCTGCACGGCCGCGTCGACGCACTCCTCGGCCATCTGCCGGTAGGTGGTCCACTTGCCGCCGGCGCAGGTGAGGAGGCCGGACTCGGAGATGTCGACTAGGTGGCTGCGGACGAGCGACTCGGTGTTTTTGGCCTTGGGGTCTTTGACGAGCGGGCGCAGGCCGCACCAGGCGGCGAGGACGTCCCCGCGACGGACGTTGATGTCTGGGGAGAGGTAGTGGCTGACCTCGTTGAGGATCCACTGGATCGATTTCTCATCCGGGAGCGGGTTGTTGGAGACTGCTGCAGGGTCGTCGGTGGTGCCGGCGATCGTGTTGCCCTGCCAGGGTAGGAAGAAGATAACCCTTCCGTCCGAGGTCGCCGGGTCTATCAGACCCATCTTGCCGGGGCAGTAGTAGCCGGGGAGGATGATGTGTACGCCAGACGCGGGTGCGACGATCTCTTTGCCATTCGGATCGTCCATCTTCCTGATGCCGTCGGTGAATGGACCTGTGCAATTGATGATGCACTTGGCCTTGATATTGAAGTTGTCCGCCCGCTTGCCGTCTCTCTCGGCAATGTTGTCCTTGACGGTGGCCCCGCAGAGTTTGCCCTTATCGTCCTTCATAAGCCCAGTAACCTCCATGTGATTCACGACCGTGGCGCCGTACAGCGCCGCTGTCATGGCAAGCGACACGTTCATCCTCGAGTCATTGTGCGCCCCGTCGTAGTACACCAGCGCACCCACAAGATCGGTCTGCTTCACCATGGGGAATGCGTCGATGGCCTTGCTCTTGGTTAGGAAGTACGAGCTCTCAATGCCCTCGCTGCCGGCGAGGAAGTCGTAGAACTTGGTACCGGCCCAGTAGTACGGCACCTTCCACCACCGGTCGAGCGGCAGCATAATCGGGAGCCAGCTGCTCAGATGCGGTGCCGTTTGCAAGAAGTATGTGCGCTCCTTCAGGGCCTCCTTCACCAACTCATACTGGGAGTAGTCCAGGTTCCAGACAGCCTTTTCGAGGTAGCGCACACCGCCGTGGACAAGCTTGGTGCTCTTGCTGCTGGTGCCGCAGCTGAAGTCGCCGCGCTCGACCACGGCAACCTTGAGCCCGCGGGTTGCGGCATCGAGGGCGACCCCCGAGCCTGTTGCGCCCGCGCCAATGACTAGGATGTCATACTCTTCCTCCGTGTTCCCGCCGCTGCTCCGTTTAAGGTCGGCGATCTGCTCGAGGCGCGACTTCACGCGGGGAAAGCGGGGCAGCTTGAAGGTGCCGTCGGCGCCAAAGATAGGGGGAGGCACCACCGGGCCTTCGTATCCGGGGATGTTTCGGGGACGGTAGACGTAATAGAGGGCACCGGCCGCCGTGCCGGCGACGGCGAGTGGCGGTATCAACCGCCTTACTTTCGCGAACCTCGACATTGGCGCCTTGATGCGAAACTGGAGGGGAAAGGATTGGGAGGCGGCGACGTGCGTTGGCCCGTTCTATAGTCACTCGAGTGACTCGGAGGATGCGTGGGTGGATTGCGACCACTCCACTAATGACGCAACCGGCAAGAATGTGCGGCGGAGTTGGAGTTGGTTGCTTGCTTCCAACACCAGACCTGAAACCCTGATATCAGTTTGCGAGTTATCCGAATTGAATAAAAAACTGACCTTACCTGAAGAAATGCCCTCCCCTTTTCGCGCCTCGATTCACCACACGAAGCGCCGCGAGGCGCCGTATCGCGACACTCGGCGGGGGAGATGGAGAACACCCGGACGATAGTGGACTCGATAAGTCCGGTTGCAGATCAGCGGGTACAAGTCAGTTTGAGGAGGATCAGGTGGCCGGCAACGCTCCGCAAAAAACGAAATAGGATCAATCAACGGCTTGCTAGTATGGATTTCAGTCAGGCGCGTGCAGAACCACGCCCTTACCTCGTGGCCTTGCAGAGGAGGGAAAGGAGACGGCGGTTGAAGTCATGATAAGATGTTTTGTCCGAAGCCGGGGTTGGAGTTCCATGTGAAGCCGACGCCCGTGTAAGGGTTCAGACGGCATCCCGCCCGCTTACCAAACCACCCCATGCCCCGCGCTGCAGCCAATGCGCCGGCAAAATTGGGGCACGTTGCCCCGCCGGGAAGCTCGAATTTCAATGCTGATTTTCCGCCAATGGGAGTCACAGCGACGAACAACAGCGACAGATTCAGAGGAGCTCGAAGTCGGGTGAATGCCAGCCGGGCTTCGAAGCCGCAGGCTACACAGTAAGGGTAATTTGAAATCCCGCATCCATATAACTCTTGTTCTCGGTGCTGTCATCTCTCTAAGAGCCACAGTCCCATTTCCACTCCCCACTGCGACCGGACCGTTAAAGTGCACTTGTGTGTTAACTAGAATGGAAGCAAGGATAGACCTCGGAGAGCGTTCAACGCTACAAGCATATGTGATGGAGTTCTATAACAGCTCACCTGACTTCGATTGCGCAGTCACCCTGCTAGGAGCTCCTCGGAAAACTGTAGCATAGTGGACAGTGTCAGGTCGAACGCCCCTAGAAAGAAGATCAGCAACTGTACGTTCGTGGCCGAATTTTTGTACTTCAGCTCTAAGCAGTTGTGCGATGCAAACATACTACCGCTGCGATTTCTGCCCGGCCAGGCCCGATACTGGAGAGTGGACCCCCGAACCACATGTGTGCCCAACGAGCCTTCAGTGCAAGCATCGATAGCGAGCTAGCTACTTAGTGAGTGCAGGCCAAAGGTATGTACGTGCCGAAATCATGGAATACCCGCCTCATGGGACTGCTCGAGCATAGGAAACTGGCAAACAGTTGAGGTCAGGCCGACATGGCGAACATCGGCACTGGGTAGTTTGAACGCCGGCAAGCTCGGACAGCTTGCCAGAATCTGAACTGGGGGCAACAAGGAAAGAAAGTCGCATTGATCGCGTTGTACAGTATTTACACCATCCAGTGTCAGCCCCTGTAAGCCCCCATGCTCCGTCACCCCAAACGTCTTTCTCCAGCTCGCCATACGCGAGCGATTCCCGGGATAGTAAGTTCCATCTATTGACAAAAGAAAGCGGCCCTGGTTTATGCCTTCGACGAGGGCGACTGTACGGCGCCTTTACCCGAGTAGCCTTCTGATGCGATACCGGTCAATGGGTCCGACTTTTGGTTCTGTGGGGGGAGCCGGGTTAGTGGCCATCGGCAGCAGCGGGCGCCGTAGAGAGCAGCGGAAACTCACCTTGAGGAACTCGTTTGTCGCCTCCTGCCACTCCTTGGTCATGGTGCTCGGTGGCGGCTTAGCGAACGATCGCACAGTGGCGAAGAGGAGGAGACTGGCGGCGACGCCGACCGCGGTATAGAGGGCAACCTTCTTGCCCTCGCCGGGGGGGTCGAGGGCACGAGGGCCGTGGGGACCGAATGCCACCCAGTAGGCTATGTAGAGGCGTGTCGGGTTAGTGTTTGTTTGTATGTGGTGATGGTTCGACCCATCGCGAGCGGGGGTGTCAGTGACGTAGGTATTCCAGCAGCTCATCAAGCTCCCCCGCCATGGATTGGCGACCGCCAAAAACATTGCGATCCATCCAAATTTCAGCTACAGAGCTCCCTCCAAGCTCCGCCATGCGCGCGGGACTGACCCGCCGTCGATAAAACTGGCCATGAGGGGTCTTGGCATCGGCAACTTACCGGCCTTCTTCTCCTGGACGGTCATTTCGGCCCAGTTCTCCTTCATCCGGTCGCGCAGGGCCATCCACAGCTCGGCCTGCTCCTGCATCGGCATGCCCTCCCACCTCTTCTCGATGTTGGCCAGCGTCGGGTTCGAGATGGCGTGCGTCGAGGCGGCGCGGTAGCCGAGGGCGGTCGTGGCCGACTGCCGGGAGGCGCGCACAAGGGCGTTGCGGAGGACGGGCGACATGTTGGGCGATTGATAAATCTCGTCGGTCGGCTAGCGAACTCGACGCAGACTTGGTGAGTGGAGATGGTTCCAATTGGATAACCGGAGCGGCTGGCGGCCTGGGAGCTCGTCGGTTGATGTTTTGTGGGAGGTGGTCGAGGCGAGTATGCACGGACGAGCTTTTTTTCGGGCAAATGGCCTCAGCTCGGAATTCGAAATGGCCTGATTGGAAGCTCTGGAGCGGACATTGGCATTCCCGTTAAGTGCAACTGGGCCGAGCCCCACACCATTCAATGATGTAAGAGAGGCAGGGATCGGGAAAATGCCGGTTATTGTGCGTTTATCGAAAACATGTATATACCATATACTATGAAGACTGTGGCTTGTATTCGAGAGTTTGCATCTACTAGTTTCATGCTTCATGATGAATGGAGCGATTGGTCTCGCGCGCGGCGTCGTGTGCCCAAGTAGCCCGGGTATGTGTGCCCGGTTGAGGATGTCTGGGGTTCAATGTACGCAACTGATTGGGTGCAGCTATGCTCACAAGAGCATGTAAAGATCCGTTGTGAACGACTCAAACGTAGGTACTTCATGGACATCATAGAGTAACTATACTCTACATCAGTATGATACTCTGATATTCGTTTGTTACATGCGGGGCGATGCGCGTGCCCTCGGAGCTGTGGACTGCTTTCTCGTCTTTGTATTTACGGCAGTTCCTTGTGTCTTACAACCTGCTTCGCTCTAGCCGGAAGCTAGAACGGCGGGTATCAAACCATATTTCTACCTCCTAGTTTAGCTGAATTTCTTTTCTTTGTCTTGTTCTGGCGGTGGTGCTCGGCTGCCTTGGGGTTCGAGTGTTTTGCTGTTTTGATATGAGTCGCCGACTCCCACGGCTGTTACGATAATGGGATCTCACCGGATCGACGAGCCCTCCTTCTGTTCCTTCAACTCCTTCAAACTTGGGTTGAATGTGTAATAAGCTGTGTGACTGTTAACATCTGCGGGAGCTTTTTGAGTCAAAGCAAACACTTACCGTTGCCAATACCAAAAGCTATGAGTATGCCAACTGTGATAATCTTGGATTGGTTGCTCATTGTTGGGGAAAGCGTCTCGGAAGACTTGGTCGAGAATGGTCGTGTTCGGTTTACAAAAGGATCGTGCTTTGACTGAGAGCCGAGACCTTGTCGGTGTTCAGAAATGTTAATTATTTGATACGGTAACATACACATGTGGTACCAAACAATACGATTACGATCCGGGAAGCCCCGATAGTGTTAATTGGTGGCACGGGAACGCGAACATTAAATTGCCCCACTAGAGCTCCTGGTAGTCGCGTCTCATGCCATTTGACGCGCCGACATGGTGCACCGAAGGCAGGTACCTGGTAATTTGTATCCTTGCACAGCCCGTGCTTCCATGTCTTCATTCCGACAAATCTCGTGGCAATCCTCCCAACATTCTGACCCGAGTCATTCAATGACATCCACGATATGATAACAGGGCGCCATGAAGAGCTGGAGGGAATTGGGAGAGGTTCCGGATTCGGACGACGAGAGCTTCGATGACACGGATTTTCACGACAACGACAACAACAACGACAATGACGGAGACGACGGCGACAATCTCGACCAGTCCAATGACCAGTTGCCACGAAACGATGTCGACGAGACGGGGGTGGAAGGGAAGAACCAAGAGTCGGCTAGAGATGGTGACATTTGGAGTGTCCCAAGTTCTTTACCGGAGCAAGCTTCGCCCTTCCTCGATACGATTTCGGGCCAGGCATCACAGTTGTTGAGCCAACCGCCATGGCCTGCCCAACCAACACCGGACAGACTAGAGAGGGGGCCCCCTTCTACGCCTACCAAGCACGCGCTCGACAAGCCCGCATCGGCACGGGAAAACCAGCCTAACACCACGTCAAATCCAAGTCCAGAGGACGAGATATTGACAGGCTATGTTCAAGGTTCAGGCGCATCCTCTCCTGCGAGCATGCTTTCAAGGACTCCCACACCACCCCAGTCTCCTTCACTACCCCGTGCTCGCCTTTCCCCTCCTGTGGCCCATCCTACGCAGCCACCTGCCCGCGGACCGCCGCCCATTGAGGAACCGAATACCGAGGAACTGCTAAAACAGACCGATATCCCGTTAGAGCGCTCATTTCGTCCACGGAAACCGATCCAGCAGCATCCCTATCTTCTCGAGAACGCGCAATACTCTACTTTCATGAAGTCACACGGCGTAAAGCCCATTCGGGTCGCACACGGATCTCGGCCGGCACGAAGCGGAGTCGAGGAGGAAGACTCCCAGGAACAAGAATTTCAGGCTGAGGAAAGTCAGGAGGCAAGCGGGGAGCGCTTTGGTGGCCTAGAAGAAAGTGGTCCGATTCTATTTGACGATGAGGAGGACGAGTTGGCCCTCACCCCTTCAGTCCCGAAAACATCTCCTCAAGGCCAGCAGTTGCGAAACAGTAGCCAGCAGACCATTGCCGACCAGACAGATGCTACGAGCCTCTCCGATGAAGAGTTCCCCCCCCTGGATCGGCTTCGGCCGGTATCTGCAAAGAAGCGGCAGCAGGTGCTAAAGCGGCAGCGCTCCCAGGTGTTGTCCTCCACGAAACGGAAAAGGGCCAGATTTATCCTTGATTCATCACCCCAGGGATCACCACAACGCCCAAAGTTTATCCCACCGCCACCCATAAACGTATGGGACTTGTCCTCTTCGCCCCCTGTACCGTACCCGCCGGAAGAGCCGTTACCGGAACTCGAAACCGCTCCGAAATCACCCGCTAAACCTTGTCCGAACAAACCGGATGCACTTGCTGGCGAACTGACGTTGGATGCTGCTATACCCGAAGACGAGGCCACAAATTCTCCAATCCCGGTCCACGATGATTCTCTGAGCGACCTCGGCGGTGGGGATCAGGCGAGTTCTACGGACGACTCCGGTACTGATTCGGAAGTAGTTCGCCACAACAGTCGCAGGATCCGTGGAGTATTACCAGCCTCGTGGCTCCGTCTAGACCAGCAAGGCAAACCTGTCGCGCGGAACTCGCGGAGAAGGACTCCCGAACCTTCGCCGGATCGCACCGTAAGGCGAGGTGTGGCTCTGCCCCGCCAGGGCTCTCCGAAACCGTACAGCACGGCGCCATTGATGTTGTTTGACGAGTCCGAAGACTCCGAGAACGAGCCACCTCGACGGCCAACCGCCACAAACGATCCCATTCGGATGACACCGACGACCATCGTTATCGATGAAGACGACGGGGCTTCAGTGATCGAAGAGGATAGGATCGACTGGATGCTTCCCGGGAGGAAGAGATCCGGGCCACAAAGTACGTCTGGGAGGGCAAAGAAACAGAAGCGGAGCGGAACGCAGTCTGGGTTCCAGGGCCGCCACAACCCCACCCCCCGGCAACCTAGGATAACTCAGGTTCTACCCCGATCCAAAGGGGGAACCGCACCAACCCCCGCAAAGAGAGACTCAACGATTGAACATCGGCATCGGAAAGGGGGTGGCTCTAGGGTGAATCGCAAGTCCGACAAGAAGGCGACCACGGCCCCACTCCTGAGCATCTTGGACGTTGCGGAGCCTGAGGCCCCGAAGTTTGTCAAGATCGCCGCGCGTGCTGCCAAAAGGAGGCCGAATTTGGGCAAGACGAGTCCATCGAGGAAGCTCATTAGTCTGGCAACGCGTAGCGACAACGTGGACGCCCTTTCAGTCCTTCGGGACTGGAAATCGGGCAAGACAAAGCCCAAAATCCCCACGCCACCACGAAAGCAACTAGATAAACCGAGGAGCAGGCCAGCGCTGCGCGAGATATCAACAAATACCGCTCCACGCCCCCGGGGCGGTCAACCTCATAAGTTAATTCGACAAAGCAACCTCGACTCATTTGTTATCGCCGACGAAAGCTCGCAAGATGCTCAGACCCCTCAACCGCCCCAAACTTCGGCTATCCAACCATGGAAACGATTACCAGACCGCGCCCCCAGCTTGCACCCCGCACAGCTAGAGGAGGAGGAATCTAGGGATAAACGACGGCAACTCAATGCGCGGAAGCGGAGTTTAGATGCCTTCTATAGGAGGCGCCGGAAGATGCTAGACATCTCGACAGATGATGGGTCAGATCGCGTGCTAGATGTGGACTTCACGCTCCGGGAGCCTGTGGCCGAAGAACAAGTCAACGGGGCCGAAGTTGGTATGAGTGTTGAGGCACCTTCCGCCTCAAGAGGGGGAAAAGCCAGAGTTGACAGGTCAAGATTCCGCAAGAAGCGTCGCCCCCAGCGCGTGGACTTGGAGGCTCCGCAATACGCTCGCGCCAATGATCCTTTGCCGGTGGACCTCCCTGCCGTTGGAGTTCATGAACAGCACACACGAGACAAAGTTTGGGCTGAAGACAAGCTCAGAGGCCTTGGTCCTTATGGAACGCACTACACCCATCATTTTGAGGTTTTCCCGCTTGATAGAGGCGTTTACTTCCACGAGAGCACCGTCATTGGAAAGGGGCTAGTGCGAGATGCGGTAGATGTTGGTTTGTCTGACCGAATCCGCCACCAAAGATCCGCCGTGTCCTTTTCCCTTGATGGGAGAGTTCTAAGATGGAGCAGTTGGGACGACAATACATCTTCAGAGCTCGGCATACTCATTGATTGGATTGCCGAGCAACTAATTCAGAACACAGCGCCAAGCGAGGGTTCAGGCCAAAGGGCACTGGAAGCGGCCGATTTTGTGCTTGGATACGTGCTTCGCTCCCTTAGTGTTCAGAGCGATTCCGCAGGGAAAGCCTTTGTGTCGAGGTGGCTTGAGATCCTCTCCGGTTTCACCGACCGCTTTGAGTCAATTGATACAAGCTCGGTCTCGGAGAGCACCAAGAGGGCGCAGCTCGAGGTTAACATCCGCTTCTCTCTCGCGACGTTGGCGGTGCGTTCGATGAGCCAAGGAACCAACGGGGACCCTTGTCAATCCATGAAGCTTGATGATTTGCTTAAGAAAGCGGCTTCAGTCACCATTCGACGCCTCCTAGCATACGGCACCGAGGAACTGCGAACTCTCTACGGGGATTTACAACGTTCGGCTTTCAGGGAGCGAGGGATACGCCCAGATCTGTGCGTCACAAACTGCTGGGTGGTCATGATGAGACTCTTGGAAAGCGCCGCTATTCCGAGAAGCTCTTTCTGGGATGTCACCCAGTCAGTCATGCTCAACCATGGGCTCGGCTTAGGCGCGGATGCACAAGGGTTTGAGCGACTTTGGCAAGATGTGTTTACATTACTGCCGCTCTCCGAGATTGACAACTCCGGGCTTCTCATTTCGGGGGCGAGACACGCTACGCCGGTAGAAGGATGGGCACTGCCGCAGCAGTTGCTGAAGCGAGTCTTCCAGCTGTACCAAACGAATCCTCGTCAACCGCCTGGTTTCAACGACTACTGCCGAGCCCTTGTGGCGCGCTGCCATTTTCTCGTTCAGCAGTGGGGTTGGCGCCGATGTACCGGCGTCATCGGGACCATCTTCGACTTTTTCGGCTCACAGAGCCTTGCTCATCTCAGGAATGAGGAAGTGTATAAGTCCCCGCAGTTCCTCGAGGAACTTGACCGCAGGCCGTCTCTCGCCATCGAGCCAGACGACCGGTGCTTCCACATCTTCATCAAGCTCCTAGCTTTGGCAATCCAGCGTCTAAAGGAGCTCGGCCGCCCCAACGACATCAAGAATCTCGTTACCAGGACACTTCCCAACCATAGCCGGCAATATCTCAAGGAAGACACGATCCGCCAGCATGATTTGGCAGCCCTACGAAATCACCACGATCTATTGTGCACTCTGTTCTGGGTCTCACCGCCCGAGCTGCGGCGAGAAGTTCACGACATAGAGGTCCTGGTTGTCCCGGGCACGGCTCACAAGGAAGCATGTCTGATCAACGTTAGAGCCTGGAATCAGCTTGCACGCTTCGTGATTGCCAAAAATGAGGGTAGCGATGTGTTTAGGCCACTCGCTGTCTGGCGGAACAATGTTTTCAACCAGGTCCTGGACCAGTATCTCTCCGCCGCCTCGGATATTGAGCAACAGTTTCGGGACCTGTCAACCGAGATGCCCAACATCAGCAAAGATATGCGGGACGAGATGATAGCCAAGAACAAGGCGACGGCCCTGGATGTGCTCCACTTCTCGGTTAAGGCGTCGTTGGATGTCTTGCAGCGCGCCCCGACTCTGGAGGCGGTTTTGTATGGGCTTAGCATAGGTGAGCCGGCCTCCCTCCTCGCGTGAACCGGGTGGCTAACTTGCAATAGGCCAACTGCAAAAGGTGTTCACCAGTCTCGACTATCAGTCGCCAGGGTTCGACTGGGGCATACTCCGTGTTGCCCTCGACACGCTCGAGCATCTAATGGGCCGGATAGACCAGGCGTCGGAAGAGCAGTACTCGAGCGAGTTCGACGACAACGTCGATGCCCCTTTTCTGGAGGACGCCGTACTGGTATGTCTTAATTTCGGTACCTCTCCCTCAAGGTACTAGGCTGATATGATATAGCTGGTGAATGAACAATTAACCAAGGACTTTTTCTGGATGAGCCGAACCATTCTCGCACTCCCTTTGGAGAAATCTCCGCGACGACATACTCAACAAGCTGCCTGCTCGGAGAAAGCGGTCACCTTGGCTGCAAGAATTGCGGCTAGGTTTGTCAAGAACAGAGTCACGGTTGGTAGTACTTAGCCCATACACCTTGAAGGATGTCGCTGACCTTGTTAGCGATTGCTACCTTACTTTTCTACCGGAAAGTACAGTTTATTCCCCGACATACCGAAGAATTTGACAACGCCGGAAAGAAGATTCCTCCCACTCTTTCTTGCAGTTCTTGTCAAGAACCACGTTTTCGATTTTAAAGACATCGGAATCAACGTCTTGGGCCTGTGGATGCTCTCGGTCGTGAAGCCGCTGAGGTATCTAGGATACGAGAACTACCTAGCAGAAGTCCTCAAGCACCACGATCTGCCGTTTTTGGAGCGAGCCACAATTACAGTGGGAATCCCTCCGGACTACAACTCGAACATCGACTTCTTGGCTTGCGCCATCCAGCACATGCGGAAGACACTCAGAGAGTGTGGCTCGGTGCAAGCTAAGCAGCATCGCGAGGAATTCAAGAAGACGCTCCAGCTGGCAATGCAAAAGATGAAGGATGACTTGGCACTGCTCCGGTCTTATCCCAACGAACATGGGGTATACATTGACTTCGTGAGGCAGGTCATCTCGCTGATCAAGTCTCACGGAGTCAACATCTGCGCGGTTGACCCCTTCTTCATGCAGCCGAGCGTTGATTACTCGCCATCGATCCAGGATCCACAACTTCACACCGCGGGTATAGTCGCGTACGGAGTCAAACTGAGCGAAGGGGATGCTACTGCGGCCCAACCGCTCTTCCACTACCTATTCAACAACTTCAAAGTTTCGCTAGGCAACGACAAGCTTGAGCAGGAGTGCAAAATACTGAGCAGGGCAATGAGGAACGCCCATGTCACGTCGTTCATGTTGCAGTGCATGATACCGGCCATTATACAGGCGTCTGCGCAGGCTCCGGATTGCTGGGCGCTGCTGGAGGTGTACACGACCGCGCTTGGAGAGATCCTCGATTCGGGCTGCGTTCCAAGGGAGTTGCCAAACCACGATGTGAAGTATGCAGCAGGAATCTTGACGAGTATCCTGTCCTGGGTCGACACTCTCAGGAATACCGCGGCGCTCTCGCTCCAGCAATTGCACATCATGTCGCTTCTGGCCACGATAGCCGACATCCTACAACCAAGTCTCTCGGCCCACCTATTCAACGAATTCGACTCCGACTCGGCAATGCCCGACCTACAAGACATCGTGGACAGGGTTGCAACGCTATTTACGGAATTGCGGTCTCACATCGGGGACACCCTCTCCCTCTCAAACGGAGGGGACAGCTCCCCGACCAATCTCGCCCTGTCGGGTGTCTTGGCCGCCCTACCGCCAACGAATGTACCCGCGCCGGGTAACGGAAACGACCCACGCGTACAGACATTTGCCAACATCATCGCCGCGGACGTGCGGAAGAACTGGGTGGTGACAGCGGACCGTGTGATGGTGAGGATGGCGTCCTCAGGGAAAGGATCCCAGGGCGGGTTTCCGATTATGAGTCAGGCGGTGGTGACGAGCAGCAGTGCGGCCTCGCTTCGCGGGACGAGCTACTGCCCTTGGGAAAGGAGGGCTGTTTTCGAGAGGTTGGGTGCTGTTGTAGGGAGGTGGGAGTTGGGTGGGGGAGAGGAGAGGGAAAGAAAAGGAGTACGTTGGAAAGGGGGCAGACGAGAGGTGGGGGAGGAGATGCTGTTTTAGGGTTTTTGGTTATGAGGGACGGGTATATAGTTACGAGTAATGACAAGACTTTTCTGATGCTTCAGCGGAAGTGGTTTTGTCCTCCTGGTTGTAGTGCGGTCTTGTTTCTTGTTACAGCTCGCGAGATGTCCACACATAACCCTAACCCGTATAGGTTTGGTAAGCAGCAGCCCGGGGACCGAAGCCAAGGCTCGGCTGCCGGCGGCCAAATTTGATGGCCACCGAGCAATGACGGTGCACCGACATCGCGACCCTTGCTGTTGCCTTCTTCACGCCCGACGGCAACTACCGACATCGTAGTTGCACAGCCGCGCCATTGGATACCGTCGAGGCGCGAATAGCCAATTCGAACCGCATGTACGCGATAACCTCCGAATTGTGTTATTCTCATGCCTACGGCCGCCGGGGCTCGGGCCCTGCTGTCGGTGCAGACTCCCTCTAGAGCCAATCGACTGCCCCGCGCCCTTGTTCACGCGTGTCCGACCAGCGCCGTCGCTTCTGCTGCCGTTCGTGGCGCTCTTCCACATCGACGCCGTATCCACCGCCGTCTACATGGCCCCGCGGTAGCCACTCGCAGCCTCCACGCCTCACCGTCCCTCCTCACCCGCCCCGATGAACCAAACGGCGACGACCCCCCTCCTTCGACCGGCTCGAACAAGGACAATGGTGCGGCGGCAGTAGGGAATGGCCAGCCGGTTGAACCCGAGCCCCCCGCGCCCGCCGACACCGATGCAGAGACTAAACGGGAGAAGCTGAAGAGTGCGGGCTACGGTTCGGCCCGCGCCCGCGCCAACCGCAACAACCGCGTCGAGGAGGCCCCTCCCTTCGAGTTGCCTTCGTGGTTCTCAATGTCCCAGGTCTCGCTGTACGAGCAGCGCCCCATCGGTGTCCCCGGCACCCGGCTGCCCCGACTGAACGACAAGGATCGCAATCGGCTACTGTTGCTCCAGGAGGCAACGGTCAACAAAGCGTCTTTCCGGGAGGAAGAGCTCGGCGCATTCAAGGACGGGTTGACTCGTTTTGCAAGGAGGAAAGAATGGGAGGGGGGGCCCCTCTTTCGATTGCTGAAGCGGGCCAAGGCGTTACAACGAGCGGCCTTTTGGCAAACTCTCCTGCTTACCTATGACCCAAAACCCGGAACCGACCTGGACCACATCGAGAGACTGCGCCAACACCACTTGGCGAGTATGTACGACAGGGAGCTATGGCAGCCCTCGCCGGAGTCGCTCGTATCGCACGAATCTCAGCGCTGGCTTTCAAACGTCCGGTCCGACGCCGGCCCTGGTTCGGGATTCCACCAGAGCCCCATAGCGAGACGACCGGATCCCGAGTACGCCGCCTCCGTGGAGCTCCTCGCCGTCGTGAACTCTCAGATGGTGGCGTTGCCCACATCTGACCGGCAAGACGCGAGCCGGCCTCCAATTGTTCTCTCCATGCTCAATGGAAAGGGGAGGACAGTCGCCGATTCGATAGTCAACGACGTGGCCACGGACCTCAAGGCCGATGTCGTGCACCTATCTGCTCACCACGTTGCCCGCCTCCTGGGGCCGCACTTGAACCAAAGCCAGTATTCGGCCCGCGGTTCGCTCTCCATGCTTGGCTACGCCGCTGCCGAGATGAACGGGAGACTTGTGTCGCGGTCCAGTCCCATCGCCGGCGCCGAGTCGGACCAGCCCGGCATGGTCGCCGTTGAGCTGCCCATGCGGCTGAGGAATTTGATTTCACAGAAGGTCGGGATCGCCAGTTTGACAGATGGCCGCTGGGAAGAAATGAAGATCAACTCTGCACTGGAAACGATTGTTGCCGCTGCCGATCGCAAACGCGAACGAGAGGTGACGGTGACCAAGGCCGCCCCGAAGATCATAGCTTCCATACGCGGCAAGAATGAGATAGAGGTGAAGGAGCCACGACGAGACCTGATCATTCATCTCCACGACTACATAGAGCTGAGCTCGCTGTGTAACTCCATCATCTCCACGCTCCGGGCCATCACCGAGCGAATGTGGAAGGCAGGGAGAAGAGTTGTTTTCGTGGGCAGCTCATCCGGCGACGTGGACAAGTTGCCCGACTACCGAGAACAGCTCGTTGAGCTGGGCCGAGACGGCGCCCACGTCATCCCGTTCCATGCCGACCCAGCGAGGACGAATGAGGAAGAGAAATGGAACCATGCCGAAGAAAACCTCGCCAATATCGAGGACATGCTCCGCGCCGTGGTTGGGGATCAAGTCCCCATTACCATTGCTGCAGGGTTCTTGCGGTCGAGAGAACCTAGAATATCGAAGAAGAACTACGAAATTATGGTTGATTGGCTCAATAAACACATATATGACGCACAATGGATCCAGCGCCTAGTGTCCCTAATGGTAGGTGCCCAGATGGGCCCCCGCGAGGAGTATGGCGTCCCGGCGCTGTGCTACGGCATGCAGTTCATGCTCGACCGCGACAAGCACTGGCAGAATATCAATCCAGCCATCCTCCCCCCTTACTCCTCCCCGCTCTCCCTCCCGCGAAACTCCTCTGCGTCCTCCTCCGCGGATGAGTCCGCCACCGGCAAGCTCTCCGGTGCCGCCGCATCCAAACAATACAACGCCGACGAGAAGAAGCTCCTCTCGGGTCTCATCAACGCAAAGGACATCAACACGACCTTCGACCACATCGTCGTCCCGCAGGAGACCAAAGAATCCCTCATCGGCTTGACCACCCTCTCCCTCGTCCGCCCCGAGGCCTTCTCCTACGGCGTACTCAAGACGGAGCACATCCCCGGCTGCCTCCTCTACGGGCCGCCCGGGACGGGCAAGACGCTCCTCGCCAAGGCCGTCGCCAAAGAGTCCGGCGCGAGCATGCTCGAGGTGTCGGCCGCGACCATCAACGACAAGTACGTGGGCCAGAGCGAGAAGAACGTGCAAGCGCTCTTCACCCTGGCGCGCAAGCTCGCCCCCTGCGTCATCTTCCTCGACGAGGCCGACGCGCTGCTCGCGGCGCGGCGCTCCAGCTCCGCGCGCGCCCCCTACCGCGAGACCATCACCCAGTTCCTGCGCGAGTGGGACGGCCTGACGGGCTCGCGCAACTTCATCATGGTGGCCACCAACCGGCCCTTCGACCTCGACGAGGCCGTGCTGCGCCGCCTGCCCCGCAAGATCCTCGTCGACCTGCCGCTCGCCCCCGAGCGCCTCGCCATCCTGCGCGTCATGCTGCAAGAAGAGACCCTCGCGCCCGAGGTCGACCTCAGCAAGCTCGCCGCCGACACGGAGCTGTACTCCGGCTCCGACCTCAAGAACCTCTGCGTCTCGGCCGCCATGGAGGCCGTCCGCGAGGAGGTGCGCGCCAAGGCCGCCTGGAAGGGCGAGGGCGAGTTCCAGTTCCCCGAGAGGCGCGTGCTCGAGCAGCGCCACTTCGACAAGGGCCTGCGCGAGATCAGCGCGAGTATCAGCGGGGATATGGACAGCCTCAAGGCGATCCGCAAGTTTGATGGGCAGTATGGCGACGCGGGCCGCAAGCGGGTTGTCAAGAAGGGGATGGGCTTCGAGGTGGTGCCGGACGATGGGAAGGGGTCGTCTGGCGAGGCTAGGGTTAGGCAGGTCGATGCTGCTGGTGCGGCTTGAATTGGGGGAAAAAATAAAATTAATGGGATGAGATGGAAGGCGAATGGCGTTGGAAAGAATGCAATAAATCGTAGCCTGTGTATGTATGTGTGTGTGTGTGTATGTGTGTGCGAATTTGGGGTTGGCCGCTTACTACGGCCCCGTTCGTTGTACATTTGTATGTACCATGTGTGCGTAACGTAACCGCCGGGGATTTATTACCTGCCCGTGCAATAGACAAAAAAGGGGTTGTTGGGTAGGAGAGACTATCTATTTCAAACTTTCTCCCTGGCCTAATGGTATCATTAACGAACGAATGCAAGCTTTCCTGTTTTATATACCCTGCCCAGCCCATTAAGCCGGCTGTCCCCTCACTTCCTGGCCTTCGCCTCGCCCAGCGCCGTAACATACAACTCCAAGGCCGAATTAATGCCCAAGAGCGTCGCCTCGAACAGCGCCCGCACCGAGTCCTGGCCGCCCTTGGGGGGTTGCCACCGCAGCTTCTTGCGCGTCCGCTCGTAGTGCTCCCTGATCTCGCGCTTGCGCTTGTCCATGACCTGCTGGCGGATCTTCTCGGCCTCGGCGGCGAGGGCGTCGATGCGGTCGGCCGACCGCCGCAGCGACTCGGCGTAGTAGGCGAGCTCCTGGGTGCGGGCGGGGTCGCCCGACAGGAAGGCGCCCCAGAACTGCTTGAGGAACTCGGTGGTGGTGGCGTTGGTGAGCACGCAGCGCTGCGCGATCTCGGGCGGTATCCCCATGGGCGAGGCGTCGTCGTCCCCGCCCGTGCTGAATATGCCGTGCGTCTCGCTGCGCTTCTTGCGCATCCCGTCGAGGATCTGGCTCTGCGCCTGCTTGCGCGCGCCCCGCGCCCCGACGTGGCTGGGCTTCTTGGTGTCCGTCTCGCTGTCGCTGTCGTCGTCGACGCCGATGCCCCTGCGGATATCTATTCCGCCCGAGCCGTCGTCCTCGAGCGTCTCGATGTCGGCGTGGACTTCAAAGAGGACCTCAGAGGGGACCTGCGATTCGTAGATCTTGGCCTCTTCGGAGTGGGCGTCGTGGTTGGAGAAGAACTTGTTTTGCTCCTTGACGTTCAGCATGATGCGGGATGCTTTCGCATCACCGCGGAGATCACGCAGGGTGAGCTCGCCAAAGGTGCGCGTGTCATCGTCCAGCCCGTCTGGGCCGGACGGATCGGTGTCTGACGGGGCCACATTGGCCATGATCTTCTCACTCAGACTATTCAACGTTCTGATGATGGGGATGTTTCCCCGCGGGCGCATCTCGACATCCTTGCGGTTGCCGCTCTTGTACCCGCCCTGGTTCTCTTCGTTCGCTTCCAAGTCTATGATGTGCGGGACCTTCTGGGTCGACGTAATCTTGCTTGCGAAACCGAACGTGTTGTCGTCGTTGAGATAACGATCAAATATCGCATCGGAATTATCATTATCTGTTACTCGCTCGCCGCGCAGCTGTTTGGAGAGCTTGCTGAGGAAGAAGCGAGACCAGAACTCGCTTTCGGAAAGTTTAGGGACATTGTCGTTATATATCCGCCTCACAAGCGGGTGCTGTTGTAGGATCATGGAAATCTGCTCCGACGAAATACTGAGCTTGAACTGTCCATCCTCGGTCCGCGGCTTGATGGTCGAGAGAACATTGTAGGCTCCTTTCTTCTGGTTCAGCTCGATGGCATGAGCGCGGAGAAGGCCAATTCTGGTGGACCAGAATCGAGCATTGAATGCAGCTTCTGGGATGGAGGCGGGCTTCAAAGCGAATGCATCTTTGTAGGTCCGAGCTAGACCCTCGTCCTTCGTTATGAGGGACTGCTGCAGCTCGGTGTCTGCTCTGAGCACGTCGTCGTCGAACCACTTCGGTGGCGCCGCCTTGGCGTTCACTGTGTTGGCAAAAGACATGGCCGCCGAGGCTCCGGCGCCATCAGTCCCATCAGTTCCATTCTGCGCCGCCGCCGCCGCCGCCGCCGCGGGCTTTGGCACGCTCGGGTCGTTCTCGCGTGCAGCGGCCAGCAGCTGGGAGAGAAGGGTTTTTACGGCGTTCGCCTCGGTCCTGGCATCGGTGGGCGACGTAAACTGGAAGAGAAACTGTGACGGCGCCGCCCCTTCGCCCGCACCCGGTTTGGGTTTCTCGATGACCCTCAAGATGACCTTTGGTGCGCCGTCCGGTGTTTGCTGAAGGTTCATTATATTCTCCAGCGCCAGTGACACCGTGGGCGGGCCCGTTGCGGGCATTGGCATCCATATCAGGGCACTGCGGTCATCGGTCAGCGTGAGGATGCCTTCCTTCTTCTTGTACGTGGTCCTGCCACGCGGGAGGGCCATGTTGGCGGCAGAGCCCGCGGTGCAGGCTTAACCGAGCACAATAATTCCTGTCGCCGTTCCTCAACACTCCTGAATAAGCCCTTGGTTGAATAGGTAGCGTTTGGCAACCAATCTGGGAATTGCGGCGTTGCCAGCGGCGCGGTGCTTCAGGTTTAACTTCAGCTTCATTCAACTTTTGAGTTGTCGCTGTCAAAGTCCAGGCAGCCCTGGGCCGAAGGTTACTGTGCCAAGTCGCTAATTATAACGGTCCACCCCACAGCTTAGCTCGGGATAGGGCCCACTGTAATTCTTCGGTCCAGACTGCCTTCGTCTCTGCCAAGTTCAACACGAGGAGATCAACAGTTTGTGCTTTGTGTCTTTTGAATTAATTAGAGAAAAAAGACAAGAAAGATATCATGAAGAAAGGAGAAGCATAAAATTATAAAATTACTGCTGCCCTGAGCCGGGCTCGTCCGCGCGCTACGCTCCGCTTGGTCTTGCGAGCCCCGGGCCCGGATCGGTATTGAAAGCCGAGATCCAATGGCAGTGTCGAGAATGAGGTCACGCGCTGTTGCAGCCGATGAATTGACGTAAACTGGTATTGCTCAGATAAAATAACCCTCCGGCCTGATGCAGGGAGCACGCCAGGATACCGGACGGTTTTTTTGCGGGACTTTAGCAACAAATAATGCCAGGGACTTGAGGGCATTGCAAAAATCGAAAACCGCTCTCTCGGCTTGGCCCGGATATCGATGGATTTGCGAGCCAGAAACGAGGCAAGGAAGTGGGTGGCGGCTTCGCGATTGTCCCAAAAGGCGACAGAGGCCTCGGGCTCAGACGCTGCTTCCGTCTAGCCGTGGCTTGGCCGCACCAAGTGAAGCATCCAAGTGCCGCAGGGCGTTCGCTGGTTGGTTGCATCGGTATCGAACAGGGGTTATGTTGCACCTCCCCAGTCACCCGCCCAGCGAAAATTGCCGTCATCGTCCCCGGGGCCCAGCGCCCTTTTTCAGCAGCAAGAGTTGGTCATTTTCCAACCCAAGATCAAACCACAAAAAACAGCTCACCAAAGATTGGGACTAATACGCCCTCCTGGAATGTCCCCAAATCTGACTTCTCGTCCTTTGACGATATAGTTTCCAAATTTTATATCACCTTACGCGCGACTTACTCCGCCGCTCTTTTTGTTCTTGCTACCGTTTCGTTGTCGTCTTGTACGGTGCCCGGGAGCGAGCAAACAACCCGGCGGATCTCGATTTCCCACCTATTCCTTGCGGCCGGTTTTTTCTCGCAAGTTGTTCGAGGTCACCACCAACACCATAACCCCTCACCAACACTCGCAACCCCGTCACACCCGGTCGAGATGCTGCGCACCTCTATCCGGGCGCTACAGAGCGCCGCGGCTTCATCGTCGCGATGCTTCTCGACAGCCACCGTCTCGGCCCGCGCCAACCTAAGGCCCGCTGCCGCCCGCCGCCCCCTCGCTATCGCCGCCCAAAAACGGTTCGAGAGCGCCCTTCACAACCCTCCCGGCTCGAATGACAACTTCCTCTCGGGGAACACAGCAAACTACATCGATGAGATGTACTTGCAGTGGAAGCAGGACCCCGAGAGCGTCCATGTGTCGTGGCAGGTCTACTTCAAGAACATGGAGAGCGGGGATATGCCCATCTCCCAGGCCTTCACGCCACCGCCGTCGCTTGTTCCCGGTACCCAGGCCGTCGTTGGCCTCGCTGCTGGCGCTGGTGTTGGCATTGGCGAGGGCTCTGACGTCGACAACCATCTCAAGGTCCAGCTGCTCGTGCGCGCATACCAGGCCCGCGGTCACCACAAGTCCAAGATCGACCCCCTGGGCATTCGCAATGCTTCCAAGGGCTTCGGCAACATCCGCCCAAAAGAGCTCGAGCTCGACTACTACCAATTCACCGAGAAGGACCTCGACACCGAGTACACCCTGGGCCCCGGTATCCTCCCCCGCTTCAAGCGCGAGGGCCGCGAGAAGATGACGCTCCGCGAGATCGTTGACGCATGTGAAAAGATCTACTGCGGCTCGTACGGCGTCGAGTTCATCCACATCCCCGACAGAGAGAAGTGCGATTGGCTCCGCGAGCGTGTCGAGGTGCCCCAACCCTTCAAGTACTCGATCGACGAGAAGCGCCGCATCCTCGACCGTCTTATTTGGAGCTCGAGCTTCGAGTCTTTCTTGTCCACTAAGTACCCCAACGACAAGCGATTCGGCCTGGAGGGTTGTGAGACTTTGGTACCTGGTATGAAGGCGCTTATTGACCGTAGCGTCGACTATGGCGTCAAGGACATCGTCATTGGCATGCCGCATCGTGGCCGCCTTAACGTGCTGAGCAACGTCGTTCGGAAACCCAACGAATCCATCTTCAGCGAGTTCGCCGGTACTGCCGGTGCCGAAGACGAGGGCTCTGGTGACGTCAAATACCACTTGGGCATGAACTTTGAGCGGCCCACCCCCTCTGGAAAGCGCGTGCAGCTGTCCCTGGTGGCCAACCCGTCGCATCTCGAGGCTGAGGACCCTGTTGTGCTCGGCAAGGTCCGTGCTATCCAGCACTACAACAACGACGAGGCCACCCACCGCAGCGCCATGGCCGTCCTCCTCCACGGCGATGCTGCCTTCGCCGCCCAGGGTGTCGTCTACGAGTGCCTCGGCTTCCATTCCCTTCCGGCCTTCTCGACCGGCGGCACCATCCACCTAGTTGTCAACAACCAGATCGGCTTCACCACGGATCCTCGTTACTCCCGCTCGACCCCTTACTGCACGGACATCGCCAAGGCGATCGACGCCCCTGTCTTCCACGTTAACGCCGACGACGTGGAGGCCGTCAACTTTGTCTGCCAAATGGCCGCCGACTGGCGCGCCGAGTTCAAGCAGGATGTCATCATCGACATGGTCTGCTACCGGAAGCACGGCCACAACGAGACCGATCAGCCGTCTTTCACTCAGCCCCTGATGTACAAGCGCATCCAGGACAAGAGCCCACAGCTTCAGATATACGTCGAGCAGCTCCTCAAGGAGGGCACCTTCAGCAAGGAGGACGTTGAGGAGCACAAGCAGTGGGTCTGGGGTATGCTGGAAGAGAGCTTTTCCAAATCAAAGGACTATCAACCCACTTCTAAGGAGTGGACCACTAGTGCCTGGAACGGCTTCAAGTCCCCCAAGGAGTTGGCCTCCGAGGTGCTGCCACACAAGCCGACGGGTGTCGACAGGAAAACTCTGGAACACATCGCCGAGGTCATCGGCAGCACGCCCGAGGGTTTCAACGCCCACCGCAACCTGAAGCGCATTCTCACCAACCGGACCAAGTCCGTGGTTGAGGGCAAAAACATTGACTGGTCAACGGCCGAGGCGCTGGCGTTCGGTACCCTCGTGACCGAGGGCCGCCACGTTCGTGTCTCGGGCCAGGATGTCGAGCGTGGCACTTTCTCGCAGCGCCACTCCGTCTTCCACGACCAGGAAACCGAGGACACCTACACACCACTCCAGCACCTCAGCAAGGACCAGGGCAAGTTTGTCATCTCCAACTCGTCGCTCAGCGAGTTCGGCGCCCTCGGCTTCGAGTACGGCTACTCCCTGACCGACCCCAACGGTTTCATCATGTGGGAAGCCCAGTTCGGCGATTTTGCCAACAACGCCCAATGCATCATCGATCAGTTCATCGCTTCCGGTGAGCAGAAGTGGATGCAGCGTACCGGTCTCGTCATGTCTCTGCCCCACGGCTACGACGGCCAGGGCCCCGAGCACTCTTCTGGCCGCCTGGAGCGCTTCCTCCAGCTCTGCAACGAGGATCCCCGTGTCTTCCCCTCGGACGACAAGGCGCAGCGCCAGCACCAGGATTGCAATGTCCAGGTTGCCTACATGACCACTCCCGCCAACCTGTTCCACATCCTCCGCCGCCAGATGAACCGGCAATTCCGGAAGCGTAAGTTGCCACGGACTCGGCGTCTTTTGACATGATTTATGCTAACCTACCGTTTAGCCCTCATCCTCTTCTTCTCCAAGTCGCTGCTGCGCCACCCGCTCGCCCGCTCCAACATTGAGGAGTTCACGGGCGACTCGCAGTTCCAGTGGATCATCGCCGACCCGGCGCACGAGACGGGTGCCATCAAGTCGCACGACCAGATCGACCGCGTCGTCCTCTGCACGGGTCAGGTGTACGGTGCCCTTCACAAGTACCGCGCCGACAACAACATCGACAACGTGGCCATCACCCGCATTGAGCAGCTCCACCCCTTCCCATGGGAGCAGCTGCGCGAGAACCTCGACATGTACCCCAACGCCAAGACCATCGTCTGGGCCCAGGAGGAGCCCCTCAACGCCGGCGCCTGGAGCTACACGCAGCCGCGTATCGAGACGCTGCTCAACCAGACGCAGCACCACGACCGCAAGCACGTCATGTACGCCGGCCGCAACCCCAGCGCGTCGGTCGCCACGGGCCTGAAGGCGTCGCACACCAAGGAGGAACAGGATCTGTTGGAGATGGCCTTCTCCGTCAAGCAGGACAAGCTCAAGGGCGAGTAGGGCCCGCCCCGGTTGTTCGCATTGGCCGTGAGGCACAAAGTGTAGACAGTTCCCATCGGATCTGTCTTGTGTATCATCATCGATCATCGTGTGCTTGAGTAATAAATCATGGGTAGGGAGGACCATTAAGCCTTTCCTTTGTTGCTCGCATGGTATCCGTTGGGTATGGGGAAGTGCTCTCGGTTGGGAGTGATCCCATCTGGCCAGGAGATGGTGCATTTATGTACAAAAGCTAGTTGTTGCATGATGAGAAATGACCTTTATTTGTGCTACCGAAGATGTGTGTTTTTGGTGTAATCCTTGGTTTGAATAGATCTAGAATTATGTCTTAAAAGACGTCCTCATATTTACAAATAGGATAAATTTCATACTGGAAACCATCTCATACTTTTTCAATCGAATTGGACAAACGTCGAGAGAACGAAAACTCGCTCTTTCTTTGTTTTATTCAATTACAGCTTTTTAGCTGGTTATGATGCCCTCACCTGCCACGGCCGAACGACGCCATCATCGCCTGTCGTGACCAACATCTCCTCCTTGCCCTTGTGTTCCGCCCCGGGGTCAAACCTCTTACACCATGTGATGTGGTTGACCTCGTACGGGCCGTGGGCACGGGGGATGGTACCCAATACCTTCCAATTGCTTTCCGGTCCAGAGGTGCCATTCTCTGCTGCCCCCTCCACACCCGTCATGGCGACGTCCTGTGGCGCGCCCTCCTCCTCGGCGTACACCGCAACGATGCCATCGCTGCCCGTGCTAGCCACCAGTCCCGACTCGGAACTCCACGACACCGAGTACACATCCCGCGTGTGCACCTTGGGCAGCACGGCCGTGCAATCCCACTCCTCCCTGAGCGACCGCCGCATCGTGCTCGGCACCCCGCCGAACCCGGACCTAAACGGATTTCCTTCCTGCTGACCCTCCTCTTCCTCCTCTTCGTCCACTCTCAGTGTCCACACCCTTATCGATCCGTCCGCCGAGAAGGTCATCAACCTCGGGAACCGCCCATCCTGCCTCTCCTTCCCCTCCCACTGCAGCCCCCACACCGTCCCGCCATGCCCTTCGAGGACTGCCACACACACCCACTCCCCGTCCGCATCCTCCCGCCACACCCTCACGGTATCATCATAGCTGGCGCTCGCGAGCACCTCGGCGCTCTGGTGGCGCCGCCCAACACCGGCCCTGGCATTCGACAAGTTGGACGGGCACCAGGCGACAGCCTTGACATCACCATCATGCTCGCTCAGCACAGCGACCGTCTCCCACTCATCCTCATCATCCCCCCCGTCCCCAGACGACACATCCTCCCAGATCCACACCGACTTATCCCGGCTCGACGTCGCCAGGTACTGCCCACCGGGCGAAAAAGCCAGCGATTTGACCTCGTTCTCATGTCCCTCCAGCACCAAATTAAACTCCCACTCCCTCTCCTCCTCCTCCTCCTCCTCCCCATCCCCACCACCACCACCACCACTACCCATCCTCACCTCCCTCTCCAACCCCCCACCACCACCACCAGCACCACCACCAGAACCACTCTCCCGATCCCCCTCAAAACTCCACAACCCCGCCGTCGCATCAAAACTCCCCGTCACCAACCCCAACCTCTTATTCCCACCACCCCCACCACCACCGCGCGGCGGCTGCCACGCAGCGGTGCGCACGGAGCGGGCGTGGCCGCCCGTCAGGGCGCTGTGCTTGGAGAGGGTGGCGAGCGAGAAGACGGTGACGGATTTGGCGTGGGCGGTCGCGAGTAGAGGGAGGGTGGGGTGCGGGGTGGAGGACCAGGCGCGCTGGTAGAGGTCGGGTTGGAAGGGGGGGAGGGGGGTTATGGTTATGGGGGCTGGTGTTGTGGGTTTGTTGGGGGGGTGGGTGGTGGCATTTTGGCGGGTTGTTTTGGAGGGTTTTTTTTTTTTTTTTGGTTTTTTTTTTGTCGATGGAGGGGGAGGGGTTGTTTGGTTGGGGGTGAGGTCGTCGTCTTGTTTGTTTGGAGGGGTTCGTGTTTGGAGGTGGGGTTGTCGCAATGGCTCGCTCGAATTCGGCGGTTGAGTTCGTTTGTTCGTTCGAGGATGGTTGAGGTCGACGGGCTGCAGAGGAGCCACGAGGTAACGAGCAGAGCTGTGAGGCGTGATGCAGCTAGAAAGAGGCTCTCGAATGCGGGATGGGCAGTGGGGGTTGCAGCACTGAACATCGCCCCTCAATTTTTCCCTTGGGAGCAAGCTCCGATCCCGCTGCCCCACCAAGATATGATGCAATCAACAACAAACCATCTCGACCTTCACAGTAATTAAGAAATGAAAAGCAACGGCCAATTGTTAATAATTGATGACTGTAACCTATACCCAACAGTGCATTGCTATGTCCGACCAAATGCTATGCTGCTGCTTGCTCAAATAAAGTATACACACCTTCCAAAAGCCCAGTCTGAACACAGCCCAGGGGTAACCAAATCAATGCGCCAGATCCATTCCAAACCTCCAAGCCAAGCCCCAAACTAAAACCGGTGGCCCTACCTACCCAAACACCTCCCATGAGAAAATTCAAACCACATAGAAATCACGCACCACTCAACCCCGCCTCCCGGAACCGCTCAAACGAAGCCTCGTCCTCCCCACCAGCAGCAGCATCCCGCTCATCCTCCTCACGCATACGCCTCTCCATCTCCAGCCGCCCGTCCTTCCCCCAGTACCCGGCCTTCTCGGACCCGTGGACGCAGCCCTCGGTGATGAGCACGTAGGGGGTGGGGGCGTCGTACATGGGGTCGGCGAGCACGCGCTCCATCTCCATCTTGAGCCCTCGCGCGCCCGTCTCGTTCTTGGCGGCGCGCTCGGCGATGGCCGTCAGCGCCCGGCGCGTGAAGGCGAGCGTGCTCGGGTACGTCTCGAACAGCGCCGTGTACTGCGCCACCAGGCTGTTGCGCGGTTCCGTCAGGATGCGGTATAGTTCGTCCAGAGAGAGCGGGGTGAGCGCGCAGATGTTGTGGAGTCGGCCGATCAGCTCCGGGATGAAGCCGTAGGTTTGTAGGTCGGCGGGCGTGGTGAGGTCGAGCGGGGTGAATCCGGTGCCAGAGGTCTCGCTGGTGAACACCGGTTGGTGGGGCAGGTGGCCGTACATCTCTGGGGGGAGGATGTCCTTGCTAGTGGACATGGAGGCGCTGCGTCCGCGGACCTCGGAGCCGAAGCCGATGGATGGCTTAGCGACTCTGCGGAGGACCGTCTTGTCCAGCCCGACAAAGGCACCGCAGAAGACAAAAAGAATGTTGGTAGTGTCGATGGTATACTGGTCAACCTTGCCGGCTGGAGGAGTCGATTGCGGGTTCGACGGCCCATAGCCGCCGGGCGGGTTGTTTGCCGTCCGGGACTGCCGCTGGTCCTTGACGTTTATTGTGACCTTGGTGCCTTCCACAAGCTTCAATAGAGCTTGCTGTACGCCTTCGCCGCCTACATCTCTGCCGTTGACTGTCTCACGTTTCGCAATCTTGTCGAACTCATCTAGCACAATAATCCCATGCTCGGCGGCTTTGATGTCGTAGTTAGCCTCGATGAGCAGTCGTTCGATGCATGACTCGACGTCTTGTCCGATATACCCTGCTTGTGTAAACGAGTTGCAGTCACTAATCGTGAATGGCACGTTGAGTTTCTTGCTTAGGGTCCTACGTCGGGTCAGCACATGTTATGGACGATTGATCTGGCCGACCCACTCGAGTATGTACGTCTTCCCCACGCCAGTTGGTCCGATCAAAAGCAAGTTGCTCTTGTCGATCTTGACATGTTCTGGCGCGGGGAAGTTCTCCGGTATGTAGGAGTCGTCGACCGGGGATTCGTACAGACCGTCCGGGATCCGGTACGTGCCCCCAACCGCTTCTTGATGCCCCGGATATTCATCTTGAAAAGCAATGTCATTATCAGCCTGTCGCCGAGATCCCAAAGGAAACGCAGAACGACGCGAGGGCCACCGCCCACCTTCGACTGGATGCGTGCGGGTGCTGTTGTACCCCGCTTGCTCAAAAGCCTCCTGGTCCTGGGCATACTTCTGCCTTTGGAGCTTCTCCCGCAGACGCTGGTCTTGGATATCGTGGTTCTGGCGTCGCCGTAAACCCTGGTAATGGTTGAAAATGACGGAACATATTGTCTTCTTCGCCCGATCCTGGCCTACAACGTAGTCGTCTACCCTCCTCTTCAGGTCTCGCGGGTAGAACTGCGGGACGCCAAACGTGTGCTTGTTGAAGATAGGGCCGCGCCCCGTTTCCTGATTGGGATCATAGCTACTGCTGTACCCGGAATTGAAGTAATTCGACCGGCGCGGGGCCGAGAGGAGGATACTCGATGTCGAGTAAGCGGGATGCCGGAGCCGGGCGGTTCGGAGGATAGCTGCGCACGTCGGCGCTCGGGGCCGTACAAGGACCGACATCGTCACTATCGGTCGGTGATCATGCTCGAAGGATGGAAACGGTCGGGTACCCTCGCAGCGGCCCTGTTTAGAGTAAGCTCAAGCGGCGGAGTTCCCTTGGGATTGTTTCGGAATCCTGGGGGAGCTGAGCGGCGAAAGGCGGTTGCGCCACATGCTCAAGCTCAGTCACTGAGGACGGACGGCACCGATAGGCAGCCGATGGCAAGCGGCGCTGCAATGCGGGGGGGCAGGGGGCCAGAGCTCCCTCCTTGTGTCAACGGGCCTTTCGAAGCTCTGAGCCAATCATTAATTAGCTTGGGCCCGTCCGTTGCCCAGCATGGACGACCCCACCAGTTTCGTCACCCGCCCTCGAAGAAAAGATGAGGACCGCCTTAATGAAAGATGATAAATAAAAAGAATCAAGTAACTAGCATTTTTCTCCCTTGTTTTATTCGATCCTAATTATCTCAGGTTCCAAAAGCCCGAATTCGGTAAGTCATTTTCCCTTCCAATAAAGATTGCAGGGAGGTCCGTCCCGAACCGCCCGCCAGTGATCCCATCGTCTTATCCTCCTTCGTCACATCTGCGATAAGGCAAGGTGGTTCAGCAGCTGAGCACCCCTGAATGCCCGTGGTCTGGGCCGTCGAACGAAGTTGGCAGACCAACTTGCGGACGGCGCAGGGGGCAAAGCAGCAGGTAGCCGCTAACGGTTATTATTTTGGGCGCAGAGTTGCCCCTCGGAGGGAGCTCTCGTGTCGGGAAGATTTGGTTTGGTTGGATTGTAAAGGCCCCATGATGTAATCTAGCATTTCCATACATGCAGGCCATCTCAAAGCTCATCAAGCTCGCGCCTGACAGTTCTAGGTCCCTCCTCCCGAGTACTCAGCAGTGTGACCGTCATTTCGTTTTTTTCATCGCCCCGCTTCCAGAGTCATCACATTCCTTCCGTCCAAGTAAACATCGATTCTTGTCCTTCTCCATTGAGGTCAGCATCATCTGAACCTAACAGAAACTGCGGCAATTGCCCCTTCCAACACCGATACACAGCACTTATCTTGAGCACCTTTATCACCTCAAACCCCCCCCCCAGGTACCGGGATCCGAGAATTAAGTACCAAACACCAACTGTACTCGCCCACGCCAAACGACTACGGGAATGGATCCCATCGCTGAGAATTCGTCAAACACCTTGGTGGGCGGCGGTAAGGTGGCCGAAGATGATATTGCTCGGGACGGCACCGGTCTGATACCCCATAGCTCCCAGTACTTGATATCATAACCCGAGACTGACTCCAAAAACAGGAGTTGTGAAGCTTGACCCCTGGCTGGCGCCTTTCCAGGACTCGCTAAAGCGACGCTTTAGCAAAGCCCAAGAGTGGATCAAGCGAATCGAGGACACGGAGGGCGGTTTAGACAAGTTCAGCAAGGTACGTGATGCCCGTCTCAGTTTCGGTGTGTCACCTCGCTAATCGTCTCAGGGATCGGAACTCTTTGGGCTGCAAGTGAAGGGAGATGGAAGCATTGCCTACAGGGAGTGGGCTCCCAACGCCGTCAAGGCTTCCCTTATTGGCGACTTCAGTAAGTTGTATGGGCAACCGACGTGGAAACCGCAATCTTACATATCCAGACAAATGGGACAAGAACACCCATCCCATGAAGAAGAACGAATACGGCGTTTTTGAGATTACCGTTCCTCCAACAGCCGACGGCAAGCCGGCCATCCCCCACAACTCGAAGATCAAGGTAAAATATACATGACTCCCTAATATGAGACTAAACCTAACGTTCCCAGATTACCCTCGAACTGCCCACGGCAGAATGGGTCGACAGGCTGCCCGCCTGGATTAACTATGTCACGCAGGACATCTCTGTCTCTCCCGCGTACGACGCCCGCTTCTGGAACCCGCCGGCCGCGGACCGCTACTCCTTCAAGCACACGAGGCCGCAGAAGCCGGCCAGCCTGCGCATCTACGAGGCCCACGTCGGCATCTCGTCCCCGGAGCTGCGCGTCACCACCTACAAGGAGTTCACCAAGAACATGCTCCCGCGCATCAAGAGCCTGGGATACAACGCCATCCAGCTCATGGCCATCATGGAGCACGCGTACTATGCCAGCTTCGGCTACCAGGTGAACAACTTCTTCGCCGCCAGCAGCCGCTACGGCGAGCCCGAGGACCTGAAGGAGTTGGTGGATGTGGCGCACAGCCTCGGCTTGGTGGTTCTACTTGACGTGGTGCACAGCCATGCGTCCAAGAACGTGCTGGATGGGCTGAATGAGTTCGACGGGAGTGATCATCAGTACTTCCACGCGGGTGCCAAGGGAAGACACGAGCTCTGGGATAGCCGGCTGTTCAACTATGGCCACCACGAGGTTATGCGTTTCTTGCTGAGCAACCTGCGGTTCTGGATGGACGAGTACCAATTCGACGGCTTTCGGTTTGATGGTGTCACCAGCATGCTTTACACGCACCACGGCATTGGAACGTGAGTTCTTTTCTTCTTTTTTTTCTTCTTTTCTTTCTTCTTTTTCTTCTTCTTTTTTTTTCTTCTCTTTTTTTTTCTTCTTTTTTTTCTTCTTCTTTTTCTTCTTTTTCTTCTTTTTCTTCTTCTTTTTTTTCTTCTTTTTCTTCTTCTTTTCTTTCGTGTCCGCGAGTGGTGCGTACCGAGCTGACATTTACAGCGGCTTCTCCGGCGGGTACCACGAGTACTTCGGTGCTGGCGTCGACGAGGAGGCGGTGGTTTACCTCATGATCGCCAACGAGATGCTCCATGAGCTGTACCCAGATGTCATCACTGTGGCCGAGGATGTCTCAGGAATGCCGGCGCTGTGCCTGCCGCTGTCTCTGGGTGGCGTTGGGTTCGATTACAGACTGGCCATGGCCATCCCCGACATGTGGATCAAGATCCTGAAGGAAAAGAAGGACGAGGACTGGGATATCGGCAATATTTGCTTTACGCTGACCAACCGTCGTCACGGAGAGAAGACGATCGCTTACGCCGAGAGCCACGACCAGGCGTGAGTTTGCCAGCGCTGTTGTGCGTGTGTTTCGCTAACCTTTTGCAGTCTGGTCGGCGACAAGTCGCTCATGATGCATCTCTGCGACGCCGAGCTCTACACGAACATGTCGACCCTCGCACCCCTAACCCCCGTCATCGACCGCGGCATGGCCCTGCACAAGATGATTCGGCTCCTGACGCACGGCCTAGGAGGCGAGGGTTGGCTCAACTTCGAGGGTAACGAGTTTGGCCACCCGGAGTGGCTCGACTTCCCGCGCGAGGGCAACCAGAACTCGTTCTGGTACGCTCGCCGGCAGCTGAACCTAACTGAAGACACCCTCCTGCGCTACCAGTTCCTCAACAACTTTGACCGCTCCATGAACGTCTGCGAGGGCAAGTACGGCTGGCTGCATGCGGCCCAGGCCTTCATCTCGCTCAAGCACGAGGGCGACAAGGTTATTGTTTTTGAGCGGGGCGGGCTGGTGTTTGTCTTCAACTTCCACCCCACCCAGAGCTTTACCGATTACCGCATTGGCATCGAGGCTGCCGGCACCTACCGGATCGTGCTGGATTCGGACACCAAGGACCATGGCGGCTTCTGTCGCCTGGACGAGGGCACTCGTTTCTTTACGCAGCCGCTCGAGTGGAACGGAAGGAAGAACTGCACACACGTGTATATCCCGTGCAGAACTGCTTTCGTAAGTCGAGTCTCGATCCCCTCGTTTTTGCAGCGTGCTAACAATCTGGTTATAGATTCTGGCACCGGAATCAAGGGTGTTGCAGCAGTAATTCTAGTGGTGAGTAGGGAAGGTAAAGACAGCGGAGGAGGCCGTCGTTGGTTGTATCCATCTTATTCGTAGCGCGTGGATGTGTGCTCAAAAAAGGAAGATCGAGCGGGGTAGGAAAGGGAAAGGATGGGGTTCAAATGGTTCAAATGTTGCGTTTCCGATGCAGTTGCAGGATTTGGAGTTGCCAGCAAAATGCCACTTGTCCCGTCCAATAAGCAACTGGTTCGTGACGATGGCGTCCTGAAGTCAAGGCCCGACCCGGGACCTCCCGGTGGACCGTCTCAACAGCAACGGAACCTGGAAATGGTGCAGGGTGCAGGCAGTCAATTGAATGGAGAAATCGTACATATTGACTTCAGATGGGGTAATGTGGCAATGGTAAGTAAAGCTCAGGTCCTAGTAGAAAAAGCTGATACATTCATTGTCGTAAATACAAAAAAACCCTCTGGCAGAGGACTCTGTCGGCAAATGTCTCCCTAGAAATTCAAGAATTCAAGAAAACGGCAACTGAAGTCGCAAGTTTGACGGGAAGGCTGGGGTCCGAGGCCCACCCACCTCATGGACAAAAAAAGCCGAACTCCAAGTGCAGATGTCGGCAATGGAAACTTCGAGTCCTCAGCTGGAGGAATATAACGAAAGTCATCCTGAAGCCCAAAGAAACTCTATTTGCTCCATTTCCTTTACTTTTACCCTCTTTCTTTCATTTGACTTAGTTTTCTCGATTTCTTTTCATTTGTTCTTTTTGCCTGATTTCTTGCTTTCCTTTCGAGTTCGGCTTTTTTTGGCCAGAGGGTGCCACCCTTTGCCCAAAACAACAGTGGAGGTCACGTGTAAAGTTGGAGCTCCGCAGCTCAAGCCGAAAGCTCGTCGAGAGATTTTCGAACCCGTTTTCTTCCACCCTCCCCCCGAGCCATCTTTCCTCACTGCACATCCACCGTCTCCAAGTCCGCCCTTCATCATCGGCACGATGTTTAAGAGGTGAGTCTCCGCCGGAATACCGAACTCCCCGGCGTGGGATGCGCCAATTGAGTCCAATTGATGCTGATGCAAAGCCTTTTTCCCCTCGCGCAGCGGCATTTCCGCCTTTGCCCGGACAGCCCGTCCGTCGTTCGCCGCGGCGACTCGTCGCGCCGTTCGCCCGGCCAGCCTCAACTTCCGGGCCCCCGCCCTCAGCAGGTTCGCCAGCACGGCCGGTGTTGGTGATGGCAAGATCTACCAGGTCATCGGTAAGCTTCCTCGACTCGGCGCGCCGTCTTGTGCCCGAGGTGGTCCGGGAAAATTGTTTCGCTTGGCTTGGCTAACCGCGCAAACCCAACAGGTGCCGTCGTCGATGGTTAGTAGCTCTTGTGGCCTCAACGTGCCCCAGCGGGCAGCTCCAAGCCGCATGTAGCTGACGCCGTCGACAGTCAAGTTCGATACCGACAAGCTCCCCCCCATTCTCAACGCCCTTGAGACCACCAACAATGGCCAGAAGCTCGTTCTCGAGGTCTCGGTATGCCAAGATTTCCACCCGCCAGCTGTCCCAATTTGGTGTACTGACCGCCCGACGTAGCAACATCTCGGCGAGAACGTCGTGAGGTGCATTGCCATGGACGGTTGGTTTCCCTTGCTATGCGCCACGTCGAGGAGGGTCTTCTAAACGGAATATCTAGGTACTGAGGGTCTGGTTCGTGGTGCCAAGGCTGCTGATAGTGAGTTTCTCTCCTGGTCCTGTATTGTGCCCTGCAGCTTGCTAACATACCCCTCCAGCTGGTGCTCCCATCACCATCCCGTGAGTTTAAAACACTGGAGAGGGAGAAAAAAAATGCCGACAAGCTCGGGCATTGGCTGACTTGAATGCCGTATAGTGTCGGCCCCGCCACTCTCGGCCGTATCATGAACGTCACCGGTGACCCGATCGACGAGCGTGGGCCCATCAAGACTGACAAGTTCCTGCCCATTCACGCCGAGGCTCCCGAGTTCGTTGACCAGTCGACGACTGCCGAGATTCTGGTGACGGGTATCAAGGTCGTGGATCTGCTCGCCCCCTACGCTCGTGGTGGAAAGATTGGTCTCTTCGGTGGTGCCGGTGTCGGCAAGACCGTCTTCATTCAGGAGCTTATCAACAACATCGCCAAGGCCCACGGTGGTTACTCCGTCTTCACCGGTGTCGGCGAGCGTACCCGTGAGGGTAACGATCTGTACCACGAAATGCAGGAGACCTCCGTCATTCAGCTCGACGGCGAGTCCAAGGTCGCCCTCGTGTTCGGTCAGATGAACGAGCCCCCCGGAGCCCGTGCCCGTGTCGCCCTTACCGGTGTAAGTTGCCCCATCTTTCTTCATTGCTTCCCCTTTTGCTTCACCGTTCTTTCCCATTGGACTCGGTTGCTCTTGCCATGAGATCTTGAGATTCAGGTGCTGCCTGGAGAGTCAGTGACTCGGCCTGGGTGTTGCCCAAGATGGAGTGCACTTACATCTGCTTGCGACAACTAGCTGGCAATCACTTCACATCTGCTTGCAACAACTAGCTAACATCTCATGCCAAACATTAAGTTAACGGTGGCCGAATATTTTCGCGACGAGGAGGGCCAGGATGGTGAGTTGACTTTACCCCCCAAGACGCAACTTATCACGCAAGACGCTAACCTGGAGCAGTGCTTCTCTTCATCGACAACATTTTCCGTTTCACCCAGGCCGGTTCCGAGGTGTCTGCCCTTTTGGGTCGTATCCCCTCTGCCGTCGGTTACCAACCCACTCTCGCCGTCGACATGGGTGGTATGCAAGAGCGTATTACCACCACCAAGAAGGGCTCCATTACCTCCGTCCAGGCCGTCTACGTCCCCGCTGACGATTTGACTGATCCTGCCCCCGCCACCACCTTCGCCCATTTGGACGCCACCACTGTCTTGTCCCGTGGTATCTCCGAGTTGGGTATCTACCCCGCCGTCGACCCCCTCGACTCCAAGTCTCGTATGCTCGACCCCCGTATTGTCGGCCAAGAGCACTACGACATCGCCTCGCGCGTCCAGCAGATCCTCCAGGAGTACAAGTCGCTGCAGGACATCATTGCCATTCTCGGTATGGACGAACTGTCGGAAGCCGACAAGCTTACCGTCGAGCGCGCCCGTAAGATCCAGCGTTTCCTGAGCCAGCCCTTCACTGTCGCCCAGGTCTTCACTGGTATCGAGGGCAAGCTCGTCGACCTCAAGGACACGATCAACTCGTTCAAGTCCATCCTGGCCGGTGAGGGTGACGACCTTCCCGAGGGTGCTTTCTACATGGTTGGTGACTTTGCGTCGGCGCGGGAGAAGGGTGAGAAGATTCTGGCTGAGCTCGAGCAGAGCGCTTAATCGGGTGGCCTGTAAAACCGGGAAGGATTCGGTTACCTGTGTATAGAAGCGAATGGTTTCCGGGGAGTTCCCTAGCTCAGTCAAGTTTCGTTTGTGAGCTGTGTATCAATCAATTTCTCTGTCCCTGGCCTTGTTTGTGACGTCTGCTTTAGTGATTGTGTCCAGTGGCAGCCCCAAGGTAGGTACATCTTTGTCCCGGAACATGTCGTGGCTCCGTCTCCGCTGTTGGTGCTCCATCTGTATATTTTTCCTCCGCCATTCCTTACATCATTTACACATGGCTCATCCTTGAAACGACGAAACGATCCCCTCACGGCCACAGCCGAAACTCCAACGCCAAACTAAACGCTACGGATTTCGATAAAAGAAAAACACACCCCCTCCAAATTCACATCCTGCGAGGCAAACTCGCTCCCGGTCAACACAACTCAACCTCCAGCTTCCTGGCCCGGTACGCCTGCACCTCGGGGGCCATATCATCCTCCATCAGCGCCCGGATCGCCAGCTCCCTCTCCCCAGCCGGCGACACCGGCTCCACGAACATATCCGTCGGCTCGTCCCAGCCCGGGTCATCCAGCAACAGCCTCGCCACCCCTCTATTATCCGTCTCCCGCAGCGCCGCCAGCGGCACCCGCAGCAGGCCCGCCCACGCGGGGCCCAGCAGCCGCGCGATGTTGGGGATCTCGAACCCGGCTATCCCGTCCATCCACCAGCACGACCGCGCCTTGAAGGTGATGAAGACGAGGTAGTGCGCCAGGATGACGAGCGCCCGGGGCCGCCGCTCCCGCGCCGCCTGGATGATGGGTTTGGGCAGGTAGGTCAGGAAGGTCACGATCCGCAGGAACAGCCGGTGGCTGAAGCCGTTGCGCAGCTCGAGGTAGAGGGAGCCGAGGAATTTGAGGGCCTTGTAGTATTTGGGGACGAGCGGGTGGTCCGGGTCGTCGGTCTTGATGGAGGCGACCATGAAGAGCAGGTAGTTGGGCAGGGCGTGCGCCGAGGCGTCCATGTCGACGGCCGGGCGGAAGAGGAGCGCCGCGATGCCCGTGCGGAACATCTGTGGGAAGTTGGTCACGTTGATGATGGCGCCGATGCCCTTCCACAGCGTCATCCAGTCGAGGAAGGAGAAGGGCCGGGCGTCTTCGCCCCGGAAGATGTGTGTTGAGAGACCGCAGACCATGAGCGAGTTGGCGAGGAGGGCGGGGTAGGTGGCCGGGTCGGCGGCTTCGACGGCTTTGCGGTAGGATTCTAGGGCCTTGGTCCGGTACTGGATCTCGAGGGAGCGCGATATGTCTAGGTTGGGTATGCCGAGGTGGTTGATGTGCATGGCTGTGAGCCCTAGGATGCAGTTCATCAGGAAGGGGTTGGCGAAGGCCTGCTGGACGACGTTTACTCGGAGGACCACGTCAACGCTGCGTTCCTTTAGCTGGCCGGTCGAGAAGGAGGCGTAGGTGGCGGTGGTGTAGAACCACAACAGCCGCATGTCGGCTTGGGTGTGGCCGCTGGGTATAAACTGAGGTTGCTGGGTGATGGTGTCGGCGTGCCTGCCCACCAATACGAAATCGGGAGAGGAAGCCGGAGTGAAAGCCGAAGCGGGAGCCGGTGTTGAAGCCGGCCTGCTGTCGGAAGACGATGCGGGCGAGGTGGTCCTGCTCCGGGATACACGCGCCGGCGGAGGTGCCACCAGGTACACGCACTTGTCACCCCGGACAGTACACGGATGGCAGACGGGGCGGCCCTCGTCGCACTTGACCTTGCGGGCCTTGCAGTTGCGGCATCCCGTCCTCGATTTGCGGTGCGGACGTTTGGCGTGGTAGGGTTTCCCGGCTGGTGCCGTCGCGGGGGCGGAACTACCTTGGTCTTCCGGCATCTTGTTTTGACTTCTTCGGGCTCGGGCCTTCGACGGGGCGAGATATCATCAGTTAGTTATTACGCATCACCCGAGAGAGGTTCAGATTTCTCTGTGTATTTGTCAAAGTCACTGTTTGATGCGCCGCGTCAGATGCCAAGGGTTTATTTCCATAGATAGGTAAGGTAACCAGCGCTGCCTGAACCTGAAAAGGTGGAGGGTAGGATCTACTACCTAGTTAGTTAGTACGTCGGTTGAAGTACGTTATATCCAATATGTGTGTCCGGCGATCTCCCCCAGGTCTGACTGACAATGGGCTGATTGGAAATCATGCCCTCTCCTTTGGTCCCGTGCCTGGGTTGACATGGATGCATGCCGCTCAACACCATGGCCATGTTTAGCGAAAGTTCGCGGCTTTGCTCGGCAGTGTCTTGGGGGGCTGACTCCCCGTGGCTGGGTGGCTTAACCAGTCGTTCAGTGGGTGAGCCCCCTGTGCTGACGCCGCTCGGCGTTGTCAAGAGTAAAAGTGGAGACGTAACGCCCGGACCACACACCTACCATTTGCCCGTCCCTGCAGTGAGTTCGACGCGTAACGCGACGTAAGCACCGGCAGGGGAATGGTTGCTCTCTTACACACCATGTGAAAGCCTCATGTCAAAAACTGAATTTGTCGGTTTGATAGGTACATCACCCTGAAAATGAGCGGATCTCTCTTCCAGCTCTCCGATGAGCTGGTCCTCGAGGCGTTGAATCACTCATTTCCCTGTCGAGAAACACAAATTCGGTCTCTCGCAACACTTGTTTATGTAAGTTATTGACAAAATCTCCTGAGCAAGTATTGAAACTATGATGAGTTGTTCTAACTAGCTCAGCCTGGTGCTGCACCATGTCGAAATCTGGTCATCTACGGCACCGAGGCTACGGGGAAGAGCGCCATCACGACAGCCCTATTGGCTAAACTCTCAGATCAGACGAGAGATGATGGGTTGAATCTCAAACATGCTGTGGTCAACTCGGCAGAATACATCACAGCCCGGCATCTATATGAGACCGTCGTTGGCAAGGTCGCTGATGCTCTGGAATGGGATGCCGCCCCTACTAGGTGCGAGACGGTATCGCAGTTGACAGTTGAGCTGTCCAAGATGCTCAAGTACACCCCTCGCCCTGACGGCTTCCGCTTCGTGCTCGTCTTTGACGGCATCGACCGCCAACGAGACGCCCCTCACACCCTGCTTCCTGCTCTGGCGAGGCTGTCCGAGATTGTAAGTAACGGGTTTGTGAAACCTCAACTTCGCCATTTGTTAACAACCGCGCTCAGATCCCCTGCTTAACGGCAGTCTTCATCGTCACCTCCCCACCACCCAACTTCCTGCTCACCTCCTCCGTCCCACATCTCCACTTCCCGACCTACACCAAAACCGACTTCATCGCCATCCTCTCTGCATCCCCTCCCGCGGCGCTCCCCAACACAACCGCCCAGGAAACAGCCGACCTCTGGGCGCGCTTCACCGCCGCCGTCCACGACGCGCTCGCCCGCGCCGCCTCCCGCACGCTACCCTCCTTCCGCCACGCCTGCGCCGCCCTCTGGCCGCGCTTCACGGCGCCCATCCACGCGCGCACCCACTCGGCCCGCGAGTTCTCCAAGCTGCTCGTCGCCGCCCGCGTCCACTTCCAAGACGAGCGCCTCCTCGACCCAGGCGTCCTCGCCCCCCCCCCAACCACCACCACATCAACCACAACCACAACCACCACCACCCAAACCCAACCCGCCCCCAAACCAGGAACCCCCAAAACCGCACCGCCCACAAGCACGACAACCACCACCAACGCAACCACCAACGCCGGCGCCGCCCTGGCCTCCCTTCTGCCCACAACCGCCCGCCTCCTCCTCCTCGCCGCCTACCTGGCCTCACACAACGCGACCCGGCACGACCTGACCCTCTTCTCCACCCACCACCACGGCCGAAAACGCCGACGCGGCGGCGGCGGCGGCGGCGGCAGGGGCGGTGGAGGCGTCGGTCGGCCGCGCAGCAAGCACCGCAAGATCGCGCGCAAGCTGCTCGGGGCGCATGCGTTTGTGTTGGAGCGGATGTTGGCTATTTTTGCGGCTGTTAGGGGGGAGTGGGAGGACGGTTCTAATAATGGTGGTGGGGGGGGGGAGCAGAAGGCGGGGGAGGCGGATGTGGGGATGGCGATCGCGACGCTGGCGAGTTTGAGGTTGTTGGTGAGGGTTGGTGGCGGTGGGGGGGCGGCGGGCGAGGATATGATGGATTGTGGGGGGAAGTGGAGGGTGAATGTTGGGTGGGAGGTTATTCGCGGGTTGGGGAGGGGGGTTGGGGTGGAGGTGGAGGAGTGGTTGATTGAGTGAGGAAGTGAGGGGGTGAGGGAGTGAGTGAGTGGGTGGGTGGGTGAGAGATGTGGCGGATTGTATTGTTATGTATACGAATAATCATATCAGGGGAGGGATAAAGGGTGTTGTTGGTGGGTGGTTTGTGAGATACAAGCTCTATTCATGCAAAATAGTCATACAGCGAGCACCGGCGCCCATTCAAAATAACCGTACAAAACGCCCTCTAGCCCTCAGTGGATGCAAACCGAAGATCTAGACATGTAGCATACACGAGGCACGCAAACTAATGAACGTCAAGCCCATACCGTCATACCCGCCTCTTGAATCCAAACCCAATTTAATCATCCCAAGCATGAACCCGAGCGCTCGCTCTCATATGTAATAGTAGATATCCATCCCTCTCACCTCGCGTCCTCACCGCGCAGCCACCTTTGGGCTGTCGCCCGTCCGCCAGGTATCTTCCTGCCTCGTCCCCGGCGGCCGCCAGGCGGCATTGCTCATCCCCCTATTCCTCCCGCCACCGCGCCCGCCGGCATCGTCCGACTTCTTGGTATCGGCCACGACGCCGCTCGACGCAAAAGCCGCCGCCGCCGCACTGCCCTGCGTGTACGCATGCCCGGCCACGGGCTCGCCCACCCCGACAGGGCTCTCAAATAGCGCCGGCCCAACCTGGGCGCCCGGCCCGGCCGGGAGCGTGTGCTTGGTGCTCAGCGGTAGCAGCATGGCCTCCCTGCGGGTCTCCGTCATGGAGCGGGCGCGCTGGTCGGCCTTGTTCTTGTCGCTGCTGCGGTCGTACAGGTACAGCCCCAGGAAGGTCAGGGCGATGCCGACGGCCTGGACGCGGGTGGTCGGGCTGCGGAACCAGAGGATGGCGATGATGATGACGAAGACGCGCTTGATCAGCGACGCGACCGAGTACGTGACGGGCGAGACCATGGACAGCAGCACGAAGGCGAGGATGTTCTGGCCGAAGTGGAAGGTCCCGTTGAAGATGTACTCCAGCACCAGCGGGCCGTGGTCGAGCGAGTTGGGGCTCTGGATCAGGTCCACGCTGCCGTCCCAAAGGAAATCGCCGATGATGTCGATTCCCTCAGACCATAGCCAGATAGGGCCCGTCAAGAGGAATGCCATGCCAGACGAATAGCAGAGCAGGTTGAGCTTGTCGAGCTTGCGGGATTGGTGGCTCCCTTCCTGTTCGGCGCGTGCCGCTTCATTGAAGAGCCGCTTGGAGAAGATATTTTGGGTGACGAAGATGATAGCGGCGAGCAGGGCGTACAGGATGCCGAGGAACTGACCACCAAATCCGTGCTTGCCCGAGCAGGCGAGCATGACACCAAAAGTGAGCGGGATGAGGGAGAAGTATGTCGCCCTGGGATAGCGGATGTCGAAGATAAAGCGGTAGGCTAGGACGGTGAAGAGTGGGGAGAGCCCCTTGATGGTGTGGACGAGAGACACGGGGATTTTGGATGTGGCATTCGAACTAAGAAGGTGGCCTCCTATTTGGAAGGCGGCGAGCGGTAGTGTTGTTCTGATCACATCTCGTGAAGGAGCCCGGATCGGATGCTTTAGCGCCGGGACTGCGGCCCTGAGTCGGGGAAAGGTGGATGCTAGCCACGAGAATAGCAGGCAGTAGGAGGATACGAAGCCGAACTGAACGAGGGTCAAGGTCGCAGGTTTATCGAAGGCCGTGAGGATGGCTTTCGAGGATGTGTTGGTGAGGGCGGACGACCAGTACCACATGACGCAGAGGCCCTGCGCGAGGGTGATCAGCATTGAGTTTATCTCTACTCTCGCAGGACTAAGAACATACGATTAACTTCCAAGAAACGGGCGCACGAAGCGCCCCTGCGATTTCCTGGGCGTTTTGGCTCATGCTAGCGGAGCGCATTCGATGGACGGCATTGCTAATGCTGGCCTTCTTGGAATGGCCCGACGAACCCGAGAGGGCAGCCCGAGGAGCCCACCTCACCCTACTGTCTCTACGGGCGTGCCAGCGACCCGCATGAGAAGCGTCACCGTTACCGGGCATCAAATTGTTTTGCTGCCATCGCTGGCCCGGCGGCTGCACACCCGGCAGAGTCTGCCCGGCATCGAAATCGGGGAACTTTTCCGTTTCTCCCTGCCCCGACCCGCCGTGTGAGTCCCCAAAAGACTTGTTTGTGGACGAGCGAGACTGGGACGCAGCCCGCATATGGGAACCGGTCGAGTGCGACGTAGAGTGCGGCATTGCGCGCGAAGGCGCTTCGAGGAGGGAAAAGTGGCCCGGGGGCTCGCTGAGGGATTCGGCAAAACGAGCGCAAAGCGGCGACTGGAAAAATAACGAACGAAAGTGCTGACGCGCTGCTCCTGGACTATGTGATCATGGCCGCGTCCCCGTGTACGTTTGTTGTTCAACACGAGGTGAAAGGAAACAAAATCGCGGCAATTGGCGGTTGCACAGGTGTCAGTCGCTTGCAACTTGGAGGGGCGCAATCTGGTTTGGCATCTGCCAAATAAGCTCTCTTGGCGTCTCCAATCCGCTGCTGCAGGCGTCGCACGCGGTCTGGACCAGTGGAAACAGAGGGTCCAGGAGAGGGTGCGCAATACGCACGGCCACAGTGGCAGAAGTGGCTCCAGCAGCTGCAACGCCAAGAAACTCTGGACCAGCCACAGCCCGATCCCTGCTGCTTCAAACTTTTGGCGGCGCGCAATCGTGATAAGCCAGCCATGCAACAACCGCGTGCAGCTCCACCAAATACTGCATCTTCAACGACAGCCGAACAACCATCCCCAGCAACTTGGATTCCGACAGATCCTATCGCGGATGCTTTAACCCTCCGAAACTTACATCCAAATCTTGAGCGGCCGGCTCACATCAGGCAAGATGGCGGCGCCAAAGATGACCAAGAACCAAATGCGCCGGGCCAAGAAGAAGGAGCAAAGGAAGGCCCAGGTCGACGGCGAAGTGAGTGATCCCCTTCTGTTTTTTGTTGCTTAATCTTGCTGACTGCTGTAGCAAAACGGATCCAAGGAACCCGAGGTCAAGGAGGAGGCGACGAATGACGAGACTACCGTCGATGGCGAGAACAAACCAACCGACCTCGAGGTAAAGAAGGACCCCGACGCGTCCGCCAAGATCGATGCCGACGGCCCAGTCGACGACTCCCTTCTTGCCGAGGACGACCCTGCGTTCGCGGCATACAAGACTGTTTTCGAAAGGTTCGGCTTGAGCTTGGAGGATGAAGAGGTCTCGAGGGAAGCCAACGCGGGGAACAAGGGCGAGGTCTTCTTCGACCAGGATGACGAGATCCCGAGCGAGGACGAAGATGCGCAACAAAAGATGTCGAAAAAGAAGCGGAAGAAGCTGAACAAGCTGTCTATCGCCGAACTCAAGGCGTTAGTGCGGAATCCCGAGGTCGTCGAGTGGCACGACGTCTCGTCCTCCGACCCTCGCCTCCTCGTCCAGATCAAGGCACAGCGCAACATTGTCCCCGTACCGGGGCACTGGTCTCTGAAACGCGAATACCTCTCCAGCAAGCGAGGTGTCGAGAAGCCGCCCTTTAAGCTGCCCAAGTTCATCGCCGAGACCGGTATCACCGAGATGCGCGACGCCGTCCTCGAGAAGCAGGCAGAGCAGACACTCAAGCAGAAACAGCGCGAGAGGGTACAGCCGAAGATGGGTAAACTCGACATCGATTACCAAAAGCTCTACGATGCCTTCTTCCGCCATCAAACAAAGCCGGACCTGACACGGTTTGGTGACGTCTATTACGAGGGCAAGGAGTGGGAGGCGGACTACAAGGTGTTCAAGCCCGGTGACCTCAGCGAGGCATTGAGGGAAGCGCTCGGCATGCAGCCGGGTTTCCCCCCTCCATGGTTGCTTCAACAACAACGTGTTGGCCCACCGCCGTCCTACCCAACTTTCAAAATCCCCGGCCTCAACGCCCCCGTCCCACCAGGAGCAGCATGGGGCTTCCAGCCCGGCCAGTGGGGTAAACCCCCACTAGATGAATATAACCGCCCTCTCTACGGCGGCGACATCTTCGGCATCATGGCACCCGGCCAACCTGGCGCGGCAGCACCCTACCAACAACAACCGCAACAACCCCAAACCGCGGCCGCCACCTCCCTCGCCGAGCCCGTCGAACGGAGCCTCTGGGGCGAACTCCAGCCCCCGGCCGAAGAATCCGAGGAAGAAGAATCCGAAGAGGAGGAGTCGGACGAGGAGGGCTCGGAAGCGGGCGACCTCCCACCGGGCGGCACCGACACGACCACCGGCCTGGAGACGCCCGGCGGGTACGCCAGCACCGTGCACACCGACATGCACGCGGCGCCCGCGGGCGTCGAGACCAGCATGGCGGGCGAGTTCGACCTGCGCAAGACGCGGCGCGGCTTCGAGACGGAGGAATCCTCGTACGGCGGCGGCGGACCGCGTCAGGCCTACACGGTCATCCCCGAACGCCAGGGCCGCGCCGAGGGCTTCTTCGGCAGCGACAAGACGTACGACCTCACCAAGGGCCCGCCTCCCGGCGCTGCCGTGCCCGTGCTCGGCGGCGCGGACGACGACGCGACGCGCAAGCGCAAGAAGCCCGGCGACGTGGACGTGGCGCTCGACCCGGACGCGCTGGCGGGCGGCGGCGGCATGGACAAGGAGGAGCTGCGGCGGCAGTTCGAGGCCGGCCGCCGCGAGGAGGGCGTCGGCGCCCAGTGGAGCCGCTCCGCCGCCTACGAGGAAGACCTGAGCGATATGATCGCCCAGGAGAGCAGGAAGCGGCAGCGGCGCGAGGAGGAGCGGCGCGGGGAGCGCGAGAAGGCTAGGAGGTAGATGGGTTGGTTGGTTGAAGGTATCTACCTAGGTATCTATGGTTCGGTTGAGGGGGGAATTGTTGGGCAGGCATTACTTGGGCGTTTTGGGTGCTGCTTGCTGTCTTGTGAGTTTTGGGGTGTGGAGTGTATAATATGGTTTGCAGTAGTAGTAGTAGCAGTTGGTGGTGCAAGTGGGGAGATGAAATGCAAAAAGTACACCAACAAAGCGCTATCGAACCGTAAGAAAGAGCGGGAAGTGAAGTGAAAGTCGGTACTGTCTTCCTGATACATTCAGTGTTTGTGTTACAGTCCTTAATGTGTCTAATCCTACGGGCCAGGGAAGTTCGCGTACTTGGACCACATGAACGTTGAACGTGTCCAAGCAAGCTGGTATTGTCATAAGCGTAGCATACAGGCCCCGTTTGAGACGCAACCAGGCTATCGCTTGTATATTTTCCCCTCCTCGACCTCATTATCGACTCGCACACTATCTCGGCAACGTATTTCCCCAAAGCACCGCCCTACCACATCACACACGCCGACAGGCAATCAACTTGCCTCAGCGACAAACCAGTATCTCAAATCTCTCCCCACGTCTGATTAACTAACCCCTTTACAATACACGGCACGTCTGCCCAACTCGCTTGCTCCTCAACCCCAGAAATAGCCTACATTCCCGCCCCCCTTGCTCTCGTTACGAGCAAGTCTTGCACCTCCAACCCCTCCCCTTCGCCACCGCCTCCTCCGTGTCTTCCACGCACGCATCGTGATAAAGCCGGTGTTCGCATTCCTAGATATCATAGCATTAGCATCATCGGCGATACACACCCCGTAGGGAAAAAAAAGAAAAAGAAGGAAAAAAGAGTAAACATACCTTGTTCGCACAAACCAGCATCGTGGCCGGGGGCACGGGTCCGCCACACGCGGTGCAGCAGCCGCCCGAAGCCTTGTTCCTAACAGGCTGCAGGGCGGACGCGGGCGCGTCCCCGACCTCGCCCGCGGCGCGGCGGGCCCGGGCGTCCTCCAGGAGCTGCGTGGCCTTGACGATGGCCTCGTCCGGCAGCACGCAGCGGGCGAGCAGCGTGGCGACGTGCTTGCTGAACTCGTCGGTCCGGGACCGCTTCGCCGAGAGCCAGGCGGCGTTCTCGCGCACGAAGCGCAGGAAATTGCGGGGCAGGTACTGCGGCGACGAGACGTGCTGGCGTAGGATGAAGGCGTCCCACACCTGTAGATACTCCTTTTCGGCCGAGTTGAGGTCGATGAAGTCCTGCAGGTTGTCCCGATGCTTGAGCAGGAGCCACGAGTCGTCGATTTGGTACTGCGGAACCGGGGTGCCGGGCTGCAGCCGGACTTTGCTGAGGGGGTCGAAGAGGGGTTGTTTGGATTTGGGGACGAGAACCTTGCGACGGGTCCGTTTGGTGGTGAGTTTCTGAAGAGTGTTAGTCTTACGAAGGTTGACGGAAGCCGAGTTCCGGGGTGGTATCTTACTGTACGCCCTCCTTGCGGCGCGGTATCTTCAAAGACTTCGCGGCCATTTTCTGGGCCGAGACGGGAGGTGACCCAGGAGTCATCTCCGTTTACGTACTTGTCCAGGTCGAGGGGTTTAACGGGCAGGCCGAGCTGGTACACCTTCGGCCTCAAGGGGGAGCCGCGGCTGTCGGCGTTCGGTTTTACAGTGACACAGTACCCCGCCTTGGGCTTGATTTCAAAGTGGAAATCATACTGCGGATGGCTTAGGTAGTGAGCACGCAGCTGGCAGAGACGGTCGTTCTCGGCACCACACAGGAGGCAGGCAAACTTGTCCGTTTGGACCTGTTCTGGCGGGAGCAGGTATGTGATGGTGTGCTCGTCGAGCTGGCTGTGGTCCTCCCCAAGCTTCCGCCGCTTCCTAGTCTCCTTCCCGACCGCGTTGTTCCACATCTGCTTGACGTTGTAGTTGATGTCTAGCCTTGTTCGCCGAGAGCGACCGGGAGTAAGCTCGCCCTCGGCCAGCTCGTCGGCTGGATCAGCTACGGATCCGTTCGCTTGCCCAATTGGTGCGGGCTCCCCCTCGCCATTAACCTGGGAGTCACGGTGATGCATATTTGTGCCATTGACAATGTTGGCGTTGCCGTTAACCACGGGCGCAGGGGGTTCGTGGGGGTCAACCACCGAGATGGAGGGCTGGATATCTTTGGTAGGTTCTCGCGGCCTCCGCTGGCTCGATATGGCTGTTAACCAACGAACGTCCATGTCCATGAGGAAGTTGGTAGCAACGTCATTGATGGGCTGCTTCTTTACCCGTAGGCGGACCGACTTGCGATTGCGGCTGCTAAAGAGGTCGGCGATGTTGGCGGTGAGCACCCACTGCCGAGACGGGAGCCCCCTGTTGTAGAACGTGTCCTCGTCACTGATGGGGACGAGATCGGTTGGCGGCCAGTTGGCGTCGCCGGCGGACTCGAGCTCGACGAGCACCGAGTAAGAGTTGGCCAGACCGAAGATGGCATCGTCGTCACGCTCGAGAAAGATCTTCTCTTCTGGAACGTGAAAGGGCCGGATGGAGGAAAAACGAGCCATGGGGGACGAGCCGGCAGGGTTTTTGAAGACGCGAACATCGCAAACTTGGCTGTCGACGTGCAAGACGACCGCTTCGCCGCCCTTGTAGCCGCTGATGGTGAGCTTGCAGCGGGCCTTGACCTGGACGACATCCCTAACGTTGGGGGCGATAACACCGTTAAAGATACCGTTCTTCACCCGCGGCGAGTCCTTGTGGCTGATCTTGAGGACCTCGATGCGAAGGGCACGCTGGGCGGTGCCATAGTTCTCAAATAGCGGGAAACCATCATAGTCGTCATCGATACGGCGGCGTTTTGCTGCACGCCGGGCCTGGTGGTCGTCCTCAGCAAGCTTGTCGCCGGCGTCGCGAGTCTGGGAAGAAGACTTGTTGCCCATCTTGGAGTTCCAGTGGTTGGTAGCCTTGAGCCAATTCCGATGTAGGAAGGGCAGGCCACGGTTGTGATGGCTAAGGGTCGACATGGTGTGAAGATGTCATCAGGACGTGGTCATAAACAAGCACGTGAACGGATGACAATGACTCTTTGGTCCAAGTCCCTTGATGCCCAGGTAGGTAGCGAGACGCGTGAAGGGGTCAACGGGGTTTGCGAAGCGAGATAAACCGCATTGTCTGGTGATAGGAAGCGCAAAGGTGGAGCAGTGAGTATCGTGGTATCGTGCTTCAAGTTGAAATAGTTCGGCGAGATGAAGGTATAAAGGTAAGGTGAGGTAACAGAGAGAGAAAAAAGTCAAATAAGCGCGTAATGAGGGAGCGTGTGTAATAGGTCGAGGAAGGTGCGGCCGAGATAGGCAGCAATAGCAACCGATGAAGGACTACCAACCAGTCATGAACTGCTGTGATTCCCTCAAGCCCTCAAGACTGTGAGATGAGATGCAGCAGCAGACTGGTGTGTGAAAAACACAACTGTGGTGTGGATTGATTGACAAGGGAGTCAACCACCCGCTTGGGAGGACCGGCGCGCACTGCCGAGGCTGATGGGTGACCTGATGGTTGAAATCAACAGAGTGCAGCCACCAAGTGCGTTGGATAAGCTGTGGCGTTTACATTCGAAGTGCCATCGACACGAAAAGGGGGTACGGCAGTGGAGCATTAATGAAGGGGGCCGATGGAGAGACGCGTACCGTAGCCGAAAAGACGAGCGAGGTTCTCCTATCGCGATTTCAGGTTTGCTGTTGATTCGTGCCACTTCGGCAGCCCCGGTCGTCGTGGGGCGTGGCTCCGTCTTGCGACCCTGTACGGTTAGCGGCGATCGCGGTAGGACGGTACCAAATGCGGCATACAGATTCCGTGGGGCGGGAAAGTAGCTCGCTAACAGACCCTTGTCAATGACACAGCTGAGGGGCCAGGGTCGTGAATCGGAATTGGGCTCGGGTTTCGATTGAAGAGCAAGCACGAAGTAACTGGTGAAGAAAATAGTATAAAGCGATGGAAAGGGCTGGAATGCAGCAAAGGGTGTGTGTGTGGGGTTCCCTGCAACTGCCCGTCCCTACCTCGAATTGGTGGTCGAACCACAAGAACAGGGCTCGATTCCCTCAAACAGGATGGCGATGAGAATCAACCTGAGCTGTGGAAATCTTAGCTCTGCATGTGTCGGTGTTGTCAACGGACAGAGATGTCTTGTTGAATGGCATATATGCGCCTGTAGGAAACCAAAACCACCCTGTCTCGTCAATTTAGGATCAGACACCATTACTCATCACTACGGTACCAAGTACCAACCTATAATCCAATAACCACAAAATGCTGTGAAATGTTAATAAGCGATAGCTACCTAGGTATAAATAACATTGGCAGCCATATCCGGCGTCAGAACCTCCTCGGCGAGACTGCTTGATCTTGTTGATAGAACGGTTCTCCGTTCCCATTATACCCATGAAAGGGTTTCGTTCAGTCTTGTCGACTGCTTTTAGCAGTCTTGCCTCTCTCATGATAATGAGAGTACGTCAGTGGCCGATTAGTTGTAAATAGCTGTGGTTAGACGGACGGTACCAACTCGTTCCCGTGTTTTAGACAATCAAACAGAGCTGAACACTGTAGGTTCAACCTTGCGATGTTCTAATCGGAACCGAGATGCCACAGGTCTGCCCACCGTGGCGTGCGTATTGTTGCTTGAAATCCAATTCGAGGCCCGGTCGCGATACCCGAGCGAGAGATGCTGATTCTACTGTCTCTGGGAATCCATTTTTGTGGATAGGTACCTACCTAGTTCAGCGTCCGCGATTATAAAGTGAACCTTCAGTCGGGCCCAGATCTACACATCTTGTATTTGGCGGCGTCGCCGGCATAGTCCTCATGAACCGGGACATTGTAAGTTAGCTTACTCGCCGTCGAAATAAGACGCCTTTGGCCAGCGCAGATATGGAGTTGTCCGGATAACGTCGAATGCCAGTTCCTAAGTTCTATAGCCTTAACGACGAAGATGAGGTTGCCGCCTGGTTAATGGTTTCCGGGGCTCTGGTCACTCCCGTTTCTAGTATGAAACTAAACAGATTACGCGGGTGTTAGCAAAAGAAAATTCCATCGGGCGTAGTATCCCCTGATATGAGCACTTGACAACCAGCTCGACACTAGTTGGACGGGTGGTATAGTTCCAAACCACTGAATATCCTCAGTGACTGTAGCCCGGTCTTGCCGGCTCTTCTTCCCATCTCCCCTTGGTTCGACGGTGTAACAGTTCATATTTGCTTCAGGCACATTGTGTGCCGCTGAGCATCGAAGATTAACTTGGTTGCTTGTGATGGTATAGATTTATAACAGGACAATTGCCTAACATGGTCTTGGGTCCTAACGCCGTCCCTATATTCTTGTCCAGCTGATGACGATGTATTTCCATAAATTGGGGGGCAGGGAAATTGGGGCAAGGTTCATTAGAGGGATCTGGATACAGCCCATGAAAACGACCGCGATTATAGAACGAGCCCTTGATGAAACCTTTCCTGGCTGACCAATCTCAAAGTATCCATCGAGCCACACGACGACAGGACAGGAGATTAGATACTATCACGGCATCCTGGAACGGACGATTAGCGCCAGGATGTAGACAGCAAGTCGTATAAACACAGCGAAAGCAATGCCGGAAGCTTGAAATGTTTCGCGCCTTATTGGGCATGCGTGGTACACAAGATTACGATTCTGTGTCAAGTACCCTAGTAACCCATACCCCCCAGATCGGGCCCTGGTCCCGTATAAGAAGCAAGTGCAAGCAAATCGAAGCAAGGCCACCCGTCGCCATCAGGACGGGTTTGCGATCCATTTCCCAGCCCAACCCAGACATGCAAGTAGCAACAGTTGCCCATGTTAATGCACCACCAGCCATGAGAGAAAATACAACGACTATATAAGGGGAACAGAAATGGGAGAAACACCCTTCCTTCTACCAAGCATACCCAGTATCCTCATCCTCGTCCTGGCCAACCCAGTCGTCATCCGACAGATCATCGTTCTCACTATCCAGAAAATCGTCCATGGTGAGCGTGGTCTCGACCGACTTCTGGTTATCCAGCTGGATCTCCACCTTCTCGCACATGCCCTGGCGGAAGGCGGTTTCGGCGGTCCCCGCCGACGATGCCGGAGATTCAGGTTGGCTATCCGGGCTAGACCCGCCCACCGCCTGTCCTCCCTCTGCTTCATCGTGCTCGTCCTCATCCTCGTCCTCATCTGTATCGGGCTCGGCATACGACGGCCGGGCAAGCGCGTGCCTGAGACCCCGTCCAGCGCCGGAACTACTGGCGCGGGATGGCGGGTTCGACCGTTTTATCGACAGCCGGCCACTCCGGCGCGAAGGGTTTTCAGCGGCCAGAGCACTAGTAACCTTGGCTGGCCTTTTTGAGGCCCGCTTGACCTCCTCGATGCTGGGCTGTTGGGCCGGTTCTCGCAAAGAGAACACCGGCATGGGGTCCTGGTTCTCACGTAGGAAAATGTGTCGCAGCTTGCGCTCCCACTTGTTACGAAGCCTTGAGCGCTCCAAGATAGGGATGCTCAGCATAGCTTTTAGTTCCAGGCGGCGGAGCTTTAACAGTTTCGAGGCACTGTCCGTGAGGGACTGAAACAGCGTCTCGGCTGCATCTGCGGTCCACTTTTTCATGTTCAGGAGTTGGAGGGTCTCCAAGGCCTCGGGCCACGCCGGGACCTGGTCTGGGGTGAGCAGATCGTCGTAGCTCGGGTCCGCATCATGGTAGAACTCATGATGGTTGAAAGTTTTGAAGTCCATGGAAAAGACCTGCAGGTTTGGGCAGGCAGCTCCTAGAACTGGGAGGAAAGATAGGCTCAACGACTGGTTGTGGTGCAGTATGAGGCGCTTCAGCTGGTGCCCGCTTAATAGGAGATAATGTGCGAAATCGTCGCCATTAATGTCCCAGCAATTGATAAGCTCTAGTGTCTCGAGACACTTGGGAAGGAGCGGTAATAACTGGTCGTTAGCCGCAGTGGACGACTCGATGGCGAGATGCCTGAGGTGTGGCAGAGCATTGATTGCGTTGGCCATGCCTTGAATGAAGGCTTCATCCTTTGCGGCTAACTCATCAACGTCATCAGTTGCTTTCGCGTGAAGCGAAGGCACCTGGTAATTGACGAACGAGGTTTTGATCAGACTCGAAAACGCCGGGGTTCGATGAAGCGCTTCCACGGCGGCAAGATCGAGAGTCGGACCCATCAGTCGCCGATTCCACTGCCATTCGACAAGTCGCGCATGTTCGGCCACTTGTGCTCCCTCTGCTGAGACTTGTGCTCCGTTGAGAGCGTCAAAAAGGCCGGAAGGGTAATGCCAACGTAGGCTACCATCCAGCGACCGGTATGGAGGGTCGTCTTTTTGGTGAAAGAACTGGATGACCTTCAAACGAGGTAGATAGCTGACCAGGGCCTCGAGGTCGAGTGGTCGGCCTTTGAACGTCTTTGAGGCAATCTGGTCGACATCGATCCAGAGTTCTTTCACTTTCACTCTGTAATTAAATGCCGTGGAGGAGGGGTCCATCGACAGCAGCTCCAGGAGACCATGCGCCATCGGCCGACTCAGCAACGGAGGAGTCTGATAAAGAGCTGACAGGGCCGGCTCTGCGAATGCACGACAGACACCGCTGGCTGCCGTCAACCATCTGGTGTGTTGGGTTTCGGTGAGTGGTGCGGCGGCATAGAGGAAAATTTGGGCCAAAATGAGGTAAGGCAAGCTGGCCCAGTCCGGGATAATGCCATTTCTGACCACGGCTTTGCCTTTCTCCGGCGCAGGAGATGGTTTAGAGACGAGTTTGCATGGGCTCTTGGTTGCCCGAGCTGGGGTCGTCGGCTTTTTGGGCGTGGGGGCCTTGGGAGCTCGACGTTGTTGATGGATGCTCGCTTTCTGCTCCACATCGGGACTGGGGCTAATGTGAGGATTCTCAACTTCGTCCCCGCTATCGCTATCGCTATCTTCTCCATAAAACCCCGGTTTGTGAGGGGAGCGACGGGTCCGCTTTGGTCGACTTGCGTTCCCGCTTGACGGTCCGGAGCGCTTGTGCGACTTTGGGGTGCTGGGTGGTGGAGGCTGTGGCACCGCGGGATTCTCGTTGGTTGAAGTGGTCTTCGGGAGCGCAGCCGAGCTCCTTGTCGCTCGGCCACCCGCCGGGGGTCCCGGAGCGCCGGACGCTTGGCGCGGCCGTAAATTGCGAGTTGTCGCTGCCGATGCAGCGGGTACGGAACCCGTGCCATTGTCAGCGAGTTGCCTCATGATGGATGGCTAGACCGGTGATGTGATTGTCGCGTTTATCGGGAATTACAGCTGCGCTACCCAAAGCAGCTCCAACACCCCAGACGCCCGACACCGAGGCAATTGAAAAAGCGACAAAAGAGTTGAAAAGGGTTGATGAGAGACGGAATTGATGGGAATGTGTGGCTCGTTCGACCAATTGCTTGCTCTGGCGGGGGGCGCATCGGGAATTGATGAAGAAACTCAGCTCCAAGGCCCGTGACACAAATTGCGGGGCAGCATGTACAGTAGTATAATTGTTACCCGCACGGACTTATTCGCACAGTATCGTCTCGGCCCAGCTCAATAGCGAGCGGGTGGACGTGATGTCATCTTTTCGGAACTCTGAATGTGCTTCGAATCTGTTAATTGCCCAAAACATCGAAATGAGTCGGGATTGACATATGCATAGTATAGGAGAGTGGAATGGATGACGTTTGAGTTCGTGTTTTGAGTGTCTTCAACGGGACGCTCTTAATACTACCTAGGTAGGTAGACTGGAGCTCGCCGGACTTCGAAGGCGATAATCGAGCAGGACTTTTTTACACAAAGTTTACCATACATCCCTTGGAACCCCACTCCGGTAAACTTTTAGCTGGGCCGTGTACGTATGCAAAGTATGGCTCTTTCTTCCCGTCACATGCGATGACCAGATGAATAGCGGGAAAGCTACTTGGATAAACGAGGCCTTCCCAGGTCCTAGTCAAACATCCCTTTTCCAGTAGTTATCAACCCTGGGGTTTCCCGTCTCTCTGTCAGGTTTCCGCCGCAAATCCGTCGAAGTCCCCAGACCCAGACCGATTTACTTGCCGCCGATTAAATTGTGTCATTAGAAGGATGTTGCCCTAATCTAATGACGTGCAACATGTGATCCCGCTGTATCCTCATCCCTCAACGTCTCTATGCCGTGCCTTTATTTCCCGCCCTTTTCGTCACTGTCGCCCTTCTTCTTGGCGGTCTCTCTCAATGTCTGGCCTTGACCTGCGAAGTGCGGCTGCTTTGCGTTCGCAGCCTCCCTCTCCTTATCCTCGGCCGTCTTGACCGGCTTGATCTCGTAACCCAGGAAGAGTTTGTTAGGGGGGAGACGCAGGGGCGCGGGCCCATTGCTTCGTCGTATGGGTACTGTGGCTTCCTTGGCCGAGCTTGACGTGCCAGCCACAGGGGTTGCGGGCTTTGGCGTCGGAGCCTTGCCGCCCTTCTTGGAGCTCAACCGTTGCCCCTCTCCCACAAAGTTTCCTGCCAAAGATGCTGCTGAGCCCGGCGCGATCGAGTCGTAATTAATGGCCTGTGCCATGGTGCCTTGGTTATAGAGTAGACCCCCGGGAGGCACACCGCCACCACCTGCGCCTCTGGCACTGCGTGGTGTGCTGGTGCCGCTGCCACGTGCCGCTCTCTCTGGCTCGACGTAGCCGACTGGAGGAGCAAAGTCGACGCTCACATCCGTCTCGATCATGCTGACGCCCATCCTAGCAGTCTCGGGTTTCACATCCAAAACGGCCATGTCGTATATCTCATCGTTGTACTCGAAGTTGAAGACGTCGCCCTTCGTCAGCGCCGCGAAGTTGCGGAAGGCTTTCTCGAGGACGGCACGCGGGTCGGTGATGTCGAGAAAGTTCACGGACTGGGGTTGCAGCTTGACTAGCTTGGCAAGTTCGAGGGAGGTGGTCTTGACCTGGATCATGTCGCCCACATCGAGCTGAAGTGATTGCATCATCTGCAGAACCGTCAGTATGCGGCCGGAGCCAGAGGGGAATCACCAACATACCCATTGTGGAATGTAAGCCCTACCCTCCTCCGCTACGAACTCGAGCACGCCCGCATGTGTGTGTTTGCCCGCCGCTGCCCCGTTAATTAGTTCTAGCATGATAGGCCATTGAACGTGCATCCTTGACACCTTATCCAAGGCGGATGGCGGTAGGAAGATCTTGGATCCGTAGTTGAGGTCGGGGCGCTCGGCGCCGGGGGCCATGACCAAGGGGTAGCATCGGTAGTATTCATCGAAACGTTGTGCGCGAGGAGCCCGAAGGTTCCCGCGATAGTCGCCAGGGTTAAACTGCACTCGTGGGTTGAGCAAGGCGATCTTGGAGGAGCAGTAGACTGCCAAACGCGGGGTCCAACTCACCATCTTTCCCGAATCGCGGTTACGAGATTCACTCGTGGGTTGGTCGATGATATAGAGGATCGAAAATAAGAGATGGGCGGGGTTGATATCAGGTAGTAATCTTTTATGCCCGAATGTTGAGGGTTGACTGAAACTTGTGTGGTTTGTTCAAGTTGCAAAGGCAAACCGGAAGGCAACAGAGGATGACATCTTGGGCTGTTGTCACCGAAGCACGCCGCCAGTGGTCCATTCCTTGCCTGTTCAATGCACTGTGCGGGGTTGTTCGACGGCGAGGTTCCATGTGGCGTGAGCTTCAGGGTCCATATTTGTTGGATGCATGAGAGAGGAAAGCTTGACGGAAAAGGTAGGTAAATTTGACCATGTCAAATCATTGTTGCGTGTTTTATGTCGTTGAGCTAATTTTACTATCCGTATCAGACCTCGATTTGCAAAGCCCATGTTTTGAGGGTCTACGTAACGAGGTACACGTCGCTGCATTGTTTCCAAGCAAGTACCTCCTTCAGCCACACAACCTGGGTGCACCAAGAGCAGCTGGTATTTCGCCGTCAAAGCTCCTCGGTTACACCTCCCGTCGGCAGAGCCCGGCACCCTTGAACCTGTTCACCTTGCCTCCATTACGGAACTGGCCAAATATCGCCTCGAGGGTCCATCACGGCACCATGTCATCCAGATTCTCAGCTGCGCGCCCAAAGCGCGCCGGAGAGGCATTCGCACGAGTCCATCACGGAGAAGAGCGCGACGAGCGCGACGAGAAAAGCCCCACATCCAAAAAGGTCAAATTCGATGTCCGCAACCCGTCCGCACTGGCGCCAAGCGGACGAGACGACGACGATGAAAACGACAATGTCCTCGATGCAGACGTCATTGGCGCTTCTGGGAGGGCGACAAAGCGTGGCGCGGTGAATATCGACGGCTACGACTCAGATTCTGAGAATGAAACGTTCAATACAAGGGCTGAGGCCAGGGGCAAAAAAGGGAAGGATGCGGAGGACGTGGACCTGGCGGATGTGATGGACAATTACAACTCCAAGGCTAGCGGCGGCGGTGGCGATGAGGAGGACGATGAAGTGGACATGTTCGGCGATGGTGATGGCGACGACAACGCTGCGGCGGGTGGCAACAAGCCGGGAAAGAAAGACAAGCAAGTCCGCTTCCTCGCTGACAAGGAGATCGAGGGTCAAGAAACCACCAGCAAAAGTGGCGGCACAGTACGGATAGACAGAAAGCCGGGTAATGACGAGGAGGATGAGGACGAAGACGACGACGAAGAGGTTGTCGCACTGGCCATCGCCGAAGAAGCCGTGGACGAAGAGGTCGGCCTCGGCGGCCTCAAGAAGCACGCGCCCAAGATCGACGCTTTCAACATGCGGGAGGAGCAGGAAGACGGCGCGTTCGACGAGGCAGGCAACTTCGTCCGGAAGGCGGTCGACGCCGACGCTGTGCACGACCGTTGGCTGGAGGGTATCAGCAAGAAGGAGATGAAGAAGGCCGCCGCGGCTCACGATAAGCGCGAGGCTGAACTGCGGAAGCAGCAGCGTGAGAATGACAGCTTATTGACGGGCGATCTATTCAAGGAGCTCATCATTCGGCTGGAACCGGGTGAGACGGCCTTGGATGCTCTAGCAAGGCTTAGAAAGAGCCAGACAAACAACAACAAGGCCAAGAAGATACCCAAGTGGAAGCAAAAGAAGGCCAAGGCAAAAAGCAACGGCGATAACGGAGGGGATGCCATGGATGTCGATGCTGAAAAGGAGCCTGAAGACCCGAAGCAGATCAAGATCAGGGACGCAATTAATGCCATCGCCGACGCAGCAGACAAGTTGATGCAGAGGGACTATCCCAATATCTATGATAGGGAACGGGAGCGGCTCATAAGGGAGTATCGCAATGAGACTGGGGAGGCCTGGGTGGAACCATCGGAACCAGACGAGACCGAGGATGGCGGTGGAATCGGGGAAGACAAGATGTGGGAGTTCCGCTGGACAGACGGACGGGACGACGCTGCCAAGCAAGGGCCCTTTGACGGCCCAACTATGAAAGCATGGCAAGATGCTGGCTACTTTGGCGAAGGGGTAGAGTTTCGGCTAGCAGGGGGGGAGGGTGGATGGACGAGAGTTGCTACGTTTGTGTAATACATCAATGAGAGGCACCGTGTTGAGAAGACAAGCCGGTGCAGGTTCGCCAGCTGCGAGTCTCTTTCCACACCATTCCAAGTCATTACCGCACATGATATCAAAGTCCAGACCCCGGTGAACAAAACAGTTTTACCCCCTTCCGAGAACGCCTGCAAATCGAATACTGCTTTCCCTCGATCTAGCTCGTGTCCATCGTCTCGCCCGTAGTACCATTAGTCTTTACCGCAAAGTCAACGGCACCGTCATCGCCTATCAGCCGCTTTTCTGACTCGGCTACGAACCCGACGCTCCTGGCAGGGTCGTAGAACAGCTTAAAGCTCCGCTGCACGTCCTCTACAACGACCTGCTTCGCGCGCCTCTTCGCGCAGATGAGCTGGGACGTGGTGATCAGATTGCTTGCGTAGCGGAGCCCTGCTTCTTGACCGATTTTGGTGAGTAGTGCAAGAGCATCTGGGGTGAGGTCAACCTCCTCCTCCTGCGCGCGGATTGATAGGATTTGACGAAGCTCGTCCCCAGTGTAGGAGTGAGTGTTGATAATGGCGACGCGGTCGAGGAAATCGAGCGGCAGGCCGTGGGGGCTCTTGTAATCGGTACCCCGAATACGGGAGTGGCCTCTGTTGCTCGCCATGATGACGATGGGGGCCAAGTCCGACTCGAGGGCGCGGTTGACGTAAGAGAAGCACTCGATATCGAGCATGTGGACCTCGTCAATAAACAAAACTCCCGGGACAATCTCTGCCTTGCCCTCTTCCTTCCATTCGGCAACCTTGGTGTTGATCTGGTCCCGGATCTCGCTCCGGATCTCGCCCGTATCGCCCGAGAACAGGGCCAAGAAGCCCTGGGTGCGCGAGTTGATGACGTCAATCTCGTGCAGCGATACGGTGTGTACGACCTCCTTGCGCTTTTGCAACTCGCCGTCGGGGCACTGCAGGAACTTGGTGTCGACGCCCATCGCATCGTAGTCGCGGGACCGGGCGTATGACCTGCCAAGCTTGGTGATTTTCCCCGACGACTTGTCGATCGAGATAATGTCGCCCGCCATCACACGCTCTTTGGTCATGGCATCGATCATCTTACTTCCCATATCGTAGATGGCTTCCATGTCGGTCGTCTTGATGGTGAGCTTGCCCTGCTTGGCGCCGCCCGTTACGCTCCGATCAATCTGAATCTCCACCACCTCGCCCTCCATTATTTCACTCTCCTCCTTGATCCTCACACCGATCGACTTCCGGAAGGCTTGCGTGAGGGCCTCGGTCTTGGACATTTCAAGGGAGAAGATTTCGGACGCGGCGAGCGTGGTGAACGGCACATCGGGGCCCAGAGATTGAGCCATCCCCATGGCAATAGCTGTCTTGCCGGTACTGCAAATGAAACACGGGTCAGTACATGACATGACAAATTCCAAACTGCTCGGTGGTGTTGTGACCTACCTGGGGGGGCCGGCAATCAGTACGGCACGACCGGCAATTTTGCCCTGCTTGATCATCTCTAGGATAACCGCAGCGGCCTTCCGGGCCTTCTCTTGACCGACCAGCCCCTGCGAGGCCGCTCGGGGCTCTAGAGTGTCGGCATCGACACCTAGCCCACGAATGTGCGAGTGTGCTGCGATCAGGTTAAGCCCCCGGAGCTCTTTGCTCTCGGAGATCGTGACGACAGGCTGCATCATGGTATGTTAATTCCTGCTATTCTGCGATAATAGTGCCCTGAAAACAATGGACTTACAGCAGCCATTTTCAATTGCGGTGTCGAAAACCGAGTTGCTCGTTGAACGCGCCGTAGTTTTAGCGCGAGGCTGCTGCCCAGAGATTCGAGCTTTGGTCGCGATACGATGATTATGCACCCCAGCCACAGTGGGGCATAAATTGTGGCAACAGACAACGAGCTACGCCTAACATGCACAACGAGAAGGGGGCGTTTTCACTGGGAATTCCATTTGCGGAAATGAAGTCACGGATCGACGCGCTTTGGACGGGGCACCCTCCTCTTTGACAACTTTTTTGGGGGATTCAACTCGAGCTCGATGAAGTACCCCGTACTTTGACTTTTATCGAGTCACCCCAGATCATTTTGGTTAGAACACCCGAAAAGTTCCCGGCCCTCAAGATGATCAAAAAAAGATACAATCGTACGCATACCTGTAAGACAAAACATATGGCTTCCCGTCCTTCCCAATCATCCTCAAACTATCCCCTGCAGGGGTCTCGACCCCTAACAAAATACCATTGGCCAACATATGCGCCTCTTCAGCCCAACCGACCGCTCTTTCCTTATCGATTGCACGGTTAGCCGATAAGTCCCAACTAATAAGTGGGCGAAGAGCCAACACCCAACGCCAAACAGAGCTTGCTTCTTCTTTCGTCCTCGTTCTTCAGCTGCTGAACAGTCGGTATTGCTATGAACTTCTAGGCGTCACTAAGATCAAACCCATATTCTGATTCATCGGCGTGCCCTACCTGATTTCCGGCCTGAACAGCTCCTTCGTCCTTTTACACAACGTGCCACGCGAGCTGTGGGGCAATCCTCTTCTCCCGCCCGCAGACCTGGCGCGACACCATCGCTGGACAAAAATTTCTTAAGACGTTGCAGAGAACTTCTTCATTCCGCAAGGACACCAACTTGCGGAGTATCTCATTCGCACGTGTCCACGGCACCGACCTGGAAACAAGATTTTATCCTGCGCTGGGACTCGCTTCCAGTCTACAGATCCACAGCAGTCTGTGTCTGGCTGACGGTCAGGCGCCTGGCGCGGGACGGTGCCGCAATAAGCGCGCCATACCGTGGCATCGAGCTCGACCGTGGAATGCACGGAATTTCCGAGTCAAATTGACGGCTTTTTCCGAACCTAGTCGGACGACAGCATGTCGCACAGATCATCGGACGCCTACTCGCGGCGTCCTACCACCGAGGATCGGCGCGGTTCCGAGTCTCGAGACCGCCGCCTAGATCCTTACAAAGATGAGAGGTACCGGCGGGACACGGGCACGTCTGCGAGAGAGCGGCGCACATCTTCAGTAAACTCCGCCGCAAAGTCCCGAGTCGCGGGGAATCCTTCCCGACCTGAGAATGGGACGAGAACGGGTGGGTCATTCTCTTCCATCAATACTTCCATCTTCAACGCCCCTTTGAATTTTCCGCAGCTAGAAGAATGTTACCCCGCTGACTCGTGGCTAGCGTCAACGCCTCGATCGCCCGTGGAAAGCCCTACTGCAGACTCAAACACCGCATGCGATAACTTCGCTAGCCTGCTCAGACAACACGACGAGGCTGTCATCAACGTGGCTAGGCTCAGGGCCGAGCGAGATCCGCTTGACAAGGTTTTGAAGCAAAGACAAGCGGAGTATGAAAAATCAATGATTAAACATGCGGAATTCCCCTCTGTGCCAGAAGTACAAAATTTGCACAGGGTGAGGTATGCCGAGCGCGTCCGCTTGCTGGACGCACAAATACAGAAAGCCAAAGACGTTGCAGACGACACAGCGCGGTCCATCGCCCAAGTCATTTCAAGCCTCCCCGGACCCGAGACCAATGTCGCGGCTCCAACTATGTCTCTGCAACAACAAGAGACGTCGAAAAAACAGCAAGCGGAAATCAATGAGCTGAAAACGAAACTACGCAAATTTGAGGCCGAGTACGCGCAGGAGCAGGACGAGCTGAAGGCCAAATTTGACAGACATTGTGCAGAGCTAAAGGACCAGATGAAGGAGCAAATGAAGGAGATGGCCAAGGGGATGAAAGAGGTGAAAGAAATCAAAAACATGAAGAGAACGAGCGAGGAGGCGGTCGAGGAGGTGAAGGAGGAAGTCCGTGCAGTCCGCGCGGAGATTGACAAGCATCAATCGAAGAGCCGTGAGGCCATCTCGGCTGCCGAGGTCTCTGCAATTGTACGGAAAGAAAGCTCGGCTCTACAGTTGGATATCGCTAGCCTCTTAAAACGGGTGGGCGAGCTTACCGAGCAGCTCGCTCAGAGTACCCAGGACACCGTTGTCCTCCGCAACGACTTGATGGCCTGTACCCAACGAGTGGGCGACGAAGCTCGAAAGATTGAAGAGCATGAGGAGAAACTCTCGAGTCTCGACACCGAAGCGCTCGACAGCGCGGCTGAGGCGGTGTCCATCGGTTTCCCGGACCTGCAAGCGAAGGTGGCAAGCCTTCAAACCAAGATGGACTTCACTATTTCGCAGCAGGAAGTCGACAACAGGCAAGAGACTTTGTTTTCCCAAGTGAAACAATATGTGGAAGGGATGGGCGAGGGTTTAGGTCAGATGGTGGACGAGGCACAGAAGGCTACAACAGAGCACGAGGCGCGCATCAAAGCTCTCGAGAAGGCCTCCACGAGTACCGCTAGCCCCGGCCCGGGTACCGGACATAACCAGGCGGCGACAGCCAAGTTCGACACCATTAGTTCGGACATTGCTTCGATCAAATCCGAATTTGACGCGGCCAAGGTCACAATCAACCAGCTCACTGAGAATGTCTCAACAATCGTCAACGAAGAGCTCAGTAAGCAGCTCGATATGCTTCGGCAGTCGTTTATGGTGTTGGACGCCCAATTCAACAACCTGTCCACCAAGTCGCTGGCCGAGCACATTATCGGACATCTCGAGCATTTCTACCCAAATGCCCGTCAGCTCAATGCTGACATTGAGTTTTTGAAAACCGCGGTCGGTGCCCTCGGCTCGCGCATCGACGAGGCCGAAGGGCGGATAGAGGATTTCAAAGACAAAGCTGGCAGCTTTTCTGAGGCCAAGCCATTCGATGCGTCCGAGGTGGAAAACATGCAGAACTTACTCCTGCAGAGCCTTGACGAGAGCGGCCGGCCGGCCCTCAAGCGGAGGAGGGTAGATCCAAGCCCCAATGGCATCGAGCAGCTAGTGCCATTGACGAACGGGACTGGTTAGGAACGTGGTCGGACGTGGTTGCTTGCCGGACACCTATGAGCGAGCTTGCTAAGGAGCGAGCGTGCTAAAGAGCGAGCGTGCTAAACTTGGGTCCACGGTTGTCATTAAAATGGATGCAAATATCCCTCGGTTTGCTGTTGGTGGGATTGATTCTTTGGTAGATTTAGCTTGCCGCTTTATGTACACTGTTTCGACTACGCTTAGTTTTAATACCTAGTTAGGAGTTAACTCGGGGTTGGGTTGACAAAGATGCTCTCGCTTGTGGAAATTTTAGACTGTTTTCGCAGGGTCACGCCGTGCTTTGCACCACCAAGCGGTGACCTCACCCACGTGGTGGCCGAGGTGGGCTGGTGGCCCGGGTGTGATGAACCGTGGGGGCTCAGTTGCACCGAACTCCCTAATGGGGACGAACTCGGGTACCATAGGCATATCTCCCATCTTGAAAAAGAACTCGAGGCCTTGTTCGGCACCGCGCCGTTCTCGGGCAGATCGCCTCAATTATAGGCTATTTTTGCATGACCGATAAATATCGGTTTTGTTAACTCCAGGGTCGATCCGAGTGGCATCTCACGCATCTGTACTTTTTGCTTACTGTTAGTCGAGAGGAGGGGATGCCCATTCGCGAATGTAAAACCCGAGTGTTAGGTTCCATTGTTTGCATGTTCATGCGGGGGGGATAACTAAGAAAGGTTTGGTTGGTCTTCCCGTCATCTTTGGCCCAACGCCAACAATAGGTGCAGATTATAGCGCCTCAAATCAGGCGGGAGGAGCAGAGCCTCGCATGGTTTGGTCAGGCGAAAATCAAAGAAAGGAAGTTTTGTGTTACAATGCTGGATTTCGCAACCCGAGTGCCCGACCGTGCCAACAAACGAATGTGGAACGGCCGAGTTTTGCCAGTTGTCGTTGCTCGAGCCAGGGCGATCCTGCAGACCGACCGCCGCTCCGTGGACCCACCTGCCCGGAGACCCAGGCCAAGCTCCCACCACCCTGTCGCTCTCCACTGTTCGCGCCGGAATCCCACCCTCGGCATCCTGCGCACCACCCACCCACCTTGTGTACATCACCGCCGCTGAGTCCTGCGCCTTCTGATACCACCAAGCAACGAGCCGGCCGGCGGCATATCGCAGCTCGACCCGATACCCGAATCCCGATTGTTCTCCTTCTCGCTCCCGCTGATTGTTTCGCGAACACCAAAGACGCGGCACCGGGCACCGGGCACCGCCACGACACGGCCTCCTCCACCCCGAGAGATGCGCTCGTGTCCTATCGACAAATACACGGTCGCTGTTAGGAGGTTGGGATAGACACGGGGAAAGTTTGGCGATTTTCGGCATTGCAGCAAGGTGGGCTGCAAGTTCTTGTTGTCTGCCGCCGCCTTGGGCTGCGCGCGCTGCGACTTGGGGAGGAAGCTTGCGGTGGGAATCGTGCGATTAGTCTGGGTATGTGCGTGATACACCACACCGGCTGGGAGTCTGATAGCGTTGATTTTGCGTCATGCATCAATTGGGCTACCGGCGGCGTGTGGCTATCTGGTTGACTATCACGGTCGACGAAATTTTCTGCTTGAGGTGCATGTACTGATTGCGCAGGCCGACAGAATACTGCGAAGTTGTCCGCGCACCGGACCGACCCTGCGACCTGCTGATTCAACAACCGATTTCGCCTCGCATCACGAGATCACAAGGATCCGGAGCCTGCTCCTGGGTTGATTGTTTCTTCACCACCGGAAGCTTCGCGCATCGCCTGGCATAATCCTCGAGCTTCATCTCTCGATTGTTCGCTGCTACCAATCACACGAACGCGCTATACAACACTCTTTGACGGATCCGATGTCCCAGCGATGAAAGAAAGAATGGATGGAGCGGCGGAAAATGCACATAAAGTGGCCCAGCGCATCCTCCCAGACCGCCCGCACCATCTTTCATTGTCCTTCGACCGCCGCTTTCCCGAACCGGACGGCTGGTGGTTCAGAGGTCCAAGCAGCGCTTTACAATACGTGACGTACATATCCGCTGCGCAGCGAGGGATACTCATGACGCGCGCCGGCTTTGAAATCACGGACGAGTTACCGCCCCCGATGCCGATCAAGCTTCTCGCCAAGGGCGAGGCCAAGAAGAAGCTGTCCTTGACGGACTATCAAAATAGGAAGAAGTCAGCGTCGCCAGTGGAGAATGGAACGCTAGGGAGGACGGAAACAAAGACGAACGGCACGGTCCACGCGAAACCCTTACCACCAAAGGATGACGTCAGGCGGGATGGTAGCGTGAAGGTTGCTGAGAAAACGAATGCGTCACGCCAGGCTGACGCGCGGTCAGAAAAGCCACGGCCAGAGACGAACGGGGACAGGTATGCCGAACAGACTCCCAGGTTGTATGTAGCACGCCCGCAAGCCACTGACCAACCCGGCAGAAGCAAAACTTCACAGGCGAAATCGCAACCTGAACCCGAAACCCGTAAGCGGGCGGCGGAGTCGGGCGGGGATCCGCCTCTTCAGAAACGAGTCAAGGGCGAAGCTATCATGGCGAAAACAGACCAGCCGCGACAACCCAAGCCGGGGACGCCACGGGGCCGGGAAGCGACGGAGAGACCATCAAGAGATGCAAAGACCGACACATTACACCCTACCCACAACGGCATGCCACCCTCGTCCTCTGACCGAGACCGAGAGAATACATCATCCCCGAGGTCGACAATTCAGGTTAATGGGTCAAGGCCACGGTCGAATAGTGGGACGCCGACGCCCCGGAAACCGGAGCCCATGACAAAACCAGCGTTACCACGACTCCTATCGCCCCTGCCTCCGTCTTTATTTGACGACGACGCCGGGAAAGACGTCACGCCGAAGAAGAAATCGGCGGCGAAGGCATCGAAGCCAGAGAAGGAGAAAATAAAGCGGCCACCTAAGAAGATACCGCCACTACTCTCTCCCACGTTGCCCCCAGTCATCGAGGAGATTCTTGCTGTCCAAGACCGAAAGCAGACCGCTTCAAAGGGAGTGTCTAGCCAATCGTCTAACCAGTCTTCCGACTCATCAGGCGGCGCAAGAAAGACCATAGTGGCTGCCCCCCCTGGATCCTTGGCAGAAGAGGAGGAGGTGAAGCCCGCCCGGCTCTCTAAGATCGTCACCCTCAAGTTCAGGAACAAGGCGAATGCAAAACGGGCCAAGGAACTCCTCGGCCTCCCATCTAAGTCAGCAAAGGATGCACTCAAGAAGGAGCGCTCCGAAAGCGCAGAAGCCGCCCCTCCGCCCTCTAAGAAGCGGCCACGGCCGGCAGATGACGTTCCACAAGAGACCACCGCCACCAAACGACCCAAGATGACCGCAGATGCCATCACGGCAAAACCACCCGGACCGACTACTCCGCTTAAACACACGGCAACATCTATGTCCCGGGTGACGTCAAGTCAATCCCAGGGCCAGATACAAACCCCTGCCGCCACAACCGGCCTGACCCCAGGCACCTCGGACAACAGGCCTCCGACCCGCTCAGAGCCTCTTGACCCCAAGACGATCGCCCAAGCCGAGTCTTTCAAGGAAAGAAACATCGAGTACACGCGGCTCGGCAGCAAGCTCAAGCACGCGCGCGACGACCTCCTGCGTGACCGCGGCGCCGCCCTGGCGGCGGCCGACGAGCGGCGCGTCATGGCCCTGCACTTCGAGATGGTGCTCGCGTACATGGTGGCGTTCGACTCGCTCAACCAGTCGCGCATGCTCGAGCGCAAGGTGTGGGAGGTCTCGGCGTGGGAGTCGCTGCTGCCGCACCTGACCGAGCTGCGGGGCCGCGTGCAGAACAACAAGGCGCTGCGGGCGCTCGCCGTCCAGATGCACGCGCTGGGCCTGGAGCAGATCACCAACGCCTTCGCGACCCTGGACCCGGGCGCCGCCGCCGCCACGTTCGCCCGCTGGGGCAAGCACAACCGCGCCCGCACGTCCATGTGGGCGGAAGCGGTCGCCATGTGGGAGCGGGTGGACGACGCGCGGATGAGGGTGGCCATGGGGCCGTGGACGACGGTGAATGATGCCGTTGCGGCCGTGTTGGGGGTTATGAAGCGGTGGGCTGAAAGGGAAGGGGTGAGGTGGCACCCAGAGGTCACTATTAAGGGGGAGGTGGGCCGTGAGGGTGATCGCGAGAGTGACCCGTATAGGGAGGGAGATAAAGATCGCGACAGAGACCGAGACAGAGACCGAGACAGGGATCGAGGCAGGGATCGGGGCAGAGAGCGAGAAAGGGAGCGGGAGCGGGAGAGACCCAGGCCCTCGCTCAACCACGGGTCGAGGTACTAGACACCCCGATATCAGCCCGCTCCTCCTTGACTACCTACCTACGTTCGACACGTACATATGGCGTCATCACCCTCGGAGCGGACAAACCTATCTCTACACACAACACTTCAACCCCGCCCCATTCCTCTTACAACATCTACCCGCTGTCATCACATCACCATGCATAGCACATCAACATGTCGACACATTGTATTATTTTAGCGTTGGTTTCCTTCCTAGCGAGCGGGAGGGCAAAATGGAGTCGGTACCAATGGGCAAAGAAGCAGGCGTACACAGCAAGCAACGGACAGCGGCGACGGCGCGCGGCGTTTTACGAACCACAGTTACACATTTTCCTTTCTCTGTTTATATCACTTAGCTTCCGGATGGATCCTTCGGAACGGAACGGACGATACCTCACGACTTCTCATTTTCTCCTACCTATTCTTTGTCCTTATTTGATTTACCGTCCCACCGTCCTGGCATGCCGGCAAGCCCGGCATCCGGACGGCTTGATCTCGGGCTGGGTGGTTAGGGGCAAGTTCTTGCCATTGGGGTTGGGGGTTAAGGCGATACGAAATCTTCGTTGTTTGGGATTGGCTGATCGAGGAGGGCATGGGGACGGGATGGCGATGCTTTCTTGCATCCGATGGGCCATCTGGATCTGTACAAGGTTCTGTGTTTCACACCTTTGACGGTTCTTTTTTCTCCCTTGTTGGCTTGCTGTCTTGTCATATGCTGTTTAGTGATACCTGGCGCAAGCCGGCCCGATGGAAGTAGGGCTTTGCTGCCGTTACTGTTTTCGTATTATGAGTTGGCCGGAGAGGCGAAGAGCGCGCTCTCGGATGGAGAGGGCATCTCTTGTATGTATATATATCTGGCTTACTCACCTGCGGAGGTACTCCGTGGTGTGAGGCTTGCTTGCTTTGTTCTTGGATCTCCTTGGGGTAATATGCGCAGGTAAAGGGTCTTGCCCATCCGGGCAGATGGATAGCTTTAGGGAAAAATAACCATGAAACATATTTATCACAATGCTTCTCGATGGCCGAGTTTTCGGGTCTTGTTTCGTGGAACGCCATTTGCCATTTATGCTCCTTTATGAGGACCGAAGTCACCACCAATATGGTGCGCAGTATTAGCTAGGTATCATTGAGCAAATGCCTCAAGTATCCGCCTACGCCTGCGCCATGCCCATTCCCATGCCCATGTCAAGTTGCCACGATGAGTAGAAGAAGAAAACTAAGAAAAGACCCCTATAAGCGGGGGCCAATGCTCCTGAATCCGCGAGCAGTGATAGCCGAGCATCAACTGCCCCCCGACGACCGACGCCCCCTCCACCATTTACCACCCCGGCCAGCCAGAAAAAAAGAAGGATGGCACACGCACCCGAGAAAACAAGCCAAAATAGCCCGTATGTACGTCCCCCTTCCTCGGCATACCACACCCCTCCCCAGCCCAAACCAAGACCAGCAAAGCAGCAAGGCCCGAAGCAGCGCCGTCGCCGCCGCGCGGTTCCAGCAGCAAGCAAGACCGCCAGCCAGGTCGGTTTGGTTAGAAATCGTCCTCGTCGTTGGGGCCGCCGCCGCCGAACAGCGCCAGGCGGTCGCGCTCCTCCTGCTCGCGCTCCAGCTGCTCGGCCAGAGCCGGGTGCATCGGCACCGGGCGCAGGTTCAGCTCCTCGATGCGGCCGCAGACAATTCGGTTGTCTAGGGCGGGGGCGAAGGCCATGCCCGTGCCGTCCATGCCTGTGCCGCCCATGTCAGTGTCGCCCATACTAGTGCCACCCATGCCCATGCCAATGTTGCTCATGCCAATGTTGCTCATGTTGCCCATGCTCATGCTCATCGGCATCATCAACGGCATGCCGGCGCTGGCGAACGAGGGCAGCGAGATGCCATGACCAGTGCCGGTGAAGTTACCGCCGAAGAGTTGGGCCGGGGTAATGTTGTTGGCGTTGCCGGTGGCGTACAGGAAGTTGGTGCTGGCGCTGTTGCTGCCGGCATTATTGGCCATGGCCTTCACCATGGCATCGCCGATGGCGGTGGTATTGCCGATGTTGCCACCGTTGCCCGCGTTCGCGCCGTTGCCAATGTTGGTGTCATTGTTTAGATTGGTACCGTTACCAGCATTGGTGATGTTCTCAGGATTAGTGCCGTTGCCCGCATCGTTGCCGTCCTCGGCCGGGTCGTTGATGGCATTGGAGGAATCGCCGACAGCGTTGGCTTGTGAGTAAAACCGCGACTGAATGTGAGCCGGCAGGCGGGAGAGCCACTTCGTATGCACCTCGGCGGAGGACGGGGTGGTAGTCCACACGCCGTCGAGCTCGACGAGAACAGCCTGGCGCTGAATGACTAGGTCGGGCATGACAGCTGGGAAGTTGGCAAACTCATCTGTGATGGCTGCGGCGAGCTCGTTATCAACGGGCTCGGGCCTGGCGGCGCGGTTTCCGGTGCCCTTCTTCTTCTTGGTAGGGGTCTCGGGCATTTCCATATCCTCTTCATTATCCTCCTCAAACATCCGGTTGATCATGTCGGTATCCTGCTCCATCTTGACGATAGCTAGGGACTTCGCCTTGCGCGCGCGGCTGCCCGGAGGGATGGTAGGGCGCTTGGCCGGGGTGGCGCGCTTCTTGACACCGGCACCGGTGCCAGGGGTGGCCGCGGTCTTCTTGGAACGACTGGTAGTAGGGGTCACGGGAGCGGCGTCGCCCCCGTCCTCATTCTGGTTCTTGGCCGGGGGCTTGACGGGAGTCCAGTTGTCTAGGTCAAGCTTGCGCTTGATTTGACCATAGCGGACCTGAAAAAGGGTTGTTAGTATTGAATAGGTGGAAAGGGATGGGACAAGGAAAGGGGTTAGCAAGAGCCAATCCATTGACCAGACGACGGGGTTGAGTTTGAAGAAATCTACCAACCTTGGCGGTCTCAGCATTTTTGAAGCCGGCGTCGATTGCAACAGCAGCCCAGTCGATCTCGGGCTTGCCCTTCATGCTCTTGATGATGGTGTAGAACAGGTGGGCCTCCTGAAGGGTAGGTTGCTTCTGCTCGCCAGTAGAAGCGATAGCAGCACCTGCCTTAGCCGAAACCTTGGGCGGCATTTTGTTGTTGTTTTTTTACGTTCTTTCTCGATCCAGATGATGAGTTCTTTTCTGGTGGAAGCCACTAGTTGTTTTTTTGACTATTCGATAGCAAGCCATTAGTATGATGATTCCAAAACAAGAATGAAAAATAGCAAGGGGAAGAAAAGTTGGGAAAATCAGGAAATGAATGCGACTCGGGTTGGAGAAGGGCGACAAGTAAAAAGACGTCAGAGGCCAGCGCCCAGCGACGGGGGATGCCAGTGTCTCTCCTCTTCGCCATTGATGAGAGTGAGAGGTGGTCAAATGATGTAGTGGTCTGACGCGATGAAGAAGGTATCTTGAAGAGGGATAGCGATGATGGAAATAGGAATTGTGCCTGGTGAACCGGGAGGAGGGGAGAAAGGGAGAAGGGGAGACAAAAGGAAGAGTATGTAGGTTCATAATTCAACAACTCTTGAAACGAAGCCTCAAAGGCATTGAGATCAACTTACTGTGATGTGTGACCGTTCTCAAGTTAGAGCAAGATGGTTTCGTCGCAATCGAATAATGCTTCGAATGTTCTCCAAAGGATGGTGGAAGAGTGCTGGAAGGTGAGAATTTATGCTGGTGGGTGGGAAACAAAACTGAACCTGTGAGCATCACGAGATGAAACGACAACTGCAGGAAAGGCACTCTGCCCTAATGATAAACACTGATATTGTTGTGATTCAAAAGCCCTGGCACAATAAATACTTATTCACTGTGCTCACAATAACTTGAACTCTAAGCTGGCAGGCTGGTAGCACCCTAAGGAGGGCTCACCCAGAGAAACAAAACAGAAAGGACTGCACACACCCCATGAAGCCCTCTGGAGAGACAAGGTTAACCCTCCAAAGCCAACCAGGCCGGCCATCATCCACATTGAGAGTATTGAAGACTAAAGACAGGGCTTTATTAATCACATCATCATACTCATACTATTTTACACCCCACGTCAGTTAGGATATGCCATTGACAACCCAAGACCCATCTCGCGGAGATAGCACAGAACTGGGGAGGAGACACATTCAAAAAGATACCCTCTAGACCAAAACCAAGCCCAGCCAACAAGCAAGCAGGCAAGCAACCAAACAATAGGAGCAAAACACGGCGTAGTAGTAACAACCGAAGTCATCGCCCATCCCCAAAACCGCTCCTCTTTTCCAACTTTCCCCAACCCCATAAACAAAGCAAACACTTACTACCCACCACACCCACCATGCCAAACCACCCCACTTCAAATCCCAAACCCCTCCCCCTCCCACTCCCCCTTAACTGCCGCCCCACCCCCGCCACCCATCTCCAACTCCATCTCCCTCTCCCGGAACATGCTCGTCCCACCACCACAACCACCACCACCAAGATGCAGCCTAAGCGGATCAACCCCATGATGCCCGTCCTCATCATGCCCATGTCTGTGCCCGTGGCTGTGGTGGTGGTGGTCGGCGCCACAGAACGGGTTGTTGTTGGTCCCGTTGAAGGCGCCGTCGAGACCGTAGCCGCCGAGGGCGAGGCCGAGGCCGAGGTTGAATCCGGGTTGGGGGGGGAATAGGGAGTTGGTTGGCTGTGGTTGGTGGTTGGTGCTGTGGTGGTGCTGGTGGTGGCTGTGGGAGTGGGAGTGGTGTGGTTGGTGCTGGGAATGCCATGGGCTGGGCGAGCCTGTGCCGGTGCTGTCGCAGCATTGTTGTTGTTGCTGCTGTTGCTGGGAAAAGTCGTACGGGGATGGGGCTGATGCCGAGAGAGGTGGGGATCCGGCGCCGACCATGTGATGTTGGTGGCTGTGGTGTTGGGTGTGGTGATGGTGCAAGAGTTCGGTCGGCGGCGGACTGTGGGGAAGGAAACCTTGCATGCCGGTGACGACGCTATCGGAATCGCTGCAGGGTGTCAAAAGGCGCATTTGCATGCGATGGTGGTTATTGTCCATGTATGGGGTGGAGGATGTTGAGGAGGAGGTTGTGGGGGTTGTGGCGAGGATACCGAAAGGGGTGGGCTCGGGGATGGGGGTTATGGTGTTGGTCGTGTTGGCAGCAGCGGCGGTGGTTGTGGGGAGGCGCTCATTTTTGACACGGGGAGAGGTAGTGGAGAGTATCGAGGACTGATGGAGGTGTCGATGTTGGTTAAAGGGGTTGGCAAGACCCGGCTCGGCTTTCATCATGGCTGCTATGGTCATCGGCGCTGGAGGTTGAGATTGGGATGGTTTGGGGGCCCGCTGGCTGATGCTTTTTCGTTCAGGCTTGATGACCGCGTCGGTCGTCTTTTCAGTCTTGATGTTCCCGATCCCGCTGCCGCTCCTCTTCACACCCTCATCCTCGTCCTTTTTAGGCGGCTTGTTCGGCGGTTTGGGGCTATCGTCTTTCTTCTTCTTGGACACGCGGTTCTTGCTGCTGCTACTGCTGCTGCTGCTGTTGTTGTTGTTGTTGTTGTTGTTGTTGTTGTTGTTGTTGTTGTTGTTGTTGTTGTTGTTGTTGTTGTTGTTGTTGTTGTTGTTGTTGTTGTTGTTATTGTTGTTATTGTTGTTGGTATTAGTGCGGTTCCGGCGCTGCGGCTCCAGGCCTAGCATGGCGGCACGGAACCGCGAGTATCGCATGCGGGCGGCATGGCCGTTGGTGATCTCCTGGGCCAGAATCGGGTTGTGGGCTACCTTGTTCCAGTCGACCTGGGTCAGGGGGTGGTTAGTCCTCGACCCCTCCCGATAGCCCTCGATCACTTACATCCTTCAAGCATTTCTGCTGTAGAATGGCGAACAAGAAGCGGGCCATCACATTGTCGTTGTTCGACATGGCGGTGGTGCTGGTGGTCGGGCCACGGCCTGACCTGACCGAGAGGGTGAGAGGTAGGGAGGGAGAGGAAAGGGGGAGCGGTCGAAGGCCAGCGACTCAGCCAAGGACAAAAGAGAGGAGCAAGATAGTGAGCGAGGAGGGCAAGCCGCTCAATATGAACCTGAACGGCAGGGCTTGACCGCTACGAGGAGAAGCTGTGGCAAGGATCACTGCAGCCGAAACCCACTGTTCGGATGTGGAGAAGTGAGTCACGGAGATGAGTGGTGAGGCTGGCGGATTATATGCCTGTTTCACCATCAAAAGGTTGCTTCTGGCTTGGTGCGAACCAGGTCCGGCTTTGGAGTGCGGAGGGAGAAAGCTCCCCTTATCCAGGAAATATTTCCTTGGCTCAGAGAAAGCAAGGCGAGGACGCTTATCTATCATTTGTCTCCAGTCAAACAAGGGACCGCTGGGAGGAAAGCCATTGCCAAATGAGGAGAAAGGCGCATGCAGAGCTAGAGCTGCACGGTGAAAGCACCGACGAGAGGGGGTCTCCTTTTCCGGGCGGAATTGTCAGCTCAGCTCCTGACCTCTTTATTCCTTGTTTGAATCCGACCAGATTGAGAGCCCCTGCGACCGCTGCCACAGCAATGCGATGGTTGCCTGGTCATCGTATTGGGGGTGGGGAAAACTCAACAAAAGAAAGCGGATCGCCCACTGAAAATCGGTGATGGAGGTGCTGGAGGGGACAAGGTGACGCGCCACCGCGGCACTTCCGCGTAAAGTGGTTTTTTTTCCAAGACATGCAGATCCCTGTCCAAGGTCGAGGACAGTGACACCCACCCAGACAACCCCCGGCTTGCACCACGCACTCCTGCAGGGAGTGATTGCGAGGGCTGACGAATTGTGTCGCCCCTCGTCGAGGCCCAGTCGCCATCGCTCTTTGTCACCTGAATGATCCGGCTGAGAGCAAACAAAACCAACCCTTCAGGGCAGCTGGGCTGTCAGTGTAAAACCCGTCCCAAACACTTCCGAAAAAAGAGCAAAGTGGTCGATTGCGCGTCACAATGGTGAGTCACTTGACTCTTGCCGCCGGAATGCAGGCGGGGGGCGGGTGAAAACGAAACATTGCCATCTTATTGGCCTTACCGGCACCGAGTCGGTCGGCTGCCTGAGGATGCGGACAACTTTGTCGCAGCGAGGTTGAGTCAAATGACTGAGGCAGCTAAAATGTGAAGCCTGCTCGAGGGGAAGGAACAAGGCGGAGGATTTGCCGTGACTGGTTTGCTGCCTGACGATGGTCGTTGGCGGTCAATGCGGATACATGCCCCGCTCCTGCCCTCTCGCTTCCATGAACTTCTGGCCCGAGACTCGGCGGCACAGGCCCATCGCCTTGCCAATTGAGTGGGTGTGAGCAAGGCCGGTGAGTGAAGGCGAAGCCCTCGAACATGTTTGCCCAATTGACCATTCACCATTCGTCATCCTTGCGTGTTGCCTCAAAGAGAAAGGTCGGTCAGTTAAACTGAGGCGCGGACTGTCTGGAAAGAGAAGGTTGGAAAGTTCGAGGCAAACAGCGCGTCGCAATCGGCACTGTGGGCCCGATGTCGCGATATTGGCGCGCGATCATCTGACAGCTCATTTAACAAGCCCCACTTTGAGACACCCAGGCGTGGATGCACCGTTCAGGAAGTGATAATTATGCCTCAGGCAGCAACAGCGACCGCTTCCATGGATGCCACATCCGGGCACCCATGCCCCACCCATTCCTCTCGGCACCGGCTGAATGATCAAACCGCGGTAGCGCTGTTTGAGTTGCTCGCCCCCGCCCACCGCACATCCATCTCTCCTTAGCAGACCTTAGCAATTTTTAAAGTTGTCACGTCTTATCCACTCTCACGGCAGCCCATCAATAAACCGGTTTGATTCGCCGCCGCGACTCTGCCACGATGAATAAGAACTGGAACGATCGCGCCGATAAGGATCTCTTCTTCACCATCCTGTCGGTGAAGAACATTGGCGTCATCAGCGGCTCAGAATGGACCACAATAGGCAACCACATGCGGTTGATGGGCTATGGCTTCACCAATGAAGGATGCCGGTAAGTCTTGTTACTCGTTGTTGCTGGTTTAATCTCTGGGCATAATATCCAACTCTCGAAGCCGCTGCTGTCCAAAACTGCCGATTGTTAATCCTGAGTGTTTTGTTATCCCATTCTCGGCAAGCCTATGGGATGGGATGTCATCATCGATGGTTCTTCTCCTCGTATCGAGATGTGCTTGTATCCTTCCTTCCTCATCAACTATATCTTGAACTTCTTATGGCACCCGGGTAGCTGAAACCGTTGTACTAACCCCCTCCGTAGCCAGCACTTCCAAGGGCTCCGCAGAGCTCAAAACAAGGCGGATGGTGGCGTTCCCGGCGAAAACCCTAGAAAGGTCGATCCCACACTGAACCCCATCACTCGACGGCCTGGTCCTGGTCGCGGGCGGCCGAGGAAACAGCCCACCGAAGATGGCTCCGCTGCGGCACCCGCTGGAGCGCAGGCCTCTGGAGGACACTCTGCCGGACCATCACCTGCCGGTGTCACACCTACCACGTCTGGGCCACCTCCGATGGCACCCGGAGTTGGCGCTGTCTCTGATATGGGTCACGGAGTTCCCATGCACCCCCAATTCCCCGGTTTCACTGGTGCTCCCGCCGCACCTCCTGCTCCCGCCTCTACCCTTCCTGCCGCATCGAGCACACCTATCATATCGAGTGTGCCCGCTCCCCAGCAACCGCCCGCCAACCATGGACTACCTGCAAACCATGGACCCCCCGCCAACCATGGACTACCTGCAAACCATGGACTCCCCGCGAACCATGGACTCCCCGCGAACCATGGACTCCCCGCGAACCATGGACTCCCCACCAACCATGGACTTCCCGTCAACCACGGACTCCCCCCTAACCATGGGCACCCCGCCAACCATGCACACCCCATTGCCCATGCACACCCTGCTACTCAAAATCAGCCTCAACCGCCCCCACCTCAGGTCAGCCAAGGTGTCGCTCCGCAAGCACAGATGACTGCCCCTGAGGACCTTGCCGTCGATCCCAGTTTGGAAGACGACGCAGAGGATGAGGATGAGGAAGAGGAGGAGGAGGAGGAGCATGCGGCAAAGCGACAGAGGCTGGAAGATAGCCAAGAACAAACGCTAGAAGACGAGGCCGTGCTACACGTCCTTTCCGGTCACAACAACCCGGAAACGCCAGGCGAATATACCACCGAGTGAGTCAATCTTCGTCTTTATCTCCTCATCAACTGCATCTCGATACTGATACATGCCCCAGATACGTGTACGGCGATGCTTAGTTCTCAGAACGAGTGGGCGGTGATCCCTGGTTCTTAAGAGGTGACGGACGGTAAGGCTCAGTTAGCTGGTGTAATTCGACGATCAATATGGAGCCCTTCTTCCTACCTCAGGGGTGGGGGGCTGGGGAATTTATGGTCTGGCGTCTAGTGATCGACTCCGTTGAAGCTGCAATGCTTCAATCGCAACAGATGTAAGATGGCGCTCAGGAACGGCAACCCCGGCGTGGGTTTGGAGTTTAGCAAATCCTTTTCCAATGTATAGTTTCTCTCCGTATAGGATCAATGAAGAAGGCAACCCGGAATCGATGTACCATCTGAGTTTGGTCTTTCTAGAGCCGACATCCCAACCTTCAAGCCTCGGTGTCAGTAGTGTTTACGTAGGTACCGTTAAGGTCGCTCTGCTCCTGCTCCTAGCAGATCGACCTTATTTCACTCTCAACATTGAGAGATGACCATATGAGCGACTTGTTGATGCGCTCCATGGAACGTCGAACTCTGCCCTTCGTCCAACCTCGATGCCCTCAATACTAGACCCACCTCTCCGTGACGCTGTGGTTGTCCGGCCGCTTGTTCACCACGACAAATTTATATCCCCACATCGTGGAGGAGGTGGAAATCCATCTTCATGGCGACGTCACCTAGGGCATTATTTAGTAGTGAATCATATTTTATTTCCCCCAGCTTGGTTCACAAGAGCACCTGCGTCTGCCCCTATTCCCACACCGCTTGAAACTGCTGCCCAGCAAGTGCAGCAAGAAGACTGGGTTTACTTGGGGTAGATAGTGCAGTTGGCGGACCCGGGCCTTGTGGTTGTTCTGCTCTTTTTACTCTGCTGCTGCTTCCCCTCCTCCAACTCTCCGTCACCTTTCCCACAAACCAGGCCGATTCTGCAAACTCCAATGCCCACCACAACACATCACAACGCAGTCAACACATCAACTACATCGTAACAACGTTTTCTCGGTTTTTTTCGTCGCATCCGCAACAATGCCTAAGTGGGAAGACATCCGGGAGGACCTGTTCGAGGCCGTCATTCAGGTGCACCCTGCCATGAACAAGGAGCAGCAGGCCGAGGTTGTCAATATCATGCGCTCTAAGGGCCATGAGATGGGCTGGAACGCGATTCGGTATGTTTTACTTTTTATGAAGTTTGTTCACATACCAGATTTGGGAAGGGACTTTTACCTTCAGCTGTCATCCGGGCAAGTGCTTTGGCTTGACGGCGTATTTTGATTTGATTTCCTGCCCTGCTTGAAGCATTCTTCCCTGGCCTCTTCCCATAACTTTCCCGCCCACTTCGCTTCCCCTCTCCTTCTCAGTTCATTTGCAACACACAATTCCTCAACGTCTTTCCTTCACTTTCCCGTGCAGCGCAGCGAGCAGACACGATGGCGCGAACCCTACAAAATTGGGATTCTGAGACACACGAGGCTGTGCTCCTGGCCCTGATCGAGCACATGAAGCCTAACGGCAGTGACTGGAACGCAGTGGTGGCTTCTTTGCACCAGAAAGGCTACACGTTTACTGAAGGGGCTCTAGTGTACGTTTTCAATCTGTACATGATTCCTTGCCGGGCATCACTCTTCCCGGCCTTCGTTTCCTGCTCTCTTCCTGTTCTCTTCCCTTCCCGTTCACTTCTCTTCCCCTTCCCCTCCCCCAAAACTTTCTTCTTGCAACCTACACCAGAAGCAAAAATTTCAACCCCCCTCATTTTCACTCTATTTCTGGCCCTTCACAGCAAGCATCACAAATTCGTTCCCATAAATTCACCTATCAAACTCCGAACACCACACACGAATCACCACCATGTCGAAACAGCCAACGATTTGGGATCATGATGCGCATCTTGCGCTTCTCCAGGCGATCATGGCTGAGGCTCCCCCTCAACCCTCCCAGTGGGACAAAATTCTGGAGAGAGTCACAAACAAGGGCTATTCCTACACTGCGAGCGCAGCCATGTAATTCACACCCCCCGCCTGAACCCGCTTGTCTCTGAGCACAACTTCCTCTTACCCTCCCCATTCTCCCTCTCCATTCCCTTTCCACTTCCTTTCCCGAAATTTGTCGCAACTCCAACATTCTTCTCTCAATCATCCACCCTTCTCAGACCACCCACCACAAGCGCCATCAACTCTCGGAAATTACCTAGTCAACATGTCCGAACGGATGAACTGGGACCATCACGCCGACCATGACCTCCTCACGGCCATGATGCAAGAGCTCCAACCTTCGCAGGAGCAACTGCGTGGTGTCATGGGCCGAATGCACGGCTTCGGATACACCTGCACAGTCAAGGCGATCACGTACTGCCTACTCATCCCACCCTACCTTTACCTTATCCCATCCCAACTTTTCAATCATCCATCACCCGCTCCTCCCCCACTCTCGATCAGATTTCGCTAACCAACTTCATTTTCTCTTCCTCCCAAACAGCCAGCATCTGCAGAAGCTCCGTCGCAAGGAGGACAAGGCCGGCGGCGGCAGCAACGGCGAGGGCGGCGGCCCCTCCTCGGCTCCCGTCACGCCCAAGACCCCGGGCGGCCGCAAGAAGAATGTCGGCGGCGTCAAGAAGGAGCCCGGCTCCGGCACCAAGCGCAAGCCCGTCGCGCTCAGCGACGACGAGGAGGACGTCAAGCCGGCCAGGGTCAAGAAGGTGAAGGAGGAGCCGGTTAAGGAGGAGTCTGAGGGGTGAGTTGCCTTTCCTGTTTCCTTTTCATTTCGCTTTTGGTTTAGTTGGGTTTGAGTGCTAATTGGTGGTGTGTTTCGCAGCTCTGCTTACGTCTAGGCTCGCACCAGGGTGGCGCCGCCGCAACTCGCTCGAAGTTTGGGAAGGGGTCGAGTCGCTCTCTCTCTCGGTTGAGGCTTTGTCACTGCGTCTTTATTTTGGAGCACTCGAGCTTGGTGGCAACCTGCGCTGCGCTGCATTTCATAATTACCATTTCGGGTTGGACGGTGGGAAGGGGTTTTCTGGCAACGTGGAGGGGCGTCTGGTATGGGGAACTCGGCTTGGGAACGCGCTTTGCTCTTCGGAGGAGTCAAACGGGGTTTTTAAGGATCGGTTCTGCTAGGCATTATTCGGGGCGCGCGAAGGCTCACTTCTGGTTCTCGGTTGATTATTGGCATGGGTTGCGGCCATTTTCCCTTCTCTTTCAGTCAACTCAAGCTTGGGGTTTGACTAACTGCTTAGTTCTATTCCCGGCAGAAAATGGGACAGTTCTTATCAGGACCATGGCTTATTTTAATTCGAGTGTGATTTGTGCAGCTGTGGTAATAATTGCCGCCCAGTTTTAGGGCTTTGGCAAACCCGCCCCAGGAACTCTGCACGTGTGGGCTTCCTCGAGCTGCCAGAAGCCGATCGAGTCCTCGCCACTTCGGCACCACGGCTTTGCAGTCCTACCAAATTATCCATTGCTAGAATAAGTGCAATGCCGCCCACAATAAATGTCTCTTTGTGCTGTGCTCATGACCACACGTGTCAGACGGACTACGACCTGGCCTCATCCTGCCACCATTAGAAGTGATCTGAGCTCCAGAAAAGCACTAAAAGCTTCACACCAAAGTATTCAACTCCTTCATATTTCATTGTATTTTCCACGTCGGGCTGCGTGTGACAGCCATCTTTAACACCTAGGCTAACATGACCAGACGTTGAAAAAAGGAGGTGCCAAGGCGCGTTGCTGGGCAACGACTCTCCGAACGACCTGGTCACCAGTCAACAGAACCTCGGGGGAGCTCTCAGGAGAGACTCCAATCAACGGGTGGTGGGCTTTTGTAATAACCATGATCGTGCCCCAGAGAGGGAAGGCAATGTAAAGGTCTATCATGCCCCAAAGCAGGGTCAAACCTTTGGGATCTCCCCTTCCGCAAGTTTCACTAAGTGTAGTGGGCAGGATGTCGGCAGTTTACACAGAAGGATTGGCAGCATCAAGGAAATACCTAGTTGGGTACACAGGCGGAATGGCTTGTAGTCACACATAAAAAATCATCGATAGCCCGATTATAATGTCACAGATGAACCAAGCATGAGCCAGAGACTTTAGTATTGCGCTGAGTTCCTCGAAACCGAGGCCCCAAGTAATTACGCACCCGGTAAAGAAGCAGATCCGACCCCAAAAGACGCCCAGACAAACCACCCCGTGGTTCCCAACCCCTCCAACTCAGACCCCATTCCCTTTCTAACCCCGAACCAACCCATAGCCTGGTCCTCCAAGTGGATAGTGAGCGAGATCCGAGCCCGCCAAGTCAGGACGGAGCGCCCCCAGGCAATCCCGCAGGCTGCAAATAGGGAAGAGGTCCCCAAGACAAAGGAAAAGAAAAAGCGAGAGCGCGCAGTTCCCCAGACCCTTCAGGTCGGCACAAAGAACGAGGCTGTCTACACCGCCATCTCATTGCCCGAGTCCTCGTCAGCCGTCATGCCAGGGACCGAAGACAGCGGGGAGTCCTCCTCGACAGCAGCAGCAGCCTTGCCCTTGACCTTCTTGGTCGGGGAACCCATGTCCTCGTCGTCAGCAGGCGAGGAACCACCACCAGCATCAGCAGCAATGGCGGCAGCGGCAGCAGCGGCAGCAGCGCGCTTCTTGCCGGCGGCGGAAGCGGGGGTGCCGGCGGCGGAGGCAGGCTTGCGGCCGCGCTTGGCCGGGGTGGCGGGGGCGGACTTGGGCTCGGCGCCGTTGCCGTCGCCGGTCTCGTCGTCGTTGTCGTCGTCATTGTCGTTCTTGGCGGCCTTGGCGGCGGCGGTCTTCTTGCCCTTGCGCGCGCTGCCGGGGGCGGCTGCCTCGCCCTCCTCGCTGAGGGTGATGCCGAATTTAATGCGCATTAGGCGCCAGCGCTCGTAGGCGCCTGTTTGGTGGGGGGAATGGGTTAGTGGTGGGTTCTGAGTGTGTGTGATGGGTGTGGAAAGATCGCGATTGCAAAGGAAGGAGCGGATAGAATGTAGGGTCAATCAGTTCCCGTCTGGTGCTCACGCGCGCTAATGCTGACGCCCATTTGGGCAACAATCTGCTGGAGGTGGGCACCGCACCGCGACCGCGTTGAGTCAAACCCAAGCGCCCAGAGAGATCTTCTCGAGGAAGTGAAATGTGAGGGTTCAAGGGTAAGATGTCTCCTAGAGGAGTACCGGAAAGTGAAGAGGGACGTATTGGGAGGTCGACTCGGCGGCAACGAGTACGATAAAACACACAGCACCAAACAAACTTACTCTTCTTGCCGGCCAAGCCCATGGTGGCGGCCAATTCCTCCCAGTTGACATCGGGCTTGGACTTGAGGTTGCCGATGAAGGCGAAGATGAACTTCACCTCGGAGGCGGTCGGAATGACGCCGTTGATGTTGTTGGCAGAGGCACCGGGCTGGCCCTCGCCAGCAGCGTCGGCAGCAGCCTTGGAGGCACGCGGCGGCATTGTGAAACGATCCTGCTTGCTCGTTAGCTAGGTATTCTGCCAAAGTCGGGATTTAGGCGTGAGGATGGATCCAGCGCAAGGTAAATTGGAGTGTCTTGCCATCCCACGGGAGGAATATGCGCTTGAGATGGATGGTTAAAATCATGAGGCCTCGCCACTTACGAGAGACTTATGCGAATTGTGGTGAACTAATTAGTATGAGTGTCAGCTGGGGGTTTAGGTCAAGGGGAAAAAGGTCAAAGTCGGTCGGTCGATAGGCCTGTTGAGCCACGATAGTGTTTCCAACGCGACCAGCTCGACAGAAGCAACGGAAGAAGTGGAGGATGAGATCTAACTTACTTCAGTTCCGACGATAAAGTCGTCGCGATCTCGATCTCGATTTCTGGGAGTTGTGGTGTTGTTTGAAGGCTTGAATGAAAGAAAAGACGGACCAGTGGTAGAGAAAGAAGTTGGAAAAAGGTGGAAGAGGTGGTGAGAGAGAAAAAGGTGGGAGCTAAATCGGTGGGAGAGTGGGGGGGGAAACCAGGAAGAAGGGAGCAGTGGGCACAACCCCGTTTTTTATCACAAGACGGGAAGGAGCCCAAGGATCTAGTTTTGTGAATAATGATTTATTTACGTTGGCGCCGAGAACATTAGTTGACGTGGAGGTACGAGGGCATCGGAGCTGGTTTGCCCTACACATGACGGAGGTGGCACAGGCCGGGAGCTCCTGGGTCTGGTGTGTGACTTTTCGGCGACGGTGAGGGTGAAGAAAGACCAAGAATCCTGCTGGCAGTATGAGAACCATACCTCTGAATGCTAGGTGTGATATCGCTCAAGAACAAAACCATAGTGAGGGACCATTTAGGTATCTAAAGAATAACTAGTTCAGGGATGATAACCACCACGTACGCCATTCAACACTACAAAACTCAACACCTCACCCAACATAACACAGCATTAAAACTGGCATGTCTGTAACAAGATGAACTTTGCTGTAGGTTCATCTTTGCTTTAACTTGTCAAATTGTTGACGTTGCCAGGAGCAATGCTTTGTTTACATGTATCAGGGGCTTCGTATAACCCTAACCCTTAACTCTCAGCCGGACCGCTTTGATCCATCATCCCCTTTTACATCACACAACCTGTTGTAAGCTCCACAAATGAAGGCTAAAGGGTGAAAGAGCTTCTTGGCTCTTAGAGAAAGAAACATCACTCATCAAGATCCAATTATGTCCAGGATGGTGTAGAAGGTGGGGTGAATCAGTGGTCATCATGTATCGCTTGGGTTCAGATAAAGCAGACAGACAAAGTAAGTTCTCTAGTATGGGCCATTAGAACTTACATCCCATGTATGGAGTGAACATGCCAGGTGAACATCACCTTCCCAGGCTTCCAGCTTAAACAACACTAGGTGGCCCACATCCACCGTGAACCAGCATTTCACTGTGGGAGTCCAAACTTCACACGGCATTCTGGAGTTCTTTTCTAGACTGACCTTGAGGATTTCTTGCTATTTGGATTTACCAACTGAACCCACCAAGTCCTAGCTTTATTTTCTTTTCCATCACTCGATACACTCAGACTCAGGTTGCTGGCTCCCATCAACAGCACCGGATCCGCCCTTCCGCCCCCCACACGCCTTGTGAGTGACCCAGTGCCTCTAACTCTACATGCTGGAGCTGCTATCCAGTAGTGCAACAAAGAAACGGCCTTTCCCATGACCCTAAAATGCGATGTTTCTGTGCTGGGGCAGCCAGCTGCAGGGCCTGACGCGTCATGGACGTGTCTCCCATTAAACACAGCTGACTGCCTTCCACCCTCCACAACCTCAAACTTTCTTCCTCCTCCTTCTAACCAGAGGCCAACTCAGGGAACATCACGACCTGCAAAAAATAACTCAAACAACGAAGCAATCAAGCAACCAAGCAATCATAAGGTAAGCATGACCCTCTTCTGCAGCCGAACACCATTCTGTCCAGGGTTACCATGTTTGCGCTTTTGGGCTCGATTCGATTTTCCAAAGTCGGTAGTCTGCTCTGCGCGCCCTTTGGAGCTGAGCACACGGGCAGACCGTACATTTGCGTCCTTCCCTGTCCTCCTCTTCCCCGTTTCCCCTCCCTCTCCCTCCATCTGCCCACAACCTCAAACCCAGACTCATTCGGTCACCCATCCTCCATCTACCTAATCTTGGTTGGCCGGCCTCCTTCATTTCTCAGTCTCTCTCCCGCAATCGCTCCCATCCTTTCAGACACCGACAGTCCAACTGACGTCCTTCATCTGGCAACTAGCAGACACATTCACAATCGAAAACCGCAAAAATGCCTGCCATCGATACTGAGGCACAGTTTAAGTTCCTGCTGTGCTGCATCAAGCACTCTGCAGCAGGCAAGGTAAGCAACGATTTGCCAGTTAGATTAGATTATGAGCCATGTCAACCGAGTGCCTCGCTAACCATATATATTTTGCGATCGCGCCTTAGGTCAACTTTGACGCTGTCGCCTCCGAGTTGAGCATTGTCAGCAAGGCTGCTGCGTAAGTCCTTTCACACGTCGACTCCATCATCAATCAATCAGCCAATGTCCCATCGCTAACCATCCATCATCGCTCCAACAGAGCCAAACGTTATGAGAGACTCCTGAAGGCTCACGGCATCAACCTATCTGCTCCGCGCAAATCGGCTGCCGCCGCGGCCGGTGTTGCCAATGACAGCGGCAGCGAGCCTCAGACTCCCGCTTCTAAGAAGCGCAAGCGTCTCGGTGCCGCCAAACAGGATGAGGACGAGGAGACCCCCACCAAGAAAGAGCGCGGTGTGAAGAAGGAACGCGGCGTCAAGAAGGAGGAGTCCGATGACGACGTTGTGATCAAGAACGAGCACGGTTCGTCTACCAGCACCAACCACAACACCGCCCGATTCTGGATACCATCACCTCCGTCACCACCACGCTATTTACTGCCGCAATGCTGACCTCGGGTTTTCCTCACAGATGATGATAACTACATCTCGGAGTAACTCCTCTTCTAACGCCAAGGGCAGCGATGCAATACCGTCATCGCACAATTTTGGGACCTGGGGCGTTCCTCGAATCTCGACACCATAACCTTCTAAGTTTTCTTGCGGGAGACACCATCTTATGCGATGAAGGTAGGCCGTTATTTGGAGCCCAGGTTCTATCATCTCCCATGGCATGCTAACTCTACCCCAGCTTAGCATAAACTGAGGGGAAGATATTCCGACTCGGGGAGATTGGATGGTGGCCCGTTTACTTCGCTACCTACCATGGAGTCTGGCTTTGGGGAGTTCTCTCCTCGGGCTGACAACGGAGCGCTGGTCGGTAGGAGTTCGCTGTCATTAATTAAAATGGAGAACGGGTGTTTCCTGACGTTTTTTCCCCTGCCTCTGATGCCGTGATGTTTTCCGCGCTTTCCCTATCCACACAGATGCCCGGATGGTGTTGACTCTCTATCACTTGATCTTTAGCCACGGTCCGTTACATGTTCCCCAGCAGTTCAGTTCCGGCATTATCTGGCGGGTAGCTACACCACCTCGAGTGGCAAAATCTAAGTTTTACATTAACTACGGTGCGAGGTAGATCATCGTAATGGGGTTCTGTAACTCCCATGAACTACTCGTCATCATTCTGCAGGCATTACTGAAACAGTAAGAGTGATGGCTATGTTGCTCAATCGCCAATACTCCTACGGTAGAGAAGCGGAAGCCGTGAGTGAATGTTGGGAGGGGTGGGTTGTTCGGAGGCTTTTCTGCATTATTCACAGGACAGGACAGCCTTGATTGAGTTTGTCTAGTGGGTGCCTAACCTAGTATCTGCTCGCCTCTACGGATGCTAGCCTTGTGGGTGCTAGGGCTACCGTATCTTCCATCTGTTGTTGTTTACAGGTAGGCTCATCACAAAGATCGTACACACAACCGTCATGTAAAACGTAAGGTACCTATCTAGCCTTTTCCATTCAATCTTCTCAGCAATATTTCACTCTCGCATTTCCTTCTACCTCCCCACCGATAACTTTCCCCAGCGTCCACAACATCCCTAACCACGCTCATCAACTTCCTCTCACAGCAAAATATCGACGGATCTCACTATAGCGAGTCGGGGGCAGGGGATTATAATCTTTCCCACATTATCTCGACCTGTTACTTCTTTCTTTTCTTACTTTCTGTTCTTTATCTTCTTCCTTCTTGCTGAAAACCACACCACCCGACCCCATCATGCCTCCGAAGAAGCGTATCGACAGAGGACGTGACGGGGGGAGGGGCAACCCCGCCGAGAGCAGCCGTCTGCGCGCCCGCGCCCGCGCCCCCTCGCCCGATCGCGCGGTAGACTCCCCGAGCGTGTACGGGTCCTCGCCCGAACCGGAGTCGGAGCCCGCCGCGCCCGCCACACCTCGCCCGGCCCCTGGCCCCCCAGCAGACGGTAGCGGTGCCGTCGACGGCGGTGCTAGTGCCACCCCTCGCAGCAACACACGGCACCAGGGAGGGGCGCGCGCGGCGAGGGCGTGGGAATTTACCGATGTCCCGCTCAGTCAAGACCAGCGAGCGAGGAACGGCCGCGTGGCCGGTCGCACCCTCATCTCCTGGGGTCGTAAGTCCTATCGCTCCTCGACGCCCATATGTTCATTTGCATTGTCCGCCGGGGCGGCTGTCAAGTGGCGGTGGTGCATTTTGAGTTGTTTTTTTCCGCAGCTAATACATATATCCATTACCAGGTCCACGGATGGCCGAGAAGCTGCTCTTGAACATGCAGTACGAGCTAGTACAGGCCGGGATGGAGATACCACTCGACAGAATTGCCCACCGGCTCCGCCCCGGGGCTTCCGGAAGCGCAGTATCGCAATTTCTGAGCCGGACCCGGGAGCGCCTCGTGGCAGAGGGTCACCTTGTGCCTCCCATTCCTGGTTCGGTTTTCAAGCGTGAAGTCCGCGGCTACGTTCGCCGTAACCCGGAGTCTGACGATCTCCGCTCAACCCGCCCAGTGACATTTGCTGAGCCATTGGAGGACAGGATGGTCAGCTTGCCAGACGCGGTGAACCTTTCCACAACCCGGCCTAAGCGAGCACGCGGCGCCACCCGGGATAGTGACGAGGAGGGAGCGGGAAAAGAAGAAGAGGACGACCTAGCCGGGTACCAAGCGCCATCCAGAAGAAGGCAGAAACCGTCACGCGGCCCCTCTGGCGCTGCACACAAAACTTCCCGCCCAAATAGCGCTCGATATACGGACGTGCAGACCGGGAGCCCATGGCGTGATCTCAACCAGTCTGATGAAGACGACGAACAGTCCGACGTGTTTATGGAGGACACCCCCAGTCGCGGCCCACGGGCCAACTCTACCAAACGCGCTCATCGGCACAGGGGGGCTCACGGGCCGATTCCTCGAGTCAGAGATCCAGAGTTTTGGCAAGCTAATGTGAGTTGCTCGGACACCCTCCTAGTATGCCGTCGAGGCAAAATTACACTTTCACGAGGAACTGACCGTCCACCTTCCTCCTAGACTGTCCGAAATAGACGAGATTACCCGCCGACAGAAGAGGAGCAGGAGGAGCAGGATGCCGCCTTCAACTGGCGACGCCCGTCCAATCCGCCTGTTTATCCCGGGGAAGCTCGCCCCCCGCCTCCTGGCCGTGATAACCAACCACCCCAGCAGATGGTGCCAGATCGCATCCCCGCTATGCGTGCTGCTCCTCCGCCTCCTGTTCTAGGTTACGATGGTTATCGTCCGTCTGAGAATACAGGACGGCTCCCATTCAACCCTGCATACGGTGCTGATCCCGGGTACACTTCCCAGGTGAATTATGGAGGCGCATATAATCACGGATATTGGGGCGGCCCCATGCCTCCTCACCCTGCCGCTACCAGCCCCCATCGCCCGGATTACCCCCAATATCCTTACCAACCGGCGCCGGCGCCTTACGAGCAACACGGGTATGGCAGCCGGGACCAACACTTCCAAGATCCGCGACACGACCAGCCACCCCACCAAAGGTTCTACGGAAACCCCGTGCACGACGAGTACGGCAGTTGGCCAAACCAACCGGCATACCCAAACCTCCAGGACAACAACCATGGGGATATCTACCGCCACCATGGAGGCGGTCCCCTTGGGACGGCTTTCAACCCACCCGCTCCGCGATATCCAACAGAGGAGAGCCACGGCGGGCCTCTTGGCGGCGGAGACCATAGGCAGCCCCCGCCGGCTGCCCATGGCCATCCCCCACGTCAAAACTTGCCTATCCTCCCGCCAACTGATGACGAGTCGGTCCAGGCCCAGGTTAACTCCGAGAGTGAATGGCAGCCGGATCCCGATTCTGAAGACGCTGGTGGCGATGACGGTGGCGATGGCGGTGGCGGTGGCTCCGCTAGAGCGGGTGGTGTGAAGTATAAGAGGGAGGATTCGGCGTAAGCGCCTCTGCCCCTCTCGTGTGTAAGAAGACGTTGTTGGCGGTTGCATACCCATCTTGGGTAGTGCAGTCTGGGTGCTTTGTATTGTGATCCTAGTTGGCTATAGATGGGGTTTGGGATTGTAGATGTAGCATGGATTATGCCAGAATGTACACTCTGACATCTCACATTTCTCACACTTTTAATTAACACTTTGACTCTCACCGTCGACTCAGTTCTTTGCCTCGGCATCCTCTAGGAAATCACCGTTCGAGGGCTCTTTGAGCCCCGAGCTGCCGACGCTGGTATCTGACATAGGTCAAGAATGTAAATTCCGAGAGGCAATGATGACTCAAATTGGAAGTCCTATCATGATCAACTGAGCGAGATATTGACAAAGCCTCGGTGGTGATGGGGTTGCTCCATGTTTCCGGGCCGGTGCAAGCCGATTTCAATCCCGATCAAGCCCCACGTAATGGGCGCCAAGATTGGAGGATGAGACTTGCCCTGTAAACTTCAACATATGTTTTGAGGGTTTTTGGATCCTGGATTTAGCTTGCTACACTCTTCAATATCGAGAGTATCCTCAACCAGTGCCTCACGACATATATTCACCCTCAAACTTTTTTCTTTTCCGCCCTGGTGAATGGCGGATGTGGAGTGCCGATGGTTCCAGAAACTCCGGTCGAGGTCATCCAGCTAGACGCTAGTACACCTTTGGTCTAGCGGCTAGGGAGCTCGGGCCAATGCATTGGTGAACCTTGGGGAATTTTTTTCGGCTCGATGGCCAGCATCAACACCGAATTTCTTCTCCATTTCTCTCTCCAACTTCCTTCTTCACCCCTTCCGAAGTTGACCGTGATACCCAGCCGAGCTTCTCTTAAATTTAGTTTCCTTGTATCTGCTTTAATACACCAGTCACAATGCAGCGTGCGTTGACAAGAGCCTCGGTCTCTTCCCCGCTTGGGGCCGCACGGCTCCGGTCGACCCAGCAGCTCCGCTTCGCTCACAAGGTACGTCATGAGGGGAGGATTGGCTCCGGCACTTGTTCCTAGAGGCACCTGAGCCATGATCCTTCACAAACAAACATAGGTTGGCAGATGCTAATGTTTGCTTCTCACAGGAGCTGAAGTTCGGTGTCGAGGGCCGCGCAGCTCTGCTCAACGGTGTCGAGACCCTTGCCAAGGCGGTGGCCACCACCCTCGGTCCCAAGGGTCGCAATGTCCTCATTGAGTCAAGCTTTGGCTCGCCCAAGATCACCAAGGGTCCGTTATCCCTGATATAGAACGGGATTATAGCAAACAACAAGACTAACAGAGCAATAGATGGTGTGACGGTCGCGAGGGCCATCTCCCTGAAGGACAAGTTCGAGAACCTCGGCGCTAAGCTCCTGGCCGACGTCGCGTCCAAGACGAACGAGGTTGCCGGTGACGGAACCACCACCGCCACCGTGCTCGCCCGCGCCATCTTCTCCGAGACCGTCAAGAACGTGGCTGCCGGCTGCAACCCCATGGATCTCCGCCGTGGTATCCAGGCCGCTGTTGAGTCCGTTGTCGAGTACCTCCAGAAGCACAAGCGCGACATCACCACCAGCGCTGAGATCGCTCAGGTTGCCACCATCAGTGCCAACGGGGATGAGCACATTGGCGCCTTGATCGCCAACGCCATGGAGAAGGTCGGCAAGGAGGGTGTCATCACCGTCAAGGAGGGCAAGACCATGCAGGACGAGCTCTCCGTCACCGAGGGTATGCGCTTCGACCGCGGCTTCGTCTCTCCCTACTTCATCACCGACGCCAAGTCCCAGAAGGTCGAGTTTGAGAAGCCTCTGATCCTCATGTCGGAGCAGAAGATCTCTGCCGCCGTGGACATCATCCCCGCCCTCGAGATCTCCAACAAGCTCCGCCGCCCTCTCGTCATCATTGCCGAGGACTTCGAGGGTGAGGCTCTTGCCGTCTGCATCCTCAACAAGCTCCGTGGCCAGCTCGAGGTCGCCGCCGTCAAGGCTCCCGGCTTCGGTGACAACCGCAAGTCCATCCTTGGCGATCTTGCCGTCCTGACCAACGGCACCGTCTTCACCAACGAGCTTGACGTCAAGCTCGAGAAGCTCACCCCTGACATGCTCGGCACCACCGGCTCCATCACCATCACCAAGGAGGACACCATCATCCTCAACGGCGAGGGTAGCAAGGACGCGATCGCTCAGCGCTGCGAGCAGATCCGCGGCGTCATGGCCGACCCCACCACCTCCGAGTACGAGAAGGAGAAGCTCCAGGAGCGTCTCGCCAAGCTTTCTGGTGGTGTCGCCGTCATCAAGGTCGGTGGCTCCTCCGAGGTCGAGGTGGGTGAGAAGAAGGACCGCTTCGTCGATGCCCTGAACGCCACCCGCGCCGCCGTCGAGGAGGGTATCCTCCCTGGTGGTGGTACCGCCCTCATCAAGGCCTCGTGCAACGCTCTCAACGACCTAAAGCCCGCCAACTTCGACCAGCAGCTCGGCGTTAGCATCGTCAAGAACGCGATCACCCGCCCGGCGCGGACGATTGTCGAGAACGCCGGCCTCGAAGGCTCTGTTGTTATCGGCAAGCTCAGCGACGAGTATGCTGCCGAGTTCAACAAGGGATTCAACAGCGCCAAGGGCGAGTACGTCGACATGATCGAGGCCGGTATTCTCGACCCCCTCAAGGTCGTCCGGACCGGTCTGATCGACGCCAGCGGTGTCGCCTCGCTCCTCGGCACCACCGAGGTGGCTATCGTCGAGGCGGCCGAGGACAAGCCCGTCGGCGGCGGCGGCATGCCCGGTGGCATGGGCGGCATGGGTGGCATGGGTGGCATGATGTAAAAATAGTGTAGCGTGTATTGTGCGACGGTTCTGGTCTTGATTTACGGCGACTCGGTTGGGGGCATCTTCGGTGTTTTCGGATTGTACAATGAGCCATGTCATCTCCTCTCTACGCTTCCTCTGTGTTCATAGCCGCATAAAACGGCAGTGGTGGCCCTGTATATTACAATCACACTGGGGTAGATAGAGCAGACGGAGAGAAAAACAAACCCTGAATGTAATTGATTACATGATGAAGCCTGGCGACCCGCGCGTGGCTGTTGATGGTGGTGAGTGCGTACTACCTAGGCAGAAATGTCGTAGCCTGGTTTGGATTAAGGAGGGACGAATCTGTCTGTATCTCACCTCCTACCCTTTGTTGACCCTCCGAAACTTTCGTAACTATCAGTTGCAACCTGACTGCGCAACCCAACGACGGGGGGTGGCTCTGTGGGTGGGAGGTGGGACAATAAATGGCTGGAAACAGGGGCCTGCATCCTTGAGCTCCCTGCTTTTAGTGTGGGCCACCCCGCGCCGAAATCACGTAAGCTTGGCAGCCCGCCGTCACCGCCGACAACGACCCCACCAAATGGAGCTGGTGTTGTTTTTCAGGCCCCCCCCCTCCCCCTCCATCCGTTTCATTATCGCTGGCTCACCTACCTCCACTGCCTCGTGTACTCGCACCTACCTTGCTTCTTATTTCCCCTTTTTAGCGGGTGAATTCCAATCCACTGCAGATACTCTTTCTGGCCCTTCGCTCGAGAAAGCCAATAATACCCCTTATCGTAAGTGCATCCACAAGCAGGCTGTGCTCGCCGAGCTCTCGTCTTGTTATTTAACCCCTCTTTCTCGCTCCTGCCCGGCGTCGCAAACCCAGACCCGCCCACAACATCCCCCCGTCTTGCGACAGCTCCGCCAACTTTCGCTAACCACCGCGATTGAGCACAGCTTGCCGTCCTCGATTCACACACTTTTATCCCCGTTATTTGACGATACAAGGCTAGCGCCTCAACATCCCACATCATGGTAATTATCACCCCGTCCTTCTTGTTCTCAGTGGCTTGGGCGTGCTGACCTTGTGCTTGCGCAGTCTCAATCCGGGTTAGTAACCCCGACTCTCCACACCGACAACTCTGATACTATTCCTTCTTCACGGCCAGCGAACGTCGGGCCCATTAGTCTTATGGCAGATGCCGGGGCAGGACGCATGGCCGCTGTTAGAGGCGCACACCCACACAGCTCGAGCTAACCCACGGATTCTAGAGCGACCGTCAGCCCCGACTGCGTAACGGCTTACAACGAGCTCAAGCTCAACAAGAAGTACAAGTACATCATCTTCAAGCTGTCCGACGACAACAAGGAGATTGTCGTCGAGAGCACCAGCGAAGACGCCCCTGAGTACGACAACTTCCGCGAGAAGCTCATCAACGCCCAGTCCAAGACCAAGTCTGTATGTAGGCCCCGTTCACTCAATGGATGGGCGGTAGCTAGACGGATGGCTTGTTTGCTATCGAGCTGACACAGCGGCTAACTTGGTCTTCCAGGGTGCCGTGGGCAAGGGCCCCCGTTACGCCGTCTACGATGTTCAGTACGACCTCGCATCTGGCGAGGGCACCCGGTAAGCCCCTTCCGAACGGGCACGGCGCCAGGTGGCAAGACTGACGGATGCGCAGGAACAAGATCACTTTCATCGCCTGGTCGCCCGATGACGCCGGTATTATGGTTCGTCGACCCCCATCGCACAACTCTAAATTGCCACTGACACTCGGTACCAGCCCAAGATGGTCTACGCCTCCTCCAAGGACGCCCTTAAGCGCGCCCTGACCGGCCTGGCCGTTGAGATTCAGGCCAACGACAGCGACGACATCGAGTGGGACTCGTTGGTGAAGACGGTCAGCAAGGGCACTGCCGCCTAAAAACGGGAAGCATGGTCTTTTTGGGTCCTGGTGTCTCATTCTCTAGTTGGCTTGGTCGGGCGAGCGTTGTTCCGGTAATTACGGCGCACTCCTCGTCTTTTGGGCAGTGTGCGTGGCCTATGTTGCTTGCGTGCTTGCGTGCGATGTGGGAAAGTAAAGGCATGACATGTTGCTGCTGATCAGCGGGAAAAGAGAGTTGATGTTCACGACGGCAAAAAGCGATCGGCCGAGGGTGCGCCCGCCCGGCATCGGAATGTTTTGTGCATTGGTCTGACGTACCGTAATCGCCCTGCGTGGGGGAAACGGGCATGTCTACGGAGTGGGAGAAGCTACACGTGGGAGCTGATAGCAATGAATACACCGCCGAGGCGGCCTCATAAAACACACCTCCCTACTCCTAATCTCCGTTCCCCGTCACCAACCCATCATCACCACCACATCCTATGACCTCCCCTCCCAAGCACCCCTAAACACCCCCAAAGCATCCCCAGCAACCCCCTCATCCCGCACCCTCTGCTGCAAATACCCCTTCAAATCCTCCCAAAACGCCTCCGTCTTCAGCACCCCCTCCCCACTCAACCCCTGCGCAACCGGCGCCGCGACCGCAGCCTCCCCCTCCCCTCCCACCTCACCAGCACCACTACCAGCACCGGCAGCAGCAGCACCATCCACCTTCTTCCCACCCACAGCCCCCCCAACCCCCTTAAAAAACGCCGCCCCTCCCCCAAGCACCATCACCCCCAACTCCACCCCCCCAACACCCCCAGAAGAAGAAGAAGAAGAAACAAGCTCCTTCAGCACTTTGCTATCCCCCACCGGCTTCTTGCCCACCAACAATTTGATCTTGTCCAGCGGGATCCCCGTCTCGGCCACCACACGCTCTTTGATCTCGGCGAGCGAGGTGGTTAGGGCGACGGCGGGCAGGGTGAGCTCGAAGGGGGGGTTGCGGGCCGAGCGCAGGGTTACGGAGGTGGCGGGGGCGGCGCCGGGGTTTTGTTTCGTGGTTGTGGTGCCGGTGGTGGTGGTGGAGGAGGGTTGGTCGGAGGGGGTGGTTGTGGTTGCTGGGGGGGGTTTGGAGAAGGGTTTTTGGGAGGCGTGGCGCGGGAGGGTGTACTGTGTGGTGGGTGGTGAGGAGGTTAGTTTGGTTGTTTTGGGGGTTGGTGGTTGTGTGTGTTGTTTGAAAGGGTGGGAGGGTGGAGGGGGGGAAAGGGGGACAAACAGGTGAATGGCTTGGGTAGGTACGCGGGTCCTCGATGTGGTCGGGCGAGATCTTGGGCGGTCGGCCGTCGAGGAGGGAGAGGAAGGTTTTGGCGAAGAGGATTTCGGTTGCCATTTTTGCGGTTCTTTGTCTTTTCTCTTCTTGTGGTGTTGCTCTGGGGTGGGATTGTCGGAAGAAGGAGAGACGGTTACGAAGTCGGTCCTCAGCTTGGTCGTGATGCCAAGTTGGAGGTGAGGCGGGACTTGCTCGGTGCCGTAGTGGGTGGGGGTGGGGTGCGCTTATCTTATCGCACCACGAAGAGCAGCAAACACCAGCCTCGTTCCTACACAGTATCTACCACCCTACTTGATCACCGGACTTAAAGTTCAATTCATTTGTTCTTTAATTGCATCGGATCGTGGTTTCCAACCGGCAATTGAAACGTCAGAAATTGTACTCAAGCAGGACTTCACCTCTGCACATGTTTGATATGATGGCGGCTGGGAAGATCTCGATATTCCTTCGTGCTTGCTGTGACTTGAACTTGTGAGCTCTCGGGACCCCGTGTTGACCGACCTATTCGTTTAAAACAATACACGGCCCGGGATTCATGCCCCTCGCAGGACTAGCTCTCGCCAGTCACCGGGTAGCAAGAATATTGAACAGCACAGTAGACAAATGGAGAGGAGAACAGAAGCATATTAGATTAAGCAAGCTATTCGGAAGCCGAGCATGGTCAGGACTGACCCATCTATCTGTCGTTACTCATCTATCGTCTAAAGTCGTCATTCATCATGTCTCATTTCCCCCGAGTCATCGGCCATGCCTTGCTTGTCGTGCTGCTGTGGTCGCGGCAAGGCGGCCAAAAAGGAAAAAAAAACCAAACAGAACCGTTCCCCGTGCTCTGATTTCTGTCAAGGCCCCCGGGAGGAGTCCCGGAATCCTTGTTCAGATCAGGCAATCCATCCATAATAAAACACCGTATTTTGGTCCGCCCAACCAGGCCAGTCGTCCCAAGTCGTAGCATATGTCGTGATGTTGCTGTTGAAACTCCAAAAGTATAACGCCTCTCACTTCCCGATTGTGATGGCGCCCTTGGTATACAATCCCCTCAGCCATATCCTTCTCTGAGCACCGGCGCCTCAGTTATCGCTGACGATGTCGCGAATGGCCCACTTCCAGGCATCGCCGCGGTCAGCCTGGTGGTTGATCCAGAGATGGCACTTCTTCCTCCACCGGTCTTCTTCCTCGCGCTGCCGGCGCACAAACTCGGGCCCGACGTCAAACTCCTCGCCCACCGGCCACTCGTGGTTGACGTCGCTGACGCGCGGGTTGCCGCCGTCGCTGGACGCCATGGTGCGCTCCTCGAGGTCGGGGATATCCCTGAACACGTCCTCGTCATCGTCAAAGGCGTTGAACCCGTCGAGCGTGTCGCTCTTTTCTGATTTGCTCTGTGGAGCCAGCTTCAGCCAGCACATGTTTTGCGGGTCAAAGACCATGCCGCCGACGACTTGCACCCCTTTGGTGGCACCGATGTTGGTGATCAAGGCTGGACGCGGCGTGGCGGTCTCCCGCTCGCGAACAATTGGCTGAGGCACAGATGTGATAGACGGAGAGGAGTTTGGAATCTCAAACGCATTAAGCGCGTTGTCATTGCCCTCCCATTGGAAAGTCTCTGGGTTGTACCACATGCCCTTGACCACTACAACGTGTTAACAATGCTACATACGCAACTAGGAGTAAAAAGGGACAACGAACTCTTTGGGTCTTTTGGCGGGTTGAGATTCGATATTAGGTGCGGTTTAGATTGCGGCGATCGCCGCATTTTCCTGCCCTTGGCGGTAGGTAGCGTGAATTGGGGCTGGGCATTGAAGTTGTTCTTGACGGAGAGCTGAGCAATGCGTTGAGTGGTGAGCGGTGCAATCATGCCCGCTGGGTTGCGCTGCGCAAGACTCGTCTCCCGTGCGATCCGGCTTGCGGTAGTATCGCGAGCAAAACTCGGCACGTTATCGACGCGTGAGGGGTATGGAGCGCGAGGGGACGGGGTGATATTACGGTCGGGCAAAATGCTTTGATACCCCCTGCTCTTCGTCTGTGACTTGGCGCTGAGTGGCTGCTTGAGGAACTTGGATTCTGCGTTGGTCGAGGTGGGCAGATCATCGAAGGCATCCAGTTCATGGCCGTCGCCAAAGTTTCGTGCCCGTTTAGGCATGCTGAGCCTGCCCCAAGCACCTTCTGGAGCAGCTTTCTCTGCCGAGCGGAACAGGCGCGGACTAGGCGACCGTATCGTCGACCGAGAGACTGCCCTTGAGTTAGGCCGGTATTCAATGCTTGTTTCCGAATCGTGACGACGGAAACTTCGTGTCTTGGCGTTGACATTGTATGACTGAGTTGCCGACGCGCCGGCAGGCAGGAATGGCACAGGAGCTTTGCGGGCCAAAGCAGCGGCGCTTTCAGAGGTCCGCATGCGCTCAACGGGGGTCTTGGGTCGCAGCGTGGGCGGACCTCGGGTTGTTTGTTCAGTTCGCGAGGGCGGCCGTTCGTACGCACGAGTGGGCGGGGGCCTTGCAGGGGACTGAGTCGCGCGCATTGCGGGCAACGAGCGCTTCAGGCGGAGCAGCTGCGTGTTTGTGGTGGTTGGGTCGTTTCTCAGCGACACCTGCGATGTCCTTTGGCCAAGTTCCCTCCGTCGCGGCGTTGTTGACGTTACAGTCTGCCCAGATGAGGGTGTCGTTGGGGCCGTAGCGCTACCAATACTTGTTACAGAAGATTGCGCTGAATGCCCTCCCATGCGAGACAAAGAGCGCCTCGAATGGGCGCGCTGGATTGGGCCACCGCTTTCAGAAACAGGTTCCAGCGAGGATTGGGTATGCGATCGCTCGTGGCTAACCATCGGCCCCATAGGCCGCGGGAGTCGGGATGCAGTGACGGGTTTGTTCGTGAACTTGAGCGCAACCGACGCCTTGGGTCGTGAAGGGCTGGTGGGTCTGGTGGCCTTGACCTGAATGTTGCGGTTGAGTGTCAACTTTCTCGAGTCGAAAACTTCTCCGTCACCGATATCGAGACCAGCGAGGAAGTCTTCCTTTTCATCCTTCTCGGATTTCCGCCTGGTGGGTTCCTCCCTGGCGGGTTCCTCATGGATGGTTTCTTCCGGGATTCGCGCGGGAGAGCGGCTCTTGCGGCGGCGTTTCAACCTCTCCCCGAGATCAAGTGGCCCGTTTGGAATGATCAAGCCGTCAAATGCCTCGTCCTCGCTTTCCATGATCGAGCTCGAAATACTGGGACTGAAAGCGGAGACAGACGAACTGCGGGTGGATTGAGCATCCCGTCGAGTACCGCCGAACCTGGTCCCGAGGCTGCCTTCGGCCCAGTCGAGGTCTTCTAGGATGTTGGTGAGGGTTGGAGTCTTCGGTATCTCCCTCTTGGACGAAAGTTTCAGCTTGCCATCCTCCGGGAGCTCGAAATCATCCTCAAAGTCGTCATCACCGCCAAGGATTCCGCCGGTGGATTTCTGAGGAGTCGGGGGCGTGATTAAAGATAGAGGTTTCGGTGCGCTACGTTTCTTGGACACCTTGATGGTGTCACCGCCATCTCCAAAAAAGTCGTCATCGTCATCGGCGTCTCGAAACTTCTCTAGGTCAATAAAGCTCGATGAGGTCGATTTTGTGTCCTTGGGCTCCTCCTGCATCATTATGGGCAACTCTCTTGGCGGTTTTGATGGGCTCGGCTGGGCCGAGTTGCTGACCTGGCGCAGAACTTCCGGAAAGTGAGCGCTGTCCCTGGATTTGATTTGCAACGCCTGTCCAGCATCGGGAAACTCAAGGTCATCCACCCAGTCCTCTTGGATTATCTTCTTGATCTTCCTGCCGCCAAGTCGCTTGATTGTGCCTCCCATAAGAGCCGAGGGTGGGACGTTTTTGGGGAGCGGGATGCCGGCCTTTGCGGCCGCAGCGATCGCATCGAGAGTCGATTTCTCGTCATTGTCTGGCAAATGAACTTGCTTCTCCTCCTCCCCGTGAATTGATTCGAAATCGGATCGGAACGAGGACGCCGAATCGCGGCGGTTAGATGAGACGTTGACCGAGTTTGAAATGGAAGGAAAACCGATATCGTCCCCGTCCATAATAAAGTCCTCATCGTCCCAGTTCTCTATCTGATCCTCTACGGGCGGACGCGCCTTCAGGCGCAACGTGGAGGAGTCCATGGCTGACTCTCCAAGAAAAATGCGGGTTTATGCGCGAGTGATAGAATAGCGGCTCCTTGGTCGCGGCGAGCGGCGAGCGTACCGGAGCACACTGCAACGTGTAGCGCGGGGCGTTGTGATCAGTGATGAGGATTCATAGTCGACAGCACTGAGCCTCTGGCCACCAATCGCCAACAGTTGACTGATCAATTCGGTTCGGGACGAAGAGCGCAAAGGTCGGATTGGGTTGCGGTTGTGGTACGGAGGTGTGATACCAAGCAAGTCGAGTTCTGCCCAATTATGCGATGTCGGGTCGATGGGACGAACGTGCGGAGTTGAGGGGTGCTGTGCAGATAGTTTGCATGGGAAATCGGGATGAAGCGGGTAGCGCGAGCTCGAGGTATCGAAGTCCTTCAGGGTGGGTCGACAAGAAGGATAATTGGAAGAATGCAGCAATATCTGGTGTCGTGTGTGTTGTCCCGGCGGAGGCGCGGAGGCGACGTGGGCTTGCGAAATTGAAATGGCGGGACTGTCAAATCGAGGTCTGTGGCTGGAAAAGTCGGGAGAGGGATGCAGAAAGCAGGCGAAGGGGGGCCAAGCTGCACCCGAGAGACAAAGGTGGAGCCACTATTGGGCGGGCTAACGAAGCCGGATTCCCCACGACCCCACTCTCCCCAGAATATTCGCTCGCACACACTCGTGAGACAGGCACGGTTCCGGTTCGAGAGCAAGCCTTGACAACCGATGATAAAACACTGCAGCAGCACATGAAGGCTGACTGAGTCAGAAAAATAATGTTTGCTTAAACCCTGCAGTCGTTACGTTCACGCGTGTTTCCTAGGGAACGATAAGATGCAGGTACCAAATCTTTCGTGGATGCACCCCATGACCCTAAAGCTGGCTCGTGCAGGGTCACCTCAGTTACCAGCCGTTGTCGCCACCTGGTTCGTCCAGCCCTGACGGGGAGGGAGCGCGTTCATGACGCGAAACGCGCCTCCCCACCTTCCCCCTAACTAAGCATCGAGTGGTCTTAGCATGAACATTTGCTTCATTCCCTCCCTCCCTACCCACGAGTTGAGCCTGTTGCCCGCTTCCAGGTCGACTCCCGTCCCCCTATGTTGGAGCTTGACGGAATATTAGAGCCAGCGGCATGAAAGCATCAAACTCCGGTGTCACATATAAATCGCGAGGTCAGCTCTCGCACATCGGTTCGAGGACGATAACATCGTGGGACCACGGCGGCGCCACAATTGGGGATAAACCAACTCCTGGCCTCATGGCGAAAACTATCCATTCTCGCCCCGCTCAAAGTGTCATTTGCATCACACGTTGTGCAGTTATGTTGAAAGCTTGAAAATCGAGAGGGTGGTTTGGGCGTTCTGTGTCTTTGCTCTGTGCTTCTGAGTCCCAGGGTTGCCTAAAGTTGAGCCCACCTGCTGCCTGCGACTTGCAGGTCTGAGCTCAACAACACATCCCGATTTTCCCACCCTCCACAAAATTCAGGGCTTCGCCATCTCTCTTCAACTTGAATAGATAACTTGGGGCAAGAACGGATGAAACGAAAATAGAAGCTTTGCATTGGCCTTTAAACAACACTTTCCCAAACTCCCGCGTCCCCGCTCTACGGTTGATCCTCCCCCACCAAGCTTTTCGGCGCCGTTGTACAAGAATTAAAGGCGTGAAACGAATCAAACATCTGATTACTTCGGAGCATTAAGACGCTCTCCTTCAAATCTCACAGCCTGTTTCACCCCAGCGGCGCCGCTCCCATCAACCACCTGCAAGGCCGCAAAATACGGAACAGTATATTCCGCCGGACCACCAATCTCCGTCCCGTCCCGGCCGCGGGATCCGATCCATCCACCTAGGCAGACCATGGTGTCCTCTCACATCATCCGCGTCCCTCGGACCGACGAAGAGGGCGCGTTTGTTCTGGGCGAGGTAACGCCCTCGGGATCCAAGCCGCTGAACATCAAGTTTGTCGCCACCGAGGGAGAGGAACCTTACGTGGTCAAGTGTGAGTCCCTCTTTCCGAAACTAGCAGGCCAGTTATAGGCCATCTATGTATAGACCAATCTCTTGGTTGTTCAATAAAGCTGATCATGCACCGTAGTAAGGCACGACCGGGTTGGTGAGCTGAGGGTTCCTAGTGGTCCTTGTTCGTCGGAGGAATGGGAGAGCATCCTGAAGGCTTTGCTTCTCGGCGCTGAGCCGATTGAGGGGATCGAGGCGGGCGCGGAGGCTAATGTGGGCAAGTCGATTACGATCACCATCAGGCGGCGGGTTGCAGGCATCAACGTAAGTCTTTACACGTATCATCAAAGACTGGACACGAAGCTAACAGTCTTCTCCAGCAACGCCTTGGCGCTCTGACACTCAACCACAAAGCGGATGAAGCTATACAACTGTTTGACTGGTGTGGCGGCGCGGCTGTGGAAAGGGAGAAGTTCCACGAGACAGTAGTCGCTGAGAAGGCCAAAGTATCCGACCTCGAAGCCCGCATCACCGAACTGAGGAACCAGCTGGACGAGCTTACGGAGTCCAAGAAAGCTAGGGAGGCTGAGATGCTGGAAAAGTTCTGCGGACTCCTCAACGAAAAGAAGGTCAAGATCCGCGAGCAACAACGTCTTCTCAGCACCGCCCAAGTCGACCATTCGAAGCTTGACGCGGCGCGCGCCTACCAAGCCACGCGTCCTGACATCACACAAGACGGCAAACCGGCCGAGTCCCGGCGTGCGAAGCGCAAAGCGCTCGAGGATGCTTCCGGGGGCGGATCATCTTCCGATTCAGATGATGGGTTCGAAAAGGTGGCGCCCAGCACTGGTGTCGAGGAGATGGATGTCGATTCGAAGGAGCCATCACCACGGCAGGAGATCAAGGAAAGTCCCGAGTCGGAGGACCAGGAGACCACCGATGGCGAGGCAACCGAGACCGGGAGCGAGGCGGACGAAGAAGAGGCAGCCCCGGCGCCGTCACCACCGCCTAAGCCTCGCCAGCAACGGAAGCCGACAGCTAAGACCAGTGCAGCAGCAACCAGCAAGGCAGGGAAAGGTAAGAACGTCGCGATACACCCCCCGAAGAGACCGGTCAGGAAGACCAAGGCTGCTACCCCGCCGCCGGCCGAGGGCAGCGAAACAGAATCAGACGATGAGTTGTAAGCGGCGCAACGAACTACCTGGTATGGACCTTGGGTAGGACAGACGCGTCTAAACTTTAGCAACCCCTGTATTTCAATTCCTAAACATGAATCGCAACAAGTAACTAGCGCCTATCAAACATCTATCCTAAAGTCTTCCGCAGGGTGACAAAAGAACAACAAAGAAAACATACAACACCGGGGATTCGCTGGTCACCGACCCAACTACTAATCCGGCCCTTGCGAGGTTAACGAGGGGGGTCGGAGCGGACGGGATCCCGTGTTTGCCTATGTGCCCTGGTCGTAGGTTGTAAAGTATACCGGATTTGGAAGCCTTGGAGTTGGCATCTAACACCGTGTTAGATGCCATACCATTTTCTAATTCCCGGGCCTAGATAAGGGGGTTACCTCCGGCGGTCAGCAACTTCAATTAGATCTCAGTTGCCTCCCAAGCAAATGGAAGCATGGAAGCCCAACAAAGCCCTTCTTCCCGTCCCAGCCTGCCCCTCCAAGTATCGTCTCCCATATTGCCACCAGGCGCGATAGCAATGCCTCCTGCTCATCGTCGGGTCTCGCCCTCGCAACCAGCCGAGGAGCGCAACGAGCTACCTGTCGCGGGAAGTGGTTACGCGCACGAAAGATTTTGGAGAAATAAACCCAAAGCCAGCAAGGCACGCCCAGTTCTTCTCTCATTTGACGAGCTTCCGGAATGGCAACAGGATAGCGGGTACATTCGGCATGGCTATCGCCCAATCTCAGGCTCGGCGCAGGTCTCATTCAGCAGTTGGTCCTATCTTCACAACGAGTCGGTAAACATATATTCCCACTTGATACCAGGGATCGCCTTTCTGCTCGGCGAGTGGTATATCCAACAGTATCTTGCAAGTAGATACTCCACGGTCACGGCCACTGATTACCTCATCTTCACCTTCTTCCTCTTGACTGCCGTTATCTGCTTGGGGCTGTCAACGATATACCACACCTTGCTGAACCACTCCCACAAGGTGGAACAACTCTGTCTACAGCTTGATCTGGTGGGCATAGCCTTCTTGACAGTGGGCGATTTCATCTCGGGAATACGCATGGTCTTCTACTGCGAATCTCTGCAACGCAACATCTACTGGTCTATGGTGAGTCGATGTCCGTGTGCCCCATACACTTGTATCTTGTATCTGACAGTTACTTTGGTTGGCAGACTGGAATTCTCGGTGCGCTTACCATCGGAATCATGGTCAGTCCGAGATTCCAGGGTCGCGAGTTCCGCATTTTCCGAACACTCACGTTCGTGGGGCTTGGTACGTCTGGCTTTGCACCATTGATACATGGAATCACGATGTTCGGCTGGTCGCAAATGGTTAAGCAATCCGGAATGCCCTACTATCTGGTCGAAGGGGGCTTCCTTCTGGCTGGAACCTTTTTTTACGCTGTAAGACTCCAGATTTCCCGAGGTCGCACACTTGATGGCAACATAACTGATCCTGACTCCTGCATTTCCCTAGACCAAGTTTCCCGAGAGTCGATATCCAGGCAAATTCGATATATGGGGCTCCTCCCATCAACTATTTCACATCATGGTGGTGCTCGCCACTGTGACTCAATTGGTTGGATTATTGCAGGCCTTTGACTATAATTACTTCCACCGAATATGCTCGTCTCTCTAAGGCACGGCCGTTATCCGACTGCTTGTATCCAACCCGCGCACCAGCAACTTAACGACGATCATCCTCAGCAAACTCCTTCCCCCAAAACCCCCTAAAATGCTTCTCCCTCCCCTTCTCCGCAATCTCCCCCACCTCCTTGGGCGTCAGCTTAAAGAGCGGCAGCCTCTGCATCCAAGTCCTCAACCGCTCCTCGTTGGAGCTCGTGGTGATGGCAACAATCCCCTGATCAAGACACCACCTGAGCGCAACCTCCCCGGGGGTGACACCATACTTTTCCGCGAGGCGCTCATACACGGGATCAACAGGGCCCGGCGCGGCCTTGGTCACGGCCGTCAGGGGCGAGTACGCCTGGAGGGCGATGCCCTTGTCGCGGTGGTAGGCCAGCAGGCCGTCCGGGTCGTGCTGCAGGTAGGGGTGGTACTCGATCTGGTTGACGGCCGGCGGACCCGCACTACCGGGCGTCTGCAGGGTGGCCTCGAGGTGCTCGCGCAGGTAGTTGGAGACGCCGACGGAGCGGGCGCGGCCCGACGCCCGCACGGCCTCCATCTCGGCCCACTTCTGCTGCAGCTCGGCCGGCGAGCGCGCCCAGAAGGGGCTGTGGATCAGGTACAGGTCCACGTAGTCGACGCCGAGCTTGGCGAGTGACCGCGCGAAGGCCGTTTCGACCGTCTCGCCCGCCCGGCAGGATGTTTTGGTCGTGATGAAGAGCTTGGACCGGTCCACGCCCGAGCGCGCGATGGCGGCGCCGAGCTCGGCTTCGTTGCCGTAGGCTAGAAGGCGGAGGAGGAGGGTTTGGGTTAGGATGGGGGTGGTAAGGGGGGGAAGGGGGAGGCATACCCTCGGCGCCGTCGAGGTGGTAGTAGCCATTTTTGATGGCGGTCACGGTGTCGTTGATGATGTTCTCGTCGAGTTTGTCTGCGTTGCCCCGTTTGAATCTGGCTGTCCCGAGACCGTAGCCGAGCTTAGACCGGCGGTGTAAACAGGGTGTGCCGTACACTGAGGGCTATTCCCATGCTACTTACCATGGGGATTTCATGTCCGTCGTTCAGCTTTAGGAAGGGGATGTACTCGGTCTGCTTGGGAGCGGTCCCCGAAGCATCGGCGTGGAACGTGGATGTGTCCGAATTCATTTTGACAAGTTTTGAAAGAGAGTAATACTATGTAAAATCGCTGCTGGCGAAGACTAACGGCCAATCCGTGATTTAGTTATTCAAATATGCCATCTACAAAAGTAGGGAGTCTAGCACCGAGCTCGACCTACACCTACACAGTAGAAAGCCGTGCCCCCCCCAATGGTTCATGCCGCCGGTGCGGGGCACTCGGCACCGACGCCGACTTGGAGATTGCGGGGTTTGAAGCACGAGCTTTGAAGTGCCGCCTCATAAATGCGATCTATGACGCCATAACGAAGAATTGTGTACTCTGTACGTACAAGTACCTACCTAGGTACCTATCTATGGACCTTACACAATACTGTGTAGGTTCAGGAGCTCAGTGCTCAGGTCCACCTGAGGACCTCCTGCCGCGGGGCCACTAAAAGTCGCCGCAGAAACGCGACAACAGATTACATGCTAAGAATACAGGGGCAATGACGCCGCAATGCAGATCCCTGGAGACATTGCCCGCTTGTTCCATCGCCTCGGGGCGCCACCCGGACCTGAGCATCCGGCGGGCCTGCCGTTTAACTGTGTAAGGTAGGTCGATGTAATCTGGGTTGGTTGCTCATTCCTTCTACAAAACCACTCACTCACTGACTGACTTGCCAAATGGTCAGACAAGACTTTATGAGCACATACGCCAAAGCTTGCCATTAATATAATAAATATCGCATATCGCAGAGGCGCGGACGCAGTATTTAGGATCTCTGATACTCCCCATAACTATTTTAGCTCCGAACCCACGCCGTCATCTCAACTGCCCGCTGCAAGCCGAGCGAGCCCGGAACGGAATCCGCACCGCAACCGGGACCCTCGGCATTATCAGCTGGAGACTTTACACAAGACAACCCCATGCGTTTCCAGCCCGCTGCTCGCTGTCTAGCAGTCGCGCAACAGTTTCGAGGCCCCTGGAGCCGATCCTACTCAGCATTCACATTCACCAACCCCAACGCCATGGCCGCACCCAACAGTTCCTCGTCGTCGACTCAAAGAGATAGCGAGGGAGTCACACTTTCCGCGCTTCCCAAATCATGGCACTTCACCTCAGCGCTTCCTGCAGATCAGCTCTTCCCGACCCCGGCCGACAGCCACAAGGCATCGCGCGAGGATCTCGGCCCCCGCCAGGTGCGCGGTGCTCTGTTCACATGGGTACGCCCAGAGACCCAGAAGGAGCCAGAGCTACTGGCCGTATCCCCAGCAGCCATGCGCGACCTGGGGCTGGCGCAGTCGGAGGCAGAGACGGAGGAGTTCAAGGAGACGGTAGTCGGCAACAAGATCCTAGGCTGGGACTCTGAGACCCTTTCAGGGCCCGGCTACCCCTGGGCGCAGTGCTACGGCGGGTTCCAGTTCGGCGACTGGGCAGGCCAGCTCGGCGACGGGCGAGCCATCAGTCTCTTTGAGTCGACAAACCCGCGCTCGGGCGTACGCTACGAAGTGCAGCTCAAGGGCGCCGGCATGACGCCCTACAGCCGCTTTGCCGACGGCAAGGCCGTCCTGCGCAGCAGCATCCGCGAGTTCGTCGTCAGCGAGGCCCTGAACGCTCTCAAAATCCCCACAACAAGGGCCCTCGCCATCAGCTTGCTGCCCCATAGCAAAGTCAGGCGGGAGCGTCTCGAACCGGGGGCCATCGTTGTCCGCTTCGCCGAGAGCTGGCTGCGCTTCGGCACCTTCGACCTCCTCCGCGCGCGCGGCGACCGGGACCTCATCCGGCGCCTCGCCACCTACGTGGCGGAGGACGTCTTCAGCGGGTGGGAGAACCTGCCCGGCCGGCTCGACGACCCGGACGACCCATCCGAAACCTCCGTCCCGCAGCGCAACATTCCTCGGGACACGATCCAAGGCCCGCCGGGATCCGAAGAGAACCGGTTCGCGCGGCTGTACCGCGAGATCGTGCGGCGCAACGCGCTGACCGTGGCCAAGTGGCAGGTGTACGGCTTCATGAACGGGGTGCTCAACACGGACAACACATCCCTCTTCGGCCTATCAATGGACTACGGCCCCTTCGCCTTCATGGACAACTTCGACCCGGCGTACACGCCCAACCACGACGACTACCTCCTACGCTACAGCTACCGCAACCAGCCGACCATCATCTGGTGGAACCTCGTGCGCCTAGGCGAAAGCCTGGGCGAGCTCCTCGGCTCGGGAACAACCGTCGACGACCCCACCGTCATCAGCACCGGCCCGACCGAAACCACCGCCCCTTCCATCGTGACCCTCGCAGAAAAGCTCATCAACCAAGCCGGCGCCGAATACAAAGCCGTCTTCCTCGCCGAATACAAACGCCTCTTCACCGCCCGGCTCGGCCTCAAAACCCAACAACCCACCGATTTCGACACCCTCTTCTCCCCCCTCCTCGACACGCTCGAAGCCCTGGAACTCGACTACGCGCTCTTCTTCCGGCGGCTGTCCAGCCTGCCCATCTCGTCCCTGGGCACGCCGGCCGCGCGGCTCGAGCGCGCGGCGCGCTTCTTCGACCGCGACGGCACCATCACGGGCCTGGGCGGGGACGCGGGCGCCGGCCGGCAGCGCGTGGCCGACTGGCTGGCGGCGTGGCGCGGGCGCGTCGTGCAGGACTGGGGCACGCTCGAGGACTGGGGTTCCAGCACCCCGGCGGGTGCTGGGACTGAGGCTGGCGTGGATGGGGGGCGGAACGGGAGCGGGGCCGTGTCGGACAAGGCGGACGCGGAGCGGATGGCGGCTATGAAGAGGGTGAATCCCAACTTTGTGCCGCGCGGGTGGATTTTGGATGAGGTGATTCGGCGGGTGGAGAAGGGAGGGGAGAGGGAGGTGTTGAAGAGGGTCATGCACATGGCGCTGCATCCGTTTGAGGATAGCTGGGCCGGGAGGGAGTTCGATGGCGCGGTGTATGAGGGCGATAAGGAAGAGGAGGTGCGGTGGACAGGTGATGTGCCCAAGACCGAGAGGGCGATGCAGTGTAGCTGCAGCTCGTGATTCTTCCGTAAGGGGCAAAGGACCAGCGTTTGGTGTATGTTTGATACGATTTCAACGAACGTTTCTCTTCTCTTCCATTGACGGTCTGGCTGGTTCACATGCCGCGCCATCATCACGCAAGTTACGACAAACAAAGAATAATAATCATCGGTCGATAAACGAGAGACTATGAGCGAGAAACTATCCGACTACATGGACAAGGCCAGGTAATCCATAGCGGGCCATGCATCTTCAGCGAACGATGATCTTCCGTCTCCTCCTGATAGCACAAAAAAAGAACAGCAAGCAAAGCGTGTGGTAACATCCCGATACCATTACCGCCCTTGCGTCCGTCACGTTTCCACCACTGGTGATGTCTGCCGAAAAGAAAAGAAAAATGATTCCTCAGAGCTATATAGGGTTTGGAACGGATGCTAGAACGGCCCCGTTTCGAAGAGGTGGTGTTGGTGACTGCCCCTCTTAGATCTTGACACGACAGATTCAGCCTTCCTCCGAAACGGGTTCTGCAACCGTTCGAGATTGCAAAATCCATAACCATGATGTGTCCAAGGCACTCGAATGGGCAGTAGCCTCCCGAGCGTAGGATGTCGGGTGATTTGGGAAAATTAGGTGCTGACGAAGATGCTCGTAAAACAGAGTCTCATATGGTGTAGGAGAACTCCCGTCTAAGAAACGTTCGCGAAATTTATTGTGGTGGACCAAAAAGAGGAGAGAGCCCGGCAGCCGCAAGGCCGTGAGAGAAGAGTGAAGCGAGCTCCTGTTCCAAGTTGACAAGAGTCACTGGCCTAGCGGTAGCTGCTGCCGTAGCGAGAGCTGCTAGCCATCCGTCCCGGCATGGGACCGACGGCAGGGCCTGGGCGAGTGGCAACCGCGTGGTTGGTGCAGAGCATGCCGACCCGGGAGCCGAACTTGGAGCCGCGAAGAGAGACCATATGCTTCCGGATATGGGCGGCGACAATCTCGCGGTGCTGGGGAGCCGCGTGGGTCAGGATGTACTGAATGAGGTAGTTGCCGTACTGGTCGCTAGCAATGTCGATCAGCGGGATCCGGGGACGGTCGATGCGGCCCTCGCAGACGCGGTCCAGGTAGCGGCCGAGGAAATCGGGGCCGCCAATCTTCAAACATTTCTCAACGACCTTGGAGGCAAACTGATCCATGCTGTACTCGGCAGCATAACGGATAACATGATCGATCGCCCGGCTGCGATCCGCCGGGGCGCCGTGCTCGCAGACGTGCTGAATGCACCAGTTGCCAAACTGTCCGTGGGCCACAATATTAATGTTGGCCAGGACCTCCTCAATGCAGGGACGCTATAGGGAAGTTAGCAACTACGAACATAGGTGATCCGGCACCACGCGCCAGGCATCATCTTACCTTGTCCTCTTCCAAACAGTTCTCAAATATGTTCTGTACAACCAGGCTGCCCGTCTCACCCAACGCAACCTCGTGCCACATGCCGCGCAGGGCCTCGTTGACATACTTCATAATCTGCGGCGGCGACTCGGTCCAACGCAGCTCAAACAGTTTCTGCCAGACATGACAAGCGTAGCGGTGAATAACCGTCTCGGGAATCCGTCGCAGCAGCTCGTGTACCATGATCGCCTTGTAGTCTTCCGGGACCGAGTCGAATGCCTTCTGCACTACGTGGCAGCCAAAAGGGTCCATCGACAAGTTGAGCGTGTTGCCGCGAATGGCCTGGGCGATCTTGATGACCTGCTCTGGAGTGCCATGCTCGAAACAGCGCTGCACCAGGAAGTTGCCGAAACGGTTGATCATCAGAGGGTAGGCCTGGGCAACGATAGCCTCGACGATGTCGTACTTCTGCTCGGGAGTTCCAACTTTGAGCTTCTGCTGCAGAAAAATGGAAGCCTGCTGGTCATTGTTGCAGACGATCTTGTCGACGATGTATTTCCAGTCGCAAGAAACATTCCGGTCAAGCAGGCGGCGGTAATTGAGGGGTTCGGTGGTGGGCGACACATAGGTTTGGCCGTCCGCAGTTAGAGTCTGGAGAGCCACGTTAGCGATGATTCGCACGAAGCCTTAGTCGATCATTCACTTACCTCCCCTTTCCACGACGAGCTGGCCGACGTGAACTCGGTGGCATGAGGAGAGAGCGCAGTCCCCACCGGTTGCTGCTGGTAAGGCGAGTACGGCCCGATTCCCATACCCCCACTCATCATGGCTTGCGGGCCGGCGGAATAACCCTGCGTCATCTCGTAGGGAGCAGGACCCATGTTGTAACCGTTAAAACCGCCACCAAAATTGTTCGACGATCCAAACCGATTATCATATCGATTGCTACGGCGGCCCACGGGTCTCATCGCATCCTGGTCAGGAGTCATTCGGTCTTGCCGGTACATGTCCATGCCGGGTGGCGGGAAGGTTGGCTCATAGCTGGCGGCGCGGGTGTTGGGCCACGGCATCTGCTGGGGTCCATCAATCATCATCTGGCCCTGGGGGTAGGAGCCGCCAAATGCGGGCTTGGTGTTATTATTCCAGATGCCTCGAGGACGGTTCAAACCCGTGGCTGGTAGCGGGTCGCCAACTTCTGAGGGAGTGCCGTCCTGGCCCATCCAGCTATGCTCGCGAGAAAACGGCGGCATCTTGCCCGAGGCGTTGAGCGCCAAGGCACCAGCACCGACTCGAGAGGAGGGCGGTGAACTGGGGTTCACCATAGCGGAAGCGTAGTCGTGCTCGGGAACCAGCACTGGTGTGACACACTCACTCTCTGGCATGACGCGATTGTGTGCGAGCTCTTGGTCCAATCGCGAAATCTTGCTTTGAGCCTGGGCAAGCTCGAGCTTGAGCCGCAAGAGTTCCTCAGCAGTCGCCTGGCCCTCAATCGGGGTGGCGCTCGCAGATCGAATTCCCGGCGCGGTGGGCGCGGGGAAAACATCGATGGCTGGAGTGAGGGGCAGCGAACTGCACGACGACTGGTGGTCGAAACCGCGAGTATACGCCGTCTCGTCATCAGCAGCCTTTGGGGCCTCGGTCTGCTGCTGCATAATCGAATGCTGCTCAGAGAGCTTTGCGTAGAGTTTGTCCATCGGGTACGAGTCGGTCGGTGACAACGACTCATGCTTGATCTTCAACTTCTATCACGATCAGTTTTATCGCTGTGTTGAAGAGCTGGGGCGCCACATACCTTGGGGTAATTCTGATTCGCCATCTTGGAGGTCGCCAGAGCGCTTACAGGTTTCTTGAGGGGAAGGGATGCGGCGGCTTCCTGGATAATCCGAGTCAGAAGGGCTTCTCGAGATACTCCGATGCCGAAGACATGGTAGGAGGAAAGTTCTTGTAGTTGACGGACAAAGATAACGGGGTAATGTGATGAATAATTTCGGAGAAGTCCCATCAATTGAGAGTGGGATGACAAGAAAGGTGAAGGACTGAAAGGAGCGTACACTGAAAAGCCGGCATCCAATTGGGACCCGACCAGGACTTGGGGGCAGCTTTAACCTACTTTGGATTCGTGACCCATGAAATCCTCAAACTCATTCGAGTTTTCATCCTGCTCATCCTGCGAGCTGCTTCTAGGGGTGGCCGCGTGGCAGTCGCTAGACCGGCCTGCCGATGGCGCGCCGACGATAACTGCTGCTGCAGACATGGTGCGTCGATTCGGGATGTTTTCCGCAACTAGTGCTAGTTCGAACGTGTGATTACTCGTGGCTGTTTCTGCAATCGACTTGACAATGGTGAGGAAAATGATCAAGATGTTCAAAAGAAGTAGATTTGGGGTTTAGAGTGAAGGGGTTGAAGTAAAACAAGTTGATGGGAGGATGGCAGAGGAGGGGGAGAGTAGGACTCTGCAGAAATAATTTGCAATGAAAAGAGCCGGAACGGAAGGGGTGGTAAGGGGAGGAAGGCGCTTTCGAGGCCTCGGTGTTGGCGCCGAAACGCTACTGAGGCCAACCAGGTACAAAATCCGGGGGAACACCAAACCCCTTGTTTCTTGATTTGCTTACCTCGGATGGGAACATTCAACTAGAAAGGAAGTGGATCTCAACCGTCCGACGTATTGAAGATCGGGTAAAGGAAATGGCAGTCAAATGAATCAAAATTGGATGTCGAGGAAGACGGATGGGTGTGTTGACGCAGATGGTCCAAAAGGAAAAATAAATTGGAGTCAGGGGGCCGGTCCAAGTCAACCTGGAAGAGCGAGGTTCTTTCCATTGTCAGTTTTGCAATTTGAGTGATTGTGAGGCCACAAGGCAACACCTACCCAAGCTTGCAAGTATTCAATGAACAGAACCGATCGGTGCTGCCTGATCGGGCCATGATCGGGTTCATGAAGGAAGGTGCCGGCCGGGGGAGGTTTGAATCGGCCGTAAGTGGGGCCGATGTGGGGCCGAAGACCAACCAGACCGATGCCCTGCGGGTTGTTGTTTCCCGTTTGGGATTTTCACCAAACATGGCGTTCTCGGATTGTGAGTAAAACTGGGTTTGTAGGGCAAGAGGCTCTTTGTCCAGCTGTCTCCTGGCACTCACATACTGGAAGACTTTAGTCCTACGTTGAGTTGAGCGTCACTGAGCACACTCTTGTCTGTTGCTGTAATAGCCCCAATACAGCCAGTCACCTGAAGAAAGAGTTTTGTATTAGTATCAAGAGATCCAGAGCTTTTCTCGAGTGCAAGAATGAAACACAAATCTGGGCGCATTCCCATAACAAAAGAGCACAGACCACAGCCCAAAGGGAGCTTCTTCTTCCCTGCAGGGTGATTGTCTGAGAAGAGTAAGTGTTTGGATAAACAGCGCTTTTAGGTCAGAGAACGGACAAAGCCAAAGAGAAAGAGCCTCACTGTGGGCTCTGGGAAAAATAGGTTGAATGGTGATGGAAACTGATGCTGACTCCCACTGCCTGCCAATACCTGCTAGGTCTTAGGCAGGATAGGCACCCTCCCGCATATGTTCTCTAGATGCCTCCTTCGCGGCTGGGCAGTCGGTCTGGAAAGACCTGTAGGGGCTCTGCGACCGGCTTGCCCTTAATATATCTACCACCCCGCAAGTGCTCGCGGATAAACCCAAGCTCAGCAGGACAGGACACTCGTGTGGTCAATTCGGGTATATTTTTGCCCTCCTCTATACAGTAGTAGTACATCTCGTGCCGTAAGTGTGGTTTATTTGCCCGATTGCTTATTTCTTTTTCTTGTCTGGTCACTGTTAGCACAGCTCGAGGCGCTCGGATAGACTTCGACAGCCGAAACATACCCCGATCCTTCCCTTTCTTCGGTGTCCCCTTCCCACGAGCTTTGAGACTGTTATCTGTTAGACTAGCACAACGGCGTATAATGGGACGGGATGACGCACGCTGCGACGTGTTCGAGGCGGTCGAGTTCGTCGTCGTCTTCAACCTCAAGCTCGAGTGCCCTGAATTCGTCCTGGAAATCGCGGAACGACATGACCTTGCGGGGGTAGTACGAGGCAAGGGCGGGTCCCCTGAGTCGCTGTCGCAGGATCTTGTTGCCGGTGCGGACGCCTTCGGGGTTGTATGTGGTCGAGAAGAGCTGGCATTGAGCCTGGTCTGGTTAGCATTATGTTGATTCTGTAGGCTGGGAGCTGACGCATACCTTCATCAAGGCGAGCAGCCGCGCGCGAGGGACCGACATCTTGCCGCTACATGAAATGGGCGGACCGGCTCGAATGGGACGGTCGAAGAGATGCGAGACTTGACGTTGCGAAGATCTCGGGCGGTTTTGCTAACATCCAATCATCTTGGTTCTTATGGTGGGGCCGCAGCGAACCCTTGCAGTTGTGTGGGCAATTGAAGACTTGGCAACGCCAAAATCCAGTCGGGTCCAGGTCGCCTCCTACATACACATAACAAGCGCTTCCGATTACACAGTACTAAAATCAACGAAGAGACTCACAGGTAGCAAGCCGGGATGGTTTCAAACTGGTCGGCCACGCCTCATCTACTATTTTCCGAGATCTAGTAAGCCGGTTTCGCCCACTGCAGTGCGCTGCAGAACATTGCCGAGGGTGGATCATCTACATCGGATCTTGATTTCTTCATCATTGTCATTTCTCAACTTCACTCACCACCAACCACTCACCCCACATCTCAAAATGACAAAACGCACCCACAGCGAGTCGGCGACCCCGTCAGCGCCTTCAATAATACCAACGACCACCCCCGAACCCGCCTCAAAACGCATCAAACCCTCCACCACCGCCACAGCCTCACCTCAAATACCACCCTGGACCATTTTCACAAAATGGACCTCCGACAGCATCGCCAAAGACCACCCGCCCTTGCCACCCGTGCTAGACAACGCCCTCGAGACGGCAGCTCTCACCCACTCGGGGATGCGCAAGAACCTGTCGGACCCGAGCTATGAGCAGCTCGAGTGGATCGGCGACGTGTACCTGGAGCTGATCGCGTCGGAGCTCATCTCGCAGACCTTCCCGACGCTGGACCCGGGCCGGTCGTCGCACTACCGCGAGATGCTGGTGCGCAACACCACGCTGGGCCAGTTCTCGGTGCACTACGGCCTGGACAGGCGCGCCAACTTCCCCGCCGAGTTCGGCCTGGGCGGCCGCCCCAACGGCACCAAGGCCAGCGAGAAGCAGCGCGCCAAGGCCCTGGGCGATATCTTCGAGGCCTATGTCGGCGCCATCGTGCGGTCGGATCCGGAGAACGGGATGCGCCGCGCGGCGGAGTGGTTGAAGCTGCTGTGGGGCCCCGTGCTGGAGAGGCAGATCCGCGAGGAGGAGAGCGGGTCGCGGGTGAAGGATCGGGAGCTCAATCCGAAGACGCAGCTGGAGCAGTTGATAGGAGGGCACGGAGTGAGGATTGAGTACAAGGACTTACCGTCCGGTGGGAAGAAGGATCGGAATACAAACCAGGAGTTGTTCTTCGTGGGGTGCTTCTTGACAGGGTGGGGGGAGACGGCCCTGCAGCTGGGGCATGGCGGCGCGCTTGGGAAAAAGGAGGCGGGCCAGAAGGCTGCGGTCAGGGCGATGGAGAACAAGAAGCTGATGAAGAAATTCGGCGAAAAAAAGAAGGCTCTCGCGGCCGCTAGGGCGGCGCAGGCTGAGAAGGCCGCGTAGAATATGGGCCGAGGGTGTGATATAAAACAAAGCACAAATGGTGGTATGCAACGGCATCAAGCTACACCATCGAGCTAGCTTTGCACATTCAACATAAGAATGAGGTGTTTATCGCTCCCAAGCCACAACATCGTTACCAATATGTTCTAGATAATGTGTTAGTTAAGAAGAGTAATTCAGCGCCACGAGGCACAGCCCAGATCGAGGGACAGACTTCAGTGAAATGCAATCGATATCGTCACACGAGGGTCCAGACTAGCTTTGGTTTGAAGAATGACATGCTCAAAAAGTAGATGGATAACTGCCCAATAAGGACAGAGGAAACAAGCAGCAGCAAAATCTCGCCGGCTCGCTCCCTGTAGGGAGGTAGGTGGGTGGGTAGTTAGGTAGCTATGTACGAGGCCCCTTTTCGGTTTACTTCGGGTTGTCGCCTTGATGAAAGGGACGACTTGCATATCAATGCCCGACGCTCTGCTCACTCTTGCTTCTTTCGTGATGGTCTAAACTGCCGAGATGTTGCTTCCAACGCACATCCAGATCCGCTAATCTCCTGCAGTTCATGCGCTACACTTGGCTTTGGTGAATGAGCTGGGCCTCGGGAACTCCCTTTCCTACACAGCAAGATACGCAGAGTCGCTATCTAGATGCATTTATTTTTGCTCAGAGCATGTGGAGCATATTCCGCCATAAATTTCGCTTGGTATGTTTACCCCAAAGGTATCTCAACATCCGGCTTTCTCAATCGTTATGTTCCAACTTGAACGTTCAAGTTGGAAAAAGTGGTGAGCATCGTCGCATTTTCACGTGTCGATGGAAGCCGCCAAACTCGACGCTCTCGCCGTAATTAAAAGCGGGGCTCGCCCCAGACTCGGGTTCGCGTTCCAGCGGAAGATTGGGGAAGTGGGTCCAATCGAGTCGCGCTGCCGAGGCAAAGGCCGTTTTGGCACGGAGCGAATGCGCTGAGGTTGTGGGGTGTCATTGTTACATCACCTGCGGACGAAAACGCGACGAACCGTCCCTCGGCCGAGATGAACCCATAAGAGTGGAGGAGGTTGTGTTTGTTGTTTTCTAGCAGTGAACAGTTTTCCAGTTTCTAGAAGCTTAGAACATCTCGGCATGTTTTGTTCGTTCCAGTTACTCCAGAGCGCCTTGATCACGCCAACCGCGTCCCTCCCAACCGATCCTACAAGTTGCCACTGACGGGAGTTACCTCCGGCAAGAGAGTGAATTCAACTGCCCCTCTACATGCACGAGCTCGAGCACACAGCTGCACCGAAATTGCCGAACACAACCACGACAGGACATACCATCTTCGAACCACTCGTTTTCGAGCCCGTAGCCCCGTATCGGTACGGGACCCAAGTCTAAGACGCAATGTCGGATTCAATTGGTGAGCACAAGCATCCTCCCCTCACGACCTACTCCATATGCAGCAAGGCTTCCTGCACAGCAGGCTGACACCACCCCCCCTTCGCCCGCGTCAAACAGACCGAGTCTTCGTCCATGCCCTCAACACCGTGAAAAAGATCCCCAAGACCGGGGCCGCCCGGCCGCCGCCAAGCGACCGCATGCGTCTCTATGGCCTCTACAAACAGGCCATGGAAGGCGACGTCGATGGCGTCATGGAGCGGCCCTCGGCCACCGGCAACGGAAGCAGCAGCAGCGAAGACGTGGTCCGCGAACAAGACAAGTGGGACGCGTGGAATTCACAGAAGGGCATCCCACGCACCGAGGCGAAGCGCCGCTACGTCGAAGCGCTGATAGAGACCATGCACAAGTACGCCAGCACGCCCAACGGTCTGGAGTTGGTGGCCGAGCTGGAGTTTGTGTGGAATCAAGTCAAGAGCAACAGCCCCAGCGCGGCGGGGTCTTCCTCTGAACAGGGTGGTGGGGGGATCATTGCGAGTCCCGTAATTCGCCGGTTCCAGTCGCCGACGAGCGGGAGTGAGGGGCCGATGAAGGTGCTCAGTCCTATGAGCGAGGAGGACGAGTCAGAACGGCGGATGGCCGAGCTAGCCGACCAAGCGGAGGACGACCCCGGCGAGTACGCTCGGCGGCACGACAAGCGGTCGAAGCGGATGGAGCGAGCCATCGTCAGGCTGTCGGCGGAGATTGCGGCATTGCGAGAGCAGATCGCCACAGGTCGCGAGTGGAGATCGCGTAGGGAAAAAGGCGTCTTCGCGTGGGTGGGGTGGATTTTCTGGGCCGTCACGAAACACATTACCGTCGACGTCGCCCTCTTGCTTTTGCTACTCCTGTGGATGCGAAAGAGAAAGGACAGGCGGTTCGAAGACAACGTGCGATCCATTTTCAGGCTTGCACGAGAGTACATCCGAAAGATCTTGCCAGCTCGGTGAGGTATCGCCGAGCATGTTGTTGGTTCGCAGGTTTGGTGGCCTTTACCCCAACCTGACCAACATCCAATCTTTCCGCCACCACGCGGTTCGCGTCGAGGAACTACGCCGTCGGGTGTCTCGAAGTTGTCAAGCTTCGCTCAACGTTGTCCGAAACCGTCCAGCAGGCTAACAAAGGCGGCTGTTGGGGAAGCTTGACCGGCAGTTCGTCGATTCAGGACACCATCCATTCTCGACTGGCTGGAAACTCGTCAGCCTCTCGCGTCCGGCCTACATTCATCCATGCAGCGATCATCAATGCTGATTTCATGGGTCTCGTGCAAACCCATGGGTGCCCTAACTGCAACTTTGCCCCCCAAATCAAAACGGGAGGCATTGCCTCATGCAGAGGATGACTGCCCGCCTGTTTCGCTAAAATCACGCGGCACATGCGCTACGCTACGCTACCGTCACAGACAAGAACACCGTCGTTCGTCTACACGCCGAGACCCAGCACACTCTTCGAATCATCTCGCCGTCGGAGAAACCAACTCAACACGGCTGAGCTCAGTGCATCCGTCCTCTATTCCCCGAGGTAGTCGGCTCGGCTGAGGTCTGCACTGCGAGAGAAACCGCCGTGGCATGCATCATTTTAGAACTTAGAGTGTTGGGACCAAAGTGGCTCCCACACCAACGAGGGCCGAGTTGTATCTTCAGAGGTGGTGCAACCCACGGCTTGAGTTCACAGCTTCGTCATTGCGTACAAACCTCGCCTCAAGCCGAAACCATCCGTATAGGCCCGGAGCCCAAGAGGAAATATTTTATGACCTTAAATCATGAAGCTGGATCATGCACAGAACCATTTAGACAAATACTTTTATATAATTTATAGACTTCGATGAGAAGTATTCTAGGGCTGTGAGGCATTCTTTCGCAAATGTATGTGTAGAGCTGGACTCGCCCACGCCGTAGTAGGCATATTATGTTCAATGTTAGAACATAACACAAGAGTTAGGGTATTCTCAGCATGGGAGAGCTCCGCAAGCGGGGCGGCTGTCTCCTTCCGTGACATTTGAGGGACCCGTCTCTCAACCTCATACCTCTCCTCTCCCCGCAGTTCAAGCATCATCTTCCTTGTGCCCGAGATTTCCGCACTAGTCTAAAACCATGAGCCTCGTTCACGTCGTCCTCTTCCAATTCAAGGCTGAGGCCGACCCGGAAGCTGTCAAGGCTGTACGCGCTTCGCACCCCAGGTCTACGTTCATATCTCCATATTCAATAATGGACACTCACTTCGTACAGATGTAGTGATGTACAATTCTAATGCCGCAATTATTTACCTAGGTTTGCGCACGTTTTCTATCGTTGAAAGACAATTGCATCCACCCTACGACCAAAAGGCCCTACATTCTCTCTTTGAGATGTGGAAAGGACAACTCGCCAGAAGGCCTGCAGGTGCGGTCGTGTTACTTTAGCATTGAACAGCCCATTTGCTTCCCCTACATCAGTTAGCTGACGGCAAGCAGAACGGAATGACCCATGGATTCGTTCTCGAGTTTGCGTCTCCCGAGGATAGAGACTATTATGTGACGACGGATCCGGTTCACCAATTGTTCGTCAAGGGCCTTGCAGATGTGCTTGAGAAGCCTACTGTTCTAGATTTCAGTGATGGTGTCTACTAGGTATCTGGTACTAGTCAGTATAGACAGGCAATGAATCTGCCATGTACTGGAACTGGCAACCTTCCCCGATCGTCCATACTTTGTAAGGTGTAATTACGGTAAGGTAATTTGCACGGCTGCAGCTCGGTAGGTGAAGCATCGCCGATGGTTAGGTAGTTATCCAGAACAACAAAGTTGTCCATCGTCTGCTTCGTTTACTTACCCCGCTGGCAAGTACCTAACAATACCTTCAATAGTTTGGTATTTAACCCGGCGCATCTTCTGAAGCCTGGCTCGTTTGCGTTTGCCCATAATCACACAACCTCTCCGTCAGAACCCCGCGCAAATCGGTCATGCCGCAGTCGGCACAATCCCCGGCAAGCATGGGGCCAAAGGCCTCGGAGAAGATACCGATGCTCAATAACATCGCGCCCAGCATATTTGTGCCACTACAAGACGACTTCCTTACAATAGAGCCGCCGCGCGACCGGATTGAGCGTCTCAAGAGGATTCTCCAGACCATCGACTGCCAGCGTGAAGGCGTCAAGGAAAACCTCCTCTACATGTTCGAGCGGGAGAAGAAGCGGATCGTGCTGGAAGCCACAGAGATCGAGGAAGCACAGGGGCTGCCGGATATCAACCCGGGACTGGCCCCGAGCGAGGTTGACGAGATCATTGCCAACATGGAGGCGCCGGCCATGCCCGGTAGGGACTACAATGTCCGGGACATGCCCAGGCCGGGCCCCGCGCCGGTACCCCCCAACGCGTCACTCCGGGACAAGACGGTGATGGAACTGCTCAATATGGTTGAGCGGGGATTGACTGAACTGGAAGGTTTCGAGAAACACATGGCGGGCATCAAGGACCGCTACCTCATCTGTCTCGAGCAGGAAATGGCGAGGGTTGACGACGCTGGGAAGCGGCCAGAGGAGCGATCGGGCATCAGAAGGTTTTAGTCATGAATCAACAAGCTACGGTTTCCCCAATGCAATTATGAACCCCGATGCAGTCGAAGGCCGTTTAGACGGCGTGTCGTCAAGGCGTCGAAAAAGGTCGCAGGGTGTCTCTTGACGGAAGAGAGCCTGGTAGAAATGTGGCAACCGGCGGTAAGAGGCGTTGCTCAGCGAACCTGAAGAGCTCTCACATGCTTCCATAATCGGAGCCGAAATATCAATCTAGGAGCACATGATAGAGGATGACTCGGTGGAAGTGCAATCCAGCACGAATGTGCCAAATCGCCGACAAAATCGCCCTACAATAAGTGCCCAGAAGTACAATGGAGAGAAAAAAAGTTCAAATTCGAAAGAGCTGCGAAATGTGGGGGTCTTTAAAAGGCTGCGAGCTTACAAACTGCGAGCCGTGGTTGGCTGGCTAAGCGGGCCGCTAGCTTCATGTTCTTCCGGGCGGCCCTCGTCCAAGCACTCCGCCGGGCAGGAAACGTGCCGCTGCTTGGACAGAAGAAGCTCACGACTTTGCGGCCACCACCGCTTGGAGATAGCCACCCCGCCTCCCACTCCCCCCGAATCTCCGCTCCATATCCTCCGTCGAGACGGCACCATGTTGAGGCAGACATTGGCTCGCTCGGCTTGGCGGACTGGCAAGCACCCGGCCAGCGCGGCCAGCCGGGCCTTTTCAGCGACAGCTCAGAGACCGGCCGAGGTCGAGCTCACAATTGGTGTGCCCCTCCCCCTCCCTCGACCTGCTCGTCGCTGCCAATTGCCCCGCCGCATTGATGCTAACTACTTGTAGATGGGAAGAAGGTTTCGATCGAGGGTGAGGAGATGCTGCGAGGTCGAATTGAGCGCCCAGGATTGCTAATCAAGGTGCAGCCGGGTCCGCCCTGATCCAAGCTTGCGAAAAGGCCGGCGTCACAATTCCAAGGTACGACCAGCCAACTCACGTTGTATATGGCTCGAGTCTTATGCTGACCGTCTCAGATACTGCTACCATGAGTAGGTCTCGCGAACCCTCAACGACGATCGCCCCCCCGCCTCGCAGCTAACGAAATGCCTCGCCAGGAAACTCATGATTGCCGGCAACTGCCGTATGTGTCTGGTCGAAGTCGAGCGGGCACCCAAGCCCGTCGCGTCGTGCGCATGGCCCGTACAACCCGGTATGGTCGTCAAGACCAACTCTCCTCTGACACATAAGGCCCGGGAAGGTGTGATGGAATTCCTGCTGGCCAACCACCCCCTCGACTGCCCCATCTGCGACCAGGGCGGCGAGTGCGATCTCCAAGACCAGTCGATGCGGTATGGCGCTGACCGTGGCCGGTTCCACGAGATTGGTGGAAAGCGTGCGGTGGAGGACAAGAATATCGGGCCCCTCGTCAAGACATCCATGAACCGATGTATTCACTGCACACGGTGCATCCGGTTCGCCAACGACATCGCCGGAGCTCCGGAAATGGGTTCGACAGGCCGTGGCAACGATATCCAGATCGGTACCTATCTCGAAAAGAACCTGGACACGGAGCTTTCTGGCAACGTTATCGACCTCTGCCCCGTCGGCGCCCTGACCTCGAAACCCTACGCCTTCCGCGCTCGTCCCTGGGAGCTGAAGCGCACCGAATCTATTGATGTGATGGACGGCCTTGGCTCGAACATTCGTGTGGACTCCCGCGGGTTGGAGGTCATGCGCATTATCCCGAGGCTCAACGACGACGTTAACGAGGAATGGATCGACGACAAGACCCGCTTCGCCTGCGACGGCCTCAAGACCCAAAGACTTACCATGCCGTTGGTGCGCAGGGAAGGGAAATTTGAGCCTGCAACATGGGAGCAGGCGCTCACCGAGGTCTCCCACGCGTATCAGACACTGGCGCCCAAGGAGAACGAGTTCAAGGTTATCGCTGGTCAGCTCACTGAGGTCGAATCTCTTGTGGCCATGAAGGATCTTGCGAACAAGCTGGGCTCCGACAACCTCGCTCTTGATATGGCCAACGGCAGCCAACCGGTCGCCCACGGCGTCGATGTACGGTCGAACTACCTTTTCAACTCTAAGATCTGGGGCATCGAGTCGGCCGACTGCATCCTCCTCGTCGGCACGAACCCAAGGCACGAGGCTGCCGTCCTGAACGCCCGTATCCGGAAGCAATGGCTGCGGTCAGACCTCGAAATCGGGGTCGTCGGCCAGACTTGGGAGTCCACCTTCGAGTTTGAGAACCTCGGCACTGATCTGAACGCCCTCAAGGAGGCCCTGGCCGGTCCTTTCGGCCAGAAGCTCCAGGCTGCCAAGAGGCCCATGATTGTCGTGGGCTCCGGCGTCACCGAGCACGACGACGCCAAGGCCTTCTACGAGGTGGTTGGCCAGTTCGTCGACAAGAACGCCGCCAACTTCCTCACCGAGGAATGGAACGGCTACAACGTCCTGCAGCGGGCCGCGTCGCGGGCTGGCGCGTTCGAGGTCGGCTTTGTGACGCCCTCCACCGCCGTCGCCGAGATCAAGCCGAAGTTCGTCTGGCTCCTAGGCGCTGACGAGTTCAACGAAGCCGACGTCCCCAAGGACGCCTTCATCGTCTACCAGGGTCACCACGGCGACCGGGGCGCGCAGATCGCCGACATCGTCCTCCCGGGCGCCGCCTACACCGAGAAGGCCGGTACGTACATCAACACCGAGGGCCGCGTGCAAATGACGCGCGCCGCGACGGGCCTGCCCGGCGCCGCCCGCACGGACTGGAAGATCATCCGGGCGGTCAGCGAGTTCCTCGGCGCGCCGCTCCCCTACGACGACGTCGCGCAGCTCCGGGACCGCATGGTCGAGATCAGCCCGGCGCTCGCCGCGTACGACGTCGTCGAGCCTGTCGCGCTGGGCCAGCTCAGCAAGGTGCAACTGGTGGACCACAACAAGGGCGCCAAGGCCACGGGGTCGCCGCTGCGCAAGGTTGTCGAGAACTTTTACTTTACCGACGTCATCTCGAGAAGGTCAGTCCCCCCCCCCCCCTTTATTATTTCTATTGCGGTTGGAAACTAACACCAAGTGTCCAGCTCCCCCACGATGGCGCGCTGCTCGGCCGCCAAGGAGACGGGCGACCCGCGGACAAACTTCATGGCGTCTGGCATGGAGGAGGATAGGCCGATGGGCCAGGTCGCGTATGGGGCGTAGAGAAAACTTGAGAAGTGGGATGGGAAGGGAAAGGGCGGTTGTTCTTGTAAGAAGGGCAATATAAACTGCCTGTCTATAAGTTCTATATTCTCTCGTTCGTGTGTCGGTGCCCTCTCGTTCCCTTTGTCAGTTGTTTCCCTGTGGTTGGTTTCTGTGTGGTTGGTTGTACATAGGTCGGGCTGTAGAGGAGAGGAGAGTGGAAGGGAATAGGACGTTGAGTTGCAAAGTTCATCTATGCAGGTGTTGAAGCGAAAACGGGTGTTTGAGATGACGAGTATTATTTCATTATGAGGCCTATTCCGCTAGTTAGGCCTTCGGCTATTGCATGACTCTGCTAGGCCTTCATGTTTTGATATTACTTTTCCCACGCCTCTGTGGGAGGGAATTCGTGTTCATTCCTCTTGGCAAGGAGACAAGGCTCGGACAGACAGGCAACGAGCTCCTCTTCTCTTAACAGCAAATGCATTTCTCATCCTTCTCCCTTATCCCCTCTCTCTGCCCTACTCCTTCCCCATTTTCTCAATCTTGCCTTCTATACCGCCATCAGATCGGAGATGGAAGCTCTGCTGGCGCGCACGAAAGGGAGACAATTCTTCTGTGATTGGTGTGATTTGCAATAAGAAGCCAGAGATGAAATGCATGCAGATGGCCGTTCCGGTTCCAGAGCTCTAACAAGCCGCTACTCGTTAGACAGGGGAGGGAACTCTTTGTCCACCACCTCGCCAAACACACTGCCCTGTCCGGTGTCGGACGGCACGTCTTTCTCCCACGGCTTGCGGGGAGCCGTCATCTTGCCGAAGGGGGTGACCCCCTAATATCGGATTAGCTATTTAGTCCCCTCACAACACGATATTGGGCTTCGCAAGGAAGTGAATGTGGGGTTTGTTTGGTGGTAAACTAACCGGCGGTCGCACAACGGTATCCGGAATCTCCTTGATCCCGGGAATCGGCTTGCCCATTGTCACAGCCTCGATCAGGGCCTGAAAGTTCTCAGGATACGGCGCCCCATCACCGGTGTTGTTGTGGTTGGCACCATCGTCGGCCTTCTTGCTGAGGTCGACCTTGGGGGCGTTCAGCTGCCATGCGGGGATATTCTGGCCGGATGAAGACGACGGACCGGGAGCAGCGCCACTCATGCGTTGCTGGATCTCCTCGAGTTTGGCGAGAATGGCACCGTCTGGACACGATGGCTGATTGGAGGCACTGTAGGACTCGTACAAGGCGCGGTCGATGTCGGTGTTGAAACGGGACCTGTACCACCAGATGCGGGCTTGGAGGGTAGTGCTCAAGGCCTTTTGGCGGGTAAAGCCATCAGCGGTGTTGTTGACGAGCGAGGGGCCCAAGGTTGCCATGAGGCCTTGCTGGTCGGCTGTTAGTGGGGTCCATGGCAGGTGATTTAGGTACCTATTGATGACAAGCCGACCAAGGAATCAATGGCGACTTACAAGGAATGAGCGATCTCGTGCCCATGGATACGAGTCGAATTGTTTGAAGGCGGCTTCATTGTCGCCTCTTTGAGCCGCGGCAGCGCCCAAAACTTGGCCTGTGTTTGCTTCCATTTAGAGATACTAGTTACTCGTAAAAATGCATCCGAGGTCGTAGTGAAGCCGTCGGCCAGGACGCCGCTCTTCGTGACGCCTTGAGAGTGGGGTTCGTGGAGTGGTGGGGGTTATTATTATGAATTCTGGCGTAGGTAAATGAGGGCTATGAGTGTCGGAGACCGGAATATTACTGGATATAGTTTTGTTTGATAAGAATGTGCCAAACCTCTCCAACTCCGAATTTGACGGTGTTTTCGGTGATGTTCGAGAGGTTGTTTTCATCCTCCCCCGAGTCTTGCATGTGAGCGCGGGTGTTGACACAGTGCAAACCTGTATTAGGATACAGTGCCTTAGCGCGAGGCCGCTTCCTGGGCATCGAGGGTACGTACCTCGGTGGGTTCCAGGCAGGGAGGTTCCGGGCAGTTTTGAATCCAGTGGGCGCTTCGGGTCCTTCCCGAGTCAAACAAAATTATGGAAGTTCCTTCCAACAATTTAAGAGCTCAACGGAGCACTTGAACTTTACACATAATGTATAGACACAGGGAGCACGCGTAGCACAAATCAAGAGTTGAGAATATGAAATATCATCCCTGTCAAGTATAGGGAGTTTCCAACAATAACTTCCATTTTAAGGCAGATAACTAGTTACAGAATACCCTGCTTCTCCGGGCAGCCATATGGTCAAAGTTTTGGTTCGTTGCGGCGAATATACAAGTGCCTCCTTCGAGACCCTTGAATTCCTCCTCTCGTCAGGTTCGCAAATCTAGGGGAAAAATCAATTCTTGCACCCCCAAGAGCGAGTAATTCCAAGTTACCGACGGTCAGGGCTTAGACTCATCGCTTAGAAGCAGACACCGGTTCCATCATGGGAGATTGAGCACATGCTAGAGCAGCATTCGGTGTAGCGCTCGGTGCAGTCGTCGCCGGTGGCGATGCAGCGCTTTTCCAAGGCCTCAGCAGCATTGCTAGCCGGAGCGGGCATGGCGAGGCCGAGGGCGGCATTGCCGAGAAGCAAGAGAACGGCCGCTGAGAACTGCATGATGTTGGCTTGGAGAAAGGCTACCGGTATATATCGCTAGAAGGATGTTGTGATCTCGGCTGAATATGTTGTGATATCTCTCCAAATTCAAGCGAGGGAGATCCAGGTACTTATACCTGGAGGGGACTTCGAAGGACTGGATGGTAGGCCTAGATTTACATAACTACCGGTGTCCTGTTGATGCCGTTCGAGCCGATTACGTATGTTTCTAGCCTGTTCGGACGCCGCGGAGTTGTTGATCAACAGCTTCGCCTCCCTCCAGCCGTTCCACGATGCGCGCTGTCCTGTGTGTTTAGGCTTTGTAATAGCTCCGCTTGGCTTGATCGCACTTGAACTCTATTCGATCGGATTCTCCCTGGGTTGTGATTCGGTTCCTTCTTACCGCATCCCCGGATGATGCGTGGCAGCCGCCCCTGCGGTAGGGAATGATCGACAGCGGCGGATTCCCGCAGGTAAGCTTGCGGCAAGACAACCAGAAAACATGATGGCCCCCAAGCAGCAATTCAGTTGTCAAGTCATCGGAGAGACATATCACATAATGGTGATTCTCATTGGGGGGTCCTGAGCCTGCCCCCGAGTTGATTGTGACGGAGCCTTGAACGGTGTGGAGTTAACACGCTCTCGCCATCATCAAACTTTGATTTAGCTTGACCGTATTATAATCAACTAGCCCACCACGGTCAGAGACACCATCGTGCCCTCTCCTAAACTTATATTGCGTGAAGGTTTTACCGTTTCCCTCACTCTAGGCATGAACGAATATCTTGGGAGTTGGAGAAACCGGCCGATGTTGAGCCTAAACACTTGTATACGACGTTGCGCACCATGTCATCATACCTTGCGATCAAAAAGTGAGCTCGAGTAACTCAGATATAACTTGAGAGTTGAGGAACTTGAAGGTGGAAGTGTGTGTGGGGAACCTGGAAGTTCTCATGTCTCTCCAAACTAACTAGAGGGTTAGGGTCTGAAGGCAACAGAACACTGTGTGAGCATTGGCGTGGCACACTGACACGGACCCTTCAACCCCGAATCCTCGCTTGAATCCAGTTCATCTCGATTCGGAAACTGGACGCATCTCTTGACATCTCAGCAATGCGTCGCGCCGCCATCCAAGCCTTCCGTGCCAGTCTCCAATGCAGCGTCCGGGGTTTCCACTCTAACACCCGCCGGGGCATTTCTCCGCTGCTCCTGCCGAGCGCACACAGGAGGAACATCGCTGCGGCTGCCTCGACCCGCCGATTCCTGTCGACATCCCCACCCACCCGCAGCAGCAACAACGGCAACCGTCCCCGGGCGGCCGATAATGCACCTATAGCCGGCGAACCGCTCCGCTCATCAATGTATTTCCGCCGGGCCTCCGTAGCGGTGGTCTCGGCGCTGGTCGGCTACGGCGCGTACTACTCGTACGGCAACAACGGGACCGACAGCCTCGTGAAGCGGGCATACTCGTCGAGCAGCACCTCAACTGCGACAGGCGACGCGGCCACGCAGACCCGCTCGGTTTTGGTTATTGGCGCCGACGAGCTGCATACGGGCACGTTCGTAGGGGATGGGCCTATCTCTAAGACGACTGGCAACGACGGAAAGAGGGTCATCGAGATGGTGACGCCCGATCAAGCGACCGAGATGCTCCGGAAAAGCGAGCTGTCGTACTATGTCGACCGCGGACAGGGCGTGGTGCGCTACGACTTGGTGCAGCTGCCGAGCAATGATCCGATCGAGGATGACCACGCCGAGAAGATCGTGGAGATGCCGGACAGTAGCGAACCCCATGGGAGCAGCGACTGGATGTTCTGGGGTGTCTTTGACGGGCATTCGTAAGTTCCAATGATCTACTAGGTGTTGACAACGCTAACGGCCCTTTTTACAGTGGATGGACAACATCGGCGAAGCTCCGACAGGCTCTGACGACTGTCGTCGCCCGGGAACTCAACGACACATACAGGGCATCCAGCTTGGCACCGCCGCCGGAGGCAGTCGACGCCGCTATTAAAAAGGGCTTCCTGAAGCTGGACGACGATATCGTCAACCAAAGCGTGCAGAAGGTCCTACAAGCCAACAATAAGAGTGCAGCTGCCGAACTCTTGGCTCCAGCCCTATCCGGCTCCTGCGCGCTCCTCTCGTTCTACGACAGCCGATCCAAGTTGCTACGGGTTGCTTGCACGGGTGATTCGCGGGCTGTTCTCGGCCGCCGTTCAGCGTCTGGCAAGTGGACCGCCACGCCACTCTCGGTCGACCAGACGGGCAGCAACCCCGATGAGGCGGCCCGGCTGCGGAAGCTGCACCCGAACGAACCCCAGGTCGTCCGCAACGGTCGTGTTCTCGGAGGGTTGGAACCTACACGCGCCTTTGGAGACGCTAGCTACAAGTGGACCCGCGAGATCTCCGAGAAGCTGAGGCAGCAATTCTTCGCGCGTTCTGTCTCGTCCTTTCTCAAAACACCCCCTTACGTAACCGCCGAGCCAGTCATCACCACCACCAAAATCGAGCCGGAGAAGGGCGATTTCGTCGTGATGGCCACCGATGGCCTTTGGGAGATGCTCACAAACGAGGAGGTCATTGGCCTCGTCGGCAAGTGGATCGAGAGCCAACAGATCAGCACCAAGAGCAACCCCACCTCGCAGTTCGACTCGGTCTGGACGCGCATCTTTGGCTCCCGTGGCACCAAGGGGGGGCTACCTGTCGAAGTAGCCCAGGACGCGGGCGCTGGTGGGCAGAAGACCCCCTTCCGCAGGCAACAGTGGGGTGATTCGGCGGACGGGTTTGTGGTGCAGGACTCCAACGTGGCTACCCACCTGGTGCGGAACGCGCTCGGCGGTAAGAACCAGGAGCAGGTGTCGGCACTGCTGACGCTGCCCGCACCCTTCTCGCGGCGCTATAGGGATGATTTAACCGTGCAGGTTATCTTCTTTGGAAATGGAGAACGGACGGGCGAGGTCATCTTGAATCGGGATGCGACCGCGGCGGCGAATAAGCCTGTCAAGGCCAAGTTGTAGGTGTCCGGTTGTTGGGTACTTTATTCCCCATTGAGCACGGGTTGGTTGTCCTGGGCGCGAGGTTACCGGTTGGGCGCAATGGTTGATATCCCAGGGAACGATTGAAGATGGGTGGTTGTCGTTCTGCCATGGTGTTCTTTCCAGCCACATTTCCTCGCGATGGGGAGACAGATTTGCATTTCATCATTTTCCAGCGGAGTACAGGGTATATTATTCATACACACGTCGTCGTTACCTGCTTTGATCCTCGATGTTTCACAACTTCAGTCCTTGCGTCCTGCGCCCGGAGCATAGCGTACGGCACGGATGGCAACCCCCACTTGTTGGTTCGCCTCCTGGCAGCCTGGAATGGAACCTTCAACCTCCGTTATCTGTCCTCGGGCAACTCTGTGGGGGTTCACCGCATTTTTTTTGGTACCAGTAAGACATCAACTGTAACCTTAATAGCTTCATGCAGCTCATTAGGCCTCAACAAGCTTCGGAGCGCTGCAAGTAACCTGTTTGAGCCTCCCTGCATCGGATGGGGGGTCTCGATCGACAGGGCAACATCTCCTGCAAGCGAAGCGCCAAGCACGGCGCCCTGGTTCTAGGCGACGGCGGGGCTTGTGTTGGCGCCGTCTCTTGACGTCACAGCTCTGGTGTCAGCGCTCGAGGCCCTGCAATTGGGCTCCAACCAACACACCAATTCGACCCCTCGAGCCCCTCCACCGCCCACTGCACTCCCGCTGTGCCGCCATCCTCCCACGCCCTCCATGCCGGCATTTGTTTGGCCCGGCCGACGTTTCACAAGGGACACACCAACACGCTAATTCTTTATTTGAAGCTGATTCTTTTTACCTAAATTATTCGCTTCTCTCCTTTCATCTCGTCGAGAACCGGCCATCGGATCCTTCGATAGTGGTGCTTACTGAGCTTCCTGCTCCGGGTTGTTGTGGGTTGCTGGACCGGAGAAAAACACCGAGAGAGGGAGAAAGAGAAAGAGAGCTCTTGTTCCTGTGTCAATCCCGTTTCTCCCTCGACGTTGCGCTGCCATCCCAATACCTTGGTATCCCGCGAGCCCACCATGCCCGTCTTCGATAGCCACGAGTACCTCACCGAGGAGGAGCGGAGACTTAAGGAGGACCGCGACCGTACCAAGTACTGGAAGAAATGGGGTTCCTACGTCGCTGAGAGGCAGTGGGCGACGGGTGGGTTTCCCTTCTCCGTGAGGTTCAAGTCCCTTGACTGACAAGGCCCATGTAGTGCGCGAGGACTATAGCGAGGACGGCGATGCTTGGAGCCGTAAGTCTACCCCGGCTCTACTACCGAACATCGTTCAGCTCACGTAGGCGGCCAGACTTCACTCATGACGACGCACGCTCGCGCGCATACAGATGGGGTGAGGACGGCATTGCTGGCGTTTGCGATACCCATGGCTACCAAAACATCTCCTTCGCTTTCTGGAACGAGAAGGAGTAAGCCCAATCTCCCTCCATTCCCGTGCTATGGTCAAGCTAATGACTTCTATTAGCCCCTTCCTCAAGGAACGGCTGTTCGGCTTGTCCAACCCCCAGGGCAACCACGGCGAGAGCATCAAGGAGGCCCACTTTCACCTGGACAATACACCTGTGAGTTCATTGCCACCCGTCCATGTATTGTTAGGCACCTGCTAACCTTGTTTTCTTGCAGACCGTAAGACACACCGCATCCCCAATCGAGATTGACTAGAAGCTCATACGTCACAGCACTCATACATGAAATACCTGTACAAATACCCGCAAAAGGCCTTCCCTTACGAGGACCTTCTGAAGGAGAATGCGAAGCGAGGCAAGGAGGACAAGGAGTATCAGATCCTCGACACTGGTGTCTTTGACGAGGACCGCTATTGGGACATCTTCATCGAGACTGCCAAGGAAGACGACAATCCGGAGGAGCTCCTGTTCCGCGTCACTGCCTGGAACCGAGGCCCCGATCGTGCCCCCCTTCATATTGTCCCCCATGTGTGGTTCCGCAACACCTGGTCTTGGGGCCGTGAGGCTGCCGACAAGAGGCCATCTATGGGTGTCCATGACGAGAACTTGATCAAGTCGAAACACCACCATCTTGGGGACCGTTATGTGCTTCTGTCTCCTTCTCCCGGCGTCGGCTCTAGCGGAGAGGATATCCAGCCCAACATGATATTCACCGAAAACGAAACCAACTACGAACTGCTCTACGATGGCAAAAACGAGTCGAAATACGTCAAGGATGGCTTTCACCGTCATATTGTTGATCGCGAGAAGGATGTCATAAACCCCGATCAGGTTGGAACCAAAGCTGCTGCGTGGTTCACTTTCAATGAAGACGGCGGTGTTAACCCCGGCGAGTGTGCTGGTATGTATTTTGGCTTGGTGTGATGCTGATAATTGCTGACGGCAAGTAGTCGTTCGTTTCCGATTTTCCAAGAAAGCCGAGACGTACCTCGACGAAGAGGAGTTTGACGACATCATCGAGAGGAAGCGAGAGGAAGCCGATGACTTCTACTATCACATCAGCCCCTTGCCCATGGCTGACGACCTCCGGAACATTCAAAGACAGGCTTTCGCCGGCATGATGTGGTGCAAGCAGCACTATCTCTTCATCTGGGACGAGTGGGCGACCGGCGACCCGAGCCAACCACCGCCGCCACCGGGCCGAAAGGGGCTTCGGAACTCTGCGTGGAAACACTTGCATTGTGATGACATCTTGTCAATGCCGGACTCCTGGGAATACCCTTTCTTTGCCGCCTGGGATACTAGCTTCCACTGCATTACCTTGGCCATGATGGACCCAGAGTTCGCCAAGAAACAACTCGATCTCTTCACTCGCGAGTGGTACTGCCATCCCAACGGCCAGCTTCCTGCGTAAGTGATCTGCTAGGAACTATAGGAACCATGGGGACGATCAGTGACTAATATTTGGCAGATATGAGTGGAACTTTGGCGATGTCAATCCTCCCGTTCACGCCTGGGCGACCTTCCGTGTCTTCAAAATTGAGCGCAAACTCTACGGAAGGCAAGATCTCGACTTTCTTGAGAGGGTGTTTCAAAAACTACTGATGAACTTCACATGGTGGGTAAACCGGAAGGACGTCGAGGGCAAGAACGTGTTCGAGGGTGGGTTCCTCGGGCTGGACAATATTGGCTTGTTCAATCGTTCGGAGCCATTGCCGACCGGTGGCACACTAGAGCAGGCCGACAGTACGGGCTGGATGGCCTTCTACTGCCTCAACATGCTCAACATTGCACTCGAACTCGCCAAGCACCGGCGAATTTACGAAGACATTGCCACCAAGTTTTTCGAGCACTTTATCCTGATTAGCGACGCCATGACTTTCAGGATGGGCCAGAAGGAAGAGCAGTCGCTTTGGAACGAGCAAGATGGTTTCTACTACGATGCCATTTCATGGGGCGGCCCCTGGATCCAGCAGATGCCCGTCAGGTCGCTGGTGGGCCTGATTCCGCTCTATGCCACTCTCACTCTGGAGCCCGAGTTGATAAATAAGCTCCCGACATTTAAGAAGCGCGTCGAATGGTTTATGAACAACCGCTGCGACGTGGCGGAACGAACGATGCATAGCATTCGTACCCGTGGCAAGGGCGACAGGATTCTTCTGTCGCTCGTAAACAAGGAGCGGCTCACCAAGATCCTTGAACGCATGCTGGATGAGGACGAGTTCTTCAGCCCTCACGGTATCCGCTCCTTGTCCAAGTACCACAAAGAGCACCCGTATTCCATGGAAGTCAATGGGCAGGTCTTCAAAGTAGGCTATGTCCCCGGAGACTCGGACAGCGGCCTCTTCGGGGGCAACAGCAACTGGCGTGGGCCGATTTGGCTGTGTGTCAACTTCCTTTTGGTGGAATCGCTGCAGCGCTTCTACCTCTACTTCGGGCAAAACCTGCAGGTTGAGTGTCCCGTGGGCTCGGGCGACTACATGCATCTCGGGCATGTCTCGGAGGAGATCCAGCACCGGCTGCAACATCTCTTTGCCCGCGACAACGACGGCCGTCGCAGCATCAACGCCGGCAACGACACCCTCGACTTCGATCCTAACTGGAAGGACTACCTCTGGTTCTACGAGTTCTTCGATGGCGATAGCGGCCGTGGCCTGGGCGCGACGCACCAGTGCGGCTGGACCGGCCTCGTTGCCCGCATGATCCATGACACTGGGTGAGCCTCCCCCCCTCTCTCCTCATCCCTTGATACCTAGGTAGCTATGCGATACTAACACCCGCCGTTCCCGCAGCGTCAACTGCCGCCTCCCGCAGACCCCGCGCACCCCGCGCGCCGGGATGTCCCACTACTTCGACGACGTCCTCCACCGCGGCGCCCACGGCAACGGCACCCACACCCCCAACGGCCTGCTCTCGCCCGCCGCCCCGCGCCTGCGCCGCAGCTCCACCAACCGCTCGCTCGCCGCCCGCAGCGACTACAGCGCCGCCTCGGAAGGGGGATACGACGGCGCCGGCGACGATGATGATGAGGACGGCCACGAGGACGGCGCCGACGGCGACGGCGCCCAGACCCCCGGCGCCCGCAGCGCCAGGCGCGGCTCCGTCAACCCGGCCCTGCTGGCCGATCCGGCTAGGGTCAAGGCGCGTGCCGAGGCGGATGCACATCTGCATTCGTACATCAGCCAGCAGCTGGAGCGGGTTAAGTTGGAGAGGGGGGATGGGTATGGGGACTTGGAGGGGGATGAGTTTGTGACCAAGGCTTCGTAGGTGTGTGTGATCTGTTGGGTTGAGTTAGTTATGGTGTTGGGGTGGGTTTATTTGGGTTTGTCGAGATGTAATAGAGGTAGAGGTTGAAATTGGATATACAAGGTTTTGGATACGTTGTGCAACTTCATGTGATGTAAGTGTGACTGTGAAAGTGCCTTGGTACCAACCTGGAGATGGTTGACGAGAAGGAAGAGCTGCACTGCTTGCCGCTTGGTAAAGCTCATTTCCGAAAGTGGATTTCATCAAGCGTCAGTGGTTTAGTGGTAAAATCCATCGTTGCCATCGATGGGCCCCGCGTTCGATTCGCGGCTGACGCAGGATAAATACCTTTTCTTTTGCTATTTTTGGTGTGATACTTGCTGTTGTTGCCCAGTTCATTTTGAACTACGTTGCTGACCGGTGCTCGGTGTTGTGATTTTGCTGTGGGCGAGTCTGTAACTTCATATCCTGACATTCATGCTATTTGTTGGGATATACCTATTAAGAGAACGGTTGTATGGTTCTAGGGAATGGAAGAGGGCTCTCGGCGTGGTTTCGAGAGGGATCGGTTTTCATGCTCTCTCGAAATTTCTCTGATACGATCTCAACGCATTCAGAAGGGTCAAGGCGAAACTGGAGGACGGGCGGGGTCGAGCAATAAGGAATTATGGCAAGGCCGTCAAAGAGAAATCAGCGAAACGGCGTCTATTCGGCTCATGTACACAGGGATCCTCTCGGATTCGACCGCGAGCCTGCTTGTGGTTCGGCCCCCCTTCCCTCTCTGTCTCTCTCTCGCACGCCCAGATGATCCCAGCTCAACACAACTCCATTGCTACAAAAGAAGTAAATTTACAGGGTGTCAGTGAGCAGCTTGTTCATCTTGGCAAGCCTGGCAGAGACACTGAGGTCGATTGTCCTGTCGCCAACCTCGACGACGAGGCCACCGACAATATCGGGGTTGACCTATGCGGAATTAGCATAGAGGATTTAGTGCGAGGGTCTAGGGGTAAACGCACCGTGTTCTTGACCTTGAGCTTCTTACCAGCGCCGACGTAGCTAGACTTGGAGACGGCGGACTCGAGGCGGTTTAGAGTCTTGTTGTCTAGGGGCTGTTCGTTTCCAAACACGTCAGCAACACATTTCCTCCATGACATCTCCCAATTTATCCACCCCTGAAAATCCGTACCTGGGCGCTGGTAACCACCATCTCGACCTCGCCGCGGGCGGCGCTCATGAGCTCGTTGAACTTGGTGCAGACACCAGGGAGAAGACCCAGGCGGTTGTTCTCAGCGAGTGTCGCGAGGAAGTTCTTGACGGTCTCGCCAGAGGCACCGGCGTTCTTCTGAAGCTCAGCGACAATGGCGGTCTTGTCGGCGGCGGACAGGGTCGGGGCCTCGAGGATGGTCACAAGCTTCGCATCCTTCTGGATGACGTTGCCGAGGGCGGCGAGGCCCCTGGCGGTGGGCTCGAGGGAGGAGGTCTTGACAGCGGCCGTGTACTGTTTAAAAGGCAAAATGACGCAGGTTAGTTGTGTCTGTTTCTTGTTGCCTCGTCCCCAGCTAACAAGCAATTGAATGCCTGTAACCACCCCTAGAGCGATATGTCCTCCACACGATGTTCAAAACGCAGTGCCAATTGGGTAGTCGGGGGCGCGCGTACCAGAGCAGTGGCATAGGTGCCGTCGAGGCCGAAGAGGGCGACTGGAGGCTTCACCCTCTCGCTCGAGGCAGCCGGGGGGGCCGGGGCGGCGAAGGCGCGGGTCTGGCCGAGGAAAGCACGCTGGGGAGCTACCGTCCGCGCGGAGCGCAGCAATGCCTGTCGCGAGAACATGGTGACTGGGGGGATTGGATGCGATGATGGACCTCGAATTGTCGTGAACCGAGCTCCTGCCAGTGTTTTCAGAGATGGGGTCCGTTTGGCTGCTCGGCAATTTCGCTGTGGCCTCAGGCAGCACACAGCTTGCGGGTGGGACCGGGCAATTCAACTGGCATGGAGCAAACAGAGAGGCTTGGCATCGGATGGGATCTGGTGGGTCCACCTTGTTTTCCTCGCTCACCTTCATCCGTTTTCAACACCATGACGGCACAAGAGAGAGGGTCCCGCCAACTCAACAGTACTTCAGTATTTCTTCACAGTAATCTCTACAGGAAGCCCGCTTTCCCAGAGACTCCGTGGCTCCGCATCGCATGCAATTTCCCAACCGGAACCCCAAAGTATCACGATCCCGCATGCTCTGCCATACAAAACCCTCATCCTAACCCTGGTTCTGCCACCAAACAAATCCTGTACCGGCCAAGTCCAACCAAACGCCGCCATGCAAAGAAACTCAACAATTCGCCGAGTATCTCGAAAGAAGAAAGAGTATGCGGTCTAGTCGCTACGCAGCATGCTGTCCACCAGATCGCCCAGTGGACCCCAATAGTCCTTCCCGCTAGCGAGGTTGTGCTCATCAATGAAGAGCACATACTGTTTGAAGCTGGTGTTGAGATGTGGCTCGAGTCCCAGCTCGCGGATAACGGGGTAGTGGTGGCAGTAAATGTGGGCGTAGACGCGGTACATGCGTTTGAAGATCTGGCGCACCAGGGCCGGGAACGACTTGGGGAATGGCACGCCTGTTCTTGGTCAGTCCTAACCGGTGTGGTTTTAAGCCTTCCATGTCTTACCGATACGGCTGGGGAGAACCGCCTCGTTGTCGATGTTGCCCTGGACCCAGGACATCAACTGCTCGATGTATGCCGGCGCGGGCATCTTGGTCGGCCGCTTGTAGTTCTCGGAGTCCTGCCACAGGTATTCGAACCTAACCTGTCAGCTTTGCGATCCGTCCCCCCAGTTACCCAAACTTACTCGTCGGTGGCCTTCATCTCCGGGCATGATTGAGGGGAGCAGAACTCTGTGATGGCGCCATAGAGGAGGTTGATCTGGTTGTAGAAATCCACCACTGGCACTGGTCAGCTTCCGTGTTTTGTGCGCTCGGCTGCTGAGGAATACGGCGTACTGTTGACGGCCAACCATTCGTTCTCATCTTCACCCTCCGGGAGCTTCACCACCTTGCGCAAGCTCCCTCCGCCTAGTGTGGCCTCCGCATACTGGCGAAGCTGGTAGCTCGTAGCCCCACCTTTACCGGGCACTCGGGGTCGGAACTGATTCTTCGTCCGGTTGTTGCTGAGAAAAAGCGCGAGTCAGCGGACAGTTCTTTTTTCAATGACGCATCACATCGCATCGAGCTCGGGCGCCAGTCTCGCAGTGGGTTAGGCTGCCGACGCCGAAAACCAAAAGCGATTGCGCCGGGTCTGCTGGGGACTGGGGAGGGATACAATCGTTGGGTTGCCATTGCGCGTATGCTCGCGACAGCAAAAGTCTACTCACACGGTCGTAAGAAAGGAGCTCATGGCGAGATCCGGGGACCTGGGCTCTCGAAAAGATGTTCCTGAACTGAGGCAACCTATGTGTTAGCGGGGCAGTCCCCTGATGACGCAGTTTGCTGGAGCAACTCCACAAGCGGACCGGGAGTCAGGGGATGCGCACCGATACAAGCTGAAGCTGGCGAATATCGGACTGTGACGGGCGCAGTGGCGGCCAAAATGTTCTTCTGCGGACGATGATGCTGCTCTAGTTGGTAAGAGAGTAGAAAGTCAACAGCGATAAATGGGTCAATTGTGGCACGGGAGGGAGATCTGTGTTTACTTCCAATTACAGATTACAGGATTGCCGTCCCGCTCTGGCAACAGCCGCAGAGCATGGAACTGATTGCTTGATTTACGGCGCGACAGGGGCAGTGCTTAGCGCCATGCTACAGCGGGGTCGCGGCGCCAATGGCCCCAAATGTTTCTTCTCGTCCATTCCGCTTCACGGGCGGTCTCGAGACAGTATGTACACAGTAACACAGCATAAAGTTCACAATTTTATAGAAAGTTTCACGATAATCCTTCCGTACTTGGAATTGAGCTACCATGGGATACGTAAATATAGAGGGATAAAGTGGCCATCCTTCCAGTCCGCAGTGTCAACCTTTCGGACCGCCCGCCTAGGTCGCTCGCTGTTCGAGACGGGACCGGGCATTCCATGTCTGCACCTTCGGGTTGTTTCCACTTCAAAGCCCAAGTTCCATCTTAAAGTTGGCCGGATAATATGGAGCCAACCTCACCATTTATTGACCCTCTGACAACAGTTACAAGGGCCGAAATACTCCATGTTAGTCAGTGGGTAAAGTACATACAAGATGTTAGCCTTGGTAGAGTCAGTGAAGCTCGAATAACCTTCTCTCAATGGCTAATTTTCTCTGCTTTCCCTCTCTAAAACTGGGTCCCGATAGATCCAGAACCGGTTGCCCTTGCATTTATAAACCCTTGCGTATCGACATCACAATCCATATGACCCCGGAGCTCAGAACACTGCCGGCTTGATGTTCATCGCTCTCGGGTCATCGCCACCCGAATGTTCACTCGATCTATCCTAGCAAACCCCGCAGGCACGGCATCGGAGGTAGAAGATCCTACCCTGCAACGGCTAATCACCATCCTTGGCCTTGGTCGGGACGTCAACAGCCCCTCCCTCCCAGACCAACGGGTCACCGGAATACGCCATGGATGCATGTCTGGGTCCTCTGGGGAATACGGTACCCGGCCGGAGGGGCAGGGGCATGGGCATGGAGATAGTCGAGTGTGAACAGTCACTATATCTATCGTCCGTTCCTAGACGCAGCCCGCCCCGGTAAGAGTTGTTGAATAGAAGAATTAGACGAGTACATCGAATAGCAATGCGTGCTCTGTCTCTTTTTCTCGTGCTGTCCTCCGTTGCGGAGGCGGTGTCTATTGGCCAACGTCGAAAGATTGTCCAGTCGTTCAACGTACGCCGAACCAAGAGCTCTGATTCCACCCCCTTGCAGGTTGGAAATGGCAACTTTGCCTTCGGTGCGGACGTTACGGGGCTTCAGACCTTCAAGCCATATGCCATCATGTCAACGTGGGGCTGGCACAACTTCAGTCTCCCTACGACGCCTGGCCAAACTTCTGTCGATGGTGAGCGATTCCTACAATCCACTTACATATACCGGCCAACTTACTAACAACCTCAAGACTACACCGGCCTACAAATGTGGACGCATGGTAGACTTGTCCCCTATGAAGTGCCGAACCCGGCCCAGAATGACATCTCAAACTGGCTCAGGGAGAACCCCCATCGCCTTAATCTAGCCAGGGTTGGGTTTGACTTTGGCAGAAAGGATGTCACAGAGGACGACCTACGACATAAATCCCAGGAACTCGATATGTGGACGGGGAGGTTATCATCATCCTTCGTCTATGATGGATCTCCTGTGAGAGTCGAGACGTGGGCCGACCCAAACTCAGATACCGTCGCAGTCAATGTAAACTCGAAGCTGTTGAGACGGAGTCTGGGTCTCTTTTTCGACTTCCCGTACCCCGACAAAGAGAAGTTCAACGCCCCTTTCGTCGGCCACTTCAACCTCACTTCGAAACACTCAACTGCCCTAGATCAACAGTCTCCCAACACAGCCACAATAAAGCACACGCTGGATGACACAACTTACTACACCCACATATCATGGAGCGGCCACGGAAATATCAATGGCCCTACCAACGGAACCCACCGCTACACCTTCACCTCAGCCCAGACCAACAACGTCCGACTAACCATCACCTTCTCCTCCGCCCCCAACCCAGAACCAACCCCCTACCCCCGCGTCACCGCCGCCTCCCGCGCCTGGTGGAACTCCTTCTGGGCCCGCGGCGCCTTCATCGACCTAACCTCAGTCCACGACCCGCGCGCGCACGACCTCCAAAAACGCATCATCCTCTCCCAGTACCTCACCACCATCAACTCAGCCTCGTCCTACCCGCCCCAGGAATCCGGCCTCGTCAACAACGGCTGGCACGGCAAGTTCCACCTCGAGATGACCCTCTGGCACACCCTGCCCTTCGCCCGCTGGAACCACGCCGACCTCGTCCGGCGCAGCCAGCCGGCCACTTACGAACAAATCCTCCCCGCGGCTCTCTCGCGCGCGCAGGCCCAGGGGTATGCCAAGGGCGCGCGCTGGGGCAAAATGACGGATCCGCAGACGGGCCGCAGCGCGCCGGGGGATATTAATGCGTTGCTGATCTGGCAGCAGCCGCACCCGCTGTACTTTGCTGAGGTTGAGTGGCGGGCGGCGACGGCGAAGAGGGGGAGGAGGGGCAGCTCGGGCAGCGCAGCGGAAGAGACGCTGGCGCGCTGGGACGCCGTCGTCACCGCCACGGCCGACTTCATGGCCTCGTATGCCTGGTGGAATGCCTCGACGGGCGTGTTCGACCTCGGCCCGCCCATGTACCCAGTCTCGGAGAACACGGATCCGAATGCCACGCGCAACGCGGCGTTTGAGCTGGCGTATTGGCGGTTTGGGCTGGATGTGGCGGTGCGGTGGAAGGAGAGAATGGGCCGGCCCGTGCCGGGGGAGTGGGTGACGGTGAGGGATGGGCTGGCGCCGCTGCCGATGGCGGATGGCACGTACGCGGTCTATGAGGGGATCGAGGGGATGTGGACGTCGAATGAGACGACGAATGATCACCCGGCCATGGCGGGGATTTATGGGCTGCTGCCGCCGCCGGCGAGTGGACCGCCCCTGGACATGGACGCCTTAAAGAAGACAGCGCGGAAGATCAAGGAGTTGTGGGCGCTGGACTTTTCGTATGGGTGGGACTTTGCCATGTTGGCCATGAACTCGCTGCGGCTGGGAGATCCAGAGCAAGCGGTTGAGTACTTGCTCCATCCCATTTTTCAGTTTGATGATGCTGGGTATCCGGTAGGCGGGTCGAGGGTACCGACACCCTATTTTCCGAATTCAGCCTCGCTGCTAGTCGCGACGGCTATGATGGCTGGGGGGTGGGATGGGGACGAGGGTAAGACGGGACACTGGCCCAAGTCATGGGAGAAACATGTGCGTGTGGAAGGGTTTCTGCCGGCACTGTGAGTGACCAGGCACGCTAGTTATCAAACTGATGACTCGAGGACCAAATCCATACCTCTCTGTCTGCCCCGTTGGTGGCTCAAATATTCCCATCAACCGTCTAGTAATCTGCCATTGCGAAACCGCGATTCGTCAAACCCTGGCCCAGAAACTCAAGAGTCGTAATTTCCATCCTGGCTCGTCACTATCATAGGCTTTCGGCGCTCGTTTCTATGAGGCCTTGTGGCTCTTGGCCATGGAGTGGATGGAAAGCATTTCACAATATTCTGCCTCCAAACCACTGTTCTCCCTGTCGAGTCGACGTCTCCCACCGTTAGAGCAGGATCTCGCCCAGATTTTCCCCTTCAAACCCCTCCTTAGCGAGCATTTTCACCTTCGTCTTCTCCTTGACCTTGTCCTGCTGCTTCCGCTGCTTCGCAAGATTCTGGACAAGTTCAATATCGGCCAGGTCGTACCCCGGGGGAGCGTCGTCCTCTTTGTCGAGGTCGATCTCGCCCAGTAGCAACACGTTCTCTCCACGCACGAGAAACAGGCCCCGGTCGATGTCTGCGTAGAGACCCCGGGGCTGGTCTGGCGCCGTTTCGGGTGCGACAAAAATCCTCTCCTTGGTGGACTGCAACACCAAGTTTGCTGGGCCAAGTGTGTTAACTCGGACTCTCTGGCAAGATTTCATTCACCCTCCATGGCGTGGCGGTTCATACCAAACTGATCCCAGCTGCGCAGGATTCCCACAAGCTTCCGTCCGTCACGCAGTGCTACCATCAGCTTTTCTACTCAGCGTTAGTTTGCGTAGCCCAAGCTGAGTTAGTTGCGCTGGGCTGAATTACTTACTGTCGGTAAGGTCTAAGAGTTGGGCGGCAGTCGTAAACATCTGCGCGGGGAGTTGCTGAGGTGGCGGCGGGGGACGACCGAGAGCAGGCGGCATCCCCCCGGGGCCACCATGTTGCATGGCAGGAGGGGGAGGGTCGGAAATGGTGAGGTTCTCCATTATGCTACCGCGTCATGAGTTGAGTTTATTTATCAGTGCGGTCTTGCCTAGTCCATCGGCGTTCGATAAAGTCCAGTAAGCTGCTCCAAAACCCGTGTTGTTTATGCGATGGCTTTCTAGACCTGCATTTCTTTGTTGAAGTGCTAAAATATGGAGCTCCTTCCGTGATAGTTGTGAGTCTGGATCCCAACAGCAACATTCAGCGGCAGCCCACCTGAAAGTTTGACCCCACTGTGGGACGGAAGTTCTCAGGTTGGGTGTGGCAGAGCCCCGGGCCCTGGCAGCCAGAGGGCCTCCCTGCATTTACCGGATTAACCACAGCCCGCCGTGCCCGCCTGATCGGCTCTAATTGGCCGCTAGGTGGTTCTCAGCCACATCAGAGCGGCATGATCTTGACCGAACCAGAAAAGCAGCCACAGCACACTGTCTTCGGCGATGGCACTGGCTAGAGCCGGTTGTCGGCAGCTGCTCAATCGCATGGTACCCGCCATTTCACGGATGGTCTGCGTTTATTGTTCCAAGTAGCCTTCCTACCTCCCTGGCGCCTTCACACGCACAATCCCTCCTCCCTTACTTACAGCACCTCACGGCAGAAGATGTTCGGATCTCTTCTTCACATCGCGAGGTCCCTTTATTATTTTTGATCTTACCATAAACCAGCTACTACTTCTCCAACAGTTGCCCGCCGCATCAATCGTTACCTCACTTTTACGATTGACCCTCGTGCCCCAGGCACTCGACAAGAATTCCTCTACACGAAGTTGAACACACAATGGCAACGACAGAAGCCACTATGGCTGATGCTCCCGCCCACCGTCCCGACCGCCGCGTCAACGGCTCACCTCCACCCGCACAGTCAAAGCGAGACAAGCGCCGCCAAATGCTTGCCGACCGTCTCGCCTCGCTCTCCGACAAGTTCAGCAAGGACAAGGACCAGGCATTCCGCGAACAGCTGCATAAGATACAAATCGACACCACATTAGTTATGAGAGTCGACCCTTATGTCGACCGACCCCTCGATAACTTCGAGCAAGACCAGCAAAGGCTGCAGCAGCTCAATGGAGACGGCGACGGCCAGTCTGGGTCCCAGACGCTGCTCGATAGAGCCGGGCCGAGGTTCGCCCAGTGGATGGAAAAGGTTCAAGACTTGGTCGAACAACGAGACTACGCTCTCACCAAATACAAGGTACGTACACCGTTAGGTTTTCTCACTCCCTCCTTGCAAACGACTAACCGGCTTGTCCACAGTTTGACTACGAGAAGAAAACTTCGGAATTCCTCACAACGCACGCTTTCAAAACAGAAACAGCCAACCGGGAATTCAAAGCTCTTTCACAGACGCTTCGCGACCGTTTAATCAACGTTATTATGAGCAAAAAATCCCGTCTGAACCGGGAAAAGGAGGCTTTGGAGATCTCGGACGCCTCGGCGCTTCTTCTCCACCCTAACCAGTTCAGCATCACCAACCCGGCGAGCCCAGGAGGTGTACATGGCAAGCGAACGACACGGCAGCGCCGGGAGATGGAAGACATGACCTTTGAGAACAAGAAGAGGAAGCGGCTGAATAACAACGACGACGATGGCTCGCCGGTCCCACAGCGTCGGGTGCTGGATGCTTCGGGCACCACGCCGCTCTGGCAAACAGATCGGTTAGCCTCGCGGAAGCCCACGGGGACAGTATACAGCATTGATAAGCTCTTTACGGACAAAGAACTCGGCATGACCTCTAGCGCGGCGACCCTGGCGGCCCGGAAATACATCCTCACACACAAGCCCAAGCTCGACGAGCATGGCCGTCCAATCAAGTCGCCCGATAGTAGCGATTCCGGGGCCGGCGACAACGACGAGGACGGGTCGGACTCAGTCCCCTCTGCGCCCATGATGGAGCGGAATGTGTCGCATGCTACGCGCAGCGGCCGGGGAGGGGCCAACAACCCCAACTTCACAGACGATAAGCTCATGGGCATGGAGATGCTCGCCAACTTTGACTTCCAGGGCAACTTCGATCGCATGCTCGCAGCAGACCCGAAGCTGCCGCCAACGTTTCCGTCGACATACATCAAGGGCAACAAGATGGAGTACAATGTGCCCACGGTCCTCAATGCCGAGGATGTGCACGGCGACATGGTGGTCATGCAAGCCTTAAAACAGTATGACGAGACACACGGTGTTGGCTCTAACTTTTCGGTGGAGAACGGTAGCCGCAAACTGCTGGAGGCCGCGTCGATGTCGGCACAGGATGCACGATACGTAGCATATCTGCAAGGGGAACGGCCGTCAGAAAACCAGGTCAGGAAACAGCTGGGGCTTCCCATTTTGTCGGATGTCGTCGAGCCGGTCATGTCGGAAAGAGCCGGAACTCCTAAGCTAGGCCATGGGAGCACTCCGGGGCCATCACCGGCGAAGGGGTCAGCGCTTGGGGGCGTTTCGATGAGCAGGCAGTCGAGCGCTAATGGCGTGCCGATGAGCCGGAGCAGCAGTCGAAAGGGCGGCCGAGGTGGGCGGGGTGGGTGAGGATGCAATACACAAAAACAGGGAGGCGGTAGCTGGACCACCACGGATAACGCTATGCATGTTTTCTTTTGTTCTCGGGCGTTTTGGGAAGCACGGCTTACTAGCTCGCGGTTTGGTATTTGCTTTCGGTTGGCATAACCACGGACACAGGGATTAACGGTGTTGGGCCGGATCTTGCACACGAAGGAAGGGTACTTGGTACTTTGCTATCATAGCTCTGCGTTTATACCCGACTTCTCCAAGTCTCAATTAATTCTCCTTTCTTCGCATCCCCAAAGCCTCATCAATAACATGACATGTACACACCCCCAACAACGATCTACGGCCCAAACACCAACGCCCGCACCTCGATACTCTCCCTCCCCTCCGCCCCGGCCCTCGTCCGCGGATCCTCAAACGCCGTATGCGGCACCCGCCCCCCCTTCACCACACTCCCCTCCTTCAGCGCCTCACTATCAAAACACTCCAGCAGAATCCGCTCCGCCCCGGTCATCCCACTCAGATAATACCACTCCTGGCCCGCGTCGTACCGGATCGCCGCCGTCTGGCCCACGTACCCGCCCGCGCTCGCCGGGTACCGGTGCTCCACGGGCACCACGTCGCTGTCGCGCAGCGTCGAGGAGCGCGCGAAGGCGAGCGGCGAGGCCTCGACCGGCTTGGTGTTGAGCGGCCGCCACACGTTGATGATGCGGTACCGCCCCGCGAGCAGGGCTTCCGCGGCCGCCGGGGAGGGCGCGTGCCGCCGGATGCGTTGTGAGGTGGAGGTGGCGGTTTGGTCGATGTGCACGCGCCCGACGGGCTGGCGGGCGCTGTTGGGGCGGCGGATTGTGTCTGTGGGGGGGTGTTAGGGTGGGTTTGTTTTGGGGGGGGTGAAGGGGGGGTGGATGGGTTGCGTTACGTACGGTCAAAGATGATCACTTTGTTCGCGCCGGGGACGGTGTCGAGGAGGAGGCGCTCGACTTCGGGGTAGTAGTTCTTTTTGATGGAGGCGTCATCTGTGAAGGCGGTTTCGGCGGAAGGGGGCTGGTTTTGGAGGATTTGAAAGGCGTCTTCGTCTAGGGTGAAGGAGGATTCCTTGCCTCGGGCGTCTTGGATGAGGACGTCGTGGGAGACAGAGCCGAAGTTACGCGGGGGAAGATCAGGCGGAGCGTCACCGGCGAGGTTGTACGGGATTGAACCGTCTTCGGGAGGTGAGTAAAAGTTGAGGGTGGCAACGACGTCGCCACGAGGTGGTTCGTGTACGGTAGTCATGATGGCGTTGAATAGGGGCAGCTAGCTGAGTGTTCGAGGCTAATGATGGCGGGGTATCAGGGAGTACAGCTGGGCTATGGCGGAGACGGAGAAAATGATGATATTGCAGAAGATGTTCAATTATGTTTGAAGATATAGTATATATATATGTGTATCTTTTTATTTTGGCTTCACGTTAGTTAAGCCGAGTCTTGTTTTCTAAGCCTCCATTTCAAAGCAGGATGAGTGATCGAGATGTACATCGACAAGGGACGACGTTCGCGTCCCGAAGCCGCGGCTTGCCGGTTGCGCAATTCGGGTCGGACATGTCATGCTCGATGCGAAGGGCGTCTGTCTTGCGTAAGGCGTCGAGGTTACGTAAAAACAGGTGCGATTCCTCGCATTCGATATTAGTAATTATGGTGGGGTGGACAGGTTCCTCGATCTTCAACTCTGGGCGAAGTTAATTTGCAAGCCAACTCGTCGATGATGTCGAGAGCATGGATATGTCAGTCCCAAGGTTTGGTGGGGCTGTTGCTCACTTTCGAGGGAAAAGGTTGTCCCGCCCTCGAGCAAAATGCGACAGGGTGTGATTGGCAGAGCGTCGAAAGCGACCTAACCCAAAGGGGCATCATGTAAACAATGTTGTGTGGATTTCCTGCGTCGCACAGAGACTTCGCATTGGCCATCATCACGCACCGACGCCACCGTTATCGATACCGACACGCGACCACGAGGGTTTGGGTTGTGACTGTGTCTTGGATCGTCGCCTGCGACAACTATTTTGGCGACAGCGGGACTGCAGCGATGGAGGAGGAGCGCACCATCACGCTGGACCTTGGGTCATCTCCCGACCCATTGATCGACCCCATCCTCAGCCCACCCATGATGCCCCCATCTGCCGTCAAGAAGAAGAGCCAGGCTGCCGAGCACCTGTTTACCGCCCTCGCTCCGTCGCCAAGGAAGCAGACCTTCGAGCTAGATGTCGGAAACGAACGCACACCACAACGACTGCGCGTCACGGTCGAGGCCGAGGATGAGGGGACGCGCAGTACTAGCCGTCGCCTCTTCCAATCACCCACCCCGAAACAACGACGCCTCACACCGCGGAGGGAAACGATTGTCACCACAACAGTACCCCTACGCGGTTTGAGCGACGACGAGGGCGGCGCCTTGAGCAACGCGACACCGAAGCGGAGGGGTCGACCACGCAAGTCGGGGACACCCGCAACAACGCGGCGCAAAAGGCCTGGAACACCGGCCAAGGGGCGGAAAAGCGTGGGGCGTGCCTCTGCATCTCCTCAGAAGGATACACTCGCGTCAGACATCGGGAGCGAAACGACACCGCGACCCACGAAACGCAAGGCCACATCTCCAGCAAAGGACGGCGCGCCGGCTAGCCAACCGCGCAAGCGAGGGAGACCAAGGAAGCAAACAATCACGGAGGATGAGGTAGCGCGTCTGGGGCAGGATATTCCGTCAAAACGTGAGGATCACGACAATGCCTCGATTGCCCCTACTCCGAACCAACCAAGCGGTGGTATGGAGGAGGATATCTGGCTTTCGACCCTGTCCGGACAACCCACACCAGCGCCCCAAAGACAAGAGCAAAGTCACGATCCCGAGTTGCCCACCAGCGACCATCATGTCGATCTAGAGCCTCAACTACCCCGACAGGAAGCAGACTACCAACAGTACGATTGGCCAGATATGAACGGGGGGGCCGATTCGTACAGCGAGGCTGGGTCACTAGCAAGTGACCAAGGCGATGACCATGATTTCGAGGACACCGTCATGGCGGAGGAGTTCACCATGATTTCCATCGGTTCCTTGCCATCTATGCAGCCAAACTCAAGTGTAATGGCCCCGGCGCATGAGGAGCTTGGTGAGGCTACGAGCCTGATCATCAACGGCGCGCTGGAGTCCCTGAGGCAAAGTCAAAACAGGCCGGTAGAAGAGATTCCTAGTCCCGAGCCGAGCGCTCCCCTTACCGAGTCACAGCCAAGTGCCGTCAAAACCACGTCAGAAAGCCGTGTGCAACACCAAGAACTGCCGCTCCCGCCACCTCCCAGTTCACCGCAGATTTTGAGGCGAAGTCCACGTAGGGCAACGGCCCAACCACTTGCCAAACAACTTGCCCATAAGAGTCTTCAACGAGGAGACCGTCAGTCGCCAGCACCCCGCCAGCCATCGTTGCCCCGCCATTCACCAGAGCCCCGGCAGCCTCCGGTTAGTTTTGAACCACAGAATACGAGCGCCCACGACGATCCCTTCACCGAAATCCCCGAAGCGACGCCCGGGCGACATCACCAGCCACAACACCAGAGCAAAGAGGCAGCTGAGGACATCCAGCCGTCCATAGAGCGGCCCTCAAGAGTGAACTACTCCAACCCCCAATCTGAGACGAATAGGCTGTTGACTCCTGATGAGACACCATCCCCGGTCCCTTCCGATACCGAAGATCATAATCCCACAACCAAGCCTCCGAGGCCCACACTGGATATTGACCTCCCCTCCTCTCCCCCGATCGAAAGCCCCGGGCTTCTCAGCAACGCCGTCGCCCGCCATATCAGAAGCAACTCAAACGAGACACCCGCCGATCAACTATCGTCCTTTACGTCGTCGAATTTGGGAGCTCGAGACCCCAACCCCGTACATCTACCCCTCCCCGAACCTCATCGCCGACCGACTCTCTCCCCCATCGTCCGCGCCGGACGTGCCCTACAACTCATCACATCGGATCCACCATCACCCCCAGAGAGAGGCAGCGTGCTCGGGAGCCCGTTCCGGAGTTCCGTGCCCAAGTCGAGCCAGTCGCCCGTCCAGGTTCTCCCCCCTGCCGCACCGGCCGCCGGAACGACACAATCTCCATCACAACCCCGAATCGATCCTTTAGCCCAATCCCCATCAAGGTCCTGGCTTGCACCCTTGAGTCAAATGAAAGAATTCATTGTCCGCCGCGCTCAGTCACTCTCTCCGGCACGCGTCTCAGTTTCTGGTACAGATAACATGGACGACCCATTCGGGCCGGATCCCGCCGAGTCGACCGCATCCGGTTCCGTACGTAATACCTTGTTTAGCGGCCCTGGTCGGCAGGAAAATGACCGAGATGCTACCGTCAGTATTGCCAGTTCGCCAGGCGCAAACCCTGTGCATGATGACGACGAGATGAGCTGGCAGGGCGAAGGCAGCCCCGGGGGACACTCGCAGAGATCTGCTTCTCCCGTTCTCGGCAACATTGAAAGTCGTGAGATTCTGAACGCAGACGGGAGCCAACTGAGACCTCAAGAAGAGCGAGCGAGCCGACTAGATTTTGCAATGTCGGTCACGGCTCCAGATACCAGACCGCAGGCGGTTTTGGATCAGCAAGAACAAACGTACGAGGAGGAGCAGGAGGAGGAAGATGATGATGACGATGACATTTGGGCCATTGAAGCCCAGCGCCCCGCCCCTTTTGCACCGAGAAATGTGCTGGCTAGGCGTGAGCCACCCCCCGAACCACCTCGAAGGAACAAAATCCCGAGTCCTTGGGAGCAAAATATTCGGCATCTGGTCTCCAGCGATGAGGGAGACCAGTACTCCGACAACAATGCTCTTGAAAGGGGCGCTCCTATCAACAGGAACAGAGAGTCTAATAAACCTGCTCAGACCCGGACGGAACAAGTTCCAGTTCGCTTCGAGAGAAATTCCCCCATGGAGGACGAAGAATTCAGCATGCTATCTCAAACTCGTCCAAGGCAAACAGCAGCACCTGCCAAGCAGCCAGCAAAGAAACCAGACCTTTCCGCCTTCTTCTCATCGCCTGCCATACTCCCCGACATGGACCAGACACCCGGCGCTGGATTGTCCAAAGCGCCGGACTCACAAGAAACAGAGCAGATAGACTCGGCCTTGCCGAAATCACGAAGCATGCGTGTTCAAAGGCCGCAGTCGTCTGGAAACAGTTTGTTTGCTCAGTATCTTCGGCCACAGACCGACGCCCGATTGGCCTCGGTTTCAGAGAAGCAGCTTGGAGTTGGGACCCGCCAACAGAGTGTTGACCTATTCTCTCCTGTACGGAATAACGTCGAGCGAAGGAGTCCGGAGGAAGCAGCCGCGCCTATCCCGCAATCCAGCTCCCCACAAAGTGTGGAGGAGGTCGTCCCAGCAGATATTCCCCAGCGGGCAAACTTCGCGCCGCAGCAGCGTCTCTCTACGAACGGTACAAGAGCGGCCGCTCCTATTCCACGAGCTATCTCCCCAGAAAGCCAAGAGGACGCCCCCCTGGAGCATATTCCCCAAAAGCAGAACTTCACCCCTCGCCGGCGGCAAGCCAACAGCACGCTCTTCCAACCCAAGCCCGTGGCGCCGGCGAACTCGCTCTTCGGCGACAACCAGATTTCATCTTTCTTCTCTCGATCCCGCCCACAGTCCCAGGGACCGCAGACCCAGTCACGAGCAGACGAAAACGAGGAAGAAGAATCAAGCTTCGTGTCGCCTCCGCCCAAGACGCTACCAAACCGAGCAGTTTCCCCAACAAAATCATGCATCCGCTCGCCCCTCAAGCCCAAGACGCCCGGGCGGGTGGTGGAGTTCACCAGCAGCACGCTCTCCCCGCTGGCGCAGGCGCAAGCCCGAGCCGAGCGACGCGCGAGCATGTCGCCCGAAAAGAACGACCGCACACGGAGCAACCGCGGAAACGCCGTCGCCTTCAACAACACCGAAGCAGACAAAGAAAACCGCTCCTCCTCGCCATCCCTATCCCTCTCCCCATCCCTATCCCCCTCCCTATCCCCCTCCCTATCCCCCTCCCTATCCCCCTCCCCACAACGAACCCAACAACACCGCCAACCCCTCACCAGCACCACCAGCGCCACAACCCAACAACAACAACAACAACCACAACCACTCTCCCCCACAAAATGGACCCGCGCCCACTGGCTGCGCCTCGACGAGCTATTACAAGCGCGCAAGCGCGGCCCCCGCCCGCTGCAGCTCGCGCTCGCCCGCTCCTCCCATACCGGCGCCGCCTCATCACCCAGCGGGAACGGCAGCTTGCGACTGCTGCTCGGGAAACAGGTCGCGGCGCAGGGCGAGCGGATGGAGATCCAGGGGTGGCATTTGGATGTGGTGGAGGGGTTTCTGGGGGAGCTTGGTGGGTCTGATGATGTTGGTGCTGGTGTTGTTGGGTGGGGTGGTACGCAGGTTGCGAAGAGGGTGTTTGCGTTGTTGGTGGGTGAGGAGAGGAGGCGGTTGGGGCTGGTGCCTTCCTCTAGAGGGGGGAGGCACGGGTCGATTGGGGGTTGGGATCGCGAGCGGGAGTGGGTGGGGGAGGAGGATGTTTGAGTGAAGAGGACTTTCGAGTGAAGGGGACGGGAGAGGGGATGGGAGAGGGTTTCGCGGGTTAGGAGTGTGGTGGATTACTTGTGGTAAGAAGGGTTGAGCTTTGGAAAGGTGTTTGTGGGGTTTACAGTGCTGTGTGGGATGATGTGATGAAGTGATTACGAGTTTGATATAGTATATATGGCGTTGGAGGTTCTGGTTGGGTTTGGACATCGGGATATCGATAGGGTTGATACCAGCGGAGTGTTGTACGGTTTCATTCACGTTAGCTATTCTAAGCCCCCGTGCAAGTGTGTCTCTAGTGTTACAGACCCAGTCATCACTCGCGTACGCTCACTCCAACATGGACGCCTGATTCGTGTAGAGCACGTCCACCACGTTGCTCAACTTCTCGATGGTCGACAACGCCGCGTCGTATGACTCGTCCCGATGGGTCTCGTCGAAGATGATGAGACAGCCGGCGCCCTGGTCGAGCACACCGATGATGACCTTGTCCAAGATCATCTGCGACAGCTTGCGCTCGACCTGCTGAGTATCCAACCCGACCATCTTGGCGATATGGTTGATCTCGACGCGGCTAAAGGGCTCGATCACCTTGATCAAGTTCTGCTCCAACATGGCGTCGTACAACCGTCGCAGGTGGTTGCGGATGAAAGCGTCGCTGCCCAGCTCGTACTTGTAGGCTGCCAGCGCACGCTCGTACTCCTCAAGCGAACGGTTCGAGTGCGCCCGCGCGATTGCCTTCATGGCCTCAAGCGACTGGCCCGCGTACTTAAGCGCTTGCTTGGACGTCATTAGCTGGTTGACGTCGTCGGCCAGGTTGAGCATGATCTTGCACAGCAACATGTACTGCAGCGCCGCTTGCGCGCGCGCCGGTTCGTCCTGTGAGTGGTACCCGTCGAGCGCCTCGATGAAGTAACTGTACGCCGTCTGGAAGTCCTTGTCCTCGGCGTGTAGCATCCCGGACTGCATGTCGAGGTTTGCTTGCAGGAGCGGCGGGGTGTAGACCGAGGCGGCCGAGGTGCGGGCGCTAGTGAGGGCGGCGCGACCCTTGGAGATGTTGCCGAGGGCATGGTACACTCGGGACTCGAGGAGCTGCACTTCCACCAGCACCAGTTTGTCGTCCATACGCTTAAGCTCCCGCAGCAGGCCGTTAATCAGGGTGAGGGCATCGTAGTAGGATTGTTTGGCCATGTAGAGGGCCACGAGGCGGGTCTCGAGGTTCTGGCGGAGGAAACTCCGGCGCTCTGAGGTAGCCCATTCTATGCATGATTTTGTGACTGAGATCTGAATGTCGAGGGAGTTGGGGATGGCTTCGAAAAGGTCGAGCAGCTGGCGGACTGGCGGGGTAATGTAATGTTAGTAGAGCCGGGTGGGTTGGAGGGGTGCACGAAGAAGCGGCGTACTCAGCTTGGCTGTTTTTGCCTTTGCAAACGAGGACAACACTGTCCTGCTCTTAGTTACCAAGCCCGCGAGCTCATCTGTGTCCCTGCGCCGTGTTAGAGCCGATCCCCTCTCCTGACTGCCCACGAGCCCACCACCTACTTCTGGTCGCGGTAAAGCTCCCCCAAGCTGATAAGAGCAGCCTCATATTCCTTGACGGCAGCATCAGATGTAACCGATGGCGGCTTCGAGATGATTTCCTTGTAGATGCCCTCTGCCTTGCGCGGGTCCGACTTGGCCAACTTCTGCGCCTCGCGCACCCTCTCCGAGTCGCCCTGCGCCATCGTGAAGAGTAAGGTCGAGGGATGTGTGGTATTCGGGGTATTGGTTTATCTGGAGTACGGTAATCCGGGGACTGGAGGGGTCGTCGCGGGCAACGTCGGGAATGGTTGGTCGTGATGCTGTGTTGGTGTTGGGTGCGTGTGCAGTTGCAGTTGCTGCTCCAAATCCAACGCCCGCCAATGCCCTGCAGCCCGGCGTCCAGCTCAGGTCCAGGTTGCCGCAATCCGACGTAATGGGATCGGGCGGCAGCTGGTCTTGGCATTTCCCGCCTCCTGTGGCTTCTGTGGCTGGGTAGGTACCGAAAGCGGTGATAAATTCTGCCGCCGGACCCCGCCAAAATTTAGAGATGCGCCGTCTTGAATTGGCCGTGGCCGAGTTTCGTACATCCAAGCATCCAAGCAGATCAAGACATTCTCTACCAACTTCGAATTTGACCACAGCCACCCGACGAAACCCCGAACTCGAACCCAAAATATCAAAAACGACGAAGCTACGGTTACCGGAGCCATCATGAAGGTACGACTTGGGCCCTGCACATCATCAACACCCATCTCCGTAGACGGCGCCACCGAACCTCACAACCTTCAACCGTCTAACGATACGGGCGCTAACATGCTTGCCGGCAGATCAAAGCCCTCAGTCGGGCCACCTCGACTCAGCAAGCGCCAGGATCGGATGTCCAGCGCGCGCCGCGAAATCTCGCCCCGGAAATCCACCCTTTCGAACGAGCTCGGGAATAGTACGTGGAAACTGGGGAGTGTGCGGGTGCAGGTGCGGTTCTGACATTGAAAAACAGCCAAAGAGCCCTCAATGCGGTTAAACTGTGAGGATACATATATCGTTGCCATACAGGAGCTAGGTACTAACTCGCACAAGGGAGCGCATGTTCGCCAAGCCCTTCCTCGGCCAGCTAGGGAGCGGCCACGTTCAGGGCGTGTATAGCATGTGCAAAGTTTGTTCTCACAGGTTGTCAGCGGGTGTGAATATGGGCGAGGCTGACCTTTTCCAGGACAAGAACTCCCTCAGCTCCGTAGCTTCAGGGTCCGGCGACGGTGTCATCAAAGTTTGGGATCTCACAGCACGCGACGATGAGGCCTGGCGGACAGCTGCACAGTAAGTTCGTTATCGAGCTTGCGGCAGCCTCAATGCTGACTGTATCTCTCAGCTCAAATATCGTCAAGGGCTTGACCTTCACCAACGACAAGAAACTCCTCTCCTGCGCTACCGACGGCATCAAGTTGTGGGACCCGTACAACACGCCCAAAGACACCGCGCCGCTTGCAACTTGGCAAGAAGGCGGGCCATACACATCGCTGTCAGTTCACAGAACCGGGAACGTTTTTGCCGGTTCGTCGGGCGCCGGGTGCATTCGCGTCTGGGATCTTGATCAGAGCACCGCTGCGCAAACAATACAATGGCCCAACTTCACAGATACGATCACCGATGTTTGCTTCAACCAGGTTGAGACATCCGTCATTGGTTCTGTGGCTACTGACCGCTCTCTCATCCTTTTTGATTTGCGGACAAACAGTGAGTTGCCCCCCGGATCCGAAGCGAGGGACCGGGACTGACCCTGAGCGCAGTGCCTGTCATCAAGACGGTGCTCCAGTTTGCAGCGAACCGCATCGTCTTCAACCCGATGGAAGCCATGAACATGGCTGTAGCGTCAGAAGGTATGGCCCCCGCTGTACATGGGAAGGGCAATGCTGACAAGTCTAGACCACAACATCTACATTTTCGATGCTAGGAATTTCAATAGGGCGCAGAACATCCAAAAGGGCCACGTTGCGGCTGTTATGGATGTTGAGTTCTCCCCCACTGGCGAGGAGCTGGTTAGCGGTTCTTATGTAAGTCTTCGTTATGAGGTCTGATGAAGTTCGCAAACACAAACGCTGACTTGTTCATAGGACCGCACCGTCCGGATCTGGCGCCGCGACCAAGGCCAGTCCCGCGACATCTACCACACCAAGCGCATGCAAAGGGTATTCCGGACCATGTGGACCATGGACTCCAAGTACCTCCTCAGTGGAAGCGACGACGTATGTTCCCTACCTTCTCCTACGATCTTTTTCTTTTCCGTTTTACTGACCTCTTCGTAGGGCAACCTCCGGTTGTGGCGCGCCAACGCGTCGGAGCGCAGCGGCGTTAAGTCTACCAAGCAGCGGCAGGCGCTCGAGTACAACAGTGCGCTGACGGAGCGGTACTCACACATGCCCGAGATCAAACGCATCCGCCGCCACCGCCACCTGCCCAAGGTGATCAAGAAGGCGGGCGAGATCAAGCGCGACGAGCTGGGGGCCATCACGCGGCGCGAGGAGAACGAGCGCAAGCACTCGGACAAGAAGTTCCAGAAGCGCAAGGGCGAGCGGGAGAAGGCGGTGTTGGTCAAGCAGCAATAATGCATGGTTTATTTGGTGGCAGTGGTGGTCATGATTTGGTCGAGGGGCGGCTGGGTGGGTTGCCAGTATTCTGCATTGGGCGGCGTTTTGGGTGTTGCTTGGGAGGTATGTCCTTGGAGGCTGGGTCTGATACCATCCGTGTCTGGCATTGTACGCATGTAGATGAAAAACGCTTGGTAAGTCGTTGGGACTATCAGTTTGGTTTTTGCGCGCGTTTCAGAGGGCCTTCATGCAAACGGAGAAACGGGCCGTGATCGACGTCGTTTTGTTCGTGTATGTTGGGAAGACACGTCGGCGAGCTATCGTTGTCGGGTAGCTAACACACACTCACATGCATAGGACAACGAGTGATGAAAGTATAAGTGTGGTCTACCTAAAATAGTTTCGGTTTGCAACTTGGAGATCAGTGGTCGATCCAGCGAGCAGCATTCCCGGTACAATCCTCGATGAGTTAAGCCGGAGGATCGCGATCCCGCGGTGTTTTGTTCTGCACTTTATCCACGGAATCCATCAAGGACAACACAACTCGCCTCGATCACAAGGTGATGGAAACGGAAAGCTTCGGCGCCTACTCTCACGACACCTCATTCAGAACAGTTTCACGAGTATCCGCATTAACGAACGTGTTCAGCCGAGACTGGGGATAAACTTTGATGATCTGCGGTTCCCGGCGTCGATGACACAAATGATAAACCCCCTCGAATCCACAACTCGAGCAGAGCTGGCGAGCCGTCTTTTTGGGGGTTTGTGTGCTGCGACAACCCGGATCTCAGTTGACAATCAAGCGGCTGCTGATGTTGGTTAATATCATCTGCCGAAGACGAACTCTATTCCTGGGTATTACAACTACACCAATTCACCAGCGTTTTCTTCAAGTAGAACGTAAAACCACACCTACACAGTACCAGGTACAGGGGCTATTAACGTCATCCGAATATGCCCTTCCACGATCCTCTTCTAGCGCGGAGATCACTCCACCGACAAATGCCACTGCCCCTTCCACGTCCCTAGACAGCATCAGCTGGAAGCATGACTAAACCCTTATGTCTGGTTCTTTCATTCCTGGGACGGCGAGAAAAGTTCCCCGTAAACTGCCCCAGAAACCGGAGATCTGAAACAACAGGCGGCCAACCGACTGCTCGGCCGCGCATCCAACTTCCTAGGCCATCCAGGGCCGCGGCCCGTGAACACGGCACGCCTTCACGAGCCGCACATGGCAGGTGAGGCAGTGACAGCCACACCTAGATGACCTCGAACCCTGGTTGAAGCTTACTTTCACAAGGCCCGTGTTCCGTGTGCCGCATGGATCTCCCGTTGCATGACCATGTACATGGACGGCGGCGCAAGACCTGCTATCTTGGGTCGTAGGTTGCGAGATCTCGTAGCACCCCTGGATCGGCCCGCCGTCGGTACTCGCGTGCGTCCGCCTCTCTCGTCGGTTCAAGCCACCACGCCTGACGTGAGGCTGCTCCCGATCTCTGGATCTCGCGTTTTGGGCCCCGTTTGGGGTTTTGTCATTGGCGGCTTGGCTATCCCATGTTGGCACTTTGGACAACTCAAATAAGCGACGTTAGGGAAGACCATGGGTTGGGTGTCGATTGTGTGGCTTGTTGGATATTATTAGTGCCGTCTCTCGCCCATCTTGTGATGTGTGCTCCGGGTCTTCTTCTAGGCGATGCTCTATCCAGTCAATGGCGGCAATAGATAAACCGTTTCGAACCCTTCTGTAACTCGCGGATCGTTTCTCTGCAACGGCCTTCAATAACAACAATTCACACCGTTGGTGGTCGCCATACCTCACCATAATCGGATTGAGCAAAGAGTCAACACCAGCAATGGCTGACTCCGAACCCGTCACCAAACCGAAGCAGTATGGGGACATCCCAGCAGAGCTTTCCTTCGAAGAGGTTATCCAAAACCGAGCCGCTTCAGTCAGTCGAATCTCTCATCTTATCTCATGCTAGTGCTAACACTCCGCAGCCTTGCTCGTTAAGTGACTTCATGGATTATCTCTTCTACGTTGAGCACAATGCAGAGCCCCTGCAGTTCTTTCTCTGGTACTGGGACTACATCCAACGCTGGAGCAACCTTCTACCGAGACAAAAAGCACTCTCACCATCGTGGGACCCAGAGCAGGCCGCCGAGCCACAGTCTCGCTTCATCAAGTACAGCCACAAGCGAGAACGAAGCCAGAAGATGAACAAGATTCTCGCTATCATGGAGATGGACTCCGAGCGGGAATCATTAGATTATAGTAGTCCAGAAGACCACTCCCGAAGCGCTTCGATCATCACCTCCCCGCTCTCCTCACCCGCCGCGATCCTCAGCCCAACGACCTCGGTGAAACCGCCCGACTGGCAGCCATGTACGTTTTTGGGTATCCCTCGGCGGCTTTCACCTATCTCACGGACACACTTTACTAACAACCCGAACCAGTCACAATCCAGCCCTACCGCGACGAAGTATGCCGCATAACCCGGCACTACATCTGCCCCACGGCACCGCGCAGGCTCCAGCTATCCCCCAAAGACCGCGAGGCCTGCCTGCGCGCGGTACAGCACACCACCCGTAAGTCAAGAGTCAAGACCAACCCCACCACCCACCCACCCACCCACCCCAACTAACCCTCCACTTCCACCCAGACCCAACAGCCCTCCTCCCCGCCTTCCTCACCGCCCACGCCGCGCTCCGCGCCCGCAGCCACCCCTCCTTCCTGCGCCACACCCGGCGCAACGCCAACCGCGCCCGGCTGCGCGGGGTGCTCGCGCTCGGCTTCGCGCTGGTCACGCTGGGCTTCGCGCTGGACTTGGTACTGATGCTCTCGCGGCGCGGGGCGCACTGGCGCGTCGTGTGTGTGATGCTGTGGTGGCCGGGCCTGGCCGTGCTGGCGGCGGCGGCGAGGGGGGTTTGTGTGCTGTTGTGGTGTGGCGGTGGGAGGGGGAGGTGGGTGAGGCAGGTCAGGCCGTGGGAGGCGGTTGAGAGTGAGGTTGGGGATGGGGGTGGAGGGGGGGATGGGGAGGGCCGAGAGGGAGAGGAGGGCAAGGGTGAAGGGGTTGGTGGTGGGAAGGTTGGTGGAGGTGGTGGTGGTGGTGTTGATGGTCGTCAGGGGTGGAGGGAGCATAAGCGGACTGAGACAAGCAGTTCGACGGCGAGCATGGTTAGTAGTGCGAGCAGCACGGCGAGCCGGGTTGACCCGTTGCGGAAACCGAGTTTACAGGTGTTTGGGCCGGCGAATGAGTACGCGGGTGAGGCGTGGAGGGCTGAGTACGAAGCGAAGGGAGTGGTGAACAGGGTGTTTGATGAGACGGTGGTGGTGCAGAACAAGGCGCTCAAGATGTGGCAGGACCGGACCATCTTCGTTGCTCTGCTGTGGGGAGGGGCAGGGGCGGCGGCGTTGACGGTAGTGTCGTTGTTTGTACCGAGTGGGAGGTTGTATTGGTAGCGTAGAGAGGGTATACATGGACCATCCCGGCACGGGTGCGAGAACCGTAGCCCTATTTTTGGCTATCAACTCGAAGCTTCTTGACCCTTTGGCCAACTTTCAATACTCACAAAGTCTACATATCGAGGACGAGGTTATACCTTCCGTCCCTCTGTTATGTATAAACAGACCTCCTATCCCGGTGACCCAAGGATTAGCAATTAAGCGTATCGCCCATTCCTCGTCCATCCACATCAAAACCCGACATCATGCCTTCGTTGCTTCCCCAGGCCTTGCTATGCCATCCAGCATCATCCCTGTCGACATGGACTTCATCCAACGTCGTACGCGGCCATCTCTCATCAAGATTCAGCGTTCTCATCACCCAACTCCGTCATTCCCATCCAATGCATTAACCCATCCCACATAGGTATCATGATTACCCCGTAAAAGATCCAAACTCCCTCAACGCCGTGCCCACCTTCCAAATTTCCAAAGCCAAACCAACCCCGACTCCCAATGAAGCCAGACCAAACCATGACAAGAAAAAATGCAATAAAGTCAAAAGCTGTCATTATAAAAAGACAGTGAAAATCAACATCACCGACACCAGCCCCACGCCCATGCCAGCGATGGCCCTGTTTGCTGAGGCAGGGTTCCTCGTCTCGGCCCCGTGGGATGCGCTGGTTGAGACGTCGTCAACGTCTGGGCCGTGGCCCGACCCTGGCGACTCGGGCTGCTGAGGTGGCGGGCCATGCGGGTCGCGGTTGGTGGCCCGCCGTGTGATGACGGGCAAATTCTCTTCATGATAGTCTGAGTCTGAGACTTCTCTCTGAGCGGTGATTTTGGAGTCTGTTCGGTTCTTCTGGCTTGGGCGGGCGATGTTGAGTGTGTCCAGGTCGATCGTTCTAGCGTTGGCGCTGGGTGACCGTATTGAAGCGCCATCTTGGCGTGTGTCTTGCCCTTGGTATGGCACAGCTGCAGGAGGGTTAGCTTCATGATCCAAGTGAGTTGCTCACCCCAATGTTGACTTACCCTTCAAAATGACCTTGCCGTCAGTGAGGACCTGGTCGCTGACGACTGCGGCTCCGCCCCCCGCCAGCAGGACTAGTACGAGCCAAGAAACCTTCATGGCTAAGGTTCTTATCCCTTCCCCCGGACCGCCAAGAGATGGATGAGTGGCCAAGCAACTGGCGAGAAAGGGTAAAATGGTGAAATAAAAGCTGGGAGTGCACCGGATTCATAAAATTAAAAGATGCGATCCTCCAACGCTTTCCCGACCAACTGGCGAATCCTCGCCTGAAATTCGCCGATCAAGTCGTCTTCTGTGCCGCAATGCAGTGCGACAGGGGGGTGGTCGAGGGGCGTTGCCAAACAAATAGTGCAGCTCAAAAATAGGCAAGGCTGACCGGAGTGACACAGCCCAAACGAGACGAGTCGGGGTTGATTCCTTCTCATGCACGGTTCCCCGCCGTTGGTTTTGGTGGTTGTGGAAAATTCTAAGTCGAGCGAGAGACGGGAAGGTGCGTCAGATTTTCGAGTCTTGACGGGGACGTCCGAATGCGACCAAACGAGCGAGTGAATGACGCGAGTGGTGGTCGATCGAGATCCCCCCCAAAAAACGTTATCGTCACCCGTGTTCAGCACCTTCCAAAACAGAAGGCAAAGTCCGCACCCGGCCGGACTGTGGTCTTATTCGCCAGAATTGCGTGTGAAAGAAGGGCAGGAACGAGGGACGAGGAGAACTTGAATTCGGAACATCCATGGCAAGAGGAAAACAGAAAAGAACAAGCACAGAAGGCTTGTCGAACAGGCCGACATTCCACTTTTCAGCCGTTGAGAGCGGCCTGCATCCATTCGGTTTCCTTGGTCTGCGATATCTTGCTATCTCGGCTGAAGATGGATCTCGATGCAACGCTAGGCTTCCGCAACGGAATGGAATGCAGCCAAGTGGGCCAGGCCAAGGCGCATGGGGAGGCTGGACCTGCACCAGCCTTGGTTCGTGCAGTGGGCCTTGTGGGACGCAGCCACGGGCAACCCTTTTGCAGTCTGCCGATCGCTGACGGGGTGTGTGGGGGTTGTCTTGAGGGTGTCACAGTGTGTGCCACAAAGAGTGGGATGAACCTCGTGTTGTCGAATCGGATGTGACCATATTCGGCATGTTCCCGTTTCTGACGCCCAACAACAAACCGAGTCGTTGGTCGGACTTGCAGGCTGTCCTTGGAACTCTCTCCATGGCGTGCCTCCTGTCTTGTCTTGAAACGGCACTCCGGGCCGACTCGACACCTTCTGGGTTCCTATCTAAATCCGGTGTGTTCCCGTCTCCTCGCGATGACGTCGTCTAGGCGGGGCTTTGTCTTGCAGGGTCAACAACCCTAACCCGCGGCATCACCCCGACAACAACATCACGTCCTCATCGCCAAAACGCTGATACCCAAGCTCGACGACAACTGAGTCAATCTAATTGAAGCTATGTACTTCCAACCCCTCGCCGCTCGGCTATCTCCTTTACAAATGCCCCACCATGACACAGTCAGCCATCGGCGGAGGCCGTGTGCTTGTGCTCCCTTCATCCGAATTCACGAAGGAACGAAACACCCTCGATGAGGAGCGACTTCTGCTGTTTGACGGCGTGTTGTGCGCTGCTGTGACTACTCCAAGATCCATTCCTGGCCCTGGAAGCTGCTGCTTCCCCCGCCCCACCCCGAAGGGAACCGGTGAAGCTCCGGGCACTGACGCTGCCACCGCTTCCCGCACTGCTCCGCTTGGCGTCGTCATATTGTGACTCGCCTCCCCGCTGTGTCGAGATACGCCTGCTGCCAGAGCTACTAACGCTCGGGATCGAACCTGAGCTCAGTCTGTTTTCCACACCAAAGCCCCAGCCGCCGCCCAGACGCAGGCAGTGCGGCTCCGGAATGCCACAGTCCCAGGCAAGGATTTGACGGATCTTTTCCCGGACTTGGTTGGCGGTCAGGCGGTCTGAAGGGTCGTATGAAAGCATCCCCACGACCACTTCGAGGATTGGCATAACGCCTTTGAACACCGGGTCGTCCTTTTTCGAGGCATCATCGGCCAATTGTACCATCCAACTCTCAATCTGGTCGACATTGTCGTGGAAGGAGGAGTCTGGGAAGGGGCTACCACGGCCCGCGGCACTGTGCTTCGCAGCCCGGTGTGCAGCGAACGGCCGTCCTTGCTTCTTGAATAAGAAGCTAAGAAGCTCGAGGATTACACAGCCCAGCGAGAAAATGTCGGCGGCCTGGGGATTGAAATCGGTCGCCCGGTGGCTGCCGTCGTCTGCCGACCGATGAGACGGGCCCGGCGATGAGGGTGTGGGGGTCGGCACCTTCTCCGGGGCACTGTAGTCGTACGCCTCTCTGTCGAATGTCGTGCTCTCCGTGGTGCCGCTCAGGACATTGAGGTGGAATTGCGTAAACCCGGAGAGAAAGACGAAGTTGCTCTTCGAGAAGTGCACAGTCGATGGTCTGATGTTCACGTGCGCACGGCCCTGGTTGTGGAACGAGTAAACCGTGTCGGTCAGACAGTATATCCAGTTCATGACTGCCTGTCGACGCGTTTTCTTGTCCAGCTTCTTCAAACAGCTGGGCATGGTGGTGAGGAGCGACTTGAGGCTGAACTCGGGAGCCGGCGTGAACAGAATGTATCCGTACCCTTGGTGAGTGTAAGACGCCCAGTACGACAACATGTGCTCGTTTTGCAAGTTCTTGATGCCATTGACCTCAGACATGAACTTTTCCTGGTCGACATAGTCTGTACCAAGACGTAGCTGGCAGCGGCAAAACACCGTCCCGGGCTGGTTCGGCAGAGTGACCTTGTCGACACGATAACCTTGGCCTGCGGCAGGTTTCTCCGCAATATCGAGTGGAACCAGTTCCGGGTCTTCATAGTCGATATGGATGTTTTCGTCCAAGTATCGCAGGACGTAATGAAATTGCCGATGGTAAAGTTTCTTTTCTGTTCTCTCGTTATTGGCGGGTATTAATCCGAGATGCTGTATTTGTTCGAGTGAAAAGGGGAGGTCTTCATCGTCCAAGGAGTCATCGATGAGCTCAAAGATGCAGTGTGCCAATCCCACGTCGGCGAGCACGAGGAATGTTTTCTTGGACTTCGCCTCTATCCATTCCCAGTAAGTGCTGGTGGTTAAGCCCTCGCCAAAGCTGGGAATCTGGTCGAGGCGCTGGTCCGCTTGAGATTTGAGTCGGCTGCGGGCGAACTGCTTCGTCACAGTCTGCTCGATCCTTTTAGTGTCCCACCACATGGTAAAAAGAGTTGTGGCCTTAGAAATCAGCAAGATTTGCAGTTAGTGTGTAGGGGAAGTAGATGGGGACACTCGAGATTCGAAGAAGCGAAAGAGCGTGAACGTGAAAGTGAAAGGGGATGAAGTGCCAGTAGGTGGGAAGGTGCCCATGGCGAAACTAATTTGAGGTAGATGCAGACAGCTGTTTGTTTCTCCATCGTCAATATAAGCATTCTGAAAAGACGGCACCTGCCAGTGTCCCAAAGCGCTAGTTCCTTACATGCAAATGCGAACGACCCTATCACCTGCTTTCTCTCAAGGTATCAGACATAGTTTTGAGGGTGCGTTCTAGAACTAGAATCCCCGTATATACCGAGATAGAAACAAATTCGAGGTGCAGGTGGTTTAATTTAGTGTCTTGTGGTGGAGCTAAGAGACACTCAAGGTGCAATAGCTGGAGGCTGTGCGGGAAGGAACGCTTAGGACGGAATCCATTCACACAGGAATTACCTATTGTAAGCCCCTCTTTATATTTCAGGTTCCAGATTTACTCAATGCCATCTTTGGTTGTTTCTTCTGATCAACTGTGTTCCTTTTCTGGTATTATGGGGATCTCATCGTACCTACCTAGATAGATAAACGACTGGAGTCTGAGTGTGGACTACCTATTGTGATCGTTCCGATGCTATTTTAGGTACGGAGTAATGCCGTAACACACAGAACGGGCCTGGACCCTAACCTTATATCACTGAAGCCTTGTATGATGGGAGTTCCAAGATGTGCGGCACTGGCAAAGCGAATAATAAGAGCAGGCTGTCTGGATCACAAGGGACAACCTCAACCCTAACTCTACATTTATCAGGTCACATGTATTAAACGACTGGAAACTCTTACAGTCCTACAACTTGATGTCACCCCAACCTTCTCCTTTATCTCCTGTATCTCCTTTTCTACCTCCTACTTCACCTCCAATTATCGGTTGTCCCTTCTGCTAGTCCAAACCCCAGTCCGAGGCCATTGACACACACACACTATCCTCCACCTTAGCAGCTGCATCTACGGCAACCACGACCGCAGCAACTAGATGCCAGATTCATCATCGCAGTCCCTTCCTCTAATTTGTTCTCAGAACCAACTAGAGGCTCGCTGATGTAACTAATACAAAACGGGCCACGATCCAAAGTCTATCAGTTTCGGCTTTTCGATCTTCAAGCATGGTATTCCAGGGGTTAATGATACCTACACACCAGGGAATGGAGGTTTATTAATGACAATCCCAACCCGGAAAGAATTCGGCCCTTGGTGACCCCCGACCCCCCCCCCCCCCCCCCCCCCCCAAGAGACTCGAGCGGATTTTCACAGAGTCTAGATCATGTGGAAACAGTAAGACGCACAAAAACGCCGCTCGCTTCAAACCGTTAACTAGAGTTACAAGATGTGTATCCACTCCTTGTATATACACACCCGACCACCAAATACAATTACATCTTTTCATACCTCACGGCGCGTTGGTCTGGCGCCGGCGCCAGCCTCTATCCCCTCGTCTCTAAAACCCCTGTATCGAACCACCCTCCTTCTTCTCTTTCGCCGACCCTCTCCTCCCCACGAACGAGTTCATACCCTTATCTATACCCGCCAGCTTCCTCGCCACAGCCTGCAGCCCCACGGGTAGCACATTATACCAGTCGATCCACCGCGCATAGAGCGGCATGCCGATGGCGGCGTTCCTCCCGTTATCAATCGCGGCGATGACCTCCTTGGCCACGTCGACGGGCTCGACGACGGGGGCGAGGAAGCGGTTCGGGGTCTGGACGCCGTAGAAGAGCGGGGTGCTCAGCTGGCCCGGGGTGACGAGCACGGTGCGGATCTGCGGGTGCGACTCGCGCAGCTCGGCCGCGAGCGACCGGTGCAGCGCCGAGATGCCCGCCTTGGCCGCTGCGTAGTCGGTCAGCTGCGCCGCGCCCACCGTGCCGATCACCGACGAGACCGTGACGACCGTGCCGCCGACCTCGCTGCGCGTCATGGCCGGCAGGAAGGTTTTGAGCGTGTAGAAGTGGCTGACGAGGTTGGTGGTGAGGGACTTGTCGATCTCGGGGAAGGTCATGGAGAGGAGGGGCTTGCCGATGACGATGGCCGCGTTGTTGATTAGGACCGTGGGAGTGCCGAGCTGGAGGGGTAGTAGTTAGTATGGTTGTGATGAAGAAGCAGGGAAATATGAGAGAGCAGGGAGAGAGCGATGAGGGGACACTTACGTCTCTCTCGATCTTGGCCGCCACCCGCGCGAGCTGGTCCTTGTCCGTCACGTCGCACTTGTAGTATGTGACGCCCCGCGACTCGCCGTTCTCCATCTCCACGACGTCCAGAACGGCAACTGTGGCCCCGCGCATCCCGTATACCTCAGCGATCAGCAGGCCCAGCCCGCTGGCGCCGCCGGTGATGACGATAACCTCCTCGCTCAGATCCACCTCGCGCGGCAGACCAAACGCCAGCCTGTTGTTGATAGCCCCGGCAATCCAAGACAGGGAGATAATGGAAGCCCAAGCAATCGATACTAGCATAGGCGGCGCGTCCCAGAACATATTCTGGGCGCGGAAGCAGAGCGGGACGATCCATGCGATGAAGGGGTGGAAGAAACTGGTCTTTAGGACCTTGACGAAGAGGTCGATCGAGAGCGGCGCGAACCAGGAGTCGCGCTGGGGTGGAGTGCCATATGGAGAAGGCATTATGAGCTTGGCTGCTAAGGTTTCGAGGTTGAGATTCGCGGTGGTTTAAACTTTGGATACGATCGATCGTGATGATGCCGATTGCGCCGGGTACGACGTCGTTCCGTTCTATTATCGAATTACAGTGGTAGATTAGAGGTATACCAAACAGAAAGGGCGCCCTGCGGTCTTCAAACTTTATTGCATGGTTGAAGGGAAAGAGAAACAAGCTGACGATAGTTTAGACTGCTCGGGGGCACAGCTTCACGTCATCCGAGTTCGTGGCCTTTGGCGCACATGCAGTCGACGACAGGCTGTGAAACACCCCTGGTCTGAGCACCCTGCACCAAGACCCCTCGCCGCCAAAATGTTCCAATTGGAGCCGCTGGCATTCCCCTGCAGATTCCAGAGCAATCGTGCGGCTGGGCAGATCTCTTGGCGGGGCCAGTGGAGTTGGGACGGAAGTCGGAGACGGCGGGCGCCGGCCTTTGACAGCTTCTTCCGAAATCACCGAGCAATCCACGGCGACGCGCTCCACAACTAATTCGGCGCCACATCCGGTCGCAACGGCAGTTACTCGGAGCCAGATAAACGGGCAATGCACAGCATATCATAGCATCACGAACGACGGCCACGAGGTCAGAAATGCCGTGAAGATGAGCAGCGCAGAAGAGCCCTTGATTTCCCGCCATCCCTCCCCGTCCGAGGACCACCCCGACAATGACGACGACAACCACGACAACAACGACAACAACGATATCCGCCATGACGCAACCACCTACGATGCCGCACCACCCCCCGCCTCACCCACCCTCTTCATCTACCTCCTCACCTTAAGCGCGGGCATTTCCGGCCTCCTCTTCGGCTGTAAGCCACCCCCTCCCCTCCCTACCCCCCATCCACCCCCCCATCCCCAACGACACTAACCACCTCCCCCCCAAAACAACAGACGACACCGGCGTAATCTCCTCGACCCTCGTCTCCATCGGCACCGCCCTCACGCCCCACCCCCTCACCACCCTCGACAAATCCATCATCACCTCGTCAACCTCCCTGCTCGCGCTCATCATCTCCCCCTTCTCCTCGGTGCTCGCCGACCGACTGGGCCGCAAGCGGGTGATCCTGCTCGCCGACGCGCTCTTCGCGGCGGGCGCGGCCGCGCAGGCGTGCAGCGGCTCCGTGGCCGCCATGGTCGCGGGCCGCGCTGTGGTTGGCATGGCGGTGGGCGCGGCGAGTTTTGTGGTGCCGCTGTATATTGCGGAGCTGGCGCCCGCGGCGTTTCGCGGGAGGCTGGTGACGATGAATGTGATTTTTATTACGCTGGGCCAGGTGGTGGCGTATGTGGTTGGGTGGGTGCTGGGGGAGTTTGGGGATCCGGCGACGGCGTGGCGGTGGATGGTGGGGCTGGGCGCGCTGCCTGCCGTGGTGCAGGCGGTTGTGATGGTGGTTATGCCCGAGACGCCGAGGTGGTTGGTGATGGTTGGGAGGGCTGGGGAGGCGAGGGGGGTGGTGGAGAGGGTGCTTGAGGGGAAGGGGGAGGGGAGGGAGGTGGATGCGACAGTGAAGGGGATTGAGATTGAGGTGAGGGAAGAGAGTGAGGAGAGGAGGTTAAGAGGGAATGGAACGGGCGTTGGGAAGGCCGTGTGGATGGATTCGGCCGGGGAGCTGTTTGGGGTAAGAAGGAATCGCAGGGCGTTGGCGATTGCTTGTTTACTTCAGGGGTTGCAGCAGCTGTGTGGATTTGTGAGTGCTCTCGAGCTCCCGGTTTACGATCCGGTCACTGACAAGTCGTCTAGAACTCGCTCATGTATTTCTCGGCTACGATATTCACGATGCTGGGCTTCCCGATCCCGACACTCACCTCACTGGTTGTGGCGGTCACCAACTTCGCCTTCACCCTCGTGGCCCTCTTTTTGATCGACCGTATTGGCAGGAGGCGCATCCTGCTCTGGTCGATCCCGTTTATGGTTGTGGGCCTCCTCCTCGCAGCATACGGCTTCTCGTTTATTACACTCGCTGCGGTCGATTCGGCCGGCGATGGACCTACTCCCACCCCCGCCCGCGGCGCCGCGATAACCATTCTCGTGAGCATCATGGTCTACGTTGCCGGTTACGCTTTGGGGTTGGGGAATGTGCCCTGGATGCAGAGCGAGCTGTTTGCGCTCAACGTGCGGTCGCTGGGAAGTGGCATTGCCACGGCAACCAACTGGGGAGCAAACTTTGTGATAGGGCTGACCTTTCTGCTGCTCATGGATGCGCTTACGCCGTCGTGGACGTTTGTGCTCTATGCAGGGATATGCGCCGTCGGGTATGGGCTGATCTGGAACTTCTACCCCGAAACGGCAGGGCTGAGTTTAGAAGAAGCGGCGAGTCTTCTGGAAGACGATCGATGGGGCGTGCGTTGAAATATTTGTACAGATGTACATACAACGAACATGCATTTTGGTGGACCCAGAATCTTCGCGATGCATCCATGCGCAACAAGCGGGTTCCAGTCTTTGCCGTGAAGATACAGTACAGCCCTGGTTTGTTTGTTAGCGCGTCCGATTTGACAGGGGCCCAGTTCAAAAGTTGAAAACCCCTACCTCGACAGCCCAACAACCGTTTAAAATGAAAGCAAATGCAATACTCAGGAGCATTCGTAAAGACGATTCCAATCAAGACGTTTTTTTAGTAAAGAAATGCGTGGTTGTGTTGTTGAGTTGGAAATTTTGGCAAGGATCCCGGTCTTGAAGTCACGGGCTAACGAACTTTCAGGGATTGGAGTGTAAGCTTTCCGTTGCTGGATCTGCGTGCCGAGGCATCAAGAGTGGAAACCGGCAACGAGGCTATTCTCGGTCACCAGCGGCAATTCGCGGAGGGCGGAACTCCAAGGCCCGAAAAGAAATCCGGGCCGTTGGATTATCTTGGCAGTCCTGTTGGGCAGCGATAGAAATTGAAAATGGAGGGAAAAAAAACTGGAATAAAAAATTTCCCGCTGGTGGGCAAAGTCGCAGCCGGGGACGCCGTTCAGGACGCCCCTGAGGTTTCGAGCCTTGCGGGACGAATCTTTTTACGGCAGATCATCTTGTTTCCTGATTGGACGGTGCAAGTCGTGGCATCCTCAATGGTGGCTGCGCTGCGGGATTACGTCAAAGCGAGTCCACGAGCCGGACTTAAGACGGGCGTCGCTTTTTTGGTCATCGAAGACCGAATCCCGCCCATTAACTCCCGAGTCCTGCATGGCTGTGTAGGTTGTCTGTCTTTGTCAGGAGCAACAAATCGAAGCATAGTCAGCAACAAATCATTTATGTATTGCGATATCAACACTGTGATGAATAACAGCTACGAACAAAGTCAACAACAGCCGAAGCATCTAGCCCATTCTGATGGGCCACCACACAGCGATGCACTCCTGATCTAAAGTTGCACTCCACTCTCGGGCTTGTTGCCGCGCTTCGGATGGAGTCACCGGCGGGCCTTGGCGGAGATGAACGGGGACAAATGCACCGCTGAGCTGGGATTCCATGATGAAAATTTACAAGCGAAGGACGGCGCCGGGAGATAACAGCGTCCCGGAGCTCTGCTGCCGCCTGTTATCCGCGGTCGAAACACACTTTGTCATCGGCGTGGATGCTGCCGGGTTCCATTTTGACAGGCTCATAGGCAGGGAAGATGGGATAACTAGGGCTGTTGGATGCGACGAGCTAAATTGGTAATCACTGTAATCACGGTTGCCGGCCGTGAAAGCGCGAATGCCGAGGCCACATCATGGACCAAGCCGAACCACCGACGGAACCACTTGGCGTGGGCAAACATTCAATGTGGACTCCAGTTTTTGTTCCTTTTCCCTGACGGATCCATGAATCACTATTCTCTGCCCGGCAAGCAAAGTCTCCGGGATGTGTAGATGTAACTTCCTTATTAGGGGGGGACTCCCCCCAAGAGGAGGAGGCGAATTCCATCATCACTCTTCATGCTACCACTCCATTATTAGTATTCGTTTTATATCGGCTTCGTACTATTAAACACAGGGTCCCACTACTTCTCACTCTTGGTACCTTGTCTGCCAGTGTGCTGTGTGCTGTTGTTGATATACCCCTGAATACACCGGATAATTAGAACATCAACCACTCCAGGATACTACTACCTAATCCGCTATACACTCGACAACAACCCAATGGTACCAGACAACGTGGACCGCTCTCTCGAGGCGGCCGAGCGCGATGCTGCTCTACGCCGTAGCGAGGAAATCGAACGGGTGGTCTCAGCGTCGTCCGTGTCATCCTCCTCCTCGGAAGCTTCCCAACGGGGTTCTGGGTTGAACCGTGTCGAGACACAACGGGATCTGGAACGCCACAATACCGAACTGAGCCGCATCCAAACAGCGCGGAGTCAACACAGCGGGACTGTCGGGAGAGATGCCAGGGGCAAGGAGTGGAAGAGGCCACTGCCCAACTTCGGCGCCGGCAAGGAATACCCACCGCTACTACCAAACCAGGAGGACTATGTTGTCGAGTTCGACGGGCCCGATGATCCTCTTCATGCGCAGAACTGGCCGTTGAAGAAGAAGTGAGTTTACACTTTCCCCTCCACGCCCACCTTTACTTTAACCCTTTATCAGCGACAGAAAGCTGACTATACATTCCACAGGATCGCCACTGCCGTTATGCTCGGCTTCACCACCATGACCGCCGCCTTTGGCTCGAGTATATTCTCCGCCGCGACGGGCGCTGTCGCGATCGAGTTCGGCGTGTCTTCCGAAGTCTCCCTCCTCGGCGTCTCCTTCTACGTTCTCGGTTTCGCCACCGGCCCGACCTTCTGGGCACCCCTCTCCGAGCTCAAGGGCCGCCGCCTGCCGCTAGTCCTCTCCATGTTCGGCTTCTTCATCTTCAACATCGCCAACGCCGTCTCCAAAGACCTCCAGACGGTCCTCATCACACGCTTCTTCGCCGGCTTCTTCGGCGCCTGCCCGCTCGCCGTCGTGGCCGCCGTCTTCTCCGACATGTTCGACAACCGGACCCGCGGCATCGCCATCACCGTCTTCTCCATGACGGTCTTCACGGGCCCGCTCCTGGCGCCCTTCGTCGGCGGCTTCATCGTGGAGTCCCACCTCGGCTGGCGGTGGACCTCGTGGATCGTCTCCTTCATGGGCGTCTTCGCCTTCGTGCTCGACCTGCTCTTCCTGAACGAGACGTACCCGCCGACCATCCTGGTCGGCAAGGCGGCCGAGCTGCGGCGCCGCACCCTCAACTGGGGCATCCACGCCAAGCAGGAGGAGATCGAGATCGACGTGCGCGAGCTCGTCACCAAGAACTTCTCGCGCCCCATGCGCCTGCTCTTCACCGAGCCCATCGTCACCCTCATCTCGGTCTACATGGCCTTCATCTACGGCCTGCTCTACCTCTTCCTGACCGCCTACCCCTTCGTCTTCCAGGGCGTGCACGGCATGTCGGCCGGCGTGGCCGGGCTGACCTTCTTCGGCATGGTCACGGGCCAGCTCATCGCGGGCATCGTCGTGCTGCTGCAGCAGCCGTGGTACCAGCGCAAGCTGGCGGCCAACAACGGCGTGCCCGTGCCCGAGTGGCGGCTGCCGAGCGTCATCGCCGGCGGCGTGGCCTTCGCGGCGGGGCTGTTCTGGTTCGGCTGGTCGGGCTACCGCCGCGACATCCACTGGATCGTGCCGACGCTGTCGGGCCTGCTGAGCGGCTTCGGCCTGGCCTCCATCTTCCTGCAGTCGCTCAACTACCTGGTCGACGCCTACCTCATGTTTGCCGCCTCCGCCATCGCCGGCAACACCTTCTTGCGCTCCCTGGCCGGCGCCGGCTTCCCGCTCTTCTCGCGCTACATGTTCGAGGGCATGGGCATCCAGTGGGCGTCCACCCTGCTCGGCTGCATTGCCGTCGCCCTGGTGCCCATCCCCATCGTCTTCTGGATGTACGGCCACAAGATCAGGGCCCGGAGCGCGTACGCGCCGACCTACTCTGCCAACGCGCAGGCGGCGCCCGGGACGGCTGATTCTTCCGACGAGGAGGAGGGGAATGGCTCGAATGAGAAGGTGGTTATGGAGGGGTCGGCGGACGCGAGCGTGCCGAGGTTGGATAGGGATGCGAGGAGTGCTGTTTGAGGGGTGCCGCCGCCGGGCAACCGGCTGGCTGACGGAGAGGAGAAGAAGTTGTTAATGTGCATAGTGGTGGTGGGGTGGGTTTTGCTTGGACATCGGCGTTTCGGTTTGGGAAAAGGTGCATGGCACGGGGGCATTTGAATACCCAGCGCATAGATACGGCTCCTCATATAAATATTCGAATGGCGTCACGACGTCTCTGCCAACATGAATTTAGTTTAATAATGTACATGATAAAATATGCAGCGTGCTATCAATACCTACCTATGAAGATTAAGTTTCCACATTATGCCTCCGAAGCTCTTCTCATCACCAGAGGAAGTTGTGGTTTGTTTTCAATATCCATCGATACCACCGGAGGCCCCGAACCATTCAGTTAATGGACCAGAAAGCATCGTCAACAACATGGTGAGGATTTTATCACTGAATAGGGGGGGATGATTGATGAAGCGGAGTTTCCTAGGATTTTATCGGGTCGCGATTTCTAACTAATATAACTGTAATATATCTCATGTTATCCCTGATTCCCCGCTCGACTAGAAGAGCAACGCCTTCAAAAGATATCGCAGACAAAATCAAACGCTCAGCTTTTAGGCCCATGATGCGCCCCTCCCCTAACAAGCAGATTATCCACAACGCAAGGCCACACTTCACCCGCAAGCATGCGCTTATCCTTCAAAATGGCCTTGCGGTGGGGTTCGAATCCTTCCGCGACCCGCGGGCCCTCCGACATGCTACCCTGCCCGCATGCAAAGAGAAACAGGGCGAAAAGGGGCGAAGTTCGCCGTGCTTGGCCGGTATCCGTATGCCTCGAAGACATGTGGCTTGGAGTCCTGGCCACCCACCCAAGCGGTTAAAGATGCAGGAACTGATAAAAGTGATCGCGAAGCCGATTATCAGTTGGTAGCTGCCCGAGGCGGAACGGGGCTGGAAACGGGGATGTTGAGTATCTCGGCCCTGGGAGTCGCCGGTCTTGTCCCCTAGTGCTCGTCATGTAGACTGACATGATCCTTACGACGGAGCCGAAATCAACCGCAACGTGCCGAGGTCGAGGCCGCCCGCGTCGTCAAGACTCGGTTTCCGGATGCCTTTTGTAAGGTGAGCATGGAGAAGGACAGTGTTACCCTGGGCTGACACTATAATCCCTCTGCGAGACACTGGGGCATGTGTTATCGTGGGCGAGAGCTGTGGTTGACGGCCGCAATACTTTGATAACGACGCTGTCCCGTGCATCATGTTGTCGAATGTGTTGACCGCATACCATCCCGCGTTGACATGGCTGGAACTAAAGCACGGGACGGGTGTTCATCTGACTCGCGGTACTCCATGACACTTCTGTTTCGCCGCCTGCCGAGCTGGGTTCTCGGCGCGGCGACTGGTGGGACGGCCCCGACTTTGTTGGCGGTCTTCACATCATCTCTCATGCTCACGGAGGCTGATGACGGCAAGCTACGAGGTGTTAGCAATGAACCAAGGAACGAAACTACCGCCACATACCCTGTTTTCCGAGCCATAGACCAGGCGCTGGCCTTCGCAGTCCCAGCCTAGACACGGAATAGCGTCCTCCGTATCGGTACCCGAGTTGGGACTTTGCCAGCCTGGTTGTGGCACCCAGCTGGCCTTGGGCATGGTGTGGTCACCCATCTTCCAAACAAGTATCCGGTCGTGGGTCGCTACGGCGATGAGTGCCCCGTCGGGACTCACCGAGAGATTGTTAACCGCGAGCGGGGGCGGCATTGTAATCGAGTATTTTGGCTTATTATCGGCATTGCGGACGTTCCACACCAGAACGGCCCCATCTTCGCCCCCAGATACTAGCAATCTCTCGTCTTCGGTAGGGTCGTTTTGCAGCGGTTGCCACTTGAGGCTTGTGATACCGCCGTCATGGGCCGGTATCGAGCGGCGCTTGCCAGATTCATCCCAGATCTGGCGCACTTAGAGTCAGCGGCTGCATACGCATCTTTTCTTGTCAGCAGCGAAAACTCACGTCAATATATCCCTTGTCGCTCGCGGTAGCAACCAGTCTCGACCTCCAATCGAACTCGACGAGGCTGAAGCGTTCGTCCTTGCCTGTCTGGAACTCTCTGCCCTGCACAATTCCTTGTTCTGTGCATCGGAAGGAGACCAGCAAATCACCGCCGCAAAGGAGGAACTCGGTCTCGCTGATCCATGTCGCATCGAGGCTGTCGGAGGGGAGGTCGTGGTCCAGGACATGCGACATGGAGTTCACCATGGAGGGAGACGAAATATGAATCAAGGTACCCGGACTCGCCAGGCCACTGCTCAAATCCGGGCTGATGGCAAGAAGGAGTTTGTTGTTGGGGCTCCAGCAGAGGTTGGTGACGGGCGTGTCGAGGCCGTCGAAACGGTGCATGCTGGTTCCATCCACAGAGCAGATGCTCACGCGCGACTTGTTGCCGAGCTCCGTGCCAAGCGCGATGAGCTCCCCGCTCGAGCTCCATGCCATGGCTGAGACAGTCGCATTCTTGGGCAGGTCGTCCTCGACGATGCTCAACGAGGACGGACTGAGGGAACCCACGTGACCGGGCTCCCCGTCTGGGGCGGTTCCACAAGGTAGTGTCCAAATGCGGGCTAGCGCATCTGTGCCGGCGGTCGCCAAGAGGGCTGGGTCCCGGGGGTTCCACTCGCAGAGGAGCACAAGAGGGTTTTCGTTAGCTTCCGGGGATTCGTCGGTGCCCAGTCGCAGAAACACGGTGCCCTGCGTCAGATCGCGCACCTTTTCGACCTGCGTGCCGCGCGACGGGCCCTCGGTGCGCAGGAGCGGGGACTCGGCCTGTTCGCCCTCAAGCGGTGACGGATATGCGTGGTTGTTGTCTGGCTGGTGGTCGATTTCCATTGGCGTGGTGGCTGAATCGGCCCCATTCTCGTAGCCGTTGCTGAGCCGCTGTCGCTTTGCGGGGGATCCATGCGACAATTCGCGGTGATGCTGCCGCTCGACCGCCCGTTTCCGTGGGTTCTCGATCTCCTCAGGCTCGGCCTCCGGCTCGGATTCCTCGTCGTCCTCCTCGTCTTCGTCCACCACCATCTCGGGCTGAAATTTCAGCGGCCCAAACACCCCCCGCGAACCTGCCTCGGCCGTTGCCGGCACATCGCACGGCGCCTGCAAGGAAATGTCAACCCCGGCACTAGCGCCCCCCTGGGCCCAAAGCCACCACCAGCACACCTACCCGCCAATTCCATGCCGGGTGCAACCCCAACAGGAATGGAGGGAGGGCGTGCCCAGAAAATTGAATGGCCCATAAAATGAGAGGAAGTTGAGAAATCGTAGGAGAGACCGTACCTGGTGCGTAGCTGCCGCAAACTGCCTTTGGTAGTCTTCGTATATGAGGCCTTTGTTCAGAAGCGACACTAGCGCATATGTGTTCACATGAGATGCGAAATCGAATTGTCTGTGAGGCTGGTGCACCCTCCACTCTTTTTGGAGCTTGGCGGCCGTCTCTCGATAATCTGTGGTGGTCAGTCTCACCTCGCCCAGATTCAATGCCCGGAAGGCAGGGCAGCAGCGGGGCTCTCGAAAGAGCCCGGCGCGGCAGCAGTGCACATACTTGATTCGAGCAGGTACCTAAATTTCGAGCCGAACAAGCAGAGTTAGTGATCAAAACGCCTCAAACAGCGCCCTCGACCGAGCCTTGAGACGAAGCGAAAAACAATCGAACCTCCAGACAAGAAAGTTGACCCGGTCCGTGTCAAGTAGCTCCTTCATTGTCGGTGCGCCCGGGTGCGGCAGTGAGTGGCGATGGGGGACACAGCAGAGGTATTGGTGCAGGCGTAGCGATGAGAACGCGCGACGACGGGAGCTCGGTCGATGAGCAGGTCGTAATTGGGGTGGTTTTGAGCGAGAATTCGGTGTTGAAGGGTGAAAAGCAACCTCGAAAGCGCCAGGCCGAGATTTGAGATTGGCAGCGTTCGGACCACGGGCCAGCCAGTGCGGGTTTGTCAAGCGTGAGGCATGGGTCCCACCAGACAAGTGGTCCCTGCCGCTTGTTTAGGCGAACGACTTGGATCGCGGCGCGGAACGCTAAGCTCCTTCGAGCACCACCTCAGCCAGCAGGCAAAGATCAAACGGCCAGCCCCGCGGGGTGCTGCGTGGCGACCAGGGGGACGGAAGGGCACCGATCGCGAATCGAGTTCTGATCAATCTCATTTAGCACATGTAATGGAAGCCATGGAAGACTCGACAAAAGGAACCCGGGTTTCATTTGCAGTGCGAGACCATTCATTGTATTACCTTCAATTAAGAGACGCCCTGGTTGTGGACCGCCGACCAGTTCCAGATTTCTCTGCGCGAGGATGCAGGTCAGACCTGGTCCTGCACGCCATTTCGGGCTAGCAGCTTCCTCGGGAGGCGACGACTGTTACAGTGCTTTACAGTTATGACTGCAACGGGATTCGGGTAATGCACGACTTTTCAAATCCAAGGTCACAACTCTGGCGGTTTGAACCCATATTCTTGAGAACATATCGCTGTTTTACAGATTACTTGGAGTTAACAAGAGTTTAAAAGCAAGATCCCCTCCCCCCCACGCAGGTGCGACGGACGACCCTTCCTTCGGGATTTTATGGTGATGACCTCGCTGCCTGCGAGCCCTGGAATCACGTGCAAGCAACTCCAACAACCGCTCAGCCTGGCGTGGAAGAGGTGGGGCTGTGAAGAATATAAGTACTGCTGATTTCGCCCAGGGAGCGGACACCAGTTTACCTAGTTCTGTAAACTATCACAAAGCGATCTGGTAACACCTCACACATCCACACGAGTGACGAGTTATCAATAACTAATCTGTTACAGATTATCACCATGCCGCCCAAGCGAAAGTCTATCGAGTACGACGCCCCTCTGCCGATTGAGGCAAACTTTGTGAGGAATTCCTCCATCGAGTGGATCCCTGTTCCGCCTGCCGACTCGCCCGGAGTCGGACCGTCGACCGGATATGTATCCCGGACCCTCACCAATCTGCCGATTCTGCCCTCGCATACCTCCACTTCGGCGCGAGATGCCCATGATAGCTCCCAGCCGTCGGGATCACGCCTCCCACAGACAAATGAGGAGCTGAAGCAACAGTTCGCCGCCTTCATTCAAACCGATATTCAGGCTAGGATCAATAGCGGCAACACCGGGGGCGACGGCGGGGCCATGGTGCTTGCCGAGCAAATCAAGATCAGATCTGCGATACGGGCTGTAGTCCTCGATCCGTCCTCGGAGCTGGATGGTTTGACTGTGGCGAGCATGAGGGAGTCAGGGTCGCTCGATACATACTTTCGGCGTCGCTTGACCGGTTATATTAGCAGTGCGCTCAGGGTCATTGGCATCTGGGTGAACAAACCTACCGACGCCTTGGATGAGGTGGTCAAAGGAGCGGGAAGCGGGGAGACATCGACGACAACCACCAAAGGCAAACCGGTGGTCCGTGGCAAGGCGGACAAGGCAGCCCAGCGGACAGTGCCAACCTGGTACCAACAGTGCTGTCCCTTGACCGGTGTTGAGGTCGTCGACGCGGCGCACATTGTCGACATTCAAGCGGTACAGTCAATGGGCAGCCCTGGTGAGTTTTGGGAGGTCCTTCAACTCTTCTGGCCTCTGCAAAGCATCCAACAGCTTAAGATCATCGGCTGTGAGGAACAAAACATCCTTCCATTGCAACCTACCGCGCATCGGCTTTGGGATCGGCACAAATTCGCACTCCGCCCTATCCAACACCCGACCGATCCGGAACACAGGATATATCTTCAAGTCGTCTGGTTCAAAGACCGACATGCCGAGATAGGTCTTGGTAATGACGGGCAGCGCCGTAACAAGGAGACTAACTTGTCGGACCGCAGACGGAAGATGGAGGACTCGACTGGGGCTGGAGCCAGATACGTCGTGCACGGCGACATCTATGAATTGAGCACGTCTGACCCGGAGAAACGCCCACTCCCGGACATCCGCTATTTCCAGATGCGGTATGCGATGCAGCAGCTCTTTGCGGGCCAACAAGCTGCCGGAGCCCTTCGAGCAATCTTTGGCGGCGACCCTCCCGACGATAACACACCAGGTCCGGCTCGAGACGAGGCATTCATGCCCAGCGACTGGGACGACATGCTCCGAGAGGCTCTCGAGCTCGGTATTTTGAGCGATAAGACAGAAGCGATCTGGAGAAGGCATATACTCGAGAAGGCGTACTGGGAAGGTCTACAGAGAGTGTGGAAGTATAGAGCTGCTACGGGCGAGCTAGGGAGCGAGGCAGAGGAGGAGTACTAGGGGACCCCCTCCCTAACCAAACCTCCTGCGCTGCCCGTAGAGAAGGATCCGGCCAGCCAACCAGGCAGGGCGGGCGGCGAGACAGGTGGTCTCGAAAAAAAACCCTCTATCAATCGAGCAGAATAAGCACGATGATAACCACGAGCAGAAGACAGAAAAGCAAAAGCCGATTGCCAATGCTGCCGGCGCTAATCCGGACGAGGATATAGACCAGGGGAAGGTAGAGATGCTCACCACGCTCACCACGCTCACCCACAAGGCGTCCAAGCTAAGCCTCAGAGGAAGCTACCGGAAGGCCAAGAACAAAATCCAGCGGTCCGGAGTTGCGTCGCTGTTCGGCGGGAATTTGGGGGGGGCAGGGGCGGCGGAAGCTGGTAGATGAAATGGAGCGATGTGACTGGTTCCGTGTTGGTTCGGTTGCTCTTGCTGCAAGTTCCTGCGTCGACCCCACCAAATTGCACGACAAGGCATTTGTAGGGCTGTGGATTGGGGCGACATTGACATCACCATGAACGCTCCAAACAGTACGTTCCAATTTCGGGAAGCGGAATCCCTCCACATCGAATCTGACCCGACGCCGCCTTACGGGATCCCGGCCGCAGTTCTGCAGGCATACGGTGCGCAGTCCTCGCGGCGTTGGTTATGGAAGTTTGGAGGTGGAGGGCGCATTGGGAAGAGCAAGCCAATTTCTGCTGGGATGGGGAGGATGGCGCAAAAGGAAAGCCCGCCCTGTGTGTGCTGCAGGCAATCAATGTCCCAGGGCTGAGAGGCTCGATAGAGGTTGCGGGGGTTGGGACAAGTGAAAACAAAGGAAACAACTGCCATCCTTCGCATCAACGAACTCGCGGCCTTGCCCAATCAAGGACGGCATCGGATGGTGTCTGGGGGTCACACCCATTGGCGACAGAGGGTTGGAGTGTCATGTTTCAGGGGTGGCGGACCCAGCGGGCGGTTAATCAGGACGAGATTGCCGCACACCTCAGCAATTGAGAGCTGCTGAGACACGAAGTACATGTACGAAGTTACTGTGCCCCCCGTCCTGTCATCGGAAGACTGGAACCTCCCGGCCAACTATCGTGAAGATGCCCAACTCTATCTCACCCATGCGGATTGGGCAGCCTTTGGTGACCATCAACCTCAACAGCTGCATTAATCTGGGGAACACAAGGAGGCGGTGCTGAGTTAGTTATTCGATGTCCCGCATTTTGTGCGCCTTGCTGCAAGATAGCCTTGGGGTTATTCGAGGTGGCAGGGTGGCAGGTGGAGAGGAATGCGGCGCGAGAAAAGCGAAGGCCCGGCCTGTCATCCAACGCCACAAATTCACAGGATCACAAAGCCGCTTGCTGAGTGACACCGGCCGGCAACCGAGTGCCCCTCGATGGCCAGATCAAGCAGCCGGCGACCAAAAAAAGCCGAAGCGCCAAGACGTGAAGCTCTTGGGGTTTACCGTACCCGAACCCTGAGGCATCAAAGTGGGAGGTCGGAAAAAACTCGGCTGCTAGCCCAACCGTCCCAAAAAGTGCAGGCACACAGTTCCCCGTCGCGACAAGGAGAAGCAGCTCCGTCCCAGTCTTGAGACCCCGACTCAAGAATAGAATCTCGCCCGCTATGCCGCCCCGAATAAACATCCCGCCGGTAACCCGGATTGTGCTCATCGTGCTGGGCCTACAGTCGGTGTTGAGCGCAGCAATCCGGTACCGGCAGTGGACGGCAAACTCGGAGATTGTTATCCCCTACCTCAACCTCATCCCGCAACTATCGCTAGTCTACCCGTGGACATTCCTGACAACGACACTCGTCGAGAGTAACGTCTTCACCCTATCTATCGCCTGCGTCACCCTTTATAATGGCGGTCGCTACCTCGAGCGCGCATGGTCCTCGCGCGAGTTTGCCAAGTTCCTGCTCGTTGCCGCCGTCGTTCCCAACGCACTATGCTTTGGCACCTCGATCTTGTTGTTTGCCTTGACACGCAACGAGCGATGGACGTACGTAGCTGTTTGTTTCTCGGCTTTGGTTGGTTATAGCCGTCCGTGTAGTATTCTAACTTCTGTCCCCCTCCCAGACTCATGACCATTGCTGGGACCATCTCCCTCCAAATATCCTTCCTCGTCGCTTTCAGCCAGCTCGTCCCCGCGCACACAGTGACCCTCTTCCGGGGACTTGTCTCGCTACGCGTTCCCCGCTTCCCGCTGCTCTACATCGGCCTTGTCACCGCCCTCTGCCTCACACCCATGCTCACGGCCGCCTCATTTCTCCTTGCCGTCTACGGCTTCTTCGTCAGCTGGACATACCTGCGTTTCTACAAGGTCGCCTTCCCCGACCTCGACACTTCACAACCGAGTTCCCTCCGCGGCGATGCCAGCGATACCTTCGCCATCGCCGAGTTCTTCCCGAGCCCCGTCCGCCCCCTCATCGCATCCATTTCGGAGCAGGTGTTCAACGTGCTCGTAGCGATGCGCCTGTGCGTGCCCTTCAGCCAAGCCGACATCTCCGCCGCCCGCGGCGACCACCACCACACCTTCACACATCGCGGCGCCCCGGGGAGCGCCCGCGCCGAGGCCGAGCGGAGGAGAGCGCTTGCGCTCCGGGCCCTCGACCAGCGCCTGCACGCCGCGACGGCGACCGCTGCTGCGCGCGCGCAGAGCGCCCCAGTGCCGCCCGCCGTTGCGCCGCCTATCCCTTCGGCAACAGGACCGACCGTCCAGAGCCAACCGCAGGCCCCGCCGCCAAACGCCATGACGGCGCAAGCGACCGGGGGAAGTGGGATGCTGGGCGAGACGAATTACAACCCGGACGCGGACGCGGACAGGAACGGACCGTAAAGAATGCTTGCTTTCTTCTTTCGCACATCGCCGAGTACGGCGTTGGATTTCAAGTCCTACTTCGTTGTCGGCCAGCTAGGGTAGGGAGGGGGAGGTGGGCTTGGAGCATATGGCTTTTATTTCGCAAACACTTATGACCGGCCCTAATTATCCGAGGATCTGAGGGGATTGAGCACCGTTCCGGCGTTGGGGTCATGCAGGGTAGGAGGGGCGGGGCGGGGTTTGTTTCTGATATCTTGCGAGCGAGCCGCATACTCGATACGAGCTCTCTTTGTAAGGTGTAGTCAGGGGCAACTATCATGACTTATGCCAGCCTGCCGACAGAACCAGGGACTTGCCGCGGAGCGGGAAGGAGCACTGCGCTTGAGTTTGCTGTACACTAGGTAGATGTGCTAGAATCGAGGCGCGTGCTTCCATGATACTGCTGGGTTGTTGATTAACAAGAGCTTGAAGTCATTTTTCGCTTCGCCTTGCCGTCTCGGAATGTCATATTGCAAAGAAAGAGTGAAAGGAGGGAGCGGAACAAAACGGAGTTCGTCGAAACGAGCACCCCGTCCTTCGACAAGATCATCTTAGGCTCATGTCGAGCACTTGGGGCCTTGCAGCAGCTCATCGACAACTTGAGCTGTGGTTTTCAGGCTACATAGTAGATTTACGTTGAGATTTACTGGCCATGGAATAATTATCAACTTGTAAAGGGAAGGGGCGATGTTCTGCTGGCCAATGGTGAGAAAGGGGGCTTTTAACAAAATCAACACAGCAACCTCGGAGGTGCGATTTACTTTCGGTGTTTACGCATTGTGGTTGTCTGAATATTGAGGAGATTATGCTCGTGTCTCCTTCCAAAGGAGGTAGGCCGGAAGTTGTTGCAAGACTGCTGATGCTCGGCCTGAGGCATGCTAACTAAGTTTCATTCGCTGAGCCTTCCATCCTTTCGCCAAATGGTGACTGCTGCACCACTTCTATGTGTTATGGATGACAACCTCGAAGTATCGTGGCGGGTATCCGAAAATATTCGGATCAGACGGCATGGAAACCCCCTCTCCCCTTTCAACAATAAACTGAGGAGCTTGCGGGAGGGCTTGACTTTTTTAAGGAGTCACGAGAGCTCCAGCCCACCGGCGGGTTTCGGTCACTCGCAGGCCGACACCGAGGCGGGTCAAAGGTGAGCCCAAACAGGAAGCGGGTCACGCCAAGAGATTCCAATGCGCCCGACCCTGGGCTCACCAACCCCCCCGCTTCGCCAGTCCGTTGGCTCAACCCGCGCGGCCGGGAAGGGTCCGCGGCACGCGTTTGAGATGAGCCGGACCCTGGTAAAGCGAATCGATCGCCGCTGGCCTGCGCACAGCGCCGCAAATCCATCCTTGCAGGCAACCTTGGGGCGGCCACCGTGGCCCAGCGATCGGAACTTGGACACCGCCCGCACCGCTCATCTTTTTTAGCTGAGGCTCTGCGGGGCGTTGGTATTTTCAAAACTGCGCAAAATACTCCGCAAGATGGTCTGCAATGATACCAGCCGGTTTTCATGCACGCGCGGTGGGGCGAGGCGAAGCGGGAGGAGTTCCTCGCCTGGGGAAGCCGAGCGTTTTGGCCCCCTTGACCTTCCCCTTTTCTTCTGTTGCTCCGCGCGATGTGCTCTGGTCGATCAAGCCTTCTTGGCCTTTCTTGGCATTCCAACGCAAATCAGAGGGTTTGGACTGCACGTGCTCGGCAACCCACCAACAGGCCTTGCATTCTCCCCTCGCTTCTTCTCCCGCATGCTGCGGGCGCCCTGCTGGACGCTGCGTTCTCACAAACCAGCCGTGGAGGGGGTGCGCCCATGATGGGTGAGCCACCTGGATTGGGAGAAAGATGCTTGGGCGGGAGCGCCAAGCTCTGGCCGAGGATCGATTGAGGATCCTCGCGAACCCACAGGTTGTAACGACTTGTCTGATGATCAACTCGTCGGAAAAGAGGAGCCGGCTAACGTTTCTGACACATGATGCGATGCTAGCTTGTTGGGGAGTTGGGGACGGAAGCTGGACACCAGGGGTCAGTCGAGAGCGCAAGGTTGAAACGGCAGGCCAGCAAAAACAGCCCAAGGAGTGGGCCTCCCGGTGTGAGACTCGGGTGGAAATAACTAACTAATGGGACCGCCGTCAATTTCGCTTTTCCCCAATTCTCGAGTCTCGGGTTACGAACCGGCGGTCTGTTCGGTTTCCGCGAATGGCCGCCCCTACGAAGTAGGGGCCTTCTCAGCGAAGCAGACAAGACGCGGTGGGGGTAGCAAGGAGAACGGCCGTGGGTTAACACATCCCTGTTGAGATCAAGTTGAGATCACTCAATAGGGTCGTGGATTATGCAGACAGCGGAGGGTTCGGTGGACAGAGTGGTAACTCCATGTAAAGTTCCGTCGATCGGCTGGCACATCAGCCAAGGCCTCGAGTCGCAGTGGTCCGCTGCTGACGTGTGGCTCAAGGCCCGCTTTCCCCGTGCCACCGAACCCACAACCCGTCATTTCTCACATCCTTCAATTGCAAAGGGGGTCAGCCCGCGCCTCGGCCACGGCGTGGCTTCGGCGCAGCAGACCAGTTTTACGATGTCTGCCTGTAACGTATGTACATACATACATAAGGTTGGTAGGTCGGTATTTGTCCTTGCCGCCCGAGTGCTCTGTATGTCGTACACTAAATCTCGTTTACTCTGCCGAGAAACATGCGATGGAGTACCCCACCGAGTGTGGGGGTTACGCGATGGTCTCAGGGAAATGGCAGCTTCATCGCGCCCCCTTCAATGGCTAAACCGTCGTGATAATGATCTGCCTGATGTCAATAGTTAAAGCTCAGCCGTCGCCAATCTCCATCTTGCCTCCCGGATCCCGTTTGAGCTCGCCATTTGCTCCCGACTCACGATCGATAACCAAAAAGATCAGCCATTCATCGAGGACAACGAGCAAAAAAACCCCGGCCGCGGTTGGTTTGACGGTACCCGTGAGCGGCAGGCCCGAAGACACCACTCAAGAAACCGCGGTTTTGCTACGAGTTCCAGCGCCTTGCCTATGCGTTCTTCTCCCCTCGGTGGCTTCGTTACGACCTTGGTTGAGTGCCTGGCTTGCTGTAATGACGCCCACACTTTATTACAAGCCCAGATACAGATGTCGTGTTCTCGATCTAGTACGGGAAATGTCGTTTCCTCCGCGGCAGCACACAGACATTGCGAGATAACGCATCTAGACGGGTTAATTTATATATATTGTTGCCGGGTGTTGCGCTTGGCGCTTCGGACAATGCAGACAACTGGGTTACCAGAAACGTACGATGCGAACGGAGATCCCAGGGCGCCACACGCTGAGTCGTCTGTATTCTTTGATCAAATGTCGGACAGCGAGGTTGCACCAAGTATGAAGTTAGGTTGCAGAGCCCGATCGGCGTGCAGGAGAAGCTGGAGACGTTGTGACCCAGGGGACCGAGGTTCAAACCCGTTCCCGCCAGCCAACGGCTCATTCCGAGGCTTTGTTCTTTGCTTTGTTTGTGTCGGCATGACTCTCCACAAGTGTGACAACTGAACTTCCCCGGACTGGGGCCGTGTTACCAACACCAGAGCCTGGGTGCATATGTGGTGCGGGCAGTTATTGGTAGTGTGAGGAGTGAGACTGGCGAGGGTGTACTATGTAAGGTAGCTACAAAGTAAAAGCTGAGACAGCATAGCACATACCAAAAACTACACCATCGAGCAAGCAGACCCATTTCCCGCTTTCTGCCACGAGATGACCTCGAACGACCATGATTTGTCCGTCGCCAGAAAGATCGAGGGGTATGACTAGGGGAGACCTTCAGCAGTTTGTTTGCCATTGCCAATCAAGGTGGGGGAAGACGGGCCGAGATACACAGTATGGACGCCGTTAATGGTGGTTGGCTAAAATGTCTGGATACCGACATAACATGACCGCCTCCCAAAGAAAACAGTGTTCGGGTCTCTGGCACAGTCATCCAGGTTGTCCCTCCCATCGCCTTTTTTGTCTCGCGGGGGCGGTTATTCTCCGACGCCAGAAAAGCAAAGCCCTGAAGTGGGCCCACACCCTCCCCCATTCCCCATCCTAGTCGGGTTGCACGCGTTGGTGACGAAGCGACGGGGAAAGCGCTCTGGACCCCTGTCTGTCTTGGCGGGATGCATGGGATGGACCAGGCCGTGTAACCCAGCGGTCGCCACACACACGCTAAAACGAAATGGCGTCGCCGCTCCCTCCGGAAACACGCTCCCCTGGAAGAGGCTGGATGTGGGGCGAAATTAATGTTCCCTTTGTGTATTTGATACATGCCGCTCTGACGACGTGTCAGCACCCCACCTCGCGATGCGGGCGCATTCTCGTTGCTTTGACACCCGGGGTTGTGGTCAACCACGCGCATCCATTGATGCTTGGTGAACTGTGAAGTACGAATACTATTCCTTTCTTGACCGAGAAACGGAAGGCTTGATGATATGATATCTGCACTTTCTCAACGAGGTCAGGACCACGTTCCATTACAATAGTTCCAGGTTATTCCTAAATTTCGCAAGAATTATCCCTGGTCGTTTCGGGCGAGGTGACGATTTCGGAGTGGACCTGCCAAAAATCGCCAAAAAGGGGGTCGGCCTAGCGGCGGATGACGGTGCGGGACTCCTCTGAAGGTACCCTGACCTCTGGGATACCCGCTTATCCTTGGCTGCTCTGCGAGACATGAACGGGAAGACAATTGCCTCTACCCCTGCCACCTGTGGGTTAGGTGTTCTGCGTGCCTCTCAGACGGGTGGACGAAATGTCTCCCCAGCCCGACTCCTCCCCATTCCGAGATTTCTTCTCGGCTTCCATGCTGCCCTCTGCCTTCCCTCACTCTCCGCCTCGACTCGACCGCCTGAAACCTGCCGGCGACCATTTGACCAAGGCGCCGAACAGGAAACGTGAGGGGTAGTCGTTAGCTTTTTGCTTCGCATTTGTGCCTGCCTGGGCCGCTTTCGTTGTTTTCGGCAACTTTGGTGTGCGCGATTGGGAGCCGTCTGCAGGGTTGAGTTGATCGCAACTCGGTGGGCAGAAAACAACAATTATCAACAACCCGCCATCCGCGCCTCGTCGCAACTCTTGTCCGGTCTCGAGACATTGGGTTCTTACCCAGATCTTGATGTTGATCGCGCCCGCTGGCATCGACTCCTCCAATTGTTAAAGACATAGGCCCTTCCTCCCGCCATCAGGGCAGAGTCGGCAATCATGGCAAACCATCATCCTTCGCCTCCGATGCAAATGCAGATGCATCATGGACCGCCAGGTCCAGCGCGGGCCCCCGTCCCGCAACAGTCCTTTTCGTCATCGCGACAGGTCCTCCTACAACAGACCGAGGGGATCTGGATCCAGCTCGGTAATGCGCTCCCCTGACAACGCAACCGCGCACGCCGCGCGTTGGCCAGAGGTGGGCCATAGCTAACACTCCGTTCTAGGTGGACTTGCTGAGCAGATGGGCAATCTTGACGACGCGATGGCTTCGTACGAGCGCGCCATTCGAACCAATCCCAACTCGATCCCGGCCATGAACGCCATGAGCTCAGTCCTGAGGACACGCGAGGATTTTCCCAAGGCCGCCGAGTATCTAAATGCCATCCTGAAGCTGGACGAAAGGAACGGAGACGCGTGGGGTTGTCTCGGTACGTGCGCTGATTGTAAACCCATCGGCTGTTTGCTAACGGCGTCGGCCAGGACATTGCTATTTGATGATGGACGATCTGCAGCAAGCCTACAGTGCATACCAGACAGCTTTGGTTCACCTGCCGAACCCAAAGGTTTGTTACTCCCCTTCATCTTACCGATCGCCGAATCCTCACACGAACAAATAATAGGAACCCCGCCTCTGGTACGGCATTGGCATCCTCTACGACAGATACGGTTCGCTAGACCATGCCGAGGACGCATTTGCCCATGTTATGAAGATGCAGCCGGACTTTGACAAGGCCCACGAGATCTATTTTCGACTGGGGATCATTTACAAACAGCAACAGAAGTACAACGAATCGCTCGAGGTGAGCCGCCTAGCACGATCTCTGGGCCATTATAAGTTGCTGACTCGATTCTCGCAGTGCTTCAAGTACATCGTGAACTCGCCGCCAACGCCACTCACGGAAGAGGATATCTGGTTTCAGATTGGGCACGTCCATGAGCAGCAGAAAGACGTATGTGTTGGCAGTGACCGCGCCGCTACTTCTGGTACTAACGCTTGCTAGTTTGAGAATGCGAAGGTGGCTTACCACCGCGTCCTCGACCGTGACCCCAATCACGCCAAGGTCCTGCAACAGTTGGGTTGGCTCCACCATACGCAGAGCCAGCATTTTGATAGCCAGGAGCGGGCTATCGAATACCTGGAGAAGTCAGTCGCAGCTGGTGGGTCGCTTGATTTTTCTCCCTTTTCCCGTGTGATGGCATAGGATGTTAACATTCCGTAGATAACTCTGATGCACAAAGCTGGTACCTGCTCGGCCGCTGTTACATGCAGATGCAGAAATACCCCAAGGCATACGAGGCATATCAGCAAGCCGTCTATCGCGATGGCCGGAACCCGACATTCTGGTGCTCCATTGGTGTTCTGTACTACCAGATCAACCAGTACCGCGATGCGCTTGATGCTTACTCGCGCGCAATCCGCCTCAATCCATGGATTTCAGAAGTTTGGTATGATCTGGGCACATTGGTAAGCAACAATATCTGGTTTCTGTCTTGTTTGACTTGCTGCTGACCCGAGGCCACTAGTATGAATCTTGCAACAACCAGATCGCCGATGCGCTCGACGCGTACCAGCGCGCCGCTGAACTCGACCCCTCGAACCCCCACATTAAAACCCGGCTGCAGCTGCTTCGCAATGGACAAACTAGTGGCGCCGCGCCGGGACCTACTGATGTTCATCCTCAGGCTTACCAAGCAGCTGGCGCCGTTGGACCCCCGGGACCACAGTGGGCCGGCTCGGGCTCCGGTGCGCCGCCGCAGCCGCCACAGGCGATGCCTAACGGCGCTGCTCCCGGCGGCCCTGGGCCCAACTCGTGGGCGGGTAGAATCTCTGATATAAACCCCCCGCCGCAGCCACGGAACCCGTATGCTGCCGACCGTGAACCCTTCCGCGGGCAAGCCGGCCCCGGTCAACGACCCCCCAGCCCCCAGCCGGAGCAGCAAATGAGGCCGTATCAGGACGCCAACCGGGTACCCGAGCAACTCAGACGGGGTCCATCACCTCCACCACCAGCCCACTACGCAGCCCCTCCGCCGCCACCGCCGCCGCAGCAGCAGGCTCAACAGCCCCAGCAGCCCCAGCAACCCCCTCCGGGATCGCAACCCCCTCGCATCAGGAACCCGAACTATGGTGGACACACCCCGGTCGCGGTGCTCCAACAACCTAGCTCAGGGCCTGGCCCGAGTGGGAACCCGGCGAACCCATTGATGCCTTATCGCAACCCTAGCCCTCGAAATGATGGCCGGCCGCCCATGCATGACAATCGCATGCCGTCGCCCAAGTCGGCCTATCCACAGCATCAGCCACCCTACTCGGCGCATCCCGATCAGGCAGGTCCTCATGGCCCCGAGCCTGGAGTACCTCTTCCGCCACAACCTGGTATGCCTGCTGATGCTGCTCTTCACCGGGAGCACGATCCTCGCCCCCCTTCGGTTGGCCCGAAGAGGATGCGCGAGTGGGAGGATGATCGGGAAGCGAAGAAGCCCTCGACTGAGGAAACACGGGCGCGCATGGACGACATCCGCCATCGCCGCCCTTCCACGTCGCCCCGCCTTGAGCCATACCGCCGCAACTCATCGGAAGTTAGGCGTTTTGATGAGCGTCGCATGGAGGATGCTCGGCGGGCCGAAGAGCAACGCCGGGCTGATGATATGCGTCGCGCCGACGAACAGCGTCATGGCAATGAAGGATACCACCCGTCCGAAGCTGCCCACCACCCGCAGTCGCACTCGGTTTCCGCTCATTTGCCACCTATGCAACAGGGCCCGTCGTCCATGCAAGGCCTCATGCATGAAGCCCCCGGGCCACAGCCTGGGCCGGCTAAGAAAGAATACCAGCCAGGACCCGAGGAGAGACGGATGGAGCACCCTCCCGCCGCTCACCCTCCTATCGCCCACCCCCCCATCGCCAGTGAGCCTGAGAGGGCTGCCCGCACGATGGATGTGGATGAAAACTATGACGATAGCGGGGAGGAAGACAAAAAGGCGGGCATTGTTCCGGGCCCTGCCCCGGGTTCGGGTTCCGCGGCAGCGGCTGAGATCAAGAATGGGACGCCCACTACTGCGACTATTAATGGCAACTAAGCGTGGCTCGCGTGAACGCACGCACTCTGAGCCAACCTGGATACTCGGATGTGTACCCGTCCTCGGTTTCTGTTGGTGAGATGACATGGCGGTTGTCTGGATGTTTTCCGAGCTGCCATTTCTTGACTTCGAGGTTTATATCAGGCCACGCTCACGCAACTCTGGCTTTTCCGGCAATGGTGGCCTTCGTCGACCTATTGAGTGTTTTTTTTCCTTTCCTTTTTCTTTTTGTTCTTGCGTTTTTAAAGCGACACATCGAGGTTCGAGGTTTTGTTAGGGGCTGATAGTTTAGTAGCCAATGCTGCATGATGGTTTGAGCCCGCTGGGCATGGTCGCCTGGGATGATGGACATTGTCGACGGCATGGATTGTGGGGATTCTTTGTTTAACATCATGTAGCCAGCTTGATAAACTTCAGTTATTTATCACAACACTTCTGAAACCCCCACCTCCTCGGCTTGTGCTATCAGCGATGTGATACCCGCTCTCAATAATGAAAACTAAAATATGGGAAGTGGGAAGTGATAAGTGTCCAGACTATTGAATCGCCCAAGCAACGTCTCACGATTGAGAGCCTACGGTGCCTCGGTGCGTCCAGACTTAGTTGAGTCGCGGGTGTCGTGAACGCCATGCCCTCACATCGGATGCAAGAGATGCGATGTCACGTGATTTGGACAATCTTTCTGCATTTTGAATCCACCCCCAGCCGCAAACTCAGGTTAGGGCTCCGCTGCGATTGGCCCAAGCGCAAAGCTCCATCTCACACAAAAATCCAACTCCAAATTCTAGCCTTTTTTTTCTTTCGTAGCTGGACCTGGGGGATTCTTTGACCAAACATCACGCCAACCGCAGATATCAGCAACCATGTCTCACCGGAGTGAGTAGACCCTCAACATCCTCCCCCTGATTTTATTTCATCTTCAATGCTTCAGAATCTTGCGCTACCCCGCGACCAACGAGATCAAGCGTTGCGACTTTGGAGCCCCGACAACTCAAAATGATTTTTTACCCCTGAGACTGACGGTTTATATAGAGTACGAGGCCCCTCGCCATGGTTCCCTGGCGTACCTGCCGCGGAAGCGCGCCGCCCGCCACAGAGGAAAGGTCAAGTCGTAAGTTGAAATTGCAATCCCAATTTTGAGTATTCGCGAGTTGGATCTTCTACGGGGGCCGAAGCTGACCGTCGGTGCTATGACAGCTTCCCCAAGGACGACGCCAAGAAGCCCGTCCACCTGACGGCCACGATGGGCTACAAGGCCGGCATGACCACGATCGTCCGCGACCTCGACCGCCCGGGTGCGAAGGCTCACAAGAAGGAGGTCGTGGAGGCTGTGACAATCATTGATACCCCACCTGTACGCGCAACTCAGCCCGCTTGGCTCTTTTTGTGTCAATGGCTAACATCTTTTACAGATGATGGTTGTGGGTCTGGTTGGCGTAAGTCATTGCTGTCCGGCCGAGGATGAAGAGGAGGTCGATTGTCTAACGAGATACAGTATATCGAGACTCCCCGTGGCCTGCGCTCCCTGACCACTGTCTGGGCTGAGCACTTGAGCGACGAGGTGAAGCGCCGTTTCTACAAGAACTGGTACAAGAGCAAGAAGAAGGCCTTCACCAAGTACGCCAAGAAGCACTCCGAGAACAGCGGCGCGTCCATCACCCGCGAGCTGGAGCGCATCAAGAAGTACTGCACCGTCGTGCGCGTTCTGGCGCACACCCAGATCCGCAAGACGCCCCTCAAGCAGAAGAAGGCCCACCTTATGGAGATCCAGATCAACGGTGGCTCCGTCGCCGACAAGGTCGAGTTCGGCCATGGCCTCTTCGAGAAGCCCGTCTCGGTCGACTCCATCTTCGAGAAGGACGAGATGATTGACGTCATCGCCGTCACCAAGGGTCACGGTTTCTCCGGTGTCACCGCTCGTTGGGGCACCAAGAAGCTGCCGCGCAAGACTCACAAGGGTCTCCGCAAGGTCGCCTGTATCGGTGCCTGGCATCCTTCCCACGTCCAGTGGACTGTTGCCCGTGCCGGTCAGATGGGTTACCACCACCGTACCTCGGTCAACCACAAGGTTTACCGCATCGGCAAGGCCGATGCCGACGACAGCGCCGCTACCGAGATCGATGTCACCAAGAAGAAGATCACTCCGTATGTCCCACCCTACCCCAGCCCAAGCCCATTATATGAAAGGCATACAGCATCGCTAACAAGTGTCACAGCATGGGTGGCTTCGTTCGTTACGGCGAGGTCAACAACGACTTCGTCATGGTCAAGGGCTCTGTTCCTGGCGTCAAGAAGCGCGTCATGACTCTTCGCAAGTCGATGTTCATCCACACCTCCCGGAGGGCCCTCGAGAAGGTCGAGCTCAAATGGATCGACACCTCGTCCGAGTTCGGGCACGGTGCTTTCCAGACCCCTGCCGAGAAGAAGCAGTACCAGGGCACGCTCAAGAAGGATCTGGACACCAGCGCATAAAGCGTGTCGGTTTCTTGTTGATTTTCTCGGTTTACAATGGCATTGGTGTCACGGTCTCGTTGCTCTTTGGGTTGGGGTATGGAATTCTACCTAGCATTTTCAGCTTAGTAAAAGGGCTGCATGAGAGGAATGGGAAAATGAACCAATTGCCATTGATAGTTGCTCAGTGATAAAATCCATATCGTGTGCACAGTATCTGTAAACGCAGCCTCACCTTCCGTGGTGGGGTTCGTCCAATCAGTGGGCGGAACACCCCGCCGGCGCTGCTGTGTGGTGCAAACGCCTGGACGTCTTGGCACGCGCGCGCGGGTTGCGCAACACTTTCTAATTTTTATCGATTTTTGGGGAAAAATAGGAGGAGAGAAAATTATATACAGCTATATCAACCAACCCACTATAAGCGCGCACCGCGCAGATACCTTAAGCTATATATCTAGATACGTAGAATCCGGATTTTATACCCGATCGATGATGCGGATAATGCGCGTTGAGGTATCGATAGATTTCTGTTTTTCTTGATTTTGTTCGAACTTTTCGAAGATATCTTGGCAAAGCTTGGCATGTCTTGGCGATTTTTACCAAAAATTCACCAGTTTTTAAACCCATCAAGATCTCAACGCGTATTATCCGCATCATTAATCAGATACAATATTCGGATTCTACGTATTTAGATATAGAGCTTAAGGTATTTGCGCAGTGCGCGCATGTAGTGGTTTGTTTGATATAGCTGTAGATAGTTCGACTGATTTCTGGTCTTCTGGCTGTTTTTTTCAAAAATTCGAGCGTGTTCGGCGCGCGCGCACGCCAAGACGTCCAGGCGTTTGCACCACACAGTGGCCGAAATCCATGGCAAAGCAAGCCGGTTACATCATCGTCGCCCAACTTGCGCGCCGCAGAAGGCTCCCTCCCATCATGGTCGCGATTATTTGTCGTCGCTTTTCCCCGTCACTCTTGCTACAACAACCACAACGGTTAATAGAAACTCACCGAGCATCGCTCCACTTGCCTAACCAACATATTTGCAAACTCTGCAGTTTCTTGTCCTCGAAAACCACACCACCCCCGCCCTCACCTCAACACCAAACAAGTCATCTTTCTCGAGCCTCAAATACCGCCGACATCGACCACAGACCGCCACCCAGGCTCTCCTCCCTGCGAAGCCGATCTTTCACCACAACTCCCACGACAGCCATGGCCTCCTCCTCGGACCAGGACTACATGGCCTTCCTCAACAAGGCGAACGAGGACCCCTCGGCGGGCGTCGCGACCGCCGCGGCGGGGGCGCCGCAGAAGCGCCAGTTCCGCGCGACCGTGGCCGGCGCTAGGGTGCCCGAGCCCATCGCTAGGTTGTGTGGGGGGCAAGGCGGCGGCGGCGGCGGTGGCGAAGTGTTCTATACCTCGGACGCGGACGAGCCGTTTGAGGCTGTGGCGCTGAAGTGGGATGGGAGTGGGAAGGGGTTGCCTGATGAGGGTAGGTTTTCTCTCTTTGTTTTTTCTCTCTTTTTTGCCGTCATTTGTGCTGGCTTGTGGGAGAGCGGTTGCTAACTAATCTTTGTGTGTGGCAGAGGCGTTTGCGGAGCTGATCCAGCATTGGGATCCGAAGAATGCGGAGGTGCAAATCATGGACCCGGTGGACTGGGATCCGAATGGGAAGTATGGGGAGGTTGTGGACGCTTTGAAGGAGGCGGGAGAGGGGAATGATATACGGGTGTATCGGGTCGTGAGGGAGGGGGTGAAGGCGGAGTATTGGGTGGTTACGGTCGAGGGGAAGGAGGGGGCTGAGTTGGTCGGGTTGAAGGCCCTGGCCGTGGAGAGTTGAGGTCTTTAGGGGTAAGGGTTGTTGAATTGCTGTGGAATTATCGATATTTGATTCCGTTCCTCTTTCTCTCGCTTTTCGAGATGGGGGTAGCTATTTAGGTGTCTTAGATCCGACGTCAGTCGAGTAACGAGCGACTCACTGACCAAAACCCCCCTGTCCCTTTTGTTCGACGTAATGGTCGCATGTCATTATCGGCCGCCATCAACCTGCAAGTTTCCTGGCACGTACCTGGGTACGGTTTCCAGCTTTGACCTATCACCCTATTCCTGCGTCAGCGATGCGATTCAAAGCGGCTGTTGCTCAATCAAAACGCCTGCCCCACCCTCCTTCCTCTTCCGCTCAATTAGTTAACCTGCACAGTCAGGCAACTCCTCACAACTTGAACTTCGGTTTCTCTCCACAGCCACCTTCAACGAGGACTGAACCTCAACTGTAAATTCCCACCATGCCGACAACTCCCAACGCCGCTTCCAGCAACCACTCGGTCTCGATGTATGGTTTTCCAAATCCGGCGCCACTCGCGGGAAGGAGCCAGTTCAGCCAGTCCTTCGCAAGCCCTGGCTCGCCCGCATCGTCTTCAAACGTAGATGACAGCTTTACCTGTAAAATGAGAGACCGCCAAGCGAGGGGTAAGGACCCGTATCAATCCGGAGACGGCTCTGATGGCGGCAATCTCAGTGGCCGTGAGTCGGGTTCCGGGACAAGGTTACGGCTCGGCAGTGGTCGGTGAGTGACCTTCTACACCCCGCAGACTCTCCGTCGCTGACCCCTTCCTTCCATCATAGTGTTGAGAAGGAAGACTTCTCTCGGGTTGAGAGCCGGAAAAAGGCCATCGCCTTCCTTGACAACCCGGAGCTTCTCATGATGCACGCGCAATCCACAGGCGAGGTGAGTGTTCCGCCTTCCCGAAGCCCAGCCGAGTCTCATGCCAATGCCCCGCCTAGAGCATCGCAGCTGCTCGTCTTCACTTCACAAAAATGCTTTGCGGCTACGACGAGGAATAGGCAATGCATGCGACCGCGCGTCCTACCCTCTTACACTCTCGTCGAATCCATCACCATTCCTCGAAGAACTGCAGGGCTGGAGCGAGCCCCAACCCACGAGCCGGCCCCAACTTACACAGAAATCCATCAACCAACAATAACACATTATGTTTCGTCCTATTCCCTGGCTGTGGGACCTCGTCCCTAGCCTTGACATTCGCGCAACAAAGAAGTCCTTCACTATCACCTTTGGCAACAATAAGCTCCTCCAGACAGAGTCTCCCACCATCGTCCGCTTAGGCCATCTCTCATTCGCAATACGGGACTTCTTATCCACGACCCTACGCAATGCGCGCATGCAGCGAGCCCTGCTCAAACGAAGCTATCAAAAACACCAGGGGCAAATCATCACCATCACCCCAACGGCCTGGTGGATCCTACTGTCCATCACCGTTGTTTTCTATCCCCTCGCCTTCGCCAGCATTGCCATGGTGTTCTGGCTACTTGCCACCTGGCTGGTACTGTACGTAACCTACGAAGCGGCCCAAATCATCGCCCGGGTCACCCGCAGGCTGCTGGACGGCCCTGTCCAGACCTTTGTCTCTGTCATCTGGAATCTCTCCCGCGGCGCACAGCCCTTGCCGGTGGCAGATGCGCCGGGGGAAAGAAGCGTTCCGCCACGCATACTGTTGAACATACAACCAAGCACGCCAGAGGGCGGACTACAAAGTCCACCCAGATACGAACAGACGAGTCCATCGCGGTGTGAACAACCAATCCAACCATGGTTTGAACCGCCAAACCCACCGAGAAGCAGACCGCCGTCTTACTCGGGTCCGTTAGTGTCGGAGAGCGCTGAAGACATGGTCATAAAGCACAAGCACCGACCCCGACAAACCAGCATCCACCCCCTACCGAAGGCACGGAGGAGAGCGATCAAAGCCATCATGAGTCGGAGAGTTCTGGAGGGAAACTAATGGGCTGATAAGATTTTGCGAGAGGTGTGTCCGTATTCAGCGTCAGCGATTGTGAACATTCATTTCGAGAAGGCCTGGCCTGAAAGGGGGCGGGGATAAAAAAACGTCAAGAATAGGCAGGAACACGAGAGTAATGAATTAACTGAGCAACGGCATTCGTTTTTCCATTAGCCAGTCTCAAGCGGTGTGTTCCATGTTTGGCGCCCGCTGTATACCTTAGACAGTATTTTGCGATATCCCTTTCCACCCACTCAAATTCCCTAAAAGGATCAAGTCACACCAAGACATGCACAGCTGAGTAATTAGAAGCTCGAATCTTTGCACTATTATACTTGAACCAGAAGTATATTCATCATCATCATTCAACATATATCCCCGCAGCAACACGGGCACATACAACGCTGAAAGGGGCTATAAAAACATGGAACCCAACATATCAATAAAGCAGTAATGGTACTGGCTAGGTAAGAAAACCAAAAGCTTCCTCCAAAAAAAAAACGCCGGCTATGCAAGTCTCTCCATCCCATGCCCAAAAGCCGAGACACATCTATATCCAAAGGAAAGCAAGCCAAGCCCGCCACCCGATCCGCAAGAGCCAAAACCAAACCCAGACCACACCGGGTATCATCATCCCCCCGCCTCACTACCGCACCACCCGATCACGCATACCGGAAACTGCGCGTGCGCATCGGCTCCCACCGCATATCCTGCTGCCCCTGCTGCTGCTGCTGCGGATAGTAGGCATCCGGCCCGGAGCCCATGCCCTGGGGCGGCGGGGGGACGGGTGCGTAGGCAGGGCCGGGCCGCATAGGTGGGGAGCCGCCGCCGCTGCGACCGCCACTGCCGCCTCCGGCTCCGCCTCCGGGGGGAACACTGCGGGCGCCGAGGTAGGGGTTGCCGCCCCAGCCGGCGCGGGGCGGGGCGGCGGCGGCCTTGCGGGAGCGGGAGCGGCGGGCGAAGCAGCTCCAGCAGCAGCTGATGAGGACGAGGAGGATCAGGCCGCCGCCGACGCAGAAGACGGGGATGGAGATCTGCTTGTTGTTGTTGATCCAGTCGAGGATCTGCTGGCCGAGCGAGGAGCCGACGCAGTTGCCGTTGTCGCAGCGGCCGCCGCCCTCGCAGGAGGTGCCGTCGAGGAAGTACTGGTTGAGGACGTAGCACTGGTTGGGGCCGAGCTTGGACGAGTGGCACGACAGGTCGCAGCCCGATGATGAGCAGGATGTGGTCGTGTCGGCGCCCATGAAGGTCGCGCACTGCTGGTCGCGCGACGTGCAGCGGCCCGACGCGCACTCGAGGCCGTTGTCGCCGCACGACTGGCCGTCGGGCGCGTTGACGTCGACGGGGCAGCCGGCGGACGCGCCGGAGCAGGTTTCTTGCGGGTCGCAGGAGCCCGAGCTGGCGCGGCAGACGGTGCCGTTGTTCATGAAGCCGCACTGCGACGTGCAGCATTCTTCGTTGGCCGGGTCGCACACGCTGCCCGCCGTGTACTTGCACGTCGTGGGGTCGCAGCAGGGGTTGTTGGCGCAGCTCTCGTCGCCGCCGCAGTCGCAGTCCTCGCCGTGCTCGACGATGCCGTTGCCACACTGGGCGCCCGTGAAGGTCGTAACGCCTCTGTTGCTGGAGAGGCAGTTGAATCGGTTAGGGCTGCGGCCGAGGAAGCTACAGATGTTGCCGATGCTGCAGGGCGAGAACCGGGTGATGCCGTTGCCTGTCGAGGGGTTCATGATAAAGTCCCCGTCGGCATCGCAGCTGCCCGTGCTCAGCGGGCAGCACTCCTGCCTCTCGAGGCTCCCGTCACCGCATGTCGTTGGGGTGCAGTCGTGCACCGCGCCAAAAGTGTGACCCGTTTCGTGAGCAAACACCAGCCACTCGGTCGAGGTCCGGACGACGACGTTGGCGGACGCACTCGTCTCGTTGTCCCGTGTCGATGAACCCTGCTGGCAAACGGCGCCGAGCCATGCGAGGCCGACCGTGGGGCCAGAACCGCAGGTGGACAAGAGGGTCCAGAAGGCGTTGGTATCTTGCCACTGCCCTCGCCATTGTGAGAACAGGCTGAGACGGGCGTCGACGTTCGTACCGTCATCACAGGGCCTGTTCCAGGGCGCTGACGGCGGGGGCGTGCTCGGACACGCGGCATCGCTGATGGTAAGGTTCTGGAGGGCCAACGAGATGTTGAAAGTGGACTCGTAGAGTTGCGATGCCGCGTTCACTAGCTGGAGGACATTATCCGTCACAGCCTCTTCGGATCCGAGGGCTTCGCTGTAGGAGCAGTCGGTGGCAATGCCGATCAAAGCAACCTTCCTGGTGGTCGGGCAGCCTTCGGTCGAGCCGATCGAGTTTAGCAAATTTACTCCGGCGCCGTTACCACCAGACGTGTCGGTTTGGCGTCCAAACAGCGCCCTCGGGCTGATCTGCCAGGCCGATGTGTCCGGGCTCGCCTCTCCCATGCTTCGATAGACGATGTTGTTCTCATCTCTGTTGTGTAGAAGACTGTCCGAGCCACAGGACACCGCACCGTCCAAATCACGCTTCAGTTCGTCGTGCCCCGAAGATTGGACGTCGCTATCTCTCCAGACAACCATGTACTCGTCCTCGGCATCGTCAAGCTCCGGATCCCCGCTGACCGAAGTCTGATGGTAGGCAGCGTTGGTTTGGATGTGGTGGTGGTTCCCATTAATGGTGAAGACGCCGTCGAAGATGGGCTCGTCGCCATCGCGGCGCACCTTGATCCGGCTCCAGCCCACATGCTTCCATTCCGACTCCCCGTCTCGCCGGACAAAGCTCTCGCCCCTGAACAGCCTGTGGTCCCGCCTCTCGATGGGTCTGGATTGGCGTATAGAGCCATCGGCGGCGAGGAAGTGGATCGTTGCGTCCCCGCCGATCAGATCGTGGTTCGGCTCTAGCGTCAGGCGGACCTTTTGTTGGGTGGTGGAGATGACGAAGGATACATCGAAAGAGGTGTGCGCATGTACTCGGTGTGATGGCGTTCGTATTACAGCGTCTTCGATCCGAGCTACGGATGACAACGGGTTCCGCTTCACCGAGTGTGCTACAAGTCCTTGTGAGTTGGGGAACAATGGAAACAATACGGCATTGGGGGAATGCTTGAGGAGCAACAGTGCATACCTATCGCATCTTGTACGAGCAAGCCAGCAGCTGTAACAACGGCCGCGAAGGCCCTGCTAAAAATCATAATCTACGGTTCGAACGCTGCTCGCATCCCCCGCTGGTGATTGGGAGAAAGGGTCGTCCAGGGAGATGGGAGTGTGTTGCCAAAAGATGGTATGCAACCCCAAGAGAATTAGGTAGTTGGTATTTCGTACAGTTATAGGTACTCCTCGAACCCGCCCGGGATATTAATTTATGATATTCGTGATTTTTCGCTAAGGGACCGACTTGTATGCAGTGTCGGGCCGGGCGTCGGAGAAATGAAGGAAGACCGGTCAAAATGAATGGGCTCACAAAAGGAGTTTCTTTTCGCTGAAGGAGACTCGGAGGAGGAAATGGGAGGGCAACAGTGGCAGTGCACAGTGTTTTGTCGGTGGGTGTGGCGGTTCGGTCTGTCACTCGCCCGATGAAGAGCCAAGGAGGTTGAGAGCCAAAGAAAGGTGCCAGCCAAGGGCCCCGGCCACTGTGCGAGCCGCATTGGTTACGCGGCTGCCAGGGGGCTTTGCAGTTTAAGGCAGTAGGTAAGGCGTCAGTCAGCTGCGGGGCACTTCGAGAACAAAACAACGAACGAGAGGCAAGAGCCGATGTCAGCTCGCCTGTTGACTTGGCAACATTTTGATCGACCGGCAGGTTGATGAGGTTGCTCTTGATATTAAATATGTACAATTTTGTGGGATTTACTATGCTTCCGTATCCAAAGAGCCCGAGAGCACAACAAAAGTGTAGTTAAACCCCCCCAGAATCGCCAACCCAAGCGCCGGCCTGCCGAGCCGTCCCGAGTCTGCTGGTCTCAGTTTCAGGAGCGGCACCCCAAACCGCCCAGCCCTGTGCCAGGGGAGAGTTGGTTCAGACAGCCGCCTCCTGTGCCGGCCACCCTTGCAAAACCCACAGTCGCCAGAGAAAGCTCCCGAGGAGGATGGCGCTAACCCGGCCTGGCGTAGCGGAGGGATGAGACGATAATTTTAGCGTCGGCTTCAAAAATATACATATTTCAAAATTCAAGATTCATCGGGCTCAATTCACATACAGATTCTTCGTGGTAAGGTTCGTCGTCCGCACAACTTCGGCATGCAAGGAAAAGGAGATACAGATTACAGATGGCACAATCGGCCTGCTAACGTCACCTCGAACAACCAACCACCAACCACCCCGTCGTAGCCCCCTCCCCTTGTGCTTGCCCGCCACGCCTCCGAATCCCTTGGCTGGCTGTTCTTCGCACTGTCAACGCCGCTTCCTCATTCAGTTCCCATGTTATTTCCATCCGGGACAACTTGCCGCTTTAAGCGAGCTGGGTGAGCACGATTTGGAAACAATGGAAACCCAAGCACTACACTCCATAAATTCGAGCAGCAACCGTACTACAAATTAGTTATATCTCGGTGGAAGTGAGGAACTGAAAATTTAAGAAACCAATTCGAAAAGGATCCTTGTGGTAATGTGGTAGTTAGCTCTTTGGCTCACCCCTTCGCAGCTCCGAGTCTGTCCTTGAGACAAGTTAAACCCCGAGCTCTCCGATTCTCTTTGTCGAGCTTGCTGCTGGGGTCCATCAGGTTTCTGCATACTTGGCCCTGCACCCAAGATATCGCCAGAACAAAGATGATGCCACTCGGCCGAGGCTCATATGCTTGGCGACGTTGTTCTTTCACAGGCAAGATCTCGAGCGAGTCTGAGGGGTGCTGCGGTTGACCGCTTAGTGATACGTCCTCGCGAAGACGTACTACGTAGTCCTGACGAAGTTGATGCTGGCGGAATGCGATCTACATAATCTGTAACTCCATTCATCCCGAGCCTCACGCTCACCCAGCCCACCCGATTGGCAGGTGGTCTCTCGAGCTCTGGGCGATGAGAACCAGAAAGACAAAACACGGGATAGTGACTGATCGAAATATCGAAAATGGGAAAGGAATTTCCCAAAAAGCATTATGGTAACTACCCCCGCATCTCATTCTTCTCAGAAAGGACTGCACTTCCCGTGCTGCATCTGCCAAGCACCATCGTCAGCGAACCGCAGCAGCATTGGCAAGAGGTGTTGACGCGTCCCGTTGCCGCCCAAGGGACTTGGCCCCGGCACTGACTGGCCCGAGGGCTCAACCCGCAAACTCCGAACGGGTGGTGGCCGGTTGCTCCGGTAGCCTCCAAACCCAACTGTCGAGAGTGATGGAGTCGGGCAAAGATGCAGCATTGGCGCCCAGGGACGTTCCCAGTTGCTCGCTCACAGACAGGGCTGGCAGAGAGAGCACCGCCACGCCCATTTTGCACATCCTCCCGCATCACTGATCCTTCGGCACCAAAGCTCAGGTAGGCATCCATCAATGGACGGACCAATCGAAGCTTGCATCAGCAATGAAATAATATATCCGACGCTACTCAGAGCAAAGGAGAAGGAAAGCCAACAACATCACAGATAACCAGACCCTGAGAGAATGATACCCAGGCATAACAGCAGAAACGGTGGTATAATCCTGATAGTACACCCCCTCGAACCTCACTCGTCACCAAAAAGCACCCAGCGCTTACTTCCTCCTGGCTTCGTGGACAACGGCAATAATCTTCTCGACAACGGAGGGGTCCGAAAGCTAGTAGAAGGAGACCACGTCAGTCGAGGCCGAAACAACAGAGAGCAGCATGTGGGGCAGTTGTGCTTACCGTGGTGATGTCGCCGAGCTGGTCTTCCTCGCCAGCCAAGATCTTCCTCAAGATACGCCTCATGATCTTACCGCTGCGCGTTTTGGGGAGGTCGGGTACGATAAACACCGCCTTGGGGGCGGCGAAGGGCCCGATACTCCTGCGGACCTGTAGGATAAACTCCTTCCGGAGCGCATCCGACGCCTCGTTGCCGTCTTTGATAGCGACGAAGGCGTTGACAGCCTGGCCCGTAAGCTCGTCCGCCACGCCGACAACGGCAGACTCGGCGACGGCGGCGTGCTCGATTAGGGCAGCTTCGATCTCTGCGGTAGAGAGACGATGGCCACTAACGTTCACGACGTCGTCGACACGGCCGCGGATCCAGTAGAAGCCCTCATGATCCCGGCCCGCACCGTCACCAGTGAACTGATACCCGAGTTAGTCAACTGGCCTCCCCAGAGCCTGACCACGCTGAATACTCACATAGTACCCCTTGTAAACATTGAGGTACGTGTCCATGTACCGCTTGTGGGCGCCCCAGACAGTCCGCGCCATGCTTGGCCATGCCTGCTTGAACGCCAGGACACCCTCGACATCGTTGCCGGGGATCTCATCGCCCGAGACGGGGTCGATGATGGACGGCTCGACGCCAAAGAAGGGAAGGGAAGCGGAGCCGGGCTTTGTCGGCGTCACACCAGCAAGGGGCGTGATGACGTGGGAACCAGTCTCGGTTTGCCAGTATGTCTGCACCACGGATCAGCATAGAGCGGGGAAGGATATGCAAATCCAACGACAACTCACGTCTATAATTTGGGCCTGCTCCTTGCCGACAACTTCAAAGTACCACTTCCAGACCTCGGCGGCGATAGGCTCGCCGACGGTGCCGAGAACCCTCAGGTGCTTCATCTCATTTCGCACGTGCTGGTCGCCAGCGCGCTTGAGCAACCGCAGGGCGGTCGGGGCGACGTAGAATTGTGTCACCTTGTGGTTCTCGATAATATCCCAGTAGCGCGAGAAGTTGGGGTACGCGGGTGTGCCCTCGAAGACGACCGTCGACACACCGAGAAGCAGGGGCGCATACACGACGTAGGTATGGCCCGTGATCCAGCCCACATCGCCGCCGCAGAAGAAGCGGTCGCCGTCGTGGATGTCGAAGACGTACTTGGCCGTGGTCGCGGCGCCGAGGAGGTAACCGCCCGTGGTGTGCATCATCCCCTTAGGCTTTCCGGTCGAGCCGGAGGTGTACAGAAGGAAGAGCGGGTCCTCCGAGTTCATGGGCTCGGGCGCGAGATACGCTGGCCACTTGTCGACCTCCTCATGCCACCAGACATCGCGGCCCTTGGTCATGGGAATGTCGGCGCCGGTGCGTTTGAAGACGAGGACGCCTGTGACGTCGGGGCACTGCTTGAGGGCGTCGTCCACAATCTTCTTTGTGCCGATCAACTTTCCGCCGCGCTTGCCCTCGTCAGACGTGATGACGACCTTTGACCGGCCATCGATGACACGATCGCGCAGCGAGTCAGCCGAGAAGCCGGCGAAAACAACCGAATGGACAGCGCCGATTCGGGCGCAGGCGAGGAGGGCAACGAGAGCCTCGGGGACCATGGGCAGGTAGATGGCCACTGTGTCGCCCTTGCGCACACCCAAATCCCGGAGGACGTAGGCAACCCGCGAGACCTCGCGCAGGAGCTCGCCATAGGTCACAGTCCGGCCCTCGGATGGCTCGTCGGCCTCGTAGATGATGGCGACGCGGTTGGGGTCCTTGAAAGCGTGGCGGTCGACGCAGTTGTACGAGGCGTTGAGCTCGCCTTCGAGGAACCAGGCCACATCACCGTTGGTCAGAGAACCGCTGCTCACTGTCTGGAAGTCCTTGTGCCAAGTCAGCAGCTCGCGAGCCAGCCTCCCCCAGAACTTGGTGGGCTCTGTGATGGACTCCTTGTAGAGTTGCTGGTACTCCTCGAGGCCTGGGGTTGCGCAATTGTTAGCGCGCCATGTCATGCACCGGGAAGGCTACCCGGGCGCCGGTCGCGGAGGCCGAGTAGCGGGTTTAGGGGGTTGTTGCGTACCACTCAGGTGAGGTTTGCTCGGGTGGTCTGCCGCATCCTGGTTAGCTTGCCATTCTTCTTCTTCCCTTCGTCCAGATGCCCCGCAACGCGTCTGGACTGCATTTCATTTTGCCGCACGGCACAGAAGCGGACCTACTCTCGAGCATCTTGGCGGGGGGGTCTGGAGGAGAAATGTCGTGTCAGCCATTCTTCCATTTCCTTCCTTGCCTGGACTAGCTTGCTGCAGCTACAACCCGTCTGTTGGATTGGGTGGCTGGGTGGGTGATTCAAGCTTACGAAAGGTGTCGACCTCATGGGCCTCGGCCACCACGGGGGCTTTGGCGCTCACTTCAGCCATGATAGTGGCGGCGATGGAGGGGTCGACGGTATGGCGGGGTAGCGACTTTTCTCGAAGATGGTGGGGGTCGGGTGTCAGTCTCGCGCAAAGCTCGGTGCGGGTTCACAACCTAATGCAAGAGGAGATGGGAGCAAATATATGGAGGAGACACGGGGTAGAGGACCAGTGAAATATGATTAATCTAGGGAGTTTAAGCCGGCGAGGAAGGGGCGAGGGGGGAAGGGACGCTTTTGTAGGTATCACAGCGACGATCGCACCAACGGATACCGGTCGAGATGCATGAACGAGGGTGCACTCAGAGGCTGTGGACCTGCACTTTCCCCATCACCTAATTGTGCCGGTAGCGGTACCTGACCTTAGGGGAAGCTCCGGCCGGGATGGTGGGGTGGTTTAGCCAAGGGCAAGCGCAAGTGGGTTTTGTAGTTTCCCTCCGTCCGACCAACCCCTCCAACTACCAATGTCGCCATTGCTCGGCCCTTGTAGCCGGAATGGAGGCGGTGCTTAGACGAGCCTGGGCGTGTGCGCGAATAAAGCTTCTTTCGAGAGAACCCGAGGATATCGACCGGGAGGTTAGGATCGAAACTACCTCTGGCTTGTCTGAAGCCTTTCGCAACCCCTCCTGCCGGCTTGCAAGCCCAGGTTGCCCGTCTGCGGGGTGTCATGGGGGGGTGCACCAACTGCTTGTTTGAGATACAGGTTGACAGGGTTCCCAGAGAGTTGACATCAAGCCCTCAGAAACAAACCACATGCCCCAAGCTGATGTGGGGATACATACTTTCGGGAGCAGACCCGCGCAGGAGGGTTACAGTGTACCACAAACATTGGTGTTCTTCCAGGCTGCAGTCCACGCCGATAGACGTTACACCAACAACTTACACTCCTGATGAACCCCTCCTCATCCCGAGCAAATTGGACAAATTGGAGCCTTCCATGGAGGGGTGGTCTGCTCGGTGCCAGTGGTTGATGTTGTTGTTCCACAACGCCGAAGATTTGATGAGGGGCTAGCGCCTTCCTTCCCCGGCGCCCGGGTAGGTCTCCATGTTTCTCTCCGCGGGCCGACAAGGACAGCCTAGCCTCAACAAAACCACACAGAAGAAGCGCAAATGTGACAGGATCAGGTCGAAGAAGTCGCTTGAGAGCGCGATACCGAGGATCGCATCCAACAAGGGCAGCCAAGACGAAACTCTGCGGCAAAAAGGCACGGGATTATTATCACAGGCGGCCACCTGCGGGGACCGGTCAAATCAAGCTCCAGTACCCCGCGACCAAATAATTATTCGGTCGTGCTGCGCATGCGGGGTGACAGGTTGGGAGCCGGCTGGCTAATAACGTTGCTTCTATTCTTCGGTCCCCTGTTTGCCATGCGATCCCGGTGCGTGCAACGTGGGTCGGATTTGATATTCGAGTCAGACAGTGGGTGAGTGGCTTCGATCCCCCAAGCAACTGGTCCTGGTTGCAAGCCGACATCCAAGGTTGCCCCCAACCACAAAGTTGCAGTGCAGTATGTGCGGCCTGCGGTCGAGACGCTTCTGTGTGCAGTGCTTGAACCAGGAACGCCTGACCCAGGACTGCAATCGCGGGCTGGTGAATTACCTAACAGACACAACCGCAGGGACCCGAGGGAGGGGATCTGAGACCATCGTCAGCAAAGTGTGTGTGTGTGTTCGTGTACTGATACTTGAGAATGTAGTTTCCTATTTTGGATTTAACGGCTTCCATCCTTCGGCGCAAGCTTCTTCCCCCGCGTGCGTCTCAGCAGCGTTGCTTGGCCCTCGCAAGCACCGATCGTCTTGGCTGATGCACTGCCGGTTGGATGCTTGGGAGTGACGAAGGCGGCGCCTGGGGCGTGATGCTGCCCAGGCTCGGCGACGACAAGGCATTGGTTTTCTCACAGCTGCCCCGCACCTGTCCCAAAGGGACTCCGCGATGGGATTCGAGCAGCCAACCTCTTATTGGTGCCCATGTAGCGGGTTTCTCGGTCGACATGCCGTGAATGACGGTAGTCTTCAGCTGCAGTTTTACCCATGCTGACCACTGTTCTCAGTATCTAAGGTAACTTGGAGGCTAGGTAGGTATTGCTGAGCACACATTTTTGGTCCACCATCTTTGGCAGCTCACGCGATTCAAGAGGCACTGTAAACAGCTCGCTGGGCTGTTGCTGCTTTGCTAGTGTACTTGACCTCGGGGCCATCATCCCCTTTCCCCAAACCCGAGGTGGGTCATCCAATCCGGGGCCCCGATATCGAGAGCGATCTCCGTTCCCGCAAGACCGAATGCGCCTCTACCCCTGCATCATGCGACCCTGGGCTCTTCCACAGCTCCGTTCTCGCGTGCTCGGGTGACCGAGAGAAAGCAGGGTGCGAGCCCGATGCCCGTCGCCCAGAGCACGGGTTGTGCGGTCAGCCCTTGGTCCGAACGACGGGGTCAGCCCTTGTTCGTTAGCGTCCATGTCTTCCGTCTCGGTAACTCACATATCGAGGCCGGGCAAGGTCATGGGTGGTCGTAGCCACGCTGGAATTGAATGGGAGCAAACCGATCAGACTTTCCGTAGTCAAACCAGGCCGTTAGATTTCGAGATATGCCTGGGTAGTGCTAGAAAAGTGACCAGTTTTATTTATTGTATCAAGTGATTGTGAGCGAGGACGTAACGAGCCGTTCTGGCCACCACCACCAACACTTGCGGGGGATGACACAGTCGGCTAACTCTTCAGCAAACACCCATCATAGTTCGAGTAGCTAGAGTTCAGATACGTACATAACTACATACAAACACATACCCAACATATATCAGTGAGTAGCAGGGACATTACTAGTAACGAAAAGAAGAACGTGCGCGAAGAGGGAATATATAAACCTCCGCGTCCATCATCATCAAAGAAACACCGAGCTTCAAAAACATCAAAACATTCGACAAGGTTGTCAGGGGAATCAAAACTAGAGGGGAATCAAAAAGAAGAGAAAAGAAAAACATCAAACAACAAACAAACGAAAAATAAAACAACAAAGGAACAGATCATCAACCAGAAAATCCGTCCTCGCTAGCAGCAGAGAAAGCAGCAGCAGAAAAAAAAAGATGCCGCCCGCCTGTAAAGCCATGCCCACCGTGAACTTCGTCTCCATCGCCACAGGTCATCTTGATCCCAACCAAGCTCCATCATCCATCACCCCATTCCCTCATTACACCAGCAGCCCCCCACCCTTTTCCCAGCCCATTGCCATCGCATCGCCAGTAAAACCAGCAACAGCACCAAAACCACTACCACCACCGCCACCCGACCACACCCACACCCACACCCACACCCACAACCGCCCCCTTAAAAGCAGTTCAGGCTCCCCTTCTTCTTCTTCTTCGCAATCGTATTCATGCGCTCCTCCAGGTGGGCGCGGGCGATCTCGGCGTCGCGGCGCTTGCGGCGCTCCTCCTCGACCTGCTGCATGCTGTAGCGGTGCTCCTGCTCGGGCTTGTCGCGCAGCTCCTTGAGCTCGGCCTCGAGCTCGTCGCCGCGCCGCCGCCACGCGTCGCACTCGGCCCGGATCGTGTTCTGCTGCCGCTCCAGGTCCGTCAGCGCCTCCTCCAGCGTCGCCGTCAGTTGTTTTTCGGCTTTCAGGTGCTTCTCGATCAGCCGGATCCGCGCCTCCTGGTCCTCCTGGATCTGGATGATGCCGACCGAGGCCGCGGCCGAGGTGCCGCCGATGTCCTTGCTGGGCGGGCGCGGGGTGGGGGAGGTCGTGCCTGGGTTGGCGCCCGACCCGTTGGGGAGAGGGGGCAGCGGGATGGCGGGCGGTGGCGAGGGGAGGGAGGCCACCGAGGAGCTCTTGCGGACTTGGCCTGTGAGGGAGTCGGATCGCTCCGGGAGCCCGGCCGCCGAGTGCATGCCCTCCAACTTGACCTGGTGAGTGTTAGTGGTTTGGTTGATGCGCTGGAAATGGGGTGTTGTCAAACATACCTGGAGAGAGGTGTATTCCTCCCGGATGGCATCCAGCTCTCCCTGCAGCTTGATCTTGGCAGCATTGGCCTCCTCCAGCTGGACGTTTCGCTCCATCTGCAGTGTTGAGAGGCGGTTGCTGGCCATCTGCGCTTGGTCGTAGTTGTTCTGCAGCTGGTCCTCGAGCTCCTCGACAAGCCGCGAGTTCTTCTTGTTCTTGCTTTCGAGATCCACCACCTTCTTCTTGACCAAGGCGACCTGCTCCTCGATCGGGTAGGCGCTTTGTGCTTTGGCGCTTTCCGCCTCGAGAACTTCGGCCAAGCTCGCCTTGACGGTCTCGAGATCGCGCATGACCGTGTCGTTGATGTTGGACAGGTCCACCACGTGGTTCTCGAGCTCTGCCCTCTTCTCCTGCTCCTGAAGCAGGGCCTTTTGATACGAGACGAGCTCTTCGAGGCGCTCCGAGATCCTCTCGACGCTGACATCCAAGCCAAGAGCAAATGCGACCTGCGTGGCAACCTTCATGAGGTCTTCGCGGGCCTCGGTTAGGTCACCCTCGAGTTTGCTAATCCGACCGGCATGCTCGGACTTGAGTGTCACCAGCTGAGATTCCACGTCTTGCTTTGAAGAAGACGTCATTTCCTCGACGTCCCTGGCGTGCTTCGATTCCAGCTCGCCGAGGCTCTCCTGGTGCGCCTTGAGGGCCTGCTCGTGGTCGGCGATCTGTGCCTCCAGCTTCGCGACCAGCTCCTTGCGGGCTTCCAGCTCGCTCGTAGCCTCGTCACGGTCATGCGTGGCCATCTCGAGGAGCTTCTTGGTGGCCATGTGTTGCTGCTCGACCTCGGTAACCTTGGACTGATTGCTGTTGATGAGGCCCTTGTACTCATCAATCTCACTTCTCAAGAAGTCAACCAGGCTCTTGTGCTTGGCCTCGGCCTCCTTGAGCGCCTCCTCTTCCTCGGGCTTCTTCTGCCCGGTCTCGGCCAGCTGTTCCGAAACAGAGGCAAGCTGGGTCTCAAGTTCCCCGATGGTCTTGGCCATCTGTGCCTCGGCGTCGCGCATGCTTTGCAATGCTGTGCTGTGCCTGTCCTCCCAGCCGGAGAGTTCTGATGTAAGCTCCGAGATTTTCTTCTCCCGTAACTCGATCTGAGCCGCTGATTCCTCAGAAGCCACTCTGGCCGATTCGGCCGATTCCTCCGCCGCAAGGTTAGCTCGCTTGAGGGACTCTTGCATCTCGGCAACTTCCTTGACATCTGTCGCGGAGCCGTCCGAGTCAACCGGAGCTTGTCTCACGGAGTCTTGGGGCTCGACGACCGCCTCGGTGGATGCAGGGGTCTTTTCTGCTGCCAAAGTAGCCTGCTTCAGCGACTCTTGCAGCTCGGCCAACTGCGCCTCCAGTTCCTTCTCCCGCGCGGAATGCGCCGCCTGCATCTCCCTGATTCGCCTCTCGCTTTGTTCGAGCTGCTCGCGGAGATTTGACACCATAGCCATATCCATAGGGGAGGTCGCCTTCAAGCTGGACCGTTCGCGCGTTAGCCCAGAGATGATGGTCATCTTTGTCTCCATCTCCTTTTTAGCCGTTGTGACATCCGCCTCGAGTTCCTGGATACGCTCCGACCGAGAGTGGAGCTCGTGCATGGCCGAGTTGAGGTTGAGCTCAAAGTTCTGCATGACATCGGGCTGGTCCTCGAAATTCTCAGCCGCAATGTTCCGTAGCGATGCAAACGACCGATGGGCGCGATCAATAATCATGACGTTCTGGCTTGACTTGCGGCGGATCACTGGGGTGTTACCCTTTGGCGATTGGGCTTCGGTGGTCGCGGCTTGGGCCTTTGCAACCTCCGTTTTGAGTTCCTCCACCACATCGAGAGTGTGCTGGTGTTGTTCCTCCAGCTGGGCGTACCGTTCGGCAAGTTCCCTCTCGGCGAACTCCCTCTCAGCAGCAAGGGCCTTTAGTCTCTCCACCTCTACCAGGACATCAGAGTTCGCTGACTCGGTTGGTGAAGATTCCTGCCCCTCAGCCTTTGCCACAACGGTCTCGGCATCGGGTGCTCCCACGGTAGTCGCCGGAGAGTCCATGGCGGAAGATAGCTCGGACGAGAGCGATTTTAGTGAAAGATGGGCGCCGTCTCTCGTGTCGTTGGTCCTAGCGTCAGACAAGAAGGAATGCGGCCTCGTTTGGAGCGGCGACGCCACCGAGAGCATCGAGTCGCGTGGGCGCTGCGGGTGCCGCGACTCATCCACTGCATCTTGCATATCTGCGAGTGCGCGAAGAGCTTCCTCATACTTGGCTTGGAGGAGGTCGTACTCGGTAAGTGTTGACTCGTGCTCGACGCGCAGGCCGAGCAACTCCTGAGTGACGGTGTCGAGCTTATCGGCGACAAATTTGGACTGTGCCGGGCTGGCGGCATACTCAGCCTCGCCATTTTCCGTTGCCAGGTGAGCGCGCGAAGGCTTGGGGGTTGTGGCCTCGGCGGTTGTTTCCGCGGTCGGCTTCAACTCCTCGACCGCTTCCTCGGACTGGTCCTCGGCCTCCTCGGGAATGTCTTCCTCTCCACTCTCAGGGATAGTCTCTTCCATTTGGCTTTGTCGGCTGACATGACTCTGGCTGCGTGAGTGCTCGGCAATGCTACGACTGGCCGTGCGCCGGTGGCCTGCCCCGTTGCTCAGTCCGGTCTCGGCCTCGGCGGCTGGCGCATCCTGTTGAATGTTGTCGAGTTCGTGCAGGAGCGAGTCTAGTTTCCCGAGGCTGCGTTGCCGCTCGACTACCTGCTCTAACCGGTCAATTTCTCGCTGCATCAACTCGGCATCTTGGTCGGCTTCGGCGAGGCGCTCTTCCAGTGTCGAGATGTAGTCCTCGCATGTCGCCTCGTTCTCGCGCACACGGGTGATCTCCTTCCGCAGCTCCATAATAATGGTCGCGTTCTTCTCCTCACCCGAGGTATGGCCATCCAGCTTGGCTTCTAGGTCGTGGAGGTAGTTTTCGGTACTCGTCTCGCGGTCCATCAGCTTTTGCAGCCGCGACTGGAGCTGGCCGTTGATGGTTTCGGTGTAGGCGCACTTGGTCTCTTTTTCGAGCAACGACCCCTCGGTGATGGCCAGGGTAGCCCGGGTACTGGCGAGTGAGTGCTCCAGCGACTGAATCGTCTTCTCATACTCCAAGACCACCTGCTCCACAGCCTGTGCGAAGCTATTTGATCTGTTCAGGCGCTCGGTGGCAATGTCTTCGGCGTTTTCGTCGCGGTGTTGGTTTTCAGCGGCCTCCTCGTCCCTGGCCTTTGCCATCTCGGCAATCAGCTTTGCGTGCCGCTGGCCCAGGGCCTTGTAATTTTCCTCCGAGTCGAGCAGGCGGTTCTGCAGCTCAACTTCCCGCTCGTTCTGCCGCTCGGACCTCTCGCCAGGGGCCAGGGTCCGGCGCTCGCCCCCGCCCCGTTCTGCACTCCGGATTTGCTCCCGCAGGAATGCCACCTCGGCCTTGAGCCGGTCGATTATGGCCTGCTTATCGCCCTCCTCGACCTGTTGGATTCGCGGCTTGCTCTGGATCGCTCGGGCCCTCTGCGCATATTGCACCGTGTTTAGCGTCTCGCTGAGGTGGAACTCGGCCGGCGTCACGCAGGCAATCATGTACGTGATGGCATTGCCCCCGAGGGAGTCCTGGAGCAAGCGGGTCAGCTTGGAGTCCCGGTACGACACGTGGGCTCCGGCCTGCCGCGACGACAGCTGCGAAATGACCTTGCCGAGCGCGGCAAGCCCCCCGTTGATCGAGATTCCTTCCTTGGCCCGCTCGCCCTGGGCACCCGTGTTCTTGAGGCGCTCGCTGCCGGCTAAATCGACAAAGTGCATCTTGCTGTCGGTGGTGACGAGCGTCTCGCCGCCCCCAGCCAGCCCCTCCAACGGCATCGAAAACCGCTTCTCGGCACCTGTCGTCGCTTGCTGTTTTGCCTTTTTCTGCACGAGGTTCAAGCTGAAGACGGCGTGAGAGCGGGATGACCGGGCGTTGATGGCTGTGGCGTCGGTTTGGCGGAGCGTGGAGCCTTGGTTCAGGACGTTCATCAGATCCTCGACCGAGTTGACTTCGACCTGATGCAAGCCGGTGAGGAGGATGTTGCCCTTGACATCCTCGCGGATGGTAACGGTGCCTCGTTCGTGTGCCGGAACGCTGTCTGGCGATAGGAGATCTCTCAGCTGCTCGTTGTAAATCTCAACGTACGAGGCGCGCAGCGTCCAGTTCTTCTCCACTTGAGAGGAGCCAGGCGCTTGCGCCGAGTACCGCGCGGGCGTACGGAGCTGGGACATGGAACTGCGGTTGGGGTTCCTCTTGGGGCCCTCCAACCGTTCGAACAGCGCGGTCGCGGCGCGCGGGATGACACCTGGGGCCGGGCGGGAAGACACGTTAGCGATGGCGCTTAAGACTGGGCGACACGGCGGCGCGAGGCTACTCACCCATGACATCGGTATCTCCTTGCTCTAAAGGGCCCGATGTCCCCATCGTATACGATTTTCCTGCGCCGGACTGGCCATAGGCAAGAAGCGAGACGTTGTACCCCTGGGTAAACGAGTTGATGCAGTCTTCTAGGTATTCCCAGACGCCCGCTTGGTCAACTTCGGGCGTGAATACCCTATCGAAGACAAACAGCTTGCGCCCTTGTGGTGACTCGATCGCAAGACTAGTCGGCGACTGGACCTGGACCATTGACCGCTGGAAGCGCTGGGGTATAAGCTCGTAGCCCGGGTCGGTCGACTGCAAGGGTGGGCGGACGCGAACCGCTAGAGGATTAAGAAGAAAGACGTCAGAATGCAGCTGTCCGTGAGGTCGTGACACGCTCCGACTGCCAGGTTACCGGCGGGGTTGACCGGATGCTGTGTACTCACCGACTCTGACGGCGGTTTTTGAGTCCTCATCCGACGCCCTGCTTCCTCCGCCCGTCCTACTCTGCATACTCATCCGACTGTTGCTCCTCGGTGATGGGCGTACCATGGCGCTCATGGGTCGCGGAGACATGATGCCGGGCGAGCCTGGTGGTGAGGCCATCTCGGCGGCGGCGGGTGCGAAGCGGGCGGCTTCCTTGTTAAAGGGGTTCGCGAATCGGTCGATTTGAACCGGCGCGGTGGGACTGGCCCGATCGCCTTTTTCCGCCGGTGATGGGTGCCGCACAGGGAAATTCGTGGGACGACAAACGCGAGACCACGACACGAACTGTGTGCAAGTCTCAATGCCAGAGGCAGAACTCGACACCAATGACCCCGCAAAAAAGGGTTATGCTTCGGTGCATAAGGCCGTCATCTGCTCTCCCCCAAAGATCGAATCGAGGATTCTCCTGTCTCGAGCGCGGGTATTTTTTGGGGAAAATGCTTCACTGTCTGGGCGCCGTTTGGGGATTCCCCCTTGTTTATTTGATTGCACCGACCGGGGGGGCCGCAAATTACAAACGCGTCCCCTGAAGGTGCAAGAGGTGACAATGGGGCACACTGGGGTGACCCTGGGCCTCGCGATAAAGTACCTGGCAGCCTCTCGAAGCTAGCCCAAGAATGTGCAGCTTCAACTTTGACTCCGCTGCCCGGGTTCTTTTTGTCGGAGGCTGGCTTCGCGTGCTGTGCTGCACTGATAACTTGGGCTCAGGTACTTCTCCCAATTTGTTGGTTGCAAGTGGGCCTGGGCTCGACACATTCGGCAAGCAAAGGGTGGGCCGCAACGAGAAAAAAGAAAGGGGAAAAAAAGGATGGAATGCAAGGTCAAGGAGGGGTTTGCTCGCAACTGGTCGCCCAGGTCCTGCCGCCATTTGGGAATTGGTGTCTGCTTGGGGCTGTCAGTGGCTGGATGTGGTCGTTCGCTGCAAACACCGCCTGTGGGGGTGTGCTGGTGGGTCCTGCCTGCAACCGAGTCTGAGTCTGGGGTCGGGTCCAGTCCATCGAAGCAACCCGGGGCCACATTTCTGAGTCGGCGCCTCTTGAAGACGATTGATTATACGCCGAGTGATATCCCCATTGTCACACGTATGAACCGCCGTTGCCTCTTCATCCTTCGTTCTATCAATAGTAAATTATCTAATTATATAGACATGTCTCTGGATATTCGACACGTTTGTCTCTGCAGCTTCGGACCCTGGGCAAAAGAGGTATCCGAAAAGGTTAAGAAGGGAGGTTCCAGGGTTTTCGAGGTTTCGGATTCTCGGGCTTCTAGCGGCAGTCACTAAAAAGCGCAAGCCACCAGGCCGGGATCACATGCCGCACACAGCGCCCGGGCGTGACGAGCAACCTCGAATCGTCCTTTATTACAACTCTCGCAAGCCATGTCGGTCGTGACCCTCCGACAGAGGGATCGTCGTCCAGCTCGGCCCTCTCGAGGGATCGCGGGGCACGCCAGATGTAACCCGTCCTGCCCGTCAATGCTCAACCGCCGTTGAGAAACTTGAGAGGCCCAGTGACCGAAAGCTTTGATAGGCCGATGGAAGGTTCGAAACAACCTTGCTGCATGACAGAGCTGCACGCCCTGACTTTCATCCGCAGGCTTCATCTTAACATTCTGCGGGACATGGGACGACGAGCCTCGGCGCCGGATCGTTCCGCGAGTGGCATTGAAGAAGAAGGCGGCACAGTACTTCCCGTGTACATACATGCCGTCCCTCCACGCTCGCTCCCATCCTCCCGCTTGCTCGTTCAGTTCAATGCTGCAAAGCAATTGTCGCTCGTGGGGCTTGGGGCTTTCGACGATGCGTGCCCCTCGTTTCCACAAACAGCGCCTTGCAAACGCCCCTGGTCCGAACTAGCCAGGCCCGAGCTCCCAACTTCCAAAACGGGCCCACTGGCGGGATCCCACGACCGTGCGCACGCTAGACTCAACTGGGACACATGCCATGGCGATCCGTTCGGCGAAGGCGACCGCAAAGACCTGAATCTGGACCAACGGCGGCCAAAACGAGAGTAGCCCGGGGGGGCACAACCACGTGCGGAGGTTCCGAGACACAAATAACGTCAGGGAGGAAGCGAGAACTGGACATGAAGTTTGTGTTGCTGGTCTCGGAGAAGAGGGTAACCTCACTAATCAACCTGTACTTGGCACTCCCCTTCCATCCCCGTTCGTCGTATCTCCTGTCTGGTTTTGGGACAAAGAATGATTATTAACGAAGAGAAAATGAGTAGAGAAAATGAATGAGGAAAATGTCAACTAATCCGGGAAAACTCGAAGTCGAGATCCTACGCCATGTTTCAAGATTCTCCTATTTTCTACTATTTATTCCTCCGACACCTTTCTTGCTTCAACAGACGCCGCCAAGAGGCGCGCTTCCAGCCAAGAACTCAACGATGGAGGAGCAGCGATCGTAGAATAAATCGATGGGGACCGACCGTCCTTCGCACGGTAAAACTATGTCACGTGATACTGTGTTTGTTTCGCGCTTTCCGTCGCGTCTCTTTTTTTAAGTCGACGTGGTGCGCTCTTGATGCAAGGGCGGCACGTCATTGGAGCTTCCTGTAGTACGGGTACCTGTTACCTCCTGCGATTGTTGATTTCAACTCTCCGACAATAATTGCCCAATGCCTGTTTGACAGGGATATTGCCCACGGACTACAGAAGGCGACCCGACCGGCGACAAAATGCCCGAAGTGATCTCTCTCCTCTCCAGCTCCGAGGCGGGCTCCCCTCCACGGCCGAAAGCGAGACAACCATCACCATCGCGGGGGAGAGTTACCAAAACCACAGCATTCAGTTCTGACGATCTTTTTGCGCCCTTACCCCCCGCTCGTCAAACAACCAACACGAATATCTCGAGGACAAACAGCCGGCCAACCGCCCGACCTGCCACTGACGATGTGTTGCTCATCTCGGATGACGAAGTCACCCCTTTTGAGGATGTCCACGAACAAGAAGGGAGATTTAATAATGGACCTGCTTCAAAAAGACGTCGCTTAGATGGTCCCGATACGCACATTAGCGATATAGGTAGCCCGCCAAACCCCGCCGCAACAAGGGCACCGCTTCAAGTATCCAGGCCAAGGCGCCCAGGCCCGAGTGATCTTCCCAGCCTCAATGGCAAACGACCGGTTCCACGACGAGATTGGCTTGACGATGATCCGTTTGCAAGTTCTTCCCCTCAGGTAGCAGAACAGCCACCCCCGAGGGTTGGCAACCATGCCCCTACGCTGCCGTCAAGCTACTTGGGCGATAATCCCACTGTTAGCTCTCCCGCCCAGCAAAGAGGACCTCAGCCCACAAAGGCCAGCGACCGGCTACTCAGCATTGACGACATTGATCCTTTTGCTTCCAGCTCACCAGCACGTATCTCCGGTCCAGCAAAGTCGGCCCAATCCGAGGCAGCGTGGGATCCAATTTCGAGCTCTGCTCCTCTTCGGGTGGCGGCTGACAATGAGCGTTGGAGTACTTCACGTGGTTTCCGGAGGACTCAATCAGAAGTAATCACGCTGGATGATTCTGAAAACGAGTTCGCAGCCCAGTCACTCTCTGACGATGACTTGCCAGACATCACGGACTTGGCGGCTTTAAAGCGAAAGGTTGCCACACCGTACAATCCACCTCCAGCATCTAATACCACTAAACCATCACGGAAATCAAAGTCGGCGGGACCAAGGATAGATCCCGTGCAAACGAAGAAGAGTTCCCTGGAGAAAGCGAAGGAAAAGGAAGAGAAGGTCGCCGCCCGGGAGGCGGAGAAGGAACGCAAGAGGTTAGAAAAAGAGCGTGCCAGGGAAGAGAGAGTCCAAGAAAAAGTGAGGGCTGCTGCCCTGGCCGAGGTGAACAAGATTCGGACAGACAAAAAGGTGGCTGCTCCAGAAATGATCGTCGACCTTCCTACGACTCTCGACGAGTCCGTCAAACTACAGGCAGCGACCCTTCTCCGCGACCTCGACGTCCACTCCGCCCCCTGGTCTAGCCCCGTCGAGAACGTGGTAAAATGGCGCCGCAAAGTCAGCTCCCGGTACAACGACGAGCTAGGCCACTGGGAGCCTGTCCCCGAGCGAATTGACCGCGAAAAATACGCCATGGTGGTTGTTCCGGCAGCGCAGTTCGTCGGCCTCGTCCTCGGTGAGGAGGATGCCAGCCTCGAATCCCATGTCCTACGCATGAAGCGCCACTTTCCCAACGATACCATCATCTACCTGGTCGAAGGTCTGTCCCTCTGGCTCCGCAAGAACCGCAACGCCCGCAACAGTCAGTACGTTTCGGCCGTGCGCAACGGCCTCGAGCCACCTCCAGAGCCCTCCAACACTCAACAGCAGCGGAAACGCAAAAATGCCAATCCGCAAACCTACATCGATGAAGAGGTCGTCGAGACCGCCCTCCTCCAGCTGCAAGTCCTCCACAGCGTGCTTATCCACCACACCATAGTCCCCCTCGAGACAGCCCGCTGGATCGCCGTCTTCACGCAGCACATCAGCACGGTGCCCTACCGCCGACAGCGTGACGAGGCCAACGACGCCGGGTTCTGCATGGAGACCGGCCAGGTCAGGACGGGCGACGGGCCGCGCGACACGTACGTGCGGATGCTGCAGGAGATTTCGCGGGTCACCGCGCCCATCGCGTACGGCATCGCGGCCGAGTTCGGGGCCGTGCCTAAGCTGGTGAAGGGTTTGGAGGAGGGAGGCCCGCTGAGGTTGGAGAAGGTGCGCAAGAGCGTCAACAAAGAGGGGGAGGTGAGCGAGAGGACCGTGGGGCAGGCTGTTAGCAGGAGGGTGTGTAAGATTTTCTTGGGGCGGGATGAGACCAGCACGGATATATAGAGTGCGAAATCGGTCAGGGGCAGGTGCATATGGATAGACGGTTCGCATACTCTGTAACTTCTAGAGCTCCAGATAATTCTAACCCCACGTACCTAAGGTTGAAACTCCTAGACTAGTGAGCCTCCATTGTTGCTCTCCCACTTCTTAGCGACCATTAATAGTTCATGATGAAACTATCCGTACATTAAGTGTTTCCTCTCTAACCTTGGACTTTCGAACGTCTCGAATACATCCACGAACCCTAGAGATCTTGAACAAACAACCTTGAAACACCTCGGACACATAAAAAAGAAAATCACAACACTTCAACGTCGTCATAAACTCATTTCTCCCCAACCAACACCTTCAAAGCATGCACCACCGCCTCCACCACCTCCGGAGTCCGGCTCTTCTGGGCACACTCCGTCAGCGCGTCCACCCCGCTCGCAGTGAGCAGCTTCTCCCGCGCCAGCTGCCCCACCTCCCCCTCCTGCGAGACCATGTTGTGCACCACCACCGCGCCGCGATGCCTCAGCCCCTCGTCGTCCCCGTCCCGGCACAGGCCCAGCACGATCCCCGCACCGCGCGGCTGCTCCAGCACGGCACGGACGACCTCCCCGAACGCGGTCAAGCTGGCGAGGGCGCCGCCGGCCGCGCTGCGCGTCTTGACGTCGTCGGCGTCGGCCAGCGCGAGCATGACTTTGACGCGCGTGGCCGCCTTGGAGGAGCCGTCGCCGAACAGGCCGATCGCCTCCTCGGGGCTCTGCACCAGGTTGCAGACCAGCTCGGCGGCGGCCGTGGAGACGCGCGCGTTGGTGCTGAAGAGCTGCTCCTCGACGTCGTCCCAGGCGGTGCGCACGATGGCGCGGCGGGTGGTGTCGCTGTCGTCGTCGGTGGAGGCGAGGTTGGTGAGTGCCAGGAGCGATTCGAAGGTGGGTAGAAGATCCCGGGTGTCGGCGTTGGGGTCCGGGGGGATGATGGATGTGAGGGGCCGGATGGCGGCGGTCTGTGGGAGCTGGCGGAAGATGAGGGCCGGGTTGGTGGAGATTAGGATGCGGGCGAGTGCTTGGGCGGCGGTCCGGCGGGTGGCGTCTTCCTTCTCGGGGAGGGCGGTCCATGCGGCGATGAGGACACGAACGGCGCCTTGCTGGGCGAGTTGGCCGCGGAGAGAGGGAGTGACAGAGAGGGAAAAGATGATAGAGATGATGAGAGAAAGAGACGCGATAGAGGCGGTCTTGCAGTGCTTGACGAGAACGGGTGTAACGCCAGCATCAAAAACAAGCTTGCAGCGCTCTGATACATAGGAGTCATCGCTCAAGGGACTGGGCTGCACCTTTCCGGCCGCGTTAGCATACGCCTTCAGCTGCTTTAACCTCTTTTGTTCCTCGGACTCCGTGGGCTTGTATCGGGTAATGTGGGTGATGATACTGAGAGCGCCGTACGCAAGGGGCGACTTCGGGGGTGCCGATCCTATAACAGTGACGATGCGTTTCAAAGATTCGCCGTCGCGTGCCAATTGCTCTCTGATCTTTGGCAGTGTGGTCGCATATGCCAGTCCCTCCACCGCATACTGGACATCTTCGGAGTCCTCGGCGGCAAGCATCCCCGCAAACCTCTTGCATAGACGCTCCATCTTGGCAACTGCTGATTCAACTTTGGGTTCGGGGCCCTGGTTCGGCGGTGCGACCTGTTGAACGGAGGCTGCCTTCAACCTCCCATGTCAGCCGGTTTCGATACATTTTCCAAGACCTCTAGAGCCTCGTAAGTGTGCGGGCACAGGCGCTAACCATAATCTTGGTCCAGATCACCCCGGCGAGGCTGCGGACTTTCCTGCAGTGCTCTTTCAGAGGTTCGGGCCCTTCTTTATCAATATCGATATCCGTCTCGACAAGATTCCGCATGTTCGCCACACGGGTTTCAGGGTCCTCGAAAATGACTTCCTCTAGCCAACCAATGCAATACTTCTGGATGGCCGGATGGCACTTCATCTGCATACATGCGGCATGGAGCATCTCCAAGCACGCCGTCTCGATTTTCCGGCTTTTCCACTTCCGGCTCATAAGCGGAGCAAGGCTGGGGAGAAATCCCTCGGTATGGATTAGGTCCGACATTAAGTCGTAGTCAATAGAGAAGATGGCGGCCGCGGCGCAGAAGGCGACTATGTAGTCGTCGTATGTGCCACCCTTCATCTTGGCGTGGAAGAAGCCATTGACCCTTCGGTGGCCCTCCTCTTTAGCAGCGCCGAGGTAGGCTGCTGTGCAGAGGATAGCGTTTAGCCTGATGTTCTGGGACTGCCTCATGTCGAGGTAGCCAAAGATGGTGTCGACACAATAGTCGTCGATGATGGGGATAATGGACTCTTGGCCCTGCTTGGTTCGCTCGCCATCCTCGTTGAGGAGTTTTGTCAGCGAAGAAAGATCGGCCGACTTCTCCTCATCCTGCTTGCCGGCCTCCATGAGGTGAGCGAAGAGAAGCATGGCTTCATCTTTTATGGCCTGGGATACTTTGCTGGCTTCGGCCTCGTCAAGCATGATGGCGGTTGGTAAAATGTGGAAGTGTGGTTGGTGATGGGTATGTGGAGAGACACGCTCAATCTAGCTGATTGAGATTGAGCGTGGGAGCAGGGGGTAATTAAAGGGTGAATGTGTGTGGGAAAGGAGTGATGTTATTCAAGTGATGGGAGTTGACCGTTGAGAGTGCCAATGTTGAGGATCGAATCTCAATCGGAACTGAAAGGGCAGGAACAAAAACTTAGCTTCGATCTGGGGGAGCCAGGGAATTTAGAGTGAGAAGCGAGAGAAGTTAATCAGCTTGAGTCATGGCGTATACGTGATTCCGAATGTCAAAGCTTTGGTGTCCTCGGTGTGGACAATGTCATAAGAGCGTGGAGGAGTCGGTGCGTGTTGCATCTTTACAGCAAAGGTCTTACCATCTGTGCATGCATCTTCAAGACGCGGGCGGGAGCGACCCCTCCAGAAAGATGCCCCACCATAGCTCCAAGGGGGACCCCCATGCACATTGACTAGCCCGATAGTGGCATAGCGCATGCTGCATCTGAGAACGGCCGATAACTGCTTCGTCTCGGGTCGCCTACTAATTTTCTCCTGATAGACAACGCGGAACGTCATTCGACTGTCGCACAAAGACTTGAAGCGCACATGCGGTCTTGCGGCTGACCTGCACCAGTGTTGACCTGCGGCATCTCCTCGGATTTCGATAACGCGAACCTGCCGAGGAAAGCAGCAGGGAACAAAAAGCAGGGAACTTGATCGGCAGGCACGCAGGGCCCTGACGTCCGCCTTCATCTTCATGCTCGCGAGGCACGAATGCGTCGGAGCGATTCGAGACTATTAAGAATATCGAGCGCGGTTCCTGTGGCGAACGGTTTAGCACCAGCAGCAGCACACCGACCCGGTTCAATATGAGCGTCCAAGATGCTGTCGATGCCTCGGAGCACTACGAGGTGTACAATACCGACGACATACCATCGCTCTGCACCATCATTATCGACACCAACCCACGTGCCTGGGCCGCCCTCACCGACGTCCTTCCTATCTCCAAAGCCATCGCGAACATCCTTGTATTTGTCAACGCCCACCTCGCATTTAGCAATTCGAACCAAGTCTCCCTCATAGCCGCCCATACCAACCGCGCCGTCTGGCTCTATCCGACCCCGCCAAAGCAGGCTCGCTCTCAGGATGCCAACATGCAAGATGTCGGCAACGACAGCAAGCCCTCCTCTGCCAATAAATACCCCCAGTTCGCCCAAATAGAAAACTCCCTCCTAACCTCCCTCCGCGCCCTCATAAACGACACCACCGATGCCGACCTCTCCTCGACAACAACCCAAATATCCGGCGCCCTGACCCTCGCCCTCGCCCACATCAATAAAACCGCCCTCTCGTTTACCGCCTCCTCCACAGCCGCCCACGCCGCCACCACCACCGGCACCTCCATGACAGCAGGGACTGCAGTTGGCCCGAACCCCGTATCAAGCACGTCCACGGGCGGCGGCGGCCTCGCGGGCCTGCACGCGCGTATTCTGATCCTCTCGGTTAGCGACAGCGCCCCGGCGCAATACATCCCCACCATGAACGCCGTGTTCGCCGCCGCCCACGCCCGCATCGCCATCGACACCCTCTCCCTCCGCGGCAGCGCCACCTTCCTCGAACAAGCCAGCTTCATCACCCGGGGCACCTTCATCCGCGCCACCGAGCCGCGCGGCCTCCTCCAATACCTCATGTTTGGCTTCGGCAGCGGCACCGCCCCTTCCAACCCGGCAGGCGGCGCGGACTCGGGCAAGGGCCCCGCCAGCTCCAAGACCGCCAGCTCCGGCCCTGGCGGCCAAGGCACCACCACGGGAGGAGGAGGAGGAGGAGGAGGAGGAGGAGGAGGAGGAGGAAAACACGGCAAGACGGGCAAGCTGGGGCTGGGGGCGAGCGTGGCCGAGCTGCTGGTGACGCCCAGCGCGGACGCGGTCGACTTCCGCGCGGCGTGCTTCTGCCACCGCAACGTCGTCGACACGGGCTTCGTCTGCTCCATCTGCCTGAGCATCTTCTGCGAGGTGCCCGACGGCGGCGAGTGCCTGACGTGCGGCACCGCGCTCGCCCTGGGAAACTACGGCAAGCGGCCCGTCGTGGCCGCCGGCGGCGCGGCTGCGAATAGTGCTGCTAGCGGTGCGTCGCCGGGTGGAGGGGGGAGGAGGGAGAAGCGGAAGGTGGGTGCTAATGGGGAGGTTTGAAGGGGGGTGTGAACGGAAATATATATTGTGCTGTCCCACGGGGCGAGAGGGATGGCAGAGTTTCAAGTGGGACTGTAGAACCGCCTGATGGCCAGTCCTTGTTTTTTTATTGTTTGCAGTCGTAGACCATGGCGTCCTCAGGGGGGTAAATGGGCATCAAAATCGCCTGGGTAGGCGCGGCGTTGGGAAAGAGGAAAGCAATGCGTTGTATTATCAAGGTGCCATACCGGGATTGTACCATACCTAACTAAATATATCAGGACTTCAAGCTCATCACCTTCAGCATTCGTGGTGGCATCCATATGTGGCACACCCAGCACTCGAGATCACAAAGCATCCTTTCCAACAGGTGGGGAGCATGTCCCCTCGGCGACTACTCACTCACAGACCGCTCTCGGACCAAGCTTGGTATCTAGCATAAGGAACTCAAGGCCACAACCGCATCATCATTGGGCTCCTCTGAATCACAAAAAGGAGCATGTAATGACTTCTATCAGTAATCTCTGACTCTACTCTCACAAGGTACAAGGTATAAAGTGCAGGGTGACTCAGTCGAGGTTCGTCTCCCACAGGTATTAGCTTATCCTTCCATCTCAAAGCGCCTGACGCCGTACCCCCAACAGGGCACATTACCAGCGATGCCCTCCAGTATCACAACGACGCCTTAATCCAGCCGGATCTTCCGCCCACCCAGCGCGACGCGCCCCGTCTTACCGAGGCGGGACATGACACAGAGCGGCTCGCGTTCGGTCGACGACATGGAAGCCAGCGCAAAGGAGTCCGTATTGTGCGAAAAGTAAAAGTAGACGCCTGTGCGGTCCTTCTTGACAGCCATTACCCCGATAGCCGCGGCGGTGGTCTGACTTCTGACCCCGGGGTGATTCATGAAGTCGTCGACGACGAAGGATTCCATGATGGTATGCTCGTCCTCCTCGAGTATGTCCCGCCCGCCAGGCCCACGGCGCGTACCTTGATACAGGCGGTCGGCGCACTTGCTTGAAGCGAGGCAAGCTGCCATGTGCTCGCCGGTGCCGCTGGTAACCGCGGCTACCGACGTCGCTAGGTCGTCATCTGGGTCTTCTGGGACTACGGCGGTCCCGATGCCGACTAGAGCGGCAGGGCCGGTGCGGCCTTTGTGCTTCATTCCGATGCCCCCAGATGAGGATCCTGCTGCAATCTGCCCTAACAGATCGATTGCAATCACCCCAACCGTATCCGTCACCATGTCGGCAGCATCCTCCAACCCCGCGGGGGGTTGTGCCGCGGGCTCGTTGGTCTTGTTCTTATCACAAGAGGAGTCAAACCCATATGTCTCGTAGTAGTTGAAATCATCTACCATATCCACCTCGGTGTCTTCGTGGTTTGCAGGCCCATCGTTGACTAGGGGAGACTGTAGGACGTCCGGTACGAGATGCGGCGACTTGGTTCCCAGCCCCGCGCACGCTACTGGCTCTACCGGCTTCGGCGGGCCCCTACGTGACTGAAAGGAGGAGTTCAGAAGGCGTAAGGGATCGCGGTTGGGGGATTTGGGCTGGCCGGGCGCTTCCCCCGCCGCCCCGGTGGGATCGAAGTTGGGTAATACCGGAGTGGTTGTGGTTACGGGCAGTTCGTGGCCGCCGATAGGGGAGCGACCAGCATCCGGAGAGTCGGGTTGACCCTCATTCCAAGTACCCCTGAGGATGGCGGTGAAATGGTCTCGGGCCTGCGCATCATCGGAAGGGCTCGCAACCGTGTCATAGTCTGGTGTTGTTCCCCAATTGATCCAGTACTTCCTAGGATATACCGGACGAGACCTCTTCGTATCGGCCCTCCTCAGGGACTCGCTCCACCGGAGATAGCGGTCCTTTGCATTCCTCGAGACTAGGTGCTCGTTTGGGGTGGTTTTTAGTGCGTGCTTCTCCGCGAAGTCCTTGGCTCCTGAGCCTACGAGGATGTTGGGCGGAACTCTGCCAAGCGACAGTGGCAATCTGCTCGTATCGAGAATTTTCTTGGCCAGTGTGATGGGGTTCTTGACACCTAAGATAAACGTCAGCGGGAGGCTATCCGGACCGGGGCGAGCAGGTATGGTACACACCCCCAACAGCACCGCAAGCACCGCTTCTTCCGAGATGGTCGACAATAGTGGCATCGCACTCGACCACACCATCGATGTTCAAGTTGCTCCCAAATCCAGAATTTGTAATCTCGTTATCTTCGAGACACCTGATGGCGGCCTCGACAGCCTGTGTGGCAGTCGCGCCAGCTCTGAGGAAACTCATCCCAATGCGGGCAGCACTAAGGTAGTAGTGCCGTTAGATACTTGAATGGATCATAGGACATCCGTTGGAGGACTCACTCGGTGCATGCCTGAAGATGTACTCTCTCATTCAATACACTATGGTAGCCTGCCCCTGCGTGTACGAATATAGACGCGACCGGTTTGTGGGACGCCGATCCGCACGTGCTGTCGGCGGCGCCATCCCCCCCAGGGGCAGTTGAGAAGAAGTCGGAGACACTTGACATTGTGCCGAGTTTTTGAGACGGGTTCCTTTTTCAAAATAGAGTCGTAGGACACCCGGTAGTTGAATATGTCGTGTCTCTTTTCAAAACAAAGTGATTCGGTCTCGAGTACTGTCGTAGGCGAGGGGTTGTTCTCGAGACGATAAATAGGTGAGATTAAACGAAGTAGTTGAGGTTGTATTTAGGGCAGCGAGTATTGCCGTGTTCCGATAGGTATGGGCTGAGCTACGTCCAGATTTTGGCGGTGTCAGCCGTCTCTTGGTGGTTTGATATGTCAGTCGTGTGATGCCGAGAGAGAGGGCGGAAGAGGAGGCAAGAAGAGATCGAAGAAAACGCGGCTGTCTCGCCAAAACACAAACTAACATCTGGAGGAAGGAAATAAACGCTTATGACTGTAATTCCCCAGGGTAATCGGACTGGGAAAATATCAGGCGCTGGTTTGAGCAAACCGAGAATAATAGAGAGGAGGATGTATGGAAGCTTGTCGCTGGAAGATGGGATGGTGACAGGAAAGAGAGGTAGTCGTTGGTTGTGTGGGGGTGATTGGCCGATTTACACTGAGCCAACGGCCCTCAAAATTTGAAACCGGAGGTGTTCATATACGTAGGAAAGAGCGACTAGGTCGTGTCCCTTCATAACTCCCGCATCTCGTGGAATTCGAAGTGTTCCAGTGCGTGGTGCCAGAGCTCAACTTCCATGGGCCACGCTTGTGGGGCAGGAACGATGCGATATGGGCTTGTTCTTGATTCTTTGTTGCCCATTCTAGGGTCTTCATGTTCATCGGTACTGTTTAATCCGATATACAGACCATCATCTGCTGCCCTTTTTGTTCAAGTTGGCTAAGTTGGGTTGCATCTCTTTAGTGCTGAGCCCAGCAGATGTCAAGGGAAGTGCGATGTTCGTTGTTGCCCTACCCATGCGGAAACTTGCGCAGACGGATGTTCCGGCCACCGTACCTGGCGGGGCACCCGCCTTTCTTGGCGCACAGCCGCAGCGTGGGTCGGCAACTTGGGGAGCTCGTCAGACGTAATCTTGGACCTCAACACCTTCCACTGACTGCCTGCCTGCATAACGAACGACACCTCGCCCTTGAGCGCTGCTTGCTGTATTGACCGCGCAGAAACACTAGCAGGAGCTGCGCGCAGCAGCAGACATTTGCAACAATGGCCAACCAAACCCCAGCCGTTGTCATGGACAAGTAGGTGCAACAGCCAAACCCCCCTTAGCCCCGCTCCCGAGGACACAGAGGAGGATGCGCCAGCCGCGAGCCCACCAAGTTTACGATTACTGACCACAACTTACCCTCGCAGCGGCACGGGGTTCTCTAAGCTAGGTTCGTCTCTCTGCTTCACAGCTCACTGCGACTTCTAGCCGTTTCGCGGCTGACCGGTCATTTCGTTAGGTTTCGCCGGAAACGACTCTCCTTCCTTCGTTTTCCCGACAGCGATTGCGACCAAGGGCGCCGCGGCCGGTGGCGGCTCGGGTTCCGGCCGGCCCCCCGTCCCCAACAGGCCCTCTTTCCTTACGGGCGGAGCTGGTCCGACCGGCCATCTATCGGGGAAGCGCGGAACGGAGGACCTCGACTTCTTCATCGGCGATGAGGCTATCTCGGCCTCGTCTGGACCTGGTAGGTCCGTTCCACCGAGGGAAAAAGGCGGGGGCTGACGGAGTTAGGCTACGGGTTACACTACCCGATTCGGCATGGACAGATCGAGAACTGGGTTGGTTGAACTGGTAATGGGTGCCGGTGTACGAGGCTAATACGTGGTGGCAGGATCACATGGAGAGATTCTGGTCCAACTCCATCTTCAAATACCTCAGGGTAGAGCCCGAGGACCACTACTTTCTCCTCACTGAACCGGTGAGACTGCCCTGGCTGAGCATTTGCGGATAACGTTGTGGCTAACCTGCAACCTGCATTAGCCCCTAAACCCGCCCGAGAACCGCGAGAACACGGCCGAGATCTTTTTCGAATCTTTCAATTGCGCTGGACTTTACATTGCCGTCCAGGCCGTGCTAGCACTTGCCGCGTCGTGGACGTCATCAAAGGTCACGGATCGGTCTCTGACTGGTACGGTTATCGACTCTGGCGACGGTGTTACGCATGTCATCCCGGTCGCCGAGGGCTACGTGATCGGTTCGTCGATCAAGTCCATCCCCATCGCCGGCCGCGACATCACCTACTTTGTCCAGTCGCTCCTCCGTGACCGCGGAGAGCCAGACTCGTCTCTCAAGACGGCGCAGGAGATCAAGGAGGAGTACTGCTACGTTTGTCCGGACATCGTCAACGAGTTTGGCAAGTACGACCGCGACCGCACTCGGTTCTTGAAGCACGTCGTCGCGCACCCGGGGGGTCGCCAAGTGAGCGTTGACGTCGGCTACGAGCGCTTCCTTGCGCCCGAGATCTTTTTCAACCCCGAGATCTACTCGTCCGACTTCTTGACGCCGCTCCCCGTGGTCGTCGACGGCGTGATCCAGTCGTCGCCCATCGATGTGCGCCGCGGCCTCTACAAGAACATTGTGCTCTCGGGTGGCAGCACGCTGTACAAGGATTTCGGCCGCAGGTTACAGCGCGACATCAAGCAGCTGGTGGACGCCAGGATCCGCCAGAGCGAGGTACGCAGCGGTGGCGCCAAGAGCGGAGGGCTGGAGGTGCAGGTTATCGGGCACAAGAGGCAGCGGCACGGCCCGTGGTTTGGCGGGAGCTTGCTGGGTCAGACGCCCGAGTTCCGGTCATACTGCCACACCAAGGCGGAGGTATGTTTCGTTTATCTAGTATCCATGATTGGATATGTGTTTGGCTAACGGTTTGGCAGTACCAAGAATATGGACCGGGTATCGTGCGGAGATTCGCTTTGCTGGGAGGACCGGGTGGCTCTTAGAGGGGTCATTGATTTCGTTGTAGAAAGCGAGCGATGTTTCATGAGGAGAAGGCGGCAGTGTTTCACGGGCGGCGCCAAAAAACCAGATAGGGGAACGACGTTAACTTGACATGCTGTTATGTTTGCTCATCCGGCGGAACGGACGGTCCACACTGATGCCAAGCCGGCGAGAGCCCCATATTTCCCGCACACTGCGGGGATGCCCGGCTCCGGGATTGGGGCTTTTCGGGCATGCGGCCGTTTGAAACATGTAACGAGCCAGCTAGCGCTTGGAATACGTACCTCTGCTTGGCTGGGATGTTCCGCATGAGGTCCTGTTAAACCGGCTTCAGCCGCAGTTCACCCCCTCCGCACGGCGGGGTTGGTTATGCCCGCTGCACATCAACTCGATGGCTTGAGACATTGAAAGCAAGCCCGGGACAGCGGAAATCTTGCGGGGAACCCTGTTCCTGTGTGATGCACATGCCGTGTGGCATGGTCTAGACTTGTCGAGATGCTGTTGAGAACTTGGGACTGACGTAACCGTTAAGGGGGTTCCCGGTTCCTGATGAGGCTTCAGGGGCTGGAGCATACACATCTGACAGGAGACTGCAAACATTTGAGGCTTTACGTAGGGCAATAAGCTGTAAATAAAACGACGATTAACAGTATATTCTAGATTTTACCTCGTTTACACATTAGGACAATCCAGAGATGCTTCACTCAAACTCTCCAATATGGATGTGGAGTTTCTGTAGAAGGGCTCCTGAGTGCTCGACTTGCTTAGTTCCGTTGCCCCGACCCCGCGGTCAATTTCGCCTGGGGATTGCTCCAACACCGGCCACGCCGAAAGTCAGGCCACCGGTTACAACATGCGCATCGAGCCTAGAAGCTGGTCCATACCTCCAGCTATGTACCAGGACACAGCTTCCTCCATATCGTACGGTTCGTGCAGATTTGCCCGCATCGACCGACATCCCGCATCTCAGCCACCCGATTGATCAATCATCTTTTCCGTTCGTCTCGTGTTGCCATGTTTCTTGTTGGTCGAGACTTGGCTTTATCATAACCTGGCGTGATACCGACGGTGACGATGACGGATGAGCTCGTATAAAAGGGAATGCGCCGGTTGCGCATTGATGACAGTAGGTCGGTAGGTTCCTTCCTGCTTTGTACTGCCGCCTTGATCCGCGCCAAGTCATACTTGTGTCAGTGATATCATCATCCCCTCTTCCCCCTCAACCCACACATTCAAACCTCACAAGCTCATTACAAAATCGCAATGACCAAATTTGAGATCCCAACCGAGCAGTGGGCTCAGGTGGTTGAGAAGTCGGGTGGCCGTAAGTCATGTTCCCTTCCTAAATTGCGTATAACCAACCAGTCAACCACTCCAGATTCTGACAAGACTGCCAATAGCCGTGTCATACAAGAAGATCCCCGTCCAGAAGCCCGGCCCCGATGAAGTCCTCATCAACGTCAAGTACTCGGGCGTTTGCCACACCGATCTGCACGCCATGATGGGCGACTGGCCGATCCCGACCAAGATGCCGCTCGTCGGCGGGCACGAGGGCGCCGGCGTGGTCGTGGCCAAGGGCGAGCTGGTGACGGACCTCGAGCTGGGCGACAAAGCCGGCATCAAGTGGCTCAACGGCAGCTGCCTGGCCTGCAGCTTCTGCATGCAGGCCGACGAGCCGCTCTGCCCCAAGGCGCTGCTGTCGGGCTACACGGTCGACGGCACCTTCCAGCAGTACGCGGTGGCCAAGGCGGCGCACGTCGCGCGCATCCCCGCCGAGTGCGACCTCGCGGCCGTCGCGCCCGTCCTCTGCGCCGGCATCACCGTGTACAAGGGCCTGAAGGAGTCCGGGGCGCGGCCGGGCCAGCACGTGGCCATCGTGGGCGCGGGCGGCGGGCTGGGCAGCATGGCGATCCAGTACGCGCGCGCCATGGGCCTGCACGCGGTGGCCATCGACGGGGGCGCCGAGAAGGGCGAGAGCTGCGCGGCGCTGGGCGCGGCCGCCTACGTCGACTACACGACCAGCGTCGGCGACGACTTCGTGCGGGACGTCCGCAAGGCCGCGGCCCCCGACGGGCTCGGCCCCCACGCCGTGCTGCTGCTGGCCGTCGCCGAGAAGCCCTTCCACCAGGCCACCCAGTACGTGCGCAGCCGCGGCGCCGTCGTCTGCATCGGCCTGCCCGCCGGCGCCCACCTCTCTGCGCCTGTGTTTGACACCGTCGTCCGCATGCTCACCATCAAGGGCAGCTATGTTGGTAATAGACAGGATACGCAGGAGGCGCTGGACTTCTTCCGCCGCGGGCTGGTGAAGGTGCCCTTTAAGACGGCCGGCCTGAGCGAGCTGCAGGATGTGTACCAGCTGATGCGGGAGGGCAAGATCGTGGGCCGGTATGTGGTGGATACTAGCAAGTGAGTAGACATGAGGGGGCGTTTTGGCGGTTGCGTGTTGTGATAAACAGGATTGTATGGTTTGTCTTATTCAACGATGATGACTTCGGGTTGGTGGTGTGTGAGCGGATGATGCGAAGGGTATCTGGTTCAGCTTGAGGTCAATAAATGATCAAGATTTCACTTTCCCACACTCCACCACCTCAAGGTGATAACGCCTTTCTATTACGCCTTTCTATTACAACGCTACACGTAAATGCTCAACTGAACTCCCCTCACCAAATCCACAACAACAACAACAACCACCTCCATCCCCCCCTAGGTACCGTCTGTCTCACACCACATACCCCCCACTATTAACCTGCCTCGTCTCGCCCACCGCCTCAAACCGCCCATCCCCCAACCTTACCACCCCCTGCACCGCGCTCAACCCGGGCGCAATCCACTCGACCTCATGCCCCTTCCCCCTCAAACCCCCCGCCACCCCGGCATCAAACCCCTCCTCCACCTTCAACACATGCGGCAGCAGCTGGTGATGCAGCCGCGGCGCCGCCACCGCGTCCCGCAGCCCCAGCCCGCGCGCCAGCACGTGCCACGCCACCTGCGCCGTCGCGCTGATGATGCGCGAACCGCCCGCTGCGCCCGTGGCTAGGTACATGCTGCCGTTGCCCGCGTGCTCGGCGATCAGCGGGGTGATGGAGGAGAGCGGGCGCTTGCCGGGCGCGATGAAGTTGGATGGGGAGGGGGCGAAGCCGAAGGAATTGGGCCGGTTGGGCTGGGAGAAGTCGTCCATTTCGTTGTTGCTGTTTTTTGGGTTGTGGTTAGTAGGTGAGGGTGGGAGGGAAGGGGGGGTGAGGATGGGAGGGTGGGAGGGAAGGGGGGGTGAGGATGGGAGGAGGAGGGGTTGGGGGCTTACAGGATGATGCCGGTGTCGGGGGTCATGATTTGGGCGCCGAACAGGAGGTTGATGGTGGTTGTCGATGAGACGGTCAGGCCGGACGAGTCGGCCGCGACGACGTGCGAGGTGCCGTGGCTGTCGGGGACGTAGAGGGACAGCGGGTCGTAGGCTTCCACCGGCTGGGTTCTGTCATCCAAGATGCGCTGGCGGATGTCGCGGGCCGTGTCGTCGCTCAGCAGAAAAGTCTCGAGTTCCGTGGCGTTCTTGACAAACGCCGGGTCGCCGAATTCCAGACGTGCTCCGTAGGCGAACTTCATGGCCTCGACGAAACGGTGAGTGGTCAGGTTGATGTTGGTGAGATCTTCACGACCGTATTCCTGCATTGTTTTGAAGATGCTGAACATGACGGCGCCGCTGCTCGGGGCCTCGGTAGCAAAGAGCCTGAAGTCACCGTACGTGATGTTGAGAGGCGGCTTCACGTTGACGGTATACTGGTCGAGATCTTCCATGGTCATGATCCCATCCATCTTCTGGATGAAGTTGATCATGGATTCGGCTGTTGGGGTCAGTAGGCGGTTCGACCACATGATGTAGAGGCAACTCACCGATCTCCCCTTTGTAAAAGACATCGATCCCTTTATTGGCAATTTTCTCCAAGGAGCTGGAAACCGTCAATATACACCGATCATGGCGGGCCTGGCTGACTTACTCGGCGTAACGCTTCCTTGTGATGGTGTCTCCGAGCTGGAGAAGAGTGCCTGGGAATTGGTGTTAGGGGTGATTCGATACTCATTCGGTGTCTTCTCACCATTCGGGGCAAAATCTTCAGCCCAGATCGGGTCGTCAACCAAGAAGGTGTTATTGTCCGCGCTGGCACTCGCCATGTAGCGGACCAGGTCCTCGGTGACTTTAGGCACTATGTGAGCTTGACTGGCGCGAATAAGGGTGTCGTGGGGGTGATACTTACCCTTGAAGCCCTCTCGAGCTACACGCACGGCCGGCATGACGAGTGTTTTCCAAGGGAGCACCTAACAGATGGTCAGACAGAGTACTTAAGGGCCCAGCTAGGAAGTGTGTGGCTACTCACGCCGTATCGCCGATGTAGGTAATCCAACCCCTTCAGCTCACTCGGGACAGCAACGGCCAGGCCACCATAGACGCTAGCATCCTGGTCATGCTCATACATGTCTTGGCTCGCGGCTGCCGGGGCGGTCTCCCTGTAGTCGATGGTCTCGTACCTCCCATGCTTGTCGCGTACGAGCATGAAGCCGCCGCCTCCGATGCCGGAATGGTACATGCCGATGACGCCTACACACAAGGTGGTGGACACCATGGCGTCGGCGGCAGACCCCTGGCTTATCATCAGCTGTATGCAAAGAGAATGAGGAGCGAGGAACTCTCACGCCCAGAGCGATGATATCCTTTCCGATCTTGGAGCATATCGAGCTTTCACTAGCCACAGCTCCTCTGCGACCTTCAACATTGGCGTGTATCGAGACGACCTCCTGACCAGCCACTGGGAATGCCAAACCCGGGGTGAGCTGTGAAAGGAGTGGTAGCCAACATGGCAGCAATGAGGGACGGCCTATCTCAGCGGTCAGTTTTGGGTGGGTAGGGAGTTATCGGGGACAAGCCCGTAACTTATCACAACCGAGACTCACGCATGGTGTTGATGGTGTTGATGTCCAAAGTCCAAACAGGCCAGACTCGCTACAAAACAAGAAAATGGAAACGGAAAACTAGTAAACAAAAAACTACACTCAAGTTCTTCTTGCCCGTCCCTTCATAAGGATAAGAAGGGACTCTTGCTTGAGGTTAGTTAAGTGGCGGTAAATGAGTTTCAAGGGATCAGCCAGCCACATCAACAAGCGGAGTATACAAATCAGTTAAAGATAAACCAAGATAGTCAACCCTAACCCATCACCCCTGGCCTTCCGCTTCTGGCCATTTAAGACCCCATCATCTGACATTTTTGGTCACAAGGGCTTCTTTCCCCCCCTATCAGCGCGATGACCGGCAGTGGCATTCTTGATAGATGAGTTGGCCCGTTATCCGCTTTGTGTTGGTTTACACAGTAAGCAGCTCGGTGACCGACGTCAACGAGATATGAGCCGCAAGTTGACCAATGTGCTCAAATACGATCGGCTTGCAGGTGATCAGCAACTCAAATGCCCCAGTTCGTCCGAGGACCCAAGTAGCACAGACAAGATCTTCGACATGGCTTGTCGAGTTTCGCGGGAATGGCCAGAAAACAAGAGATCGACGCTACCATCGAGGTTCCCCGGCACGTGCCCGCCTCGATCGACCACAAGGAAGAAAAAGTCAAGGAGGAGACGTCCCCGGGATAGTGAGGGAGAGTTATGGGCATGACTAACCGCGGAATTCACTGGAGTGCTGCCGGCACCGACCGAGCCGATGCTTCCGAACGGGAGACGCGCGGTCGGGAGCTTGGACAGATTCTTGCCCACAGGCCTCCCAACACCAAGATGAGCCAGAGACGGAAACATCGCAAGCTTCTCCTCGCGAGATGCCAAAAATAGGCTTGCTTTGCATGCCCTTGTGCACTGCCCGAATGATGGCCTGATCTTCCAAACACCAATTTTCATTACCAGATCCAAGATCCCGCACGTCCATGCGAGAAACTTTGGCCAAGACCCTCCCCCTCGCAGGAGTTTCCTGAATCCTGGGCATCGACCGCCGAAGTTCCGGGCTTTGGCGGCTTTGGCGGTTTCGCATTGACGACTGCGCAGATGTGGGCCTTCGCGTAGAATTCGACAAAGGGGCAAGCCAATCATCGTCGGTTCCGACAGCAGGGTACGATTTCAGATTGAAGCGGGGTTGCAAAAGGTGAAACTCTCCCATTTCCACACACATCCTGACAATTTTCCAGGCACACGCACAGCCTGGGCACACGATATTTCTTGGGATGGGTCGAACATGGTTGAGGGATTTTTCCACGGTGGATATAACCCTCTCTCAGAGCCCAGAACGCCCTGAGGCCGAGCCAGGCACGCTCTCTGGCGATTCGACCAAACATTCCGAGTTAAACATGCCTACTGTGTGTGCACTGGTTGTCATGTTAACCACAAATAACTAAGACAGCAAGTTACTGTGTAGTTGGTTGATAATTAATTCGCTTCTCCAGCGCATACTCCCCCAATGCCGACGTCGCATCTCACTTCTCAAGTTCTCTCTCGCTCAAGCAACGAAACAAAACCACACTTGGCTGTTGCGCATGAAAGACACAGCCGAGTTTCGGCATAAAAACAAAAGTTTAAACTCATCGGTCGGCACACCGCAACCGGGTTCCTGGTTGTCAAGGGCCAGGAGATTTTCTGCATCCCGGCAAGCCGTGGATCACAGCGCCCATCATGGAAGAAACATGCGGGCAGGCATACTGTGTACAGATTAGATAGATCGTTGATCGATCCGTGATGCGCTTACACTCGTTAACCATCGAACTGTTACTACATGCACAGTACTGTGTAGTGACTGTGTTGGTTGCTCCCAGAACTGTGCTGTGCGGACTGTCTCTGCATCTCTCACCGATGGATTCCCACCGACCACGCGAGCTTGGCTCGGAATCATAACAAGGAGGGATATCGCCACGGAAAAGTTCTGGTTGACGTCTGGGCTGCTGAAGAGCGAAGTTCCCAGTGCTGGCCCCTCAACGGCCCCTTTACCGGATTCGTGTGCCGCCCAGGCCAGCGATTGGCTACCCAGCCGTCTCAGATTCATCGGTTCCTGCATCTGTCCCCCCTGACAGGGCTGGGTAGCCCCCTGTCCCATCGATGAACCACTCCTGGATTCCCCTCAAAGCCGCCCTCTGTTTCTCCGTGCTCCGTGAGCCTTGAGGCCAGCCCACCGCTGCCAACGTGGCCCCGTTGTTGACGCTTGCCCCCCTGTGGAGGATCCCGTTGATTAAGGGCCGCACGCCGTGACGCCCAGCTGGCCGCGAGTGATGCCATGGGGCAACATGGGGCCGCCGAAGCGGCTATGCCCCTGCTTGTGCTTCCATGCTCCCTGTCACTGTCTGGACATGCTATGGATCCCATTCAGACCATCGAATGCTCTGGACGCCACGGAGACGGAATGCTACTCTCATAAAGCTCCTGGGGGACGCCGAGGTTCGAGGACTGTCTCGTCTTCCCCCTTCTTTCTTTACGATTCCTTCTATCATCTTGGCATCAGTGCTGTCTTTCTTTCATTAGACCCAAGCATCATTCCTTTTGCTTGCTGGCTCGTCAACTTTCACTTCCCAGCTTCTCACTGTATCTACATTCTCTTTCGACGCGAGCAACTGTGTTTGCCCGCTCCTTGCGAAGTTGACCCTCGCTCTTTTCACTTTTGGACCACACTCACTTGGCCTGGCGCTCATTGACATACAACACAACAACACCGACATACAACGAAACAAGACATAGCAAGCACTATCAAGATGAAGGCCGCCTATCTCACCTTCGGCCTGTTCGCCACCCTCACTTCCGCCTACTCCAAGAGGCATCCCCGTTACATGCGTCTCGGGAGACACAACAATGGAACTGCCGGCATCATCGTGGGCGCTCCCGCGGATGAGGCTGCCAGCTCCGACACAGTCTCTGTTCCCCTGGGCACCGGTGTCACCAGTGCTGCTCCTCTCCCGACAAACGGCACTGCTGGTGCGATCACCACTTTGACTGTGTCGACCACTTCGGTCCGCACCGTCACTTCGTGTCTCCCCATCGTCACCGACTGCCCTTCCAAGACTGAGGACCTCGCCAACCTCCCCAGCGAGTCTCTCAGCACCGCTACCGTCACGGACACCATCATCCTCACCGAGACTGTCTGCCCCGTGACCGCTGTTCCCTCCATCTCGTCCAGTGTTCTGGATGAAGCCTCCAAGGGCGTCATCACTGGCAGCACCCTGACGGAGTCTGCCACCACCACTGCTTCGCCCGAGGAGGGCGTGACTGCCACCGAGTCCAACGCAGTCACCGAGACCGACCCCGCTGCCGTCACCACCCTCACGCTTTCGACCACTTCGGTCCGCACCGTTACCTCGTGCCTTCCCGACGTCATCGACTGCCCTACCAAGACCGAGGACTTCTCCAACTTCCCGAGCGAGGCCCTCGGCACTGCCACCGTGACTGACACCGTCATCCTCACCGAGACTGTTTGCCCTGTCACCGCCGTCCCCTCCATCTCGTCCAGCGTCATGGACGAGGCTTCCAAGGGCCTCATCACCGGCAGCACCGTCACCGTCACCGAGACTGCCGCGGCCGAGGTCTCGACTGCCACCGAGACCAAGGTCATGACCCTGACCCAGACCAAGGTCGTCACCATCACCAAGGGCGGCGACGGCGCCGGCGCCGGCGAGGTCATCACCACCACCGTCGAGTCCACCGTCGAGTCCACCACGGTCGAGGTCGTCACCCACACCCAGGAGCCCGCCAACCCCCCGGCCGTGACCCCGCCCGCCGAGGGCGGCGAGCAGGACACTACCACCACCGAGACCATCACCTCGACCGGCACCCGCACCGTCACCGTCAAGAACCCCGTGACCACCACCGTCGGCGTCAAGCCCGGCAGCGGTAACGGCGAGGGCGAAAGCAACGAGGACAACAACGGCGCCTGCAACTGCGACGCGGCCGCGCCCGCCGAGAAGACGGTCACGGTCACCAAGGAAGCCGTGACCGTCACGGCCGACGCGCCCGCCTCCACCGTCTTCGTGACCGTCGGCGACTGCGAGGCCACCAACACCGCCGCGCCCGCCCCTACCGTCGCAGACGACGATGCTGACAAGACCAGCGCCGCGCCCGCGGCCACCTCCACCGCCGTCGGCAGCGGCGAGTCCGGCGCCGGCATCATCGTCGATGACGGCGAGGAGGACAACGAGGAGGAGAACAACAGCGGCGAGGACAACGGCGAGGCCGAGGAGTCGGCCTGCCCGCCGGACGAGATCGTCACCGTCACCTCGACCGCCGCCGAGGCCTCGGCCACGGCCACGGAGTCGGCTGCGCCCAGCGAGACTACTGCGCCCGGTGCCGGTGCGGGTGAGGGTAACGGTGCGGGCGAGGATGAGGAGGATGATACCTGCCCCGAGGACGAGGTCGTCACCGTGACGGCGACGGCGACGGATGCGGCGTCGGAGACGCCCGAGGCTACGCCGAGTGTGGCGCCTTCGGGGTTGTAAGGGGTTTGTGGAATGGGTTTTGGGTGAGGTTAGATTAGATTAGGGAGGCTTTTTTTATCATCGAATTGTTTTTTGTTGTTCTGCATGCCAAAGATGGAGAAAAAAGGGGGGAGGGGGAAACTGTTTGAGCACATGTTTCTTGGCCTTGCCCTTATGGTCGCGTCTTCGTTTCTTGTACCATTTCAACATTTTCCCGTGGAATTTCAGCGTACATTGTTAGCTTGTGGGCTCCGTTGAATGTGACATGATGTTTGCCTCCTGTGTACTTGGTTGCTAGGGTTGAGTCGGTATAGGCTGTAGGAGGCGAAGATGCTGCGGCTGTCTTCGAATCGCGTGACGTCCTGCTAATTACAGGCGGGCAGAAGTCTGTGATGGCCAACGGCAAACGCAGTCGGAACCCGGTTGTGACCTGTTTTTATATTGGAAAGGCGAGAGAAACCCGGTTAACACGAGTTATGTATCACCCACTGCCGACGCCTATAACCCGGACGGGATATCTACTTCGGCACCATCTCACTGGTTTATTCAACGGGACCCATCCGTGGTTTCTTGACGGTCTTTAATGCACTTTCCTACTTCAGCATCAACTGACAGCTTCTCCCCCTCTAAGTCCTCCGACCCAGAGTGATGCACCCTTCCAAAGGTTTGTTAATGATACACCGCACGCCGCCCCCCATCCCCATGCCATCCAAACCATCTCGTACGTCTTCACGCTATCGTACCCTAAAAAGCGCAAACGGCCGCCATAGCTATATACACAGACACGCACCACCCAGAGTATTCATGCTGTATCTCTTGCACAAACGTGAGATTCCCTCCGTCATGACCCGCCGCCCCCCCCCCCCCCCCCCCCCCCCCCGAGCCTAACCAGGCCACCACCACCTACTCCCCGCCTGTCAGCTCCTTGACGCGCCTCTCAATCTCGGGCACGCCCCTCAACAGCACCTCGAGCTCCTCCTTCTCGTCCTCCAGCGCCATACGCTTCTCCGGGTCGAGGCGGCTAAAGACGTAGTGGCCCTGGCCGTCGAACTGCAGGATGTGGGTGTGGTACTTCCACAGGCTGCGGCGGTGGCTGACCGTCATGAGGGTGATGCCGAGCTCCTTGGCGGTGTCGTACATGACCTTCTCCGTGTCCAGCGTGACGCTGCTGGTGCACTCGTCCAGGATGGCGTAGCGGGGCCGGTGGTAGAACAGCCGCGCCATGGCCACGCGCTGCTGTAGGCCGCCCGACAGCACGTCCTTCCACTCGGCCTCGGCGTCCCAGCCGCCCGGGTACACGCCGAGCAGGTGCTCGAGCGACAGGATGCGGAGGATGGCGTGCAGGTCGTCGTCGGTGACGCCCTTGTTGGCCATGGTGCTCGGCCCGTCCGGGTAGATGAACTGCTGGCGGAGGGAGCCGCTCGAGAGGTAGGGCCGCTGCGGGATGTAGAAGATCTCGTGGAAGGGCGGCTTGTGGACGGTGCCGCCGTAGACGGGCCACAGGCCGCCGAGGATGCGGAAAAGAGAGGACTTGCCGCAGCCATTGGGGCCGACGACTAGGAGGTGGTCGCCCTGTTGGAGCGAGAAGGATAGTGCCGGGACGAGCACATCGCCGTTGGGAGAGATGATGGGCACGTCGGTGAACTTGATATTTTTGCTGGTGATGATCTTGCCGCGGCCCTTGAGCACGGCAGCGTTGCCTTCTGTGTCGGAGCTCGAGACAAGCTTCTTGGAGAAGTTGCCTGCTTGCACGTCGTCCATGACTTCGAGGAGCGAAGAGACGCGCGAGGTGTAGCCAGCGAGTTCCATGACTTCTTTGTACGAGAACATGAGGCGGCCGAAGGCGTCCGAGGCCCCGAGGAGCATGCGCCGGTTAGTCACGAAGCTCTCTGTCCGGTCACCCATGTTGGAGACGACCTGGCCGGGGAGCTTGACAAACACGGGGAAACCGCAGAGGATCAAGCCCAACGCGCCCCAGATATACTTGACGACATAGTCCTCCATGAAGCCGTGGTAGAAGCGCCTCCGTAGGAGATAGTTGATGTGCTTGATTAGCGTGAAGTAGCCCTTGTCGAGTGTGTCCTTCTCGGCGGCGTGGCCGGCGTACAGGGCGACCTCCTCGCTGTGGTCTATCAACCTCGAGTGCTGGAAGCGGAACTCGCCCTCCAACCTCGCCTCGTCGGCCACGTATTTGCCGAACGGTGGTGTTAGTGCTCGCATCACGGCCGCCGAGAGCTGGACGAGAAGCGACATGAAGACGACCCCTTCACCACCGACGCTTCGGGAGAGCGAGACCGTGTAGATGGTCTGTTCTTGAGTTAGCCCAGGATATGAGAGATTGGCTTGGGGAGTGGTTAAGGGGGCTCACCATGTCAAGGATCGGTTTCGCTAGATTGCTGTAGAGTTCTGCCAAGTTGTTGGAGAACTTGGTTACATCCACGGCAATTAGTTGGTCGGCATTCTTGACCCTGTCGTCGAGGGCCGAGATTCCGTAGAAAGTCAACTTGGACAGGTATTTGTCGTGGATATACTCGGTCAACCGCGTCCGGTACCTCAGGGCGAGTTCTGACTGGTGGTACGCCAGCATCGAATTAGTAAAAGTCGCCGGCACAGCGATCAGCATCCACCACAAGATGCGCTTCAGGAACTCGCGCCCATTCCCTTTGATCAACGCTTTCACAATCGCGCCGTCCATGGCCGCCACCTTCAGACTAATCACTGTCCGTAGGATCAGAAAGAAGCTGTGGCTGATGAGGAATTGTGTCTCCCTTGTCCGCCACCCGGGTATGACAATTCGGAGCAGCCTCATCAGCGAGCGGAAGAACTCGCGATTCAGCTCGACCTTTTTCTTTTTGCCTTCATCGTCTTCCCCTGATATCGATCCGGTGCGGGCTTTCTCGGCGCGCTTTTCGGCTTCGCGGGCCGAGGCCACTCTTTGGTCGGCGATGGAGTTGCGGATTCGGTGGATGAGGGCTAGGAATAGTGTGATATAGACAGCGCGGGAGATACGCGTGCGGTTGCGCAGGTACATTGTCGTCAGCTGCAAGATGATGCCGCGGACGGTGCGGGCGCGCGCCGCGACGCTGCCCAGTACCGGCTTCGACAGTGACGGCGCCATTGTGTGTGATTGCGACAGGAGACGGCGACAAACAGGAAAAGGGGACGGGTCACGGCCGCGCGGCGGCGATCATCGGGAGAACGGTTCGGCGCGTCGAGATGTCAAACGGGGTAGGTAGTGCGACGAGGTCGGAATGCGGCGAGTTGGTTGATGGGATGTGCGTTGGATTGTTGAGATGGAAAGTAAGTCAACCCTTTGTGAATGTCTACTCCCGCCGGCCGCTGCTATTTTTGACTTTGGAGTCGTTGCGCAGTGGGGAATTATTGTTGTACTTTGGCAGCCAGAAATGCGAATCGACCGGAAGTGGTGGTTCCCATTCTGGTCTGTCCTTTGCTCGTTCCTCGGCCTTTGCGTCACCCACTTGCTGCAACGGGCAAGCAGGTCCGGGGTAGCCAAGACTCGACCATCTCGCATGTGATTGTCCCTTGGGCGCTCTTCAGTGGCTGGGGGGGGGGGTTTCGACCCCACTATTCTGTATCTCCAGACAGAACAGAGGGTTGTGGATTGCTGGGCTTGGCTTGGCAATTCCGCAATTCAAATGCAGCTGCAAACCATCCGTCATCCACCTGTTCCACCCGCCCAGCACCGGCAACCAACGGCGGGCACTCGGAGCCCGGAGCCGGACTACTGACTTACACGGACCTGGACCCGACCGGTTGTTCTACACTAGAAGTCGGATGCTGAAGGCGGGCTCACCATAACGATCACAATGGCATCTGCCATGATGTTCCACATATTTTCCATTTTATTTCTCCTCTTCACTTCCGTCCTCGCCAACACGGAGAAGGCCATCTTCCTCGGCCCCGAACCCGTCACCGTCCCCCTCACCCACCCAACCCTCTCCGACCTCCGCCTGCACACCCTCACGCCCACACCCATCAACGGCACCCTCCGGACCCAGCTCCCCGCCCAGTTCCCCTCCCCGAAACACCCCCAGGGAACGGCGACATGGCTCATCCTCGACAACCTCACCCCCAACCAGCGCTATGAAGTGCGCGTCTGCTGGGCAGCCACGGTCAGTCAGAATGAACGACCCTTTGCCAACTAGCTGTCAAGCACAATCCTAACCCCCCCCACCCACCCCAGCAACCAACCGACTTCACCCTCACCACCTTCCCGCTCACCACGGTATGGGACACGCCGGAACTCATGACCTCCCTGCACGCCTACGCCACGTCGCAGCAACAGAAACTCACCCCTGACGCCAACACCGCCCCGCCGAAGGCAGACAGCGACAGCGGGAGTGGGGAGCGGGAGGCCTCCATCCTCTTTCTGCGGATCCTGGCCGCGGCAGATTACTTCACGACAGACGCGTCGCTGATGCGCGACGTGCCGCCCGTCGACGTGGACGTCATCCTGGACCCGTTCCTGTTCAACGTGCTGCCGCGCTCCATCGCCGGCACGGCGTGCTACATCGTAGCGGTGGCGGCGGTGGCGTTCCTGGTTGCGAGGTGGACGACGGGGCGGATTCGGGGGTTGGTTGCCGGTGCGCGGGGGAGTGTCAAGAAGAGGCAGTAGGCTGATGAAGGGGGCTTGGTTGGGTTGGTTAGAGAGGCTTGCTTGTTGTGACAGTGCTGTATTCTACAAGACAAAAACGCTAAATGAGACAAATGACAAGCGTGGCGCCTAGTAATACGTTTTCTACCCGCTTGGTACGACAAGTTAACTGCTTGAGGTACAAATGCAAAAAGGAACCTAACTGACAAGCTATCGCGACTAAATTCTATTGTTCGATTTACCCACCGAACCCGTTCTCCCTCCCAGTCTCCGTCCCCCCACTCTCTTCTCCTTTCCTTTCTTCCTCCTCACCCTCCATCCCGGCTCACCGTTCGAATTCGCTGAGAGGTACAACTGTCCGGGAGTTGGAGGTATGTAGTGTCAGTTCTGTAACTAACGAGAAACAATTGCGGCACGCTCCGCCTGGCCAGGAACACGAGGGCACAAGCCCCTCTCCCGCAAGCAACGCAGGTTGCGATCCAAATTATTTCGCTCCTCGGATCGTTGCTGCGTTTTCTGCTGTTCCTCCGGTGCACCCGCGGTCTGCTCCACGTGTTCTTTTGGCGCGGCGGACTCTGTTCGGACAGGAGCCTTGGAGGATCGGGTCTTTGGCGTCAAGTTGGCAAATCCCACCATAACAGAAGACCGAGAGAACTGGGGTATTCCCTTCAACCTGGCGAACCCCACCGTAGCAAAGGACCGGTCCTCCAACTCGGCGGACCCTACCCGAGTGGGGGCTTGAGAGAACTGGGCCTCTCCCTCGAACACGACGGACCCTACGACAGTGGAAGCCTCGGAAAGGCGACCTTCCCAACGAATGCTTGTCCGTCTTGTTCAAACATGACACGCGCCGCGGCTAGCGCGAGCCGAGCCGTGGTCCGAGGTGATAGGCTCGCCCTCCGCCGGGAATGATAACGACTGCCTCTACTGTCCTGCCGTCCCTCCTTCAAGTTCGCCAGCACCTCCCGCTGTGCGAGTGATTGAGGCAACAGGTCCTCTCGCCCTCGCACATGATAATGACTACCTTCCCCATCCGATTCTCGGCCCCTCTCATCTCGTCGCTGCCTCCCTCCCTGCTGCTCAACTAACTCCCGCGCCGTGATGGGCCTCAGGCAACCGGTCATTGTCATCCTCCTAGTGATATTGGCCGCTGCCGCCATACCCCTGGTGTCCGCCGGAGGCATACTGTGGCTGCGAGGGGTAGGCAGAGTGCCCGCCACCGGACCCGCCGCTGCTATACTGGGGTTGGGAGTATTGCGGTTGGCTGTGCTGACCGTAGGGAGCAGGCACGGCGGGAGAAGCACCGTACGATGGCTGGCCGTAGGGTTGGGATTGGCCATGTGGGGGAGCGGCGTAGCTTCGGCTGTGTGGCGACGGGCCACCGGCGGAGTTGTAGGACGAAGTGTACTGAGATGGCGGGGCATGGTGCTGGCCAGAAGTCTGATACGAGGATGCACTGCCGTGATGGGACGGGGTGGTGCCGGGCTGCGAGGGTGGCTGATACGAAGCTGGCGGGGCCGGCGCGGAATACCCGCCCGTCTGTCCGTTATTCGAGTAACCATAGTTGTTCTGGCCCTGTGATAACGTTAGGGTGGCTGTAACGGCACTAGAGGGTTATGAACCTACTGAGCCGTGGGCTTTCCCGCCAAACATATTGGCGACGCCTCCGACGATGCCGCCTAGACCGCCGCTGGAAGAGTGTCCGGATGATTGACCACCATGGTAGTTCTGGGGCTGGGACGACGGTTTGCTCCCAGAAAATAGGTTAGAAGCCAGCTGCGAGGCGAGCTTCCCGCCGATGCCGCTGCTGCCGCCGCCGCCGCTACTGCTGTGGCCTCCGCCATGTCCACCAGAGCTGCCAGAGGACAGGAGCCCAGTTACTAGCTGTCCAGCAACGCCGCCAACGCCGCCGCCGCCGCCGTGGGATCCGCCGCCTTGTTTACCGCCGAGCGAGCTGAGCGTGTTTCCGAGGAACGACTGGAATGGGCAGGGAGTCAGCACGAATGAACGAGGTAGCACAGAAAGAAAGGATCAAGTCGGGCGCAAACAAAAATAATAAAACGAAAAGATGTAGGAGCGATGACATACCCCAAGTCCCCTATCACCATCTCCACCACCTATCCCCCTCGTCCCGCCCGCATACTCGTCCTCTCGCGGGTGCACAGGCTCGAGCCGGCCGTCGGGATACTTCGCTGTCCGGCTGCCGTCCGGATGAACGATGATCTCGGCACCGTTGTTGGCACCATAGGGCACGCCGTAGGGGTGATCGTTGCGCGCGGCGGGAGTGCCGCCGACCGGGGCAGCCTCGGTGGGTGTATCCCACTGCGACGCGCCCGTCGACAACTGAACGAAATAGTACTTCTTGGAAGAAGCATCCCACTGGGCAATCCAGCCCGCAGGAAGCGGTGGAGGCGCGAAGGTTGGCCCGTCGCTACCGGGGGAAGAAGGGCCTGCCATGGAGAGGTCCGTTCGATGATTTGAACGTTGAGTGGTTCTCGGTTGTTTCGAAAAAGGTTGGGGAGAAGAAGAGTTTTCGTCGCGGTGCTTCGCTTGAGTTTCGTGCCGCGGCGTGATAAAGAGGGAAAAGGCGGCTGCCGAAGGGTGAGTAAGGATTGTTAGAGTGGTGCGAGCTGAACCGGGTGTGGCGCGGGGCGGAACTTGGTTTTGGAGGGGGCGGGGCAGCCCAAGCAGCAAACGGACAGGGGGTTTTGCCATGGATAGGCGATCACCCTTTCTGTTGCACAAGTCCCTTCGTTACCATGCTCAAGTTAGCCTAGCACACACCAATATGCTTCTTGATTGATTGGAGGGCAATCCGAGCGGAGAAGGTAATCGCAATTATTCCCAACTTCCATACTACTACACCCAATAGGCATAAACTCTACCACGACACAAGCGCTTTCTCATCCTGCCTGTCTCACAAAATCGGTGGGAGGGAGCCAACGACCTCCTCCGTACGGCACCTTCCGTCAGGTTTCAGCAGAGAACACCGAGCCGGTCCTGACATCAGCAGCCCTTATCAGACACATCACAACGCCCTTCACCGGCAACCGAAATGCGGTAAGGTAAGGAGACCATCATCAAATAGCGCCACTACATTACGACTCAAACCCGCCCACCGCGCATGGTCTCCCCCAGCAAGGAAAAGCCCGTCTCACATAAGTTCCTCATCAAACAAATGACCAACCCAAGCGAGAGATACTCAGCCCCCGACCGACGGTCCCGATGGCCCCCAGTACTCTTCCGGAATGACTTCCTAAATAAAGCGAATAACGCCGCTGTTCCTCCTCCTGACTGCCCGATCGGGCCCATGATGCCATTAGCCACAGTCGCTCACGCGTCCGGCGTCCCATTGGCTTGCTGGGTTGGACGGTCAACAGTGCGGGAGGCAGCCCATTCATCCATCCACCGCCCATCCACGCCCATTTCGAGACTGCTGATGCACAAGCCCGAGAACCGCTGACAAAGTCTCCATGCCGCATGGCAGCACACAGACAGCAGATTATTGAGAAAGAAAAAAACATCACTCTATCTGTTAATCAAACACCACATATCTTTCCTGATGCGTTCCAGATGCGAGCCCCCGCGGTGTTGAATGCCGCTCAGAGCGGACGGCCTCCGACCTTCCTTCCCACCCACCGACCACGCAACATGGATTCGTAAATGCCCCTAACTAACCGTGATCCGAAATGCAACGCTCACTTCCCCCGCTCCTGCGCCATCGCCGTCTATCACAAAATGAGCACCCCCCAAAATCAGACAACTCACTCCGAGGCCCCTGTGCTACTCCCGCTACCATTGGTGACCCCGTTCCCATTCCCGTTCCTGACCGCTACTTCCACCACCTTCGCCTGAAGCGCGTCGCCGCCCGTTGTCGCTGTTGCCGTCGTCTCCTGGCCGCCGGTTAAACCCTTGCGGATGGCCAGCACGCTGTCGACAATAACGGCGTCGATACCCTCCTTTACTTGGCGCTGTGTATTGCATTAGCCCCTGAATCGACCAAACAAAACACATACACAAAAAGAAAGACATACCTGCACCAGCTTCGGCTCATTATTCAGCGCGCCATAGCTCACACACACCAGCCCGTTCTGCTTCACGACCTTCACCAGGCGCGGCGAGTTGACGAAGGGCTCCGAGTTGCTGACGATGCCCAGCAGGTTCCAGCGCGAGGCGAAGCGGATGGCCTCCTGCAGGCTGCTGGCGCGGATGTCCCCCACGGGGCTGGTGCCGGCGTCGGTGAGGAACAGGATCGGGATGTTGGGCTGCTTGAAGCTCAGGCACAGGCACACGTCCGGGTTGAACGAGCTGAAGATGACGTGCCTGCCTCCAGCCCCGGGCCCCGGTGCCACCCCGCCCTCATCTGTGTTGCCGGCGCTGCCCGCGCCGCCGCTGAGGTCGAGGTGGTCGTAGACCTTCTCCAGCACGGTGTCGCAGAAGGAGTTGACCTCGACGGCGTACGTGTCCATCTCGTGCTCCTCGCTCTCGTGCAGCATCGGGTACTTGAGCTCGATGTTGAAGCCGACCGAGGCCGGGAGCTTGCGGAAGAGGTCCTCGAGCGTCGCGAAGGGCGCCTGGATGAAGTTGCCGCGCGAGTTCGCCTTGAAGCCCTTGGCCTTGAAGTCGCGCGTGTGCTTCATGCGCTCGTCCATCTCGTGGTGCTTGCTGAGCTGCTGGTGGCCCGCCGCCGGCCAGTCCATCGACATGGACCGCTGCCGTGGCCCCGGGCTGTTGCTCCGTGCCTTGGAGAGCTGTTTGTGCTGGGGCATGGGGGAGTGGCCGCTGTCGCCGCTGCTGCCGCTGTTGCTGCTGCCGCCCTTGTGGCGGGAGGAGTCGGGGTTGATATGCAAGAATTGTTCGAGCGTCAGGGTGTGAACGGGCGCGTCGAAGCCTGTTTCGCTGACGAGGAAGTCGTGGTAGATGACGGGCACGTGGTCCTTGGTGAGCTGCACGTCGAATTCGACGTATTGTGCGCCGAGGTTGGCGGCTGCGATGAAGGATGGAACCGTGTTCTCGCCTAGTTGCAGGGACCGGTTGGACACGAGGTTCTTGCCCAGGCCGCGGTGGCCGATCACCATGGTCGACGTCATCTTTTTCCAGTACGTCTGCTGCTCCGTCACCTCCATGTTGGGGTGTGAGAAGGGCGTGATGACGAGGAAATTGAAGCTGACCGTGCCGATGACATCGAGGTTGGCGCCCACGATCGGGACGCAGACGTCACCCTGTAGGTTCATCCGCTTCGTGCCGATAGTTGACCGCACAGTAGACAGCAGCGCGACGCCACGACCGACCTTGTTGTTATTGTTGCCCGAGTAGGTCGGGACGATATCAAACAGCAGCTTGACCTTGGAGGAATCGGGCGTGGTGAAGACGATCGGCTCCGTCGAGATGTTCTCGTGAACGGGCATATCGATGATGGTCGGCTCGCCCGTAGCGCCCTGTGCCGACACGACTATGGAGAGAGCCGTATCCAGTTGCGTGTTGTGGGCTTCTGTGAGGGGTACTTTGTCTAGAGTCACGGCTTCGACATCCTTCCGCATGTCCATCGAACCGAGACTGACAAGCACTAGGCTCTCATCTCTGAGGTAGCGGTGCCCGAACGACTTGACAGGCTCCGCCGCGCGAGAGGCGCCGTTAGATCTCCTATCACCAAGAGAGGCAACTTCGCGAGCCACGGGCTCTGCACTCGCTTTCTCATCGTCGGAGCTGTTTGTGCCTGTATCGTCGTCGTCCCTGCTATGGGCAGCTAGGAGGCGGGCGATGGGGAGATGTCCCCTCAAGGCCGCATGCTCCTTAGCCGTCCAACCCGACGAGTCCACCCTGTCCACATCGGCCCCGGCCTCCACCAGGAGCTGCGCAACTGACATGTGGCCGTCCACGGCGGCTATGTGCAGCGGCGTCCAGGCAAACGAATTCTCAGCCAGCTCCAAGTCTGCCTTCTGCTCATCTGTCCCCTTCAGGAGCACTTTGGCGCACTCGGCGTGGCCAAACCGCGCGGCAAAATGTAGCGCGGTCTCGCCGTGCTTGTCTTGCCAGTTGATATCCACGCCGGCGTCCACCAGCATCTCGACAATTGGTTTGAAGTTGGCCTTGGTTGCAATGGCTAGGACGGCGCTGGATTTGGAGACGGCGCGCCTCATTTCGGCCTTGTTGTCGCTCACGCCCTGCCAATCCTCGCCCTGGAGCAAGGCCTTGGTGGTCAGACGATGCCCGCCGAGGACGCTGAGGTGCACGGGCGCGTTGCCGTCTTTGTCTTGCCACTCCGAAGCATCGATGCCGTTCTCGACATTAAACTGGCCCCACTCCTGCATCTTCTTCATCAGAATCTGGCAGACCACGACAAACCCGAACTGGGCCGCGTAATGTAGCGGGATCCGGCCGAAGCCGTCCTTTGCTTTTAGCGCCGCCCTCTGGTCTGGTTTGAGGCTCTCCAGCAAGTAAATCAGCGTCTGGACCGCCTCATCGTCCTTGGTGAGGAGATCCGACTCCTTAAGGCCACAGACTCTCGGAGCGGGAAGCGGCGACGCTGCTGGGGTGAGGTAGTTTTGAGCGTACTGCACGGCGCCCGGAAAGGGATAGGGAGCCGAATTCGAGTCTTCCTCGTTCTGAGCCGAGACCGTCTTTGTTCGGCCGATGTGGATCACCAGCCTGTGGATGCAGTTCCGCTCGTTAATGTCATCAGCTTCGTCTAGAGACGTGATGCTGTCCAGCAGAAACGCAACGCAGCCCTTTGACCGAGCGGAGATGGATCGTTGCAGCACGTTGAGCAGCACCCTCTGCGCGGCAGGCTCCGGGCTCACGAGGTTCCCGGTAGTGAGACCGTCCTTCAGAGCGTCCAGATCGTCTTTCCGGATCGCCTGGTCGAGTTTGTCTAACAAACCCGACGGGACACTGAGCATGGCTTTCGCCGTTGCCCGTCCTAAGGAAAGAGTTGACCTCTCCGACCCGGCATCATCGGCGTGATGCGTGTCACCCAGTACCGAAATCCACTTGTTGATTTCAGACAGCAGCCTGGCAATGGTGGTGTCCTTGGCAAACGGGCAGGGGTCGACTTTTGTCGAGATGTAGCGATGCTGTGTCGTGGTCTGCGTGGTGGTGTTGGGGATCTTCTTGTCGAGCTTTTTGGTAATTTTGACGAACCCGCGGCGGTTGATCTCACCAAACCACTGCAGCTTCCGCAGCTGGCTACGCAACTCGAGCAAAGCGCCCATCAGCTCCTCGATCTCGTCATCGTCGAGGTTCGCGACAACATCGGGCGAGCTGCCATATCTGTCCTGGAGCACCTTGAGCCTCCGGTAGGCGTCGGCGAACTTTTTGTTGTAGAACGAGTCGACATCTTCCAAGTTCCTGTCCAGATCGAAGAAGAATTCTGGCAAGGGTGGTCAGTATATATGCAAGGCGTGTAAGCGAGACCGGCCCGTCTCAATGTGATGATGCCCACCTGCTAAGTCGACTTGTTCTCCATCCTGAGCTACCCTTACACCGGCCTTGATAAGTTTTTTGAGGCCCTTATAGTTGATATAGGAACCCGCCCACTCCGGGACTTGATTCCTCGGCAGACTGCGCACGCGGGTCAGTCGCTGGGAATCCCAAGGGGAGGGATGGCTTTGTATCAGTCCGTGGTACTGGTACCCACTTTCGACCAAACTTCATGCTGAAGCTGAGTTGGATTGTCGAAGTGCGGTAGAGCGAGGGTATGTGGGTTGCAGAGAAAGACGTAAATCAAGTGAGAGATGATCGTGGATAAGTATTTGATAAGACGAGCGGTGCCAGAAGAAAAAAAAGGGAAACCGGGATGCGGATAATGAGCGGTCGGAAGGTCTCGTCAAAGTGACAAGGATGAAACCTGGAACCTGCTGGATCGAAGTTCAATGGCTGGTCGCCTGCATTGTAATAACCACGATCCAGAAAACGAGAGTCTCCAGCAACGGGAAGACACATGCACTGAAGAATACAAATCCTGTATCGTCCAGCACGGGTGGCTTTAGGCCTGGCGATCGTGAAAGAGGGCGTTGCCGCACTGTGACGCAAGATGATAAAAAAGCAGGGTCCTCGGGGTTGGCTCGAGACACAGCTGGGAGGTCAAGGCGCACGACTCGCGACCACTAAAAAAAGAACAAAGGCAGCTTTCAGTTGAGGAAGGAATGGACACGGGGTTTCGGGATTGTTGTCCATAAAAGTAATTCGGATGAGAAAACGATGGTGGAGTGAGCCTTCCCGGTCCCCGTCTCCCCGTTTTCAACAAACGGGAACCATATCATGAACCCGGCGTGCAGGGGTATCAATTGAGAGACGGGTGGAAGAGGTGCGTAAAAAACGCCTCATAGGTATCTCCAAGCATGTACATGTACATACTTCTTGCTTCCATTACTTTGGCAGCGACTGGATATTCTGAGATTTCAAGTCTCCAGGTACATCCAAACGGGCCAGGGCCCGGTGGGACCTGGGGAAGGGAGTATCCCAGGGGGCCGAGCACCGATAGGAAGACCCGCTCTCCCGCTTGCCTGCTGAATTCCAAACCGCCTCGCCCGCCCCGGCCGGGAACCAGTCAAAGGTCGCCGTGGCGTCCGGTGCGGGAGAGGATTGGTCCCATTGGATCACTTTTACCCCACCACTCTCGAGCTGGCCAGATCTCTGAGAAGCCACCGGCCATTTGTTCTTACACCGTGGCGGCCAGTCGCCTGTCATTTCTCAACCCTCATGGTCTGCGAGGGGCGAGTTTGTGACGGTTTGCAGAGTGGAAAGTCTTCGGGTCTTTGAAGACGCGTGTGTGACACAACAAATAACTCGGCACATACAGTGATACACTCATACATACACACTAACTAACTCGACAAGGGTTTATCAATAATTCCCCGCATGTCTTGCTTGCCCCATGATACAACGAGACGCGGGCTCCGGGGAGTCTCATGCAGGTTCCGTGCTCACCGCTTCCGGCTCCCTTCACCTTGACCCAGACAAATAAAACTCTAAAACAAAAGAGGATAAAAAAGCCCTCGTGACTCGTTGTCGAAAACATCGTCAACTAGCAAGGTCCATTGCTGGGCTCCGTTGGCGGGGTATGCTGGTCTTGTGACGCCTCTCGTCTCCCCGACGGAGTTGGCCAGAACCATCCGACACACCCCCAGCCCGTCTGTACACAGTAAACCAGATCGCTGACCCTGGTTGCTTGCGCATACCGTGCACATACAAGCTTTGTCGAGGTTGGGCCTGCACGAGCAGAGAGGTACCTGGGTTGTGACTCGAGCGGTCCGAGCAATATTGCTGTGTTATGCCACCCCTGTAGGTCCCATCTATGCCTCTTGGGTATATATATATATGTACATGTACAATACACCGACCGTCCTTGAAATCTATAGTTTACATGTGCTAACGTCGCATGTTCCTCACCACCAACCGGTCTGCTCCGGTGACGCGGTAGTTCCTGCTGCCGGCGGCACCGTATTCTGTTTCCAAAACGCCATGCGCTGGAGCAGCCGTGAAATACCGTCCGGCTTCCAAACCGTTTCCTCCGCCTGCGCCGGCCGGTCCTCCATACTGGCTAGATAGTGGTGGAAATAGGCCACGACCCTCCCAAAACTGACGTCACCTGAGTCGTTCCGCGTTTGCCAGAGCCCTTTGGCATACGTCTCCGGGAGAGCTTTCACCAATGCCCTCGTGATCCGATTATCGATCTCAGCGCTGACGTGGAAGCACATGGCCACGTTGTGCTCCAACGTCCCCGGGGTGCCATACAACAGGGCACGGGCTATGCGTTTGTCGAGATTGAGCCTCGAGTTGAAGTGCGACCTCTTCCGCAATTTACGCGGCACCTGTTGAGCGACGACTTTGAGGATGACGGTCTCTGCGCTCCGGATGCGGAAGTCGGCCGACACGGTTTGCGCTATCAACCAGTCCATCTTTGCTATGCGCTGGATGTGCCTCGACTTTTCCATCTTTAGTCTCGGCCGCTCGGCCGCGAAGTTGAGAACAGATAGAACCATATCGAGCCGCTCGATGAGAGGCGTGTCGCCATCCATGAGCTTTCTGTCGGCCCGCCTCAGCCACCAACCCATCATGCTGCTGTGGTGCCACATCTCCCTTATCCAGATGGCCGTCGCGAGGTGATCGAGGCGCGCTTTTTCGACTCTTCGCGTCGAATTACTAGCCTGAAACCCGCCGTGTCCGATATCATTGGCCCCCGGGAGTGCCGTCGCCTGCCAGATGTTGAGGAGGTGACGCAATTGTCGAATGGTCGCGGGGCCGACGGCCTCGGGACCAAGGAGCATCCACGATGTTTGATCGATGTTATCGAGCAACCCCCGAATCACCATCTTAGCCGCCGCCGAGTCCAGCAATGTGAGACAAGAGTGGAATAACCTCCACATCAAATCTCTGCTGACTGTCCATTGCTCGCGGAGACAGACGGCAAACAGTTTTGCACCCTCCCGGAGCATGCCAAAATCTATCAAGCCTTCTAGGATTGCTTCGGCCACGTTCTGGGAGAAAGGGGCGCGCTGGACGAAGTGTCCGTTGACTTCCGCGACGTCTTTTGTCGCGGCCCAGGCCTGGAGTTCGGGGGTACCGTTGTACGTAGTCGGCCGTCCTCCGCATCAGCCCTATCCCACGGGGGTCGTAGCCAAACATGCGCTTGATGACACCTTGGAAGCCGACCATGTCCCCCTTGAGCCGATAGTGGTGTAGTAAGCAGAGGTATGTCGCTTCTGTCGGTTTCATATGGCTCAGGAAGAGGAACGAATCCACCATGGCCTGCGACAGGTTGTGCTCGCCAATGAATGAGAAAGCCAAGATCAACATGTTGTAATTCTGGATGCCCGGGGTAACACCGCACACGAGGAAGTTGTAGCACATCTTTGCAACATAGCGTTCCCGGAAAGGCGGCGACCAGTCGGATAGAATTTGCAAATTAATCTCGTTCAGACGCTCTCGTTGAACGACAGTCTCTGCAGGATCTAGGTCCGGGTGGGCGTAGTTAGGGTAGCCATCGGAACGCAGCATGCGGATCATGGTGTTGGCTGAATCTGGGCTGATGAGAGCGGGATGTGACCCGGGCGCTTCGAGCTCCGTAATCCACCAGGCCTCTGCCATGAGCCGATCCACGAGGTCGGTGATCATGTCCGTTACTTTATCCATGTGTACCTCAGTCAGAGGCTCCCGACGCTCGAGATCCCATTCCTTTTCGGCGACGAGAACCTCCTCACACTTAGCCAAAGTTGTTTTCCTTGTGTCGGGCAACTCCGGGTTCCAGGACAGACCAAGCGCTGCGCGCAGGTTCTGGGCTGTTCTGAATCGACCTCGACGCTTTTCTTGTAAGTCCCGGAGGAAGTCGGCGTCAAGCCTGCATATATCGCCCAGAGCGTCTAGCTTTTCCAGCGGTCGGGCGTAAGGGACATTAGGGTACGGGGACTCGAGGATCTTTGCGAGGTCTTGGCCGGCCGATTCCTCGAGCAACCCAGCCAGGCTGTTCCTCGCCTGGGCTATCTTGTCGTCGAGCTCGCGTCTGCGCCTGTCTTTCCGGCCAGCGTCTACAACGGCAGCTGTTGCCATTATGGCAGTATAGCATGCGGTGAATACATCGCTGGCGAGGACTTTGCGGCGTCGCGGGTTGCCTGTGGTGCTTGTCGTGCCTGTCGTCACCCTCCGTGCGGCCGTGTTTGTTGATCGCAGGCACGCCCGGCAGTGGCAGGCCCGCAGCTGGGCTGCCATTGACCGGAGGCCCAGCATCGTCCCGGCATGTCGGCCAAGCTGAACCTGCGAGTTTAGGTTGAGATTCGAGACCTCGGGTGTCGTCGAGTAATCGGGGCCGGGGCGGGAGCTGGAACACAAAAGCTTGGTGGGATGATGTCGAAATTCGAAATTCAAGTTAATTCTGAGCAATTTACTGGCTGGAACTGAGCTGTGCCGGGATCCACTCTGGACCTGGAGCTTGTCTCTCAATCGACTCCACTGACATGTGTCGCGGGTCCAGCTGCCCCTCAACACCACGAGTCTGCATATCAGCACGCTCGGTTGGTTGCGTCAGAAATAAGCAAAACCACCCCCGCATCGAAAGTTGACCAACATCGATAAACCCTCAGCAATATCGCAATACCGAAGAGTCTCGCAATGTATGCGCTCACACTTTCGGCGGAGTTGGAGGGGTAAGTCTACACTCTTTGCTAGGGCCGAGGCCAGGACCCTGTGGTTAACCAAGCACACGATGCTCAGGGTCACGAACCTGAGGCCGCATGACACCCAGGAGAAGAACTTCTTTTATACTTTCAAGGTGCAATGTACATCTTGTAGAGAAACCCATCCAAACCCCATCGCTGTCAACCGTTTCGTGAGTCTTGCTTGTGTCCTCCTGTGAACAAAGTTGGGCTCACACTACCTAGGAGACCAACGAGATGAGCGGGAGCCGGGGAGAGGCCAACTTTGTATGGAAGTGCAAAAATTGCAAGGTATAGCGCACCTCAGTGTCTGCCCTTCAAACGCGGCCTAACCATATGTAACTTCGGGGCAGAGGGAGTCCTCGGCCACGATCAAGGCCGCTCCAATCCCTTATGAGCAAACTGAGCCCGCAAAGGCCCGAAAGATTCTCGAGTTCGACTGCCGGGGTCTTGAGTTCACCGAGTTCATTCCAGAGGTTTGTTTCAGGGGTTCTCCAAATAAAACGCTCCAAATGGTGCTGACGGCAGTTAGGGGGAGTGGCTCGTGGATGGGATTGAGTCGAATACCAAGTTCGAAGGCGTCGAGCTGGTGGAGGGAGAATGGTTCGATTACGACGAGAAAGCGGGCGAAGAGGTGAGCATCAAAGACCTCAAATGGGACATTGTCCGGGCATGATTCCACAGTTATAGACAACTAGCACAGGTATCACCAAAATAAGCTATCGACTTTTGAGAACCCCGGCTTCAAGTGGTGATGTTTTTCATCGGAGGACATACACAAATGTTTCGGTCGAGTTTCAGGGATGTGATTTGTCGTACCAAGTTTCAAGACCCACTCGTGGTGATTTTTCCATAGGCAACGTCAACAATCGTCCCTCGAAGCTCCCCAACAACAAACTCATCACACCCGGGAGCAAGATGAACAGCACCGAACTGACAACGTCCCTAAACTTTCTCTACGATGCAGGACATCTCCTAGCGATCACAGCGCCCGAAACGTCGGCATACCTAATGGGCCGGCGCAACGACCTGATGCTTGAGCACGAGCTGACCCTATCGGACAAGCACCGGCAACATGTCTGCAGTTGTTGCGGCCGCATCATGCTCCTTGGCCAAGGAAGTGAGTTGCAGATCAAGGCAGAGAAAAGCGCCCGCCAGAAGTCTCACTCGGGTCGAGGACCCAAGGGAAAAGGGCTGCAAAAGCCTCGTCCGCAGACGAGCCTAGGACGCATGAAAGTTGTCACCTGCGATCTTTGTGGCAGGCTAACAAATGTTAAACTCCCAGCGCCGTCTTCTATTACAAGGCGCAAGGCGAGGGCGGAGAAGGTTACTAAAACTTCTAGGTTGGAAACGAGCGCGTCTCTGTCCAGCGCCGCCCAGGAGACGGCATCCCAAAAGACAACATCCAACGCCAGCAGCAAAAAGCGAGCCAAGTCTAGGAAAGCTGGGTTGCAGGCTTTGTTGAGTCAATCCAGCGCCTCACGAAACACGGGCCCTGGGCTCGGTCTGAGTCTTGCCGATTTCATGCAAAAGTGAGGTCTCTGAGCACGCTCTGGGGATTTCCTATGACTCTTTCGGCAAGCATGGAAGTTCGGATGACTTCTCGAACATTCGGAAACTGAGCCTTTGTGTGTCACATTCAGGCTCGGCATGACAAAGACCCTGCTATCGACACAAGAAGCCTACGCTCATGACATAAGCCTGCCGAACAACTGCAGCCCCACTGTTGTTCAGAGGCAGGCATGCCGCCTTGTCAATTGCTACCCCCGCCAAAAATCGACTTTTGGAGTATAATTACCCCTCCAAAATTTTCCCTGGCATCCGATATCTTGGAAAGTCCACCGCAACCTAAACAAACAAACAAGATGGCCGAGTTATTCAACACGATTGGCGAGAAGGCTGAGAAGGTCGCTCCGGCGGCTATTCCTAATGGGACGACGGAGGACGGGGACGAGAAGGTGGTTGAGGAGATCGAGTCCCTCTGCATGAACTGTGAGGAGAATGTAAGTCGCATTCACGTCCAGTGCACTGATGAACACTTGCTAACCGCGTCTCCCCCGCAGGGTATGACACGCCTTCTCCTGACCAAGATCCCGTATTTCCGCGAAATCATCATTATGTCTTTCTCCTGCGACCACTGCGGCCTCAGCAACAACGAGATCCAGCCCGCCGGCACCTTCCAACTCAAGGGCGCCCATTACGAGCTCCGGTTGACAGAGATGCCCGACTTCGAGCGCCAGGTTATCAAGTCCGACACGGCCACTGTCAAGTTCATCGAGATGGATGTGGAGGTCCCGGCTGGCAAGGGCCAGCTCTCGAACGTGGAGGGTCTCCTGACAACGATTCTTGATGACCTAGAGTTCGCACAGGAGAAGCGCAAGGAGGAGACCCCTGAGGTGCACGCCAAGGTAGCCGAGATTATTGCTAAGGGCAGAAAGATGCTTGCTGGCGAGGCATTTCCGTTCCGCGTTGCCATCGACGACCCGGCGGGCAACTCGTTCATCGCCCCTGACCCCCGTGACGGCGTGGGCAAGTGGTCGAAGCGAGAGTTCCTCCGCACGCCCGAGCAGAACGCGGCTCTCGGCCTCACCGACACCGCCCAAACGGACGACCTCGACGACGAAGGCAACATCATCCCCGATCAGGTTTACCAGTTCCCGGCCTCTTGCCCGGGCTGCTTGCACTCCTGCACGACCAACATGAAGATGGTCGAGATCCCGCACTTCCGGCAGGTAGTCATCATGAACACGTCGTGCGACGACTGCGGCTACAAGTCAAACGACGTCAAAACGGGCGGCGAGATTCCCGAGAAGGGCCGAAAGGTCACCCTCCGCGTTCGCAACCCCGAGGATCTCGCCCGCGACATCCTCAAGAGCGAGAGCTGCGCCCTCGAGTGCCCGGAGCTCAGCCTCACGGTCAACCCGGGCACGCTCGGCGGCCGCTTCACCACCGTCGAGGGCCTGCTTACCCAGGTGCGCGACGACCTGCACGGCCAGATTTTCGAGGCCAACGCCGACGCCGGCGCGGCGGCGCGCAAGAACGACTCGCTCGACAAGGAGGAGAAGTCGCGCTGGGACCAGTTCTTCGACGGCCTCAACGCCGCCATCAAGGGCGAAAAGGAGTTCACCATCGTGCTCAGTGACCCGCTCGCGAGTAGCTATGTTCAGAGCACGGCCGAGGACCCCGCCCAGCCGGACGAGCAGATGACCGTGGAGGAGTATGAGCGCACGGATGAGGAGGAGGAAGAGCTGGGCCTGAAGGACATGAAGACGGAGGGCTATGAGGAGGATGCCGAGACGACGGAGACGACTGCATGATTTCCTTATTTCCTATTTCCTATTTTCTTTGTCTCGGAGAATACGAGGTGGCGATGACTCGGTTATGAAGTCGGCGAGATACCCTTGCTTGGGTCGAGAAGAAATTACATGATGTGATGCCGCAATGGCTATGGATAAAGCGTACTTTTGTTTCCTCGTGGTTTTCTAAGTGATGGTTTTCGTATTTTAGGATTGGGAACATGCCGGGATGTATTAGAGCAAACGTTGCGTTAGAGGCACAAGGTATGTACCAATCGATAGATGAAGAATAGAGTACGTCTTCAGCGGCTTCACGAATCAAGGTGCGCCTTTCTACGGTGAGCTCGATTCTGGCCTGGAATGTTGCAAGTTCGAGTAAACGTAAGCAATGAAGAAGTTGGGCAGCAGAACAATAACGGTGGTAAAGGATATCATCAAGCATGTAGCCTAGGAGTCATACAGGACATAACCATACACAAAATACCAGGACCTCTTCTTCAGACCTCTTCTTCAACTGCTCGAATTCTCAAAACAATCAACGCTTCACCATAAAAGCAACGACGTCTGCCAAGCTATCTTCCTCGTGAGCAAAAGGCAGTTCCTCCGTGGTATCACTCCACACCCAACAACTACCAGCCAAGCAGCAATGCATGAAGGCAAGTAAAGCAAAGCAAGTAGAATAGGAAGAGAGAGCAGCAAATCAAAGCAAAAGCAATGGATGACCCTCGCCAGTAATGCCAGTAGGATGAGCAGCGCGGAGTGAAGCAAAGCGCAAACTTCGAGAAGTCCCAAGCAAAAGAAAAGCCACCCCTCTCCAAGTCGTAAACAACAAGTTCCACAAACAAATCCCCCTCCGCCTCGAGGCCCGCGGCCAGGGAGGAACCAAGGCCATCAGAGTATATCTCCCAGCGGATGAAAAGCAAAGGTAGCGAGGCAAGAAACGAAAAGCAGTCGTGATAAGCCCCCTCTCGATCCCCAGCATTTTCCTCCACGTCCAGGACTCCTAGACTCCTCCCCCCCCTTAACCTTCCCCGTGGATCCCCTTAGACCAATTACAACCCCTATACAGATGGGAAAAAGGTCGAAGACAGAGAGAGAACCCCCCACGCCATGGAAAAGAATCCGGGTATCACCCATCCCATCACCCAACCTTGAAAAAGAAAAGAAAAAAGAAAAGTCTCCAGACTGCGCCGGCCCATTCTCAAGACGGGCCAAAGGACGAAGAGGACCAAAGCGCCCGGTCTAGGTAATGATAGCGAAACCCGAATAATCGACGGCGAACCGAAACCGGTGAAACAGCGGAACCCAGGCACGCACGCACGCACAGTGGCCCCTCACGCCGCTTCTAAAAGAAAGTCGGCTTCGTCAAGACGCGGTACTCGACATAGTCCTCGCCGTCGATGGTGATGATCATGCCCTGGCTGACGAGCTTGCCCTGGAACGGCCCGTTCTGCTTGCGCTGGTACTTGACGCCCATGTAGATCTTTGCGTCCTCGCCGCCGGCGCGGAGGCGGTTGGCCTCCTGCGCCTCCCACACCTTGTTCAGGCGCGAGACATTGTCCTGGAAGTGCCCGTTGCCGTTGCCGGTGCCGGTGCCGTCGACATTATTGGCGGCATTGGAGGCCAAACCCGCGGCGGCGGCGGCTGCTGCGGCGGCGACAGGGCCGAGGGATGCCTCGCGGCTGACTGCACGCATGTCGGCGCGTGCCTGGGCGGCCTCGAGGCGGGCTATCTCGCGGCGGGCGAGCGAGTTGGTGCGCTCGAGGGCGGCGGGGCTAGGCCCGGGCGGTGTGCGGTTGGCGGCACCGAACTCGACGTCGGGAAGGGGGTGGCGGCCTGCTGCTGTCGCCGCCGCACGAGGCCCATTCTCGAGGCGCCGTGACTGGCGGAGTTCCTCGCCGGGTCTAGCGGAGGCGAAGGAGTATGCTGGGCTGCCATAGCCGTTGGTTCCTGCGGACCCCTTCATGGCGATGGGGAGGAGATCTGTATCGTCCTTCCGGAGGGGGACGCCGATTGCAAGGCTTTGCACAACGCGTTGCTGTGCTTCGTAGACGGCCTTAGTCTCATTCGCGACACGGTCTTCGGGGGGCTCCCCGTGGTCGAGTTGGCGTTGCCGGACCCGGCAATACTCCTTGACCTCGTTCCTGCTGAGTTTCCTAAGGTGAGGGTCGAACTCGACCTCGTCCCAGTGAATCCAGAGCGCGCCGGCGCCACTGGGGAAGTTACCAATGACGGTCCGCCCGTCGCGGGTCTCTCGGGTTAGTTTGACCCTGAACATGTCGTTGGCGCCCAGAATGCCAAATACCGCATGCTTGTTCATGGGATCGTTCTCGCTGGAAAGCTTCCAGTAACCGAGAAGAATTCTCGTCGGTCTTGTACCGGGAATGTTATCGAGGGAGTGCTGAACGGACTTTGGCGAGTCCGACGGAATGCCAAAAGAACCGGCCAGGCGGCGCTTCTTGCTCTCGGGTCGATTAGGAACGACGGCATTGGCGGGAACCTGAGGCCCGTAGGCAACCAAAGGTGCCGTAGCGGCATCCGGGGGCGGGTTGGTCCTCACGCGTTCAGCGGCCACATCGGCGGCCTCCAGGTCTAACCTAGTCCTATCCTCCGACGCCTCATCTTTGCGGCTGTCTTCGGCGCGGATCTTGACGTACTCCTTGATCACATGGTGATTGTGACCAACGAGGTGGTCGTTGAAAGCTACCTTATCAAAGGTAACCCAGCTGCCCCCAGGGCCAGGCGGAATCGGATATCTCTGGTCCATCGGCCGGCCATCCCGGGTAGTTGGCTGGATGCGAGTGCGGAGGCGGTCTCGGATGTCGATGAAGCCAACGACTCCATGCTTATCTGCCTCGCTCTCGGCGGGTGAATCACGCCAATAGCCAAGCAGCACCCCTTTCACGCCCCCAACGCTCTGTGCCTTGGTAGGGCGAATCGGGCGGCGGATATCCAGGTCCTCGGTAGGTGCCGGGCTGACGTCCTTCTCGCCGACGGATTCAGCATAGACGCCCGAAACCCGCTTCCGCTTCGCATGTTGAATGATGAGGGGCTTGTCCTCTGCTTCGCCCATCACAATGTCCTCCGTTTCGGGAACCCGAGTTGGGGAGGCCTTGTTATGAGCGTTCGTGCCAACAACAATTTCGTCCTGGAGAATATTAGGCGGGATACTTGAGGTGTGGCTCAATGTATCCTCGATTGGGGAGTCGGGCGGCGGTGTGAGTTCCTCGTTGTTATCCAGGTCAATATCCTCGGTGGTGTCCGTGGAGCCGTCTGATTTGTTATCCTCGTAATTAATTAAGTTATTTACGCTGTTTGGCTGCAGGTGGTTGCCGTTGAGACTGCTATTGCTGCTCAACCCAAGTTAGACACCCCCCAAGAACGTACCTGGGAAGAAGGTGCAAAAACTTACGGGTAAGACGAGTCCACTCGTGGAGAGGCAGTGTGGTCCACAGAAGGCGGTTGATCACGAGGACTATCTTCGACCTTGGCTTCCGAGGGGGTGGTGCTAAAAGTTTTTCAAGCAGTTAGCATTCGTTTCTCCGTCGTTTGAGAACTTGAAGAACGCATGTGATCCAGTCTATGTTGCAGAGAACTGGGAGTGTGAAGCTTGACGACTTGGTCCTCGGGTGTTAGAACCAAGTCAGCCAATCTCAGGCCCCGAATCAGGAAAATTACGAACTCGCCAGTTCCAGGTTTGTACAATGAGAACATTGGAAATATCAGACGATGTGGGTGGGGGTCAAGGGCAGATATACTGCATGGTGCTCGAGGGAAGCAGGAGTGGGTGACTTACATCTCGGCGGGTTCCTCCTGGGCCAGAGTTTGTGTGACACGAGATGTAGAAGACATGGCTATCCCCCCGTCACTAGATGCAGTACTTGTCAGCATCCTGGCCTCGAGCGGTAGTTATGTGGCAAAGATATATGATCCGGACAACGCCGTCAAATCCGTGCCCCCACAGGTGGTACTGGGGCCAAAAACAAGAGAAACGAACTTGCCTCTCGGAACGTGATCTTGGTAGGAAAGACCTGAACATGGTTCTCATGTTAGCCCTCTTGTATTCGTGCCGCAAAAGATGCGACGAGACGGGTATAAAAATTGGTGCTGCGGGAAGTAACGAATAAATAGTAAAGGGACAACGGTAGCACCGGTGAGAGTTCTTCTCGAGGCAACTCAAACAGTTGGTAAAACATCAAAACACGACGATCGAGCTGCTCTTGGCAGGGAGTCGCTTCAAGATGCACCCAAAGGGCACAGATAAGAATAGGGAAAGTGTAGCCAACTAGGCCCATATTTCCAACACAACAAAAATAAATGCCGTCAACTCACTCATCGGTCCGCTCAATTTTTGTCTCCATGGGAGTAGGTGATAGGGCGATGGAGGGTGAGCCATCACCTGTCATGATAGCCTCGGGAACCGAGTCCATCTCGTCGGTCATGTTTGTTACTGCTCGATACAGAGATGTGAATTTCACACGTCTTAGAAAATTGTCAGTGTTGGTAAAGTAATAATGAGTGTAACGATAGTAAACGTGCGTGAAAAGACAATAATCATCACTCCAGACTTGAAATATCCAGTGGTCCGGGTTGGACAAAATAAAGCAAGTGAGAAAAATATAGGGCAAGCACGAATAATACCGAGGAAGAGAGAAATGAGTGGAAACGCGCTTACCCTGAGCCAGTCAACCGCCCAACGTGGCAACGGCACGAGTTTGGACGAGATTAAAAAAAGTCTTGGCGCACTTTTGTCTCTTGAGAGGAGAAGTCAAGCAACGGACTGCCTGTTTCACCAGGCAGGGTGGCAAATTCCGCGCGAGGTTGCAAAAGCACTGAGCGAGGCTAGGGGCGATGGCCCCGAGGTTGATGCCGTCGCAAGTGAGCCCCAAGCTGGATTAGGTATGCAGGGTTCTTTCGTCTCCCAAAACAGGATGCGCCAAAACACGGATCACGGCTGGCGGCGGGCTTGGGTTGATAAGGCGATGCAAAAGTATTAAGCTTGCGTTCGAGGACGAATACGAGCGAAAAGGGACGCGTAGGGTAGAATGAAAGAGAAAATAGATACAGACGGAGGGATAAACGTGAGTTGTAAGAGGGAAGAAGGGGAAAATGCGGTGGGAAGCAAGGTGAACTGGCGCAAGTGGGTAGATAGGAACAATTGAAACCAAGGGAGACAGATCATTTGTCAAGGCCGGGGGGAGGAGACTCGAAAGGTACGGGTTACAAGTACCGGAGGATGACGGGATGATTCAGTGTTCAGCCAAAATTGCACCAGTTGTGATTTGAGAACCCCTTGGGCTGGATCGGAGCTAAGCGAGGGGAACTCGGGAGCTCTGCCAAAAAAGTGCCAAGTCCCGGCCTCCCATTGGACTCAAAACAGCAGGCGTCCTCCGGAGGGTCGAGCAAACAACACAAAGATAAATTGCGCAGAAGCGCTGTGGCTTCCAGGAAACATGCCAAAGCGTGAGTTTTGGCGGACACTGTGCTTGAGCGTTTTCGTCCAAGATGTTATTTGTTAGTTAGTTGGCCGCCCTTTCAGAGATCACACACCCTTGCTTCGCTACCTTCCAGATCAAGCGGTCACTTTGAAGCTCGAACCATCTGAAACACGTTGTCTGTTGCGTCAGACCAACCTCACTTATGATGGAAGCTTGGGCTCGCCCGAAACAAACCGAGTCCAGCTCAATATTGACTGAGGGCCCAGCCCAAGGCGGTGTCTCCTGCCCTCCCTCGCTTTTCCAAGGGGGGAAGAAACAGCGCACATCTTGTTTTGAGCATTTTTTCCCACTTCAGTCGATTCTCGAGGGCGCTCGGCTCCTTACGGCCGCTGATCAATATGTCACGAGAATTAATAGCCGCGCCAGCGGTGGGTATCAGGACTGTAGAATCGGCTCTTGTGGTGCGATAGTGAGAGAGGCTCCACATGAAACAACCTCATTGGCTGCTCCATTCGCAACTCAAACCCAGCCTAAATCGCGACTTGTCAACCAAGTCAGACGGTGCAACGTACAAAACGATATTGTGGTTGCATGGCCCTCGCAGTCATTGGAAGTGTTTCTTGTTGCCTTGGCACTGTATGTATGACGGCATGACGCAGCTAAGTCGTTAGCAATATCGGAATTGGTGGGCGAGTGCCGCCTCTTTTGACTCTCTCTTTGACTGGTGTCAGTTTGGTGAAAAAAGAAATCAGAGAGAGCAAGTGCTCGCTTGGACTGGGACGACAAACCGACGCCACCTTGTCCCATCATGTGATCCCGCACCGAACGAACCAACCAACGATGCTCAATTCCACACAGAACGAATCGCTGCCCAGACTTTCCAACCGAGAAACATGGAACTTCACCAACAGGAACCACAAAATCCTTCCTTTTCGTCAAGGTTCTTCCCTCACCCGTGCTCACCTCATAAAGCAACCTATGCCGTCAACCGTCGTGCAAATGGCGTCTTTAGTCGCCATGACTTGAGAGACACCACCCTGTATTCAAATCCTTGAACCCCCCCTCCTTAACTTTTGTGTGACTCAGGTTAGGTGCGTATCACGTAGGACAAACAACGCGCCATGTCAGGAGCCTTGCGTTGAATACGAGGAGCGTCTGCAGAAGCTGGGAGTGACTGATTGCTTGTAACCAACTGCCCGGATTGTTTCGGCTTTGCAATGCAACCAACCTAACACCAACGACAGTTAGAAAGGCCACAATAAAAGGGATGGCATGCAAGACGTCAAAACTACCTACTTAAGTAGGTAGTACGAAATAATTGAGTCTACAATGACGTTGCCGGGTATCATGGCCAACCCGACACCAACCCAATCTATTTTGACAGGCGGAGAGTCTCTCAACCAACCGTCTCCATAATGATACACGGGGACCCCTTTTGCATTCTCTCCTCCCAACAACCAACAAACACAACACACAACAAACAAACCCTCACCTCCCCCTCCCGCGGCCGCCGCCCCTACCCCCACCCCTTCCCCCCCTGCCCCCCCTCCCATTATTCCTCCCCCCACCCTTCTTCCCCCCACCCTTACCACCACCACCACCACGGTGATGATCAAACCGCCCGTAGAGCTCCTCGGCGCCGAACCGGCCCTCGGCGAAGCGCATGTAGTTGATGACGCCGTGGTCGACGACGGCGACCAGCACGTTGCGGTAGCCGTGCTTGAGGCGCGCGTACAGGCGGCCGGGGCCCGCCCACTCCGGCTTCCCCGGCTCCGGCGGCGTGGCGCCCAGCAGCGCGGCGATCTCGCCGCCCGTCGGCACCGCGGACGCCTGCGCGTCCACGACGGCGAGTTGGAAGTCCGGCGGCGGGTGGCGGAGTTTGCTCCATTTCTGGGCCGACTTCCAGACGTGGAAGTGGATTGTGAAGGGGTCGCGCATGGCGGGTTGTGTTGTGGTTGTTAGTGATGTTGCCGAGGGGACGTGGCGTGGGAGGAGGGTCATTTGGCGGTAGATGGAGGCGTAGGAACGGTAGAGGCCCGGTTGGACCAGCGGACCGTAAGGGGGGTGATGAGGGGTCCTGGTGAGGAGTGAGGCGAACCATTGCCAGAGGGTGGTCGTTGCTGGCTTTGTGGTAGGGTGATTGACGGTGGGCGGTGCCCGCAGGACGTTGTAGCCGCATCGTTTGAGATTTGAGTAGACTTGGAATTTTTGCAGGCTGATCTTGCCTCGCTCACCGTCGTTGCCGATGAGGAGAGCATAGGCCGCCTGGAGACTGAGCGGGAAGCCGGCGTCGTACTCATCCACCTCATCCGCCTCTGCGCCCTCCTCCTTCACAGCCTCGGTGGTCCCATCCGGGGGAAAGAGTTCCTCTAATCCTTTCAACGGCCACCACAGGTCCAACGACCCCCTCTCAACCAAATACAACGCCTCCTCCGGCAACAACCAATCCCTCCCCCTCGCAGGCCTGTCCTTCGCCTGCCCCGTGACCGCCCTCCCCAGCGCCTGGCTAGCGACGGACGAGCCCTCCAGCACCACCACCCTCTCCCTCACGAACCCAAACGGCTTCTTCTCCCCCTCGCGCCCCTCCTTCCCACTCCCACTCCCACCCCCACCCCCACCCTCCTCACCCCCCACCTCCTCTTCCCGATACCCCTCCCACCAAGCCGGAAAATACCACCCCCTCGCCAGATCGCCGCGCTTCCCCGCCGGGTGCACGCGGGTGTACGACAGCACGTCGCGCATGGCGGCGCGGCTCTGCTCGAGGGCGTCGGCCTGGGCGCGGGTGCCGTGGGCCTCAAAGTCCTTCTCGCCGCGGCGGATCGTCTGCGCCGACACGCCGGCCGTCTTGCGGAACTGCAGCGCCGCCGCGAAGGCCCGGAAGTCCTGGGACGCCGCCCCCTCGTCCTCGATCAGGTCCTCCGCCGTGAGGTCGTCTGTTGCGGCGGCGGCGGCAGCGGCGGTGGCGGGGTCCGCGGGGAGGGGGGAGGAGGATGAGGAGGAGGGGGAGAGGAGAGGGGCTGGCAGGGCCAGGGAGGGGTTGTCGTCGTCGTCGAGGGACATGGTGGGCGGTGTTGGTTTCGTGTGGGTTTGTTGAAGCTTCGGTACCTAGGTGGCGGTTGGGTGACCTGGCGGCAGTCTAACTTTCGTTATCGGCGGGCTTGATAACGCTCTTGCTCCACGATGACTGATCGTTGTTGCGCCTTGAGGGAGCGGTCGAGCGGATATCTAGAATTGCACGCCGCGCTAGAACAAAATCGCGGGGCAGCTTTTGGCAAAGAAGTCTTCGCAATGTAATTTTCGAGAAACAAGCTTCAGCGGATGCTTGCAGAGCTAAATTTGTAGGAAAGCGAAGTTTGGATGGGATTTTCATTTCAAAAGAACGTTCTTATCTGCTTCCAGTAAATAGGGTTAGGGTTGGTTTGGGTTGTCTCGTGAATTTTTTGTGTTTCCTCGATCCTTCAACCAAGCACAGGGGATGGAAAACAATATAATTTCTCCATAATGAAGTTCTTATAATGCTATTTATCGCGTAAATGGAACTAAGTTTGCATATATGTCGACGCTGATCTTTTACGGGCATTGTCTCCAGTTGGGCTGCTCAACGAACCCTCGCTGGTGCAACTCTCCAACACCACCTACATAAGAGGCAACACCAACACGATTCTATCACATACGGCCATACCTGCCAGAGAACACGGGATCCCGTCCGCTCTCCCCTAGTGAAACTCGCAAGGGCCGAACTAGTAGTTGGGTCGGTGACGACCAGCGAATCCTCGGTGCTGTATGTTTTTGTTCCATCCTCTTTCCTTTTTTTGGTCCTCCTTCGACAATCACAACCTTCAGCTAAGGGGGGGTGACTATGAAGTTGAGTCTTCCCTGTCCATGGGAAGGTTGGTACTCTCAGAGTCGCCTTCTGAACACATCAAAGGTTGAGTCAGGGCAACCCACAACACTCCTTGAGGGGGCGTGGGTGGAGAGGGGACCATCACGCAGTAGGCGACACCCGTGAACATGGTGCCATGAGGAACAAATACAAAGGCACAGGCTGTTGGCGGCATGTGAGCCTTGTGTATTGTGTTGCTGTTGTCTTTCCCTTGTGTTAGTCTCTCCAGCACGATCTTTGGTGAGACGTACTTTATTTCATGGAGAAATCATAGTATTGCTAGATATGTACCAGCCAAACTGTTATTCTGGCAAGGTTGTTACGGAGTTGGATATCATACGAGCATACCGGCGGATCTATATCCTCTGTCTGACCAACCTTCGACAAATCCCGATGCCGTTTTCCGCATTGAATGGTTACGGTACCGGCCGAGGAGAAGGGTGTAAAGGTGATCTACTACTATAAGGGAAGGGTAACTAGCTTACTCGTGCCGCTGAGACGGTAAGGTAAGATGGTGGCGGAGAAACTGCTGGGTGGGGAATGGCGAAGAAGATGCCGTGCGTGTGTGGTTGGATGTTCATATCAAGGAGTCAAGATTTTCGTTGTGAATGAGTTTGTTTGTTTCAGTCAGAGTAGGATCAATTCACGAGGCACGTCCAAACTTAAGTTAATCGCAAGGTTGAATAAGAATTTGCCGCGTACTTTAGGCTTCCGCGTATGTAGTTGGCCTCAGTCACTCCAACGAATGCGAACACGCCTGCTACGATCTTCCCACGCATGGCCATAGCCGTTCCAAGGCCTCCTTGTCCGAGCCCCGACATCCCCCCCTCACACACAAACCCCAGACCAACTATAGATGACCAGAGCATCCCACAGTTTCTATCTTGAGCATCACACATGGTTCTCCTCTTTCTTCTCCATGCTGAAACAGCCAACTCGCTGCCAGGAACCAGTGCCACATCTGGTTTGTCGTCTATCAGACCAGCCCGTTTGTCTACCCACAACGCGGCGCCCTTGTATGTAGCCCGCTTTCCGCTTTACTCAACGTTTTCACCCGGTCGCTGGATCCACAGTCTTGTCATCCAAACCCGTACTGCGAATATGGCGTGGGGGATGCCGGGTTGGTTCATCGGGAAGTTAATTAGACTCCTGGAACGCCCCGGGAGATCCGGGTGGGCAAGCCGAGGCCCAAAGGCCGGTTGTCGGTATGTGCTATCCGGAGTTCTAGCCCGGGAGAATCGTCGTCTTGCTTAGATCGTCGGCACGTGGTGAAACACCTTCGGCCTCTGAGGGCGACAGCATGCACTAGGCATTAAATCGACGCTGTCTGCTGTTTGGGCCGTCCCACTTCCATCCAACTGCTGTGTATCTCGGGTGGATCACTCGATCAGCATCTTTTTGACTCCCCCGACCTCACACAACCCAAGGTGCCGAATTGCCTCCCTCTCGGTGGCTAAGATGATGGTTCGATCCGGAAGAATGGGGTTGTTCGGATCGACGTGAGATGCGTCCTTTGCGGCTTGTTCGATAGCATCCATCTCCTCTTTGCAAGCCTGCTGATCCATCGGGCATACCACGATCGGCTGGCGTAATGTGATATCTCTAGCGGAAGTCATGTGGGCCTAAAACTGGTGAGCGGAAAAAAAACACACAGCAAACTTGTTTAGATAAGGGCTCTCACCTTGATACTTAAAAAGAATTCAACCTTGTATAATGTGGATGTCGTCGAGAAGCTTGTCACCTCATACATTGGAAATGCGGGCTTGCCCCTTTTTATTATGCCATCCGGATCCCTTAGGTCTCGCGCCGGGAGCACGAGCCCCAGGTTGGTGATATATCCGGTCTCGGGCATCTTCGTCCCCACGGCCTGGGTGTGTTTGGCGATCTTGTTGATCTTCTTCGTTGGCTCGTCTCCTTCGGGGTTGAACGTAATCTCCTCCTCGATGGTGAGAGTGAGCTTCTGTATCGTTACCCTTTTCGCCTTATTCAGATAGTCCGGATTCGGTGACAGCTTGACATAAACTGTGATCGGGTCGAGGGGTCCGTAGCTCCATTTTGGAAGCGAGATGCCGAGGGTCACCACGTGGTCCGCCGTCGCCGCCCTCGTTTCTGGTCGGTTGTACATGCCGAAGGTCGAGAGTGTGTCGTACCGCTGGAGCGGAATGGGGAAAGTATAGCGGTTCTGCACGCTCGACCCCTGCTGGACCGTGACCACGAGTTCGTAATATGTCTCGGCGATTCGACTGGGCAGTTGCATGCTCGCAGGGGGAATCCGGCGGTTCGTCTCTTCGCCACTGCGCCCGAACGGAATGAATATTTGAAACGGGAGGTCCATCGCGATCACGCTCTCCGCCTCTTTTCCCGACACGCATCGAAAGAGTAGCACCTCCTTCCCCACCAAATCCACCGTCTCCCGTCGCGGCGTCCCAAGGTGCCGTTTTGCAACATTTTCGGCGGCCGGATGTATCGTCTCTCGTCGTTGAAGGCAGATGCGCACCATGGAAACATTTACGGGGGCCGAGAAGCCTGCGCCGGGGCGGATTTCGACTTTGCCGACGATTCTAGGCTGCGAGGGCCAGCGTTAGCACGGGGACATGCGCCAGCACTTTGCGACGGCGCAATTGCGCGGGACATTCTAGGCTGGAAAATCCCATATCGCCATCTACATGCGACCTAAAAGCGCAAACGGGAGGGTGCGTAACCTACCAAGGTCGCGGAGATACCGGGATAACCCACCAAGAAGCTGCTGTTTGGTGGGCCGGATATCCTCACGGTCGCGGGGGCATTTGCCGCATTCATTATGCAGGTAACGCCGAAGCGGCGATTGCCGAGAGCTCGATCAGGACGAAAGTTGTCGTGGTTGTTGTCGCCGTTGGCGGAGTTTGAGGCGGGCGCAATGGCCTTCGCCGGTCATCGACGGATGGCCCACTGAACTGGGGTCGGCTGCCTGCCGTGTGAGGGTCGAAGGCAGGAGACAATTTGGGGTGAGGGGTTCTGGAGTGTATCGTCGGCGCTGTATCGATATCGATAAGATTGCTTGTGCTGTGCGGGCATCGGCATCACATTGGCATCGGCCTCGGCGGTAGGGGTTCGCGATCGAAGGGTGCGCCAACTTGGAGTCCTCCGTTCAATGTCGTCGTGAAGACGGGTCGTCGTGGGGTGGGTAGGCCGGAGGCTGTCGTGCTTGTCTTACGCAGCACGCTCGGATTACCGATGTCCGGGAGCGTTAGCTGCAGGTCAGGCTTAGGTCGCAGCCACAAGGAACGTAGGTCGCTGCTGAGAGGGGTGTGATGGGGGCCGAATGGAATTGCTTCTCGAGCCGCCGAGGTCTTTGTCCCGTTGAAATGGGCCGCCCGTGTGGGACTGGAGCGTCACCTAACTCCGGGGGATGCGACTGTCCTGTTGTTGGAGGAGCTGCGTTCGCCGGGTGTGCTTGCAAAGGAGCGAGGGCCTGTGTAATGCAGGACACCTGCGACGGGCATCAACACACACCGAGTCAGTTGCCCCTAAAGAAGCAACTTGTCATTCAAAGCAGCTTGCGCACGGTCAAGTTCATCCCAAAAAATGATAAAAATGTTTCGGCAGCTGGCACAGTACATACAGGGTCTGCCTGATCAGGAAATGACTGCGCAGAACGGGTGTTATTCGCGGGCGACTTGGCCCCCCAACAGGCTCAGCCCTACAAGTCAGGAAGGACCTCGGTCCCGTCCTGAGGTACCTACCACTGTTGGTGGTCCGGACAGGCTTCACGTCGCAGGATCTCGGGCGAGACTTGCGTTGGGGAAACAAATAAGATCACCGAGCTTTAAGTGGTGTCGGTTCCAACTTGGCTAGCCTGGAGGATGACCGCCGAAGACAAAAAGGTTGAAAGATGCAAAGGATCGGTGAAGAAAACAGATTTCTGTACGGCCCGTGACAGCCTTGCGCTGGTGATTTTGATGCCTGGAATTGAACCTGCAGGTCGTTCCTGCGATGGCGGCCAGGGCCCTGGCAACTTGTGGAGACCACCTCAAGGGTACCCCGCCATACCCCGCGAACGAAAACAACAGGAAATGACGGTTCTTCCATGTTGCATCGACTCGGAGCCGAAACCGAGAGATGGCTGACACAAGCCAATCTTCTTCGCTCCGAAAGAGTGAGAGTTATTGTGTAGTTGGGGATGAGAATTCGGCGTGAAACGGCTTACGGGGTTGTCAGTTATGGGTGAGCACTCGACGATTAAGGTCACTTCCCGCCGTATGTACATACACGTAGGTCGTGCCGCGGCTGTCAACATAGGTACCTAGAAATCGATACTTAGAGAGTTGGGGACGGAGAAGCAGACATTCTTTACAGGTACCTTCTAGCTTCATCCAAGTTCAATGCATTCGACCTTGAGCCTAGTAAGGTACCTGACTGAGCTAACCGATCTCCTACACCTCAAGGGGGATCTCGCGTCGGAGCTGGCATGAGATGACCATAGCTCCGGTCAAAAAAACGCCAAGCTTCGATCTGATGTCAACGGCTTGGGGCCAGAACACCTTGGCTCGTTTTCCCCATGAACACCCCAACATGCCCAAAAAAAACATGAACCGCCAATAACACCACCGAAATCAACCACAGCGACGGCCCATCATGTCGGTAACGCTACATACCACCCACGGAGACCTCAAAGTCGAGGTGTTCTGTGAAAGCGTCCCCAAAACCGCAGAGGTAAGTCGCATTCCCTGCTCTCCAATGCACACCCCTTCCAGGTCCCCAACCCCCGGTGCATTAACACTGACTTTCCCGCCCCCCCTCCCACAGAACTTCCTCGCCCTCTGCGCATCCTCCTACTACGACGCCTCGCCCTTCCACCGGCTGATCCCCTCCTTCATGGCGCAGACGGGGGCGCCGGCGCACCCGAGCCCGCCCGACAACCCCAAGGGCGGGCGGTCGATCTACGGTTCGACGTTCGAGGACGAGATCCGGCCGGGCCTGCGGCACCACGAGCGCGGCGTGCTCAGCATGGCCAACAAGGGCGCCAACACCAACGGCAGCCAGTTCTTCGTCACCTTCGGCCCCGCGCCCCACCTCGACGGCCTCAACACCGTCTTCGGCAAGCTGCTCGGCGACGACAGCCTCGCGACCCTGGCCCGCATCGAGGCGGTTGATATCGACAAGAAGAACCGGCCGCTGGAGCCCGTGCGCATCGAGAGGGTGACGGTGCACGCGAATCCGTTGGCGACGTGAGATGGCTGGCGTGTGGGGTTTTATGAGAATGCGCAAGAATGGAGAACCGCATGCATGCACGCTTCAGTGCTCGCTACCCACTGACCCAACTGCCCTGCCGGGGGTTGGGATGTGATGTTGCTGGCTGGAACCGAAAGGCTCGTCCGTGAGGGATGGGTATGTACAAAGGTCTTGCGAACGCTACCAGCTATGCTCATCTAGGCTCGCATGCCGAGCTGGGGAAGCCGAGGGCCCAGTTGGTAAGCTCAGGCGGAAAGTGGGACGGCTAGGTTGCGCGGCGATGCCTCTGGGGGTTTGGCCTTCAATTTTAGGGGCCCATTGCTAGGTAACGGGTGCTCACGATGGGCGCTCGGTATTGAGAGGGGACGGGGGTTGGGTGAGGGGCTGGGTTGGTATCGAGATAAATAAGGAGCTGTGTGTTCAATGAGTTGGGTGCTCAGTAATTAAATCTGCTTAAAAGCTCTAGCAAGCAGTCCTCATCAATAACGACGCAAACTGACGCTCCTCCCATGCGATGTTGATTCACTATCAACCTTCGTCATCAAGTCGTAAATAGTCCCGCGCTTCTTGTATATGAGAAGAGGGCGAGCACGAATCTCGGTAGTCTCGTCCAGGATGTACCGAAGGACAACAAAGTCCCTCCCCGAAGCCCTCCCGAATCCAGGTACAAGGTCATGTAAGTGAAATAAGAATAATAAACGCCCACCCGCCAGAACAGAGGATATCTCAAACGTGCGTGTGCAGCCAGCCAACCCCACCACCCATACAACCATCCGCTTCTTTCTCTCCTGATACCCGCCCACCGATCCCCCAATTATCCTAATCGCCGTGTTAACAAGCCGAAAGGGGTGAAGAGCCATCAGCTGGCTAAACCCCATTCGTGGCCCTAGGGCGCCTACGAAGCGGGCCCCCATGGGCTACCCCAAGCAGGGTTGAGGGGCAACTAATCCTTCCTCCGTCGCTTGGTGCCCCGCTCCGGGCTGTCAAGGTCCGGCCTGGTAATCTCCTCGGTACCGGCCGGGCTGGGGGTATTGTTCGCCGACGTCGCCTCAAAGACCCGCCCCGGCTGGAACCCCGCGCCAGAACTGTCCCCAACCTGACCAGCACCACCGCCGCCGCCACCGCCGCCGCTCCCACCGCCCGCAACTCCGGCCACGCCCGCGTTGGCAGAAAGATAATCGCCGACCGAGCCCCCATCCAAGCTGAAGTTGAAGTCCGTTCCGTCCGCCGCGCCCGGCATATCCATCCCGTCCAACCCCCCGGCGTCGAACGCGGGATCGGAGAAGGCGCTGTTGTGGAGGAACTGGTCGTAGTCGACGACGCTGTCAAAGTAGCTCGTGTTGGGGTTTCCATTTTCGTCGATGCCGGGGATGCGACCCGCCGGGCTGAGCGGGCCGAGCAGGTGGGTGAGCGCGTCGATCTGGTCCGCCTGCTCGGTCTGTAGGCGCTGTAGGGCGTCGAGCTCGGCCTGGGTGCTCTGAATCTCGTGCAGTGACGGCATCTGTAGGGAAGAGAGGTTCGGGGGGAGGGGCAGACCATCCGGGGGGACGGGTGAGGTTGTTGGCGGCGGTACGGACGCGGTCGGGCTGACGGCAGGGATGCCGTTTACTGTCGCTGTTGCTGTTGAGGGAATTGGGTTGCTGCCGGCCATGATGTTGAGCATCTGTGCCCGTTGGTCGTCGCTCATGCTTGCGGGGGTCTTGGCGGCGACGTCGGGGAGGTCGAATCCAGAGGTGTTGTTGACGGCATTCGTGTCTTGGATGATCTTCATCATACCCTCCTGAGGATTGCTCCGCAGCTCGTTCTTAATGTAAGACGGGGAGGTCGTGTCTGCAGGAGAGGTGTCGAAGAGTTCGGTGACCGTCCCCATCTGGGGGGCCTGATGTGAAGTGTGTGATCCTGGTGGAGCCGCAGAGGTGGTTGATAGTGTGGCCGGCTTGCTTGTTTGATGTTGGGGAATCGGGGGTAGCAGACGCGGTTGTCGCTTCGGAGTGCCTGCCGTGGTGACGTTCTGAGCCCGCTGGTTGACGAATCCTCCGAGGTCAACAACGCCGCTGGTCGGGGAAATTTGGGTCTGAGGGTGTCCTTGGCCGTTCGGTATGATGCTCGCCAGAAGGTCTTGGACCGTCTGCGCCCCACCCTGCTCTTCCAACGACTTTCTAAACACGTTGGCTAGGAAGTTGAGTATGGCGTTGATCGAGTTCTCGTGGCGCTCGTGCATGTTCTGGAAGAGGAGGGCCTGCTGGTAGAGCTGGCTCTGGTCCTGACGCATCTTGTTTAGCATGCTGGAGATAGCAACCTGCTGCTGCTGGATCCTCTCGATCTGGGACTTGACCTGCAACAAATCCTTCCGTTGCAGAGGGCCGAGCTCGTGGGAGGAGACAGACGCTCTGGCGGCCTGGGGGGCCGCTAGGTTCGGTGTGTTGAAGGTTTCCTCCACCCCTTCCTCCTCGCTCTCAACATCGACTTCGTCCTTCTTCCCCTTTTTCTTGCTGTTGCCGCTCTTTGGTTTGTTGATCAGCCACAGCAGGTTAGGATGACCGCGGCGAAAGTACGGATTGTAGTATTCACTCGGGCTCTTGTTCTTTCTCTCGCTGGCCTTCATGGAGTTATCGGAAAGCCCCACGCGCTTGTGGAAGCCATACATGTTCAGCTGGCGCACAAATGAGGCGTAGTTATTGTGTTTGAAGAGCTCGGGGATGAGTGTCTTGGCAAACTCGTCCTCGTCAAGGACGACAAACGAATCCCCCTTGTCAGACCAGCGAATCAATTCAGTATTCCTCGATTCGTCCAAGAAGCTACATATCGTTAGCACGTATCTTCAACCGAGGAACGAGGGCAGACATACCTGCTAAGCTTCTGAACAAAGGGCGGTATCTGTTTCCTTTTTGCCTGCGCTTCCCTCTTCGCCCTCTGAGCCATCTCCTCGAGCCGCTCGACGTTGTCGTGTTCCTCCGCGCCAGGATTCGCTTGTTGTAGGTAGGCCGGGTCCTCGCCGTACCCATTCCAGCCGTCGGAGCCGCGCTCGAATGGGGTCCTGGGAGCTGTAGGAACCAAGGCCCGGCTGTTTTGCCGCCGTGCGAGGACGTTTGTCGACGCCGGGATTGTCTGACCGTAGGGGCTCGCTGTTGGTAGCAGCGCGAAGGAGTTCATGCCGGCGGTTCCGGAGTCGCCAAAGCTGCTCCCATCCACACCATTCCACCGAAACATCGGATCCGGCTGAACCGGGGAGAACGACGGCGGGATCTGGGGCAACGGCGCCATGGGGGGCGGGCCTGAAGCGGGCCGTTTCCTCGGATTGGGCGACGACATAACACTGGCGAGCGACTGCTTGACTAGCTGGGACCGACTTAGAGGCGACCCGGGCTGTCAGCAACGGTCGGTAGTGTGTCGGGGGCGGGTCGTTCGGGAACAGGCAGCTGTTTGGTCCTGGAATGCGGCCGTCGTGCGATGTTCGTCTGGAGTGGCACTGAGCCAAAACTTATTGTCGGGCTTTCGGATACACGGTGTTTCTCGATGATAAGTTTGATGTTGCGTCGGCGGAAGTACGGTCGACACCAGTAGAAGCGCGGACTGTTGTGGCGGCGCCGTGGCAGCTTGGCCGGGTATATACTCGCACTATATATTCTCGACCTGCCCTCAGTTGTTCAAAGCAACGCGGGCTAGAACTAGGCACCAAGCCCGGACCTCGGGGTGTTTCGTGGCGGCGCGACCAGCCTGATGGAACTGTTCGTTCGCAAAGGCGCAAAGTAACCCGCGTCGCGCAGGGGATTCGCTCTTTGGTCGCCGCACGAGAACAAGGGAACTCTACCGATTGTCTCGCCGATGCATGCAATGCTCAATGTAGCTTGCAGGTGCCGGAGCCTCGAAGCGATCTGAGCAATGCGCGTTCAAGCAGTCTCAGATCACGGGTTCGCGAAAGGCTTGTTTCCGGTTGGTGGACGGATGCAGCGGTCAGGGGTCGGTCGTTCTCAGATGGAGCTTTATTCCCCAAAAGCGAACAGGCTTCTCGGAGTATGGTGGTTTATCGGGGGCGCGTTTCGTCGGTTTCGTGGGAATTGGGAGGATACGGCAATTTTTTGGTCTTGACCGACCGAGAGTACGCTTTGGTTGGCGGTTGCGACTTCTCGCACCGCTATGGCAGGCTCCCTGTTGATATGATCTCGATCACAGCGATTTTTGTTCTTGGCAAATTACGGCCAATCACTTCGCGCGATGCTTTGGGACCCACATGCGGGGTACCCTGATAACACGCAACGGCGCCGAACAGAAAAGGGAATGTGGCTGACTGCCCAGACAATGGGCAGATCCGTATTCTCTTCATGTTGTCTGAGGACATCATTCGGCAACTATGAGCGGATTGGCCAGCGCTGAGTTGCTGGCCTTGGGCTAGATTCAGCCAGGTGTCAAAACGGGCATGATGTCTGGGCCCCACTTCAGCTTCTCACATCCACGAACCATGAGACCTTCTCTTAGTTGATGGGCTTGAAGTGGGCCAGTTTGGGAGTGCGGTGACGTCAAGGATAGAGAAGGAGAAGTCTAAGTCTACATGCACATATACACATATTTTGTAGGTAGGTAGCCATTATACAAATTGCACGTCCAACCTCAGGCTGCTTGATGTAGAGGAGCAAGGGGGGCGTTTGCATGGTCTGTATATCCAACACGACTAGCTTCAGGCGGACGGTTAGAACTGCCCGTGGGTATCTCAGAGATAGAAGTGCCTTCGCGGCAAACTTCGCGCTACATCCATTCCGCTACTTTCGCCTCAACGCGCGCTCCCATCTCTATCGCGACCGCGATCCTTGTCCCAGGCCCGAGAAGATCCGCCGGAGCGCGCATCCCTCATTGCCTTCTTGTCCTCCTTGAGAGTTCTAGCCTTTTCGAGAGGGTCGATGACAACCAGCTCTTCCTCGGCTTTCTTCCGATAGCTCAGGTCTTTCCCTAGTTTATCGGCCGCGAAGCTCAGTGTGTGAGACATCCAGCCTTCGTCGTCGCTTTCATCCTGGTCCTCCTTATCCCAGGCTTTACAGCTTTGGCAGTTAGAAATGAAATGCAGGTCGCAGACCTCTGCTTCCTCATCCTGGTCGCCTTCCTCCCCTGGTTCGTTCACCAGGGGCTGAGAAGTCTTTTTCTCGGCTGGCGCATGTTCCAGTTTTGATCGAAATGCTGTTAGGAACGCGAGGGCTTCTTGTTCCTCCCTTGTGCTTGTGGCCCCGGGCCGCCGCTTTCGCCCGCGCGTCGATGTCTCTGGTACCATCAACTCGAGCGACGATTTCATTTTTTCTTTGACAGGCTCCGCATGGGTTGTCCGTTTCATTGATGCCTTGACCGCCGCAATCTCTTCATTAGTTCGTTCCAGAAGAGACTTTTTCGGGGGCTCTTCGGCCTCAGGGCTGGACCTTTCACTGCCGTATGTTTTGGATTGTGATGGCTTTGATACCATATCTGGTTCCGGGATCTCGGCGCCCTTCCGAGGCGACGCCGGGCGTTTTTCTGAAGCCTGCACCTCCTTGTTCAGTGCCTTCTTCTCTTTCTTTACCGACGACCTGACCGGGATGGCTTTCTGGACGGGCTCTTCGTCCACATCCATCACGATCCTTGTGTCGAACTTAGCCTTTTTGATGACTGGAAGGTCCTCGGCATCACCTTCCTCGTCACCGAAGCTCAAGAGCTGCTTGCCTCCTTTCCTTTTCTTCTGCTTCTTCTCTGCGGGAGCAGGCGGTGGTACCTGTTGTCGCACCTTCCTCTCTCTCTTCTTCATGTCATCGAACGGATTGATAAGAATTTCGACGCGGATAATTTTCATTTGGTACAGGGGGCGCTCGGTACCCTCTGCAACCTCCGCCTCGCCCATTTTGGCCAAGTTGTAGATGGTATCACCAGCCACCCGGCCAAACACGGTGTTCTTGTTTGTCAATTCCTCAGATTTGCCCAAGGTGAAGAAGAACTGGCTCCCGTTGCTGTTGGGAGCACCCTCATTGGCCATGCCCAGGAGACCGCGGCGATTGAACTTTAATCGCGAGTGGAATTCATCCCGGAAACCCACTCCCATAGGTCCGGCGTTTTGTCCTTTGCGCTGATCCATCGGCCACGGATCCAAATCGCCGCCGAATGCGCCGCCATCGTATATCGACTCTCCTCCATGTCCGGTGCCAGTCGAATCGCCGCCCTGGAGAATGAAGCCGGGGACGAGACGGTGGAAGATGGTATTGTCGTAGTATCCATCCAGGCTAAGCTGCAGAAAGTTGCGGCACGTCAGGGGTGTCTGTTTCGCAAAGAGCTCAATCGCGATCTCCCCCTGTGTTGTGTGGATGACGGCCGACGCGGTCGGTTGCGGTTCGAGATTGTAGATGGACGACATTGTCGGGTTGGGGAATCTGGCAGAAATGCCTTAAAGGCAGACTTTAGGAAGCGTAGGTTATTCGCATCTAGTTGGTGCCGTGGAGCTAGGCAGGCGACCGAATGGTGGTGGGCTGGTGATGCAAGATTGCGAGAATGAGATCTCCAAAGCTCGGTTGACTCGCGTTGAAGCTTGCCATTTTCCTGCTGCCGCCGGCACGATATGCACAGCCACAGTTGGAGAGCGACGGTGGGGTAACGCCTCGATGTGAAGCGGAGCAAGCGTCAACATGCGCAAGGCTTGAAGTTACTCTGAAAGCTCTCGTTCCCACTACGAAGGATTTTGGAAACTCTGAAAAGGAGACAACAACTATTGAGACCCTGACCTGAAAAAAAGACTCAAGCTTCGACTCTCTCTGCCTGGCATTACGCCGTAGCTGTGCCTCCGTTGGTTTGGGAGATGTGGCTGTGCCGTAGGGATTAATGCGGGGCACAGCAGGGACCTTGGCCGTGGTGTCGTCCAACTCGGAGCTTGCGACTGCAGCTCTCCCATCCCTCAACGACAACAACCGCTTTGTAACCAACCTTGCCGTCTCTTTTGCGCATCGCTTGTCAGTTTTGCTACAGGCGCGCTGCAGATACATCCTTACGAAACCCCCAAAAACGACCCGAATTCACTAATCGCGATGGGCGACCCGCGGGATCCGTCATCGTACCGGGTGACGCCGAGGATCCGCTACAACACTGTCGGTGGTGTCAACGGGCCCCTCGTCATCCTCGACAATGTTAGCCGCCCCTTTCGAACCCTGGAGTAATACACTGTTCTGATTGTTATCACAGGTCAAAAACCCGCGATACAATGAGATTGTCACCCTCACACTTCCCGACGGGACCCAGCGATCCGGCCAAGTCTTGGAGACCCGAGGTAGGCATCCTTAGATGGTAGCGATCTCGCTACTTAGTAGCTGACAACTCTCATAGGAAGCCGGGCCGTCGTCCAGGTAGAATCGCCGACTTCATAATCCGACGAGGGGGTTGCTGACGCATATTACAGGTCTTCGAGGGCACTTCGGGCGTCGATGTAAAGAAGGTGGGGCGCAATCGACCAAATATGGCAGGACGCAGCTAATCAAGAGATAGACTCGTGTTGAATTCACCGGGGAGAGCTTGAAGCTCGGCGTGTCGGAAGACATGTTGGGGCGCATCTTCGACGGCTCGGGTCGTGCGATCGACAAGGGCCCCAAGGTGCTGGCTGAGGAGTTCTTGGATATCAACGGCAGCCCCATCAACCCCTACTCCCGAGTAAGGATACCGATTCAATACGCCGGTGGAGCAAAGCTGAGACAGTACAGGTTTACCCCGAGGAGATGATTTCGACCGGTATCTCGGCCATCGATACGATGAACTCGATTGCGCGCGGCCAAAAGATCCCTATCTTCTCCGCTGCCGGTCTCCCGCACAACGAAATCGCCGCTCAGATTTGCCGGCAGGCCGGTTTGGTGCAGCGCCAGGGCGTCACAAACAAGGGTGTCCACGATGGCCACGAGGAGAACTTCTCGATCGTCTTCGCAGCCATGGGTGTCAACTTGGAGACGGCCCGTTTCTTCACCCGCGACTTCGAAGAAAACGGCAGTTTGGAGCGCACTACCTTGTTCCTCAACCTTGCCAATGACCCGACGTACGTCCTAGTGTTTTTCGCCGCTGTGACCTTTGCTGACCAACCAACAGTATCGAGCGTATCATCACGCCGCGCCTTGCCCTGACGACCGCCGAGTACTACGCCTACCAGCTCGAGAAGCACGTCTTGGTCATTCTCACCGATCTGTCTTCGTACTGTGACGCCCTCCGCGAGGTGTCGTCCGCCCGCGAGGAAGTCCCCGGTCGCCGCGGTTTCCCAGGTTACATGTACACGGATTTGTCCACCATCTACGAACGTGCCGGTCGTGTGGAGGGCCGGAACGGCTCTATCACGCAGATCCCCATTCTGACCATGCCCAACGAGGACATTACACACCCTATTCCCGACTTGACGGGCTACATTACCGAGGGCCAGATTTTCGTCGACCGTGGTCTGTACAACCGCGGCATCTACCCTCCCATCAACGTGTTGCCGTCGCTGTCCCGTCTCATGAAGTCGGCCATCGGCGAAGGCATGACCCGCAAGGACCACGGTGACGTGTCCAACCAGTTGTACGCCAAGTACGCCATCGGCCGTGACGCAGCGGCCATGAAGGCCGTCGTCGGTGAAGAGGCGCTGTCGGCCGAAGACAAGCTCTCGCTCGAGTTCCTCGACAAGTTTGAGCGCACCTTCATCAGCCAGAGTCCGTACGAGTCGCGGACGATCTTCGAGTCGCTCGATCTGGCGTGGAGCCTGCTGCGCATCTACCGCAAGGACATGCTGAACCGTATCCCCGCCAAGGTTCTCAGCGAGTTCTACCAGCGGTCGTCGGCGGACCGCAAGGGCAAGGGCAAGGCAACGACCAAGGACACCAGGGACACGGCGGCGCCCGAGGAGGAGAACCTTATCGATGCATGAGCACGGGCGAGTTGGGACTTGGTCATGAGCAAGCGATGCATATATACGTAATGCGTGCGGGTTCGCTCTGGACGGGGGACTTGATTTGCATTGTAAATGATAGGCTGGGGCGGTGGTTGGCGAGTTCGTAGATTGGAATTTGACGAGTGTTTGGTTCTTAGCGTGCCTCGATACTTGCCTAGGAGCCTCGGTAGGCATGCCCGCCAACCTGACGCCTTGCCGAACGGTTGAATTTTGCCGTGTGTATTTGCCATTGGAGCGCCTCCGTCAATCGCCTCGCCTGTGCGTTGCAACGTCGTCATATCCCGTGCTACCTATTTATTTTTCTCCGCGTACCTTGGACGGGCTCGACGGGATACTAAAGCGTAGGCGTGCAGCTGAATCAACAGGTTTCTCAAGGGTGGTGTCGTATTACACGGTCGCTCTGTGACCCCGAGGCTCGACTGGCTGCAACATAGTTTCCAACCCCTCGGGACTACGCAGGTGTGTACTGTACATATGTATTACGAGTGGTGGAGAGAGCCACAACCCACTCTGCTCGCAACCTTGTGTTTGGAATCCCACCCTTTGAGCATCTCCAACCCAGTGGCCCTTGGCGTCGATTCAAGCTTCGGCTGCTCGCTCAGCAACGGCAGGGCAGAGAAGACAGGGGATGGAGTGGATTCACCCCGCATTCCCCCAAACCAACACGCGCACCAATCGCGATCTCGCTTCTGGCCCAAACCTCACTCCAATTCCGGGACTTGCAAGTGGTAAACAATCATCGCCAAAGCGGGCGTTTTGCGCGGAGCTTCATCGCACTTCAGCCGAGACGCAATTGGAAAGGGCGCAAAAGGGTAAGTTGGAACCCATGAACCCGGATGGAAACAAACAGGATGTGGACACCCGCCACTCGATTGGCCTCCCCGTCACGTTCGCTTGCAGCGAGTGGCAGCGAGTGGCAGGGAGCTGCATGCACAACGTGGTTGTCTCTCCAACTGCCTCTTTGGGAGACGAGAAGTGATGGGATCTGCGGTCGAAGACCTGGAAGCCTGGCAGTCATTGTTCCTGGGGCACCACGAGACCACCATCCATCCACCAGAACGCCCAGCTACCAACTCTGTCGCTGAACAACGGTGAACGAGAGAAACGGGAAAGCGTCCGATGTGGTTCACGCCTCCACATATGTACTGTTGTGTAAGGCTAACCATACTTCGTACATCGCTCCATAGTATCACGGGACGACTGGGGTCTCGGCCGTTTACCAGCCTTCCTTCACCAAGAGGGATATCCGCTCGCTTCTAGGCTGTACGGAGAAATTGAATTATTCCGTCCATGGTACGAAGGAACCTCAAGCTTACCTGGTCCTGCAGATTACCCCAGCGCAGTTGTCCGGGGCCTGGGTTTAATGTTCCCGGACATTGTGCATGAGGGGTGACGTCCATCCCATGTTTACCGTGGCACCGTGGTATTCACCTGCCAGCTTTGCACATGCACGCACCCTTCATTCACTCGCAGTGCCCCGCTGATGGAGTGAGCTTATAACATCGGCCCGCCTTCTCTTTTCCCCAGACGCATTCCTCAACCGTTACATCATTTTGTGCTCTGACCTGTCATCCTGACGATACCACAACAAGATGGGTCTATTACACTTACTCTCCGGAGCGGCTTTGCTTCTCAACGGAGCATTGGCCACTACGCCCGGCCCTGGATATTCAGGTGCTCATCATCCCGATGAGAATGGAAAGTTCTGGATTTACGGCGAGGGCATCGCCGCTGCTTTCATCCCCTACGGAGCCTCCATTTCCAACTTGGTCATCAAGGACAAGAATGGTGTTCCCCGGGATATCGTGATGGGTTTCGACAAGGCCAGCGACTACGCTACCGATAAGTCCCATCCTCACCTCGGCAGCGTTCCCGGCCGCTACGCGAATCGGATCAAGAACAGCACCTTTGAGATCGACGGCGAGGAATACCACATTACGGCAAACGAGAACCCTACCGATGAGCACCCGGATGGTCTCAACACCCTTCACGGCGGAGTGGACGGATGGGACTGGAGGAACTTTGACATCGTCTCTCATACCAACGAGTCCATCACTTTTTCCATCGTCGACCCGGACGGCAAGGAGGGCTTCCCTGGCGAGGTCATCTCTTACGTCACTTACACGCTGGGCGACATGACCTGGGATGCCAAGATGATTGCCATCGCAACGACCAAGAAGACCCCCATTATGCTGAGCAGCCACACGTACTGGAACCTGGACGGTTTTGCCAACGACGAGACAAACACCGTCTTCAACCACACCTTCCATCTGCCCTACAGCGGCCAGCGGGTCGCAGTGGACAACATCTTGATCCCCACCGGTGACATCCAGGCCAACGCCAAGGGCTCCGTCAACGACTTCTGGAGCGCCCCTAAGCAGATCGGCGAGAGCTTCAACGACCCGGAGATCAAGGGCAACTGCGGGTTCAACTGTACCGGCTACGGTATGCAACTCCTATCCCTTTTCTGTAGTAGGAACAAACACTAACTCCCCCACCCTAGACAACTGCTGGCTGGTCAACCGGCCCGACCCGCACGACTGGCGCGCCGACGGCGGCTACGTCGCCAGCCTGTCGTCGGCCTGGTCCGGCATCCGGCTCGACGTCTACTCGGACCAGGACGCCTTCCAGATGTACTCGTGCAACGGCCAGAACGGGTCCTTCCCGCTCAAGGCCTCGCAGGGCGTCGGCCGCGACGCCGGCGCCGCGGGCGCCGCCCGCCGCAACGTCGGCGACCCGCACCCGGACCCCTCCCGCATGGTGCCCAAGTATGGCTGCGCCGTCCTCGAGGTCCAGGACTACATCGACGGCATCAACCACCCCGAGTGGGGCCGCCTGGGGAAGCAGGTGTTTGGACCCGGCGGCGACCCCTACGTGCTCCAGGTCAGCCATCGGTTTTCGGTGGAGTGAGGTGCGCTGGTTGGAGGGCTTTTAGGCCGCGGAGTTTGGGAACTGGTTTGTTAGTTTTCTGGCGTTTTACCTCGGGGAGATGGTCCTGTTGGGCCTTCGAGTTCTTCTCTTCTTTAGCGTATTTTACGTGGTAGGGTAATGCTCTAGGGTAATTAATATATCTAGTCAATACTGGTGTGAAATACATCACTTGAGAAGATTTATGATAATTTTGACTGGAAGCTCTTCATCATGGATTTGTAGGGTCAAAAACCGTCTTCATTGTAGTACAGGGGGAGGAGGTGCCGGAACTCCATGCGAGCTTGAAAGCAGTTGACATCGTCAAATTGGATTTAACGCATGCTCAACCCACATCTCATATCTTGCAGTATTTCGGCATCCAGCTGACAGTGAATGTTGGAAACACTCAAGGGAGAAGATATGTCAAATTGAGTCCCTGCCCTTTTGTATGCAGAAAGCGGGGCATTTCCACAACCGAAAGATACACATTGGAGTGGCTCTCATCCACCGAACCATAACTCAAACTGATGCTTAACTGAACAACAACCCCAAATATCCACAGCAACAATCAACAAACCCAATACCGCTACACCTACCTCTGTCTACAAACCCAGAACCCGTTATCTCAACGGCCACCCCCGAAACCCGCCCCTACGGACTGTATACCTCGGACTTCTCAAATTCGAATTTCCCACCCTTAACTCACCACCTCAAACCTCAACTCCAAAAAGGAAGCAAAAAAGAAAGAAGCACAATGTCATCATCCACCCAACCAATCCCCCTCCACACCTCACCCACCCCACCCACAACAACACCACCACCCAACCCCCTCCCCACCCTCCTCCAAACCCCCTCCGGCCTCGCCCTCCTCGAGCTACAAGGCACCATCAACCTACCCCCAACCACAACCTCACAAACCCCCGCAATCCCCATCGGCCGCCTCATTTTCCCCGACTACAACCCCACCGATACTAGCAATAGTAGCGGGGACACGGCCTGGATGAAGCGGGCGTGGCTGTTCATCGGCGAGAACCAGCGCCTGCAGGGGGAGGTGAAGCGGCTGCCGAAGGCGGTGGCCGTGTTGAGGAGGCGGAGTAATGGGGGGAGTGGTGGTGGGGTTGGGGTTGAAGGTGGGGATGGGGATGGGGATGGGGATGGGGATGATAATGAGGGGGCGGAGGAGTTGGAGGTGGTGGAGGTGGTCAAGTTTAAGATTGTGTTTTCGTTGAGGCCGGAGCCGGTGGGGAGTGAGAGTCTTGTTGCTTGAGGGGTTGAAGGGGGTGGGTTGGTTGGGTTGCTGGATGTTGTGTGGGGGGGGGGGGTGGTTGAGGGTTTGCTTTTTGGCTGGTGGGCTGTCTACGGATTATGGGGCTTGGTGGCCGCGTTATTGAAGGAATATTTGGGACGTGGGGAGGTCGGTAGGATGGTGCGCTAGACTTGAAGAGGGGATACGGAGCATGCGAGTCGGTACAGCTAACTCGTTGCTGGACATGAGGTTGTGTACAATGGGTGGACGGTCTTGCGATGTTATTCTACCTAGTCCCTACAACAACTGGTTTAGTCCTCCCAAGTCCTTCCTTGCCATAATAATCCATCGGGTACGGGCCCTTCCCCCAGTCCTCCTTCTCCTCCAGCGCTATCAACGCCTCGTACGGCGTCAGCAGTGGCCGCGAGAAGGCATATCCCCAGTCAATGCTCAGCCGTGGGCACGCCACCTGGACCCAGCACTCGACATCACTCATCATCGCCAACTTGCCCGGGAATATCTCGCTCAGCAGCAAGTTGACGAACGGGATGCCCATCTGTTTCAACTTGCTCTCGATTAGAGCCATCGTGTGCGGGTTCCCCTGGCGTCCCAGCGAACCAAGGATCAGGCCCCATTTTTTGGCCTTCTTCGCCGTCCGGATAGCGTCTCGCCGGATATCCTGCATCTCGGTGTGCCCGTACGTCTCGTGCGTTAGCTTGCGGGAGTATGGGTCGTATCGGTAGGCGGGAATGTCGGGGTTGTGGATCATGATGCTTTCTAGATGGAAGCGCCCGTCACCCAGGTACAGGATTAAGTCCACGAGGTTGTCAGTGTATGTGGACAAGTTTGGTGAGGTGCAACCCAGAATCTCGCCCTTGGAGAGAGGCGCGATTTGGGGCACAATGACCTTGAACCCCGCCTTCTCCAGCGTTGATCGTACGCCGTGGATTGTGGCGTTAAACTGTATCGTCCCGACCAGGGCAACCGTCTTTCCGGGGGAGAAGTTCCGCTCAAGCGTAGCGAGTAGGTGCGATGTGTCGATGCTTATGTCGACAAAGACGTATAGCGTCTTGATCTTGGTGACATCCACCGGGATTAGACAGCTGTGGGCGTAGTGCACCAACAGGTCGCACCCCATAGCCCGCGCCGTGTAGTCGTCGATACAACACGCTCCATACGTGACATCGCCCATGATCAGAGTTTCAATTCCCGGGCAGAACTCGGTGAGGATATCGGAAATGGTGGTGGCGAACAGGAGGAGGCCCTCGGGCATCTGCAGGGCCACGCGCTTGGCACCTAGTGAACGGATGCGGTGAACCGTCTTGGGTATCTCAAAAGAGTAGTTCGCTGGGAGAAGGGACATTGCCGCCTTCAAGGCCTCGTCGTTTAGTATTTCAGGGGGCACTTGGTTGAGCATTCTCGGCGCCCGTCGTGGCTGAGCAACTGCGACGGCTATCAGTCTCCCTGTTGTCACTGGGAACTCAAAGTAAGGTAAGTTCAAGTACCTTGAATGGCCCCGCTATCCTCGATCGAGGTGGCCCCCGAACTAGACTTCGCAGCCTCACCGGCAGCCCGCCTCCCTACGAAGCGCTTCTTGGGTTGTTTGACCACATTCTCCTGGATCTCTTTTTCTTCGATCTCGGCAGCAATGCCCAAGTCGGCCAAAACCCGGTCTTCCTCCATGGCGCGGGTACGATGAGTCCCGATCACTGAGAAACTCTTGGTTGCTGTTACTGTTCTAGAGAGAGAACTTTGATGGAATGAAACAACAGCTTAACAGGAGCCTTTAGCAGCGGTGCTTCGGCATGTGAGGAGGACGGATCGTGAGGATTTTTCGTACTAGATCGATACTCTTGTTCAAGGACAGTAGTCTGTTTGAATAATTTCAGTATGCGGCTGCACGCTTACCACATGTGTAGATGTGTCAAAAATCTCATAAGCCTTGATTCTCAAGTCGCCAATTCGTGAGCTCTTGATGCCCCTCCATCAATTGACCCCTCGGGCTTATCGCCAGAAACTCGCTCCTTATCTGGCCGAGTCTTGGCAAAGAATTTCGAGACCTCAGGCCAGGCAAGGCTGGGTGAGAGACAAATCCCAACACGTGCCCAGCCAGTTCAAGGTGGGTCTTGCAAAATTACCGGCCAATCAATGCGCGCAACAATTATGCCCTAAGATTTCTCCTGGTCTGGCGCTGCACACAAAACGTTCCTTCGATTTCTCCAGTCTCTGTCTGCATCATCAACGACGGCCGTTCAGCAAATACCGCCAACATGAAGGTAAGGCTTGCCCAGCCTCATACCCGATTCGAATGTCAACGAGATTCCTGCGATTTTGCGAAACCTTGTTTTTCTGCGTCCCGTGGTTTAACGATGATGCTGACCCGACCCCGTAGCTGAACATTTCGCATCCTGCGAACGGCTCGCAGAAGCTGATCGAGGTGGAGGATGAGCGGAAGCTCAGGCACTTCTTCGAGTATGTGGCCTTCTTTCTCTCGGTTTAGGCGTGTTGAGCTAACCAAATCTTCGCAGGAAGCGCGTATGTTCAATCGATACCCGCCGATTCTTTTCTTCGACGATACTGACTTGGACTAGATGGGCGCTGAGGTCCCGGCCGACCCCCTTGGCGATGAGTGGAAGGGCTACATCGTCCGCATCACGGGCGGTAACGACAAGCAGGGTTTCCCGATGAAGCAGGGTGTCATTGCCCCCAACCGTGTCCGCCTCCTCCTCGCCGACGGCCACTCCTGCTACCGCCCCCGCCGTACCGGCGAGCGCAAGCGCAAGTCCGTCCGCGGCTGCATCGTTGGCGCCGACCTCTCCGTTCTCGCTCTCGCCATCGTCAAGCAGGGCGAGCAGGACATCCCCGGCCTGACCGACACCGTTCACCCCAAGCGCCTCGGCCCCAAGCGCGCCACCAAGATCCGTCGGTTCTTCGGCCTCAGCAAGGATGACGATGTATGTGCTCCATGCCTATATCCCGTCATCGCCTACCCTCGAGCTACGTCGATCTCGATCGCGCAGTTCGGGTAGAGTCTGAGTGCAACAATTGGGAGGCTAATACGATATTCTCGGAATAATAGGTCCGCAAGTACGTCATTCGGCGTGAGGTCCAGCCCAAGGGCGAGGGCAAGAAGGCCTACACCAAGGCTCCTCGCATCCAGCGGCTGGTTACCCCCCAGCGTCTGCAGCACAAGCGCCACCGCATTGCGCTCAAGCGCCGCCAGACCGAGAAGGTCAAGGATGAGGCGGTATGTTTACATTTATATCCAAGATTGAAGCGCATCGAAACGCTAACCATGTCGCAGAACGAGTATGCCCAGGTCCTGGCCAAGCGTGTCGCTGAGGCCAAGGCCACCAAGGCCGATATCCGCAAGCGGAGGGCCAGCTCGATGCGCAAGTAAAATTGGGGCGTTTGTTAATGGGTCTCGGGTTGCTTTGGGAAAACGGTCACGGCGTGCTTGCTTGGCGGCTCATCTGGGCGTGTACATGGTATAAACACCCTTCACGAATCTCGACAATGAGTTTTTGCTTTGAGCGTACTGGGCGCCGAAGCGAGGCCGCGCAAAGAGCTATGCAACACCCTCTCCCTAAGAACAAGTACCTGCTCCCGTGGCGATTGTGTGATTCATAGATGCTTTGCGCAATGATACCAGTTTGACTTGTTTTTTCCAACCCAATGGTCCACCTCGACGTGCCCACGTCCGGCTGTCGAGGCTTGAGCTGCTGCCTGCACTAAGAGCGGCGTCGATCCTTCGGCTTCTCAGACCCATCCCACGCCCTTGGTCAAAGTGGACTCGAAATCCGCAGCTGGGTTTCAGCTTGTTGTCTTGTATGACTGCGGGACAACATTGGAATGCGATCGAACTGCCCGTGCCTCGCAAACCTGCGCATTTGCATCAGGGCTAAACTGGTTTGTTAGGATGGCTGTAATGAACTCCTGGGGGTAGCAACTGGAGCAAACAGTGAAATTGTAAGCGAATCCGTAAACAGTCAGAAAGTCACGGCCGGTTGACTTGCAACCGTCGCAATTCGATCGCACTTGCTGGCATTGGAACGATGACTGCATTTCGGTGACCACGACTTCTCCGCCGCCAGTTGGGTTTGCTCCTTCATTGAAGCCCGAGTACGAACAGTATCCACTTTCATCCAACTTCTTGATGATCTGTGCAAACGTCATGGTTTATGCCAGAGTACCCTAGGATTTCCCGTCGAGGAGTCATGACAGCGAGACCGCGGTCCTGGGACGGAAGGGCGCGGATTGGGGGATTGGCGGTATCCTCAAGGCCCTTTTCACGGATTCTGCAAATACCGTTGATGTGAGTGGGTTTTCGGAACGCTCTCAGTGCTCCGTTTTTGCCGTCCAACGCCTTTGCTGAGCCTCTTCTCGGTTGTCGATGAGGACGGCGGCGCTGCAGCACCCGCTTACTACTTGCCTACCGAGGTGGCCTTGCTTGTTGGTTACGTGAGGGGTCTGGGTACCCCTCCTTGGCTGAGGTGGGGGTTTTAACAGAGACAGACGACCTTGAGACTGCGGCGGCCAGGTGTTAGCCCACGTGAGCTTGAATGGTCTCTTCAAATTTGGAATAATGATAACAATAGGTACTGCTTGTTTGTTAAGTTAATTGACTGTGGATTGTTTGCTTGTAGAACAAAAGGCGAACGTAGAAACAGGTCGCCGGGGCTGGAAGAAGCTGGTGGAAAAGACGTTTTGCCCCACATTGGGACAGCTACCAGGCTCTGGCGGTACTTGCCGTGCCCGAACTTTTTTGGTGGTGTTTGGTACCTGACCAGCTGGTGCTGCCGTCATTGTTGCTCCCCTTCGCCGAAAAAGGCCCTCCGCTTGCTTTCTCATCACAAACCCGAACTTTCTTACCAACTGCCTTTTCGGTGTAATTCTTAACTGCGACATCGACTGCGAGTTAACTCATCGCGGATTTTAGCGAACATCACAGCGTCAAGCTCCGCTCCATTTTCCAAGTCATCCTGAGGCGACCTGCACTCGTCTTCAAGCTGTATTTGGGCCTTGGGGAGCTTCGCCGTCGCCTGCCGAGTTCCGTCGAACCAACCCCAACTCCAACCCGTACTTGCAGTCGCCTTCACCTACCGCAAGACAACCCCGCCATCGCCCGACCGCTTTCTCTTCGACAGCTGGCTGTTGCCGTTCTCGACCACATCTTAATCGACGACTGCCATCCCCGCACTTCTGCGGCTTACGTAGTAGGGTCACTGTCCGTTCGCCGGGTTCGTGGGTAGTGGAGGGGGAGCGTTTACTTTCTTCAGCCCTCGCGGCTCAGCCGCTTCGTCAAGATGGGTAAAATCACCAAGACGATGCAGTCCAAGCATAGGGAGAACTTGGTGAGCAGCCTTTCCCCACCCGTTTCTTTCCCGTTTGCTGTGCTAACCCCCGCTTAGTCTCCCTGGGTTAGAGACTATGTTCTCGCCGCCGCATCTACTCCGTTGCCCCTCATTCCCGGAAAGCTTGACGAATTCCCGACAAGATGGCCGTTCCCGCGTGGAGACCTGTACCACTGGATTCCACTCTTGAACCGGTTTGACAGCGTTCTCGAGGCATACTGCGCCACATACAAGCTGCAAGAGGGGTTTCAAATGCGAGATGTCGCGTGCGATTTACTCTTGAATAAGGGCACCCCGGTGGAGTACGCCGATGAGCAGGCCTACAGCAAAGAGCGCCTGGTGCAGCTGGGCTACAAGGAGGACGGAGACCGCCAGCTCGTGATCTCGATCCTCACTTTCACCAAGGTGCTCCTCCAGCACTGCGGCAACCGGAGCATATACGCTAGCAGCCCACATTTGAACGATATGCTCAACGCGACCGACCTCACCATCGTCTACGCGACGCTTGAGGTTGGCCTAGAGCTTGCCCAGCGTTACCAGGCTTCGATCAAACGTGTCGGTACTCCCAACCGTCAAGTGAGCAGCGCCTTGCTCGCGAACCATTACAACATTGACCTCGAAAGGGTGCAATATCTTGCCCAGCCTTTTGTTAAAACCCCGGTCTCGCCAGGTCCTCGGCTCCCAGACCTTCCGCCGACGACTCTAGGTTCGACAAGCAAGGGGAAAGAGAAGGCATCCAGCTCGAGCCATCGGAATGCAGCATCCGTGTATGCCAACGACCTCAATGCGATTTTTGCTCCTTGCCCAGCCGATGATGCGCGCTGGACTGGCTGGGGCGATGTCAAAATCATTTATTATCCGAAGTCCGAGGCCCCGGGGTCGGTCGCACCGGAATCTCATGCTGGAGAGGGCGGTTCGTCTTCGTCAGTCCCCGCGACCCCCACCCCACTCCGGCGTAGCTCGACCAGCATATCCCAAACCCCTCGCTCAAGGGGAGCTCCTGCCGCTGAAGACAGCCCTTCGAGCCGGAGCCGCGGACCGGGCGGCGATGAGCAGGTTGTTTCAGGCCCCAAGTCCGTGGAGCTTCGCCAGACCATGGTGCAATCGACGTCCATCTACGAACTTCTTAAACACTGCCCGACCGACATGCCCAAGGTTGTACGATACGAATTTCTCAACCGGCTGAGAATATGCAAAGCGCTCCTGGGGTCACCCGAGGACCGGCAATTGGCGCTGGCTGTCCGTCTGCTTGCCATTACCAACCTGGCATACATCCATCCCGAGGCAACGTTCATCGAGAAAGTCCTGAAACAGGATAATGACGAGCCACGCAGGTACCAGCTCGTGTACCAGCTGGTCGAGTTGGTTCATCCTTCGGTCGATGGAGCTCCCGAAACACCCCTGCGCTTGCAGGCCATCGCACTTGCAGCTTTGGAGTCCATCACCGCCATGCCGATCAAGTACCCAGAGGTCGTTGCAGCGCTGAATGCAAACGTTAACCACGGCATTTTCCTGTATCTCATCCGGAAGGCATTGGCAAGCATGAAGGAGGACTCCGACGAGGTGGATGATGGGAAGGTGACTGATGCCGACCACTGGCGCGGGAGCCTCTTCGCCTTGACTTTGCAAATGGCTATGGCTTCTCGCATAGGCCACGAAATGTCCTCTGCTGGCTTGCTCGAAATCATGGTCGACATCCTCAACATTCGATCCAAGACAGCGACTCGCAACTACAGCATGGTCCTTGCGTTCCTGGACACGATCATTTATGGTTTTAACGGCGCCTTTACCGTGTTCAGCAATGCCGGTGGCCTTGATGCCATCTCTAACCTCATCATTGACACGGTTGCTCGCTCAAAGGAGCTCGTTGCCGCCGGGCAGGGGATGAAGCCCGATTTCCACTCCCATACGGTGGACTATGAGATCCCATTCTACCAGCAGCAAGCACTGAAATGGCTTCTCAAGTTCATCCACCACATAATGACCAACGCTTTCTCGTTCGGGACAAACATTGATCGACTTTTGAGGAATCTGGTAGACAACTCTGCCTTGCTAGGAAGCCTCCGTGCCATTACCGAGGACATGCATGTCTTTGGTTCCTTGGTCTGGACCAATGCTGCTGGCTTGTTGAGCGATTTTATCAACAACGACCCCACTAGCTTCGCTGCCATCTCGGAATCGGGTATGATCCAGAGCTTCCTCGAGACCCTTACCGGCAAACCTGTCACCTTGCCGAAGCCTTCCGAAACACCTAAACCAGAGCCCGAGGGGGAGGACGGTGCCTCGCCGGCTTATGCTGACGATTCGGTTACCTTGGAAAGCGATGAGCGGCCGCACCCTCCGACCCAGGAGACGCTCGAGGCTCCCAGAGAACGCCTTGCCCCTGGTATTCTTGCCTCCAACGATGCCATTAGCATTATACCCTCTATCCTGAACTCTATCTCGTTGAATAACACTGGCATGAAGATGATCGTCTCGTCGAATGCCCTCGAGGTCTATCTAGAGATCTTCGAGAGCCCACATCATGTCCAGGCTCTGTCGGAATCGGATTTGGCCAACGTCGTTGGGGGCAGTTTTGACGAGCTCGCTCGTCACCACCCGGCTTTGCGACCAGCCATATCCAATGCCATCCTTGACATGGTGGCCCGGGTCCTCCATCTCGCGAAAAGCAAGGCTGCCAACGCAGGGTGGGGTGCGAAGGTCTCGGTTGCCGACTCCAGCGGCAAGGCTGTTACCGCAGATGACTCTCTGTTGACGAGAGCGGAATCGCCGGTTATTACAGCCAAGGGAAAGGGAAAGTCCACCGCAGAAGACTCGGATGTCGAAATGGTCGACGCTGATCCTGCGTCTGTACAACAACCCGAGTCTGACGCTGGGTCTAAGCCTAAAGCCACGGGCCCGTTCCAAGAGATCACACTCTACATTGGCGCCGTTTCGTCATTCCTCAACGCTATTTTCCACAACTCCAGCCTCAAATCGTCATTTGTTCGGGATGGCGGTACTGAGCTACTTCTGCAGTTGTCGGAAGCAGCTGGTCTTCCTGGCGATTTCGAGACGACTAGCGCGTCGCGCTCGCTCGCCCACGCGCTCGCGGCGGCGATAGAGGCGAATTCGATCCTTGGTCTCCCATCTTTGCTCAACCGGATCCACGCCGCAATTGATGATCTGGAACCGCTTCTGGGCAAGAAGGGGGCACAGCCCTTCTTTGCACCCTTCGTCGTTGCCAATCTCTCGGTGCAAAACGACAAGGGAGAATGGGATCAGGATTTGGTCCGCAAAGTGGCTGGTGGCACTCGAGTTGTGAAGGCTTTGGTAAAGTTGCAGATCCTGCTCAGGACCCTCTACCAAAGCTTCCCGTATTCCTCCCGACACGCAACGGTTTCGATGCCAGCAGTCAATGTCTTCGACTACTTGATCTCCCTCGTCAACCGCCTCGGTCCACTCCTGCGCGATGCTGCCACGGAAGACATGGCCCTCGCTGCCCTTGTCCCGCAGCACTGGCTTGGGAATCGATCGTTTGCGGATGACAGTGCGGAAACGGCCCCTCTACCTCCTACCTCCTCCGCTAACGAGGGCAACAAGCCTGAAGACACTGGTTCGGCCTCGGCGGACAAGTCAGCAGAGGTGTCGACGTCGCCTAAAGAGCCAACCAAGGAAGAACGTTCGACGACTCGGTTCCAAAACTATATCGTCATTAGCCGCCTTCTCAACTCTCTACCCCCTAGCACCCTTCCTTTTTTCCAGACCGTTGGGAAGGTCTTGCTCCCCAGGCGAGGGCTCGACAACCACCTCAGATCTCATCACCTCAGCATTGCACAGGCCTTGGCGGAAACAATTCTCGAGCAGTTGAATCTACCAGAGGAGCAGAAGCTGGCGGTTCGGGACTTGCGATACTGGGACGTTATGTTCGACGCACTGAACCAAATGCTGATTGATCCGACGCGCCAGCCAGATCGCACATCCATTCAGCTGGTCTTGCCTGTTTTGGTGGCGTTCAAAGACCGCGGTGGCATTGAGCTGATGAATATCATGCTCCAGAGATTTGCCGACGAGCTATGTAGCGAGGCGCCTGATGTCAAGGACGCTCAAAAGATACAGCTCGTCACGACTGGGATGAAAAAGATACTCGATATTTACCACGTCATTGTGAACGGCAAGAACGTCTACGAGTCTCTCGGACAAGCGAGCTTATTCCCGCGGTCTTCGGACAGGAGCAGAGATTTGGGGCATCAGCTCGTCGTGGAGCTGAGGTTAGCTATCCTCCCAGTTGCCCGAAAACTCTGGGAGTCCGACTTCGCAGAAAAGGCTCCAGCACCAACCCTGAGCAAGATCATTGATATCATCAAGACCATTGCGGCCGCCGACCAGGAGACGAATGCATGGCGCAAAACGGACAAGAACTCGCCGATTTCTCTCTTCAAAAACCGCGAGCCCGTCCGGTTCAACTGGGCTGCGTATGCTGTTCATGTCAGGGACCTGGTCCAGTCGGGCTACAATGAAGAGCTCGCTCGTGAAGCAGTTTATCGGGCGAACGGGAAATCAGAGTACGCGGCGGAGTATTGTCGCGGTCACTCTAAAGATTTGGCCGGAAAGCGTAACCCCATACCTGAGCAGGACGCCTACCAGAGCCCGCCATCGCCGCAATTGCAAGAGTCTTCCAAGGATACAACGGCCGCCCCCCCGCCCAACCCCCCGGCCGTGGATCCCATGTCCTTGGACTCGGTGAACGACTTCATTCAAAATGCGATTGGCGAAGCTGAGGAACTTTCCTCCGACGAGTCTCAAGATGATAGTCAAGATGACTCTAGTCAACACTCCGCGAGCCAAGAAGCCCCTGGCACTTCCTCCATGGCGACGCAAGACCCTGCTGCCCCATCGGGCTCGTCTGCGGAATCTTCGACACCGCCCCCCATCACGAAGGACGATCTCGACAAGATGAGAGCGGAGATGCAAAATGATTCGATAGGCCGCTGCCTGGACGTTATCAGGGCTCATCCAGACTTGGTTTTCGAGGTTTGTGACCTCATCCAGGCCACTGTTCTCAAGTCGGACAGCGAGGAGAAGCGGACTGAAGTTGGCGAGGTCCTTGCGAATGCGCTCATGTCGTTCGCCTCCGAATGATGAGGAGGAAAAGCGCGCAAATGGCCGTGGAATTGCAGCTTTCGCCCATCTACTGTCTCTCCTCCTCCAGAACCGGCCATTCTTCAAGGATACTCTGCCAACGCTGAAGCAGAATATTGGGGAGTACCTTGGGTTTCTGAAGGTTTCGCCTACAGCATCGCATGAGGAACTACCGTCATGGATTCCGTACATCCTTCTCATCTTCGAGATCCTCCTCTCAGACGATGAACAACCAGTCGAGGTCACATGGAGGATGCCGACCAAAGAGGACGATGCTGTCGAACCGCCGGTGTGGGTGGCCAAGGATCTCAGCATGTCAAGCGAGGACCGTTCCAACCTGCTGACAACGATCTTGGACATTCTCCCAAGAATCGGGAAAGAAGAGGCTCTTGCAGTTTCTGTCCTTCGGATACTTGTGATCCTCACCAGAGACCACTCGACGGCAAAGGTTATGGGTGAGAAGCGGAATCTGCAGCGGCTGTTCGTTATGGCGAAGCAGTCCTGCAGCGGAGGCTCGGCTCGTCTAAACCAAGCCCACATTACGGACAACATTCTGATCATTCTTCGTCATATCGTCGAGGATGAAGATATGGTCCGCTCGATGATGGAAACGGAGATCAAGCAATACCTATCTTCAGCTAGGAACCCTCGCGCTTATCACGACCTTCAGAGTTACTTGCGGCATCTTTCCCATGTGGCGCTCCGCGCACCCAAGCTCTTCGTCGATGTTACGACAGACCTCGTGAAGTTGAACAGCGGGGCAACGATGTTTGACCCCGCTGTCCGCACTCACAACCTGTCGCTCAAGGATAAGATCGCTGACCAAGAGACCGTCGCACAAGAGGGATCTGTCGGGTCCGCCGTGCAAGCGACCGAAGACCTAACCATCGACGACATCAAGCCATCAACCGAGTCTGCGGATAAGGATATGGCCGACGCACCAAAGACTCCGTTTGAGGTCAAGCGCCCTGTTCTCGAGAACCCCGATGGGGTAATCCATTTCTTGCTCTGTGAGCTTCTGAATTACCGGGAAGTTGACGACAAGGAGCCGGCAAGCCAACCTTTGAAAGACTCTCCGGCCGAAGGCGAATCCTCGAACGCAAGCGGGGAGGCTACGCCCTCCCCCGACCAGCAACCTTCTGAGCAAAAGGATAAAGACAAGAAAACTCCCAAGCCGACTTTTAAGGCGGAGGATCACCCGATCTTCATCTACCGTTGCTTCTTACTCAACTGCTTGGCCGAGCTCCTGCAAAGCTTCAATCGTGCAAAGGTCGAGTTCATCAACTTCAAGCGGAGCGTGCCAATCCAAACGAACACGCCCATTAAGCCTCGGTCGAGCGTCCTGAACTATCTTCTCAATGATCTCCTCTGCCTGGGGCCGGCCGGTATTCCGATAGACTCGACGATCATCAAGAAGAAGGCTGCCACATCGACTCACGCCCAGGCAGTGCTCGTAGCCTTGGTCTCCCGAACGCCCGAGAAGCCCGTCGACCGCAACCGCAATCAGTTTGAGTACGACGATGACTCGGACCTTTTGTTCGTCCGCCGCTTTGTTCTTGAAACGGTTCTTCGCGCGTACAAGGAAGCCACTACTCCAGGGGAGCCAATCGAAGTGCGCTATGGCAAGATGATGTGCGCCGCCGAACTGATGAGCTTGATGATTGGCGAGAAAGAAAAGGAGAATCAACCGAGAGATGCCCGCGCAACGGATCCTGCCGTCACCCGGTCCCAGATGCAGCTCAAGCGCCTCATGTACGAGAAGGGATACCTCGCCACCTTGACTGCATCCATTGCCGACATCGACCTCACATTCCCCAACGTCAAGCGCACTATCAAGTACATCCTGCGCGTGCTTCGGGCCCTGACAAAGACGGCCTACTTGCTCAGCCAGTCAGACGTTATTCCCATGGCCACGACCGATCAACCCGAGGACGACTTTGCATCAGCGTCATCTCTCTCAGATCTGGACGATGACCGTGAGGAAACTCCCGATCTCTACCGCAACTCCACCCTTGGTATTCTCGAGCCTGGTCGCGAGGAAGATTTCTCTGACGAGGACGAGGATGGTATGTCCTGGAACCCCGATGATGTCTATGCCTCGCATTTGCTAATTTTCACAGACGACGATGCCATGTACGATGAAGAGCATTATGACGATGAAATGGAGTATGGCGAGGATATGTCCCAGGACGATGAAGAAAATCCTAGCGACGAGGATGATGATGAGCTGCGCGGGATGGGTCCGATTGAAGGCATGCCTGGCGATCCTGGCGTCGTGGAAGTCATTATGGGTGAGAATGAAGACATGGACGACGACATGGATGAGGACATGGACGAAGACGACGAGGAAGAACCCAGCGATGAGGACGATGAAGATGAAGATGAGGACGAAGATGAGATGGGCTCCGAAGATATGCTGGAGATGGAAGACCGCATTGAAATTATGGACGAGGAGGGGAATCCTATGGACGATGAGGGGGCATCCGGTTGGGAGAGCGACACCGACGAGGATGAGGACGAGGTCGAACAAGACCTCGGGTTTGAAGGGGGCGCGGCACATGAAATCCATGATGCACTCATGCATCATAGCCATGGCCTCGATCCGCTCAGCCGCATTCCCGAGATTCTCCGGAACGTTGTGGACGGCGGCGACGATCTCGATGCCGAAGACATGCAGGATCTCGACGAACACTACCTTGACGATGGTGCTGAAGATGATGGTAGGTTTCCGCCCACGCCCCTTTTTATGTGTAATCGGCTAACTGGGTAAGACGAGGAAGAGGAAGATGAAGGTGACGAGGATGAGGTGTACTACGACCCAGGCCATCATCGTAAGTTCATTTTTAGTGTATATTCGTTCCCCAAGTATCGGTTCTGACGCGAGTTAGACGATGACCACCCACCTCCCAACATGCCCTCGGGCCTCGGCTGGGATATTTCCCAGATTGAGCCCCATCACCGACTTCGGCATGGGGGTGCGCGGAGTCCTTTCCCTACTGCTCCGTTCATGGGAGGGCACCACCGCGATCCCCTGGGACCCGGTACGTCTGACGAGGCCTTTCGCCGACAAGGTCGGCGGAGGTGGTTTAGTCTTCCAGAAGACTACAACCAGAATCCAGACTTTTTTCTAAACGCCGCTCGGCCGACGCTCGATCATTATGCTAATGGACCACCAGATTTCCGAAGCTACTTCCGCCATAGCACCCATCGGCCACCCCCAAACCCGACAGACGATGGTGTCAACCCGTTGTTGCTCTCTGGTAACCGAACCGGGCAGGATGCACCTCGGGGTGCTGGTCAGCATATGATACGGCTCGGGTTCCCGGGTTCTCTGGTTGGACATGGGATCGACGCACCGCTCGCTTTTATTAATGACTTGATGCAGAGTATCCCATTCCCCGCCCGTGGTGGTCCTGCTTTCAGCCTCCAACTGAGATCCGAAGGCCCGGCCGGAGAAGTTCGGCAGCTAAACATTCCCGTTAACATGGCACAGCCAGGACGGGAGCCCCGGTGGGAAGCACGCCGCGAGGTGTACCAGGAGCCTCACCATGCTGTCACATTCTCCCCCGAGTCTACTGCCGAGCGGTGGCAGGAGGAAGCCAAGATGATTTTCGGTTTCAACCACAATGAAAAGTCAAAGCTCCTGTCTACCGCAATCCTTGGGATGCTTTACCCGGCCGTGATCCAGCGTGAGAAGGAAGCGAAGGCTCGGCAGGAGGAGAAGCGCAAGCAGGAAGAAGAACGCAAGAAGCGCGAGGAAGAGGAGCGCAAGGGACGAGAGGCTAAGGAAGCCGAAGAGAAGGCCGCAAGGGAGAAGAAGGAGGCCGAAGAGCGCGAGCGTGAGGAACGGGAGCGAGCTGAGGCCGAGGCTGCGCTCGCAGCGGAAGAAGCAAATGCGGTTGCGGAGGCGGCCGTCGAAGAGCCCCAGGCCATGGAAGGAGTTGAGCCCCACACAGAGGTTCAGGAGGCTGGGCCGCAACCGACTCCGGCGGCGGAACGTGTTGTTACCACTATCCGCGGCGAAACCGTGGATGTCACGGAGCTCGGCATCGACCCCGAATATCTTGCAGCGCTACCGGAAGAATTCAGGGAAGAAGTCATTGCCCAGACAGTCAGCTCTCGGCGCTCTCAAGCTCGCGAACAAGCTGTCACCGAAGGGGAGAATACCGAAGTCTTCCAAGAGTTCCTCGAGGCACTTCCGGCAGAACTTCGTATGGAGATTGTTCAGCAGGAACGTCAGGAACGCCGCCGCCGTGACCGTGAGGATCAGCGGAGAGAGGCTACAGCTATTGGCCAAGACCTCGGTCCCGTCGAGATGGATACGGCTAGCATCCTGTTGACCTTCCCGCCCGCTCTTCGGGAGCAGGTTCTGCTGGAGCAAGGCGAAGACATCATGGACCAACTTCCGCCTGAGCTCGCCGCCGAGGCTCGCGCTATTGCTCAGCGGCACAATATTCATCGTGTCCCGCCCGCGGCCCGTCCCCGGGAAGCTGCGCGTCGCCCCGATACAGTAGTTGAACCAAAGCCACAGCGGCGCACCATCGTGCAAATGCTCGACAAAGCTGGCGTTGCTACACTTCTCCGGCTCATGTTCATCACACAGCAGAGTTCTATCCGAAACTATCTCTTCGATGTCTTTGCGCATGTCTGCGAGAATCGTCAGAACCGCCTAGAGGTCATCTCTACTCTCCTTCAGATCCTTCAGGACGGGAGCACCGATATGGATGCAGTCGAACGCAGCTTCGGCCAGCTGTCGTTGAAGGCGAAGCAACCAAAGGACAAGGACCCCAAGACCCCCCAGAGCCTCAAGCGGACGTTCACCACCACAGGCGCAACCAACCAAATGTCTGGAAATTCAGAGGTCTCACCCCTGTTGATCGTCCAGCAATGCCTTGACCTTCTGCAAGAGCTCGCGACCAAAAACCCCCATGTCCCATCTCTGTTCCTGACGGAGCACGAAACTGTCGCTTCGACGCTCAAGCGGAGCATCACCCGCAAGGGCAAGGGCAAAGACGTCAGTGCCAAGGCTCAGAAGTACGCTATCAACTCACTTCTGGCCCTCCTCGATCGGGACCTCATCATGGAGAGCTCATCGGTCATGCAACTTCTGGCGGATCTGCTCAACAAGGTCACGTATCCGCTGCAGGCTCTCGAACGTCGGCGCAAGGAGGCCGAAGAGGAATCCAAGAAGAAGGCCGAGAAGAAGGCGGAGGAGAAGACCGAGGAGAGTGCCGAGACCGTTCAACCTTCCGAAGAGCAAGCTTCTGCGGCCCAGGGTGCAGAGCCATCTGCCGTGGCCTCGACCGAAGAACAAACAACAGCCGATAGCAAGGAGCAGCCCGAGGCGGAAAGCTCAACGGCCAAGGAACCGAAGGTTGAGGAGAAAAAGGTCCGGCAACTCACCCCGCCCACGATCCCCGACCACAACCTGAAGATGGTAATCAATGTCTTTGTTGCGCGGGAATGCAGCTCCAAGACCTTCCAAAACACGATTTCGACCATCAAGAACCTCTCCAACATCCCGGGCGCTAAGAAGGTGTTCGGTGGAGAGCTCGTCTCGCAGGCTCGGATCCTGAGCGAGAACATTGTGTCCGACCTTGAGGATCTGCTCCCTCATATTCTGCGGGCCGAGTCGGGAACCGAGATTCAAGGAATTGCCCTCGCCAAGTTCTCGCCTGGCGCATCGGAGCAGAACAAGTTGCTGCGTGTCTTGACTGCTCTGGATCACCTGTTTGATACCAAGAGCAAGAAATTGGGCAACGGTGCAGAGGGCGGCGAGACTACGGACGAGACTAAGGAAGATCTTCTCGGCTCGCTCTACTGGAACCCAACCTTCGGGACCATGTGGGAGAAGTTGAGTGGCTGCCTTGGGGCAATTCGGCAGCGGGAGAGCATGCTCAACGTGGCAACGATCCTGTTGCCGCTGATTGAGTCTCTGATGGTGGTCTGCAAGAACACGACGCTGAACGAGGCGTCTGCGTCACAGGGTGCGGCCGGGAAGGAGATGTTGCTGACTAGCCCGCCGCCGGACAACCGCATTGCAAGCTTGTTCTTCACATTCACGGAAGACCATCGGCGTATCCTCAATGAGCTTGTGCGGCAGAACCCCAAGCTCATGTCCGGAACATTCTCTCTTCTTGTTAAGAACCCAAAGGTCCTCGAGTTCGACAACAAGCGAAACTACTTCAACCGAAGCGTCCATGCGAAGACCGGCCAGCAGCAGCGGCCGCAGTACCAGCCATTGCAATTGTCGGTGCGCCGAGACCAAGTCTTCCACGACTCGTTCAAGTCGCTCTACTTCAAGTCGGGCCCGGAGATGAAGTTTGGCAAGCTCAACATCCGCTTCCATGGCGAGGAGGGCGTCGATGCCGGTGGCGTCACTCGCGAGTGGTTCCAGGTGCTCGCCCGCCAAATGTTCGACCCCAACTACGCGCTCTTCATCCCCGTGTCCTCGGATCGCACCACGTTCCACCCGAACAAGCTGAGTGGCATCAACGATGAGCATTTGATGTTCTTCAAGTTCATCGGGCGAATCATTGGCAAGGCCCTGTACGAGGGCCGGCTCCTTGATTGCTACTTCAGCCGTGCGGTCTACAAGCGGATCCTTGGCAAGCCGGTGTCGGTCAAGGACATGGAGTCGTTCGATCCAGACTACTACAAGTCTCTTGTTTGGATGCTCGAGAACGACATTACCGACATCATCGTTGAAACCTTTTCGGTGGAGGATGATGAGTTCGGCGTGACCAAGGTCGTGGATCTCATCGAAAATGGCCGCAACATCCCGGTCACAGAAGACAACAAGCACGAGTATGTGCGATTGATCGTGGAGCACAAACTGCTCACATCGGTCAAGGAGCAGATGGAGAACTTCCTTAAGGGTAAGTTTACAGCCCACAAGTTGATGTTGGTTGATACAGTATCGCTAATACGTGTGTGTTTAGGGTTCCACGATATCATCCCCGAGGATCTCATCGCCATCTTCACAGAGCAGGAGCTTGAGCTGCTCATTTCCGGCTTGCCAGACATCGACGTCGACGACTGGAAGAGCAACACTGAGTACCACAACTACACCGCGGCCTCTCAGCAAATTCAGTGGTTCTGGCGGGCTATCCGGTCGTTTGACAAGGAAGAGAGGGCAAAGCTCCTGCAGTTCGTGACGGGCACGTCCAAGGTGCCTTTGAACGGCTTCAAGGAGCTGGAAGGTATGAACGGTGTCAACCGTTTCAACATCCACCGTGACTACGGTAACAAAGAGCGCCTACCCAGCTCTCACACATGCTTCAACCGTAAGTTTCACCCCCCAATTTCCTCGGGCGGCCATTTGCTAACCTTGCCATAGAACTCGATCTCCCCGAGTACGAAAGCTACGACATTCTGCGCGGCCAGGTGCTCAAGGCCATTACCGCTGGCAATGATTACTTCGGCTTTGCCTAAAAGAGCATGATTGCGGAAGGCAGGATGGAGGTGATGGCAGGGACGGTGGGCATAAATTGCCCGACCTGCCAGGATCGCGGCATTGGTGTTTGATGTTTTAGCTTTAATGCATTTGCAGGTGGACAGGCGGAAGGAGTGGCGGTAAACTGCAATTGCGTTTGCGAATTGTAGAGTTGGTCATTGTATGTTTTTTCTAGCTCTTTCATTGCCGGCTGAATCTCAGCGTGGCCTAGTGGTTGGGGGGGAGCGGAGTGCAGGCCGTCTTCCTCCGTGCTGCTGCTTGGTCGAGCGGAGAAAGCCTAGTAGATAGATGATCCTGGACGCCTCTTGTTAGAGGCGGAGCGCAGATATGGCAATGGATTAGTTCTATTACTCGTGGGAAATCGTGGTGAAGCTGAATCTGCCTTGTTCCTCGGTGTTGTTCCTTGATTCAAGCTCAGCAAAGCGAAAGAGCAAGGCAAACACAGTTCATTCGTCTACCTCCAGATAACAATGGGAATGGGAATAGTAAGATAGCCGGCTCTTAGGCACAATAAAACATTGTTTGGGTTCAGGAGATGCAACCGACCTCCCACATGTCTACCTTAAGTACCTTTGTGCAACTGAACCTTTAACTTAGGTAGCGAGCCTAGTCTTCGGCGTGTGGATACAGCTGGGCTCTCCTGCGGTTGAATATCTTGGCGGGAAGGCTTCGGGGTGCCCACGCACATCCACTTGGTCTGTGCGCTGATCCTGGTCCGTAGGGCTCGGCACCGGCAGCGGTCCAACTTGCTGCCGAAAAGTTTCGCCCACATTTTCAAAATTCATCACGAACCTCGCATCCCGCCCGCCTTTCCACAACCGCTCGACCAACGACCAACGAGGTAAGTCATTGTCCAGGTTCGCATTGCCCTCCGTCAACGCACCCAAGCCTACACTCGATATCGCGAATTTGCAAGAGTCGGTCCCGCACCGAATTTTGCAGAAACACGAAAACTCCCGACCCGATCACGCGCCCAACATTTATCACCACCAACTCGCTCGCTAACTCGACCCTCCTTCAACAGACACAGTCAAGATGGGTATCTCTCGGGACTCTCGGCACAAGCGCGCCGCTACCGGTGCCAAGCGAGCGCAAGTTTCCCTTCCTAGCTTCTGTATCCTCGTTTTTTCGATCGGTGGTTGCTAACTTGATTTTGCTGCAGTTACTACCGTATGTCATGACCTCCCCCTCTCGCTGCTCGAATACTATACACAAGCCCCTCGACACAAGGGGCACTCGAAGGTCCGCTTGGGAGGTTCCTGTGGGAGTTTGCTCGCCCTTTAATGGGCCGGGCATGCTGCCATAGGAACCCACCCCATTGCGTTCTGAGCCTGTTCAACGCATATAGAAATGAACGAAATTTCTGACAACTGCGTACAGGGAAGAAGAGAGCCTTCGAGGCGGGCCGTCAGCCTGCGAACACCCGTATCGGTGCCAAGCGCATCCACACCGTCCGCACCCGCGGCGGTAACCACAAGTACCGTGCGCTCCGTCTCGACTCGGGCAACTTCGCCTGGGCCTCGGAGGGATGCACCCGCAAGACTCGTGTTATCGAGGTGGCCTGTACGTTATGCCAATATTGTTCCTCAGGGAAGCTGTACTAAATGTTGATATCCAGACCACCCCTCTAACAACGAGCTTGTCCGCACGAACACCCTGACCAAGTCCGCCATCGTCCAGATCGACGCTGCGCCCTTCCGCCAGTGGTACGAGGCCCACTACGGCCAGCCGCTTGGTCGCCGTCGCCAGCAGAAGCAGGGCCAGGCCGTCGAGGAGGTCAAGAAGAGCAAGTCTGTCGAGGCTAAGCAGGCTGCCCGCTTCGCCGCCTCCGGCAAGGTCGACTCCGCCATCGAGAAGCAGTTCGAGGCCGGTCGTCTCTACGCCGTCGTCTCCAGCCGCCCCGGCCAGTCTGGCCGCTGCGATGGCTACGTCCTGGAGGGCGAGGAGCTCGCCTTCTACCAGCGCAAGCTCCACAAGTAAGCGTTGGGCAAGGGAGGAATGAGTACGACGGGGAATGGGAGGAACAAGTCTGGGCACGGGGGCGAGCAACGGCGTTTCGCCAGGTGTTGATGGGTCATTTCTGGGATGAAAAAGGCGGTCATAGCAACGTCATTTCCAGTTGCGTTGTCACCGGTAACAGGGCATGGCAGGGATATAGGGCAATGGAAAATAAATACCCCCACCATGAGCAGCCCCCCGCAGTCAATCGATCCAGGCTTGATACTACGAACTTTGATCCCCTTCCTGTTCGGTGACATGCCTTTCTCAGCCCCTAATACTTCAAAACTGAGCGACTTTTTCGATAACCCTGTCTGGGAAATCACCAGCAATAAACCGATGTTGGGACGGGCTTGTGTGGTTGCATCCCGCATCCAGCAGCAGTATCAATTGTAGTAGCAGTAGCAGTATGAACCATGATAAATGCTTTCCTATCCATCCCGTCCAACCACCCCATCCATGCGATCCAGGTTTTGCATCTCTACTCCGTCTCCCATGCTCCATGCACATCTATCGTATACAAACCGGCTTCTTTCGCCAACGCCTGTACCGCTCGCTTTCCGGGCCTTCTTTGCCAGCCCACTGCCAGATCCCCCTCTTCCTTGACCACTCTAAAATTGGTAACGCGTTCCGGCGTGGGGACTCGCGCTAGGCATGGCTGGCCCGTTCTGTGACTTTTTTTTTTTTTTTTTGTTGCGTGTAAGATCCTGTCCGGGCCATGACCGACGCTGATTTTTCTTGACTCTGCCCCGCGAGCTATTTAGGATTGGAACTGCCTCTTGAGATCGGTCCACTTCCTCGTCAGCGCCTCGTGTTGCGAGTTGGTCTGTTTCAGATCGGTTAGTCTTTCACTTGTACGAAAGGGTATGGGGGGTGGTAAGAAGGATGGTAGGAAGCAACGCACCTCGGCATACTGCATCTTGGTCTGGACCAGCTCCTCCTCGAGCTCCGACATCTCCTTCTCGAGCTTCTGGTTCTCCTCGTGGACGTTGGCGTTGCGCTTCATGAGGTCGTCGCGCTCCAGCTGCCAGGCGGACTCGAGCTCGGCGGGCTGCTTCTCGATGACGATGCGCAGCTCCTTGACCTGGATCTTGAGGCCCTCGTTCTCGTCGCGCAGCTCGTTGTTGTCGACCTTGGTGTGCACCAGCTCGGTGGCCAGCGACGCCTGCTCGGCGTCCACGTCCTGCAGGCGCGCCTCGAGCTTGCGCATGCGGATCGCGTAGCTGGCGTTGCTCGCGCGCAGGGCCTCGAGCTCGGCCTCGCGCTCCCGCTCCGCCCGCGTCTTCTCCTCCCACTCGACCTGGTACGACTTGAGCATGTCGGGCGTGATCTTGACCTCGCAGGCGTCGCGCACGAGCTGGTCGGCGCGGTAAACCTCCTTGTCCATGCTGCTGGAGGAGCTGCCGAAGAAGCCGTTCTCGAGGATGGAGGTGGAAGAGGGCGAGGCGTCGATGTAGACGTCGAAGACGCGGTCTTTGAGGAAGGTGGTGAGCTGAGCCATGTCGGAGATGGCAAGGAGCGCGGCCGAGTTCTTTTGCATGAGGACGGTGCCGAACTTGAGGATGGCGGACAGGCCTTCGGAAAGAATCAGGTCGTAGATGCGCAGGACTAGTTGTAGAGGAAATCGGTATGCGAAGAGGGTTAAGAACCACTGCGTAGCGTAGAGATGGGGAGAAATGCCACGTCGCTTGAGGTGGCAGTAAAGTGCCGGTTCGAAATCCTCGAGGAGGCGCTCGAACTGGTAGAGGTGAAGGTGGAGGCCGGGCATGTCCTGGACGAAAAGATCCCGCAGATGGTACTGATTCATTAACCGTACTAACAAGCAGAATGCTTCCTCTTCCGGCATCTGTGGGACATCAGTGACTGTTTCCTCGAGACATGGCGGAACGGTAGAACTCACGTTGAAAAGAATGGGCATGACGAGGAAGTTCATGCCCTGAGCATAACCGACGGCATCGTCAAACAGCGCGTATGCCTTGCAAACGCCGAACAGGCCCTCCTGAAGCCCTTGAGCCGCGGCAAACTTGGAATAGCTCGTCCTTGCTCCGAGATCTCTCCTAATGGTCTTCTCAAGCTTTTGAATGGCGGCTACGTCCTCCTTGTCCTTCTTCTGCCGCTCGGCGGCAGAAATAGACTGAGCCTTCTTGACGGAGTCCGAGTCGGTCGGAGATGGTGCACCGTTCGAACCAGAGTTCACCGAGTGGACCGACGACGCTGAGGAAGTCGACCCCTTAGCGCTGGCGCTGATGGTGGCGCTTATTGTCGTCCCGCTGCTCTGCCTATCCTTGTCCTTCTTCTCCTTGTCGGTGCCCCTAACGACAAGGTCCCGATAGACGGCTTCCAACTCCTCGTTCTTGCTCTGGGCCAGAACCTGCCAGATGACGCCGCGGATAGCGCTTGGGATTCCGGTGGCGATCGCCCTATTCAGTTCCTCCGCACTGGTCCGGGCCACGGCAGCGGGACCTTCGTTAACCACGTTTTGCCATAGATCCCAGTCCACGTCGACATCTACTAGGGATGATGGCCCGGCCGTGGCACCGGAAGCAGTTCCGGGGGCGAGGTTCTTGTTCGGGCTCTGGGGCAATGGTGATGGAGGCGGTTGCCCCGCGGCGCCGTTCTCCGCAGCATCGCTAGATACTGTCAAGGTCTTCTCCTCTTCAATCTGGGCAACGACCTCTTCCCTCATGCGAAGCGCCTTGAAGCGATCCTTTAGACTGTTGCGCGGGCCATCTTCCCCATCTTTCTCTTCCTCCAGTTTGCTCAGCATCATCTCCGGATTGCTAGTCATGGTGGCGACTGAGCTGGCGGTGTTCCTTCTGGTAGACGGGATAGGCTGCACAGCCGGGGGGTCTTTAGAGGAGCTTCGCGAAAGCCACGAAAACGGACTGTTGAATTTCCTACCCGTGGGCGCTGGTGCCGGGGCAGGGGCCGCGGCAGGGGCGGGTGGAGGCGGAGCTGCTACCGCTGCTGCTGCCGCCGGGGGGCTTTTTGACTGGGGATCGGTAGCTGGCGGCGACCATGGCATTGGCGGTAGGGCGTTGGTTAGGCTGCTGAAGGACATGGTTTTGGGCGCCTTCTCTGGCGGCGGACTACTCTCTAGGCGGGGGTTAGTTCCCTACTTCGACGTGTGGGTGTCAGGGTCGGCAACATACCTTGTTGAGTTGGCGCCGTCGTCGCTGTCGCCGCGTCGTCGTCGAGGTTTACATTATCCAGAGAGCCGGCAGATTCTTGCGAAAGAGGGCGCGGGATCTTCTTCTCTGTCGGTAGCTCTTGTGAGTCGGGCCTCCCGTTCGTTGCAGCGGTCTGTGACGCCTCGTCCTCGTAGTCGGAATCGATCGGGTCCTCGACGGATGGGGGGTTGACGGGCGGTTGGCGTTTGGTCAAGGATCGGAGCGATCCAGTCTCGACAGCATCCTCAAATGTTTCCTGCAGAGTGACGTTGCACGGTCAGCATCGTGTGGGCAGCCGAAAGTGGCGTTGTCATCGACACCGCATATCCCCCAAGTGCGTGCGTCCGTGGGCAGAACAGAGTGCATACCGTGTCCTTCTCAGAGCCATCCCTCGAGGCTGGTCTCTGTTGTTCCTCTGTTTCCTCATCTGAGGATTCCTCTTCTGTGCCCTGGGTGTTCTGTGTTTCCTCCAGCTTCCCCGGCTCGGCTGTCTCCTGGGCCTCGGGCATCTCCTTCTTGACTGTTTCTTCGGTGGCAGACATGATTACGTGTGCGTTAGAGGCCTCTCACACGCCCTCGCTGTCGCCGTTTCGCAGCACCAAATCGATGACCGGCAGGGTAGGTGTTAGTTGTTTGGAATGCTCAAGCGCCCGGTCGTGTGCTCGTGGAATTTAAGCGATGGGCGGTGGGGGACGGTGCTCGAAGCGCAACGAATTGCTCGGACGTTGGTCGATCGGCCCAGGGATCCAGTGTTGGGTCGTGCTACCTAAGGTAGTTATGGTTGACACAGTAGGAAAACGTCAGGTTGGCGTCCTCCAAATCGTGGAATATCGGTGTGGGCGTGCGTTCTTGCAACACTGCTGCGTGTCGTTTCGTTTCGTTCCCTTTTCTACTCGAGGTTCCGCTAATAATCCAGGGGGACAGCAGAGGGAAGTGGACAAAAGTGGGCGAGTCAGCCCCCTCGATGGCCCAGAAACAGGGGGTCCCTTTGTGTGGAAACATGCAATTACAAGAACGGTACGTTGGGCTCGAGTCACCATGGCACAATCATCCTCCGGTCTCGACGAATTACGCTCTGCACAAAGAACTACAAGTTCATGCCAACAAGGCTAATCAAAATCGAGCGTTAAGTTCTGCTTTTACCAGTTGTTGGATGAGCAGCGAATGGCTGCAATAACACACATGAGTACCCTCGACGTCCCCTTACCGCAACTTGTAAAAGACGTTTTACCCACGCTAGCCTGGTGCCATGGCGGAGGAACCCGTCTTTTATCGTTTTCTTCTCTTTACCGCCTGTGCCACTGTCGTGTTGGTCTAAATCCAGGTGTCGTCATCGCAGTCCAGGCAACGATTTGCAGCTACCTCCCTCCTACTGCGCACAGTTGGAAACTGGCAGCGCCGTTCAAGTGTCAGCGCCTCGCCTTCAACGGGCGCAGCCGCAACAGAGGCAGCGACAGGTGGGCATCTGAAACGAACGGCGCAGGGGTCGCTGCTGGCCAAGACCCCGGGGCCGCTTTCTCCTGCGAGCCGCTCCTGTTGAGCTCGGCTGGCCAATTACAGCGGGCGCCGAACCAGCTGCAGGGCAAGGCGTACCGCCGGTGTCGCTGCACATCTGCTGCAGATCCTCAACGCCACGCACTTGTCATCCGATGTCTTCACCTTTCAGTGGTTCCTGCATCTTGTGTGTTTGCCAGATCAGGCCAGGCCCGGGCCGACCCTGCAACTCCATATTCCTCAGATTCGAGAATTAAAACCTGCCGGCCTGGCCAGACCGAGAGTTCTGGGACAGCTAACTATCGAAAACAGGCGAGATTGACAATCACCTGCCGTCTGCCCGGGTCAGAGTCTCAGCTTTGCAGCGCTTTGTGCCGCCATGAAACTTGAATATGCTTTGGATAAGTGTGCTTTGTCCAATTATGAGTCTGCATGCAAAAAGGTGATTATGGTTGTGGAAAATGGCCTTCATGGCTTGCGTTGACTAACAACAACAATGATGTCCTTAGCAAACAATTTACTTGTACATACATACATACCTACATAATAATAGCACAAACGAGCGGCAGGGAGGGGTTACCGAAACGTCGGGTCCTGTTCCAATTTCGCTACCAGCAACATCTTGCAAGGATGTCAGTATGGTCGAGGTTTGTGCCTTTGTCGCCCCAAAAGTTAGCTCTACCTATTGATGATATCGAGAATGCAGAGAAATGATGAAAAAAAGGAGAGAAAACTAAAATAAATCCCAGGGTTCCTCCTCCTGGATCCTCCCGTTGGTGTTGGACCTCGAGAAAGGAGATGCTGCTGCACCTCGACCAGCGGCTTTCAGGGGTTGTCGTTGTTGTTGTTGTCTCTCCTTTATTAAGCGCCTGGTGGTGCCCGACCCGTCCGATTCAAGCCAACCAAGATGCCCGACTTCCAAGCAAGCACCAACCGACCAACCGGTCTCCATCTTCTGGCCAACCGGCATTCCCAAGCTCATCAAGCAACTCCACCTCTTAAACCTCCCCATCACCACCACCATCACGCCCCTCCCCCCTAACCTCCCTCTCGCCCTCTCCCTCCCGCCAAACCTCACCCCCCCTCTCCCCCCCATCCCCCCCTCCTAAACCACCCAACAACCCCAAACCCCTCACCACCCCCACCCCCCCAACCCACCACCAACCCGTGCACCCCCAACCCCAATCCCAACCCCAATCCCAATCCCCCTCCTCCTCGTCCCCCTCAAACCGCCACCCCCACACCTCCCACAGACGCCGTTCGGCATGCAGGTCCCACCGCCGCTCCCCGGCCACCGCCCGCACCTCCCACGGCACCGTGCCGCCGTTGTCGCGCGCCAGCGCCTCTGCCTCGGAGGGGGTGAGGTTTAGGCGTGGGTCGATGATGTTGCGCAGGCGGGGGAGGGGGAGGTAGCGGCGGAGGTTTGGGGGGGGTAAGGGTTGGGGGATGGGGGTGGGGGGTATTGTGAAGGGGGTGGTGAAGGGGATAGTGGTGGTGGTGAAAGGGGGTAGTGGGATGGTGGGGAGGTAGGTTGCGTTTGGGTTGGGGTTGGGGTTGGTGTCAGAGGGGTGGGAGGGTTTGGAGGAGGTGGATTGTGGGGTGGTCGTGGCCGTGGTGGTGATGATGGTGGTGGTCGTCGTCGTGTCCCAGCGCTTGATGCGGCCCTCGCCTTCGCTGGTTAGCTCGGCAACGGTGGGCCAGTCGCAGTCGCATGCTGGCGGACCCGGGCCCGGCCTCGGGGTGAAGGGGTTGGCCGCGTGGGCGAAGAAAGGGGAGAGGCCGTCGCGGTGGCTGAGCGGTCTGGTTGCGAGTTGCGGCGCGGCAGGCGGCGGCGGGGGTGTCGTGGAGTTGTCGAAGCTTGGTGTGTGCTGGTTCAACTTACACGGGTCGTAGTCGCTGGGTGTAAAAGTGCTCGCTGCGGAGGGCGTGAAAGGTCGGGCATAGGGGGATAGCGCGTTGGGTTGGCTTTTATCTTCGGCTGCCTGCCGGCGATGGACCTTGTCATCCTCGGTGTCGGGCCCATTGCCCCTTTCCTCCTCCTCCATGGCGTGCGTGTCCCCGCTGTGGAGGCGGATTTGGTTATCCTTCGCGTGTTCCTCTTCCTTGCCCCTGCCATCGCCTTCCATCTTACCAGTGAGCGTCCAATCAAACCCCAAATTGTCGAGCTCGTCGTCACTTCGTGTAAGGCCAGCACCGTCATTGAAGTCGGTACGCTCGCTCCCAGCTTCCTTGTCCCCGTTGCTTTCGAACACGAAATCCCCCTCGTCCCTGTTCGTACCCCCATTCCCAACTTCTGTTATCGTAGCCGGATCATTCGTCGGGGCATCCGAAGTGAAGAAGTCAACGGCCACAGTGCGACTGCGCGATGCCTCATATGCAGCCTCCTCCCTTACCTCCCCCTTTTCCATACCATACCGAGGTCTGTACTCACTCGGAGTGAAAGAGGAGTCGGAGTCGTAATCATCATCCCCAAGCCAGCTCTGCTTGTGGTACGTGCCATCGGTCCTTCCTTGCGTCTCTCCGTGCACGTTGCCGTGGCGGATGGCAGCATGTGCGGCAACCTCTCGCAACATGGTAACCGAACGAGTGCGTTGATGCCCCGTCTCGTGATGAGGATGCAGTACAGGGACCGTGAGGCGGTCAACGTTGCCGTTGACTTGCGGGTCGGGCCAAATCTGATTGGTGTAGGGAAAGGGTGCCTGGAGCGGGATGGGTTCGTAGGGAGTGAGGTGCCTTTCCTTAAGGCTGACCCCGTCAAGCGTGGCCGGGAATGCAAAACGGAGGGTCTGAGCCCAGTGATCAGTTGCGTTGACAGTGCTGCGAGGCGAAGACGGGGATTAGTAAAGGGTAGTAACACCGGGAGAGGTTGACTTACGTTGTAACAAATCCACCCCAGTGGCTCTCCATGTTAGTGCTTCTATAATGGTGCGTTAGTGAAGGCCGTTCAGCGGAGGGAAGGATAAAGAATTTGAACCTACGAGGCCGCTCCCCCCTGGACAGCACTCCCCATATCGGCACCCATCTGGGAATGTTTGGCCCTAGACGGAGCAGCAGCTCTACCCTCCTTCGGGCTGCCGCCGTAGTAAACGGGGATCACTCTTTCCTCGGCCTCCCCAGAGCGTCCAACCACGACCACTCTCTTCCACTGGGCTGTCTCTCGCGCCCGCAACGCCATCTCTTTCTCCGCCACCTTGGCGCGCAGTCGGGCAGCCCTAGCCTCGAGTATCCCAGCCTTGAGGCCTGCATACTCGGCCGCCGTCCGGGGGAAGAAGGGCGAGCGATCGAGGTCGACCTTCTCGGCACTAGTCCGGGCACGCTTGTAGGCGACGCGCAGCCGTTCCTCGTTGCTCAGCCAGACGTGCTGCGACCCCTGCGACATGCCCGACACACCCTGTTCGGAGTCCTGGCCACCGCTCTCCGCATCCACACCCTCGTCCTCGTCCTCGTGCCCTACCTCTTCCCAGTATCCTTCTTCTTCGTGGGAAATGTTGGTGTTGGTGTCCCAGGCTTCGGAAGAAGTCTCCTGGTTTACCATTGTGGCAAATGTCGATGATGGGTAAGCCTATGGGATGAGGTTAACCTCTTGGACTCTGAAGTAAAACGGCAGAAAATAATAAATGTAAGTAATACAAGGGTTGGTGATGGGGCGAGAAGTGTATAGGTAGCCAGACGAAGCTCTAGGCAAGCACCATCTGAAGCAAGACATGGGATGGCCAGGAGTACCAGATATATGGCGGTTATGACTCGCAATGACTGTATGAACTGTACTCAGACAAAGGGATCCTACATTTGGAACGAAGTTGGCTGCTGGGTTGAAGTCCTGGAAACCCTTCCAAAGGTTGGCATGGCAGTGAGAAGCAGTGAGTGGTTCTAGTGCGTTCAAGTTGTTAGCCCAAGCCCACCCAGTCATCTCCCAAGGAAAGGGCTGTGACAAGTCGCTAACAACGGTCTTTGGAAACCAGCTGTTCACACTGGCATTAGACTCAGCAAGAGACTCGAACTGTTAACGGTTTGTTGTCTGTTGCCAAGTGACAGGTAGCACCGCTTGTTGATGAGAAACCAGCGACTCTTTGACTCAACCAAATAATAGGCATTGAGCGGCTAAGTCCAAGGTCACAACCCAAGACAAACAACTTACTTTGCTCCAATGCAGGAGTCTCAGCCTCCAAGGGCCGTGAGCCCGGCTCCGCCTTTGGTCCCAGCTCTGGTGGAAAGTAAACCGCCAGTGACAGCGGCGGAAACGACATCCTGGCGGTTGCGTAACCGGGGCGGCAAAAAGCAAACTTGAGTCTTGCGAAGGCAGCCAAACATCCACCACGGCCCGCAGCGTTGTTGAATATAAGAAAGGATATAGGATGAAAGAAAAAGAGAAGGAAAAACGTCCCACGTGGCAAGAACCAGCCCTTGGCTACCTTTAACCCTTTGCCGTCGACCTCTTTCCCGTTGTGGTGTAGTTGTGACCGTTCCTATGGAGGGAAGTCGGTTGGGGGAGAAGGGGTTTGTTGGATCGGAACTTCGGGTGGTGGTAGGGAAAGAAAAGGAGTTAAAGCCGGCAAGTCTGTGTTGGTTAAAGAGGTGAGATGAAGTGAGTGAATGGAACTAACGAGGTTTCTGAGTGTTAAAACGGAGATGCCACAGCAAGACCAGGTTATCTCGAGCTCGTAACAGTGAGACTTGTATAAAGTGTATCGGGAAGGAATAGAAAAGGCTAAGTTTTACCCATCGTGAAGAGCCTTTTAACAAAGAGAGGCAGAGCCAGATGATGTTTCGCATGGTTGTGCAGGAAATCGTCAGGCTACCTAGTTAAGCATTACCAAGCCCGCCGCTGTATCTCGATGAAGCACTTAAGGAAAGCTGACCATGTTTCCTTGTGGAAAGAGGGGATTCTAAGAAAAGATAAATCGGGTTTCGATGTTTCGAACTGATCACTCTCGACCTCAACACGTAGGTTAGTTCGAAAGAGGGTGATACTTGTGCTTTGCACCAATGTAAATAGGTGCTTTCTCCTAAATATTATCCCTTAAATGCTGCTTTCAGTTGCTTCCTTATAGTAAGTGCATCCTCTCTAACTGTTTAAACATCGGGAAACATACCTTTTAGCAACAGCTCGACCACCTGCAGCGAGGCAGGGAAATGATTCCCTGTCTACTTAGTTCCCGACACTGTGTTCCTTCAAATTGCTGAGATTTCTAAAACATGAGTAGGTGAGATTGAGTACCTACCTTTACTCTTCTCCCCTCGTTCCTGGACACGAGACGAGAAACCATAATCTGACGTAGTATCTTTTTCTTCGAGTTGTCTAGGAACAACGACCGGTTTGAGTTTGTTTGTTGGGTAGGTATTTAGGAAGAAACGACCTAAGCTGTTCAAAAATAAATCTGGGGACCTCCCTAGGTATTGGTGTTTCTTTTTTTGTCATTTCTTTTCATAGAAGGTGTCACTAGAGGTGGTTGCCTGTGATGGCACTGTGGCTCAATCGGGGTTAGCGCGCATAGCGCCTCGCCCTACTTCCCCACGAAACGATCGCTAGCGATCCCACCACCTCTCTTTTTCTCTTTGTCTCAGTTTCGATATTATAGTTGTATTGACTGGTGGCCTGACCCCATGGAATATCTGCTTCTCGTCACAAACTGAGACCAATCTCTCTTACCTGGGAAGGTATAATTAATATCCCACCGAAGAACCGAAGATCAAAGATTGAAAGCGTTGTTTCAATCGACCCGACAAACCAAATCCATCCACCTGCGTTTAGCCGAACCAACCGGGTTGGATACCGAAGACCGCCAAGATGGCACGCGAGTCAGCCGCTGACGATCGCGCCCGGAAGGAAGTACGGTTCGTGATCGAAGAGATCAATCGTCACGATCTCAAGAAAGATACCCCGTTGCGCCGCCGCTCGTCGGCAATCCACGACGTGCCGCTGAACCAGGCAGAGCCCCTCGTGGCCGAAGATGACGAAGACGCCGAGCCGGCTACGATTGAGAAGTTCACCCGCGATGTCACTACACAACTCCCAGACGTGCGTTACACTGAGACGCGCGAGAGCCTTGTGGAAGACCTGCGTGCGAAGCTTGTTGCATTTGCCGACCACTTCGCTGGCAAGTACAAGGACAAGGCTCCTGCGATGCCGTTTACCCGGATGGTCGACGACGACCCCAAGAAACCGGATGCCATGTTCGCGGGCGTGATCAATGGCACAGTCAATGCCACCGAATTCGCGGATCTCGCTGCCCGTTTCCCCGACGAAGTATTCAAGGAAGTCAAGATGCGCGGACTGTTGACCGCAGCATACGCGGAGCAAGTCGAAGAGCTCCATACTATCGCCAAAGACCTGGACCGTAACTTGAAGTACATCCACGATTGGGTCCCGATCATCGCCGACAATCTGAAGACGACCCATGACGCAGACTTGAACAGCCGAACCGAAGAGGTCGTGGGCCTTAACCAGATCATCGCCGATCTCATGATGCAAGCGCGCGAGGGAACGGTCGCTACCCACCATTCTATTCGCAGCACTGAAACCGCATCTGGCGGGAGCAAGGGGCGCAGCGCAAAGCAACCCGACCCGCCTATCTTCCTCAACGACGGGGCTAAAGATACTACGACCTTTGAGACCTGGTACCGCAACCTCCAGAATAAGCTCGCCGCCAATGGCGACCACTTCTCGAACGATGCTGCTAGACAAGGGTACATCGAGGGGAGGGTAGGTGGGAAGGCAGCTCGCGAGCTCGCTCCCTATCTCCGCGAAACCCACCCTGACGTAATCAACACGTCCGAGAAGCTGATGGCTCACCTCTGGTCGGAATACAACGACCCGCTCCAATCCGAGAAGTCCCTGACAGACTTCATCGAGCTAGAGATGAAGCCGGGTGACAGCTTCACTGCTTTTAAAAACGACTTTGTACGACTTGCTGGTGAATGTGGCAAGAGCAAGGTTGAGTGGAAGGCTGAGTTCAAGCGCCGACTTCCCGGCACCCTCCAGAGAGCGTTGGCACCGTCGTACCTCGATCCCGCTGTTACGTTCGATCAGTATGTCCGACTTGGCGCAGAGATCTCGCATTCCTACCGCCAGACAGGCAATGGCCATGCCCCGCGCCGCGATGGCGCGCCACGCGCCGCGAAGACCCCGAAGATCTCGGATCCCAGACCTGCAGCTCCCAAAGCCAAGAGCCCGGCTCCCCAGCTCTCACCCGAGGAGGTGCGCAAGCTCTATGATGAAGGCCGCTGCTTCGTCTGCCGCGAGAAGGGACATACGTCCCGGGAATGCCCGCAGAAGACAGGCGGCGGAGCCGCAGCTGGAGACTGGAAAGCGCAGCGCGAGTCCCGCATTGCGAACCTGCAAAGCCGTTGGGCGGCGAAGGAGCCTGCTGAGGAGCCTGCCACTCCCCGAGCACCCGCCTCCAACAAGAAGAAGCTTGCGAAGGTGGTTGAGCTGCCTGACAGCGCCTCCGACTCGGAAAACTAGATACCCTGGGTAGTCTCGACTCCCTCTCAGGGTTGGTATCAACAGTCGGTGTGACAGAAGCTCGACCGGATTTCGTTAGCAAGTTGCTGGGAGGAAGACCCTTTCTCACCTCTTGTTCCATAGCGAATAATGGAGTTTCGTTAACCACCACCGACGTTTTGGTTGATACGGGAGCCAATGGCTACCTCTTTGTGAGTGTTGCCTATGCAGAACGACTGTTGAAGCAGTTGAAATTGAAGACTCGAACCGACTTCACGCCCCGACCCGTGGGCGGGTTTGACAACAAAGGCGCGTGCCAATTGGTCGACGTGGTGCTCGTCGGGCATTTTACCATCCAGAACCGCACTCTCCGCGACGAACCGCTGCTGGTAATTGATTCCAAGCACGATGTGATCGTTGGTGACAAGTGGCTTGACTATCACGACATCCTTACCGACAGCCGACGCCGGAGACTGATCTTCCCTACTGAATGGCTCCCTGATCCAGGATGGTGGAAGAAGGCTGATATCGAGCTCGGCGCACCCCCGACCGGACGCCCCGATCCTGCTATAATGGAAGACATTCAGCGCCGCGAAGCATTGATGGAAAAGGAAGACCAACGAAGGCGCGATGGGCGAGCTGTCGCGCAGCGAATCGCACAGCTGGAAGCGCAGGCGAGCCGCCAGCCTGTTCCGCGGCCGCCGACGTCATCTGCGTCCCCGATTACCCACCTCCTATCGCGATCCGACCCGATACCCAAGACCGTTCGGTTCGATCCCCCTGAACAGCAGAAGATGCAGCGCGCGCTGCAAGGCCTTCCTCCCCCGCCAAAGGAGCAGCCTCCTAAACCACGCGTTCGGCGAAAGGAACCCGCGATCGACTACAAGCGTGGCACAGATAAATACGGACCGTACACTCTACGTAGGGATAGCATCGGCTGGTACAAGGATCGCCCACCCGATATGGCCGTTATCGGTGCCATTGCATTCAGGCAGATTGCGCGCAACCTGCCCACCGGCTGCGTCACTCTTCACGAGATCGACAGGATGATTGAGGACAAGCTCGCAGAGTCGATGCCCCGAGATGATCACGACCTGCGTCAGAAAGCAGTCAACGCGATCCCGAGCGAGTACCATGACTTCCTCGACGTGTTCAGCAAGGCGGAATCCGACGATATGCCCCCATACCGCCCGCAAGTCGACCATAAGATCGATGTCACTGGCAGGCCGGAGGATCTGGGATATTCGCCGCTGTACAAGCTCTCTTTGGAGGAATTGGAAGCCGCTCGGAAATATATCACCGAGAACCTGCGGAAAGGCTTCATTGAACCAAGCGATTCCCCGTGGGCCGCGCCCATCCTGTTCGCGATCAAGGCTAACGGTGGACTACGCTTCTGCGTCGACTACCGAAAGCTCAACGCGATCACAAGGAAGGACCGGTACCCATTACCGCTGATCGACGAGACTCTGGCGCGGGTCTCCCAAGCCAAAATCTTTTCTAAGATCGATATTCGCCAAGCCTTCCACCGCATCCGGATCAACCCGGAACACGAAGAACTCACAACGTTCCGCACGAGATACGGCGCGTACAAGTACAAAGTGATGCCGTTCGGCTTGACCAACGGCCCAGCGACCTTTCAACGGTTCATCAACAACACTTTGATGGGTTATTTGGACGATTTCTGTAGCGCATACATCGATGACATCCTGATCTTTTCGAACAACCTCCGGGAGCACAAGGAGCACGTCGGGAAGGTTCTGGAGCGCCTCCGCGAGGCGGGCTTACAGGCCGACATCGATAAATGCGAATTCCACGTCACCAGCACCAAGTTCTTGGGATTCATTATTGGAACCGACGGCATCGCTGTCGACCCAAAGAAGATTGAAACTGTTCGGGATTGGGAACAGCCGACTACTGTCAAGGGAGTCCAATCGTTCCTTGGCTTCTGCAACTTCTATCGACGCTTCGTTCGCGAATACGGTCGAACAGCGCGCCCACTAAACAACCTCACAAGGAAAGACGTACCATTTGACTGGAATGCGGATTGCCAGTGTGCCTTCGAGGAGCTGAAAGACCGGCTACTTAACGCGCCTGTTTTAGCCCATTTCTCTCACGACAAGCCAACCCGCGTCGAAACCGACGCGTCACAGGGAGTGGTAGCAGGCGTACTTACCCAGCAACAGCCGGACGGCGAATGGCATCCTATCGCCTTTTTCTCAGAGACAATGCACGGCGCGGAACACAACTACCATATCCATGACAAGGAACTCCTGGCGGTGATCCGCGCGCTGCAGTGCTGGCGAGCCGAGCTTGTTGGCCTCCAAGGGGACGACCCGTTCCTGATCATCACGGACCACGAAGCGTTGAAGTATTTTGGCACGAAGCGCCTGCTCAACGCTAGACAAGCCGGATGGGCTGAGCTGCTCGCGCAGTACCATTTCCAAATCACGTACCGGCCGGGCAAAGAGAATGCTGCGGCAGACGCTCTCTCCCGCAAGAGCGAGGATACAGTGACGCAGAAGGCGAAGAGGGAAGCCTATCGCACCTTGCAAATCTTCACCCCCGTGCTGGAGGATGGCGCAGCAACCCGCACTGATGATCTTGAAGTTGAGTTGATGGCGCTTGACGAGGAGATAGAGGCGCCCGCAGACTCGGGTTTCGAGCTCATCGACGAGCTCCTCCGTTACAACCAATCTGCCCTGGAGTTGGAGCCATACCGTGAGAAGGCCCGCAGCGAGCAGGATTCCGAATACTCGCTCCTGGATGGCCGCTTGCTGTTGATGAGCGGTAGATTGGTGGTCCCAGCCGTCAACCATCTGCGGACCCGCATCATTACTGAGGCACACTCGCGCTTGACGACCGCCCACCCGGGCATAAACAAGACGCGCAAGTTGATCAACACCCGGTACTGGTGGCCCCGAATGGGCAGCGATATCGATCAGTATATCGCTAACTGTGTGTGCCGCGCCGCGAAGCACCCGAGAGACAAGACCCCCGGATTGCTACACCCAATCCCCCCCTCGCAGCGAGCATGGCAGAGCGTTGTGATGGATTTCAACGAACTTCCGAAAGACAAGTACGGATTTGACAACGCTCTGGTCATGATTGACCGCCTCACGAAAGCTTCATGGACTATTCCCTGCACGAAGGGAGCCACGGCTCGCGATGCGGCGAAGATGTACTATGAAGGCCCGTATCGAGTCTACGGTCTCCCGATGGAGGTCATCAGTGACCAGGGGCCGCAGTTTCGAGCCGACTTTACCAACGAACTGTCAAAGATTCTGGGGATCAATTGGAAACTGGCCACACCCGGTCATTCGCAGACCGCGGGCCAAGTCGAGAACCTTAACCAGTATATTAACCAACGGTTACGACCGTTTGTAAGCCATTACCAAGACAACTGGTCCCGGGCAATCCCAGCTCTTGACGCGGTACAGTCGAGCCTCCCGCACGACAGCACCGGATTGTCGCCCCACGAAGTGATGTTTGGGTTCGCGATGCCCTTACCATTCGACTGGGAATCACGAACCGGACTGACAGATCTGCCGCACGAAGAGCGTCTCAATCGCGAAGAGGCCCAGCGGAGGGCGCGCCAGATCCAGGAATTTGGGGACTTCGCGCGGTCCAACATCCTTAAAGCGCAGGAGAAGCAAGCAGAGCAGGCGAATCGACATCGCCGCGTACCAGATTTCGACGTCGACGACCACGTCGTGATCATCAAGCGCACCGAAATGACGAGCAGACCCAGCGATAAGCTCGATTTCCCCGTTACGCGGCAGCACTTCCGCATCATCGAGAAGGTTGGCCACGCGTACCGTTTGGAAGTCCCAGCTTCGTGGAAGGGAACCGACACGTTCCCTCCCGACCGACTACGATTACACCTAAACAACCCTCTTCCTGGCCAAGCACCCGAGTCCCCGGATGCCGAAGAGGTTGGTCCGAATCAAGACATGGAATGGGAGGTCGAACAACTCTTGGCGAGCCGTGTTTACTATGGAAAATTGCAGTACCAAGTCCGTTGGAAGGGCTGGGCAGCCGACCCCGAATGGTATCCCGCGGCCGACTTCAAGAACTCGCCGGAAGCGTTGAAACAGTTCCATGACGCGAACCCCGACAAGTCTGGCCCGCCCACACGATTGCAAATATGGTTGGAAATGGCCGAACGCGACGAGTTCGCGGCGGATCATGAGGATGACAACGAACCAGTCATGGTGGGCGCGCCGTTGAGGCGATCCAACAGGAAGAAAAAGTGATGGACCTTTTCCGAGCAAAAGCCCGCGGACGAGCTTTTTCGTGGAGGGGGGGGGGTTGTCACGAGAGGTGGTTGCCTGTGATGGCACTGTGGCTCAATCGGGGTTAGCGCGCATAGCGCCTCGCCCTACTTCCCCACGAAACGATCGCTAGCGATCCCACCACCTCTCTTTTTCTCTTTGTCTCAGTTTCGATATTATAGTTGTATTGACTGGTGGCCTGACCCCATGGAATATCTGCTTCTCGTCACAGAAGGGGTGTAGCGATGTGAGAATGAATACCCGGCGTCAATAACAAAGAGGGTTCGGCGAACACTAGAATCCTGATAAGTTCTGGTTCTCAAGATGCAAATCAGAATACCGACCTACCTAAGGAAAGCGGTGACGGGCACTTCTGGCAAACATGAGAGATGATGGATGTGGGGATGGATCGATTATCCTCAACATTATCACAATGGAACACAGTCGTGGAACCCGGAAGCAGCATGGTTATAAACAATGCATTTAATCTTTTTTCTTTTCTATTTTATGCTGCGAGCTTGATTTTCGAGTATGTGAATGCGATCGTTGTGACCCACCGTGGTTAGTGAGGGACGAGACTTGGGTGAGGTCAAATCAAGGTCCAGGTCATACCACACCAGGTTAGCATACTCAAATACTCAATCATGCAGTCCTTCTGTGAGTGGAGTATCGGCGGCGCACCAGGAACCTGGTCGTCAGCTGGATCTGAATCTACAGGATGAGGATTGTGCGGTTAGTCCGGGAGATCTCATCAGCGGAACAAAACCAAAAGGGGTAGGAGGCGAGTTGTTAGATGCCAACGGTGACCCTTACCTTTCTTAACGGCAAAAGCCCTCGCCCTTTTCAGTCAGCCCAGCGCCTTGCACCTGAACGCCAAACAAACCATCCGAACACCAACCGCTCCTGTCAACTTGAACTCCCTTTAGCAAGCCGCGCTTTACTTTTCGCCTGAGATGCCCATCGGTTGCATATCTGTAGTCAGCCCGACCAAAGTTGAGGTAGTGCTCTCGGTGCTGTGGATCCGTCGCAGTTTGCTGAACATGTTGTCGTTCTTCTTCTCCTTGAGATAGCTTGGTTGTGGTTGTAGCTGCAGTTGCTGTTGTGGTTGTTGATGTTGGACCGGGGTGTGCTGCGGAGTCGAGCCGAAGCAAGACGCACAAGGACACATTGATGAACCGGCCATGGTGAAGTTGAGAAAGAAAAGTATGTTGAGCAAAATTCTTGTTGGTTTCGTGCCCTCGGGGAGCGAGAATGGAGGGTATTTAATGCTCTTTTCTAGCGTGTGGCGAATGGGGCCATTAGGCAATGGTTAGAAGTCAGTGTTAGTCAAGCTGCCGTTTTGGTCTTCTTTGGGTGCTTGGCCGATGGGGGAATGGACCATGCCCACTTTTCATACCCAACTTCATGCCAAGGGCGAAAGAACGATGTTGATGGCCCATACCATATCTTTACCTCGGGCATACGGCGTAGGGTATGTATATGGAATAGTTGCCACTGTGTAAGTATTCCTGTAGTAACAGTAGAATCGGCCTCAAGAAAGAAACACGTATCTGGGCTAACCCATGTTGCACCCGGGCCGTACCAAGGTTGCCCGGTCCAAGAAACGAACAGCCCCCAAAAGAGTGCCAGTGCGTGAAACACTCAAAGTAGAGTACAAAATTGGTAGGGGAGCATCAATGCCCTGAGAAAGGAGCTATTGTGGCCGGTCGGGTGTTTGAGGTTCCCCAACCTGAAGTAAAAGAAACAGCCCACATCCCGAACCTTGAAACAGGAGAGAAGGGGACCCCTTGGCATGGATGAGCCCGACTTGGGCGTTGTTCACCCCCGCCCCCAGTCTTCGGGTTCGACAATTGGGGAGCCCAATCTTGTTAACCACCTCTTGAATCCCGCATACTGTGTACAGAGGAGGTTGCTTTCTCGTGTCGTGGAACAACGCTGGCTGGTAGCAAAGGCACGAGTGGGGGCCCGAGGGGCGTTCAGTCCAAATGGAAATCTCGTGTTTTTCCTCTGCAAACCGAACTTGAAGCAGGCAATCGGCCGAACAGGGTGGGGGCCATCCGTCAAACGCATGTTCAAGATCTTCGGCCAATGAAAACAGCGGATGCCCGCATTCCTGCATCGGCCTCGAGAACACGATTGGCCAATGGTGGACCTGTGATGGGGGAAAGCCCGGCCTGCGCAGGGAAGCGAAATTGGCAGCGCGGGCTCAAGGCCAGTGCCTCGACCATTGCGACCACCACTGCGGAGCTCGCCCTCTGGGCTCTCTTGGGCCGGCAATTTAAATTAAAATAGATCTTTGGTCGGGAAGAGGTTGCGAGAAAGAATATCCACGCGGCGCTGCCCGTTCGCGCTATCCTCTTCCTTTCCCTCACACTGGTTGTCAAGCGTGCCGGTGCGATTGACCTCCAGCATCGCGGACATGTGGAACGGGTGAGTTTGACGGCATCTCCCGACCAGAGCCAGCGCCCCCCGGGTCCCTCCCACAGACGCAGCGCATTGACGATCAGCTTTTGGCTGCAAGAAGGGACGGTTAATTCGATATTTCCGGTTTTTCTTTCGACGAGTCGGGCGAGTTTGGCTGGAGGATTGCGACCATGACGAGCCGACCCCTCCGGATCACGCGCACAGCCAGCTTCGATTTTACGAGCATCCATCCATCCAGCCCATCGACAGGACTCTCGAATACGGGGTCGGGCTGCTAGCCTGCCATTCGATTCGTTCCCACTGCCAACGCTCTTTTTTTTTGACGCAGCTCTTACCCACATTCGTTTTTCACAGCCACGCCAGCGCTATGACTAACCAGGGCGATGCCAGCGGGCCGTCACTCTTTCAGGCCCGCAGCACCCGCCACAACCACAACCACCATCTCAACCACCAACATTTGCATCTTCACCAACACCGTCGTTTGCACACCCCCGAGGTCGAGAGTACCTCGCCACACATTCGTTCACCACCCAACGAGAAGCTGCATGGCCGCCAGGTCGTCGTCGTCCAAACCGTGTCCGTTGTCCACTACATCGATGCCACGGGCGGCGTCACGAGCATCGACACCTTGACCTTGGATTCCCCCGTCGCACCCACCGCGGTAGGCTTGCCGGCGGGTCTCACTGCCGGTTTGCCCGCGCTCAGCGACGTGTTGCCCAGCGTGTCTCTCCCTGGGCTGCTTCCCGACCCGGTCGATGGCTCGCCATCGTCGACAACCTCCACTGAGTCGGAGACATTGTCGTCCACCTTGTCAGCGTCCTCGGAGACGCTGACGTCCACTCCTTTCAGCAGCACGTCTGCATTCCCCACGTTGTCCGGGGTTGGCAACTCTTCATCGTCAAGTCCGTTCCACCGAGCCCGTTTCCTTTCGTCTGCTAACTCTTGGTAGCCCGCCAACCGTCACTCTTTGGCAACCACACAATAGGCCTCTTCTCGAACTATTCACGAACTTCACCTTCTCGTTCCACATTCGCTTCTACTAAGAGCAGCAGCTCTCTCTGGACTTCTACCACCGACGCCAATACGCCCACGATTGCAGCCGGCGGAGGCGAGGACAGCACAAATGCCGGCACTGGGGCCACAGCAGCCACTCCCGTGCCCGTCGAACCCACTCCCGAGCCTACTGGTCTCGCCCCCGAAACGCGGAACGCTGTCGTTGGCGGGGTCGTCGGTAGCATTGCCGGCATCGCGCTCATCGCCCTCGCACTCTTATACTTGTTGAAGTGGAGGAGACAGCGCGGCCAAGGCATCATGTTGCTAGGCGACGAGGACACACCTCGGGGCAGGGGCTTTTCATCACCGGAACCAACCAGCCCCAGCAGCGGGATGGGTATGACGGAGCGGGCCGGTGCCTTTGCGATACCCGCCGCTCTCGCCAAGCTGAGCGGCAAACGAGCGATCGACGCACCGCCTGCCGAGCCGGCCACCCAAGAGAAGGGATTCTACAGGGTGTCCGGCAAGAAGTTGGTCTCGGTCCTCGAATCCGGCGGAGACGGCTACACCGACCCGCACGACAGCGTCGGCAGCGGGTCGTCGTACTACCGGGACTCGCAGGCGTTTTCGGAGGGCTCGAACCCTTTTCAACTTGGATCCCCGATGCGGCCGGTCAGCGGCGTCCCCATTTACCGAGACGGCGCGCAGCGAACCGCCCTTCACGAACAGGGTCCTTTACCACCGGGTCATCGCCCGTCTGTTTTCCCCACGACGCTACAACCACCAGGTTCCGCCGGCCGCAGCTTCGCACCGCGAGACGGATCGAGGGGCTCAACGTCGAGATTTATGGAAAACACATGACGGACGCTGTCCCATAACACCTCATTTATCGTTCATGTCTCATAACTTATTCAATAATGTCTGGAACAATGGCGTCGGGAGCGCGGGCTGCTTGGCAGGGTCGGACTGGTTGGTGCCGAAACACATGGGCTCCATTTTACACACGCTCTCTCTGCCTCGTTTTGGATGCACGCCATTTGGGCCATCTCTGTCAGCTCGGGTTGTGATGGATGTAGATACAGGACCGGCGGGCACTTGGGTACATTTGGCATCTTGTGTGTTGCCGGTAGGATGTGGCGTCGGACTTTTGCGGGCGGGATTTCGCTGTACATATTTTCCGAGCAACAGCCGTCGGCGTCGAATAGATTTGATGGGCGCGGATAGACCTTAGTAGTCCTACCTCAAGCTAGCGGCCTCTTCGTTCTCCATCTACTTCGCCGCACTCGAGATATCATTGCCTCAGGTCTTGACATGGTGTTTTGCAGCAACCTCGCACATGGATGACTGCCTAAGGCACCTGTGTGGGGTCCATTGGGACGTGACTGCCATCGGACGGGTGAGCGACGGGAGATCACCTTTGCTATCGTACCAAGAGATCTGGGGCGGTGAGTTACGGTTTATCAACCGTTTTTACAGACTAACGTTTATGTTGAAGTTAAGAGCGACGGTTATGTTGGGAGCCAGCTACGGTTATTTGGTGGACTGCGGCTATGCGACCTGCAAGCTATAGCCAAGTGGAGGAGACGAGATATAGGGGAGTTGATTAGCTCAATTCAAATGGAGGTGACTGTTCTTTCCTTTTTTTCTATCTATTAAAACTAACTTAGGCAAGTACCTCCCATCCAACCTAGCCAAATACCCACAAGCCAACCTAGCCAAATACCCATAAGCCAACCTAGCTAGACGGTCCTGTCAATTAACCAGATCATTCAATTCAAGAGCAGAGTAGGGAACTTACCGAAAGTGACGGGTAATTACGCTGTGGTTGTTCGGAGTTCAAAGTTCAAGGTTTTTGAAAAGACTTCGTCAGTTTCTCGGAAAAGATCACTCCTTTTATTTTCGGCCGCGTAGCTTGCAGGCTCTCAACAAAATTTCCTAGCTCTATTCTATCTTGAAGGCAAGTGCAAAGGTCGATACCATCGCGAACTCTATCCCGAACCCCGTCATGTAGAGGCACGGAATAACCGTAGTTCACTAAATAACTATAGCTTGCCAGTAATGATATGACCACTAACTCTATGCAAGCTATCGGTGAATTAACCGTACTATGGGCACTCGGGTCGCCTGACGGAAGGCTCGTGCGGACAGTTATGAACAACCGTAAACACGCTTTCATATCACCCTGTTACGATGGTACAGGTAACTGGTCAAATCTTGCTACTAGCGGCTCTCACCTCAGATCTCACAATGTAATCTACGCGTTGTTGGTGCTATGTCTTGCTCGTAAGTAGGCCATTAAACTCTTAGACCATCTATACCGCCACTTCACTTCGGCAATACACATAATGAGAGGATGAGTAAAGAGGTATGTATATATAGAGATTTAGAAACAATTCAAGAACCGGAATTCATATCTCTCGGAGAAAAGCGCACGGTCACAATGTAGGAAGAGTATACACAGTATATAACTCTAACTCTAGCTAGCATATAAGAGAAATAAAACAGCTAGCTAGTAAAGTAACTCTTCTCTACTGAAAATGACCAATCTAAATTATAAAGCTATATTATTTAGCTAGTCTCCCTCTCTCCTATTATGCTATTTCTAGTTCAAAAAGTTATTAGAGTTAAGATGCTTTCGGGAGAGGGTAGGGGTCCAAGAAAACATATTGTGGCAACTTTGGGATAATTCTGAACCCCAAAATATAATTTAAAACTTTCTAGAGTTAGTAATAAGCGAGTTCTCGGTCCTCTGGCGCAACGGCAGCGCGTTCGACTCCAGTTTACTGGTTAGCAATCGAAAGGTTATCCGTTCAAATCGGGTGGGGATCAAGGTTAATTTTTAGAGTTTCTTTTCTATTTTTAAACTTTTTTTTCTTACTCTACATCTTAAGAGGAACCTAGCTTTAAATCCTAATCTTATTAACAAGCATACTCATTATCAAGCAATGTCCAATACCTATTATTACTGAGAGTAACTAAACTTAATTAAGTTTTTTTCTTTTTTTTCTTTTTCTTTTTCTTTTCCCCTTCCTTTTTCTTTTTCTTCTTCTGTTTCTTTTTCTTTTTCTGTCCTTTTTCCTTTTCTCTTCTTTTACCTTTGCTTTCTTATTTCCTCTTACTTATCCCTCCTTCCTCTTCTCTTCACAATTCACCTCTTTTATCCTCTTTCTCCACTATTCTTTCCTCTTTTTTTCTTTACTATCCTTTCTTCCCTTTTTTTACCCTTTCCTTCCCTTTTTCCTTCCCACCCTTTTTACCCTGGGTTCCTTCTTATTACACTACTTCAGCAACTATACACCCCCCCCACCATCCCTATCTCACCATATTACTATTGACGAAGGTTTCGTTAACCTAAGAGCCCAGCCACTTTCACAATAAAAAACAAACGAAGAAAATCTCATAGAGTACATACCTAGGATAGTACTACTCATCAATAACTACAGGTCTCACCTAACCGCGGTGCGGTTAGGTGAGACCTGGTTACTTACAAATACTGACTACTCGCCGCTGTTGACGGGCTAGGTTAGGAATGGCCGTCGCTATGTAACAAAGACACCTAGAGTATAACTTCTTCTAAACAATGGGCGAATATTCTAGTTTTGAAGCATTTATTACCTCTCATCTCTCTTGTGGTCGTGGAGCCCGTGGGATACGTTAGAGATAACAAGGAAGGAGCGATCTCTCGTGTGTGCAATAGGCAGGTGTTGAACCTAATTACCTAATTACCACCCGATTTGAACGGATAACCTTTCGATTGCTAACCAGTAAACTGGAGTCGAACGCGCTGCTTGCTCAAGTTACCCATGGCAGAGCGCTGGACCCATTCGATTAAAAGTACCTGAACCCCGTGTGCTGTAACCACTGAATTCGGAAGCCCACGAATTCCTCCGCAAAGGTACCTAGCGGCCTAGGAACTCCGCCAGAGAAAGGGACCATAATGAAAGCCAGCCGGGCACCCGACTGTTGGTGCTCGCATTGAATAAGGTACCTAGTAGGGACTCTCTTCCCTCATCAAGAGACCGGATCCTCCCCGACCGTCAGTAGGTGGTCCCCACTTGCTTCACATGGGTTGCTGCCTCCCTCGGGGGTTCTTTCCCTGGGAACCAGACCTGCCCGTGAGGAAGGAGCTGGGTTCGTAGGGGGCACACGTTGCGAGAACCTGGCAGCAGGATGGGCAACACATCAACATTCCTCCCTATGGATAATTGTCAAGAGCATGAAATAGATGCCCACCGTCTTTTAAAATCATATTAATGTCTTAGGACTTGGAAATGGAGATAACAGACTGTACTGTGGACTCGGTGGCTCCTTAGGTTAGTATTACAACAGCCGTGCATCTTGACAGAGGATCAATCAAAGTCCAAGAGCATGACAGCACATGTACTCTCAGATTATCTTGAAGTAACATATTTTACACACGGCATTCAAGCTGCTATCTCGCAGGGAACCAGGAAGCTGGAGATTTGGTAGTTCGACAGTGTGCCTCCCTGTGCTGTGGTGTCCATGATTCCAGGCTCTCAGGCCGCCAGGCAGCCAGACGCGAGAATTTTGCTAAGTTAACTCGGCCCGCCTTCCCACTTCTCTCCTCCTTTCTCTTTTCTTTCCTCGGCCTTCGTTGACGTTCACGTAAGTTCGCATGCGCGCTGATATACCGACATTGCCATCCTGATCTTGAGAGTATAAATACTGACTACTAATCGGCTACGTAGAAATTATTCAAACTTTACCAACGACCGCCGTAAGTTTCCCGTCATCCACGTCGTGGATCCTGCACATTTCTTGTCGTTTTTGCACCCGTTGTTTGACTTGGACTTGACCGTTGGCTTTTAATCATCCGGGCCCCTGGGCTTTGCAACGACGTCCGATTACTACAGCGCTCCTTGTGTTCTCTCTCCTTGATGTTCATGCTAATAGATCCTGAAGAAAATGACTCCAAAGACTGTCTCGCTCCCGGGCCGAGCCCCGGCCGCCACCACCGTCCCCGCCGAGTCCCCGGCCGTCCCCCCCGCCGCCACCACCCCTGGCGCCGCCGCCGCCCTGGCTGAGTCCCCGGCTGCCTCCCCGGCTGCCACCACCACCCCCGGCGCCACCACCGCCCCCGCCAAAACCCCGGCCCCTGCCCGCGCCGCCAAAGCCCCGGCCGCGGCCCCCCAACCCCCCCGGGTCCCAGTCCCGGTTGGTAAGCAGAATAACCAGCGAGCTACTAAGGTGACGGGAGCTGACTAGTATGTGCTTAGTCACCTTCGAAGCCGCCGACGGCACGAAGGCCACCATGACCGGCGGGTCTAAATCGCAGCAGGGTGCCTTCCTGCGCAGTGCGTTCCGGGCCGCCCAGGGTCCGCGGAAGAGAGTAAGTAGAACGCTTGTCAGCTTGATTTGTAACGAGGTTGAAGCTAACTATGTGCTAGCCTGCCGCCGAGGCCAAGGAGGAGGAGGAGGAGGAGGAGGAGGAGGAGGAGGAAGAGGAGGAGGAGGAGGAGGAGGAAGGGGTAAATCCCCATTTTACAAGTACGACTTAGCCGCCAGCTGACCATTCCCTGAAGAAGCCTCCCCCCAAGAAGAAGAAGAGGAGCGTAAGTTACCTAGGATTTAGCTCGGTGTGGGACTAGGTAACTAATATGAGACTACTAGGGGAATAAGAGAAGAACCGCCCGTGACAGGGCGCGTGCCAAGAGGCACGCGGAGGAGAAGAGAGCGGCGGCGGGCGGAGGAGAGGGTGGGGGGGAGAAGGAGGGGGAGGTGGTGGTGAAGGAGGAGGAGGAGGTGGTGAAGGGGGAGGGGGAGGGGGAGGACGTGGAGGTGAAGGTGAAGATTGAAAATTAGACCATAATATTACCTACCTCTACACCCAACGACCGGAAACCTTGCATCGACACAAGCCCCTCAACAAACGACAGCCCCTTTCCCCCCAACCTCGATGATGCCCTCCCTCGGATAGCCACCCAATCTACATATCCCCCCTTTCAGTGTCAGAGAAGACACCAGAGACGAACGGCACAGACCAGACCAAACCACAGACCAAAACCACAACCCCCATCACATCGCACCGGCACTCCCGGAGCAGCCCAGCCCAACCCAGCCCAGCCCAGCCAACTATGATTACCAACCAACCAACCTACCCATCACCCAGCACAGCACAGCACAGCACCCGCGTCACATCGAGGTTCGTCGCCCCGACCGATGCGAAATATCTCGGACTTTTCGTTCCCCATCCCATCAACTACTGGCGTGCATCCGTGCCGCATCCCTGTGCCACGGCCGGTCGTCTGAGCTGCGGCCGGGCCGGGGGGGGAGTGGCCGCTATCGTGGGGGCCATCTCGCAGATCTGTCCGTGTTTTTTTTGGTTTTTTATGTCGGGGCCATACGGTGGCCGGCTGGCCGCTGGGGGCCGGGAGGGCGGGCCGGATGGGATGGGATGGGTTGGGGATGGGTTGTGTGCTAAATTGGGGTGGGTGATGGAGATGGTGCGACGGTGGTGGTATTTTTTTGATGCTTGGGCTGTGGTGGTGGGCGTTGTTGGCGCGGTTGGTGTGGGCTCAGCCTCGTTGAGCTGGAACTGCAAAGTTGCTGTTTTTGGGTTGAGCTGGGCTCAGCCGGCCAGCCCTACCTGCCGTGCCGTAACTCTGATTTTGAAACCCGTTCAGGCCGGTTTGGCCCCTTGTTGCGGGGTGCAGGCGGTGGAATGGCAATCTGTTGCAGTTTCTTCTGTGAGTTGTTGTTGTTGCTGCACCGCTTGATATCTGATCGTGCGTACCCTTTCGATGCCATACGGTATCTTTCCGTCTCGGTCTCTTCGATCCCTTCCTCATCTTCAGCTGCGGTAATCAGCTCGGCTAGGGCGCTTAACTCCTGCAAGCGCAATTGGGTCGAGTACAAGACAAACACACGCCGGCCCGCAGGGTTCACAGTGCATATCGAAAATGAGGCTCGCGGACCGGCCGCGAGGGCGTGGCACGGCAGCTCTGCATGTGTTTCGGCACTCCCCTGCGGGTGTGGCGGGTGCTCCGGGTGCTGCTGGGGGCTGCTTGATTGGCCATTTCCGGATTCGGCAAGTTGCTGTCGCTGCGTATGTCCCTCCAGTAAAAGGTCCCACCACCAACTCACCCAGTGGTGATGATGGTCCTCTCTCCGGCAAGTCCGGTCCTATCACTTAGATTAACTTCCATCCTTATGGCATCACAGGATTAATTTCTCCTAGAAGAAAAGCGCCGAGTAAGACCCGGAGACCTCCGGGCCGGCCTCCGGAATCCGGAATTGCGGGACCCACCTCCCCCGGATGACGCGGATCCACCGTTCGCGGGGCGGCGCCGCAAACTTTGTTGGTCCTGGCTGAGATGCAAACCTGCAACGCGATGAGCGGCGGGTTGGCGGGAGGATCAGGCGCAGAACCGTGTCATTATCGGCATCCGATAAGGATTTCGTACGTCAAGCGCATCAACGGACGGGGGAGAGGTCAACGGAGAGTGAAGGGTCTCGGATGAAATGAAATTCTATCTATCTATAACTAAAAGTATGCAACAAGAAGAGGAAGAAAATCATCTAACATGAATGCAATCCGCGGTCCCTCTATAGTGCAGTGATGCTGAAAAGTCTATCTATCGAACCCTCCTAAAGGTGTCCCTGAATATTCCCGACGCCCCATAACAAGTCGAGGAAAGACCAAACTCCCCCTGATGATCGCTATTCGGAGTGTCGCACTGATGGTGATACATTGGTGATGGCACATTGATAACGAAAGCCGGTATCCTGAGATGGATAATCAGAAAAGTGATGAGGCAGTGGGTTGTCGAGAAATTCGTACCGAGAAGTGATTGTACAAGCCGCGAGTTATCGAAGCGGCGGATGGTTTGCCGTGGTCAACCTGAGCGGTTGTGGCGGGCGGATGCTACTCGTAGTTGACGTATTTGAAGAGCTCCGAACACCTGGTGCAGAAACCCTCGCTGAAGACTTTGCAGACGCGGTCGCGGTCGTAGCGCTCGTCATAGACGCATGAGCCGTAGACGTGGCGCCGGTATATATCGCACGAGTATGCCATCTTCTGCAGCTCGCTGTGGCGACACTCGGAGAACTTGACTAACTCCCAGGTACACATGTTGAATAGGCCGCTCCGGATGGAGTATCTCGCTAGTAACCCAAGGATGAGACTAGATTACGGCGGTGGGGTTGGCTGATATAAAAGGCTAGGCTCTCGAAGAAGTGAGGTGCGTGTATATGATGATGTACAGATCTCTCTGTCAGTGATCTGTGGGGTGGTTGCTGTGTTGTCTTGTATCGGAAGGGAGTGTCTTAGGTCGAGGATAGAGATTCTTTATATACAAACATCAACGTGAATAGATCTCCTCTGACTCAGGGGCGAAGTCGTAGGGTGCCTTGACCCCAAGTATGGCGGAGACTCGCCGATGACCAACTCGTCGACATACCGAAAGTGATCGAGGCAAGGCACAGACTCAACCAACAGGTGATTCTTTCCAAGTTGCTGGTGGCCGCCTTCGAGGCCGGGCATACAGCAACGCCCCCAGTTAATAGATGGAAACCAAACCGTTGGGTTCGGAGTGGCAGGGGGGTGGGCGAGGGAGGGAGAATTCCGCCTCAATACACCCCCCAATAGCACTCCTCAAGCCAGAGAGAGTATGGCACGGTACACAGTTACTCGACTTACATGACACCGTCTCAACCCACAGACATGTGCAAGGGGGTGGTGGGGAACCCCCTGTGTTACGGGAATAAAGGTTCAGTCCCGCTCTCCTGCGGCGGGAAGCAGGGGGCGGCGGCGGGGGCGGTGCGCCGTTGGAGCTTGGCTCAGTGCTTGGGACGAAGGAACAAGAAGCTTGGATGAATGTTTTTTTTTGCAGCCAAGCATCGATTGACAGAACTGTGCTTGTTGGCCTGGACCGGGTAGCCTGCGCCGTGCGTCGATTGGCCAACCGGATCATGGTTTTGTATGTACAGGTACCAAGGCGAACTGTGAGGTGGACTGCGGTAACGAATAAGCGCCGGCTTTGTGATTGGCGGGTTTCCGATTTTGTCCTTTCTCTCATCGTTCTCCCATGATCGTCGAGGAAATGAGGGAGGTGACGCAGCGCAGATACGGTTCATCATTGGCAGGCGGGTTCCTCGGTCAATATCGAACTCATATCACCGTCGCCCTATGGTTTGCGGCCATAGCTTGCACCTGCCTTGCAGCCCCTTTTCCTTGTGACCTCAGTCTCTTTCTAGCGGCCGCCGGTGACTGTCGCCTTGGGCTTGAGGCACCCAGTGATACCCACCTAGGTATGTACAGTGCACCCGCACCGCCTTGTCCAGGTGCCTCGGACAGGAATTGGCCAATGCCTCACCGTCCTCGAGCTCCATGCTACGACCCTGTCGTCGATCGTCCCATGTTCAGCCCTACGGCCTGTGACCATGTGGTAACACGTACCCACAACCTAAGGTACCTCCCTACCTAGGTAGAACAAGGGGCAGCCGAAACGCGGGTGCTGCTCTCCGCAATTCTTTTTCAAACTTGCTCAAGCCATGTGCCATTGGACGTCACCGTGCTCTGTCCATCCGATGTAATAGGAGCCGCATCATTCAAACATGGCTTGCTCCAGCACCCAAGTCACTGACTCAATTCTCGACTCGCTCGAGCTTCGGGGTTGACCGATGCATCCGAGTCTGGTCTCACATGACCTCAACCTCGACCCCGACCTCGACCTCAGATGACCCTACGGTCAGCAGTCTCGCCAAATCCAAGTCAAGGACCTCCTGTCCATGTCTCTACATTCTGGCCGGGGTCTTGAAGAGCACCCGAGACACTGTGGACCCTGTTGGCTTCCTTGCATCCCAAAATCGCTTGACTCGGGCTGTGTCCGGGTCTATCCAAGCCACGGCGGTGCCACCCTCAAGAGTGTGCAGAATCGCCGCTTTTTTTTTGGTGTTGGAGACCCGAACCGTCTAAGCCCGGGTCCCGGGGGCCGCCGGGCCAGTTTCGGCCGCAGACGTGGCTGTGTACTTCACTTTGCGAGACAGAAAACAATCGGATCAGCTCCCTCCATTATTAGCATTGTTTTCAATAAGTCTCCGGCTCGTGCAGCAAGATGCACAAAATGAATATCATCCGGGCTGTAACTAGCTGTGAACAGTCATTCGGTGCATGTGGTGTTGGCGGCCGACCTTGACGGACACAAGCCGCCCCTGGATTGGATTGGCCCGTTAAACGCCAAGTACCAGAACCAACCAGAGCGTGACCATGCAGGTGCAACTGTTGGTGATTTGTGATCGGGATGAGGACACTAAGGTGGTAGTAAAGGGGACAGTCATTAGGCAGACCTAGGCAGCTCTGAGGCAGCTCTCTGGCCTCTCAGGTTCGTCTGGTCCGCCGTTCACTCTCCCTCTCGCAGACTCCACTGATTCGACTACATCATCTGTGACTGTCCATATCAGGCAACTTTCCAGAAGCACACAAACATTCTCAAACCGTGGTGGCGCCCTGTATCACTTGGGCAAGGCCAATCACGACTGGCCCGTCTTGACGTATTGCAGATCATCTCGTCCTCACGCTTGCGTCCAAGATATCTACCTACAGGTAATTATGCCGGTTCCAGGGGCTTCGTTCCGGTCGAGACGGTAGTAGTCGAAGATGCCGATAAGGTCCTGCAGGGCAATATGTGAGATTCGGTAACGGATGTGGACGCTAGAGGATTTCGGGAGTGCGGCACGTCAAAGATACCTTACCTACCCATGAGTCGTGACAAGATCCGCATTCCACTATTTCCATGGGACAATAGACACCTCGCTATTGCTAACCGCCGTCTCGACACATCCAAGTAGGGGCGGGGGGCGAGGCACCCGAAGCTGAACCGGAACGCAATATTACATGCTGCTCACCTTGAGAACCCCAAGCTCGACAGAGAAAGCAGGTTGGAGTTCCAACAGCAGGTCGCAGCCACCATGCTCCCTCCGACTTCCAAACCCTTCCCCATCTCCTCGTGATCCCCCCTCTCACTACCTGTATTAGTACCCGCCCCATGCTCAACAATCCCGCTACCAATGGCCCACCCTCCGCTCCGTTACCCACCTGATCCTGGCGCCCTGACAGCTAGCATCATCCCAACTCCACCACCCCACCATCTTCTGCCATTCTACGTACCTGGGTAGGTAGTTGGTAGTTTACCTAGATAGGTACGCCGACCCAGGACATCGCCCCGCTCGGCGTGGTAAATTCGTACCGGATGGTGTGGGTTTGACTTCAGGGGGCTGGGGAGAGACGCTGGTAGAAATGTACGAAATCAGGGCGTGTTCAACTCATCTCTCAGTTTTCCATTCACCACAATATATTCCGTCCTTTTTCCTCTTTTCTTTTCCTCTTTTTCTTTTCCTCTTTTCCTTTTCTTCTTTTCCTTTTCTTCTTTTCCTTTTCTTCTTTTCATTTTCCTCTTTTTCTTTTCCTCTTTTCCTTTACCTTGATCTACTCGGATACCCAAGCCCTGCTCTTTAGCATCTAAAATCAAAAGGCGGCTATAACGTGGTCAACCCGTTACACCTGTCCCCATTCTTCACGAGAGGAGACGCCGCCCAATAGCGCGTACATCATCATCCCATCCTAAGAGGGCAATGAGGACCTCACCTGATCTCTATCTTCAACGCTTGTATTCCCTCCCTCGAGCTTTTATTGAGGTGTCGATGTGGATTAGCAGACAGTGAAACCTGTCGTCTCGTCACGGTCCTTTAACATATTGACCATCCGCTAATTATGCGGAATCACAGGCCGCGGAAGGGTGCCTTAACTCTCCAGACCCCTATTTGTGCTCAGTATGAACCACACTATTAACAAAAGTATTATTCACCATTCCAAGAGAAGGAGTGCGCCATCACCTCGCACTGTTTCGATCCCGGTCTGTTATTAACTATCAAGGTACATACATCTTTCCTCCGCTTGAAGAGAGCTGGTGGTATTGTGGTGCTTCATGACTCGTCAAATACAATTACCTATCTAAGGCTGACAGCTTATGTATTGATAGTCGAGCGTTGGAGCCGAGTGATTGGGCATTGGGGCTGAATGTCCTTGTGAAGGTGTTGCTGACCAGCACCTTGGTCCTCTTAGTATTTCACTCTTACTCCCTACAGCCCTGTTTCCGACCATCTCTAGTGGTGTAGGGTCTCCGGGACTGGCAAACACAACGCTTTTTCCGTTATAGATAACAGATTCCTAGCAAGACATCAGAAAAGCTTCAAGGATCTTTGAACTTCTCACTGATGTATGTTAGTTCACATCTAGCACGCAGGTATCAATTAGGTGTTTGTCTGTGGTTGATCTTCTTCGGTCCCATTGACGATCATGTCGTCCAAGCCGAGAAGAAAGCGCATCAATTGACGTATTTCCTCATTGTCTTCCCTTGTCTGATATCCGTATCGGAAAAGGTATATGTAAGGAGGAGTTTCTCTGCCTGCGAGGGGGGCAGGCCGAAGTAACGTCGGAGGGCGAACTTCCAATTATCGACAGACTGCTTCAGCCAGTCTCGGTCTTCTTCCTAGAGCTGGGCGATATACTATTGTTGTACTGAACCGTATAACAGGGTTTTAAGGTCTTATCTGATGATCTCGGTCTTTACTAGGATATCGTAATAATTTGAGATAGCGTTAATAAACAACTTAACGTCTTTATAAACAGTATAACCCCCCTAGTCGATACAGGCCTCGTCACTCTAGGTCTCTATATCCGGGTTAAATTATCCGATCATAGAGATTTTCCATCTATAGGTTAACTAGGTATATCCAAACCTCTCGACTGCAGTTGTTCCGGCGTTAAAGAGTCGTTCCGCGGGCTGAGCGACTCTGTCCAAGGCGTTAGCGAGGCATCAGGCGTCCGAAGTCCGCAGCGTCGACGGTTCCGGCGGGGCGAGGGTCCGGAGTAGCCTCATCCTCGACGATAACTGGTAACGGCCTGGTCGTCCGGTCAGCCGGTGGCCGTGTGGTGTTACCGCTGTATTCGCCTGCCATCGGACCGCTGCGGAAGAATTGCCCTGCTCCAACATCTGCAGCCAATACTCGGAGCGGTTCCGCCACCCGGCTGGTTGATTGTTGTCGTCCTGTTGGCTGGTTGCCGGCTGTCGTGCGGTATTCCTACTTTCTTTTGTGCCTCACTGTAGCTCATTTTTGCCCTGTCTTCTTTGCCTTTTCTTTCCCCTCCCTCAACTGCTATCTCCCCACGCCAAGTCTTTCCAAGTCTTTCTGGGACCTCACCATCGTTTCCCCATCAAACCTCGGACTTTTACCATGATGTCAAAAATGACCGACCACCAACAAGGGTTTGACTGGACGAACATGATGTCAACAGCGACTTGGAACATGTGCACTCGGGATCTATCATGATAGGGTCGTGGCCGCGCACCGGGATGCCTAAGCGACCGAGACTACTGGTCACCGGTGAGCTCGAGATGCGACCTTCTCCCCCTGGCGTACCGCCGCTAGGGGAAGGATCGATGCGCGCTGAAACCGGTGAAGCCCAGCGACCGGGCTTCTGTCGCCGACAAGGGGGGCGGCAGGAATTCGGAGAATTCTGGCCTTTTGGGCACACATCCTCTTTCCCATCTTGGTTCAGGCCGGAGCGATACTGGTTATTTGGAATGGGACTTTGCGACCGCGGCCGTTTCGTGCAGAGGAAGCGGCCCAACGAAACAGCGCGCAACCGTCGGGGATGAGATTTAGCCGGCCTTGACCTGCCGCCGGATAAAGCGGGGATACCACGTTAACCCCAGGGCCGATCAAGGCCGACACCATGGAACTACCGGTTCGAGGTGCTGGCGCGGGGAGACGGCTGCCATGCCTGGCACAGACATCGTCACGTTTACAATGATCACGATGATGCTGTCTGGGCGAGACCAACTATGGTGATCTCTCGCTGGGGTTGAACCCCTCGCCGCAAAGTGACGGACGGTTTGACAAGGGGCAGTTCACAGGATCAAGTCATCTGGTCCTCACTCCAGGGGAAACAGAGACAGAAGGCAACCCACGGGAGCATCGAGTCCCAGACTCCGGGGTGGAGGCTCCACAACCGTGGCAACACCGACCTCGCATCCCGGGGCCATGGAACGTTGTGTGCTTGCTGAGTGGTTGTTTATTAGTGTAGCAAAAGGCAGCCGTTGAAAGACAGGGCCCAACCCGATGGGGGGCTCGTCTGGAATGCGAGGTCTGCAACAAGAGGAAGCGACGCGGAGCCGCAGGCGGCTGGAGGCGAACCAGCGTGGCGGGACCGCGACCGTCGTATCGGGAGGGTTTTGAAACAAGATCCTCGTGCCCAGAAACCTTTTGCGGTAGCGTTGTTGTCGATTTTGGCTGTGCGAACCCGCTGATTGACGCGCAAGCTGGCTACGATGTTCAAGAGGTTGGCGATAAACTCCGCGGCCAACACTGAATGCGCCGCTCCGTAACTCAAGCGCGACCACACGCATCATCGGCTTTGCCGCAGAGGGGAGTGAGAAGGTTGGGCTTCCTTGGTGCTTGCGAGTAACAGTCGGTGGATTTGATCGATATTGCTTCGGACTGCTCGCTGGATCCAATCTCCGTCGGACCTATGTGGAGTTGGGTTTGCGAGCCTCTGGAAGTGTGACCGAAGTGCCTCTGCCTGCCGCCCACCCGCCGCAAGACCGGCATTGGCATTGCCGAACTCGACAGTCGACTATCGGCGGGCCGGCGAATTTGCGGATCCTTCGCGTGGACGGGACGAGGAAAAGAAAATCTCACCTCGCGCCTCGCCAACCCACAGCTCGGGTAGCGAACAAGCCAACGGTCGAGTGCGAAGAATAGGCATCGACATTGTCTCGCCTCACTTCTCGCCAGAATATTCTCCGACCTTCCTAAAGCGCATGTCCAGGTGGAATACCGACTTGGCCAGACGCCCTTGGCCTTCATGGCAATCCCTCATTGCAGATCCTCACGTGCTGAGCCCCTGACACGGCCAAACCATTGGCTCTCGCATTGTGAGAGAGAAACATTTTGCCCGCGCTCGGCCTGGCCAAATTCCCAAACGGGCGACAAGTTCAGCAGCATGCTCCGATGCACGTCCATTCAGAAAGGGTAAAATGGCTAGAATTGGGAATGAAGTCCTGAGAACGCGGGCTTTTCCGTCAATATGCGTGTGATCGATGTTGAAATGAGCCGAAAAGAGTTGAGGGAAATGGTGAAAATCGAACAGTTTGCGGCCTCGTCGTCCAATGTCGCCAATGCCCTGCGATTTGGATTTCTCCTGCGTTCTGGAGGTTGGAGGTTGTGGTGGATCATGGCTTGGGACATGAACCCCTGTGTTTCTCGGCGGGGAACGCGACGGAGCTGGCTCCGGCAGGGGGTAAAATAGGGTCGTCATTGGCCGGCTACCTCCGGTGGCGACCCCGGTTTCCATTTCCATCTGGGGGAATGGGATGGCACGGATGGCTTCAATGTTGTGACCGTTTCTGCGAGACAAAGGGACGATCTCGCTTCTCCAAGGATGAAAACGCCGTATGTTGGGGGACCCCCTCGATGATTCCGCCTTCACTCACCAAGACATGCTGTCGGAATGCTCGTCCCATGCCGCGTGCTGCTTGATTGCTTTTGCGTCGGATGCTGCCCTGGCGCGCATGCGTGATGCGACGATCGACGGCTCGTCCTTGCGCGGCGGTAACTCCGGATCTATGCAGAGGCATGTCCAGGCGTGGCCGGTTTCTCTTTTCTTTTGCTGGTCACCCACGCGGCCGTTCCTGGGGGAGAGGAACGGTTTGGGATTGGTTCTCATGCAAGCAGCTGAATACGTTCCCTATGCAAGAAACACAAAGGAGAAAGAGGGAACAGGGGAAAATGGGAAGGCGTTTTCAAAATCCCAGGACTCATTTGCATCCCCGCGTGGTTCTGGTGAAGGGGGATGACAGTGATGTCGGGGCTGCGTGCCGCGCCAGCCCACCACCAGAGCGGCGTCTGGGGGACTTTCAGCTGGGTCCGCCGCGATTGGCCACCCGTTCAGTTGGCGCCTGCGGCGGTCAGCCCCGAAACAACCATGGGGCGTTCCCCACTGCATGAGACTCCCCCTCAACTTCATCGATCCTACCACCAACGGGGACATCATTCTTGCCGTAAACCCCGGGTTTGCCAAAAAAGCACTAACCATGCCGTGCAGTCGTCTCCTGAAGTTCGCCTTCCGCAGTGGCGGTCCCGCCAGGACGGAACAGGTGTCGTGGGCCCCGCTGATCCCCCAGCCCTCAAGCCAGTATCTTGGCAACTTTGCCATTACCGGAGGGACTGCGTGATGTTCGACCAATAACCGCACCATCGGACGCAGTCTTCTTTGATCTTGCCGGGAGCTAGAGGGTACCGACAGCATGGATGCTTCCTTTCGCCGTCTGAGTGGCGTGACCGGAAGGGGAGGGTTCATTTCGGAGCCGAGTGAGCACGGAACTGATTCCGGACGCTGGCAAATGGGCATCCTCGCGCGGCCGTCGACATGCTTCTTTCTGGGTGACGGTAATACCTGGCTTGGTGACGAGCAGCTGAGTAACTCACTACCCTGAGTTGCGGGACGGCAACGGGCATGGTCAGCAAATGCCGTCTCGCGATTGCCGGTCGGATCGGGGGAGTTGAGACCCGGGCGTGCCGGGTTGGCTGAGTTGTCAAGCTCCGTCCAAGACGGCGTTGTGCCCCTGCCGCTAGCCACGCGGGGCATTGCACCCGCTTGGGTCTGAGTTATCCGAATTGTCTCAAGGGCGGCTGCGGGCCGATGGACTTTGGAACCAGAGGAGGAAGCTCTTGGACGATCTTTAAGGGTCGAGGCGTGTTTCTCACAAGCCACGCGTGAGCCACCAAATGCCTCGACGGCGCGAAGCAGAAGGACACAACAACCTGGAAGTCCATTGTATGTATTCCGTTATTGCGCCCTCGGCACCTGACTGGTGTAAAGCGGGCTGTGTGTCTGGGATGGGAACGAGCTGAACCTTTGAAACATTCGATCTAAAGTGTCTGGGTTTGTCGTGTGTAATCGGGGGAATGTTCGCCATTGGTACCTAGACGAAATCGCCGAGGTGTTATTGTTTGAGAAGAGGTGCCTCGGTGGCAACCTGGAAGTTCTTCTGGTGGTGCCTCTTCGAGCCTCTGCGGAGAAGCGGATCTTGCTTCTATCCTGAAACATTTTTATCTCGAAAGAAGAGGGGCAAAGGGCCGAAGGGCAGAACTCTAACTGCTAGTCACTGCTAGTGTCCTTGCCCGCGCATTGCCCTGAGGAAAAAAAGCCAATGGCCATCACAAGAAATCCAATTGCAAGACGTGAATCGAACCCCCTCCCCCCAGCGTTGTGGGCGCGGACTTGTGCCACTTTTGGAAGCTTCGGCGCTGCTTCGAAAGTGGAAACTGCAATCTCCTGATTTGGTGTGCCGGGTAAATGCTTGGAAGGCACTGATGGGGGCAAATTTCCACGTGTTCGAAGCTCCCCAAAAGGGAACAGCGGCCAGATCTGGCGTCCCACCAAGCCCACACTTGCCTTGCCGACCCGTTCGGCGACCCCACATCGAGACTCGCTTCTCCGGTAAGAGATGGATGCCGCAGTCTCTGCTCCGCGTCAAGCCGCATTTTATCGCTGGGATATGTGGGATTTGCGCCTTTTTTGTGTGAGAGAGGGTCGTGGACTCGGCCCGGTAGGAGAAAGAATTTTCTTTCGTCGTGGGGAATCTCTCGGCATCAGGCATCAAAGCGCATTCACCCCCTTCAGCACGGAGCACGGTGGCAGTGGCAGTGGCATTTCCAAAGGGCTCGAACGCCGAACGGTCCGGTGAAACGAGCGGTCCATGTGCTGTCTCGAATGGCCGACTTGGCGAGCGACGGCAGATCAGGTCGCTGGGCGGACAAAGCTTGTGTGCCCCGACACGACCGACTCGAGCTGGATTCCCTATCGAGTCGAGTCATGGACTGATGGCAGAAGCCAACAGAAGAAATTGGGTTGACATGGGACGACAGGGGACCCAAGAAAACCAGGTGCATGCCCACTGCAACCCACTTCGGGATGTGCAGCAGCGGTCTCGCTGCATGTGGAGGCACATCAAGCGCAGGATGGGCAATGTAACACTTGGTTCACCGGTGCGGGTCTGAGGGGTGGCATCAACGGTCTTGCAGCCCGGAATCTCGCCTCTTTGGTGATCGTGCCGCCTCTCCCCTCAGGTACGATGCGCACTTGCCTGGGAAACCACCCCTCGAGGTGGTTTGGTCTCTCGACCGAGCGCGCCGAAGGACCGACGGAGCAGGCTCCTTGGCCAACCGCGTTTGGAATTGAGCTCAAGGAGTTGCCCCCAGTGTTCGTGGCCACAGGCAATCGACACGTGCTTCCCCCGGTGCCCCGGTGCGCCCAGACTCCCACATCGCCGTCTGGACGATCCTGGCAGGCTTATTTCCAGCTCGACACCTGGATTCCACGCGCTGGTGCGACCGCGCCCGAGTACCTGGGGTGATGAGGGGAATCCTTGGAGAACGTTCAGGCACCGCCGAGTGGAAGAATGAGAAACAGTGGGCTCAGGGACCTGGACCATCGCGAGAGAGAGAGAGCACGGAACACGGCGACCCGAGCGAGCCAACATCAAATCAACATTACTCTGTGCAGTGGAGAGTTGTACTGTGTAGAGTGAGTTACCCCGTCCTTGGGCTGGGCCCTCGACATCAAGGAGCCCAAGAACTGGACGGCGGCGGGAGGGTACCACCCTGAGCAGTCGTGGGTACTTCAGCCCCAAACCGCAGGGCCCCACCACCGTTTGCTGCTCCGTTTTCCCTGCCACCGCGGTTTTGTTGGTGGCTTTCTCGCCGGCACCAATGGCTTTCATCGAGTCCTGTAATGTACTGTGGATGTACTGGATGGATGTATGGAGCATGTCCTGCGAGCCTGGTTGTCATGCATGTCTTGTCTGGCGAGACGGCAAATGCAAGCCTCGACCACGGCACTTCCTTCGCTTCTGCTTCTGCTTTCTACTTTTTCTGGTTGACGTGCGCTGTTCCGGTACTGGCAAAGCGCTATGCCTTTTCTAGATTCACAGGAGTCGAGACAAGCAGCCATCTGCCCGTTTTGGCTGGTTTCAACCATGAATAACCCTCTCCCCAGAAAGCTCACGCGACGCAATCCAATGGCTTCTCCCGTTTAGCTCCAAGCCCTCTTGGGGGGATTTGGTGACAGGAGCAGCAGCAAAATGTGAGTGAGACACGACGGGCAGTTCGGACGGTGCCTGGTTCGAACGGGTGCTGAGACAAAATTGAGGCCCAAACGGCCGAGTACCTACTCGACGATTCAGTCTGTTCTCGTGTCCTTGGGCACTCACGGCACTGCTTTGCTCTGGGTACGAGATGCGCTTTGATGAATTAAATGGGATGCGACTGGAGGGCTAACCGCAGAGGCAACCATCCGTCCCAATAGACACACCGCAGACGCAGACGCAGAGACACCAATGTCTGGAACGCTTCCTTCCATCTTCCACAATCCTTGCTCGCTACCTCCCACCCCTCGGCCCGGTTGACACCCACCCCCACCCTATCCCCTGTCGGTACCTCGTGCTGGGTACTCACAGGGATATTTCCCGACCCCTACCGCAGTCCACAACTCCCACCAGGAGGTTGCATGAAGTCCAAACATGGGTTCCTGGTCGTTGCTCGTCTGTCCAGCGACAGCTTCCTCCACCTGTTCTTGGCCCAGCGTCTAAACCTCCTACGATGCCGCGACTTAAATAAACCTCGCTTCCCACCCTCCACCGGCTCCTCCTCTTCTTTGGCCTGCTCATCATCTCCACCCACCTTGACGATTAGACATCCAGATCACCACCGCACCAGTTCACATCAACAACTCTATCCGCCAGTGCAGATCATACCAGGCCATCACAGCCCACCTTGGTCTCAAGTCCCTACCCAAGCATCATCAGTCCTCTAGAACGACCGATCCGAAGTCGTTCGATTACACCCCGACATATCCTTCTTCCACAACCACAAGCAGCCATGTGCGACTATACCCAAAGAGAGTACTCGTGCGGCCACTTCCGGTGGATCGCCTCGAAGTGGTGCCGCGACTACACCATCACCCACAAGAGGTGTCAGCCCAACGTCACACATTTCGAGTACCGGGCCGAGGAGCTATGTGGTACGTTGCTACGTTCCGAACCCATTGCCCGAGAACCAAATACTGACATCCCACCGCAGGCGAGTGCAAGCCGAAGGAGTACCCGCCATGGGAGAACCTCATCAAGCGCCCCAAGCAGCCGACCTACTAGAGCTCCAATTCCGCATTGGAGACCAGAAGGAGGGCAGGCATGCTGTCCGCTGGATGGCGTGACGGGGGCGGGCGCAACGAGCGACACGGAACACAGAGCGGGACGAGGGCATGATACGGCGACCAGAGCGACTCGGCGAGAGCCAACACAACAACCCAAGGCCGTTTCGACCGAAGCATTGGGCGGGGGGGACTTGGGTCCTGATCAATGGCGGCGAATCCCATAACACGGAGCCGGCACTGACGGGGCTCACTGCCAATCCAATCACCGCCCTGCCACCTCGCGTCGCATCCACAACACCTCCAAACAACACCTGCGATTCATCGAGACCTGGGGGGAAACACTCTCCCCAACCCTAGTCCATGATCGCCTCGTCCGACTCGACAGCTTGCTGCTCCTGCTGCTAGTTGGGCAACCACCCCCGCGATTACCGCGACCCTCTTCAGGCTCCCCGAAGCCGCCTCGGCCAGCTCTGTACCACCATGTCACATCACCCTCACATTCTTCGCGCGACCGGTTGTTGGCTTTTTACTTTTATTGGGATTTAATGAGCGGCGGGGTTATCAGGCGCGCGGAGCGACACCATTGGCGTTTTTGACTTTCCGGGCACATTTTCCAACAACACGTTTGCATCTTTTGCTTTTTTGTTTTGTGTGTGTGGTTTTCTGTCAATTGGCTTGATACCGTCGGGGATGGAAAACCCTGGTTTGTTTTTGCTTTTACGGGATTGGGATAATCCCCGGATGCCTTTGCGGTGCTGGTGTTATACCATACAGGAGGACTTGGGGTTTTTTGATTGGGTTTTGGATACCACTGACAGTACTCCTTAAACGGAGGGATTGGGGACGGGGTTGGGTCGGGAAGTTGTGGTATTGGATTGATACCGTTGCTGTTCGTGCCCGCCTACCTAGACTTGAATGAGAAGCGAATAAGCTATCCCTACCTTGCGAGATGAGCCATTGTGTGAATCAAGGTGTCATTGATCTGGTGAAACTGCTCGTGACTTCGCTGTGAGGGCCGAGTCAAGGTGTCATTCTGCCATCATGATCATCAAATCACCACAGGGCCACACAGCATCACCGACGTCCCATTGGGTCGTGGGGGAAGCTCGGCGGAGTTGTCAAACTTGGTGATGAAAGAGGAATGGCGCTTGTTCGGGCGCGCCGGGGTAGGGCTCGGTGGGTTGCTTTGGTACCTTGCTGGAGCAGCTTGCGAGGTTGCCACTTTCTCTTTTGCTTTTCGTTTGGGGGTCAACTGACCGACGGGGGGTTGAAGGCCTCGGCATTGACGACAAGAGGCTTCGGACAATAAGCAACAATTATAGCAGCCCGCGGGACCCCGTTTCATCGTAACTTTTCCCCCCCAGGGCAGCTCCTCCCGCGCTTGCCTGGCCCCCTTCGCCGACTCCGAATACCTGCCAAGCCCAGCTCTGTGATGGGGGCGTCCGTCTGGCCCACGAGTCGCGACCGATCATCGGCAGGGGTCAACACGACAATCGAACCCCTCCTATCACCCTGGACGTTCCCAAACAGGTCAGCCGACAGCCCCGCCATACTGGAAACGACAGGTGATGAGCTCGGTGCCTCCCGTCGTGTTCCTCAGCAAGTAAAGCGTTGTTGAGTGCTGGTGAAAAGCCCCGAACTTGGGAGAGCGGGCTTGCTCCCAATGCCGCAAGGGGTTAACAACCTAACTACAAGTAACTGACGGCCACCGAGCTAAGAGACGGGAGCGGAAAGAAAGCGGTGGATAATTCCGCTTGTTTAACCTCGCGCACCAACCCACACCACCTGGACTCGGGCGTGGATGCAGCGGTTTCGCTAGATCAAGCCTCCTCGTCAGGCCACGGTGCCGCTATCAATGTTCGGCAGCGTGAGGTGTGCCGGCGCCAGATTGCATTGATTGGCGCCGCCCAAAGACGGTCACACTCGATGTTTGTCAGACGCGGTATCCGAGGGGTGTAACCCGAACCGCTGTAGCACGAGTTGCGGCAGCAAGTTAGGAATCGAGAAGCGCCACTGACCACTACTGTCCCACCAAGATGAGAGAAAGCTGCACCACCTCGGAGGTTGCGCTCCCCGCGTTAGTCTCGGGTCAAGGCAACATCGGATTACGGCCGGCAGGGGCGGTTGGGCAACATCCAGCCGACGCCGCTAGCCGGGCAGGAGGAAAGGCACAATTGGAGCCCGAAGCAAGAGGCGTTCCAGGGTCTTGCGGTCCGCTTCATACAGTTTGTCCACTTACTCTATCCAGCACTTTCTAACGCGTGTGATGCTCTTGGGGGGGTGATGTGATGACAGCTGGCCAATGGCGGGGTGAGGAGGGGTTGGACCCCGAAATCTCGACGCCGAATCCTCGGCCGGAGCGCAATGAGTGACGGGCGGCCACGCCTGCGGCGCTTTCGGTTATCAACAAGGTAATTCTCCGACCAACGGTGGCCGCAGTGTCTCGCGTTCATGGACGTCCGTCGTGGCACGGTACACATCCACGAGATCTCGGGTCGCCAACAACAGAGACTCGGGAGGTGTCGTGAAACGGAAAACCGAATGTGTCCTTCTTGCCGTGCCATGACGCCAGTAATGGGAACTCATTAGCTTCAGCAAGGAGAGGCAGCGCCGCCCTTCTCATCATCGACGCATACATACTTCCGCGTCGTACATGGAGGACTATACGAGGGTTGCCTCCAAACCTTCCCGCCAGGGATCTCACAGACATCATTGGCGCCCCAGGTCTTGCTTGCTCTCGCCGGTGACACAGCGCCTGACTTGCCGTGCATTCCAGAGTCATGGTCCATGGAACAGAGATTCGCATGGAGAGCAGCAGCGCCTGATTGTTTCGGATAGAAACAGTGCAGACCACAGGGCAGCAATGCTTTATGGCAGCCACACGGCATGTAGCCGAGGCGCGGGGTTCTGGAACCGGCGATAGGCTGTGCTGGGAGATGGTTTGAGCCGTCAGTCGTCCAGCAAAGAATGACGGCGTCCGAAGAGTGAAGCCGACTACTGTGTAGGGACCCCATTGAGGAGCATGGATCGGGCTTGGACGAAGGTAATAAAGGTAGTTGAACCCATCGGCATTCGGTGGTAGTATTCAAGACCGGACCGCCGTGGTCGGTCGGTACCGAAAACCGGCCGTGCAGTTCTCGATCGGAACCAACCTGCTTGATCATTTTGCGCAAACTCGCCTATCCCTCCCCCCTTCCCCGCCCAGTGAAGGGGTTCGACCCCATGCCGCGGGGAGTTTCGGACGAAGTGATCATTCGGGAGCGGTAGCTCGGGAAACTGCGCCAGCGGGCTGCCAATGTTAGCACAAAGGGTGAATCAAGTGGGAAGAATGAGTGAGGCCGTCGTCGAGTTTGGTGCATGCGGTTCAGATGTGGCAATGAAGATGACGGGGGAGCAAGGGTGGGTTGCTGCTCATTAATGGCTCCTTCAGCGAGTCACACTGTGGGCCTGTGCCGGTCATCTTGGCCGCAGCAACTCCTGCAACGTGGGACAGAAAACCCAGGTCCAGTTTCCCGTAGTGCTCGGCCAAGTGCAGCTCATGCAGTTGAGGGACGGTGCTGTTGTGCGGCACAGGATCACTGGGGTTAGGTGAGGGAGGGACGGGAGCTCCTGTGGAGGTAGGGAGGCGGGGCAGTGGAACACCAGCGTCGACGGTCAGACCTCGCTGCGAGGGACAACTCAGGTAATCTCGCAAGGTACCTTTACCTATTCGTCGCAAATGGTCGAGGTAGCTGTGCGCACCCGGGGAGAGACGGAGAAACCCCCAATCGGCTTGCGATAGGCTTTATGCTACCAGTACAGGTATTTGGTAAGGTACTCGATGATTTCGTTCTTTTGTTGTTGAGGGACCCGCTATGCTCCCTCTCGGTGCCAGTGGTTCTTGCCTCGCTCGGCGGGTTCCGCCCGATGTGCTGATGCCTGCTGGAATGCTGTACGTCGATTGGCTGCCGGTTGCGCTCCTGAGAGTCCCCAAAGATCGAATTGGAACAACATCGACTTTCATTTTCAATGAGCTAGGTCAATCTCAATCTGTCTCTGCTGTGTCTACGGCCGAGTCCATTTTCGCTAGGATCCCGTTGCAGATGCAAGGAGTTTCCAAAAGAAAAACCAGGTTCCGAGTCGACGCCCGATTTCCAAATCGGGAGGCAGAAAGAGACCTGTCACAAATCGGAGATCGATTCGATCGTGCCTGTCGCCTGCCGTCACACCGAAAGCCTAGCCGGACCTCCCACAGTTGTTCCATGGTCCACGGATTTTGAGGATTTCCCGGCGAGGGCGCATATCGTACATACACAGTACAAGAACACCACCAGCACACCAAGCAAGGGAGCTTTTGCGGCGTGGAAGATGATCAAACTTCAAGCTTGCTAATGGAGGATAACTACACCTGACGGAGAAAACAACGGCGCAGCTTGCCATTCCGCTCTTGTCACCTGACGACAAGTCGCTGCACGGCAGTTTGCCTCTGGGAACGGAGTGGTCGCTCAACCGGCCGCTCGCCCGTCTCGGTGTCGGTCAGGAGGAGCTTGGGTGGGATCGACCTTGCCAGTTCACTCATTTCTCCCGGGGTGCGGAGACGGCACTTCGAAGATCCCCGATGGAAGATGTGGAAGGCAATCAATTCATGCGGAATATTCGGCAACAGGGGTTTCTGTGCATTCTGAAGCGTTTCACTTGCTGGCTTCCTCACCTTCTTCGGTCCGTCTGGCCGAGTTCGGGAGCGATGGCGATGGTTTTTGTCCCATGGCCTGCCGACTGCCTCTCCAACCGTACCGGCTCGTCCTTTCGGGGCGTTTCACGATTCGTCCCCCGTTGATTGCTTCGAATGGCACTCCTCTGTGCACACTCTCAGCCTAAATCACGAGAGCCACCAGCCACTTCACCGGCATGTCTCGATGTTACCGGCCGGCAGCCAACCCTGATTCTGTCTCACCCGGGTGTGGTCGCACAAGCTCATCCCAAACGGCTCCCTCGCAGAAACCGTACATAGAACGGCAACATGCACCACGCACGACGGCTCCTCGCAGCTGAGTGCCGGCAGCCAGGGGCTGTCTGAACAACTCCTGCAACCCCAGAGCGCCGCGGCTCTTGCAACCATAATTGGTACCCTAGTGATATCGAGGAGCGACATGCGACAACTTGAACCACGGCCGCCCGCTTCTCTTGAGATGCTGATATTGTCGTAGTTATCGATGTTTGAAACACGATGGATGGCTGCATTCCCTTGGGATGCAGTATCTGATCTCACTTCAGCTAGGGCCCAAACTCGGCCAGGAGTCGAACCCTGTTGGGCTCGAGGCTGGCAACATGCCATGTTCGTCTCTTGAGATTGGGGTGGGTGCTTGTCCGTGGTGGTGTGCTGATACCACCGTACTGTGTAGTGACGGCTCAGCCAGAACCATCTTACAACGGTGTCCGGGCGACTCGCTATCCCGCCCCTCCTCCTCGGGCATTCCCAGGATCGAGCCATTACGGTGGCTGGGAACTCCTGTGCACATCGGTTCTTGGGGCGTCTGCCTCTGCCTGTGGGCCGCCCGGAGGTGCTCGGGTATCAAAGCGGATGACATGCAGCGGCCTGTTGCGATCTCACCCCCTTGCCACAACCCGCCAAGCCTTTTGTTTCAGTCGCTGGCAGCAAGTCCCTGAGACTCCCCACGCTGACAAACCTAGTCCCGAGTCTCGAAGCAGCATATGTACATATGTCCTCCGTCCAACGTTCACGGGTCGTTCATGCGAGGCCGCCAAATTCCACCAGTGGTCTTTCCCCCGGCTTTGCGAAAGAGATCGCTCGTCGTGTTGCGAACAAAAACTTCGAACCACGGCGGGAAGACCCCACCCACTTCCTGTGGAGAAGGCGGCCCGGGTTACCATTCTCAAACCCCCCATGTTCGCAGATGAGGTTGCACCCGCCCAAGCTGCCGGCTCACCGGCTTATAGCAGGGCTGTGCTAAGACCTCTTTTGGGAGATTGAGCCACGAGTCACCCTCCAAGTTGGGCGGCAACTCGTGCCGCATTGGTACCTTGGTCTGTGAAAACGGAGGCAGCGAAGCCTGGTCTTGGTAACGGCCAGCGGGATGTCGAACTAATCGAGGTTGCTGATGCAACTCAAATCCAGGTGCTCTTCATTCTCGCTTGGGTGAGGATGACAACAGCACGGCAGAGCCGGGAGCGGGCCATTCCCGGTAGCGGGCTGCTGTCATGATTCACGACTTCTGGTGGATGGCCTTCACCGGTCATCTTCTGGAGTTCGGTCCCTTCATTGTGATGCTCGGATACGCGTGCGGATTTCGCTGGCCACCATACGCCCAGAGCACTGCACCGGTTTCCGTGGGGGAGCGGAAGCAAGAGGAGGTCAAGGAGGTGCCCCCCACCTCCGACCTCCATTATCCGAACCCTCCTCACGCCCTCCTTGCAGCGCTGTCCCAAATCAATTACCGAGCATGTCTCTGTATATGGATGGGTGTCAGTCAGTCAGTCGTGTTGCTCCATGCCGTCGTGATTGTTCGCCCGAGATGAAAACCGTTTCAGCGTCCCACCCGTCATCCCCAATTTGCCGTTACCCCAACGCTCTCCGTTACCACCTACCCATGCACCCAGCCCGGACTCGGGGGTACTTCTCCCGGCTCCTTGACCCTGTTTGCGGGTTATTGAGGCAAGTCCAGAATTCCCTTTTTTGGTTGTCCGAAGGACTGTTCAGTCTGACAAGCGCATACCAGAAAATTCCCTCGTGGATTTTATTCACTTCTGGGCCGAATTACCGGCGAATGCTGGCCCCCACGGGGGCGGTGTTTCGACCGGTGAGCTCCTGGTTGGATAACAAATCCGCGTGGCCTGCCGCCCCCTGCGGCGTGGAGGTGAGACGAGGATCAAGACGATCGCGCTGCAGCAAACCTCGAATCTCTGACGTGAACTGAGAGCGTCTAGTCAAGCTCGAAGAGACCAAATTCATGCGGCTCGTTACTCCAGCAGCGGAAATGGACATTTAGGTTGAGCCAAAACTTCAAGCAACCCTCCGGGCTCAGCCGCCGTTGAGGATAGGACCTCACAAACTGTATGGGAGACAAGAGATGATGCATGGCCGAAAAATCCCGACTCGTGAACCCGTGTCGGAAATGCCGGTAACTCCAGGGCTCGGCGAGTCATGGCCTTCTGTCGGCACTTTCTCTATTCACCGCCATGCTTCCTTTCCCCCATCCTTCCCCTTCCCTATCGGGCTCCGACATCGATAGTCACCGTGAGGCCAAGTCCTCCCACACCGGGGAAGTCAGCCCGTACCAAACAAGATGGGGTGGAACCCCCACGGCAAGGGGTCTTCCCCCGCATCGCGGTTGCGTTCCGCAAAGGAACGAGGGGGGGGGAAGGTCCGGAGATGCCAAGTCCCCGGGGTCCCCGGGATATCCGGCCTCCCCCGGGCAGGACTTTTGACTCCGGAAAACGAGGCCCGCCCTGGCCCGGCTCGACCCCGGGTGGGCCGCTCTCCGGCAGCCGTTCCGAGAGGACCCCACTTCACCCTCGTCGCTTATCGACCAACGTTCGGTTCGTCGGAGCTCTCCGACTCGTTGTGGAGGGGGGGCGAGGCGTGTGAAAAGCAGAAACAGGGGGTAGTCCGGATTACGAACGGGCTGTTGGCTGTTTCTGGGAGTCAGCACAGCTCCCTGCCGCTTTCGATGCCGGAATGGACGAGGCATTGCCCCGGCAGCTCCCGTTTTCAGGGGCACGGTATCGATCGACTGGACATTCCCAACACCGAAGCTCATCCGCGAAGTCTCCTCGGTGTCTCGGCTTAGGGGAGATCGTTTGCTTCGTACTATGGAGGCTTAACGCGCCCTTGAAACGGCAGGGGTAAGTACAAACAAGCCGCGGAGACGTCTCGAGATATACGACCAGTCGTTTTTCATTTTCTTGATTTGGTAAGGATGGGTCTCGCCGGTGGGCAACCGTCAACGGTGGGCGATCATGTCGCACCATGATTAGTCTTTCCGAGAGCCTTGTTTGTGGGTTCGCAGGAGAGGGGCTGAATTGAGAAGGCCCAAAATACTGGATATGGACAGGGGTTGGATAATACCTGTGAAACATGTTTTGTTTGCTTCTCCTTGCCGGGCTCCCCATCAGGGCCGCATCTCGGCAAGCTCATGTGACCCAGACTCGCCGCAGACAGTCTTTCGGTTATTTTATGATACTGTCTGGCGCGAGACATGACGGGGCCGTCTCTGGATAACCGAATGGAGTTCTGCGATCCGTTTTCGTCGATCCAACGGCCAACGCAGTGGAGCATTTCAGACATGGAGATCAGGGGCATGCATCGCTGTTGCGAGCGAGTCCCGAAGGGGTTTCTCACTTCCATACATGCGAGGGGTTACTCGTTTGGAAGAGCCGTGCATTGGTCGACGGCGTTTTCTCCACCCTCGTCTACTGGTGGTTGAGTATCCCAGGCTCCCCAGGGTGTCATGATTAAAGTGGTCCAGAACTGCACTTCTGGGAATCATGACCGGTCTGAGAACTCGCTAGCTGACCGGTCGTCTGCGTGTCAACGGCGAGGGTGAAGGGCCTTTCCGCATGTGTCGCTTGTCAAGCGGCCTTCATGTGAAGTTGTGGAGTCATACATCGTCATCGACCTCAGCCGGCTGCTCGACAGCCTAGTGTGGTTTGGGGGGTGCACCATCCGAGGTGCCCAAGAGGGCATATGCAGTGGGCTGCTATTAGCTCGTCTAGGTGTCTACTGATGAAGCATCTCAAAGGTACAAGGCGCCATTAACGGATAGTTAGCGTCCTCCTGTCACGAGTCTTGTTGGTGCCGACCTCCGTTTTGACGTCAGCTATTAAACAGCCTTTTCCACTTTCGTCCTTGTGCAGCACAGTGGGGGCACTCTGGCCGGCAGACAGACAACGAGAGGCGTGCCCAGAACCTGGGGCACTACCCTGGGACATGCCCTCGCAGCACTTGGCATGGTGGCAACGTGTCGATGGGAGAGATCTAGGCGCTCGCATCGAGATGAGATCGTGTCGTGGATCGATTCGAAGATGGATTGCTGAAATCCTGATTCAGGGTGGTAATGTTGCCAACCGAGGACCTTGTGCCAAACCTCGAGGGACGCAGTATGTCGGTCGAAAGTGGCTTGCGCAGGTTGGGACACGTTTGCCAACGCCTGTCTTGGTTGCGAACTGGGCGCGAATGACTTGTGATGCCAAGGCATGTGGTTATCACATACCGGCACAAGTCAGGCATCTCATTGCGTATTCGGGTCCCGCGGTCGAAGCGGCTTTTGTCGCAAGGAATGGCTCGCTACGCAACCCCAAAAATGGCATGGTGAAGGGAAGGGGTAACGGCCGTGCGGGACGCCAAAGGAGAACATGTCACCAGCTGAATCAAGCAGACTCCTGGGTTGGCGGGATGTTCCATCTGTCTTGCCGCACCGATCCTCGGCCCCTCTCCCGCACGGCATCACCCACGAACCATTTACTCACATCACCGGGTAGCTTGGATTATGCTACGCCTCCTCCATACTTCCGAAGATTTTCGGGTTGATCTCGGGACTCAGATCTGGGCGACAGAGAATGATATAGAAAGGCGAGCCCACTGGCATGAAGCAACACGTATATCCCGCTGGCATGGGATTCTCATGTGTGGGAGCCCTGGAGGACCCCGTGATCCGGAACCGAATGCTGTTCTGCGTTGTCTGGGAACGGAGATCGGGTGTTCTGTGGCCCGCGTCGCCCTGGCTGGCGGTCAGATACCGGCGGATTGTGATGCTGTGCCAAGGTGGCGTACGCGGCGCTTCGGCAGTCAAGCGCTACCCAGTTAGAGTCTCGGGACGGTCCCAACCGCCCGGGACAGTTTGCTTTCCTTGTCAAACCCGGGCAATATTTGGACGATCAAGATCCAATGGAGAATAGCGGTCCAGATACAGCGGAGGAGGGGATGGGGAAGTCCCATGCATGCAATCGGCGCCACGCTCAACCACGGTCTTATCCGATTCAAGACGCACTGTTCGCGCTGTGGCAGAGAAAGACAGAACGGGCGAGATCCTATACTTCGTGGAGGACTTTCGCGGGGAATCACCAAGTTTGTCCCGTCGCGGGTCATACACCCCGTCCTCGGTCAAGTGCCGAGACAGCGGGGAACAACGGTGAACCGGAGCCAAGCGGTGCCGACGCGGACGCGGACTGTGGATAGCGACAAATGATTCCTCGGCCGAGGGCACTCTCGAACGAGAAAGTGACATCTCTCTACACAGTAGTGAATACCTAGGTACCGAGATATCTCGGCCAAGGACCCTAGGCAGGGCTCCTCAGATCAACCGTTGTCTCATGCCAAGTGCCGTAACGGAGCGACGAGGCGGATACGGCCGGCAGGTGAACGTTGAAGATGGGCCTGTGGTGGCTGGAGAGTTGTGATGTGCCCATCGTGGTGTTGAATAGATCATGATGTTGAATGGGCGGTGCGGAAGATTCGTCGCGTGTCGCGAGTAAATTAGTTAAGGTTCACAAACGAGCGGGACGCGCCTTTTCGCGAACGCGGGGTTCGGCCAGGGGACCCACCCAACTCCACGCTCGGCTGTCACAGCAGCAAGCACCTGTCTGTGGATGCTCGGGTCGTAACCATCACCCCGCCATCGATCGCGAGTCTCGCTCTCCCTTCAAGGTTCTTGAAAGACCGGCTGCATTCGCGATGGAGTCCCCCAACAAACTCAATGGCATGGGGACATGGCGCCGCTACAAGCTCGGCCAGGCGCAGTTCACCAGCTGGCTAAAGCAGACGGCCGAGAAGCTATTGACGCGAAAGAATGACGACGCCGGAGGAAAACAAGACGAAGCAGCAGGCGATGCAGAGTCGGCACCCCAGCAGTCGCGTCGCCAGAAGAAGAAAGCCAAGTCTGCAGGGACTGGCGTTGGGATGACTTTCGACACAGGGACGGGCAAGTTCGTCCATTGGAGCCAACTCGAAGTCCTCGCCCAACGCGTTGTTGATAATGCCACCCCCGACGACGTTCCCGAATCTGCCCTTAACATCCTCCGCGACGTCGTCAGCCTGCGGAAGAAGAGCTTCAGCTTTTTCAGTAGCTCTGCCAAAGACACCGACGATGAGAAGCTCAGGCAGAGCAACGCCAACCATGCCCACATCATCAGCGTCCTCGAACGAGTCCTGGCCAGGTTGGAAGTCCTCGTCAAGGCTGGCGGAAGCAACCAGCGCAAACCAAAATCGACCGATAACACTCGGGTTGCTACGTCGGACCTGAGTAACATGTTCGCCTTCCTCGAACTGCAAACCGACCCAACCACCGCCGATGACGCCGCGGCAGACCAGCTCGAGGAAGAAGCCCCGGCTGCCGAGCTCAAGGGAGGGCCGCAGAAAGCTGGGAAGAAGAAGGGCGGAAAGAAAATGGGGAAGCCCAAAAAGCACGAGACAAAGCCGGAGAAGGCAGCGGCCAAGACCAAGGACGGCACCTCTTGGGTGGACAAGTTCCGCTTTGGGTTACCCGGCGAAGAAGAGGACGAGGACGACGAGTTCGATCTCTACATGATGGTCTATTGCTTTTTCGAGGACTTCAACGCCATCCGGAGCCATGTCGCAGAGCGGTGGTGCGACTACTGGTACGATAGGTCTGTGCCGCTCGACACGCTGGCCGTCGTCACCAACGCCGCCTTCGAGCTCTTCCATCAGCTGGAGTACGACCTCGTCCGGGAACTGAGGCCCCTGAGCCCGGAGTTAGCGAGATACGACTTCATGATGAGTATGCTCTTCTACCACTACGGAATCGACCACATCGACTACGCCTCGTACGACGATCTCACCGACGACGAACAAGACGAGCGTATTTGGAAGGACGAGTCCGACTGGTTGGCGCTAGAATCGCATTTCACCCTGCAACGGACCCTAGAGTCGATACCCCCGGGAAAGGTGCCGATGTTGGCCCCGTCTCATCGCACCCCCACTGTCTACGGTGCTAGGACCTTAGATGAGTGGAAAACTTTCGAGTCGTTGGTGACCAACCAGATTATCCTCGAAGGGGCCCATCTAAAGGCCCTCAAGGTCAATCAGCAGGAACCACCGGTGCTGCCCGCCGAGTCCCTGCTCTTGCTGGACTTTCAGGATTGCTTGAAGAAGAACAGCTACAACTCGTCCCTGATATTTTCTCTGCACCTATGGGTGGACATCCGCAACATCATGGAGTCTGACCATGACAAACCGTTTGAGGAATTGCAGACCACCGCCACGAAACTCAAAGCAGCGCTCGAGAAATACAACCCAATCAAGTATCGCAAGGACCACGAATTCAAGCGGGCCTGGATCAGTCGTCTCTGGGAGACCAAGCACTACATGGTGGAGGACTTCCTGTTCGAGGACAAGAAAGCCCGCTTTCGGCAAATTGGGATCGAGGAAGATCCCGAGCCTTTCTTTCTGCTCAGGCATGAGCCTGTATGGACGGGTTTGCTTGCCTTCCGTGCTAAGCTGGTATACAGCCAGCTAGGGCATGGATTTGTCCAGCTCAGCTCTATCGTCGAGGCTGCAACATGCTTGTATTATGCCGCCCGCGCAGCAGACCCGGACCTCCCTCGCTGGGAGGACATGGATAAGTACGTGGACACACATAAGATCGCGCCACAAGACGGAGAGGGTGCAACGGCTATCATCTGCAAGTACGCCGAAGCAAAAGGCGGCAAGCCGGCGCAAGACAAGGAGACCGCCCACTCGACCAATGGCAATGACCCAATCCCAGCGGTTGCCGTACGGAAGAGTCTGTACCAGCGATATGCTTTTGACGAGAGACGCGCACCTTTTGTCGACTACCTCGGGGAACTCACCGCACAGCGGCTGCAGATCGAGCGCACTGAGCGGCAAGGTGCCCGCAAAGCACCCGCACACCCGGGGACCGACACGACCGATCCCGCTGAAGTTAATGACGGAAACGGCGTGAGCAAAGCCACTGACGCCGAGTCGGACTTCCAACGCGATTCGGAGCTCTCTCGACTGTCGCCCATCAAAATGCTCGAGTTGCTGGATGAGACGGTCACATCCCAGGTGGAAGGGCTGCTCACGCTCGATTATTTCAAGCTGTTTGATGAGTCTGCCGCTCTGCTCGAAGCCGTTGCCAGTGGGTTCGGTCCCGACATGGAAAGCCGTCTTGGCCGCCCCCACGATGGCGAATCGCCGGCCACCGTCGAGCGACTCCCCATTCTTCTCGGCCAAGACTTGAAGGATTCGCAGGGCTCTGAACGGGAGACGAGTATTATTAACATTGTGGTTGCAACATGCCGGGAAGTCCTTCAAGGACTTGTGTAAGCTTCGCTGGCCATGACATCGAGATGATCCCTGGGGGGCATTGGACAGCCCCGACTCTCCAATTTTGGATGCGAGCATGCTCGACGATTGGTTGAACGCCGGCGTGACTCAAGCTTGGTTACTTGTAGCTGCAGATCAACAGTAACGTAACGGCTAGTCTTGCTCCACATCCGTACTTCGTACTCGACGTCTGTGGGGCATTCCTGGCGTGTGATTTGGATGCTCAACCCATCGTCTAACCGCAACATTGGTCTATTTTAACCCTTCGGCTGGCCCCAAAACCCAACTTTTGAGACATCCTAAGCCTTCTCTCACGACATATTCGTGTGGTTGGATCAATACTCTTATACTCTTCACGTTCTTTTCACATCAACCGCCGAGCCACCTACACGCAACCGCAAGAGCCACCCTTCACCATGGCCGAGAAGCTCGACAGCATCCTCAAAAGCTACGTCGCCGACGGCACGGCAACCAAGGACAAGCTCCTCGGAGCGTCCTTTATTGTGGTCGGTAAAGATGGTACATGACCACCCCGCATATTTACCACCCTTGGTCCCTCGACTAACCCCCTGACCCCCTTACAGGACCCATCTACCAAGGCTCCGCGGGCCGCACCCGCGTCGACCCCTCCTCACCCCCCTTCCAAACCGACTCCATCACCTGGATGGCCTCCATGACCAAGCTGGTCACCACAGCCTGCGTCATGCACCTGGTCTCGCGCGGGCTCGTCACGCTCGACGAGGACCTGCGCCCGCGCGTGCCGGAGCTCGCCGCGCTGCCGATCCTGAAGGGCTTCGCGGACTCGGACAACACAGCGGACTCGGACGACAAAGACTCGGAAAAGAAAAGCCGCGACGGCGCGCCGCTGCTCGAGCCCAACACGAGCCCCGTCACGCTGCGGCACCTGCTGACGCACACCGCCGGCCTCGGCATCAACCCGGGCGACCCGGACCTGCAGCGCTGGGCCGCCTGGGCCGGCGTCGCCGACCACGTCGGCAGCTGCACCCTCGCCGGCTGGTCCACGCCGCTCAAGTTTGCCCCCGGTGCCGGGTGGTACTACAGCACGGGGACGGACTGGGCCGGACAGGTGCTGGAAAGGGTTGCGGGGGTGAGGTTGGGGGAGTATTTGGGGGGGGTTTTGGGCGGGGGGTTGGGGATGGAGGATACGGGGTTCTTTCGGGAACGGGTGGTGGGGGAGGGGAAGAAGGGGAGGTTTGTGCCGATTGCGGAGAGGGATGCGGAGGGTGGCGGGTTGACGGAGAGGGCGGAGATGTTCCCTGCGGAACCGCAGTGCGAGAGCGGTGGGGCTGGGCTGTACTCGTCCGCTGCGGACTTTGGGAAGGTGGTGCAGGCGCTGCTGAAGGGTGGGTTGGATGGGGAGGGGATCATGAAGCGGGAGGTCGTGGACGAGATGTTCAAGCCGCAGCTGGATGAGACGCAGCGGCAGTGGATGCGGGCGATTCTCTGGGCCTTTGGGTCTGGCGCTGAGCTGCCCGAGGGCATGCCCGTCGATTATGGGATTGGGGGTGTGATCAATATGGAGGATGTGGAGGGACGGCGGCGGAAGGGGAGTTTGATGTGGTCGGGCATGTGCAATTCACGATGGGTGAGTCGGTTCTGCGATGGGATGGTCTGCCAGGTTGCTAACGGAATATGCAGTGGATCGACCGTGAGACGGGTATCGGCGCCGCGATGGTTGTCAATGTCTACCCGTACAATGACCCCACAGCTCTCAAGATGTACGATGAGCTGGAACGGGCCGTGTACGCGGAGCTTGTGCCGAAGTGGCAGGCATCGACGTGAGGACGCGGGACATCAGCCGACGGCACCCCTTGCAGCTTTAGTTGTGCGACATCTCTTCATTGACCTAGACATAGGAAAGCTTAATGATAGACAATAACAACGCCGTCCATGCTCCAACCGCTATGCCTCGAACCGATATGCTCACGCTCAAAAATCAACATATTTCTCGCTCTTCCCCGTGAAGCTGGACCACCGCCTCCTGTCCCCAATCTCCTTCTCATCGGCTGCCCGCCATGGCCGACTGTACCGGTTATAGTGTCCCCAGCCCTGGTCATTCGTCTTAGTCTCGGCTCCTCTCAACACCAGACGATACTCAGTCACCGGCATGTCCGGCCGCCGGTTCGCCTTAACACTAAACCTCTTGGCCTTCCCAAACCCAAACCAGCCCCTCTTCTGCTCCCCGAAGGCCCTGAACCCCGTCGGCGCGTAGGTCAGCTCACCACCAGGCACCTCGGTCAGCGCCACGACCCGCCAATCCCGGCGCCGGAACGCGTTGCTGCTGCTCTGCACGCGGTCGCTGAGCAGCTCGTAGATCTCGTCCTGCACGCGCCAGTCGAGCGCGCGCACGCGCCGCTCCAGGTCCGCCGCGTACACCGCGCCCTCCCACCAACCATCACCACTACCCCCCTTACCAGCACCACCGCCACCACCACCACCAGCGGACCCCACAATCTTGGGCTTCGAAAGCGTGCGCATCGGCCGGCTGCCGCCGCGGCGCGCCGCGCACGCCGTCACGCTCGCCTCGTGCAGCGCGACCGTGGCGGCCAGCTCGGCCTGCCCGAAGTGCGTGTTGGGCACCACCGACAGCACCGACCCCTCGTCGTCGCGCGGGTCGAACTGCCGCCAGAGCGTGATGCCCAGCGCGCGGATGTGGATTTTGGTGCGTGGCGTCGGGTGGTGGTACGTTATTGTCCACGACTCGTGGACGGTCTTTTGGGTGGGGGGGAGTTGGCTGTGCGGGGGGTTAGCGGGTGGGTTTGTTAGATATGGGAGAGGGGTGAGGGAAGGGGGGCCGTACAGTGGTTGGACTTGGCAGGTTGGGTCGTGTCGGCGGGGGGTGAGCGGGAGGGTGGTGAGTGTTGTTGGCGCGTGGCTGCTGCTGATGGAGGGGAAGCGGGATGGGAGGACGATTCGGCGGTGGAACGAGTTCTGGGTGCGCGTGCTGTGCGAGCGCGACGGCCGGAAGTCGTCTTCCTCGTCAAGGGTCGTGCAGGTTTCGCCTCCTGAGCTGAGGACCTCTTCGAGCTCGGGGAGGAGCTGGGCCTTCTCGTCGAGGTCGAGGGCGATGTCGGGGATCGAGGGGAGGCTTGGGGGCCGGCTGGTGGGTGCCATTGTGAAAGACGGGATGGTATATCGCCGTGGTCTGGGTTCAAATGGGCTATGCGGGTGGTTCCGAGTGCCTTATTGCACGTTGGCGACGATGTCGACGGCGTGGGGAGGCGAACCGGGTTTTGGCGGTGACATCAGGGCTTCGCGGTCGCGGTGATGATTGAGTCCACCTGGAGGTACAGGCCTTGTGGCCTGTCCTTCCCAACATTATTATATTCCTCGAGCTGCGGCGGGACTGTCATCACTCTGTTCACAGCGCGGCAGCGGCTCCTGCCAGGAAACACCTTGTTGGTGCGGTCTCTTGTGTCAAGACCACGGCGTAGTCGACAAGGCACTGCTATTTCTAGCCAAACCCGGCGGCTTCTCTGTCGCCGACGGCACAAAAAATGGGTCTATCTGAGCTTTTTGGGCTGTAACATGTTTCACGTTCTGCCTAGGAACTCCTTCAAGACCCTGGTGGTGACTGCGCCGCTCGCCCCCGGTTGTGGCACAACACATGTTGGGACATCCGGACTCGCCTGTGCCTCGTGCATCAAATATCGGGCATTTGTATACCATGCCGAATACCGTCGGATTGTTATCCGGGGTTGCGAAAAATCAGCCGTTTCGATGTTTCAGTCGGCAACTCCTTGCTTGCTCTGCCTCACTCGCAACACTTTTAGGCCGGGGACGTATTAAGATGCCTGTGAGATCGAATAAACCACCGAACCGGTGTAATTCTTGAGGCCATGCTTAAACCCCGATACCTCCGGTCAACAGTAAGAGTGACCTGTAACAATAACCCGGTAAGAACAACCCGACCGCCGTTTTGACTGCTGACAGGAGATGATAAAATTAAGTAAGTCGGTACCTAGGATACATTACAGTAACATTACAAAACTATCAAAAACACCTAACCCGCGAGTCCTACTCCCTCGGCCACTTGCTATCATTGCGCAACCAAGTCTCAAAGTCCTGCGTCGGCGTGTCCCGGCACAAGGCCGCGATATCAGCTCCATACCCCTCCCTCTCAAAGAAGGCAAACATATCCCCCATCTCCTTCACACCCCACATCAACGCCCTACCGAAAATGGTGAAGGTCTGCGGCAGCTTCTTCCCCATGACCCTGTGAAAGATCTCCTTCGCCTCCGCCAGCGTAAGCTCGTCGCCGGCCAGGCTGACCGCCCTGCCCGACCACTCGGCGGGATCGCCCAACGCCTTGGCGCCGAACACGCCGATGTCGTGAACGCTGACCAGCTGGAGCTTGGTGTCGGGCTTCAGCGCCGCGTCCCACATGGCCGTGAACATGGAGCACAGGAAGCCCGGGTTCAGGTTGTCCATGAAGCCGACGGGGCGGAGGATGGTCCAGGTGAACTTGCCGGGTTCCTTCACGGCCTTGTCGCGCAGGTGGATCTCGATGTTGTGCTTTTCGAGGAAGTGCTTGACGTTGGTCGGGTTGGTCCAGCTCTTCTCGTCGCCGCCGCGGTCGACCGAGCTGAAGACGATGTGCTTCACGCCGTGGGCGACGGCGGCGTCGATGAGTGGGATGGCTTGTTGCTCCTCTGTGATCTTTTGACCTACGGTGGTGACGACGAAGACACTGTCGATGGAACCCTTGGGTTGTGACGCAAAGATGGGGTCGGGGTTGGCATTGTCGCCTTCGATGAGCGAGACTGCACCCTTGTGAATGGAGGCGAGGTGCTTAGCACGCTCAGATTGAGCATTGCGGGTTAGGGCGAGGATGTGAAAGCGCGATGAGCTCTCGGGGAGGTCGAGGAGGGACTTGACCACGGCACCACCTTGCTGGCCGGTTGCACCGACGACGAGGATATTTTGGGGGGCCATAATAAATGATGAAATTTCTGGTGGTTATGTGGTTTTGTGTGGATTATGTCGGGTCTGATCGGAAGAGGGTGGTAGTTGGTGTTCGGTTTAGTGTGTAAGTGATGATATGTCGTGTATTTGTATCGTTCAGGTGTCGAGTTATGTACTTTGTGTTGAGTGTGTTGTTTGCGGGATGGAATGTAGGATGGAAAGAAGAAAGAGTGGAATGCTGCTATACTTGCCTTGAATACACGGAAGTATCTCGAGCTTTATACAAGACACCACTACTTCACACCTTGACGCATTCGTCCACGACTTACACTGGTATGCCGTCATACACAGTAAATTATTAATAGAGTCGCACGTTTAGCCACGAGATTCCCGAACGCGTATACATCATCGGTACTAACTACCATGTTCGAATCTGCATTTATCAGTGCTGACTCTAACTCGTCTCCCAAACGCTGCTGCATTCCGTAAGCATATTTTCGAAGGAAAGTCGCCGGTTGCGAGTCTGTGGGCCGTGGGAGGAAACTTGAGATGACAAATGCGGCAACATTGGAAGCCCGTTGATGGAATTCATTCAAACAGGCCTTGGCGTCGCGAGCTTGGCAGTTATGGAACCCCACCACGGTCAATCGCCGCCCCGCGTTCCTGCCTTGCAGCCCCGCCTTTCAGGTGCCACACGCCCTGACCCTGGGGCCGAGCGCTGCGTCGTCATCCCCGCGGTGCATCCATCTCGAACTCGGTCAACAGGCGCCCCAAGAATCCAAACACCAAACCACAAGATCGCCACCACCACCGCCGTCACTATACGAAACGAGATCTTCCACCCACCGCACCACTGCCAGTCGGCCACACCGCCAAAATGAACCGCCTCTTCGGGAGCACGGGTCCCAAACCGCCCAAAGCCACGCTCAACTCGGCCATCTCCAACATCGACACGCGCGTATCCTCAATCGACGTCAAGCTAGCATCCATCAACGCCGAACTGCAAGGCTACCAGACCAAGCTCGGCAAGATGCGCGAGGGGCCCGGGAAGACGGCGCTGAAGCAGAAGGCGCTCAAGGTGCTGCAGCGGCGCAAGCAGTACGAGGCGCAGCGGGAGCAGCTGCAGTCGCAGGTGTGGAACATGGAGCAGGCGCAGACGATGCAGGACAACCTCAAGAACACCATGGTGACCATCGACGCCCTGCAGAGCACCAACAAGGCGCTCAAGAAGGAGTACGGCAAGGTCGACATCGACAAGATCGAGCGCCTGCAGGACGAGATGGCCGACCTGCTCGACGTCGGCAACGAGATCCAGGAGAGCCTCGCCCGGAGCTACGACGTGCCCGAGGACGTCGACGAGGACGAGCTCGACGCCGAGCTCGAGGCCCTCGGCCAGGAGGTCGAGCTCGATCGGGAGCTGGCCGGGGCGGGGATGGAGGGGGCGTTGCCGAGTTTCATGCAGGACGAAGTACCCGAATTCATTGACGAGGCGCCGACAACGACGGGGCAGGTGAAGGAGGCTGCTGGCTGAGGGCAGTGGAAGCACGGAGAAGGAGAGAGAGGGAGAGAGAGCGGTTCGTTCGGGTTGTTAGCATGGGAGAAGCGATATCAAATTTCTTGACACATAGTCTGGCGAACAATTGGGAACGGCATGGCGCATGCGGGGATGTTGATTAAAGTTATATATATACAGGTCGCGCTCGGTAATCCTGGAGGTCTACAACGCCTGCCATTACATCGTCAATCATGTTGCTCGAGAGAAAGAAACCTGGTAGTGTGCCCATTGAACCCAACCTGGAACCCGGTATTATGCTATCCCTAGTCCATCCAAACACCTTTCCGGCCGACCTAATCCACAGGGCCAAAGAAACGACTCGCCTCCTCCAGCTCCGCGTCTCCGTTGCAAAAGTCCCACCCGACGATCACACTCCTTTGGCTGCAGCAGATGATGCGCCGAGCGTCGTATTGCAGCTTGAACACCCGCGCCGGGTTAGCTGGGTCGTGGACCTCGAAGGGGGCAGGTGCCTGGGCAATGTGCGGATGATGCTGCGCTTGCGCTTGGAGTTGGGGCTGGGGCGGCGTGGTGGTAGCGCCGGAGAGGGTCACACTGGGCCCGGGGCCAGCACTAGGCCCGACCGCAGGGAATCCGGCGACGGGGGCGGAACTAGAAGTTGCAGAGCCGGCGGCGGGAGTAACGCCAAGAACGGGAGGGGATACCTGATGAATTGGCGCCCTATGGAGAGCCTGCGCATGTGCCTGGTGGGCCGCTGAAGCCGCCAACTGGGCGGGCGTCAGATGAGCACCTGTCTGGGCGGCTGTGGCTCCCCCGGTCGAAGACTGACCCCCCACCGCGGAGCTGGATGCGACGGTTTCTTGGTTCCGAAGTGCCTCGCGCCTTTGCCGTGCCTGCTCGAATGGTGCCCTGCTCAAGGCGTTCGAGTATGTATGCCTCAACTGGCTCCGAACGACAGGGTTTTGGTGGCGGTCAATGGCGGCTTCCACGTAGCTACGGTGGACGAGGATCGCCGGGTGTGCTGCGATAGCCTGTTCTAGGCCTTGTTGGCCTCCCCGGACCGAGCTGTCGATGATATGGCGGAGCTGCTGAAGCCCCGCTGACGAAAAATCGGTCGAACCCAACTCCATCGTAAGCGCGCTGAGCGGGGGTAAGGTCGGCCCTCCCAAAGTACCGGGCGGCGCACTGGCGGTTTGTGAGCGAGACGCTGCGCTGGGTGTGGTCGTGGACGATTCTGCGCCATTGGGTGCGGTGGTTGAGGGCATGGGGCCGGCTGCCCTCAATGCCCTTAGAGCTTCGCGGCTGAGGAGACCTTGGACAGATGGATGCAGGGGGACTAAACCCGTCCGGTCGTGCTGCAGGGCGGCAATGGCGGCTGTCTCCTGCTTGAAATGATGCTGGTCCTTCCAAAGGCCTTCCTTATCCCTCCGCCAGATGATGATGCTGGCGTCGTAGCTGCCACTGACGATCCGCCCGTACTTGCCGCCGCCACCGCCGGGCGGTAGCTTCGCCCCATAAGCGCAGATGTCCTCCGGTCGCCGGGACCCGGCATTACCGGGGCGCCGTCCCGACCTAGGGCGATCCCGCTCCTCCAGTAGACCGGACTCCAACGCCTTGAAATAGGCCTCGTCCACCTTTTTCGCCTCGGCCAGATCGTCCTCGACGCTGTAAGGCATGTCCCCGAAACCGGCCTGGACCGTACGCACGAGGTTAGAGTGTGAACGGAGGTTGGCAACTTCCAGCCCGGTTTGGCGGTCAAACACCTTGACCTCGTTATCGCTGCTGCCGCTCACGATGCGGCGGCCATCATACTGCACACAAGCGATGCCCTTGCTATGGCCGACGATTGTCCGAGTGCAGACCTGGGTTGGCCAGTCCCAGACCTTGATATGCCGGTCGCCGCTCGCGGATACCACCTCACGCTCGTGGATCTGGACCGCATTGACAGCCGCGCTGTGGCCCTCCAGACTTCCAATCATCGTCCACGCCGGGGTCACGGGGAAATCGTCGGGCGCCATCGGGAGGTTGTAGCCATAGTTCTTCACATTTGTCGGGACGGGGTCCACCTCCTGGTAGCCGAGGTCTCCGTAGCGGAGTGGCTTGCGGTTGAAAATCTTGATGGTTTTGTCCTTGGAGCATGTCACCAAAATGCGCTTGTCGAACTTGACATTGAGGACCGATTCGCGGTGGGCATGCTTTAGCGTCTGGATCGGCTTCCCCGTCGAAAACCTCCAGACAATCACGTCCGAGTCTGAACTGCCGGAAACAATCAGGTCTTCCTCGGGGTCCGAGTCGAACTGCAAGCACAAAACCGAGCCCTTGTGCTTGGCCAGTGTACGAAGGCATCGCCGTGATTTCATGTTCCACACCTTGATCGTCCGGTCCCGGCTCCCGCTGACGAGGTATTGTGAGTTGAACTGGAGACTGTAGACGCACTCTTCGTGACCCTCCTCGGGATGGGAATGATGTGGAAACTGGAAGTTCACAAACCGGCCCCGCTCCCAGTTGGATTCGAGCCGCCGCCGCATCGTGTAGAGATATTTCCAGTTGATCTTAAATCGTGTTGACGATCCGTCCCAAGCCCATAGCCCCGACCTGGCTAGGCGTGGCGGCTCCATCACCGTTTGCAAAAATGAGGGTCTGGCGTGTGAGGGCTCCGAGGATGAAGGGGGGAGCGCCCTTCCCTTCCCTTTGTCCGCTGCCTTACCCTTGGAATTGGACCTCGATATCGCGCTTGGCATGTCGAGATCGCCCATGCGCTGCGAGATACCACTCTTCAAAACAGGTCTCCTTGGACCTCCAAAAATACTGGTCTCGGCTGGTTCCATCTCCGTTGGTTCCTGCCTCACCGCGCTCCCTGCATCGATCATCACCGTGTCCGTATCGGCGTCAAGCCTCGGTGATAGGGAGATGGCGCGCTTCTTATGCGCGTGCCCGTCGTCTTGGGACTGCATCCGTCGCAGCACGCCGTGGGTGGCCGAGGAGGAAGGCCCGTTCATCTCCCGTTCGGCCAGCAAAACCTCGTCTGGTACTGCTTTCCATCCTTCTAGAAAGAATAACTGCTCCCACAGCTTCCGGTCCAGCGCGAGAATGTACCATGCCCGGCAGCATCGCGCGACACTAATGAGTGAAAGGGGATCGAGGTACTCGAGGATCTTGAGGCAGACCTCGGGAGGCAGGTATCGAACAAAATCGATGTAGAGGCGGGGGTGTAGGTTTTCGACGATTTGAGAGATCACGGTCGTGGGGAGGTCGTTAAGGATGGCCATGGCAAGTTCTGCTCGCGTAAGACGGTGAGAACCCACACGGGAGTAGGGGAGGGCGAGAAGGAAAAAGCATGGCGGAGTAACTTACCGGTCTTGCGAGTGAGCGAGAGACTAGAAATGTGCTGTACCAACCATGGCGGAAACTCGTCGCGTGATCGAGCTGACCCCAGTGCCGAGACGGCGTCCTCGCGAGACTTGAAGGGGAAGGACGGCGCGGCAGACAAGGCGGTCAGAGGATCTTCGGAGTAACCTTCGTCGGGCTGCGGATTGAAACCAGCCATCGCTCGCTTGTCGGGCGCTACGGGTTTGTGCTCAGAACACCGTCGAGCCACGGTCTTGCGCGCATCCGTCAACGGGAAGAGGCGCGAAGAAAGGACCGTGGAGGGAAGCAAGGCGAAAATACAGGGTCGGTGGGGGGTTCCCAACGGGGCAACGGGGCAACAGGGCGTCACTCTCTATCGCTGGCGCTGTGTAACGATTCGCCGCTGGGATTGGTATCGTCGTTGATGCAGCGCCGTGGCGCAGCTCTGTCCGTCAATTGTGCGACAGCAGGACACGGTTCCTTGCTGCCCAACGATCTAGTGGCGGTGTTTTCCGAGACAGAAAGATGGGTTCCTGCGGAGAGATGATTTCAAATGTTTTTGTTGTTGTTCTTGTTGTTGTTGCATGCTTGCGCCCTGCGCAGGGCGAGGCGGGACGGCGGCTGACAAACTCCTGTGGACCGCCGTGTCGTGCCCAGGTTGCCGGGGTTAGCGGGGCGAGGTGGGTGGGTTCCAGGTTTGCTCAAGCAACTCTTTCCGGAAAGTTTGGCGGCGTTTCCCAAGATCTATGATGCAAGTATGTATTTGGGAAATTAATTAAGACGGGATAACTAAGTATACAGTAGGCATCGAAACTAGGTAGGTACCTAACTGCTTAACAACCACGGTATAGAATATTGTCCTTGTATGTATTTCGAGAAAACTGGCTCTTCGGAACGCCACGAAGTGAGCATCAAGGAGTTATGCACCAGCGACGTCAAACTCGAACCGTCGGGGGTTTTGCACTCGTGTCTCGAAATTATCATGGTATATTTGTTCGCTGGTATTCGCAGCTCTGTCTGATAAATAGGCCGACAGAAGTCTCCCTCGAAAGCGAGTGTTCTGAGTTACTTTGATCTCTATGTAGGTAGTCTCTTGGGTAGTGTGGTAGTGCATATCCCACACACAGCCCGTGATGCCAAGGTCCAATGTCATAAGCTGACTTGTGGGGGGCATCGGTACTGCCTTCTCGGTTATGTGGTGGAGGTATTTATGGTGACTGATGACTTTGCAAATCGAGAGAAGGACGAAAGCAAGACAGAAAAGACACAACTTTCGGGAATCTGGGCTTGTTGGGTTCTTCGTCCGTGAGTTACAAGGATACCTCGGGCCGTTCCATCCTCTTCAAAGATCAGGCGCTAACATCCAAACCAGGGACTGTCCCGCCAAATCGTCCCGATTTCTTGGGAAGAAGCCGATTCGATGATCTAGATGCTCATTCAGTTGTTCTCGCGTGGCTACTGGCCACGTGCTGGCCCAAGGCAAATGGGGACATTTGCAAAGAACGGGGTGTCCATATTTGGCTATTGCTTCTTAGGTAGGTAGGTACCCAACGTGCCAACCTTGTGACAGCCCTCGGCGGGAACCCAATGTCAACTTTCCCAAAAAAAAATAAGAAAGTCGAGGTTGACAGTCCGCTCACGTGCTTGACGATTTTGGCGACATGGTGCCCCGGGCTTACCAAAAAGGCTTAGCACACCACGGCGGGAGTTCTGAAACAGGCAGGCCCATCAGAATCATGCCTGAATGGAGGGGCAGCAGATGGTGTCGATCACCACTCTCCCCTTTCACCTCCTGAGCCGGTCGACACGACAAACTGCGATCGAAACTCTCATCAGGTACTACTCGTATTCTGGGAGGATTAACCATTGGTACGAGGCGAATTTATTACAATTTGGATCCACTTTGCGGCGCCCAAGATCGGTGAAGACTGGGAAGGTGTTAGGCTCCCAACCCAGATAAGATACCTTGCCCCCGAGTCCTTGCCGAAAACTGGGCTGCGCCGAAGAGGACAAGACAGCCCGAGGCGCCGACCGACTACACGGCGCTCGAGTTATGAATCTGGAACTCGGCAACTCGGATGTATTATGTTTAACTTTAGCCATGGACTGCTTCTCGCCCGTGAACTTGCCCATCCGCCATGGACCTCTCCTCACCCAGCATGTCACTGTCCACATCAGCCAGCGGAACGGGAGACGGAAGCCAATGATAGTCATGCAACGGTTAAAAAGGCATGCCAGACATTCCGAGGTCAGGCACATAATTATGTAAATCCTCCAGAATCGCCGACGGAGTTTTGTAATCGTGGAGTGGTCGGTTTGTGCTGTTTATGTCATTTGATGTAATTCTCTCCCTCAGTTGGGTTGCCCAACTTTGACCGCCTATTTTCTCCGGCATCCATTTCAAAACGTCGGACTTGGCCATCAGCGGCAGCTGGACGCCTCCAGCTTGATCACGCCGGCGATTGCCCCCCCGCCGCACTCCGTGGCCCCCATTCTCCACCCCCTGCGAACCCACATCAGCGCCTGCCAAACCGAATGGGCTGCCCGCAACCCTTTGCATGCAACCAACCAACTCCGGGAGTGGTCACTTGCCGCGACCCTCCGTTTCAAACCACATCTCAGCACCGTGACCCGAGCCCGAGTTCATCGCGAGAACATTCGGTACTCACGGCTGCTGCTCGCCAAAAATATTCAAAGAAAGAGGGAATCGTGCAGCGGCGAGGCACAAAGGAATAGCCACAGGCGAACGACAACAGCGAGAGACAGACCGAGCGACAACGGTCAACCAAGAGGAGGTCAAACGAGAGCGCAACGCCACAGAGCGAATCTGGGCACCGATCCCTCGAGCGATAATCCGAGAACCACGAAACGTAGAGGACAACACTAGTCGCAGCCATTCCGACAATACCATAATAGGTACATACGAAGTGCTTAAAGACCACCGATAAAGGCGGGCACCGACGACCCCCAAGCCCGAAAAAGCCCTCCTGGCTCCCGTCGATCTCGCTACCTTCGACCACTTCCAAAATCAATCGTTGTCGCTTCCATTGCTTCATTACTGTCCTTTTCGCCTACCGTGGTCGCTTCTTCTAGACAAAGCCTCGATTGAGACCCGCCCCATCGTCGGCCATTGCAATCGACTCCATTCTCCCTTTCCGGCCCGTGCATTTCCGGCTGGGCTCGTGCGGACGGAGAGATAGTTATGGCCCATGCTTCTCTCCTTCGCATGAATACAGGGCCGGTCGCAGCTATGGATGCTGTTCTTGACAGGATGAATAGTATGGGTGTACCGAACGCGCCCCGTGCGAGCCAGCTGTCTGGCTCAGCAACGTTTCCCACCACCAACTCCTCTTCCTCTGTGAACTCCCTGTCCACCGCAAGTACAATTGCCGCACAGCCGAATGGCCAGGTCGTGGCGACCAGCAACATCATCAACCAGAGGGCCGACGCATCCCGATCGCTCTACCAAATATGCGTTGCCCTGAAACAGAGGTTGGCCAAGGTGCCGGGCTTCGAGCCATACATGGAACAACTGGAACTCATGGCTGCGGACCCGGATGAGGGGGGCCCTGTCGAGTCACTATGGAAGCTCCTGCGCACTGGATACCCGCTCCTCGCCATTTACAATGCCTTGCAACCAGAAACCCCGTTGCAGGTCCAGGCAGCGCCCGAGGCATCCCAATCGAAGCGGTCAAAGATCGCCATTCTCCGTTTTGTCGAGGCCTGCAAATCCAAGCTCATGCTCCCAACCACTGATGTCTTTATCATCACCGACCTTGCAGGGAATGACACCACTGGGTTTGTCAAGGTGAGTTGGCCTGTTTGCTCTGTGCTAGTGGAAAGCAGGAGGCTGACTTGACATTTAGGTCACCACCGTCATCAACCATGTCCTAGATCTCGCCGAGCAGCGGGGCCTCCTTCTTCAAATCCAGCCCTACCCCGAAGACGATGCAATGGAAGCAGGCTCGAAAATGAGCTATCGTGATTACGTCGTGCGCGAGTTGGTTGACACAGAGCGCAAATACGTCCAAGATCTCGAGCATCTTCATGATTTGAAGAAGACCCTGGAACAGAACGGCATTATCGCGGGCGACAAGGTCCACGATATTTTCCTCAACATCAATGCGATCCTGGACTGCCAGCGGAAATTCTTGATCAAGGTGGAAACAACAAACTCGATGCCACAAGCAAGGCAAGAGTGGGGCAACCCGTTTGTTCAGTACGAAGACATATTCAACATGTGTTACCAACCCTTCATCGCAAACCAGCGGAAGGCTGGTCAGCTAGCCAGCCAGGTCTTTGACAAGATCCAGACGGCCCGACACCCTGTCGCCTTGGACTTCAACACCCTCGACGGCTTCCTCCTGAAGCCCATGCAGCGACTTGTCAAGTACCCGCTCCTCCTCAAGGTATGTAGCCTCCCGAATGTACGCGCATAATGACCCCATCTGACACTGCGTAGGATCTGCTGAAGAAGAACGAAGACGAAGCGACCAGGGCCGACCTCACAGCGGGAATAGCCTCCGCCGAACGTGTGCTTCACAAGGCCAACGACGCTGTGAACCGGGACCTTTTGGGCGAGGCGGTGGACGACTTGGTTAACCGGGTTGAAGACTGGAAAAAACACCGAGTGGACCACTTTGGGGACCTGCTCATGCACGGAGTCTACACTGTCGTCACCGGCAAAGGTGACCAGGAGAAGGATGTAAGTTCTCCCCTACAGCTAGCTCCTTATTTTCAAAGGCTTACTGACCCCTTGACCGACAAGTATGAGATTTACCTCTTCCAATGCATCCTGTTGTGCTGCAAGGAGGTCGTGCCAGGTAAAACCAAGGATAAAAAGGACAAGACCAAGTCAACAGGGCCCAAAGTGCGCAACAAGAATGCGAAGTTGCAGCTCAAAGGCCGGATCTTCATGACAAACGTCACCGAAGTTGTTGCTATGTCCAAGACCGGTAAGCTCCTTTTATCCTCGCTTTTTTGGGCAAACACTGATTGTGTAGGCTCTTATACCGTCCAAATCTGGTGGAAAGGGGACCCTGGTGTGGAGAACTTCATGATCAAGTTCCAGAACGAGGATACAATGAAGAAATGGGCCGCAGGTCTCGATCAGCAGCGCAAGGAGAACGCTCCCCAGTTTGAACAGAAGGTCAACGGGTCAGACGATTTCACCTGGATGAAGAACATGTCCGGCGGTTTGAAGAACCCCTATGTTCGGGATCTCGACGAGGATGAGGACGACGAGGACGAGTCAAACGCCAGTATTATGGGGACAACGCCGACATATTCGCAAGCTAGCACCCTTGTGGCCATGCAAGGCACCCTCCCCCGCAACAGTTCGAGCTCCAGCCTACGCCGCCAACGCTCATTGACGAGCGAGAGCACCCCTGGTATCCCCAATATTGGTCGGGCGCCGCCTCCAAGGTTCCCAATGCCTCTACCTCCCCAGTCAAACCTGAGCCTTCAGACTCAGGCTCCGGGCCAGGCGTCACCACTACACCGCACAGCCGAGGCATCATACTTTTCACCCGTTGCAGAGTCGCCGGTATCGAGCCGTGCCAGCACCATCAGCAGTGTCTTCAACGGATCAGGGTACCCGTTTCCCAAGACCGGCACACCCCAGCCGTGGAATCCGGAGGATAGCAATCGGTATACCGCTCCGGCAATGCCACGAGCACCTTCCCGAGACGGCTCCTCTCCCGCCAACGGCCTTGGCATGAATGGGCGCAACCCCCGAGGGCCTTCGATGCCGGTAATGCCCCGCGACTCGTCACAGTCCAGCCAACTTCACTCGCGTGTCCGCAGCCACAGCACCCCAGATATCAATGGGCAGGCCCAACGCAGTACACAACCGATACCCGCTGTCCCCGGCATACCGCCGCATCTCCACCAACACCATCCCCCCCATCCTACCCATGCGCGACATGACTCGAACATCCCACGCAGCAATGCAGGCAGCCCAGCAAACGACTACCCGATACGGACAAACACCAACTCCCCGGGGACGCAGCGGGCAAAGACACCGTATGGGGCTACCATGGCGCAGTTTCCTACTCAACCAGTGTACCCGCGACAAGGAACACCCGGGAGTGGAAATAACCTGCCTCCCCCCGGCCCCCCTCCCCCTGGCCTAGCGCCGCTTGCCCCCATGGACGCCCCAAGGTCACTGGTCCCAGGCAATGAAATGGTCCCGCCGACGCCAGACATGATGCCGAACCAGCTCAAGGTGAAGGTGAACTGCGATTTGAACGGCAACGGGGTCTCGGTCACGTTGGTTGCGCAATTCAATATCACATACCAGAGCCTAATCGATCGTATCGACGTCAAGCTCGCTCGGGTTTCCAACAGCAGTATTGCGAGAGGCGATCTGAAGCTGCGATACCAGGACGAGGACGGGGATTTTGTAACTATCGAGAGCGACGACGACATTCAGATTGCCATTTCCGAGTGGCGCGAGGGCCAGAGCAACATGCCAGGGGGCCTGGGCGAGATCGAACTCTTTTGCGTGGGCGAGTTGGGCTGAGCCTGAAGAAGGGTGAAGAAGAGTGAAGAAGAGCTTTTTTTTTTGTTGATGTTACGATTGAATGGGGTGTTTTGTTCCTTTGCTCACTGTTGTAGATTGGGGTAATACCTACACGGGGTGCGCACCTTGTCTTGGAGGGTATCATTGGCTTTGGCTTTGTGATCGTGTTAGTGGCCCTCGTCTCTTTCAATTGTGTTGCCATGTCATATATTGCCAGGTTAAAACAGCTCGCATAATACTTTCTTTATACACTCTAGTACATGGCCAAACCGGCCTCCTGCTCCCGATTTAACGCCTTACCCTCTCTACCACTTCCTTGGCCAACCATCGTTATACAACTCGGCCATTTGTGTGGGCATCGGATCGCAATGGCGTGGTCCGTCTCTTGCGCTTTAACGACGTCCCTAGAACCAACAGTCCGGGCATCGGAAAGTGCAGAATTGGTGCCATCCCGTCCAACATATCCCGTCGTCGAGTCCCGTCGGGCAAGGTCGTATGTGTGGCGTGTCTTCGTTCCCAGAGAGAGACGGTCGTGCTGTCCCCCGATGCATGATAGTAAACAAAACCGCTCCCTTATTTCTTCTTCTTCCCCTGCGCGATCAGCCGTTTCGAGAAGCGGGCGAGGTGGTAGTTGATCGTGTTGGAGCTCTTGGGCGGCGGCGGCGGGGCGTCCATGCATGCGCGCAGCGCCTGCTCCACCGTCGTGCACCCCCTTCCGTGGTAGCCGGCCGAGGCCCAGCATGCTGTTGCAAAAAAAAAAAAAAAGAAAACGTCAGTCCCAGTTGTGGCGCAAGTGTGTGTGTTGGGAATGCAGCGTACCCAGGACGGAGGACATCACGGTTATGCAGGGGTTCGATTCTGCGCGGTTGGGGTGGCGCACGCGCAGCACGCGCAGTGGCGGGAGGCGGATCGGGTTCTTGCTGGACATTTTTGTCGTCTGTCTCGCTCGTGGCCGGGTTGCTGGAGGCGGTGTTGCTACTGCGGCTGTGGCATCGCGGGTCGCCGTCGCTGGAGTCGAGATTCTGTTCGGGAATCGTGCATGAAAATGGGTGGGGCTCGAAACATTTCTGGTCACGTGTTTCTGGACTTGGCAAGGGTCGACCTCCAGGGGTGGAACCGGCACTCTTGGCGGAACATGAGAGAGAGGCATTGATTGAAGATTATTGGCTGCAAATTGGAGATGTAAACAATGAACAACTCCCCTGTCGCATGGCTTTGGGGGACCCTCTCCGCCGACACGACTCTCGCGATTTATTTGGTTTAAACGCGTCGCATAACTTTTTCCTCTACCCCCACCCACTCCTCTAATAGTCTCTGTTGACATGAGACTGGTGATGTTTTTTCTTATTTACATTTGCCACTAATACCCAACTTTTAGTTTATTTGGCCCATTCGTCATCATGATCGACCCCCTCGTCACTGGCGCGGAGCCCACACGCGACAGCGGCATGTTGTCTCAAGAGTACGTCGCGGTGACTGCCCAACATTTCACAGTTGGAATGGGAGCTAATTGGAACCCCGACAGCCCGATTACCGCCGATTGCTTCCTGCCGCCGCGGACATCCTGCCCGAAAGCATGGCAACGCGTTGCTGTCGCCCCTGTACCCGGTCTCCGCCGACAGCTCAAGATTTGGAAACGAGTTGGTGGGCAAGTAGCGCAACCTGACCAGGGGCCATACGTTCGCGCCATGTCGGAGCTCGAGCTACAAGGCGACGGCCCAAGGAAGCAAGCGCGACGCGCGCGTCACATGCAGGCTTGGGGGGACGCCAGGTGGGATTCAAGGGTGGAGGAGGGGCGTGACGGGAAGCAGGATCTTGTCGAGGCACGAGGTATGGGAATTGGTTCCGTGCATTGCGTGACGCGATCTAACGAGGCGACACTAGCTATGGTATCCGCCGCCGAGCAGGAAGCAGCAACCCCAACAAGCGTCGACAACACCAAACCCTCAACATTTTCTCCAGAGCGCTTGAAATGGGTGCCGAGGAAGCGGCATAACTCGCGCTGGCCGATCGAACCGAAGAAGGAGCCGACACGCATGATGGCCGACCTACAGCCCCTGATCGAATTCGATGTGCCCGCTTCGCCCGAACCTAGCGAGGCCAAGCTGAGGATGGACGAGAAACAGATGGGCAGGCGCTCCACTCGCCGGCTCAGTAGGCGCATTTCTCTCATCCCGGGAGAGGGCTCGCCGCGGAAGCTTCCCATGATCACCTTGTCACCCGCGAACAGCTCAACTCCGGCACTCTCCCCAGTCAAGAGGCCACCTGTCTCACTTTCGCCAACAAAGGTCGCCGATTCACCGCACCGCTCATTCAGCGTTAACGCCACCCCTATGAAGGTTGTTCTGGAATCGCCAAAAATCAACCCACCGGAGAGGTCCCCGGCAAAGCTTGCTGGGTCACCAGCTGCACCCGTCCAAGATGTGGCATCCACCCCGGCGGCTAGCGCGGCGGACCTGCCGTCTTCGGAAGATTCACCCGCCAGCCCCGTTCCGCTGCTGTTTGACCAGCCGATTCCGGATGCTCAAGTTGAGCCTCAGTATGAAGCCTGCAGACGACGCTCGCTCCAATCCGCACGCCGGAGCGATCGCGGTTCGAGTGGTGCCTCGCGACTGCTAGCCCTGAAAAAGAGTGGGCGCAGTAGCCCCAACCGCAGGCACAGCTTCACCTCGCTTGAAGATCTGCCGGCGGATGCCCGCGGAGATTCCAAGAGCAGGCGGAACACCATGGATGTTTTCTGTGTGGGGCCCGAGGAGGTCCGCGGAGCTGCAGGTGGGGATGAAGTGGTTGAGATCGATATGAAGACCAGCCTTGATATCTTCGGCCAGCCGAACAAGACTGCCGATTCTGCCACTGGCGAGCAGAGAAGCCCTGAGGAGACACAGCCTCTCGAATCCGAATCCCGTTCGACGCCGCCAGCCGACACCGTTCCGGCGCACGGCAATGATAACCCGAGTACCCCGAGCTCCGTTTCGGGTTCATCACCTGATAACGCTTTTGGTGTGACGGAGGGGACAGGGGTTGAGACGGAACCGGAACATACGACCCCCCGTCAGGTAGCAACCAGCCTGATGGGCAACCAAGCCGACACGGCGCACGACTCAGTCCTTGAACCTACCCCTCACACCTCGGAGGAATCCTTGACCTTCGAGGAGGAGACCGAGCCCTATGGGATGTTTGAGCCGCAGGATCCTGAAGGTCTCTCAACCATCTACGAGGAGTCGTCTTATATTGAAGGTGCATCTCTAAAGGAAGTTGACGTGGAGCACACTGTCCAAGCGCGGACGCCTGACGCCAGTGGTCAATTATGCATTGATGACGAGCAGCCGTCGGACGCTGAACTGATCAAGGAGCAGCTTACTGACAGCGAGCCTTCGATCTTCACGGAGGGGCTGAATGAGCCACCAGCAAGTGAAGAGGGAACCCACCCACGCTCTATCTCTCCAGAACCGAGCACAGCGATGGTTGAAGCGTCGGTCAACGCGCTAGAAGCGTCAGTGGATGAGCGGTCCGCGGCCGAGTCGGTATCTGAGCCGCACGTCTCCGCCAGCCACGTTGCCAACACCGCAGCTTGCATGGCCTCTCCTGATTCGCCGCTCCTCGAACGCGGAGCACCGGCGGCCGAAACCTCGCACGAGATTCTAGATGTCGAAAAGACCAAAGTCGAGTCCCCGTCTAGCGTCCCGAAGTGCGATACGCCACAGCGGGCTTCAGACATTGCCCAAGTCGCGAGTTCTCCATCTCGTGCGGAAAATTCCAAAGTCCCGGTCCCTGGAACCCCGAATGCTACCCCCCGCAGCAATTCATATGGAGCAGTTTTCAACACCGGAGCCCAAAGTGGGCACCGCTGCCACTCAGGAGGAAAGCTCCGGGTTCACTCCCATCAACGGTCGCCAGCCTTCGCCTCCGAATGCCCCATCATGCCGTCTCCGGGATGATGACGAGGCGGAGGCCGACCAGGAATCGGATGAGCTCGACGCTGATGAAGTACTCGAGGAGGAACTTGGCGTGGACGAAGGTGACGACGCGGCTATGGCCATGGATATGGACGAGGACATGACGGTCGAGCCACCCAGGCCAGAGTGCGACACGCTACAACTGCACGCCAGGCACGATGACTCGGAGACAGAGATGCTGCGGAACTTTGTCACACGGGTCACAGCAGATAAGAACGCCAAGGCGGCAGCAGCAGCGGCCGCGCTCGTCAAGAAGATCGCCCGTCGCTCCGGCTCGCTCGGATCTATTACCTCTTCCACCGGTTCCCCGATGGCCAAACCGGCACCGGAGACCCCCGCCAGCAGAACGCCACTGGGGGAAAGGAGCCCCAACAGCCGCAGCCCAGCCAAAAAGCGCAAAGCCGACTCCCTCGATGACGACTTAACCAAGGACGGCCCAGCCGAGGACCCATCCGACCAGCCCAGCGAAGCGCCCCGCCTCAAGCGGCGGCGCACGCGCGCCGCTGCCGACCCCATCCTCTCCAACCCCCTCCCCACCACCACCACCACCGCAACCCCCTCCCCCGAACCCGACAACAACAGCAACGACGACGACACCACCACCACCAACACCACCGGCCCGCGCCGCTCCACCCGCGCGCGCAGCACACGCGTCGCCCTCCGGCCCTCGGCCCCCTCCGCCAACGCCATCGCCTTCTCCATGATCCCCGTGCGCCTTCCCGGCATGGGCGCCATGGACGACGCGGCGGCCATGGACGCCCACCTGGCCTCCATGGCGCGCCAGCGCAGCGAGGAAAAGGGCCTCGCGGCGGCCACCCGCGCCAATACCCGCAAGAATAAGGGGGCGGCGCTGCCGCCGCCTGTGTTGCTAGCGCGGCAGGCGGAGGATCCGGCGGGGTGGAGGATGAGGGAGTTGAAGGGGGGTTGGGAGGCGAAGGAGAGGCGGGCAGCTGGGGAAGTTGGGGAGGAGGGGAGTGAAGGAGTGGGTGTGGAGTTGGGTGAGGGTGGGAAAGAGAAGGGTGGGAAGGGGAAGGCGGTTCGGTGGGCGGAGGAGCTGGTGCGGTTTCAGGATAACGAGCCGAGCGTGTTTCGCGGGATGGCGAGGGAGTTGTTGGCGGATGTCATGGTGGATGATGACGGGGTGGATGAGATTGCCGAGGCGGAACCGCCTGTGCCGGCGGAGCCCGTCGTCGAGAAGACGGCGCGGGTGGCCGCGCGGAAGGCTGGGACCGCCGCTGCGACTCCTGCTGCCCCTGCTGCCCCGGCGCCCGCACCCGTGTCGACCAGGCGGACGAGGTCGTCTAGGTTGCCACCTCCGACGCCGGTTAAGAAGATGCGTGGTGCGGAGAAGACGGGCGGGGAGAAGGCAGCTCCCGCTGAGAAGCCTGCCGCCGAAAAGCCGGCCGTCGAGAAACCCGCCCCCGAGAAGACCAGTACCGCCGCTCCCAGTTTGCGGACCAGGGCACGGTCTTTGCCTAGGCGGACGGCTAAGGCTGCGTCTACGGCTCCTGCCCCACCAGCGGTCGAGCCGCAACCTATTGCTGCTACGGCTTCGAAGACGGGGATGGCCACGCGGCGGACGAGGGTCACGAAGTTGGGGATGAGTGGGAATGGGACGCCGGCGCCGAAACGCAGGGGCAAGGCGGCGGCTTGATGGATTTCCGGGGCGGGTGATGGGAGGCATTTTTTAAAGGCGAGATCAAGTTGGCTTAGAATGCATGGCTGGATTTGAAAGCAGTGCTTGGGGAATAGCGAATACCCCTGTCAGAGTTTTGTAGGGATGCTGTTGAACTGGATTTTGGGCATCGAGATTATGGTTTATTAGTCACATACAGATTTGTCTATGCATATCTTTGCGCTTCTGGGTGATTGTTTTCACTAATTTGAGGAATTGGTTGCTGGCATGGCTCCTCGCGAGGTTCGAGAGCAGGAAGCCACGGAGAATACCTTTGGCTATCTGGTGGCCTATAACACCAACGGCGATACAGATCCCCCCAATCGAAGCTTGAAGGGAGCTTAAATCACGGCGTCGAGGGTCTCGTAACACCCGAGGCCTCGGAGTAACTAATGGATGTCATATTCAACAAACACTTCTCTCGACCCTGCGCCTTCACTCGTCAGCATCCGTCTCGGTCTCCGCCTCGGTCTCCGCCAAACTGTTGTCGGGACGGGAGATGTCCACAATCCGCTCCGGGCGCAGCACAAGGTAGCGCGGTACCCGGGGAAAGGCAATGGACTCGGTGACGGTGACGAGGCGGGCGAGCTCGGCGTCGAGCATGATGACGCGCGGGCGGCCCAGGATCGCCAGCATCTCCTGGGCGGTAATGTCGTGGAAGCAGGCGGGCGGGACGCCGCGGCGCAGCTTGGCGCACTCTCTCACGAACCAGTCCACGTCCATCCTAACGTCGTCGCCGCCGAAGGGCACGCCGGAGCGGAAGAAGTTGCCCGCGCCGTGGAGCGGCCACACGATATGCACATGGTAACCGTTGGGGCCCGGCTCGGTGAAGAAGGCGACGGCGAGCCCGCGCCGGTCGGCCTCGGCCGGGCTGCCCAGCTCGGCCCGCACCTCGAGGTCCTGGGCGGCGGCGCGGAAGCGCGGGGCCATCATCTCCTCGGACTCGTGCAGGATGTCGAGCCGCCGCCAGGTCGCCGTCATGTTGTCGCGCACCAGCCACGACAGCGTGTGGTTGTCGTGGTCCAGCTTGTGCACGATCGTGTACCGCCCCCGCTCCACCTGGTCGCCAAGGTGCGACGGGTGCAGCTTGCCCATCCCGTACCAGTGCAGCGGCTCGGTGAGGTCGGACGAGATGTCCGAGGCGTAGGTTGAGGCCGGCAGGACGAGGGGGGGGGGTAGCAAGGTTTTCCGCCATTTTTGGCGTTGTGGTATCGGCTTGGGGGGGGAGCAAATCGCCTGATGCTTGCTTGATGCTGTACCTACGACTCAAGCTGCTGGTGGTAGCGTTCCAAGCGAGTGATGGTCGATGTTGGTCGGGAAATACGCGACTGGTCGTGGGTATATCTGTCGGAGGCTGGGACCGGTTGGGTGGTTGACTTATTGCCCTTACTCTTGAACACTGCCAGTAGCAGTCCACGGCCTTGGTGGTATTGTTGGTAGTTGTGATTTTGTTGATACCAAGGCAGTCGGATCAAGGCGGACGGAGGGTTGGTCGGCAAGAGATGTTGGGGAACACGATGTGTAATACGGTGACCAGGTGTGAACTGATGATAGACTCGTGCTACTCAAGGTCGATAACTGGTAGCAACACGATATAGAGTAAGATGGCGGTGTAAGAGAGTCGAACGTAGTAAGTAGTAAGTAAGTGACGTGGGGCTTAGAGTCAGCCCTCTCTGAATGAAGTTTTTATCGTGATGGGTGAGGTGTTCATAGCCGCATAAACGCGTCTATTTCACTGTGTTTGTTCATGTTCTTCACCTGGTCTAGTTCAACAAGTCTGTTCATCACAAGTTGCAACCCCTTTGTTTCTTTCCACCTAGTCAAGTTATGGCCTAGAAAGAACGGCTGAAGCTAGCAAAACAGTTGCTTTGCCATTAGAGCGCACATTATTGGTTCTCTACCAATCTATTCTTTCTCTAAAAAGAGAGTTTAATTAAGTTGCTTCATTAGTGGTTGATAACTTTGGCCAGTTGTAGGTTTCAGGGGAAGTAAACAAAGCTGTGAATCAACATCAACAGCTGCATCAACCATTACGATTCCTAGCACACAGGTAAAAAGGAGAAGCGGTCAACAAAAACTACCCTCGAATATCCAAAAAGGTACCATGTTAGTCCTCAAGCTCACCCATCCCAACTTCCGTTCGTGTTCGTGGTCTGGCTTACCCCTGGACCCACTTGTGGATTCGAGGAAAAAAAAAAAAACTCATCAACCGGGACCGGGATCCGGCCACACACAACCACGATCCCCGACTACTAATCCTCAACAACAACAGACCCAGCGCCCGGCTAGCTCAATCGGTAGAGCGTGAGACTCTTACTTCGCCATCAGCGGCTAGAAAGGCGATCTCAAGGTTGTGGGTTCGACCCCCACGTCGGGCTCAATTCCCGTCATCGGCGCTCCGGTCTTCACTTTACTTTTTCCGTTTTGGTCTTTGGATGGTCATGAAGAGTGAGGTTTTCGTCTTTTTGCTGCGCCCTGAGTCCGGGGACTTGCCGCGGAGGGCTTGGGAGATACTCACCATGAGTCGTTCAGCCCCTGAGTCCCGTACGGTTAACTGACCGGTAGCAACTCACCACACCAGCGCAAAGACTGACAGTCGACAGTACCGGGACACCAAGAGCCACGTCTCCTTGGGGTGTAGGGGGTGTAGGGGGACAGTGTACCACACCTGACAACATCACGAAGCCCATACTATGATCTTGACTAGGTAGTCATTGCTTGCTACCTAATAATAATGCTAGGATTTGATACTGCTAGCATGTTCGAGGTATCATAAAAAATAATAAAAATGCTGTTATAAGCCACAAACAAGATCTTGTTGATGCCAGACCCTTCCCATCACTTCCCGCCCAACCCCCTCTCGAGATCCCTCTCAGGGGTATCCGGCGTGGGCAACTCGACCTCGGTAGCAACATGCACATGTCGACTCTCCTTCCACCCTCTCACACCGCTCTCCCGCCCCGACGGGCGCACATTCGGATCCGGCGACGGCAACTCCGCCGCGCCCAACCGACTCGTCGTTCCCCTCCAACCACCCCTCCCCCTCCCGCCCGCGCCACTCGCATCCATCTCCTTCGGACTCGGCGGCGGCGGCTCCATGCCCCCAAACCCAAACGGCGAGCGCGCCCACTGCGCAATCGCCGTCGCCACACTGCTCGCCGACGCCGGTCCCCCATCACTCCCACCCACCACCCCCATCCCATGCAACGGCGGCCACGCATGCGCACCACCACCACCACCCCCTGGTCCTCCCATCCCCATCCCCAACCCCAACCCCCCTTCCCCACCACCACTCCTATCCCCCCCCTCCTCACTCGACGCCCTCGTCCGCGTATCCACCCGCCCAAACGACCTTGGCGGCGGATAGGTATGCGACGTATCCGACGTCTTTTCCGTGTTCGTGCCGTCCCCAAACCCCCCACCACCACTCCCACCCCCACCGGCCTTCCTTTTCCTCCTCTCCGCCTGCGCCGCCGCCCTCTCCCGCCTCCTCTTCCTTGCGTGCAGCGACGGCTGCGCGAGCAGGTAGGCGACTGCCAGCAAGACCAGTAAGATGGGGATGCCGATGCCGAGGCCGATGCCCAGGCCGATTTTGAGGGAGTAGTCGTCAGAGGAGGAGTTAGATGAGGAGGAGGAGCTGGAGGTGCTGGGGAGGATGGTGCCGGTGGGGAGGGTGCGGCGGTCGGAGCTGCTGGTCTGGCAGCAGGTGGTGGTGTCGGGGCCGCCGCAGCAGAATTTGATGGCGTTGGTGGCGGGGTCGAGGGTGTTGGGGCAGGGGACTAGGGGGATGGCGGTTTGTTGGCGGTCTGGAGGGGGGGGGTTAGTAAGTTGGTTGTGGTGGTTGTGGTTGTGGGGGGTGGTTTGTGGGGAGGGGAGGGGGACTTGCCGGTGCTGGAGGGGCAGTACTGGGTGCAGGACCCGCCCCAGGCTTTGTCGGTGCATCCTTGCTGGGTCATGAGGTTGTTTGATTCGGGACTCAGGCAGAGGCCGTTGGAGAGGCAGGTGTCGCCCCGGCTGCAGCACCATGTGGCCGCGTTTGTGTCGGCGCCCGGCGCGTAGCATGGCTTCTGGTTTGCGTCCGCTTCCCCCCATGTGTTGTAGCATGTCGCCTGTGCTTGGGCACCGAGAAGCAGGCTCACACCGGCGAGCACGACGAGCCGCGCGCGTAATCGTGTGTTTCTTGTCATGACTGTGGTGGCGGTTCGGGTGAGGTCTCGCCGTCTCGGGCGGGCGGTAGAACAAGTTGCACACGGGGTTCAGGGTTGAGCTGAATTCTTATTAAAACCTGAACCCGGGGACGACGGCAGAAAGACACGATGAGGTGGCGTCAGGTGGGATGATTGAGCCGCCTTTGGGGGCAATGCAGGGTCGTCCGGCACAGCATCTGAAGATGTCATGTTCCAGCGGCACGGCGGTCTTAAAGGGGTGAGAAAGCCCGGCGGGTGTGACGCGCCCTGACCACCAAGTACCAACAGGCGAGGGCTGAACCAACAGCTAGAACCAACAGTCACTTCACATCTGCGGGTCAAAATCGTGTTGGCTCTTGATTAGCCGTGCACCGTGGAGAAAAGCAACTGCCTAAAGGTGAGAAAACAGGACGGACACACCGGATTTCTCAAGAGAAACTCACCATCATCAAATACCACTCTTCATACTCTTTCTGTCATTCTTCAACCCTTCTTCCCGATTCTGGGGAATGCCGAGATGCGGCGCAACTTCAGCTCTTAGGCTGCAGCTTAGGCCCTGATCGGAACGGGGGGTAATGTAGAGTAATGAATTAGAACTCGGGTTTTGCCCCCTGTCATGTAGAGAAAAAATTCGCACCGAGGTTAATAGGGGGGCGCCTTTCCGTTTTGGGGATGCAAATTTGCCGGTACAAAGCGGAAATAACCAGAAACCGCCTTAAGACCCTGTAATTGCCAAGCCTCCATGTACCTCGCCAAGACGCTCGCTTGGTTCCCTGCGATAGGCTTAGTTGCCAAGCCTCTGAGCTCAAAAATCGCCAGAAGCCCTCTTTTTCGTAACCCAACATTTTGGGGGTAAAGAAATCAGGGTAAAGACCCGCCCCACAGTACAACAGGATCTCCAACGCTAAGGGCTAGTTTTATGGGGCACAACAAGTCACTTTCTAATTCTTTACTCTACATTACCCCCCGTTCCGATCAGGGCCTTAGAATAATAAAAAGGCCAAGCACGCACTCAGTTGGCCCGCGTCGATCCGCAGTTACGCGATCGGGTCTCACAGAACCCTTGGAAGGGGGCTTGCGTGGGCGGTTGGGGGCCGACGAGTGACAGCCAAGTGACAGCCCAGTCAGTGCCAGTCCAGTTCAGTCCCGCAGGGGGGCCGGGGTCACCGTAAATCCCACGCACACAACGCACACCACTCGTGCATCTGCAGGGCCCGCACCGCACCATGACACCATTGGCACCAACGCCGCCCCGCTCTTTGGCCCCGGCGTCGTTGGTTCGGGGGGCGCGGTTAACTTGTCAACCGTCAACAGATCGGGATGCTGCTGCTGCTCCAATGCTCCAGCGTGTTCAGGTGCCGCTGCGCCGCGTACCGGCACAGCCGCCGGGTGGATAACGGACTTGCATGGACTTGCTGGGATTGGCCCAGGGGACTGCCGGCGTCTTCTCTTCCGCGGGGGGGGGGGCGGTGATGAGGAGGAGGAGGAGGTCACGCCTGGCAACAACCCGCCTCGGGCTTGTTTCAAACCTTTTCTTCAACTGCCGGCTTGCGGTGGAGTCGGCAGAGATCCGCCGGTGATGCCGAGAGATGAAACACCGTTTGGGCAAGCCCGATTTGCATAGAGTTGCATTTGTAGTCGAAGGCGGCAAATGTTGTTAGGAGCAGATCGGGTTGGCTTCAGGTAGGGGGTCAATCAATCAGTCAGTCACTGGTTGCCTACCTAATTAGGTAGATGGATAGATAGGTAGTAAGTAATTACTTGCAGCGAGACAAGGTCTGTTTATTTATTGTAATTTGGGGATCAATTTACAGTCTCATACCATGGAAGGTATTACTGTTGATACCAGCTTGATCAAGCACTCGTAGCCGACTTATAAATACAGTACGGTCTGAGTGGCCTAAAGAGGTTCAGGTTGCGCGTCAAAAATCACAAACTTACGACGCATTCTCTTCCGCATCCCTCTCATACGCGAATTCGGTCTCCTTGCGGATCATCTCACTCTCCTCGGGGCCAAAGTCATTCTCAATGTTGAAGATCTCGCGGATCTCCTTGGCCGTCTTGCCCCGAGTCATGGCCCCGACTATCCGGCAGGCCAGCTCATAGAGCCGCTTGACCTCCAAGTAATCGGTCAAAAGGAGCAGCTCGAACAGAATCTGCTCTGAGATGTCGTCGAAGTACTTGTTTTCCCAGTCGGTCGGCGTAATCATGCCGCTGTCGCGTATATGCGGCTCGTCGTCCGACGGCTTGGGCACGTCCTTGTGCTCGACAGCCCACTCGAGCATCTTGGCCAGGGTGTCGTCGCTGACCTGCTCGTGCGTGATAGGAATCGCCTCCTCCGCCAGCTGCTTTTCGCTGAAGTTCAAGATGAGATCGCGGAAAATGGCCATGTGTTCGGCAGCCGACCACTCGATGGTGAATACCCGGCCGTCGGGTCTAGCTTTGTTATAGACCCTGACGTAGTCAGGAGCCATTTTGGTGGTATTTGTGGCTTTGTGGTTTGCGAGTGTGTGCTGTTGGACGCTAGATGCTTGCTAGTTGAAGTTGGGATTGTGGGGTGACGAGGAAGGAGTACCTAGGTAAGTAAGGTATCTAATGATGATAGGAAGTGAATCATGACTGATTTTATGTCAAGAGAGTTGCCCCAAAACGGGACTCGAAGGTTTCACTCCAGTTGGTTTGTTTAATAATGTTCCGCCGGAACGTCCCTTACGTTCCGATGGCGGAAAAGCCAGCTGGGAGGCAAATAATGTCGCTTTGCCGGCTTGTCAAAGACAGTCGACCTTTTGAGGACGTTGAACATTACCAAAGCCATTGTCGTTCGCAGTCGAGTAATAGGTGGTAAGTTACCGCTTCCAGCAAACTGAATGGCTAGGTAGTCAATACAACTAAATCCCTAAACCAGTGCCATTTATCATTTAGCTATGAACCTCGGCCCTCCGCTCCTATTGAGCTCTCTCCCCCTCGGATCCCTCTTAAAGTCCTCCCCGATACAAGTTATGATGGTTACTTAGAGCCTACAAGATAAGCATGACGACCGGAGGAGATTAGAAGACTCGCGTGACAATATACGCATTTCACTCGACCGCCACATAATCGAGGTTCTAGGAGCAGTGGTTAGATGTCTTCGACATGTGTCCTTTTACCCTTGGACATCTCTCTCGCGATCACACTCCCAAATATGCCTTCCTCGAACCTATCAACGTGCTTCGAAACTAGCCGTCTATCATGGCACATCACTACGTGTTCACAGACAACAAGAGCGCAGCTTCGCTCCCTTTTCTACAAGAAATCAAATACACCAGGTCAAAAGCTCGCTACAACCCGAAGGAATCAGCGTTGTTGACCTTAACAGACCTTCGAAAAACTCCTCCTTTTCACCAGAGAAAGAATCCCGACTTGAATTTCTGAAAGAGTGACGGCTGAGGTGCTGGTTGAGGCTGTTTCACCTTAGACCGGGGTATGCAACGCCGGAGTGCCTGCTCCTCCTGTATGCTGAATACTTCCTGGAAGAGCCTCCAGTCCGCGTCCGACGCCTCGGCACCCCTTGATAGGAGAAGGTGGCACACCGAATAGGCAATTGGTTTTGGCGTAATCTGGGGGCCGCCTGGCCTGGAATCGGGGTCAAGGTGATGAGCCATACCCCATGGGTTGGAGGCACCGCGCGCGAAGGAGTCTTGTAGCGTCCGGACGAAGTGCAGCCATGGGGTTGCCCACTCTGTGTAGTCACTGCCTGGGCCGCGTTTGATCCTGCAGTTGGGCGACGCTCCACTAGCCAGGAGTTCCTTGGCCATCTTGAGGTCGAGGTCATCGTAGGGGCACAGACTCATTTCGTTCTCTCCGACCGAGATGGGGTTCTTGAGAGATGCGAGAAGCGCCTTCCCCCGCTTGTCGTCGTCGACCGCCGTTTCCCGGATGTAGAGGGACATGCCGCATCGGGTTGCGAGCTGGAGGAGGGTCTGGCATTCCGTGATGCCGGTGAGGATAGCCCATGATACATGTTCGTCCAGGGACACAATGGTGGCGTCTAGACTGTCGAGAATCCTTTTCTCGGAGCGGCGATTCACGTACTCGATCTCGACCGTAAAGTGGATGATTCCGGCCGTAAACTCCCTGAGAAGAGCATGTGCAACATCACTTCGGATAGCGATATTGCCCGTGACGATGGTCTTGAATTGGGCCAACAGTGACCGGCAGAGGGAGAGACGAGGGTCAAAGTCTTGTCCAGACCGCTCAATGAGCAGAGCTTCGAGGCCGGGGGTTTTGAAATAGTCGGCGACGGTCCGGTGGAGGAACCCCACCCCGTATTTGAATGGAATAGGAGTGTTTAGAGTAAGTCGTGTGATATGAACAAGATCTCGGCATTGGGCGATGAGCTGGTGTTGTTTTAGGTCCTCGGGGTTCTTTGAAACATCGACGACAACGTCGCCAAGCGCATAGTCTGGATTGACGGCTTCCTCGTCCAGGAAATGGAAGGTGAGAACAGGCACTGTCGTCTCGGTTTGCAGGAGAACTCGGAAGACTTTTGCTGTTCTCTGGCGGTACAGTCCTTCGATGGAATCCATCATCAGGGTGAAGTACCGCTCGAGATCATCCGGCAGCTCGTTGAGACGCACCTGCAGGTCCTGCAAGGTATCCTTGTTACCCATCCCCCGGATCAGCGAGCGAACGACGAGGTAGACCCACAAGAAGACCCCCTGTGCTTTGTTGGTGATGTCCCGTATGAGCTTTTCAGCCCCGTTTCCGGCTTGAGATGAGAGTTCCTTGAAACCTTTGTGTGATTTCAGATTGTCCGAGACGTAGGTGAGAATGTCGTGGCCGGTCAGGTCCTGTACTGCGAGCTTCCATTGGAGATCGCCAAAGGCCGAGATGAATTCCACCCAGGGCCGGCTCGAAGCGCAAATCTTGATGTTTGTGGACTTGGCTAGGACCTGGAGAATGCCGATAAGTTCTCGATGGTCCCCATCGTACTCGTCCAGGCCATCGACAAACAGGCATATCCGCGTGTTGGGCAACGAAGCAGACGACAGGGCAGAAAAGCATTCAAGAAGCTCCGGCAGGCTCCATGGGGCGTGTGTTGCTAGCAGGGTGTGCTGCCTCCGTTTGGGGAGGAAAGAGATGAGCTGAGGACACTGGACCAAGATCTGGGAAAGGAGTGTTTGGAAAAGACCCGTCTGTGATCTTTGCTCCTTTGTACCCTGGCTCCAGAAGAAGTGGCTCGCCATGATGAGCTGTTTTTGGCCCGCCCAGTCGCGTAGTAGGCTATCCGTCCTTTGACGTGAGAGCAGAAACTTCATCAAAGTTGACTTCCCGGAGCCAGCTTTGCCAGATATCCAGAACATTCCCCCGTGAGACCGAAGCCAGGACGAGAAGTTTGTGGTTCGACTATCGAAAATCCAGTCGAATGTAGTCCGATGAGCATCTGGAATCGCAAACTCTCGTTCTCGGATCTGAGGAAAGTACAGGCTCTTGATGATCTGCTGTGTTACCATCTTTGCCTGGAATTGCTGAATATTGGCGGCAAAATCGGCAGGGAGTTGTTTGGTGAGGCTTTCCTGGGCCCGGAGACCATCAATCAAGTTATCTAGTCGCTTGGTTGTGGCATCATGGAGAGATTTCTCGCGATCATGGAGCGTTTGCAACGAATTCTCTAGGGTCGTCCGCTGTTCGCTAACGGAAGAGAGGAGTAAGAATGGCGGGTCAAGCCAGCGAGTATGTGTGGCCGTACGTACAACAGAAGGACCTGAAGTCGGGTTAAGATCGCCTCCCGGGTCCGATTCAGGCGACGCTCAAGATCCTTGATGGCCTCCTTGGAACGAAGAACTCGGATGGACCCTCGCAAGCCAGCTGTAATCCCATGTTGATTATTGGATTGCTTGAGTCCCGCGAGCAGAAGGGTGAGTTCTGATGCGATAGCCTTGCACTTTGCTAGGTGCTTGGTCATCAGCAGGTCTCCGGACGTGTTGAGCGCCGAGTTGATGGCAGAAGATTGTTGTTCCAGATCCCTGGCTGTGTCTTCAAGCTCGTCATGCTCTTGTAAGCGACCCGTCGGGCTCTTGGAAATCTCGGCGAGGATGGATATGAACTTGGCCCCAAAATCAACAAACTGGATGATGTTGCCAGCCAATCCTATTGCCGACAATGCCTCCATACTTGTAACCGTATAGCGCAAGCAATGGGCGAGCAGGACGGGTTGACCGTTGAACCGGGAAGCGAGTAGAGGAGAACTGTGAACTTTGGCTTCTCTCGTGACTGAGCCTGTGAAAATATGCCCATTTGAGTTGCTGGCGGGGCAGTGCAAAGGGGACCAAAGGCCAAGCAGAGGCGAGGCAAAACGCCACCAAGGCTAGCTGCAGTAACTGCCATCTCAGGGGAAAGGGGAAAGGGGAAAGGGCGAGCGAGGGGCTGGGTTCGGAAATCTGTCTATCGACTACCTAACCACTTTGGTAAAAATACCTGCATCGACAGAACGCGTTCATAGGAGGTAAGGTGGGCATGTACAGAATAAGGTACTTCGTAGGAGAGAGTACCGACCTACCTTCCATCCTACCCAATAGACACCGTTAGGTTGCCCCGCAACATGCGCGCAAACACCCAAGGATAGCCTGATAGGTAAGGAGGGCAGAGTTCACTGCCTTAGGTCGATTTCTTCTCAGTTGATCCCGCCAAGAATTCTCACAGGCAATGCACCCGACGCACTCCCAGAAGAATATTTGAAAATGGCAACCGAGCTCGACGACAAGGCCTTTCATTCGGCGCAGAGCCTCTCCCTCAAGCTCCTTGGCGCCTTTCCCGATTATGTTGCCGATTTCGAGGCGAAGTTGCAGAGCTGGCAGGAGGCCATCTCGCCGTCGTCCGAGTTTGTGCCCCCGACCACTGATCACCGACCATGACTATACGCTAGGTATTGCGTGCTAATATACGCCCGGTCACCGGTTCACAGTCCTTCTACCTGGTCTTCCGTGCCCGAGGTTGATGCGCTCATTGCTCTTGGGCCCAAGACCGTCCCCCTGCCTCTGCGGCACCTGTCGCGAGCCGAAGAAGATGCCACAGCCACGTTCCTCTGTATATTAGTTCTAGCTCCCCTCAAGCGAAATAGTCTTGATTCAGGCCGCTAACTCGGGCTGTCATCCACTCATCGCAGACAACAAGCTAGAGCACGATCCCGAATACCTCGTTGACAACGCCGACCCTACACGAAATGTCACCGCCATCCTCAAAAAGAACTTCAGGCGGAACCGGGTCGTCCGCAATGCCCTTCTCGATTGGGACGAGCACTGTGAGATGGTTGCCATCCACAGCAATGCCGAATGGCGTACCGAATGGGACGAGTTCGAAGAACTGGTCAAGCTCGGCCCGCCCGTGATCCCGCAGCTGATGCTGAAGTACAAGCCCCGAAACGGGCCGACCTTTAGCTACGAGTTGCTGCACGCCATCCTTTGGGGATACACGACGGAGCTGCAGACTATAAGCCTAGTCGACCAGTATAACATGTGGGATGACTGGTTCCAGAAGAGGAACTATAACGAGGCGCCGCATTACGCTCACCCGTCGCAGAGGGTCCGCGAAGAATAGGTGCGGGTAAATCATGGCCGGGCGAGTTTTAACGGCAGATGATGTGCTGCGAATCCCTTTGCAAGGGTGTGTTGTCTCTTCTTCGGTACCGAGTCAATCAAGGCTTCAGATCATTTCTCTTGCGTCCACCGTACCCCAGTCGTCCACCGTACCCCCAGTCGTGACCCGTCCGAATCCTCGGGTCTGGAGTCTTAAAGACGGTCACTCACCGACATGTGGGTTGGATACTGCGCCTTTCTGAATGGCGGCATTTGGAAACCCGCCGGCAATAGCTGGGCTCGTCTCTCATGACAGAACCGTCCCGAATTCGTCCCGACTTCCTGTCTAGCAGCGCCGCCTGCCCGAAAACCCTGATGACCCCGCGGAGAATTCAAACTTACCTAGGTATGTACCATGGAACCTCATCTCATCAATCACACCGAGATCGACATGGACGAGGATTACCCAAAGTGTCAAACCACAACGTCGGAAGCTTTGAGATCGCCGCACCCCTCGATCCGAGTTCCAGCGATCTGGAAGCAGCTCGCAACTTCGTTAGGGACGCGGAGGGTTGGTGCATTGATATCACCTTACCAGAATGGAAATTCAACAATCGACAATGACGATCTCCATTTGTCTCCGCCGTTTTACGTACTGTCCAATGCCACTTAGTCAGTCACCCACTGCTCGGCTCAAGCTACTGAGTAGTCCTTGAAAACGTTCGACCTCCACACCCCCTGAGCGCGATGACTTCCAGGTTTTGAAGTGCACTGTTGTGTATATACAGGAGCCGGAGCAGAGGACTCGGCCAGGCCGCCATCACTTAGTCTCTTGTCCCTTCACCGGACATTTGGACGCCTGCTTGTCATACCCGGCGATGTCCGGACTGCACGCGACTGGAAATCCCTGACTCTCTTTCCCCCCCTTCGGTCATGGTGCAATGACACGTGACGAACTGGTGCGAGGACACGGACTCAAGGGCGTTCACAGTTCACTCCGCGGTGTGTCAAGCGAAGGAGAAGCGGTGGAGTCGCAAGGGCAACCATTTTCGATCCCGAGCGAAGATCCTTTCTCCAATCACAGTCCCGAAAACGTCATTTCTCACCGGCTTGGGCGATGGAGTGGCCCGCTTCAGCGGCCTGTGCGGCTGTCCTCGACCGAATCAGATCCCGAATGGGGGTTGGGACCTCAGGGGGGGCTTGCCGCTTGGCTTCGGCCGACAGGAATCAAAAGGCCCCCGTCCCTGTCACACCAAACAACGAGCCCTGCGATCTTGGTGGCGCTCGGATGATTTTGCCCTGGAGCCTTGGACGCAAGGGACATTTGACAGACAGGACATGATGACCACGTGTGGGGGGTTTCAGTTCTCGATCCGATTCCTTGGAAGAAACATGAAAGGTGACTTCCAAGCAGCGTCGAGTTCATCGCTGCTCGCTTTCTGCCCACACACCCGCGCTAACTATTGCACCGTACGTGTGCACGTTCCTTCTCGTGAAGAGAGAAAGTGCATCAACTGCCATAACTACCACTGCCTACCTTCTGCCACCCCTCCTCTGCCGCCGTGGCTTCTTATAGGCATGCATGGCTTAATACTTGACAGTGACGGCCTGCGGCTTGGCCTTGGAAACGAGCCGTGTTGAGCGTCGGGAACGGCTGAACGGGTGAAGAGGGTGGCGGAATCCGGCCAGTGTGCCAGTCTGGATCGGATGGTTGTCGTGTATTGTGGAGGGTGGGAGGACAAGGACGCCGTCGACTGGGGACGCGCGTGGAGATGAAATATCAACATGGACCCAGCGGTGGGGGAGGAGATCAATCTTTTCAAGCACCATCCCCGCATAAAACAAGGCTCTGGGTTGTTCGCTCGATAAGCGAAAAATGAGCTTTCAGCTGCTGCCCTGGCCGCCACCAATCTCGTCAGACGGACCAAGGACGACATGATGGGTATCCCTTGCCGCGGTCCACCACCAAGCATTTTTACCGTGCCGATCTGCCAACCCCGTGTCCCGTCTATCATCGGATGGTTGCATGGATGCAAGGGCACAGATGCAGCTGCACGATCGGGTCTCGGGCCTTCCGTCTTATGTCCAAGCAAACTGGGCAAGCTGGCAAACTGGCAAACAGGAAAGCCCTTGGAATGCACCCACCCACCGCCGTCCGAGATATCCACATCGAGAGAGGGAAACATGGGCCGAGTGGCGTCGGTATCCGCGCTGCCCCCCCGGCTGGCCTACATATCTCTCCCTGTCCGTCCCCGTCCGAGGACGCCTTATGTTTTTCTCCTCTCTGCTTGCTCCAGGTCCTCGTCCGTGTTAGGCTTAGCTTGCACACACTCACACATGGGATACATGTATTGTTCGTGAATCCGTTTCGACCTTTGGCCTGCGTCGTTGGCGCACATCACCTCGCACGATGCCGATTCAGCCCCCCTCGTGGTTGAGCTGGTACAAGAAGCCAGAGTATCGCGACATCAAGGAGTATGCCGCCAATGTCAGCTCCGGACGACGCCCCGTGAGCCCGGATGGCCGCAACGGAGGCATCCCCAGCCGGCTGCGGCTCGACCGCATCCTGGCAAACAAGACATGTCAGTCATCATGTTGTACGGCAGTGATCTGTCTCGGGCTGACACGGTTGTTTTGACAGGCAGTCCAATGTCGTTGTACGACTTTTACATGTATCTGCAGTACGTTGAGTACTCGGCCGAGAATCTCGAGTTCTACATGTGGTGTGTTTTCCCGTTACCCTTGATACTACCGTAATCCCGTGACTGACAACAACAATCAGGTTCAAGAGCTACGAAGCTGCTTATGCCCGAGGACTGGTAATCGAAAACAAGAACTACGGTGCCATTCCCAGCGCCGCTCAGTCCACCTCATCCGTATCCCAGGTCAGATCCGGCGACAGCGCCATCTCCATCGAGAAGCACGACACCGAAGACGATGACGACGACAACAGCGAAGCAGGTTTGTCACCACCACTCCCCCCACCCCTTTAACCTCAACCCCCTACTAACACCCTTCCCCCCCTTTCCAGCCAAAGAAACCCTCGCGCGCATCTCCCAACTAATCTCCACCACCGCGCTCTGCACCTCCAAATCCGCCTGCGCCGACGCCGCCCGCGCCTCCTTCTCCTCGCCCCAACCCACCAACCCCCACCAACCATTCACCACCACCACCACCACCAGCACCACCACCAAACCCACCCCAACAACCGAGCTCTCCACCATCACCACCCTCTTCCTCCTCCCCAACGCGCCCAAAGAACTCAACATCCCCCCAACCCTCCGCAGCGAGGCCCTCGCGGCGCTCGCCGCCGCCGCCTCCTCCAACCGCCCGGCCTCCCCCGACGTCCTGCGCCCCGTGGCCGAGCACGCCTACACCCTATTACGCAACTGCTCGCACCGCAACTTTGTGCGCCTGGGCGTCGGCAACGGCACCTTCGAGACGGTCTGCGTGGCGACGGTGTTGGGGTGGACGCTCCTCCTGGCGGGGTTTTTGTTGGTCGCCTGTCGCGCGGCGCTGCCGGTCAGGGGTGCGCATGCGAGGTGGGAGGTGTTTGCGGCGTGGCCGCTGTGGTGGTTGGGGATGAGTTTGGTGCTGTCCGGGTTGAGGGGGAGTTGTTTTTTCTTGTTGCTGTTTTCGAGGAGGCAGCGGTTGCCGTGGGAGCGGTTTGATGGTGGGGGGGAGAAGAGGGGGGGGAGTGAGGAGAGGGGGAGGACGGGGGGTGGTGGGGGGTTGAGGGAGAATACGACGGTTGGGGGGGGAGGGTTTAGTCTGTGGCGGTCGGTGAGACGGTTGATGATCTTTGATCGGAGGATTCGGGTGCAGGAGAGGCATTTGAGGAGGTTGCAGAGGAAGATTGTTGTGCAGAGCCTGACGGGTGGGGCCATCTTTGCGACGTTGTGTGTGGTGTTGTTTATCTGGTTGCCGGTCTGGAGGGAGACGGTGTAAGGGGTGAAGGGGGGTGAAGGGGGGTGAAGGGGGGTGAAGGGGGGTGCTGGGTTAGGTGTCTTCTTTTCTCACGCCTGTGTTAAAAACGGATTTGGGGGGAATGGATGATACCTCGGGCTGGGCTGTATGATGAGTGACGTTCCAATGCTTTGTTATTACTATTTAATTTCATGACACTCTTTTTCGATTACTTTACGAGTACGAAATGGCCGAATTGTTGCTGTTGAACTGTTCCCAAGACCTGAGATCATTGACAACACACATACGGTCATTGGGAAACCTATGTTAGTGGGTTGGCTTTGTGACTTGTTAATCAAGACTTGATACTCTTCTGCCAGTATGTTGATATCCTGCTTCTTGTGATTCAATTGGTCACCAATGTGACTGCAAGACATAATATTAGCTAAGTGCCTACCTAGGTAGTCTTGTCTGCCCGAACTCCGGTCACATAGTTAACTAGGTAGTTACTAGAGTTATTAATAAGCTCTGTATATCTGCCTGAGCTTTCCACTTGGCCGTACAAAAGTCTGAGCACCCGGCCGTTTGCCCCTTTCCGGCTGGCCCGGGCTGGGTACCTAGTAACACTTCGCCGACAACGCCACACTACTGCTATGCGGTTTACTGTTTGGGGGACAAGCTCCGCTGCCAATTTCAGGGAGAGTTGTTCTCTGCGTCTTGTTCTCTCGATGCATCTCTCAACGCTCGTTCGGTAACGTTGGCCGTGTCAGCCGTGAAGGATTCGGTCTCGTCCCTCGCTCAGTCGATGTTTCTCTTGGCCACCGTAACTACACTCCGCTATCCCCGCTTCCTTCTCTCGTTTGACTACCAAAAGTCCGATTCCAAGAGTCCGGCGTTGAGCTAATGCATGCCCACGACTCCCTCGATGGACGGTTCTGGACGACATGCAAGCCATGCGAGGAAGGCCGGAGATCGAGAACAACCCAACACGGGGATGCAGCCGGAAATAGTTTGCGTTCGTAGCGTCGTTTAGCCTGCACAACCATGCAGTGTAATTGAGCTTTTCCGGATCTTGACTTTCGCTTCCGCGTTCTCGGCTATTCGGGTGACATCCCGCAACGTCTCCTTCCGCCCCCCTAGATTCGGAGTCTCCACGGGCCACGCTCCCCCGTTCCCCAGCAGAATCTCCGCCAATGGACGGCCCAATGTCCCTGAATTGGCTCCGATCTCAACCTGGTCTCCGGGACAAAGGAAGGCTACCTAGACGAGAATGGGGTCCTTGACAGGAAGCATATATGTTGACGCGTCCGTCGTGTTCTAGGTGCACCTTGTTCGTTCTCACCCAAGTTTGTTACCTTCACGACTTCAACATGGGGCGCTCTTTGACTCGGACAACATTGGCACTCCTCGCCGCGGCCCCCGGGGCGCTGGCTGCGGACCCGGCTGGGTTGTGGACGCAGTGCGGTGGTAATGGATACACGGGGTCGACCGAATGCGTTTCTGGGGCTTATTGCATGGCGTACAACGACTGGTACCGTGAGTGAGGAATAGCCTGGGATTGATCGAACTATGGATGTTGACAATGCCACAGACCAGTGTGTCCCAGGACAGGCCTCGACCACCCCTGCCCCATCCAGCACCCTCGCGACCTCGACCCGCACGAGCTCGACCACGAGCGCGGCCGCCAGCACCAGCAGCCCCGCATCTGATGACTGCTCCGTTCAGTTCCTCATCACCTTCGGCGACTCCTACTCTCAGACGGGCTTCGACGTCGGGTCCACCAAGCCCTCCACGAGCAACCCGCTCGGCAACCCCCCGCTGCCCGGGTGGACCGCTAGCGGTGGCCTGAACTGGGTCGGCTTCCTGGCCTCGGAGTACAACAGGTCCACTCTCCTGTCCTACAACTTCGCCTACGGCGGTGCCACCACCAACGCCACCATTGTGCCGCCCTACGAGCCAACTGTGCTCAGCTTCGTCGACCAGGTTGCCCAGTTCAGCGACAGCATTGCCAGCAAGCCCAGCTATGCGCCCTGGGGCGACAACGCCTTGTTCGGAGTCTGGATTGGCGTCAACGACGTGGGCAACGCGTGGTGGAAGGAGGACTATGACCAGGTCGTCGAGCAGATCATGGCCACCTACTTCGGACAGCTGCAGATTTTGTACGATGCCGGCGCAAGGAACTTTGCGTTGCTTACCGTGCCGCGTAAGTTACTCCCCGTTCTATTAGATCGAGTTGTTGCTGATGAAAACGGACACAGCCATCCACCGGACCCCGGCGGTGCTCGAAGGATCGGACGAGTCCCAGCAGGAGGCCGAGGCGGTTTCCATTGCCAGGTACAACGATGCTCTTGCTGCTGGACTGGCCGCGTTCGAGGCTAAGAACACGGGTATCACGTCTAAGATCGTGGACACGACTGCCCCGTTCAACACTGCGCTCGACAACCCTACCGACTACGGCTCTCCCGACGCCACGTGCTTCAACGAGAACGGCAAGTCATGCTTGTGGTTCAATGACTATCACCCTGGTTATGAGATCAACAAGCTTGTCGCGGAGGCTGTTGCGGATGCCTGGAAGGGGAGCTACTTCTAGGTTGTTCAGGGGTGTGATGTCAATAAACTCTTTGACCCCTTAGCTTGAGACAACGAATTAATATGCTGTTTCAAGTTGAGAGGACTGCACTTAATATTGGCACGCATTGTTCTCCATTTCTGCTCAAGAAGTGTTTCAGCACGAGTGTTAAGGTTGGCTCTCAGTGTTCTAGTCGTGTTCAACAGCCTAACCCGCAGATGATGGAACACATGGTGGCCCAAGGCTCAAACGACGAAGTATTTCAAGCTTTAGCGCGACCCCTGATACCCAGAACAGGCCCCTAAACTACGAGTCATATTGACGACCAAACCATTAGCACAAAAGCGACATCAGCACCCACGGCCTCCAACATGACCAACATGAAGATGAAAATCATCCGTAACGTGCAGTTCATGCCGTCGATCAAGACTGACGACGAGAAGCGGAGCTTTTTCGACGCCATTTTATACGTAGATCTCTACGAGGTATCGACGACCGCTAACGACTTGGCCCCCACCCCCGACGAGCAGGAAGAGGAGGAGTCCGCCAGGTTCCCAGATTCCACCCTAACTCCCGGCCAGATCCAGCAGAGCATAGAATGGAAGACGATCCGCTTCTTCAGCGAGGTCTTCCGCGTCATGGCCGAGGGCGTCGGCTCCGAGCGCGACGTCGTTGCGTTTGCGCGCAACAAACTGATGAGAAACGAGGAAGATGTCGGCCGCGTAGCCTCCTGTGCGTTGCACATGCCGCTGTGCTTGGTCGAGAAGGTCGTAGCCGATATTCTCCGAAGCCGCCGAGAGGTTTTGAGGACCCGGGAGCTTGCGGAGGCGGATGGATGGACGTTTGAGCAGAGGCGGGGGCCGGGCCCGTGCATGGTGGATGGCGAGGACATGTTGGAGCAGAGGGACTCGGAGATCTTCCATCGCAGGATCGATCGCTTTCTTGAGCTGGAGGGTGCGAGAGACCGGGTGATCCGGGATTTGGAAAGGATGGAAGGGGGAGTTGGCATTGCCGACGACTATGCCGGTGACAACTACGCCAGGAACGCCTAACGCCTAAACCATACAAAGTACGCTGATGTGGACATACATAGGTACCTACCTAGGTGGTTGAAGAATACGATAAGGGGTGATTCTGCCGCGTTGCTCGCCTGCGATATTCTGCTTCTTTTGACGGTAGCCGTGCCGCTTCACCTGAAATGCATGTCACCGGCACCGTTCGTGTAACGATCGAAATCAGGGATTGTTGTAAAGTGTCTGCCATCCGGAGCGTTGTCGACAGCTTCAGATACATGTAGGCAAGCCTCAATACCACCCAAAGGCGCGCAGCTGCCCCAATCAGGACGGCTGCCATCCCCTAACCTCGATGAAATGGTGTGTCGCACATTTGTCTATCCAATCAAGCGCCGTGACAATGCATGTATGTATCTAATTCACGTTCCAGCTGGATGCAGCATGTCCCGCCGTTTCTATAAACAGCATTTGAGGTCGCTTCTGATGTCCCTCGTAACCCCGTCGTTGCATCGCAGGTAAGTTCCATGCCAGCGATGCGAAGCCAACCCGATAAAGGGGGCTCTCGCCCACTAACCTAGTATACCATACCGAGATTTCCCAACGAAAACTGCGGTACGTATTATTCGGGCCTCACCGAGCCCTGCGGACTTACACGCACCCGTCGACCACACTCACAGCGTCACAAGATGGCCTTCAAGTCTGGGCTACTTGGTCGACTACTATGCGTCCTTCTTCTCCTACGACCACTTCTTGCCGTCGAGACCGTCAGCAAATTTGGGGAGGAATGGCCCCATCCGTGTGTTCGGAATTGCCTCGGCAACGTTCCAGATTACGACAATATCGGATCTGCGCTACAGTGCGGAACCCCTTTCTACAATGAGTGTTACTGCGCCACGGCGACAGCATCCGCATCGAAGGCCACGTCCTTTCTGGAGTCATGTGCCTCGGCGTGGTGCAATGGCGGCGACGTCACGGTGGACCTCCGGGCGATGCAGTCCAACTACGCGTCGTATTGCATGGAGAACGGCTTCACGCAACCTGGAGCTACGGCCTGGTACAATTCCGCCACGGAAACTGGTGCTCCAGCCCCGGGCAGCACCGGGGAGACCGACCCAGCTTCCACCACGACACGAGTCTCGATGGTCACGCAAACGACACCATCTGACTCCAGTGGCGACTCCTCTTCACAGCCGCCGGGTAAGTGCCTGCTTCCGGTTGCGGCGGTGGTGGCTGCAATTCTACTGCAGGTACTGTACTCCGTAGGTGCTGCTTCACATCTTCCCGCCGGAGAAGCCAGGGCATCGGTTTCTTTTTTTATTAGTAGTTGTATGGCCGTTCTGACTCGGGCGGTGTAATTCACCATATTAGTGACCACCATCGACACCACTTCCACAGTCTGGGTCAACGCCGCTGGCTCTGTCGTCCCCGGTCCGTCCTCCGACGGCAACACGAACAATCTTGCGCTGGCCCTTGGATTGGGAATTGGAATTCCCCTAGCCTTCGCAGTAGCAGGTTTCGGAATATGGATGTGCATTTGGAGAAGACGCAGAAGGCAACCGAGGCCCCTCATATCAATGGTTGATGAACCGGCAGGTCCTCAGTCCTTCCGAGTCATCTCACGAAAGCCAGTCACGACCGCAAGCAGGACTGAAAGTCTGTCCAGTACTCCTAGGACGCCGGAGCTAGGAGGCGAGGGCATACGCCGGGAGCTGGACGGGAACGAGCTCTATGAACTGCACGGTGTGGGCAGGTAGACAGAGCCTCGAGGCGAGCCGAGAATCCCGCCGCCCCAGCATTATCAGGCGGCGGTTATCTTTGTGACACGGCTAGGCCGTAATCATTGGGAGGTATCAGTTACCGTAAGAGACCACGGAGTCACGGACCTTTAATCGCCTGGCGGAGATACCTTGAGATACTCAAGTAGATAACTAGCTAACTACTGCCCAAACCATAAAAGCTCCAGCAGTAGGTACCAATATAGAAACGGCTCGCTGTTTACCTCGGTACATGGAAATAACAACAACTCCTTCGTCTCCGCCATCGAGCTGCATCCCCCTTTTCCTTGTTACGTAATCTCTGTCGGCGGGTTAAGAGCAGCTGATCGCGGGGATCATGAGTCAGGATCGCACCTTCACCTTACATTGCTCGAAGTTGTGACGATTTCCTTAGCAGAATGCTTTCATCAAAAGCCGCCGCGCCTGCTTTACCCCTATTCAATCGATTTCAGATCACATCGGGAGCTCGTTCTCTCTTAAAGATTACACGGCGTTCCTCAACACACCACAAGCCCCGCCCCTTATTACCGGTCACCGGTGGCTTGATCAACGCCCACTCTTTCACTCCTCCTCCGCAGCAGCTCCTCAGGCCGACCGGATTCAACCCGAAATCCACCATGTCAACATCACCACCCAAGCCCCAAGCCAACGACTGGTCTCCCGACCAATACCTCCTCTTCCGCGACGCGCGCAACCGCCCCATCCACGACCTCATCACCTTCCTCGGACCATCCTACTCCCCCACCAGCATAATCGACCTCGGCTGCGGGCCCGGCAACAGCACCGAGATCCTCGCCACCCGCTTCCCCCACGCCACCAGCATCAGCGGCGTCGACGCCTCGCCCGCCATGCTAGCCAAAGCGCGCAGCACCCTCCCCAACACGCCCTTCACCCAAGCCAACCTGCAAACCTACACGCCCCCCTCGGGCACCGACCTCCTCTTCTCCAACGCCGTCCTGCACTGGCTGCGCCACGCCGACCGCCTCGCCACCCTCACCCGCCTCCTACACACCCAACGCCCGGGGACGGGCGTGCTCGCCTTCCAGGTGCCCGACAACCACGCCGAGCCCTCCCACCGCGCGATGCGCGAGACGGCGGCCGCGCCGGGGCCCTGGCGGCAATATTTCGCGGATCTGCCGCCCGAGCAGCGGCCGGATCTGGATCCGATCGAGTCGGTGATTGAGTATTATGATCTGCTGAAGCCGCTGTGTCGGGCCGTGGAGACGTGGACGACGCGCTATGTGCATGTGCTGGGGGAGGGGCATGCGGGGATTGTGGAGTGGGTGAGGGGGACGGGGTTGCAGCCTTTCTTGGGGGTGTTGCCGGTGGAGGGGGGCGTGAGGGAGGCGTTTTTGGGGGAGTATAAGAGGAGGTTGGAGAGGGCGTATCCGGTGGCGGGGGATGGGAGCGTGTTGTTGGAGTATCCGAGGCGGTTTGTGGTTGCGTTTCGGTGAGTGCTGGGTGGTTGGAGGAGGGGGGGATGGCGGTGTGAAGGGGATGGACTGCACGGGCGGAGAGATGCTTGGATTTACAAGTATAGTAGGTGGTGACTACCTAGGTTTATAAAATAAGGCCCTTGACAGGGCGTTGTAGCTTGACGTTTTAACAATCACATGAATGCTGTAATGTATCCCAACCTCGAATGTAAGTGCCCTTATATAAAATACACGGTATCAATTCTGAGATGCTTCTAAAGTACCGCCTATTACCTGGGAATGCAAACTCTCAAGTCAATGTCCCAATAGCAGTGTGTGTCGAAGCCCCCCAAGAGCAGGACCCCTCAAGGGGCCCCCAGCAGCTGGGTATGTCCAGGGCAACCTCGGAGTAGGACAAATCGAGACGCCCTCAGCAGCAAGACATGTCGGAGACCACGGCAGGAAAGATAAACCATTAGATATGCCTGCCGGGTGTGCCCGTATGGAAACTGAGGCTCGCCATCCGTGGGAAACTCCACGGACTTGCCAGCTGGTTTACCAGGGGCACTCCGCTTAAAGTTATTTTCTCTAATCGGCAACCCCTTGGCGACGATAACACCGCTTGAATTTGTCCGTAGCCTTTCGGTAGCTTCCGTTCGCACTGGGCTGGGGGCGTGGCTTGGGGAATTTGTAGGTGAGCGTTTCCTTTCCCCCGTTGTCAGTGGCCTCGTCCGTATCAGCGTCGTCAACATTAGCAATCAGCTTCTGCTTTTCTTTCTTCTGCTCGTGGTTATCATCGTGCTTGCTCTGCTCGATTGGTAGAGGCTTTACTTCGGGACTACCTATCCCGCTGCCCGCCTTGCCAGGTTGGCTGGCTGGGACGTTCCCTATGCGCAGCGCCAGGGCTACTAATGTTTACCGAAGGTAGTGGGCTCAAGGGTGTATTCTACTAGCATCATACCCAGCGTGTTGCGTACGCGAGGCACATAATATACCTTGGCTTTCCTTCGTGGGCACTCCATGCACACATTCGAAGTTATATTTTGTGAATATATCTGGTCAAAAACAACGGCAAAAGTCCGAAAACGAAGGGTTAAAGGAGATAACAGAGTACATATACCGGACAGCATCAATGACCACAACGCCCGACAAGGCCCCAGAGACTCGGGCGGTCCCGGTGACAGCTGGTCAATGTAGACTGAGGGTCCAGCTGATTTCCCCAGATCCGCAGTCGTCCACGCACTAGAGCCGACCTATTCTTACCCACGTGAAAGCTAAATGCCCATGTCCTTGACAGTCCAGATTCTTACCTACCTAACTGTGGCCTGCAACCGTGCGGACCTGCGAGTGCCGCGAGAAGAACCTTCCGCCACCTTCACAACCTTGTTGCTCTTCTTCAGTGACCGACCACGCCCGGGCTTTGACCCGGGGTTCGATCCACGCTTGGGCCCGCGCTTTCGCCGCTCCTTCGTGGCTTTCGCTTTTGCCCTTGCGGGTCCCGGGTCAGCGTCAATGACCTCACGGTCCCGGGCGAGGGCGCGGAGATTCCTGTTCCGCGCCCGTGTCCGTTGTGCCTTGTCTACTCTCGCTGACTTGGACTTCTGCTTAAGACGGAACCACTCGGGGATCTTCTCATCGTCCGAAGCCATCAGGCCGATGATGTCCTCGATGTCGATCGACATGGCAGAGGTGTCCGAATCCTCGCCGTCTGAGGTGCCCCCTCCCTGAACCGCGGCACGAAGTGTATCAGCTCTATCGAGTAACGACCCCTCTGGCCCCAGGGACTTCTCATGCCGGGCATGCCAAGCCTCCAGGTGCTTCATGACGAATGTACGATGGTCGTTGACGGCATAATCGTGGATCTGGTCTACGATGCAAATCAACTCGAACGCGCGGCTGAAGTCTTTGATGTCTCCTTCCCAGATCGTCTCGACGTGCTGTTCTGCATCAGCCGCCAGTACTCCACAACGTGGATGACAATGATGGGTGTGTTGAACTTACACAACTGTCGAGGAAGTTCCAAGCCACGTAGACTTCCCAGTAGGGACCGCAAGACGTGAATGCAAAGAGCTGGTACTTGGAGCTGTCTTTTGTCTGATATTCGGCCACATTGTCTGGATTCCGGGCCAGATCGTCCAACATGGCGAGGTATGTCTTGCATGCGTGGTAGATCTGGTCTTCAGCGGCTTCATAACTTGACGCTCGTTTCTTAGCCTCGTAGACTGCATAAGGAAACACGATGTCGGTATTCCCCCATGAGCCGTCGACAATTAGGCCGCACTCGGGGTTGTGCATCATGGCAGCAAGCCGCTCTTGGGAGAGCCTCTTGTCGGGCTGCTTGGTGTTGTGCTCTTCTTCGCAGTCAGGAACAGCACACGTGTACCTGCGGCTGAGTTCGAAGGCGTCGTATGCTTTGAGACCCAATGTCGCATCTGGGATCCTCGTTTTCACTGCGGTTTGCTCCCTGTCGTCCGTCCCTACGTACTCGTAAGGCCTCTTGTCCCTGTAGTCATTGGCGTAGGTGTTAGCGTTCGCGTGTCTAGGATAACCAGAAGAAATACGTTATCGAGAAAACGAACATTCTGAGCCCTTGGTCATCCATGATCAAACCGAAAACATCATGCCAGGCGCACACCTCCCAGCCGAACTCGGAAGACTTGTGAAGCTGGTTGCCTATGGCTCTCCTGAGCAGCTTGGCCGTCCTCTTATCAAGCTCCGTCTTCTTCTTGTCACTCAAAGGCTCCCTATATTTTGGAATATCAAGGTTGGGGCAGAATCTGGCCCATGTCGAGGCCATGGGCTCATTTCCGAAGACAACTGACTGCCGGGAGATACATAAGTTCTTGAATGGCTCCGGCACCAACGGCATGGCCCGCTCCCGCGACGAACTCCTAAGGGTATCACAGTTAGCACTATTATGCACAAACTGTCTCTCTCGAAGTCAACTTACCCCATTTTGATGGCGTGAAACAAGACAAGAGTTTTGCGATGAAGAAAATGGCTTCTGTAATAGACTACACTTGTCAGATGTCCAAGTTCAAAGTTGGAGTGAAAGGAGCCGGCGACGTGATGGCTCTTCTTGAACTTGCACGAACGCCAGGCAACAGCAGGCTCCAGCCCAGCTCAAGCTGTGTCTGTTCAGCTTCAACTCGGGTAGGCGCTTGCCGAAACCATAACCTTGAACCAACACCGGTTGCCGAAGCTATCATTGGCCAAGGCACACACACACGAAGGACAGCCTCGCCGAAATCACACATGCCCCGCACTTACACACCTTGAACGCACACAGCCAACGCCCTTTCGAGGCTTGGTGCTGGCTCGTTAATGCCTTCGGTGACTTTCTCCTCCCTTCTTCCTTGAATTCCAAAATCTGTTGGATCTCCAGGTGGTCAGCTGAAACAGGGGGTGGACAAGGCGACCGATTCAGAGGCCCGCCCTGCAGGCTGTGCAACTTGAAGGAGTGCGGGAATGGCCAAAACTAGCGACTGTACGTTGTTGAGGTGCCGGAGCACGAGAAGTCTACCTTGCAATCTACCAAACTCGGACACTAGATCCGAGCTCCTCCCAAACGAAGAAACCCTCTAATAATCTCCCGAGCCTCTGGATCATCCACCTTGGCCACATCGACTGTCTCTCCGTTCCGTTGCCTCTCCTTCAAACCCAAGTCATCACCAAGTAGATCCTCATGTGGCATTTTGCCAGTATACAAGTGCCAGATGCTCAGACCGAGGCCATACAAGTCGTCCTCGGTTGTAGGTGGTGCTGGGTCCATCCCCACCTGTTCCCCTCTGAGAAGCCTATTCGGAGACTCGTAATGCCAGGTCGAGCTCCCTTCCCAGAGACTCTCATCCTCGTCCACGTACCGCCCCTCGGCGAAATCACAAAGCCGGAGCTTCCCTTGATTATCGAGAAGCATATTCTCCAGCTTCAGGTCTCCGTGAACGACGCGTTTGGTATGCAAGCGCTGCACAGCCGAAACCATCTGGTACATGATGTCTCGGCGTTGAGATGGTGGCAGGACCAGGGCCGGGGGCGGGGCCGGGCCTGTTGGAGCGATGATTGGAGTTGCGAGATCCATTAGGAAGCCCATGCAAGCAATGTCGCCGTTGAATACCTTGGTCATCACCCTTCCCCTGACAGGAATTGCGCAATCGCCAGCCGCCTTCTGGAGTTCGTATTCTCGAAGGTCACCTCTGGACTTGTAGACCATTCCGGCGTGGCCTTTGACTTTGTAGAGCGTGCTGTTCCCTGTGATGACGAGTTCAGGCATCTCGCGTTCAATCGTGGCCCAGGCAACGTCTGGTGGCGCTGGTGGCCACCGCTGGTCTTCGAGGACGTCCCTGTCCATTGGCAAGAATTGAGACTTTGACCGGTGATGGACCGATGTAAGAGGTAGGAGGAGCATGAACTGGAGGAAGGTGGTTTCTCTGTTTTGGCTCGCAGATGGGTTTGTATTGGATTCAAATTGCGTTGGGGCTGCTGCTGTGGATGGAACAGTTGCAGAAGTTCAAACCAACCAACCTCGGGAGTGGTGAAGCGGGGCTCAGCGTGGGAAGCATTGCGTACACTGTCCATACTGCAGTTGGCTTACAACGAATAGAGCCGCCAACAACCAGAATACGTTTTCACTTTCCCATAACAATTCCATGACACCGATAGCTTTCCAGTATTCCCTATTGTCCAAAAGGTACCTACGGTCTCTTATCCTTATACTTACCAGCCTTGTCCCTTCGAAACAGAAAGGGGGCTTTCACAAGCAAAAAGCACTGTTTTAGCACCGCTCAAGCATCAACTGAGCACAGAGCAATGACCGAGGACCTGGCTTCAACACTGCAGGGAAAACGCCCAGTTTCCCAACTCACGGGCCGCAAGACACAGAACACCCCCGGCTGGATGAGAGCGGAGTACAGCAGATCACCGCCCCGGTCCGCTAGCATGTAACTACATCAGAAGGGGGTGTGGGGAAGGATGGGGGGGGGGGGGGGGGGGGCGGGGGGGGCGGCGAGGACAGACAAGAGTGTTTCCGGACTGTGGCGGGCCCGACATGGCCATAATGCTGTACTTTCTATGACCCCGGCGGGGGACTGGAGTCTCAGTGCCAGGCGGAGGGCGATTTTCGAGCATTCGCTCTCATCGTATCCGCCACCGATTTTCTGGAAAGGTAGGACGAACTCACTTATGTACGATAGAATCGTACGATGTTGAACTACTTCAACATCCTCGAGAGCGTAAGGCTCATCGTCCACAAGGCTACCAGACGACATGTCGTCTGTGAAATCGACGGAGACCTTCTCCTCGATTGGTGCCGCCGCTTTAACTCGGCGGGAAGTCATTGCTGACGAAAATGTTAGCTTGGTCTGGTGGTACTTAACCATTTTGAGGCCGTCTGGTGGCCTAGAAAAAAGATTCGATGGGGCTACGGGGTTGAGAAGCCAGCGACGGGGAGATGAGTGCAGAAAGCGGTAACTGCTAGGGCCATGAGTGCTGGAAGCGGTGAGTCGAGACCGGCGGGGTGTGCCATTGCTCCGGTGGTGCCTCTGCACTGGGATGAGCCCTGCGCTCTCGACGATGTTGAAGTAGTTCAACATCGTGCGATCCTATCGTACATAAGTGAGTTCGTCCTACCTTTCTAGAAAATTGGTGGCGAATACGATGAGAGCGAATGCTCGAAAATCGTAGAAGACATCTTCGACGATGTCTGTGTCGGCCAGCCTCAGCTCTGGTGATGTGGGATTCCCGCCGGGAACTCCCATACCTAGATAGGTACTTCGGTAGAACTGGAGCATGATGATGGAGGCCCCTCGGAAGAAGACAGCTCGCTGCCAGTTAGCCCTACTACGGCCCTGTGGCACATGCTATCCATCGAAAAGAGATACCCGAGCGGGATGTCGCCATACTGCCGCCGACATCTAGGCCATTTACATACCTACTTGTTGGACGACCATCGAACGGCTCGCGCAGGCAGGGCTAGCGAGCCGGTCGCTGCTCGAGGTCTCGTCGCCTTCAGAAACGACACTACTAGGTACTAGGTACCTATTTGTTTTAGAACGGCCATGTTAGGTATGCTGTTCTCCGGTGGTCACAGGTTAGCACGAAACTTGTTCCCGTATCTCGCACTACTTATCAGGGGCCGTGAGTAGCACCGCTTGTCCTAGTGCGGGTTGGCTTTGTCTGGATCCGGCTTTTTTATAATGCTGCCTTCCATCCCATCACCGTACCTACTACTAGTAATGGGTAGTTGGGTACCTGTGACTACTAGCCCGAGGAGGCTTGAGCTTACCTCGTGGTGCAGAACGGGGTCTTGTGCCTTTTCATTTACAAGCTTTGTTCATTGGCGGCACGTGGTCTTACGGTGAATTTACAGAGTTTTGATCGAGAGAAGCGTTTCTCAGTGGGGGCGAGAGACATATTTAGGTTCTCATGTGACTCAACTTGGAAGCGTGCCGCGGTCTCGCGATCATCCAACGCCCCAACACACAAAAACCCTCTCTTGCGTAGTTTTCGAGCCGAATCCTAAACCCCCTCAATAAACCTCCCAAAGCAATACACCCGGTGAGTAGACGAAGCAAGCGCCTTCCCACGAGAAAGTAAGCAAGGCTAACTTTATGCACAGCCGGCATTATGTGCATCCAGTATTATCGCGAATACACGTGCGGCTGCAAGAAGCAAGAGGAGTTTGTGCAGTGCGACAAGCGGCTCGGCAGCAACGTTCGATGCGACCCGGTCGCACAAGTGCCCATGCCCGGCGCTATCCATATGTGCATCAGACACATGGTGGAAAAGGGCAAGGATGAAATGCACGGTTAGGTGATGATTGATGAGAAGACGGGGATGGCGATGGTATTAGGAAACGGGACACAGTGGGAGAGCGGGAGGGAGGCCGCCCCGGCGGCCCCGCCAACTTTCGGGATCAAGGCTCCCTCTCCGTGCCGCTCTCCAGCGCATTCAGGGTACTTCTCCACTAATTTTCAGTGGTCGAGTTAACGAGCACGACGAGATAACAACAACGACAGAACTTCGTGTGCCCGATGCCGTTCCGTTGTCCGATGCCGTTCCGATCGTTAATCCGATCTCGTTCCGATGTCGTCCCGGCTCTCTACAACGGCATTATCTCTCTCTTTTTTGAGGGCAATACCATTTTCGACCCGCCTCGAACGCGTCCCACTGTCGTTCATTCACGCCCTGGGAGCCTGGGTATCACGAAATGCAAAAGGGCAAGGAAGGGGTAGGTGGGACCGACTTCCAGGGAACGCTTTGTTTTCCCAATCCAGCAACGGCGTGCCCTCCTCCGAGCACCAACCCCCAAGCTCCCCGTCCGGGACAGAAACACCGTTCGAGTACAGCGGTTGAAGGCAGTCCGCGAGATTTGAGATGTCGGTCGGTATTTGCTTGACGGCGCCATGAATTGTTTGACGATGGCTTCCTCTCCATCTTGCATCGAGTCCATCCCCTCGACCTCCTGAGGCTCTTTCCCTACGCCCATCCATCACCATCTCCCAAACACCATAATCCCAACACCCCCAAAATGAAACTCCCATCACCCCTAAGCCTAGGGGCCCTCCCCATCCTAAGCCTCCTCACCCGCCTCACCACCGCGGCCACCCTCACCCAAATCACCACCCCCTTCGGCCCCAACCCGCGCAACGTCTCCTTCCACCTCTACACCCCCGACACCCTAGCCGCAACCCCCCCCATCCTCGTCAACCCGCACTGGTGCCACGGCACCGCCGAGGCCGCCTTCGCCGGCTCGCGCTGGGCCACCCTCGCCGACGCCCACGGCTTCGTCGTCATCTACCCCGGCAGCAGCCCCGCCTCCGCCGCCGACCAGTGCTGGGACGTCTCCAGCGCCGAGACCCTCACCCACGATGGTGGCGGTGACAGTTTGGGGATCGTCAGCATGGTGCGCTGGGCGCTGGAGGAGTTCGATGCGGATCCGGAGCGGGTTTTCGTGACGGGGGTGTCGTCCGGGGGGATGATGACGCAGGTGCTGTTGGGGGCGTATCCGGATGTATTTGCGGCGGGCGCGGCGTTTGCCGGCGTGCCGTTTGGGTGCTTTGCGCCCGAGGGGGAGAATGCGGGGGAGTTTGGGTACTGGAATGGGGAGTGTGCTACGGGGGAGGTGACGCACGCGCCGGAGGAGTGGGGGGGTCTGGTGAGGGCGGCGTATCCGGGTTATGAGGGATGGCGGCCCAAGGTGCAGATCTTTCATGGTACGAAGGATGAGGTGGTTAGTTATGTGAATCACGGCGAGGGTGTGAAGCTGTGGACGAATGTGCTGGGGTTGAGCGACGCGCCGGTCAGTGTGGTGCCGGACACGCCATTGGCGGGATGGACTAAGAGCGTGTATGGACCGGAGGGCCGGTTTGAGGCGTACAGCGCCGAGGGCGTGCCGCATGACATCAAGGTTCAGGAGGACACCGTCATGGCTTTCTTCGAGCTGAACTGCACCAGCGAGTGTTTCTCCTGGGGCCAGGGTACCGCCCCTTCCGGTGGGCAACCCAATGCATCGTCATCTCCAGTGAGGTCAAGCTCGACCTTTTCAACGGCCACGGCGCCTGGTGCAACTTTCACCTCCACTGCAGCTGTGACAACGACAAGCACGCCGGTAGCCTGCGAGACCAAGACGGTTCAAGGAGGTGTTCCCTTGTGGTCGCAATGGTAAGTTAGCTGTGGTTTATCCTTTGGACCCCTGACTGATGACGAATGCAGCGGCGGTATGGGGTATGTCGGCGCAACAGCTTGCGCTAACGGGGAGTGCACGTCATACAATGAGTACTACGCTCAGGTAAGGGGAGCCGACTTCGTTGTGTGCGGGGTCTAGGCTAATGTCGTCTTCAGTGTGTCCCTACGCCGGCTTGTTAATCTTAGGCTTGGGGCCAGCAAGGCAGAGTTGTGCTTGTATTCAGCGAAAAGGGAAAAAGTAATCACAGTACAAAGCAGCATAGAATAGGTATAACAAAACAATCGACCATTACTACCTAGTAGGGAGTTACTAAATGACATCTTTTAGTTGTTCCAAGTTGCTTTTCGAACACACTTATTCCCGCTTTCATCCTTTTCCTTGCCGTACGAAGCCCCCTTTTATCCCTTCCACCCAACAACACGCCATCCCCAGCAACGGCGCTCCAGCACCCTTTGAAAACACCACTATTAGATCCACCGATGACAACCCCTCCCCAATACTTCATGTTCAAACAACAAAACAGAGAGACCAAATCCTACCCTATCACGGATACGGGTATGGCGGCACAGCATAGGGATAAATAAGTAGGCGGATACGGCACATATGGATACGGCGGCACCCCATAAGCAGGAGGATACACATCGGGATACTCCGATACCCTATATATTTAAACTATGAACACCGCCGGCGGCGGCGCAACACCCGGCCCCCCAACTCCCGGGTCCCCAGCATCCGCAACACCTGCCCTAGACGCCCCCACCGGCACCGCCGCCGCCGGGTCCTGTCCCGCACCCCGCACACCCTGCACACAACGACCCCGAACAGCCTGAACCTACGCCGCCATCGCCTGCGCCATCCGCTGCATCTGCTGCTTGCGCGGCCGCCTGTTAGGCCTAGGCAGCGGCAGCGACAGTGTCGGGGTCACCGTCGATGATTCCGTCGTCATCGATGATTCCATCGTCAACGCCGTCGTCAATGATTCCGTCGTCGTCGTCGATGATGCCGTCGTCGATGATTCCGGCTTCGATAATTCCGTCATCGTCGTCGTCGATGATGCCGTCGTCGATAATTCCATCATCATCATCATCATCGTCATCATCATCAATGATTCCATCAACCGGGTCGCCCACACCGCGCTTGGCCGGGGCAGGCTTGGCCAGGGCAGGCTTGGGCGGGGCAGCGCCGGCTTCGTCGTCGGTGTCGGTGTCGTCGTCATCAGTCTCAGTTCCGTCGTCGACCGGGTCGCCCTCGGCGCGCTTGGCCGCGGGCGCGGGCGCGGCCATGACGGGGGCGACGCGCGGCGCCATGCCTGCCATGCCTGCCATACCGACGCCCATGCCGGGCCGCGGGCCACGCCTCATCATGGGCGGCATGTGGCGCGCAGCGTGCTGGTCTGCTGCGGGCGCTGCGGTAGTAGAGGTCTGGGCTGCTGCCACCGCCGGGGTGTAGGTCTGGGCTGCCACCGCGGGGTCGCGGTCTGTGATGGCGGTGGTGGTGGCGGCGGGCATGCCCAGGGCGAAGGGGAGGAGGATTAGGGGGAGGATGGTTGGCTTCATTGTGTTGGTTTTGTTTTTGGGTTGGCTGATTTGTGGTTGTTTTGGTGTTGGTTGTAGGCGTGGTTTAGTATAGTAGATATCAAGGTGAAGGCGAGTGGTTGGTTAACTGGGAGGGAGGAGCTGTCCTTAAGGACCACCCACCCCCTGGAGCTAAGATCCGTGTGCTTGGTCGCCGGGTTGAGAAGGGTTCCAGCCATTGGTATCTGCGTCATTGGCGGAGCTCGAGGGGTCCTTCATAACTACACGCCGTGAAGTGGATGCTGCCCTTTGAACGTGTTGTGCAATCACACACTAGTTTCCCTCATATCATCGCGTCCAAGAGATCGCGGATCGTGTGCTGTGATTGATCGGTGGCGAGGGGGCACATGCCGCCTGTTGGCTTGATTGATGTGCTAAGCGGGTCATCCGATGTCCGTGGAAGTGTCTAGAGGGGATGTCTCCCGATCACTACCTATGTACGAAGTATACCGTGACCTAGTCGGAGCTTTACTGCGCGGATAGAGACTCGGAAATTTTCAAACGACGACTGAGGCCAAGGTCGTTGCTTTTGATTGATGAAAACTCTTTCCTTTAGTAACCCGAAACTGGAATCTAATCATATCACGTTAAACCATGTCCCCACAAGACAATGGCTGGGTGTAGGGTATAGTTTTAATCTGGCTTTTTAGACGGCTCAGGGTGTGGCGGGTACGAAGTCCGATGGGCGTCGGACTCGATGCGGATGACGTTGGACTGACTGACACATGCTATGCTGTGGATGGAGACTCGATTTGGACCGAGACAGCGTCGGATTCCGAGATTCCACCCTTCTCCAGTGTTTCCTTCCATGACTCGGGGCAGTTCTTGGAGACGATAGACATCATGTCACAAACCCAAACGACGAGCAACGACGAGCCATCAGGCAAGTTATAAAATCAAGAAACCCGACAAAGATAGTGGTATTATCGCAAACTGCCCAGCTTCCTAATGCTGGGTCAGGGTAAATGTGAATTCGACAAAAGCCGCCCAAGGTCAATGATAGAACGAACAGAAGACCGCCGGTTCGCAAAGCGGATGCCCACCCGCGCTGAGATGTGCCAGGGGATGCGACCCAACAGGCTGCAATCGCCCCCTTCCCCCTGACTGGACATGCTGCCTGATCCCACCTAGCGAAGGTGTTCCGTCTGGTTGTCTAAACACAAAGAACCGGGAGTTGCGATTTCAAATTCAGATAGCCGTCCCATTTTGTTTCCTTTCCCGGTTCTCACAAACGAAGGGTGAGCGAACCAGAGCCCTGCCGTATCCCTTGATGCTGTCCCGTCCATGCCGTTGCCGTTGCCGTTGCCCACACACACATGCAGATGCAGCTTTCTCCAGTCCTGACCCGGTCGCGGGCCGTCTCTACTGGGGCACCAGGACAACCACCTGGTAGGCCGCGCCAGCCTTGATATTTGTGATCCTCTGCTCGGGCTGCACCTTGTCGCCGATCTTGACGACCACGTCCTGGACAGCCGCCCGGCGGATGTCTAGCTGGAACGTGGCACCGCGGAATTCGCGCACCACCTTGATCGCGTTCCAACCGCTCGGCAGTTGCGGCCGAACAACCAAGCCCTGCGCGTCACCAAACAGCCCGCAGAGCCCTTCAATCACACACCGGTACACCCACGAAATGGTGCCCGTGTTAAACAGCTGACTTGAGCGACCTGCGGTCCGGGGGAACTCCTTCCAGCCACCACGGTAGTAGTTGGGGAGGAAGATAGGCAGCTGGCCACGCTGGCGGTAATCAGACTCGCTGGGGCCGGGCAAAAGCTGGCGGAGGTGGTTGTATGCGCGATCCTGCTGGCCGCCCAGTTGGTACAAGCTGTGGATGTAGAATACGCCGGCATGGTTGTATACCGCGCCGTTCTCGCCCGATCCGATGGCCTTTTGTGTCACGCGGCCCACGTCCTCACGCATCTTGGTGAATGGCGGGGCGAACATGACCGGCCCGTAAGGGGTGTTGAGTTGTGAATCGATTTCTGGGAGAATCCGGGAGATTTGCTCCTCGCTGGCGGCGCCTCCAAGAATGGCGAATGACTGGGGGTTGAGCCACATGCGGCCTTCGGTGTCCTTCTTGATGCCGAACGTTACGTTATCGTCAGTGATGCCACGCGCGAACCAGTCGCCGTCCCAGAGGTGCTTGTTGGCAGCGGCGTTGCAGTCGTCGGCGCCAGCACGGAAGTGCTTGGCCAAGTCAGTCGCCCGTTCATGGTCGCACACGCGCGCCCAGAGGTTCAGGGCGTAGGCGGTAGCCACTGTGAGCCAGCCCGACACGCCCTTGCCCTTGTAGCCGACCATGTTCATCGGATCACACCAATCGCCCTGAGCGATGTAGCTCAGCCCGCGCTCATCGCGAAGCTCGAGGAGGAAGTCCATCGCGCGGCTGAAACGCTCGAAGACTGTGAAGTTGTCGCCGTTCTCAGTATGGACGCGCTCCTTTAGCAGTCCATAATCGCCCGTCTCGGAAAGGTAGACCTCGAGTGTGAGGGGAAGCCAAACGCAGTGGTCGGTGTGAGGAATCTGGTTGATGTACTTCAGCTCGGCGCCCTTGGCGAGGAGGATGCCGTCGGGCATCGCGCCATTGGCCTCCTGCTGGGAGAGAGCTGTGATGAAGGCCTTCCGGGCCACATCGGGCTTGATGTAGTTCATGCCCATGTTGTCCTGCAGATAGTTGCGCGTCTGCGGGTCCGTGGTCAAACGGTTGACGTCGCCGTGGTAGTAGACCTGGCGGGGCAGCCAGTTGTTGACGAAGTTGTCGAGTTCCTTGTCGGGGGTCTCGATGCGCAGGCAGCCGCGGCCGCGGGCCATGTAGGCGGCATACTCGTCTGCGGTCCGGACAAATGCCTGCTTGCTCAGGTAGCGCGACCGCATGGTGCGGACCTCGGCCTCATCGTAGGCGGGCCCAAACATGAAGCGGTACTCGCGCTCCTCGTTGGCCTTAAGCGCGAGGCGGTACTGCACGGCGGCTGTCGGGGTTTCGTAGCGCGCATCGCTGCCGCTCAGTTTCGGCTCCTGCAGGCCGGAGGGGTTGTGGAGCCCGCCCTCACCCTCAAACGCCTGTTGGCTTGCGTCATACGAATCCGGGGGAATCTCGCACAAAAAGTAGGTCTTGTCCTTGATGTGCTTGTTCTTGAAGTACTCGGTCGCCTTCTGGTACGGGGTAACACAGCTCGCGATCACGCCGACCAAGTCGTCGTTCCACTCGGCTGATTGGTTCATCCACGACATGTAGCCAATGGGGAAGTACGGTGTTACGCTAATCCTGCGAGGGCGGCCGGAAATGTTGGTCACCTTGATGGTCCACAACTCGGCCACATCGTGGGTCGGCAGGCCCATAACCATCTCAACACGGATGCCCATGTGCTCGACCGCCCACGCGACATCGCTCTTGCCGACGGAGAAGACGAAACGGTCCGCTGTCGCGCGGACGGGCTCGTGCGGTGCCGAGAAGAGCTGGCCGGTCTCGAGGTCCTTGATGTACACAAAGCGGCCTGGGTGGTGGGCATAGTAATTCGGCTCGGGTTGCATGAACGTCTTGGCTTCGATGTTCGGGGCGTACGCGTACTTTGCGGGTTCCGGTTGCATGAATTGGGCGGTGGCATACCCGCGGCAGGTGATCTGGATCATCATCTTCTGGTTCCACAGGAAGCCACCGGCCTTGGGGAGCGCCGTGGGGCTGGTGAGCTCGTAGCGGTTCCCATTGTTGGAGGGCCGCAGGATCGTGGATTCTTTTCTCATCTTGACGGTGTGAGTGAGGAGGAAGGAAGAGGTCGAGGTGGTGTGTGTGGTGGGTGGGGGGTTCGAGAAGGGAGCGAGTGTGTTTGTGCCAGTGTGGTCGTGGCCCGATTCGTCTGCTTTTCCCTTTTTTTTATGTTTTTGTTTCCATGAACAAGGAAGAAAATGGAAAAGGGGACAAGTTGGGGGTTGCGTGTCCGAGGCCGGGCGCTGGGCCAGCCGTTGTTTTGTCTGTCCAATTCACTTCTGCGGAACTCGGAAGCCGAAAGGGGCCAACGTCATGGGCATCAGGGCAACACGGATTGGCGGCGGCCCAGGAGGCAAGGTTGTAACCCACGCCCTCTCAGCTGACCAAGCGGTCCCCAACAATTCCATCTGCAGGGGCGCTCAACCGGGAGAATTGGTCTTAAAACAGCTCACCGCTCCTTCCCTTGGCAATTGGCGAGTCCTCAGACACGGGATCCAGCAGGCCTTGGCTCCGGGTTGTCTGTTTGGCTGTCCCGTCAACCAGCGGAACAGGGAAGGTTTGACCCGACTACAGGCATCTTGCGCGTCCGTTTTTTGACCCGTCACTTCCATGCGCTTTGTCCCCTGGTGCCCTGCGTGCCTGCCAGTCCCGCGAGCTCGCAACTGCCATTCTGGACGAAGTACATACATACATTGCCACATTGCGCTGCCGGTGGACGCGTTGGTACTCCTGGGATTCGCCCATATTACCCGACATCCCGCTTACGGTTTACCGATGGGGGGCGTTCTGGGGATGGCTGCGGATGCACTTTGCAGATTCCCCGACCTCCACGGCAGTGGGGACTGGGGGACTTGGCTGGTGGATCTTCGAGGGAGGCTCCCCCCACCCCCTGCCCACGCCATGGCGGACCCTGCCCGTGCCTGCCCACGCGGGGGCCCCGAGAAAATGGATGGTTCGTGCCTTCCCCGTGGAACGTGTGCCGAAGTTCGGAGGGGCCACTGGCAGCTGACATGCAAAAAGCCTCGCTCTGGAACCGCTCTTTCTTCGGGCGAATATGCAACGCACCAATGTTATCCAGGCAACAGCCAGTCAGATGATGTTGGGAAAAATGCAGCCCCCCCAAGTCGTGCAGATTTCTGGGTGCTCTTCCCGTCGCTCCGTCTTGTCAACGGAGCCGCTAGGCTAAGAGTAGAAAGTGCAGGGAACCTTGACCAGAGGTTCCACGGCCTTCGAACCGATCGGCAGCAGGATTTGCTCAATTTGTTGCTTCCACCGTTGCCCCACTGTCGTTAAAAATCGATGGGTAAATTGAAGTCGGGCAGAATATTCCGGGCTGCCACCGCTGCGGAGACGGGCACATGACATCACTTGGAACCTGCAGGATTTCGAGTTGGTCTCAGCAAGCGAGGAGCGAGACCGGCAAGGTCGGCACGGCCCTGCTACGCTCGGAGGAAGAGGGCGCGCCCGCCCGCCACAGCCGGCGCCCACGGACGACGACGAGAGCCGTGACAGCTACACGGTTCGTCCAAACGCGCCTCCAAGATGATCTCGTCACCCAAGCGACACCCAGGATCTCGGTAAGCCTTAAATGGATGGTCAGGGTCCTTGAGGGGCGGTTCCGACAGTTTGGAGCACCGCGGCTCGCTAATCTTCCCCGCAAAGGTCCTTTCTTGGCATCTGGAGGTTACAATGGTCCCTTGCAGCTCCCGATACGGCCGGCGGTGTCGGGAAGGACCTGGGGCGAGATAACGGTGGCCGTCGATAAAGAGTCCGCCATGCCCGACGATCATGGCGTCCTCTTGCGGCCGAGTCAAGGCTGTTGGCTGTCTCACAACTCCAACCGGGACATCATTGGCCCAACACGCGTGGCACCCGAACCCTGACCGAGGCAACTCTTGGCGATGCCTGAATCCAACATCTCGACCACCTGCTCGCTGTCATTCCTTAGGAGGCCACGAAGCGGGATGCGATGTGTATAGCCCCGTCTCATCCGTTACGCATCACCATCCGGCCAGACCTGTTTGCATGATTTCAAGAAACATGAACACCGGCCTAGACTACCGATTTGAACTAGATTCCTTCTATCAACTCCGCTTTGCGGCATTGCTTTCAGACTCGTATCGCATTTTCGGGACTGGTAGTATCACGCAAACCCGTCTTGGCCCACGCCCCTGAGTTTCCGCACGAAACATCGAGCCGCTCGTCCCCACGCAGGTAGTCGTGACCAAAAGACCTGATAGAACATCGCGAACTTACTACTAGTAAACGCTTTTTGAGGCTTCCTGAAAATACTTATTGTTCCATCGACCACTTTACCTAGTACTCCCATGCTTACGTTGACTGCTATCAGCCGGCAACCTCCTGAAAAGCCAAACTACCTAGCTTACCTGGGTCATGCCTTTTCCTTTTCACTTTTCTTTTTCGTAGTAACGGATATCTGGCCTGAGAAAAGAAGCTCATCATAATCTCCATCGCATAACCAGTGCAGCGAGGTCCTCATAGTACATACATATCACGCTCTCTGCTATAATAGTGCAACACCTGTTACGTTGTGAGGCAAGTTCTCTCACCGAGCATGGAACTGCAAACCACTCACATGGGACGAAGATGTCGCCTACAGTTGGTGTTCGTTCCCCATCATCCCCCTGTAGCAAGGTTGTCGCCAACTTCAGCTTATATACTTGGCGCTGTGGTCTCCCAAGCTCCGCTTCCATCATGAACCCTAAAATCGACGTTTGCAATAAGCGTGTTCCGGTTAACACAAAGAAGTATTCGAGTCTAATTATAAAATCATTACTTTTTTTCGCACATGTATGTTCAACACATCAAATACCTAATCTGTACGTATGAACAGCTTAGAACGTGACATGGAAATGTATCGTCTATATGCAACACCCTATCTATATAAACCAGTTTTGGACTCGGCACCTCGCCAGACCACTCTCATGTCCCTGAAGCCTTTATAGGACCCTCCGAACCCGCCTCGCCCCCTGTGTCCCCTCTTGTTCGCCTTTCCGTTGACTACCAGGTTACAGAATCGTCATCGGCAAACTCACTTCTAGGGTTCTCATCGCACCTTTGCTCCATAAAAGCTGAGTGCAGCAAACGCGCTGTAGCATTACCGTCACCATGGCAGAGGAACATATGAAGGAAGAGAACGGATGGCAGGACCAAATCGACCAAACCCAAGAACAAAGCGCCAAAGCCGACCCGCAAACAGGAAGCTTGCTGTTTCAGCGACTGCCGCAAGAAATGCGGGACTATGTATACGCACTAGTCTTCTCTTCAACAAGATTGATGTCTGACTATATTAACACCATGATGCCCAGTTCTGAACCGAACGGCCTCGCTCTGCTCCGCGCTTGTCGTCGAGCTAAGCTCGAGATCGGCAACTCATGGTTACTCTACGTCCTATTTTGCTTTAGACGTGGCGAAGACATGCTCGATAAGCTATCCGCGCTACCCGCTGATACCCTCTCAAAGATACGCCACATGAGAATCAACGGCGCTCCCATCCACTTCCGTCGTCCCATTGGGCACGAACCGCGCCGTGACCGCTTCGATTATGACTACTTCGAATATCGCCTTGCATCCGTTTTCAAGCTTTTACCAGGCCTACAGCTGGACCAGCTCACAGTTGTCGACGGCAACGATGAGACTGATTGCTACAGATCGCTCAACTCCTTCATCGAAGAAGGCAATGGGTGGAAAGCTCTGCGTTATATTACCCACAACTCAAAAGTGTTGGGTTTCAAGGTCTCGTCGACATTCGGACCCTGGAGAAGGCCCCAGCCAATGCACTGGCAAATGGTCATGGAAAGTCGCGACGGGGCGGCCTCGAACCCTTTGGTGACGGTCTACCGTGCCCAGCAGCCGACCCAAGTCCCTCGGGCTGGTTACGGCTGGATCCTTGACCCAAACATGCGGGTCAAGTTCGAACAGAAGTCGCGTGAAGGCCAGGATTTGCGGCCGGACGTCCTCCCGGAGGACTCGGAACTGATGACCGGAGACGAGCAATGGAAAGCAATGTTGGTCATCGTGGAGAGGGGCTCTGGTGCTGACTATGAGCAAAAGAAGGGTTCACCACCTGCACCACTCGATAAGAGTGATATGCGGCGGGACTTTCGGGGGATGACATGGGAACAGATAAAAGATACGTGTGAAATATCTAAGGAATGTATTGGTAGGATCTGTTTCTATAGCAACTCGCGCGAATCTGATCTTTAAACAACCAGGTTGCGTGTATCAAATCGTACTAGGCTAGGTCGCCGGGCTGCGTCCCTATTTCCGGGTTCCATACTATCATCACATTCTCCGTACTTCTGAGCTTGTATGTCCGGCATACTTTGTACCGAAGTGAGCGACTAATGAGAGAGAACACGACAAGGAGTGTATGGATTAGGGTAGAAAAAGTCGGTGATCAGAGAAAAGAAAATGAGAGTGAGAGAACAAGTGACCAACAGGGCGGGAACCGCAGTTTGCCCGGGTACGGTCGGGTTCAAACATCGGATTACCCGCGCATTGGACGCCACAAATGCATTCCTCGGTCTCAGGCAGGTGCCTAACAGGTTGAGCAAAGAATTGGTCGACCGGCGATGGAAGACGAAATTCGTCACAAGCCCGCAGGAGGCACAGCGGCTTCACCATCAAATCGTTGATTAACACCATGATCGCTCCGCCTGGCGGCTGCAGACAATTTTATTCAGCATGCTTCCTGCCTAACTTTCGTGGCTTGCCGCAGAAAGCAGCCACCTGCGCACTTCTTCGGCGTCCTCACTTTGAAGGTGGTCAGCTTCCCTCGACCTACCTAGGTAGTGGCGCCAAACTGTGGATGCTCAACCCAGGAGTCAAGAGTGAGAGTGCCAGCATCCCAACAACTGTTTGCTTGCCGAAATTACCGAGCACGGCCGTTTGACTTTTAGTGTGGTCTTTGACAAACGTCCGCGCTAGCGAGCATTTTGGATTCTGCGATCGCTTCATTCGGGCTCCGTGATGACCTGCAGTGACGACCTTACCTGGTGTATGTCGGTAGTACGGTTGGCGCCGCATTGACCCAATTTCCGGGCTGGCACCCGTGACGAAGACTTTTGAAGTCCCGGGCCCAACCTAGACAGGTGAGAGAGTGGAATGGAGAACGCTGGGCTGGCTCACCACCACATGGCAACCCTTCGACCCTTCCCTCTTCGGGCCCCTTCCCCGCTGAGATGGCCACATGCAGCACGGGATCCCACCGTCCTTGGCACCACAACCAAGCCCTGTCCTCGAACCGAGAAGGTGCAGATGCGGTCTGTGCAACATCCGTGCTCGTTCAATGGTCTCACTGACTGGTGAACCGAATTCCGAGCGAAGTGGAGTGCGAGATCATTTCCAAATCTAGACCGTGGTCTTTTTGCGTCAACTTGGATTGGTATCGATAATTGCACCACGCTCTTCACCGCCGTTGCTGAGAAAAAGTGAAGGACAGAGTTTGACAAGCGACGATCATCAAGCGAGTTATTCTTTTTATTTGAATGAGGCGCATACCGGAGGGCGTTTGGAGGTGAGCAACGAGCAATTAACTATGGCACACAGAGAAAGGAAAACGAAACAAATCGTCAAGTGGCTCACGTTGGTGAAGCTTTCACTTTTTGGGACATTCTCCATAGTGTAGGTAGTTACTCCTCGCTTCCGAGTTCTGGCCACGAGGGACCGTGATCTTCACTTGTCGAACCCCTCCACCGACCCGACTCACCGGGGAACCCTTGTCGACAGTTAAACGGCGATCCAACTCAGTCGAACCAAACAGTCACCAACGCTCAAGTCATGGCTTTTCGGTTTAGTTAGTTATCCGCTCGCTGGCTGCAACTCGAACCCAAAGAGGGATGGAGGGTATGGATATCAGCCCCCGAACTGACCGAATACACATGTACATGTATGTGTATTATATGTCCACTACTTTCTGTCAAGCGAGCTGTTTCTCAACATGGAATCCTGGGAAGAGGCGCGGAATTGACATTTCATTAGGCATCTTGCACATTCACATCACTTCGCTGCGGAGAAGGCGACGTCCGCACGGGCTGGCGCCAGACGACACCTGGTTCTAAAACGCTCGGCGCCGTGTGGCGTCCTTCAGCTTGCTCCTCCGTTGGTCAAGTAGGGGCACCACACATCCATTGACACCCCTCCCTGGGAACTTCTGCCAAACCACATTTGGTTTGTGTCGGACAATGCCTGGTCGGTAGCGCAATCGAAATGCCATCGGCGCCGTTGAAGCGGCCAATGACACCCAGACGCCACGGCGAAGAGGTTCCTGGTTCCTGGCCTGGTCTCCCGTACTCCATTACCATGTGCGCGTGCCCCTGTCTAGCCATGTTGGGCCTGCATGGCAACTTGGGATGGCAACCTTCAGTCTCATGGGATCCAAAAGGGGCGTCGAGCCTTGTGGTTCAACTTTCTTTTTGGAACTTTATTTCCACGCCGTCTCCTTTTTCTTTGCCGTGCGCCCACCTCCCATTACTCACCCTCCCGCGGCTGACTGAGGTCAGCGGAGGCGCATGTTGGCATTTGGACGGCTCAACGTAAGTGCCGGCTGAGGCCCTACATATGCCAGGTCCCGCCCGATATTGCTCCCACTCGTGTGGGTGTGCTTAGGTTCCATCCAAGGTCCCGACAACCTGGACGCTCGAAAATATGCGCGGCCTATCGCAAGAAGATGCCGCAAGCATTATCGCCATCGAGCGGGCGTGTTCTGCCCTCTCGTTGGTGGGTTGCGTCTTCGTCTTGGTGACCTTCTCCCTCTCCGATGCCTTCCGCCAGCGTGCCATCAACCGCCTCGTGTTTTACGCAACGTTCGGCAACATGCTTACCAACGTTGCGACTCTGATGACGACAAGTTACACACACAACGTTGATTCCTTTGGCTGTCAACTACAAGGGTTTTTGATTCAAGTGTAAGACAACCCTCCCCGCAGAGGCACCGCACCCTCGCTTACCGTTCCGCAGATTCATGCAGGGTGACGCTTATTGGGCCCTAGCCATGGCCATCAATGTTTATCTCACATTCTACCACAAGTATGACGCGAGAATGCTGAGGAAGATGGAGATTCCGTATCTGTTCTGCTGCTACGGAATCCCCTTCATCCCAGGGCTCACCTTCATCTTCGTCTCGAACCAACAGGCGGGCAGGCCATATGGCGACGCTGTGTTGTGGTGCTGGCTGAAGTCGGAATGGGAGGTCTACCGCATTGCCACTTTTTATGGTCCCATTTGGTAGGTACATCTGGCACTCGACCACCTCTGGGCACGGGCTAATCAGCACAGGGTGGCCATCATCGCCGCCATGATCATCTACATCCGCGCAGGCCGCGAGATCTACCGCAAACGCCAGAAGATGCTGAACTTCAGCTCTACCGGTACTGGCACCGCCATCGGCAACGACACATTCTCCCCAGAGTTCTCCTCAGCCTTCAACTACAAAACCACGGAAGTCACCCAAACCACCGAGATCATCCCAGCACCCGCCGCCACCGCAAAACCAGGCTCCATCCGCCCCAACCAGGACCCATCCTACTCGGTCACCATCTCGGCCGACACCCAGGCCGCCAACCAACTAAACATGCGCGCCTCCCTCGAAGACACCATCGATAACGACGCGGCCACCGGCACAGCAACCCTCACCAACAACACCACCACCACCATCAACAACAACAACCACCCCAAACGCACCCGCGTCCTCTCCGCCACGCAAATCTCCATCGCCCCCACCGTCACCGCCACCATCACCACCACCTGCCACCCCCACCCTGCCGGGGGAAACAACAACAACAACCCCAACAACACCAACGGCGGAAACAACACCGCCGACGCCCGCGCCCGCCGCCGCAACTACTACGAGTCGCACAACGCGACCTGGTCCTACACCAAGTGCGCCATCCTCTTCTTCTCGGCCCTGCTCGTCACCTGGATCCCGTCCTCGGGCAACCGCGTCTACAGCCTGCTGCGCGGCGGCGACGTGTCGCGCCCGCTCTTCTTCGCCAGCGCCTTCGTCCTGCCGCTGCAGGGGTTCTGGAACGCCATCATCTACGTGGTTACCTCGTGGGCGGCCTGGCGCGGGCTCTGGCGGGGGGGTGTGGCGGCGGTGGGGGAGTGGTGGGTGGAAGGATTGGGGGGGTGTTGGTGTTGTTGCTGGGGGGGGAGGAGGTTGAGTGTGGTGGAGATTACGGATGTGAGGAGGCGGGGGAGTGGCCTTCGCCGGCAGAGTGGTGGTGGTGTGGGAGGGGGAGGAGGGGTGGTGGGGTTGTGGGTGGGGGTGGGCAGGAAGGAGAGGGAGAGTGAGAGTACGAGTATGGAGGACTTGACTGCGGAGGGGAGGGTCGAAGGGGGGTCGGCTGTGTGAGAGTTTGGGTGGGTGTGCGGAACGTGGGTGTGCGGAACATGGGCGCGCGGAGCATGGGTGGTTTGATCTTGTTTGTTTTCTTCTTCTTCGTTGGGTGGGTGGGATTCTTTTGCTCAATGGATACCCCTGGAATGAGTCATGGTCACGGCTGTTGGAGATGAATATCGGCTGGCTTGGTGCATATATGGACGGGATGGTGATATCCACATCCGTCCTGCTGTGGGAGGGTGTATGTAGGTCGGTACCTATGTGTATATGTATGTATGTACCTGTAGGACTTGGAGACTTTCTCGTCGATATCAGTTCTCACACCGAATGCAACTTGGATCCTTCTTTCTCCTCTCATGCCCAAGCCGGTCATCCCGAAACCAATGGTGGTGTTGTTATCGTCCCTACCCGTGTTTGCCCAGCCCCCTGCGCCGTCCCGAAGACTGATACCCGGTCCCGTAGCCACGTGTGGTTGTTGCATCCCGGTCGAGTGTGGGTCGAGTTCTGGCCCGATTTATCAGGCCGCCCGCATTCATTCTTAGCAAATTAGAGCCCAGATATTCGTTTGGTTCTCCAGATTCAGCCCTAAGCACGTGGTACTATCAGCTAATAGGTGAATAAACGGTAGGGGGTTCTGTCACCAAGGCCCTTCCAAACAGTGAATACCTAGGTATGAGTCGTCGTCCTCTGCTCCCGGGTCCCCATTCGGCGCAAAAGAGGGAAACGAAGCCATGCACAGAGGCCCACCATGGAAGATTCTTCATTGGGCACCCCTTGGGATGGTCGGGATGAAAGAGATGTTTTCCTTGAACCCAGTTAGACCTTTCAGGTCGCACAGTCTCTGTTTGTTTACCTACCTTTCCCATACCCCCTCTGTTTTCGTTTCGCTATTTCACCACGGATCAACCTCGTCTTTGCAACGCTATCAACGAAAGGATTCCGTCGACACTGGTATTCCATCAACAACTCCATCCTTCTTCTCCCGCGTTACTTCATATTTCCGGCTTCTATTTGGGAGCTGGCTTGGGTTGCCCAAGATGAGTGCACTCCCCGGCAAACCACTCCCCGCCAAACCACTCCCCGTCAAACCACTCCCCGGCAAACCCCTCCCCCGGAAGACACTAGAATACGCGATCAACCACGTCTTTCTGCCTCCTAAAACTCCTCAGGATGGCGAGGCCAACACCCGGGAGGAACACAACCTTGCCAGATTCCTCCTTGAATCAACTGTCCAATTCTCTCAGCGATGTTCGACGGCGGAATCCGAACAGCTTCAGCCCGTTGTCCGGATGCTCAAGCGGTTGGTCAAGGTGACTCCCGGCATGGATAGCAGCACCAAGAAAGGTGCCATGAAGAGTGTCATCCAAGAACTAAAGAATGGCGGTACGTGAATCTGTCTCCCTTTTATCTCGCGTACCGTTACTGACGTTGGGACCTCCTTAGAATCCGCGTTGTTCCACATCCGCGCTCAGAATGCCGGCCTTCTCCTGACCGGGCAACAAGATGATATCTTGGTAGAGGCTTTCGAGCTTCTGGCACCCAATAAGGACGTCATGTCCCACCAAGGTCGCCTCAACCGACAATTCCCTGACTGCGCGGCCGCCGTGGAGCGCAAGATCATGCTCAATTCCGACTTCCTCGACGAGTTTATTAACGTGCTTTATCGGCTGGAACTTCAGGCGTCATCCCTGACTCGCCCAAAGACCTGGAAATCTGGCCGCGACTTCGACGAAGAGCGCGACACTGTCTCTCCGTTTCTTGTCACCGACATGGTGATTGGAACCCTCGGGGGGCTCGGCCGGACCGTTGCCCCGACGCGTGTTTCCATGAGAAGCCGAGAGCAAGTGAGCTGGGACAGTGCGCTGCTGCCATTCCATCGATCGTCAACATGGCTGCTTCTTCGGGTGGGCTTGCGCTTGGTATTGGATCGAGCCGCTGCCCACGATGCACAATCGCTGCTGTACAAGGCAGTCATAGCTTTCCACCATGCCCATCTGTTACATCAAGCTACACTGCTTGGTTTGGACAGCGACATTCGATACACCATGGCCGCAAAGCTCGTCCGACGACTCACCAAGCTCAACCCCCAAGAAAACCTTCCTTGGGTGAAGGCTATCAGGGATGTCATCGCAGCGAACCATGACGTGCTCCAGGAACGATGGAAGCAAACCCAGATTGAACATGAAACAAGCCAAGCCAAGCACCTCAAACAACTCTGCTTCAATTCGGACACCAACCTCCGGCTCGGGACGCTGGGCCCGCACTTGACCTGGTTGCAATCCCGATCTATGGACAAGGCAGGTACAGCTGGGCCTGGGGATCAGACGAAGTCTTTTGTGTTTTTAGAACATGACTTGCCGGTTTTCCCCGAGTCTGAGGCGCTCGAAAGGCTCGCTCTTCTAGAGTTGGAGTCATGGATGGAGTGGAATTTGGCCTCTTGGATCTCAAAACGAAAGGCAAACAAAGTTAATGCCAGCGTCATCAGGGCTGAGAACGACTTGCAGAGCCTCAAGGAGCTCATGACTCAGTACTACGCAAAGGCCAGCAAAGCCTATCTCAAAAACCCAGAAGCCCTTTCTCTGATGTACCTAAACCTCATGGATCTTTGGGTTGCCATGGACAAGGTCGCCGGGGACGCTGTCCCTCTCCTTCTCGAGTACGACCCAGGTTTCAAATCCGGCCCTTTTCAGTCCCTGATTCTACCAACCCACAGGCAAATGGCCAGGCTGCACGACATTGAGGCATACCTTTCCGACAGGGGACGCGGCGTGAAAGCGACCCGCCACGGTTACCTTCCAACATACGCGGAGTTTGGGCGGCCAGAATCATTTGCCGTCCGCTACTTCAACTCATCCTCTGAGCATCAATTGCTCTTGAAGCGGATTGAAGATGAATCGAAGCAAGCCGAGGCTAAGAGGATCGAACAGTATCATAAACTCAGCAGAAAACATGAGGACCTGGCGCTCAAGTGTTCCCTTGCCACGCATGACGAGGAGTGGGACCCTCGTACATATCGGACCATCCACGCTGAGGACTGCGAAGCCTGCCGCCTGACACGGCAGAAAGATGCGTTGAAGCTTGACATTTTCGAGTGGCCTTTGCCCTCGAATCCAAATATGGCCAAGGCGATCGTGTTCGAGATACGCGTCCCGAAAATGGTCAGCATCTGGCGGGACCTGACTAGCCACCTCTTTCTCAACGTGTTCCGAGACCCTGGGACTTTGCCAGGCGCAGAACGGCTTTGGTTCGCGGCAGCCCATTCGGGTCTGAGCAAGTTCCGCCCCGTGACGAGTATGGTACAGCTGGCCGCTACCACCAAGCCCGTTGAGGCATCCCATTACCGCGGCAAACACATCAGCACCATCCAGAGTGAGGCTAAGGTCTCGGTACGCCCTGACTGGCGCCACTACAATTATTACGAATCAGTTTCGCGGATTTCCCACAACGACCTATTCGAAGGACCCTGTGTGCCCCTGAAGTGCTCGTTTGCAGAACACCAATCCGCGCGTTACCTCGCCCCTTGGACACGGAGAACCCAGCATACATCAAACAAAGTCATCGCCTCCCAGTCCGAGTGCCCGCCAGCCATGTCTCTGGACGAGTTTCGAGCATTTGGTCATGTCCGGTCCGACTTGCGTCTCCAGTGGGCAAACATCCTGTGCCAGTTGATCTCGCCCTCCTTGGATTGGAACCAGGAGACAACTTTTTGGCTGGTCTTGCAGGCGTGCCTTGAGGCAGGGCCTTTTGATAGCAGCGGCTCGGTTCTCCGGGAAGCACACGCAGATCTCTTTCATGACGACTTCGTGCGCCGCATCACCGCGGCTCTGGGTGATGCTCTCGGCCGGTTCCGCGAGAACTGGCAAAACGATATTGCCGTGAGCCTCCTGGCATGCCTCGCAACGCGGGTTTTAGCACTCGCCACCACCACGCGCCCGCTCATGGACCCCCTTCTGGAGTTCCTGTCTCAAGCCAGGGAAGTGACACTTCAGTGGGCCAGGCAACTACTCGAAAAGCAGGCAAGTTGCAGCAACAAGGACGACCGGAACGAGTTGGACCAGCGGGTGTTGATGGTGGCACTGACTTGCATGTCCACATTTGACGTCCACTCTGATCTTCTGCGAGAGCTTCTCCAATCGGCAGAGAACCTTGGGACTTTTGTGGAAACGGCCACCATGATTCAGGACCATCTGCCGCCTAATGGGTCCATCTCAAATCCCATTTTGCTTCTACTATCGCACCGTTGGCGCAGGATTATGCACCGGTCGTTGGGCTATGCCTCGAATGAAGTTGTTCAGAAAAAGAACCCCGGTTTTCATGCAGCCATTCGGCGGTTCTGGGCAGACTACTCGCCGTCGGGCACTCGGTGGCGCGCTCTTCCGGGCGAACAGCGCCACATTCTGTCCGCTTCGATGAAGTCGCGAGACAGCAATACCATGAGAATCACATACAATCTTCTGGACGGCCGCCTGCTAGTCAACGGATATCCTCTCTCCCGCTTACCCCCCGAGTACGAGTCAAAGCCAGCCTACGAAGAGCTCTTCGGGTCACAGGTTCTGGAAGTCATGCCCTCAACCCGAGAGGGTATGCAATTCTCTGCGTGCCGCGACCAGCAGGGCTGGGTGGTGCACTTCACTCTAGTCTCCAACGAGCTTGTCGTTCAGGCTGTCCGAAGTAAGCAGGCAAGTTCTGTTGAAGACGACCCGAACACCGAGGTCTACGAATTTATCCCTTCTTGGAAACTGCATGGTGACGTCCCGGCAACCTTCATTCGCGATTACTCCCACTGGGTAAATCTTTCCACGGGGGTCGTCGAATTTCGACGTGCGGATCAGCCTTGGGTGTCTTCCCCTGACGGCGACAACTGGATCTTGACCCGGGCTGGAGGCCGTAAAGCTCTCTCGCGGCACGGTTGTTACCTTATCGATCCTCACAGTTCAACTGCAGAGGCACTCTTATCCCGCTTAAGCCCCATCGAAACAAGGGAAAATTTGAATATGATCTTTCACCCAGCCGACCACGTCCTAATAGTCGACCTACCAAGATTCTCCCTCTCCTTCACGCTCGCCGAAGGCGACTCCAGCATCAAGTCAAAGCACTACTCCGGCATGTGCATCGACCAATATCAGAACATCGGGACGCTAGTCGGTCTCGAAAACAAACTCGTCCTGAGGCAGGAGGGTGTCTTGGAGCCTTGCACACCCCAGAGAATGGTTCTTGTGCCCCGAGGAGCGCTTTCACCAAGGATTGTTTCGCATCATGTCAAGGTCAACGTCGACCTCGCCGAGACACTTCATGTCAAGCACGACGCCTTCACCATCGATTCCACGCTCGGCCGTATGACGACAAGCGGCTCGCTTTCGAGTAAACTCTACTTATGCTACCTCCATGCACTGACATCCCACTGTCTCCCGGACCCTCTCACGGGGAGAACGGGAACCGAGGAAGCCTTGAGGATCCTGAGATCTGCCTCGGTCCGTTCGTTTCAGCAGTTGGACCCGGGGTCCTACCAACTGCTGTGCAATATCGCAAAAGTCTCCCCTCAGAGGCAGTTCTACCCCCGCCATATGACGGACATGGAGCAAGTGCAATGGTCAGATAAGCTTCCCGTGCTGTCCCAACACGACGCCTTCTGGCCAGAGGTAGAGACTATTCTCGAGCATGCTCGGGACTGCGAGCTTCTCCAGCAGCGCGATACGGAAGGCGCTAGCTCGCTCAATTTCAGCTCACTGAAACACTCCAATGTTCTGTTGGTCAACCGGGCTAGGAATAGGAACGCAGTGTTCCGTGTTTCTGAATTCGGAGCGGAGTCTTACACGGGAGCCTTCGACCGCTCATACTCTGGCCGGCATCATGGAAGGTCTTCCGAGGCCTTCAAGAGAGCCAACGCGGTAGCGAGACGTGTTGTTTCTGGCAGCGAGCAACTCCTGAGCCGGCCATCGGGTACTTTGCACCAAGATATCCTGAAGATCGCCGGAGTGCAGTTCTCGGGCTACCCTGAGGTCGACCTCACCTTCTCGCTCAACCATCTCCAATCTCATCCCAAGTCTTTCGCCCAGCTTTGGTGTGGGTTGCATGACTCACTTGCAAAGGAACCCAACAAATACAAAACCGCCTTCTTCCTCGCGGCGCTTGTTTTCGCGGAAGAAGGGAACTGGGACGTTTTGCAAGCACTGATGGGGATCGCAATTGCCTATGTCAAGTTCATGCTCATCGTTAAACCGCCCAGGGAGGACAAATTTGACCTTGACTACAAAAGGTCCACGATGAGGCAGACGGTGGAGAACATTATCGAGCGACGATTGTACCAGGTCAACCAATGCCCCGAAAGTGGGCTCGCTCGTCTATTTGACGAATCCAAGAAGGCGGCTTCAAGGAGGCGCCGTGAAGCATGGTCAATCAAGAGCGGCCAGATGACCAGTAGCTTCCTATCCAAGCTCGAGCCGCAGTGGAATTCAGGGTGGACGGTTTCGACTCCCGTTGGAGAGGATTATTCCACGTACATGGACGTTGGCATGATTATGCAAGAAGTTTCGACAGCCCTCGACCTCGCGAGACGTACACACCTTTTTACGGTATACTTGGAAAGTCTTGTATTGGAGTTGCGTAGAATGGAGGTGTGTTCGGCAGAAGATGGCTATAATGAAGAGGTTTTGGCCGTGATGCTGAACGGCCCTACCACTCCCGTGAAGTTGGAACAGCAACCCTCCCAGCTCGGCTTCGTCCAGTCCAGCACATTATTCTCCAGGCCAGCTCCTTCCACAGAGCGCCCCGAACTGGTGGACTTTTCCTACCTTTGTGGCCATGTGTCACAAGCAGTGGGCAAGAGCAATCCTTTGGCGGATTTGTTTGACGGACTCTCCCGGATCAGCGGCCAGAAGAAGCCCTACCAGATCGCCTACATCGACGAGCTCCAATCCAGATCTGTCAGCACGGCCAGCCCTCGTTATCAGCTAAACATGGGGGCAGTTGAGTTGGAGAGCGTCTTCCGGGGCCATCTTCTCCAGTGCAAACGGGCAGCGGAGAATATACGGGGCAACATCGAAGACGCTCTGCGCGGACAATCCATTGCTGAGGCTACTTGCCAGGGGAGCAATCTGTATCCTCGCATTTCGCCTGTTTTTCTGCTCCGGCGTCTCACTTGGGCCTTTTGGGACGATCTCCCTCAGGATTGGCGGGCTTGCTTGGTCAACTACGCCTTGTCACTGATATACGTCCAACGAGCAGAGCGTCTTATCAACGCGAGCAGGCGCCCCGAGAGGCAGGCGGATCTTCTCAAGGAGCTTCGCAACATGGGAAGCCATAACTGCGAGGAGGGCGATCCTATGATATTCCCCGAGAACCTCATCCTCGAGGTGGAGCAGGGGATCCTGATTCGCCCCGTCCAGCAAAGGATTGCGGCCAAGATGCGAGACCCCCCCGAGGGAGTCAACGCTGTCATGCAGCTGAACATGGGCGAGGGCAAGTCTTCGGTCATCGTCCCGGTCGTGTCGGTGGACGTGGCAGACGGTGAACGCCTCGCCCGAGTTGTGGTCGCGAAGCCGCAGTCGAAGCAGATGATGCACACCCTTATCGGCACACTCGGCGGTCTGATCGACCGTCGCATCTTCTACCTCCCGACCTCGAGAGCGCTTCAACTGGGCAGCGAAGATGTCACGGCCGTGAAGAGGATACTGGAGACATGTATAAAGGAACGGGGAGTGCTGCTCGTGCAGCCGGAGCACTTGCTGTCTTTCAAACTAATGGGTTTGGAGAGCATCTACGCCGGTACAGGCAAGCTCGGCAAGAACATTCTGAGAACTTATCGCCAGTTTGAAGAAGTGTCGAGGGACATTGTTGACGAGAGCGACGAGAACTTCAGCGTCAAGTTCGAGTTGATTTACACGATTGGCTCTCAGCAACCTATCGACATGAGCCCGGACCGCTGGACCATGATCCAGGAGCTGATGGATGTGGTGGTTGAGGTTGCTAGGAAGTTGACAAACGGACCAGAGCGAGAGAGTGTCAAAGGCCTATTGTTTGAAGAGAGCCCGGCGAGCGGCCGGTTCCCAACAATCCGTGTCTTGGAGGAATCAGCCGGCAAGTATCTTGTTGAAGCCATCGCCAAACAGATCTGTAGAACAGGGCTCAGGGGTTTCCCCATCCAACATCAGTCCAAGCAGATGCGGCAGGCAGTGTTGGAGTACATCCTCCGCCCAGCTCTCGACACCGAGCAGATTGCAGCAGTCGAGGGCGTAAGCAGCGGCTTCTTCGGCGAACCGACATCGAAAAGCGCACTCTTGCTACTCCGGGGTCTGCTGGCTACCAACGTCATCTTGTTTGCGCTTGGCCAGAAGCGGTTTCGAGTCAACTACGGCCTCGCTCCTGATCGACGGCCTTCAACCATGCTCGCCGTACCGTACCGCGCCAAGGACTCGCCGGCGCCGCGTTCCGAGTTCAGCCACCCGGACGTTGTCATTGTTCTGACTTGTCTTAGTTACTACTACCAAGGTCTATCTGACGACGAGCTGCGTACCTGTCTGGAGAGGTTGAGCAAGTTGGACCAAGCAGAACAGGAGTATAGCCGCTGGGCAGCCGCAGCTCCGAAACTCCCATCATCACTGGCTCACTTCTCGGGAGTCAATCTCAAGGACACCAAGTTGTGTATACAGGATGTGTTTCCGGCTTTGAGCTACGCGAAGCCGGCCATCGACTTTCACCTCGCCAACGTCGTGTTCCCCAAGGAGATGCGAGAGTTCCCCTACAAGCTCTCCGCCTCGGGATGGGACCTCGGCAAAACGAAGCGCCACCCCCTGACCGGATTCAGCGGTACCACGGACTCAAAGTACGTACTTCCGCTCTCGGTGACGGCACTCGACCTTCCCGAGCAGCGGCACACCAACTCGGCTGTTCTAGCTTGCCTCCTCCGGGAGGAGAACACCGTCCTCGAACTCGGCGGTGACGGGGATCACTTGACGGCATTGACGGTGGATGGGCTGCTCACTGCCGTCACCACCGCGAGCCAGCCGATGCGGGTAATTCTCGACGTCGGGGCGCAGATTATTGAGCTTAGCAACCTCCAGGTCGCGCGCCGTTGGCTCGACATGGTCCCCAGCCAGGACACTGATGCAGTCATCTTTTTCAACGACCACGATGAGCTGTCTGTGTTGACCCGCAACGGCACCGTCGACTCGTTCCTTACTTCGCCATTCGCCACGCAGACGGATCGGTGTCTCGTCTTCCTGGACCAGGCCCATACCAGGGGTACAGATTTGAAGCTGCCGGATTCGTATCGCGCCGCGGTCACGCTGGGACCGGGGGTGACGAAGGACACACTTGTTCAAGGTACGATTGGTCCTGATGGCATCCCTCGGCTTTCGTTCTTACCTGTGATTGTGTCGCACTGCTAACATTTCCTCAGCTTGCATGCGGATGCGGAAACTGGGCAACGGCCAGTCCGTCACTTTCTGCGTCTCGCCCGAGATGCAAACGCGCATCCGGACGCTCGCCAACCTACAGGACGCCCGCGCCCTCACCGTTACTGACGTCCTAATCTGCGCCATCGCCGAGACCTGGGACGACGCGCACCGCAGTCTCCCACTCTGGGCCACCCAAGGCATCCGCCACCAACATCAAGAGGTGGTCTGGGAGAAGGCCGACAAGCACAGCGCCGGCACGCTCTCACCGGCCGACGTGGCCAGCTACCTCGAAGACGAAGCGCAGTCCCTCGAGCAGCGCTACCGCCCCACCACCACCACCATCCCCCAATCAACCACAACCACAACCACAACCACCCCGACCCAACCCCCCAACGCCGTCCTCACCACCCTCCAAACCGCCCTCACCACCCTCCCGACCCGCCAAGCCGACCTCGAACAGATCCACACCAAATGCACCTCCTTCAACCTCACCCACCTCCCCAACACAGGAACCCTGCAAGAAGAGCAAGAGCGCGAACTCGCCCCCGAAACAGAGCGCGAGCGGCACGTCGAGCGCCCCGCGCCGCGCCAGCCCGCCACCCACGCCCTGCACGAGCACGTGCGGCGGCTGGCGGCCGAGGGCGTGTTCACGGGGGAGCGCAGTGCGGCGTTCGTGCCGGCGTTTGCGGCGCTGCTCGCGAACACGAGTGCGGGGTGGTTGTTCTCTGCGGCGGAGAGGGAGCGGGGTGTTTTTCCGAGCGGGTTGTTGGCGACGGCGGATTTTGCGAGGACGGTGCAGAAGCAGGTGCAGGTTGGTGGTGCGAATGATGGGGAGGGAGGGGGGGATGCGTACCAGAGGCCGGCGCAGTGGGTGCTGACGGTGACGCAGCCTGCGGGTGGTGGGATGCGGATGGTGCTGGTGAGCTCGTGGGAGGCGAATGTGCTGAAGGCGGTGCTGGAGACGGCGAGCCAGGAGGCGGAGCGGAAGAAATCGGCCGGCGGAGGCGGAGGCGGCGGTAGCAGGGTGTTTCTGCGCGCGTACCTGCCGCGGTCCAGCCTGTCGTTCGACTCGCTTGAGGACCTGGCCGTATACACGGTCCCGGCGGCGGCGGACCCGCCAGTGCCGCCGCCGGAGCTGGTCACGCAGCTGAATCTGTTTGCTGGCCAGCTGTACCTGCGCTCGTACGCCGACTACGTGCGCCTGTGTCGGTATTTGGGCTTGTCGTACAGGGAGAATGAGGGCGAGGAGGAGATTGCGGCGGATGGGTTTGTTGGTCGGGCGGGCGGGGAAGGTTATGAGGACTGTGAGTTTGAGTCGAGTCCGGTTGGGGTCCTCAATGTGCTGTTCAAGCGGATCCGGAGGGATTGTCTTGATATTGAGAAGACGCACATGGGGAGGATTCTGGCTGGTGAGATTTTGAGGGAGAAGGATTTTGAGGGGGTTGATGTTAAGATGGAGGATGATGATGATGCTGATGATGGAGACATCGCAATGACGGAGGCCGGTGAAAAGGGGGACGAGGAGCCCTCGGATATGAAGATGGAGGTTGATGGTGAGTGAAGGATTTGAGGGAGCGGTGATGGCATATTTGTCATGTCTGTCATATTGAAGGCCGCTTCGTGTCTGTTTCATGTTATCATTGCACGGTCTAGATAAAAGAGAGAAATAGGGAAAACTCGTTGTGGGATATTGTTGTTGAACCACCGGCTCCCGTCATGTCATCCTGCCAGTGCAAAGTACCCCTCAATCCTTCTAAAGGTCTCCCGTCCAACTTTTGCAACTTCTCCTTAGTTGGGGCACTTCGTTGTCTCGCTTATCACTACACTATCTTGTGTCGATTTCGGGTCGTTGCCGGATCGTCGGCTCTGCCTTGAATGACTCAAATATTGGGAGAGGGAGCCCGAAATCATAAGCGGGTGGCGGTGCTTCGGTCGCGTTGTGAATACCGAGTTCACGCGTCTGCAGGAACAGAGTCAACAGTGGCTTTGACCCCCCGAAGTGGTTGGCTCTGCGAGCCACAGCCCGTTTCTTTTTAGCCCCGCCCGGGCTTGTGCCACAAACTTCCACAGAACCTTCGCAAGTGGGTTGGGGGATGGAAAGTCAGCCGGAAAAGGTCGCATTGAGGTCGCCTTGCGAGTGGGGATTATCTGCTTCTCTGCGCTTCAATCCGTCAGTCGGTCTGTTTTCGCGCCGACGACGCTGTGATGTTGATGCCATCCTCTCCCGTCGGAGCCCTCCTCTTCGAAAGAGTCACAACGAGTGCAAACCCATCTCGGCGCAAGATTTAAAGATGGGCTTCACTCCGGTCTTTGGGCAGGGGCCCCAGGACCCCGAAGCAAATATTCGACCCCGAAAAACATGATCATGAGCAGGCAAACGACCCTCCTGGCAGCCGCCCTCCTCGTGTCAGGCGTCGCCTGCCAGAACACGACGCAGAAACCCGTCTTCACGTACCCGCCAGATGGCTCCAAGTACACCTACCACAAAATGGACACGGTGATGGTGAACTACACCGTATTTTACGACACGGCAGAGCTTTACACCTTCTGCGAACCAGGCCACGAAATCTTGGGTAGGTCGCCCCAGCACCCCGACAGCCCCACCGGACGGCAGCATGCTAACGAGACGATAGTCAACCGGCAAACAATACCGGGGCCCAGCGATAGCGTGCCGATACTCCTCGACTTCGCATCCGACAAACCATGCTGGTTCGACCTCCGAACGGGCCCAGACGGCATCAACAACAAGAGCAGCGCGTCGTTCAACATCCTCGACGACGAAAGGGACACGGGGCCGCAAACGTTCGGAGCGGACACCGATGCGCCCACGCGGTCGACGCCGTCGGAAACCTCGCGGACCGAAAGTAGTAGCCAGGCATCGTCACCACCGCCGCCGGAGGAGGGGACAGGCGGCGGTGGCGGGCTTAAGGGAGGCGCGCTGTATGCTGTCGCCTTTTGCTCGGGCCTTGGCGGGGGTATACTCATTTTGGGGGGGATGAGGGCCTGGATGGCGTGGGATGATTGGCGGGACGACCGGCGGAGGGAGGCTGCACGCGCTGAGGCTGAGAGTAGAAGAATCCGATTTCCACTTGGGGGCCGCTGGGAGGATGCTATTACTGTACCAAGGGGAGGTGTGGTGGACGTGTTGGAGTCGCGGCGTGATGGGCGTGATGGTGGAACCGCGGAGGGAACACGTGGGGAGCCACGAGATGCACCTGATGTCTCTCGTGCGGTATGATAGTTAGCGTGAATATGTACATACATACAAAGTATGTACATACAGAATAGGAAGTACGAAGAATCCGTCTTGTGCTTGTCTCACTGCATGTTGCACGTTGAGACAGCGACGGCGTAAAGATACGCGTAAACGTCATGAATCAAGTTTGGTCTGCATCAGCCCCTGTTTCAATAACAACTCGCAACTTCCCGCTCTCACCGCTCGCAAACCACTCCACAAATCTCGGACTGATCTTGATTTTGTGTGGCAACTCACCACTTGATGTGGAAGAGATTGCCTGGAAATTCATCAGGGCTCGCAGGGGCCAACACCCAAAGCCCAGGCCCCGGCGCCGAACCCTTGTGTTTGCACCCCGCTTGCATGGAACCTTCCGCGAATAGAGCATGGGAACGGAGTCAACGGCGGCGGCTGGTTGGCTCTCGGCCCTGCCCCACGCTCGGGAAAATGGGGCCGCGTACCCAAATTGGGACTCAGCCCCAAGATCTGCAGGGTCTTCTCGTGGAGAAGGTTTCATTCCCCTGTTTTAACACATACCCGTTCCGGAAAGCGGTATGGGTCGTGGGAAACTTATGCTACGGGCCGATGTGATTTGGCAGTTTGGAGAGAATCGTTCCACGGCGCCGCGACGCTCACCACTCACCACTCCGCCCGCCGTTCTGCAGTGTTTCCGCGTATGTGCCACCGAGACGGAAGAGCACAAGCTCGCATCCAGGCCGCTCCCACTTTCCGTCGGATCGGACCCAATCCTCCTCGACTCGTATGCGCCAAGGCAGTGGCCAAGTCCCCCGAGAGATTGGCATCTCGCCGCTTGGCGCAAAAGGAGATGGGCTCTCTCCTCCAACCCCTTTGTTGGCCGTTGTGGACTCGTTTCCATCTCAGCTGTCGGTTGGGAAAAAAACCCCGCTAACGATGCTGGCGGCACACGAGGTGCCCCTTCCAGGCCTTGGTCTTCCTTGGTCCTGCTTGGTCGCGGGGGTACTTGCCTCCTTCGTCCCTCGGTCACTCCCTTTTCGTTGGCCCACTTGCTTGCCCGTTGGTCCTGCCGTTGGATGATTCTTCATGTCCCGACCCCGTCTCGCTCTCCCCCATCTTGCCCGGCCGTACCTTTTACTCTTTTCCTGTTGCACCTGCCCACCACTTTCTCCGCTGCCGACCTCCCCTTCCACGCGCCATCATGAAGCGCGACCAGGTATTAACCGCCGCCGCGGTCGAGGATTTAATCGCCGACGGTCATGTAATTGTCATTTTCGAAGACTTTGTCCTGAAGTTGGACTCGTGGATTCAGAAGCATCCTGGCGGCCGGCTGGCAATCCTGCACATGGTTGGGAAAGATGCGACGGACGAGATCAAGGCGTAAGTCGCCGGTTTAAAACAGATAAACGATTAACTTTAAGCTTCTGACATAATCATATTCATGCAGGTACCATATCCCAGCCACGTGGAAGACCATGAAGGCCTTTCGGATAGGCCGGAAACCACCTGGAATCTGGACCAACAAGACGCCGCCGATCCGGGGTGGCCTTTACCAAAAACAGGCCACGACCCCACCTTCCGCGACTGCGACACTCGAAAGCTCGAGCGCAGACTCGGTACAGGAGCCTCAATATGTCTGGCGGGTTTCCGATGACCCTGCGTCCGCCGGCAAGAAGGTCTTCGCGGGAGATGCCGCCGCCTACACGGACTGGGTCGAGAAGCAGGAGATCAAACACGACAACACCGAATATCCGTCGCTGGACCCTGAGGTACAACAAGATATCACTGAGAAGTACAGGGCGTTGCACCAGAGAGTCCGCGATGAGGGCTTCTACAATTGCCCTTACTTCTCGTACGCCAAGGAGATGGCCCGCTACACGATCCTCTTCGCGGCATCCATGGTAGCCCTGCGCCACGGCTGGTACGTGACGTCGGCCTTCTTCCTGGGACTGTTCTGGCACCAGATCATGTTCACTGCGCACGACGCCGCGCACGGCGCCATCACCGGCAACTTCGAGACCGATAGCCTCATTGCCATGTTCGTGGCCGATTTCTGCTGCGGCCTGTCCATCGGGTGGTGGAAGAGCAGCCACAACGTGCACCATCTCATCACCAACCACCCTGTGAGTATCTCCAGCCGTGCGGACTCTGCTCCGGAATTGATTGCTGACCGCGCAAACAGGAACACGACCCGGACATCCAAAATGTGCCCCTCTTCGCCACGTCCCCTTCATTTTTCCGCGGCATCCACTCCAGCTACTACAACTTCACCTTCGCCTGGGACGCTGTCGCCGACTTCATGGTGCCATACCAGAAGTACACCTACTACCCCGTCATGGGCATCGCCCGCTTCAACCTCTACCTCCTTTCGTGGCTGCACGTGCTCTCGGCCAAGGCGGGGTCTCTCGGAAGCAGCAAGGCGTGGTGGATCCGCCCGGCCGAGATTGCCATGATGTCCTGCTACTGGTACATTTTCGGCTACCTGTTGCTGTGGTGCACCCTGCCAACCTGGACCATGCGCGTCGTGTACGTGCTGGTCTCCCACATCATCACCATGCCGCTGCACGTGCAGATCACCCTGTCCCACTGGGGCATGTCGACCGCCGACGTCGGCGAGTCCGAGTCGTTTGCCCAGCGCCAGCTGCGCACCACCATGGACGTCGACTGCCCGGCCTGGTTAGACTTCATCCACGGAGGCCTGCAGTTCCAGGCTGTGCACCATCTATTTCCTCGGGTGCCCCGCCACAACCTGCGCAGGCTGCAGGTGCTGGTCAGGGAGTTTTGCGAGAGCACGGATATTCCGTACACGCTTTTAGGGTTTGTTGATGGCAACAGCAAGGTTTTGGGGCGTTTGGGAGAGGTCGGGGAGCAGGTCAAGCACTTGGTTGAGTGCCAAAAGTACATGGCGGTGACAGGCGTCAGTGGATTGCATTAGGGGCATTTCTGGCATAGACAGGTGGGCGGCATTTGTTTGAGGAAGAGGTCCTCTACACGGCGTTTGGCAACGGCTCATTTCTGTATATTTTCGTAATTACAAGCCATTTCGTTTTCTTTCTACTTCTTGCACCAGCCGGTGGCATGGTATGAATCAAAGTTTGCTTCTCTGGCTAGGAAAGACGGCGAGATGACCTGGATGTACACCTGATCTTACCCCGTGCTATCCATCAACCGATAAAGAGGTCTAATTCGAGGGGATACTCAGCCCACAAGGCCATCCCTTCCTCGCGCCAAGTGTCAGGCTCAATATGAATGTTCAACTTATCCGGGACCTGGGTGGCGTTCAGAACCAGGTTGGACGGGTTCTCGACGCTATACTTTGGCCAGGCGGGCACATTGGGAACTATCACACCAAGGTTAGCCATTAACTCCTAGCTCCACTCCAACACCAAACTCAAAACTAGAAGCAACCCCAAACTTACCCGTACCCTCTACAAAATTCGGATCCCCACTGTACACATACGCAATCACCCTCGTCGAAATCACCTCCGCCAGCGCCCGATGCGCCTCCGAATCAGGAACATGCGGGTTGTTGCCAAACAGCTCGTAGTCCGCCGGGAACCGGAAGAAGTACGAGTACTCCGCCCCGTGCGCCGCAAAGCCCGGCTGGCCCTCCAGCGTCGTGTCGAGCGGCATCGACGTCGGCCACGTGCCGAACCGCCACGTGTACGCCGTCTCCCCCAGCTCCGCCCACTTGGCCGCCATGTCGCGGCGGCCGTGGATGAGGCCGTAGTCGCCTGTGATGGCGGCCAGGCGGCGGTATTGGGCGCCGCCGCAGGTTTGGTTGGCTGCTTCCAGGGCGGCGCAGAATTCCGGGGTGGAGGACATGGGCAGGGCGTAGGGGGGGTTGGGGGCTGAGGTGGGGTAGGCGGTGAGGAGGCGCGTGATGGTGGTGTTGCGGGCGAGGGGGAAGACGGATTGGAGGATCTGGCGGAGCTGGGACTCGGTTTCGGTGCCCGGGCCGAGGAGGTTGGCGAGCACGAAGCCCTCGTCGTCGTTGGTGCCGAGGAGGAGGGAGATGTTGCGCTGGACGGCGCCGGCGGCGAGTTGGAGGGAGGGCGGCTCGGTGATGAAGTCGCCGTCGATGGTCGGCCACCAGGTCGGTTGGGTGGGGGTGGAGGCCGCTACGTCGAAGAGGAGCTCCATCGGCACCTCGCGCAGGCAGGCGAGCGTGTCGGCCGCGTCGAGACAGCCCGTGCCGTTGAGGATGTGCCGGTACCCCTGGATGGCGTCTTCGCGGTCGGGGCGGATGGTGTTGCCGATGCCGATGGTGCCGCTGCTGAGGATGGCGCCGCGGAACAGCTTCTCGTCGCTCTGCCCGCCGTAGGCTAGTAGTTGGTACACGATGGAGTTGCCGCCGGCCGACTGGCCCCACACGGTGACCTTGTCCGGGTCGCCGCCGAAGGCCGCGATGTTCTCGCGCACCCAGCGCAGCGCCTGGCGCTGGTCCTTGAGGCCGAGGTTGGTCAGGCCCGCGGCGGCGACCTCCTCGCCGCCGGGGAAGCCGAAGAAGCCGACGCGGTAGTTGAGCGTCACGGCCATGATGGGCGTGCCCTGCGCCACGCTGTGCTGCACCACCCACGAGTAGTTGGAGTTGAGGTCGGCGCCGAAGCCGTCGAGGAAGCCGCCGCCGTACAGCCACACGGCCACGGGCAGCTTCTCGTCCTTGTCCGGGAGGCTGGCCCGCGACGGCCGGATGATGTTGAGGTTGAGGCAGTCGTCCGACTTGCCCGTCACGTTGGCGTTGCGCACGCTCCGCTCCGACGCCGGCACGGGGCAGATGGACCCGTACCACTCGGCCGACCGCGTGCCTTCCCATGTCTCGTTCAGTGGGGTTGGGTTTTGCAACCGCCCGCCTTGGGCAAAGGGGATCCCCAGGAAGAGGTCCTGGGAGAATTCGGCGAGATAGCGGCCGACGTAGGTGCCATTGAGCGTCGTGGCTACGGGGGCGGTTTGGCACGATGCCAACACCCCCGGTAGTAGGGCCAGGTATGAAAGTAGCATTGGGACGATCGTTTTGATAAAGTTGTTTATCCCTACCCTACATCCATCCCGAGAGCTTGTGGAGAAGTCCAGACTTTTAAAACTCGACAACCAAGGCGCTGGAACTTGGGAGGGATTCAGGGAATGCGGGGCTCTGCAACCCCTGGCTCCCTTCTTGTTGTACTAATTAGTACCGTACAGACACGAGCTAGTTAACGGCTAAATCCTTCACTGCTGAGTCTGCCCCTTTTGAGAAGCGAGGCTCGTTCTCGGACCCGGGCGGAAATTAAGTTTCGAGTGAGCCAGTCCCTGTCTAGTCCCGTGCCGCACGGGACTGTGTAAGAAGGCAATGTCAAAGACGCCGTTTCGCGAAACCGACTCGCTTGTCTATCATAATTATATGTGTTCTTCGGAGACAGTCGGTTACTATCCTTCACCTTTTTACCTTTCAGCTGAGAATATGAGAACTTGATAACCACCAGGAGGTGAAGAAGATAAAAGATGGAGAGAAAAGGAAGAAGCTCTTACTTGATTCAATTCCCTCAAAGAGCAATTGAGAGGAAAATCGGCGCTGGAGGCGCGTGGCCAATGGCCAATATCTTCTCAAAGTCTTTTTTTGTTTTTGACAGATGATGCCACATGCTGATATTTGACACAGGAGAGCGGGTATGTTCCCGACATAGACAGCATGAGAGACGACGACGACGACAACACATATCTCTTCAAAATAGGTCATGCCAATAAACAGAATTTGACTGCTCACAGAATGCAAAAATGCCCGAATCTGGTCATCCTATCCAACCACAGTCCCCCAAATTTATCGCCACCAGCTCCGGGACGTTCAAACGGGCATCCAACAACATTAGACTAGTGCCCAACCATGTATCAACGCGCAGAGGACCAACATGCACTCTTTGGTGTGGAAATTCAAGTCCAGAATTAGCCGAGCTGGATGGTCCCGCGAAGGGGGTTGACCGTTGGAGTCGTGGGAGAACAACTGCCAAATGCACCGGGTTGATTTGCAACAAGTGTTTGAACTGAATAAAAACCGAAGACATTCGGAGCCACGAAATCGAAAGCCAAGTGGGAAAAAAGGGGAAAATGGGAAAAATGGGGATGCTGCCTGACCAGCTTCACCTTGTTTGTGAATGTTGGTGGCTGGGGGCTAGGGGTCCAACTCTTGGTGCCCAGAAAATGGGGAGAGCGGCGACGATCTGCATCAATCCACATGTTTTCACAAGGCTGCCACAACGAAGAACACGGTGAGGGTGCATGTCTGCCTGGCTCGTGAACAACTGCAGTGGTTTCGTCCGGAGCCCTTCACTCGACTCAGGCGAATCAGGAGAATTCGGTCCTCAGAGTCCAATCATTGTTCAGAACAGTGATGTTGGTGCAAGCGACAAACATGCATGCATTCAACCAACATGGTGGGTTTTTTAGGCACCGACAGGACACAAGAACCACGCTGTGTTGGGTTATTGGTTGCGAGGGGACCGGCTGATGCCGTCCTCACCCGGCGATGTTGATGATATATATTGAGTGAAATTGGCTTCAAAATCGCCTCTCTCATTTCTCAACGCCGGAGCATTCAAGGTGTCTTGGTATGTACATATGCTAAAACGGCCCATTATTATATCACCATTCTAGACTTTGGACAGGACCCAAGCACAATGGCCACATCAGAGGACGACTCAACCCGCCAGGAGCCCCCTAACCAACCGTTGGACGTCATCACGGACCGTCCCTCGGAAGACACCACCCAGGATTCAAGCAGCGACCCCCACAACCCCCACAATCCCCCCAGCAAAGATGAGGTGGACGGAAAGCCCTGTGTGGACTCCGTCGACTCGAATGATTCGTCCCTTGACTCCTGCCCGTCAGAATCATCGTCGTCCGGCTCATCCACCAACGACGCAGCTTCGGACACATCGGGATCAGGGGTTTCGGAGGACGACCACGACACCAAAACAACCGAGCCGAAGACTTCTGACGCCGACATTGAAAAGAAAACAGACACGGCCAATGAGCAGCCGCCGGACGAAGAGCCGGGACCCGATCCAGGCCGGTCACCCTCCGCAGGGGAGGGGACATCAACTGAAGACGGCAATCTGGCGGATGAGAGCATTATCACGGACGCAGAGAGCCCTGGGATAGCTCAAGACGCTGCGGAACAAGGGGTACAGGAACCCTCGGATGATACCGATGCTGTCCTCAATGCGAAACCAGATCAGTATGTCTCGGTGGCCTCGCAAACTGATCATGACCCAAAATTTGACCCAGAGAACGACAATATCGTCGAGGACAACAATCACGTGGAGGACGACAATGCCCCGACCACAGACCAGGCCCCTGATCCTTCACGGCCCGGAGACTCTCCAGATGTCGGCAATGACCCGGGTGGGGGAAACGGCGAAGCGCCGGACAGATCCCCCGAACCCTCGGAGGCCGGAGACGCTCCAGAGGTCAATAATGACGATGCTCCAGAGGTCAACAATGAGTCCGAGAATGACAATGAGGCCGAGAACGACAATGCCCGCGAAGTCGATGATGCGCCTGACGGCGACCGTACCCCAGAAGTGACGGTTGAACCAGGGCCGCCATACGAAGACTCGGCCATCACGACCCGGTTGCGGAAGATGGATGACACGTCCCCGTCCCGGGAGGAGTGGGTCCTTCGGAAAGAGAAATCCGGCAAAGACAACGAAGCGCTGGACGGGCTCATGCTGAAGTACGGACTCGAGGAAGTGAAGGCGCACTTCCTGTGGGTGTACGATCAAGCGCAGACCACACTAGATCAGGAGGGCACGCTATGGGACTTGACCAACTTGCACGCATGCTTTCTAGAAGGCGGCAAAAACAGTATGTGGACAGCTTCAACTCCTCTTCTTTCTTTGCGTTCGAAACTAACAACGGGTGGCAGCCAGAACCATGGTGCTAAACCTCTACATGAAGCTTCTACAGTCTTTGTCCCTGGTGGAAGCAGATTTGGTAGCCCGCGGAAGCTCGGGCGATTATTTGGGCGACACATGGGACAATGCCACAGAATATGGAAATCGAGGAGTATGTATAACCAAGCGTTGTAGAAGCGGTAAACTACCAGAGCAGAGGGGTTCTAACCATCACGGGTCCTGGCTTAGATCTTGCACGTCGAGACTCCGGAGTGTGCCGACTTCAAACCCTTGAAGTCCACATTGGCGAGACGCTTCAAAAAGTCAAAAGCTGAGAAGCAACCGGTTGTCGTCTTTCACATCCCATACCCGGCTGAAGAGGCCACGGACTACATACTCGAACCAGAAGACCAAGTGCCTTCGATGCACGCGATCCCAGTGCGGCAGACCCAAGACCAGATGCTCGCAACGCTCACCGCGGAGATGAAGGAAGAAATCGTACACAAAACGGTTGAGGGGGGCTGGGATGGACCCGTGTTCCAACGTTTCATCCAGCGCGCCACTACCAAAGGGGATTTGAGATCCACCGACATCGTCTCGAAATCGGCGGATGGGCTCGCGGCGCGGCGCATAAAGAGAAGAATAGCCGAGAACGAAGGCCGGGCACCGAAGCCGGCCGGCGACGTGTACTACACCAAATCGGACCTCTTGGGCGCCACCGCGGTCGAGCTGGGATACCAAAGCGCCGCCTGGGCCGAACTGGAGAAGATGATCGGCATGGAAGACGTCAAAGAGTCCGTCCGCGAGCTCCTCGCCGAGGCCGCGCTCAGCCGCCGTCTCGAACTCGAGGGGAAATCGGCCCTGGGCGCATGGTCCAACCGCCGATGCTTCATCGGACCACCCGGCACGGGCAAGACCACGGCCGCCCGCTTGTACGGGCAGATCCTCAAGGAGCTCGACCTCCTAGAGAACGACACCATCATCGAGAAGCGCGCGTCGGATCTCGTTGGGGCTTACGTAGGTTGGTCGGAGCACGCCACACAAAAGGCGTTCAAGAAGGCCAGCGGCGGCGTGCTGATCATCGACGACTTCCACCTGCTCTTCCCCAACACCATGCACAACACCAACGGGTCCGACGTCTTCCGCGCGGCCGTCATCGACACCATCGTCGCCGAGATCGACCCCAACACCACCCGCAAGCAAGCCGTCATCCTGATCGGCTACCCGGAGTCCATGACCGAAGCCTTCGAGACCTCCAACCCGGGCCTGTCCCGACGCTTCCCCATGGCCCAAGCCTTCCGCTTCCACAACTACGACGACGCCGAACTCAAACAAATCCTCCACCTCAAACTCGCCACCCACAACCTCACCCTCACCCCCACCGCCGCGCAGGTCGCCGAGGAGATGCTCTCCGTCGCGCGCCACCGCCCCAACTTCGGCAACGGCGGCGCGGTCGAGACCCTGCTCCAAACCGCCCAACTCGCGCGCAACGCGCGCTGCGCCACCGTCGCCGTCGACGCCGACCTGGACCTGACCCTCCTCCCCTCAGACTTCGACCCGGACTGGCAGCGCGCGGCCGAGGCGGCGCGGCGGTGCGCGGCGCTCTTCCGCGAGATGCAGGGGATGGGCGGCGTGCTGGGCCAGTTCCAGGGCTACCAGGCCATGACGGCGCGCATGCGGGCGCGCGGGCTGGACCCGAGGCCGCATGTCCCCTGGGCGCTGGTGTTTCGGGGCCCGCCGGGCACGGGGAAGACGACGGTGGCGCGCAAGATGGCGCGGGTGTATTATGATATGGGGTTCTTGGCGGGGGCCGAGATTGTGGAGTGTTCGGTCGCGGATCTGATCTCGTCGCATGTGGGCGGTTCGGCGAAGAGGGTGATAAGGATGTTTGAGCGGGCGTTGGGCAAGGTGTTGTTTATTGATGAGGCGTATCGGTTGGCGGAGGCCCGGGCGGATGATGCGATTGGGGAGATTGTGGATTGCATGACCAAGGAGCGGTTCTGTGGGAAGCTGGTTGTGGTGCTGGCTGGGTACAAGGAGGAGATGGACGACCTGATGCGGTGCAACCGCGGCCTGCGCAGCCGGTTTGCCACCAATGTCGACTTCAAGCCCATGAAGGCGGCGGATGCTCTGCAGCTGCTGCAGACGCACCTGGCCAAGGTGGATATTGTCTTGGGGGGCATTGCCCGGTCGTCCCGGGAGACCATCCTTGACCTGCTAACGAAGCTCAGCCGGTCAAGGTCTTGGGCTAACGGGCGAGACGTGATTGCGCTCTCCCGCACCATCGTCCAGGAGGCGTACACTATGGGGAAGAGCCACACGGAGAAGGACCACAAAGGTGACCAGGGGTCGAAGGACAAAGCCGAAAAACAGGACAAGGTGGTGTTCCATGCCGACGATCTGATCTCGGTGCTGCGTCAAAAGTTGAGGAATGCTAAGGATGAAGGCGACAACGACAACTGATTCTAAGGGGTAGACATTCGTCACTTATTCCATAAATCTTAGAACAAAAAGCATCTTGCCTTCTGAAACCAGAGGATGTTCCACAGCTTTGGTTTTGTTTTTGATATCCAACTACTACCTCTGCTGTCACTCATGCTCATGTTTTTGATGACCTTCTCTAACGTAGGCTTGCTGGTGCACTTGTGGCCTTGCCCGAGGTGCCCTTACTGATAATGTTTGCGTTCCGAATAGCTGCGTTCAGTTTGCTAAGCATGTTGTTCAGAGCGGCCGTATCTTCCGGGTCTCCCCTGATCGCGGCGGTCGGGTGCGGCAAGGCCGTGGCATGGATGACTCCACATGTGAGTGACGAGCAAAAGTTAGAACAATTCGTTACGTTGCACCGAATTCAAGATTCTTTCTTCTCTTTCCAAGGTACCATTCTTAACCCAATCGGCGATCTTGTCACTGTTGATGCCCGCGGCGAGCAGGGCGCGGACCGTGAGAGTGAGTGGGAGAAGTGGGTGTTGATTTAGGTAACCTGAACCAATTGAGGTTGTTTAGGAACATGAAGTGGTTTATTTGCAATCTGAAATCTATCGGAGAGTTGATATCTGGAGAATGATGCTCTGGGCGAGGGGTTGGGGCGTCGTTATAGGTTTGAGGTTAGACGAATGCAGTGCCTCGATGGGCGCTTGCTTGCTTAGTTGCTAGGTGAGGTCGTGGCTGTAAACTAGAAACATTAGCCTGGGCTCACCCCAGTCTCCAAGCCAATCTTTCCTCTTAGAAACTCCCGAATCGCCTCAATCCCAACCCCTCTCCTCATCGCCGTCTCCTCGTCCCATGAGCTATGCACGCCCACCAACACCTCTCCCTGTGCCGTCCTCTGCACCAACGGCGCCCCGCTATGGCCCCAATACGTCCAGCAACTGTGCATCAACGCCCCAATCTCCTCATTATCCTGCACGTCTTGGCCGTCCGCATAGCCCTCAAATCTCCCCTCGCTGGCACACAGCACTTCATACCCCGTCTCCACGCCCGCCTCTTCACATTCCAGATCCTCGCTCCCGGGCTGGCCGATGCAGACGAGCTTCGTGCCCACCTTCGGGGATCGGTCCGCGAGTCCAAGCGCGGGGAACTGCCAGTGCTGAGAGGCCAGGCTTGAGTCATCCTGCAGCGGGCGCTGGGCGGCCGTGATTTTGAGCAACGCTAGATCGCGCTTGGGGTCCCAGACTGCACACTGGGCAAGAACAACCGTGCCGGAGGCGAAGAGGAGCAGGTGCGATTTGGAGACGTCGAGCTCGACCTCGGTATCGGCGATGCAGTGGGCGCAGGTGAGGAGCAGGCCGGACTCATGGATACACACGGCCGTGCCGGCTTCGGCTTGGGCAAAGATGAGGGTTGCTGCTATCCCTGATATGGAGACGTCGGTGGGGGGCGCGAGGATGGCCGCTTGGAGGCGAGCTTGCTTGAGAAGGAGGAGAGCGTGTTCTTCCTTGGAGAGCTTGGTATGCGAGCGGAGCAGGCGGGAGGGGAGAAGGGTGATGTCGGGGCTTGCAGCGGGCGAGCCATTGCCGATTTCTTCTTGCGATGCGTCTTTGGTAGCGGACTGGATTAATGTTTGGGCCTCTATGAGTAGGAGTTGCCGTGTTCGGAGACGTGTCTGGCGGAGTGGGAGTTCCATGGGAGCGACTAGACGAGTGGAGACGGTTGAAGAAGCCGAACATGCCAATGTGCGTTGAACTGGGATTCATGTGCTGGGGTCGGGACTGCCGAATCCTGATTGCTCCATCTTCTCTACGCGACCCGCCGGGCCTGGCCCGCATAAATAGAGCGCTCTCCCAAACGTCTCTTTTTTGTACTCTCCAACTGTGACGGCAGCTGCCGTCGGGGATATAGATATTTGGCACAATCATACTCAACTATATCACCGATGGCGTTCTGCTGGTGCTGCCCGGCAGGAATATGCATCTATTGCAAGTTGGGTTAGCATACAGGGCGTCCCTCGCCGCCATAATCCATTCTAGGAGCCATAACTCTGTATGTTTCCTATGCCCCGCCTGTGATGTTTGCACGGGAGTTGATAACTGGCAACCTGACCCACAGCGCCGTCGCTGTGAGCATCTGCCCGTATTCCCGCAATCCGGAGACCAATAAGTCGCATGATCTCCACCACAACAAGGATTCAGGACCGTGCATCCCCTCGAGTTGGCGCGGTTCAAATGTTCATTCCAATCATCTCCATCCATTCGCTCGGCGCCGCTTCCCGGGCAGCAGCGCTTTTCGCAGCTGCATCCGCCACAGTGTTCCACTCGCGCGGGATCCTCCAGAACTGGACGGCCAAGTCGTCGTCCGAGGCCCGCTCGACCTCCCCCAGCAGCGCCTGCCACAAGTCCTTGTTCTTGACGTCGGCCCCGGCACTGGTCTTCCAACCGTTCTTGATCCACGTCTTGGCCCACTTGGTAGCGCCTTCGACCACATATTCGGAATCGGTAGCGACGACAAAGGTCTCGAACCCTTCGCCAGGCCAGTGTCGGAAGCGCAGCGCAGCGATCACGGCACGGAGCTCAGCGCGATTGCTGGTCTGAGCGGCGGCGTCGCCAAAAGGACCCTTGGCCTCGAGGCAGGCGCTGGCAATGAGATGAGTGCCGTCGTCGCTAACCCCATGCCAGAAAGCCCAGCCGGCCTTGGGATTGGCCTGGCCGTTGTCGAGACAAGCACCGTCTGTGCGGATTAGAACAGTGCTGGCGTCGTCTCGATGGGTGTATCTGACAAGAATGGAACGCGCAGGTAAGCTATAGCCCTGGAGAGAGCGAGGGAACCAAGACGGACCTCTTGACACGTATATGTTGCCTGCGACCAGAGAACAACTCGGCGGGCGTGTCCGTGGTTGAAGACGGGATGAACTTTGAGGGCCAAGATCGGCCAGTGCCCTTCCGCAGTGCAGGGCCCAGAAGGTCCTGAATAAAGTCAGGCTCTGCCCCATTCCCGCCGCTATCATCGTCGTCGTCCTCCTCCTCTTCTTTGTCATCGCCGTTGCCCTGGTTGCTCAGAACATCGTCCATGAAGCTGTAGTCGACGCAGCACTTGCCGCAAACCACAAAGCCGTGCGGACCGCAAACCAGGCGGCCGTCAGGAAGTTCACACGGGCCCTCGTCATCGTCGCTGCTGCTGTAGCCAAGAGGGATGAGACCCTGCCCGAGATAGTATCCTCGAGGCATGATTTTGGTGATATGGTCCTTGATGTTGAGTCCGTATTGATGAGAACTGATGGCGAGCCGGCGCACCTCGCTGGGCCGAGAAACAGCCAGGGTGGGTTGTGGTTGTTGGAAGGCAATGAGGTCCGAGGCAGTGCCCCACCTCACCAGCTGATAAGTTTGTCGATTACCTAGCTAGATAAGCTGATAAGATAGAACTACTTAGGTAGCTTCCGATTCTCTACGCGGTAGTTCTTTACACCCTGCTGTCATCTACGCTATCGCTGCTATTGAGTAGTAACCGTCAGAAAAGCTGGAACCTGGTCCACTTCCCCGAAGCAAACACCCTATCCCAGTCGGGATCTACACTATCCGCATCATCAAAAACCTCAGTCACCCCAGCACCAATACGCCGAAACCGGTCCCCCCCCTCAGGCAACTCCTCTAGGAACAGAAAGGCAATTTTCCTGCCATAGCCGCCATCATTATACGAGCACAGCCTGAGGCACCAGCACTCGTACGGCTCCTCGGGATTCTCATGCTCCATCTCGTCCATCCAGCATTCGATATCAACACCCGGCACCAGGCCGTCGGTGATGCGGCATGGATAAAACGGCCCGTTCGGATTCCTCATCTCAGATCTCCGATCAAGCTCCACCAGCTGCAGCATCCCCTCTGCCCTGATACAACCGCCAGGATCGATTTCACCATAGCTCCCCGGCCGTTTCTCTACGACATGAACGTCATGAATCACCATGTCGATCCCCGCCTTTGGTGGTTCCGGCTCAAGATCCCACAAACGCAGCCGGCCGGACACCGAGGCCCAGCTCCACGACGGCACCCCCGAGTCCCCGTGCCGGACAAGCGACAGCGCTTTGCTGCCGCGCATCCAGACGAGACCTGCGAGAAACCGGCTCGCCCACAGGCCGGCGATGTACCTGTCACCAAACCGCGCGGCAAAGGTCCTCGCGATGCCGGCCACGGCGGGCAGCTTGTCGCTGACCTTGGTCAGCTTCCGGTTCGAGAAGTCGCTGATCCAGCCGTTCCACTCTTGCTGGAGGGCGGCTCGTTCGTCTCTGGCTTTGGAGGCGGTGTCTAATAGCAGGTCGTCGCGGCGGCGGATTAGATTCGCGAAGCCCATCTTGAGACCCCGCTTCCCCCAGAGTGTCGCGATGCCCTCCTCGATGCTCGCCTCCGAGCATTCCCAGACGATGCCCGCGTCGGTGAAGTGGAGCGTACGAGGGGAGACGAGCCGCTCCTGGAACGTCCAGCCGCGAGTGGAGAGAAACTCCTTGTCCAGGTCAAAGGGGGCCGCCGGGCCCTGGAAATCCAGGAAGATGGTCCCATGCCCGGCGTCGCTTCCGGGGTGGTGATAGCGGCCTACCGGCGCGCCGTCTTCGCTCATCCGCGCGAAGAGTCCGTGGTCGCAGTCGTAGGAGCTGGTGGCCGATAGCGTGAGCGTCGAGGTCCCGTACACGTCCATCATGCTTGCGGCCTGCTCGGCCCAGTCGTCCGCGTCGTCCTGGATGATGCACAGCGCATCGATCCACAGGTAGCGAAATCCGAGATTCCTCGTGAAGAGGATCGCCTCCCGGAGCGTGCGCGGGAAGTCTGAGATCGGGATGCCCGAACGGTGCCTCTCGATGTTGGAGCCAACGGTTGTCAGCGCGCCCGCGAGACCCCAGCAATAGCTCAAGGCCACAAACGGCTCCACCTCGCCGCGGGTTTCGTAGAGGCGGACGACGTCGGGTTCTCCCGAAACCGAAAGATCTAGGACGCGCTTCGGCAGCTTACCCGGCGGTCGGGCGCAGGCGGTGTGGTCTTGGAGGCACTGCGTCAACCATCGTATCGACCTCTGCACCGCTTCCTCGGAGCCAGAGTCCACATTTGGCCGCGAAGCAAGGACGGGCCATATCGATGTCTCGAAAAGGCTGTCTGTTTCAACAGCGCTCCAGTGCCTGTCGGCGCCGTTCCTGCGGTACAGCTCCATCTCGAGGGCACGTCGCGTGCCCCCGCCCGGTAGTTGGATGCTGGCGCTGTACTGCGACATGGCACCGAACCCAAATGCAATCAGACAGTGATTCTGGTACGCATCCCTTTTCCGGAACCAGAACCGATACGTGAGATCCTCGCCCGAGAAGTGGCGGAGCTGTTCGGCGAAGGTCATAAAGTTCCTGGCGTGGATGGCCGCCACGGTGGCCCCGCAGACGACGCAGGACTTTTTGGCCGAGGCCACGAGGGCGCGGAACGAGGGATGGTGGCTCTTGAAACATCGCACCGTCTCCTCGCCCAGCAGCTGCGGTTCCCAATCTCGATCGTCCGAGGCGGGCGGGTAGTTGACGATGCCGGCCAACAGCCGCCGGCATGGTTGGCAGTGTTCGTCGTTTACTTCCACGCGGAGGGGGGCTGACATGATTCAAGCTGGAGTCGTGGTTCCGGTTCCAAGCGTCAGATAACAGCATCTCTCTCGTGCGGGTGGATGTAGTCGTTGCGGTTGTGGACGGGTTATCCCGCAGCCTGCTTCCATTCTAGGACTGCACAGCCTCTCTAGTTCGGGTCCGAGTCTGCCTGTGACAGGAGGCGGCCTGCATTGGGTCACGTTTCTGTCCAATGATCGTCGTCAGGCTGACTCCCACCACAGCGCTGAGCAGTGCCCTTGCCTCCAGATCGTGAGCCTTCATAATGCCGTTTCCGCGCCCTCTTGCTCCTCCTGTTCCAACATCACCACAGCCACTTAGTTAGGTTCCTGAGCTTTCCGGCCTGTCATGTCCACTTCAACCGCATCTGCAGCACCCGCTGCCACAAGATTAGTGCAAGCCGTCATCGTCCGATGCGACGGCGACCAACGCACGAGCGGCCTCCCGCCGTGGTCCAGCACCACGATCCCGGCCGACCACCCCGTCTTCTGGGGCACCACCCCTCCCCTCGCCTCCCGCCTGGAAATCCCCATCGCGATACACTGCGAGGGCACGCAATCGACAGAGCGTGCCGACCTCGACAATCAGTTCGTGACGTACCTCAACATCGACCCCGTCACCGGCATGGCGCCGATCCCGTGGCAGGCCGGCACCATCGGCACCGTCGTCATCGCGCGCAAGGACAGGCGGCCGTTCCTGCCGCAGCATTTCGAGGCGCTGTGGGAGTACGCGCTCGAGATCCTAGACAAGTTCGGGGATAGGGACGGCCCGCCGCTGAGCATGTACAACTGGCAGGCGTTTGAGAGGTGGTGGAAGAACCGGAAGCTAGATGCCGCGGCTGGGAGAGAGGGGCAGGGTAAGCCAGGAGGGGCTTTAGACCCGGATGACGACTGGACGGACGTGAAGTCGCCTTATGAAGTTTGAGGATACCTTACTTATTATGTTCATTTTACTCCGGTATTACACCCTGGCCATTGGTCCTGATTCCGTCTGGTGTTCGGTTCCGCCGTCAGGGGGGTCGTCTGGTATTAAAGTGTTAAACTACCTAGGAGGGAGTCCGCAGTGTCTGGCCAATACATATGATATGGTATATATTTAGCCCCGGAACTTTGTATAACCGGGTTGCCGACGCGGTTCCGCTCTGCTTTCTTCCCCGCAGTTGCATTCGCGTCTGCATGACGCAGGGACCTTTCAGGGACCTTTCCCTCCTGGGAAAACCACCCGGGTTCTAGCGGCCTGGTTCCCTTGGTAACCTTTACCGAGGATCGGCTCGTCGAGACGGCAAGGCTCCGGACATGTTGTGCAGGAATCAAATGGGCGGACGACCGTGTCGGTGAAATAAAGACCTCAACCTCACCTCTGGAGTCTGGACGACGGGCTCGAGTGGTATTGACATAATCCCACTCCAGTGTCTCAGCCGCCACGATGCGCTTCCCACTGTACGTCACACTCTTCTCCGCGGTCGCGGGCGCAGCGCAGTGCGGCTTCCAGCAGCAGTGCTCTAAGCTCGCGAGCAAGCTGAAGATTGACAATGCCACCGTCTGGTTCGCTGAGTACGTGCCTGCCGGCACCAACCTGACCTTCCCCGACTCGGACCCGAGCTGTGGCCAGGCCGCCCTCGCCGTGGGCGTCGACTTTTGCCGCGTCGCTTTGCACGTTGACACGTCGAGCCAGTCGGGCATCAGCATGGAGGCATGGCTGCCGCGCAACTGGACCGGCCGCTTCCTGAGCACAGGCAATGGCGGGCTCAACGGCTGCCTCTCGTACAACGATATGGCTTACACGGTCGAGCTCGGCTTCTCAACAGTCGGTGCCAACAACGGCCACAACGGCACCGAGGGCACGTCCTTCCTCAACGCTCCCGAGGTCGTGAAAGACTTCGCCTGGCGGTCCGTCCATACCAACGTCGTAGTCGGGAAGCAGATCTCGGCAGCCTTCTACAACAAGAAGCACTCAAAGTCGTACTACCTCGGTTGCTCGACAGGCGGCAGGCAGGGCTTCAAGTCTGCCGAATCCTTCCCCGAGGACTTCGACGGTATCGTGGCGGGCGCTCCCGCTGTCGATTTTAACAACCTGAACTCGTGGTCTGGGCACTTCTATCTCCTCACCGGCGCGGCCGGGTCTCCAACTTATTTAACCCCTGACCAGTGGTTCGCGGTCCACGACAACATCCTGGACCAGTGCGACGGCCTCGACGGCTACGTAGACGGCATCCTCGAGGATCCCGAGCTCTGCGATTACCGCCCCGAGGCCCTGATCTGCCCGCCCGGCACACCGGCCAACAGCAGCACGTGCATCACCGAGACGCAAGCGCAGACGGTCCGCGCCGTGTTCTCCGACCTCAAGGGCAAGAACGGCACGGTCGTGTACCCCCGTATGCAGCCGGGCTCGGAGCTCCTAGGGACCCCCTATATCTACTACTCGGGCCAGCCGTTCCAGTACTCGGCCGACTGGTTCAGGTACGTCGTCTACAACGACCCCAACTGGGACCCGGCGACGCTCGGCCCGGCCGACTACGCGCACTCGGACACGCTCAACCCGTCCGACATCCGCACCTGGTCCGGCGACCTCTCCGCGGCCAACGCACGCGGCGCCAAGATCCTGCACTACCATGGCCAGCAGGACGAGATCATCTCAAGCTCCAATTCACCGCGCTACTACAAGCACGTGGCCGAGACCATGGGCCTGTCGAGCGCCGAGCTGGACAGCTTCTACCGCTTCTTCCGCATTTCGGGCATGGGCCACTGCGCCGGCGGGAACGGGGCGAGCTTCATCGGCCAGAGTCGCGGGGCCACGGCCAGCCTTGACCCGGACCAGAACGTGCTGACGGCCCTAGTGCGGTGGGTAGAGCATGGCAAGGCGCCGGACTCGATTCTGGGCACCGCCTTTGTCGACGGGACGGCGGGCGGTGAAGTTGCGTTCCGGCGTAGGCACTGCAAGTACCCGTTGCGGAATACTTACACGGGCGAGGGGGACCCGAAGGACCCCGGCAGCTGGAAGTGCGTTGCGTAAAGGGAGTGAGGCGATCGGAAGCGGAATTCCATATTCTATGCCGTACTATAATATCACAACAGAATAGTACCCTACTCGGTACATACTTGACTTTCACTTCGGCGTTCTTCGACTTGAAAATCCGTTGTATGTGCCCCTCCTTCCACGACATGGACCCTGGGTTGAACTGCAGAACGCAGCACTTCTCCCGTCAACCAACCCAATGGTGAAGTCTAAACTGCACCTCTTCGCACAAGAACAACTTGGCTATCGAAAACCGACGCACCAACGGCCTTGAGGTAGTCGCCGTGAATGCTGACTGCAAGAGGAGTGAGCACCTCAACGATCCGCCAACCCGGCCCGGGAAGTTGGACCGAGAATTCCTCGGGTGTCTGCTCGAAAGCGTGTATGACGACAATTCCATCGTCTTCCGTGGTTCGAACCACGCCTTGCCAGCCTCTTGGGTGGCGCCAGCTAGGCCCGATATCGCCGTTGATTCGATTCTTGCCATACTTGATAGCCGGCACGGCTTTCTGGTAGAGCTCAATTGCGTGCTTCACAAAGGAGAGTTGAGTTTCATCGAGGTCAAGGATATCGCCAGAAAGACACATGCGGCCCAAGAATGTCGCCGCCAGACTGTAGTTCATCCGTTGAAAAGAATCGCTTTGGCGCAGGACAGCCCAGATTTGAGACTGCCGGGGCAGCATCAGCCGGTGAACCGCCGCGGCGATGATGGGTATCTCGATTGTCTCGTGCGCGTCCGAGTAACTGCTCATTGCGGTACGCTGGAGAAACGACGCCTCCATACGGTGTCCGCCAGCGGAAACGAGTTCGATCACCAAGTCGGGCAACGCCTCTCTGATCCGGTCAAACATCGCATGGGTGCCTTCGCCCTGGCGCCGCAGCCCCTCTCCCAGCCCGTCAGGATGGTCGACACCAATGCCTAGCGTTTCGCTGTAGTCGACCTTGAGATAACCAAACCCGGCTTGCCCAAGCATTCCAATGACACGGTCATCAATAAACGCTTTCACATAGGGATCATGCAAGTTCCAGGCTCGACGGAGCCCCAACGTTAGTGGTTTCCCATCTCTTGTCAGCATGTGGTCGGTTTCGACGAACGCGTCTGAGTCTTTAGCCACATGCTCAGGCTCCATCCAGATACCGGGAACAAGCCCGCGTTTCCTGATTGCTGCCGCGGTACCTGCCAGTCCATTTGGAAAACGACTCGGATGGGGGCGCCAGTCGCCCAGAGTCGTCGCCCAGTGTGCACTAGAGTTCATTGGCATGTACCAACCCGCGTCGATGACCAAGTAGCGGACACCAAGCGGCGCGATCCTGTCGGCAATGGCGAGTAACCGGTCTTCACGAGGCTCTCCCCAGCTTGTGCAGTAGTCGTTGTAAACGATCGGTAGGTCCTGCTCCATTGCCGGCTGAGCTTCGACGGCGGGAACATCAACGCTGATCAGTCGATCGCAAGCTTCATCCGCCGATCCGGCGACACATGTTAACCAAGCCTGCGGGGTGGTAAAAGACTGACCGGGCTCGACTGTTTTTGTCCAGTGGCCAAATTCTCGGTCTGCCAGGCCACCGGCGAGAACCAGATCATCAAACCGCCGACCCAGCTCGATCTGCCAGCTCGTAGGAGTCGCCAACCGCGCCCCCCAGACTACTTTCGCTTCCGTGTCCTCGACCAGCACAGTCGGGAACCACCCCCGTACCGGCATCGACCCAACCTGCCCGAACCGCTCCGAGAAGTTCATGTTGCCCGCCCAAGATCTCTCGAGGTGGAGCTGCTCGATGGATTCCGTAACCATACGCCCCTCGGCGGACCAGACAGACCGGAACCGGTGAGCGCGGAGGCGACAAGGTGCGTCGTCTGCGGCATAAGGGGTAATGCCGCTCAGAGAGAACGACGTCAACAACTCGAGTCGAACCGGGGAGCCAGAGTTGTTCTCGAAAACGGTCTCGCTCCGGACCGTGAGCCCCTGAAACCCGGCAGAGAGGTGGTGCTTGATTTGTAGTCCGGTGTCATCGTACAGCGTTGTGACTACTGTGTTCGCCTCCACTCGTTGATCGAGAAGCCGGAACCGATCAATGGACGGTGACCACAGCAGGGTGCGACCTGTGCCAAGTTGTGGCGGCTCGTCGTCACCCGACAGCTTGACATGCACCAACGGCTCGACAACCATTGCCGGCCTGGCTTTTGAGTGGCTACGAACCCAGCTTTCGTTCGCCACGGTTGGGCGCCGCTGTGCGAGGTCGCTCATCGCCGTGGGATACAGCCATAATCCGACTTGTCCTCGTGGGGCGATCAGGTACCGGGCTGTCATGTCCCCGAGGACATGCTCGGACAAGATGGAGAGATGGTCGGCCATGACGAAGTCCTCGGAGGTATTCTGGGAATTGTATGAAAGGTTTAGAATTGCCCGCTGACTGCGAAGTCTTCATGTATTTAGCGGAGTTGCGGGCGGGAGGATGCCGAGGTAGGAATGGGGAATAACGGCACTTGCATCCGAGGGTAACGGAATGATTGGGTTGGAACCCTTCGTCGCCTGCAGGGAGGTCGGTGGTTCGAAGGGCGTTACTACACTAGGGTGCCGGGTGCGGACTGAGTATTTTGGCATCCGCAAACAGGTTTGTCGCCATGAGTGGGGGATGAATGGTGTCGCTCTAAACTGATCGGCTGGGTGATGGATGGCGAACTTGGATAGATAATTAGGTACAGGTCAGGTATTCAGTACTTCAAAGTTCAATGCGGTTGTGGGATCGGAAGTTGACGGCTAAGAAGAGATTGTGCTTGAAAAAAGGAAGGCAAGATTTAGGAAAAAACGGTTTGCTAATTGAGGTGGAGGATAACCACCTCGGCTTTTGGCACCAGATTTGAACATTGTTCATGTTTGGGCGGGATGATGAGTTTCCATTCCTTTGGGACAAGGAATTACCGAACCCGAGGTACCTAGCTCGGTAGGCAGTGTTAAACCACTGTAAATTTCACTGTACACCTTACCAACATTCAACCCTTTCCAGATTGCATTGCCTCTCTACCTAGGTACCTATCGTCTGCCCTTATTCAACGAGACCAAAGGTCCACGAGCTCTCCCAGTTGTACGTCTCGCCGGGGCCCCAGATTTGCGCATCGGTGCGCTCCCACTCGGGGCTGTCGGGTCATCAGCTGTCAGTTCTCATGTCCTAAAGATTGCGCGAAAAAAGAAGGGAAAAAAGAAGGAAAAGAAAAAGACGTGGAAAGAACTCACTGGTTGATACCATCCGGGTAGTCCTGAGCCTCGATGGCGATGCAGCTGCTGCGAATGACCTTCTCATTGACACCCTCGATACCCTGGGTGCTCTTGAGGTCGGCGGTGCCGTCCATCCAGTTGCACGAGTAGAGGACGACGCCGGGCTGGTCGGTGCGGAGCTCGGCCTTGACGCCCGAGAACTCGCTGGCGAGGGTCACGACGACGGCGTCCTCGGGCGCGTCCTCGATCAGCCAGTAGCCGTTGTAGCCCTCGCACGCGCCGTCGGCGCCGCAGTTGCCCTCGAACCCGGGCTGGTCGCGCGCGTGTCCGACTTTCAGGCCGGGCGCCGACGCGAAGTCGTTGATCGAGTTGGGCTCCGCCGTCAGGATCTCACCCGTCGGGAGAGCGCTCTGGTCCGCCTCGAGGTAGCGCTTCGAGTACGGCGCGTGCAGCGTGTGGTCCCAGACCTTGGCCGTGTCCGGGTTGCGGTACGCGTCCAGGTTGAAGTAGGTGTGCTGGGTGAGCAGGAGGGCTGGATCTTGATGTTAGAGGGGTGGTAGAAATGTGGGAGGGGGACGGGAATGGCTAACGAGTCTTCTGGTCGAGCGCCTCGGCGGTCATCTTGATGTTCCAGGTCGAGCCCTTCACCGAGTAGGTGACGGACGACTGGACGCTACCGGGCATGCCCTGGGACGAGTTGGAGGCGTCCAGGATGGAGAAGGTGATGGAGTCGTCCTTGAAGTCGGTGACGTTCCACACGCGGTACGACCAGTTGTTGGTGCCGCTGTGCAGCGTGTTGTTGCCGTCATTCAGCTCCGTCTCGTACGTCACGTTGTCGAGCGTGTACCTGCCGTTGCCAATGCGGTTGGCATACCGGCCGGGAATGGCGTTGTAGACCGGGTGGCCCGGGTCCTCGGCTAGGTTTTGTTAGATTCCCACTCCGCTTGATTCTGCGACCGAGGCTAACTAACGGTAGTATTCAACATCGTCGTAGCCGAGCACCACGTCGATATCCTCGCCGTTCTTGTCCTTGACGAACAGGTTCGTCAGGGTGGCGCCGTACGGGATGAACTGAGCATGTCAGCGGACTGGGCTTCAATGGCTCCCCCCGGGCTCTCCGTGGCTCCGAAACGTACCTGCGCCTTGATGCCGTCCGAGGAGATGGTGTACCGACCATCCTCGCCAGGCGTCGGGCCATCACAGCTGCGTCCGATGACAGCCGCCTCGACCACGGCTGCGAGAAAGGGGAGTGAGAACTTCATTTTCTCGTGGAGAAGACGTTGTCAGAAACCGGGATACCCAAGCTCACCTTCCCCGCCCTCGCGGTCCCCGGGATGGGTTTTATACTCCATTCTGGCCTTTCTCCGCACCCTTGTAAAATGGCCGGTCTTACGTTGCTCGCTGTTTGGATCCTTTGCGTAGCCGACACCCCGGATACAACCCCAGATTGCAGTAAATAATCGACAAGGGTTCTCCGTTGGATTCAGGATACAACGTCTGCACCTGGCAGCGGACGATCCGCAGGTTTGGGGCCTGCCCAGTTTATTGCGGCATATCAGCCTGAGTTGCGGAGGGGTCAGCCAAGGTTAAACGCGTGAACGCTCCCCCCCATCTCCGCCGAGCCCATGCAGGAACCCCCGTCGGGGCGGACCGGCCGCCGCCAATCATGCTCCGGGCGCATTACTCGAAAGGAGGGCGGATGCTCGCTCGTCGGCTCTTGCCCCTGTTTTGGACTCATTGCTAACTCGGACCTTGCCCTGCACAGTCAGCCCATTGCGTCTTGCTTGGCTTCTTGTTTTTTGTGCCCCCGACCTGGTAGACGGGAGGGCGGCCGGGACGTCCGGGATAGCGCCTTTCCGACTAGGCAAAAGCGGAGGGAACAGGCCCGAGATGTCGTCAACCGCATCCTCCGCCTTACTGAAAGGCGCCGAAACCCACGAATCCGACTCGCCGCCAAGGCAGCATCGAGGAGCTGGAGGATTGCCAATACATCTCTAGTCGGTGGGGGAGAGTCAGATCGCTGCTTTAGGTCTCGCTTATCTGCGTTCCAGGTTCTGTCTACGCCTGCTCCGCCTTGAGAATGGAGTCTCTGCTCCCTCTACGGAGTATAAACACTGCAACCCCCACTGTCCAAACTGTCGCTTCGCAAGGAGGAGAAGACTACCTACCGAGGTATAGAGATACCTCGACATTGTCCCCACACCCAAACGATCGGGCTCGCCAAGAGCTTGTCATAACGGCGTCGTTGAATTAAAAGTCTATTATACATTAAAAAGGGCAAGTGTCTGCAGCGAGCAGCACTCGCCTTGAAGATGCATCTTTTTGAAAACCCAAACAAAACCAGGCTTGCTCGTGCCCATGCCCATCCCATCGACGCTCGTAACCAACGTGATAACCTCCCATCCCAACACATGCCGAGCGCCGCTCCAAAAACATAAAACAGTCGTCCAATCTACCAACACCCCCCCCCCCCCTTCCCACCGTCTCCCCGAGGCATTCTGCCCAGGAACCCCTCACTCATTCGTCCTTGCCGCCCTTCTTCCCCTTCTGGGGAATGGGCTCGCCCTTCTCGTCCACCAGGCCCTTCTCGCGCATGACGCGCAGGGCGTCGTGCAGGGGGTCGAGCTCGGGCTGAGGCGCGCGGTGGGAGTCGAAGTAGCTGTCGGCCCAGGTGAAGTACTGGCCGTAGTTGACGGTGAAGTACATGTGGTGCAGGGTGTGGTGGGCGGGGCTGTTGACGAACTTCTCGAGCCAGTGGCCCGAGATCATGTCGCCGTCGTGGATCAGGATGGTCCAGATCTGCACCAGCCCGAAGAGCAGGAAGTAGAGGTACTTTTGCACGGGGCAGAAGAAGACGAAGACGCTGGTTTGCGGGGTTAGGAGAGGGTGGTTGGTGGATGTGGATTTTGAAAACCAGGGGGGGCTTACTGGTACGGCAGCGACTGGACGTAGCCGTCGAGTGGGTGGAAGGCGAGGGCCGCCCAGGGGGTTGGCACTGTGAAAGTTGGTGAGTGATTGACTCGTAATTAAGAGAGAGATATGCAAGAGTTAGACTCACCAATCCACTTGTGATGCGGCTTGTGGATGTACTTGTAAATGCTCGGGTGGTGCTCGAGTCGGTGAATCCAGTAGATCATAAAGTCGTTCCAGATCATGAAGAGGACCGTAGAGATGAGCATCCACGACCAGCCGTAGTCGCTTACATCGGCGTACAGCATGCTCTTGCCGCGCACCTCAGCCAGGAAGAAGGGAAGCGTCAAGATGTTGATGAAGGGCACCGCGTTCATGGATGAGATGATCTCCTGGCGGATTTGGTTTTTGAGGAAGCGCGGGTGGTACTCTAGGCGGCGGTCGAAGATGAAGTAGTAGGATAGCGCGCTGAAGATCCAGTACAGGGACGTTGCGCCGATTTGAGTGACAATCAGAATCGAGATGCATTGGCGCACGATGTTGTCGCGCGCCCATGCGGAGCCGTAGCTGGCGGATGCATCGGACAAATCGGAGGCGAAGTTGCCGTACGCTATTGATTCCGCGTGCGCCGAGCCATTGAGTGATGCTGTCCTGGCGGGGTTGAAGTAGGCGTAGGCCTTGTCAAAGACCAGAGGGTCGAGTATCTCGAGGGCGACGTCCATGATGAGATCTGTGAGCTGTGGTTGTGGTTGAACGTTGGAGGTTGAGTTCCCGATCGAGAATCAAATTCAGGGCACTTCAACGCGCTCGTAAAAGTCTCCACCCTTCGGTTATTATTCGTCTCCACTCGGATAAAATTGCAGTGGCCAGACAATGGCGCGCTGTGGTTCGTCTTTCCCCCAGCGGATCAGTCCGTTTCCGTGTCGTGCCATCCTGTTTTAGCGCCTCGGCATGCTGACTCATCCCCCCTTGAACAAATCTGATCCTGAAAACCCCTTTCTCGAGACGCCAAGAGCTCCGAGTCGGAGATATCGGCTCACTCCCTTCGGACACCACAGAATACGAACTCACGTTGACCACACGGCATAACAGCAAACCACCCACACTTGAATGACAAAAGTAAACCGTAACTGTGTAAATATGGGCCTAGTACGGACCAGAAATTGGATGATATCACAATGGATCGACCGTGAATTTGGAGTGAAGAATCACGACCTAGTCGGCGTCAGTATGCGCGCGGCGCGCCGTTCTCTGAGCTCATAGGCATGAAAGATGTGGAATAGGACAAGAGATGTCTTCCTAGTTCCTGCCTGGTCAATCCTTCCGCCTCCTTGTGGGTAGGAATGATACCAACGAATAACGGATGGAAGAAAAAGGAAGAAGAAATAGTAACAAGAAAGGAGGAAAAGATATGAAGGACCAAGATTCTCAGTAGACTTTTCGTCGAAATCGTTTTATTTCATTTTCTTTTGTATGCAAGAATAAAAGAATACTATTTGGGCCATATCCTGCTCCAACGCCACTGCCGTTTCCTCCACTATCCCTTCCCGCTCCGGCCGCATCAGCACTCCAATGGTCCAACCCTGGCAGTGCTCTACACAATATGATGTTTGCCCGGTTCTTAGCCGTGGCGGGACATCTCTGTGCGAGCAATGTCGTCGATTTTTGCCGCCCGTGCTGCGGAGCTGTTAAAGTTCAGTTCAGCATCCGGCGCTAGGCAAAGGACACAGAGCTCATCCATGATATCCACCCATGGTATCAACAGCAGCTTAAACCACGGCCCAGTCTCCTACGGGCTAGTTCGTGACGCTGTCGATCTTGTGTGTCCATTGCGAGCCATCTGATACTGCCTGCCGCCGCAGTCTGGTTTGTGCTTAATGACCGTGCGGTGGCGAGCTGTCAGTCATGTTGTCATCGATTACTAGGCTTGTATCACGGGGTTAGCAGTCAGCGATGGAGTGTGGCCGCATGACGGAGAACAGACCCGGCCAGGAGGTGTACAGGCGCAGTAGGTAGGTACTTAACGTAGACTTATCTGGGCAGAGGCAACTCGACCGAACCCGACCTTTTCACCCAACCCGACAACCTTCCTTCCAATATTTCGGCAATCGAGAAAGGATGAACACGGACTCCGGATGTATGTGGTATTTTATTTCATCACAATTTTGGAGTCCCATTTCATTCTGACGACTCCCAGATGACCCTACCTTCGCGCATGAACAAATGGACCATAACCAGACTTTGCTGGAAGACGCGATTCGCCACCTATTTCGCGCTGGTTTGCCGGTTAAAGATGTGATGCAGAGAATACAGACAGGTGCGTACCAAACGCACTCCGCTCTACAAGATAGCACACCTTACCAACAAGCAATTACCAGGCTTCAAAACAGTCAGGAGGGAATTTAAATCTACTATACAACCTTCCCTCCCAAGCACTCACGACAGGGTATCCGCAAACTCGGAGCACCACCGACAACGAGACCTAGGTGGCAGCGGTGCACCTCACAAAGCCCAAAACCAAGGGAAGGCTCCCGGAACACCCAGCCCGGGTCGTCAGTACAATCCGCCAGCCTGGATCAAGTACAATCCGGTTTTTATCGGGACCCGAGCTCTTCGCTTCGAACATAGCGACCCAACCACCCCAACGCGTGCGCCGAGGAGCCAACCCCAACCGTCCGCTAATCAGGTCGGTATGGGCGGTGGAGTTGTTCCTCGAAAGACGCACCGGGTTTCGAAACGCCGAAGCCGAAGCCGACCCTCCTCGTTCGCTGCCCCAAACACCCCCAAAGACCCGCACGCTCGCTTATTAACTTGCAAAAAACTTTAGGAACTGGGCTCGACTGAGAGCGATGGCGAGGGGCGAGGGGTAGAGCGTGATCGGGATGGCGAGGGGTAGAGTAGGTTAGGCACTTCGTCAAGGTAGGACGAGGCAGCGGATAAAGAGGAAACCAGAGGATTGTTTTTCGAGCCAGCGGAGTAGTGGTGAATAGGGCTATAAGATTTCAGAACAGGATACAGCAAGTTTGATACCCTACAGAACAGGATATACCAAGTTTCATACCTCACAGATTCCTTGAATGAGAGCCAATCTTGTCCTTGGAATCTACACGCCACGCTGTCAAAGGGACACCTGGTAACAACGGGTTCAGATGGAAGGTTGGTTGCTATTCTGGCGAAGGTTGGTTGCCGTTCTGGCAGTGTGCCAGTGAATGAATGACTGTATGAATTCAAATTATAGGACCTGGGCTTCACACGGTCCTGTAGTTTAAATTGAGCATCTTTACCTTCTTTTCGTTGTGTGCTACTTCCCACCAAAATATTCAGAGCAGACTTTCCTTTCTACAATCTTCACTAAGTGGAATCTCCTTTACCACCGGGTAACTACAGCAGCATCGAGCATTATCACTTCGAGCTAACAAACAACCAGCCGCTACCACGAAGCCATCGCCGCTCTAAACATCCCAATATTGAAACGAAACCAACAAGACCCACAATGTCTAATAACCAGACCGAGCCTTCGTCGCAGGCCGCCATCGGCGAGCCAGCCTTCAACGGGCAAGTAAGTTGCCGCGCAGCCCTTATCCTCCCCCCATGGCGGTCACTGACACTCGACGCCCTAGTCGACGGTCACCCAGTTCATCGGAATTCTCCTAGAGAGAGGGATGACGCTCCCAGAGATCGCCGCCGCCTTCCAGACAAGTAAGCCGTCCCTCCCCGCGCTCCCTTTCCACCGTAGTCGAAGGGGGGCCCAAAACTCATCAGGGCTTTTCATGGATTGTACGGCTTGGACGTCGACAATGTGCGCTGCGTTCGACTACCTCAACAACGGTCAAGGGGCGGCAATTCTGGTACCAAATTGGCGCTGCCTTGTTAGCCTTGCTACCGTAGGGCCACTAGTTTTCCCTTGGCGCCTGTGGTCGATGTCTCCTCGCGGACACAAACATGTCGGAGCGGGAGCAGCCCATGATAGAGGTGGTCGACGGGCAGCCCAGTTGCCAACCCCCATATTCCACACACCCGCCATACCTCCTCCCACCACCATCACCGCCCCCCCGCAACACAACCCCCCTCCCGGAGTAACCCACCCACTAACCTCCCTCTCTCTCCCAAAACAAACAGCATTCACAACGATCCACAACACCGACCTCGTCACCCTCTTCCCGGAGTACGAGCAAGTGCTGGGCCATCTGCGGGCCGACATCAGTGCCGTGGCGACCGCCGCCGCGGCCAGCCATGCACGGTATGTGGCGCTGGAGGCGATGTATGCGGAGCGCGGCCGGGTGCTGGAGGGCATGCAGGCCGAGATGGAGGGGTTGAGGGCGCGGGCGAGGGCTGTTCCTGCTACTGCTGGGGCTGTTAATGGGGGTGTTAATGGGGCTGTTAATGGGGCTGTTAATGGGGCTGTTAATGGGGCTGTTAATGGGGCTGTTAATGGGGCTGGGGGTGGTGGTGGTAGTGGTAGTTCTGTGGGTGATGGTGATAGTTCTGTGGGTGGGGTCCGTGGGGAGGATGAAGAGGACACGGAGTTGGAGGAGGGGGAGGTGGTGGAGGAGGGCGAGGACCAGGAGGATGATCAGGATGATGGTGGCGCTCCGTTGGAGGGCGCTGTGAATGGCAACAACTGAGGAGGGTTTATCTTGGTCTGGGGTTTAGCAGACATTTTGGGAGTTTGGTTGGGAAATATCTTATCTTATTAGAGCCTCTTAGCGGGCAATAGTTATATCACAATAACAATAGAAGTTTAGGACCGAAGTGTGCGAGGTGGGCTGGTATTTCTTCAAGTTATCGGTGACCACTTGCTTGGAATTACACTAAGTCGCTGGGAAAGACACTGCCAGCTTTTCCCAAGACAAAGACAAACAAATAACAGGATAAAAGTGAACTCCAAGTAGATACGGCAGCACCGCATTCTTGGAAACATAACAACAGTTAATTGGTGATGAGTAGCAAGGAACTGCATTGCTTGGTGGCAACCGAAGGTGTGAATTCGAGCTCGATTCTCGTCTGCGTCGCCGGTTGTAAGAGAACTGCAGCCCGGTTCTCATTTGGCAACAAATATTTAGCGTCTGCAGTTCTCTTGCGACCGGCGATGTAGCTTAGTAAAGACAGAGAAAACCCGCCGCTATCTAGACACCGATATGGAACGGGTGTGGTGCGTGGGGCGCTGGCGGTATCATTCTTTGGTGGTTGCAATCGAGGTCATGGGCACCTGTCAGCCAGCACCTGCCAACAACTGACAAGATCTGTGGATTGTTCCATTTGGGTTTGCGTTCCGACGTTCCCGCGTTCCATCGATCTCCCTCTGCGGGAATGTGACGGGTGGCAGTGGCCCAGCCCAAGTCCCCTGGGATTTGAGATTGCGATGGGGAGCCGATGCAGATCAGCAAAAACCCATCTCGCTTGCACATCGCGTGCTGCAGTGAAAAGGAGGGAACAAAGAAAATCCACCAGCAGCATAGTTAGCAAGCTCAGATAACCATCGTCTTGCTACTTATCTAGATACAAGAACAAAATAAAAAACAGGAAAAGCACAATAGGATTAACCGGATATATACTACGAATATGCGACCACAGGCATGGATGTCCGGACCCAAGCAAGCAACCCAGCAATGGAAGGCAGCCTCTAAAACTCAAACTCCCTTCTCCCCCATGACACAAACGACAACGCCAGATGATAGACCATGCAAAAATCGTCACGTCTCCCCTCATACCTCCATTGCCCCACCGGACATGACCCATGCCCGCCATTAGATCCCGGCCCTTTTTCCCTTTCCATGCCACCCACCCACTCACCCCTCATTACGTACGGCGTACGGCGTCACCACCTCTTTACTTGGGCGCGACGTGCTTGACGGGATGGAGCATCATGTTGGGCAGCCACAGCTCGCCGTCCCACTCCTTGATGATCCAGGGGCGGGGCTTGCCGGCGTCGAGCTTGCGGCCGTACCACTCGTTGAAGACGTTCTTGGCCCACGTCGACTCCCACCAGAAGCTCAGGCCGCGGCCGTTGGGGTGGGCGGCGGCGTCGGGCCCGAGGCCCGTGGAGCTGGCGCGGGGCCCGCCGCGCCACCACCCGCGCCGGTTCTCGTGGTCGTCCTTGTCGCGGTGGAAGACGGGGTGCTGCGGGAAGCTGAGCTTGAGGCCGTGCCAGAGGGCGAAGGACGGCAGGGTCGCCTCGGAGGGGATGCGGATGCCCAGCTCGAGCTGGGCTTGGTGGATGGCGAGGTAGAGGTTGCGGGAGCCGCGCTGGATGGCGGGCGGGCAGTAGAAGCGCGGGGTCTTGACGCCCGTGCGCAGGCCGTAGATCCACGTCTTGAAGGCCCACTCGTTGGGGATGTTGGCGTCCATGCAGTACGACGTGGTGACCACGTCGGCCTCCTCGCCGACGCCCCACTCGAAGTTCTCCTCGCGCGGGTCCGCCACGGGCGGCTCGGGCCCGATCGGCAGGATCTCGCGCACCCGCATCGGGCCCCACGCGTGCGACCCGCCCCGGTTGGCCTCGTTGACCGCGTCGAAGAACTCGCCGTAGTCGCCCGTCTCGGCGATCATGTGCCAGAAGCTGGACCGCTCGAGCGCCTGCTTGCGCGGCTCGTTGCGCGCCGTCGCCGAGAGCCGGTCCAGGAACTTGCCCGCGTCGCCGAGGAACCGCATGTCCAGCTCGATCTGCCAGAAGTGGTCGAACTCGGGGTAGTGCAGCGCGAGGAGCTGCATCGGCTGGAACACCTGCCACATAGTCCTGCGGGGATCGGTTAGTGATGTGAGTGGGGGTGTGGGGAGATGAGGAGACGGCGTACCTGTGCTCCTCTATCCTGGGATACCAATCCTCCAGCAGGCGGACGGACCACAGGAGGGCGATGGACTGCAACTCGGGCGGGACGCCGGCGTCCTCGAGGCCCTTCTTGTACGCATCTTCGGACGAGAAGATGTCGTTCTCGTAGCCCTCATAGTCCTTCATGTCCACGAGCAAGATGACCTGGTACTCACCGCCCGTCTTGAGGGCCGTCTCGGCGATGACGGACCGGATATAGTACATGTCCTCCGGGAGGTACTTGTACCCGCGCCAGGCGCGAATCACGATGGCCGTGCGCCGTGATGGCTCGAACTCGTGCCAGTGGCGGATATGGGGGATCTGGGAGGACTCGCGGAGGCTGAAACGGGGCTTCGCGATGCGAGTGTCGTCAAACCGGGTCGCGGCGGCCGGGAAGCGGTCCCGGTTGCGCTGGAAACAGTCGTTCTGCAGCTGGCCCCAGTCTACCTGGTCCCACTGCACCTTTTGCCTCTTGTAGTCGCTGCGGTCCTCGCCGAAACCGTAGGGTCCGTATCGTTGCCGCACCGACATCATGGTCAGGTTGAGGCCCGTTTCCTCGTAGTTGCCCGCCCAAGGCATTGGGTACGCTGCAGAACATGGCAAGTTAGCAAATATGGCCTTGGGAGATGGCAGGAAGTCGGTTTATTGCGTACGGCCATCCACTTCGCTCTCCACCAAATCGTCGTCGGGGCTTTGCCCGAGCAGATGGCCACGGGGGCCATGACAAGCCACGCGTTCGGCAAGTGGTGGCAGTACGTTATGTGTCGGCATGCGGTCTGGTCGTGTCCGCGTGTCTGGTAACCCGAACTCTGACCATTGTTGCGAAATGTCACCGCGGAACTGCACACCGAGTATCCAGATGACGCATAGTGCGAGCGCGATCAAGAGTGTCTGGCGGGTGAAGAGGCGCCTGCATTTGGTGCCCGCCAACCCGAGGCGGTTCATCTTGGCGACGGCAGACGATGTGCTGGCCGGTACCGAGGTAGTCCTTCGATGCTCGGTGGGTTGCGCCGTCAGAAGCGGTGGACGACGGCCGTCGACAGACGGGGGGTGTTGCTGCTATTGCGTCCCGGCGCGCGGCATTCGGAGAAAGCGAGAGTCAGTTCCGGGAGGGAAAAGAATGGACGCGAGAAACGAAGCGCAAAAACAAGAAGAAAGGGACACGAGGCGCGCTGCTACGGAAGATAAAAATCGAGAACGCCAAGTTGGAGGAGGGCCAACTCTCAGCTCGGTCTCCTGACAGGCCCCTGTCCTTGGGCGACCGATTGAGCCATTGAAGGTTCCTCCACACGCCTTGGCGCTGGCTCAAACATTCGCTGGATTTCTGAGACCCACAAGGTGGAAAGTCGGAGGCGGCCTGCGATGTCACCCCTGACAAGGAAGAAACGGAATTGAATCTCAGCTGATTTTCTTCGCTGGTTGTTTCTGCAGCGGAACAAACTATTGTTAAGTGTGGATTTGTATCTCTAATACTCTGGAAAAATCCCAATCAATACACTGCAGCCATCGCTAGTCAATACATGCTCCAGGCTTGGCCCTGTTTGTGTTTTTGAACACCGGATTTCCCGCCTTCGTTGAACCCCTGCAGCCCTGAGCGTCAGATGTTCGGACGAGGGGTTCTCGAATGCCGAGCGTCGGCACCCCACAATAAATGCCGCTGCGGCCGATGGCGATTTCAGGGGTTTTCAGGTCTTTCAGCGGCCACCGTGCAAGAGCATCATCCCAACATGACACAGTAAAACATTTGACAGGCAGACAGGCCGACAAGTCCCACCAAGTTTGAGCCTTCGACAACGGCATTTGGAAGTGGATTAATATTCTGATCATAGACCGATGCTGCGAGTTTCGTGACCTAACTAAAGGCCATTCGATTCAAGTATCACCGGACGTTTCGGGCGGTGTCCGTTCCCCAATCCCCACCTCTTCTCGACAACTCACCTTACATGGATGTCAAGCTGTCTCTGCAAAAAGAACGTACGCTTTCCACGTGCCTCTTATGGCGTACCCAATTATTTGTCTCAGTCATGCTGTCTCGGCTATCTGACACTCGAGTCTTTGATACGCTTATGCCGCTTCATTGTTCAAAGTAGTAGTGTGGTGTTTTGCGCGCTGCCCAGATCGCGGCTGACTGATACCCGGGACGGTCGTCATCGGTAGGCGGTATCGAGCAAGGAAATAAGAGGACTGAGGATGCTGCAGTCATATATAGTGTTGTAGTATTCCTTAAAAGCCTCGCCAGCGTCGGCCCTATGAGTCGGTACGTCTGGTAACGTGAGTATCCGAACCGACGGGTGCCGGCGCCGAAAATACTGATCCAGGTAACGATAGTTCTTCCACCTCTCCTCTCGAAACACCACCAATGCCATCACATTGTAGCCCCTCAGTTCGAGCGACTCAAAGGCCGAAATGGTGGCCGAGACGCCGTCGTGATAACTGGGTCCGACGAGCACAACTGGAAACCCCAGCGGTCGGTATTCCTCAGCGTGGGGCAGGCCTGTAAAGGAAGGGGTCATGACGCCGTCCGGGGGCTCGATAAACACCCAACCACCATTCTCTCTGGCTTCACCGGCGCAGAGCCCAATAAAGCGCATGATATCATCGACCGCATCCCCGTCACTGACGGTGTGAGCATGGCTATTTCCGTTCTAAAAGAAACCAGTCAGACCCACCAAGGATTCGCTCGCGTTTCCTCCAGCAGCGGCAGGAGAAGCAAAAAAAGCGACTCACCGATCGAGTCGGCGCTGACTCAAGCTCATCGAGGTCCGGGTTCTCTTCACCACATTGCCGCACAATTTGGGTCTCGGCGTCACAGAACGCCTCGACATGCCTGGGCGGGTATGGACCGTTAGCGTTTCCGGTCGTGCAGCATCACATCACGTTGGGCCGCCGTCATCTAGACCGCCAAAGACTCGGTTAGTTCCCGACTGCCTTACTGACGGGCCTTGGCTGGCCTGTTTCGGGGGCCGAACTCACACCTGGCATCAGTGTCGTCGCCATTCATAGTGGTCGGTCGCAGATACCACGTTCGTTGTGCTCGCCTCCCTTCGACCTCTATACAGAGGGCGGTGGTGACTATGGTTTTGCCAACACCGGCGATGGAGCCGAAGACCAAGACCGCGCGGAGGCCCATGGTATCCACAGGGACCACCGGCTGTCCGTTCGCCTGTATTTGTGTCTGCGGCGGCATGGTTGCGCTATGGCGTCGCGACGGAGTTGTCCCTAGAGGTGGTGGATAATTGAGTTGTTAACCAAGGGATGTCGATGGTGGAAACCCACGAAGGAGGTTGGGGATGGCAGTTGAGCGTTGACGACTCGGCCCCCGTCCGCCCGCCCTTGTTTTACATCAACGCGGACGGGAATGGGGATGGCAGTAGCAACCCACCTAACGACCGAATCGGCCAGCCCCAATGCCCTTGCCCTTGCCTTTGCCAGTAGAAAGGAGGGCGACGCGCTCTTACCGCGGTACCACTGATGCCCTCTAAAAAGTAGGAAGCAGGGGACGTGGTAAACCTGTCGTAGCGGAGGGGAGTGGACGGAGGGAGGTATCACCGGGAAAGAAGAAAGGCAAGGGAACCAAAGTAACGAACGATGGGCGGGCTCAACCCTGCCACATCCAAAATATGCGTTGTTGTTTTCTCTAGAACACCACCCAAGTCAGCGGCCTTCAGGCCTGCCCGGCAGCAGCAACATCCCCGGCCCGCAGCCCCAACTTCCGAAAGCTCTTCATCGGCTGCAGCCCCCAGCGGCCAAACATGGCCGCATCCTCGTCCCAGCCGTTGCACTCGGTCGTCAGCATCTTCTCGCCCGTGAAGATGGCGTTCGCCCCAGCCATGAAGCACATGGCTTGCTGGTCCTCGGCCATGGTCTTCCTCCCCGCGGCGATGCGGATAATAGTGGCAGGCATGACGACGCGCGCCGCCGCAATGGTGCGAAGCATGCTCGCAAACTCGATCGGCGGCCGGTCGCCCAGCGGCGTCCCCTTGATGGGCACGAGCGCGTTGACGGGGAAGCTCTCGGGGTGGCTGGGCAGCGTGGCGACGGTGTGGAGCAAGCCGACGCGGTCTTCGGATGTCTCGCCGAGCCCCAAGATGCCGCCGGAGCAGACGTTGATGCCCGCGTCGCGGACGTGACTAAGGGTCTTGAGCCGCTCGTCGTAGGAGCGCGTGGAGATGACGCTGGGGTAGAACTCGCGGCTCGTGTCGACATTGTGATTGTATGCCGTCAAACCCGCCTCCTTGAGCTCTTTGGCCTGCTCCCCGTCGATCATGCCGAGGGTGACGCACGACTCCATGCCCATGGCTCGCACGCCGGCCACCATGTCCTTGATGTTGCGGAGGCTGTTCTTGCGGCCACGCATGTCGCGCCACGCGGCCCCCATGCAGAAGCGCGTGCTGCCATTCTCCTTGGCAATGCGCGCGGCTTCGAGGACGGACTCGACAGTCTCTACGCGTTTGGCCTCGAGGCCGGTGCCTTTCTGGTAGCGGGTGGACTGAGCGCAGTACGAGCAGTCCTCGGTACAGCCGCCGGTCTTGATGTTCATCAAAGTGCAGAGTTGTACTTCCGAAGGGTTGTGGAACCGACGGTGGACGGTGGCCTGCCCGAAATGTCAGTCATTTGTGCTAGGCACTTTGGTTGAAGGCATGCGCACAGCTTGGTAAGCCAACTCCATCAGGGGCTGGTAAAAGATGGCCGAGATCTCCTCCCTAGTCCAGTCATGTCTCGGTGCCGTCGCTGCGACCGCATCTTGCAGTATCTCCCTCGCTCTTTGACGGCGTTCCGAGTCGAGCAGTTCCTGATCAGCGGGATTTGCCGTTGATGGGATAGCTTGGGCCGCGGCAGCAGTTGACATGCGGGCCGGGGAGTAGCCGACACAGGCCGCGCGAGTCAACTGCGTGAGTGCGACCCGGCGCAGGGCCGGTTGGAGCGCAACTCTCATGGTTGGTATCTGCGATGACAAAAACCAGATCTCTGATAGGAGCTCGCCTTGTTGGATGAAACAGATAAAGAAGCGTAATGAGATCTCGGCCAGCCGATTCAGCTGTCAATTTGTTGAGAAACGGGGTCATGCAGAGGGGGACATCCCGCGTCGAGCATGCAACCCTAGGTGGGGTAGCTGCGGGAGAGCATCGTAGGCCTGTGATGACTCAATTCGATGTGCAAACTCAACACTAGCTCTTCGACCTTGGTGTCCGCGAACCGTAAAGGGAGGGCGCTGTCTTTTTTTCGTCATGCGCGTGGTCCGGAACTCCGGAATTGGATCAGTGCAGCCCCCGGTCCGCGATTCGAGCCCGGTGCGGGGCGGCCCCAGCCGACTCAATTTCCTTTCGCTTGAACCAAGTTGACATGAGCTCATCGCCCGGCCGCGTTTTGCTCGGGACCTTGCTTGGAGAATTTCCAGCGATGTGGCGCACGTCGGCGCAAGCTGCGCGGTCGAGCAAGATTACGAGCGCGGATAGTCGCGCCTCTCTCCCCCAGTCCCAGAGCGTTGAGACCGTGGGCGAGCTGCACAATAGTGTCGACACAACTTAGTGTTTCCTGACACCGTCCATCCATTCTTTCCCGGATTTCGCGCCGTCATGTGCCTTGCGGAACAATTGTCTCTCCCACTCGTCCAGCCCGCGGAGGAACTCCTCGCCGGCGCCGCCAACACCGAGATTGCTCCCCTCATCGGTTTTCCCCTTTTGCCCGACGCCTCCAACCTTACGGGCGTGCAAGGCGACCTCGGACGCCCGTGTAACAAAGGTCTTGCGGAGGGAGGCGGCCAATTCTTGCTCCTCAGACAGCTCCATCATGTGTGTCGCGAGTCCGTAAAAGTGTGCGCTTTGGTCGCGCAAAGGCACGGCGCGAGGATCCGCCTTGAGCGCCTGAACGACATCGTTTCCCATTGCGCGCGGCAGGTCGAAAGCAACGAATGACTTGCCGTCAACGTCCCCCGTGTTGGCGATGGCGAGCATTTCGGCCAGCCAGAGTGGTAGGTTGACTTTGGTGCCCGCCTTGAGCGGCTGCGTGGGGGTATTATCGAGATAGCCCAGATCGGGGATATCGACTTGGAAAGTGCACGGGATTTTCTATTGCGAGAAACAGCTGTGTTAGTTGCTGTTCACGAAAGATTGTCGAGGATGGGTTGTGTGATTTGTTTTACCTCTGCATCGGTAAGAATTGCGTCGATGTCGTAATAAGACATTTTGCGTATAACGGTGCCGGTGCCGCCGACTGGAGGTCCCAAAAAATAACAAGTAGCGTTTCCCTCGAGACAACGGGTGTTAATATCTTGAACACAGCAACGCGATCCGGAGGGGCACGCGGGTCCATGTGGCTCCTGCCAGCCAACTCAGGGCCTCACTAGCCAAGCCACGGGCATGGCCTGCAAAGTGCGCCACAGGCTCAAACTCGAGCCACACAGTTCAAAGTCCTTTGGTGGCTAATGTGGGGCCATGACGAAATTGAAGTTCAAGTTGCCGAAGCTTCCCCCGAGCTTCGACGGATCGCCGAACTGGTTTGGACAATTTGAACCGGTCTTTCGCAATCCCCCAGTATTTCCAGGTAGAAGCTCCGACACAACTCGCTTCAGAGTTTGCAGTACTCAATTGACGTTTTTGTATTCAGAATACCAACCTCTCGCCCATCATGTCTTCGACTCTCCTGCGCACCGTCCCCGCGCTGCGGGGTGCCCTCCGAGCTTCTGGAGCTCCCAAGGCCGCCGGCGCCATGGCTACCACGAGCTTCGTGCGTGGCAAGGCAACTCTTCCCGATCTGCCGTGTAAGTAGCGGCGATAAACGCACCCACGCTCGCACAATGGCGTGCAATGGCACTAGGAACGGGCACCAAGCTGGGTGATGGATGAAAGCTGATCAATGCATTCTCAGACGACTACGGCGCCCTCGAGCCCCACATCTCGGGCAAGATCATGGAGCTGCACCACGCCAAGCACCACCAGACCTACGTCAACGGCCTCAACAGTGCTTTGCAGACTATTGGCGACGCCGAGAGCAAGGGCGACTTTACCAAGGCAGCGACGGTCGCCCCTCTCCTCAACTTCCACGGCGGCGGCCACATCAACCACAGCCTGTTCTGGGAGAACCTGGCACCCGCCAGCAGAGAGGGTGGTGGTGAACCGGACGGAGCTCTCAAGGTAGGTCATTGTTTTACCCTTTCCATGGGGGTTTTGTTGTAGGTGCGGTACTAACAAGCCGGTCCACAGAAAGCGATCGACTCCGACTTTGGCTCCTTCGACACCTTCCGCTCGCAGATGAACACGGCGCTCGCTGGTATTCAGGGCAGTGGCTGGGCTTGGTTGGTCAAGGACAAGTCGGCGGGCACCCTGGGGCTCGTCACGCGCGCCAACCAGGACCCCGTGTCAGGCCCTTATGTGCCGCTGATGGGCATCGACGCCTGGGAGCACGCCTACTACCTGCAGTACGAGAACCGCAAGGCCGAGTACTTTGACGCCATCTGGAACGTCGTCAACTGGAAGACCGTTGCCAGCCGGTTTGAGAAGGCTTAGGTGGCTGTATGGAGACCGGAGGGGCAGACTGCTCTTTGTGTACTGTGCCAGCGTGAACTCGATCTAGGGACTCGGGATGAATTTAGTTCGAACCGACTCGAAGGACCGCGGCTCTATTCTCTCGCACTGGGAAATGCTGGCTTAGGCGCGGCCGCATGTGATCGTTGGGTGCGACGCAATGATGACTCTTGGACAAAAGGCAGATTCAGTTAAGAGGGCAGTGACCATGACCGGCTCACCTCCACGCCACAATATACAGCACGTCAACTCAACACCTCGAATGGCGCTTCGACTTCCGTTTGATACGATCGGAAGGCCATCTACACGGAAACAGGCCTGAGCTCCCCCACACGCCATGGATCAGAACTCGAGGTCCCGCTTTTATCGGGTTGTGAGTGTCCGTCCGGACGCTCCTTGCTTTAGTCCCATCGCCCTGCGGCGAGGCGCCGGCGCTAATTATTTGGTCTACTATATAAGCCCACCCATTTCTGGTACATACATCGGTTTCCTAGGATACTTCCCCCCAAATTCCCAGAGGTCGACAACATCTGCGAGGCCCGATACCTCCGTAGTGGGTCCTCGAGCTGGAAATTTACCATTCTACGAATAGCGGGGTATGTACATGTGCTCCTCTTGAGCTCTATTGCCCCTGTCCTGTGTGAGGTGCCGCTTCGACCACAGCTCCAAGCGTTAGATTTGGCACGGTGCTGGCGTTGCCTTGCTGAGAACCGACAGATAGGTTTAGCTTTCACGACCCGGTTGCCCACGCGACGGACATGGAACATTTGTGGTTGCGCAAACACAAACCGTGTGGCCCTCCGCCCGGCGAGCAGCGGATGGGTTGTGTCTGTTTACCCAGTCACCCAGTACGGAGGATGGCAGTTATCTTGTCGTAAAGAGTTGCCATCGGGACTCGTTTCAGCCCCGGTAAGTCTGGTACCCTGTTCCAGAGGAATTGTTCTTGAAAGAAAGACCATCACTTGACACTCCGAGTCGTCCACCTCATGGACAAAAAAAGCCGAACTCCAAGTGCAGATATGGGCAATGGAAACTTCGAGTCCTCGGCTGGAGGAATATAACAAAGGTCATCCTGAAGCCCAAAGAAACTGTATTTGCTCCATTTACTTTTCTTTTACCCTCTTCTTTTTATTTGACTTACTTTTCTCGATCTCTTTTCATTAGTTCTTTTTGCTTGATTTCTTGCTTTCCTTTCGAGTTGGGCTTTTTTTGGCCAGAGGGTGTCGTCTCAGGTGTTGTTCTTGAACCCCACCATTTATAGTGGATCAGCTCTCCATCAATCTTTATCCCCACATCTCACGTTCCAATCCCTGCGTCGACCCCACCAAATTGCACGACACACGCATCTGGAGGGCTGTGGATTGGCGCGACATTGACATCACCATGAACGCTCCAAACAGTCAATGGGTGAGCATGTGGCGAGTCAGCTAGCAAACACCGAACTGGGGCCGAAGGGGCTTTAAACAATTCCGGATGTGTGCCCTTACGAGGCGAGGCTTAACAGCCATCCCGCTTGTTACCTAACGTGGATTGCCCCAAAACAAAGCGACTTATACAATAAAACGTGCCAAGAAGTGGAAGACGGCCGAAGACACGGACTGTACTGTCGAATACTAAGCCAAGGAACCTCCATCTAGCCATCAGTTCTGAGCTCATCCGGATATTCCCCGCCGCAAATAGTGTCAGGAAGGAAGAAAAAAAGCCCGCGTAAGTCGCTATTCGAAGATGTTCATGTCCCTCCTCTTTTGGTCCTCGTCAGCTGCCTCTTCTCCTCATCTCGCAACCACCCAATGCATGCCGGCGGGAGCGAGTCCCGGCTGCAGCTGGTGTGATATGGCTTGATGGTTCGACATACACCGACTTTGCCGCCCGCATCCTGAAGCAAAGTACAGCAGCAAGGGCGACAATGCCGGTGGGCGTGGCAGTGCCCGTCCAATAGCCATTCGGACTCACAACGCCGGCTTGCAGCATTTTTGGCCGGCCAGGTCTCACGCTGCGTCCCCTGTCTGGTCTGGTCTGGTCGTTGTCTGACCTAGAGCGGGCAATCACAGCGCGGGGGCTACCTACAGACTCTATTCCCGTTCTTCCCTTACCATGCGGTTCCTCACTCACAGGCAACATACCAGATCGAAGTATTGACAGGAAGTTGTCAGTGCAGTACCTAACACAGAGACTTCGGAAACTGTGAGATCATGACCGACAGATCAACAGACGGTGTTTCCAAAGATTCGGGCGGGGAGGAGCAACCCAGAGAACCACAGAGCTCTGCCCCACCACACCTTCCGCACGACCCAGAGAACTTCGAGGTGCACTCACGCCACCACCCAAGTCCGGATTCAGACCCACACAAGCTGCAGCTGCAGCAAGGCGAGCTGCGTCACCAAAGCTCACCGACAGCTTCGGGCCCGGGCAATTTCACAGGTGCGGGAAGTAGCGCCACTTCAGAAGACCGCCACCAGAACCAGACATCCGATTTTTTAGATTCTGACACTCCGTCCCAACCTTGCGAACCGAGGCAACCGTCTGAAAAGCAACCTTCCCCGTCAGAATCAGAACCACCACCTGCAGTGGCACCACTCCGTCCCTTTAATACCACTGCTTCTACCGACCCCCATCTTGCACCGTCCTCATCAACTATACCATCAGCAGAACAAAGAACCATAAGCCACTCTCCAACTCCACGAATTGCCGATCGTGATCATATCCGATCTCTTGCAAGCGCGGAACCATCACCAGCATCAAGCGGTACCGCTACGCCAACTGGCCAACACCGTCGCCGTTTCAGGAGCATTCGCCCTCTAGTTCGCGCAATCATGGCGTTAGAGAAGAGCCGCAGGTTCTCGACGGGCACTTCGGTGCACCGCAAGCGCCAGATGAGCACACTGGTCGAGAAGGAAGGTCACTATGGCCCTGCTCTCACGGTATGTTAACCACATTTTATTTCGTCTCGTTATCTGTGTCGTAGATCACGGCGGATTACTAACCTTTGTGAAGACGCTCTATCTGGGTGTTGCGGCCGTCTTTTCCGATGACCACACCGCAGTTGTGGCCCTTGCCATCCACGACACCGTCTACCTCGTGGACTTTTCGGTCAAGCATATCATTCTCGATGATGCTATGAGGATGGGCGCGGATCTCATTGCCGACTATGTCATCTCTGAGGTCGAGAAGTATGAACATGAGAACTTCTCCAAGTTCATCGGCGCGGGTCTCCCGACGACGCTCAAGTACATGAGCCCCTCTCTCTGCTCCCGCCTCTGGCTCGAGCTGGACATTGTCCCCATAGTGATGCGGCCAGATGATGAGCACAAAGAAAAGTCCTTCTGGGATGTGAAGCGCGTCGATGAGCAGGCTGATTCCATGGCGCGGAAGTGCATCATGTAAGTTTCAACAGGCTGTTGATACCGAGGCGCACACGAAAACTGATATGGGACAACAGGAACTTTGGGCCTTCCCTCGTCCCACTTCTCCAAGTCGGCTGGCGAGGTGTTGTCCAGACCGACGCTGGCTTCCGCGCCCACCTAACCACGGTCCAAAACCACAAAGACACCTGTGGCAATTCCACCTGGGAATCCATGTTGACCTACGCCAAGAAGCTCAGGGGCAACAAGACCAAGGTTGCTTTCTTCAGCTCCACCCCTCAGGGCGGCGGTGTTGCCCTTATGCGTCACGCATTGGTCCGGTTTGCGCGCCTCATGGGCGTTGACTTGACTTGGTATGGTGAGTAAAATTAACTGGCTACCATTCCACGCCGAGAACCCCAGTAACACTTTGCAGTACCCAAGCCCCGGCCTGGAGTCTTCCGTATCACCAAGAACATCCACAACATTCTCCAGGGTGTTAGCCACCCGGACCAGCGCATCTCGGCCGAGGAGAAGCAGGCCATCATTGACTGGATCACCGAGAATGCCACCCGGTATTGGTTCTCCGAGGGCGGCCCCCTGTGCTCACCCGCGGACGGTGGCGCCGATGTTGTGATTGTGAGTAAATTCCCCTCGGTTGTGTCACCTGCACGCCACCGCAATGCTTCCTCACCGAGACCAGCTCCCTACCCCTCTTCATGCAGAGATGCTGCAGCCGTGGTCAAGTGACCAGCGCTGGGCCACTAGAGCGTGGGGGCAGGGGGTGTATCACGTCTTGCCATGACGGTGCATGCTGACGAACGCAGATCGATGACCCCCAAATGCCCGGCCTTATTCCGCTGATCAAGAAAACCACACCGGACCGACCGGTTCTCTACCGATCCCACATCCAGATTCGGAGCGACCTTGTCGCCAAGGCCGGTTCACCGCAGGCCGACATTTGGGACTTCCTCTGGAGCAACATCCAAGGGTGTGACATGTTCATCAGCCACCCCATCCCTATCTTTGTCCCCCACAACGTTCCCCGGGAGAAGGTTGTCTACCTCCCTGCCACGACTGATTGGCTCGATGGACTGAACAAGCCTCTCAACAAGTGGGATTCCGGCTATTATGGCCACATCTACAATATCGCCTGCCATTCTCAGCGCATGTAAGTCAAGCTCCGCACCCCACCAGCGTTGGTCGAGTTGATGTTGACGGCTCCAGGACGGAACTCGCCTGGCCCGCTCGCAAGTACATCATCCAGGTTGCTCGCTTCGACCCCGCCAAGGGTATCCCAACCGTGATCGACTCGTACGCCGAGTTCCGCCGGCGATGCGAGAAGGCCGGTGTGACCGATGTACCCCAGCTTGTCGTCTGCGGCAACGGCTCGGTTGACGATCCCGATGCCAGCCTGATCTACGACCAGACCATGAGCCAGCTCGAGACCTACTACCCCGACCTGGTCAAAGACGTCAGCATCATGCGGCTGGAGCCCAACGACCAGCTCATCAACACGATGCTGGCCAATGCCCACGTCGTGCTCCAGCTCTCGACCCGCGAAGGGTTCGAGGTCAAGGTGTCGGAAGCCCTGCACGCCGGCCGCCCCGTCATCGTCACAGCCACGGGCGGCATCCCGCTGCAAGTCAAGGACAAGGTAAACGGGTACCTCGTCACCCCGGGCGACTGGAAGGCCGTGGCCGGCCACCTCATGGATCTCTTCACCGACGAGGAGCTCTGGAAGAAGATGAGCCACGCCGCGGCCACGGGGGTCTCGGACGAGGTCGGCACCGTCGGGAACGCCCTCGGCTGGTTCTACCTGGCCGCCAAGTGGCACGAGGTCGGCGTCGAGAAGCACGGCAAGGGCGGCCTCGCCGGCGACGAGAAGTGGGTCAACGACATGGCCCGCCTCGAGGCCGGCCTCCCGTACGCCGAGGGCGAGAACCGCCTGCCACGGCACTTTACCGAGGTCAAGGAGGTTCCGGTTCACCCGAAGCCTGCTGCTGCTGACGGGAGTGCTTAAGGGGACACGAGGTACTTGAGCTGCGGGTGTGTGTTTGGGTTCGGTGGTTGGATAATGTACATCGGAATTGATACCATGGGTTTTCGCGATGAATGTTTTGCAGTGGATGCTTGTGTATGTTCGTTTGATACGTTCCTTGGCCCTTGAGGCCATTCTCACCCTCGCTAACAAGGACCGCGGCCTTTATGATCTAATACGCTGGCTCCAGGACACACGGCGTGACCCCGCACTCGGGTGAATTTGGACATGGCACGTTTAACGAAGGGTGAATCCGCGGGGCAAGGGCGGCTTTGCTTCAACAGTGGGATACAGGCCCCATGGTTCTAACGGGGTATGAGGGATGATAAATGATGGAGGGAAGTCGCGTCGCCTTACATACCCGAACAGGTATAGACTGAGGGTTGACAAAGAGCGATGGCTTACAATTAGCCCCTCAAATTTAGCCCCTCAAGAAGCCCCTTGGCTGTCGACGGTTATCGGGTCAATGATACTAATGGAGTAGTTTGGAAACCCTCGAGCCTTCGGCCATGCCCACAGGGCAACAACCTAATGCGTGTATTCTAGCTCTATCCTGCCCATCATGCGCACGAGGCGAGCACAGTACCTTGCCCCAAGCATGCGTTTCTATCCAAGCCCACAACCTCCCCACCCACACACACAACCACACAACCACGCACCCAACCCAACCCCCTACACACTCATCTCCATCGGAATGATCTTGTGCGGATTATACCCCTTCACCACAAAATCATCCGCCCGCCACCCATCGATACTGCCCCCCTCCCCCTCGCCCCGCCCCTGGCGGCTCGCGATCTCCAGCTCGGGAAAGGGGCGCGGCTCCCGCTCCAGCTGGGTCTGCAGCGCGTCGACGTGGTTCAGGTACACGTGCGCGTCGCCCATGACGTGGGTCAGCGACCCGGGCACCAGGTCGCACACGTGCGCCAGCATGTGCGTCAGCAGCGCGTAGCTGGCGATGTTGAACGGCACGCCCAGGCCCATGTCGCAGGAGCGTTGGTAGAGCTGGCAGTGGAGGTGGCCTTTGGGGGTTGGGGTGGTGGCTGTTGGTTCGGGGGTGGTGGCTGTTGGTTCGGGGGTTGTGGTGGTGGGGTTTTGTTCGGTGCGGCGTGACCGCCCCGCGCCCGGGTAGGAGACGTAGAACTGCGCAAACATGTGGCACGGCGGCAGCACCATGCTGGGCATGTCGGCCGGGTTCCAGGCGCTCAGCACCAGCCGCCGGTCGAAGGGGTTGGTGCGCAGCGTGTGCACGATGCGCGCCAGCTGGTCTACCCCCTGGCCTGTGTAGTCGGTCCCGCTGTCCACGTACCGCGCGCCGAAGTGCCGCCACTGGAACCCGTACACGGGACCCAGGTCCCCCTCCGCCCGCTCGGTTAGGCCGAGCTTGTCTAGGAACTCGCGCGATCCGTTGCCGTCCCAGATCTTGACACCCTGGGCTGACAGTGTGTGTGACGAGGTGTCGCCCGAGATGAACCACAAGAGCTCGGCGATCACGGCTTTAGTGAAGACGCGCTTGGTTGTGAGTAGCGGGAGGATAGGCACGCCGTCGCGGTTGAGGGAGAATTTGAGGGGGCGTGGGGCGAAGATCGAGTAGGTGCCCGTGCCGGTTCTGAATACGCAAGGTCGGTGTCAGTTGGAGTGTTTCAAGGGTAACTTGCAAAGAGAATCACCTGTCGCTACGGAGCTCCCCTTCGTCGAGGATCTCGCGGACTAAATCGAGGTATTGGTATTCTTCATGTCGGGGTTCGGTGGCGGTTACCGGAGCCGCAGGGGCGGGATCGTTTTGTGTGACGGTCATGTTGCGGTGTTATTTCTTCAAAGGAAATGACCGTCTAAGAGCTCTGGCAGGTGTTTGTTGCGTGTTGGTTATCTTTCGAGCGGGAGTTCGTTGTCGGCTGGTTGATGGGGAAACGCGATCCAAACCCCTTTACGCGTCGACGCGAGCCCAAGACCCCGCCCCCACTATGGTGGGGCAGAGTTAATCCCTGTTATCCGCGGCCTTCTTTTTCTCAAGCGCGACAAGCGCCAGGACCAGGCTGATCAACAACATCGCACCTGCGACCTCGGCCATATGAAGCGCGCTTACCTTTGTTCTTTCAAGCACTGCGCATTCTACCACTACAAACCGCGGGATTCACACAGCCAGCCCGATAATCTCGCTATATCACACTCAGTCTTTACCGCAATCGACCGTCACTCCGCTCACTTAGCGACAATTCTCAAATTCGGATCCGGGTGAATGTTATGTCTATTACCTAGGTAGGTCGCTATCGGGCGAATGCAGGTTCCCCACTTCGTGTGTACTCAGTTCTCTCCCCCCCGGGCCCCTTTTTGCAGCAAGCTCAATGTGCCAGTGGGGTATCTGAAGTCAAGAGGAAGAGGCAACGAGGGAACGTCGAGATTACACCGAACTATCGCCGCTTCGAGAAAACAAGGTCGTAGCCCTTCTCAACACGGTCTTGATATCATGTGCCAGGGATGTGCCTTTTCTGATGTAGATAGTCGGGTCGCAAGTGGCGAACCCGCTCCCCGGACAGGTCGAGTAAACATCATAGTGTTGGGTCAACCAGTGCGTGGTGCTGTACCTCCTATTCCCAAGAGCAAGAGTTAGTAGATGATTTTAACAGGGCATAGGGGGATAACTTACAGCCAATCTGCATTCTGCAACGCCTTAGCGTCCTGGTCAGCGCCGTCTTTCCAGAACTTGAACTCCTTCATGATAACAGCCGGTCTGAGATCTGCTTCTTGGATCGCTTGGAGGAAGCTTCTGTTGAGCGTCGTGTCCACTAGAAATGTGTGCTCGTTAATTCCCAGGATAGCTTCAATGCACTCATGGTTTCCCGTTATCTCCAGGGGCAGCTCGTAGGTTGTGTGTTCAATCTTCCCTTTTCGCTGTGCTTTCTCAAGATACGCCGCCACGTCGCCGAAAAAGTATGCCCTCTTGGGCCTGATTTTGTTGGTGAGCTCACGATGTCCATCCTTAACGGACCCCCGTGTGAAGTGGAGGATCTTGTCGATCCTGATTCCGGCCTTGCTCAGTTGTTGGCAAAGGGACGAGGTAGCAGGGTCGCGCAACATGTCGAGGAATTTACCGCTGCCCGACTCCTCGTGGGAGGTGTAGTAATCTACTTGGGTTTTGTAAATTCTAGCCACCAATTCCTTGTACTCGGGGCTCCCCATTTCCCATGAACCGACTTGGAAGAACCGCCCTGGCTGGTTAGTTATAGCATTGCATATCCTACGTCCGTTAGCTACGCCATTGTTATTCCTTTTGCCGAGTGGTTACTTACGTTTCTTTGTCAACATCTTGCCAGACCCGACCGGCGTCCTTCAGCGCGAGTCGTGCCTCCAGGATGTGTGGGGGCTCCTCAAGCTTGTCGCCACGCACTAAATACTTGACCCGGTCCACAATATCCTGGCGTTTCTCTTTAGGCCAGGCACCCTCGAAGTGTCCAGGCCCGAGCCGCCGTGCGCCTGGTTGGGCCCTAATAGTATCCTCGTCCATTGGTAAATGGAGATAGGTACTTCGAAAATCGATGCGGTTGATTAGATGTCCTATCGAGGTTGAGTGTAGGAACCGTCGAGTTGGGATTTATCAACACGATATGCTTGCGAGTTTAAGAATCCAGGATTCGGTCACTAATTCGGTGTGCTCTCTTGGTCTGCTTGTAGTGGCTGTGATCCAACTGAGGTTCCTGTCACTGTTTGTAGCGATTGAGTGCCTACTCAACGGGCTCTTAGAGATTGGGGTATTATATACAACAGGATTTTCAGTTGGGACCCCTTTCATCTAATTTAGACTTCATAAATGCACAGGAAGGTAAACCGTAATGTGAAAGGGCGCCTTTATTGCGCCACTGTCCTGTCTAGTTAAACAATACCCGTCTTGACGCTGTTAGCTTCCGTGCAGTTTGAAATAAAGGAAGTTAAGAACCCATGGGGTACAAGTTGAAGCAGGCGTAGAAAGACCTTGGAGACTTTCAAGTTGGACGAGTAACAAATTAGTAAATTACTCGACGCACTCGATCTCCTCTCACGCAAAGCCCATACGACTGCTTTAAACCCTTTGACGAGTCTGACGCTGTGAGCACATAATCCCTGGCTGTCCCTTGCTCAATTAATGATTACCGAGTTGATATTCTTCCGTGGTTAGACAAAGGCTCCTGTCGCCCGAGTCTGTTTTCCGTTTCAAGGCGCCCCCACACAGGGCCACGGTGAGGTACCTCTGTACCGAGGTACTGAGGTACCGATTTAAATCCGAACTCCGATCTCAGGTTAACGATAGCGAGCAACGGGATAAGGTTGGAGTGCGTTATCATGGTGTTACCCCAGATCCAGAGAGCTGGGAGCATCTGGGGCAGATCCGCTATCTATAGACATATGTGCATGATACGTATGTAGATAAGACACATGGTAACGGGACAGTTCGGTCTTCGGTACCCGGGGAATTGGGCAGCTGTGACAGAGGGCCCGGGGGTTGATGACATTTTGCAGTGTCAGGACTGGACCCTGAAGAGCGGGGCCGCCTGCCCAGGCCCAGGGGACCCTGCCGATTGCCCCCCTGGGCGTTCCTGATGACGAACGGCGGAACACCCCGCCCGCGGGAAGGCGCACAAGAGGCGCTAGGAAAAGAAAAAGATCTGGAAACAGCTGATCGGTAGAAAATTTGACATCGGATCATCTTGTGGATCGTTCTTGACTGTTAGCTTCCGGGTTTCGTAACAGTTTCCGTAGGAACCTGACAAAATGGCCCCCTAGATGCCCATGATTTCCCGACCTGCGGGTCTTCCCGCCGCGGAGATGTTGGTTCCTCGAACAGCAGCCGGAATAGCTGATTCAGCAAGATTTTCGTTATCAATTGTGAGCTGATCCCTCCCTCTCTCCATCACGCCGAGTGCATAGGTGGCCTGACCAAACCCCCCAGAACTGACCTGACCAGACCGGGGTTAAGCGAGGTACACCAAACCAAATCAGGGTGGTACCAAGGTATTTAGCGCAATGGTTCCGAATCGTTTCAGAAGCGTTCCACCCATTTTAGTAGATTACGTAACAGTCTAGCTCTATATAGAGGATTAAGTTATTTTCAACTTATCTGAATTCCTTTCCTATTACCTCCGAAAACCTTTTTTTTTTTACCGTCCCTCCCACTCATTTCACAACTATTCTAGAATTATTTTAGTAATTTTTTTTTCCCCTAGTAATATAGCTAGCTATAACAAATCTATAAGAAGAGAAGTATTTTAAGAACTATTCAGAATCGTTTCAGAATCTAGATATAATCAGTTCCTAACTGCTTCCAAACCGCTTCTAAATAGGTTTAGAAGTATTTACTAAATCTTTAACATTTTCCGCTACTAGCTAGAGCTCAGGCTCTATATTAGGTATAGGGTAACGGTTAACCTCTTCTTCAATTTGGGCTGTAAAATAGCCGTAGGGGGGAAGAAGTTGACCTGACCAGTCTGATTTGGTAAGAAATGCGCCGTTTTTGCCCCGGTCAGGTGAAGTTAAGCGAGCTCGCTTAACCCCGGTCTGGTCAGGTCAGTTCTGGGGGGTTTGGTCAGGCCACCGATAGGCACCCATCACGCCTCGGGCCAGATTCCCTGGTATCCGATTACCCCCACAGAAGGAACTGGAGAGAGCGAACGATATCTCGACCAATTGTAGACATGGTATTTGCCATCACGCAACGAAGGACCCCGGAGCCCGATGGCCCATCCTCGGAGATGTTTGTTTCTGCGCTGATCGTACGGGCACCGCGTGGTCCCACCGCCCTCCGAGGCCGGGAAAGTCAGGCGAGACCGGGTCGGGTGTGACAGCCACGAAAAGCTCGGCGCAGGGTCTGATTCGCGTCTCGTTGGCGGAACGGCCCGGCGATAGACGGGGCATCAAGATAAATAGCTCCCTGAGTCCCTCGTGGGTCGTAAAAGGCAGCGATCGGACCGGCACTGTAACATCACGAACCGCACTTTCCCACTTGTCCAAGACTCCGAGAAAGGACGGGCAGCCGGCAGAAGCAACCACCCCTCGAGACGAACCGGTTCGAGAAGGCGTTAAAACCCCGCACCCTTGAATCCTTTAACCCTTCAAGCCTTCCGACCTTCTGGCTTGAACTCCTCAACTCATCCCACTCGACCCATCGACCAACATTCACACACAACTCCCAAGTAGACCACCATAAACAAGCATCTACACCATGGCTTCTGTCACCGAGAGCCAGATCGCCATCGTCAAGGCGACGGTGCCTGTCCTCCAGGAGCACGGCCTCACCATCACCACCGTCTTCTATGAGAACTTGCTCCGGGAGAACCCAGCCCTCCACAACGTCTTCAGCAGCAGCAGCCAGGCCACTGGCCGGCAGCAGCGGGCGCTCGCCGGCGCTGTGCTGGGGTATGCCACATACATCGACGACCTCCCCAAGCTGAAGCACGCCGTTGAGCGTATCGCCCACAAGCACGTCTCGCTGCAGGTGACCCCCGCGCAGTACGACGTCGTCGGAAAGTACCTGATCCAGGCCATCGGGCAGGTCCTCGGTGATGCCGCCACACCAGACATCGTTGACGCCTGGGTTGCCGCATACGGCGTGCTCGCTGGCGTGTTCATCAACCGCGAGGGCGAGATGTACAAGGCCAACGCGGCCGAGAACTGGGTCGGCTGGCGCAAGTTCCGCATCACCCGCAAGGTAGCCGAGAGCAACGCCATCACGAGCTTCTACCTCGCCCCCTCCGACGGCAGCGCCCCGCTGCCCACGTTCTACCCCGGCCAGTACGTCAGCCTGCAGGTGCACGTACCGGAGCTGGGGTACCTCCAGAGCCGACAGTACTCGCTGAGCGAGGGCCCGGACCCCAAGGGCGAGTACTACCGCATCAGCGTCAAGAAGGAGGAGGCCGTCGCCGAGGCCGGCGTGCCGGGCATCATCTCCAACATGCTGCACAGCAAGTACGCCGTCGGCGACGAGGTCGAGCTCTCGCACCCGCAGGGCGAGTTCTACGTCGACCCGACCGACACCTCCAAGGAGGGGGTGCCCGCGGTGCTGATCTCGGCCGGGGTGGGCGCCACGCCGCTCAAGGCGATCCTCGACAGCCTGACGACGGGCCCGGCGCGGCCCCGGCCGGCGGTCAAGCGGCCCGTGTCGTGGGTGCACTCGGCGCGGACGAGCGCGGCGCAGCCGTTTGGCGACGCGGTGCGGCAGATCTGCCGCGACAACGAGAACGTCACCGCCAACGTCTTCCTGCGCAACCTCGGCCCGGACGACCAGGCCGGCGTCCACTACGAGTTTGGCGACATGCGCCTCGACCTCGCCAAGCTGGACCGCGATCGCGACCTGTTCGTCGCCAACCCCGCCGCCGAGTACTTCATTTGCGGCCCGGAGCCCTTCATGGTCGATGTGCGCTCCGCGCTGGCCGCCCTGGGTGTTGACAGGAGCCGTATCTTCCTGGAGTTGTTTGCCACTGGTGATGTTCCTGCTTAGGTAGGCTAGGGCGTTAGTGTTAGTCAGGAAGAAGATGGGTGGAAGAAGGGACGAACGGAATAACGGGATGGGCTTTGGAGTAACGGCTTGATGTAATGGATTTGACTTGCTTTTGTCGTTGTTTCTTAATGTTTTATGGATGGATGACCTAGTCGGATAATAGGGATATCACGGGCGGAATCAAAGTATCATCTCTTCTCTCTCAAACAGTCGTTCCAGGAGAGCACTCGTGTGACCGTCATCCCCTCCAGGTTCTGGGGTGCCCGAGCCTTTTGTAAAGAGATGATGTGGCCGCCCAACGGCTCGTTCCGGGCACGCCTCCTACTCCCTATTCCCGATCGAGCCACGGCTGGTACCATCTTGCAACAACCCCGCTTCATCTTGTTGTTGTTCTCCGCGGAGGATGCCAAGCCGTGACTGGCGGATTCCAAGCGCTGGGGCCGTCCGGGTGCAGAAGCCGAGGGGACGGGGCCAATCAGGGGCCTGACGGCTGACCATCAACATCCACGCAGTTGGGTGGGAGTGCGAGCCAGCTGTCTCCCTCACGGTGCCAACTGCCAGTGGCTTGATCAGGATGGACCGACTCTTCCCACTGCGGCAGCTTCAACCCCATCCATCCGGCACGCACCTGAAGGCTGAAGCTGGCGTCAACCGGAGATCAGGCCGAATCCCTTCGGTCTTGGAACTCAGAGATACCTGACCTGTGTCTGTCTGCTTATTGTTCGATTTTCAAGTGTTTTGTGTTGTATGTATACGCCCTTTCTTTCTTTGTCCCACGCCGGGGACCGCAAATCACAATCCCATTCTCACCTTCATCATACTAGTAGTCCGGTTCAAGTCCGAGGTCAATATCCCACCGCAGCTACAACCCATCTAACCCGCATCACATTGTTGTTCCACACCCAGTGTATCACCACACCAGCCGGACAACTGACGCAATGGATCGTAAAAGGAGGGCTGAGGCTGGTCGGTAAATGCGGTATAGCCTGCGTGGAAGTCCCTCCCTGGACGGCTGCGTTGTATTTGGGTACCTAAGTAAGCGAGCGGCAGATGGTGAGGGGAAGGGGGTGTAGACGGGACAAGGGGGAGTTTACGGGATAATCTACTCGGTTCTGCCTGCCTGCTGTGTGTAAGGTGCTCAGTAGGCATTCCAGTCCATCCTTCTTGGTGCCGTTGCCCGTTAAACAGACCGATGTCGACTTGGCTCCCTTTCCGGGCGAGTGTTTTGAAGTTTGAACTCTGCCTCTGGCCTGGTTACAGTTCGAGGCGCGGCATCTGTGTAACATTGGCCCGTCTTTAAATCCACTTCAAGCCATCTCTCATCGGGAAGTTTCGATGTGGCATTAGGTTGCTGTTTTTCGAACATTCAGGCGCAATGGGTAATCTCAATGTTGATACATTAATCTTCCCCGTTCATTCTTTCCAGATTTTACCCTTTCATTGGAGTCACTTCCATTCTTCATGTTTCTCTCTCTCTCTCTGTTCGATGCCTGTCCACTCCTCACAAGGTGACGAATACCTCACATCCCATGGAGTCGAGAGGTTCACACAAGCTGTGCTAGGAAGTAGCCATGAGTCAAGCATTGGGAAGGCGCCTGTGTGGTGGACGGTTTCCTGGATACAAACGGCAGACGATGTCATTCGGCCACCACATGACCGTCGTTCACCGGGGAAACTTGAGGGCCCGGAAGTCAGGAGTCGGGCCTTCTGGCTTGTGATATTACGAGATGGGATGAAGTACCGTAAATACCGCGTTGGACGCGTTAAGCGAGGTCGAACTCTGAATAAGTAAGCGGGTTAAGAAGGTTGTTCTGTGGACATAGGGGCTACACAACCCACATCAACCCTCCTCTCTCGCATGTGAAGTCTTGCTAACACAGCAAGTGATTTTTAGTCTACCCCCAGAAGAAACGTAGGTGCTTATTCTCAGTTGTGCTGCTCTGACAGTGTACGAAACACAGTGTTGCTCCTTCCTCCCTTCCTCCCTCCCTTTCTTAGACTTCGTCCGACTCTTTTTTGAAAACTCTTCTTGATCCCGCCCGGCTTAGGGCTTGAACAGCAAACCTGTTTTTTTATCACACATTACTTACTCTCTTACAGTGGATTGTAGAAAACTTTGCAGGCTATATTATGCTCTGCGCTCACTCAACACCCACCTTCTTCCCACTTCCCTTGTTCATTTTCTCTCACAGAGAACAACACCAGACTTCTTCCGCCTTTTCCGACTTGTTGCGATAGACCACTGTTTATTGCGACGACCTTCTTTCTTCTGGTTGCCATCTCTCATTCTGAGCAGTAATTCGCATTCCTTTGCTCCCGTTCAGCGATTTCTGTTCTCCAGCGAATAGATTGATTCCCTTAGACGGCTATACCTCACCGCTGTTTGGCGGCGTTTGCGCCTGTTAATTCCCCTTCAACCAGGCAACTGACTCCATCATGTCATACAAGAATCACATCTCGGAGCCCATTGCAGTCGTTGGGACGGGCTGTCGCTTTGCCGGCGACGCTACGACACCATCGAAATTATGGCAGCTCCTCTCTAATCCCACCGACTTGACTCGGGACATCCCCCTCTCCCGGTTCAACATCAAGGTAAGTTGACCCCCAATGTCCAATACCACTTGACCTCTTTCTAATTCTTTCTACAGGCATTCTATCACCCCGACGGAGAGTACCATGGCACGACCAACTCTCCTAAAGCATATTTCCTTGATCAAGATCACCGCGTGTTCGACGCCAGCTTTTTCAACATCTCCCCCAAAGAGGCCGAGGCCATTGACCCTCAGCAACGCATGATGCTCGAGGTGGTGTACGAGGCTCTTGAGTCTGCCGGTTACACCCTCCAGCAGTATGCCGGGGAAAAGGTTGCTGTGTTCGCTGGTCTCATGACTGGAGACTACGACACTCTCTCTCAGCGCGACGAATTGGACACCAGCCAGTACTACGCCACTGGCAACGCCCGCTCCATCTTGTCAAACCGCATTTCATATTTCTTCAACTTCCAGGGTCCCTCCATGACCATCGACACCGCTTGCTCGTCTAGCCTCGTCGCACTTCACCAAGCCGTCTTGAGTTTGCGTTCGGGAGAGTCCAAGGTCGCCTGCGTCGCCGGCGCCAATCTAATTCTCACTCCCGAGCAATTTGTTGTCGAGTCTAACCTGCACATGCTCAGCCCGACCGGCCACTGTCGCATGTGGGACGCCGGTGCTGATGGCTACGCCCGTGGCGAAGGCGTGGCCGCTATTTTCATCAAGACATTGAGCCAGGCCCTCGCCGACGGCGATAATATTGAAGCCGTTATCCGCGAAACCGGCGTCAACTCGGATGGCCGCTCACGGGGCATCACCATGCCGAACTGGGAAGCCCAATCACGCTTGATCCAGGACACCTACCTGCGTTCTGGTCTCGACCCGAAGAACCCCGAGGACCGCTGCCAGTACTTCGAGGCTCACGGCACCGGTACCAGCGCCGGTGATCCCAATGAGGCGCGTGCCATTGAAAATGCCTTCTTCGGGGACGACAGAACCGGCAATTCCGACAACAAAATGCTTGTCGGTTCCGTCAAGACTGTGATCGGCCACACCGAAGGCGCCGCCGGCCTTGCTGGCCTCCTGAAAGTGATTCAGAGCATCCGCCACGGTTCGGTGCCGCCGAATCTCCATCTCGAGAAGCTCAACCCCGATGTTGAGAAGTACTACGCCAACTTGCTTGTCCCTACCTCCGCCGTTCCCTGGCCGAGCGCTCCGGCCGGCCAGCCCAGGCGTGCGAGCGTCAACTCGTTCGGGTTCGGAGGCACGAACTCCCATGCCATTGTTGAGGAATATATTCCTGAGGTGCGTTCCCCGTCTGGCAACAAATTTGGTCCGTTCCTTCTTCAGTTGCTTACTCCTATCCAGTCTCGCGGCTGCGCGGATAACGGCCGTGTTTGCCTTCCTCTGGTTCTCTCAGCCCCGTCTCAGAAGTCGTTGGTTGGCGTTGTCAAGGCGTATCGCGACTATCTTGCGCAGCTCCCGGAGCTCGGCGGCGAGGAAGTAGCCTGGCACAGTTATGCACGGAGGACATCGTTCCCGTTCCGTGTCTCTGTCTCTAGTGCTTCCGTGTCCGGGTTTGTTGACAAGCTCAATTCTCTTGTCGCCAAAACTGAGGGCTCTCCCAACGCCACACTTGGGATCCGGGCTCGGCCTCAGAACGAGCAACCCAAAGTCCTCGGCATCTTTACTGGCCAGGGAGCTCAGTGGGCCACCATGTCGCGCGGTCTTTTGCTTTCTTGCAAGCCCTACGCCGACACCATCCGGTTTCTTGATAAAAGTCTCCAAACATGTCCTGATCCGCCTTCATGGACGCTCGAGGAGGAGATCTTGGCTGATGAGCATCTGTCGCGGGTGAAGATGGCGTCTGTTTCACAGCCTCTTTGTACCGCAATCCAGTTGGCCCAGATTGAGCTTCTCCGCCACCTCAGCATCGCCTTCCATACGGTTTTGGGTCACTCCTCCGGCGAGATCGCTGCGGCCTATGCCGCCGGCAAGGTCTCCATGCGCGATGCCATTCTGATCGCTCACTATCGCGGCATGGGCGTGCACATGGCCGGCGGTGCCAAAGGGGCCAAAGGTGGCATGCTGGCTGTCGGTTTGTCAAAAAAAGAGGCCGAGGAGTTCTGCACAAGCCCGCAGTACTCCAATCGACTTTGGGTTGCTGCCAGCAACGCACCGTCGAGCATCACTCTTTCCGGCGACATCGACGCTGTTCATGAGGCGTGCAAAGAGTTGACCAGCCAGCAGAAGTTCGCTCGACTTTTGTTCGTTGACACGGCGTACCATTCTCCTCACATGGCTGGTGCGTCTGTTGAGTACCTCAAGGCTTTAGAGACCTGCCACATCACACCCAGAGAAGGAAACAGAACTGTATGGGTTTCGAGCGTTTACGGCGCGGGGGAGCCGGGGCAAGTTGAGCTTGCCGCTCCTTACTGGAAAGACAACATGGTGAAGCCAGTCTTCTTTCATGAGGCCGTATCTACCGCCCTCGACACTCTTGGTCCCTTCGACTGCGCCATTGAGATCGGGCCTCATCCGGCATTGATGGGTCCTGTTGCTCGGATCATGCAGGCGAAGAACATGGCCGCCATTCCGTACTCTGGCTTGCTCGACCGCAAGCTGGACGACCGTGAAGCATTTGCAAACTTTCTCGGCTGGATGTGGACTCACTTCGGGTCATCATCCCTTCAGATTCAGCGCTTTGTTTCGGGCTCGCTGCACCCTCAGGTTGTCAACACCCGGCTCGTGGATCCGCCGATATACCCATGGGACCACTCCCAGGCGTTCTATCGGGAGTCGCGCATCTCTCGCCAGTACCAGTTCAAGCCCGACAGCCCCCATGAACTTCTCGGTGTCCGGACTCGGGACGACAACAAACACCAGCTGAGATGGCGCAACATCCTCAAGTTCGACAAACTCCCTTGGGTCAAGCACCACAGCTTTCAGGGACAGGCCTTGCTTCCGGCATCCGCCTACATGGTTATGGCCTTGGACGCAGCGCGGTCCGCTTTGGCCGGCCGCCAGGCCTCTGTTATTGAACTTCGCGACTTGAAGTTCCCCAGTGGCATTATCCTGGAGCCGAATACGCCTGGCGTGGAGGTTTTATTCAATCTGACCATCGAACATGAGTCGCCGGACACCGTTGAGGCCACTTTTACGCTGACCTCTGCCATTGCGGATGGCCGGCCGGATATGAAGAAGAATCTTAGCGGAAGTCTTACCATGACCCTTGGGGGCCCATCTGCGGAAGCTTTGCCATCACGGCCAGTGAACCGGGCCGAGACATTGCACGCAAGCACTCGCGGCTTTTACAGCATGATGGCTGGCGTCGGGCTGGCCTACAGCTCGCCTTTTAAGGGCCTGGAAACACTCGAGCGGCGGTACAACTTTGCTTCAGGCACCCTGAAGAAATACCACGAGGAGGACACCACTTCGTTGAGCATCAGCCCCGCAACCCTGGATAGCTGCCTGCAAACCGCATTCGTCACCATTTCTTCTCCTGGCGACAACGCGATTTGGACCTCGTTTCTGCCCCTGGACATCGAGTGTGTCCGCTTCAACTTGGCCACCTGCGACATCAAGAACGCCAACGAGGACAGGCTCGCGGTCGATGCCTACATGACCAGGGCGACGCCCATCACTACCCAGACCGCTGCGTCTTTCACGGCGGACATTGAAATCTTCAACCCCGAGGGGGACATGGAGATCCAAGTGCAGGGGCTGACAGTTAGGTCCTTCAGCTCGACAAAACCGGAGGAAGACTTTGAGCTCTACCTGACAACAAAGTTCGACATCGACCCGGATGCCGAAATTGTCTCTACTGAGTCCATCGACCAGGAGGCCGCAAACCCGATGCTAGCTAAGAGCTGCGAGCGGGTTGCAGCCTTCTACGTCAACCAAGCACCTATTACCCGGCCGCGCTCTCCCACTCTGGGTTTGCTACTGGAACGGGCAGAGAATTTGTTCCCCCCGACTTCATGGCCCCGAGAGACCGAGGAGATGATGCACAAGTTCATTCAGTCTTCCCCGTACTTTGTCGCCCTGGACTTCATCCGGGAGCTGGGCAAGAATTTGCCGGAGGGCCTCGTGGGTATGCTGCCGGCGATCGTGGAAGAGGCGCATCAACTTGTCGGCTTTCAGCGGCATGTTTCCCGAGTTGTTGGGCAGATCGCGCACAAGTACCCGCGGATGAACGTTCTGGGGCTTACCGACCCGGAGATGGGCTTGACCGAGCATATTCTTGCCGGTCTGAACGGCTGCTTTGCCCGGTATCGCGTCGGTTCTGAGCTGGAGAGCAATCTCGAGAGCCGGGTCCTGCTCAACGACATTTCCCGCAGGAAGATCATGGTGGACAAGCTCGACCTCAGCAACGCCGAGCCGGATGAGCGTGCCCCATATGATCTGGTTTTACTCGCCACTTCGATGATTGAGCCGCAGCAGACCGCGAGCAGCCTCAAGCGGGTCAAACAGATGATGCGGCCAGGCGGCTTTCTGGTGTTGCTCAACGTGTCCCGGAGCCCGCTCAAGGACCGGATTCGGCGTTATGCTCGGCCCTCGTCCGGCACGGTGTACCCGCTCTCGCCGCCCGACTGGCCCGACCTCCTGGACCAGTGCGGGTTTAGCTACTCGATGAAGAACGGCCACCAATACTACCCTCCTGGCTTCTCGATGACCGTCCGCCAAGCCGACTCCCCCGAGAAGAAGTTGTTGCTCCAGCCTTTCGCCGATTCGAAGCAGACCAGCATGGTTGACCGCTTGTTGATCGTTGGCGGGATGACAACGGAGACTGCGCTCATCTCAACGGGCGTCTGCTCCGACATCACAGCCCATTGCAGTGTAATCGAGAGAGCAGAGACGCTGGAGTCACTTACTCCTGACTTTGCGGCATCTTTCTCCGCCATGATTATCCTCAATGACATCGACGAGCCCATTCTGGGGACCATGACGGAGAAGCGGATGGAGATCCTTCGAGCCCTCTTCAAGCCAGAGATGATGATCCTCTGGGTAACCCACAACGCTCGGTTCCACAACCCTGACCAAGCCGCTTCGTTCGGCTTCACGCGCACTTTGACGGCTGAAACTCCTGGGCTGGCACTGCAGATGCTCGATCTCGATACCGTGGACACTGTCCCAGCTGTCGAAGCAATCACCGAGACTTTCGCCCGGCTTACCAAATATCGCTTGGCTGGGGGCCCTGACACCATCAAGCCGTTGTGGGTCAACGAGCCCGAGATTCACTTAGAGAACGGCCACCGTCTTGTTCCTCGGGTCGTGCCGTGGAAAGAAGGGAACGATAGGGTGAACGCTCCTCGCCGGGTTGTGGCAAACACTGTCAACACGTTGGAAAAGATCGTGCAAATTGTACCGACTGAACGGGATGGCGGCGACTCAAGCCTGTACGGGATCGAGGTCAAGAAGCTCGGCGTCTTGGAGACCCTTCCCGGCCGACGAACGATCCGGGTCGACTACAGCACCGTAGAGGCTATGAACATCGGGACGCAGTCTTCCTATCTGTGCATTGGACACGACACCAACACCGGGAAGCTGCAGATTGCCGTATCAGACAGCAACAGATCTTACATCGCGGTTCCGTCCTCGAGTGTGAGCACCATGGTCAACGCCACCTTGAACCAGCCCCTTTTGCTTGCGTTCCTGGCCCGGTATATTGCTGCTCTCAACATCGCCAACGCAGCGCGAGGCCAGTCCATTCTGCTGATTGAAGCGGATGCCATGTTCTACAGTTGCCTCAAGCAAGTCCTGGGCAACTCTGACAGCCGCCTCCGTGCGTGTTCAGCTGACGCAGCTCGGTGCTCAAGCATGCCCGGGACGGTGCACCTCCATCATCGTTCCCCCACGCGGGCAATCAAGGCTCTGTACCCGCCCGGTGGCGCGTGGGTTGTCGACATGTCCACAGACCCTAGCAAACTCTCGGATTTATTGGTTCATACTTTGCCCGCCAATTGCAAGTACACCGCCTACTCGTCAGTGTCGACCCGCTCTCACAACAACATTAGCGGCAACGCTTCCTCGACCAATTTGTGGGAATATGCCGTGGCCCTCGCGCTTGCCGAGACTGCGGCCTCTCCAACTCATGTTGAGCCCGGCATGACCGCGGTACCCGACCTGTTGCGGGCCAAGTCACCGTTACAGGCGTTCGAAATCGTTGACTGGAAGGCAGAGCGCTCTGTGTCACATATTGTCAAACCGTTAGCGGTCACTCATGCTCTGAGCCCGGCGAAGACCTATATCCTGGTTGGTCTGACGCGCGACTTCGGCCAGAGCTTGTGCACCCTCTTCGTTCAGCAGGGCGCGCGGCACATTGTGCTTTGCAGCCGGAACCCGCCCAAAGTCCAGCCCCAGTGGCAGACCGAGATGATCTCCAACGGCATCACTATCTGGTTTGAGGCGCTCGACGTCACCAGCCTCGAGGGAGTCATCTCCTTGAAGAAGAAGCTCGCCGAGAGCCTGCCCCCCGTCGGCGGCGTAGTCAACGGCGCCATGGTCCTCGAAGACCGCGTCTTCTCCCAGATGTCGGTGGAGACGCTCCACCGCGTCATGCGCCCCAAGACAGTGGGCTCCAAGAACCTCGACGAGGTCTTCGACAGCCCCGACATGGACTTCTTCATCATGACGTCCTCCTTCGCCGCCATCGGCGGCCACGCGGGCCAATCCAACTACGCCGCGGCCAACATGTACATGAACGGGCTCGCGGCCTCACGGCGCCGCGGCGGCCTGCCCGCCTCGGTCCTCAACATCGGCGTCATCTACGGCCTGGGCTTCCTGCACCGCGAGAAGGACGACCTGTACGAGGGCCTCGAGCGCGAGGGCTACCCGCCCACCTCGGAGCGCGACCTGCACCACATGTTTGTCGAGGCCATCGCCGCCGGCCGCCCCTCCCAAGACAACAACAACAACACCGAGGGCATCTACGACATCACCAGCGGCCTGAGCCGCTTCCCGGCGCACGACCCGACGCTCGCCTGGCAGCACGACCCGCGCTTCTCGCACTTCACGCGCCGCGACGACGACGATGGCACCGCGTCCGATGCCACTGCTACGGTTACCACCACCGGCGACGCACAGCCGAAACAGACCCTGCGCGCGCAGCTCGACGCGGCCACCACAGCCGAGGAGGTGGCCACAGTGCTGGCGAGCGGGCTGGTGGAGCGGCTGCGGGCGCAGCTGCAGCTGGGTCCGGACGGGGTCACGCCCGAGCACAGCCCGACAGAGCTGGGCGTGGACTCGCTTGCCGCCGTGGAGCTGCGGGCGTGGGCGTGGAAGACGCTGGGTTTGGATGTGGCGGTGATGAAGATTTTGAGCGGGGCGACGGTGGCGAGGTTGGCGGGGGATTTGGCTGGGGGGGTGGTGGAGAAGAGGGGGGAGGTTGAGAAGTGAGGAGTGATGGAGTGATGGAGTGGAAGGGGGTGATTGTTTGGGGGTGGTTGTTTGGGGGGGGTAATTGTTTGGGGGAGGGTGTTGGGTTGGGGTGTGGAGAGTGAGGTGAAAATAATACGGTTGGTGTTGGAGAAAGACATTGAGGAGGATGACAAAATTCGAAGCGTGAGGAGCGGAGTATTTGGGTTGGGTTGGAATGCATCGCATGGGAAACCATCAGGGGCGCAGGTTGACATTTGTTGATACCCTCGTCTTTTCTTCCAACTATACCTATGGTCAAAAAAGGGGGGGTTGGAACTGAGTCTGGTTTGCTGGACACATACCAGCCCAGAGGTAGCGGCAGAACTAGATTGACGATAAAAGTGTATGGATTTACTGTAAGCCCTTTCGTAACTCGGCGGTTGTGTCTCGTGATGTCGGTCTTGGTGGAGGGACGTTGGTTGTTCCGAGATCGGAAGTTGTGGCTTACACAGCACTCGAAGCCTCCCGCTCTTGTTACATGGCTTACCTCGAATAGGCAATCCCATTGCATGAGAGCTCAGCGAGAGGCCCTCGACCGCCCCGCAGAGCGGAAGTACCATATTGGGCAGTCAACGGGCCGAGTACGCTAGCCAACCATGGTGCGTCCCGCTTTGCAGGAGGGATCAACATGGAGTTCAGGTTCTTCTTGGCTATCCCTCCGATCCAGTACCATGGGAATCTTATTGTTCCTTCACGTTGCCAGCTGAGCGAGACGCAACCACTACAGTGGCGGCGAACTTTGCTCCCATAACGTTCAGGTAGCCAAGCTATTAAGCTGGCACACTTGGTTGATGAATTCACTGTGATGATTTCACTTTTGTGTTTTCTTTTCCGAATGTGTCTCTACCACGCTAGTCTCTCTGGCCTCCGGCTAAGTTACACATGGTATTACACCCGGGACGGGGTTCTGACGCGGGGTCCACGGTCTGGACTCTCGCTCCCGACTGCCCCGAAGCTTGTGTCTCCAATAACCAGTACTACCCCAAGAATGGGCTCCGTCGAATGCAGCCACAGCCACGGATTTTGCTTCTGCATCCTGCGGGACGCCGACGGGTGATGCCGCCCCGCCGAATGGTCAGTCTTCGGGGGGTGGGACTCGCCACGAGACGCACCGGAGATGGGATGAGGGGGGAAGGGGGTGAGGGGTGAGGGGCAACGCGATTGGGGAAAGGGTGGTCGTGAAGCGGACTGGAGACTGGGCAGCACTGTCCCGGAGTGGATAACGGCCCAGTCATTATAAAATGAAGGCAACTTCTTATTCTCATCATAAATTATTCCTGCTATACCAGCCCCAGTACCTCGCTCAGCACGAAACTACGAACCATCTCGGGGACTCACCCCATCAACCCAACCACGCAACCAATACCAAAAACCCCAAACCCTCCCCACCAAACACCACCCACAATGACCACCACCCCCTCGGCAGAACGCGTCGTCCCCGGCTCGCACAACCTCCCCCCGCCGTCTGGCCCGCAAGCCCCATCACCCCAGACGCCTCCATCGACGCGCCCACCATCGCGCAGCACCTGATCACCGCGCTCAACGACGCCCTCGCAACCAAGGACGCCGCCGCCGTCGCAGAGCTGTTTGTGGCCGACAATGCTACGGGTGCATCTAAAGAGGGCGGCGTGACGGCCTTCTGGCGCGACCACCTGGTGCTCTCGTGGCGGCTGCGCACGCTGACGGGGCGGGAGGGGATCCGGCGGTTTGTGGAGGAGGCGTGTTTTGCTTCTGGTGGTGGTGCTGGGGGGGTCAAGTTTGAGGTGGATGGGTCGTCCGAGTTTCGCAGCCCGCAGGTGACGGATTTCCGGCCGGTCGGGGGCGCCAAGGGGGTGATGTTCTATGTGAGGGTGGAGAATGGTGCTGCTGGGGGTGTGGGTAGGGGTATCGTGAAGGTGGTGGAGGTGGAGGGCGGGGTGTGGAAGTTTTGGACGGTGTTTACGACGCTGGAGGAGGTGAGGGGGTTGGAGGAGAAGAGGGGGCTGAGGAGGGAGAGGGGGGTGCAGCATGGTGGGTTGGAGGGTAGGAAGAATTGGGCGGAGAGGAGGAGGGAGGAGAGCGAGTTTGTGGAGGCGAGCCCGGAGGTGCTGATTGTTGGTGAGTACTTCTTCCATCATCCGGATGCTCCCCCGGGGAAGGTGGTGTGCTGACTGCGAATAGGGGCCGGCCAGTCCGGTCTGACTGCCGCTGCACGGCTCAAGATGCTAGGGATTCCAGCTCTCATGATCGACAAGAACAAGGCCGTCGGCGACAACTGGCGCAAGCGGTACAGCCAGCTTGTGCTGCACGATCCGGTCTGGTACGACCACATGCCGTACATTCCCTTCCCCGACACCTGGCCTATCTTCACGCCCAAGGACAAGCTGGGGGACTGGTTCGAATCGTACGCCAAATCCCTCGAGCTCAACGTGTGGACACAGGCGGAGTTGGTCAAAAGCTCCTGGGATGAGAAGGCAAAGGTGTGGACGGTGGAGATCAAGCGCATCCGCCCTGACGGCCAGTCGGAGACAAGGACGTTGTCCCCAAAACACCTCATCATCGCCACAGGGCACTCCGGCAAGGCGTACATGCCGTCTATCCCCGGGATGGACTCGTTCAAGGGCGACGTCATCTGCCATTCAGGTGACTTCCCTGGCGCCCAGGAGAGCGGCAAGGGCAAAAAGGCGGTGGTCATCGGCGCATGCAACTCTAGCATGGACATCTGCCAAGACTACGTCGAGAAGGGGTACGACGTGACGATGGTGCAGCGTTCATCCACCTTCGTCATCTCGAGTCAAAGCTCCTTGAAGGTCGCTCTCGGCGTCCTCTACGAGGAGGTCAGCCCGCCGGTGGAAGACAGCGACATTTTCGTCTGGGGCATGCCGAGCCCGGTGCTGAAGTCTCTCCAGGTGGATATCACGACGATCGCGGGGCAGCTTGACAAGGAGATTCTGAACGGGTTGGAAAAGGCCGGCTTCAAAGTCGACACTGGCCCATCAGGGGCAGGCATCTTTGGCAAGTACCTGCAGAGGGGAGGAGGTTACTACATCGATGTTGGCGGCTCGGGGTTGATCATCGACGGCAAGGTCAAGGTCAAGCACGGCCAAGAAGTGGAGCAGATCCTGCCGACGGGCTTGAAGCTTGCGGATGGGACAGTGTTGGAGGCGGATGAAGTTGTGTTCGCGACGGGTTACGACAACATGAGAACGACGGCCAAGTCGATACTGGGGCAGGAGCTGCCGGACAAGGTGGGGGATATCTGGGGCTGGGACGAGGAGGGTGAGATGCGGACCATCTGGACGAACAGTGGGCATCCCGGACTCTGGTTCCATGGCGGCAACTTGGCCATGTGCAGGTACTACTCGAGGCTGGTGGCTCTGCAGATCTTGGTCAAGGTGAAGGGCTTGGAGCATGCTTAGGTTCGGATCGGGGTAGTAGGTTGGGGCGTAGATGGGGGCTTAGAGCATACCATGCTACATACAACGGATGTCATATTAAGCAAAAGCTCACACCACTAGCTACCTAACCAACCACGCGGTTCACCTATGGCCAACAACGGTTTCATGTTTTGGTATTCAGGGGTCGGCCATGGGCCAGGCTTTGGCTTGGCGAGGAAGGCCAGTCTGTCCATGTTTGTTGAGTCTTGCTGTTATTCAGAGGCAAGACCTTGAGGAACAACTCCCGGTCGGTACCTATTTCCGATATAGGTAATAAACTCCTTGTTGGTTGTGCTTTCCATTCCAGCCTTTTCAACAGGGGGACAACCAACCCTTGGATATGAGGACAGGCCCACCTCCCTCCCATCAACGCCTCTTATCGTCATCCATGCATGTCGTTCACCAAATCAGATGCAGCTCTTGTCAGCATCATCAACACCATCAACATGAAGCCCATCCTCCCACTACTCACCTCCCTCCTCTGGCCAACAACCACCTCAGCACCCACCTCAACAACCCCCCAACCACCCCAACCACACCACCAACCAGCACCCCAAGAAGAACTCCCGCGCCTCATCCTCTACCACCAAACCACGCACGACGCCGCCGGCCGGCCCATCTCGCTCCTCCCGCTCATCCACACCCGCCGCATCGCCCTGACCCACCTCATCATCGGCGCCCTGCACGTGCACGCCAACGGCACCACCATCCACCTCAACGACCACCCGCCGCTGCACCCGCGCTACCGCACCCTGCGCGCCGAGGCCCGCCTGCTGCAGGAGGCTGGTGTGGTGGTGCTGGGCATGGTTGGCGGTGCTGCGAGGGGGTCGTTTGCGCGGGGGACGCTTGATGGTGGCGGTGGGGGGGATGGTGGTGATAATAATAACGGTGGTGGTGGTGGTGGTGGCGCGGCCTTTGAGCGCGCTTATGGGTTGTTGCGCGGGGCGGTGGGCGCGTATGGTCTGGATGGTGTTGATCTTGATGTCGAGGAGCCGATGACGTTGGGCGGGGCGGTAGGGCTGGTGCGGCGGCTAAGGGCGGACTTTGGGCGCGCGTTTGTGGTTACGTTCGCGCCGGTTGCGACTGCGTTGTTGGCGAGTGCGGTTGGGCAGGGGGGGATTAATCTGAGTGGGTTTGGGTATGGGGAGTTGGAGAGGGTGGTGGGTAGGGAGGTGGGATTCTATAACGCGCAGTTTTATAACGGGTTTGGGGGGGCCGGGGGTACGGCGCTGTTTGATGGGATTGTGGCGGGCGGGTGGGCACCGGAGAGGATTGTGGTTGGGCAGTTGACGAGTCCGGTGAATGGGTTCGGGTTTGTGAGGCACGAGGAACTGGGGAGGACGGTGGCTGCGCTGCGGGAGAGGTATAGCGAGATTGGGGGGGTTGCGGGGTGGGAGTACTTCAATGCGGTTCCTGGGGGGGTGGGGAGGCCGTGGGAGTGGGCAGAAAGCATGACGCGGATTTTGAGGCCTGGGCGGGAACCGGTGTTGAGGATCACGAGGGAGAAGGCAGAGATGTTGAATGAAGCGTGGATGACGAGTGCTGCAGCAGGAGTTGAAGTCGAAGATGGGGTCGGGGCGGCGGAACGGTGGGTTGGGTTGGTGCCGAATGTGGACTACCTGGGCATGGTTAATGAATAGGAGTTGTTATTTTTCAATTTTGCACGTTTCTTTGCTCCATGCTGACTGAAATGAACTTTCCCACTATTCATGTTTTGTTGGTGTTTGGTCCGAGGAAGAGGAGGGAGCGAGTTCAGTTGTCCACCAGCTGCTCCCACCCGCCGCCAGCCGTGAGTATTCCACACAAAGAAGTTCTGTACCCCCGTCATCTCCATCTCAGCTGCCCCACTCTCTCATCCCCAAACATGCACCTTCGCCCGGAATCCCGGATCGACACAACGCAAGCAATACCACCACAACCAAACCTCTCAATAAATCACACCCAACACCTACCCTCATCTCCCCACACCCCAATCAAGTATCTCACATCATCTATCGATGGGCCGCCCCGCGGGCGTAGTCGGGCGCACGCAGCTCAAGCAGGACGACCTGGTGCGGATCCAGACCCTGTCGCGCGACGCGCGCATGGGCCCCTCCGAGATCCGCCGCGTCACCGGTTACTCCATCCACCAGATCAAGTACGCGCTCAAGAAGAAGACCCCCACCGTCGGGAAGCGGTCGGGGAGGCCGCGCAAGGCTGGGGGGAAGACGGAGGGGGAGGCGGCGGTGACGGCGGTGGAGGGGGGGCCAGAAGGAGTTGGTGGTGCTCACGGGAGCGGTGAGGTTTTGGGGGACTCTGAGGGGGATGCTGGTGTGGAGGGGAGTGGGGAGACTGGGGAGATGCAGGTGGACTTGGAGGTGGGAACGGGACTCGGAGGGTTAGTCCGGTCCATCTTGCGTTCTGTGAAGTGCGATGTCAGCGTGACCGGCGAAGTGACTGACCGACTGCGTTGCAGGGAGTTCGTTGGCCAGGCCGGACCTGGGCCATCAATTGAACAACGCGTGCTTGAATATCAAGAACAACAACCACAGCAGCAGCAGCCGCAGCAGGAACAACAACCGCTCGCTGAACACAATGAACCTCAGCATCACCCAACGGGGACCAACCACGAAACCGGGAGAGAGTAATGAGGGGGTCCCTGAGCTGACACCCCCTCAAGGCCGGTTGGTTCGGGCGATGTGGTGTATTAATTATGCTTGTTCGACAACGTTCTCTTGCCGCAAACCTGTAACCCTGGGATGAGATCTTGGCGAAGAGAGCCCAATGTTTCGGGCCTTGTACCCAACGACTAATGACTATGATTGGAGTTAACTATGTGTGCAGGATCTCGTGTTCACTGGGCTTCAATGTAACACACGCTCAGGACCCAGCGGATTGGCATTCAAGAATGGAACCGAAAAGCGACGGTAAACGAGTGTCTCCCAGGATTGATCAAACAACAAAAACCCCAAGAGGAGCCTAAAACTACAGTTGTAAAAGCCCATCCGAACCACAACTATCACCTTTTTTGTTCCCATTCACTGACCAAGCCGGGCCCCCGAGAAATGAATGCTGAGCCGTTTGACATTGCCTGCTGCTCGACTAGCCGACCTTGACGCAGTTGAGGAGCTGGACGTTAACCACGGTGCCCTGTAGACACGGTCAGCACGACATATCCCCCACGGACGGCACCAAGGGAATCCTCACAGGGGCGGCGTTGGTCTCGCAGCAGTAGGATTGTCCCCCGCACGTGCTACCCAACACGGTGACGGCACAGCTGAGGGCGCCGAGCGGACCGTTGCAACACACCGACTGCTGGTTGTTGGTGCATGACGCAGCTGGGGTGCCGTAGGTGCGCGGAGCTAGCGTGTCGACGTTCTCGCCGGTAGGGAGCGCGCTGGCCGTCATGGCGAGAGCTAGGGCGGTGAAGAGGTAGGGGAATTGCATGTTGGGTTTTGAGGGATGTTGAGAAGCTAGGCTGGAGGGAGGCTCTGGAGGCGGCACGTGCTTGTTATGCTGGCTGCTGAAGACCCGGTTGGATGAGGAGAAGGGTGAGGAGGGGGCTTATATACATTTTGCCTTCCCCCTGCGTTCTCCCTTCTCGCCAGTACACCGTCGTCGAGCGATGAGGGACGCTGCTCGTGCCCCCGGCCTCATCCTACGGATTCTCAATCATTATCAGCCGCATTTTGTTACATTTTTTTGCCCAGAAGGATCACTTGTCTTGCTGGTTTATCTTCGTGGCGTCCGAGTCCATCATTAGCTGCACCGTCCCGATATCGCGACATCGGACCCACTCTCGAGTCCACGGTTTCACGGCGTACGGGACCAAGGAAGGAAATTTACCTCAATTCTTGGCTGACAAGCATAGTCACGGCTAACGGTTCGAGTGTCATGGGGCACGGCATCATGCCACCGTCTCCCGCACCTCCCACAGAGCATCTTGTCCGAGTGTGGAAAGGGAGACTTCAAGAAACAACTCATACGTTGTTGATCTTCTACGGTATTGGGAGCCCCGGATATGCATATCTCCCGTTTCCACCTCGTGAGTTCCAGCCCCGGACCACCCGAGCAACGATCAACACTAGCTAGTGGTGAGTAAAACGAGGCTGACTCTCGATCTCGATCTCGATCTCGGGTTACCACATCCACCTATCGTTTCGATTTCCCTACAAGCACAATTATCCACGCCTATGTTATGCCGTGACCCCTGTGGTGTACACCGGAATATGCGCTACTGACAGAAGATCTAAACCTAATCCGAAAAGCCGGTCAAGCCCGGAGGCTCCGGGAGACAGCACTGAGGGGCCCAATTTGTAGAGCCAGGGGCTCGGGAGATGACGTCGCATGCCTACCCTAACAGGGTCAAAACAGATACGATCAATACCTGCAAGCTGCCTTCGGTTTGGGTCCAGAGAGTGACTACCCGGCATTAAGATCTGGCCACGAACGCTAGAATATTACCGACTTCAGGGGGCGTTGTGTGTTGTTACAAAAACGAATAAGCAAGGTAGGCCAACTGTTCTCAGCAACACCGGCCTCCCTCTCAATCGAGACCACCTCGCAGCGGGCGGCTGCTGCCTTTTCTCCGAGCCGCCGTAACTGGCCAACCGCGGATGCAGCACCGGCATCCCTTGTCACACATAAGTGGTGGGGAAGCATCGAGGGCGGCGGCCAATACATATCCTATATGTATGTACGTGCAAGGTTTCTTCTCTTCCGGTGCGTTGCGTAGCACGGCATTGGTGGAGCTAATGGCTGGTTAGAAACCGCCGGTTTCCCGGTTCCCTTCCAACCCCCAGACAAACGACACCTTGATAGTGGATGGTCTGAACTGGACAAGTGTGCTGCATATATAACAGTCAGACTCTAGCATCGACATTTGGCCACCTATGAACTTGAAATTGATATGGGAAGTGAATCCGTCATCAAGTTTGGAGCATAGGACAGACAGGAGTTTGATGATGTCGCTCCGCATCTGTTTCACCACATTGTTATTCATAAAGCAACATTATCCCGCTCCGGGAGCGAGTACCCACTAGGTCTTCAGCTGTTCTCCTCCGGCCCTGGTAATTTAGTAGATATTTCGGCCCTTTACATCGAATAAGAGGAACACGGGAGGCCAGTTGCATTGCAGCCGATCACCCTTCCTTTCTTACAACACCTACCCCCTTGCTGTGTAAACCAGGATGGTGTTGGTGCCTTAACTCCCCAAGCCAAGGCCAGGGCGTGAAACAATCTCCGCTATGGCGCGAGCCTGCAAGCAGAAACCCGGTTGGGGAGCCAGCTGAAAAGTCAGAAGCAACAGGACACAGCCCGGCGTGGCTTGCGGCACGCCCGAAAGCGTGCATTATCTCCTACGCGATGACAACATTGAAATGACAGATGTTGTCCTCGAGACTCGGATGATGGCCGGGTTTCACTTCGCTAACCCAGCGAACCGGCGCTCAGATGCAAGCTGAGTTTCACTTACGATCGAAGAATTGGTTAGAGGATGATGTCTGCTATTAATTATAACATTCGCGTGCCCGTATTCACTGAGGGACTTTATAATGGAGACAACCACATGGCTCATCTCGGATGACTCTCCAAAGTTTGAACATGGGATTCACGGATAAAGAGGCTACCCAGTTGGCGAAAGGGTCTAGTTGAGTCATCAGAAGAACGCAGGTTTCATGTATCCTATTCTATGTCTAAGGTATCTTCAACCGCTTGATGTAGTGAAATCACTCCAAAACGCTATAGCTTGTAAGTAGAAGGATCAACGTACGGCGTACCACCACGCCGGTTGAAGCCCCAGCGAATCTGGGAGGCCATCGAGATCTCCGTGTCCAGATGCTGGGCAAAAGTCCAAGCCAGGCCGGGGTCCTTTTGGAACCCGCGTCCCACAAGCGCCACGTCCAGCCCGTCCTCCTCCAGCAGACTATTCGCCAGCTTCCCGTTGGTGATGCTCCCCACCGTCGCAACGAGAAGCTTGTCCCCAACCGCCTGCTTGACCGCAATCCCGAACGGCGCCTGGAAGGCCGGGCCAGCCTTGACCTTCTGCGCGGAGTGGACACCGCCCGTAGAAACGTCGATCAGATCGACAGCCCCCTGCGCGGCCAGGGCCTCGGCGAAGCGCACCGTGTCCTTGGCCGTCCAGCTCTCGGCGGGCAGCGTGTCCTCGACCCAGTCGGTAGCCGAGACGCGCAGGAAGACGGGCACCCTGTCGCCGACAACGTCGCGCGTGATCTGCGCAATCTCCAGCGACAGCCGGATGCGGTTCTCGAACGAGCCGCCGTACTCGTCGGTGCGGGTGTTGGCCTGCGGCGACAGGAACGACGAGAGCAGGTAGCCGTGGGCGTTGTGGATCTCGATGAAGTCGACGCCCGCGGCGAGCGCCCGCCGCGCCGCCGCCGCCCAGTCCTTCTTCAGCTGCCCAATCTCCTCAATGCTCAGAGCCCTGGGCTGGCAGTGCGCCTCGTCGAAGGGCACCGCGCTCGGCGCCACAACACGGTCGGGCCAGCCGCCGACCTTCTCGGTGGCGATGACGGCCTCGTTGGCCTTCCAGGGCGCGACGGTGCTGGCCTTGCGGCCGGCGTGCGCGAGCTGGATGCCGATGATCTGGTTCTGGCTGTGCACGAAGTCGACGACGCGCTTCATGGGCGCGATCTGGGAGTCCTTCCACAGCCCCAGGTCCTGCGGCGTGATGCGCCCCTCCGGCTGGACGGCCGCCGCCTCGATCATGATCATGCCCGGCCCGCGCTGGGCGATGCTGCCCAGGTGCACCAGGTGGTAGTCGGTCATGTGCCCGTCTTCGGCCGAGTACTGGCACATTGGTGAGACCTGGTTATCGGTTAGTATCAGGGCAGAGGTGTGGTAGGGGCCTTGAAAGGACATACACCAAGGCGGTTCTGAAACCTCACGCCGCGGACTGTGAAGGGCTGGTAGAGCTTAGGTACTGGCCTGCCGCTAGTTTGGGGATCGGCGGCTGTTCCCGCCGGGGGATTCTGGGCCGGGGTAAAGTAGGAGAGGCCAGGTGCGGCCTCAATATCGACGTCTGGAAGCAATGCCATTGTGTAAGTTTGTAAGTTGTCTGACGATAATGTGCCGGTTATCCTGATGAGTGCGGAGTTGTTGACCCAGTGGAAGAAAAGGGGCTCATTTTGCGAGTTATATACATGGCCTCTAACGGCAATAGCAATGGTATCATAGCCATCGACCCACTTTGCTGAGAAATCCTTCAGTTTCGGAAGATCTATAACTAGTATGTTGCTTTGAAATCGGGGCAATCGCCGGCGACCAATGTCTTCCGGTCGCACTAACTACCTCGGGCGTTCGGGGTTTCCGTGATCTTGGCCACAAACTCCACACCGCCGGTGGAGTTCACTCGGCATTTGCTCTTGTGGGGGTGGGCATTGGATGCTCAAGAAGTGTCCTTTGAGGTGCGCTTTCCCAGTCGAACCAATGTGGATAATCCCGGAGATATCAGCGCCCTAAATAATCTCCGGGGGGGTTGTTAGGAGTTAATACCAAAGTTTCTTACGGCCTGTCCCGTTCTCGCGCCAACCTAAGATGGATGAACCTAAAATATTTCGGATTTAGGGTCGCTGAGAGTGGCGATACCGATGGAGCAGCTGTCGGTGAATTATGCACCCGTAGGGCGGGAACTGCGCGGGAACTGCAAGCTGCCCCGTCTGCATTCAGGTGATGACTCAGCAGGGCCGACCAAAGGCTTTTCCGACTGTTTTGCCAGACGAGATCCCGTTCGCGTTGCCGGTTGACGGCCGCCTCCGTAACAACCACAAACGGCGCCCCGGACGGAGGCCGAAAGGCATCGTTCATCCTACTTCGCTCACACCCATCGCGATGGAGGTCCATGTCAGGCGCCAGGATCCCATCCCCGACTGGGGATGCGACCCAGCCGCGTCCGAGTCGCCGACCCTCGAACAGCCGGTGATGGTGGCCTAGCTCGTTCGCACCATTCTTTGAGACAATGCATGAAATAAGATCTTCAAAGTTACTCATTTGGCCAGAATTGGGTGGTAAATTTGCATCAGCCAACCGCCACGCTCGCACAAGCATCTACGATCATCACACCCAACTTGAAGACTCCCCCTTTTCATATAGGGACCTTCTGGGGCCTAAGAGATACGAGAAATCCGTGGACCGTTGCGAACTCGGGCTCATCTTCCATCACGACTCGTCCTCGTACATCAACTCTACAACCATACAGCCATGATTCCTATACCTAGCCCGACCGACGCAAGGCAGATAGGGAGCCAATGCCCACTTCCCCTCGCGGTGGTTGCACCACTAACGCCTACGCCTTCTCCACTCGGAAGAGGCGGAGGAGGCGGAGGAGGCGGAAGTTGGCCTGTGGTGGGAGTGAGGGTTTGCTCAGATGTCGTACTCGAGGACTCGGAAGACGGCTCGGAAGACGACTCGGAAGACGATTCGGAAGACGACCCGAAACCCGGGTCGAACGAGGTGATTCCCTCCAAGGAGGCCAGCGACGTAGCGGCCGCGGGGGTCGAGAACGTTACCGTGGGCGTCATGGCCTCGAAGGACTGCCTTGCGTCGGCCGAGTCCGTTGCGAACACCCTGACAGTCGTCCGCGTCGTACGAGCCGAAGATGTCACAACGGATGCCCGAATGGAAATGTAGTACGTCCAGTAGTAGTAGTAATATGTCCTGTAGTATGACGGGATTAGTCATCATCGCCGCTGCTCCCTCCACAGGTATCGAGTTACATACCAGGTGACGGTATAGTAATAAGTACGTGTCTGAATCCGCGTCGCCGTGCGACGGGTCGTCGTCGTACGCACCGGCCGGGTCGTGAACCTCGTCGTCGTAGAGGCATAAGTTGTCCTGCCATTCTCGACGTGTGCTGTGCACCGCAGATCGGTGCAGCATACCATGCGGTTATCGTCAAATAGGATCACGCAGATGTTACCGGCTTCGCAGTATTCGCCGTTTCTGCAGCACTCGCTGCCGATGGGGTGGCAGTTGTTGTTCTCGCAGCAGGTTTGCCCTGACGGGCAGGTGCCGCTGGGACAGCAGACGCTCCCGGGCGGGAGACAGAAGCCGTTTCTGCAGCACCTGTTGTTGGAGGGACAACACCGGCCGAATGCTGGACGTCGTTAGAAGAAAGACCACAGCTTCGGGACAAGGTGGACTGGGAACTTGCATGAGCAGTAACCCCAGCCTGGGTCGCAAGACTGGCGCTTTGCTGGCGACATGGGGTAAGCGGGGCCACTGGCCACGGAACCGCTGTCGTTTGCAACGATGAGGGGCATGAACTGAGCCTCATGGAACGCAGGAAGGACAACCTCGTCCGCGACGACCTCTGTACGAGGCTCGGCCGGCTTTGCCCATCTTGCGCCGATAGTCGCCAGAAAACGAGTGGCGTAGTTCCCGACCGAGGACCACATGCTTGCCTCTTGTAGACTCGAACCAAGCAACTTGTCTTTTAGACGAACGATGACAGTAAAACCAAGGCAGCCACTTTGCGTCGACTCGAGCAGCGGTCCATTGCTCAGAGTGTCTACGGGGCAAAACGAAGCAACAGGCGACAACTCGAAGTATTTATGTCCCTGCTCAAGTCTAATGAAAAAAGTGACCAACGCAGAGACATCCGCTCACTCATTCTCCGGTCGACAGGTGCTCGATATTCGCAGTGTCAGCCCGCGAGCCTTGCCGCCGATCATAAGCTCGGAGGAACGCGGGGCCGGGCCAAGGACGCCCGAGGCGGCCATGATGCGGCCGAGCATGCACATATTATACTGTACATGTAGGACAAGGTTAATGCTGCTGAGGGGCGGGGCAGCCACTCGACCATGGAGCTGGCTTTCTTGGAGTGATGGCCGTTGCTGGAAGGCTGCTGCTGTTACTGCAATGAAGGGGGGGAGGGGAGGAGTGCTGTGTAACAGGTTGCGGGAACCCATTAGCCCGAGGGTCCTAGTGGAACGGGAGAGGAGGAAAGGAAAGGGAGGGAAGGCGGGAAAGGGTGGTTGCTCATGTTGCGCAACAGACGGCCTTCACCAGGTTTAGTAGAAGCGAGGGGTGTATTAATCTCGAACCGTACACAATGCTAGATGACATGACATGTCTCGGGAATCATCGACACAGCCTTTATGACCCTCGAGGCCGGCTCAACTTTGATCACATTGAAAGATTTGGTGTACGGGGTGGGGTGTACCCATGACTATGTGGTCAAATGCTTCTTCTCTATGTCTAGATTCTTTACCAAGAAGCTGTTAAGATGGATATAGGAGCTGCGTCAGCATGTGTTCGCCAAACACCCGAGTTCCTCCCAGGTACATACAACCGTACAATATTATGGGTGGTTTACCGCGTCCTGGCCATGAATTTACCCCGCACCGTCCAGTTCAGCTCCTGCGCCTTGCAGTTTGCCAAGACATGTCGGGGAGGGCCGCAAACGTGTTGGTTGGTGAGAAAGAAATTCGCAACGCGTTTGTCAAACAAAAGAAAGTGAACTAACCAGGTCCAGAAACATGCTTTCGCCCTCCCAATGATACCGACAGCTTCTGGTCTTCGTTGTTGTTCACTGGTTCTGGATCCCTGTCAGCAGACACGGAACTTTTATGAGCAAAATTGAAAAAGGAGAATGCCCCTTCCACACTTCCCTGATACGTCAATGAGAACCCCACAACACCACCACGTTTCATCGACGGGATATTCCCATCCCTATTGTTATTTACCAACTGTAGAAAGTGAAAAAAGTGCACTAGGAATTAGGTTCTGCCCTTTGCGCACACTTCTGAAGCAAGGGTCAGCAGCACGGCTCTCCACAACGCAAGTCGAACAACTTACTTGATTGACTGGGAGGTCGATCTGCGTTGAACTTGCGTTGAATTGATGGATTGCGTTGACGAAACTTGCGTTGTGGAGAGCTTTGGTCAGCAGTGAACAGGCCTACCACAGTAGGCGCTGCCTCCTTGACCGGCTCCCCTGAGCTACGCGTTCGAGCCTCGGAGGTATCTTTTTTATGTTTTGTTCTTTTCGTTCCATGTCCTCATGTCTTCTTATTCCTTCTATCTATTCCTATTTCCTCCCATTACTATTTTTTACATTTTTATCTTCTTTCCATCTACATCCCATCCCATCACCGCACCATAAAACCGGCATTTCGTTACCCTAGACAGTTGTTATTTCAATTCTGCTGCCATACATTTGCGGTTTCGCAGTCGTGCATCGTTATTATCGGAACGAGTCGCAGAGTTCCCAGAAAGACTCGACCTGGAAGTGATTCGAGACCCCTGAAGCCCAAAATGGTAGTGATGCGAAGGACACAGCCCAGTCTCGAGTCCACTAATTGATCTCCATTGTTTCGCAAATGATCGTCGTCTTGTTTTGAGAAGAGGAGTTCCCAGCAAGGACCACGTTTCCTATCCCCCGATCTTGCCCTTCGTTGTAACGCGTGGCTGAGTTCCCCTCGTTTCATCTGCCCGGTGGTCTCCCCATCCGAGCGTTCTCGACTCAACGCCACAGGGACTATCCTGCAACCAGGAAGCTTAGCCCTCCGTCCCAACTCCATCGTACCCTAAACCGTGTTACTTATGCAATGAAACAGAGAAAGCTTCAGTTCAGGCACCGCCTTGGCACGAGCATCCGATCCTTACCATTCACGATAACACAATGCTCTAGGCCGTTGGCGGGCTCGAGTTAAAACGACCAGACCATCTCAATAGCAATCCAATTCTCCTTTCTCGACAGTGTGCTTTCTCCCAGCTCTCGTTGTGTCCGTCCTGTCACCCACTTCCATTCTTCATTCAACACCAGCATTGACTGCTGCTGCTGCACTTTCCCTTCCACACTTTTCCCATCTTCATCGGTTCCGGCAACCACCTAACCAACCAAACCAACCAACCCCCCCCAAAAAAACAAAACAAAACCAAAAATGCATTTCACATCCTCCTTCCTCGCCGCCGCCGCCCCTCTCCTCCTCCTCGGCACCACCACCTCCGCCTTCCAACACCACAACCGCGGCGTCGCCGGTAAGCCCCTCCACCCTACCCCCCTTATCACCCCAACCAACCAAAAGTACTAACCCCAGCCTCCCGCAACAGCAGCAGCCACATTCACAACCTCGGTCCTCCCCCGGGACGTCGCCGCCCCTGCCGCCGCCGCCGCCAAGACAGCTGCTGCAGCTTGTGGTGGCGCTGCTGCCGCTGGTGAAGATGCTGGTGCGGCTGGGGCCGTGACCAACTCCCGCGTGAGGAGGCGGCTGTTTGGAAGGGGGAATGGGAATGGTGGTGGTGGGGGGAAGGGTAAAGGCAAGGGGAAGGGGAATGGGAATGGGAATGGTGGAGGTGATGATGATGCTGGCGATGATGCTGGTGGTGATGCTGGTGGTGGTGCTGGCGGAGGTGCCGCTGGAGGCGCTACGGGTGGTGCTGCTGGCGGTGCTGCGGGCGGTGCTGCGGGCGGTGCTGCTGGTGGTGCTGCTGGTGACGCTGGTGACGCTGGTGACGCTGGTGACGCTGGTGACGCTGGTGACGCTGGTGACGCTGGTGACGCTGGTGACGCTGGTGACGCTGGTGGTGACGCTGGCGGAGGCGCTGCTGGTGGTGCTGCCGGTGGTGCCGCTGGTGGTGCTGCTGGCGGCGCTGCCGGGAACGGCACTGCTGGCGCTGGCGCTGGCGCTGGTACTGGCAACGGCGCTGATACTGGCAACGGTGCCGGCAATGATGCTGGGGCCGGGAATGGCAATGGTGCTGGCACCGGATTTCAAGGCGGAGCCGGTACCGGCGCTGGCAACGGAACCAACACCGGCGCTGGCACCGGGGCCGGCGGTTCTGGGTTTGACAACGGAGCCGATTCTGGAACTGGTACAGGAGCTGGCACCGATTCTGATAATGGGGCTGACGCCGGCACCGGAGCTGATGCCGGAACTGACTCCAACACCGGCGTCGGAGCTGGCGTAGGAGCTGGCGCTGGGGCCGCAACCGGTACCGGGTTTGGTGAAGGGGCAGGCGCTGGGTCTGGTGCCGGAGCGGATGCCGGAGCTGACACCGGAGCTGACACCGGAGCTGGAGCCGGGGCTGGAGCCGGACTTGGCGCCGGTCTTGGCGCCGGTCTTGGGGGAATTGGTGAGCAGCTGAAGGCTGGACTTGGGGCCCTGTTGGGTGGTGGAGCATGAAGACATGCTAGTCTATGGTGAGCTAGCCTGTTGTCGCACATCTCACACAAAGGGCGAGTTTGGAATTGTTAGTGGGAAGTCGTGGGGGTCCGAGTCAATGCCCACGGCTTCGGTAGAAGGGAAGGAGGAAGGTCTCTGTATGAATGTATAACACCAAATAGCTCGCTACCTATCATCAACAACCCATCAAGACCGCGCTAGATTCCTTCCTACTTGCCGCTTGCATCTCATCCTTGTTAGACGATATGTTGAGCCTTCGCGCCCCATTGTAGCGCAATGAAGGGGGTCCGAATATCTGCAATCTCGCGCAACTCCATGAATGACAATGAGAGGTGCGTGGCATCTTGGTTATGTCTAACTTCGAAAGGGCGGAGTCTAGATGCGTCGGTGAGGAAAGATCTCCAAGGGTGTGATGTGGCTTGCTCATCGTCATCTCGGCCCGGCCCGGCTACTCGGACATCCGCGATCTTCAATCTCCACGGAGTGAAAATGGAAGTTGCTTCTCCAAGACTAGTCAGTTACCTAAGTGTTTCTTTTGATGCTTTCCGCGGCCGAATTAACTGAGATGGAGGGCGGCCAGCTCATCCGACTCAAACCGCCTTCATCACCAAAACCTCCAAGTTGAGGGCGACAAAAGCCCTAGTCACTCGTTTTAACCAACTCCTGTCGTTCGTTATTGTTTTCTTACCTTGTTGCGATGCATTTTATTACTCTTCTCGGTCTTGCGACCTCAATCGCGTCACCACTTGCTTCCGCCGTCGCATCGATCAGAAACGATGGAGTTCCGGAGGATCTCGTCATCCCCGATACCTACATTGTTAGATACAAGACCAACATCGATGTCGTCGGAAGAATCCAGCACGAAATGGATATTGATGACATGGCCAAAAAGGCTCACAAGAGGGGCATCTTTGACAGATTCGATATCCCCGGCCTGCAGGGCTATGTTGCCGAGATTTCGCCCTCGGAACTCGGCAATCTCACTGCGTGCGAGTTGGTGAGCAGCTGTCAGACATCTTCCCGGGCTTCGTTAACCCCCGTAGATTGACCATGTCGAACGAGACACCATCATCAAAACCGCAGCCGTGGCCGCAAGGCCGGGTCTCGCCAAGCGCACCATGGTCAAGCAGTATAATGCGCCTTGGGGCCTCGCCCGCATCTCTCACCACAACAAGGATCACCGGGACTATGTCTACAGCGACACCGCCGGCACTGGCGTCTACGTCTACGTAGTCGACACGGGCATCCGCACCACCCATGCCGACTTCAAGGGCCGCGCCATCTGGGGCACCAATTTCATCGCCTCATCCTCGGACTCGGACGAAGACGGCCATGGCACCCATGTAGCAGGCGTCATCGCCGGGAAGACGTACGGCGTGGCCAAGAATGCCACCGTCATTGCCGTCAAGGTGCTCGACAAGACCGGCACGGGGAGCATGTCCGGGCTGCTGCAGGGTCTGAACTGGGCCGTAGCCGACGCCAAGAAGCGCGGCGTGGTATCAAAGGCCGTCATCAACCTATCCGTGACGGGAACCTACACGCAGTCGGTCAATGATGGGATCAAGGCCGCGACGGATTTGGGGATCACGGTCGTTGCGGCTGCCGGGAACAAGAACGACGATGTGGCGCACTGGTCGCCGGGTTCCGCTCCGTCGGCTATCACTGCTGGGGCAATCGATGAGGATGACCAACGCTGGGAATCGTCGAACTTCGGGGCAGGGGTGGACATCTTTGCCCCCGGAGTCAACGTTCACAGCGCGTACAACGGCGATGACAACGAAGACGCGTGGATGAGCGGGACCAGTATGGCAACGCCGCATGTTGCTGGACTAGCCGCATATTTTATAGCCAGGGAGGGTCTTTCCGGAAGTGAGGTGAAGGAGCGAATCCTGGGTATTGCTCACGAGGGGGTTGCAGACAGAAAGGAGGGGGCTGATAAGATTGCGTATAACGGAGACGGAGCATAAACATAAGGAAGGGGGGCTGCCATTGATTCTGATTCTTGTGTAAATTTGGTACCGGCCAGCCGAATTCTGTCTATAACGGTCCAGTTCATAAAACTAATACATCTATTGCCCTCATCGTTGGTATCCTGTGCCTCGTCCCGCTCCCCCTCCCCCCAAATAACTACAAGAAACACCACCCCCTGAAATTCAACCCAAACACCTCCTCTCCGCCAACCTCCAACCCACACCAATCCACCCTCAACTCACATCGCCCCCAAGACCCCCTTCAGAATCTTCATATCCTCATTATCCCTCCTCTTCCTCTCCATCTCCGCCACCAACGTAACCACCACCTCCCCAAACTGCCAATCCGTCAACCCCTCCCTCAGAATCACCAACCTCCCCTCGCTCCGGCTCGTCCCCCCGCCCGCATCCGCCCCATCCCTCGCCACAAACTTAGCCACATACGCGGCGGCCCCATCCCCGCCATCCTCCATCAACACCATCGCCCCATTCTCCACCACCCACCTCATCTTGCCCTGCGACCCGGCCCCCAACCCCGTCTGGCTCACAAACTTCTTCCGGAACCGATACTGCCCACCCCCCACCCCACCCCCCACACCCCCGGGGCCATGGAGATAGGCGTCCGCCTTCTCGGTCGTCAGGCTGTGGAACAGCGCGCCGCCCAGCTCGGGCCCGCTGCCGTCGCCGCCGCGGTGGATGGTCAGCTGCGGGGTGAGGGAGAGCGAGGACGGGTAGAGCACGGTGAACAGGGGTGCGGAGCGGTCCGGGGTCAGGAAGGTCATTTGCCGCTTGGAGGTCTGCACGAAGGGGTACTCGATCGGGTTGTACATGTACCCGCTGCCGCTGCCGGTGTTGGGCTGGGGTTGGTGGTAGGGTTGTTGTTGTTGTGGTGGTGGTGGTGGTGGTGCTTGGTGCTGTGTCGGGTAGGGTTGGGGTGGAGGGGCGTAGGTTGGGTATTGGCCGTACGGGTGTTGGTATCCTTGGGGTGGGAAGTTTGGGTTTTGGTTCCAGCCCATCGTGTTGGGCGGCGGCGGCGGCGGCGGCGGGAAGCCCTGGGAGAATTGGTTTTGGGGTTGGTGTTGATGCATGTTTTGTTGGGCGTAAGGGGGTGGTGGCCCAAGAAGCGTCTTGACGAATGATGACATAGTTTCTCGTGAACAACGATACGGTTGAGAGATGTGGCCGATGTGTGCTTGACTGGGTACAATGAATAGGGCAAATGAATAAGTAAGGAGGGAGTCAACTCAAGTTGGGCTCTGCTGGTATTTGTAACCCGGCCCAAGCCAGGAGTAACCCATCAAAACCACATGATCGACGTCAGATTGACGACAAAGGAGTGTATCCGACAGTGGTCAAGGGAGCGGCCAAGACTGCCCTTCGCCTCTCTCCTCGTCCTTGAGTTGAGTGGATCACTTCCAGAAATGGAAATACTCGAGGCCACAGTCTGTGGCACAGCCACTGTCAGCGACGTTGTCCCAAAACGTTCAAACCGCGCGCTGAGCGCCAGTGGCACAGTGGGCCCCGCGGACCCCCGAAAGCTTTCTCGGCAATCAACCAATTGTAATCTGTAAACACTTCCTGGATCCTCGACCTGTCCACGAGAAAGTCTCCATTTTCTGCGTCCCTCCCCTTTTCCAGACCCGGTTTGCCCATCGAGCTGCCGAGTATGCCTTTAGGCTTCAGCTTAGTAGTGCTGATCCAACCCAATGCCCTGGAACTGCAGTGTGTTGTGGTGCCACGAGTATGTTGCCGTCTGTCCTGGGCGTCGACAAACGTGGATACCACCAAGTTTCTTGGGAGGGATTATGGAAGGTAACTCGACGATAAGGCGTTGAATGCCCAAATAGCTAAATGTGTGTGATACAAGGAAACGGAATCCCGTATGCACAGGTGGAAATATCCTTCAAACTCGGCCCTCTTAATGGGTTGGAGTCCAGAAGGCCTTCCACATACCATTCCGCCGCTTGCTCCAGCGAGTTTTCGTGGGGCGAATAATGATATGATTGATACTCAGGACCTCCAAACCCCAACGGCAACGGGTCTGTCATAGTAAACTCGGCTCCATGAAGACGGCTAAAAGACGTGTCAATTTCATGTACCGGACCCGTGACCATACCTGCTGCTGCCGCCTTGTTGCGCAGCACATCAAAGGCATCTGCCCAGACACCGTTGCGTACCACGACGTCGGACAGGTTGAGCTGCCTAAGGTTGCTGCCGAGGCCACGGCAAAAAGCGTTGAGCGTTCTTCCCTCTAGCTCGAGGCAGCGAAGATGCAAGTGTCGTATCCTGGGCAGCTTCCGCAGCTTATTGAGAATGGAATCGGCGCGATACGCCTCTTCAGAGCCCTCGTATTTGCCGGTATTGATGGATACGTCCCTGAGGTCAAGTTTCAATATGCGCAGTTGTTGCCCACACCGAGACAGGATCGCCCCTAAGAAATTGTCGAGATGGGATTTGTCTTTGTCGGGGAGGGGAGCTTCTCTGCCATCCCAGCAATTTGCGATATCAAAATCGAAGGATTCGAGCCTCTCACACGCAGTGGCCAGCTCGTCCCACGCAGGTGCTCCGTTGTGGTCTCGAGCACAGAGCATGGAAAAATTGGTGAACACCGGAAGGCTGCCGATCCGAATCTGTGTCACGCCGACGCTTGCCCGACGCAAAGCGATCGGCATCTCCCAGAGAAGTCGCACGGATTCCAACTTACAGATCGCCTCTTCTGGCCAGACCGATTCTTCCTCGACGTCTTGGAAATTCAGCGGATCTTGCATCGAGCAAAAAATAAGCTTTTTGTCGTTCAGCCACTCGGCGTGGTCGCGTTCAGGAGCGTTCGGATGCCACTCGTCGACGAAGTTGAAGCAGTGAACGTTTGGCATCCGCGAAGCTGCTGCCGCAAGTGCATTTGCAAAGTTGCAGTTTCGGAGGAGGTCCTGTTGCTCCTTTTGCAAACGACAATACTCGGCGTATCCCTTCTGGAAGATGGCCTGGCACTCCGGGAGCGGCCCCATGAGTGTCTCTCCGCGGACGGTCGCATCGACGTATTCATCCCACTCATCGTAAAGGCGCCTGTAATTTTCCAATGCCCGCCGTAACTCGACCGCCCTCTGCACCAGTTCTCCGTCTTTGCTACTTTCATCAAAGTTCTCGGGTGGCCAGTAGTTGTAGGCAACGTCATGCTCACAGTGACCTGCGAACTTGGACAGGGCTCGTAATCGCGCCCGCGTAAATCGCGTGATGTCGTCGGCGTACTCCTTAGGCCGATACCCAAGGGAAATCTGGATACCCCGGACGCCGGCCGCGATGTCTGGAGTTTGAGAGATCTTTTCGACCAGATCGAGGGAAGTCCGAGTCAGTTGGACCCGCAAAACTGGGAACAAGAGCGGTGTTGCCAGCTCATAGAACAAGCGACAGACAAGGCGAAGCTTGCGGACCGTCCGCCTTCGCCTGCGGGTTTGAGTGATTGTATATTCATGCCAGCAGACGCTGCGATGGCATTCCCAGCCTTCCGTTAAAGCGTCATCTTGGAAGTTGTGAAATATGATATGCAGGATGTCTAGAGGCAGGTCGTTGATTTTGAGCGGGCGTAACCGACTGCGGGAAAGCTGCAGTGCTCTGGAACGAAGCAGCTGTCGACGGGGGTCGAATGTGCGTAGGATGGGGTCGCTTTTGGCGTCTCGTATCACCTGCACCGCCGACTTTTGGTACCGGGAGTTCAGATATAGACTGTTCTTGTCCGGAAGCAGCAGCATTTCCCTGGTGTCGAGGTGGCGCAGTTCGTCGTAAGCCGTCGCAATGTCGAGAGACGATGCATCGGCTCTTGCATCGAGCCACGCCGCGATCTCCTGTCGCAATTGCGCGAGGATATCATCTAGGTCTGGGACCGGCTCCTCCCCGTTCTGCCATCGTGATTCTTCGATGACCGAGCCCTCGCTGGTCTCGTCTGAGTCCATTGCATTTAAGAGTCGCGGTGGGGTGTGCATTGTGCATCGAGTGGAATGAAGGAAGGGTGGCTGGCTTAAGTAGGTAAGTCTTTTAAAAAAGAATTACTGTGTAACAATCATATCCAAAAGCTCGGCGTGACTCAACAATGGTATTTATTAACTGGTAATCAATCAAGCAGCTCCTTCCATCTGCACGCGAGGTTCACGGCTCCCAACCAAGCACGAGCCACGGAGAGGACTCAAAAGAGTTTGTTGTTTCTAGCGATTACGAGCAACACTATCACCTCCCAGATAGCTGTGGCAACAGCATCTAGAGAACATCCTTCCCCTTTTTATCACCAACACAGCCAACATGATGATACAACCGCCATGTCAACGAGCACGAACCCCCCCCCCCCCCCCCCCCCCGCAACGTCTCGACCATCATCTCAATCACGCGCACCTTCGCTGATATGATTCCGCACTGAATGCATCTACCACCTCGATACCTTCCCCCTCGTCTTCCCATCCGGCATGTACCACCGTAAATAACGCAACCCCACCGCCATGACCAGGCACCGCCAGTCGGGTGCACGCGCGTGTACTAGAAGCCAAGCTCTACCGTAGTTGGCCGCGGGGATGAGGGCGTCGCTATTCGGTGTTCGGTGAGGTGTTGGGGATGGGAGGGCGATGCGCCCGAGCGGTAGCGGGTAGGAATCTAGCCTGGCCGGTCGACTCATCGGAACGCTTCCACCGCAGTACCTTGGATGTCAGCAGCAACAGTCCCGTCAAGACCATGCAACACGGCCATGATGCGGGGCGTTCAACACACGAGCAGCTCCTTACCGCCGCGGCTGGGCTTTTCGTTGCGGCTCCGTGGTCCCGGTTCAGGGAGGGAGGACATGCCATGTGTAGCGCGAGGCCATGGTGACACCGGCCGAGGACCGGGCTTGCGTTGTGGTTTGGTGCCAGGCGCCGTTCCACAACTGCAGAGGGTTGTCTACCCATTGAAGACAGCTCCCCGGTAGCCGGGCATTCAGCCGGTGTTGCGGCTCAGCCTCATAGCTGAACAGGCCGGAATAGTGGGCCCATCCGGCACATTCCGGTGCCGGTGTCGACTCTGCGCAACAAGTCGGGCAAACCCGCGCTGGCGATGAAGTTGACTTGACCTTTGGGGGTTAGTTGGAACTTAAGGCGAAGCATTTTTGGGGCTAGACAAGGTAGAAGACATGGGCAAACCATGCCTGCTTGCATCACCGAGACACGCGAACACCTCCTCAATGTCGCCGAAGACCAGGGTCGAAAACCCGCGCAAAAACAGACCGTCGGGGCACTAATAGCGCCACTACACAGTATCTCCGGCGTCGGTGGCCGCAATGAGATGCTTGTTTCAAATCCCAAACTAGTTTCATGCAGGCCAAACGCAAGACTGCCGATTTCGAATGCTCAAGTTGGGAGTGGCTGAGAGGATCCTTGACGTGTCTCAACGCCCGCGCGCCTCTTCTCCACAAAGTAAACGTTAGTGAGCATCGCGCCCCCCCGCGCATCTTGCATCTCACCAGACACGTGACAAAGATCTCGAAGGGTGTGCCTTGAAATCCGGGGGTGAATGTACGCTGGCCCGAAGGGCGTTCGCCTCGGGAAGCCGGCAGGAACCAGGCCCAGGCCGGCTTCGGATTCCATGCCCGGGAGGCGAGGAGGGCTGCAAACTTTGTATGCGAACGAAAGCCGCGCCACAGCACTCGCACTCGACTCTCTCAAGAATCCGAACATGGTGAGTGACAAAATCGACATTCCTTCTAGAGTGTCGATCGAGACATTCCCGTCATCGCCACGCGACCCAGACGCTCGTCAGCCAGCAAGGCACGTCAGGGATCCGACTCGACATACACGAGTAGAGTACTTGCGTCTGCAGTAGCTCCTGATAGGCGAGAAGAGCGAGTTGGGAGAGTGGCATCATATTAGGGGTGCCCCATCGGGCCCAGTCTTGCCATCCCAGCACCACGGGTTGAGACCCGGGCCGCAAGTAGACAATGCAGTGTAACGACGATCGGGCGTGAGTGGTCAGGCGAAGCTGATCCCGGCACCACCGAAGGCAGAAGCTGTGGCGGTTGGGCCAAATTCGGTCGCTCGGTATCCCCCTTGGGTCGCTGGCAATCATTTGAGCAAGAAAAGAGGACCTGATCCCCTCGGCTCATGTCCCGCGGACTCTCCAATGAGCGACGCGAAGCCACTTCGGTCTGTGACTAAAAATTCCTTCCTCTTTTCCTCAGGTCTGAGACAGCGAGCTGATTCGAGAGACGCATCGCGCCATGATTTCAATGTTGTCGTTCTCGTTGCGGGGTCGAAAGTCGGAATGGGAACCGAGTCCGCAGCAAGCGGCCGCCAACGGCAGCCCGGCCGACCTAAGTTGGGGAGGGAAAAAAAAAAGACATCAGCGTGACTACTATGTAGTAACTACGAGGGTCATCAAGTGTGCGTCAACTCGGCCGACCGAACACGCGTCACGATGTCGGGTTGGTGACACTCTTCTCAACTTCGAACCTCGAGTTTCGTCTTGACGACGACGACCGGGCATTGCTGACCCGCCGAAGGCGCTTTCTCGGGCTTGTTGCTTGTTTCGTCACCAAGACGATCTCATTGGGCGAGGATCGAACCTCGGAAGCTTGTGTGGGCATCGCCGAACCATTGAATTCTGCCTCGATGTGCATGTTGGATGGCACTCAACGGCAGACTTTTGGAGACCCCGCCATGGGTTGTCGTTAAAGTTCAGCGAGCGGATCGGGCACGTTGCGATTCTAGACCCGGCTATTGGCCCAAGAATTGCCCCTGTGCCCCACGCCAAGCAAATCTCCCGGTCTTGGCTGCATCGAGACCCAGCCGCATGTTTGGAGGCAAGGATCTCAGAGGCTGCTTCTCGAAACTGCAACTGCTGGCAGGAATCCCACGGCGGTCCCACGGCGGTCCACCTCGCGGTCGAAAAGGTCGAAAAGGTCGAAAATATCGAAGAAAAAGTGGCAATACCGACGACCCAGACATGCGAAGCCCACATTCGAGCATGGCCGGTGATCCAAAGAGGGCGGTTTGCCCGACAATGCAGGAAGGGCTCGCATTTCGAACCCGGGGGCCGTTCCGGGACCGATACGTTGCATGTGCAAATAGGAAAAAAAACAGGACATCCAGACAGAAGAGACAGTCGCAGTGGGAGATGCGGCGGAGTCGAAGTGCAGCGTTCGGGTAAACAGGTTCGAACATCTTTTGATGGTTGCCGATCGCGACGAAGATGCCCTCCCACAGGACGAGAGAGCCTGCGACGACAGCCACAACACCACCTCGGAGTGCTCAGAATATCGAAAAATGATATTCAGGAGCCCTGCAATGACACCCCACGTCCAGAGTCACCCCGTCAAGGTGGGATCGTGATGCCCCGATTCGATACCCTGCCCCGGGCCCCAAACTCCCAACTGCTGCCCACTGGGCCCCTGCAAGCTTCGAACGCCACATGGATCCCGCAGCTTGTCCATTTGGTCTGACCGAGCATCTCGCCTGGCGGCAAACGCCTTGGGGGCACGTTCCCCCCGCACGACGACGTGAGAGGCCCGCGCAGATCGGTCCCCCCCGTCAAAGCGACGAGAAGGACGACCGACTCGGCCCGCCAAGACTGCCTTCAGCCCCTCCGTTCCACCCCGCCTACCAACCAGGGCTTTTCTTCCAGGGTTCGGTCTCCCGAGTCGCCAAGCTGCGGATGCAGGAAGGGTGGTTGGTGGACCAAAACCTTGCGTCCTCGGTCGGGGCCACCGTCCCACGTGTATGGTAAGTCGCCCCAGGAGGCCCCTAGCTGATCTTGCTCATTGACCCTGCCCGTGCCTGCTTGGTTAAATACAGAACAGCCGGCTCGTGTCTGATTCCTCACCATCCCTTCCGCTACCAGGTCGATCAACCCAAACAACAGCATACGCGCTGCTGTCTCACCCGAGCACGCGACTGCAGACCAAGCGACTCTCAATCGCCCAAGATGGTTCTGCACCAGTACGACTACCTCTTTGCCATCGGCACCATCTTTGCCGGGCTTGACGCCTGGAACATTGGTGAGCAGCTCCCGACGAAAACACCGATCAGCAGCACCCAGCACCAGGGTCGGGTCATTTCCTCAACACCAGATTGCTAACAGAAGCCGTCTCACAGGTGCCAACGATGTGGCCAACTCGTGGGCGACTTCGGTCGCTTCGCAGTCCGTGACCTACCTCCAGGCCATGCTGCTCGCCTCCGTCATGGAGTTTGCCGGTGCCGTCGGCGTGGGTGCTCGTGTCGCCGACACCATCCGTACCAAGATTGTCGATATCGACCAGTTCGAGACGAACCCGGAACTTCTCATGCTTGGCATGGTCTGCGCCGTCGTCGCCTCGTCCCTTTACCTCACCTTCGCTACGAGGATCGGTATGCCCGTGTCGACCACTCACTCTATTCTCGGTGGTGTCATTGGCATGGGTGTTGCGTCTCTGGGTGCTGACGGTGAGCAACTCCAAACAATTGGGAGCCAAAAAGACGAATCGCTAACGGATCCATAGGTGTCATGTGGGTCAGCGACACCGGCTCTATCAACTCGGGTGTGGTTCAGGTTTTCCTCGCCTGGATCATCGCTCCCGGCCTCGCGGGCTGCTTCGCCGCCATCCTCTTCCTGATCACCAAGTACACCGTCATGGTCCGCAGCAACCCCGCCATTTGGGCTCTGCGCGTTGTCCCTGCCTACTTTGGCCTGACTGCCATGCTGCTCACCATGTTGCTCCTCTGGAAGGGCGGCGGATACGAGGTCACCCTCACCGAGCCCGAGATTGCCGGTACCATTGTCGGTGTTGGTGCCGCCTTTGCGCTCTTCATCGGCGTCACCCTGACCCCCTGGATGTACCGTGTCGTCATCAAGGACGACTGGCAGCTCCGCTGGTACCACATCCCGATGGGCCTGCTCCTGCTCCGCCGCGGCGAGGTCCCGCCCCCGCCTGAGGATCTCGACACCGGCGTCAAGGACTACTACGAGGGTCGCCTCACCAAGGAGCAGCTCGACGCCCGCAAGGCTGGTGAGCGTGACGATGTCGAGGTTGTCGGCGAGGGTAACCAGGAGAAGACCAAGAACGCCGAGGGTTCCGATGCTGCTTCGACCGAGCGCACCGGCCAGAGCCCCCTGACCAACGTCCGCAAGGCTCCCAAGAAGCTCGTCGGCCCCAAGCCCGAGGGCAAGTGGTACCAAGGCCACGTCCTCTTCTGGTACTTCAAGTTTGCTCTGCTCCGCGGTCTCGACCAGGAGGTCGTCCACGCCAAGAGCACCAACGACAAGCTCGCCGGCAACCTCGAGGAGGTGCACGCCCACGCGCAGCACTTCGACAACCGGACCGAGTACATGTACAGCTTCCTCCAGATCATGACTGCCGCTACCGCCTCTTTCGTCCACGGAGCCAACGATATCGCCAACGCCATCGGCCCCTACGCCAGTGTCTTCCAGATCTGGAACGAGACCCCTCTCGGCAGCAAGTCCGAGGTCCCCGTTTGGATTCTCGTCTTCGGCGCTGCCATGTTGGTCATCGGTGTCTGGACCTACGGCTACAACATCATGCGCAACTTGGGTAACCGCCTGACTCTGCAGTCGCCCTCTCGTGGTTTCTGCATGGAGCTCGGCTCTGCCATCACCGTCATTCTCGCTACCCGCCTGAGTAAGTTCCTCGCGATTCCCCGACCATGCTACCATCAAATGCTAATCGTCCCGCAGAGCTCCCCGTCTCCACCACCCAGTGCATCACTGGCGCCACCGTCGGTGTCGGTCTCTGCTCCGGCACCTGGCGCACGGTCAACTGGCGCATGGTCGCCTGGATCTACCTCGGCTGGATCATCACTCTCCCTGTCACCGGTATCATCTCGGGCTGCCTGATGGGTATCATCATCAACGCCCCTCAGTGGGGTAAGGTCAGGGCCTAAGGGTTTCATGGTGTAGGGCTATGAGGCGGTTGTCATTAAGCGAATCGAAAGTCGCGCCTAGGGCCGCCTTTCGAGATTTTGTACTTCAAATACCCGGGGGTGATGGATTTACTTAGACTTTGATAATTAACATGGATATTGCCATGCAACATCTTCCACGCTTTCGTGTGCCCTGTGTCTGTCAACGTGGGCATCGTGAATGTTGATAGCACGTTTCAAAAGCCAATGCAGATGAAGAGTGCCGGTCAATGGAAATAAATGCACTGAAGACCTGATACTGGCCCAGAACTAATCAGGTGCCTCCCGTCAACTAACTATGGGTATCAAATGCCGCTTGCCTGAACCCCGCCGAACGCCGTAGCCAAAGTCAAAGCCAAGATATGTTGACGCTAACAAAGCCAGTGACCCCTCGTCCAGCTCGTTTTCCCAATACCCGAACATGAGAACCACTACTGAGCCTGGGCAGCATCACCTTTGTCTCCCGCCTCGAAATCTACCCAATCCACCATGTTCAGGTCGTCATTATGGACCGCAGCATTCCCGCTGCTCACCCCGACCGGATTCCTTCCCTCCAACTCCTGCATTATCGTCCTGGCGTTTGTCTTGAGGTTCGCCACAAGAGCCGCGCCGACCATCTCAGCGTGCTGTGCCGGTACAAGAGCAGCAGGGCCAGGAGGCATAACCGCCCTCGTCATCAGAGACCTCCCCTCGTTCACCAGCCTTGCCACCTCGGCCTCCAACTTCTCCAACAGCATCGCAGCCACGGGCGGCGGACACCCGGCCAAGTCCTTGGTCCTGCTTACGCAGGCCAGAATGCCCTCCATGATCTCCACGTACGGTCTGATTATCAGAGCCTGATTATTCCCATGCCCATAGCCATAGCCATCGCCGTTGCCGTTTTGGTTTAAATTCCCGGTTTCCCCATTCACATGATGCCCATACTCTGGTCGCCAACCTCGACGAGCCCCATCCCCCTTCTTACTTCCATTCCCAGGGCCAAGGCCATTCATACCCCCCTTCTCTCCCCGCCCCTTCTGAATCCTCCCCCCCTCAACCCTCTCCCTCCCCCTCTCCCGCACCCTCCCCATCTCAACCCTCTCCCTCCCCATATCCGCCCTCTCCCTCCCCATCCTAACCCTCTCCTCCACAACCCCCCTCTCCCTCCACCCCTCCCACCTCCCCCTCTCCACCCCCCGCCCCCAAACCCCCACTAACTGCCTCCCCAACAACCCCTCATCAAACAACACCCCCGCCGCCGCCTCCCGCTCCGACAGCGCCACCTCCCTCTGAGACAACACACCCTCCCGCTCCGACAGTGCGGCCTCGCGGCTTGCTACCGCGGCCGCGTGCGCGTTGAGCCGGTGGGCCTGGTGTGCCAGGTGGGTGTGCAGCTGTTGCAGGCGGTCGTGCAGCTGGGCGAGGCGGGTCGGGGTGAAGGGGAAGGGGCTGTTGAGGGGGGCGTGGTGGGTGGGGGTGTGGAGGTTGTGTAGGAGGGTGGTGTATTCGTGGAGGTCGGCGGGGGAGATGTGGAGGAGGGTTTGGGGTTGGGTTTGGTGGTGGTGGTGGTGTTGGAGGGGGGGCTGTTGGAGGGGTGAGGTAGTGTTTGGGGGGTTGTTGTTGTTGTTGGTGGATGTGGTGGTGGAGTTGGGGTTCTTGTTGGTTGTGATGTTGTTGTTGCTGTTGTACTTGTCCTTGTCGCTGGCGTCGGTGGCGTCGGTGGTTGTTGTTTCGGATGCGCGGAACGAGTCGTACAGGTCGGAGCATCGCTTTGCGAGTTGCTGGCTCGCGCGGTCGGTCACTGGGAGGTAGTCGGCTGATAGCCAGCGGGTGATGGTGTAGCCGGGGTTGATGGGTTCGCCCCGCCGCCGCCCGTCGAGCCCGTCGTTGCCGAGGACCAGTCGCTGCTTGCGGTAGTCCTCGTGTTCTTGCAGGAGTTGTTCTGCCGTTGGCTCTGGGATGCGACGATCGCCGGTCATGATGACTGTAGTTGCTTCTTGTGAATTGCTACCACTCACGAATGCACCAGGAAGGACCTCAGGCGATCTCAGCGCGCACACTGCCCTTTTAAGCCCAGCAGTGCGCCACGGGCCACAGCCAATTAGAATTCCATCTCGATGCTCCACAACCCGAATTCGGTCAATGTCGTCAAAATAAGCGGGGTATCTCCTGCACAGGACGAGCGTCCCAGGCACGTGATAAGCACGTGAGCACGTCACAGAGCACCTGCCGCCAGGAAAAAGAAGAGTCGTGAACATCGAAATCACCGATAAGTCACAGATATCATGATTGGGCAAGAGATTTATGGTTTAATTTAGGTGGGTAGCTGAGATAGGGAGCTTAGACCCTAAAGGAAGGAGGGCGAGGTGGGGGATCCTCCCACTTCGTACCGTCCTGGGTGCCTCTTGTGTGATATTTGATATTGCTGGCCATTACTTAGTTGAGTTGTTTCTAGCGCAGTCTACAACCATCTGATGATTTTGTTGATTCGGATTGGGGGAGGAAAATGCACGAACGGCCACCCAGGCCCTCTTGGGTACCTGTGATTGTGCTGCATGTTCATGGCTAAGGGGAGTGGGAGAACAAAGTCAACGACGGCTGGGAGCCTCTGGGGATCTGACCAACACGCATCCTACCCGCTGATGGAAAAGACAATCCTGCCCTTTCGCAATAAATTGCCGATGCGGATGATGTATTCACTGAGGCTCCGAGTGGTGTATACCCTCTCCATATAAGAACATCACCCAACTGCCCCTAGAAAGGATCGACCACTGCAGCAGTTTGAAGTTGAGGGTCCATACTGGTCAAAGGGACGGAGAAGCCGAGATTCTTCCTCGTCTATCCTCGAACACTCAATCGAGCCTCACCTGTCTTCAACGACAGGGTCAATTGTTCCTTCACAGAAGCAAAAGCCGCGGACGCGGAGAACCGTATGGTCAATCTCGCCGACGATGAGCCCTCGGCGACGGAGTCATTCCTCAGCGTAGCACACCGCCACCTACGAAATCTCCCCCGTGCTGTTTGTGCACAATCTCGAGGCCTGGTCGACCACACCCACTTCTGTCATTCTACCAAGATCTTGGTCCCCTAGATATCGCCGTGGGCCAATGCGCAGCATGAGGCGATGGCGGTCCCTGAAGTTGCCGTGCCCAGTGTGATTTAGATTAGCTTGGAGCCCTCAGGCACTGGTAGATGTCCGAGCTCAAGGCGCGGCACGTCGCGATGGGGGGATCAGGGTTCGCCTTGATCGAGCGCTCTGCCTTTCAGCAGTTGTCAATGCGGTCAAACGTCATGGGTGCGGTATATGTAGGGCACTTGGCAGGCTCTCCTTGAGATTGTTGTCATAATAGAACACCAAGGAGTATGTTAGGAGTAGGAAGATTAACGAGGAAGTAGAGAGACGGGGAGTTGCAACCCTCATGAGGGAAGTTAGGTTGCATGACAGCAACAGCCCAGACCAACCGACGGTAGTGGTGGCCTCACAGGAAAGAAAGAATTAGCAAAACGAGTTCGTACAAGGTGCCGTCTGAGTTTTGAGTATCCTGTTCGGGACGCCGTCAAGAACGCGGGCTCCGCGCTCCACGGCTGGTAGGTGGCGAAGAATTTGGGGATCAATGGGGGACTCCAAATAACGGATCGGCGAAGAGGTCTATACAATCTTTGGTGATTCGTAGGCCACGGTAGGTACTTTGGCTTTGTGTAAGCGGAACAAACTGCTTCAGAATGGTGACTTATTACCTACTTCCCTCCAGTAGTAGGCCTCTAGCTCTCGTTGATTGGGCTTCTCAACTCACCAAGACGCGGCCAGCACCCTGGGTCACAAGGTCGTTATTCCTAACCAAAGCTCGTAACAAGAAAAGAAGAGCGGGCACAATCTGGGGACTGCGGGCAGAAGAAGGTGTTTACCATATGTTCACATTATCAGGTACGACACGTATATACACGGCCACAGCACACCATGACACCATCCTAGATACCTCTGCACAACATCCAACGCCCCGGACCACCAACCAGCTACCGCCCGCCCTTCTCAAACATCTTCGGCAGCAAAACATCATCAAACGCCCACAGAATCGCCTGAAACTGCACGCTAAACGCGCCCCCCGTCCACCAAGTCTCGCGCCGGCCCTGCAGGGCGTACAGCTTCTGAATAAACCCGCTCTTCAACTCCTTGGCGGGCACGTTCATGTGCATGGCGCCGTGGTCGGCCCAGGCGCGGAACTCGAGCTCGCCAGCCGGGTCGGCCGTCTTGGGCCCCACCGTGCCCTTGGCGACGAGGCGGGCAAAGTCCTGGCGCACCCGCTCCTGGGCCTTCTCCTTGGAGAAGCCCGCGTCGCCGACCATGAGCACGCGGAACAGGTCGGAGCCGCCGCCCATGTGGTCGAAGCGCACGTTGAAGTCGGGCTTGGGCAGGGCCACGTAGTTGGCCGGGCTGGCGGCGCGCGGCGTGTTGACGAGGGAGGTGTCGCGCGGCAGCGACGGGTGCGACACGATGCCCGCGTGGATGGTCGAGTAGCGGAACTTGGAGAAGGCCGATTGCTCGACTACGTCGAGGCCGAAGGGCGCCATGTTGGCCGGCGTCGGCTCGATGGCCATGAGCAGGCGGCGCGCCAGGATGATGGTGACCTTGCCCGAGGCGGACTTGGTCCAGAGGGTGTGGCCGAGCGAGGTGCGGAGGGAGTGTTGGACGACCGTGTTGAGGAGGACGTCGTCGCCTAGGCGGGTTTGGATGGCCTCGTATAGGGCGATGTTGCGGCGGCTGGTGGGCGTGAAAGTGGCGCCCTGGCCAAGGAAGGCCCGGATCATGGGCTGGCCGAAGGCGCCCAGCACGTAGAGGGTCAGGGCGTTCATCATGTCGCCGGTGCCCATGCCTGTGATCTGGAAGACCTGGTTGACGGCGGCATGGAGCTGGTACTTCTCCACGAACTTGCCGAAGGGCATGAGCAGATCCTCGGGGATCTTGCCGGGGGCCGGGAACTTCCAGTAGCCTGGCAGGAAGTACTCCTCGTACGCGGCGGTGGCATTGAGGAAGCGGCCCAGGGCAGCAACGCGGTCCTCGTTGGCGGGAGGGGTGAACTCGACGCCGGCGCCCGAGCTGAAGTCGGCGTACTTGGAGGTCAGGGCGACGCGGGGGGCGGCGCCGACGGCCACGCCCATGCGCTCAAAGAAGGCGCTGGCCGGGCCGTAGTCATTGAAGCTCTGCACGCCAAAGTCATACGGCGTCCCCGTCTTGGGGTCGTCGTAGGTCGAGACATGGCCGCCCTTGGGTAGTGTCAGTGGATGTGTTCCATAGCAAGTAACGGACAGTCCAGAATTACCATGCGGTCGGCCTTCTCAACGACGACAACGCTCTTCTTGAAGTCCTCCTTCAGCCGGATGGCGGCATAGGCACCGCTGGCGCCACCACCGATGATGGCAACATCCCTGGTGACGATATCCGGGAGCCACGAAGTGGCCGAGACGGCGGTGGCAGCGGCGAGCAGACCACCCGCGAATCTCAGAGTGAAGACCATTGTTCGTGCTGGGGAGTCGGGAACGCGTGGGGGACAGGCTCGGATGGGAAAGAACGGACGCAGCCAACCGACTGCTCGGGTCGGGTCTGACTAAGAGGGGGGACCGTGAATGAAGGGTGAGGTGATCACGGAGTTCACTGGTTCCTGGGACGGAGGAGGCATGTGGCAGTCTTATTCACCGCGCCACCACGTGGAAAAGGCCCCGAAGTTCCGAGAGCAACCGACTGGATGGAACAAGCGGGAGGCGGGAACCAAACAGGAACCCGGAACTCGTGTAACAACATGCGCTGCTCCCTGGCGGATACTATCTGCCGAAGCGCTCAAATAACATGGTCGGTTGCCTAGCCTCATTAGCATTACATTGAGACTTGGCTATTGATTCTAGCCCGTGGGGTCACCGCGGGTTGTTGGTTGCAAAAGTTGCTGGGTGATGGCTCAATGGTAAGGGGAAAGGGCCGTCGATGAACCCCCAAGCCGGAGCAACCAACAAACCCCCCAGGCTTGCTCCGGGTGCTCTTCCCTGTCTTGGCTAGGGTTGCGTCGCTCCTGCCCTGGACAGCCCTGGGCTGCGCTTGTTCCAACCCACTTTTTGCCGCCAGCCGAGGATTGCTGAGATGAATAGAACGGCTGGCGGGCTTCCACCCCACTTGGGATCGTGGCCCGTTGTTCCATCTCCAAATTGGCCCCCTTCCTTTCTGTCCTTTCAATGCACTCGGTGGCATTTCCCGAGCCGGGCGGGGTTGTTTCCTGGGTTGAGATTCTTCCTGCCCGTTCTCCTGTGACATTGCGGGACTCGGCCGGCTGCTCTCGTCTGGAACCTCGCGTCACGAAAAATGGAATTCGGCTGCGCCGGCCAGGCGCGTGAAGCTGCTGCAACTGTGTAATAAAACCCCGGCCAGTGTTGCATTAGTGCCGACGCTTGTGATGCAGAACAGCTGAAGAAAACACGACACCCAGCCCCTCGGAGCAGACTCGAGTAAGCGAACCCCCGCGGGCTCAATTGTCATGATTCGATATCATCAGTTGTTGATGTTTCTTCGCGTCCACTTCGCGGAAGACGAACACCTTGTCCGCGGACCAGGAACCCTTCGCAAGCATCCCCGATGGATTGACGCCAAGAAGGTTCATCGCGGGGGATTTGCGGGCGGAGTAACACGATGCGACGACGAACAGGATGCCCGTCAGGGAATAACCCGGGGCCATCATCACAACATCAACAACGCTCGCTCACATGCTAGGGCAAGTGTCGGGCTGCTTGCCCACATCATTACGAACAGCTCGTGAAATTTGAACCCAACCCCAGGTACCTAACCAACGCCAACGCTAACCACCTCACTTAACCGAGATCCTTACCTCGGTCGTCCTCACAATCCCCCTCACCGCCGCCTCCGAGCTAATCGCCCCCCCATGCGGCGGCGGCCGCACCACCCCCGGCGGCGCAGCACCCAGTATCATCTCCTCGCTCCCGGACCCCTCCGCCGAACCGTGCTTGTAGAAACTCGTGGCCGTGCTGTACGTCTCGCCCTTGCCGTTGGACAGGTTCCCGTCGTCGGCCGACCCGCGCGCCCCCGTCTCCAGCTCGTACTCCTCCTGCTTGTGGTTGCTGCTGCTGCTGCCCTTTGTTCCCGTGCCCGTGCCCGTGCCCGTGCCCGTGCCCGCCCCCGCGCCGCCGTGTCCGCGGTGCATCGTCATGCGGTTGCCTCGTGATCGGGAGCCGTACCCGTATGCTGCGCCGGGCGTGCCGTAGTAGCGGTCGGTGGTGGAGAGGTTGAGGATGCGCCTGAAGAGGGGTTTGAGGGATGTTGCGCAGGCGGCGATGATGCCCAGTTGGAGTTGGAGGCTGGTGTGGGGGGGAGAGTGTTAGTCTTGGTCTGGTAGGGGGGCGAGACAGCGAGTCGTGGACTTACAAGCCCCAGAACTGGATGCTTTGGTTGAACGTTTTATCGGGCATTCTGGCGAAGGCGATTTGGTAGACGGACTTGACGATGCCCATGGCCACGGCACTGGCGGCGGGTTAATTGGGACCGTGGACGAGAGACGGGGGCAAGGGGATAGGGCTGGGCATGGACCTACAAATATCCCAAGCTCAAGATCGCGATCAAGTAGACCTTCAGCTTCCGCTTCATCTTCAGCGTCCAGATGATAGGGACCGGGAAGGTGGCGAAGAGGACGTCGGTAAAGATGTTGAAGCCCGTGTTGACCAGCGCGAACGTGACAAACAACGGGATGGGGTAGCAATTGGGCTTGACGTGGGGATTCCAGTAGCCCTCCATGGGTTGGCAATAAAGTAAAAAGGTCATCATGCCCATGAACGTGTAGCAGCAGACGATCACTAGGTCCTCAGGTCAGTCGTCCAACTCTCGGCGCCGGATCTTGAGGACCAAGGGGTAAATACCTATCGTGGCCCATAGACTCCAGCGATACCATCCGCCGGTGCTCAGCCTCAAGAGATTGAAGCCGATGGATACTTTCAGGAACCCGAGCGCCCAGGTGGCCGAGATGATGGACTGCCAGAAGCCAGCATGCTGAAAGACGATCATGTCCTCCTGCAAGATGGTCTCCTGGTGCTTGCCCAGGCCATGTTGGGCTTGTATGATGAACACGCTCCATCCTCCTATCGCACATAGCTGTTGCGGCCGTGGTCAGCACGCGGACCATCTACCGAGCCCTGCCGCCGGGACGGAAACGTACTGCAGATAACACCATGCAAATGTCATCCTTGCCGAAGGTTTTCATGACGATGGCTCTGGCGTAGACCCGGAGGGCCACGAAGGTGAGGGCGATGACATGGAACACCGTCAGGACGCCGAGTATCATCTCCGTGTTGCTCTCGGCGGCCCGGACGGGGTCGATGTCGGGCTTCGGACCGCCGGGAGGCCCTGTCATGGACATGTTGGTTGCAGATCTCCCACCAATCCGCCTGTCAGCGGATGGCGGCCCTGGGGTGTTGGGCTCGATCGACGGTCGTGGAGTTGGGGTCCCTCATGGGGTCCCAACGTGGGTTCCGCGAGCAACTTGGGGTTGGGAAGAGGGTCGATTCGGGGATTTGCAGAACAGGGAAGGCATAACATGACAGCCCTCGGGAGTGTTGCTTCTTTTATCAAGCTTTTCTTGTCGTCGGATCTTGGACGGGCGTGACTGGGCCGAAAACGCGGGTTTTCAGGGGTCAACCCCAGAATCTGGGCTGCATCCAGATCCTGTGCATAGGTACTGTGGATGTCCACGACGTCCCACGGGCCCTGGTGAGTCCAACCACCATGCCATCTTTTGGTACCGGTGTCGTACTGCATAATAGCCATGTCGCACCGCACAGTTCATGCGCTCCCTGAATTGCTTGCTGTCTGATCGCTGCGTTCTGACCTGCCCATTTTGATGCTTGCGATCGGGCAAAATCGACACCAGGCTCTCGACGACCCATCCGTCGAGCCGTTCATTCCGGGGGCCAGGAGGGACGCCCCACCCGGTTGCATGATTCCCTCGCTGAAGACCCGGGTGTGGTTGCATTCTCCTGGCCCTGAAGGAGGGCTCCTTCAGTCGCCTGTGTCCCAATCGAGCGTCGAGATGAGCCGGCTGCGTGAGCCGACCGATGCCCCACCAGCAACCACGTTTCTCGTTCTCTCGTGTAATATGTCTTCCCTTTCTCTTGCTGTCCCACCGGACTGGATCCTGTGAAACAGCTGTCTCGTGGCGGCACAAAGGCGGCACACAGCATCCTGGCGAATGCCACGCATCATGGCTGCGAAACCGAGCGCGTATGACTGGTTACCATGGTTGTCAATGACTGCGGAGGACGCTGCTTTCCCGCGTTTCTGAGACAAACGAGCAGCGTGGGTGGGGCGGTTAAACAGACTTGAGCGAGCAAAACCTGCCCTGCCCTCGCGTTGTGACATCGTCTCATCTGTGGAAGATGGCCAACAGAGAATGGTGACAGACGCCTCATTTCTCGGCGCTCCCCTTGGCGCCAGTCGAGCCGAGCTGCACGGACGTGTTTTATAAGCGACACCGACGACGGAGAAAGTTTCCGGCATGTGAGAGTCGGCGACACTCGAAATTCCACAGCTCGTTTCCCAAACTCCAAACGGGGGCGAGACGTGAGAGACGCTCTGGGTTCGGGACAATGAACGAGAAGCCACATCCCGCCCGGCCTGGCACACCGAGGTGGTGACACTCATCCCCTGATGATCGAACGCGGGAGAATCACTTCGGGAAAGCGACCGCCTGAAAACACGGTCACCAGGCTCCCAGATTGCGGCCCTCGCACGACACAGGTGTGTTCGATTTTCGTTGCCCTTCTTTCCTGAACACCTCGTTAGCGCCGGCAGGTTGAACCGCTTCGGAGGGTTTGGCCCTGCTTCGAGGGAGACCAAGTGGAGTGAATGGAAGGAGTCCGAGGTTGAGTTCTTCCTTCAAGTTGCTGCAGGGGGGGGGAACGACCCTTCCCTTCCGGCCCGAATTGGGAACCAAGCGGGCCACATCCCGATTTGAACCCTGCCCCACCAAACACAAGGGCCAGAACCAATCGACGAAATATTGTTTCTGTGCCGCTCGCATGAACGTTTTCGAATTTCGTTGACATCGCCAAGAATTCGAGCCCATGGCCCGACCGCTGCAGCCGAACAGGCCCGAGCTCATCATCAACCAGTTCTCTCGCGAAGGCGTTGTCTCAATTGACGCGATCCGATCTCCGCACGGCTTCAGCGACGAATCGGCCATCTTCAACCGCACTGGTCGCCGTCCTTTCACCGCCAAGGAGGGGTCCGACACCTCTTGTTCTGTTTCGCCTTGACGCGCAGTCCAACGGGAATCTAGTCCGTGTCTCGGTCAGTCCGCAACCGCGCGAACCATCGTCTTCCGCCGTCCCGCCGGGCTCGCCGTCGAGACCGAAGGTTGTGTCCGTGTCCCGGCACATGATGGTCCACAAGTAGTTGCAGCTGGAAGCCCTTCCGGTTGCAAGGTTATTAACTTATACTTCCATACCTAGGCTGTAAGTGGCACAGCACGGTGTTGAGGCTTAATTAGGTAGCCCAGACTACCTAACAAGATTCTGTCTGTAACTTGACCTGATGCATATCTTCCGCAATACTCAACCACTCCTCTGTTCTGGACGAGACGGCGCAGAGCGGTCACTTCTGCCTTCTGGTGCCCCTCGTGAGCCATTGCCAAGCACAAGTGCTCGCTTACCCCTTCATAAACACGCTATACTTCGTACCTTGAGCAATAAGACGTGGCAAGGAAAAGAGGGGTAATGTCAGACGGTGGCTGCGCCATGAGGCGGCTTTGAAGGAAGTAAATGTCCGCCATTTTAGCATTCGATATCATCTTGAGCAAAACAGAGAAAACCCCACATCAAGGGGTTCTTTCCGTAGAAACTTAGACTTCCTTTACACAATCCACCCAGGATTGGCTACTTACCTCGGTAATGAGCACGTCATCAAAATCCATCATTCTAACTTGAACCATAACAGCCATTCCCGCCAGACTCAATTTCCTAAAAGCCATGGGCTGCATTACCCGCTTCGTTCTCGCCCTACTTAACCTCATCATCCCAATAACAGATTGGGATATCAAGTTACCAGCAGTAGCAACAACCTCTGTGTCCACCATCTTCAACCTCTTCGTCATCAACACTGGATGGGATGATGGATGGAGCCCTGAGCCTACAATCCATGCCTCCGTCATGCGTGTCGACGTACGTCGGTCACAAACCGAGTATTGGATTACCTGCACCCCTCCCTTCGGCTTCGATCCCCCAACTGCCCCATGCAACTACATTCACGGGGCGAGCGTGACCGTCAACCCCACGGGAATGGAGTTGGACATACGTCGAGCTTCGGATCTCTTTTCTGGAGGATACACGACGATTAACGGTACGGAGGTATGGACGATGGAAGCCACGTATATCAACGTGTAAGAGGCCTTCCTATCTCTCATTTTCATGCCACCCCCCTCGGCTAAGCTATATAACTCACGCCGTAGTTCGATACAACAGAAGGGGGGCAGCAACTTGTGACATACACGGGTCAACTTCGGCCTTCTGCACAGGCCAGATGACAAGCGACGTGTGGATGATCACTTCCGTCATGACTGACAGCAACATCACCTGGGGCCATATGAGCATTGTCGACGTTGAGGGCATATGGAATAGGTTTACGGATGTCAAGGCACACAGTGTTCCTGCGACCATCACGGCGGGGTTTGATAATATCCCAACCACCACCACCACCACCACAACCACGGCGTCTTGGAATGATGGCGGGGCGAGGGTAACGGGACAGGCTTACGCTATGGTCGCCGGCGCGATAGCCTTGGCTGGGGGTGTTGCTTTGATGTGACTCGGACCGAGTGTCCGGCCACCCAAGTTTCCAAAACAATGACACAGTCCGGAACCTAAACCCGGCCCATTTCGGCCTCACTATGATGATGCAAGGGGTTTCGGACGTCGACCTCTCGCTTACCACTGGTAAGTATGGGTCTCTGCATTCTCTCACGATTGCCGATCGGCGGCTGTGATGGTGGCGGAATTTTCAGACCAACAGCAGTTGGTCTGCAAGTCACCACTGTGCAGCAGGCAAGAAAAACGCCAAGCATGTCCTACTGTTTGCTACGATGGCGCCAGATGATTTGCCGCCTCAGGGGGCATGACCGCCTTAGTCTCTGACTCGACCAACCGAGGCTCTGCCACTCGGGATCCCCACTGGTCTGTTGCCGAACCGCCGACGGCCAGCGCAGCCGGTCCGGAAGGTTACGGGAGTAAACCACGGTGTGAGAAAAAGCCCAAGTGAAGGTATCGCGGCTGAAGAGATGACGGGCTTCCACGTCAACCCCCTGCCATCCTTCTTTTGGCGTCAACTAAGACAACCAGCCGCAGTTTAGTTCACCAAACGGGAATGAACAGGGTACAGTTGCATAAAGTTGCGGTATTTCGGGTGGTTTCCTTGACCTATGCCCGTTAGAGGCCTTGAAGCAAGCAAAGATGGCCGGAAGAGGCCTGAGTGAGTCCGGGAAGAGTAAGGGCGGCTCGAGAGATGCCCGTATTGGCTTCGCCTTGCCATAAGCTTTACCGCCTGTCCATTCTGGGCTTTTGGTGTTTAATGTGCCTGAAACCAACGCGCTTCCCTTCCAGCGCTATTTCTCCCTTGGCCCACGCCGCCCAGGTGACTAGATTCTGGTTGGGTTGGGATATTTATACCTGCCGATGCTGGCCATGACCTTTGAACCCGAAAACGTAGCGTTTCTTTACCCTGGACGTAGAGGCTTGAGCCACTCAACCGTCAACATGAGCCTCCGTGTTAGTCTTTCGGCAACCCCCATCGCTGTGCCCTCTTCTGGACTTATATTGTACATCTTTGGTTTCTTCCTTTTGGTCCACACTATCCGAAGGGTCCAGGCATGGTATCGGCTTCGCCATATCCCCGGGCCACCCCTCGCTGGGTGGACATCGCTGTGGTTGACTAAACGGTTTCTCAATGAGACCTTCTTCCTAGATGTGCCAGCCTTGGCGGATCAATACGGTAAGAAATGATCTGATGGAGCCGAATCAACATCCTGGAGCTACTTCCATTCCGACATTGGCACTAATAAACCATCTTGTAGGGCCTATATTCCGGATTGGCCCGGACAAGGTCGTCTGCACTGACGTTGACGCCGTGTATGGAATTTCAGGGGTCCGGTCTGACTACAAGAAGTCAGACTGGTACACCATCGCCCGCATTTCTCGGGGCGGCGACCACATTTTCACCTTGATCGACGCGGAAGAGCGCAAGGAGCGTAAGAACTTTATCATGCCAGCTGTAAGAATCCCCTCCCCTGTGGGCTCTTCTCAGTGAGACTTTCCTAACATCATTCAAATGCTAGTATGCTGGCAGGGGAGTTGATCACTTTGAGAAGGGCACTGACAGAGCTCTTGCCGCCTTCATGGATCTCATTGACAGAAAGTATCTTTCGACCACCGATAAAATCATACCCATGAACTTGGAAGAAAAGATTCATTACTACGCACTCGACGCCATTGGTGAGATTGCGTACAGCGAGTCTTTCAAGTATATCGAGGAAGACCGGGACGTGAAGGGTATCCTGGCCGTCAATGATGCCACAGTCCCTCTCCTCATGTCCCTGGGCAACTACGTATCGTTCTGGAAAACGCTTCGCACCTGGCCCTTCTACTACCTTCTGCCCAACGATGGAGACGAAAGCGGCTTTGGTGCCATTGCCGGGTATGTAACAGATTCCTAGAAGAACCGAGGGGAGAACTCACATTCATCCATCTTAGCCACGTGAGCAGCATCGTCAAGAAACGCCTGAAACCCGACGCCGATCCCAAGCACGACATGTTGCAATCCTTCATCGACCACGGCCTGCGAGGTGACGCCCTCAAGCAGGAAGTCGGTATCCAGTTGTACGTCCCCTATTCTCTCCCCTCATTCCGTTCACCCTCCATTCCCTTCTTCACCTATCAAGCAACCCCGTAGCTACTAACACGATCACCCCAACAGTTTCGCCGGCTCCGACACAGTCTCTTCCCTCCTCTACACCACCTTCTACCTCCTCCTCACCCACCCAGCCGTCTACATCCGCCTCCAAGCCGAGCTCGACGCCGCCCACACCACCACCACCACCCAACCCAACACCACCCCCAACCCCACAACCGAACCCACCACCATCATCCGCGACGCCCAAGCCCGCACGCTCCCCTATCTACAATCCGTAATCCGCGAAGGCCTGCGCCTCTTCCCGCCCCTCTGCGCCCCGCCCATCTACAAGGAAGTGCCCGCCGGCGGCGACGTGTTGTGCGGGCGGGCCCTGCCGGCCGGTACCTGGGTGGCGACGGGCAACCAGATGTGGCAGGGCAATCGGGAAAGGGCGTTCTGGGGCGGGGATGCGGATGTCTTTAGGCCGGAGCGGTGGTTGGAGGCGGGGTTTGGGGCTCAGGTTCGAGCTCAGGGTCAGGGTCAGGGTCGGGGGTTGGGGGATCAGGTGGATGGGGAGAAAGGGGCGGAGAGGCTGGGGGGGAAAGGGGGGGAGAGGCTGGGGGAGAAAGGGGGGGAGAGGTTGGCGCAGATGAATCGGCGGGTGGAGTTGGCGTTTGGGAGCGGGCAGTTTGTTTGTGTGGGGAGGGGGGTGGCGATGGTGGAGGTGGGGAAGGTGTTGGGGGAGGTGAGTTTGCCCGTTTGCCTTCAGGTGTCTTAGTTTGTTTTTGTTTTGTTTTTTATCTTGTGCTTTTGCGCGCGCGTGCTCTACGGTGTGTGGATGGTCTGGCTAACTTATGGGGGGGCAGTTGCTGAGACGGTATAACTGGGCGTTGGCCGACCCGCTGAATCCGCCCAGGATACGGAATAACGGGGTTTGGGTGATTCGGGACTTTTACGTCCGGGTTGAGAAGAGATAGGGGGTGTTTGGAAGGGGGGGACCGGAGGGTGCGTGTTGACAGTGCCATACGTATAGTTCTTCTGGATATGAGAGGAGGATCGGACTACACAGTATGAGTGTAGGGCTCAAGACTGACCGTACCAAGTGAAGCCGTATCAAAAAAGAAAAGAGAGGTTGTTACATTCATGCAATTTATGACGATGCTTCCCCTCCCCCCCAACATCACGTCCTGTCATCATGTCTACGAGTAGTTCTGCCGGCAAGCTCTGTTAGTCCCAAATGTTTGCATCAACCGTCACATCTTGCCCTCCGCGTTGAATTGCATGAACACTCTCGGATCTCTTAGTCTTGCCGTTACATCCATCCGAAATTGCCATGACAAGCGGCACCTGCCAGTTCAGACACTCTCGGACTCATGTGAATCGATCGCTTAGAGCCTGCCTCGATATCCCACGAGCCCGTAGCATCGGGCCAAGTTTCCGGTTTGGGATTTGAAACGTACACTATAATCGGTCCTGGATGATAGAGTTCGGCAGTATGAGGAACACGACAGTTCTCAGTCAACCTTGATGGCTTCCACCCATCTGATAGTGAAATTGCACCTCCGTTTGTATCCAAGGGCCGTCCCTGCACCGAGGGTGTGGGGACTTGGCCCTAAAGATCTTGAATCCACCGACCCGGTGACTAGTGTTGACGAGGGCGTCCATCTTGCGACGCTCGTCACGTTGACTTCTTGGGCGCTACCTCGATGTTCTGGCTCGAGCGCCACTTCAAGCTCCAACAGACCAGACGTCATTTCACGATAGCTGCAGCGTTACATGTGGTTAGCTACTTGGCGTTTCAGCACTATCGGACCGAGCTTAAGCTACCATCGCACACCTCCTCAATCTGGCTCGTTCGTCCTTGGACTCTCCACTCTCCCCGGGTAGCGGAGATTGCTGGGGCGCACTGACGACGGGGAACCAGAGTCTTGGGTCGGCGAGAAATCAAAGAGGAATGCAACAAGAACCAACACCGTGCCTCCAATGAGAAATTGGATAGGCGAGAGCTTGCTCTGAAGCCATATCATGGGAATTAAGACTTTGAGGGCCAGGATACCGGTCCTGAGAAACAGTTCCGTCAACGTCACGGTTTGTTGTGGTTGCGGCTCGGATTCCATTTTCTGACGACGCGTCGGATTGGATCTTGTTCATCAACGAGCAACGAACGAAGGGGGAGTTAGTAAACCACCGGCCTGTTGGGCAAAATGGCCACTCGAGCCCACGTGCTCGAGACGCGTTTAGTATTGTGCCAATTTTGCCTCATGACATTGTCAACCCGCGTGTTCGGTTGCCTCTTTGTCTAAGTTTATCACCACCAGCCGACTGTTAAGGCTGACTGATTCAACGTCATCGGAGGCGTGGTCAAAAAATGGTCTCTGATTCGATGGGTGTTGAGCCACCCCGCGCCCGAGCTGTCGCGTGGCTGCCGCCTCAGGTTTGATGCCATCCCAACTTTGCTCTCGGTATTGAAATGACCAGGGGTTGGAGGCGCGACCTCGCGGGTCATCAACCCCCGGCCGCGCACTGGCCAGTCCGGGGAACCTGGGATAGGTAATATGGGCAGTCATTTTTGGCTCCGCCCCACGTCCCATGTCGAAATAGGGGCTGATTAAATTCACTCGTATTGCGATTCTCTTGACTGATGAAGGCGTACTGTGCTCTACGCGGACGACGAGAGATCGGGATGATGACGATGGTGAGCGACAATACTCGGCCGTCAAACTCGTCACTGCAACCGTCGGCAAAGCCATGCCGATCTGTGCTCTTTAAGCTTTTGTCGCCCTCGCGATGATCCGCGCCCGGGCTGATCTGGAGAGCAAACCGGTGCTGCTGTTGGCGTTGCAGTCGCATCTTGACTCCACCACGCCGCTGTTCAGCACCGAGCGAGCCAGCCAAACGCCTGTCCACCCCCTGGCCGCAGTGCATGCCCATGTTGTGAATCACGGCGTTGCCCTTCTGCTCGGCCTGCGGCAAGGGTCCTAACGGTGGGGACCGGCGAGCGCGAGGCGCGTGCGAGTGTGCGAGTGTGCCGGTTCCCTCGCTCGCTGCAGCCGGAAATGGGCGTGGGGGAGAGCGTGGTGGAACTGCGAGAGCAAGTGATCGACAGAGTGGAGCCATTTTTGGGTGCAAACTTGTCAGCACTGAGAAGCAAATCTTCGGGGAGTTGTGCCGTCGGGCTTCTGGCTAGGTTTTAGATATGTAGACCGAGTTAGTGATTGCAGTATGTTTAACCTTGGTGTAGAGCATTGATGCGCGGCCGACTTTAGCCACCGCGTGGTTTGAGGGTTCGCCGTTAAAACCGTTAATATGGCAATTGGCGTTGCGAAGGTTTTGCCGCCACTTGCCCGCTTGGGCCAGAAGGCCAAGAAAGGAATTGGCGAGTGTGCCTGGTTCGGTTGGGTCGACCCCTGCTCGCTCTGCCCGGTTTGTGCTCCACTTGACTCGCCTGGTTCCTCTGCCGGGGCCGGAAAATGCCAGGCACACGGCGCCTTACCAAACTGGGATAGATTGCAAGGGCAGACCTGACGATCGCTTCCGAAAGAAAAAAACGGCAGGGTTGAAACAGTTCGGCGCCAAGCCGTCAAGGTGACAACCATTTCACAACCCGGCGGGGTCGGCGAGGAACAAGCACAACATGGCTCGAGCATGGGAGGAGCAAGCGGCAAAGCACCGAACCCCTTCCCACCATGCCGGGTTCGGTTTGTGTGCCGGCCCACTGTGAGGATGCAAGGAGGCGCTCTGGACCTTGCGAGTTTGCGTGTGTGCTTGCTTCATCAATCCTTTTTGTTGCATCCGCCCCCCTCGACATCGAGTCCCTCTTCCCGTCGGCATTCCCTGACGCGCCTCCATCGCCTTCACTCCTTCGGCTTTGGACGCATCACTCTCGCTCACTCAGCCGCAACACTATCCAACTACGGAGGTGGTTACCTAACTAACTCTATCACTTCGGGATATCGAGACGTGGCTCTTCGCGGATCGACTTCTTCCGGCCTCCAAGCTCTGGGTTGCCATGCCACCTTGACCATCCTTTGATACCAGCATCTTCACGAAACGAGATGCGGCTCCCACCGCCTGGGCCGATCAGGGAGAAGCTCCGGGGGAAGAGACTTTTGGGGGAGGTCGTTGGGGCGCTCACCAGCCCGGTGTGCAAGCTCCTCCCCAAGACGCCAGGATGTTCTCCACCGGAACCCGACCCGGCCCCGACTCCGGATCCTCCGGCACCGACGCCGACACCGCCGGCGCCTACGCCTGATAAACCCCCGCCGGCACAGGACCCGCCAGCACAGGACCCACCGGCACAGGACCCCCCTGCCTCGGTCCCGCAACCCACGAACCCGCCGGAAACTTCCAATCCCCCGCCCACTCAACAACCCCCACCCGCGGAGGATACGGGATCCAACGACTCCGGAAACAATGACTCCGGAAACTCGGGCTCGGGCTCGGGCTCGGGCTCGGGCTCGGGTTCAGGCTCAGGCTCTTCGGGTTCCGGTTCCGACTCGGGTTCTTCAGGCTCCGGCTCGAATGGCTCTGGTTCCACGGACTCCGGGTCTGGCTCGTCTGGGTCGGATGGGTCGAACACCGGCTCGGGGTTCGGTACTGGAAGCGGGTCAGGAGGATCAACCGGGGGAAATGATGGCAACGGAGGGAGCAACGGCGGTGGTAGCACGACCGGAGGCAGCAATGATGGCAGCGGATCCGGAAGCGGAACTGGAGGGTCCCAAGGTTCAGGGAACCCACCGCCTGCGACCAACGGACCGGGTGAAGGATCTCAGTCGGCGCCAGGTACTGAGCAAGGCGGTGTTGTGGTAGATGGCGCCGGTGTGCCCGTCGTGACACAGAAAGGAAACGACGTCAATAACAACCCGGCTCCTGCCGGTTCAACGACGACACCCGGCGGGACCGACTCGGACTCGTTCACGGGCGACGGCTTTTCTAACACGGATTTTGGCGATTTGGCGGCCGGCTCTGGGGCGTCGTATGGGAGTGGTAACGACAATGACAACACTGGGAACGGAGGTTCAACGGGGATCGGTGGCGATCACGGGCATGGCAACAACTCGGATTCCGACTCGCACCCAAGCTCCCTCCCTGGTATTATCGGTGGCATTGTTGGTAAGTCTGCGGTCTACCCATCTCACAGCATCGCGGCACCTCCTAACTAACTTACCAGCTGTCTTGGTTCTTCTCCTTGTTCTTCTTGCTCTGCTACTTTACAGGTACCGACGCACGCGTCGCGTCCAGGCTTTCCTCAACAAGTACACGCCCTTCAAGTCCTCTCCCTACACGGAGACGGAGAAGAAGCGGACGTCCATGGGCGCTGGCCTCCTGTTTACCGACGGCTGTCACGGCGACGCCCTCATGACGGACAACCGAGGCACGCTCGGCTACGGCACAATGCAGCCCTCTCCCGTCGCGCACCCCGACCCCACGGCTGCCCGCCCCGAGCGCGCTAATGGCCCTCCTCAGCTCGTCATAGCGCTGCCGGCCAGGCGCCCTGGTAGCCCCACCAGCCCATTCGAAGTCTCGCCGCTGTCGTCTCATTTCCCTCAGAGCCCGCCGCGAGCAGTAGCACCCCGCCGCACAAGCCAAGATTCTGTCGGCGGTATCAGCATCGCCAGCAGCGGTGTCTTTTCTCCGTCTCTTCTTTCATGGCCCGCTCCCCCGTCTGGCGCTCCCAGCGTCATGACTTCGCCCCCTGCTAGCTCCCACGGCAACATCACCGATCTCGCGGCCAAGTACAAACCATTGACGCCCACACAGCCGACGACGCCTTCGTATCCACTCCCGCCCCCCTCGCCAGTGAGCCCGTCGAACTGGCAGAAGCCGTCTGGGTGGGACTAAGGAAGGAAGCAACGTCAACAGGCCCGACCAGGGCGTCTCTGGAGTGGTGGTCCAAGTTGTTGGTGTAGGTCGGGTTCCTCCAGACCGACCCGGACACGGATGGATTCATGACACGACCATGAGATGAGGTACTACGGGAATGCCTCGTCCACTGACTGACCTGTACATGACATGTACATACTCACACTTATGCGTTGTGTGCCACTTATGCGCAATCTCCTATCACTGTCCATCGACTATGGTCAATCTTTTTCGTTTCTTTTCCGTTTAGAAGTGGTGTTGGTGGGGAACTGGTGGGAGCGCAAAATTACCGTACCTCCGTGTCCATATACCCCGACCTCTCTGGAGCCATAGACAGACTAGCTATAATACCGTAATCTTCCCTGTGTATATTGGGCAAATATCAAGTTTGTTTTGCTTTACGCATCCCATTTCTGTCGATCCCTGATGTGGTTGCTTTGGAGATCGTCTGCCTCGAAATTCCTTGAAGTTAATTACACATTCCACAACTCTACCTCGTATCCCCTGACCTCGAAAGGGGTTAGGGTTACCTGATCAACAAGTTGATCTCTCGACTTGGGTGACGAGAACAACCTCCGAGCCCCGCAATACCGTCACTCCCTCGGGTCCTTCCCGCTGCTCGGGATTAGCGCGGTAGATATTGCCCTATCCCCGTCATTCCGCACTTTTCTCTGACCTTTAGGTTCTGACCAAATCCCACGGGAAGGTGTGAAGGTGGACACTTGCTATGCGCGTATCGCTCTCTCGGCACCCGCGGGCCGCCGCTTCCCGGATGACATGATGGATCGACCCACAGCGACTACCAAGTGCAAGTACTCCCTCGCACGAAATTCGACCGGCGTGACTTTGTGTTACTGCATCATTTCGTAGTTCAACTTCACTCGTGGAACTGGATTCGCCATTCTCTTTCACCACAGGCCGGTATCAGCGCACTTCCACCGTAAAGATGGCTGCCACCGAGGCGTTCTCGCTGCTCAACACTTCGACCGGCGCACACAATGACCACTCACCTCGACAGCGCGTCAAGCCGGACTCCCGGAAACGGCATTCAATTCCCGATGACCCGATACGCCCTGGCCTGCTAGCAAGACCTGAAAAACGTCCACGGCGGAAGAAGCACTCACGTGGATACCTCCGAAGACTCCTCCAGCGCACCTGGGCCCTACCTCTGGGACTCATTCTCGGCTTCCTCGGGATCTACGCCTTCAACCCGACCGAGTCTAATATTGTCCACCATTTCCTCTTCCTCTCCTACAAGCTCGATGACCACCATGGCCAGTACGGCAAGGGCCCTTGGGACTTTGCCTTCCTCGCTTTCTACACCATCTTCCTCACCTTCACCCGCGAGCTCATTATGCAGGAGGTGCTGCGACCGCTAGCGCGTCTTGGGGGGATCAAGTCCAAGGCTAAGCAAGCGCGCTTTATGGAGCAGATGTACACGGCCTGCTACTTTGCCTTTTCTGGCCCGCTTGGCCTTTACACCATGAAACAGACCCCCGGGTTATGGTATTTCAAGACGCGTGGAATGTACGAATCGTATCCGAACATCGCCCACGACGGCGTCTTCAAGTTCTACTACCTATTCCAGGCTGCCTACTGGGTGCAGCAAGCCATCGTCATGCTGCTCGGGCAGGAGAAGCCGCGGAAAGATTTCAAGGAGCTCATCGGACACCACATTATCACCATCACCCTCATTTTCCTGAGCTACCGCTTTCACTTCATGTACATCGGCATCTCGATCTACATCACACACGATATCAGCGATCTCTTCCTAGCGGTAAGCCCCATCCCATCATCCCCTTCATTCATCCCCCCCTCCCCCAAATCAAACGAGCCCATCTAACCAACACGTTTTACAGATCTCCAAATCCCTAAACTACATCAACCACCCCGCCCAATCCGCCACCTTCGCCCTCTGCATCGCCGCCTGGATCTACCTGCGCCACTACCTCAACCTGGCCGTCCTCTACTCCATCGCCACCGAGTATGCCGTCGTCGGACCCTTTGCGCTGGACTGGGCCGCCCAGCAGTACAAGTGCCGCGTCGCGCAGGTCGGCACCTTTGCCCTGCTGGCCGCCCTGCAGGGGCTGAACCTCTTTTGGTTGTATTGTTTGTTTCGGAGTGCCTACCGCTTTGTCGTGTTGGGGGTTGCGAAGGATGATCGGTCCGAGGCGGAGGAGGAGGAGGGGGAGGGGGAGGTGGTGGGTGTGGTGGTGGTGGTGGATAGGCAGGGGGGAGGAACTGGCAAGGGGAGGAGGGGGATGAAGAAGGCTGCGGTGAAGGTATGATGGATGGATGGTGGGGGGTTGGGCTGCGGCGGAGTGTGTTATGATTTTGTATGATCATGAAGGCAATAATGGTTTGGCGGGCTGGTGGGTGCAGTTGATTACATCTTAATACCTAATTTATGATAGCTTGGGCGAGGTCCGTCTCGGAATTTCACGTCTTGGCGGTTGAGAGGGACACAGGCCATCTCCTGTGTAACCAAAGGCACTGGCGCTGCAACTTTCGCAAAATTACAGAGTCGGGTCGGACGATATTTTAAAGAGAACCCAATCGATCGGAATCACTTACTGAAACCTGCATGCGAGTGCTGCTATTTAGCTGTGGCCATCGATTCTGGTCCCGTTGCTAAACAGGAGGATTTGGGTTCCATGTTCTCGGCGGGTTCGGCATCTCGATGCACGCTGCCGTACCCCGCCAAGGCGCAGACATCACCTCACTCCAAACAAACAGAATCGTATGCTAAGAGTGGCTGGACTGGATCAAGGTATTTCTTAACAATTTCAATTGCGCCGCGGCCAATCCCTGGCTTGTTTAAACCAATTACACAGATGGGTCATTGGACACCAACTTGAAGATCACGATGGGGAGGGAGCACCGGATCAGAGTGACAACACAAGATTCACTGTTTCGATGATGTGGTTAAACCTATCGGGATCTGAGGTTTCCTACCCCATCTTTTCCCTTTAACCCCTCCCCAATAAGCGGACGATGGAGTGACTCCCACAATGCGTGAGGCCTACAGCATAATTACCCCACCTCCTTGGTGGCGCGTTGGCGAGCAAGAGGCCGCTTTCATGGGCCAGAGGCAGACAGAAGGCAGACAGGAGGCCGACAGGAGGCAGACATATTATCTGAAGCCGACCAATCCAAGTCGTGTCGCTGAGCCACTGCCTCCATGTGAAGGGCTGGGGAAGGCCCCGGTAATACTGCGTTAAGTGGATTCCATGTTAAGAGGTACCTGTAAGGTATCAACCTAAGGACAAACGGAGCAGGGCCCGCCACAATTTTACCAAGTTTACTTTTCTTTCCTCTCTTCACCTTATCCTCTCTTTCTTTCGCACTCTTTCCAACAGCCTGCCCTTTCGTTGGGTCTCTGAGCTTTGGGTATTTCCCCATTCCTACACACTTCTTGCAGGTCCTTCTCACTCTTCTCCCCCCATCCGGCTTCTCAACCACTTTCTCCTCATTCGGCGATCCATCGACATCCACGACACACTTTTCCCTGAACCATCACCCGGCTTCATTTGCACATTGGCAAACCTCCGCCTCTCAACTCACGAAACCCGCGTTAATCACTTCCAACGATGTCCCGCGGACGAGGTGGTTGGCGAGGAGGCTCTACCTCAAACCGAGGAGCATCCCGGCAAAACCGACGCGGTGGAAACCAGTCTCGCGGAAACTCTTCCCGCGGCGGTTCATCTTCTGGCCCTCGGCGTGTTTGTCAACAATTCCTCCGCGGGAGATGCACCTACGGCGATTCGTGCAAGTTTTCCCATGACGACAAAGACATCGAGCGCGCCCGCGAGCAAGAGGCAGCCGAGGGCATCACACCCAGCGGGGCCCAACAGACCCGAGAGGACTATTTTGACTTCAAACGCCAGGTCCGCCAGCGCAGCTCGTCCATCTCGTCATTGGGTACCCTTGGCTGGATGGAGTGCGAGGAAACATGGAACCTCGCGGCCCAGATTATGGATACTCCCAGCCGAGAGTTCCATCAATCGATCGCCAGGGACCTGGTCGACGACGATATCGGCGGCCCAGCATTCATCCAGAGGACGGTCAGATTATGCACCACCGCTAAGGGCGATAAGGACTGTCTGCAGCTTGCTCGCGCTGCCCTCAAAGTCATCACCCACCAGTCAATGCTCCTCTGTATGTCCATCGATAGTTATGTGGGTACCATCTACCGCATGATCGGCGGCAGCAGCGGCGACCAAGGGATGGCCTTCTTCTCGGATCTCAACCGGCGCCTGACTGACACTTCCCCGTCACCTCGGAGATTTCTGGCTCTCATCGCCTCGTCGCTCCACGAACTGCTCCGGCGAGAGCGGAAGTGTCTGCTGAACGACGATTTGCCGGGTCTGTTGGATGATGTCGGAGAAAAGATCACCCAGCTCAGCAGTGTGGCTCCTCAAGATGCGACAGAAGCTGCGAGCGATCTCGATGCCGTGACCATCAAGGTTGACATGGTCAAGAGGATGATGGATGGCGCCCGTCGCGGCGTGTTTAGCCATGAGCCAGCCGTTGTCGTCACCGCGAGAGGTACCGGCGCCATTCAGTCCACCTTCCCCATGGAAGTAGTTGTCCCGGGAGGCAACCATGACAACGACTTCGCCGACATCACCAAGATCCAGATCTTCCCTACTCTGGATGAGGTCACGAGCGACGTATCCGAGTACCTGCCAAGCACCGACTTCACCCGTCCGCATTTCCTCCCCGACCCTGTCCAGCGCCACCTCGACTCTGCTTTTCGTCTGCTGCGCCACGACACCTTTGGGCCCCTCAAGGAGGTCCTCGGCAATCTCCTAGCACAAACCGACGTTGCCAACGCTGCCGCATCGAACCGTTTCATCAACGGCAACATCAAGGCCCATAGCTACTCCAGGGCTAGCATCCAGCACGTCTTGGTCGATCAGGGTTTCGAGGTAATCGTATCCTTCACGCAACCGCCCCAGCTGCGCAAGTTCTCCCTAGCGGACCAGCGGCGTTGGTGGGAGGACTCCTCTCGGCTCGAGCCGGGCGGCCTTGTGTGCTTCATCTCAACCCGAGGCGACGAGAAATCATTCCTGCTGTTTGTAGTTACGCGAAAGGAGACCCGTGAGGTTGAGGAGGGCAAAAACAAGAGCACCCTTGTTTCAGAGCGCCTCAACCCTGCAATTACGATGAAGTTGGCCTCGGAGACCCAACAAAACCTGTACAAGCTCCACCGCATGTACGTCGAGAAGCAGGAAGGGTTGCTGATCGAGCTCCCCGGTCTAATCCCCGAGACGTTTGTCCCCATCCTCGAGAATCTGCAACGGATGATGCGAGATGGAGACCTCGCCTTTCGGCGTTGGATCCTGCCGTCGACGGAACACGCCGACGATGAGCCGTCCACCGTGATATCGCCACCGGCGTACGCTCGCCGGCCCGGGTTCAAGTTCAATCTCAAGTCGATCACCAAGAGTGGGCAACCTAAGCTCAGCATCGATCCAGCTGTGCCCGGTGGGGACGTTGCCGCGGGGGCTCTTGAGGCTGCCACCGGCCTCGACCGTGGGCAGTCCGACGGCTTGATTGCAGCCCTGACACGCGAGTACGCCCTCATTCAGGGACCGCCTGGCACAGGGAAGTCGTATGTTGGCGTGCAGCTGGTGAGGGTCTTGCTGGACCACATGGCCGACGCAAAGCTTGGCCCGATCCTTGTCATGTAAGCAGCTCCCATCCCGGTGCCTTGACTGTGTGTGCACAGTAAAGTGAGCTAACATTCCATTTTGTGCAGTTGCTACACGAACCATGCGCTGGACCAATTCCTAAAACACCTTCTCGAGGTTGGCATCGACAAGATCATCCGGATCGGAGGCCAGAGCCGTGCTGAAGAGCTCGAAGGCAAGAATCTCCGAGTCGTGAGCAAGGAAACGGGCAAGACCGCGGTGGAGAACCGAATCTTGGGGCAGAACTACTCGGAATCCGAGGAATGCCGCAACAATGCCGGGAACAACCTGAAACCTCTGCACCAACTACGCAAGGGTAAGCTTGACTTCGCCAGCCTTCGACGTTTCTTGCAGCGCCACTCCCCGAGCGTTTATCGTCAGTTCTTGTCCATGCAGACGGACGAGGAGGGATACACCTTGGCTGGCGGTGACCCAGTACAAGTCTGGCTCGGCAGGAAGCAAAAAAAGGCCGCGTGGGGAGGAAACCTGGCGGGCGAGCGGATGGATGACGATGCCTTGGCCGAGCTTTCTCTCAGGGCCGCACAGGACATTAACTCGCTCACACCACCGGAGCGCTGGGCGCTGGCTGAGAACTGGGTGAATCAGCTTACCCAGATACAGAGTGACCGCATCTTCGAGCTGGTTGATGAAGCCAAGCGTCACAGGGAGACGATCCACAGCGTCCACGACGATGTCAACCGGCGCACGCTCCTGAAAGCTCAGGTCGTGGGGGTCACGACCACGGGGTTGGCCCGAAACATCAAGATGCTTTGTCGTCTCGGAGTCAAGGTCATCATCTGCGAGGAAGCAGCCGAAGTGATGGAACCACACCTCATTTCCGCTCTCATGCCCGGGGTTGAGCACTTCATCCAGATCGGCGACCACAAGCAGCTCCGACCTCAGATTCAGAATTACCTACAGTTCAGTCTGGAGACCGCGGCGGGGCGTGCCCATCAGCTGGACCGCAGCCAATTTGAGCGCCGGGCAGTGGGCGAACCCGGCCTGCCGCCGTTGCCGGTAGCGCAGCTCAACGTCCAGCGACGCATGCGGCCCGAGATCTCCCAGCTCATCCGGAGGATGTACCCGAACCTGCGAGACCACGACAATGTCATGAATCTGCCGTCCGTTGTGGGGATGCGAGACAACCTCTTCTGGCTGGACCACGACCACCCCGAGGACGGCAAGGACGACGGCTCCCGGGTCAAGTCGCACAGCAACCCCTGGGAGGTGTCGATGGCCAAGGCCCTGGTCCACCACTTGGTGCGGCAGGGCGAGTACAAGAGCACGGACATTGCGCTGTTGACTCCCTACACCGGCCAGCTCCAGAAACTCCGCGCCAGCCTCAGCAACGACTTTGAAGTCTTCCTCAGCGACCGCGACATCGAGGCTCTCGCACAGGAAGGGTTTGAGACGAAGCCAACCGAGGAAGAGAAGACCGACTCCGGCCCAAGGAAAGTCGTCGAGAGGAAGAAGCTCCTCCAGACCATCCGCCTAGCAACGGTCGACAACTTCCAAGGCGAAGAAGCCAAAGTCATCGTCGTGTCCCTCGTGCGCAGCAACAGCACCTCCAAGGTCGGCTTCCTGCGGACCGAGAACCGCATCAACGTGCTGCTCAGCCGCGCCCAGCACGGCATGTACCTGATCGGCAACGCCCGCACCTACCAGAACGTCGCCATGTGGGCCGACGTGCACCAACAACTCACCACACGAAACGCCGTCGGCCCCGCCATCTCCCTCTGCTGCCCGCGCCACCCGGACACGCCGCTCGCGTGCGCCGACCCGGCCGACTTCGCCGTCAAGAGCCCCGAGGGCGGCTGCGCCCTCACCTGCGACAAGCGCCTCGAGCCCTGCGGCCACCAGTGCCCGGCGCCGTGCCACTCCCAGCGGCTGCATGATGCCTTCGACTGCCTGCAGCCGTGCCCGCGCCTGCGCGCGACGTGCCGCCACCCCTGTCCCAGGCTGTGTGGTCAGCAGTGCGGGCCGTGTCTGGTCAAGGTTGATGGCGTCAAGCTGCCGTGTGGGCATGTCCATGATAAGGTGGCCTGCTATCAGACGTTGGACCTGGGCGCGATCCGGTGTTCCAGGGTTGTTGAGAAGGAGGTGCCGGGGTGTGAGCACAAGGTCACTGTGCCTTGCTACCAGGATGTTACTGCGAACTCGTACTCCTGTTCGACAAAGTGTGTTGCCGCGCTCAAGTGTGGGCATCGGTGCCCTGGAACTTGCGGTCGATGCCGCGGGGAGAGTGCCGAGGGAGTGGTCACGTTCAGCCACCAGACGTGCAACAAACTTTGCGACCGGCCGTATGGTACATGCAACCATCGCTGCGTGAAGACTTGCCATGAAGGGAAGGAGTGTGGGACTTGTACGCGGAGGTGCGAGGTAAGCCGAATCTTTTGCGGTTTTCCCCCGAGAATTTCTCTCCCCCTTTTCTGTCCCCTTACCTTTCTCTATGCCAAAATCTTTCCAAACCTGTCTTGTTGCCTCGACGTTACCTGAAGGGCTTCCTTAATTAAGTGCTTGACTGCCGTGGCTGACACTGACGTTTTTAGGTCCGATGCTCCCACTCTCGGTGCCACCAAGATTGCCAAAAGCCCTGCGCCCCATGCATCGAGAAGTGCACATGGTCCTGCGAGCACAAGGGGTCCTGCTCGTTGCCATGCGCGGCACCCTGCGACCGACTGCCCTGCGACGAGCGCTGCACCAATACTCTCAAATGTGGCCACCAATGCCCCAGCTTCTGTGGCGAGGAATGCCCGCAAGACTTGTGCCAGCTGTGCTGCGCCCATAAGGACGCTCGCGTGGATCTCATGGAATTCAAGACATACGGCGAAATCGACCTAAACGACACCCCGGTCGCAGTCCTGGGATGCGGCCACTTCTTTACGGGCGAAACGCTCGATGGCATGCTTGGGATGAGCAACGTATACACGACAGACAAGCTCGGTAACTACAACGGCCTTGGGGAACTGTCCGGTCAATTGATGGCCGTTCCTGCATGCCCGGACTGCAGGGTGCCCATCCGCCAGTTCGCCACCAAAAGGTACAACCGTGTTGTCAACAGGGCAGTCCTAGACGAGACCTCCAAGCGCTTCCTAGTCGGGGGCCGCGAGACGCTGGCGGAGCTTGAGGGGCGCGTGGCCGTAACGGAGCAGCAACTCACCGATTCCGAACCGACAGCCCGCAAGGTGGCCCTGAAACTGCAAATGGAGATAACCAAGTTCCGCAAGGAAATGGCCGCGGAGCACCAGCCCACCAAGAAGCTCTTCGACGCCGTTCTGACCTTCCAACGCCTCCAGCGGGAGCAACCCCTAGAGCAAGCCTTCACCAACCTCACCCTCTCCGAACCCACCACCACCACCGTCCCCCAACCAGTCTACGACCAGCAAATCACGCTCAACGCCCACCGCTTGCAGGTGCGCACGCAAGAAGCCATACTACGCGACGGCTTCACCAAGCTCTCCGAGCTCAACGGCGGCGCCCTTCTCACCACCGCCATTACCGGCACCGACACCTGCAAGCGAGCCACCCCCTTCCTGCGCGACTGCCAAACCCTCATCGACGCCGCGACCGCCGCCAAGCTCCCGCGCCTCGTCATCCCCACCATCCTCTCCTACGCCCGCATCGCCCAGCTCGAGGGCTGGTACCGCCGCACCGTGGCTAGCACCACCATCACCACCACCACCGCCACTACCGGCGAAGCCCCACCAACCCCAGCCCCCACCACCGAGCCGGCAGCGGGCACAGAACAGCAAAGCACCACCGAAACGGCGCGCGCCCTCCTTGAGCATGCCCTGACGCTCTGCGATACAGTGCCCAGCGGCGCAGCCTACCGCGAGGAAGTGGAGGCGACGGCCAAGCTGTTCGCCGAGACGCGGTACGAGGCGGTGACCCCCGCCGAGCTGGCGGCCATCAAGGCGGCGATGGTGGAGGGGAGGGGCGGGTTTAGCACGCATGCGGGGCATTGGTATACGTGTCGGAATGGGCATCCGGTGAGTCCTTTTCTTTTCTTTTTTTGTTCTAACTGTGTTTTTTTTTTGAGGGGTGTTTGGGGTGGCCTTTTCCTCTCTCTCACCTTTTCTGCTTGCTTGGGGGAATTGTTGGCTAATCAGATTGTTGCTGCAGTTTGCGATTGGGGAGTGTGGCATGCCGATGGAACAGGCGAGGTGTCCTGAGTGTGGGGAGGCGATTGGGGGGCGGGATCACATGACGATGGAGGGGACGGAGAGGGATATGCGGATGGAGGTTTGAGGTGAGGCGGGACTTGAAGTTGGGATGGGTGGGGTTCGTGGGTGTTGAGTGTTTGGGGATGTGGAGGAAGGGGTGCACGGCAGGTTGCTGTTGTTGATGGCCAGGGAGGCCGCTGGTGATACTTGATTGAGTAAGGTTTTGTTAAATATGGTCCGCACCGTGGTCTTCGCAAAAGGGGTAGTCAAAAAGATAACGCCAACATAACCTCAACAACCCACCTCGCCGTCGTTTACTGCCGCTTCCACCTCACCCTCCTCTATTGTTGCTTCTCTCCGTTTCCATTCTGCGCCCCGCGCTGCTTCTCAACCACGTCCTTCCGCACCCAAATCTCTCCGATCGGGCAGCCGTCCTTTTCCACACATACCCACTCGCCAATGCCCAGATGATCTGGCGCCATCCTCACACCCCTCCCACCGCCGCCCACAATGAGATTGCCCGGGCGGTACTTTTCGTGGACCTGCATGCGGCGAATCACGCTGCCGTGGATCCTTGCGTTGATGGGGATATCGCGAACCTCGCCGCGGGGCAGGGGCCAGCTGATGGGCTTCCAGGAGCCGTCTGGCTGTAGGTCCATGCGGCGGAAGGGGAGGTATCTGCCATGGTAGGTTAGCGATGCCGTGGTACGACTGAGGGGAAGATGCCTGTGTGCTATATGGGTTGCCCAGTGATTGGTCTGGTGGAGAGGGCAGGGGAGGGATGGGAGGTGTATTAGAAGTAGTCAGACTTACTCCATGACCTTCCAGGCTGCGACTGCCGACCAGCTAAGGCCGCCCCCGAACTCCAGCGAGTCGTGGATGAGGGCCGTGTGGGCCTTGTGCATCATCTCCTTGAAGGTTGGCGGGCTCGCTGAGGAGTCACTCGAGCTGCCGCTGCTCGAGGTCGTGGGCGTGTTGGGTTCCTGGTTAAAGCCGGCCCGCTGGAAGAGCTTTGGCGTGGCGGTGCTCGGGCTGCGAACCATGATGTTGGGGATGGGAGGATGTCCGGGAGCCGTGGCGGGTGCTTCAGTCTGCTGGGGTTCTGCGGATGTCGTGCACAAGTCGTCGAGCGCATCCATGCAGCCCAGCTCTCGGACCTTGTCAAGATCAAAATTGAGACCAGCCTTCATCGCCTCGTGGATCATCCAGACCAGAGGGACGTGGCTGGCGGATTTGGACTCGGGGAGGAGCTCCCATCCACCACCGATGTCGGCGTGACCGCCCGCAAACCAGACTTCATCGAGGTCTTGGTCTGAACCTTCCGACTCTGCATCCGAGCCGACATCGTGATCCTCGTCGTGGGGGTGAGGAGCGACCGAGATCTCGGACTTGCCGTCATGGGGGATAGCCTCCAAGTTTGAGCCCTCTGTCATGCGTGTCCGTCGGGATCGTGCCGAGTGCGAGCGAGCACGGTAAGGGGCGGGGTCCTCAGGGACGTCCAATTTGGCCTTTCGGCGGCGACCCCTACCCTCGGCCGCCTTATCTGGCGCAACGCTCCCTTTCCTTCCCCACTTCTCGTTGATCTCATGAAGCCTTTGGTGAACGGGATTGCGCTTCTCCGGCTTCTGGCGGCGGGCGCTACTTTGGTAGATGAGATCCTGTCTGAACTTGGCCCGGCGCTCGTCAATGGCGACGGCGTGGCGTACCACCTTTGCCGACGTGCGGGCCGTGTAGGGGAACTTGCTCCGCGCCATCCAGGCCGTTTCGAAGCGAGGCACGCTATTGACGGTATCAAACAGACCGAGGAAGCGGATGCGGCGAACAGGGCGGGAGAAGGTCTCACGGAAACCTTTCATGAACTCGTACATCTCCTTCTTCTTTTTGAGGCCTTCGGGCGTCTGAGCGTCCTGGCGGCTCTGCCAGTTGGAGAATGCTTTCCAAGCGAACACAACCATCTCCTCGTTGCCGTGCGACAGGAGGCCGACGTAATCCAACATCTCGGCGAGGAAGCGAGCGATGTAGGCGCCGCGGGAGAAGCCAAAGATGTAGATCTCATCGCCGGGGTTGTAGAACCGCATCAGAAAGCGATAGCCACCGACGACATGTTGGTCGAAGGATGACCCAACGGCCGAGTCTTTGGCCTTCTTGTACCAGGACTTAATCCTGGCAACCGTACCCGTGTGGGTGAGGCTGGCCGAGACGACATATGTGCCAATTCCAGCTTGGCAAGTTAGTGTTATGCACGCACAGGGCCACAGGAAGTTCAGGACTTACGTTGGTAATAGTGGTCTACGCCTCGTTAGCACTCTCGCTCCTCTGGCATTGGGAGGGGGATACGTACATTGCTCGCTCGCGGTTCTATCCAGCATACGGAAGATCTTTAGGATATTGCTGTCGCTGTCATCGCCGTGGAACTTATTACCTGTACCATCAAAGCACAGGACGATTTTCCGGGCCTTCCGTTGATGCGAGTGTGAATAGGAAGGCCGAGGATGGTTCTCCGCGGCGGCGGGCGTGGCCGGGCGAGACGGGAGATGGGTCGAGAAGAACTCGTCATGGGAGTCCGGTCGAAACTCCATCCCTGGATTCTCGGCACCGACGTTACTCTCTTGCGCGCCGGGCTGCAGGTGCGCAGTGTCCATTGTATTGTTTACAGATCTGTACACGCAGATGGTCTCAGATCTCTCGCGTGGTTTAGTTCAAAGGCAGATGAGGGTTGGGCTCCAGGACCGCGTTGTCGACCGAGCCTCATTGGATCGAGCACTCAGCCATTTTGACACTCCTGCGCCTAGCAGGGGAACCATTCATACCCATATCTCCGGTAACTATCCGAACCGAGACCCCGCTCATGATCCAGCCACCGATCCCCATGTTTCTCGTGCTCATCGGGAGAGCGCCGATCCTCTCCCGACGTCCGGCTGGCGGTCGGATCGACGACAGATGGACAGCGAGCAGCGGTTCTTTGCTGCCCTATCACAACCGCAGAGGAGAGGGAGGGGCCTGGCGGTCTCCATTTGGCGAAAGCCGCGAGCGGTGACCCGCATAGTCGGCGACCGAGCGTTCGAGGAGAGGTAAGTGTGAGCCTATCAGGAGAGTTTCAATTGCAGGGCCCCGGCTTTCAGCTGGCATGCGGGCCTGCAAGGGAGACGAAAGCGGAAGAAGCGGTCCACTTGATATTCCGGCGGGCGGTAACAGCGGCCGAACATGACGGGAGCTTGAGTGCTTGGGCAACCAGAGAGCGGTGGGCAATTCTTGGACAGAGTATCCACTCAGAATGGTGATATTCAAAGATGCTCACCTTGGCTGACTTGGCTGTCGCACTCAACAACCTCAGCTCGCCTTCAGCCGTCCATGCTTGGGGTCGGAAATGGTTGGTTGGACCCTGTCCTTTTTTTGCCCGGCTTATCCGCGAGAGTTCTCGTCCGTGCGGTGATCTTGGAAGGGTCCACGCAAAGTGCAACGTTGGGTTGGGGCTCAGGTGGGCGAACAGAAACAGATTCTGCCGATTGCCGGCGATTCTGGGGTCTTGTGCGTTGCAGCGAGTGACAGCCAGGTTTTCGGGCTTATTGTGTCTGTCGGTATGTAGGTAGTTTCTGACGCGCGCGAGGAGTCGAGATCGATCACAAAGTCGTGGGGTAGCAAACCTAGACCATTAAGTATAACGTGACCCGGAGAAAATGTCCTCAGTGTCTCTGATGTGCCGCGATCATGTCTTGCTTGTGACGCCCCTTCTGAATGTGGTTGTCGATGGCTCGATGCGCCTGATCCAACAACGCGCCTTGCTTTCACGATTTTGGAATTCACTGATCAATGCGTGTGTGTGTGTGGTGTCTGGGCGACAAGGTTGAGGTTTGCTCTCTTTTTTTTTCCCAGGGTCCTTGCCAAGCCGGGCCGCACCCTTCCCATTCGGCTCTCAACCGGACCGCGCCGATTATTGGCCCTACAGGGAACATTTGTGCCCCGTATTGCCCCCACTGATCGACAGGATAGTCCAGACCCCCCGGTGGCCCCCACTGAGCGATCATTGCATCTGCACAACCACACAACCTGGAAACCGCAAGTTCCAGGTTGGCCGAGTTTGGGCGTCTCCAATCGAACCACACACCCGATGCAGCATCGATGCAGCAGCGATGCAGCAACAATGCGACAATGCGACTGTCAACCAACCCAGTGCAACCATGCAACCCTTGGCAAGACCCCGAACTCGACCCCGAACTCGAATCCCCGGCACCGACCTCTTCCACTTGAACCCACCTCTCCAGTTCGTCGGACCCCGATTGGTAATCTGCAGCCCATCATCAGATCTGCGAACCACATCCCAGAAGCTTAGCGCTAGCACGTAACCTCAGCCTGCTAGTGTTTGTTTGGAACGCCTATCACTTTCCTCGTGCGACAAGTGGCGGAGAAGACTCTCTTTCGTCCGTGATGGCACATGGGTCTAATCCAAGAAGAGGAAAAGTTCTGGGAAGTCAAGCGAAGACATGTGTCTCACTCCCAGCCCATGGCCCACCGGGATGCCGTGGTGTTTTCGTTGTACCAATTCTGATTGGACCCAACAGGGAGCTGAGTCGGCAGAGCTGCATCATGCCGTCGAGAGATGACCGTCTTAGCGCGCGAGGGTCGCGACCTGCCTCGAGGTGCATTATGACCTCGTTGCACACGCGCGGTCTTGCCTTTTCTCTCCCGCTCGCTCTTCTCCCGATCTTTGAATCCTATCTTCTGACTTGTGTTTCCGCCCATCCTTCCACCAGTCTTGTCAACAATGGCCCCTACACAGAACGGAGAGAAGGCCAACGGGGCCGAGAAGGTTACACCCATTAGCCATGCGAGCCCGTTAACCCCCATCGACGTCGGCGAGAGGCTTGCCGGCAAGTCAAAGCCGAAGCCCAACGCGCCCAAGCTTAAGCCCACAAAGGCCGACAGCAAGGGTGTTGCCAATGCCTTCGAACGCCATAGCCAGGTGCTTCAGGCACGGGTCAAGCCATTGCCTACCCAGGCCGGTGCGGGCACGTTTTACGAGACCGCAAGATGGGGGAGACTCCGGGATGACATCAAGGCCCTGCGGTCTGCCGGTACGCCGCTTGGAACCTCAGGTCAAAGATTTTGTATGCTGATGATTTGTTAGATTTCAAAACCCTGAGGAAGATGCTCATGGCCAAGGTGAAGGGCGAGAAGCTGACAGACGACAAGACCATGATCATGGAGCGCGTCATCCAGATGGTCTCAAATCTACCCAGCAACTCGAAGCTGCGCACTGAACTGACCAACTCCTTCCTGGGTGAGCTCTGGTACTCGCTGGAGCACCCGCCATCACTGTACCTTGGCGACAAGTACAAGTACCGCCAGGCTGATGGGTCGTACAACGTGGGTTGCCAGATCATCATGAGCCGATGGCGGCCAACGCTAATGATGACTAGAACATTATGTTCCCGCAACTCGGCGCTGCTGGGACGGCATATGCCCGGTCAATTAACACGAACGTCCTGCGTAAGGGCGCCCTGCCCGATCCCAACCTCGTCTACGACTCAGTCATGAAGCGTAGCGAGTACAAGAAGCACCCGAACAACGTTTCGAGCGTTCTTTGGTACTGGGCTAGTATCATTATCCACGGTGAGTTTGGTGACTCAAGATACCCGGTATTGAATTCTTTCTAACGTAGTGTGTAGATCTCTTCTGGACGGACCACCGGGATATGAACAAGTCCAAGACTTCTTCGTACCTCGACCTGTCGCCACTTTATGGCAGCAACCAGGAGATGCAGGATACCATCCGGACGTTCAAGGACGGAAAGCTGAAGGCTGACTCCTTCGCTGACAAGCGCCTGCTGGGCATGCCGCCTGGCGTTGGTGTGCTTCTGATCATGTTCAACCGTGTGCACAACTACACCTGCGACAACCTCATCGCCATCAACGAGGATGGCAAGTTCACGCCGCCGTCGCCGAAGCTGGAGGGTGAGAAGGCTCTGGCTGCGTGGAAGAAGTACGACAACGACCTCTTCCAGACCGCTCGCCTGATCACCTCTGGCCTGTACATCAACATCACCCTGTTGGATTACGTGCGGAATATCGTCAACGTGAGTCTCGTCCTCCTAAGCTTGCTGTTGGAAATTGACTGACCTCCGCAGCTTAACCGCGTTGACACTACCTGGACGCTTGACCCCCGGCAAGACACTGGCATCGATGCGGGCACCGCCGAGGGCGCCGAGCGCGGGACAGGCAATGTTGTATCAGCTGAATTCAATCTCTGCTACCGGTGGCACAGCTGCATCTCCGAGAAGGATGACAAGTGGATCGAGGATTTCTACTATGATCTCTTCGGAAAGCCGGGCGACGAGGTGTCCGTTCCGGACCTCATCATGGGCTTCGGCAAGTTCGAGGCCAGGATCCCTAACGACCCGGCTGAACGGCCGTTCAACAACTACAAGCGGGGCCCCAACGGAAAGTTCAGCGATGACGACCTAGTCGAGTGCATCACTTCCTCGGTGGAGGACTGTGCTGGATCTTTTGGCGCGCGGAATGTGCCTACTTCGATGCGTGCCATCGAGATCCTGGGTATCATTCAGGGCCGGAAGTGGAACGTCTCGGGTCTGAACGAGTTCAGGAGGCACTTCGGTCTCAAGCCATACGAGTCGTTCGAGGACATCAACTCGGACCCTGGCGTCTCTGATGCGCTCCGTCGCTTGTACGACCACCCTGACTTTGTCGAACTCTATCCTGGCCTGGTCGCCGAGGAGCACAAGGCCCCGATGGTGCCGGGCGTGGGAATCGCGCCCACATACACCATCTCCCGCGTTGTTCTGTCCGATGCCGTGTGCCTCGTGCGCGGTGATCGCCACTACACCGTTGACTACAGCTCCCGCAACCTGACCAACTGGGGCTACAACGACGTGCAATACGACCTGAACGTCAACCACGGCTGCGTTTTCTACAAGCTGTTTATCCGGGCGTTCCCGAACCACTTCAAGCACAACTCGGTCTATGCGCATTACCCCATGGTGGTGCCCTCGGAGAACGAGAAGATCCTGAAGGACCTGAAGCGTGATCATCTCTTCGACTTCACGCGGCCTACTCGTATCGCCCCCGACGTCGAGTGTGCCTCGTTCGAAGGAGCCCAGCGGGTGTTTGCCAACCCAGAGAAGTACACGCCCTCATGGCATGCCAATCTCGATGCTCTTGCTCCCAAGGGGAAGTCCAAGCTTTCCGGCGACTCGACGATCCACGACCGTCACCGCCGTGAGGTCAACCAGCCGCTGGCCACAGCCGATCTTGTGGCTAAGGTCAAGTCCTTTTACAGCACGGTTACAGAGCAGCTACTTGGGTACGAGAGCTACAACCTCGGTGGGCACAGAATGGTCGACGTCGTGCGCGATGTGGCCAACCTGGCGCCGACCCGCTTTGTCTCCGCCCTGTTTAGCCTTCCCCTGAAGTCCAAGAGCAACTTGAAGGGTATCTACACCGATCACGAGCTGTATGCTGTGCTCGCCACCATTGCGGAGGCTGTTTTCACCACCCCTGACCCTGTCAAGAAGTTCCCCTTGGTCGAGGCAGCCAAGACGGTCGCAGAGCAGCTCGCCTCCTCGATCGAGCGCAAGGTCAAGAGCCCCAAGCCGGCCAAGAATGACGCACTGAGCGCGTACGGCATGGACCTAATCAAGGGGCTGTCGAAGGCCGGGTTAAACACCCACGACATCACCTGGGGTCACGTCCTCGCCACCTGCGCCGCCATCGTGCCGTACCAGGCTAAGCTCGTAAGTGCTTCGTCTCCAAACCCTTAGACCATTGTTGCTAACGTGATAACCAGTTTGCCGAGGCGGCCGATTTCTACCTCTCCCCCAAGGGTGAGGCCCACCTGGAGGCCATCCACTCCCTCGCCACCCAGCCGCCGTCGCAGCAGTCCGACGCCCTGCTGCTCGGGTACGCGCTGGAAGGCGTCCGCCTCTCGGGCTCGACGAAGCTCCACTTCGAGGCCACGGCCGCCGACTCCCTCCCCGCGGCGGACGGCAGCGAGGTCAAGATCCAAGCCGGCGACCGCATCACCGTCACCTCTGTAAGCCTCCCCCCCCCCTCTCCCCCATCCATCCCCACCACCACCCCAATCCAACCAACCACCCACTAACCACCCCTCCAACAGGCCGCCGGCTCCGACACGGTCGACCCCTCGCGCCCGCGCGAGAGCTACGTGCACGTCGCGGCGCTGCCCAACACGTCCTTCCTGGGCGGCGCCGCGGGCGGGCGCGAGGTGAGCGAGGCCGCGCTGACCGAGATGTTCCGCGCCTTGTTCAAGCGTGCCGGCCTGCGCCGCGCCGTCGGGCCCCAGGGCGAGCTCAAGCGCGTCGTGGGCGTGAGTGGTGTTGCGGGTGCTGTTGAGTACCTGCGTGATGATTGGGGTGCCAAGGGCCAGTGGCCTGTTACCATGAAGGTGCGCTGGGATGAGTGAATCCCTGTGGTGGGGAGGCGGTGTGTGGCGTGGTGGGTGTAGCGTTGTTGGTTGTTGGTTGGTTGGTTGGGGTGGGGGCGGGTGTGCCTGGATTGAGATGATGCGAGGAGGTTGATACCAGTGTGATTTTTCTTGTTTTTTTCTTTTCTGTTGCTGTGTGCTCGTGTTGGATAGTCTAATATCTCTCGAATTCACTATCCTTACTCCCGACCTTACAAAGTGTCTTTCCGTCACGCAATTGTTCTACACGCAATTCGGTTGTTTGGCGTCCGCGCATCAACCGCCCCCATGAAACAAGCATGGCCTTCTGTTACAAGCCAACTGGTGAGGCGTGTCACAAGTTGAGGCATTTTTGGTCCATCGTGTGAACCCCCACGTTCATCTCGCATCCGCCTTCATTTCACAATCTCAAAGGACGGCAGAAATGAGGGGTGGGACCAAAAAGAAGGTTTTGTGAGTGTCAGGAGCAAAAGCAAAAGAAGAGGTCCTACCCGGACTCGAACCGGGGTCGCCGGAAAGACTCGTGAGGGTCAGAATCCGAAGTGATAACCAACTACACTATAGAACCGCGTGTTTTGGTTGGCTATTGTTCGGTGACTTTACCCCTTATGGAGTCTTCGCAGAAATCTCCACCCCCTGATTCTGCAAGTATTCCTTCAAACACCTACCGGATTCTTGCTCTCAAATCCTGGTGCTTGATCCATTGTTTCGTTCCAAGGAAGTATTCCAGCCAAGTAATACATCTCCGCGGCCGTAGCAGCGAGTTGGCAGTCAAAGAAACGGCAATCTGGGCCCGAGTCACCAATAAGGGGTATTATGACACTCCGAAGACGTCATTCCGCAGACTCGTCCACCCAACTCGGCTATTTGGTAGTACTCGAGAGACCCTCCATCATTACCTTGGCAATGCTTGTTCGTTACTACCAAGGTATTTAAATAGGAATGAACAGTGCCCAGTTCACGCTGCCTCACCATGGTCGACGCTACCACATATTCGAAAATGGCTCAGCATATTCCATGGGAAGTGACCGTAACGGACCACCCTGGGTCCTCAGAACAGGACATCAAAGATGAACCCGATTGGGTAAAGCTACACGCCCATGCCATCGGCTTCGTAAACCATGAGGGGCGCCGCCCCGGTCTCACACATTTCCGCCATGAGAAGGAGGTCGAGATCTCGCAGCGGATGCGGGAGGATTTGACTCAGAGGGTGTCCGCGGGCGACTTGGTCAACTTCCGTGATCTGATTGAGAGCCAAGAAGATTTCCATCTGCGTTACCCAGATAACCGGTCATTGGGTTGGCGTTATGTGTTGGAGGCGACAGAGGACTGGGTTAAGAACCAGCAAGATTGGCCGGCAAATGTCGAAAAGCGGAAAAAGCAGGAAGAGGCGAAAAAGAAGAAAGAGGAGGAGAAAAAAGAGGAGAAGACCAAGGCTGACGAGAAAGGAAAGCCGCAAGAAGACCAAGAAAAGTCCAAGGGAAGACAAAAGCAACCCGACCTCACCCCTCAAGAACGGTCCTTTTTGGCAGCCGTCGAGCGCGAAGCACGCACCATGGCTTCGTTGAAGGTCAATGACGGAAAGCAAAAGAGCCCGCAAACCCACAACCGCTCGTCCATCACCATCGACGAACAAGACCAGTTCACGCCCGACAACTGGCTCCCTCGCTGTCCCGACCTCATCCGGCTCACCGGCAAGCACCCGATGAACGCGGAGCCCTCCATCACGCGCCTCTTCGAAGGCGGCCTGATCACCCCCAACGAGCTGCACTTTATCCGCAACCACGGGGCAGTCCCGCGACTGCTCTGGGAATTCCACCGCCTCGACGTCACCCACAACAACAAAACCCTCTCCCTGTCCATGGACGAGCTCAAGACCCGCTACGCATCCTCCGTCATCAACATCCCCATCGTCATGGCCTGCACCGGCAACCGGCGCAAAGAGCTCAACCTGCTCCGCAAGACCAAGGGCGCCAACAACACCGCCGCCTCGGTCGGCTGCGCGTACTGGAAAGGCCCGACCCTACGCGCGGTCCTCCTCTCCGCCGGCGTGCCCGACCACACCACCACCACCCCCACAGACAGCAGCACAGAAAGCACAGAAAGCACCCAACGCACGTGGGTGCACTTCGCCGGCGCCGACAGCCCGAGCGGCGGAACCTACGAGACGTGCATCCCGCTCGCGCACGCGATGGACGTGGGCCGGGACGTGCTGCTGGCGACGCACATGAACGACCTGCCCCTCCCGCCCGACCACGGCTACCCGGTGCGGCTGATGGTTCCCGGCCACGTGGGCGGGCGGTGCGTCAAGTGGCTGCGGCGCATCTGGACGAGCGCGCGCGAGAACGAGAGCCACTATCACGTGTGGGATAATCGGGTGGTGCCGCCCGCGGTGAGGGGCAAGGAGGGTCCGTTGGCCGAGGCGTTGTTTAGGCATCCGAGTACGGTGTGTAATGAGATGGCGCTGTCGTCAATGGTCTGCCGGCCGGCGCAGGGGGAGAGGGTGGTGTTGTCCGAGGTGGGGAGGGGGGCGGTGTATAGGGTGAAGGGGTTTGCGTTTGCTGGGGCTGGGTTGGAGGTGCAGCAGGTGGAGGTGTCGCTGGATGGGGGGAGTAACTGGCTGTTTGCGGAGAGGCAGTTCCCGGAGTATCCGATCAGGCATGGGAATAGGTTCTGGGCATGGGTGTTTTGGGAGGTGGAGGTTGAGTTGGCCGATCTGGTCAGGGCGCCGAGTGTTATAGTGAGGTGCTCGGATGCTGGGAAGAACTCGCAGCCGAGGGACTTCACCTGGAATGTTATGGGTATGATGAACAATTCGTGGTATACCGTCAAAACGGAGACAGTCTTAGACGAGGATGATGGCAGCCCGGCAGTGCTGTTTCGGCATCCAACCGAGGCTGCTGCTGGGGAGGGTGGATGGATGCAGCCGTCTGAGGAGTTGAAGACCGCCCAGGCCAAGCAGAACGCGGCCACGCCGCAGAAGCAGTTCACTCGTGAGGAGATCGAGAAGCACGGTAAGGAAGGTGACTGTTGGATCGTGGTCGACAATAAGGTGTACGATGCGACGAGCGTGCTTGCGTGGCATCCGGGCGGCGCGGCGGCCATCATGTCGCACGCGGGGAAGTGCCACCACGATACGACTGAGGAGTTTTCCAGCATCCATGATGACTATGGGTATAAGAAGATGCAAGGTGGGCAAACTTTCCCCGTGATTGAGGTCGTCCACTAACGGTTGCGGCAGAATGTATCCTCGGCGTAGTAACGGAAAAGACGGCCAACTTCATCAAACAGACAGCCGAGAAAGCTGCCAAAGAGCGGGCTGAGAACGCCCAGAGGCAGGGCGAGAAAGGCACACAATTGGCTCTGCAGAAGCACCGCTGGGTGCCCGTCAAGCTGGTCGACCGGCGTGAGATCAGCGAGGATACACGGACTTACACGTTTGAGTTACCCCCTGGCAAGCCCGAACTCGGCCTCGGGACATGCCAGCACATCCATGTGGGCTTCCACCTAAAAGACAAGATGCTCGTCAGGCCGTACACTCCAACCCGCCCAGTCATGCCCTCCCCACCGGCGAGTCCAGCGCGCGAGGCCGCCGCGGCTAGCAACTCCCCAAACAAGGAGAAGGGGAAAGAAAACCAAGAAGAAAAGAAACCGCCCACCCCTCCTGAGTCGCCCACCACCCCCTTCCACACCCCATCCCAAACACAACAACCCCCCCAAGCCCAACCCCAATCCTCCTGCACCCCACCCCCCCACAACAACACCAACAGCACCAACAACACCAACAACAACACCACCGCCACCTTCGACCTAACCATCAAGACCTACTTCCCCACGCCCTCCCAGCCCGGCGGCGCGCTGTCCAACCTGCTGGACTGCATGCCGCTGGGCGAGGAACTCGAGATCCGGGGCCCGACCGGCGACATCGTGTACCTGGGCGACTCCGAGTTCCTGATCACGGGGGCGTTCGCGCCGCAACCGCGGAGACTGCGCTTCCCGCGCGTGTCGCTGGTCCTGGGCGGGTCGGGGATCACGCCGGGGTACGCGTTGATGGCGGCTATTTTGCAGGGTGGGGGTGGTGGTGCTAAGGGGGAGGGGAAGGGTGGTGAGGGTGGTGAGGAGGGTGGGGATCGGACGGAGGTGAGGGCTGTGGATGCGAATCAGACTGAGGGGGATATACTGCTGAAGGAGGAGCTGGATTGGTTTGAGAGGGAGAGTGGTGGGCGTGTACAGGTCGTTCATGTGTTGAGCGAGCCTGGTGAGGAGTGGGAGGGGGAGAGGGGGCTGGTGGATGCCGACCTGTTGAAGAAGGTGCTGTTTCCGCCAGGGGAGGGGAGCGCTGTGTTCTTGTGTGGTCCGCCTGGCTTGGTGCGGAAGGCTGCGATGCCGGCACTCAAAGGTACGTCAAATAGTCTCGACTCCGGTATTGATGGGAATGATGGATGCTAACTGACGTGTGGCAGAATGGGGGTATGTGGAGGACGAGAACATGTTTGGATTCTAATGTTTCAGGGGGTTCAGGGGGACGATGTTGGTTCAGTCTTAGACATTTGGTGGGCTCAGTATGTCGGTGCCGGCGTGCGCCTTTTAGAAACAAAACGAGACACCAAAACCATTGTGTGGAAAGAAAGCTGTCGAGTAGCTACTTCCTTCTCGCATTGGTCTTGCTGTGGTGCACGGAGCGGCGAGAGCTTGGTGTAAACTTGCTGGTCAACGGAAGAAAACGGCTCCTATGAAGGTGTAATTAGATGGAAGGCGACGTGGGCTTTTTGAAGCTTCGGGCACCATGCACTTGCCGGAACCAAACCTTCTGGTGGGCAACTGCTAGTGCACCATGGCTGCGGATAGGTCTTGCCCCACGCGTTATCTGCCCAAGCTGCTTGACCGAGACGGAAGGTTCGTTGTAGAAGCCTCGGGTTCAGTTGGCAACGGTGCCTGCGTACTGGGAGAATGGCCCCTCCAAAACGAGAAAGCGCATAGACCGAGGCGGTGGATAGTGGTGGAGGCAACGGCGTCTTGTTGCTTCCGGGCATGCATAAGAGAGGTTTTTTCCGCTTCTCCTCCTCTTCCACCCCCGTCAACTTTTTCTCGCATTTTCAGCTCCAAGTCTAGACAATTACTGCCTCATTTTGGTTCATTGCTTCAGCTCTGTCATCCATCACCAACTTTGAATCTTATCGCTGAACAGGCCTACACACACTGCCATCATCAACATGCGTCCCTTTGTCGCCGCTCTTCCGGTTTTCACCGGCATCCTTGCCCTGGCCACCGCGGCAGAGCTGCCTCTCACTCCCGTCACCACATTTCCTGCCGTCAGACCAACGCCCGCAACTTACGGTCCCGGCCAGTACAGTCCTGGTGGTCCCGTCGTGCAACGACCAGCCTCCCCCAGCACCACCCCGGCGCCAACTCAGCAGAATCCATCCCAGCAGGATCCATCTCAAAAGCCATCAGTTTTCGTGCTCACCAAAGTCTCCCCCAACCCAACTGGCACCCCAACCAGTCCGGAAAAGTGCTCGCAGGTTGCCGCCCGCATTACACCGCAGCTCACACCCAAGCCGACGTACGCGCCGTCCCTCAAGGCCATGGCCGACAAGATGGGTGGCGTGGAGCGCGACACATGCGGCGAGATGGACTTCAAGGGCCGCTTCAAGACGTCTGGGCCCGGGGATCTGAACCGTTTCCAGCAGATTCGCCACTCGACATTCATCCTGCCCATCTGGGCCAAGGTGTCGGAGCTTTTCAACGCCTGTGGTGAAGAGACCACCAGCAAGATGACGCAGATTGCACAAGAGCCGTGCTACCGCTGGGCGCTCGACCTCTCAAAGACCTCCAACTCGTCGGGCAAGGGCAAGGACGGTTTTGACAAGGTGCAGCTGCCCTCGGGGAAACAGGGCGGCAATATCAAGACAGCCGACCTGGAGGCTGGCACGGCCCAGAGCAGGATTTCGAACACCGCTGTCGTTGGCGTTATCGGGGTCTTGACTCTTTTGTGGGGTGTGGTGATTGCTTGAGGATGAGTCGGAAAGATGACGGATGTCTGGGCGTTGGTCTTTGAACACGATCAATATTCTTTAGTGACTGATGGCGTTGGGGATGATGTTTTTTGTCCAGTTGGGCTGGGGTGTTTAGAGTAAGGGGGTTTGAGGTTGCATGATAGACAGACATGCCTAATGCAGTCTTCTCGCCAGTATTTGGTGCCGTCTTCTCTTGCAAGTATGACCTTGTGACATTGATAACGAGCCCCTATTTGGCGAGTTGAATCGTTGCCATGACAAATTTCCCCATCCAACCCCTTTTTTGCGCCGATATCGTAAACACCACTCGCGGCATAGAGCGCAACGAGACTCACCAAATCTTGAAGGTGCTCCGAACCTGTGCCGTCGGAAATGCCTTCCTTGTCTTCCCACTAGAATATAACCATCACTCACCCCATCCCCGGGGCATGTGATTTTGGACCAGCATCATCGGGCGTCAAACTGGGACGCAGGATCGTCCATGAGGTTCGAAGGCATCTTCTGCCCCCAACCTTTAACCGCTGATCCGTCTCTCCGCCGTCATCGTACAACCCCGAGTCGACTCACCAAGCCTCCCACTTCTGCCCTCCCACCGCAACCAGCCGATTAAACAACTCGTCCCTCAACGGAACAGCTGTAATCTTATACTCGTCCCCTCCCACAGTCCGAATCACCAGCCCATCCTTCACCTCCCTCTCCATCGACCACCCCACCACCAGCTTCGCCTTCCACCCATACCCCCCAATCTTCCTGATCTCAACCACATCTGCCACGGGCACGCTCCATGCCGGCTTCACCCCCTCCGAGTCCCTCTTTTCCCCACCAAGACCAACCTTCACCACCCCCCCACCCTTATGGCTCTGCCCATGACCCCGCGCAAACGCCACCACGGGCCCCGCCGCCGCCCCGCCGCCGCCCGTCGACAACCTGTACAAGCACACCGCGCCCTTGTGCCCGCCGCACCGCGCCTCGAACGCCGCCGGTCCAGGCGCGGCTGATGTCCGTGCCGCTGCCGCCGCTGCCGCCGCCGCCGCCGCCGCAGCGTTGTTGTGGCCGCGCGGGATCACCCCCAGCCGGTTCTTGGCCGGCGCGCTGCCTGCCTTGGCGCGCACCGTGTCGGTGCCGACGGCGGTCTTGACGACACCGCGCGTCGTGCCCTTGAAGAGGTTGAGGATGCGGTTGCTGGTGCGGTTGTGGTGGGGTGTGTTTTGGGGGGTGGCGGGTGAGGGGGTGGTGTTGGTGGTGGCGTTGTTTGTGTCGGTGGAGGGGGCGATGGCTGCGTCGATCTCGGCTGGTGTTGCGTTGAGTGGGGGGGTGTCTGATGGCCCGAGGTCGGTGGCTGTGAGCGGGGCGGGTTGGGTTGGCGGTGGGGAGGTTGTGTGTGGGGGTGGAGGGAGGGGGGCGTGGTTGGCTTCGCCGTGGCGGAGGAGGGTGAGGGTGAGTTGGGCGTTGGTGGGGGCGCCTTTGAGGATTGTGCTGTTTGAGAGAGAGGGGGGTTAGTGGTGAATGGGGGAGTGGTGGATATAAAGGGCGAGCAAGACTTACTTGCGCGGCTCGAGTAGCTTTTGCCAGTTGGGGATGGTCCGGTTCAGCCAGTCAAGTCCTCGCGAGAGGATTGGGTCGCCGAAGAATATGACGCCGATTAGGAATGAGAGAGACTTTACAAGACGGTAGGGCGTCAGGAGGAGAGAGAAGCTAACGAGTGGGGGGAGGAGAATGATGACGAGGCGGAGACGGTATACTTCGGAGGGGAATAGCGGGATAGGCGAGAGAGTGCTGCCGAAAGGTTAGCATTGGCTGTGCTACTTTCTATTCTCGATCTCTCAACAAGACATACTTGGAAAGGCGCTCCCAGGTGTCGGCGATGGTGCCGATGGTGTGCATAATTGGCCGCATCTTGGCCCAGATGGCCGTCTCTATGGGAACCTTGGTCTTGTCATGCTTCGGGCCCGGCTTGCCACCACTCGCCTTCTCCTTGGCGTCAACGGTGCTGGCTGCGAGGGCCGTCGGATCAGGAGCTGTGTCCAAAGCAGCTTTATCATCCGAGTCCGGATCGCCTTGCGGATGTTTACCCGCAGCACTACTTAGGGCGACCGAAGCAATGCCACTGACAAGATTGCTAGCTTCCTGTTCCACTGCCTCGCCCTTGTGGTTTTCTGGCGCACCCGTGGCGCTGTCATGGCTTCCGAGGACGCCCGCCTTCGGCTTCTGCACGCCACCAGTCTTGCTGTCGACGAGCGCAACTGGGGCAGGAGGGAACAATATTCGGCGTGCGTGAGGCGATCCAACCATTGCTAGTAAAGCAGCCGAGAGAAGGGGAGTAAGAAGATCCAAGGACCAGGCAACGAAATATGCCGCAGCGAAGCAGGCAGTGCGTCGACTCTCCCGCCAGGATCGAAGTCGTACAAGGTGCTTCCAACCGGTGAGGAGGCCAACACCAACCGTCATGTAGAGCCGTTCAATGTTGGCGCGCAGTTTGTCAGGCGAGAATTCCTCATCGTCAGCGATATTGAGGTCCAAACCGCCAGGGGGTGGGCAAGCAGTGGCCCGAACGTCGTATATTTGCTGGGCCTATTAACTGATACCCTGAGTGTTGACTCTCTGTGAGCCACTCACCTTGTTGAATCGCCGAACAAGCTGCCAAAGCTCTTCATTATTTATACCGGCAACTAGAGGTGCTGCAGTGTCTTGTTGTTGCTCGTTCCACCCTGAGTCCAGGGCATTCTTTTCCCGGGGGGGTTGTTGTGTCTGGTTCCCATTATCAAGTGTTTCCGTGGCCAAAGCATGAGATAATGTCGGACCATCCCCCGGCGCCGTGGTGGAATTTTGGCCCCCAAGGTTGGGGTCGGTGGGATCTGTCGCTGGGGTCGGGAGGAGGTCGTTTACGGTAGCTCCCGTACCCTTGTCCGCGGATAGGGGCTTCTCAAACTCCATGTTGATGGGGGAGGACGGGGCAATGTTAGTGGCGGCCCTTTATCTGCATGTATATAAAAGATGCGGGATGAACTTTAGATCTGTGGATGTTTGTGCCCGAACGAACTCTTGGTCTTTTCGAGTTCGGATGGATGGGTTGCGTAAGTGTCATCATTGCCGAGAAGTCCACAGTTCCTTGCCGGACAGCGCAGCTTGTGCAGGACACCGGCGTCATACAACCCTGGCCGCATTCCATTGAACGAAGAAGAGCCGCTTCTGACTGGACAGTTGATCCTTCGCTCCCCCGAATTCCTCGCCACCGGTCCCGCGATCAACGTTTTGTGATTGGCCGTGGGGGCGAGGTCTCCTGGCTGGGGCCAGAAGGATCGACGATGTCCTCTCCCAAACGTTCAGCCGCACTTTGAACTTGGGCGGCACGGGTAGTGGTGGCACAGACGGCTCGAGCAAGAGTACACGAATTCCTCGTAGGTGATTGAGAACTTCCAATTCACCCGGCGAGCTGCGCTCCAATGTTACCATGTTACCTGGATCCAATCCAATGGCTTGGGCAGAACGGGGTATACGAGCTTTCACAATAGAGAACAAACATCATTCAACCTAACGTGTTGTGTTTCCGAAATCATGTTCCTGCAGTGGTTTTGGTCGTTCCAAAATGCTACTGCCACCCAGCCAATTTTGGCTGCTTCAAGGCGACGAAATAATTAGGACCGACTGACGGCTCTCGAGAAGAAAACTTTACATGCATCCCCCCCGCTTCAATACTCCTGTTGATAGTTCCGTCTAGCCCGTTGTCAGCCAGTCTTGAAGTCATCGACCCGCAAGCTTCGTTTTGCTGTTCCCGCTTCCGCCAGGGGAGCAAGCCCAATATGGCCTGTTACGTCGCCCTTATCCCAAATTGTATAGCCAACTGGCTGATGGCCACAAAGTTCCTTTTCCAACTGCTTCTCCGTGTGCCATGAAGTGTCCGGCCCGAGGGCTCGATTCAAGGCCTCAGATAGGTCTAGGACGGTTCTGATGATGCCCACTGTCGGTCTACCGTGCCTTACGAGCTGGCTCTGCTGTGTTGATAACAATAGTAGAATGAGACAGAAGAAACCCCATACAGTCTCGAGGAAAAGCCCGACGAAGATGAGTGACCGTGAGAATCCCCATATGTATTGGTCACCGCCGATGCAGAGCTTGTTGACGTCGTGCCTGAAGTCTTCAGTCAACGGCTTACCCTTGTAACAGATACACTCCCCAAGTAACGGGAGCGACCACGAGCTAATTTTCCCAACATGTAAGTACGGTTACCGTATGGTTAGGTATGCCAGGGAATAGGTGTGAGCATACCAATTCTTAAACCCTACGTCCAAAAAGGGCGCGTCCAGGGCTATTTTAGTTTCGTTATACCACACCGTTGAATTGTATGGGATGACTTCTGGTCCAGAGGGGACTGAAGCGTCAAGGCGGAAGTTAGCTTTTAGGAACCGGCCTGTATTGTAGTGGCCATGCTCTTGGTCTTGGTATGCAACCGAGACCAATTCCTTGGGGCTGGTCGACACGCTCTGCCTCAGGCCGAGAAATTGCCACCCGTTGACAACCCGCGGGAGTTCGAGCTTTCCCTCGGACGGTTGTTTCGAGGTCTTGCTACTATACGTGAGGTCCTGGAAGCCTTTTTGATCAAAGTCGCTAAACGAGCCGTTCATGGACTTGTTCCATTCTACCACTTCGGTAAGGTTCTCGCCCCCGGGTAATGACTCCTGAAAAACAGGAGTGTAGTTTCGGACAAAGGTCTGCATCGTAAATCTCGACCTCGCGTCTGTAGGGATAAGTCGTTAGAACACGCGGGGCCGGTATTGTTGATGGCATTCAGTTCTGACTTACAAGAATAAATGTTGTTAAAGTCATCGGACACATCGCCCGCGATATTGTGATAGGAGTCCCACATCCTCCCAGTGCCGGATTCCGCGTTGAGGTCAGAGAAGGATTGGAAAACGGATCCAAACCTGGGCCCCAGGACGACACCGTCCGCTGGAAGAGGGGCAAGCCTTTTCGGATCTAGCGACCAGCAAAATCTAAGCGCATCGTGTTCGCTAGCAACCCAGGATCCGTCGGGCATTGCAAAGGCGGCCTTCCCGATACTTTGATATCCCGTCGCGGCACTCCACAAGGTGCCAAATAGCAAGACATGGGCGATACAGTATGTTAGGAGTACCATAGGGACTAGAAGACCACGCTGTCTCTTCACAACGAGATAGTTGATTGAGGAGAACAGGGACCAAATCGAGTCAGGCCAAAAGAGGAGACGTAGCGAAAAGTCGCATGGCAGGGAAGCGTGTTCCAGTGCCCAAGTGATGGTCTTGCAGGCGATATGGTAGAGGATCCATCCGTGCAACAGGCGGCCTCCTTGAGCTACCCCCAAATCCCAGAAAAGATCTATGATCTTGGCCTGAGCAAATGATAGGTCCTTAGCGGCACGGATGTTGATTTGAAATTGCCTCTCGGCAAGAGAAATATTTCCGCTATTGTCGCATTCGTTGATGAGGGGGGACGGGCCCGATAGCCACTCGGAGGTTTGGGCGGAACCCCATGCCGCCAACGTGAAGCATAATACTGCAAAGAGGACGGTGCAGGGAGATGATCTGATGGGTTCCCAGGTGACAGGTTGCTTTTCCTGTTGTGATTGTAACTGTTTGGCTGCATCGAGGGCCTCTTCCGCGTTGAGGTAATAACCCTCGGGATGGAACGTGGAATCGCTCATGTTAGGTAGAGGGGATGCTGAAAGAATACCCGCCGCTAATTAGATGTCAAGTGAATGTCTGGGGGGCTTCAGCTCTCTTGTACACTGAAACCTGAGGCCGATTTACCCGGGAGAGCTGCATGTATGAGGCGAGCCTCACGAACACGGCGCCGCGTCCGCGAGGGGCTGTGCGGCTCAAGACTAAAATACCTGACTGTGCCACTTCTGCCCTCCGCGTGCTCCGGTAAGTGTGAAGGGAAGCTACTATATTCGCAACTTTGACCACCCACCACGGCCGAGCTGGAGATCCGTTTGACCAAGCTCCTGAGCCACAACGCCACGCCACCAGGTGTGGAATTTTACGGCCTGAGTGAGCTGAAAGGGGGTGCGGGTTTTGCATTCTAGGTACTCAACATAATTAGATTCATGGGCACCGCAAGTTCTAATGTGCCACTCGGGAAAGAAGACCGCTGTGTAGTATGATATACTCGGTACAGAAGACCCTACCAAAAGAATTGGCTCACCGCCTTCCGGATTCCAGTGGTTCTGCTTGGCAGAAAAAGGCCCATAGACACTAACAGTTTAACGGGCGGTGAGCCAGTTCTTTTGGTAGCGTCATCTGTACAGAGAGAGCACTTTGGACTCCGGAACGGCCACCGGAGATAGGACCCACTGTTCCGGGAATACCGGTCCCGTGGGCTGCACTCACACGGCCCCACAACGGGTAATGGTGACGCCATGGGTTATGACGATATTGTTGCAAGAGATTCAGCATCCAACATCCAACATCCAACACCATATTGGCAACGCTCTGTCGTACCTGCGGGCACGGCCTTGGAGTATCACCCATATATCTTCCTAGAGAAAGTCTTATTGTTAGCGTTAATAAACAGCGATTGTAAAGCAGCATAGCATCTAGCTGCCGACGTTATAGTGAGAAGAAGAGGAGGCAGTAAGCGCGAGTATATTTCAATTCCTCTTCTACCCTTCTACCTTTCTACCCTCTTTACCATTTTGGCAACGCCAACAGCACTCTTGTCGAACCCGCATGTACCCGGACGGAATTGGCAGACCGCACCGCCACATGAATCGGCCGTTTTCTCTGTAAGAGACTGGCAGTCTGAGTCCAAGTCGGCACAGAAGCGAGTGTCACCAATGACCACCAGCTAGCGGCACAAAGTCGCTCAAGGGGAGAATGGTGGGTGTCAAGCATTGGGAGCACGGGGACGCGTGTATAATTAGCGGCAAGCCCACCAGAGAAGTCGAAGGGTTGTCTGGTCTTATGGTAGTGGTTCTGGTTGCGAGGACTAGCCACGTGAAGAATCTCATCAATCAGATTGCCTCCGCCGTCTCGGTTGCCTCCTCCCCCCCTCACTCTCCGGCTTCAACACCAGATTCATTTGGCTTAGGCAGCCACCAAACCCAGGACACTCGTAGACGTATTCACATTAGCAGTTGTTCCTACACCACACATCTCTCGAAACGGGGTCCCCAAAGGCGCAGAACGTGTTGTGCTGTGCCTCGCAAATATCGACGCGCCTATCCGAGTAATTTAGGTAGGTTGCGCGCTTCTACAGCTCAGAAGCGGGGGGGCTTTAGGTGAAAAAGTCGGCGCCGCGAGGACCAGCTGGGCGCTTAGTCCAAGACTGATAAGGTGAAACGCGGAGGCAGTCTGGGAAGAGTCATTGGATTAGTACGAAGCTAGCACGGCAAGCGTAGATACGTTGACGACAAGTCTGATTGCCTAACCTGAGTCCGCATGAATCAAAAGTCCCTCACGCATTCCGGATTTCCCACGATCGGCGGCTTTTCTTTTTATTAATTGCTTGTCTACCTCTCCAATCATCGCGTTCGTGGTCTGGTTTTATTGATTCCAACGCAGCCAACGTTTGTCTGTTGGTCCCAAAATGGCAGGAGGCTGCCTACATGTAGAGGGCATGCGCGTCCGTTATTGAGCAGCACGGATACTAAAACGGGAGCCGCGGTTTTGACCAATAAAGACTCTGCTTCGAGACCCGGTGAGAACCCCATTCTCCTACGACGGTACCGGTCTCGCCCATTTCCTGCAGGACGTGAGGGTTGTGCTAGGCGGATGTGCCGGCGGATGTGCCAATCATCTCGTGTGTGGAACCAACACAAGGACTTAGCGATCTTGGCGAAGTGTTCCGTTTATTGATGTTGCGAGAAAAAGGTGGGAAAATATGGGATGGCGCAACATCTTTGGGGGATGCTTAGTTACCTAACTAGGGTGTATGCGCTGTTTTCGGGGACACTTGGTCTCCCATTCTTTTCTGCAACGCTCTTGATCAGAGTCTCTCTTCACTCTTCCACCACCCTTCTCCCGCCAACCCACAAATATCACCGAGACTCGAACCATCATGGATCCCACAAACAGCAACCCCACAAACAGCGGCCCTCCACCTGCCTCAGCCGTGTCCCCAGCGCTGCTAGACGGGGAAGCCCCCAACCAGAGCTGGACCCTCACCGGCCAGCCGATCGTCGACGGCAAATACCTCGACCCGTCGACGGGCGAGATCAAGACGCATACGGGCTTATCCAAGGGCGGACCGCCGTCCATATCCGTCTATTGGCAGAACAGGCTCGACACGGGGCGCGGGGACCAGTTCCACGTCATCTCCAAGACGGTCGCGCGCGCAGGGAACATCAACGAGTACATCATTCGGGTCGGTGACCTCCTGCGCACGGGTGCCTGTAAACTGGATTCGCTGAATGCGACCCGGTACAACGTCTACCTCGTCGTCACGTCGGAGCTCTCGCAGGGCGGATTTCGTGATGCTCTGGTCGAGCATGGGCTTCTGTAGATAGGTAATTTTGTTTAGTCCGGTTGGGAGTGCCCATCAGGCAGCAATAGGCATCGACTTTCGACTTGCTATGTATTGTGTAATATGATATACTTGGTACAGATCGCACTTTTTGACGTGGCACCTCATGGACAGAAAAAGCCGAACTCCACGTGCGGATGTCGGCAATGGAAACTTCGAGTCCTGAGCTGGAGGAATATAACGAAAGTCATCCTGAAGCCCAAAGAAGCTCTATTTACCTCATTTCCTTTTCTTTTACCCTCTTTCTTTTATTCGACTTAGCTTTCTCGATCTCTTTTCATTTATTCTTTTTGCTTGATTTCTTGCTTTCCTTTCGAGTTCGGCTTTTTTTGGCCAGAGGGTGGCAGGGCCACGGAGCGGTGACCCACTTCTTCGGCCGAGGACCGGCTTACACGGCCCCACAACGGGCAATGGTGACGCCATGGGTTATGACGACATTGTTGCAAGAGATCCAGCATCCAACATCCAACATCCAACACCAACAACAAAACGCCATGATGTCCCTCCTAGTCATGATGCCATTGTTAACATCCCGACACTTCCTTCATTCCCCTTTCACTATTCCCCGACACCATGACAGACCGGGTATTCCAACTGTCCGGGACCTGCAACAACTACCCCTGGGGTAAGCAGGGACAGCAGTCACTCGCAGCGCAGCTATGTAAAAAGACGATTAAGGACTTCGAGATCAAGGATGATGAGTTTTATTCCGAGATGTGGTTCGGGGACTATCCCGACTTCCCCGCCCGGGTCTTGAAGACGGGTGAACTCCTCAAGGACGTCCTCGACAGGGACAAGGAAAGGCTGCTCGGCAAGAAGGTTATCGATGAATTGGGCGGCCAACTCCCCTTCCTCCCCAAGATCCTGTCCATCGCCAAGGCCCTCCCCCTTCAAATCCACCCCAACAAACAGCTGGCCGCCAAACTGCACGCCAAAGACCCCGAGAACTTCACCGACCCCAACCACAAGCCCGAAATCGCCGTCGCCCTCTCCAAATTCGAGGTCTTCGCAGGCTTCAAACCACTATCCGAAATCGAGCCCCTATTCAAGCTCCCCGCCCTCCACTCTTTCGTCCCACCCAACACCACCCACTGGACCGACCAGACCCTGCGAGCCGTAACACGCAACCTCCTCAAAGCCGACGACGCCACCATCAAGTCCACCCAACACCGCCTCCTCTCCACCCCGCAATCCGACCTCGGCAACAACAACGCCGCCTACATCCTCAACCTCCTCCCGCGCCTACAAACCCAACACGGCCCCGCCGACCCGGGCGCCCTCGTCGCGCTGACCTGCACCAACTTCATGACCCTCCAGCCCGGCGAGGCACTGTACATACCCGCCGACGGCGTGCACGCCTACCTGGGCGGCGACATCGTCGAGTGCATGGCGCGCAGCAACAACGTGCTCAATGCCGGGTTCTGCCCGCGCGCGGAGCGGAACAGCATCGACTTGTTTGCTGATACGCTTACCTTTGACAAGGCGCACTCCAGGGGGGATGTGGTGCTGCCGGGTGTGGAGGCGGGGAGGAGTGGGGTGGGGAGGACCAGGGTGTATCGGCCGCCGATGAGCGAGTTTGATATGCTGCGGGTGGAGTTGGGGGTGGGGGAGGGGGATGAGATTGGGGAGGGGGAGGGCCCTGGGGTGATGGTTGTTACCAGGGGGGGTGGGCGGATGTACGCGGATGGGGAGAGGTTTGAGTTGGGGGAAGGGGCGATTTACTTTGTGGCGCCGGGGGTGAAGGTGAGGTGGGAGACGGAGATGGGGATGGAGGTGTATATGGCTGTTGTTTGATGCGTGGCTAGATTACTAGGGGTTGAAAGCCCTTGTGTGTGAGCTGCCCCAGCGCAGAGCTTTTATCTACTACGTGACTGCGAGGCCGAGTTCTTCAAGCCCCTAACCATCCAAATACCCTTGCGAGCCCTCGTGCCCTGGCTTCTATGTACGTGGTCCTCTAGTTTACAACTGGCCTCTCGGATTGTAGTTTACTTCTGAATTTCCATTTTCCTAACCTCTACCTAATACCCTGGCTTCCAACGGGTACCTTGAGTTCAACTTGTGGTTCGTAGCCTAACTTCCAACCTGTGGCTTGGCTTTCAGCCTGTGCCTTGTCTCAAAAGCGGGAGAACGTTGCTACTGCTTAGGCCTACTGCCGCTCTGAATGCGGTCCATGGCGGAAGCACCTCTTTGTAACCCGTAGCCTAATCCCCAGTGGTAAAGCGCTCTAAGGGCGACCTCGTGGATGAGCCAAGGGCGTTGAATGTAGAACACGCCAATAGCAGCGCAGCTAACAAACTGTCTTGTGCCTGCCAAGATGACGCCCCTCCCGATTCGGCACTTATACGAAGAGCTGTGCGTGTTGTGCAGCGGCACGTATGGATAACCCCCACTCGCACAGCCCCAACATCCATGCGATGTGGAGGCGTACTGTGGTACATCCATCTGTACTGTGTGAAAACCACGGACCTGAATCAACCCACGGGCCGACTTGCATGCGGCACAGCTTAGCCGCCATGGCGCAGATTACATACGATGCAACCCACCGTACCGACAGCGACACAGTGTGTTTGTTTCACAGATCTGCCGTATTGCGGCATGGTCCAGCGATCTCAGATGCGTCTGCTAGGCAGACGTTCTGACATTTCTCGGTTTCGTTGACGCTTTGCATTCCTGAGTTTCTTGCCGAGTTTCTCATCTCTTCTTCCTTCGCCAGGGGTTGCCCCCTTCCGTCTCCCGAAGTTTCCAGCCCTACCCGTGCCCCTTGTCCCTTGACTCCCCTCATCCTGCCCCCACAACAACGACAACAAGCACGAAGTGTTTTGCAACATGGCCGCATCCGGCAGCAGTGCCACGGCTCGGGAGGCCGACGGCCAGAAGGAGCTCGTTGCAGCCGAGGACAAGACCCAGGTCACAGTTAAGCGCGGCGTCCGCTTCTGGGGCACCTTCGTTGCCCTGTGCTGCCTTTCCTTCATCTCCGCCCTCGACGTCGCCATCGTCACGACTGCCCTGCCGACCGTGACGGCGGCCATTGGCGGCGCCGAGCAGTATGTGTGGATTGCCAATAGCTTCGTGGTCGCGTCATGCGTGTTGCAGCCACTGTTTGGTCAGCTGGCCGAGTGCGTCTTCCCTTTCCTGCATGCATGTATGTGTTGAAACCTAACGCCCGAAACCGCTAGTGTGTTTGGTCGGCGCCGGCCCTTCATCGCATCCGTCGTCCTTTTCACCCTTGGTAGTGGGATCGCCGGCGGTGCCAAAGATGCCGCCATGCTGATCGCCGGACGGGCGGTCCAGGGCGCTGGGGCTGGTGGCATTGTTGTCATGTTGGATATCGTGTGCTGCGACTTGGTGCCGTTGCGAGAAAGAGGCAAGTACCTCGGTTTGATGTTCTCGTGGTCAGGTGTCGGTGCGGCCTTGGGACCTCCAGTAAGTCAAAAACTAAACGTCCCCCTTCCCGTCCAGCCTGTTGACACTCTCGCAAGGTCGGTGGTGCTCTAGCTGAAGCAAACTGGCGCTGGATGTTTTACATGAACATTCCCATCTGCGGTGTCGCCCTCGCCTTCCTGCTCCTCTTCATGCGCTTCAAGACCGGCACGGCGGCCACTGAGCACAGGGGCATTGGGGCCAAGTTTCGCCGGCTCGACATCATCGGCAACCTGATCTTTACCTCTAGCATGATCTCTCTCCTGATTGGCCTCGTCCAGGGTGGCACCGATGAACAGCATGAGTGGTCCTCGTTTCGCATCATTGTACCTATCGTCCTCGGCGTCGCCGGCTGGGCCGCCTTCCACGTACACCAAGCGGTCTTGGCCCCGTTTCCTAGCGTCCCGCCGCGGCTGTTTACGAACCGGACTTCGGCCATCGCCTACGGACTGACCTTCACCTCATCGGTCGTGCTCCAGGCCACGGCGTATTTCTTCCCCGTATATCTCCAAGCCGTCCAGGGCACGACCGTGCTGGAATCCGGCACCTACTTCCTTCCCTTTGCATTGTCGTCCCTCGTCTTTGCCGTCCTGGCCGGCATCCTGCTCAGCACCTTTGGAGCCTACCGACCCCTGCACGCGGCGGCCTTTGCCCTCTCGAGCCTGGCCTTTGGCCTGTTCACGCTGCTGGACGGGTCGACGTCCAAGGTGGCGTGGGTATGGTACCAGCTGATCGCGGCCGCCGGGTCGGGCCTGGTCATGTCGACGCTCCTGCCGGCTCTCATGGCCTCTCTGCCCGAGAGCCACGTGGCGTCGGCGTCGGCGACCTACAGCTTCTTCAGGACTTTTGGATACGTCTGGGGCGTTACCCTCCCTGGTATCATCTTCAACGCGGCCGTGGGCAGCAATCTCGAGAGTATATCCGACCCGACACTCCGGGCCCAGATGGCCGATGGAGCTGCCTACTCCTTTGCAAGCGCGGTCCATGGACTGAGACGGGATGGAGCGCTAGGCCCGGTCGCTTTCCAACAGATGACGGATGTCTATTCGGAGAGCTTAAGGGTCATCTGGTGGCTATGTTTGGGCATAAGTCTGGTCAGCTTGCTCGCCGTTCCAGTGATGAGAGGCTTGGAGCTACGCAAGGAGTTGGAGACCGAATATGGCCTCGATGATGGAGTGAAAGTGAACGGGGTCGGTTCTTCCTCGTCTGATGAGGAAGTCGGGAGGGCGGAAGAGAAGGTGAAAGTGGACGGGGTTGTGCAGTGTCGCGTGGTTTCTGAGCCCAACTCAGCATGACTTGGCTCTGGCGTACATGTGTGCCAGCGTTGAGGGTACGGAGAGTGTTGCGAGATAGACGAAAGGTGTCAAATCTGTATACCTACATGTAATATGTTGCTCCTTTACAGCCTGACCGAGACCGTGTAGGCGAACTCCCTTGGGCCGAGATTTGTCAGAGGAAAACCGTAAAGGTTACCAATTCTGCCAGCCAAGGATAGGGTGGGGGGACGCTCCAATTTCGAGGGCCCTACCTAGGTATACAGCGTGCGGAGGGCGAGTAACGCTTTTTAGGAGTTGATTCTGCCGCGTGCGAATGTTGCCCAGCCAGGTTCGACGACAACCCCTGCGACATCGTTGCTTTAAATCCAATTGCCCTCTATATCGAACAGGAATGCTTCAATGCTCAAAACAAGCGGTTACCGCTGAAGACGATGCAAATTTGGGCGAGTACTACATGTAGGTAGCAATGCCAGGCCTTGCAGGTGCATTTGGGCACGCCGCTGGTAATTACAAGTTCTCAGGGGATCTGGGATTTGCGGAGACCATGGAATGCACATCATCTTGATAAATAAATACATCGCCGGCAGACTAGCAAAAGTCTCGACGGTCGAATCGCCTGGCCTTGATTAAAAGGCAATATATAGATACATACATCTTGACAACCCAATCACCGCCACGCCGACTGCTCCGTCACCTGATACCCAAGCTCGCGCTTAATCTGGCCTTGCATCTCGTCGCTGTTCCCTCGGTGAGACGTCTTATAGCAGACCGTCATCGGCTGGTGTGACCCCGGTACGAGGGCTGGTTGCAGCTGCTCCGTGGACGAGGTCTCTGGGGCCCGGATGTAGTCAACCTGGGAGATGTTGGAAATGTCGTATGTAGTGGGCTCGCGGCGCTGGTTCTGGTTCCGCTTTGATCGGATGCGCGACATCAAGCGTAGATATGAGTCGGTCGGTTTGTAGACCGGCTTGCTGGCGTTGACGGAAGCCGCGAACAGTTGGGGGAAAGCTGACAGACAAGAGACGGCAATAGCTAGTGGCGTGTCAGAAAGTCATGCCCGTTATGTGTGCGCGCTGTAAGGTAGGTAGGTAACTCACCAATGCATGGCTCGATCGCAGTCCACATCCAGAGATAGCTCGGATCAATAACACCGTTATCCCAAGTTGTGGCAGCCAGATCAGCCGCGCGTGCGGTGGCGATGGCCATGGTGACAATCGAGAGCGAGAACAGGCCGACAAAGGCGAGCTTTTTGGCAAACGCGATTCGTACGTTCCACAAAAGCCACACGGGGATGAGGATGACTAGCATGAGAAGTGGTCAGTCATGAGATGAGTTGCAGCCGGGAGAACACAGTCTTACTCAGAAAGTCGGAGAATACATCCATCGCGCAGTTGAACTTCAACGTGATAGCGGTGAAGTTGCCCAACTCTGGAGAGGAACAGTATCCCGTAACGTCCTCGATGGACGGAAGCAAGCAACGATATTCAACGGTACCGAGACAAACGGCGTATATGGCCACGACAAAGATGACGACGGGCCACCAAAACCAGTTGAACCGGTTCACGTTGTGGCCGAGACGCTTGAAGAACAACAAGAAGGCCAGTTTGACTGCAGTCAGGCCGGTGTAGAAGAAGAGCTCGGCAATGAGCTGCACTTTCAACCACCGCAACGTCTTGTCGGCGAAGTCAGGAGTGGGAGGTGCGAGGCCGGCCATGACCTCGAGAATCTCGTACATGGCAGGTGCCTGCCATTGCCAGAGTCCCGCGACGACGACGGTGAGACTGGTGGCGAATATGGCGAGGGCGTCATCCCAGAAGATTCGGCGCTGGGTACGTATGCGAGTGTAGAGCCGGGTGGACAGGAAAATAAGGGCTAGGCCTTCGGCTGCCCAGATGAGGCCCTGATGAATAGGCACATACCTATTAGTCTTGGACACAAAACGACAGGGGGTTACAGAACACGCAGGGGGATGGAGCGGGATGATAGAGCCTACCAAGAAGACATTCTGGGACACTCCAGGGTGATTGAACTCCGGCATGATGAAAACTCAATTGGCGCTGACAATGGAATGTCGCCTGATGTTGTGATACCTAGTACACGGTAGTAGAGGTAGTAGGCATGCCTGGGTTCGGCGGAAGCATGTTGGGGTCATGTTGGGGTCGTGCTCCAATGTCCAAGAACTTATCGAAATCCAAGCACTCGAGCATTCAAACTTGGCCCCCCTCCATCATTACACAATACTGCTGACCTTGGCAGCCTCACGGCACAAATCGAGGCGCAGTCAGCCTCCGATTCTTCATATTGGTGATGCATGTGAATGTCGTCGTTGGATTGCGGCACAGTTGGTTCAATCCAAGGTGGGTGATGGTCCGATGGAAGAAAACCAATGAAACGATTGAAACCAATCGGGACGACGGGACGGCGGATGGCAGAATCCAGATTCAGCTGGCAAAGCCACTCCCGAGCGGCGGGGAGATGTCGCACTGTATGCACCGTATGCACTGCATTTGATGGAGGGGTCGGCCAATAATGCAGCACTGCAGCAGTCCTTCTTGGGAAGGAAGCGCCTAGCGATAAGGCCCGTATTGTCGCGTCGATAACGTTGGTTCTGGGTTGCAACTTCTGCAAGGGGGTGGCGGCACGCTCATCTGATGTTTTTTTTCGCTTCTGTCGTTTGTTGACTTCTCTCTCTTTCTTTGCCGCGCTCTTTGCCGTTCCCCTACGTACGCTGCGGCAGACGGTTTCGAATAGCTACCACACCACATTCATTGCTGTATTGCGGATATTGTTCCGCCGCAACCTTTGGACACGCGGAATTGGAATTTTGCACACTTCCGAAACGATGGCGTTGTTCTGGGTGCTTTTGTCGCCTGCGCTCGTCGCAGCCATCTTGGTAGTCCACAGCGGCGTCTCCTTGGCCCGCAATTATCTTGTCGCGCGTCGGATCGGCCTGCCGGTTCGCGTCATCCCCATCGACCACACCAATCCCTTGTGGTTGGCTGTGGATCGGAAAGTGCTCTCCTACGTGAGAAAACTCCCAGGCTTTCTAGGCGACAACAGCTTTACGCGCTACAACTTCCGGACATGGGAAATGTACGATCGGCTGCGGCCGCACCAAGAGATGGGCGACGCGTTTGTCATCGTCACGCCTGCCAGGATCTGGTTCTACCGTACGCCTTGCCACCTTTCCTGACCCCCGTGACCCCCGTCCTCTGGCTGACTCCGGTACCCGATAGTGGCTAGCCCCGATGGTCTGATGGATTGCTTCCGCCGCCGAGCCGATTTTCCCAGGTGTGTGGAGATGACTGAGATTCTCAACGTCTTTGGCAAAAACCTGAGTACCGTATGAATTACGCCCCGTTCCTCACACACTCTGTCCGGCTTTCCCTAACCGACCCTTTTTCTTACAGGTCGAAGGCCAAGAGTGGAAGACACAGCGCAAGGTCATCGCGACATGCTTCAATGAGCATAATCACGAGGTCGTCTGGTCCGAGGCACTGTCGCTTGCCCGCGACATGCTTGCCTACTGGTCCCGGCAGCAGTCCGTGACGACATCTGCCGAAGACCTCCGCACTCTCTCCTTGCACGTGCTTTCGGGGGCTGGCTTTGGAAAGTCCTACAAGTTCGAGGGCCACACGGAAAGGTCCGATACCAGCGCGTCGGCCAACTACAAGAGCTCACTCCAGATGATCCTCGAGAACTGCGTCCTCATCCTGGCGTTGGGTCCCTCCTTCTTGGCTAAAGCAAGACCGTGGCTTCCCAGCAATTGGAAACTGGCAAAGCTGGCCGACACATGCGCTGCCTTCCAGCGGTACATGACGGCCCAGTACGAGGAGGAGAAGCGCGCAACGTTGGCGCCGGAAAAGAAAGGAGGGGCGAAGACGCTCATGAGCTCTCTGGTCAGTGCTTCGCAAGCCGAGGCCCGCACCGGCACCGGCCTCAGCGAGAGCGAGATATACGGCAACATGTTTATGCTGAACTTCGCCGGCCACGACACCACCGCCCACACCTTCACCTTTGCCATTCACTTCATCGCCGCAAACCCCGATGTGCAAGACTGGCTTTCGGAAGAGATTCGCGCCGTCCTCGGGGACGACCCGGCCGACTGGAAGTATGCCAGTTTCCCCCGTCTGAAGCGCTGCATGGCCATCCTGCTGGAGACGCTCCGTCTCTACACGGTGGTTCCCGTGTCGAAATGGGTGGGAGACCAGCACGTATCGCTCCAGGTGGGCGGGAAAACAATCGTGCTGCCGCCCAAGACCATGTTCATCCCCAGCTACGCGGCCGTGCAGACCGATCCCAAATACTGGGGGCCCGACGCGCTCGAATGGCGGCCGTCGCGCTGGGTCCAGGAAGGGGGCAAGCCGGGAGATGAAGAGCTCGTCGGCTTCGAGAGGGGCACCTTTCTCGGATGGTCCGAGGGGGCGCGTGACTGCCCGGGCAAGAAGTTCTCCCAGATCGAGTTCGTAGCCACCATGGCCGCGCTGTTTCGCGACTGGCGTGTCGACCCGGCGCCTGTCCACGACGGCGAGAGCCGGGAGGAGGCGCAGAAGAGGGTTCTAGACCTGATCGAGCACGACTCGGCGCCCGTGCTCTTGCTGCAGATGCTACATCCCGAGAAGGCACCATTGGTTTGGAAAAAGAGGTGAATGCGGCATGGCGGCCCGGGGAGCGGCGTAAATCCGTGATGGGATGGTACAGCCGTGGCTGCGCCATTCTGTGGTGGGGGTCGCGGGCGTCGGTGAAGGTCACGGTGGGATCTTACCCCCTGCTCGCTCGTCTGATGTCGTTCGGCCCGTTAGTTCGGTATTTGATGCCGTAATCCAACATGAACTTCGTGTTGTCGCCGCTCGTTTCTATTGACCCACTCGAGTACGACCATGATAAGCGCTGAGGTGACCGCAGGCGGCTGCAGGCCAGCGGCGCTGACTACCTACTGTTTGCCGTTTTCGTCTTCTGACCATTCACGATCAGGGAAGGAGAGTTGTGTCAGAAACGTTGCCACCTCGCTTCCTCTCCTGCTTCCAGGTCTTTCACACTGTCCCAGGCAATACTACTTCCCAAGACTCGTGTATGTCTTGGTACGGCCTGCCTTTCCGAGGGAAGATCGGGGAGAGAAGTGGAGCTAACTGGCGATAGCAATCCATATCGCCCTCGGCTTGAAATCTGAGAGTGGACTGTGAGGACACAGAAAATTACATGGTGCTTCCTCGCGAGAAGTAGTAACAGTACATCTTCTCATCCGTGGATGGCGCCTTTCTGTGCCGTCAAGGACTTTGCGGGGAATGCCGGGCGATGCAGGTACGAGGATCGGCAGATTCTTTACCGAGCACCGGCACCGGCACTTGCTACCATTTGCGCGCGCTGGATTGTTGCCTTGTGGAGTGACCTACCTAGGTAGGGAATACTCCCCGCGGGAAGGACCCGAGGCGACTGGAGCCTGCGGCGCGCGCTTGATCAAGGCGGGGTTGTTGGTCGGGGGCAGCCCTTTGCCAACTGCATGTGATCCGATCTGTCGGTGCCTCTTATCCGGTGTCCTTCGTGTGCCGCAAATGTGCCATGAATCTACCATGAACCTGCTATGAGTGTGCCACAATGCATGTGGCACGAACGTGAGGATTCAGAGGAATGCGGCGAGTGCGGCGAGTGCGGCGAGTGCGCGGCGGTAATAGGCGAAGCGGCCAGTGACGAAAGCGGGAGGGTAGCCGCGAATTCAGCCGCGAAGTGCTGCGGCGAATGGAGGGGCAAATCGACGTTACACACAAGCCAGGACGAGCAGCCGAGAAACACATGTGCAGCCTTGGAAGGCGTTTTTGGGAGCTGGAACCACAGTGCGAGCAGAGCGGCTGGGAACAGCGGACGTCAGGTATCTTCGTGTTAACTATTAACCAATAAAGGTGAATTGGAGTTGGTCGTCATCCGGGAGTGAAACGTCTTCGATGAGGGCTGTGTGCTGAGGGGAGGTCTGGGGGGCGCTGAAAATGGATCTGGTTCACCTTGAAAATGCCCCTTTGAAAACATGTCATAAACACACAAGTTGACCCTGGGCCTCCTACTCGGATATTGGCACAGCAGTCAGCAGTGACAGCACAAGAACGTTGCCCGTCCTTGTCTTCTTACACATACAATCCTGCCACTGGTAGCCCCGGACTCCCTCGGGAACCCCGAACCACTCCACACGGACCCTACCCTGCATATATACCACTCGGCAAACATGAGTGCAGCCGACGCCTTTCACACGATCCAAGCTCCCGACCCGGATGTGGTCCATATCCAGGTCTCTCGCAGCATTGGGTCATGGGCTTTTGACCGTGCGCAGTTCGTCGCCTGGGCCGCTCTCGGGGCCATCATCATCAACTACGTTGTGCAGGTGTCACGCTTTCACTCGATCCAGCGGACTGCCAGTAAAGAAGAGCCCCAAACCCCTCCACGATACCCATCGTTGATACCATGGCTTGGACATGCGCTGCCCTTTGCCTTTGACAATATGCGCTTTATGGATCGCGTTGCGTGAGTACACCTACATACAACGAGTGGACCATTCCGTTTTGCAGAGTGCCGTTTTCGGTCCCGAGTCCCCAGTTGAATGGTCAGAGACTGATAACAATGGGCATGGGCAGGTCCTACAAACAAAAGTTCACATCATGCCTGGTCACAATCTGCGGCATAGACCTCTACATCCTGCAAGATTCGGATACCGTGGCCCATATGCGCCACGAGTCCTCCGTGGGACATGTTGTTCAGGTCTACACCTATACCATGAAATGGTTCTTCGGCCTCTCAGACGTTGGTGTGAAGGCTTACCTGCGTGACGAGACCGGGCCGGACCGGAAGCCGCATCCGAATAGTGACCCCAGCTTCCCAGCACACAACCGCATATACAACATCACCTACCAGGGTTTCCTAACTGGGCTCTCGGGACCGAATCTCGCCCACGCCACGCAGCGATTCACCCAACTGATCACTTCCAACCTAGAAAAGCAGTCTCTCTCCCGAGAGTGGACCACCCACGATGACCTGGGCTACTTCTTTCAGGAGCTCGTGAGCAAGTCCATCCTCGAGGCGCTCTTTGGTCCGGCCTTCCTCAAGCTCAACCCCACCTTCAATGATGACCTGTGGGCCTTTGACCGGGACATCCCCTGGCTCGCCAGGTGCTTGCCCTCCTTCATCCTCCCCGGAGCTTATCGCCGCCGCGCCAGCGTCGCAGCTCAGGTCAAGCGGTGGCACCAGAACGCAAGAGAGAACTTTACCGAGTCGAGCATCGGTGCCGACGGCGATGCCGATCCCTATTGGGGTTCCGAGCTCATGCGCCATCGTCATAAGAAGCTCCCAGCCGTGGACGGCTTTGACGACGACTGCATGGTGGCAGCTGACCTTGGGTTTATCTGGGCGTAAGCAAACCCCAATCCCTCCTATTATGTCGTCTCAAACGCAGTGCTCAAGAAGCCGAAACTGATCCATGGTATCTACACACAGCTCCGTTTCCAACGCCACGCCGACCGCGAGTTGGGTCACAGCACACCTGTTTGAGGACGAGAGCCTGCGGGACCGGGCCCGCGCCGACGTTGCCAGGCTCGGGACCCTGGACCCCAAGACACTCAGCCAGTCGTCGCCCGTGCTCAGCTCCGTCTTCGCCGAGACGCTCCGGCTCCACAGCACCATGTACTCGATGCTCACGGCGCGGGGCGCCGACGCCAAGCTGGGCAAGTGGCGCCTGCCGCAGGGCCAGATCGGCGTGGTCAACACCGGCCTGAGCCACATGGACGAGGAGGTCTGGAACACGCGCGACGGGAAGCACCCGCTCGCCAGCTTCTGGGCCGATCGCTTCCTCGTCTATCCCGACGACCCCACCAGCGGACCTCTCAACCAGAACAGGCGTCGCTACGCTACTAGTCCGGCGGCTAAGCCCAAGACGGAAGAGGGCCAGGAATATGCGAGCAGCGTTGCTGCTGATGCCGGTGGCCCGACCTTCTCACTCGACGGTCTGGAGGGCGCGTGGATCCCTTACGGAGGTGAGTCGGTTGCGAATCGAGTTCCCGCTTTGCCCCTTGACGATATGCTAACCCACCCCTGCAGCTGGGAGACACGCTTGTCCGGGTAGGGTCATGTCCAAGCAGATGGTCATTTACACATGTGCCCTCATGGTGAGCCAGTTCGACATTGAGCTCATCGACGGTCCCGTGCCTGTGGAAAAGGACAGCTGGAGTTTTGGATTTAACGTGGCAGTGCCAATGAAAAAGATCCCCTTTAGAATTAGGAGGCGGGCTTAGAGAGGGCGAGGATGCGAGGACCATGGCTTTTATTCATGTAAATATTTTATTTTGTCGGGACCGCTTCGCCGGTGTCTGACTCGGATCGTATGTGTGGGATTTGGCTGTACATTCAGCACTGTTGGCATACGCTGCCTATACTATCCACGTTTGAATACACTCTACCTTCGCCGTGATGATTGTTACGAGGGAAGTGGGCGGATGCAAGCGGATGGGCAGAGCTTTGAGTTGGGGAGGAGGTGATTTACTTCATGGCGCCAGGGGTGAAGGTGAGGTAGGAGACCGAGAAAGAGATGGAGGTGTATATAGGTAGCTCTTGTTTGGCGAGTGGCCGGGTTGTATGATGTTCCTGGGCTCGCCCTCTAGATTATGGCAATAAAGTTGTGGAATTCTGAGAGACTTTCCAAACCAGTCACTGCTCACCTCATAAGCACCATGGTCATGGCATTGTAACGATACGGGTGAATCAGCCCGCGTTACCAAACATCTGTCAGCTTGGCAGTGGTTCCGTGAAACCATCTATTAATCAAGTCGGTTAAATCACAAGTAATACAGCTGGCGTAGTAGCATTGACAGGTAGGTAGGTAGTTAATGCAAGCTGTCAGTTTCAAAACCACCACACTCACAGGCAACATCCCTCCCCTCTCCAACATCACGCAATCCTTCACCAACAACTAACTCCCTCCCAACCACCACAACCATGCGACCCCTAAATCTAACAACCCTCATCCCCATCCTCACCCTCCTCTCCCATCCCACCTCCTCCGGTGCCACCACCCCCCCATCACCATCACCATCACCATCACCATCACCACCACCACCACCACCACCACCCCAATGTGGCCCCGCCACCCCCAAAACACCCACCCACCCCCAACCGACCACCTCCCTGGCCACCTCCCTCCCGCACCCCTCCGCCTGGCACCCCTGGACGCACCAGCCCTACTGCATCCCGGCCTCGGCCTCCCCCTGGTGCGTCTTCACGCACGCGGCCTCGCCGCGCGCGCACGGCGTCAGCATCGTCAGCACGCCCGACGACGCGCCTGATCCGCGGAACCATGCCCTAGACGCGCCCTTCTTTGCGCCGGAGAAGTTGTTGCTGCCGCGGCCGTATGCGGTGCGGGATGTCCCGGGGAAGGGGAAAGGTGTGGTGGCGACGCGGCGGATTGCGAAGGGGAGGGTGGTGCTGGTGGATTGGGTGAGTGTGTTGGCGGCGGTGGAGTATCCGGGGGATGTGTTGCGGGGGGAGGTGCAGGAGTTGTTGAGGGTGGCGGGGGAGAGGTTGGGGGGGGAGAGGGTGGTGGAGGGGTTGGCTAGGCAGGGGAACCGGAGGGTGGGTGGTGATGCTGATGGTGAGGGGGAGGGGGTGGAGATGAGTGAGATGGAGGATGTGATGTTGACGAATAGCTTTGCGGTGACGGTGGGGGGGAAGGAGTACATGGGCTTGTTTGCGGATTTGGCGGTAAGTTATTCTTCCTGGGTTTTGCGTGTGGGTGAGTGTTTGAGGGTGTGAGAGCTGACTGTGAACAGAGGTTTAATCATGCTTGCAAGCCGAAGTACGTGTTACGAGCGGATATCAAAGGCGCCACTTACTGACCTTGCAGTGCCTTCATCAACTTTTCGCAAAAGACCCTAGCTATGACCATATGGTCAGCCCGTAATATTGAAGTTGGGGAGGAAATTACGATCACGTGTAAGGGACCAATATCATGATGAACGTGTGTTGTTTTGCTTTTGCTGATCTTGTTTAGACTCGGCAGCAGGCTTGACTTCGGAGGAGAGACACGAGAGCTTGGAGAACATTTGGGGGTTCAAGTGGTACGTTTACATCTATCTTCCTTCCTGCACTGCTAAAGATGGAGCCAAGTCACTCATGCTATTGACCCTAGCCAATGTTCCCTCTGCACTTCTGAACCAGCCGCTCTTCATGCCTCAGATGACCGCCGCAGGGGAATCCGCACGCTTCAGGACAAGGTTATCGAGCTTGCGCAAAAGGGTGACTTTCATGAGGCAGTTGAGGCCAGTGAACGCCTGTTTACTCTCGTAGAGCAGGAAGGCTTGACGGAGCAGATGGGTGGTATGTACGAGGTCCCAGCCCGTCTTTACTACCACATTGGCAATCTTGAAAAGGCGCTGGAGTACACTTTGCAGGCGAGACACGAAATTGATGGTTACGGGGTCCCGGACGAAAACGGAGAGGAGAAGATCAAGATGTTGAAAGGAGTTATTGCGCGGCTCGAGCAAGAGATTGATGAGCGGGGACAAGGACGGGCTGAGAGAGAAAGGCAGGGAGAGGATGAACGGTAGGAAGATAAATAATAATTACGCAACGCATGCCTCAACACTGATCTATGTACTTGTAACCTGATATCTCGGCGCTACCGGATAATCATCCGGGAATCCGTGGTTATCACAACGTCCAGTCTTCGAGGAAGCTATCCAACTACCTCCACGTTAATACTTTCAAACTCTCGGTTACCGATGCCCGATGCATGACGGCGGAGGTCAAATAGGTTCTTTGACTGTCAATCACCGGACTATCACCTCGGTCCGTAACAAAACAACTTACACGCACATCGCAAGAAGTTTGTCCGGATCTAGCGCTCACTAGGACCGTAATCAGAAAAACATGCTGGACATGCCGATCAGAGAATACGCTAAAGCCCGCCTCCAAAGCCGTTGGGTGTCGCCGGCGAGCATATTTCCACCAGTGAGGAAGAGGCACTCCGTCACCGGTGCCGGCTTGGCAGGGCAAACTCCCCGGACGGGTAAATCGCAACACGAGATCAAGACCTTATTTGGGGACGGTGCTTCTCAGACAGGGTTCCCCGCTGGAGCTCATTTTTCCATTGCACCGGGAGTAGCGAAGTTGGGGAAATTGCTGGGCTGGGGATGTTGCCGTCTGCATGGCATGGACCCGGATATCACTCCAGCTTCCTCCTATATTAAGTTGTATAACATTCCAGGTTCCATCAGCACAGCGCACCGTTGGTATCCTATTATCGTCTGTCCCGAATACCCGGATTTCTACCATGCGGCTCAACTTCATCACCGTACTCTCGGCATTGGCCCCCTTGGCGGCAGCATCGCCCCTCGGTAGCCTCGGTCTTGCGTCTTGGGACGTCGAAGGCTTCGCCAAGGATAACCCGATCGGTACCACTACTGGTGGCAAGGGCGGCGTCACTGTGGCTGTCGACAATGCGGCAGACTTGGAGGCGGCTGTTGCCGGCGACGAGCCCAAGGTTGTGCGCGTCAGGGGGGAGATCAATCTTCCGGCCCGCCCCAAGATTGGCTCCAACAAGTCCGTCATTGGCGTTGGTGGCTCGGCTCATATCACCGGAATGGGTCTTGATGTAGTTGATGCGACCAACGTCATCATCCAGAACCTCAAGATCAGTTTCATCCAGGACAATGACTGCATCACCATCCGGAACTCGACCAGGGTTTGGGTAGACCACAACGAGTTTGCGTCGGACATTTCCAAGGGCCCAGACTTCTTTGTGCGTATTCCGAGTTCGCTGGGTCTGGGATATTGTGCTAACCCTCCATAGGACGGCCAAGTCGACATCATCCGCGCTTCAGACTGGGTTACCGTATCCTGGAACTACTTCCATGACCACTGGAAGTCGTCGCTCATCGGAAATGATGACACCCTCCGAGACGTTGATTTCGGCCACCTACACGTCACTTACCATCACAACTACTGGAAGAATATGGGCACCCGCGGCCCTGCCGGGCGCTTCGGCCACCAGCACATCTACAGCAACCTCTATGTCGACTTCAACTACCAGGCAATCCATTCTCGGTCCGACAACCAGGTCCTCGTGGAGGGCAACGTGTTCAGGGGCAAGACCCGTGAGGCGCTGAGCACCTACGGTTTGGTTATTCCGGAGGATTCGCCGAATACCTGCACGTGCGGTGACGAGGAGCTGGATGGCTTTGCCAACTTGGGAGCTAGTAAGTGACTGGCATTTTTCTTTCCGTTAGTGACTTTCCTTGATTAACACGTTCGGTAGGGAACGACTGGGGTAAAGCCACCGTCAACATCACGCAGGTTGGTGACTTCAAGAAGGCACCCTACAAGTTCAAGTTGACTCCGCTGCCCTTGGTTGCGCCGATCGTCAAGCTTGGGGCAGGTGTTGGAAGGATCCTTTGAGACAGTTCAAGGGTCTGGTTGATAGTAATAGACTGATCATAGGAGAAAGATAATACGATAATTGACAGGCTCCGCTTGGCCGGGGGGGCTTTCCTCAACCGGCGCCACATTGTTGTCAATGCCACGGCTTTCCATAACTTCGTTCGCAACCCAACCAAACCAGGCACGCATGGTTTAGTTTACCCAGGGGTTGAGAAATGCGATTTGCCGCTCCGCCAGTCCACTTCCCTTGTCACCATCTGCTCCCACCGACTCAAGATCTGAACTAGGAGGCAAAGCACTCACCCTTCACCGGCCACTAACGCTATCCCACATCAGAGCCGAGATCATCTTCCAAATCGCTGAGGTTGGGTACCATTTCCAGCCCACCAGACTCTAGTTCAAACACATTACCTCGACAAAGGTTTGCACCCGCCTATCCGCATACTCTCTCTTCCGGCCTGCGCCTCTGTGTTGTGGCTGTCTTGGATTAGAGCGCTACTTCTCTTCCTCATCGTCCGATGAATGACTCCGATCTGGTAACGATCTCGTGCATAGTATCCTGCAGGAGACTGCATATAGCTCACATACGGCACGCTACGGGGTGGTGGAGATAATGCGGTGTGAATCATGGAGTGCGAGTGAGCGTGTCTCCAATGAAACAAGGGCGCTTAAACCCATAACCCGCGGGTGCCGCGTCTCGCTCCAAGTATACACCATGTCGCCCACTCTGCCAAGATCCCAGCCAGCCGGGCTCAGCTCTGTTCAGCGGGGGCGCTAAGCCTAATCATCTAGCCAGCAGTCGAAGCTGAAGTTGGATCATCAAGCCCGGCGATCAAGGAGGGGAAAGGACCAGTTGATGTGACATGACGTGCATCGGACAGCCCGTCCATCTGCGGCACACCGGGGAGGCTCCATGGGATGAGATGGCAACCATTCAGCTGGCTGGTGAGAGTTATGCCAGAGCTTCAAGGACGGTGTATTGTCGTTTGATGCTGTCTTTCCAATGTTTCCTGCTTGGTCATGAGTGACTTGATCGGTGTAAGTGCGATATATCAACGCGTCCATAGCTCTATAGTCGAGTACCATAGTATGCATGTCGCCAGCTTTCTTGTCCCGAATCCACATGTCGGGCACCTCCGACAAGATCAGCAGCGAGTTAAGCCCAGCTATATCAACCAATAAGCAGACATTGGGCCGGAATGCAGATGTGTGCAGGTGCATGCAGCTGCATGCAGATCCAGAGAGACTCAGGCAGACGAATACCCTCTCCACTGGGTAGGGTGTGTATGGATATGTTACCAAGTACCAACTCACAGATTGATCAGCGAGGATCTACAGCGGGTATATGACGCGTCCCTGTTTCTCCTTCTACATGTAGGGGAGCTTACACCTTTTTCCCTTCTTCCAACTCCCCTTCTATCAAAAAAGCGACAGAGCGTCCGTCCACATCACCGAAGCATTGGCAATAAGCCTATACCAGCTATAATCCATCTCAACTTCTACTCACAATGGCTACCCCGATCCCCATCGCCCTCGTCGAAGCCAACGAGGACTTCGCTAGAGCCATCCAACGGGAACTCCTCCCCCAGTTTTTGGGTACGTCCACCAACCAGACGCCCCCTTTATCCCCACAGGTGGCACCCCCAGAATCTCACACAGCATGCGGCGACAAACAGTGGTACACGTTTGCCTCAGCGCCGAAAGGGCGACGTTCGAACTCGCCAACTGCTACGCCGGTCCAGCGGCGGGCAGCCCGCACGAGTGCCCCGTGGGTAGCAACATGCAAGTCCCCGCCGAGGAGCGCAGCGAGCCGCGCGCCGTCCTCGTCGGCACCAGCATCGAGGACCGCGCCATCTTCGCCATTCGAGACAGTGCCGAGCGCGGACTGCCCGATATCACCACGGTGAAGATGGATGTCGGGGATGACCCCACAGACGTGGGCATGGTTATGATACGTATCCACGAGCAGTTAGATCGGCTTGTTGATGAGGGGGTACTTAGGGCCGAGTAGAAGGGTGCTGGAGCTCAGTATCGGGACAGCTAGAAGAGTTACTGGATACCTTGTCTAGCGAGAGTGGACGGTTCCGCGGTGAGCTTTAGCTTTTATGTAGCAGGGCAAGCAAATATCCACATTCCCAGGCCGCCATCGAAGCACACCTCATAGCCGTCGTCAGTCCCCCAAGTTTCACCTCTCTAGCAACAGACGGCGGTCGAGTTCCGCCCTGAGCCCGGCTTTAGCTGCGTGACTGAGATTTCAATGACAATAGGCAGAATGCTGCGTTTCTCATCTAACTCTGCTACTCCGACCTATTTGCTGGGCCATTATCACACCAGCCTGCTGTAGGCCACCTTCGGACTCCGTACCATCGCCTGGCCGAAAACTAAAAACGGAGAATGAAGGCCTTGTGTAGCCGCCAGGGGCCCTCCTGAGTCCTCGGTCCTCCGTCTCCGAGCACCACCACCCTTTCGATGACCAGGTCAGTGGCGTAGCCAAACATACCGCTCGCCTCGACTGCCCGCCCATTCCAAGTCAGTGTAAGGACCGACTTATTATCTCCGACATCCAGGCTCTCCCCATCGTCGAGGTACAGCTCGCCCCGAGCAGTCCCATCCGCTCCCGGCGCCACCGTGATGACAAAATTCTCCTTCCGCAGCTCCGCCGTAGTGTTGGCCGACCTTACCCTCATGGGCACGATACTGCCACCCCTGATATGCACAGGGATATCCGCCCACTCCACCCCCTCGCGCGTCACCATCCCCCCCACGCTCACCACCTTCTCCCCCGTCCAGAAATCATACCACACATCCCTCGGCAAATAAAACCTCACCGTCTGCGAGTCATCATCCACCACCGGACTCACCAACAACGCCTCCCCCAAAAACCACTGCGTCTGCACCCCCCAGGTCGCCGCATCCCCCGGATAAAAAAACCACAACGGACTCACCACCGCCCTCCCCTCCCGACTCGCCCTCCACATCGCCGTATACAAATAATCCAACAACCTATACCGCACCCCCACCGCCTTCCGCGCGGCCTCCGCCACCAAAGGCCAGCGATAAAACTCCTGGTCCGGCGCCGACGCATCCGCATGATTGCGGTAAAACGGCTGCCACGCCGCCATGACCGCCCAGCGCGCACACATGCGCTCCTCCGCATCCCCATTAAACCCGCACACATCCGACCCGACCATCGGCAAAGCGTGCACGGCGGCGGCCGCCAGCAGCTGGCGGATCGCGGCGCGGTAGTGCGCCCACGTCGACGCGTTGTCGCCGAACCAGTGCGCGGCGTGGGAGCCGGTTCCCGCGAAGGTGGAGCGGGTGAGGACGAAGGGGCGTTTTGTGGGGGAGCGGGTGATGAGGGCGCGGTGGGTGGCGCGCGCCATCATGCTGCCGTAGAGGTTGTGCGTGTCGTATTGGTGGCTGCCGTCGGCGTTGGTGAGGTTGGTGGAGAGGGTGAAGGCGGAGAGGGTGCCGCCGTGGCGGGAGGCGATGTGGTAGCCGGGGGAGAGGAGGTCGCGGTTGGGGAGGCCGAGTTTGGGGCCTTGGCCTCCTCCTTGGGAGGGGGGTTGGCGGCGGTGCGGTTGGGGAGGGGGTTGTTGTTGGCGGGGGTTTGTGGTGGTCGAGGTGGTTGAGGTCAGACAGGTCATGTCGGGACACATGTTGGAGGCTTCGTTCATGTCGACCCAGAGTCCGTCCACGTCGATGCCGGTGGAGGGGCTGTAGAAGGAGAGGATCTCCGAGGTCCACCAGTCCTGCGTGCCAGGGGCAAACCAGTCCGGCCAGACCACCTCGCCGGGCCATTGTATACCACGATAATATGAGCCATCGGTGGCGCGGAGGAACGCTCCCTTCTCCGCCCCGCGTGTGTAGGGGCCATAGTCGTCGTGTCGCCGAATGCCCGGGTCGAGAATCTGGATGTAATGCTGGTTGCTTTGGTGCAGTTGATCGACTAGGGTGCGTACCTTGGCCAGGGGGTAGCGTGAGGGATCAGTAGTAAAGTCCAGCTTGTCACGCATGTAATCGATATCTCCCCACACTGTCTCGAGAGGGATGCCGGCGGCTGAGTAGTTGGCTACGACTTCAGCCACATGGTCAATAGTCGGCCAGCCATACTTGCACTGATGAAAGCCAAGTGTCCAGTACGGTATCATGGCGGGCAAGCCGACGATTTCGGCGTACTGCTTGCTTACTTCTGCCGGTTCAGGCCCGGCCACGAAATAAAAGTCCAGCACGCCTCCAATAATGTTGTATTCCAAGTACTGTTGCCCTAGCTCGGTCTTGTCAATGATGATGTCCATTCCGTTGGAGTTGAGGAGGAATACGCCATGCGTGCCCGAGTCACCCCGGTGGTCAAAGTACACGGGGTGGCTCCCGTATAGGTTGGTTCGGCTGGGGATAAAGGGGAATTCGGCATTCCATAACGTGCGCGTGTAGTTGCTGGTAGGCAGCCGGAAGTCATCCGAGTGTTCGCCTAGACCGTAAAGATTGGGGTTCAGCGGGAGGCGGGTCCGAACACGAACGTACTGAGACTCGAAATTCAGCGGTGAATCGGATGTGTCGAATAGGACTTCCCCGTTGGAAGCTCTTGTGATAGTGAAAGTGAACGGATCCTCGGTAAAGCTGAACTTGAGGGCAGCTTCATTTGCAGTTGCGTTTTGGGTCTTCGGTCGAGCTAGAACATGCTCCTGGACCTGATACACCTCCTTGCCTGCGTCCTCAATTAGGACATGAAGTCGAGTTTCTACGGGAGAGGCATCAGTTAGCCGTGCTTTCCAAGTTCGGGGTAATATTTCTTACCAGTCTCGTACTCGACAAGCAACCGTAAGCTTTGGATGTCTTTGCTGTACAAGCTACAATTGTCTATAAGAACGAGGTCGGCGGTCGCGTAAGACGGGTTTTGATGAATATTGGTCGCGCGGTAGCCAGGACAATGTGCCGCTGGCCGCGGAATGTGCCCAAGCACCGCAGCAGCGAAGAGCAAGAGAGGAAAGAAGAGTGATGCCATGTTGAGTTCGTACAAATGTTGAGGAGTCGTTTCACGCGGAATTGGGAAGGAGGGGGAATCTGGAAAGGACTACAAATGGGAAATGGAAGAGTTCTAACCATAAGATAGGAACAACAGCTCGGTGAGTACATTAACCTAAGTTGGCCATCTGAAGCGTTCCACGCAGTGGCCGAGAACAGCTTTGGGCACACAAAGCCGTAACACGTCAGCCCGCTGTAACTACAACGCTGGGTTTGTGACGGAAGGCCCTCGGTTGCATGCCCATCGCCGGAGTCAGGACGACCGCGGTCGGGAAACTCAGGGGCAGTTACCCGATGGCAACATTAACACGAAGTCGACGACATAGCTCCAATCATATTGCATTACGACATGTGAACGTTTCACTTCGTCTTGGTTAATTGGACTAGAACCTGCCATTCTGGGAATAACTACCTCTACCTAGGTAGGGATAGCAACGGCATAGCAACGACAAGGTCCGACAAACAACGCGGTTTGTAAGGCATAGCAGGTAGCGCATGGACTTATTCGAAGAGACCTAGCGAAGAAGGATCTGTGTTTTGCGAGAACGCGATGCCATGTGGCACTACAGCTCGCGTGGTTACCTCTGAGACACAAAATAAACCTGGGCACCTCCCTGGGTATCGACAGCATAGAGCTCCGGTACGCCTTGCCGTAGGCGGCCGCCTGTCGTGGCCACATAATACTGCGGAATATGGAGTAATAACTAGCTACACAACCAATCTTCCATGCCCATGGTGCTCGCTCGGGGCAATGATGCACGAAACCGTAGACCGCGGATGAGAGCTTTTTGATACACCGTTTCTACACCGTTTCTCTGTGGGGTTGACTTTGCTCCTGACTCGTATAGAAAATAACCGAAAAACAAGCGCGGAGAAAGTAAAACAAACATTGAAAGAGTAGTGGATTTGCTGTAGTCATCAGCTTTCATCAGCTTTCATCTTTGCTCATTCTAAAGCAGGTAGGTAGGCGATACTCACCGGAGCGAAGCTGCATCACTGTGTGTGTTATGGTGCAACATTCTCTCTGGGTTTCGACCAGACTACCACGGCAAGACTTACGACGACTAGGAAATTCACGGATTTACGATATGCTTCCGGGTTACATTCACAAAGAAGCCTCGCGTACGGGAGGGCTGTGCGGTACATCTTATGATACATGGGCGCACAAGAACTAAGCGTATTATACACCAGCAAGGTATGTCATATGTATTTATTCATGCTCGTTGTCATAGTGACCATGTTGTTGTCAGATCCACGCTTGAAGTGACGACCAAGCAGAGCCGCCGTGTTCAGACAGATCAACAAAACACCCAGTTTCCCGCCATTTGGTAACACTACCAGCCCACCTAGGTGAACTGCGAGAAGAACTCCCACGTGTTCGCAGGCGCGAAGGGGTCCGACGAACCCTGGTCGACCTGAGAGGGGTTGTGGTCGCCGTTGTGGATGACCCAGGTGACGGGGTAGCCCTCGGTGCAGCCCTCGTACTCGGTCTTGACGGACTGGCCGCCGTTGGGGTTGGGCTCCGACGACAGGGCGGTGCAGCCGTTGTTCTGGACGAATTTGTCGCGCAGCTGGCGGCCCATGGCGACGTTGAGGACCGAGTCGGAGGTGCCGTGCTGGGCGTAGTAGGCGACGGGCTGGGTGCCGCCCTCGCAGCCGCTGAGCTGGGCGCCGGAGAGCACGGCCACGGCCCGCATCATCTCGGGCCGCGAGCAGGCGAGGTTGTAGGACATGCCGCCGCCCCAGCTGAAGCCGGTGGCGAAGCGCAGGTTGGTGTCGACGCAGAGGTCGGCCTCGATCGTCTCGACCATCTGGTCGAAGAAGGTGGTGTCCTCACCGCCGGTGTTGGCCCAGCCGGAGTTGAGACCGTTGGGAACCACGAAGATGGCGCTGTCGTTGGCCAAGGGCGGCAGGCCGTAGTAAGGGATCACGCCGCCGGCGTTGGGGTCCTCGCCTTGCACGATCTTGGTGGCGCTGCCGCCCCGTTGGTGCCACAGGAAGACCAACCGGTAAGGGCGAGTCTGGTCGTAGTTGTCGGGCAGCTTCATGATGTACTCCCGCTGCTTGCCGTTAACTTGCATCGTGTACTGCTTGCTTTCGATGGTCGGGGCCTTGCCGCAACCGGCTGACGATTCGGCGACGGCGGCGCCCGCCCAGCTCAAGGCGAGGAGGGCCGCGGCCGCTAGGGGGTTCCGTGTCAGTTGCATTGTTGGTCTCAGCGGGAAATCAGGTGAACAAGATGTGTGTAAGTCAAGTTCCTGAGATGTCGTTATGCTAGGAGACTCTCGGAGGTTTTGTACTCCAACGACACAAACTTAGTTCGGAGTGTTCTCCGATGGTTGAAATGCCGGAAGCGACGTCGATCCCCGGAAACCCCTTGCATTGATTGATCCACACTGGCGGTGGACTTGGTTGAAAACAAGGAGATGCGCGCGAATCGGGTAAAACCCACACAAGAGGAGCAAGTAACGCAGATCATCAATCAATTCGACACTCCGGGGTACGTCTCCTCAAAACCATAGTTGAGGCGCGCGAATCGGGTTGAACTTATAACGAGTGCCAAGTTGTTTGATCTTGGAACCGTTGACCCCATGTTCTGGTTCGGATGTGTTGGTTGTGATATTATTGGTGGCAGCTATGTTTCTGTAAGGCGTTCAGACCACTTTCGAGCTTGGGTTCATATCAGGTTGTCGATCTGCCGGCGCACTGAGTATGAGGCTGAGAACACACGCTCTACAGGTGAGGCAAACGGACCCAATATCTCCGGTTTCTCGTGTCCGCACCGACCAGCCAGCCCTTGTAAGGCGCTGGTTTCCGGACTATCAGATAGGCCCTAGTACAACTGACCTCCTTTCTTCCTCCAACTGCCGTGTTGATATCTGCCGTTCACTCTTGCCGACAACATGTGTAAGGTCGCTGTCATCATCGGGCATCAAGGGTAAGTTGTATAAGCGAGTTGGCTAATCCTCGCCACTCATGGTTCATGCGAGGGGAATGAATCACGCAGATGTGCCTCGCAGTATTCAAGTTGCCATACGTTTCTAAATAGGTTCACGTCTGGTAATGACTGTCTGCCAACTTCGCTTTGCGCGTTGATTGTGGCATGATTTTCGGAGTAATAGAGGTGGTAGTGATTCAAGTCACTAGGCGACTCCTCCAATGAGAAGGGCCCTCGGTCTGTCTGTAAGGGCGGCGAATACAATCTTCCCCGCCAACATCGAGTCAGTCTAAAGTATTAGTCCACTAATCACACCACCAGCCGTTGCCAAACCATTCTAAGTACTCCCAACCTTCCAGGACACCCCAGCTGACTTCGGATTGGCGTGCTCCCCCGCGCCGAGGTCATGATCGAACCCGGGCGCTCGTAGCCATGTGCGTTTCAACCAACGACTGAGAGCACATATCCCCGATGTTAATACCTTCCTCCAGCTTTGTGGCTGACGATGAGAATCAACTAATTGGTTGTGTATAACGGGTTTCGTCTCCGAGGCCTTCACAAACGCCGTTTATTAATACATACATGACTATCAAACGTGAACTTCCAATTTCCTTTCAGCCTTAAGTTGGATGAGGGCGCGAAACTAGGTAGGTCGCCGAGCATGCTCAAGCCTCTCTGCCTAAATCACTTGCATGTGGTTAGTCTTCGTATCTGTTAATGCGGGCTCGATGGGTGAGTCTTGCAGGGGGGGAAGGCCCAGTGCGCACCCCCATTGAGGCCGTCAATAGAAGTCCAACCTGAACAATCACTACAGGCTCTTGCGAAACCTTGTCTTTCCTTTTTTCGCAGGAGTGGACATCGACATGGCCCTCTTCTTCTTGCTCACAACAGTCGTCCACCCCTCCATATCATCCTCGTCGTGCTCGGCTACTTTCTCATGCTCGCGTTCACCATGTCCCTGGTTTTGTTCCGTACTTTCGGCTGTCGACTGTTCACCTTGGCGCTGTTTCTCCCCGATCTTCTAGATACGGGTAGTGGGCAGTGTCGCGATGATCTTGTCGAGGGAGCCGAGAGATGCGGGGCTGAGGGCCCAAGGGCCGCTGCTCTCTTCGCGCAACACTTTGATCGGAATGGTGAACAAGCTCAGGCTGACGAAGGACTCCCTTGGCCACACTCGTCCCGACATTAGCGTGAGCTGAACTCCGTTATCAGGGTGCGGTGGCGAAGGAATCAGCGGGATTTGGCGGCCGCGGAACTCGGAGTGGCTCTGGAACTTGCCGACGAGGGATTCGCCCTCCTTGAAGGACGTGATCTGTGATATAAGGTGAGCGTTTTGGCCGCGTGGCATCAGGGGGGTTGAGAAACATACCAGGAAGACATTCGCCATGGTTGGAGTTGGCTTGTCGTAGATCAGGACAGGATGGTCAAAGATCTGCATCGGGAGGTGCCGAACAAGTTTCTTTCCGTTTATGTACCGCATTCCGGGCAGCCACACAATGGCGCCGCGGGCGACGTTGTAAGGAACCGGGCGGCGTTCTGCCTTAGCCCGTTTGTCAGACTCGGGAGAGTCGCCGGACTGACCGGGCTTGTCAGATTTAGCTCGTGATCCCATGGCGATCACGAGGCACTAAAGGTCGTGTTAGTATTCCCACGACCGATCATACTAGATATATAATAGGTGAGTGGGGACGATACCTTTCCAAGTATAGACGTTGATGAAAAATGTCCGTCGAGAACTGATGTAACAGGGAAAATGGCTGTGTCGTGGTTGATGTGAAGGAGAAACGCGGATGAGAAATGTGGAAGTGAGAAACGGTTTGTTTATTACGTCATAATAAACTGCGCGTATAGATTCTCGAGGCGGAGAAGTGGCACATTTTGTTCAGAAGTACTGACATAGTCTAGTAAAAGATGACGCCACATCAAGAATAGGCGGCATGTTTCGTGGAATAGTGTTGTCGATCGACGACTTGTTTCCATCAGAGGAACAACAACGTGGGTTTTGAAATCACTTACCTATTTGTCATCGGAGGTTGATTCACAGTGTGTGGACCATAGGTGCCCAAGTGGTTAGGCCGTTCATTGGTTTCTGAAGACTTGTTCTTCGTCGGTGCTAGCTGTGCAAATACAGTCGGCGTCAAAACATAAACACACACTCTCGGGGAACCTCGAGGTGGCGGTCTACTCATATACACACGGGACAGATTCGGACCAACTTCAGACCAACAAGTAGAGCCTACTTCCCCCCCCCCCCCCCGCACAATCTACCTATAAACTATGGCCTATAAAACTGCTTTTTGTGTCTTCCTCAACTCTCGGTTAAGAATATTAGAGGTAAAAAGAAGGGACCAAGGGACCAGCTTAGTTAACCCTTTCGAGGTATGATTTCAGGAACGGGACGGTACGGTTAAGGCACTTTACTTGTTGGCGATGGTTCTGAAGTACCTATGAACTACCTTACCGCCCCATGCCGAGACTGAAAAACCATTGACGGCTTACGCCTTGAGCGAATTTGTCCCGGCTTGAGGAAAAAAAGCAGCTCCAGGCGAGTGAGCCGGAGGCTAACGGTACGTTGCCGGCTTACAGCCCCTAATCGGCTCGATCCACGGCCCGCTCCTTCCCCCGAGCCGATAGACAACCGCCCTTGCCCTCCAGAGCGGTTACTCTCTAGCTTAGAGGAAGGAACGGCTTCAACAAATAAGCCGCTCAGGATCGTGAGCCGAAAAGAGAGGGCTCGTTGCTGTGAGCGAATATATCCCGGCTCGTGGATACCCGCCTTGCACCGCTAAGTATTTTATCACTATAACGACGAGAAGCGTGGCGCTCGAACCGGCCGGATTCCCGGTCAACGTCAGATCCCAGCAAAGCCAAGGTTTTGTCAGCTTGTTCTTGGAGGCTGGGTAGGAGTTACGTATGTCGTTTGTCCATGCTCCGCCCCAAGTCTAGGCGTGACAGGTGAGCTGAAAGGACGACATGACTCGAAATGCTAGACATAGGGAGGTATGCCAACCAAGACCGCAACCGCATATGCCGGTAATCAAGCAGTGAGGTATTTCGATCGCAAACGAGAGCAAGCAGTGAGGTATTGCGATCACATGGCTTCGACTCTCACTTTATCGCCCGCGCCTTAACACTCGCGGAAGTGCGAGAGATTCGTCCCTCGCATTGCTCGCTGTTTCGGGGTCGCATTTCGTGGGCTTGATTCCGGTGAGGATATCCCCTGCAGCTGCGCCAAACCTTTCCGACCGCTCGCGCATGGCGCAGGCAGGTGGTCGGCTATTAGGTCAGAACGGGCGGAGCGAGGGACAGGCAACCCTTTGGCCATGCGGCGAACTTCTCACCCGAGGACCCCCGCGTTTGTTGTCTCGCACCAGGGCAGCCTACCTTAAGCGACAACGAAAGCACGACATTCACCGGGATCAAGCGAAACGGCAAGGCGTCCTCCAGTCTCCATACATCCCATGATGAGTGTTTATTCCAAGTCAAACCAACAACCCCTCGCATGGACGTGTGAGAGATCACGCAAAGGGTGGTGGTCACTCTGGTGGGCCTTTTGCAGAACATGAGCCGCGCGGTTGGGATGGTCCTGTGCTTGTCTGATTTATGCCGTTGGCGCCGGGGACAGGCCTTTGTCCGCCAGCCCCAGGCTTACTGTCAGGCTCACTGACCCCTGGTAAAGACGACGGGAAATGAGCGATGTCGGACGTGGGTAAGACCGAGGTTCAGGGAGGAGTTCCTGGAAACCGGACCCTGCGAGTTGGCGACGCGTTGACAGTCGTTGGTTGTGGCGTTATCTATTTAATAGTCGTCTCGAAAAGGCGTCGGAAGCGGGTTGGCAGCCCATGGCGGCGGCCTCTGTGGTCGATTGGCCATGCTATCCCAACCCAATTTTTGACAATTTTCCCCTGCGCCCCAAAGCTTCGCCACTCCACACCCCAAAAAACGCCCCCACCACATGGCTTTGGGCCAATGACACCGACGCCGGCGTGCCGATGGCGCCTGACTTGGTCTCGCGGTCGGACAACGCGCGTGCCGATGCTGAAATTGCGCGGCGCCATCCGAGAAAAAAGAGGAGTGAAAGGGGAAATCAACGTGGCAGGTGAGACCTCCAAACAGAAAGATATATTCCGGGCTAGCCCCTGTGTCCCTCCACTCTGAGCTACATGTATGCAGGAAGTATACAGACAGTATTTGAGTCTTTTTCCACTCCAGTTTGCGGATGCCGACTTTAATCAAGTCCAGACCCCGTTCCTCGTTCCACGCATTCTCAGCCCCCATTTTTCACAACCACCCTTCCCGTCGGGTTTAAGACTCTCCTCACCCAAACTCAAAGAGTCCCAGCCACAACTAAGGTGACCTCGATCACCTCCGCACAACCCCACAACATCTCGGCTACCAAGTAGACCCTACTACCAAAAACAAACCTGGAAAAGGGACCTACCGCCAAAATGACTGTCTCTTCCGACAGCCACCCCCCCTTCGCCCATGAACTCCTCATCGCCCAACTAGCCGTGCAGCGCGCAGCCCTGGTCACCAAACGCGTGCTCGCAACCATCAACGCCGCCAGATCCCAACCCCTCCCCACCAACACCCCCTCCCACCAGCCCGCGCCCGACTCGGAGCCCGACTTCGACTTCGACACCTGCGCATCGCCCAGCATCTACACCACCCCCGTCTCCGAAACCCCCACCACCGGCTTCCCCTTCACCCCCTCCCCCTCCCAATCCCAATCCCAATCCCAATCCCAACCCATCGGCCAATTCCTGCACCCCTCTTCCTCCCCCACCAGCCCAGCGCGAGGCTCCCAACCGCCCGCCCACCCCGGCCTCCCGCGCCGCCTCTCCCTCGCCAAGCCCGACACCTCCCCGGTCACCATCGCCGACCTCGCCGCGCAGGCGCTACTCGTCGCGGCCGTGCACACGGCCTTCCCGGGGGACCTGATCATCGGCGAGGAGGACGCGTCGGCGCTGCGGGCGGACGGCGACCTCGCGGCGCAGGTGTGGGAGCTGGTGGCGACGACGAGGCTGGAGGATGCGGGGAGCGAGGCGTTGTTGGGCAGGCCGAGGGGCGTGGAGGAGATGATGGCGTTGCTGGAGCTGGGTGTTACCACCCAGAGTGGTGGTGGTGGTGCGCAAGGGGGGGTGGTGGGGGGGAGAAGGGTGTGGTGTTTGGATCCGATTGATGGGACGAGCGCGTACATGCAGGGCGGGCAGTACGCGATTTCGTTGGCGTTGTTGGAGGGGGGGCGGGAGGTGGTCGGGGTGTTGGGGTGTCCGAATTGGAGGTTTGAGGCGGGCGTGCCGGTGGGGAAGTGGAAGGTGCGAGAGCATGGGGTGGATGAAGAGGGGATGGGGTTGTTGCTTTCTGCGGTAAGGGGTCAGGGGGCAAGCGTCAGGCCGATGGGGAGGGGGGTGCTACGGGAGGCGAGGCGGATTGATAGGGGGCGCGGGAAAGCGGTTGATCTCAGGGACCTGCATTTTGTGGACTCGGAGAAGAGCCCGGCGACGCTGACGGAGAAGGTCAAGGAGATGGCCGGGATTGTCGGTGCCGAGTACCGCGGGACGAACCTCTACTCATCACACATGCGCTATGCCGCGATGGTGTTGGGAGGGAGAGAGTTCGTGCAACTACGGTGGCCCAAACCAGGAAAGTCGGCATGGTCATGCTGGGACCATGCCGGCTCACAGCTCATCTACACAGAGTCTGGAGCGGGCAAGGTGACGGACTTGTCTGGGAACCCGGTCGACTTTTCAACGGGGAACAAACTCTCGAGGAGCTGGGGTGTGATCACAGCCGATGAGAGTATCCATGGCAAGATCCTAGCGTTGACCAACCGTATGCGGGCAGCAGAGGCTTAAGGAAGAACGATAAATGAGTAGACATGGGGAGCCGAGCGTGATGCGTTGGCCTCCAACATTCGGGATATTGCGAGATGCAGGCACTTGCAGCCCGAGAGAAGAGCCGAGCGGGCTTCTAAAAGAATCTAAACTTAACACTGAACCCATTTCCTTACCGCGCCTTTGATAACATGAACTAATGAACTAGCACTGACGCCGTACTTGCCAATAAAACGTCGATACATGTTCCTGCTGAAATGGGTGCAAAGGGCACAAGACAAGGGAGCCCTGTAGCCGTTCTCTGTATATAAACAGAGGGCATGCCCTCCCCCAGATGACTTTGAATACTGCAAGCAACTTACGCATAACCGTGTTTCCCAGCAGTTCCCGGATCCTAGAATGGGGTAGGGTAAATCACCGAGTAATCTCTATATAAGCCCTTGCCCCTGTCATGCCATCGTATAATGTTATCTAGAGATATTACTTCTTCTGATCGACGACTTTGCTTGTTCTTCTATGATCAACATCTAGATGGTTTTATTATTGCCCTCCACGGGGTAGCGGCGGTATTAAATCCACCACATGCATACCTTCTACTCTCATCTAGTTTAAGTACTACCTCGCTCCCTACTTACCCACCACAACCTTACCACAACCCCTCTCACTACTTACCTACCTCTCACCCCTCACCCCCAAACATCAACCCACCCCCTCCCCCCCCCCAACCCCCCTCACCCTTCCCCCAATCTCCAACGGACTCCCCTCCCACACCACAAAATGCCCCTCCGCCACCCCAGGCCCTTCCACGCCCAACATATCCAACACCCCCCTCCCAACCATCCCCAACGCCCCCCTCTCATCCACCCTCCCCTCCCCATTCCGCCACACCATCCCCGCCAACAAGCCCAGATCCCGCACCACCCAGTCCTCCTCCAGCCCGATCCCCGTCGCCACGCCCGCCTCCAGCAAGCGATCCACCCCCGTGCCCCGGGTCAGCGGCGCCCCCGTCAGCGCGCGCCGCTGGTCCCAGGACGCGGCGTACGAGAACAAGGGGGCGAGGACGACGCCCACGTCGGCGGCGGCGAGGTCCGCGGCGAGGAGGTGGGCTTCTGCAGCGCCGTAGATGATCAGGCGGAGGGGGGTGTGGGTGGTGGTTTCGATGGTGGTTTTGAGTTTGAGGAGGGCGGCGATGGTGTCGGCGGAGTGGACGGTGATGACTAAGGGGAGGGTGCCGTTGGTGACGCGTTGGAGGTAGGATGTTTCGGAGTAAGGGTCGGTGATCGTGGAGGTGGAAGTGGCGGCGGTGAGGAGTTTGTTGCGGAGGGTGGTGATGGCGGCGGCGATGGAGGGGGTGTCCGAGTTGGATTTGACGGAGGGGGTGAGGGTGTAGTGGACGGCGGCATCGGTGGCGAAGATTGTGTTGTTGGAGAGAGGGGTGAGGGCGCCGGTGAGGAAGCCGACGCTGGTGCCGTAGTGGGTGGCTTGGCCACGGTGTCTGGGCGCGGTGATGGCTTTGGTGACGCCGTAGGTGTAGGAGGTGTTGGTCTTCTGGGTGTCGAGGGCCAGGCCGTCCTCGGCGCGGGTGAACGCCGTGCCGCTAGGGCCGTTGTCGGTGTCCTTCTCGGCGTCGATAGCGTTGAGGCCGATCTTGGAGCCGAATGCGGTGAGAGACTCGGTGAGGTAGCCATTGTTGAGGTTGATGATGGGAGTGTTGGAGCGGGAAGCAGCCTGCAGCTCGGCATCGCAGGCCCCAATGCAGGTGACCTTTCCCTGGGATACAACGACGGCGTTGTCCGCGGACAGGTGCTTGACATCCTCGTTCAGCAGAACCTTGGAGATCCCGGTGAAGATCACCTCATCCATGGCCACAGGCCCCTCTGGGATTTTGGACAGGCTTTCATCAGGCACAATCACCTCTGCTGCGGGCTTCTTCAGCACCACAGGGTCATCATACTGCGCGGTCCCGTCAATCCAAACCTGGACTGGAGCCGCGCCAACGCTGAGCGGGTCGCTATCCCAAACCACGACGTCGGCATCAAACCCAGGCTTAATCTTGCCCAGCCTGTTCCCAAAGCCAAGGCGCTCGGCCGGAGCAGTAGTCACAGCAGCTAACGCAACATGGTATGGCAAACCGTACTTGTACCCTTTGGCAGCTTCAAAGACCACGTGTTGCGCGTTGAGGACCGGGTTGTCGCTGACGTAGATAGGTGTCAAACCGTTGTCATACAAGATCTTGCCGGCGTATTCGGACGCGACGTTAGCTTCCGCCTTATACCACATGTTGTCGGCAAACAGGGCCGACGCGGGGGCGTCACCACCGTATGCCCGCTTGAGGATCTATTTGACAGTCAGTAGGGTTCGGAGCACAACGTGTCATGTCACGGGACGGCCGACATACCTCAGGAACCAAGTAGGTCTGGTGCGCGTGATGGAAGGCTTGGACCTTGAACTTGAACTCGTTGGTGTGGTCCACGAATGCTTCAAGATCCGGAATGGTGTAACAGTGCGTGTTCAACCGGACCTGGTGCCGCAGCAGGGCCCCCAGTGACTCCCAGCGGAGCTCCTGAGGTAGGTATGACTTCATGTGGTGGATGCCGGAAGCGGCGGCGTTGCACCAGTCGTCCTGCTCCTGTACCACTTTGGTTGCCTTTTCAAAGGCCTGTCGGAACTCCCAACTCTCACCCAGCCGGCTAGTTGGGCCGTTGCCGGAGTCACCGTACACGCGCTTGGGGTTTTCACCGCAAGCCATTTTCATGAAGCGCCAGTTGCGGTCCGGATCGGCAAGCATGTCCACGGCGCTGGTCTCGTTGCGTCCATCGGCCTTGCCCACGGCGTGCTTGATCACAAACGCCTCGCCGCCCATGTTATTTGCGGATCCGGGCAGGACCAGGCTAGTTGTCACACCGCCTGATTTGATGACTTGAATCTGGTGATCTAACGGCTGGATGCCGTCGATGGAGCGGACGTAAGGTGTGATGTCAGATGCCATCTCGTTGGTGTCTTCGTTCCCCCACAGTTCCGGAAGCGAGTCCACGCCGGCATGGGTGTGCATGTCAATGATGCCCGCTGTCAGGGGGCGGCCGCCGGCGTCGAAGACCACCGTGTCGGAGGTAACCGAGGACAGTGCGATGGTGGATTCAACTTTCTTGATGAGTCCATACTCCAGATACACATCGGCCTTGATCCAAGAAAACCCGGTCCCGTTCCGCGCATCGTCCGGGGAAGTGCCGGCGGCCGGTTCGCCCACCCAAACGGTAGCATTCTTGATCAGTGTCGGGGCGTGCCCGTCCACGTACCGCGCGTTCCGGTCGCGTCCGGCGCCAATTGGGTCTTGCGGCTTCTTGCGTAAGTTTTCACACGTGGCGAGGTTTTCCTGCAACCGTTTGACTGAGAGGCCGTGTACCGTGACGTCCGAGTTCGGCGACACCACGGGGGCAGCGGGCTGGTTGGGAGAGCTAGAGAAGACCTGCTTCCACTGCGCGACTGCAATGAAACACAAGCACCCGACTGCCAAGAATCGAATTGCCCGCGACCGGCGTGGTTTCTGTCGTTGCCATCGTGCCGTCTCGGTGCCAGCCCGGTGCGAGGGCAGGCCACTCTTTTCATCCATCCTTCAGCGCTATTTCTGGTGAGTGTTGCTGAGGTTCGTTGTGAAGATAGATTGCGGTGGCTGGGGACTGAGAGAGAAGGCGGCACGCCGGTGACTGGGAGACTGGCAACTGCCAGTGACTGGCCGCAGGTGGTGTCGGCAGTACCCGCCAATCACGCGAAAAGTAGCGGGGCTTGCGCCTTCACGCTGCTGTATTCGGTCAACAGAAAACAGATCTTTCGGCCGGAAATGGAAGGTGCAGATGGAGAGCAAAAAGTGACAAATCCAGTTTGCTGTCTCCATGAAATTTTATGGGGTAACTGGAACGATGAAAGCTTAATTCTCTATCTGTAACTAAACTCAGACGACGCTTTTTTTCTGAATGGGCTCTCGGATCGTTGCCCTTGACTTGCCTTGTAACGATTAATACTGCCGTGACGCAGTCCTGAGTCCTGACGCCTCGCTCCAATGTTGGTTTAAGCCATGGCATTCACGGGGGAGAGTGTCACCGTACACATCATGGTGTTCCTGTAACTGGAGCTCATCGCAGTAATCTGGACAAGAACCCCATTCCCTTCTGTGCTTTTCATCGACATTCATGCTAACTTCCAAGTTCCCGCCATGTTCAACTACCATTCCTGAATTTCGACCTTGACTTTTTGGTCATCTGAGATTGCGCATCTGCTCGGGTATTCGAACAGGTACCGTACTATTGTTACAAACTCGTCGTCACAATGCCCCCGATGCACAACAAATGGAAACTGGTCCGATTCGATACAGCATCCGTTTCCCCAACCACGCCATCTCCAACGCCCATGCCTGGCCCGCCATACGATTCGTCTCCTTTGGTTATTCTTGCCGCCGTATTGGGCAGCTTAGCTTTTGGCATCGGTGTTTTGTGGTTGGCGAGATGCGCCTTCGCCGATCCGCTGCTTCGGCAGGCAAGAAGAACCGACCCGAATTCATGGTACATTTTGCGTCTTTCTCCAGCACCCCCCGGTTTAACGAAGCGGTAAGCCGGACAGCTAACCAGGCCCTTAGATCCCGCATAACAGCGGCATACTGATTCCCAACACGATTAGGTGCAGGGCGTCAACGGTTCGAATTCCCAATATCAAACGCATTAGTGTCCTCCGTTCCACCAACAATGCTAGCACATGGACACGTCATCTTAGACCGACATATCCCTCGCGGGCCTTGCTGCCGGGGGGGAGTTGGTATGGACGGCCGAGAGAAATAGCGTTCGAAACACACCGCGCAATCAGGTGAGGGGGCGTTAGGATGAGCAGTTGCTTCGGTTACAGTTTGGTGTGCACATGGATTGAACAAATACCTGCCTTGTGGTGGGGTGTTTATTGTCGGTCAACGGGACCTCGTTAGTTTCCTAACTTGGCATGGACTTGTTCCATTCAGGCGTGACAACAGTACCAAGATGTCCCAGGGCTAGCTGAACAGCGGCAAGCCACAATTCCCCATGATGAACCTCGATGCACCACACTTTGACCCGATGGGCGTGATGGGTTTCTGATGACCAGAGTGGCAGAAGACGGTCAGCGAGAGTCTTGCCGATCACCCCCGCTCTCTCAAGTTCCGGCATGCACTTTGCGGACGCCAAGCCCCGCCATTGGTCACAACAGAAGCGAAACCTTGACGCTGGTGAGCGGAGTGAGCCTATCGTGATCATGCAGGTGCGCGCTGTGGATTGGTCCAGACAACGCACGGCTTGGCAACGCTTAAATTTTCCTTGGATATGTCCTCGACGTGTAAAGAAGCAGAGCTGTGCCCGCAATCTTGGATTCTTGGGACTTGGGACTGCTTGGCTCACGGGTGTCTGCGACCCAAAACACCACGCTTCCGTCCCGATGCCTTTGTATATTGTCGAGGATCAGTATGTTGATCCTGCGCCCCCCACCGATGCATGGGCTGCGTTTCTTGCTGCCAGGTTCTCCAAAAGAGCGCAGTTGTACGACAGCTTTCCCGACCACGAGCGAGAGATTGTCAGAAAGGAACTGCGCCGCATCAGGCACCTGAGGGACTTTTTTGAAGGGCATCGCCTCTCCTCATCCGACGCTTCGTCATTGCTTCGTTCGTTAGAGAGGGCGCACGATAGCTGGAGGAACCGCGCCAATCGGGTGTGCAAGGAGGAGCTTCACCGCATCGAGGTCGGCATCGCAAGAGCGAGCGGGTACCGGAGGCAGGAACTCAATCGACAACGCTTGGTTTTGAAACGAGTCGAACAATGGCCGTTTCTCGACTACTCGGACCTTCAAAGAGCCGTCGCCCCGGAAAGCTACATCCCCAAGCTAGATGCCCTGGACGATGGCCTGGACGACAACCCGGCAGAGCCGAACTACGGCTACAATGGATGGGTGACTGCATTCAATAAGGGGCAGGGCGGTGTGACGCTGGATCACCCTCTTTGCCACGGGAAATTCCCGCATCAGAAGATCTCGATGCAAAAGCTGCTGTATGACGAGGCTCAGACACCGTTAAAGCGCTCATCCGACAGGACACAGCTACGCTACTTCCATCTTCAGGCAAACAACATGAAATGGGTAGAGGTATGTACCGGAGAATGGACGGGCCTCGCACACGTTTCCTTGCTGACTTATGCACGAGGACGCTATCGCGAGATACTACGGCGAAGACTGCTCGCAGCTGGACGCACCACAAGGGCTGTCCCAACGTGGATCCTACCAGCCAGCCGCCAAGAAGATGCAGTCGAATACCGAGAAGCTCTTGAAGCGGGAGCTCTGGCACGGGCAGGAGAGAGGAGGGGGTAGCAGCCACCTTCCAGCCCACTCCCGCCAGATCCGGCCACGCTGCGCGTTCGTACCTTCGGCGCCGTGGAGTGCTGGCGAGAAAACACTCGCCGTACCGCTCGATGATTCAGCGTCCAGTGGCAAGGCCAGTACGTACTTCCGGTCGTCGGAGTCCCAGGACATCGTACTGTTTGTGAGTGGAACCCCATAACGTTCAGGCCACCCCTTCTTTGCCCAGAAGCTTATCGTGTTCCAGATGCCGTACTTGCATTGGGAGATCGAGAAGCGCCTCGTCCGAATGACGAGCGTGATTCGGAAAACCCGCAATATGAATGAACGGCAATGCAACTTTGAACGGTTGAACAAGCGAAAAGGAACGTGGGGAAGCGTCATTGACCAAGCAAAAGCCCTGGCTAGCCGCATGGACAGCACTGTCTCCGATGCTGAAGGCTTGCACGAAGACGCCCCTCCGTGGAGGCCCAAGTCGGCGCTGGGGAGCTACCTGTGGCTAGCTGCCAAGCTCTATTTACTCATCGATGAGGCAGCGGACTGGCGGTTGGTCAACGACCATTTGGGCACCCCGTCGCCACTCCATCCCAGGCGAACCCTTGAACAATACTACAACTGGACCTCGGAGGATACCGCCCATCGTGACCGGCAGCAAGTTGTTTACCGTGGGACACGAACTCGGAGTGACCCTGAGGCGATTCCGAGAGTGATTATGGTTGATCAAATTTGGTTGTGGGTCTTGGACGAAAGTAAGTCACATCCAAGTCGCGAAGAGGGTCGATGGCTGACTGACATGAGTTCAGACACCATCCTTACCGCCTTTCCCAGGCGCTGGGGCCGTAATAAGCCAGACCCATCAGCCATCCACAGGGCGATCCGCGACCGGCTCGCGGGCATGGAGAGCCACCATATCACGTCCATCTACGATTTAAGCCTCATCATCATTGACGAATGCTCCAAGGTGTTCTTTGACAGGACCAAACCGGACCTTCGGCCCGAGGTGGTGGATATATTCGGGTCCGCTATATCAAATATTGTGAGCCGTCCGTCCCGTACAGCCGTTTCCCGGATCCACCGCTGACCTGACTTCGGGATAGTCTGAAAAGAAGACAGAGGCGTATGAGCGCTTTGGCCGCGACGTCAAGAGAATGAATAACCAAGATCCACTGCAAACAGACGAGGAGCTGCTGCGCAAGACCCTCAACATTAAATTCGAGTGGTCTGCCTTGATGGAGGCGCAGAACGTCATTGACCAGCTCCAAATCATGCAAGAGATCTACTCTCAGCAAATTACGGTCATGATTGACTTTGAAAAGGCTCTACGGGGCCTGTGTTCCGAGTCTCAACTTAAGCCTAGTAGTGCCCTCGAAAGAGCGGCACAGTTGATATCAGATATGAAGCTACGTCGGGACGAGCTCATGGACCTGGAGAAGCGGCAGGCAAATACTAGAACCCAGGTAAGTCCACAGGTGATGGATGGACAAGGTTTGGTATTCCGCTAATGCTTGTGTCCAGCTTCGTGAACTGCTCGATATGAAACAGCAGCAGGCCGGCATCATCGAGGCGAAGGCGGCGATCCGCAGGGCGGACGAGAGTGTCATCCAGGGCAGATCAATCGTGGTGTTCACTGTTGTGACCATCTTCTTCGTGAGTCATCCTCACTCATCCCAGCGTGCAGTCCCATTAACCCAAGCTCAGCTACCCCTTTCCTTCTTCACCTCAATTTTCGGCATGAACTCCAAGGAGCTCGACAGCGGGACGATGAGGATGGGCACACAGTTCCTGGTGATGTGTAAGTCAAACACCTGGCTAAGGTTCCATTGCATAGCTGGCTCTGACTTTGGTTCCAGTTTTGCTCTCTAGCTTCATCACTACCTTGTCTCTTAGCCTTGCCTTCAGCCACTCCGCCAGGGCCATGGTACTCGGCACATGTCGACAAGTCTTCGGTTACCTCGCGCGCCCTGTCAAGGGGAACAAGTTGGACCGCAGTAACCTTGCCGCCGCCTCGCCGCGTGCGATTCGGGATTTCATGATTGCAAAGCAGAAGGAATGGGACTGGGAGACTACTAACCACGGAAACGGCATTACCAGCGGGGCGCTGCCTCTGCATCGGAAAGAAAAGGGGGCCGGTCCCAGGGGGCTCAAGCGGCTATTATGGAGGCGGGAATCTGCTTGAGATTCGCAGGCACATAATATCGAGATCTCAAGGCCGGCCGGAATCTCATTGCATACACGGTATACGGATGATGTTGTTATGTACAAGAGCAGGTTTCTTAGGTAATGTGGATGTTTAATACACGATGAATTGATGAGCAGCATTACGAAGGCAACGCAAGCACGGTGTTGCCTGAGAGTGTGGTAACCCTGAACCAACCGCCTGAGCCCCCCCGCCACCATCATTCTCACACCAACCATCTCACAACTTCATCCCCTCCAAACCGACCCCCAAAACGCAATACCACAACACAACCGCCACAACCCAGCACCCACAGTACCACCAACCGCAACACACACACCACAAAACAGACCACAAACCACACCACAAACCACCATGCCCCAACCCAACCCCTCCCAACCCCACCACACCTTCACCCTCTCTCTCATAACCTACGACCGCGGCCCGCACCCCCTCACCAACCTCCCCCGCCCCCACCACTGGGCCTACTTCCTCGACCCACCATCACCACCGCCGAGTAGCGGGGTCTCCGGTTTCGACCGCGGGGCCGGATCCGAAACCGAAACTTCACGCGGCACCGTCTTCCAATTACGGGGCATGCCGGGCGGGTTCTACTACCCCGGCCCGGAGTGGTTGGATGTGAAAGATGGTGGGGTGGTGGTGGGGCGGTTGGAGGTCGGGGAGGTGCGCAGGCACAAGGTTGTTGGGGAGGGGGATGGCATGGATGGGGGATGGGATGCGATGGCGGGGGTGGTGAAGATGATTGATGGGGTTCTGAGGGACGTGGAAGTGGTGGAGGATGAGAATGTGGCGTGGAATTGTCAGGATTGGGCGCTGGAGGGGCTGGAAAGGTTAAAGGGGGCGGGGGTGGTTTATGAGTATTTGGAGAGGGAGGGGGTGAGGGCGTGGTTGAAGGAGCGGTGAGGTGTGATGCGCTGGGGGGGAGGGGGAGGGAGATGGGGTTGGGGGTGCTTATTGATGGCTACCTAGGTACATATGGATGGCTTTGCTCTGTCTTGGAGTGGTGAATACAAGACGTGGACCCAGAGGTTAGGGACCTTACCTAGGACGGTGATACCCCTCTCCGCCCCCTAAACCGTCATGTAGTAGTACCTCGTGGCCTCATCCCACTCCATCAAAACCTCAGCCTGCATCTCCTCGACACGAACCACAACCTGGCGCCACAGACCAACCACAAACGAGCCGGGAAGCAAGGCAGGCATGACCAGCGCGCACAGGTAACCCTCACCCTTGCCCTCCACGGCATTAACCAACTCGCCATGAGCATCCCTGGCCCGCTCACCGGCAGCCTGCACCGGGCACATGACCATGGCATAGCACTTCTTGTTCACCGCAAAGGACGCATACTCGGCCGGCGGGGTCCAGCTCACCACCATGCCGGGCCGGATGCGCTCTTGGAAGGGGATCTTGGACGCATCCGGCTCCGGGTCGGCGCTGGAGTCGAGCAGCTCTTGACGGGATGCCTCCGCGGTGTCAGTCGTCTTCGCGACGGTGAGCTTGGCGGCGTTGCGCTGGGAGTCGATGTGCAGCTTCCAGAGCTTGGTGTGGAATGCCTGGGCCTGCTCAACGGTGGCGCCCTCGGTCTTGAGGCAGCGGGTGATGAACTCGGCGGTGGGCAGCCGCAGGAGCTGCGGGCCGTTCTCCGAGGGCGCGAGGACAGCCGGGTTGACGGACGGCTCGCCAGACTGAAGTGCCCCCGAGGATGAGGTTAGTGAGTGTACTAGGGGTGGTGGCAAATGGGGAGACGGGGGACGTACGTTGCGCTGGATCCAGTCGCGGAGCTGCTCGTTGTTCCAAGTCGCCGGGATGCCGGGGTTGTACTCCATCACCTTCGCCTTGGGCATCGGCACGCGCAGCATTTCGGCGTAGCGCATGGTATTCTTGCTGGCGCCGAGGTCGGCCAGGCAGGGGTTGACGCAGGCCACGACGATGGTCTTGCAGCTGCGGGTGCTCGCCGGGTCGAAAACGTGCTTGAGCGTCTTGGTCAGGGTGCTCTGCCGGAAGGGGACATAAGCGGGCTTCTTGTTGGTCTTGCCCGAGAACGAATCGGCATCGGCCACCGCGCGGCCGCGAATGCAATCCTTGAGGACCGACAGACTCGAGTTGATCTCGCGGGCCTCCTTCATGCGGCTGGTGTCGTGGGCCACCTTGTCACGAGCGGCCTCGGAGCCTGCTAGGTCGATAAGGTAGAGAAGGCCGTCCTTGGCGGAAGGAAGTTGCGGGTTCTCGAAGCGAAAGCGGCAAATCGCGTGGGAGCGAGAAGAACTGTTGTTCCTGAGGGTCGGCGTGGTGCTACGGAGGGCGGCGGCGGCATCGATGTACTCGAGGAGGGTCTTCTTGTCGGTCACATGGTGCTCCAGGGCACCAGCCATCTGAGTGACGCCGAACGAGTCTTCGAGGATGGAGATCTGCTTGCGGTCGTTGAGGAGGTCTGAGGTGGAGTGGAAAGGTTGTTAGCGAGACCGCACCCAGGGGGGCGCTTCACTGGTGGGCTTACCGTATGCTGTTTGACCTGCCAGCTCGATGATGGACATGGAGATCTTCCTGTCGCCATCCAACGACCCGTCCATCATATGCTCAGCCACATGCCGTTCCAGGCCGCTGACTGTCATGGTCTTGCCGGACGCGGTTTGGCCGTATGCGAACAGGGTTCCAATGCCGCCGCCCCAGGCCCAAGGGACCAACGGTTGGACCAGATCGTCGTAGAGCTCGCGGGTTGAAGCATCAGGACCATACAACCTGTCCACCGAGTAATCGAAAGACTGTCCACTGTTAGAGCATGGCCACCTACCCTGATCACCTGGCTGCAACACTTACCCTGATCCTCGCGGGGCCTCTCACAGGCTGCTGCAACTCGTGCAAGTCGGCGGTGTTCGTGTCGTCACGGATGTGAACACCAACAGGGAAGCCTTGGGCGAGCTCATCCTCTAGCATTGGCCGCACCCTGGCGCTCACCACAATATCCGGGCTGGTCTCGGTTGTGTCGCTCCCCTTGGAGCTTGATGTTGACGGCTTGAACTCAGCAACGAGCTTCTGGTAGCGGTCAACATTGTCGAGAATGTATTGCTCCATGGTCAAGTCAGGGTCTTGGAACTTAAGTTTTAGCAAAATATGAAATACCTATTCTCTGATCGGAAAGGTATCTGATAAGGTCTCCTAGAACTTGAAGTCCGAGAGGTTGAAGAAAGAAGAAACACAGAGTATCATGGAACCTTATCACCAAATATCAAACGCAGATGCCTGAACTGTGCTGGGCAAAGTACCTCCTGGCATCGACCAAGCAGAATGCCCCAGTCACCAGGCAACGATTTTTGCCCCACTGTTGTGATTGAGATTACTCGTTGTGAATGGCGTTCGGCTTGGTGTTCTGGCCAATCGAGTTCGTTCAGGCTGACTGAACGAAAGGCATCAACTTTTCGTCACCTACAAACGGAGCTATCTGTTGTGATTCGGCCCAACCGTGACTGCCTAAGAATCAGGAAATATCGACTGAAGCCTGGGGAATCGGGAATGCAATCTCCATGCCGGCGCTGAGCAACCGGGAATCCTGTTTTGAGGACGAGCCGTGGTCTCGACTGCTGCACACTCCCGTCCCCAGATGACCACTGCAGCACACGATTATGTTATGATAGGAGAAGGGAGGGAGGGTTGGAATCTTGACTCCTGGGTTTCTCGAGAACATGGACCGTAATACAAACATCTAAATTCACAACTGTTACTCTTGGGCTGTTGGGCACGTAATTACCTATGCTCGAGGCAAGGCTTCGGGGATCAGCATGGAAATTGAGTCGTCTTGCCTTAATATGGCACATGATGTGCATGCATCTGAATTTTATGATAAGTGCCGCAAAGAAATCGAATGGGGAGGTGGTTGTCACCGGTCGTCATGAGATTTGCCATTTGCATAACCTGTACAACTATTATACAGATGGACACTCACACCTTGGGCGTTGTTGCGTCTCTTTCCCACGTGTGCCGCGTCATAAAATCGGCACAAATGCAAGTCAAGTGAATTTGGGCTTTGAAACGATGTTCATTGAGTTGTTCAAGCGTCGAATGCACCTATCCGTCACCATTCGTGTTCAAACAAATGCGGCTCCCCTTCGAATCCCTGCCTACGTGGCCATGATTGCTTGCTTCCATCGTTTACATACAGCCCCAGCGAAGGAGTCAGGCTGCAGGTGATGGTCGTGTTGGTCACGTCCCCAGATCTGCTCGAACCGGGAGCTTGTCTCTCCAGTCAACCATATATTCGGCAATGCCGAATCTTAGAGTCATGTCGATGCTCGTTGGGACCGGCTTTTGCAACGAGTCAACACGCAAGCTGCGTCGCCGTGTCTCTCGGCTGCTTTACCTTGTCGACGATGCACCTGCCAGCTCCCGAGTGTGGAGACGGTGTCCATGCCCAAAAGCGGCCAGCGGCTCAGGGGCTATCCCAGCTCATCAACCCCGTCCCCGGATTGCGCGTGAATTGGACATCGTTCGATGAGGGAATTCTAGACGGGCTGTTGGCGGCCGAGAAGTTTCGAATGCCATGGAAGTTTCGGGTTTGGTATGTTGGAACCTATCTTTCCTGTCAACCATTGGCGGCCCCAGAGCTTGAGTTCTGGCCCTCGCTATCCTCCTGCGCTTACTTAGTCGATACCTGCGCGTGAAGGAGGTATTCATCGGAGACAAGATCGCGGGCGTCGCGCTGTTCCCATTATTCTCACGCATGGCCTTTGTACACCGCACTCTCCTCTACGGCACCAACAACGTCCTCCCACCCATCCACTCACCGAAACCAAAACCTACCAACTCTCTGTCGGCAGCCGCTTCGTTATGGTCAGCCGAATCCACTTCCCCGCAACGTACCTAAGCACCCCCTTTTCACCACCACCTCTTAGCATTGTTACATAGCAACCCCCACTAACACAAAAGCCGCGCAGCCTCTGGCTCTTCAAAGCCGCCATCGTCGCTTTCTGCTACAGCCTCGCCTGGCCCTCTGGCAAGCGAAGCTACACGCTTCTCCTCCGCTTCGCCGGCGGCTTCCTCATCGCCACCTTCATCCCGATGCCCATCACCACCCTCGCCGAATGCCCCGCCTACCCCCAACCCCGACAAGTCACGGCCGACCCCAACGGGCCACTGCCGCTAGAGCTACGTCTACCTGATAACGACGACGGTATGCAGCGTGGCGACCGAGACCGACCTCCTGCTGGTCGCCTTCCCCGTGTCGGTCGTGCTGCGCAAGAGCCGGATGTTGGGGGCCCGCACGGTCTTGCTGGCGGCGGTGTTTAGTCTGCGCGGAAACAAACCAAACCCGTTGGGCCACCGAACCATTCGTCCCGTCCACAACTCAGCGGACGACCCCCGCCCAAGCCTCGCTCAGGTGCTAGTACGCCTTACTCGTAGCCCACCGTTGGTTCTGCGTTAACGGGCTCCGTGATCGGGCTTGTTGTCAGTAGAGCATTACAGAGAGGCTAACGCGGATGACGCCAGCATAACCGGGCGGAATCAGGAATCTGGGAAGCCACTTCTTCAACCTGACCGACTGCAACAACTCATACAACACGCCGTGCACAGCAGCTCACCCCATGAAACCCAAACTCCATCAAATCCACTAGCTGTTCTCGCCCCAATGGCCCCTCGACCATGACGCTCAACACCAGCAACGACATCGAGATGAACCAACTCAGCGGAGCTCTCAGCCCGGCAGAAACAAGCAGCTTCTCAACCCGCGGTGGGTTCAACCCCTCCGAGGCTGACACACGGTTCAGCTCCAGCCGCACCGGGCCCCCCTAATAACAGCCGGCATCGCGCCAACAACAGCAGCAGCGGCATACAAGCCCGCTTCCACGACTTGATCGACACCTTTCGGCGCCAGGACGGCACCGGCACCGGCACCAGCGCCTCGCGCTTCCCATATTACCACGTCACCCACACCTACGCCGACCCGGCCTCCAACCATGACGACAGGTTCGCAGGCAGCAGCAACGTGCTCCCGGGGCGGGGTAAACACGCATGCACAACCACCACCGCGGCGGGGAGCGGTACCCTGTGACTACGACGAGCGCTCCGCGCCGGCCAACCGCAAGACGGCGGCGGCGGCGAGCACGCTACTGGCGCGCGAGCTCAAGGGCCGGCACCTGCAGATAATTGCCATCAGTGGGTCGGTCGGGACGGGGGCTGTTCGTGGCGTCGGGCAAGGCGCTGAGCTAGGGCGGGCCGCCGGCGTCGGTGCTGCTGGCGTATCTGAGGGTCGGGGTCGTGCTGTGGTGTACGGTGCAGGCGCTCGGGGAGATGGCGGTGGTGTTTCCGGTGGCGGGGTCGTTTTCGGCGTTTTTGACGAGGTTTGTGGATCCCGGTCGGGGGTTTGCTATGGGGTGGAAGTAAGTTCTGTTTGTTTCACGCTGGGGTTGGGGCTGTTGATTCGGTGGCGTCTGGAGTGTGATAAGTGTGATTCGGAAGACTGACCGTTACCAACCATAATTAGGTAGCTATGCCCTGCAATGGATCGTTGTTCTCCGGTTGGAATATACCTAGGTGGCGTGGTTGGGACTTGGGACTGCCGAATTCTGGTTGCCCTATTCTGTGTACCTACATGTACGAGGTACATGTAGGTAACAACTGTGCTTTTCGGAGCAACCGTACTTGTCAAATCTGTCAGATGTTCTGATATTACCGTAACCCACTAAAACTCCGAACGGGAGTTGCCCTCCTCACAGCCCCGCTGGGGTCGTGTTGCTGCTGAGGTATGTACCTGTGAGGGCGCGGCACAGCTGCGAAGATGATTTGCTGTGTCCTTTTGTCGTTCGGCAGGGCGTTTTTGGCCCACAAAACAATTGTCCTTCCGTCCATGGCCCCTGTCAGTTTTGACCAAGAGCAATTGTTGCCAGACACTCCACGGCTGGGCTGCATGTCAAGTTTAAAGGTGGTTCTGGTTTCTCAACATGAAGAGAAGGCTGAATCTCGTTCACTCACTTTTGTTTGTCTTCTTCATTTAACGCGTTCTTTTTCTCTATTCTCTCTTCCAAACTAAACCGCCCAACTCGAAGCAATGAATGCCAACGCCATCACAGAGAACGAGGGATCCCTCGACTGGGCCGGACATGAGGCTGAGATCCGTGATCTCTACTTGGGACAGAAGTGGAATCTCCCCAACGTTAGAAGGCATATGAAAGAAAAATACGGGTTTGACGCAACGTATGTTTCTTTTCTCACGTTACTTTAGTGGTTCCTAACACTCTATGGCAGCGAGAGACAGTACAAGTTTCGCTTCGGTGGCCGCAAGAATGTGACATCTGACGAATGGGACTTTGTTGGTCGCGAACGCCAACGCCGGGCCGCGCTCGGCAAAGAGACGATAGTTTGTTTCCGTGGCGAGCCTTTGCCAGCGGAGCGTGTCGACCGCGGCATCGCTCGCAGCCGAAAGCATGGCTCCGGGCCTAATGATCGAGTCAATAAACGGAAGCCGACCCGTAAGTAACCTCCTCTACCCCAGCTGCCTTGAGATGATATCGCTGATACACACGCGTTAAGTGAGGGGGCAGACACAAGCTGCGGTCCGAAGCAGGATCACCTTTCGAACCCCGCCCTCTCAACCGAACCATCTCTTCACTTCCATCCACAACCAGCCACATGGCCAGATTAACGCAGATTTGCTATCTAGGGTTGGCGATGACTCCTCTCCGCGTCCGGCAATTGTTGCAGCGTCGTTTGATGATATCGAGATGATCCCTTGCGGGGCGATTAGTATGTCTCTCGATGCTAACCTATCTGTTTGATTTCAAGTTACGGGCTAGCTACCTCTACATGTACCTAACCACAAATACACAGCCCCTGCATCGATTAGAAACCACCCGGAAGTCCACACAGCATCGGGGTTCAGCCTCGGACATAACTGCTGGCAGTCTTCCCCTCCCATTGCCGATCCATTTGCCCCAAACCTTCAGGGTGCGCACACTGGTGATGGATTGTTTTGGGATTTGCCGTTTTTTCTGCTTCGTCTTGAAATGGAGCAGTGTAGTACGGTGAACCGCCTGATTGTTGATCGTGCCAGTCCCCTTGCTGATGGCATTTTCAGGCTCTCCCTTATCACCCAGACCTGGTTCCGCAGTCGGACCCGGCCGAACCTCAAGAGGAGCTCCGGCTTTCATGATTGTTCTGGGAAGCATACCTACCCCCATTTATCCTAGCTTTGAGTTCAGGCCTGCCATCGACGAGATCTATCCCCTACTACAGGCTTTGGTTCCTGAGCGATATGAGGGAGATCTAAGAGACACACTGGAACGGATCCTGGAACCGGCCCTGTCGGGCACGGGTGCACTTGGTTTGGTTCTTTCGTTGGCATCGTTCTTCGTATCCAACAACGCACTCGATGACTGTGGGCTCCTCCTCCAATGGATCTCCGACCACGGACATACGAGAGACCTGATATGGTTTCTCAGACGCCAGACCCCTACAACTCGTGCCTTTGCCAACGCCCTTTTTGGCTCGGCGACGCAACTCCAAAATGTCCAGCTTGCCAATGCCATCCTCGACTATGGGGGAAAGCTCGGCCACAAATTGCTATACGATGCTGTGTCTCTCGGCGATATTGCGCTTACTCGGCGCGTTTTGTCCAACGTAAGGCCAAACTCCGGGACGGAAAGCGACTGGGAGGGAATCTTTCATCTCCTAGTCCAAACGCGACAGTTCGGACCGGCGAAATTTCTTTTGAGCCGCGGAGTCTCTGTGAATGCAAACCTTCCTTTAACTGGTTCTGCTCTTTACGTTGCGGTCAAGGAATCCAACACCCAGGGAATTGACTTTCTTGTCAAAGCTGGCGCAGACATCAACTTACATTGCAAAACCCTGGATCCGCCTCACACCCCTTTGGCACTCGCGCTGTCCAGAGAAGACAAGGCGACAGTCCAGCTCCTCCTCGTACCCAAAACGGGCTTGCCATCGACAATTGAGGAGAGACCCATACTTGAATGGGCTTCCCTGAATGGAAGAGGGGTGGTCGGTCTCGTGCAAGAAATACTCGGTCTTCAAGAAGGCTTCTTCTCTCTTGAGGAAGCAGTGGACGCGGCGAGCCGTGGCACCTCTGCCTTCAAAAGGTACGTTGAGCAACAAGCTGGAGGCGCCACAACACACCAGATGGAACAAGCTCTGAGGGAATCGATCAAAGGGGGTCATCTCGCGGCCACTATTACCCTGCTCAAGCTAGGTGTTGACCCGAATGGGCGAAGTCTGAAAACTCCCCTGCTTGTCGCAGCCTTGGTGGATCAAAAAGATAAACCCATTTTCGCCGAGCTGCTTCTGGATTACAGCGCAGACGTCAACCGACTTTCCCCGGAATTCGTCACCAAGGACAGCAACGTATTGAACGCATTCATTGCATCTGGGGCTGGTATGGCCGAGAGAGCCAATGTCCTTGACCAAGCCATTGAATGTGACGACTTCGAGGCAGCAGCAAAGCTCATCCGGTCTGGAGTTAGTCTGAACACGCCTGCGCCGAGAAACGGACGAACTCCACTCCAGAGCGCTGCGTATTGGGGGCGTGCCAAGATGGTGTTGTATATGCTCAACAAAGGCGTGGATATCAATGCAGCTCGTACCGAAGCCGACGGGACGAGGACAGCATTGCAAGCAGCACTTGAAGGCCGGAGCCCTGTTGAGGTGGGCAATCTGTTACTTGACCACGGGGCCGACGCGTCGGCCCCGCCCGCTTCTGTTAGCGGGGTGACAGCACTTGAGGCATTGTTCAGGAATGGTTCCTGGAGTTGGCGCAAGGGCATGACTGAACTGTGCTATCGATTGCTTGCTGCCGGTGCCACAGTACACCGCCCTGGCGGCGGTCCGAGCGACTTGCTTCACCGAATTATCGAAAGCAAACAGCACGACATGCTCCGGCGCTTCCTTGGGCCACCCTACAATGCCGTGCATCGATACTACGGCCCCGTAAAGGACTTCAACCTAATGGATCTCTACACACCGACACAATATGCGGCCGTGGATGGGGATCTAAAGGCGGTGGAGATCCTTCTCGACCACGGCGCCGATGTTAACGAAGCCGCCGCTTACGGGGGGCGCACCGCTTTGCAAGGGGCCGCCCAGCGCCGGCCATCACCCGACAGACAAAACCTCTGCTCCTTGCTCCTCGACCGCGGCGCCGACATCAACGCCCCTCCGGCAGCATTCAGGGGGATCACGGCCTTGCAAGGCGCCGCCATATCCGGGGGCCTCCTCCTCGCTAAGGAGCTTATCCTGCGCGGAGCTGATGTCAACGCCCCGGCCGCCTTCTGCGGCCGCACCGCCCTCCAGGGCGCCGCCGAGCACGGCCGGCTGGACATGGTGCAGCTGCTGTTGAACGCGGGGGCTACTACGCACGGTGACGCATGTACGCGCGCCATTGAGCTGGCTGAGGTGGAGGAAAACTTTGCTATAGCCGATTTCCTGAGGATGCGGGCTGCAGGCGATGGGACGGTGGCGGCTGAACCGATGACGGTCGCGGAGGATCTGTTTCAATGGGAATCCAACAACGAAGAGGACTTTTCTAGCGGCAGAGTGGGAGGGGTTCATGTTCAGGCAGGGGACTTGACCGGGGAAGGTATGGGTGGCGTGGAATGGGATGAGGGGGACGCCGTAGAGGAGGAGCTTTCGGCGAATCTTCCAGATGATTATTGGGATTGGATACTTGGTGTTGGTGGGGGTCGAATCGTTGATGAATTCGACATATGAAGATAAATATTTGAGTATATACCCCTCGACAAGGTAGATGGAATGAACCACTGCCGGGTCGGTGGTAGGAAGCCGAGAAGCTGTTTGTGCAGGTGATGGAGACTCGCAAGACGAAGGTCGGGCCGGACCATCCATGCACAATGACGAGCGTGAAAGATGGTCTAAACCACGGCACACGTTGTCTGGGTGGAAGTCATCGCCGGCGCGTTAACCATTGGCTATTAGAATCCGGCGTTGGACAAGTCCATCTTCATCATCGTTGTTATAAACCTATCGGGCATAAAAGGCTACGGGGAAGTCCAATTCATCTTTGCCATCGTACATCACGGCTGGTGTCGGCTTCATGTGAGTTTGACTCTGGACCCCCTTTTCACTGCCAAGAGACTGACAACTCCAAGACTGCTGGGGATTATAATCAACATCGGCGGCACACCAACAGGGGGCGACATCGGCGGCCAATACTGGCGGGATCCCGGTGCCTCCAACAACGACTTCAAAGGAGTCTGTGCTGTCTTCGTCACAGCAGCCTTCGCCTTCACCGGCACCGAACTAGTCGGACTCGCCGTAGCCGAAACCGCCAACCCCCGAAAGTCCCTCCCAATCGCCATCAAACAAGTCTTCTGGCGCATCACCCTCTTCTACATCATCTCCCTAACCCTCGCCGGCCTCCTAGTCCCCTACAACGACCCACGCCTGCTCAACGCAACCAGCATCGCCGACGCGTCGGCCAGCCCCTTCGTAGCCGCAATCGAAAGCGCCGGCGCCACCATCCTGCCCTCCGTCATGAACGGCGTGATCCTCGTCGCGGCCATCTCGGTCGGCAACTCGTCCGTGTTCGGCTCCTCCCGCACACTCGCGGCACTGGCAGAACAGGGCCAGGCGCCCGCGCGTATTCGCCTACGTCGACCGGCGCGGCCGCCCGCTCGTCGCCGTCCTCGCCGTCTCCGCCGCCGGCCTGCTCCGCCTACCTCGCCCACTCGGACGCCCACGGCGCCGTCGTCGACTGGCTGCTCGCCGTCAGCGGCCTGAGTACCGTGTTTACCTGGGCTAGCAGCTGTCTGGCGCATGTGCGTCTGCGGAAGGCGTGGGCGTGCCGGCATCAGTCGGTGGCGGAGATGGCGTTTCGTGCGCAGGCTGGTGTGGTGGGGAGCTGGGTGGGGTTTGGGTGTAATTGTTTGATCTTGGTCGCCCAGGTGTGGGTGGCTATTGCGCCGCTGCCGCGGGATGATGGTGAGGAGTGGGATTGGAGTGGCTAGGTGCAGAATTTCTTTGTGCAGTGCCTCCCGTTGCCGGTGGTGTTGGTCTGTTGGCTGGGCCATAAGATATGGTTTCGGACGAGATTTGGGAGAGTGGAGGATACGAATATTAATACCGGGAGGAGGGACTTTAGAATGCTGGGGATCATTCAGGTGCAGGAGGAGGAGGAGAGGCAGAGCTGGCCGAAGTGGAAACGCTATTACCGGTTCATCTGCTAACCTTACGGTAGTGGCAAGTGAAACTTCGCATGCCGCCTGGAAATCGTAAAACCGGAATGCGCTCGCATGACTTTCGACCCTAAGGTTAAAAAAGCAGGAAAGGGTTGGGACATTCTCCGCTATCAGGATCTCATTACATGGTAAAATCATCCAAATGAACATCGCCGGCGTCTTACATCTGTCTGTGCCGGTGTTCCCGCCTGCGTCTTGTTGGCTTGAAATGATTATATGTTTTTCCGGGTTGAAGCAAGTATCGTTTTGAACTCTGATCTCTCCAGGTGGTGCCACATTTTATATGGAGGCCGTCGTTTGGGACTATGTGGTTCTGACGTGCAGGACTATGCCACGTGACTTCCCCCATACATAACCCCAACCCTGGCGCGTGCGCCCCTCCTTTCTCAATCTCTAATTCAATACGCACGTACAAATATACCCGGAATCGCTCAATTCCTTTAAAAATGCAATAAAATTCAACTTGTTCAATTTCTTCAACAAAGCTATCGTTAAATTTACCACTACAGCTATAGGTATAGCCGTATAGTAAGCTTTTTACTATTAGTTATAATCCTCTAACTTATAGTAATATAGTAATAGTAACTACCCCTTTTCTTAATATATTTAGATATAATAATAATTATAAATATAATATCTTACTACTTTTAAACTCTCCTTCTAACTACCTACTTCTTACCTACTAGTATAAATCTTTTAATAACCTTATTAGTAACCTCTATAAGTAGGCTATATAAGTGCTCTTTAATATTAGGAAGCTTTGGTCCTTTAACTTAGTTAAGGTTTAGCTATATAAGGATAGACTTCTACTATTTAAAGGATAAGATATAGCTGTTAAAAGTATTTACCAGATATTAGTCTTCTATAACTAAGACTAACTACTTATAGAAAGCTTTAGCTAAGGTATTTATTTATAATAACTAGAGATAGACTTTAGAGATCTAAAAAGATTATTTATATAACTATACTACTATAGAAGGTTATAAGGATATTACTACTTTTCTAAAGTTTAGGCTAGAGTATATAGCCTTTATAGATACCTTTATTAACTACTTTATTATTACTAACTGCTAATTTATTGAGAATCTTTATAAGAAGTTTCTAGGGATCTTCTTTACCTAGAGGTAGTTAAGAGATCTTTAGTTCTACTTTAGAAAAGATATAATAGATAGATATATATCTTTCTAATCTATAATAAAGTTCTTTAATAAAGGTAGTTTTCTATATAAAGTTCTCTAGTTAGTAATAGACTCTAATAAATCTAAGGGCTTAGTTTAGATAAATAACTTTTATAAATAATAATAGGCTCTAAATCCTTAGGTTTAGATATATAATAATACTTATAAGATAAATAATAAAGGCCTTACGCTATTTTAAGTTATAGATATTAGAAGTTTAAATAAGATCTTTAGTTATATATTTAGACTTATTAATAATAAATAGTAAGAGGGTTTTAACTAGCTAATAGATTAAGTTGATATATTATATTAGGAGATTAGAACTACTTCTCTATTAGTTACTATTACTAACTTTAATACTATAATAAGGAATATAGTTATATATATCTATTTAGCTACAGCTTTATAGCTCTATATCTTCTATGTTAATAAGAATATAGTCCTCTATATTAAGTGTAAATGGGATAAGTAAGCTGCTATTATAGTTACTCTTATCTATTAATAATTGTAAGCTTAGCTAGAAGAAGAAGTTTAGTTAAAAGAAGAAGCCTAGCTAGAGGTTTAGCTAGAAGCCTAGCTAGATAACTATATCGATTTTAACGACGATAATAACTATATTATAGAAAGAATAAACTATATAGTAGTATAGAGTAAGGAGGTTAGCCTAGTTCTAGAAACTGTTAAATACTTATATACTAGCCTATATAAGCTTTAGATCTATATACTATATATCTATATAGTTAATGATTTCAATGTTATATAGGAATAATTTAAATCTTTCTTCGCTTTTTAGCCTATAATTATCCGTTATTTAGAGGATATTTATCTCCCTATTGTTAAAGATTGGGCGGCTTGCTATACTAGCTATAATCTAAACTTTAGCTACTATATTATATTGCTAGTTAAGTCGGTAAATTAATATTTTAAGAGCTTTCTAATTAGAGGAAGTAGTACTATTAACTAGATTGTTATTTAGTTATTTAAGATAGTTACTATAATAGAGAATTTAATTTAAGAGGTTTATTAATACTAGAAAAACCATATCTAGTACGATTATTTAGGGATAAAGTAGTTTAGCAATATACCTATCTTAATTATATAATATACCTTAGACCTTACTAGGAAGGAGTATTACTATATAGAGGCTGCTTTGCTATTAATAATAAGGTATAACCTACCGCTTCTTACCCCCTATATTGGCTAGTTTACTATATAGTTCGGTATCCTATATTGCTATAAGCTCTTATAACGATATAAAGCTAAAGATCTTATACTTTAGAAGGCGGATTTCTATCTATATTAGTAGCTAGATAGATCTCTAGCTAATAAAGATTACTACTTATAGTATTATAAGTTTAACTAGGTTATATAGTTATATAGGAAACTATACTATTCCTAGCTATTTACCTCTAACCTATATATACTACGATTAACAGCCTCTATTTTAATATAGGGTATATAGAGTATATAGAGTACTACCCTAGCTATACTAGGTACCTAGCCTATATAGGTAATAGGATTATAGCTATCTATATACTATAATTTATCCTAGTAAGAGGGTATTAACCTTAAGGTATTAGATACTAATAAGGTTATTCCTAACAGCTAGCCGGCACTATAGACTATATACGGGGGTAGGGGGGGCCGGGCTATAATATATGGTACTGTATATGGGGGATAGGCAGCTACGATATACGGTACCGGCAGGTGTAGAGGCCGGCTAGCTACTATATATGGTACTGGGTATAGGGGATAGGCAGCTACAATATATAGTACTAGCGGGTGTAGTGCTGGCGGGTGTAGGGGGTGTAGGTGTAGGGGGTGTGGGTATAGGGCCCGGGCTGGTTGGGGGGCTAGTGTAGGGTAGGGTATGTAGGAGGCTTAGATAGAGTTATATGTCTGAGAAAAAAATAAGATTTTGTAGATCTTAATTTTATTGTGTTTTTAAGCGATTTAGCACCTTTTGGATTAATAGATTTAACTATATTGTTAATTGAATTTAATCGAATTGAGAATCTAGGTAAGGAAAAAGGAGGCGTGTGTGCTAGGGTTGGGGTTATGTATGGGGGAAGTTATGTAGTAGTTCTGTATGTTAGAACTATATAGTTTTAAATAACGGCCTCCTTTTTCCTTGCTTAGATTCTTAATTCGATTGAATTTAATTAATAATATAGTTAAATCTATTAATTTAAGAGGTGTTAAATCGCTTAAAAATATAATAAAATTAAGATCTATAGAATCTTATTTTTTTCTTAAATATATAACTCTATCTAAGCCTTCTATATGCTCTGCTCTATGCTAGCCCTCTGACTAGCCCGGTCCCTACACCTATGCCCTCTGTGCCTGTGCCCTCTGCGCCTGCTGGCGCTGTGCCTGCTGGTGCTGTGTGTTGTAGCTGCCTGTTCCCTATGCTTGGCGCTGTATGTGGTGGCTGGCCGGCCTCTGTACCTGCCGGTACTGTGTGTTATAGCTGCCTATCCCCTGTGTACGGTGCTGTGTATTGTGGCCCGGCTCCCCCTGTCCCTGTGTGTAGCCTGTAGTGCTGGCTGGCTGTTAGGAATGACCTTATTGGTATCTAGTACCTTAAGGTTAATACCCTCTTACTGGGATAGGTTGTAGTATATAGATAGCTATAATCCTATTACCTATATAGGCTAGGTACCTGGTATAGCTGGGGTAGTGCTTTGTGTACTTTATATACTCTGTATTGAAATAGGGGCTGTTGATTATAGTATATATAGGTTGGGGGTAAATGGCTAGAAGTAGTATAGTCTTCTATATAACTATATAATCTGGTTAAACTTATAATACTGTAAGTAGTGATCTTCGTTAGCTAGAGATCTATCTAGCCACTAATATAGATGGAAATCCGCCTTCTAAAGTATAAGATCTTTAGCTCTATATTGTTATAAGAGCTTATAGCGATATAGGATACCGAACTATATAGTAAACTAGCTAGTATAGAGGGTAAGAGGCGGTAGGTTGCGCCTTGTTGTTAATAGTAAAGCGGCCTCTATATAGTAATGCTCTTTCCTAGTAAGGTCTAAGGTATATTGTGTGATTAAGATAGGTATATTGCTGAGCTACTTTATCCCTAAATAATCGTACCGGAGATGGTTTTTCTGGTATTAACGAGCCTTTCGAATTAAATTCTCTATTATAGTAACTATCTTAAGTAACTAAATAATAACCTAGTTAATAGTACTGCTTCTTTTGATTAGGAAGCTTTTAAGATACCGATTTACCGATTTAACTAGCGATATAGTATAGTAGCCGAAGTTTAGATTGTAGCTAGTATAGTAAGCTACTTAGTCTTTAATAATAGAGAGATAAATATTCTTTAAATAATAGATAATTATAGGCTAGGAAGTAAAGAAAGATTTAAGTTATTCCTATATAATATTGAAATTATTAACTATATAAGTATATAGTATATAGATCTAAAGCTTATATAGGCCGGTATATAAGTATTTAATAGTCTCTGGAACTAGGCTAACCTCTTTACCCTATACCGTTATACGGTTTATTCTTTCTATAATACAGTTATTATTATTATTAAGATCGATATAGCTATCCGGCTAGGCTTCTAGCTGGGCTTCCAGCTAGGCTTCTTCTTCTAGCTAGGCTTCTTCTTCCGGCTAGGCTTACAATTGTTAATAGGTAAGAGCGATTGCGATAGCGGCTTACTTATCCCATTTACATTTAATATAGAGGATTATATTCTTATTAATATAGAAGATATAGAGCTATAAGGCTATAGCTAGATAGATATATATAACTATATTCCTTATTATAGTATTAAAGTTAGTAATAGTAACTAATAGAGGAGTAGTTCTAATCTCCTAATATAATATATTAACTTAATCTATTAACTAGTTAAAACTCTCTTACTATTTATTATTAATAAGTTTAAATATATAACTAAAGATTTTATTTAGATTTTTAATATCTATAATTTAAAATAGGGTAAAACCTTTATTATTTATCTTATAAATATTATTATATATCTAGATCTAAGGATTTAAAGCCTACTATTACTTATAGAAGTTATTTATTTAAACTAAGCCCTTAGGTTTATTAGAG